ATTCTTTACAGAGCAGCAAGATATCCCCGCAGTTTCAGAAGAAACGCCTACGTTGCCTCGCAAGCTCAGCAAGAAGGACAAGAAGAAAGCCAAGCAAGCTGCGTTCGCATGGGATGAACCTGAGGCGGCGCCTGGCCCTAGCGATGTCACTCCTTTGCCTGAGGTCTCAGAACCTGCAGCCGTTGAGGATTCGTCAATACCTCTTATGACTCGGGATGCTGCCCCAGAAACGGTTAAGGATGAGATCGTCGCCGGCCCACCACTGGAAGAACAAGCGCTAAAAGACCAAGTGCCGAGCCCTTCAGTTGGCCAAGAGCCTCTCCAAGAACAAGAATTCATACCGACCGAAGTCTGCGAGGTTTCTCAACAAGCAGAGCCAGTGATCGCTCCCCAACCGGGGCCACTCCAAGAGCCTGAGCCAACCTATAAAGCCTCCCATGAAGTCGTCCAACGAGATGTCTCGCTTCCTGCGGACGTCCACGAGGCCGTGGAGATGGAAGAGTCCAATGTCCCAACGCCAATCGAGGATGAACCTTCCTTTGTTCCTGCTTTGACACGCAAGCAAAGCAAGAAAGACAAGAAGGGCAAAGCCGCAACATTCGACTTCTCCGAGCCATCTCCTGCTGAGGAGCCAACCACGGGTTTAGAAGCTCAAGTGACTACAGCAGCCGATGACTTCCTGCCTCAGCTCAGCAAGAAGGATAAAAAGAAGGGCAAGAAGAGGATTCCCACGTTCGACTGGAACGAGCCTAAAACGTCTGAAGTTGTGCAGCTTCCGGCGGATGCGCCGACCGAACCACAGGTCGAGATTTCGGAGCGAGACGTGCGAGTAGTACCCATGATGCCTGAGCCCGCTCACGAAGAGGCTGTTGATCGAAGTATGCCACTTGAGGAGCCCAAAGTCTCTGCCCTGGAATCGAACGTAGAAGGCGAACAGGCTTCTGTCGGCATCTCCGCAAGCCAACCAAGGCCCGAGCCCGAGGAAGAATGGGCACTCCCAGCCAAGAAGAGCAAGAAGGAGAAGCTGAAGACAAAGAAGGCTTCTACCGCGTTCGACGAGCAAATTGAGGTTGAACAGCGACAGCTCCCAGAGGAGGTTGTTGAAGCCCCAATTGAGCAACCTTCTGAAGTGTTTCCAACCGCGATGGTTCGCGAGACAGTCCAGCCGGCTACAAGCAAGACCGTGGATACCTCTACACCAGCCGTTTCTACGACACAGGCTCAACCATCGCTACCAGCTGCACCCTCCATCCCTTCTAAGAAGAAGATCAAGAAGCACAAGCTCGCGGCTATGTTCGAGCCCGATACGCCAGAGAAGATTGTACCACCTCACCGTGAGCCGCCCAAAGTAAAGCGACCCATCGTCAAGGATGTTCCGGACGTTGCCCGAGAGACCATTCAACCCTCTGAGCATGGAACCTCAGAGCCAGCTCTCGTCGCTCCAACTTATGCAGAACCCGTCTCTAAAGCCTTTTCCGAAGCCCAACCTCGTGCCAAGTCACCTGAACAAGAGATTGACTTCGCCGCTACGGTTGCTGCAGGCCTGAAAGAGTCAGGCTTCGACACTAACCTAGTACTCAACGATCCCTCATTCCACCGACCGGTCTCCCCACGGGGTGTGCGCGACATTGGTCCTGAGGAAGAGATTGCGGCTGCTAGAGATGAGGCCAGCAAGTCCAAGTTTAGCACTATGGGCCGCTCACCATCACCAACTTCGCCGAAGACCGAGCTGGTCAAGGAGGTAGAGCCAGAAGTCGCTCGGCCTGATGCTTTCTCCGCTACGACAGAAAGGGCGTCCTTCAACCCAATGGACGTACTCAACGATCCTGCCTTCCTGCAGCGCAAGTCTCCGCCCGGCGTGCTCGAAGAAGCCGACCCAGGTGAGCTTTGGTCTTCGTCCAAGAAGGACAAGAAAACCAAAGGCAAGAAAAAGCGCGCCTCGATTACGCCCGTGGAAAGCGAAGAACGCGCAATCGATCAGACCGAGACGATTACGGCGGCGCCCTCCGACGACAAGAACATTATCGAACCAACTCCAGCAGAACCGGTGGACACAGCACAACCGACCGAGCCGCCCGTAGTGTCCAGCCAGCCTATAGAACCTATCGAAACCCCACAAGCCACGCCCATTATAGAGGAGCCGGAAGAGTTCTGGGCCACGACGTCAAAGAAGGGCAAGAAGGTGAAGAAAGATAAGAAGCGAGCGTCCACAAGCCAGGAAACCGTCCAGACTCCGGCCGTTGAGGCTCCGGTAATTGAGGCTCCCACGGATGTGCCTCTTACCGTTGAGACTCCGGTTGACTTAGCGACGAGGGATGCTAGGCTTGAACAATCCTTCCAACCGATCGTGGAACCAAAATTCTCGCCAGTACCAGAAGGGGTGAGCCTGGCGGAGGAAGGTAACTCATCGTTCGATATGGCGCAGTCGAGAAATTTATATCTGCAACGTGATCAGCCTCAACCCGAACAAGTCCCAGAAGCTACCGATGATATCTGGGACGAGCAGCCAAAGAAGAAGGGGAAGAAGGGCAAAGGTAAATTGAAGCGCTCCAGCACGATGGAGCAGGCAATGGAATCTGAGCCACCTTCAGGTGCAATCACTCCGTTCGAGGAGGATCTGGAACAGCAGAAGGCGATGGAGGAGGGCACCGTTGAGCCAGGACGACTGGCAGTGGAGGATGATTGGACATCGTCAAAGAAGAAAGGCAAGAAAGCTAAGAAGGGCAAATTAGGAGCGGCGGCTCTTGCTGCAGCTGGTGCAGCCGCCATTGGATCGATGGCACTTGGGAAGGAGGAGGAGGACAAGAGGAGCTTGGGAGCGGAGCAAGTTACAGAGCTTCCTCCCACTTTCGACCAGGAACCGAAGTCTCTAGGTAGAGTTGAAGCCGCTGAATATCCTTTCCCCCAGATACCGGCATCAGAAGAGAGCAAGACCCAAGTCGTTGAGAATACCACAACAAGAGAGGAGCCAGAGGAGTTTGATGAGTGGGCTTTACCGTCGAAAAAGAAGGAAAAGAAAGGCAAGAAGGGCAGAGGAAAAGTAGAGGTAGCATTAGAGTCGGAGAAGAGGGAGTGGGGAGATGAATTCCAAGAGAAGTCAGTCGAGGGACTGGGCATTGAGAGAGGTTTTTCAAGGCATGATCAGCCAGAGGACGTGGTTGAAAGGACGCCTATACACGTGTCGCAGGCGGCTATTCCGGAGCCTCGTGCAGACATATACGAGCGTTCTCTTGAAGAGGGAACGCTATCAGAGGTCGGCCGAGATCTGAAGGGTTCGCCTCCGGGCAAGCTCTCAGTCGTCCCTCCTGCCATTGAACACGTCAAGCGACGAGAGCACCCAGTCTCCACCCCGAAGGATCAACCGGACGAGAAGCGCATGCATCTCTGGGAGCCCTCGATTGATGTTCCGACAGCCCCCATCGAATCGGCAACTGTCCCGCAAGTCGCAGAGGGTCGTGCAGCAAGGGATATCGCGGCTCAGCCAACCACCGAGAGATCCACTCTACGTGTTTCCCCGGAGCCAACAATCGCTCGAGGCCACTCTCCTGTTTTCGAACCGACGTGGTCTTTTGGCGGAGTCCGCGATAGCGCTGTACACGTGGCTGACTCGCCAGTTATCCCGAGTGCCCCACAATTCCAGCCAAGCAGCAACACTCGTGACAGCGGTTATCATGATGCAGGGTACACTCCTACCATTCCGCAAGGCCCGAGCGAGCCAGTGGAGGAACACCACGGCAAAGAGAAGCGACGATCGCGTGAGCCAAAGACACCTCGCGGCACTGATCGATCATTTGAGCAGCATGACGATGTGTGGTCGCAAAGCCCATCGCTTCCAGAACTCCCATCTTTTGCCGGGGTCTCTTCGCCGAATGCCATTGACTCTGCTACCAAGGAGCGAACGTCGTATCTATTCAACTCATCGCCCTCGACGCGACAATATGGGGAGTCGCCTTCAGTTACCGCGAAGCCTCGCTCTGACGACATCGCCCCAACGGCTCCGGTTACGCAACACCGACATACCGAAGAGGCCACGCGACATGAGAAAACTCCGCGCTCCGAGTCTCGTAGGGACACCAGCTCGCCGGTGAGGGACATCAAGCGCAAGGAACCTCCCCCCTCAATCTTTGGGGACCCAAGCGAGAAGACGCAGAAATCTGCTATGCTTTCGACGCCCACAGCAAAGCACATGCGCACGCCAAGCAGCCAGCTCGACACCATCAAGGAGAGCAGTCCGGATGAATCGCTTCTGCATAAGAAAGGACGGACCGTATCTGACGTTGGGGCTCCCGACCGCGGTGTCAAGTCTGCTCGACGGAGCGAGAGTCCGAAACCTTTCTCTGAGCGATTGCGGTCGCCTCTTCCGGCCACGCCAACCCCATCCAGCCGCAAGCCCGTCGCGCCAAAGAGAGATACATCGCCAAGAGAGACGCCCCCTCGGGATTCGCCATGGCATCAAGTACACGAGAATGTCGACCGGAGCATGGCCTTGAGCCCTGCGCGCCGGCTGCGCTCTCCTCCAGCTGCGGATCCGACGAAACAGCGCATGGGCGAGCAGCGATCGCCAAGCGTGCTCAGCGACCGCTCTGTGGGACGACTGAGGAGCCCCGACCAGGAACGGCCGCCCAGCGCGGCAAGCAACCGATCCACTCCGTCCCTGCGACGAGTGGACAGCCGCAGGTCAGGTGACCTCAGATCTGCATCAAGGCTTGGCGAGGTCAGTGCGGAGGACGCTAAGAGCGCGACACCCAATCTCGCAGGCATCGCGCTCGCTGCCGGAGCAACCGCAGCCATCGCGGGCATCGCGAGCTCATCAAAGTACGACCCGGTGAAAGACAAAGGCAAGGGTCGCGCCGACATGCCCGATGTCTACGTAAGTTTTCCCTGCGACGCGACGTGTTGTTTGCGACGACTGCTGACATAGTTTGCAGGAGGCATGGGGCGAGGCCCAAGGCTCGCCGATGTCCCCGACACGGCCGCCCAGCGTGCGCAAGCGACAGAGCATGCAGATCATGGACTTGCAGACGCAGCTCGAGCAGCTTGCCGCGCAAAACCGCTCGCTCGAGGAGGCCAGAGCCAAGGCCGAAGAGACTTTGCAGGCGACAAACTATCAGCGCGAAGTCGATTCGCAGGTTGTAACCGAAGCGGTCGATGCACGTGACCGCGAACTGCACCAGAGAGATATCGACATCGGGCAGCTCAGGGACACGCTACAGAACCTGCAGGGAGAGATAGCCAGACTCACCGAACTCAACAATACCCTCAGCGAAGCCAATCGCAACCTTACCAACGATGCGAACCAGCGATATGCGCAGCTCCAAGCGGAAGGCCAGCTCGTTCACGGCCAATGGCAGCAATCGTCAAGAGAGCTCGAGGAGCTGCGAGCCAAGCAGGACCAGATGACAAGAGGCATGGAAGACGCAGTGCGCACTGAGATTGCAATGGCGCTCGATGATCGCACCGCCGAAATCGAACGCCTGAATGCCGAACTGGCAAGCGCGCGAGAGCAAATCAAGACTCTGCAGAAGCAGATACTAACTTCTAAGCAACCCAACGAGAGTTTCCTCACCGTTCGCGATGAGGACTACTTCGACAGCGCATGCCAACAGCTTTGCCAGCATGTTCAGCAATGGGTGCTGCGCTTCTCAAAGTTCTCAGATACTCGAGCTTGTCGCTTGTCATCTGAGATTGCTGCCGATACGAGACTGGATTCTGCGACGCGGCAAAAGATTGACACCCGTCTCGACAATGCTATTCTAGATGGCTCCGATGTGGATATGCTTCTCGCAGACCGCGTGAAGCGAAGAGACGTTTTCATGTCTGTGGTTATGACCATGATCTGGGAGTATGTCTTTACGAGATATCTCTTCGGTATGGACCGAGAGCAGCGACAGAAGCTCAAGTCGCTGGAGAAGACCTTGTCGGAAGTTGGTAGGTTATCGAACTCACCCGTCACCCTTTCTCCAGCTAACCCACCATCAGGTCCGACACGCGCTGTCGCGCAGTGGCGCGCGATCACACTCACCCTTCTCTCGAAGCGAGAAGCATTTATCCAGCAACGCGCGCAAGACACCGAAGCCGTTGTCCACGAAATCTACAGCACTTTGGCCACCCTTCTTCCTCCGCCTTCCCATCTCCAACGCCAAATTCAAGAATCGCTGCGCAACGTAATGCGCCTCGCCGTCGAGCTTTCCATCGAGATGCGCACACAGCGCGCAGAATACATCATGCTTCCTCCTCTGCAACCGGAGTACGACACCAATGGCGACCTCATCGCCAAAGTAACCTTCAACGCGTCCCTCATGAACGAGCGCTCTGGAGAAACCACATCCAACGACGAACTTGAAGCGAGGGGCGCCATAGTCAAGATCGTTCTGTTCCCGCTAGTGGTGAAGAAGGGCGATGACTTTGGAGAGGGTGAGGACGAGATTGTGGTCTGTCCTGCACAAGTCCTGGTCGCTAGACCAAGCAACAAGAAAGTGGTGAGGGTAATGAGTGGCGCTATGAGCGTCGATTCAAGGCAGCGGAGTGTGGCGAGCCTTGCGCCCGAGAGTTCGGTCATGGATTTGAGCGGAAGTAATGTGATATAGAATAGGCTTCGCATGGCGATGGATCTGGTTTGGCTTGGGGAGTCGGATGGAGGTTGCTTGATTTTTGGCGTCTCGGTCGGGATACCTAACGAATCTCCTTGATTTGTTTCTTTTGTTTCTTTTGACTTTTGGTTTCGGAGCACCTATTTGGCGGGCATTGTAATGTTATACCTAGAGTGTAGGATAGGAAAGTATTCCATTAGGTACATGCATACTCGTTCTGAGATTGATATGAAATGATGTGGGCCTCCCAAGCTTACTGCCTGCTTTTACTGCCGTCCGACCATCCCTTCAACGGATAGGAAGCAGGTCTTTGTGAAGATAAAGCTATGATGTCGCTCGAATTCCATCTGGACACTTCCAGGACGATGGTACGGCGCACGTGCTTGGCGCGTCCCCCCAATCCCTCGGTTGAGGGTCTCCGCTGCGGGAGCCCCGCATCTTCTTTAGCCCCCAGCAGCACGCCGCGCCAGGGCCAAAGAGCTCGCCCAAGCGACCAGACTACCGTTAAAGGGGTCCGCGATGCGACATTTCATCTGACGTGAGACGGGAGCCGTATAACTTGCACCCATTTTCCCTTTACCTCTACGTTGCACAAGTACCACCTGCCTCAAGCAAACAGCCGCAATGCCGATCAGAAGCGAGTGGAAGCTCGCGCGGGAAGGTATGAAGCTCCACCGCCACCACCACTACTCCTCGAACGCCGATGCACTGAACTAAACTAAATCACAGGCGTAACCGGCGACACCCTCGGCCGGGCACTCAAATACACGGCCTTCAACCCCGCGCTGACCCTCCCGCTCGTCCTGCTCGCGCGCTACACAGCAAAGGGCAACCTGCTCGCCGCCGAGCACGCAACCGCATTCAAGCACCTCAAGACGCTGCTTGCGCTGGGCGCGCTGAGCGCCGTGAGCGGCTGGCTCGACGACAGGGTGCTGAACAACTGGAGCGCCGATGCGTATGACTGGAGCAAGGAGATTGTGGTGGTGACGGGCGGCAGCGATGGCATTGGAAAGATCGTGGTGCAGTTGCTCGCCGAGAGGGGGGTCAAGGTTGCGGTGCTGGATGTGCAGGAGCTGGCGTTTGAGGGTAGGACTGGCCCGCCGTTCCAATTGCTCGTTTAATGCTTTGTGGTGTCCAGAGATATCAGACGTCAAAGACAGTACAACTGACAATGCACAGCACCCCCAACCGTCACCTACTTCCACTGCGACCTCGCCTCACACGCCTCCATCGCCGCCGCCGCAACCGCGATCCGCTCCTCCCTCGGCGCCCCCACCGTCCTGATCAACAACGCCGGCTGCGCGCGCGGCAAAACCATCCTCGCAGCCTCCGAGTCCGACATCCGCCTCACCTTCAACGTCAACACGCTCTCGCACTACTTCCTAACGCAGCAATTCCTGCCCGCCATGCTGGCCGCGAACCACGGCATGATCGTCACCGTCGCCTCGCTAGCGGCCTACGTCAGCGCGCCCAGCATGGTCGACTACGCGGCGAGCAAGGCGGCCGCGCTCGCCTTCCACGAGGGGCTTTCCGCGGAGCTGGCGAGTATCTACAAGGCGAACCGGATCCGCACGGTGATCATGTGCCAGGGGTACACGCGGACGGCGCTGTTCGAGGGGTTCGACAGCGCGGTGCTGCATGCGGAGACGGTGGCGGAGGAGATTGTCAAGGCGGTGCTGCGGGGGAAGAGCGCGCATCTTGTGGCGCCGGAGACGGGGTGGGTTATGGCGCCCAAGATACGCGGGTGGCCGCTGTGGATGCAGTATGGGATGCGGAAGAGGCTGGATAATTTGATGCGGGGGTGGAGGGGGCGGCAGGTTGTGCAGCCGAGTGAAAGTGAGACCGGGGGGAAGGGAAAGGAGAGTGTGGAGGGGAGTACGGTGCTTGTGGAGGGGGAGGGGGGGCAGTAGGGTGATGGGGGTTTGGGGAAGGGGTAGCAGACGGTGTGGATATCAATTTGGCAGATGCAGGTGTTGTATTCCAGGGTTTGCTTGAGCGACAGTGGCGCTTCTAGGAGCGGCTATACTGTTTAACGGCTCAGAATTTCTTACTTACTGTTCGATGAGCGTTCGATGCTTCTTAGGCCGGCGCAGGACTACGATTCGTTATTATCCCAACCGAATTCAATCTGTTCAGGAGCATAGAGTGACATGTCACAGCCGCATCAGCATCAGCATCAAGGCAGAGGAAGTCTCTTCTAATTATGCCCAAGGCAACCATTCATAGCAAAGCCAGCAAGCTCCGGGTATCGTACAGTCCCAGTTTCCATGAACCCATTCCGTCCCCTGGGAAACCCCGCGCCGCATACCCAACAGCGAAGTGTAAACAACCGTATCATGAGGAGCCTATCATAACCAGGATAATATATATCGTGAGTGAGAGAGGGGGAAAGGGAAGAGAAGCGCCTAGACATATCAAGCCTTGTGGGCCCGGAATAAGGCGCGCATAACTTCGGGGGAAAGGTGGTGCTGTTCGAAAAGGCGCGCCGCGGAGGCGGAGACGCGTCTATGCCTTCTTCGTCTTGGGGGCAGCGACCTTCTTCGTGGTAGTGCTCTTCTCCTTCTGTTCGCGTGGGGGCACTCATTAGCCAAGGTCCTAGGTCTCCGAGGGAGGGGGGAGGATGCGTAAGACCCGAGGACATTGTCGTAGATGCGCTCAATAGATATCGAACCACGTAGGGACATCATGACGAGTGTGCTCCGGCGGGGCACGCCTCGAGCTGTGCTGTGCGGACGACGCGCTACGTACCTTGGTTCCAGCAGCCTGTTGATATGACGCGTCAGTGTGTGCTCTACATCCGCCGGACCCCAACACAACATCGCGAAATGAACAGCCGGATACACGTACCTTCTTCTCCGGCTTCGCCTCGACCTTTGCCTTCGCCTTCTCGACTTTGCCCTCGACCTTATCCTTCGCCTTCGTGGCGGGTGCCTTCTCCTTCTTGACCGTCTTGAGCTTCGGGGTTGCGGTCTTCTTCGTAGCCGGCGCCTTCTTGTCCACGCGTCCGCTGGCTACTTTCTTGTCGCGCGGCTTGCTCGTGTTAGCCGTGGTGGTGCGCTTCTTGGTGGGTGCGACAGCTTCGACAGCGTTCTCGATCTTGGCGGGCAGGTTGCCGGTTTTCGTGCGGGTTGTGGCAACCATTGTGGCGGCTAAGGGTAGGTGGTGTGGGGACGCGTGAGAGAAAAGGTGGAAGGAGGTGGTGGTGTCGTGGAAGAGGGACGTTGAAGGGCTGAAGGTGAAAGCATTAGCGCTGGGAGTCGGTCGGGCAGCGCGGAGGATGCGTGGAATGCGACGCGTATAACAGTAGAATCTTCAGAAAACGGCGATGACAGTAAAACGAGAAGCGGCGATCGCGATAGAAGCAGAGCAGAAGGTTGAAATGCAGCGCGCGCGCGAAGCGCTCCAGGCATAGCTCCGTGCGGAGTCGACGTGGACGCTCGTCACGCGCCTCAACAACTCAGTTCAAAACAGACGGAAGCAACGCGGACAATATCGTAGAAAAAGTATACTATACCTTTCTGTGGAAGTAGGCGACTCAGATGAAGCTTGAACGGCAGGTTTAGGACGTGTGGTGCGCGAAAGCGACAGAACGATGTGTTGTTGTTTTGGTGGTTGAGGAGGGACGGAAGCGCGAGAGAGGGGAAGAGATCATATGCACCTTCGCTTGGTGTTTCACACCTCGACAACAACACAGGCGAAGTCCGGCCAATGGTCGTATTACGTGCATGCGGCGAAGGTGTCTTTGCTTTTCTGGGTATTACTTTATTCTTCGGAGCCTGGGGCCTTGAAGGGTGCTCTCGTCTTCTCGGTCAGTCGCTGAAACGCGACATGAAGCCAACATTGCGACTTCTACCCGCTTGCCTTACCCAAGGCCAGGACCTTGTAGCTGAGGGCTCGCAATTGGTGTTCAAATGCGCGCCATCATGCGAGGCCACACCACTTGGGAGAATAAATTGGTTGGTTTGCATCTATCTGCGCCGTCGACATGAAAAGCCGCCCAGCCTGCTCTCACCCGCATCAGGATCCGGGGTGCCCGCTATTCTTAGATGCGGTCCCAAAGGCAGGCATAACCGCCGTAAGGCATGTTGAAGGCTGTTGGGCCCTTCCTTCGTGTGTGAACAGCTGTACTTTTGTCGAACTTTTGAACTCCTGCCAAACGCCGAAATAGCCCCACAAACCGTTCGTAGTCTGAACTTCCGAGCCACGCCCTGTGGGATGAAGGATCACAACTGCATCAACTGAGATTCGTTCATGCCTTAGCCCTCGCCATGCGCTTGCTCATGAAGTCGAAGAACGCGAACTGGCTTGCAGAAATGCCGTACGTGTAAATAAAGCGACTAGCAAGATAGCTCCCGAAGATCGCGCGTAGATAGTTGTCAGGCACCTAGACTAGTTAGCAGCGACTCCTATATTGAGATGATATAACTTACTCTCTCCATAATCTTGTCCAGGCCAATCTGTTCGAGCAGCAGGCTAGGCAAGGCCTCGCTCAACGTGGACCTCCTGAAGCCAATGTTGTCCCACAGATCTGTGTTCTGCAACTCTTCTTGCATCTTAGTGATTGCAATGCTCAGCGTATCACTCAACGTGCTCCGAGGCTCGCCAGTTGTTTGGTGTTCCCTCCAGATAGCCTCAAATTCAAGTCTGGCGTTGTTCTGGATGATCGACTGCACCTGCTTGACGTACTTGTTGTAGAACTCTGGGGCAGTTCCGTCTTCTCGAATGCACATGTGCTCAATGAAGCCCGCGTCGTCGAAGGAGAGGGACGCAAGGACTTCTAGAGAAGAAGATGTGACACCTCCCTTGTTGGCAGAAGCATCCTTATACAAGATGCAGCCAGCCTTCTCCAAGCGAAGCTTAGCATCTTGGGTGATGAAGAGATTGGCGCCCTCGACGATGTACGGGATCACCGACTTGCCGTCAACGATGAGCTTGCTGGCAGTAGTGAGATCGATCGACTCAGGCCGACCGCCGCAGGGCACGAAGGTATCATAGTGATGTCCGCCACGAAGGTGGAAGGTGTTGCGGAAGGTCGTACCGTTGTAGACCAATTCGCCACTCGGGAGCCTGACGTTGTTCTCGTCCACGAGTACGCGGTAACCTTCCGGCGAGAGTTTCGATGTGTCGAACTTGTTGATCATCACTCTGGCCTTGGCTAGCCGAATGAGCTCGTCGTGGTTGATACCCTGGGGGTCAACGAGGACCCCTGAGCCATCTACGATAGCGATGTACTTCTCGTTGCTGAGCAGGATCTCATTCGAGCCAAGGTCGCCATCAGGGCCACCCGTCTGCAGCTTCTTGACCTTGCTGGGGTCAAGGTTCAACTTGCGGTAGATACCCTTGACAAATTCGCGAACGGACAAGGTTGTCATGCCATATCGGTCGTGTGGGATGCCCCCCAGCCTGGGACTCTTGCCTGTGAAGAACGACTTCCACCATGGTGCTCCGCGGCCTCTGGCATGCTCAGTCGCCCAGTCCACGAGGTCAGCAGTGTTCTCGTCAGGACCCATAAACAGGATTTCTTCTTTCCCGTACAGATCTACGATCGGGTCCTTGATTCCCGGACTGCTGGGCGGGAGCAGGAGGTCGAGGATACTGTCAATATACTTCTCGAACGCCACCCTGGCCTTATCCTGGTGACGGTAATCAAGCAGGACAACGCCCTTTGATCCACCTTCGGGAATGTCCTTGTTCTTGCGCTGCTGAGTGTTGGCAAGATTGTAGTTCTCGTCGAACAGTGATCGCGCATTGATGGCATAGGCTTCCTGGCTCCTCGATTTCACAATGCGAATACCGCCACGAGCGATGTCCCGGAAGCGGAGGTGGAATCCGCGGAATTCGGAACTGATCACGAGGAACATGCCGTACAAGGGCTGAGGGTATTCAGACGGAGGTAGGAAGTTCGGGTTCATTCGGAAGCTCAAGGCGACCTTCGTCGGGGTATAGAAATTGGTCTTGAGGACGCAGCTATTGAAGATGCGGAACGAGCTCATCACCATCTGATGGTGGTCGTTGACGACGGTCTTGTTGACGGTATCATTCAGTTCCTCATCGCTGAGAACCTTGTCAACCTGAAGACGGAGGAAACTCAGGGTTGGAAGGAAGTCATCCTGCTCTCCCCTCGTTTGGACATAGTGTGTGTTCGCAAAGTTGAGATACAGGCTGTGGATCAGATCGGGGTACGAGTTTATGATCTCGAGTATGTAATCCGCGGTGAATGTCTCCGTGCGCAGCCTGCGCTTCAGCTTGGACAGAAGCTCTGCGTGTGCGCTGTTCTCGGGGTCGAGTAGAGCGGCCAAAGCGTTATACTCGTTCCCAAGACGATTGAGGAAGTGCGAGACGAAGACCCAGACGCAGTGCGCGTAGATAGTCTCCTGAAGGCTTAGACGGCCCGAGGCAAAGTGGGCCTGGAACTTGTTCTGTGGAATGCAGTACAACAGGGAAATCTCCTTGATGATCTGATGAATAGAGGCTTCAATGGGCGGGTGCTTAGAGCCCGCTGCTCCCGGGATTTGCTTGAGGTACAGAGACATTGCTGTGTACCCGTTGGAGAATTGTTCCACATATTTGCGCGACGTGGTCAAACCGTAGTAGTGGTAGAGGTCACTCAAGGCACTGAACAGCCCCATGGCGGATCCCTGTTTGTACGCTACGACCAGACGCTTGTCGCGCGAGCCTTCGATATCGAAGTACTCAATGACCGGGCCCGTCCGTTCCACAGCGACTTCCAGAGCTTCCTGGTAAATGCGCTTCGTGTTCTTCGTCGCCTTCTGGAGGAAGCGCTTGTCTCCAACTTTCTCGATGTTGGTTTCGGTCGCGCCAGGCTTTGGGTCCGCGAAGTCACACTCGTATACGAAGTAGCATCGCAGTTGCTGCTCTTCGCTTCCCGGCAGAGGACTAGCAGAGCGGAAGCTCTCCACGCGGTAGCCGAGGGCGCCTTTCGATCCATTCAGGTACTTCTCGTCAATGCGCTGCTCGTATTGCGGTCCTTGTACCACAGAAATGCCAGGCTTGCTAGTATCAATGTACACGGCATGGTCCGTAGCCTCCTTGTCCAGCCGGATCTCCAGGCGCTTATCGTCGCGGGCGTACGCTGCCACCTTGGCGGCATAGAGGGAGTGGATGTGGTTCACAATCCTGGCGCGTGTTAGTTCTCCAGCCATTGGCTCATGTTGACAAGACCTACGCCTCAACTGTCTCGGTGGCAAAGTACATGTCGTCAATGCCCAGCTCATTGTAGAACCACGTCGTCTCGGATTCGACGAAATCGGGAGGAATGAATCCCTTGTCCTCGACGCCATCCATGACAGCCTCCATCTGCTTCTCCTTGCCCTCAAACTTGGGGGCCACATATCCAGATCCTCCAGAGCCCTCCTGCGGGATGACGCGCGGTGTTGCATGGCCGGAGCCGGGAACACTCAAATGCGTCGGCAAGGGCGAGGGACGACGGTCGGGCGTCCGAATGACGGGATCGAGCAGTTTGCTGTGGACCGGAAGGGCTCCATTGACTGGCGTGGAAGACATGTCGTATGATCTCAGAATGTGCGGGTAGTTCGGCTTTGGTCGGCTCGAAGCGGGTGGGGGAAGGCTGTGAGAGCAATTGAGACTCTACGGGGTTTTCTTTGCTCGGTATAGGGATCTAGAGGGGTGGAATGACCTCGGGCAGGTGGGCGTTTAAAGCGCGGGGACGGAGAAGGTACGGAGGAGGGGTATGTCACTGGCCAGTAGGCCAAGAACTTGGACTTGGTGAGCGAGCGGAGGGGCCTGGCAGCTGAATTAGAGAATTGCAAGCCTGGAGGGGGTCAATGGCAGTAAAACGCTCTCGGCGACTATTATATGAGGCTCCCCGGCACATGTGCCTCCTCCTGTAAGGCACGCCTTTTTTAGAATATGACGCAGCTAGCTCACCTTAGCAGGGAAGTCCACCGAGGCGGGACAATGAAGGCCGGCGAGGTCTGGTGCAGGATAAGGCACTGGCTCGCAATTGGCCCTGTTCCACCGCTTTTTGGCGAGTGCTGACCGTCGCCCTTCAGCACAGCTCTGGGATCCAGCGCCGCTCAGATGCCTGGGCCGGTGTGACGCCACAATCGGAGGTTCAGGTGAAACGGTGGCACGGTGGCACGGTGGCACGAAGATAAGAGCGGGCCAGAGATAAGGCAGAGCGAGAACGAAGGGATGGCGGCGGCGGCGTCATTTTATAGCCGCTGAGAGGCAGCGCGTACCTGACGACGCGACCCGCTGGAAGCCGAGCGCGCAGTTTCCCCAGACGAATGGCGAGCCGCTAGCGCCATGCAGCCCATCGTGAAGGCTTGGGACTTCACGTAATAATTAACGGCCCGCCAAGCGAATGACCTGGAAAACTCCAGGAAGCACGCCCGTCCAGCGCAGACTTTTCGCAGAATGACCCAAGGCCAGCGTCAGATTGCTAATGCTCCTGCAGCCGGCGACGACCGGTGATTGCGCAATCCGCTGATTCGTGGTCGCCTGCGCTGGGAGGAGCCGCCAGCTCAACCCTCTCCTCACCGTGCGACCGCTCCTCCGCAGTTCACGATCCTTGGCGCTTCCAGAGGCCAGACGTCGCCGCTTACCGTACGTGTCCTTTCAGCAGTGGATGCCGGGCCCACGTGCGCAGTGCCCGACGAGAATAGCCCACCATAGTCCGGGCGAGCAGAGTCATTCAGCAGGTCACGATGCAACGGCGCGGGACCGTAGCGAGCTTCCGCTGCGGCAACAATGGACCTTGCAGGTCACGATGTCTGCCCCTGAATGCCACAGTGCTTGTGCGGCGTGCGAGCACTGGAATGCATTGCGTACGCTCATTTCGGGGCTCACGAACCTCGCCACTCTGGACGCCATGAAAGAGCAAACCCTCCATTCCAGTCGTCATGGGTTACAGCAAACCGACAGAGATTGAGACGAGGAGTATGCATTCATTCTCAAGAGCGAGAAGAGACGCTAAGTCCCAGCGCTCTACGGGATCTCACCCCTCGTCTTCAATCACTACCTCGATAGTCTTTCCCGTTCACAGTCAACATAACTTTATACCCCGTTCCGCCCACCCAATGTTTCTTCTTGCCCGCTTTCTCTACCTTTCTCAACGCGTTATCGAGTCTCTCATCAAGTTCGTCGATCGCCTGCGCGAAGGCGAAGTCGATGCACAGCTTTTCGATTCCTTTCCCTGTCATCGTCCAGCCGACTTTTACCTTCAGCCTCTCCTCTCTGACCACTCCAGCCGGATACACGCTGGCTACCACGGAAGCGACGCGTCCTAGATACATGCACCACCATGCTAAGCCGTCCGGAAGCAGCTGGATCATCCGCTGGTAGAAGTCCTGCTCGGTAGGACTGATGGAGTCGAAGCCGCCGTATCGTTCGCAGAGCAGAATCGCTAGAAGAGCACGTTGCTCATGGCTAATCCCATGGGCAGCTGCGAAGAAGCCTGTCGTGGTACTTCTGAGCGCTGCGCCAGCACAAAGATCTTTTGGGAAAGCAGCGTGGACGTAGAGCGCCTGCACGAAGGCCGTAACCAGCGCGGCATGGAACAGCATCCTCCGATGCGCAGAGGGTGGCGGCTCGACTGCTGTCTTCAGGAGGTCAACCAGCTCTCGCACCGACTCCCTCGCATACGGCTTCGTCGCTACAACGAGCGGATCCTCTCTCCTGTGTCCTGCATCCATCTCGGCAAAGTGCATTCCCTCCCTTACACCACCCTGGCAAAAATAGACGTTCGTGATACTCGGCAGGGCTTGCGCTAAGCAGTCGACCAGGAATGCTACCGCGGGGACCTGGCTCGCGCGCCGCTGCGATACGCGGAAGATATCTGGTGTGTCCTCGTTTTTGACAGCTGCCTGTACCGCGTGTGTATCGTGGAACACGTCCCTCGTAACGCGGAACCCATTTATTATCGGTATCGGGTATGGCTGTATGCTGTGTTCTGACATTAGAACAAAGCCCCATCCGCGGAAGCCACCGCCTGATAGGTACAACGACAGACCCTCTTCTCGGTGGAGAAGCTCTTTGGGGACGCCGATCTGCTTTACCGCGGCTTTTAGGTCATTTACCACCTCTTTCTCGACTGTACTGAATCCGTGACTTCCCGGCGGGCCTGCGGGCTCTATCCGCTTGATCACAGCGGCAGCACCGTAGGGTAAGCTGACACTCCCCCCTTCGTACATTTTCACCTCGCCATCATCCCCAGTCATCACCCATGTGATCTGGGTGCTCCCACCCCCTAAGTCCATGACCAGCCCCCTGACCTCCCCGTAACTGCTTGCGACCCCATACGCCCCCACCCTGCCTTCTACCTCCTTTGGCAGCAACTGCGCCTTCCATCCCGTCTTTTCCTCAATCTGCCTCCTAAAGTCTTCGGAGTTGACAGCTTTACGCGTAGCCTCGGTGGCCACGACGCGGATCTGGTGGTCTGGTACGCCAAAATCGCGGCATGTGGATTTAAACCGCAATAGGGAGTTGAGGACCTTCACGATGGTGGATGCAGGAATGGGGCTGGGCGTGGTAGATGATGGCGTGTACTGCGCGTCGTAGAGGGATATTGCTGCGCGGGAGAGATAGACTGTGGGGAGGATCCGGGCTGATTGAGGCGAGAGGTCGGTGATGGAGAAGCGGATGCCGTTACTGAGGATTGAGTCAGTCCCGTTTTGAGTAGGTAGTACGTACTGTAGGCTGAAGTCCTTCACGGCGTCACGCATAGTCCATCTGGCGCTGCAACGCCTACTGAAGCCAGCCACGACCATTTTTCACGAGAACAAAATAGAACACTCAATCATACCTTCCCATATCCACCAACCCATGATAACACTGCGCCTTCTCTCGGTCTGCCATATTCGTCGCCGCCCAGACTTTTCGACGGCTGTTCCGATCCGTCGTTCAGTTCGGAATCCGCTCGGAAGCAATGCGCAAACACCCAAGAGTGAGCACCCCGATGGCGCGATAAGTCGTGCTTACACCGTTCAACGGTTTGCCCCGTAAAGGAAGGATGGCCAATTTCTCTTACCCCCTCGCAACTGCCACGATGGGGTTTCTGTTACCCTGCAATTACCTAAAATCGCGCTTTTTGTGAGAGGGAATCGGGAGAGAGGGTAAGCTGCATGACGTTGGGCAGCTAGCTGCGGGCGAGAAAACTTGGACGCTAGTAGTGGGTTGAGTGTCCAATCAGCGGTATGGGAGTTCTTCACGAGACTATTCGATGCCCCGGCTAGATTGCTGCGTGGCTAGTGAGGTCACTTAGACCCTTTTTCTGGGCGCGAAATGTTTGCTGAGGAAGGAAGGGGTGTTTGTATTCTTCTATCTTTCGACTCTCGGCTGCGCGACTGGTCGCGACGGACGCAGCATTTGATAGCAGGATTTGAGGAAATTCCTCTCCCAGATGAAAACGTGGACGATGAAGACTGCAACCACTGCTCCAATGCTGACCAGCTCTCCCAGCACGCCATGTTTCGCCAGATACTCCTCCGCTGGCCGCACCTTCAGCAGGTATGGGATGAAGGGTGCCGATGCTAGTGTCGTGACGGATGGCAACGTCTCCCAAACACTGAACTCCAGTCCTCTCCTCTTGAAGAAACCCTTGATAAACCAGGTATTCCATGTTATCCTCAGTCCCATATTCACCGTATTGGCCGCTACAACTCCACTGCCGCCCCAGCCTAGCTGCCCGATGAAGAACCACGCGCTGCCGGCAAAGAAAGCAAAGAAGACGCCCATGCAGATGGATTGCGTGTACAGCTCCTTGTTTGTAGCTACGGCGGCCACGAAGGCTTCGGTCACCCCGTTGATGGCGAGGAAGGGGATGTAGTAGCAGTACGTGGACAGGACTTCTGAGGCGGATGTTGCGGACCATTTCCTACCGGCTACGATGGAGAGGAGGAGCGGCGCGAGAGTTGGGCCAAAGGTGACGGCGAAGAGGGATATGATGGAGTAGAGCCGGAGAATAGTCGTAAGGATCTTGGAGGCTTGCCCTAGGCTCTGCTTCTGGTTCTTGACATCCTCTTCCGTCGTATTTGCGGCTTGGAGGTCCGAGAGAGGTCTGCTGTCGGCGCAGAGCTTGGCGAAGAGATTCCGGCTGCTCTCTTCGATAGGCTGGAAGAGCATTCGCGCGATGAGGCCACCATAGTTGGATGCGAGGGCATAGGCACCTTGATCTGCGAGAGAGGCAAGGCTCGTGACGAGGAGGGAGTCCCCTTGGGTCAAGACGTACTTCAGAGTGGATTGGACGGTCAGAGAGGCTGTGAGACGGAGCAGAGGTGCTGAGAAATGATTGAGGATGACTGGCGTCTCTCTTGTCGATGGAATCTGCTTCAGCAGGAGCGAGAAGTGTCCCGCTTTGGTCACTGGCCACATCTTGTACGTATACACGATTAGAAGTGCGAAAGCGTACGCCAGCTGACCAATTGCAAACGGCAGGACTCCGATGTCGACGCCATATTTGCTTGCCAAAATTGCAGACCCGCACGTCCCAAAGCAGCGTAGCAGGGTCGCAGTACTTTCAGCTGAAGCGCGTATCTTGTACAGCAACTTCTGCTGCACGGCTGAAAAAGCAGGCTCCGTCAGAAGCTCGACAAACGTAGCTAGACAGTACAAGCTCAGGGCATCAACGAAATAGGGGACATCGGGGGTCTCTGACGAAAGCCATAAAAGGGCCAGACCGTAAATCAAAGGTACGCCGAAAAAGACCCCAAGATAGGAAAGATTGACGACAGCCTGGGTGCCATGAGCCTGCCGCTGCAGCGCGACTCGCAGGCTCTCTCGTGCAAAGTAAAGCACAGAAATAGAAAAGAGCTCCAGCTGGGCTGAAACACCCAGCAATTCCGGCGACAAGAACCTCAACAAGACCTGGTTGACGGCGAAAGTGAGCGCTCGCGAGCCGACTTGCAGGAGGATAAGAAAAGTGGCACCTTTGGCCGATGCGGAAAGAATAGAATTCGAGGACATGACAGGCGGTGAGTTTCAGCCCGCAGCGAAGCGGCCTATCGAGGAGGACTTTATCCAAGAGCTGTTTAAGCAGGCATGGCGTTACGGGGGGCGGCGGGTGAGTTTGCGCGGTTGAGGAGAGCCCTGGAGCTGTGGTGCGAGGTGGAGGGTCGGTGTCTGGATGAGGCTAGCCGGTTTCCTCGAGCAAGGATCACCAGCAGGAGGCTTGCGATACGTCCTGACTCTTAAACCAGCCGTTCACACCGCAACATGGCCGCTCACTCCTTTGCATTTCTGAGAGCCGGCGAGGATGGTGGTTGTCGATCCGAAGATTACGGCTAGGACGGAGCGGCTGCTCATTCGGCCGCTGGTGATGGAGGACGCGGAAGACATTGTGCTCATGCGGCGCCATCCGGAGGTCATGAAGCATACGTGAGTGCTCTGAACATCTTAATTGCATGTCTGACTTGTCAATAGGCCGCTCCTACCCTCCTCCGATGTCGACAAGTCAAGAGACTGGATCCAAGGCTGCCACGACCGCGCCAATTGCTGGAACTTCGTCGTCGAGCTTCTGCCCCCTGAAACCGAGAATCCTCGCACCCGACCGCGCGTTATTGGTCTTATTGGAGCCGTGCGTGCTCCAGAGGTGGGATACATGTTCAACAACGACTATTGGGGAGCTGGCTATGCGACTGAAGCCCTCCGCGCATTCATGCCGCTCTTCTTCGACCACTTTAGTGGAGGAGAGCAGGAAAGGTTCGAATACGCGGAAGCACTTACGGATCCGGAGCTGGTTGCGAGCCAGAACGTACTCCAGAAAGCGGGCTTCCAGCTGCATGAGCGTAGAGAGAAAGACTTCGAAAATCCCGTGCTTGGTTGGAGGGACACATTGGTATACCGAATGTACCGCTCGGATGCTAGCTGTGGTACCTCTGTTGAGGTGCCGTAGGGCACGCTCTATACACGGGCAGTCGACACCAAACAAGCAACAGCTTCGAAGGGCAGCGACGCGCGGCAATCGGGCGTCAAGTGATGCCGGATTCCGAAGGCGCTTGCGCCGCTCGTGTGGCTCAAGGGCTGCGCACGTTTGGGACGATCCGTTATCGACCGCTTCAAGTTCTTTCGAATTGCTGCCTATACCAGTAAGAGTCACCCAATGCAGGTACCATCCGCCTTGACCCTTCTTTCTCGCTTTCCGGCTTCCGCCCTTTTGCATGTCATGCGTCATTGTGGCCTTCGATACACCAAACAGGCGTTCCTTGGATCTTCGGTTCCAGTATTGCTCATCTGACCCTTCCATGTCTCAAAACAGCGGAGGACGTCAAGCCGGGCTTTCCGAAGCTTCTTGGCCGCAATGCCTGCCCATCACTCCCGCCCAATATCTCCGCTCAAACAGTTCGAATGCTTACTAGAGAATATTCTATCTCGCTCGGTTATCTTCTCCATCTTACCGTCGATCCTCCGCTCTTATTACCACGTGGTCACTTGAGCCTCATTGCGCGAGGGCTTGTGGAGGCTTACATCAGCTCCAGGCTGAAATCCGCTGACCTCCATCTTCAAACACACCGAAGGCGCAGCAGCCTCGCCCTATCCTATTGGCCAGCATAAACAACATTACAGCCCCCATTTCCCTCTGCGTATGTTACGTTCCGTGCATCTCTTCCGCAGGGCGCTTGGTGTGGTGTATGTCGTTTCTAATTTGGCGCTGGGAAGTACTGTGCCTCCATCGTAGTGCAGAGCGTTACCTGAAGCGTTGGTTCAGGCGACCCAAAAGAAGGCGCCTAGTCTGCCTTTGGCGTCGATCCTGGCGGGGTGCATACACACCATCATTGTGTAAACGCGAGAGTGGCGCTGGCCATGTATAGGTTTATGATGCGATATAAGGCCAACTGACCTGTGCGTCTTCTCGAGGGCAGAACCCTAACTCCCCTGAGTACACTACGCTACACACTACGTCACCTTGTACAACCTCGTCTCCGCCTAACTAGGCAACATCTCTTTCTTTCTTCACAGAGTGGCTTGTACCCCTCTGATTCATCAAAAGGCCCCATTGCCTTCCACACCGCCACTGTCACCACGCCTTTACCACGGTACGACATCCCAGTATCGTTACACTTGCGGGAGGCCTTCAGGAGCATTTATACCGCAGGAAGCAGCCCTGCACACAACGACTTGACAACAAACAGTTCGCCTGACGTTTCAAGCCAAGGTACCCACCCGTTTGCTACTCTCTGGGTTACGACCGAGGACGACGATCATTTTGCAAAGACCCTGGGATCTGCCGCTGGCCAAAAGGATTAGCCTAGCTACGCAACGCCCCTCGCATTCGCGAGACTTGGTGATACGTGGATAGCAGCCGCCATGGAGCTTTCAAACACCGAAACTAACCCGCACGCGCCGTTGCGCCTACTATCCCTCGATGGCGGAGGCGTGCGGGGACTATCTTCGCTGATGGTCCTCGACGATCTCATGGAGAACATTGCACAAGAAGAGAAGAGACTGGGAAGACGGCGGCCAAATGACACTACTCCCCTCAAGCCATGTGACTACTTTGACCTGATTGGCGGCACGAGCACGGGTGGCATCATCGCCATCTTGCTCTCGCGGCTGAGGCTTGACTGCAAGCAGTGCATCGGAATATACACAAAGTTAGCGGAGCAGATCTTCAAGCACGATAAGTCCATCAAGTTGTTCGGAACCAAAGTTCCCACTGGGTCAACGAGGTTCTCAGGTGTGGTTCTTGAGAGGGCTATCAAGGTATGTACATCCTCTGAAGGCCTTCGGGCTCGATTTTCTAAAGGCAGAACAATGGCTAACTTCTCGTAGTCAGCCATCACCGAGCTCGGGTACAGCGAAGATGAACTCATGTGGGACGACTCCCTCTTCGAAGAGCTCCCAGAGACCGACCTCCCCCGCGATAGCATATGGTCCGATGCCGCACCAGCGCCAGAAGTTCTCACCGAGAGCCCAGTGGCAACGCTCAAGGGAGCGGAAGGCGCACTACCAAAGAGCAACGGATCAGCAGCACCAAGCAGCAACATCGCCGACGAGCAGCGGCCAGCACCACACAAGGACGACCCCTTCGCCGACCCTAAGCCAGCTAGGAGAGATACTTGGAAACTCCATCCCCGACTGAGCGTCCACAAGAAGAAGAATGCAAGAGGCTGCCGCGGGTTTGTGCTCACTTCTCTCAAGAACGCGCTAGGACTACCCAGAATCCTATCAACCTATGACCCCAACGACCGGACGACTCGCATCTGGGAAGCTCTTCGCGCAACCTCAGCAGCGCCAACTTTCTTTGAGGAAATGCAGTTCGGAACCCCTAAAGTTACGTATCTCGACGGCGGCGTGGGCTTCAACAACCCCTGCGCAGAAGTCGACTACGCAGCGAAAGCGCTCTGGGAAGGCCGCTCCATTGGCGTCATAGTGTCAGTCGGCACTGGTCTCCAGTCCATTCCGTCCGTCCGCAAAATGGCGTCGTGGCTGCCCTTTGGTCTTGGGACTGACATCTCACTGGCCTCTGCTCTCGCGGGGATGGCAACCAGCACTGCGCGCGTCGACAACGAGATGAAGCGCATGTACTACAACACATCTACAAAGTATTACCGCTTCGACGTGGACCGCGGCCTCGCGAACGTCAGCCTCGAGCAGTGGATGAAGGAAGATGAAATGGCAGCGCTCACAGAGCAATACATGCGTGATGCAAAGCAACTGCGCACAGCCCGCCAATTCGGCGAGATCATGGCGAAACTCTCCGCTCTCCCACCGAAATTCGAAATCGGTGCCACACACTTCCGCGTCGGCATAGATGGCCGGGGGCTATTGGATCAATCCTTCCAGCTCGTGCAAGTCGACTTCAAGACCGGAATGCCTTTGGGTGTCGTCTCACACCTGGAAGACCTACCACGCATGAGCCAATTCCGCACCTCCTCGCCGTCCGGCGAAGGCGGCCTAGCCGTCGACGAGTCCGGCAAGCTGAAGAAAATCTACCCAGTTGCAGAGGATCTAGACCACGACGGACGCCGCGAAGAAGCAGCTGTGTACCAGTGCATGCGCGCAGACAACATCTGTCTGCGCACGATCAAAACCGGCATACCGCAAGGTCGGTACCGCGTTCAATTCATCGCCTCGTTTCAAAACAGCAAGTACACGCCGCCACACGACCTCGTGTTCTCAGTCGGCAAGCCGTTCGACAAGGAAACCTTCGCACAGCGGTTCGTCGATGTGAAGATCACGCCCGACTTTGTTCCGTGCCTCCTGCACCCTGACGCTGTGCGCGTACGCGTAGGGAAGAATCGGTATGCGGAGCACAAGGGGAAAGGGTGGCTTGAGATCCAAGGGGATGTTGAAGTGAGCGTGGGGCTGGATGGCGCGCTCGGCTTTATTGTGAGTAAGAAGTACGAGGAGGATGTTTTTGTGGATGGGTGGAGTTTTGGGGGCGTGAGACTAGAGCCCATTTTTGCGAAGGCGGGAGAGACGAGGACGAAGAGCTAGATTTGAGTGGGGAAGGCGTGGTCCGAGAGAGCGGATGTTAGCATTCGGAAGGCGCTCATGGAACGTGAAACTGCTGGATGTTAATACTCCGGCATGGGATACCCAAATTTGGTCTTTCGAGAGGTTGGATTGACGTTGGGCGAGCGGCGTCTGTACCAATATTAGATTACTAATTGCTGTCATAATAGTTATGGTTCCGTTTGATTCATATGGTATTTTCTCTCATTACCTAGAGTGGGTATCATGATGCCTTCTTCTGTGGTGGATTCCAATAGCGGCCACTCGAAAAACGCCCACAAATGCAACAAGCACCAGCCTTACCCAAAACTCCGCAAATGCAACGCATGATGCTCTCTATCCCTCCATGACTGACTCCAGATACTCGTCTTTCGGCTCCTTGGGCTCTTGGGCCTCATGGAACTGAATCGCGTCGTCGATGTAGCTCAGCACTGCGCCAACGCTGTCCTCGTCCTGCACGTCTAGCTTGAGGAAAGAAACCATGCTGAAGTCGTCGATGAGCTGCGCTACTGCCTTGTTAAGCTTGTGGAAGGATGATCCGCTCATGAGGCTCTTTGTCGACGCTGGATCTTCGTATCCTTTCTTTTCCTCTTCTTCATCTTCTTTCCTCCTTGACGGGTCGTCGTCTAGCAGTTCCACGTCGGCGTTGACGAATCGCTTCAGATCCCGCTTCGCAACCTGTCCTTTTATAAGATCCATTTTACTCAGTATGTTGACGTGCGGCATCTCCAGCATCATCATAGCGCTCATCGCGGACAGCGTCCCGGAGAAGAACTTCGGCCGGTCGATGACGAAGGTAGCCTCGAGCAGGTATGCGGCGCACATGTTGATGTTCAGCGACCCGCGCATGAGCGTTCGCACAAGGTCTGGGAGGATCGGAACGTGGGTATACAGCTCGATCTGCCCGGGCATATCGAAGATGATCAGGTACTCGTCGGTGACTTCTTCCAGCGGATCGGTCAGGAAGTCGAGATTCTCCATCAGGAACTCGAAGCAGTATATCAGGCCGCCATTCGGGCCCAGGCTCATCTCTTCCATGACATCTTCGAGGCTTATCAGGTCCTTGATGTCGAGATCGGGCTCGAAGGAGAAGTCTTCGGCGGCGGGGTCGAGGTTGACGTAGAAGCATGGGCGCTTGTTGCTCTGGAGGTGCTGGATGAGGGCGGTGCAGAAGGTGGACTTGCCAGCCCCGGCAGGTCCCTGAGCACATTAGCCATCAGTCCACGGGAAGGCGGCATTTATCCGCACCATAACCAGCGTCCCGAACTTGCTCATGGCGGCCGCTGCGATGCGTCGGTGTTGAGAACTTTTCGGAGCAGGCTGCGGCGCGACGTTTTCTGCCCCGTCGGGGTCGGGCGGTGAAGCCCACGGTGGGGACGCGCGCTGATTGGCTGTTCGGAAGGCGGTGAATTGCGTGCTAGCCGCCTGCGACGTCGGGGCGCTCATTGCGGGCGACCGTGAGGCCTGTTTTTTCGGCAATTCGCGCTTGCCCTGAAAGGACTCCTAAAACTCTCCGCTTTATAACCGGCTCCGTCTGCTCCCCTCCAAAGTCTCCATCGCACTCCGCCTCCCCCTCCTTCCTTCTATTACCTCACCACTCCTCCCACGCGGTCGAAAGTCCTAAACTACACTCTTGACACCCGTCTCCTCTCGCAACAATGACTGCCACCAACGGTATCAACCCCAGCTACACCAAGGTACATTGCGAAATGCCCAATGCGACCCCGCCTTGATTCTTATTACTGTTCAGGGAACCTTCCTCTTCACATCCGAGTCGGTCGGTGAGGGACACCCGGACAAGATTTGGTAAGTTCCCCGCATGCTCCTCTATATCCCACGACCTGCAGCGTCGAAAATTTGCACAATGGTCCCAGCACCGCGGGTATTCGTATCCGGGGAGCGATTTCTCACAGCCAGAGTCGCAAATACAGGTATCCCGAAGATTTTTGCTAACCTCCGCCCTCAGCGATCAAGTCTCCGACGCCATCCTCGATGCCTGCCTCAGGGAGGACCCGCTCTCCAAGGTCGCTTGTGAGACGGCCGCTAAGACTGGCATGATCATGGTCTTTGGCGAGATCACCACCAAGGCCCACCTCGACTACCAGAAGATCATCCGCAATGCCATCAAAGACATCGGCTATGACCACTCCGAGAAGGGCTTCGACTACAAGACCTGCAACGTCCTTGTCGCCATCGAGCAGCAGTCGCCCGATATTGCCCAGGGTCTTCATTACGATGAGGCCATGGAGAAGCTTGGTGCCGGTGATCAGGGCATCATGTTCGGATATGCCACTGACGAGACTCCGGAGCTGCTGCCCTTGACCATCCTGCTGTCGCACAAGCTCAACCACGCCATGAAGGAGGCCCGCAACGACGGCAGCCTCCCGTGGCTGCGCCCCGACACCAAGACCCAGGTCACGGTCGAGTATGCCCACGATGGTGGCGCTGTTGTACCTCTCCGCGTAGATACCGTCGTCGTCTCGGCCCAGCACAGCGAGGATATCTCCACCGAGGAGCTCCGAAAGGAGATAAAGGAGAAGATCATCAAGAAGGTTATTCCGGCCAAGTACCTGGATGACAGGACCGTCTACCACATCCAGCCATCCGGTCTCTTCATCATCGGTGGTCCCCAGGGTGATGCCGGCCTCACCGGCCGCAAGATCATTGTTGATACCTATGGAGGGTGGGGAGCCCACGGCGGAGGTGCTTTCTCCGGCAAGGACTACTCCAAGGTTGACCGCTCCGCTGCCTACCTTGCGCGCTGGATCGCCAAGTCGCTCGTTAACGCCGGGCTGGCCCGTCGCGCCCTCGTTCAGCTGTCCTACGCCATTGGCGTAGCTGAGCCCCTTTCGCTTTTCGTTGAGACCTACGGCACCTCTAACAAGACCTCCGAAGAGCTCGTCGAAATCATCAAGAAGAACTTCGACTTGCGCCCGGGTGTCATCGTCAAGGAGCTGAACCTCACGAACCCCATCTACTGCCAGACGGCCAAGAACGGCCACTTCACCAACCAGGGTACGTCATGTGAAATCCAATCATTGAACGCAACCGCTAACCGGTACAGACTTCACTTGGGAAAAGCCCAAGACGCTGAAGTTCTAATTGTATGATTATGTTTAATGCATGCGTGGATTGAATCAACTTCATCCGCGAGGTCAAGATTTCACGATGATATGAATGCATATCCTTGCGGGACAAAAGTCTTTCAACAAGTTCGGCGTCGGGAAGGGATACCCCTTTATACTTCATGTCTTTCAAGAGCTTTTCTGCATTCATCTGCTGGAAAGGCTTTTCCCGAGTCATTGCAACATAGACACATGTGCTTCGCGACGAGCACAATTTTCGAAGATTCAACATTGGACCTCGACGTACGTGCTCTTTGAGCGCTTGGGTTATGGTGGTAGTATAGCGGTGGATGGGGGTTCAGGAGAATAGCAGTCCTCGTCCTGGTCGTGTATAATGCCACGATCTGGATGGGGTAATCTATTGTTCGCCTCGCTGCGCTCATTCCAGCGCAAGCAAGTGACTGTGCCACATGGAGACGGCCTAAGCTGGAGAACTCTTAAGGTCCATAACGAGGTCCGCAGCTTGACTCCTCGACCCGGAAGTAAACTGCGGAAATACCCCGCACAGCCACCCACTTACAGGGGTCCTCAGCCTTTCCCGCGGCAGACTGAGACCTCAGGCGCCCAATGACCTGTATTCCGAGATCCAAGACCCACATCTAACACTTCAACCTGTTCGACGATAATGCCTTCTCAGTCCTCAGGACTCAAATTCTGAAGCTTTTGCGAAGTTTTCAAAGCTTGAGCGCGTGATACCACCGAAGAGGCGAAGCACATGCCACTACTTTGCCCACGTCATCGACCATCATCGAAAGCAACGCCACAGCGTCTTGATCGGCAAGTACCCAGGTAAGGCGCAGCTCATGTCTTAAATACCAACGTCGCAATAACCGTAGCTCGGCTTCCTGAAACCTTACACTTCGCAGCAGTCTCGCGTCGCCTTTGTTCCGTCAGGAAATATCATCTTTCGACTGCGCTCCACATTCACGTTCCACAAAAGAGTCGACGTTCTCTCACGAGAGAGTCTACCATGTCTACAACATATCCACCGGACACCGCCCCTCCTTCGTATGAAGCCGCCACAGGTTCCGCTTCAACACCAACACGCGTATCTACGGACGGACCTGCCGAACAAACCGCCCGCAATGGAATACCACCGGAACGGCGTCGCTCTATGGAAGACGAGAACCGCCCGCTGCCTCCTGGCTGGATCCGACAATTTGACCCTGTAGAGGGGCACCAGTTTTTCGTGGATACAAAGGCGAATCCCCCGCGATCTATATGGGTCCATCCGTACGATGACCCGGAGTACTTGTCGACGTTGTCGCCCCAGGAGAGAAAACTGCATGCTCGAATGCACAGAAGCATGACTCTCGAAGACCTCACTGCGGAGAGCTCCGACGACGAGACAGGAGACCACCATCCCCGCCGCAAAGCCGCCGCTGGATCCAGCAACGACCCTCAGCCAACCGGCATCCACAAGTTCACTCGGAAAATGAAAGACAAGCTCACGGGTACCACGCACGAACAGCGCGCCACTCACCGCATCCAGCGCGAGGAGCAAGAACGTCGCGCTTACATCGCGCACTTGCGGGCTCGCCAGGCCATGGTACGCGCTCTAGAAACTGGACAGCCGCAGTTCCTGTGCAAAGATGCTCAGGGACGCGACGTGTACATCGAGCCGCCAAGCGGGCCCGCAATCCCACGGGGCGCGTATGGGTACAATCCGTATGCCCAGGGCCCGTATGCGGATCCCAACGCGCGGTTTGTAAGGCCGATGGGGCCATACGGCCGGCCGTATGGTCGTGGCTATGGCGGTGGTTTGGGGGCTCCAGTCGCGGCCGGGTTTCTGGGTGGTGCGGTGTTGGGCGGTCTCTTGTTCTAGGCTATGTACAAGCGATTGAACGGTGAAGGGAATCCACCGGAGAATGGACTCAGTGAGAGATGAGTGATGGGACGACGGGGAGCCATGAAGATAGGTTGGGGTTGAGCAAGGGATAAGGACAAACAGAGTGTAGTAAGCATTTCCTTGGTTTATTCAGCGCAGATACCATTAGCTTTACTTCCTTCATGTACAGTAGCTAATCAAGAACTTTCTTATGCACTTCTCCTCGAACGTATTCTTCCAGGCTGGCAGCTTGATATTATCACGTGGACAATAGCTGCTCGAAAGGGGAAAGGGCAGTGACAAGCGAGGCACTAACCGGCATATTAGCGTATCATCCCGCAAGCTTCCACTTGCACTCCTCAAACTTGACCTCATTTCTCTGTCGCTTACTTGTATTCGCTAAGAACGATCTCGAAGGAGCTCGGAGCCGCCTATGATTTGTAGTAAGCTGTCTACGTAAGCCAACTATTCTAACCTTCAAGCCTCGATCCAATATGAAACCGGCGACGGGTGATGATTAGGGCGGACCTGCATCAGTTTCATAGCAGGCTTAAAACTCGCCGACAAGAGCATCTACGAGGATACAGCATCAACGCCGACATTTGATAATCAGGGCTGGTCGATATCACGAGGCCTAGTCGGGGCGGTCAAATGGAGACATTCCGGAACGATTACGAGCTGAACGGCTTTTTCGATGGCACCACGGTAGCTGACGCACCGAGAAATGCTGAGTTCGCCGACTGGATTGCAGCCGGGGGCTTTTCGTTCAGCGATGAAGAGTTAGGTGCTTCTGCGGGTGATATCGTGGGCGGGGTGGGAGCGAACACAAGTACGACGCTGTGAGTTGCCCTAGCTGAGCGGCCACACGTTCTCCTTCATGATCAGTAACAGCCCGTTTTGGCACTCCGCCCTCTTCATCTTATCTGCGGTGAGAAGAGATGCGTCCGCATTCCCGACATGCCAACTTGTCAAAGCTACCCAGCCTGCCTTGGCCGCGCCTTCCTCGTCTTGCTACCGCGCTTGCTCGTGCTGACGATGTTTAGCCCACTGGCTACGACGAGCGCGTTCCTAGCGCAACATCCTGTCTTCTCCTCGGATCAAGCCGCCGAGCTCGGTAGCTCAGGTTTTCTGGCCAACGGCGTACCGCTTGAGCCTGGTGACGTCCCTTTGATGGACGTTTTGTGGCCAGAGCTCGCAGCACAAGCTTTTGCTTCCGAGCAGTGGGATGCTCCTCTTCCACTGGACGTAGCCGACAGTAGCCTCCCGCCGAGGGCTATAGTGGCTTCCGCTCCGGTTCCTTCGCTTGAAGAAGACGACGAAGACAGCGGGAGAAAGAAGAGACGACGGATCCCGCCTAATGCTAAGAAGCTTCTTGAAGAATGTTTTGAGCACCACAGAGAGGATCCTTACGTCCCGCAGGAACAAATCGAGGATTTGGCCTCCCGCACAGGCCTGTCGATTCGCCAAGTTCGCACATTCTTCGCCAACGCAAGAGCTCGAAAGCTACCCAAAGTATCCAGTCCCCAATCTCCGTCATCGCCTCGAAAGGCTTCGAAGATGGATATTCAACAAACTCAAAGCACGCAACCAGGGCCCATGGAACGCTTCCTTTCAAGCTCCCCCGAAGACGAGGGCCTCTCCGAAGACGCTGTACGAGAAGCGGCAGTATCGATGAAGCCACCTACAGACGCAAGCCCCCGAAGACACTCTAGTATAACCGACGCCAGGTCAGTCTCCGACAGTGCGCGGAGTTCAGCTTCAAGCTCTTCAGCCGCCAGCGTAGACTCCGTGAACAACCGCGGACCCCGCCGAGGCCGCAAGAGACAGCGCGAACCCACGGCGAAAATCCTCCCGTCGATTGATCGCAAACCCTCCAGCCCCTCGAGGAAATATCAGTGCACCTTCTGCACGCTGGACTTCGCGCAGAAGTACGACTGGCGGCGCCACGAAGAGTCGGTCCACTTCCCACAAAAGGAATGGGTATGCATACCAGATGGGCCCGTGGACGCTTCACGCTGCGTCTTCTGTGACGAGTTGAATCCGGATCAAAGACATTTGGACGCACATAAGGCCATCACTTGCTCGGAGACACCCCGTGCTCAGCGTGCGTTCTTACGCAAGGACAAGCTCATTCAACACATCAAGCAGGTGCATGCTTGTCCACCCCCTCAAGGAATTGGACGATGGTGTCGGCCCGTTGTGCGCAGAGTCGTCCTTCTTTGCGGTTTCTGTGGTAAGACCTTGCCGGACTGGGCGACAAGAGTCGAGTAAGTGAGCTCAATTTCCTCCGTGTAACGATCTCGCTCTAAATCCGATGGGACGGAAGCTCTAGGCAACGCAGGATTCTTTCCACCACCGCTGTCTTTCCGTTGAATTCTGATATAAGAACTTGTGGGCGGCTTTGTGCTTCATGCATCGCACTAACATGGATCAGCCACCTCGCAGACCACTTCGCAAGCGGTCTCAGTATGGAAATGTGGCTTTCGCATCGCTCAGCAGGCTTAATAGCGTCCAGCCAAAGCTGCGAAGAGTTCGCAACACCCCGCCTTGTGACCGACCCTACAGCCGATGGAGAATTCGCGTGTGATATCTGCTCTGCTCGCTTCGACCAGGAAGCCAGTGTCATCCTTCACCGGCGGCAAGGCCACAACGCCTACAGAGCAGAAGAGAAAGGCTTCGTAAGTCTATTCGCGTCCGATAAGCAGGTCTCACAGAGCGAGTACGCGGAACTCTCGACGGGGACGTCTGGGATTAAGCTCACGCTTAAGCACCATGCGACGACTGGAAGTAGTGCACCGGCTGCGCGACGCCCTGCTCAAGGAGAGATGCAACGCAGTCAGAGTGCCCTATACAGTGGGAATTTCCCCTTCGTGCTGAACTCCAATACACTCCATTCGCAGTTCGGCAAACCAACCCTGAGGATGGACCATCGAGCTGTTCACGCCGACCACAGACCGAACGCACCACCTCCCCGCACGGCACGCATACCTATATCGTCGTACTCGGGCGTGCCTACTGCGCGAGTTGGCTCGGGACAGAGTTTGGTCTCTAACCCGCATTCGGACTGGAAGTTCAATCTATACACGGAGGGTAGGAATAGCGCCCCAAGGACGGCTCCGGCTCCGAAACGCAGAAGCAACCTGAGCACGGCATCGGGGTCAGGCGTTCTTAGCATGATGTCTGGCTCCGTTTCATCGTTGACCCATCGTTCTGGACAACTGCCACTTGGGCTGGTGGATGAAGTGGATATCGTGGACGCCCAGGGCGCAGAATCGTCGTCGCAATCATCCCAACCTCAACCATCTGCTTCTTTTGCACGACTTCCACGAGCGACTGTCGATGGAGCAGGCCCCATAGCAGGCCCTCTCCCGTTCTCTGCCAACCCAGCCAGGGGCTCCACGATGCCTGCGCCTAACTTATCCGAACGCGTACGCGCCGTGACGGAAAGAGTGAGAGCGAACGCGAGGACGGCGGTCGTCCCAGGACAGGGCATACTGCACTCCCTCGAGCAGCTCGATTCAGTGGCGGAGCCGTGGCCCAGCCCTTATGATGTGCCGGCCTCGAGCTCGTGATGGTCGAAAGATCAGGGGCTCGGCCGAGACAATCTCGCATCCTTCACAACGCGTGAGCGATTCTTGAACACCGAGAGACTGCCACGTGTATTCACCCGCCACACTCCTACCTCTGTCTCCTTACACATTCCCAAGATGTTGGTACACCCCGCATGCTGCGGCCGCGGACACAGCATCACGCGAATGCAGGACCAATCCACCACGGGACCCCACGCGGGCGAATAAGGTGACTAAAACATCCCCCGCCGCCGCCTAGAGGGCCTGCGAGTCTCCGGTGCATGCCTGTCACCCAGCGCACATAACTCAGGCTAACGGAACCATGGCCTTGCTCATGGACGGGTGCACGTAAAGGGCAACCTTCCGGGCTAGTCGGGGCTTTCGCGTGCGCAGCACGATACCGGCACGGATACGTTGAGGCATCCAGGTACGAGAAAGACATCGATTTAAGTAGTGAGAAGGAAGAGGGCAACATGCGCTGGTATTCCCGAACCGGGTCAAGGAACAAGGCAATGCTCAGATCGCCGCCAGGATTGTGGAACTAGGATTCTACTCCGGACATGCTTCAAATGCAGCGGTGTAGCACTTAAATAGCGGTATACAGGAGAGCTCGACCAATAGTATTAGAATAGCCTTCGTTGTTCGTGGGGAATTACACATGGGGACTTACATGGGGCTGGGGTTTGAGCGCGAGGCATTCACGAGATGATAGTCTTGAAATATGATCCTTAAAGATTATATGCCCATATATACTACATGCGAAAGGTATCCCATGCTGCCTGTACCGTCCATGCATCCCGCTTTTTGCCCTAAGAAAACTCCCGAAGCAATCTGCAGGAATCATGATACTTACACAATCTGCCGAAAGAAAGCCCCTACTCGCTTTTGCCCCTCATAAAATAATGAGAAAACCCTCTTCAGTGCAAGTCGGCCTAAGCCGCTCCAATGATCATAGCATCATGGCATGCAAATCGAAAACATCATTCCTCCACGCACCCTCGTCCATATCATCAATCCGTTCAGCCGCCTGCCGACCCTCCTCTTCCCAGAGCTTAACCACGCTACCAGGCGCATACTTGCCCCTGAACACGCCCTTGCCTGGCGGCGCAACCCCAACTCTTGTGTATAGATCCGGGTCCTCGGCGGGCGTCAAGCGCGTCATTACCGCCTTGACGAACGTCTTCAGGTCGTCCGGATCCGAGATGCGGGTCGCTCTCAGCCTCTCTCGTGCAAAGAGTAGTTCGCGGTTCGCGGCGTGGAAGAAGTCTGCGATGGCGGTGGCGAGCTGCCTCTCCATGACTTTGCGGATGACGGGGCGGAGGAGCGGCTTGAGGAGCCAGGTGATGAGGCTGAACTTGGACTTGCGGAGGGTGTAGGACAGTTTGTGGATGTGCACCCGCACAGCTTTGAGTGTGAGGATTTGCTCCATCCGCTCTTTTGCGATTTCGACGTCCAGGTGGATGTCGATACCGCGCTCGTCGAGCTGGAAAGATGCGATCCCCTCGTCTGCGAGGCGGAGCAAGCCCGAGTGCGCGCGGAGCAAGAACCCAATCTCGTCGGCGCGCACGGAGAGCCCGTCGATTTTGATGGTCATCTTTGAGGTTACCGAAGAGGCTGTGCGGAAGCGCGCTTTCCAGATCTCGAAGTCGTTGTACGTCTCTACTCGGAAGCGGAAGGGGAGGAATGAGGTGTTGTTGATGGTTTTGCCAGGTTCGATGATGAGGTTCTCAAGGAGGAGGTCGACCTCCGGGGTAGAGACTTCGAGACGCGGGATGGGGACGTATTGGATGGCTTGGATGAGGAGCGGCACGAAGACGTTGATTGCGTCTTGGACCAGCTCGGTGTTGGTGTAGCGGTATGCTGGCGAGAGAATGTAGAAAATTTGCGTGCTTGTCTTGATGAGCTTTGCGATGTCTTGGTCGCGGAGCACTGCCTCGAAGGTTCTCTGTACTTGCACAAAGAAGGCGTCAACATCATCTCGCAGGGAGGAGTCTGTGCCGACGCCGCGAGATTTCTTCCGCAGCTCTTGGAATTTCTCATCTGCATGATCAAAGAAGTCCGGGTCCGTCAGCAGCTTTTGCAGGGAGTTGCCGATGTCGCTCATGAGGCCCTCGAACCGTGGGTCTTTCTTCGAGTGCTCCATGACCTGATGGAAGCGATCCTCGAGTTTCTTCCACTCTTCCTCGTCGCCGAAAGAGCTCAAGAACGTCCAGAAGTTCTTCACTGCTTTCTCCATAGCGGGATTCGTGTTCACATCCTTTTGGGTAGCGCCCATGGTATCTTCGACGATGCGGGAGTACGACATAGCATATCGCTGGAGGAGCAGGCCCAGTGTCGAGACCGACTCTGAGTAATCCCTCTTCTTCCGCAAGTCCGTGACCGTCTTCTTCAGCCGGTATAGCAGCGAGTCTCCCTCTTCGCTCCTTAGCTTGTCTGCCGCACTGTCTTTTGCCTCCTTTGCCACTTTCACCGCCCCGGAGCCAACCACTTGAGCGACTTCCGTGGCTTGTCCATTGAGATTGTCCGCAGACGGGGGAGAGTCCGAGTCTGCTCCCGGCTCTTTCAATGTCTTCTGCTCACTCTCTGAGGGCTCTATCTTCTCCCCAGCCTCATGTGCCACTTCGGACAGTGCGAATGCGGTGTCCTTGAAGATTTCGCGGCCGACGACGTTGAGATCGGAGAGGAAGATGCGGAAATCGGAATTCGTCAGCAGCAACGAGCCGACTGTTTGCAGACTTTTATAAGCTATTCACGGGTTAGCCAGAACTCAACAGATATGTTTGCCAGCTATTCCATGACCACATACCCGCTACAGTGTCTGCTTTGGCCTTTGACTTGGAGGCGCGATGGGCAATGTCGTCCACATCGACAGAGACCCTCGACTTAGACAGGTACCAGATGAAGTCCTGTATCTGATCCTTGCTGTTTTTGTGCTGCAGCAGATCGATGAATTCGTGAAGCCATCGCTTGGTGTGCTTCACCAGCAGCCGGCCGGAGTCGCTCAGGTCAGGGTTGTCGGGATTGAGGATGTCGGCGGCGAGGAGGCTGCGAAGGTTGGTGATGACCTGCTCGTTCGATGGCATAAAGCCCTTGGACAGGGCGCGGAGCATCTGATACGAGTGCAGCTTCTGGTGGAGCTCTCGCTGCAGCGCCGTGTCATTGCGGTACTGGGGCAGCAGCGGCCGCTGGTCGTCGTCGCGCGGCTTGCGGAGTCCAAAGCAGGACGACATGTTGCACTCCGGTCCTGTCAATGGAGGTGGAGGTGGAGGTGGAGGTGGAGGTTAGGTCGAATTGGCTGGAATCAGTGCCATAAAGGCTGCCTTGAGCGTGCCCGTCGTGAAGCTCTCATCGTGACGACGAGCCGCACGCTAGCGCAGACGTCATTCTGCCGCGGCCGCCAAGCACCCCACACTTCCATCCCGCTCAACACCACACTCGCACGACCCGGATATCGCGAGTTGAAACTGTGACAGCTGCTGGGCATCTCTATGCGGCGGAGCATCTTCGTCTTGCCCACAGTCAAAACATTCGTTCCTCCACTCAATGAGTGCGCAGAGCTGGTCGCGTGTGCCCCGTAGCACCCCCTGCCAGGCACAACGGCACTGCATCGCGCGTTTTGTCCGAACCAGGCAAAATTGATTGCCATTCATCGCTCGACAGAGGCCCAAGACGTCGAAGCTTTCCCCGCACCCGCCGCTTCGGATATCGAAGGAGATCTTTCAGAGGTCGGCGCGAACCGTCTGGTTCCACTTTTTAGCTGCATCTCGACGGATGGCCACGGAGGAGAGGGACCTGACGACGGCCATCACTGTATGACTCCGCATTCTCCCATCAGCCCGCCCCCTCCTCGTGCAAGTGGAAGTGGCAGAAAGGAAGTTTAGCCAGCAGCGTCCCAGCGACGGGGAGAATGCAATTGACTTTCGGTCTCTTGGCCCGGCCGCAAGGGGCTCACCGCCGAAAGCCCGCGTCTGCGCTGCGAATCGGGACATGGACGAGGGCAGCAGAGGTCTATCAGACTATCACTAAGAGCAGTCGGTGTGCGTTCCGTGCATGTGGACGAATGCTCGTCGCCCAGCATCCCGCGCGCGTGGCCTCCAGGCTTGGGCGAAAGTGTCGCATCGCGTTGTCGTCTGGAGACGGCGTCGTCGAATCCGAGACAGCTGCCGTAAGACTGGAAGAAGCACAAGCACCCTACGGCAAATTGGCGATGGCCGCGCGGATTAATATCGTATGTTTTTGGCTTTTGCGTCGCAGAAGGCCGCCGCTGACTCTGGCGAGGCCGAAAATGCCTCTTGATGCCTGACCCCTATCGTGGAGCGTGGAGCGTGGAGCCTGAGGCAGGGCCCGCGCTGCCCTCTGCGCGCTGCGCAGTCCTGGCATCGCGACGAGACCGCCGGGTCCGCTGTTGAGGGCAGCGGAGCCGTGGGAGGGCGCTGCGGACCCGGACATGACGTGCACGCCGCTCCCCAGCTTTCTGAGTGCTGAGGTCCGGGTGGGAGAGTTGCGGCGCACGCTGAGCCCTCGCGGTTCCGACTTGTTCCGATGCCTGCGCCTCCATGCGCCGGCTTGCTGCAGGTCGATGCGTCGCCCTACGACCCGCCGGCTCCTGACTCGCCGACGGCCTGCCCGTGTAAGGCCCAGGCGTTGTGAGGATCCCAACTGGGGAAATTTTTGTAACGCTGTCCGTGAGAGACGCTTCGATGCTGTTCCGCCGGCTCTCCTCCCAGCGCGGCCACCCACCCGCCAACTGACTCCTGCCCTGCCATTGCCGTCCTCCGATAGGCCACGCCCGCCCTACCCCCAAACTCCGTCGTAGCCGTCCATATTCCATTTCTTTTACTCCATGCCGCGGCCTGTCTCCAACTCGCACTGCCGTTGTCCATGCTGAGATTAAACCCTTTAAAAGCCGGCCTGCTCTCCCCGAGCTCTCACATCTTCAGAACCTCTCTCTCTTCCCCCAGATCCATCCGTTATTTGGCATCAATCGCAGACATGGCTACCGCTCAACTCCAGACCAGGCCCAGCATGCCCCCGAGGCAGCTCAGCACAACGTGAGCCCCCCGCCGTTGCTCGCGTAGTCAATTGCTAACGGAGCTTCCAGGAGCGGCGACTTTGACCCAGCAAACCCGCCCGAGATCCGCAAGTTCCTGGGCACCTACGGTCTGACTCCGCCCGCCGTCCAGAGCTACGAAGTGCAGGCACAGCGATGTGAGTGACTCACTACTACAGTCCAGTGTCTGTCCAGCATGCTGACTGTCCGCAGGCCTCAAGCTCCTCGCTATGAAGACGACGCCAATCGAGAAGTTCCAGTATCTGGTGCACCTCAGGGCCACAAACGTCCACCTCTTCTACAGGCTGCTGTCAGAAAACGTCAAGGTAAGCGGCCCCCGGAGCGCCCCGTAGAGCTCGCTCTGACACCTTCACAGGAATTGACTCCCCTCATCTACACCCCGACCGTCGGCGAGGCCTGCGTACGATGGCACGAGATCTGGACACAACCCGAGGGCATGTACCTTTCCTGGCACGACCGCGGCCACCTCCGCCAGATCCTCGACAACTGGCCCCACAATGTGGAGATAACTGTGCTCACTGATGGCTCGCGTATCTTGGGTCTCGGAGACTTGGGCGTCAACGGCATGGGCATTCCCGTGGGCAAGCTGGCTCTATACACTGCCTGCGCCGGTATCAAGCCCGATGGCACCCTTCCCTTGACTCTTGATTTGGGCACGAACAACAAGGCTCTTCGGGACGACCCGCTATACATGGGCTCCAGGATGCCCAAGGTGACTGCTGAGGAGGAGCGGGAGTTCCTGGACGAGCTTATGGCGGCTCTGACGGACAAGTGGCCGAAGTAAGTTGACCCATAGGACCTTCCGGTTCAGGAAACTGATTGCATGCAGCATCGTCATCCAATTCGAAGACTTCAAGAACCCCTTCCCCGCCCTCGAGCGATACCAGAACACCTACTGCATGTTCAACGACGATGTGCAGGGAACTGGCGCCGTCATTGTTGGCGGTTTCATCAACGCCGTAAAGGCTTCGGGTGTGCCTGCTAAGGACCACAAGGCCATCTTCCTCGGTGCCGGCAGCGCCGGTGTCGGTGTTGCTAAGCAGATTGTCGAGTTTTTCATCAAGGAGGGCTTGACCGAGGAGGAGGCTCGCCGCAAGTTCTGGTTCGTCGACTCAAATGGCCTCGTCACCCTGGACCGAGGCGACAAGCTCGCTGAGCACAAGGTCTACTTCGCCCGGGACGACAACAACGGCCGTCAGTACCAGTCACTGTCACGGCTCATCGACTATGTGAGGCCCACGATCCTTATGGGTCTGTCCACAATCGGTGGGGCTTTCAACAGGGACATTCTCCAGAAGATGGGCAAGCTGAACGACAGGCCCATCATCTTCCCCCTCTCCAACCCCTCCAGTAAATCAGAGTGCAACTTCGAGGAAGCTGTCCTCAACACTGAGGGCCGTTGCCTGTTCGCCTCTGGCTCGCCGTTCCCATCTCTGGAGTACGGGGGCAAGCTCCTTACTCCGGGCCAAGGTGAGTCCAGCACTATACTCGGATTTCGAAGTATGAGCTAACGATTACGCAGGCAACAACATGTATGTGTTCCCGGGTATCGGTCTCGGCGCTATCATCTCCAAGTGCGTCACCATCACCCAGGACATGATCTACGCCTCTGCCGAGTCTCTATCCACCTCTCTCAACAAGCAGGAGGTCGCCGACGGCTGGCTGTACCCGGATATTCGCCGCATCCGCGAGGTCTCCGTCGTCGTGACCCGCGGTGTCATCCGGGCCGCTCAAAAGAACGGCGTCGACCGTGCTGTCGAGCTCAGGGGTCTCAACGACGAGCAGCTCGATGCGTACATCAAGGAGAATATGTACGACCCATTCAACGAGCGGGAGAACATTGGCGACGAAGTTGCCCAGCTCCTCGCTACCGCCTCCGGCATGAACGGCCATGGCTACACCAACGGCGTCAATGGCATCACGAACGGTCTTGGCGCTGCTCACTTGTAAGCTGCACAGTATACGTGAGAAGATTGCATTTTGGCACACGCTTTTCGCCAAATTTGTCTGCTCTGCTGCATTTTTCGGTCTCAACAAATAGATTGGGTTGGGACACGGAAAAAGTCTTGGGATGGATTCAGATTCACTTCGATACCCCCGCAACACCTCCTTTCCTCTTCGAATACCTTCATGACGCCACCTAGATTGCTCGCTCCTAATAGCTGTTGTTGGAGTACTGAATACAATTAGCGTTGGACGAACTTTCTATCTTCGATGACGTGCGTGCTGATATCATATGCAAGTTTGCTTTTGCTCGGGTACGCGCCCTCGGTTCGCTTGATAAGTATGCATCAACACCCCCAGATCCGTTCTCAACATCAAAAGCAATTCACATGCCAGGGTTCTAGAAGACCGCAGGGCTCGGCGAACCCAACTCTGCGGGTCGACGGCCCCGGACCCACCCGAGAGGAGATTTCACATGCGGTTTCCAACATTGTGGGGTTTTCTGGAACCGTGTCGGTATTGTGTGCATGTGCGTGGGGTTTGTTTGTGGGTTGGTAGGAGCGTGGGTGCCGGGCGCAAGTGGTGCCATGGTTGAGAGACTTGGTGCAATAACCGACAAGTTGAGGTCAGCAACCCGACTTTTCAAGTGGCTCGTCTTTGTACATGGGGGTCGTGATGGAGTGACAGTGACAGTGGGTGAGTGTTATCAGCGGCGCTTTTGTTGCTTTTACAATTGCGTTTGCGGCTTGCGCGAATTTTGAGGGCGGATGCGGGTGTGGCGCTGGCGCTGGCGCTGGTGATGGAGGTGGCTTGAGCTGGACGCGAAGAGCGGGCTGAGGATGGAGCAAGCGCAAGGAGACAGAAGGGGTTCGTCAAGATTCTGGCATGCGTGCTGGATTGCTAGGCGGATCCGCAGCTTAATGGAGTGCAAAAAGTGAAGGTTCTTAGGTGAGCGGATTGGTAAATTCGCGCTCCCCGTTTTCCTCCGCTTGCTAGCATGGGGGCGGGCGATGCTGATGGCCTTCAGCAGGCGTGGAGGATAGAGAATTACAAGGCGTGCAGGTGGCGTCCCGCCAGAGAGCCCCGTCTCAATGTGTCCAGCAGGACCTTTCCATGCCGCAAAGTATGAGGAGCTTAGTAACCCGATTTAAAATCCAGCACGCGGACGAGAATCTCAGGATAGAGTGGAACGGCGCCTTCCATGAGAAAAGCTAGGTTGAGCTCCAGTCGGTAATGAGGACACGAGGAGGGCGCCAGCACGGAGGCCATGCTTGCTTGTGAGCATCCTTTCGATCCAGAAAGAGTGGCCGAGCGATGGAGTCAGGCGCCAGCAGGAGGACAAGGCGCGTACACCAGGTATCGCCATTCTCGTCCCTCCGAGGGATAAACAGAGATTGGGAATCTAGGAGGGGGCGATGGAGCATAGGAAGAGCGCTGCAGGGTTGCTCGTTATCCCCGTAGGCGCATCTACGAGAGCGGCGGGAATCTAGGAGGCGACAACATGGAGAGAAACATCGGCGATTTTAGTCTCCGTGTAGGGAATGGATCCGAATTCCGATACCACATCCATGAATGTGATACTAGGTAGCTTTTAGACTCCCTAGTTCAACGAGGGCTGCGGAAGAGGCCCCATGAGTAGAAAATGCGGGCCTTTCGCTCGCATCTAGATCATGAGGAACATAGTCCACAAGGAGGGCATGGCATAGCGGATGTGGTATTTAGAAGCCCGGGAGAGCTCGGCCACGCCAGGAGGAAGTCCTCTTTTCAGAGCTAGTAGGGTTCTTTTGGACTCCAGCAAGATGATAAACGGCAGCACATGAAATCCCCATCATGTCGATAAGTAGTGTTTTTGGACTCCTCTGATGCGTGTGATCGGGGATCCCGGGGAAGCTCAGCGAAGGCATGTGAAGACGTCACGGTAGTTTCCAAAGACCGGATCCCATGTGAGAATGCTATGTGAGAGCTGGAGCGGTAAACATCTCGCCCATCGATGCCCTCTTTTGATGCCGCGAAGGCTTGGAGTCCGCGAAGAAAGGAGAAGGCGTATGAGGCGCCTTTACATGGGTACTCGGGGCGATTTCGGAGTCGTTGGCCTGGATTTTCCGGTGCCGGGGTGTGTAGCTGACCGAGAGTAAGGTTTTGGCCGTCCGGGGAGGAGTGTACTAGGCACTGCTGGAGAATTTGCACCATAGCAAAGGACCTAAGCCCTCCTGGCTACTAGTCCTGGCGAACACTAAGAGTAGATGCTGCTCTGTATAGTGGCAATGTAAAAAAAGCCTCCGCGAACTGACAGCGAGCAATGCCGATGAGGATCTTCACCAGTCCAAGAAGGCGACGGGGAAAACGATAAAGGATATTGATGGGAATACATGATGCGAAAAGCGCAAGGAAGCCGCAACCATTACCCAAAACCGCAAACCCAGGGTCGTAAAGACCTGAGAGGGACAAGCGAACGGCTACTTCATGGACTCGTCCAAGAATCGCAGCCCATGGGTATCATCTTCTCCATCCATGGCAATCCGTGAGGATTAGTCATTAGTAATCACCTACGTCGCATTAGCCCTATTTCTCTCATTCGTCAAGTTCTTCATGCGGCGAACCTCAATTCTTCCTCCCAACGCTCTTCGTCCCTTTCTTTTCACTCCTCCTCCAAAATGCCCAGATCATCCTTCCTCTTCGCGCGTGGAAAAATACTTCCATTCAAGTACGCCTCCAGTTGCTGGTCATAAACCCGCTGCAGACAGGCCTCCGATTCCTTCGCCCTCAGGCTTCTTAATGTATCTCTCTTCGGGCTTGGCTTCCTTCTCAGTGAGTGCTTTGGGACGTAAAATGGCTCCCATTCGTTCCCCCAATTCGCTACATCCGGTGGCGGGAAAGAGTACGTAAAAGACCTCGGGCGTGAGGTAGGTGAGCTGGGCACTGATGTTGGTGGAGAGGAGGAAGAGGAGACGGTGGAGCCAGAGGACCGAAATGATGTTGTTGGCGAGGACGGGGTGTCTCCCTTCGATGGCGATGGAAGTCGTGGGATTTCGTGGATTGTGACCTGGATTGCGTTCGGTGGCAGTCTCCTCTTCCTGGCGAAGAGCGGCTTTGGTACGAGCTCCAGTTTGCTTCCAGAGTCTGGCAGTGGAGGGAGAGGTGGAGGAGCCCCATGCGGATATCGATGGTTCGGATTGCGCATGGGTAGTGGAGGTGTTGGACTCGGTGTGAAGGGGTCCATCATCTCCGTAGACTGCGTGTAGCGTAACGGTTGAAGGCTCCACCCGTATAGCGTCGGACAGGAACCGTGGATATTGACTATGCGGAGCACAAAGTCCTGCCTTAGCCGTCCGAGGACCTCATGGGGTTAAAATACGGGGGGCGGGTGTTCCCAGCAGATCCCCGCCACCTAAAGCGTCCATCGGTGAGCGCGCCCGCTGTTGACCGTCCTTCATCTTGCAGCTTCTCAGCAGGCTGCGAGCCTTGTTGAGGGCCAGAAGGCTGGTAAGCGGCGTCGAGCAGGTGTGGTGTGAGAATACGGGAGGGCTGGGATCATGAGGCAGACGCTCGGATCCCCTCACCCACCATTAGTCGCATCTGTTAATGTGTTATGGGAGCAGCAGGCGTTAAGCGCAGCCGCAGTCAGCGCTTGCGATGAACAGGTTGCAGACATGAGATGCAGTCGGAGCTATGCGATGATAGGTTGTTGGGAGCTGAATGTCGGTCAGATGCCAAATTTAGGTGGCGGGGGGCGGAGACCAGGGAAGGGACCAGGAACAATGAACAGGACATCATGAGAAGCGGCGCCCGAGAGACTCCGGTGAGGAGGAGTCAACGGCCAAAAGAAAGCAGAGACGTGCAGAGACGTGCAGAGATGTGCAGAGAAAGGCAGATCAAAGTCAGAGGGGCGTTGACGCACCGGCGTTCCGTCCCACCTGTCGCGCAGGAAGGCGCCACCAGCCGCCCTACGAACGGCCTGCTCAGCTCTCGAAGAGCCGCAAGCCACTGGAGGGGAGGACGGCATCAGCTGCCAATTCGTCACCGCCCTACCGCAACCTGCTCACACACAGCGCAGGTGTTCAACCAGGTTTGCTTGCTTCCACCACCGTTACTAAATGTCGAATGATGTCTCTCTGTTACACAAGGGACGCCTTGCCGGCGGAGAGCCGTGTCAATCAACACCCTGTCCTCGTGTTAATCCCAACTGCCGAATAGAATAGATAGACAACAACTGGAGGGGCTGCCGAGAAGGATGTTAAGAACCGGAGGGGCGTGGTATTGCTTGCATGTGCATGCAGCCCGGGACGGTTCGCAGAGAGATTGGCTGAGGTTCACTTCGAACGCAAGACCGACGTAAGAGTGCAAGCGCTCGTCGGAATTCAATGGAGGGCCTGGAGGATCAACTCTCAGGCGCTCACGACAAGTCTGCTGATATTACAACCATGTGCTACAAAAAGTGGTCGATATCGTACAATGTAACCGGAAACAGAGAGCATCATCCATCCAGGTCCAACCGCCTTGGGTAAATGCCATCATAAACGCCTGGTCTCATCAAGGTGATATGCAATGCTAAGAGTTCGCTTTCGCCGCGCGATCAATCAATGTCGCCAGAAAAGCCTCTCCTTCTGAGTGTTGAATCGTCAAGCGTCCGCAGGGGTATGCCAAAATCATCTTCCTCTGGCCACTCATCCTCATCGCTCGATTCCCACGAGCAAGGTATCTTCTCTCCGGTATGCCGGACGCGGTACGTGTTGAAGCCGAACATACCGTCCGAAATCTTCGCGGCGATGCGCAGCATTACCTGCACCAGATGAGCCGGGGGCCCGAGTACAATCTCGCACGTCTTCCGAATCAAGGCCGCCGTGAACTGTTTTCTTGGGCCTTGCGCCGGAGGGCAGAACAAGTTCTGCGGGCGCGGCATCGGTGAGAAGGCGCGTCTCTGGGACGCCCCAGTAAGCCTCTTCAGCCGGATCGCATCCGGTGGGGTGGGTACATCTAGCAAGGGCGGGTCAACGCTATCCTCGTCTGAGTCGCTGACGAGGGGTGGCGTGGATGGCGTAGGCGAGGGATGAACCTCAATAGTCGGTGTTGATGCAGGGTGATCTTCCATTGTTGGGGTCACAGGAGCAGCTTCTTCGGCGTGGTCTAACGACGAAGCCCTCAACGTTACTTCGGAAGTCTGTCGGCGATGCTTGCTACGCCCTCTGGAATCTCGCTCTTCATTCGGGCTGTGTTCCTCCACCCATGGATTGCCAAGCTCGACCTCGGCGTCTACGAAGGGCGGAGAGGGGCTGCGCTGGGTAGCATTCTCCAACGAGTAGAAGGAATCCACGCTAGACAGCAGGCTCTGCGCGTCAACAGAATCTTTCCGCTGCAAACCCGTTTCTACTCTCTGTTCACGCTCTTCGTGCGATTCCTCCGGGATCGGCGTACCGCAAAGTGATGAGGAATGCACGCTTGTTGCTGTCGGCGCCGTCACGGACCGCATTCCTTGGAACATTTTAGCTCGCTGCGGAACGGACGGCACCGGTAGTGGCTGTGGCAGGGTAACTTCCAAGAGGGTTACCGGGGACTCGGGCACTGCTTCGCTCCTGTCAGTATTGATGTTGGAGCGATCGTCCTCTTCATACGAAGACGCGGTACCAGAGTCTGAACCTTCTAGAACAGGCGTAGAAGGCCTTGGAGCACCCTCTGGCACCCACTTCTTGTCGAACAGCCACTTTTTCGCCTTCTCTGGGGGTTTCTTCGGTCGTCTGCGCGGCGGTGTCTTCGGACGCTCTGGCAGCTCTACTTCAAATCCTCTCTTGAACGGACACCTAGTCTTCTCATACTGCAAGACCTGGCCCAGCACTGCCTTGAAATCCTCAACCTTCTCTTTGTCATCTGCTGTGTCGTAGGGGAGCTCTATGCGATAGTACGAATCTTGCCGTATCCGAAGCACGAACTTGGACTCCCCGTCCACGCACCAGCATTGCGATTTTGGGAAAATGGTGTGAAGCAGGTTACCGGAGTTTAGGAATGAGACATTAGACGATGTCACGCGATATATTCGCAACACGCCTGTAACTTCAGTCAGCAACCGTGACGTCTCACCAGCTCGTGACTCGACTGACCGACTGCCAATGTGCGCTCCGTGACCGACCTCCACGGTATAGGATGAGCTGTGTCATCGTCGCCTTTTGCGGGCTGGCGGCGAGAGGGCGAGGCTTTCCTGCTAGAGCCGGAGACGGTGAATGAGACTATCTTGGTGGACGAACAGACAAAGAGAGTCTCTATTCCGTCGGCGCTGTTCGTAGATGCCGGCGTGGGTCGAGGGTTATTCGCGATGCGTGCGGGGAGCGTGAAGGAGCGGCGGGCATTGGACGAGGAAGCGGGCGGCGCATGCTCTGGGGTGGCGGAGGCAGACGGCGACGACATGGTGGACGGCTCACGGCGGCATTGTTGTCCCAGAGTGGCCGAGATGCGAGTCGCCTGGACAAGCAGAGACGGTATTGCGGCTGCCCAATGTCGAGATGTCGGTGTGTGGTTCAAGTCGGCGCGAGTCGAGGCTAGGCTGTGATGCTCGGACGCCAAGGAGGGATCGGTTTCACGGTGATCTTCCGCCTGTTCTGTCCGTGCCAGAGCCCCGCTTGCTGTTTATTTGCCTGAGGCAGTGGGCATTCTTCCGCACGACGGCGGCTGGGCGGGGAGCTGGTGCGCGTGGAGCAGAAAAGTAAACACGCCGAAGCGCCCAGCAGGCCAGTAGTGGTTGAGCCTATTCGCGCTTATTGGCCGAGAAGCCCGGACCACGCGTTGCGTCATTGGAGCCGCTGCACTTTCGCACAGGCGTCAGCATGTCCACGGGCGGCCGACCAGCACGCGGCCGACGTCTGCACCAAGCGGATATCGTTACCTGCAGGCGCAAGAAGCGGCAATGAGCAACTTTGACCCCAATGCCATCCTCCGGGGTGCGCAGCTTACTCTAGTGGGCTGTACGCTGTGCACCATCTACCCAACAAGGTCCTCACTGACAGGCTCCCAGTACACCGCGCCCTCCAAAATCCAGGCCTCTTCACCTCGAGCCACTACCGTCAAGCTGCCATTGCCGTCGCTGCTGGAATCGCTATCCGCATTCTCGTCGCCATCCCCGTACGTAACGCTCCACGAGTGCCGTGGACACATCTTAGAGAGGGACAGGGCAAGGGCTGTGCATCTGAGATCCTCGACGAGCTGGACACACTAAGAGAACGCACATCTGACGAGACTTGCAGATAATCGGAGTGAGATTCCTACTATGGATCCTCTCGTTTGCCGTGAACATGGACCACGCCCAGTGGGACGACGCCGCCAGAGATGGGTTACACTTCCTAGAGCACACAGTCCTTCAGATACCCTTCTTCCTGATGACGCTTATGCGCTACATTACCCCGACGCTTGACCAAATGTTCATGGACTCTCTCCGCTGGGTCGATCAGACATACATCCAAAAACACAAATCGGAGGATCCGCACAACCTCCGTGCCCTCTACTATCCGAACCTGAACATGTATCCCACGCATGCGCCGAAGGGAGAACAGGAGAAGACAGCCTTGAAGCAGACCATCACAGTTTTTGCCGTGAAGTACGGACGAAGAGCCGGGATTTCGCTTGCAGTACTGGCCCTGTCATATGTGCCATACGTGGGACGCTTTGTGCTCCCCGCCGCCAGCTTCTACACCTTTCAAAAAGGAGTGGGGCCTCAACCGGCAATGGCCATCTTTGCCGGTTCATTACTGCTGCCTCGAAGGTACCTCGTAGCTTTCCTCCAGTCATACTTTTCGTCGAGGACTCTTATGCGTGAGCTTGTGAGTAGTACCATTCCTTTCGTCATAGGCGTCCCTGACAATATCTAGCTCGAGCCATACTTTGCTCGCGTGCGCTATTCAAAGGAGCAAAAGAAGTTGTGGTTCAAAGACCGTGCTGGCGTTCTATTTGGCTTTGGCCTGGGGTTCTATGTCCTCGTGAAAATACCCCTAGTCGGTGTCCTCGTCTACGGTCTTGCAGAAGCCTCAACAGCCTACCTGATAACTAAGGTCACCGACCCACCACCTCCCCCTTCCGAGGCCGAAGAGTTCAAACAGGAGTCGCTCCGCTGGAAGAACAAACATGAGTTCCTCGCATTACCATGGCAAAACATGGACGCTTACAACATTGAGATGGTGAAAGACAAATTCATGTCCGAGGTTCGGCAGACGCCGCGGAAACAGTTCACTTGAATCATTTTCTCGTCGATGGTTGCCCACGAACAGGAGCGCTGGAAGCACACAACATGGCAGGAATTTCGGAACGGCCCAGCATCCGACCAATCGAAGAGTGGCCATCATGGAAATATCGGCAAACACGTACAACAGCCATCCGTCGCTTTCGTGCTGCACGATGATGATATTCGGTTTGGCATGCGCGGTTGTACCCCGCAGCGGGGCAGACGGCTTTCCATTTGCAGCAGCTGAGGCTATCCGATGCTACGTAACAGCTCTGATTTATCTCCAGCTTATCACCTTCCTTGCTCTCAATTCGTTCAGACAGGGCTTGGAGGGCTGAGCTCCACGGAAGCTAGGATGGAGTTATCAATGAATACTGGAAGAGCCTGGTTCCCCCGCGCGTCTCTTATATCTAGTGATGCATGTCCCACGCTGTCGACGGCCCCTTCATTCCACTCGCTCCTCATCGAAAACCTCACACAGAACGAGGACCTTCTTTGACAGCTCCATCTACAGCTTCTTCGATGGGTAAACAAGAGATACGCTGTGCCGCAAAGGTCTCTTTGGACAAGCCTGCTGCTGAGCAAGCTTGCCTCCACGTATGCTGACTCCCGATCGGCGTGTAAGCACAGCGCTGACGTTTACAGAACCGATGGCACCCAGACGGTATACCTCCTGCTCCATTGGTCCCAGCTCCTATTTGCTCACGCAATTGTAGTGCCTTCCTGTGGAACTATCAAGAACGGCGAAGTTGTCAAGATCGAATGCGTCGACTGGACGGGAGGCCAAATTGGCAACAATGATTCTGCGGATGACGTCCGAGACGTTGACCTCACGCGCGTCCACTACCTAACGGGTCCCTTCGAGATCGAGACCGCTGAGCCGGGAGATGTCCTCCTCGTTGAAATCCAGGACGTGCAGCCTATGCAGGACCAGCCGTGGGGATTTACTGGTGTGTTTGCGAAGGAGAATGGCGGCGGTTTCTTGGACGAGCTCTATCCCAAGCCGTGCGTATATACCTGGCTCCCTGAATCACGAAGCCTAGATGTAGGCTAACACGAGGACAACATCACAGAGCGAAAGCCATCTGGGACTTTGAGGGAATATTCTGCTCCTCCCGCCATATCCCCGGCGTCCGCTTTGCCGGCCTCATTCATCCCGGCATCCTGGGCTGCGCGCCCTCCCCCGAAATCCTCGAAACCTGGAACAAACGCGAAGCCGAACTCATCTCTGCATGCAGCCACATGTCCCGCGTGGTCGCCCTCCCACCAAACCCGCAATCCGTCCACGTCGGCAGCGGCGACGACTCGATCAAAGAGAAGGTCGGCCGCGAAGGCGCACGCACGATCCCCGGCCGCCCCGAGCATGGAGGCAACTGCGATATTAAGAATCTCTCTCTCGGCAGCAAAGTGTATCTGCCCGTGCACGTCAATGGCGCGAAGTTCTCTGTCGGCGATCTTCATTTTAGCCAAGGGGATGGCGAAATTAGCTTCTGTGGCGCGATCGAGATGGCTGGCGTGATTACGATCAAGTTCACGGTGATGAAGGGTGGGATGGAGCAGTTGGGTATGAAGAGTCCGATCTACATCCCGGGACCCGTGGAGCCGCAATTTGGACCCGGCAGGTACATTTACTTCGAAGGCTTCTCGGTGGATGAGAATGGGAAGCAGCATTACATGGACGCGACGGTGGCGTATCGGCAGACGTGCCTGAGGGTTATTGAGTATCTCAGGAGATATGGTAAGCATGTCCCTCCCGAAGCTGCATGGTGTCGTAGGGTTTGTGCTGATAGCGGGTAGGGTACGACGATTACCAGATCTACCTTCTGCTCTCGTGCGCTCCTGTCCAGGGGCATATTGCCGGGATCGTCGACATACCCAATGCATGCACGACCATGGGTGTGCCGATGGACATCTTCGACTTTGACATTAGTCCGCATGTCAAAGCGGAGAAGAGGGATTTGGGAAGTTGTGCTTTTGCGAGTAGCTAGGCGGGGTGGAGTTTTGAAGGATAGTCAAATGTTAACTCCGGATGGAATATACGTAATCTAGCATGGCACTCCTTACCTCGATCATTATTTTGCCTTCAGTTTGGGTTCGAGATCCATGGATGGTTTGGAAGCTTGATTTAAGCTGCTTCGACTACAACACCACAATTTTCGCTCGCATCAACGCCACGATGTCAGGCGACGAGGCCGAGAAGGAGAGCGAAAGGGCCGAGAGGAAAGCCGAGAGGGCCGGGAGACGCAAGAAGGCCGAGGAGATGTTGGCGCGGGCGAGCCAACTGCGGGCCGAGGCAGAGGAGAGTAGGGCGGCGAGGGAGCAGCGCGAGGCAGCTAACCTGCGCTTGGGTGAGTTTGGTTCACAATGGGATAGGACGACATGACGAAATCATTCCAGCTGATGCCGTAATTGGAGAGCGCAATATGCGTATCGCTAGTGGGCTGAAGTATGGGTTCGACGGGGACGACGCGTACATGCGCAGGCTTGTTGGTGGTGCGCAGGCGGGCGCATTGCTTTAGGTGGCGGGCGTAAGTGTAGTGGAGTTGGCCGAGCAGAATTTGAGGTTTCGTTTGCCGATGACGGAGGGTGAGTCACGGCCGGTCTGGAGTTCAGCTCCGGACCGTGCTTCTTGTGCTGCGAGTGCTGGCGGGAGTACCCACACTACTGATGGACAACAAGGTGAGAAGAGAAAGGCAGACGACGAGCTTCAACATGGGGTGAAGAAGCATGCGCGATCCGCAACGCCGCCCACAGCCCCGGCTAGAGCTCCACCAACAGCTCCTGCTGCCATGCTTGCTCGGGGCCAGTTCGATGGGCATGGAGGGAGGACGTCGCTTGGAGGGGGGATTCGTGGCCGAGGTGGATTCGGCGGTGCGAGGGGCCGTGGCCGACCAGCTTCAGGTCGAACTAGTCACGAATTAGTTAATCAACTATGGCCAAACCCACCTGGCCAGACCCAGCAGGAGGCAGCAGAGAGGGCCGCTGAGCACCAGCCGACTTCCGAGGCCACCCGCCACATGTCCCCGGATTCGCGGCAAGCCGCAAGGTCCACGTTGGTCGAGACGCAGCTAGAAGACAAGCAGGCCGACGAGGACTCAGGCGACCACAGCCGCCAAACCTCCGATACCACCGGCATCAAGCTGCTCAGGTCCCTCGCAGCGCAGGGTATCATTTCCAAGGAGGATATGAGGAAGCTGCTTGAGGAAGATTGAAGCCAGCGCCGATAGCAGGGCAGTCATCGGAGTGTGAGACTCTGATCTTTGTAGGGACGAGTATAAGAGATGCTGTAAGGCAAGCTATCAGAGTATAGACCTTGATAGCTGTTGATACGGGTGAGACAGATGAGCAGACACCGGAGCGCAAGGCCTCGATCCTGCAGTTGCACGGTAAGGTAGGAACGCAGACATCGGGGCTAAAGGCCTCAATCCTGCACTACTCCATGGTAAGATATCGTAGTTGAGACTATGATATCTCCAGAGAAGGTCCCAAGGCAGGATGTCGGACGTCAAGCGTTTAACTCCCCGCAGAATGCTTGGAGGGTACCGGCACCCGCAAGTCTCTCAAAAGTTCATGTATTTTCTATTCTTTGTATCTAGTTGATTGTATTAAATAACATATCTACCCAAACCTTCTTTCCTCCCAGTCTATCAGCAGTATTTTATGCTTACTAGTTGTATGCTTTACATATGGAAATGGAAACATGAGCAGCCTCACGACGACGTCATTTCCGGTCCTCCAAATCCTCGAGGTCCACGGTAGGAACACTACGAGTAAATGACCCGTCGTCCGATACGTCAGCGCCACCTTCTGCCCCATCGTCGGAGCCAGGGCTGTCCACGCTGGGCGGATTCGCTACGTCCAACGCGTCATGACTGCCCGCTTTCTTTGGGAAGACGTACGGACCAAATCCTTCGTTGACAGGGTGTCTCTTCCCGTCAAGTACATGCCTCGCATCTACTTCGGCTGCGCTTTGGTGTCTGCTTGATGGATTGGTGGAAGACTCCGTGCGCCCGGACTCTCGTTTGCCTGAACTGCCGCCGCTAAAGAATGGATCCATACAGAGGCTTTCGTAAGTGGGTTCTTCGCTTCCCGACCCTTCAGGAGGAGATTGCATGCTGATGGTGTCTCCCTTGCGGACATCTGGGATCGCTGCTCCGTTGTAGATAGCGCAGTCGCTCACAGATGCTTCGTCGCGAGACGCTGGTGACTTCTTCAACGCCACGGCCTTGCCTTCGCAAGTAGTCTTGAGCAGGAAGCTAGCGAGGCCTTCTCTGGTCGTGATTTCTTCAAGGTGATGGCGCGCCTGAATATTCGTATGCGTTTCGTCCTTCCAAAAGACGACGCGCCACAGATAGTGGTTCCAAATCGGGAGCATGCCATGCTCTTGAGCTTCGGCTGGTCCCATCTTTGCTTCCACTTCTGGATCGCCATCGTAGTGCCTGTAGTTCCTCAGGAGGTATCTGAGGAGTCGACATTCAGCGCTCGGAGCGCAGTCATCGCTCGGAATCCCTAACTTCGCATCTAAGTCAAGTCGTTTGTAAACATGCCTCTCGTTACGATGACGGTCTAGAAGAGTACGGAGGCATTTTTCTGGCGTAAGCCTCTCCTCAAAGCTCTCTTCCGGGACTCCGTGGAACACGGCTATCCTAGAATCCCACACGGCGGTAAACATCACCTTCATCTTCTCGCCAAGCTCCGCTCTTTCAGACTCCGCGGTGTCAGACTTCTTATTCCCGAGTGTGGCATATCTCATCGCCTTCTGAAGCTCGTCAACGAGGATTCTGGCGAGCGCTTCGCGCGACGTGATATCCTCCAGCTTTCTCCGTTGCTCGATATTGGTAGATGATGAGGTCCAGGATGCTTGCATCCTCTTTTTGACTAGGTCAATCGAATTGAACACGGCGTGAGATGACGGAGGCCAGTGGATGACTCGCCAGATGAAGTGCAAATAGACTTTGTCGAGCGGTCCTCCGAATAGGTTCAGTGTATTGTGGTAACCAGTCCGCGTTGGATTCTTGATCAATTGTAGAAGGCCCTCGAGGACGGTATCTTCGGTGTATTTGCTTTCGTTCTCAAGGAAGTGGTATTCCTCGATTTCAAGCTTGTGTGACTTCAGGAAGTCTGAGGAGGCGAGGAGGCGGCCGACGTTGAGTTCTATCGATCGGAAGGCAATCTCCTTATGTTCGTCGATCAGCATGCTCGCAAGCGCGCCCCGGCTGATGACTGTCTCAAGGTGCTCTTTAATGACTTGGTCGTCATCCCAGTGTATCACACGATAACAAAAATGACTCCAGATGTGCTCCAGCGACGGCATCTCAGTCTCAGAAAGACCGCTGAGATACCAGCCTAGGAAGGGATCGTTTCGTGGGAAGAATCCGCTCATCGCTCGCCCCGAGAAGTGATCGATGAGGGAGCGAAGGAAGCGCATTTCCATTTCGGCGAGCTCGCGCGCGCATCCGGACTTTAGAGGGCCTTTTCTGAAGTCGATCGGTGCATAGTGGGCTCTCTCGGTCTTCGCTTGTTGGATTAAGTGGTCGATGGCCGCTTCGCGTTGTTTGCTGGCCGCTTCGCGTTTTTTGACGACGTAGAGACGAGGGAGGAGGGCTATTGCAACCACGGTGGCGCCGGCGAACGTGAGGAGCTCGATTTCGAGCATGGCTACTGCACGACCAAGGAGACAGAGCTCGTAACTGCGTATAGGTTCACGATGGACTGTGATCGAGGTAGATAACTGAGACGTGGCCGTGTGCTGAAGTGCTCTAGGCTGCGGTATGCCAAGTCTGTGTTTGTGAGGATGTTGATGGAGGAGAGAAGAGAAGAGCGGGAGTGTAGAATCTTATAATGAGGCGTGGTATGACAAGAGCGAGGATTGTTTTGAGTCAGCTGGATGACTGATAATCTTCAGGGATTCATGAGTAGACGGTAGAATATGACTCTTTGCATGGCTCGGACTCACTGATTAAGAGCGGCAGGTGCGACCGAACGCAACGGCACCTGAAAGGAGAAAGTGCGATCCAGCAATAAACAAAATCCATTACTCGGTAAACGGGGCATGATAGTAGCAAGCAGCGATATGACTCAAGAGAACGGGAAGAGGACGAATGTCCTGGTGGGCATAATGATGACTTTATCTAGGTAGAAATAGGTCGAGACCCCTGAATCTAGATCTCACAACCGACGTACGGGAAACCCGTGACAGTACACGTCCGTCCGTTCGGCACTCGCTCCTTTTTATAATCCGTCATTTCCTCCCCCGCACGCCGCATACCAATCTTGGCCTGTTTTAGCTCCCTCTTCACCTTGTTGATATCTACGTGCAACTTTCCCCCTCGTTTCTGTACAACCTTCGCTTTCCTGATGGATTCATCGAGTTTCCCGTGAGCCTCTTTGCAAGCGTTGTAACGCTCCTCCAGTTCCCAGTAGCCGCCTTTAAAGACGTGTGGGCCTTCAATCTCGTCATGAAGAATCCATGCCATTTTCTCTCGTGGGAGAGCCTGAGGGAAGTATTCCCGGGGCTTCACAAGCTCATCTTCCCAATTTGCGAGGCGCCAGTATATCTGCTGGATGATGTGATCCGAAGTCAACGTTTTGCCGCCATTTTGGCGATATTTCAGGACCGCATCGCTCCATGTTTTCTCAGTTGACCAGGAGCCTCCAAGCTACATCCCGGTTTCAATGCTCTCCATGGGCGTGCCTTTCCGGATGGCGTCTATGACTTCTCTCTCGAGGGAGCGGCTGGAGTCGTTGTTCTCAGGAAGCGTGGACTCGTATTCTCGTTCCTTGCATGCAAATAGTGCTGCTTCGAGACACCTCTTCTGCACGCCGTCAGGTACGTATCTGTGGAAGTATTCGATGTCCTGGGGTTCTAGCCACCATGCGAGCATCTCGCGGGAAACTAAATCCTCCAGCCCCTCACGTAGTTCCTTGCTCGTATGTTCGTCATCGTTCCAGTGTACCAGTCTCCACATAAAGTGGGATTCAAGCCAGCGCAATTCTTCCAAGGGGTCTATCCCGTGTTCGCAAAGATATTGGCTGAACTCTTCATTCGCGTTTGGTTGGAGCATATTTCCGAGGAATTTGCATTCTGCGTCTTCGATTTCATAGACGTTTTCGAAGTCCACCTTCTCAAATTGGAGCTTCTTGGCGTGAGAATTCCTCATGATGAACTTGAGGGCTCCTTTCGTGATGGAAGATTCAGATTCGTCAGAGTTTGTGGACTCCGAATAATATGCGCTGTCCTCGTCGTTGGAGAGAGGTCCGGGATACGACATGGCTTGGCTTGATGGATTCGCAGAGGTCGACGGTTAAGGAGGTGTAATCAACGAAATTTTGGTAGCTAAGATATCGTAGATCGGTATATAATAAGCTTGCTGGTGTGGAAGTTCTTTGTTAAATAATGGGGGTCTTGAGACAGGCAGGTGTGAAGAGGAACCTTGGAATATAGCGTTGAAGCACTGACCATACTATGAGCGTGACTCTTACATGGACTCTGCGTCACACGCGGGTTCCGACACTCACATTCCACTCAGCCACTTATCAAATTTCCTGGATTCCTGCAGTCAGAAAGAATAGAGTGACTGGAAATAGAATAATGATCTAGAGCACTACAAGCTACCCGATGCACCATCGCGCAGAAACTAGAAGACCTACTCGTCATACCAGGACGGGAGACGCTAAAGAAAGTCATCGGCAGCGCGACACAAGGAAATAGCATACTCACAGAAGCCTAGTTCCAGTCACATCTCATCCCGAGTCCCCGCCACAAAGCCACGAAAGCCCACTGCATCCGAAATCCTCTTTCGTCTTCCTCCCATGACAACACTCGCCCCTCTTATCCGTATACCCTGGACCCCTCCACTTCTCCCTCCGTCTCTCCTGCGCCCTTCCCCACTCTGGCTCATCCCAAGTCCCCTCATGCAAACACCACGCCACCTCCTCCAAGCTCGTCCCCCTGATCAACCTCTTCTCCCAGCTCGTCGGCCACGAGGGCCACTTCGCCAGCCTCCAATACATATGCTTGAGGATCTTATCCTCCGTAAGCCTTGGCCTGCCCGCATGCAGATACGTGAACGCGCCTGGAAACTGCCTGCACACGTTGTAGATGCCGCCGTAGGAGAGCTCGCGCGCGATTTCGGAGGCAGAGCGGCCAGAGGCGATCTCGCGGAAGAGGAAGAGCTCCATGTCGCGGTCGATGGGGTTGGTGCTGCTTTCGAGGATGCGGAACACTGGGGTGGATTTGGCGGAGTTCCGAATGGCGGCGAGGCAGCGGAGACCGTGCGCGTGGGCGTCTGTCTGCTGGGTGCCCCTGCCTGGTTTCTCAGCGCCTCTTCCTGATTTCTCAGCGTAGGCTTCCTGCATTGTGGGCTTTTCGATATAGGGTGAGGAGATGAAGAACCGTGATAGATGTGTGCTGCCAATACACCGTAGTTGATGTCGTAGACTCTAGCAGGTTGTCGGCCGTGGTCATCGAGGCTTGGAGCCGGATTTTGTATTCACGATGAATGCGTTACACTGAAAGAACCAGCCAATGTTTATCCGTGATGTCCTCCCCGAGAGACTGTGAAAGTTGAACCTGGGAATGAAGAAGCATATGCTGTGACGTGATCGTTGCTCGAGGCCGCTGGGTATTAGGAAGCGCGTGAATGCGGGATTGAAGGAGAGAAACCTTGTACTTCCCTAAGAGGGAGGTACCAGCCTGCGCGAGGGGTCCAGCGTGTGTTATTGATCATTGCAGTTTCAACGCGTTGACAGCATGAGGCGAAATGAGCGTGAATAGCAAAGGAATGGAAGCAAACTCAATAGAGCCAAAATAACCCATTTCTAAGGGGAAAGAACAGGGTAAGAGGAAAAGGGAAGTACATGTGATGGGCCTGTCTCCACACTATATACCGGGAAGGGTACCAGGAATGCTGCTGGTACGAAAAGCACGCAATCGGAGCTGCTTTCCTTCACTGCGGTGCGCAGTTCGGCGTCTCCTTCGGAGGCTTGGCATTAGGGCCAGGCTTGGGAGCCCATCCAGTAAGCCTCACAATCTTCTCCAACCGCTCCGCAAGCTCCTCCCTGCTACAGCGCTTCATAATCTTGTTATAGAACTCTCTATGGCTTTTATCAACCCAGTTCACGACTCGCCAGTGCAAATGCGAGATTATCTCCTCCGCGCTAACTTCTCGCTTTTTAGCTCTTCTGTGTTGTGGTACGAATTTTTGGAGTTCCGGGGCGTAAAGTGTCTGAGCACTGTCTTCTTTGAAAAATCGTGCGATTTCGGCGGGCTCAAAGGGTCGATGGCTCTTGTTTTCAGGGAACATCCATCGGAAGATTTCGAGTTCGACGCCTTCGTGGAGACCTCTGGGTTCGAAGAGTGGTTCGTATTCGACTTCTTCGGTTAGCGCGGGTTGCACTATGCGATCGACGGCTGTGGACATCTTGAGGAATGAAGATCTGTTCTGCAGGGGAGATAATATTGCAAATTTGGCCGTAATAAGTCAATGGAGGGATTGCTGGGACTTTCGATGAATGGTTGTGAACATCGGTAAGGGCGGTAGACACAGCTTTTATGTCTTTCTCTGTTGGAGTCAGACAAAGTAGACTCCCTGAGCACAGGCGTTTTCTGTGACAGAGTTCCGCACATCCTAGTCATCACTGTTCAGAGTCAGCATGGCTAAGAATATCGTGGGTAGGGGCATGGCCGCAATATTCACTCGTTGGGTGCATTGCTGAGAGACAACAAGAGCGGCCCGTTGAAAGATTGTATAAGCTGGGTCCGATACTTGCCACTGCATCATCTAGCGCAAGAAGTTCCACTTCCATGATCCAAGAGAAACGCCATATTAGTGCATGCCGAAGTCCCCCTCCGCAATGGTGCGCTGGCACTCAGCAAGTATAGCTGCCTGCCTACCAACATCCGCGAGCTTCCCAATAACCGCCTTATTCCCATCGACAAACCCGTACAAGGCATAGGGTATACCCACATCATTGCAAAAGTCTTGAACAAGTTTCTGTGTCCGCCGCAGATTATGCCTGGGAATCCGGGGATATAGATGATGAATGGCCTGGAACTGGAGGCCGCCGTGGAAGAAGTCGAGCCACTCGGGACAGTCGACATCCATCGTCGTCCTCAGCATCTTCTGGGGAAAAGATTCGGTGGCGCCCATGTCGGTGGTGCTCATGGCGAAGTGGCTGAGCGTGATCTGAACGTGGAGCGGAGAGGTAAGAGCGTGGCTGATCAGAACGAAGAGGAAACGGTTCCAGCCTCCAGGGACCGTCTTGTACACCACCCCGTAGCCGTACCAGGTCCAGAAGAAGACCTGGCCCACAAGCTCAAAGTACCGGTGCCACCAAGCTGGGCCTTTCTTAGGACCTTGGCCAAGCAGGATGTAAGTCCAGCCCAATCTGTAGAGATTGAAGCGTGCGAACAACATGATGGGATAGTAGGTATAGTTCTGAAATCGTACCAAAAACTTTGCGAATGCGTCGTATTCCATAACTCGTTCGTAGTATGTGGAGGTAAGGCTCTCGAAAAAACGGTGGGTGATGGCGAAGAAGGGAATATATTCGATATCCGGGTCGTGCTCCGGAGAATTTGTGACAAGGTGGTGTACGTTGTGGTTGTACTTCCACCAGCAGGCGCTCAAACCGCCGACATAGTTAGCAATGATCATGGCGAGGGTCGTGTCTACGTGGAAATTATGGGTGATGCCCATGTGTCCTGCGTCGTGGACCGTGAATGCGAGTTGGTGCCACAAGCAGGCGAGCGGTACGGCGCTTGTGACGTACCAGCCGGACCGCAGCAGGTAGACAAAAGAACCGAAGAAGAACGCGTAGCGTATGAGCTCGATCCCGTACGACGAGTACCGACAGCGGTACAGGCCCTTCGCCTCTATGCGCTTCTGCAGCTCCCGGTATTTCCTGGTTATGTTGTCCTGGGTGTCGGGGTCGAGAGAAGGATATTTCGCTTTGTCGAAGTCGATCTCCTGCTGCGTTCGAGCATCTAGCACCGACATCTTCGGCGCCGTTGGCAAATCATCGAGGTCGACCGAAGAAATGGAGGAGTCTGAGGGGGATCGTGGGATGTTGCCGGTGTTTCGCTTGCGCATCGAGGCGCTCTGGTCCGCAGGTTCGAAGATCGGGCTCTGGTCGGCCGACGACACCGTGCTGATACTCTCTTGTTCCGAATAGGACTCGATATACTCTTCCTCTGAGATCTTGTCTAGTTCCTCCTGCGTCCTGAACTGCCCTCCTTGTATCGGGGGTACGAAATTGGTCCATCGTCCTTCAATGCGGCCGATTTGGTAGCGGTAGGCAAGTTCGAGCGTCTGTGCCGAGTGAAATCTGGGCCAGAATAGTCAGATCAGCAAAGATGGCGAATGGGTTGTGTGGATGTACCTTTGAACCTCGTCGGTAGCGTCTCGCCCTATCATATGCCTGATGGCTTTGTCCCCGCCGGGATGATACGGCAACCACGCATCAGCCTTCAACACCCTGCCGTCTACAATGACAATGGAGCGGCCGCTGGCGATAAGAGCCTCAATCTCGCGTCTGGTGAATATCCTCGACTTCCGCTGTGTCTGCCGGTCCATTATTGCTGAAGGCGGTGAAGGGTGGGTGGAGGGGGTTTGGGGGTTGGAAGTATGAAATCTGGGTTGCAGAGCGAAGGACCGGGGAACAGGAGGGGATCAGGCCATCTTCCGGATCTGTAGAAAGACGCGAGCGAGATTGAGAAAGGTCGCAGCGGTCGAGTGAGTGAACGCGTGAGAGAGTCGGTGTTCCAAGCCCTGGAGTCCCACTGTGGGAGCTCGGACGTTTCATGAACGAAGCTTGGAACTTTCCAAGGTTGGAATGGAGAACCCCACGTGCACACCCAACTTCCTGCTGCCAACCACCTTACCCCTGCATCGACCGATGCTGAAAGGCACCAGGATTCAACCAACAGAGTAAAGTCGACGTCAAAGACAAGCAACCGATTATTCAACATTCCAGGCCAAGAGTGGCGGATGACCAACCCAGCAGGTGATATCGATCGCCTTCTGTTCCGAGAGAATACCGATCTAGCATCACCTGTTTGGCAAGACTTTCATCACTGAAATCGCTGATCAGCCGGCGAGAACGCATAAATACGCTGTTCGCTCTCTTTGGGCCCTGATTTCCTACGACCGAATCCCGCATTTTATTCCCCGCTTTGCATGTGATACCCTTCCTACACGAACAACATGCCCGTAACCGCCGATATCAAAGAGCTAGCGGAGGAGTGGCTGCGACTGGATGAAGACAAAACCACCACCGACGAGATCTACAAACTGCTCAATCGGGGAGACAACGATGAATTGGAGAAACGCCTCCGGTATCGCATCACGTTCGGTACCGCAGGATTACGCGGACCCATGCAAGCTGGATTCGCCTGCATGAACTCGCTGACCGTCATTCAAGCGTCCCAAGGTCTGGCGGCATATCTTCTTAAGAACGAGCAAGAAGTCAAACAACGAGGCGTGGTCATCGGTCGCGATGCGCGCCATAACTCGGCAAAATTCGCCAAACTGGCGGCTGCGGCATTCGTCGCCAAGGGGATAAAGGTCTGGTGGTACGAGACACCCACACATACGCCTCTGGTTCCGTTTGGTGTCCGGGAGCTGGGTGCTGTTGCCGGAGTCATGATTACCGCGAGTCACAACCCTGCCCAGGACAACGGCTACAAGGTGTACTGGTCGAACGGCTGCCAGATCATTCCTCCGCACGATGTTGGTATCGCGAAGGCGATCCTGGAGAATTTGAAGCCTGTCACCTGGGACACATCCGTTGTGGATAGCCCGAGCCTCCTCGTCGAGGGTTCTCTCGGGCTAATCCGAGACCAATATCATCGAGCAATTCAAGCGGCAGTATCACCGGACGGCGAGAAAGTCCCCGTGGACCCGAATCTCAAGTTTGTGTACACTCCTATGCACGGCGTAGGACTAAGAGCAATGACCCGGTGCGTGAAGGATCTCGGCATAGCATCACAAATGACCGTCGTGGAAACGCAAGCAGAGCCGAATCCGGACTTTCCAACCGTGAAATTCCCAAACCCAGAGGAGAAGGGCGCGTTGGATCTAGCGATGGAGACGGCGGATGCATCGTCAATATCGCTGATACTGGCAAGCGACCCCGATGCTGATCGATTAGCCACGGCCGAGAAGGTTTCTGGCACCTGGCACACATTTACTGGCAACGAGCTAGGCATATTGCTTGCGTCTTATCTGTTTGAGCGGTACCCGAAGTCGAAACCACGAGAAAAGCTCGCTATGCTAGCATCGACCGTCAGCTCACGGATGCTCCTCGCACTAGCCAAGAAGGAAGGCTTCCACTATGCCGAAACCCTGACTGGCTTTAAGTGGCTCGGTAACGTAGCGCGCGATCTCACGAAGCAAGGCTATGACGTGGTGTTCGCATTTGAAGAAGCTCTAGGATACATGATACCTCAAACCGTTCACGACAAGGACAGCATCAGCGCAGCAGCCATCTTCCTAGCCGCGGCATCGCGCTGGTCCAGTCAAGGTCTCACCCCATATGCGAAACTACAACGGCTCTACGAATACCTAGGCCACTTCGAAGACGCGAACACGTACCTCATTTCGCCTTCGCCGACTACTACGGCCAAGGTCTTCACGGCGATACGTGCTTTGGGCGACCCGTACCCTACGCAATTGGGATCGCGCAGGATTGCGCGATGGAGGGATCTAACCGAGGGGTATGACTCCAAGAGCAAGGACCACGTCCCAGATCTGCCGGTCGATAAGGCTAGCCAGATGATCACCTGCGAGCTAGACGACGGCGCCGTCTTTACGGTACGAGGCTCAGGGACTGAACCCAAGATCAAGCTGTACATCGAGTGCAGCGCAACGAGCAGCGTGGAGGCGAAGAAGGGGGCAAATGAGATATTGAGCGATTTACTGAGGGAATGGTTCAAGCCTGATGAGAATGGCTTGAAGCTTGCTTGAAGGGTTAAACTCGACCTGGAGGGAATATGTTGGGAATTGGTGTATGGATAGACGGGACTTGGAAGACGCATGGACGTGTGCACGGGGCTGGCGTAGGCGCTCGTTATCGTGCCACAGGTTACACAGAGTGGAACTAGTCTAGTACAGCCCACCCGGGAGGTTACACCAAACGTAGAAGGAAGTCGCCCGCCGCACGTCGAGCCTTCGTCAACAACGCGCGGTTTAGACTATTTCCCGCACGATATGCAGAGGGCGCTTGGCGTGCAGGTGGTGCAGGTGGCGAAGTTCGCAAACACAGGAAGGAGCACCATCGTGCCTTCCTCTTCCCGTACTCGGAAGTCTCAATTTTGTTAGACTTCACCTCCAGGGCTATGCTATGATGCGTGATTGCTTTTGCTACCTTTCAGGCGCCTCACAGGTCCCATGAATCCCAGTGCCTGGAACTTGAAGTTTCCAGAGCAATCGTCGCTGTAGGGAAACGTGAGCGGTTACATCTTCATGTGCAGACTCGCCGCGTCGTGCTTTCCCAAAACGAGCACACGGCATGCAGGCCAGAGCTGACGACTCGCCCACACGGGGCCAGCATCTGCGCCGCGTCCTCCCCACATGCACCGCGAATCTGTCGTTGCGCCTGCAGCTGCGGGAGGGTCCTCGAGTCCTGCCCAATGGGAGGCCTCCGAGTCCACGATAGGGCAAACGGTGACTTGTCACGCAATCTCCCGCGGCGCCGGACGCGCTGCTGCCTTGGTGAAAGCGCAGCAGCAGTCGCGCCATCCATCAGCGATTATTGAATTGTCTCAGCCGGCCGGATGCGTGAGGGTGCTTTTTGCGCGAGGTCGGCCGGTTTATCTCCACGCTGGCACGGCGGCCAAGCTGCCACTGTGGTAGCACTGCCGTTTCCGCAGGGATTGGCGCCCTCAGCCTGGCCTCCGCGTTTTCCCCGGCGCGCGGCAGCCAACCACGGCGCGCAGACGGCCGATAGCGCCGCGTTCCACAGCCGCGGGTGCGTTAGAGCGCGCCGTGATCCGTGATCCCTGACTGGAACGGTCGCATGCGTGCCTGCAGGCCATGAAGAGTCACCGAGCTCTCATCTATCGTCGCTGTCGACGGCCTCCTTCCTGCCCTTCGTCCTCTGCCCTCGTCCTCTGCACCCACCGACCACCGCACACACGTCGTCTCCGCCCGCTGCGCCCTCCAGTATATATAGTCGCTGTCGCCCACCTCGAAGGAAGCTGCTTCCTTCGCAAGCTGCTCGCCAATCACTCGGTAGGCGCTCGGCCCCGCCAAAAGTTCCCTCGACGTCTGCTAACCCGATGAAAGCTATTGTAGGCCCAAGACATGTCTCAATTCTAAGTCGACTGCGTCCTTCGTGGGATGCCACAGCTAGGCACCCATGGCAGGCTTCGGGCAGCAGCCTTCCGCGCAATACCGACCGTTGACGCAGCCCCTCCCGACCGGCCCTTGCAACTACCGCGACCCAGCCATTGGCGTGGGCTGTGGGTGCCAGCAATTCTGGGACCAGGGCAGCGCTCAGCTTCATGATGCCAGCAAGGAACATCGGTCGAGCAGCGAGCGCTCCACCACCTGCGTGTGCGGACATCATGCGTGCTTTCACCGCTCCGAAACTCGCGCGTCTGAGCACCCTTCACTCACGGTAGCAGGTGCGCTGCAGCAAGCGCAAGCAAGCTGTGGCGGTCGCTGCCTATTACATTTTGGGGCGCGGTGTCCCATTCACAGCAGAGGCGTGAGGCCGAGGCCTGAAGTATTGCCGGCAGCAGGACTTCGTGACCCGCACACTAGGCGTCTGAAGACGTCGCATGCTAGCTATAGCCAGCGACTTCTGCGCCAGGAAGCTTCACCGGCCAATGGGTCCAGAACGGATGAACAGCGTCGGCGTATTTCATCACAGGCCAGCTCATCAGGTCTTCCACGGGTACCTGACGTTTGTTTCTTGTCCCATGACCGGCGCCCGGCGGTTGACGCTCACTCTCGAGACGGCTCGGACCCTTCTCGCCAAGCTGTGAAGGGGCTCGGGCTGTCATTCTTGGACGGAGGGAATGCGGGGAGTTGTGTTAACCGCCAGCAGTCTGTTGGATCCACAGTAGCGGACGACATGAACATTATACCTTCAACGAGAGCGAACTCAGTCGCAGGTGAGCATGCACGAATGACGAGTCCTGCGCGAGGGCCTTTAGACGCGGTTGTGGATTTCAACCGCAACCTCCATCTCGACCTGAGCGGCGACACCATTCCGAATACACTAAACCTGGAGGACTTCATCCAGAGTGCTACGGAGGCTGCAACCCCGAGCATTGCCAATACCCCGGATCTCACCGCCGCTGATCAAGCTCTGCATGAAGGGAAGCAGGCCATAGAAGGGCTCATGCGACTCACTTCCAATCCAGATCAACGGAATAGCGACGATGCCAGGTCAGCCAGCGTCACATCAGCCCCAGCGCCTCAACCCTCTCCCGCCAACCCTCCTAACGCCACCCAAGAGCGTCTTCAAAGCATTCCAAGATCGGTGTCTCCACAGGCTCTTGACAAGCTTATTTCGTATCTTGCTCCGCTGCACAATCTGCTCATCTCGATACCAAACGTGGCGAATACATTAGGAGAACACTGCGACCGCATAGGCCTTCTAGAGAACAACCAGTCTTTCAACTATGTTCACCCCGATGACCTCCAGCAACAGCTTGACGCATACGAGGGTCGGCTGCTCGAGATCGAACATCGCATGGATGAGCACGATAAACTACATCAGGCAATAGATGCCGACCATAGTAGCAACTCGATTGGCCGTCGCCGTGTCGCTACCATCTCCGACTCCTTTGGCTCGAATCAATCCCTTCAGTCTACGACGTCGTCAGCTCTCATACTTGCCGCCATGGATCGCAAAGAGATTGAGGCGGAAATGGAAGGTATCAGAGATCGTCTAGATTTTCTTGAAGCCGCCGCCATGCCAACTTCGTTGAACCCGTGGGAGGTGGAGATCGTCCTGCTTCCTTGGGGACGCGGCCTCCGCGGAATCTGGTTCTCTCCAGATCAGCTAATGCATGATCCGTCCAAGGCTACCACTCAGGACTCCGAAGAATGGACCCAGGCGCGCAAGTCGAGATTTGGAAACCCGGCGCGGTCACGTTCCCCGCAAGACTCTAGTCCGCATCCGGGAGTAAAACGTTCCTCCAGGAGTTCGCATTTATTCAGCGATAAAGAGAACGGCTGGAGTCAGAAGGCAATCAGCGATTGGGCATCGGAAGGATCGGACGAGCTGTTGTCTCCTAAGGCTTGCGGAAGCAAGAATATGGTCTACAAGCGATTGCAAAGTAGAGGGTTCATTCGAAACGTTACCATCAAGGGCGCAAGCGCCCACCATATCCAGGCGACTCTTTCACATGCCTTCAGCGACCTCATGGAACACCTCAGGTACACTAACAAAGACGAGGAGCCGTTGATTAATTCCTACTCTGGCTTGCGCGCTTCGTTTATTCCGCTGCGAAAGGTGATGAAGGAGTCTAGACTGCGCTTCCTTGACCCTGCTGAGATGGAAAACTCTGCTGTTTGGTCAGCGCAATTCCTCGATTCCGGTGTCATAATGCGATTGTCAGATGGCCAGAAGAGGTTATACGTAACACAGCGCGAGGCGTACGTACAGTCAAGCGACCAGATGGGGAGTTCTTGGACATGGCAAGAGGTACGACAGCTTCCTCGCTATCAAGCCGACCCGGATTCTCAGATGGAGGGCAATGAGGAGCAGTGCCAACCACAGGTTGCCGAGGCGGACGCTAGGGAAGCATGCTGGGCCTTCTGCGAAGCCTACGACGCGCCTCCATCTAGCGTCAATTCGTCCTTCAGTAGTCACCACTCCCACCAGCTCTCCATGCGGCCAGCTGATCAGCAATGGGGGTGCTCTATTACTCCCTCATCAATATTGAAGAACCGTCCGCCGCAGCCAATCTCTCCCTTGAGCGAGTTTCATCCGCAACGGCCTGGCCGCAACCGTACCGTTTCTGCGTCGGGGCTTGCAGAGCCACCACCAAGCACCTCCTCAAAACGTCGCTTGAACAGCTCCCCCGTCAAATACTCATCTGCCCCGCATGCCTCCTCCCGCGCACCGAGCGTCTCTATGGGAAGGGTCAAGCGTCGTCGAGTCACGTCCTCCTCTTCTCCTAGACTAGATGCTGAGACCGGCGCCAATGCACAAGTTGCCGTTTGGACGAACACCCCCCGGCGATCGCGTGAGCCACCATCACCCTTCTTCTCTTCTGCGCCGGGCCTTCCTAGATCCAACTCAGATGCGACGAGTCGGCCGAGCCAGAGGTCCGTCGCTGTAGTCGGAAAGTCAACGCCCTTCGCATACGCAACACCGCATTCGGGACCCTTCCTTGGCGAACGGCAGGACATATCCGGTCCCGCTTTTGATCGAGGAGACACTGAGGCTGACGAGGACGTGTATCAAGAGGATGATGGCGAACAGAGTTGGCGCGGAGTGACGACTGGAGACGATGATAGCGCCTCAGGATCTGACGCCGAAGGTGGTGCAGAGGAGCCGGCTAGTTTCTCGGGCGACGACAGCGGATTTGGTACAGATGGTGAAGAAGATGGCGACGACAGTGACGATGACGCAGAAGAGGAGGATGGTTTCGGTGCGCAGAGACCACAAGAAGCCGACGACTATGACGAAGAAGAAGAGGGTGATGTTTTCGACACGCTTCTGGGAGTCCTGGAATACTAGGTACGTGTTACTGCATATGATGACCACGATGTTTTTTTTCTTTCGCGTAGCGGGTGTATGGCCTGGGTATCGGTGGGACGGGCATTCGTCTTAGCGGGCGATAGGGTTCTGAAGGCCCCCAGGGTAGGTTACGGCGCATCGGAGGCTTGTTCATTGATGGATGATACCACGGAATGTTTGGGCATATACGGAAGAGGAGGCGGTTCTGCATCATGGGCTTCCTTCGGCGTGTACGACTATTGTCTCGTATATGGAGACCCGGCGATTTTTCTCTCTCTCCTTGTATCAAATTCTTTTCTCCCCTTCATGGGCGGCGCATGTCCTTTTCGACGGCAGAGAGGGGCATGTAGATGGAGTGAATGGACCTTTGAAGCATGGAGGCGCCCGAGAGAAGCATTGGTGAAGTGGATCTGGCTTTGTTGAGATACGTGAAGGCACTCAGGCAGTACGCAATTCGATGGCTGACGATGCAATATGCTGTTGTGGATCGTTTGATGGGATGACTAATAGGTCCCGTGAGGGAGGAACCCCTTACGGCTGCAGGCGCCGTTGCAACCGACCGCTCTCCACTTTGTTGTTTTCCCCAATCAACAGAAGCACCGGTGTGAGATCAGACCACCACTCTACCGTCAAAGGCGAAGCTGAACTCACGTGTCGCCTCCTTCGCAGTGAGGTGATGGAACGGCAGCCTCTGGAGCTGGGATACGAGACAGGCATACATCATGGGGTCTAACCTCACGCGTTAGACTGCGACGTGGGTCCAGGAGGTCCATCGCGTATTCTTGTGTCATCGGTGAGTCCAGCGAGAGACGGTGAGGGCCCGGAAGTGCTTTCCCCATGTCGTGAGAGGGTATATATGAGGAAAGTGCGACCATCTAGACGGAAATCATCAACATCAGCCTGTCCAGGTGGCGACTTTGACTTCCATGGTTGCTACTACCTTCTATATTCAGATACCGCACACACACCATGGCTTCCCACGTTACCGGCGACGAAACTCCGCTCGTCCCCGTTGTCGTTGACGACATCCCGCTCGTGACCGTCGTCACCAATGGAGTCCCAGTGGGCACGATAGTCGCCTACGCTGCAGAGCCTGAGCATCTGCCTGCTGGCTGGTTTGTCTGCGATCACAGAAAGCTCGAAGCTGCGAAATATCCGGAGCTTCGGGAAGCACTTGGACTGCCCGCGGGAGGAATAGGTGGAGAGATCCAACTCCCCGACCTAAGAGGGCAATTCCTTCGAAGTGAGCTCCTCGCGTGTGTACAAATCGCTTTGACGACACACTGAATGAGAGTCTTCGTAGGCTGCGATTTCAACCTCACGCCGGGCGAGACGTTTAGCTGGAAGACGGGCGAGCCGAGGATCCCCATCCAGCTCACGTTGGACAGGATGGGCGACCACATGAACAAAACCCTCAAAATGGGGACTACGAAAGTAATCGAGTGGCATAGTGGGCCCAGGCGCTTCGACGTCAGCGGAGGAGATGCGGAGACGCGGCCCGTCAACGTTGCTCTGTACTGGGTGATCAAGGCTACGTCGAAAGAAGGCGCGGATGGCGTCCCGATCGGCGCAGTGATTCCCTTCGCTGGAGATGACAAGAAGATCCCCGCTCCAGCATACTTCCCATGGTGGATCCGATGTGACTGCGCGAAAGTCGAGTCGGATCAACTCGGGCACATCCTCCCCGTCGTGAAGGACAAGTTCAAGCTAGCCTCCTCTCCTAGCTCGTCGAAGGTCTTCTGGCCTCCAGATTTGAGGGGAAAGTTCATCCGTGGCGTCGACTGGGAATCCGTACACGACCCGGACGGAAAATCGCGCCAACCCGCTCCGAACGGAGACACGGCGGGCCTGGGGACCTGGCAAGGCTGCAGCACCGCGTTCAAGGATCGCAAGCCATGCGTTGACGTTGAGCACTTTTCAAAATGGTACCATAAGACCAGCAATGCAGCAGGTAACCACAATTTCCGCGACGACAAGTACACCGATCACCAGGTGTGGAGCGGCGGCGACAAGGAGACGCGCCCCAAGAACGCGGCAATGCATTTCTACATCAACACGCTGCCCCACGATAGCCAGCCGGATTTCCCAGTCGGCGGTGTCATTGCTAGAATAGGGGAGCTGAAAGATGAGCGATGGCTGCCCTGTGACGGCGACCCTCGACCAATCAGGACGGAATCCGGCGAAGACCCTTTGTATAAAGCCATCGGCAAGATCTGGAACTGGAGCACAGAGATAGAGGACCTATTCTCGGTGCCGAACCTGTTCGGTCGATTCATCCGTGGAGCCGATCTGGTTGGTGCTCCTAATGGGGACCCGGATCGTGACAATCGCACAGAATATTACGGGTGGGAGAAGAGGGTCGGAGCAGGCTCGTTCCAGGACTGGGCTACCGCGATGCCGGTGTCGAAGCCACTCTCTATCAGCATTTCGTATCCTACCGACGAGTACCAAAACGCAAAGACGAGTGGCGGAGCGACCGATGAGAGCACTAGAGCGAGCGGTGCGAAATCGTTTCCTTTGAAATTCGAGACCCCGGATAACGAGACCGCTCCGACGTGTATGGCGGTTCGTTTCTACGTCTGTGCTACGGGATATGACGGCACGGGCTGAGTTTTGCGTTTCCTTGAAGTCTCCTATCGCTCGTATCTCGTCAGTTTCTCGTTTATCCAGCTCTCTTTCTCTCGGTGCATTGCTCGATTTGGTTCCTATCTTTCTATCTCCTTTTGCCTGTAGATCGCTTGCAATTTCTATCACCTGTCTTCCCATTTCCCCTGAAGTGCCTTGTCTGGAGAAATCCATGGCCGGGGCGACTCCTGAATTAGCCTGCACATGGATCAGCATCTCTGCACTTTTTAGAGCCAATCCCCATGCCTCCACGCTGCCTCTGATTCACAACATCTGCTCCATGAAGCAATGAGAGAGAAAATCTGACTGTGGAGGCGGGTCGGAGCATGAATCGACTATGCGGAACAGACTATCACTACTCGGGCGCGTAAATACAAACGGCGAAAGGCGATCCACCGGCGATGGTCACCCACGTTGTCGGGTTTTAGTCCTCCAACAAAGGGGGTACACCAAGGGCAGCAGCATGAGGTAGAAGTCGAACTGCGTTTGCAATCCTTCCATGGCAGCCTGGCTCGGCACTTTTAGGACACACGGGGAGCCCCATGACTCCAAAGAGGGTGTCATTTTAGCGTTTCGCAGCTCTGACGAGGAGAGAGAGGAACGGGTCCGGCAAGCTCAGTGGATTCATATGCCATTGGAGCGACAGGGGTTCTCCCTGAGCACTTGGGCCGCTGGAGGCTTCAGACGCCCTATGAACGAAGTCCTCGCTCGATTTTCCTTTCGAGCACCAAGCGCCGGCCCCATTTTTCAATGTCATCCTACTTTGAAGCTTTACAGGAGCCCATATGCGCGGTTACACTCTCTTCCTCGTACTTTCTAAAGGGCAGGCCTGGAGTCCTTCAAGGTGTAATGTGGAAGGTGGCCAACCCCGCCATTCATGGTGAGGAGAAACTAGGGAGAGGTATGGGGAGTCAACAGAGGAGCTAGAGTAGCGAGGGGGATGGTGGTGGTGATCATCATGAGAATGCAAAGGAAAAGGTGTACTCGCCGTGAACCGAGTCAATTCTTTGGGTATTCTTGGACCTGAAGGGCTGCCAGTCCTTGCGTCCAGTTGGCATTTTCGGCACACTTGGAGACTTGAATGCATACGGAGCTGGGGAACTTATGCGATACCAGGCACTGGCATTCTCGGCGGTCCGAGGGTGACGAGCCATTCTGCAAGGCGCGGACTACCCGCGCGGGGACCTAGGATCTTCATGAGCTACGACGCCTTTCTCATCCTTTACCCTCATAGTCCCTCTTCCACACCGCATTGAACCCCTCCTCATCAACCGCATACTCCTCGAGGAACTCCCTCTCTAAATCATGCGTCCTCCGTCCCAACAACACCAAGCTATGAAGCGGCCTCCCCAAATCCGCGTCACAAAGCTGCCCCAACGTCCCCGCCACAATATTTTGGTCCTCACTCCCCACCCTCGCAACACCCACCGCAAGGCTCTCCCTCGTGTACACACCCTCCTTCTTGACCTCCTCCTCGATTTCCAGCATCTGCTGCGCACACTGCGCCACCGTCATGTACCGCGGCGGCTCATAGATCTTGCGTCCGCGCGCCATGTTCTCGAGCGACTGCTCTTTTACTTTGATGTCGAGCAGGACGAGCGTGTGCAGGCCGATGGAGACGTTCTCTTTAATGCGATCGTAGAAGGAGGCCGGCTTCCAGTTGTCAAGGAAGAAGACCATGGAGACGGTTTGCCCGAAGTTGTAGAGTTGCAGCCCGGTGGTGCCGATGGAGGTGAGGATGCTGGCGTTGGGGATGGAGCGTGTGGGGATAGAGAGTTCGCGGGCGCGGAGGACGAGGTCGGTGTGCGTTGTTGCTCTGCAGAACAGTATATCAGCAACTAAAGGTCACTTCTGGCATTGAGGGAGTTTACGCACCCGAACGGATCTCCTACGACCAGGAAGGCGACGTCTACCTTGTCTGCGTCTTGTAGGATGTCGTTGCTCGACGATTCGACCATTTCGCGGTCGGCAATGATGACGGGCCGGCCATAGAAGGCTTCCTACTGCCGTGACAATTAGCTACGCTCCCATGCAAGCTCCCACAAATCTTCATGTCCTCACCAACACGTCTTTCTCCACGAGCAGAATCGCCGTATACGCCTCCAGATACACGCGCTCCGCCTTCTTCACGATCTCCAATCCCTTGAGCGTGATGTCCTTCTCGTCGGCGAGACCGAGTCCCACGAGGTACAGCATGTTTGACGCCTCCGTATATGTGTGAAAAGGGCGGAATCGTTGTGGGGGCGTCGTCGAAATTCAAAATCGAAGTTTTGGCGGGGCGCTCTCGTAGGGCTGAGCCGAGCAACGCCAAGCCCAGGCATTCACAGCCGAGCCGACCGCAGCCCAAAACGCCCTAATGGACATCGCAAACCGCAAGCCAGCCACTTCGCCCTTCAACCCCACGCATCACGACTTTTTTTGCTCGCGCGACGTGTTCTAACAGAGATTTTTGGATTCTGGGCGCTCCTGAGATCTTGGATAGGGGCCGTTGTAGACTCAAGGCATCATGTCGTCGGATAAGGACAAGATGGCGAAGTACCGGACGGAGATCCAGCAGGTGCGTAGCTTTCGCGCTTTTCTTCGTATACCCTCTCGGATTCCCTTTCATACCGAGCCTTTCTGTACGAGCCGCGGGGTTGAGCGGGCGTGCTTCCTCTCAATTGTCTGTCTTGAGCGCTTCAGCCGGCGTGATCCTTGGATCTCTCTCCTCTTCAGGCGGGTGGCTGCATATCACCTTTCCTAGAGCTCTGAGTTATCACATATTGTCCAGTTGCACTTCATATTGTGGATATGCCACTTTCTGTCTCTTCCGATCATGATGGGCTTCTTTCCGCCTAATCGTTCTCATATTTCTTTCTTTGCCCGTCTTCTCTCACTTCAACTCTGTCTCACGTCAACCGCGTATATCTATCTCATGTTTCTATACCACCCTGTCTCCCTAGCAAGCTTCGTTCCACAATCCAAGCTTCTCCACACGTACCCCATCCTGCTCCTGTCCATCACGCTCCAACCCGCCGCAATGCTGGCTCACACACCACTCTCCCGCTCCCCCTCGCCCACCTCTGTTCCTACCATCATCCTCAGCACAATGAGCTCCACCCTAACCTCCTCCATCAAGATGATGTTCGTCTCCGGCGAAACGGGCGAGCCCGCCCCCGAAACCACCACGCTCATCGAATCCATCGTTCAAGACCAAGTCCAGCACATGCTGCGCGAGTGCACCGTGCTCGCCACCCGCCGCGGCAGCAAATCCATCTCCACCGACGACCTGTTCATGCTGATTCGGCACGATCGCGCCAAAATCTCCCGTCTGCGGCACTTCCTGCAATGGAAAGACGTCCGCCGCTCAGTCAAAGACTCCGACGACAAGGGCGGCGACGCAGGCGCAGACGTCGCAGCGGGAGACGCCGATCTCGCCGCCGGCGTCGTCGGGGCAGGAAGCGGCCCCGGGCCCGAAGCCGGCAAGAAGGCGAAGCGCGCGAAAGTCGACTTGGTGTGGGACGTGCAGTCGTTCTTCGCGGAGAACCCGCCGCTCAAAGACGACGACGAGAAGGACGAAGAGGAGGAGGAAATGAACTTCGCCACGCTGCAGCGCCTCAAGAACGCCGACGAGCGCACCAAGCACATGACGCGCGAGGAGTACGTGCACTGGTCCGACTGCCGCCAAGCCTCGTTCACGTATCGCAAGGGCAAGCGGTTCAAAGAATGGGCGGGCTTCGGGCTGATCACCGACTCTAAGCCCTCCGACGACATCATCGATATCCTCGGCTTCTTGACGTTTGAAATCGTGCAGACGCTCACCGAAGAGGCGCTCAAGGTCAAGGATGCAGAGGATCTGTACAAGAAGACGACGGGCGGCATGCAGGAGAATCGGCTGAAGCGGAAGAGGGAGAGGGGTCTCTTTGATCCACCCGAGGAGGCGCGAGAGCCGGTGCAGCCGGGCCACGTTCAGGAGGCTTATAGGAGGCTGCAAAGGGGGAACAACAAGAGCAGAGCGATGCTCAACTTTACGAAGAACATCCATCGGTCGGCACTGAAGCTGGTGAGTCAATTGAGTTCTCTCCATGAGCAATGAGCGTAGGCTAACGATCCCGTAGATCTAGTCCGCTTGGATGCATTACGCGTTGGGACACGGCTGGGACGGCGTTAGGGTCTGATGTGATACCCATGGACAGGCGGTACATTTTCGGACTATCCGGTGCTGTATTTAGCATTGCTTTTGGGGTCTAACGGACTAGGGTATCTCAGGCGATAGCTCAATACACAACACCATTCCTATCCCAACAATTGGGCGGTTCACACGCACGTAGCGGGCAAACACATTCTCGGACTACTCATTTCTAGCTCAATGCATGCTACTATCCTGCTATGGACATCATGCATCGGAGTGTTAGAACGGGCAGCTTTTTCAGTTGAGCATGCGTGGAGAGAAGAGCTCTTTTGCAAAGACCCTGACGTACATGAAAACATGACCGCATATGCCCAGATAGAAAGGAGATATACGCCTCCTTTGCCATTTAAGAAAGCCCACGCCAATGTGTCATGCCGCCTGTCGCTTACTCGTCGTCTCCGCCCGCCATCGCAGCCCGCTTCTGCTGCACACGCTCCTGCCGCCTCTCCCGCGCCGCCTTCGTCTTCGCACGCTTGGCGTCCATCTCTTCCTTGAGGATCCTCTCGCGCTGCTTCTCGGCCTTGGCCTTGTGGATCTGGAAATGATGTTAGTTGCCGGACTAGAGCGATGTTGACAGATCATGATGTCATGGGCGACGTACGTGTTCAACGAGAGCACGCTTGTGCTTGAAGGTGTTACCCTTGGAGAGGTGGTACAGCTCGTGGTAGAGGTGCTTGTCGATCTTGCCAGCGGCACGGTACTTGACGAGGAGACGGCGGAGGACCCGGAGACGGCGCATCCAGAGGACTTGGCTGTGGACACGCGCATCAGCAACCATCCCAAAACATCAAATTATCGCATCTATTCGCCTTGCGTCCCCCAGAACCATTGTACTGATGATATCGCAGCTGCATACCTTGGCATACGGGAGTCCGCGGTACCCTTCCTCTTACCAAAACCGCGGTGTCGGCCAATTCGTCGAGCGGCAGTCAGGGCACGGGCACGGGCACGCGAGTGCATGGTGACGGGCTTGCGGATGATGAGGCCATCGCTAACGAGCTTGCGGATGGTTTGGCGGGAGTTGGCGTTGGAGATCTCGTTCACTTCGTTCGGGTCGAGCCAGATCTTGCGCTTTCCGCAGCCGACAACGGACGCCGCAAGGCGCTTCTGCGTGCGGAGATTGACCCTGTGAGAAATTGAGCGTCAGCACGCGACTGTAGGTGAGGTATTGGGCGTGGTGGAAGGGACTGTGCAAAGAGGGGTTATCGCCACGCTGGAAGCGCTTATCCAGCCGCACAGCGGTGCGAGAAGGGTGGCAGAAGTGTGGAATATACTGCTGGGAAAGCGCACAGCCGTATGGGGTCGCAATTCTTACATTTTGGATGATGGGTGTGTCGGCGGTCGTTGATGTTGAGGAGTTACGCCGTGCGAAATATCGAGGTGGGCACAGTCTCTCCGTTTAGCGAGTATGCCAAGGCCCTTGGCCTTCTTCGGGCTAGCGTGATCTCCTCACACTTCCTTTGCTGCACCATCTCGCACCGCTGCACGACGCATTTGCACGGGTATTACTTGACAGTTATGCTGGAATGCCCTGGAAATGCAACTATCTTCTAGTAATGCTTGTTCTGAGCTCGCTGTGCGCATCGCAATTGCTCCTCTGCTGCATTACATAAGCACTCCACGGGTGGTACGCTCATAAGTGCCGCCGGTTCTCCTCGATGCGGTCAGACGTATAGGGGGCGCTCAGGCTGTGAGATACGTGTGGGAAAGCCAAAGACGTCAGAGCACAAGCCGAAGGCGATATCTCACGATCTGTACGCACTCACTCTGAGTCATTCCGAGTCACGAGGCACCGTCTTTCCTCAAGGGTCAGCCTTACCTATTACCCGCAAGCAAGCATAGCCACACAGTCTGAATGTATGCAAGATGATTCCATATATCTATGTTCTCTATTGTAGCTTTAGGTCGTCCTCGCTCAATACACCGTATAGTTTCTCGATCTCCTGGCCGATGATGGTAAGATCCTGCGCCAGCTGTGCAGTCACCAGAGCTATACCCTCGTCAGCATGACCCATCAACGGAAAACTTGACTTACCGTAAGCATACAGCAACTCGTAGTCCTCATCCGTGGCGATTATCTTTCCTAGCCCCGTTCTCCGAAACTCGAATACCTTCGCCAGCAATCGATCCCTTGTATGCTCAATATTAGGTAATACATCGTTAAGAGGATATTCAAGCTTCATGGAAGACGCCATGACTGTCAAGATTAGTCTGGGTGTGGGTCGAATTGAAGGCGTGCTCACCGGAAAATAAATGGCTAATTCTCCAACTCAATTCCACAAACTCCCTCTTCGTGTACTTCAATATCTCCTTCTCTCCCTCGCTCTCCTTCACATCCTTCAGAATAACCACGTTCATTGCATGGAAGCTATCCAACATACGGCTCGTCGCCTCCAATATAATCTTAAAACTCTTCACCGGAAATGGGCCCTTGAGTTCGAATTCGAACGACGCCGCGTTGCACAGCGATTCGAGTTGGGTCAAGAACCTGCGGAGCTCGGTCTCTTCTCGAGGAGTCATGTAAGATGTGCCTGACTTAGGTCGACCTGAAGTAGCCGATTCTAGAAGCGAGTGGAGAGGTCCACGTTTCCAGATCAGGCCCATTTTGAGCCAGAGGAGTGAGGTTCCTTTCTTTACCTTTTTACGGGCGGAAATTGGCCAGATAAGTCGCGTGACGATGATGCCCCAGACGCATCCTACCATCACGGCGACCACACGGTGGAGTACGATCTCCCAGATTTCGGGTGATATCCCGCCCTCGTCATCATCGCCCTCCTCATCCTTAACCGAAAGCGAGTATGCGTATAGCGCCGAGAGGTTGTAGGTCAACAGAATGAAGCGACCCATAGGCCCTTTCCCCTTGCCGACGACAATGTAGAAGCACTGAAGCGAAACAAGCCAGCCAAGGAAGCCCAGCACGAAGGGGTTTTCATGGGACACAATCCATGCTACAATAGCAAAGACGGCGCCGAGGCAGGTACCGGCGAAACGCTGAAAGCCCGTAGTATTGGAGGCGCCGATAGTCTCAAAGATAATGAGCGCGGGTATATGGGTTTGGAGAGCTGACTTACCATTGAGCAGACCAACATGTACGACAATAGGCCCCATTCGCCACGCCAGTGCCCATAGAATCGCCTCGTGGCCGGGAAGAAGGCCCACATGGCGTAGAGGACAGCGCCAATACCGACCTTGACCGCGTAGCGGATATCGTCTCTTCGCAGGATGCTAAGCTTGATCCACATCCGGTATGACAGCGGTTGTTGGTCAATGGGCTTTTCGGGGTCGCCTCTGTTTGACATTCTGTAGATGGGCCTGCGAATTTCCTGGGAGAGGCCTTCAACACGGCCATTTCCAAGCAGGCTGGAGTGTTCTAGGTGTCGTTAGCTTCCTAGAACACTTTCTATGCATGCAGTCCGCTCACCGGAATCATCTCGACCCGGGGGTTTCTGGAACCAGCTCCATTTGCGCCAAATCTTCAGCCAATTCCAGGTCCTTTTGCGGGGCTGTCGATTCACATTATCGTTCAAGTCCTCCAGTATATCCAAGAAGGTGACCATGTCTTCAGCGAAATCTTGCAGCGAAGAACTGAAGTAGCCACAGCTTGCTGCTACCTCTTCGAAATCAGCGGCGACAGATACGGAGCCTGTCTTAGTGGGTATCTTATTTCTATAGACTAGGGCTAGAGCATCCTTTCTGGCATCGACGAATAGTGCGATGGCATCAACCAAGCTGTGCCGAAAGTGCTCATTGATTGCCATATTATATTCCGGACCGGGACCAAATGGAAGCTCGTCAAGAACTTCGCGAAGGGTATATGCGAGAGATTTCTAAAGATATTAGCATGTTCGACGATTTGACGACTATCACCTTACCATAGGAGGTCCTAGTTGGGCGATAAAGATCGAGAACATGTCCGCAGCGGTTAGAGTGGACTGCATTGAGTGCGGCAACCTCCAAGAACCTGAATGGTGTCTGACAGAGTCATCGTCAGACGCTTCTGCGGAGCTGCTTTCCGGGAGCTCGTCAATGGATGCGAGAATGCTGCTCCTTCGTTCGGTATGACTAAGGCTAGGAGAAATCATGGGTGAATTCTCCAGGTCTGTGTAATTGGCAGAGCTGATGGCGCTGAATCCTGGCGTCTCCGTCGGCAGTGTTCCGGTCGGCAAGTCAGCCTGCGCAAGGAGCGTGAACTGAGTCTCCGCAGCGCTACGCAGTCCACCTATACTCTGCATTAGTTGCTCGAGGCATTTGACAAGGTGAGAGGCGATCTTGTGCTCCTCTTCGGTACCAAGGACGTAGTGTTCGTACTTGGCTTCTCCGAGATTCTTGACGAGCGTGTTGTACGTGGACTTGATTTGGTTTGAGGCTTTGATAAAACTAGGGTTCTTGAGGTCTTGCTCCGCGCCTGATAGAAAGCTGCGACTGATGCTCGTCAGCATCTCGCCCATGGCATCGGTAGCTTTGATGAACGTGTCTCGAAATTCGTTTCGCGCTGAGGTAGGTCGGATCAGGAGGGAGACGGCCGCGGATGCTATGGTTCCCATGATTATCATCTTCAATACCTGCCAGACTTTGTTATAGGAGAACATTGCGGCCTGCACTGCTCCTTCCTTGGTGAGCACGGTGATCAATGCTAAGGAGGCCAAAGAGCAGCCGACGTTGACCAGAGGATTCCCCAGCCGTTGTTTTGTCCAACCAACGAGCCCTAGACCAGCGCCGCAGAATACTAGGAGCACTATTACATGCCCAAGAACAAGCAGATGATGGCCACCGAAGAACACCGACACGGCCATGCTCGAGAAGGAGACGGTAGCCGCGTACATGAACGCAGCGAAGGCAATCAGGATAGCTTGTATCATGGAACCCTGCGAGCGTGCTGGATGAAAGTACACCGTTATGGTCGCGACCATGTGCTTGCCGTCATTGCGCCCAAGCAGTGCTGCTATGCCGGGGACGAATGTCGCCAGACTGCCCAGGATGTATGCCAGGGAGCACTTTAGGATGCTTATGCCCATCGGAGAGGTAGCGGACGCATACGCGCCTTTTGCCTTCTCCTTGCAGTACTCTCTGGCGGCTACGATCTTCCCCAGCTCCCAGTGTCGATTCGAATCGGATTGCTCTGGTGCAAGCACGGACTCGGTGGGACCGTTCGACGGTCGTGATGTTCTTCGGAGCGTGAACGACTTGCGGACTCGCTCGCCGGTCTTTGGTTGGATCATGGTTGCCGACCGTAGCTATGGCTTCTTGTGAGCTGTTGTTGGCCAATGTTCAAAGGGAACTTACGCTGGGCCGCAGAAAGCGGCGCTCAGCCGGCGTCTGCGAAGACTCACTCATCGTTGCGGGCCGGTAGCGCAGAAACGCCTATCTGACAGCTTCGGACATGGCTGGAAGAGGATGTTTGACGTTGCGCGCTCTAGATGGTGTTGGTGCTTCTCCGCAGTCGCCAAGACTCAGCCACATGCGCATGGTCATCTTGCAGACAGCAACGGAGCTTACGCCCCAACGTGAAAGGATGTCCACCTGTGTGTCTCGGCAGACGGGTACCTCCCATCCGCGCGAATCGAGCACTCTACGCGCATCCTAGCTTTTATTTTGGATAGACAATGCAGTCGTCCGAATATGGCTGATGTGCATCAGCGTACCAGGGCCCTGATTGGTCCGCTCCTCCCATCTTGGCTAGCGTACCCTTACATAACGTAACTTTTCCCTACCCTGCTTCTCCCCTCGACACCATCCCTCCCCACCAACAAGAGCACCACAGCTCGGAACAAAACGAAACCCCAAAATGGAGGACGAAGACATCGCCGCCGCCATGGGATTTTCCTCCTTCGGCGGCACAAAGAAGCGAAAATTCGACCAAACCAACCCACCCAGAGCCAAGGCTGACGCCAGTGGAGCCAACACCACCTCCTTAGGAGTCAGGCCCAAGGCAGTGGTAGCGGAGGATACTGACGAGCCCGGAGACACGAAAGATGTCGATATGACCACAGATCTGGCGGAGGCCGCTCCACAATCGCACCCACGCCCACCTCCAAACACCAAGGGCAAACAAAAGCAGTCAGCAGCCACAGGTCTCGCCAGTTTTCTAGCTCGTGGCCAGAATCTCCCTGACAAGGCTCCGGGCACAGAAGGGTCCCAGACTACTATCCAACCGGTGCGAGAGGAGCCAAGCCCCGAGTATATGGTATCCTTTGGCGGCCCTGCGATCCCACGGGCCGAGCTGTATGCTCTGCGTAACGGCGTCATGGACGAGAATGGAGATACCGCGTACTTTTTGCCGAGCTTTGTCGAGGATCCGTGGGAGAACCTGACGAAGGGCCGGCAATGAGTTCCACGTCACTCGCTGCTTCGCCATAGGGGTTCTCATAGTTATTGACTCTTTGTATCTTCGACCGCGACAACCAGACACCGGAAATATATGCTCTAATCCCATCAATCAAAGAGAACCGGAAAGCTGACCTTCAGGGACCGTGGGAGCATGCTGAACGGGGCCTGTTAGAACGTTCCGTGCGAATACGATTTAGCAACATTCTACGAGTGCGCCACTGGGCATTCCTCTTTGGTATCTGACCACTTCTTCGCCTTTCGAGATTTTTAATTCTTCCTGATCGGTCCGTCGGGTCGCACTCCACCTCCATCAAGCCCGTCAAATCTCATGCCGGACGCTGGGCATGCAAACTCCCAACCTCTTGCTAGCCCTGATTCAAAGCGCTCTCAACCCGCCATGAGCATGTAACAGGCTACCCTCCGATTGGTACCATCCATACCACACCCCCTTCCATCGACAAACCAAATCGCGACCATGTGAAGAGTCTTTGCGAACGCAGATTCAGCCCCTCAGCATTACATTCCCGTCTCGCAGCTATACGTCCTCACATATACCCTCCACCGCATCCCACTAGCATCGACCGGTCAGCCCTCCGTCGACGTCAGTGCTCCGGACTCACCGCCACAGTATCACCAACGGCGAAGCGAGCACCTGGTCCCTGAACGTCGGATCATACCCCGCCTGCTCAACCCCTCCCTTCGGACCCTCGCTCGTCGACCTCGCGATCCCCGCACCAGCTGTCAGAGTCGCACTTGGGCCTCAACGACGGCCGACAACGCGTCGCACAAGATTTCATGTCACCATCGGCACGAAGCTGTCAGACGCAGAGCGGGATCTCGGTACGCTAGTGCTGCATGATATTCGTGGGTTATGCGTGGGTGGGGCACGAGGTTGCTTGCTAATGGTTCCCTTCTGGGTTGCGTGAGGTATTCCTTTCTGAGGGAGTGGAGGGGGGCTTCCAAGGAAGGCACTCCCCGGATCGGACCCCTGGCACTAGCCTGCCGTCGATCTCTTTATCCCGGAACGTTAGTCCAAGCAAGCTCACCAAGCGCGATGGCATGATAGAACTACTACCTCAGATATAGTAAACCACCACCACCTCGTTCCAAATCTTGGTTCCCCAACATCTGCAAGATATTCGTGAGGCGGAGGTACAAAACGTGCATATACGAATACCCAGGTATCACATTTCCACTCCCCAACTCCGATTGTCGGTCCCCAACCTCTACTCTCCGTCCCAGCCCCATACTCGCACAACAGGGGCCCCTCTGTTTCAGATAGCGAGCATAGCGGAACCCAACAGAAAAACGGGAGCAAGTCTGGTTGACAGAGGCACCGAGCGTTATCGTGCGGCCCAACCATCGGGAACCCTTACTGTCGCCTTGTCTAAGACACCCTCTAAGACATGCTGCGCGAGCCATGGGGTCAGAGATCGGACTTGTGTCATGTGACGAACGGCCCCCCTCCACACCACCCCAAGAAGCAAAACATCCCTAGAACGGGCGTTTCCACCACACCACTCGCGCTCTAGTCACACACCCACGAGCTTAGTCACAGCACACGCACATGATCTCATCCCACACCCGTTGGCAAACGTGCAATCGAGAACAGAATCTCATTACAAAGAAGATAGCAGATAGTCCCAATCGGGAAACTCTCACGAGGTCTTGAATCTGACAGCTCGTGACTTATATAGGCCGTTATCACGTCAACAGGGTCGTAAAAGCCACACGGTCATAGAGCAACTCCCCGTGACCCCCTAGCCACACACCCTCCCACCGAGACGCCGTCCCAAAACCAGACCCCCATAAGCAAACTGGCCTCCACTCCCTCCACCCCATTCGTCCAGCCCGCTCGAGACCTGGCAAATCACATCCCTCCACCAGCTCACCGGGCAGAGAGCGCACCGTTAAGAATGAGCCACGCGCCAAACCGACATTGGAGACGCCCAGCGAGTCAGGACATGTCCCAATTCGTCGACACGCACATAAGCGCCTTGCAGCGGGCCGAACCGAGCGCGATCGCGTTAGAATCGCTGGGAAAACTGGGAAAAAGCAACATGGCGCGTTGGCGCCAACGGGCGGCCGCTAAAGCGGCGAGCCGTCGATGAGCGGAGCGGGAACGACGGGGTGGAGCGGAGAGGAGAACGAACGAAAGGAAGGCCCGCCGATCTGTCGAAAGGAAAAGCGACGGAGGCTGTCACAGGCCGATAGTGATAGTAATTCATAGTGTTGAAGAGGTGAAAGGCAGTGCCAAGACTTTTGAAGAGAAACCGAAATGTATAGAGAAAGTCATCCACAGGGAGCCGTTTGGTGGTGGTATGGCATTTGGCGGACTAGTAGTCGACGGGCGCTGGGTACCGTCGCTGAGCGGCTTTGTATTGCTCGGGATATTTGCGTGCTGCGCGCTCGTTCAGGGAACTGTTCGCGGCGTTAGCGACTGTTCTTCAGTGACGGGTTTTCGGAAACCTACTCTACTCGCTTCTGCGTCCACTGCAGATCCTTCTGCACGTCTTTGGCGGCTCTCATGCCGTCTGCGAAGTTTGCTCGTGCGCCGGCCAATCGCCGCTGCGCCAGTGCCTGTAGCTCGAGCAGTTCGCGGTGCTTGGCGTTGAGTTCGCCGGACCTGCGCGCTTGTTAGCTCCTGCATTTCCAACCATGCGGGTCTCGAGATTCAAGATCCGGGAATCGTAGAACTTACGTTTGCGCTTGTCTCGCCAGGCTGCGATCCAACGGCGTCGGGTCGAATGAGCCGTTCACGCGGTCGCCCATGTACTCAAGGAGATCCACTCCGGCGGTCGTTCCGCTAGAGTCGTAGTCGCTTGCGCTGCCAGCATAGCTGCTAGAAGTCGCTGACGGCTCGTACGAGGGAACACCGGAAGTGGTGACGCTCTCTGGAGCCTCTGGCGGCGAGGCCGAGACGCGTCCATAGCCGTGTTGCGCCGGCGGGTAGTAGTAGCCGGGCTTGTGCGGCGCCTGGATTGGCACCGGTGCCGAGGGATAGGGTTGGTATTGGTAGTAGGCGTGTGCAGCAGACATGTTTGCTTTGTGAGGGTGTGATACACGAGGACGGGAAGGGTCAAGCTAAGTGACGAGAAGTGAAGCGTGCTTGGGGCGAAGGTATGCTGAGAGGATGATTGGAAGCTGGTGACCAGAGCAGATTGAACTTGTGCCCGGGAAAACGTTCTCTGAAATGATTGAGGAAAAGGGATTCAGAAAGAAGGACCGGCCAGTCCGCATCACGACCCCCTTTTATACCTTTGGCGGCATAGACACGGCAAGCATCTTTGTCAACGGGGGGCATGGCTCTGACCCCATCATCCCACCTCTTGCTTGTAACCCCGCTCAGCTGGTGATAAGTCTGCATAGTCCTACGTCCACTGAAACTGTTTCCCGCCGGATCCGAGGCTAGAGCCGTCATTTGGAGCGGGCTGGAAGAGCCCCCCAGGCCGTAGGCGGCAGGCGACCCACGATGGGCCGGCGGGATAAGAAGGCCGGAGCAAAGGCAATTGGCTGGTGGCAAGCTGCTAGTGGAGCAGCTACACAGCTCGTATCAGCCGAAAGGCATAGTGGAGCGAGCCCGGCGTGCAATTGCGGAGGGGGTGGGATATCGAGAGGAGTGCCGTTGCCAGGCCGGCAGTGCAGTGCTAAAGGCAGCAAGACAAGGTAAGCGCAACAGACGCGGGCGCCAGCGGGCGGGCAAAAGCAGCGAGGGCGGAAGCTGTAGGTGCATGGGTAGTATGCCTGGCGGAGCTGCTAAGTGCTGTCAAAAGTGATGCGCTGGCTCGACAGCACGCCAACGCCTTCAGCATGCAATCTGGACGGGGCATGCGGAGGAGCAGAACGTGTGCCTGGGCGCTGCAGAGCGGTGGCGGGCCATTTTGCCAGCGGATTGGCAGACGGAGCGGCAGCGCCATGGGGGACAGCGTCGAGCCCGGGGGCGTCGAGGGCAGATGGAGCAGGCGGGCCCAGAAAAGTGTGGTCGAGAAATGGAGAAATTGCTCGCGAGAGACGTCGGGCCGGCGCGAGCTGCCCCTCCATGCGTCATTCTCGCAGGCAGCGCCGGGGGCTGTCGCGCAGCTGTCGCGCCGCCGGCCGCCGCGCGGATTGGCCCATCTGGCGAGCAGCGCGCCCCAACGCCGGTCGGCTTGGCGCTTGATGCCCTACGGCTGCCAGCGATCCCTGCCCGCACCACCGCGCACGACACCTCACTCGACACCCCAATCGTAGCCGCCAGATGCTCTGCAGCAGCAGCGCCTAGTGGCGGTGAGCGGGCATGGCTCGTCTGCCATGTGACCGTCGCTGCGAGCATGCACGCAAACCCCCTGGCGTCGTGCTGGCCCGTCTGTCTGCTGCTGTCCATCCCGACAGTGACCTCGCGTCCGCTAGCCTTGCGCCGTGTGCCTTCAGCGCCGTGTTTGTCTAGTCCGCTGGCCTCATGGTTGCCATTGAGCTGTAAGACATGTGCAAAAGGCCGGGTCGGCGCCGCTGAGCCAATACGAGAGGCTCAGGCTATGTGCAGCACCGTTGCATCGGCGCCAGGACGATTTGCCTCCGCGCCGATCCGCCGTGTGGCACCGCTGTCAAAAAGTGCCATGCGAATCGCGCGTGGACAGCTGCTGAGACGGTATCGTTGCACAGGGTTCCCGAGCTGTGGGTCAGCGACGTCGGCAAAACGAGAGCTCAGGCGGCGGCTGGAGGAGCGCCAGAGACTCTAAAAGCCATTGGCTATGCGTCTATACAGTCTATCTATGGGGCGGCCCTGCATCGACTCTTCGTACGCACTCGTCAGCCTGGACCACTCCCAACCACGTAGTACCTGCTCGAGGACCGTGCCAACGCCTTCACTTCCGATGCTGTGCTAAGTGTACGTGCTCCTGTTGGCTGCAATATGCCGGGACATGACTCTAGCAAAACGGCCAGGCACGTCCTGATCCTGCTTGGCCGTCTCGATGGCTGTCAAGATCTTCTTGATGCCGACGCCAACCTCTGCACCACCCGTAATCTCCTGGATTTCCCCGATGGCTCGTTGCTGATCGCGATCTGAGAACGCACCCGATTGCTGCAGCACCTGTGCGAGCTCGGCTTGCGTGTTGACATTTGGCACCGCGATCTCTGCGTCGAACCGGCTGAACAGATCCAGCTGGGTAAGTACCGACCGCTCGGTCGTGGTTGCAAAGATCAGAAGACGACGATCCTAGCCCTATTAGCGTGTGTTCTTGCGCGTGCTGAGCTAATGGCTAACGCACCTTGGGTGGCTGCTTCTCGAGCAGAACCTTGAGTGCAACCAATACATTGTTGCTGAAGCGAGGCCCGATCGGTGCCCAATCAACCAGCATCTCGATGTTGTCGATTACGATGACACTAAGGGGGCTTTTGTATGCATCTCGGAACGTCTTGTCAAGTTGTTGTACCTTCTGCATCTCGCTAAAGCCAACCATGTCCTCGGGTGACACAAGTTTGATGAACGGGAAGTCCGAGTCCATGGCCATTTTCGCAGCGAGGGCCGTTTTGCCGCTTCCAGGAGGACCATGCAGGGCAACAGACAGGACAGGGGTGGATTTCCTAACCTAGAAAGGTGGCGGTACACTTAGCACATGTCTCAGATAGGGATGGTGGGGGCTTAAGGGGACACTTCAGCATGTCTGCAGTCTCTTTACCCTGCTGAAGGCCCTGAGCAGGAGCTTTCCGCAGTGAAAAGCTGAGATACATATGCTGGGTTGTGTACCGCGCGCAACCTACGTACCTGGTTGATATAGAGCCTCCCTTCCTCTAGGATGTCGTGGATGAAGGACGAGTAGTGTATGATACCGCGAAGAATGCGCTGTCCAAGCTCCTCCTCTGCGACACCAAAGAGCGGCTTCACTTCGTCAAGGGCGTTCATGAAGTCCTGGCGGTTCACCTTCATGTTCTCTACGTCCGAATTGATGGATGCCATCGTGCCGACCTTGATATGGCGACTGAAGGCGAATGACGATGCTGCCTTTACCAGACCGTTGATTTCAGCGCCCGAGAAGTTCTTCGTAAGTTTAGCCAGCTCATCGATGTTAACATCGCTGTCTATGACATTGTTGCTGCGCATCTTCGCCGTGTGGATTTTCATAATCTGAGCACGCCCAGCTTCATCCGGGAGTGATATTTCCATGTGAACCTCCAAACGACCGGCACGCAGGAGGGCCTCATCGATCATGTCCATTCGGTTGGTCATGCCGATGAGAAGTATATTGTTCAGCTGGTCCACACCATCGAGCTTGGAAAGCAGCTGGTTGACGACACTGTCGCCGACCCCTGTTCCGCCTGTGCTAGACCCTCTCTGTTTGCAGACAGCGTCCAGTTCGTCGAAGATGATGATGTGAAGGCCGCTCTCATCGCCCTTCTCTTTGTACTCTTTCTCTGCATCTGCGAAAAGCTTACGGATGTTTTCTTCAGACTGACCAACGTATTTGTTTAGCACTTCGGGGCCGTTGATAACTTTTGGCTCTCTCGCATTCAGCATCTTGCCAATTTGACGCGCTATCAAGGTTTTGCCTGTCCCCGGGGGACCGTAGAGCAGAATTCCTCGCACATGCTGGATACCGAGCTTGTCAACAAGACCCGGCGGGAAAATTCGAGAAGCGAAGGCTCTCCGGAAGATGGCGCTAAACTCAGTATCCAAGCCGCCGATACCCATATCTTCGAACTTGAAGCCTGGCTGAACAATGGCATTTGCAGCAGGACGCCTGTTGGAGGCCTTGAGCTTGATGTCGGTCCGCGCATCCTTGAAGAAATCAACTTGTGAGTGTCGAGTGAGAATACCTCGGGCGTTGGGATCAGTGAGTGGGTTTCCAGATGCAGTCTCTTTCTCCATCGAGAGATCGACCAGCTGAACCGTCCGTACCGTCATGCGGAGGACGATATTCCTGATGTCCATAAGGACCTGCTGGCCAGGGGCGAGAATCTGGTTCTCGAAGTTCTAAATAACGTCAGCTGTTATTCCCAGGCAGCGGAGCTACAAGCGCACCTTCTTGAACGCTGTCGCGAGTTCGTCTTGGTCGTACTGTGTATCGGTGGTCTTTCTCGTAGCGAACCCAACTTCCACTTCAATGTTGCCCAGATATGACTGCCCGCCTTGACTGAATGCATCATATGGCTCAACGGTGACCATATCCTGCGGTCCAAGCGAGATTCCTGCCCATGTTCGCTGCGCGTCCGTGAGGCCAATCTCGCCTGGGCGACACCCTTCAGTAGGCCTTGCGGATAATACATAGTTGCGGTTTACCCGGATGTAGGTGTCGGAGCCGTCGCGAGTAGGCGGGAAGTCCTGGGGAGAAACTGCCACTCTGCACAGGGGTTAGCAGAGGGATAATAAACCGGAGAGACTCGGGCTCACAAGTTTCCAAATGCGTACGCATTGCCCCCAGGGCTTTTGATGGGCCGTAGGTGCATAGTTCTGGACATGCTGGGTGGCATACCGCTCTGAGGACCTCCTCGCATAGGCACACGTTGTTGAGCGCCTGGCCCTGGGCCATAGCCCGGTGGAGGCTGTTGGTCTTCATAGCCACTCATTCTAGTATCGTTGTACGCAGGGGAGCGAGGCGGTGGTTGTTGTTGCGGGGCCCGACCATAGCCGTCGTTGTTACGATTTGGGGGCCGCGGTGAGCTCCCGGGGAGCCCGGGGAGTCTGTCCCGGTTGAACATGGTATAGATATAGGTAGGCGTGAGCGCCTTCAAGGAAGGAACGGCAGTAGTATATGTAGGGTATCAGCGGCGACTGCCTGGAGGGGTGGGCCACGGTGTCGAGTTCGGATCTCAGGCCCTCTGAGACTTCTGCGCCCTTTCGAATTACGTGATTTGAGCTAATATCCAAAGTAGTATCGAGTCGGTAAGTGCAACGTAGCAACTGTTTTGCAAAGTTGTGGATGTTGTCGCATTGCGGTTTGGGATTCAGCTATTCGGAGGTGCTCAAGAAGCTCGGGCCAATCACCCGCCACACTGACGTGCGCCTCGGAACGCCACGTGCGCCAAGGTGTCCAGGTGGGCGTGCCTGCCTCAGCGTGTTTGTGGTTCATTCTATTACACTCTATGGTGATCAAAGCCCTCCCGGGGGCCTCTAACAGGCCAAGATAAACGCGACAGTTCATGCGGAAGTATTAGAAGCCCTTGCCAGGGTGAACGGATTCTCCGCCCCCGTACCAGAGGGTCCCGTTACGACAGTCCAACCCTTTCTCTTCGCCGACCAGCCAATCTCCTCCGTCTGGTATCTGCCCATCGTGGAACTCTGGCCAGAATTCCTTCTGGAGCCTCTCGTTGATCTCTTCGATCTTCCCGATGAAGGCCTCCATTTTTGGCGGCTCGTAGGCGCCTGCTTCGTCCGCAAAATCGCTGCGGTTAATAAATCGCCCAATGGTCAGATGACTTGAAGGAACCACGTATCTAGAATCGACTGAGACACCTGTTTCCAGGCACAAGTTGTACACATCCCGACGGAGATGATGGTACGTGTACTTGTCGTCTTCCGCCGTCCTTCCGGAATGGAGGCCTTCGCCGGATGCGGGAACGAAGCTCAAAGCTAGTGCGGACGCGTCAAAGCCAACCATGGGCTTGATTAGACGTGCGCGATGGTTGAAGGTGTAGTCGGTGATAGGAGGGATCTTCTCTCGCATCATGTGAACTAGGTGTTGGATGTCTTCATTAGTTTTTGAATGCGTGATCTCCAGCACGGTGATGTGCAGACAGTCCTGAGGCATGAGCCAGAGGTCTATTCTATGTTAAACTGTGAATCAAGGGGTACGTGCTCCGTGGGCGACCCTTGGAAACCTACTTGGGGCGACGGTGGCAAGTTCTTGCTGCACCTGGTTGATCAGATCCTTGATTCTCTGCGTAGGGCGTCCCCAAAAGACCAGGCAGTGCCGCGGATCGACGTATCCCGGCTCAACAGTATGGTCGTTTAATCGAAGCAGGATAGGGTCGATACTCGGTCCGGCGAACTGCTTGTCTAGCATCTTGGCCTTTTGTTGCGCATTCCTTGTGGTTCGATGGATCGTATATCGTGACTGTATCTGAGCCTGCAGTGGCGTGTTAGCATGGCTTCAGAGCTATAATACGGGGCTCAACTACTGGATCATCTTCTGAAGCAGCAATTAGAGCATCGTATGGGTTGCTGAAGGCCTCCGCTGAGACGCCGCTGAGGTCTTCGAAAGTATTGCTGGTGTGGACTGGTAGCGGGGCGTGCTCGGACATAGTGAGAGAGTTGCTCTGCAAAGGGTAGGAGGTGAGAGAGCTCAGTAGCTACTCGGGCAGACTTCATTACATTCAAATATTGTGGGAGTCTTCAGCTGTCGCGGGAGCATTGTGGCAGCGCTTGCCCTAATATGACAGGCGCCTTACCAAGTAAAGTAGCCCGCCCGCCTCCATTTATCACTCCCCTCCAACGGGCGTTCATCCCTAGGAACTGTGACTCTTCTCATCTTTTCAATCACTAGGGTATGATTGGCGTCTTTTTTCAACTCTGTAAAGGAGTCTGTGCAAGAGTCGCTACAGCACGTGATCGCGTTAGCGCGGGCGCGACACGGCGGGACGCGTGCATATTGTGGTGTCTCACCTGCACGAGCTTTTTCTTACCCTTACCAACGATCCCCTCTCAATTGGGCACCAATCTTTTGGGTTTTGGTTCTCTCTTACACGACTACACTTTGTTGTCCATGTGCGACTGCCAAACGCACCTTTCGAACGCGTCTTGTGGATTCATGGGATGTCGTCGATCCCCCAATTGTCCGCCAAAGCGAAGAAACGACCGCGAAGGGCATCGTCTTTGAGCTACGATGGCGACACGATACATGTCGCCAGCGCTCAACCAAAAGCGGAGTCTAGCTTTGCCGTGCAATCACCTCGGACACCCTTGAAGGAGACAGCGGGAGGAGCCAAAACTACCAAAAGAAGTCGAATCGTGACACACGTCGGGAGTACGCCTCACGAGACTCTCTCTTACTCTAAGGATAATAAGCTAATACAGCATAGTTAAGCGCCAGTCACAATCCCCGTCCCAGCCATTCCAATCTCGACTAGCGTCCGCTCATTCATCGTCCACTCGTCAACTGCACGTACCGTCATGGCGGCGGCTGGGTATCGAGCTCAAGCCCGAGAGACGACTTCACAACGATTATGCGTCCCTCTTAAGAGAGCCTCCCCTCAGAAGCATTCATAATGCGGCGGATAGCGGTTATGCGTTGCCTGCGGTGGCTACGGATGGTCGACAGGACGGCGACATCGACTTAAGCCCGGTGCGCGTTGGTGTGCAAAGTACCCATTTAGCCAGTCTTTCAGCTGGAAGTGAGGGGCATGAGGTCCTCGAAGATACGGAGCTGGTCATTAGCGAATTGGAATCCAGTCCAAAGCACAGTCAGTCTACCAGACTGCGACGCCGCGCTGCTAGGGTATCATACGTGGAAGCCCCAATTAATGACGCTTCAGATAGTGAAGATATCGAGGACAAGGCAACCGCATCGGACAGCTACACTTCCCCAGCATCGGACAACGAGAGCGAATCCATGGATGCCGCAGAATCTTCTGAGGCCACAACTCTGACAGATGAAGAGGCAGTAGATAATGCCTTCACCAGACCGAGGAAGCGGAAGAGTACGACATCAAGGAAGGCTTGCGGCAAACCGAAACCAGGCAAGGGCGTCGATCTAAGTCTTCCACCTTTGGACAATGTTGAAGACATCTTTGGGGACATGGCCTCACAAGCTCTCCACCTCGGCCTAGGCGAAGCGTTGGAAAACGTCAGACGTCCGCTGAACGTAGCCACTATGCTCTCTGGGACGGAGTCGCCTCTCATTGCCCTAGATTTGCTCTCGAAAGCTCTCGAGAAGAAAGGGAGGCCTTCAATACGCGTGAATCACCATTTCAGCGCCGAGATCGATGTTGTTAAGCAAGGCTATATCGAGCGCAACTTTCGCCCGAAGAAGCTCTTCCGAGACGTCCGCGAATTCATCCCGGACGATGCCAAAACCGCAATGACGGCATATGGAGCAGAAGAATCAATCCCAGGTGAGCTTGACATTCTGATTGCCGGTTTCGTCTGCAAGGATCTGTCTCGACTCAACAACCATCAGAAGGGCCTAGATGATGAAGGGCAGTCAGGTGACACTTGGAGGGCCATCTACTCCTACAGCAAGCGGTTCAGGCCAAGTGTCGTATTGATCGAGAATGTCCAGAACACCATCAAATTCTGGGACAGCTTCGAAAGCAAGTGGGCCGCCATCGGATACGAATACGCCTGGATGACCTGCGATACTAAGAATTACTACATCCCGCAGACACGGAACCGGATGTACATGGTCGCAATCGAACGGTTCCTTTTCGGAGAAAACGTCGATGGAGCCGTCGCGCAATGGAAGCACACGATGCGGAAGCTGCAGCGTCAGTGCAGTAGCCCTTTCGATGCCTTTATAGCCAACGATAATTCGGATCAGTACGAGTACAGCAGTCTTGCTTCTGAGCCTCACTGGGCTCGGTGCAAGTTACGATATGATCAGATCCGGTCAGAGCAACGGTTGGGCACTCGGCGGCCAGTAACGCGGTGGAGCGAGAATGGGACTGTACGGCCCCCTGATTTCGCTAATCGTAAATTTTATCTTTCCCAATCGTCAAGAGTGTACGATTGCATAGACGTCGCGCATCTTCAAGGTGTTCAGAAAGGGTTTGATTCCCTGCACAAGATGGCCATTTGGGACGTATCGCAGAACGTCGTAAGCCAACCCCAGGGTAGAATTGCCGAACATTTGCTAACCTATTCTCCACAGGACCGTTTCATGGCTAACAAGGCTAACTTCGGGATTGTTTCCTGCATTACCCCCAAAGGATGCAACTTTGTCAGTAATAAGCAGACAGCCCTGACAGGTAGTCAGCTTCTATTACTCCAAGGCATGCCTTACGATAAGCTTCTCTTCGCGAACGAGACACAGAAAGATCGCCAGGACCTTGCTGGAAATGCCATGACTACGACTGTTATCGGCGCATCAATAGTGTCTGCTCTGATTTCGGGCAGCAAAGCTTTTCGGAGAGTCACTCCGCCCGAAAGTCCAGACTCTAACACTGTCGATAGACGGAAGGTCGCGCTCATAGAGGCAAAGGGGATGCAGAAGCAGGTTCAACCACCCCCAGATGTTCCGTCAATAGATATTGGTGAACTGATCGAGGACGCAAAACTCAGTTCGCGGCTTTGCAACTGTGAAGGGACGAGACAACTTTCGAAAGCGGTCGTGCGCATCTGTAGCCAATGCGGGCATACAGCTTGTTCAGACTGTGCCGGCAACCCGTCACACAACTATGGGACCACAATCACGCCTAGTCAACGGAAGCAAACCCCAGGCGACTTCGAACGGAAATGGTGGCCTCACTTTCCAGCTCGCCTAAAGTTTAGCGACTTTCCCGGAGCTAGAAAACTCAAGACTTACCTCAAGCCCTCGGGCGGCAACGCTTGGGAAGCCTTCGTCAACCGATTTGATGATTCGGACATCCAATCGCAGTTCTTCTCCATCTACGAATTTAAGCGACTCGACAAGTGTTGGAAGGTTTCCTATGCGTCGCCTGAAGCAATCTTGGAGCTTCTCGTCGCGGATCAGATCCAGTGGCGGCTGTACCTCCTATGCCCAGCTTCTGAACCAGGGAATAGTCCTCTTCGAAAAGCTCTCTCGCAGCCGCTCGCTCGTGGCTTTGTTCAGTCAAACATCCTCAATCCAGTGTGGCAACTGTACATCCCTCAAGCCAGCCTAAGTACGCTACAACTGTCTGGTTCCCCGGAGCGAACCAACTCATGGAGGAGCCGCCTAGGGCTCCCAGAATACAAAGCTGAGACAGTGCCGCTTCATCTCCAGGTTAAGGGCGATTCTGACCAGAGTAACAAACTCACGGGGCGGTACAGCCTACTTCCGCACTGTGGAACGGCAGCCTGCAGCCTATATAAGGCCGACAAGGCTAATGGCAGTGCTCTTTACCTGTTCCTTGAGCAAGACCCGATTGGTCCCAGCCATGAGGATTCGTTTACTTTCAGCTACAATTGCCGCCGACTGTCGTACGGCGAGGCACGAAGTATAGAGGCCCGCATTGATCCATCATGGCGTCCGTGGAATATGACTTCTGGGGCCGCTTGCAACGTCAAGGCTACCATACCTGGATTCTGGGCATCTGATAAAGTTACTCTTGTAGAAGCGGATTTGCGCATCAAAGTTCGAATACCGTCAGAGTCGGCGTTATCAGCATCATCAGAGTCGTGGGGTGGTGACTGCTCCCGTGCAGTCACCATCCTGGACATCAAGGCAAAGGAGCTTCTCAACACAGAGAATCTCTCCCAGTATGCCTGGGTACTTGGACGAGCGAAAACTCTTCCCTCATTCACGGAATGGCAGTATATCAATGTCAACCGCCCCCAAGGATGCGGGTGCTCGCCTACCTATCCACGTATCCTGTGGAGCGTCGACGACGATGGTGCAGCCACAGCACATGAGGATCGTCAAGCTGCGGCGCTTTTCGAACGCACGCTCAAAACCCGCTGCCCTATCTTCCATATCAGCCCTTCTAGCTCTTCGACAACCAAAACGCGCATCCAAGTCGGCGTCAACATATCTTCCCTGATGCATCGAGCCAGGAACAGACTGACCACGACGGCGCACACCAGTGCCTGGAGGCTCGTAACAAATCATGGGGCCTCCGCTCCGATACGATTTCCCCAACTCCATCTGCAGAGCAATACATCCGATACCCCGTATGCTGGCCCGCTTAGACTCAAGTACGAGCTTGGCGAGGCCCAGGAGCGGGCCTTGACTTGGATGAGGGCCCAAGAATCAGGGAACGAATTAAAGCTCGTGGAGGTTGAGGAAGCCATACATCTTGAGCTTGGGTGGAGGGCCGAAGCGAAGGCGGAAGCCGTTGTCAACGTTCGCGGCGGTGTCCTAGCTGACCTTCCATCGTTCGGCAAGACGGTCACTACCATAGCTCTCATCAACAGTGAGTTCACGCAACATATGCCTGAAACCATTCTCAAGCAGAACCGCACAGAGTCTACGCCTAGCCTGATTGACTTAGCGGCCACGTTGATCGTATGCCCACCCCACATTGCTCCACAATGGCGAACTGAGTTGGAGAATTGCTTAGGCGCCAACCAGTACAACATCTACAACGTTCTCCTTCTAGAGCGCTTCTCGGACCTGCAGTCCTTGACCATGGAGGAGTTCCGGAAAGCTAGGGTCATCATCGTATCCTGGAGTGTCTTCGCGGATGAGGAGTACATATCCCAGCTCGCAAGTTTCTCTGCAATGCCCCTACCCGCTGTCACAAAGGGTCGAGCCTTCAACGCCTGGTTGGATTACATGTCACAGCACATGCCCGACCGCATGCAGGCATTCCTAAGCCTGAGCACATCAGATTTTGGTACCACTACGCGGAAACTGCTCGGAGAGCGATTGGCACATCCAGACTTTAGAGCCACAGTGCCGCTCAAAGTCGAGCGTGGCAGTGCTTATCAATCCTTCAACGCCATAAACGCGCTAAAACGGTCTGAGTCCAAAAAGGCATCCCAAGTCAAAAGAAAGAGCTCTCCAACTAACAGCCGCGCACCTGGATCAGTCCCTCTCTTCCAGATGTTCCACTTCAACCGGATCGTGGTAGACGAGTATCACTACCTGCACGATAGCAAGAACAGCGAGAACTATACGGCCTGTGCTGCGATCAAACGCATTTCCGCTCCCAAACGATGGATCATATCTGGGACTCCTGCCTTGGCTAATTTTTCAGATGTCAACCAAATTGCATCTTTTCTCGGGGTCAAGCTCGGCAGGGACGTTTATGGGGACGGCACCGCGGAGTCGGAGAAGAAGCATATGGCTGAACAGACCGATGTTGAGAAATTCTTGTCGCGCACAGAGACCATGTCGCACTATTGGCACAAAGCGCGCCATGAACGAGCGCAAGACTTCCTCGATCGCTTTGTCCGACGAAACGAACCATCCCTTCAACACATCCACTGCTCAGAGGTCCTTCGGCCTATAGATCTCGGTGTTGCACACCACGTCGTATACCTCGAGCTCTCGCAGTATCTGATCTCGCAGCGGATGCAGATCAAGAGGCCTAGGAACAAGCCTGGCTCAGACCGGGTCGAAAGGCTCAATGCTAGTTTGAGTAATTCTGCGACGGCCGAAGAAGCCCTTCTAAAGAATACGCTCTTTCATCGAACGGTGAGTGGAAAGTCTGGCCTGGAAGCGCTGATAGAGACACGACAGGAGCAGCGCGAGAGCACCCAAGCGGATCTCCTGACGATTGCGAAAGACCTGAAAGAAAAGTGCCTAGAGAGGTTGAACGACACGGCAGAAGACTACTACCTCAGCTTTAAGCGAGACATGGACTCTGGTAACATGCTTGGCGACGAGGTTGCCCGCCAGTGCGTTCGGACGTTGCTCGCTCATGCAGAGGAGGCTTCAACGTCGACTAAGCGAACGAGCAAGAGAGTCACGTCTCAGAAGGAGCTGACGCAGCTCAAAGACCTTGCGTCAGAGCTACGTTCCACGGCTCAGGATTTGACTCTCATGGTCAGAGCTGAGAGATTCGTCGCTTCCATAAAGCCCCTACTTCCATTTCTTATCCAAGGTGGTCAAGATGCTCAGCAACACACCTGTGACTCTTCTGGATGCCCCGGGACCGCGGACTTTTCTCAGCTCTTCCTCATCCCTCACTGCGGGCATACGGCGTGTCAAGCTTGTGTACAAGCGAGAGCTGACACCGAGGCTTGCGTACACATGGGTTGCGAGGTGCCCGTGCAGAGCAGTAACTTGATCAAAGTGTCAAACCTGCAATCTTCGAAAGAGAAGTTGTCGAAGAGCTTTGGGAAGAAGCTGGATGCCGTGTGTAGGTTGATCAAGACCACTCCTCGGGGTGATCAGTGTCTGGTGTTCGTACCCAATGACGAGGCGGTGGGCTCTGTGGAAGAGGTCTTCAATAGTCAATACATCTCGTACCATTCAGTCGGCAAAGGCCGGAGCGCTGCGAAGCTTATAGAAGACTTCAGGACCAACAAGGATCCGACGAGCAGGAAGAAGGTGCTTATTCTTGATCTCGCAAGCGAGTCTGCAGCCGGCGCGTAAGTTGCTCAATTGGCTATCCATAAAGGGCAGTGGCTGACTCCTCCAGCAACCTTGTGAACGCCAATCACGTTATCTTCGTGTCTCCGCTGCTCGCAAAAAGCCAATACCAGTACGACTCCGCCATGGCACAGGCTATCGCCAGGTGCCGGCGATACCGTCAAGAGAAGAAGGTGCACATCTACCACTTCGCCGCCCTGCAGACCATCGACGTCGATATCTTGGAGCACCAACACAAGCGGTTCGACGCCATTCACGGCCCGGGATCACCAATGCAGACGCCACCGAAGTCCAGTAAGAAAGAGAAGACCCGACTGGTGCGGAATGTCGAGGGTGCGATGGCTCTGCTGCCAGTCTCCTGGCTCGCGAATGAGACATATCGCGAGATGATGGGTATCGAAGAGGAGGACCCACCAAGTTTCACGTCACTGATCAGTTTTTCAGAGATGTTTGAGGACGGCGACGAGTAGCGCTTCGACTTCTCATGTCGGCGGCCGAGACCTTCCTTTGTACATTGTACATCAAAATTTGTGGCAAAATTTCGGTTTGTGAGTTCGGCGATGCTTTACTAGTCATGCCCGCATTATACCCAATATATTTTAATTCGCAGCTTTTCAAAGCATTCGTTTGTCCTCCGCTTGCGTTACCTAGGATGTTCGCATTAGTTCACGTGGTACAGGCTTTGCTTAAACTACAGGCAAGTGTCGTGGACCGGTGACACGAACAGGTGTTTGCTGTTACGTGGACGTGGTAAAGGGCATGGCTATGACAACCACTGGACACATTCGCACCCCTCTTGCTTGCCAGTCTAGTCTACTTGAAGCAAACAACTCCTGGCATTCTTACGACCTCCGCCCATCCCTTCTGGACCTACGCTCCGTGTTCTGCTCGTGTTTGAGGAAAGATGGCTACATGCACGCCTACCAGGGACGACCCCCGGAGCCCGTTCTCTACTTTTCAGAACTCAGACTACAGCCGAGAATCTCATTACGATGTCCCTAAGACGACAGACTGGAAGTCATTTGGAAGATATAACACCTCTGCGCATGCCGCGAATCCAGTCTACCGGCCACCCCGTTACATGCCACCGTGTACTCCACTCGCGCCATCTTTCCGTCCGTACCATCATTGGCGAGGCTCCTATCATGCCTGCCGAAGCGATCATCACTGGCCATACTGGCCAGGAAATTCGTATGTCAGCTCGGAGGAGTCGTTCACGGTTCCGTCAGAGCCGGTGCCCTCTCCCTTCCGTGGCCAGTGGAGCTTTGAAAGCGCCTTTGCGGAAGGAAAGGAGAACCACGCTGAGACTAGACCTGTTTCGCCATTGGGGCATGTAAGAGCAAGCAGTGAGACGGGGAAAGCTGAGGGGTATCAGCCGGGATATGCGGAGACGATATCAGACGGTGACGAGGATCGGGGCGGACAAACGGAAGAAGCAAGAAGCGGCGAAGGAGACCACCCGAAACCAGATGGGCCGCACAAGACCACCAAACATGCGACGAATGTAGACGCGACGACCGACGAGAGAATTGAGCCTTTGCCCTGGATGGCGGCAGCCAGTTCTTCTTGTCCAGGCAGACGAAGTCCACTTCCCAGTATCGACCACCTTCACGGCACCGAATCAGACCTGCTCGAGCGATGGCATACCCTTCTGGCTCGCGAAGCCAAACTCATCACCCGCGAGACTTGCCTCGAAGAAGCTGAAACACGTCTAACAGCACAGATGCAACAGCTCGCTCAAGATAGGAATGAGCTGGCAGTCAGAGAGCGCCAAGTTCGAGGGTTGCAATACGAATTGCAAATGGAGCAGCATCGCTTCAACGAGGAACGGCGTCGCCCGGCGCCGCAGTATGAACGCAGGAGTTGGCACTGGCAACCTGATGTCTGGGCCCAAGAGATGGACCTAGACAGCGAGTGCGACGAGGAGGCGGCCGGCGGAAGTAGTTGGGAGGATGATGTCGAATGGACGAGCACGGAGAGGGCTGATGCCTTAGGAGGTATGGAAGCGGATCCTGAAGGTATGTGATGCTCGAAGCCCATAGGGTCAGCGCTGATGCTTTTGATTGCAGCCGGGAGGAAGGCCTTCGAGGAATACGATACTCACTGGGAGGCCGTCCGGCAACCGCAACTGCAGCCCCACCTTACTTCTACTACAGCACGAATCCGCTTTCCAACTATCACCGGCGACCCTTCCGATTTGCTCATCCCTACTACCCGCTCCACCTCTCGCGTCTCAACATACCGCTTTCTCCGTACCTTTCGCTTCCAAAGCCAAGATGACCTCGTCCGCTTCAACGTCTATGCTTTCTTCCTCGACGCCTTCTGCATTCCCTTCTCACACAGTCTGCTTCAATATTCCATTCCATTGTGCGGCGAATTTGGTACCCTTGAAGCAGTTCTAGACTTTCCAGCCGCTGGTGCGGAGAAAACGAAGCGGCTGAGGGATCATCTGCTGAAGAAAGAGTTTAATCGGTGGCATCCCGATAAGCTAGGGAGGTTTGGCAGCGAGGCAAAGGAGGTAGTGAGCAGGGACGGGAGGATCAGGATAAGTGAGAGGGAGGTTGCGGCCTGTGTGGATCGAGCGGTCAGGAGGTTGAAGGCGGAGTGTGATGAGGCGTTGAGAATTGGGCTGAGGAGTTAGTCTGCTGAGAATCTCTCTAGCCCACAGCCCATAGCTTGTCTTCTTACCGTCTACCTTCTTCCCATGCCTTCTCTTTCTCGCGTTTCACAATCTCGCCTCGCGCATGTGTTCGGCCGAGTTCGTTCGGCCTTCACGTATTTCTGGTTCGCTAGACCCGAATAGGATAACGCTGCCCATGTTTTAGACTTTCCACGTTGATACCACGTCGTTCTCGATTTCAGGTCGCCGCTTACTTTGCCCAGGCGACAGATGATTGATACGGGTACAAGCGCGATGGATGCTGCTATGATATATCAGGAAACTGCTGAAGCGCAGTGTTCGATGGCAGGTCTGAAGTTTGCCTTAATAGGTATGTTGAAAGCTTGTGTAGATCAGGGACCGATATAGAGGATGCTTAGTCCTTCCGGGACAACGCAGGAGTCCCGTGGGGTGGTGCGTATTGGGCCAGATCAGGGATATGCGGCTAGCTACTACATGCTCCGGTCGCCGCGATGCCGTGAGTTCCTCTTCTAATATCCCAGTCCACGAAGGCGTCAAAGGGCTGGACGGGTTGCGCTCTCTCTCTTCTACTTGGATCAAGTACTTTCAGATTTAATATTTACTCCAAGAATGAGATTACGCCATGTAGCCACAAAGAGGGATCAGCATTCAGACGCTAGGACAGTACCTCAATAACCAAGCCCTTCCTCCCCCTTGCCACGAACGGCGCGAAGCAATCATGCTTCGCTTCCACATCGATCCTCTCCACGCCCTCCGCTAGCCGAACATCAAACTTCGCAAACAGATTCCCAATCCCCATAAATATTTCCGCCATCGCTAGATTTCTCCCTACACAACTGCGCGCACCACGCCCGAACGCAGCAAAGTGCTTCTCGCTCATGGTTTTCTCAGCGCCGAGGAAGCGCTCCGGCTTGAATGTCCAGGGGTCCGGGAAGTTCTTGGCGTTGTAGTGCAGGTCACGGATCGTCATGGAGACGGCATAGCCGGCGGGGATAAGGTAGGTAGTCGAAGTGGTGGGGGAGTGATAAGTTGTAGGCTGGGATTTGTTGATCCGAGGGAGACGACCACTGACGCCGGTTGCTAGACGGAGACCTTCCATGATGCAGGCGTTGAGGTAGGGTAGGTTCTCCAGCTGCTTGTAACTGAGGACATCTCGCAGCTCCTCGTCGGAAATGTAGTCCCGTATCTCTTTCTTCAGCCTCTTGAGTACATCCGGATTGTCCAAAATGTGATAAGCAGTTGTAATCAGCGAATGGCCCGTCGTCTCACTCCCGGCTCCAATGAGAATAGCCATCTCTTCAAACAACCTCTTGTGTGTCTTCTCGTGCGGCGGAAGGTCTTCCGACTTGTATACTTCATTCATAATGACCGGGTAGTCCTTGCTGCTGATCGGCTTCCCTTGGTTCTCAATCACTCGTCGAGCCTGCCTCTTCTGGTCCTCTAGTGCATCCACAATATCCAAAGCCGTTTTGCCCTGCAGCCCTGCTACCCATCTCGGCATCGACTGCATGATGGAGAGCACGTAGTAGAAGTGCCTGTTCCACAGCGCTAGCTCAGTTATGTCGCGCATGAAGTTGGAGTGTTGTGTGCCGAAATCCGGGCTCTGGACCAGGTTCATGGACTCCGGGAGGGCCAAGTCGGTCACGATGTCGACGGCAATGGAACGGAAGGCCGCGCTTAGTGGCACGAGCTCTTTCTTCTTCCCGCACTCCTCGATCCGGTCAAAGAAGTCTCTGAAGTGGCCCTTCAGGACGCTCTCGATGCGGGAAATGCTTTGGACGGAGAAGGCCTTCTTGATGACAGTGCTGCGCAGTTTGTGTTGGTCTGGGTCGATGGTTGCGAAGATCGAGCCGTCGCGGTTAAGCCACGAGTAGAACCATGGATCTTTGTAAAGCCTGTTTGTCACGTTGTATTGCTCGTTGAAGAAGGCAGGGTCGTCAATGTGGACTTCGTAGGGGTTTATCCGGACGACGGGACCTCCCGGAAAAGCATTAGCCAAGCTCTGTTGTTCTAGGATATAGGAAGTTGTACCGTATACCTTATGCATCCTCTCAATTTCCTCATAATACCTCCCCATCTTGATAGCATCGTAGTAAAACTCGTACCACCTCGTCGCAGCCGCAAGTTTGGGTCCTGGTATCGATGAGAGAGGACTGAACCAGATACGATAGATATATATCACGACGGTATACGCAATCAGCGTGACTATGGCTGCAGGAAGAAGATGGAAAGACTCGGAGGTGAGCACCCCTACAATAGAAGAAATCGCCATGGTCGGGAAGAATGAACACCCAAAGCAAACAAAAAGACACCTACGATCGAGGATATATCTTTCAGATGGAACGCCTCGCTGCTTATATCCTGAAGCTGCAACAAGCGTTGAAGATCTGACATCGCCGTATCAAGGGTGCATGCGGCGGGCTTCAGGCCGCCCGTGTGGCCATATTCTCCCAACCAATGACCTCCGTCACATATTTGACGGGCGTATATCAGTCGGCAAACGTTGCAGGATCATGTGGTGGAGAAGGAAAGAATGATGTAACACCTCCATTTCTTGGCCAGCGTTGACCTAATCGGGCTTAGCGCCCGCTAATAGCTTCGCGTCAACCCATTTCTAATGCGCCGGTATCTTTACACAGTTTGAGGGCAATGCTGCACTTCTATCATTCTCATTGAGCAATTAACTAATCTGAGGCACTAGTATAGCAAGAAGACAAGCAGGAATCAGAAAAGGCATGTGCTGGACCGTCAGATCGATGACCGGGCAAGGTGGCTTGAAGTCATCGTAAAGCCCACACGAATGCGAAATGCATTACGAAGGCAATCGGGAAACACGACTTGAAGCCTGAACCACCGATTCCATTCACGGAGAATAGCTGCATGCGCAGTACCAGCTATCTATACTCGCCAAGGCGCAGAGCCAATTCCCAATGGTTCCCCAAAATCCTACGCCCGCTATCAAACAGCAATAAAAGAGCGTGGGTTTGCGAGGCCCTATATAAAAACAACAAGCCAAGAATCCAAGGTCATTCTGTCGTAAGATCCCATTACAGTTGTTCCTGCGCCCAAGCCCGACCGCCTGTAAGCCTTGAGATCGTAGAACGCCGGTCATAAACGTTCGTTAATCCCTCGCTCTTTATTCATACAGCATCCTTCACCAAGCCAGCATTTACACAGTGAAGTCCAGGAAGTCGTAAGAGCTTGAGTCCAGAGATGTGAACTCGCTCATTGCGTTCATCTCGAGATCGAACTGCGAGCAGGAGCTCTCAGGAAGAGAATCAAATAGCTCTTCTAGCTCGTCCTTCGGCTCCACGGGTGAGGTTGGTGGTGTGGTGAATGGGTTCGATTGGAGAGACGATCGAGATGGGGTAGATGAGCCTTTCAGAGGATTAGGCTGCGCAGGCAGCTTCGAGTCACTCGCTGATCCTGCCGAATGCGGTCGGTTATCAGCAGGAGACATGGGAGGCGTGTGGGTATTCTGGGAAAGATGCTGGAGAATGTTCATAGATGTGACATCGCCGGTGTAAGAGCTCGAAGATACGAAGCTGGAAGCTGTTCCGTTGGCGTCTTCGGTGAAAGGGCTGGATGCGGGATCAAAACTGAACCATGTTAATAGTCTTGCAAAACAAAGTACACATGATACGAACCTGAATGGGTCTGCCGCTGAGCTCATGGGATCATTGAAGCTGGCCGTCTCAGGCAGCATCTTCGGTAAAGGTTGCGAATGCAGAATATCTTCAAAAGGCGAAGGAGAGCGCGTATCTGACTGCGGCGAGCTTGCAGAAACGGATGAAGCTGCGGAAGCCAATGCTCGCCTCGTCCTGCTTGCTTTCTCGATACGCTGCTCCATTTCCGGACGATTCTTCTTCGGTCGGCCACGCTTTGCTTGTCGTCGGACGGCATCCGGGAACCCGCCTACGCACATTCCGCGCTGCCGATGGCGGGTCAGCGCATCCTGTCGTGCAAATCCGGCACCACAAGGGCACAGATAGGGCTTGTTGCCGGTGTGGATCTTTGCGTGGCGCTTGAGGTCGTGCTGTCGAACGAAGCGTTTGCCGCATCCGTTGCACTTGTATTGCCTATCTCCGAGGTGTGTCTGCACGTGCGAGCGGATGTTTTCTCTCCTGCCAAATATCTTGCCGCAATCTGGATAAAGGCATGTCCACTTGCTTGTCGTCGGATCTTGCTCGCTAATGTACCGTTGAACTTCTTCTGGAGAGATCCCTGTGTATTCGAGGCTCGCGTCAACATCAATATCAGGCAGGAGTGATGGCCCTGACATGGGGCTCATGGAGAGAGGAAAGCTGTCCATAGGCATGGCGCTGCTCGTAGCAGGCGGAAACGACGGCTGCTGCGAGAATACCATTTCCTGAGACGGATGTTCTTCGATGCCTTCGAGGAAGGGCTGCATCGACTTTTGAGTGGGCGATGACATGGGCGACGGTGAGAGGGCGTCTGATGTGTAGTAGGAGGAAGATTCGTATCCCATATCTGCATCCGGGTTCTCGAAATCGAAAGCCATGGCACTTGAGGTCGGCTCAAGGTTGATGTTTGCCATGTCTGCGAAATTCGGCGGCATCGGAGCCGTGTCGAGAGGCTCATGGCTGGGTAACTGCGCGGGCTTTTGAGGAGTTGCAGTTGGTGTGGGGAGGATGTTGATGAAGACTTGCCCGCAAGACCCATACACCGACTGTATGTGCTCGCGGAGGTCTTTGAGTTGTTGTTCTGTGGGTGCTTTCGCAGGAGACTGAGGAGGCTGCTGGGGAGACTGCGCGCGGAGCGTCCGGCGAGGAGTCCGCGGCGATGGGAGAGATGTCTGTACTGGAGATTGCAAAAAGGTATCCTGGGGGCCCGGCTGGGGCTGGCTGTGCGTCTGCGCTACTTGCATAGTATGCTGTTGTGGTTGTCCTGGGTTAGTAATACTTACCGTACTATCCTCCTGCTGGAAGGATTGCATATTCATGGCTCCTGGGTGTGTCTGTTCCGGGATGGGTCCATAGCTAGGCATGTGTATGGTCTCAAGGTTCAGGCCCCTGAGATCCAGGCTCATGCCCGACCGCTGTTGTCGCTTCTGTTGTAGGTTAGCAGGGAATGGTCGTACCCTGGGCGCCTCGAACGCTGCCGGTGTGGAATTTTGTCGTCGATGTTGGGTCCGGCGTCGTTGAATGCCCGAGCGCGCATTTGTGGACAGCATATTGTATGCAGGTCGAGTCCGGAGGTCGTTATCCAAGGAATGGGAATCCTGTTGGGTCCGAATCTGATGGGACGAAAACGTTAGCAGTGTTCTGTTCTTTATAACAACATCCCTCCATTTGATATGAGGCAGCACCTACCTCGCGCAGTGCAAGCGGCGCTCCGCCGGGCGGGTGGTGTCCTTATGGTCTCCTCAGTACAGATGCAGTCTCCCAGTAGCCTGCGTCCAGTAAGTGTTCTGGCCGAAGCCTGCTCAAATGTGTGCGTGTAACGTGAAGCTTTAGGGCTTTTTCAGTAGCCTAAAGCTGAAATGGAAATATAGTCTGTGGAATTGAGGGTTGGATTTGGATGTGCGGATGAAGATGCAGCGAAGTGGAGATGACGATGGAGGCAGTCCAGATTCGGAACAAAATCAACACAAGCGAACGCGACCGTTACCCAGCAACGCAAGCGCCACGCCGCACGAGCCAAGCTGAGCCCCGCCACCAGCCACAGCTCGTCTGGTTAGTAAGCTTTGCCGCCAAGCCCACAAGAATAATTTCGAATCGTTGGGAACCTCGTCTACATCTCCAAACCTTCTGCACGACGACTGAGGAAGACAATCCGTTGTCTAGGTACGCCTATGGCTTTACCCTCAACCTCTGCGTCACGCATTCTATAGGACACTACTGATCTTCTCAAGGCCGCCATGCAGATCTTCGTCAAGACCCTCACGGGCAAGACTATCACCCTCGAGGTGGAGTCTTCGGACACCATCGACAATGTGAAGTCCAAAATCCAGGGTGCGCATCACCTTCTGTACTCTGTATTCGTTAACTAACATCTCACAGACAAGGAGGGCATCCCCCCGGACCAGCAGCGTCTCATCTTCGCCGGCAAGCAGCTCGAGGACGGCCGTACCCTCTCCGACTACAACATCCAGAAAGAGTCGACTCTCCACCTAGTCCTACGCCTGCGCGGTGGTGCCAAGAAGCGAAAGAAGAAGGTCTACACCACCCCCAAGAAGATCAAGCACAAGAGGAAGAAGACCAAGTTGGCCGTGCTCAAGTACTACAAGGTCGACGGCGACGGCAAGATCGAGCGCCTGAGGAGGGAGTGCCCGACCCCCGAGTGCGGCGCCGGTGTCTTTATGGCTGCCATGCACAACCGCCAGTACTGCGGCCGCTGCCACCTCACCTACGTTTTCGACGAGTCGAAGTAAACGGATCTACAGTCGCTGATGGGAATGAGTCACGACATTCACGGACAAGATGGGATGGACTGAATAGGTTTATCAATATGTCGGGCATCTAAGTCATCAATACGACCTTGTCGATGGATTGAGGGGTTCCTTTCGTTGTGCACTAGGGACATGTGATGTGACGAATCGTCCTTTGACCACGCAGCGTGACTTGCTCAGGTTACACATTATGCATACATGCTCCGAGCGCTAACCATCCAGGTACCAGAAATCTCCAAACCGGACCCCATATCCAAAGATACCAAAACGCCGGGCGCCGGTATTCTGAAGGAAACATTTAGAACTCCATTGCCTCTCCATTCTCTTCCCTCTCCCTCTTGATCCCGCTCTTCTCCTTCTCTTCCTTCAACAAGCCAGCAACAAAGCCTCTGAAGTAGTCGACATACGGCTTCAAACTCGTCTTCTCCCAATCCTGCACCTTCTTCTCGCTCTCATCGTCTTCCCACTCGTCAATCTCCGTCAGCAGTTGCGTCACAGTTGGAACGCCGAGAGGGTCGAATTGCTCTACCTTCCTCGTATCAATTGGTACGCAGACCCGTCCTGTGCCTGGATGCACTACGAAAGGTGACTTTAGCAAATGGTTCAGCTTTTTAGAGACTTCAGCATCAAGTCGCGGGTACGTATATTCAAGCACGATGTCTTGCTTCGCTTCGAGGAGATCTCTCGAAGTTTTGGAGAGCGCGCCGGATTTGGCGACATTGTCGATGTCAGACCATTTCGATGCGCTGGGACGTGAGGGTGACGAGTCCCACTTCTTCTGTAGGGCGCTCCGGAGTGTTGGGTCGGGGAGGAGGTTGAGAAGATGCGCGGACTTGTCTTCCGCCCAAGGATCCTGTTCCGCCAGTATGGTAGACTGGAAATGCTCTTTCAGAATGTTCAGGCTGCGGTCCAGATGCGGATGTAGCGGCCGTCGAACATTGACCCTCTTCCCGCCCTGGTCGCCTCCTTTCAGCAGCTCGAGATACCCTGCTATTGCGCGTCGTTTGGCATCATCCATCTCCCGGGCGCGCTTGTCGCAAACCCATGCGTGAGCACCTCGACGACCAGAGTATACCCACATTATGTGCTTAAACCCGAAATCCTCTCTAAGTGCAACGTCAACCACCTTGATCGCCATAGTGATGAACGCCCAGCACTTGTGGCAGATGCTCGCTCCCGTACAGCACGTTCGGATATCATCGTAGTCCGTCATATCGATGTCGAAGACCAATTCCTTGGCTAGCGGACGGAATGCGCTTGCCTTGCGGAGGGTTTTGCGATCTCGCGGGTTTGTGGAGTATACCGGGCCGATTTCGAAACGAGATGGGAGCATCTGGATACATTGCCTACGGAGCATATCGGCTGTTGGGAAGGATTGGTATCGTAGATAGGCGTCGTTCGGGAGAGTAAAGGCGAATTCGCGGTGGGCGAAGTCGTTCGAGGGTACGGCGGAGTGGTTCAGCCATTGAAAGAGGTAGCGGAAGGGGAAGAGGCGCTGGTAGAAGGCGCGCATGATTTCGGGGTCGGAGTATGTGGATTTGGAGGTAATTTTGCTAGAACTGTATCAGTATCTTCCTGCATAGTGGCATGGGGAGCCAAACATTGGCTCTGGCTGTGAAGGTTCTTCTTCTGATTTGATCAGAGGTGCACTGGAGCCAAATTCCGCGTCTGAGTCCTCATCGTTAAAGAGCTCCTCCAGGTTTACTTTCGTCGTCTCTGCTTCTGCGGGACTCGGTGCATCAGCCATTGGAATGTCCGGCGATTCTGGATCCATGGTGGCCTGGGAGATGGTTCGCGAAGAATCACCTCCAGGCGTTGGTTCAGGCGTGACAGAGTGCGGCATCTCAAAAATGAAGCCCCCGGCGGTTGTTCTGCGTACGATATAGTGGAGAATTGGAGTTTCGAAGTAGTCGGGTACGCGAAGCGCGTCCGTGTCGCGTAAAGAGGTGGCAGAATCCTTAGTCAGTACTTGGGCGGTGAGCGGATCCCTGACAGTCGTCACTGCTCTGGGAAAGATTGCTCATCATCGCCAAGCGCATTGACTCCGACCTCATCTCACCCCCTGAACATGTATTGCGACCTCTTACGAAGCGAAGATGGAGGTGGAGGAGCTAGTATCGGGCGAGGGGTGGATTAGCGACGATTCGAGCTTCTATGGTACGTATCTAAGCCTCCTGCTTCGACCATCGCCTCAGCGCCTAGCCTGACGCAGATGGAATGCGATTTACGACTGATTTCTGCTTTCTTACGTCTATTTTCTCGTGCTTCACTGCCCTGCGTCATTTCCGGCTGCGTTGCTTCATTGGTCTGTTGATATGCAGTATCTTCTTTATCCGGCTCAGACGGTCAGCCTCGTACACCGCTAACCTCAGCTCTAGGCGACGAAGACGAGCAAGAACGGCTACTTTCGCTGTGCGAAGATTACCGACCAAAGCCCTTCTGGACGACGCATCAAAAAGACCTAAACGTTGTCATTGCGAAAAAGAGGACCATGCCACCTGCGGAGCTTTTCAATCCTGGCGAGGGACAGATCGATCACTGGCAGCTGGGCGAGTCGACAGACGACTTCGTCAAACGTCTCCCTCCTCTCACAACATCAGTTATGACTCACGAATGGATCTGGGTGAACAGTCCGTACCCTCAAAGCCATCGCAAGTCTGGTCCGTTCAGGACTGTGGAATTTAAGTCGCGTGGGTCCCAGCTGCTGGTACAGAGTCTTCAGACTAGAAACGATATCCAAACCAAAGGTGCTTGGAAAGCTAAAGGGATGATTACGCGAATGCTGAACCAGGAAAGCAAGCTCCTTCAGCAGCGTATCACCGATCTGGCTGTGGAGACCAATGTCTTGTCTGGCAAGGTAAGAATTGCCCTTAGGCTCAATACAACGCTGACCCGAAGGAGTAGTGGATGTTGTTCCCTGAAGTGGAGGACATGACCCGCGTCTGGCGGCTCGTGGTGGAAGGCGTCATCCACGGTCGTCTCGGTTCCACTGCGAAAGTTGCTCCGGACAACGGCGGCGCTGGTGCACGTCTCATCTGCGTCTATACGAAAGACTATCGCGATAAGGAAGATATCCTTCGTGTCCTCCGAGAACTTGTCTCCATGGGCGTCGCGGGCACTGGGAGACCGATATATTACAAAACCGATCCGTACACCTTGCTGGGCATTTACCAAAACTCGGCGGCTGAGTACGGGTTACAAGCGAGTCTCTACTCGAGTCAGAAGATGCTAGCTGAAGCCGGTCTGCCACGATCTGCGCCTCCGCCCCGTAAACAGCAGTCGACGCTGAGCGGAATTTTTAAGTCACCTGATTCCATGGACGTGGACTGATGTGACCTGGTCAAGGCCAGGTGGACATATTACGTACGAATCCGCATTCCAGAAGCTCAGAGTTTGTCATTGCAGAAGCGCAGAAAGTCGTCCTACCATACTATGTTCGCGGCTCGATTCCACCTAGTTAAGCATTTCCCTTCTACTTGGCTCGAATCTAATACTGAGGCTTCCTACGCACCTGAAATGCCTCTTTTGCTTCCTGCAGCTGCTTCGCATTTCAAGCCGTGACCGCGACCCGTGCTCAGTCCAATATCGACTAGTCCTTCGGAAAGGGAAGAGGTTCTCGCGTTTCGCATATGCTGAACCGGCTCAGTGAAGCTGTCCACACACAGCCTGTGTGCAACGTAACAGAAACCTCATTCCGACTATCACAAGGTTGACACGCATGATACTGCAGAGCCCTTGTGCGTCATGCAAGTTCGAGAATTACTCGATCTCAGGCCGGATGTATGGGCTTATGCAGCACGACTGCCGTTATGCTTCTATCGTGGTCTTCGCCGCGCTACCGGGGGCAATTTGGACTACGCGCGCTTGAAAAGGAATCTATTACTCGATCGCAATAGAGCCACCACCACTTTCTTCCGGCGCACCGGCTGCACTGTCATGCTCAACAACGTCGCGTCTCCGCGGCCGTCGACGATACAATCAATAGCTCGAAGTCCTTCTACGCATCATCGGAACGGGATGTTTGTACTCAGAGTCGCTCTGGGAGAACTATCCGGCCACAGACCGGCGTGCAAGAGAAAAGCGCTCGGGCCGCTGTTACGCACGGCTGGAACAGAGAACAAGAACCGGTTGCCCTCGGTTAACACACAGTCTTAACCGCCGCAAAGTAGTAGCCTCTGGCGACTACGGTAGGATTCCATGGTGTCAATTGCTCTGCAGGGCTATGACGGAGCTACGCTTGACCAGTCCCTTTTTGCAAAAGTCCAAAAGACTTCAAACGTCATTCGGCCTCCTCCGACAGAGCACCAGTAATTGGGGGAGGGGCCGCGGTGAGCTATGGATGAGGCTGGTCGGGTTGTGTGACTCGATGGGAAGGGTTTCCATCGAGTAATCGAAGTGTTGAGAGGTCTGGCTGACAATTCCTCCTAGCCTCTACCAGAATCTTCGGCGCCCGCCCCGGTGGCTCCCGATTGCCTGACATCTCGAGCCTCAGCTTTGTACAGCCGCAACAGGAGGCAAATAAAGTCACACGTGGCCGTGGAGAAGAAAATAGAATGCTGGCAGACGGAATGGAAATTATTCAGGGACATCTAAGGCCATGGAAGAATAAACTGGAGCCCTGGCGTTGGGATCTCGCGGCCGTTGACTTGCGCAAGTGCTGCGCTAGGCCCCTTGCGTCGATCATTCCGGTCTCGGCCTCGAGTTAGATACGCGCGTGGTCCCTGCTTTCTCTTATCTCACAGCCTCCGAACCAGCCCGGCAGCCGCACCACCACCGCTCACCGCATCCATGTGACGCTCTGTTGAGTCAACTGCCCTGATGGGAGATTCGCCTGCTTCAGCAACGTTCGCGTCAGGGCTTCTTAAGACTTCGATCAGGACCCTGCTGGCACCAACACATCTGCCGGGGCCGGTGATAGATGTCAAATGGAGAAAAGCGCGCTACGCCGGAGACCAACGGGAGCTTGTTTGCGATGCATGGCCAAGGGGCGCTCGATAACCTCACATATCAGCTCGCCTACCAATTTCTATCGAGTAACGGCCGGGTCCCAGCCGGCGGACCATGTCCCCTGACGCTATTTCGAGGCTTTCCTGGGGATATGGAGATCTCACATCGGCTTTTCCATGGGCCACGGTCCGTATCTGTGGATGGTGATAGATAAGGGCGCCTGCACCCCGGATTCTGCTTTGACATTTTGGGCTTGCCTTTCCTGAGTCTGTCTTTGTTCTGTTGCCAACCGTTACACAGGTTAGAACACATTCAAGCATTCTAGAGCCTACAACTCCACTTGCACTTTCCTCTTTGACGCCCTCCCGCAGAACCGCGCAAACACCGAGCACTGTCTTATCTTGCTTATCTCTGCCTGCACCTATCCCACATAACCTTACAACTACCGAGCGTTCCCCAGCTTATAGCTCTTCGCTTCCCGTCATCGGAGCCGAAGTCCTGTACGCCCTCTTTCCCTCTTCTTTGGCGCTTCTTTCAATCATTGTCATTTCTTCGCCACTTCAGCATGGCGCCTCATGCAACCACGCCTCCACCCATGCCGCACAGCGTGCCTCTTCATCCTATCACTGTCCTTGCTTCGTCAAGGGCTGTGGTGGCAGGCCGGCTCACTGAAGCGACAATCGTTATATCCAATGTCACCGGCAAAATCACAGCCATCTTCCACTCCGTCCTTCCCCGTGCAGACTTCCCTGAGGGAACTACCTACCACGACTACTCTCCTCGCATCCTGCTGCCCGGCCTGGTGGATGCTCACGTCCATCTGAACGAACCCGGCCGGACAGAGTGGGAAGGCTTCTGGACCGGCACTCGAGCTGCTGCATTCGGCGGTGTAACAACCGTCGTCGACATGCCACTCAATGCCATCCCTCCTACCACTACAGTAGAGAACTTAAAGATCAAGGTCGAAGCCGCCCAAGGCAAGTGCTGGGTCGACGTCGGCTTCTACGGCGGTGTCGTCCCTGGAAACGCCGGCGAACTCAAGGCCCTCGTAAAAGAAGGCGTCCTCGGCTTCAAAGGCTTCCTAATAGACAGTGGCGTATGTATAATCTGCGGACAGCACCATCGCAAGCAAGATGCTGACATCCGCCAGGTCGAAGAATTCCCCGCCGTCACATCAACCGACATTGAAAAGGCGCTCACCGAGCTCAAAGACTCCGCTACTACCCTCATGTTCCATGCCGAGATGATCCCTCCCATCACCGACTCCGTGGGTGACGATGTCCAGCGCGCTCATCCACCTCTCGCTCCCTCGGGACCCCTTACGCACTACTCAACGTTCCTGGACTCCCGCCCGCCATCGTTTGAGACCTACGCCATCGATGAGATCCTCTCCCTGGCACATCTAGCGCCAGACCTGCAACTCCACATCGTGCACCTCTCCGCCGTCGAAGCCATCCCACTCCTCCGCGAAGCCCGCCAAAAGGGCATCAAGATCACCGCAGAAACCTGCTTCCACTACCTAACCCTCGCCGCCGAGAACATCAAAGAAGGCGACACCCGGCACAAATGCTGTCCGCCCATCCGCTCGCAAACCAACCAAGACGGGCTCTGGGAAGAACTGCTGAATGACCAGGCCGATGGTGTTATCAAGACAGTCGTCTCAGACCACTCGCCCTGCACGCCCAACATCAAACTCCTGCCCGCGGCGTTCGCGCCGAAGAAGGAGAGTAAGCGGAAACCAGGGCACACGCACGACTGCGATAGCTGCGAGAGCAGCGAGGGCGAAGAAGAAGGGCCCGAAGAAAAGGGCGACTTCTTCAGCGCCTGGGGAGGCATTTCGAGTGTTGGTCTTGGCCTTCCCATCCTCTGGACTGAAGGCACGCGGCGCGACGAGAACTTCAGCGTCGAGGAGATCGTGCGCTGGTGCTGCAAGAACACGGCTAAGCAGGTCGGGCTGGAGCGCAGCAAGGGCGATCTGGGCGTCGGGTACGATGCTGACATCGTCGTCTTCGATGACACGGCCGAGTTCATGGTGGAGCCGAATACTATGCTCTTCAGGAACAAGGTCTCCCCGTACGAGAACAAGACGCTCAAGGGCGTTGTGCGCGAGACGTGGCTGCGCGGACAAAGGATCTTCACAAGGGAAGACGAGTTTACGGAGAAGGCTGGGCCGAGGGGGAAGTTGTTGCTGGAGCCGAAGAAGATGAGCAAGTGAGGTGGATGAAGAAAACAATGAATACACGGCCGAGACACCCAGCGACACTGAGGATATGAGGGTAAGGGCATACACTGGTGGGATTTTGTTACAGACTGATAGAACGCCTATCGCGTGGTCATCTGGCTTTCTCTTTTTTCGATCTGATGGGCGATTTAGCTTGCATTATATCATGTCACTTGCATAGAAAGCCTAGGTGGCCGCTTTGAATTTAGCAGGCGGAATATGATGACGAAAAGCACGACGGAATGAGTAGCTCCCATAGAAGAGCCAATACTACACAAGAATGAAACGAACATGAACATCGATGGACAGCGCTGTTTGTGAGACAGTGACTATGGTGGCAGAGTAAGACATTCGACTTCAGAAATTACTATTCCTTATTTAAGACAAGAGTGGAAAGCTGCCACGCTCGACGCTCGAATCCCAGATTTTCCATCTCCCTTATTATACACAGCTTTCGTTGTACAACGTCGCCTGCCCGCTCTCAGTGATATTACTTCCTAGCAGCCCGCTGTTCCTTGTCGGACTGCGTCTGGGTGATGTTGAGGCCCAAGCCACTCGCATCCAGATACACCTTGTTCTGCGACTGCTGCAGGATCTGTGCAATGTTCCTCGCGTTCTCGAACTCCCTCAGATCGACATACGACCTCGACTTCTTGATGGCGTCACCGATCAGCTCGGCGGATCGGGCCTCACCCTGGGCGCGGACCACCATGGCTTGCTTCTCCTGGCGGGCTTTGTCGACAACGAAGGCGGCACGTTGGGCTTCCTGCTGGGCAACTTGCTTGGCTTCGACGGCGGCGGTGAATTCGGGGGAGAAGGCGAGGTGCTGGGAATTGTTCAGAGCACGTCTCAGGGGGTGTGGGATGGGAACATACCGTCAACGACACATCATCCAACATGATATTAAACCTCGCCGCCCTCCTGACCAGATTGTCCCTCACTAGCCTACTCACGTTCTCACGCTGGGTAATCAACTGGCTGGCATTGAACTGCGCCACGACGCTCTTAAGCACCTCGTTCACAATCGATGGCAGCACCCTCTCGTCGTAGTCGGTCCCCAGCGTCCTGTAGATCTGCGGCAGCGCGTCGATCCGCGGTCGCGAGAGCACACGGCAGGTTATGTTGACCATCTGCAGGTCCTTGGTGCCGGTGAGGGAGGCGACGTTTCGGGGCCTCGCACGCACGTCGTATGTGATAGGAGTCTCGAACCAGGGGATCCGGAAGTGCGTGCCTTCGGCATAGATTTCCTTCTGCACGCCGCCTATCCTGGTGTATTTGATTGCTCGATGACCACCGTCAACTGCGAGCATGTTAGCATCATCTTGACCAACCCCATACCCAACCATGTTTCTAGCTCTTTCAATTGGAGCGTACCGTTGAACAACGCATTGTTTATGAGATAGAATCCGCCACCGAGCAGGAGCAGGCCTGCGACACCTCCACCAAGGCCTCTGGGTGGCCCACCTCCGCTTCCTCCGAATCGAGCGGATCGTCGCGTGAGTTCGTTCTGGATGCGCTGCCAGGCTTCCTTGGGATCGGGGGCAGACATGCTGGCGGTGAGGTGTTATAGGTTGACGCGGAGGGCGGGGGACGTCGGGATGTTGACGATGGCTAATGGAGCTGGTGGTGAGGTCGACGAAAAGATTCCTCGGCGAAACCAAAGCTCCGCCCTGCAAGGATGCCGCTCTTGCCAAGCCGAACCCCAGATCCGGGTCGCTGCTTCCCTTTCGTCACACTCTAGGGTTCGAGACATATTTTCGCGGTAGCGAGATTTCTGAAGTACCCAAGTACCCGTAGACGCCATATGATACTCTTATTCATGTTTCTTCCTGGTCTTTGCCGTGAGATCTCAAACGGTGGGCGACATTGGCAGCTCGGAACCCGCGCACGGTTCAAGCCAATCAATGCCGTAGAGTGATGCTCTAAAGCACAGCTGTCCAGAAGCTCGCAACCGCAACCCTATCATAATTTATAAAGCTGCAAGCTGGCTTGAGGGCATCCTTTCGACTTTCCATCGTTTCTGAGATACCCTTTTCATTTTTCCGGGATTCAGGCTTGCACCCATTGATTCGGAAGCGTCGCGTGGCAGCTTTGTGCAATAGAGCTTATTGAGGGTAAAGTACGGACTCCTTTGACTACGTCTTCGACTTTCACTGACGGATCCGAACAGACTTCAATCGATCGCGACCTGCCGTTTTCCCCAAATTGTAGACAATAGTCTACATCTTCAGACCCTTACTAGACTATCCAGCGCGTTCGCCGCCCCGCGACCACGATGTACATATCGTCCTCTACGCTCCGGACTATCGCCTGGTCGGCGTTCGCTTTCTCCACAGCACGCGCCCAATACGTAGTAGACAGCCTCAGCTTCGGCCACAAAGAGGGCGAGTCGATATCGCCCAACCTGCGGGCAATCCCACACTTCCACACCAAAGGCGAAGGCTACGAACCCGAGATTCTCTCCGACCGCGTCCTCCTCACACCTCCCTACCCAGGCAACAAGCGCGGCGCACTATGGAGCGAAGAGCCTCTTGGCCGGATAGGAGGAGATTGGACAGTTGAGTTGCACTTCCGGGCTTCAGGCATGGAGCGAGGAGGCGGGAACCTGCAGCTATGGTACACGAGAGAATCAATGAAGAATGACGTACCGGCGAGCTTGTATACCGCGCCGAAGTTTGATGGGCTGGTGTTGGTAGTGGATCAATATGAGGGAAGAGGAGGAACTGTGCGAGGCTTCTTGAACGATGGGAACATGGACATCAAGGCGCATCAGGATCCCGATACGCTGTCTTTTGGGCAATGCAACTATGCGTACAGGAATCTGGGGCGCTTGAGCGTGCTAAAGATCAAGCAATCGCACGGTGTTTTCGAGGTTACGGTGGACGGAAACCCATGCTTCTCTACGGACAGGGTAGGCTACCTGAACCATCTGTGCAGGGCAAATGGCACTAACGACTCCGGTCTAGATGAAGCTTCCCGACGGCTACTACTTCGGCATCACCGCCTCCAGTGCCGAGAACCCCGACAGCTTCGAAGTCCACAAATTCATCGTCTCCACCACCAACGCCGTCACGCGGGAAGAACCCGACCGCAACAACTACCGGGCCCAGGACCCGCACCAGCAACAGCAGCAAACCCAGCAAAAGCCGTCCGACCCCAACATCCCCCAAATGCTCGAAGACGTCTTCGCCGCCAATATCCGCAGCCAGCAAGACCAATTCGCCGACCTGCACAACCGCATCCAGATCCTCAACCACCGCGTGAACGACATGTACGTTCTGCTGGAGAAATACGTCGCCGACCAGGACCAGCGGTACAACCATCTCATGGGCCGGGTGGTGCCGATGCACGACCAGATCAGCGCGACGCTCAGGAATGTGGAGAAGGTGGAGCGCACGACCATGGAGACGCTGCGGGACTTGGAGAGCAAGGACTTCAAGGATATGCTGAGCCAGGTGCATCAGGCGATAGAGAATAGCCATAATGCTATTAGCTCGAACATGCCGTTGGCTATGGCGCATAGTAAGTTCAACGTTCTCCCGTCTTTGAAAGTCTGAAAATCAGTGGGCTGACTCCATGTAGTTGTTGGAAAGGAACGCCCGAGCATGACGACTTTCTTGTTCATCGCGGTGGCGGTGCAGATCATGGTCGTGGGAGCATACGCCATGTACAGAAAGCGAAGAGGGAGTGCGCCGAAGAAGTATCTCTGAGCTCCTTTTGCGGCTTTTGATGGGTTCCTGTTTCGGAGGCATGCTCCTCCGAGCAAGACGACGTCTCGGCGCTTGTATCATATGGCTTCTTTTCTTGGTACATCTTGAGTCGCCTATGGCATTTCCGGCGTCTGGTGGTGGATATCAAGTCGCTTTGATTCATGAGAGACGGGAATAGAAGGGCAGAGCATTAGGCAATGCCCAGGTGGACAAGGGACCCGATGAAAGTATGAATGCGTGCAGATCTTCTAAACGGCTCCAGGAGGGATGCTACAATGCTGCTGCCGAGGTATATACAAGAAAATGGCAGGTTCACGCTTTTCACAACATAGGCTTTATCTCGTCCGCAACCTTGAAGTCTGCGCCCGTCTTTGACCGGACTTCGTCGACTATCACGCCGTCCGCGAGCTCGGTGAGTGTCAGGCCCTCTGTAAAATCAACGTCGAATACGCACTGTAATCAGTCAGTCCATGAAGATTTACGCAGCCCTCACACATGGGGAGACTTACCAAATCCGTAATTATCCTGCTAACGCACGCTTTGCCCGTCAAAGGAAACTCGCACTGCTTCAAGATCTTTGGCCTCCCCTTCTTATCCGTATGCTCCATCGTAACAACCACCTTCGTCGCCTGCGGATTGCTCACAAGGTCCATGGCACCTCCGAATCCCTTGACCTTGCCTGGCAGCATCCAGTTCGCCAAGTCTCCTCTCGCGCTTACTTGCATGGCTCCGAGAATTGTAAGATTGATCTTGCCCGCGCGAATCATGCCGAACGATTCCTCAGACCCGAAGCAGGATGCACCAGGCGCAAGCGTCACTGTTTCCTTGCCCGCGTTGATGAGGTCCGGGTCTTCCTCGCCCTTCTGCGGGTACGGTCCCAGGCCCAGGATCCCGTTTTCGGATTGGAGCTGCACTTCGACGGAGGGGTCGACGAAGGAAGGAGCCAGCATTGGCATGCCGATGCCGAGGTTGGCATACATGCCGTTCTTGAACTCTTTCGCCGCGCGGCGCACGATGCGCTCTCTCTTGCTCGCCGCATCGCCCTTGCCGAGCTCGCTCACGGCGTCCTTGGGATCCTTCGGGTTGACGACCTTCTCGATGTTCTTGGGCGCTGTGGACTGGATGACGCGGTCGACGTAGATGCCAGGGACGTGGATTGCATTGGGAGGCAGGTCGCCAACTTCGACGATGTGCTCTGCTTCTACGATTGTGACCTTGGCGTTGCGAGCCATAGCGCCGTTGAAGTTCTGCGCGGCAAAGCGGAACTGGACGTTGCCCAGTCTGTCCGCTTTGTAAGCTTTGATGAAGGCGTAGTCGCCCTTGATGGCTTCTTCCATGACGAAAGACTTCCCGGCGAAGACTTTGACGTCGCGCGGGTGTGAGTATTGGGCTACAGAGCCGTCTTTGTTGTGCTTGAGGGCGAGTTCGCCGGTCTGCACGACGGTGCCGAATGCTGCGGGCGTGTAGAACGCAGGAATGCCAGCGCCGCCTGCACGACATCGTTCGGCCAGAGTGCCTTGAGGCGTGAGCTCGAGCTCCAGTTCTCCGGAGAGGTACATCTGCTCGAGGACCTTGTTCTCGCCGACGTAGGAGGCGATCATCTTCTTGACCTGCTTGCTCTCGAGAAGCAGGCCGAGGCCGGAACCTACGACGCCAGCGTTGTTGGAGACGGCGGTCAGACCGGTGATGGAAGGCGTGTCTTTTACTTGGTTGATGAGCGTGTCGGGGACGCCGGAGAGACCGAAGCCGCCGCATAGGAGCGTGCTGTTGGACTGCATATCCTTAATTGCGGCCGCGGGCGAGGGAAAGACCTTGTTGATCTCATTGCGGCGGTAGGTGGTGGAGAAGCTGCGGGCGAGGTTGAAGTAGGTCTATGATGCGTGAGCATGTCTTGTGGGAGGAATTGGGGCGAAGAATACTTTTGTGGTGCTCCGCGAGAAGTGTGAAGCTGTGCGGAGCGTGCGGGCTATTGACGGCATTCTAGGATAGCTATGGTCGGCGTATCTAGGGGCAGTTCGGGCAGGACGCGTCAGATACAAGGAAACGGGTATAAAGAGACGTTGAAGTCAAAAGTAAGATGGGGGCGGGGACGCTGGGAGAGCTTCCGCATCATGGCTTGTGCTTGTTTAAGGGCGGAGCTGTGAGGTTTCCGTCGGCAGGCAGGCGGGCGGAAATGTTCCATGCTCCCCTGGCTACCCCCCACTTTCCGCGCCGCTGCTTCCCGGCCTCGGCTTATCTCAGCAACCTCAGACCGCACGTGATGACGACCAATCTACGATCTATTCGGAGCCTGATCCGGACAAGAACGAAATTCTCCGGGATTTGGCCTGCGATGAGCTATTGCAGATTCTCGGAACCGAAAACCCACAAGGCTCAACGACAGCTCAGCTCGAGGAGTTTGTTGAGAAGATTCTTACGCCCCAGGCGCTAGAAGAGATGAAAGTGCACCTCGGAGACAGGATGCGGCAAGCAAGGAAGGCTATGTGGCTCTGGAAAGGACTTCACCTCCAGCTCAGTGAGTTCAGGAGCATTACTGGTTATGACGGCCGAGCTGGCGAAGACTGGCACACGCACAAGCGTACTCTAGCCTCAACATCCTGGTACTAGGGCCCGTTCTAAATTACCGATTAGGACCTACGCTAACGTGCGTGCAGTAGGAATAATCTCCGTTCAGCAATAACCCGATTGTGCGAACAATTGCAACATTCACGCGACTTCACCCCTTCAAACTCAGCGCATATTCTGCTCCTCCATCCCCGAGTCTCTGAATACTACTAATTATGCCGTCTCCTTTAGGGAAAAACAGCTACAAACCTACCGTGGAGGCACATCGGAGGTTGGCAGCCTTCACCAAAGAGAGAAAAGCGAACGGGGACTGGTTCGAAGGAGAAGATTTCGCGGGAAACTTGGCCCTGTTCTACGACGCGCTACTTCAAGCTCCGAACTGCGGTGCCGAGGACCTGGTTAGGGGTTCAAGGGGTATAATGAAGAGCTTCTGGCGTGGTTCAAGCACTGAGGGAGGGATGAGGATTCTATAGATCGTCGGACGATGGGACGATGTCGTTTCATGCCGCTTAAAGGGACCACACTTTTCTCGGTTTTGCGGTCGGCACCGTAAAAGATACATTTCTGCGTAGAGCGAAATGCGCATTTGGTCGAAGGGGATTCCGCCTTGCAGTGCCGCCGTTTGCAGCAGAAACTCTTCGAGTTGTCGGTTCGGCAGTAAGCATCGGAGGCGAATGTATCTTGGTATTTCCAACCACTCGTCCATGCTATCCCACTCGCACATATTTTCCAACTTCTAGGAGGCCACCCAGCTGCAAAATGGAATTTGATGGAGGTGGGCAGATATGGGTGGAGCGGATACGTACTGTGGGGCTAGCTCCGCGGTCCAGAGAAGCATGGAAGGAGCTGAGGAGTGACGTCAGTTCAACTGTGTACTTGCGATGCGGCTCTGTCAATAAGGGGAACGCTTGTCTAAATCTTCATTTAATTGTTATTAAGAGCCACTAATGTACATGCGGAACGAAGACCGACCATTCCGGCGTCTTGTAAACGTCTCTCGGCATCGCCCTAAAGGCCACAAACACTTCCACCAGCAGGTATAGCCGCGCAAGCGTATACAAGCCTACTCCAATGCCCTGAATAAACACAGTACCTCCTACCAACATTCTACAGTACCTTCCCCTGGCGCCTTTTTCCTTGGACGACGGACTCCCGATACACCACAGTACCGCCCCCACAACAGTCCACGAAATCGGGATGCTGACGGAGGTAACCACAGAGCAGACGCGCCAGGTCTGTCGCTCGAAGCGGGATGGAAAATCGAAATCCCAGGCAGCGAGGTGGATGGCGCCGACAATGCTAGGCAGGTATCCAGCGCGGTTGATCGGCAGGACGGAAGAGCGCATTGCGCACCAGCACTGCTTCGTTTTGCTGTACCTGTCGTACCGTCTAGGTACGGCGCCATATGTGTTGCTGCGGTGCAAGCCAGCCGTCTTGGGAGGAGGCGCAATGTCCAGGATTGTAGGGACGTTGATGGCGTAGGGTTTGTCCCACCACAGCCAGAAGATGAAGACGGCGCACGGTATATAAGCGAGCGTACTGATTTCCAGAGGCATGAGCGGAAGGTGTTCGATTGCGCGAGAGATGCTTTGCAGGACGAGCCAGAGGATTTGCAGCAGCGTGAACGTCTTCAGCGCGCTGTCTGCCTTGCCCTTGTCGCGGATCTCTCGCTCCGCGATGAACATCTCGACGTTGATACGACCCTCTTGGAGCAGCACGTACACGGTTCGCGGCTGGAGCTTCCGAAGTGAACGCCGTCTACTTTTTCGCAGAAACCGCCCATCATGGCGTAGAATCGATGCGTGACCGTCTATTTGTCCTCAGCTAGGCCTTTCATTGGTCCCTCGAATCTCTTTCTCGCAACGAAGCGCTCCATTAGAGCGATGTAGATGAAGACCTCCGGTGCGATTGCCCCTATAAAGAGGCATATGGTTCGGTCGAGCCATTGCTGCTTCCAGGATGAGCCGGGGGGAGGTATGTCGGGATGTATGGCGGTCCAGCAGCAGAGGAAGATGGTGAAGAGGCATGTCCAGAGTATTTCCACCGTGCTGCGATCGCTCGAAGCTGAGTACCAAGCTAACCTGTCGTCCTTATCGCTAGTAGTGCTCGCTTGGTCGCCAGAGACTAGGGGGCAAATGATTTGAATGATAAGCACAACTGCGATACAGTTGTGAGACATGGCATATTTGACTGAATAAAGGTAGAATTACGGCCTTGCAATGAGGGAATGAAGAAGTATATGTGAAGTGAGGCTGTGTGCATTGGCGGCGCTCCGTGGCGTGCCGATCAGCCTTGTGTTACCCATGCCCAGGAACCAACCATGGTTTTCTCTCGTAATGGCAGCCGTTCAAAACAGGGCCCAACCAATTGGTAGCATCATAGAGTCAAGGAATTGGGATGAGGAAAGTCGAGATATCGATCAAATGGGAAGGCTCGCTTGCCCAGGTGGAGAATAAAAAGAAGGGGGATTACAGTGACGGAAATACCGCGTATGAAGGAGTAAGCTAAGAATAATATGAACTGAAGGATATATGTAAGGAGCAAAATGTTTCAGGCAATAAAGCTAGGAATGCTGCACACCGATGGTGTAAAAGACCACCTCACTCGGGCTGTCACCCTGGTTGTAATTCCCAACCTTGAAGTAGCTCGGCGGGCTCTTGAGCTGTCCGGTGCTCAACGTCTTCGGCTCAGCCCCGTTGATCACGACACTGAACTTCCCTTTCTCATATCTCAGCTCGTACGAGAACTTCTGCCCAATCTTGACCTTTCCGACTTCCGTCATCTCCAAGCTGCTCTTGTTCGGGATTTGCGATACTCCGATAGTAAGAACTCCGCTCTTGTTGATGAAGAGCTCCGCGACCGGCTTCTTCGAGACCGAATCGTCGACCTTGACTTGCCCGATGACGGTGCCGTACTTAGAGTCGTCAGCCTGCGTGACAGACAGTAAGACTTTGAGGCGGTTGGTTGACGCAGTTGAATCCCAAGATCCCAGATTTGCTTCACGGAGCTCGGTCCGGCAATGCTTGCTATTGGGTGTTGTGACGCATCCCGAGCTATCACTGGAGCCGGGAACTTTCATAATAAGGGCACCGTCAGTTTTGGAGGTGTGGAAGTGCTTGGAGTCCTGCCATCCTTCGCAGCCTTTCAACTTGGAGGAAGAGATCTGGGTGACGTGTCCAGGGGTACCAGTAGGAAGTTGTAGGTTGAACTTGCTGAGGTCGAAGTTACCACCTGGAGCACATGAGGGGCTTAGAGCCCGTGGGATGAGGGGATTGGGCGTAAATGGGGCGGCGAGTGAGAGGCCGAGGAAGAGAAGGAGGGCCGACTGGACAGAAGGAGGCATTTTTATGGTCAAACAATGGACGAAACGAGTGTATATGAATGAAAGAGTCAATGAAAGGATAGGAGATGAGAATGGTACCGTTTGGCTGATAATTGCCCAAAGGCTAGGGAGCAGTCGTATACTTTATACAGCCTCACGGGAGAGGGCATGGTTCAATCGCTTTTGCGCCCCACCAATCTTCAACCAAATCTTTTCGCAACAGTGAGATTTACTTCCAAAATAGGTCGGATCTAGAGGTGGCTCGTTCACGCGGACGACCGCGTGAGGCGAAGCAATTACCGTCGCTGCAGGGTGAGCAAAATTATCCGTAACCACATATTGGTGCCTGGAAGTGAGCTTTGCTATGGTAGGTAGCAGAGGGACGCTCGTGATCCCCCGGGTCCGTGAGTAAGCATCATGCATGATGTCCGTTCCGTTCCGTCGAGACTGCCCCTCGTCAGATCCGGTAGCTAGTAATCATAGCCCGTCTCGGCCACACGTCTCTGCTGTTTATCGGTGCACATATTGAGTTACGATGTTTCGAGAATACTGTTGACGTCGGAGTTCGTGGGAGCGGATAGAGAAAGCGGGCAGGGCCATACTGGCTAATCTAGCGACAGGACCGGAATCTTAGCAACTGTCGATCGAGTATCTGTGGAAAGAGTCTGAGCTATGCGAGAAACCTGCTGAACCATTTCGCGATGCTATCGTGGTTTGAGGTAGCTCGCAGCGGACTTCCAAGGTTGATGATGCCGAGATCGACAGGCTAATCCCGAATAGTTTAGATGCATCCACCACCCTGGATGAGAATACCAGGAGCATCAGCGATTGACATGTCAGCAGGGTATGTACTAGAAGGCTACATTTGTTAGTTGTTCATTAGTACTCTCATAAGCCTTGCATCTTCAACTGCTCATGTGCGAAGGCCCGAATCGCCTCCAGGACCGTTTCCGACGCTCGGATAGGCGTGCGGGGTTGAGGAGATGGCGTTGAAGCAAGGAACGTTCGACTTGCTGCATTGTCACGCAGATGGAGGAACATGACTCGCCGAGGCTCGAAAGCCATAAAGGACTGTGATGTTGGTCCGGCCTGGGAGGCGGAATAGTAAGTTGTTGGTGTCGGGAACCGTCTTCCCCGTATGGCTAACGGTAGAAGTTTCCCGTCCCTTACCTGACGGCAAGAACGATTTATACCGTGCCTGCTTTCCTCGCCATGGTGTGGATAGGGCATTTTGAAGACCTCCAGGCATCTTTGCTCCTTCCTTTCTCCTTCCTGTGTGGTCTGTCTGCAAGCTCAACGACACGATGGGCTCGACACCGGCGAAGAAGACGATGCGAGCGCAGCAGTAAGTCGTATGCTTCGACTGACTCTGAGGCAAAGGTGCTGAAGCCAACAAGATACGATGCGCGCGACAACAAGCTCCATTTGAACGAAGTCGAAATCCCACAACCGCGCGAACATGAGCTCCTCGTCAAGATCGCGTGCGCCTCTCTCTGCCACTCAGATGTGATGCTCTTTGAGCCCAATGACCAAGGCTTGATTCTCGGGAAAAACCCAGTTACCATCGGTCACGAGGCAACCGGGACGGTCGTCTCAAGAGGCTCCAGCGAGGCTGCCAGCATGTTCAGGGAAGGCGACAACGTTGGATTCTTATGTGCCGTTGACTGTTGCTTCGACTGCACTCAATGCAGGACCGTTCACAACTCGTGGTGCGTGACTGGGAAGACGAAGATGCAGGGCTTTACTCTGGACGGTTACTTCCAAGAATATGCGGTGGTGGACGCGAGGGCTGCAATGGTCCTGCCTGAGGGATGTACGTTGCTCTTCTCTTCGAGCTTAGGGCTGGAATCCGGCGTGACTGACCTTGTACACAGTGGATGTTAAGACGGCGGCACCGCTGTTCTGTGCAGGAGTCACTGCCTACCATGGTATCGAAGATTGCCAGCTGCAGGCGGGACAGTGGATAGCTGTTGTTGGTTGTGGTGGTCTCGGTCATCTGGGGATCCAATACGCCAAGTAAGCATGTCCCGCTTTAAGTGCCCAAACCCTCCTGACAGTTGCGAAGAGCCATGGGACTCAAGGTCATTGGTCTCGACGTCGCCGATCAGGCGCTCGAAGAAGCCAAGAAATGTGGCGCTGACCATGTCTTCAACTCCATCAAGGACCAAGACTGGAAGCAGAAGGTCCTAGAGATCTCCGGAGGCGGCGTTGATGCCGCCGTCAACTTTACGGCGTCTAAGAAGTCGTACGATGACTGCCCAGCAATCATCAAGCCGGGCCTCGGGCTCCTGATGGTCGTTGGGATCCCGCGAGAGCCTCTACAGCTCAACGCGCTAGACATCGCTCTTGGACGATTCCGTGTCAAGGGCTCGAACAACGGAAGTAAGTGGTCAAGGTCTGCCTGTACACTGTGGGTAGCTAACTCGATACTAGCCTGCTATAACATGCGCCCTGCGATCGAATTCTCCGCGAAGCACAACATCAAGCCCCACCTGACCACATTCAAGCTGGAGGAGATCCCAAAGATGATTGAGCTGATGAACTCGCACAAGGCGCAAGGGCGCATGGGGGTTGTTTTCGACTGAAGGACCGCAGAGATCGAAGGGCGGAGCGATGGGCATTGGGATGGAGTCTGGGGTCTGATTTGTACATTAGTTTCGGCAGATCTAACTCAATCAGACGAGGCTCGCGTCATCCCGAGCGATGCCATCCCACATGTTCTCTCCCTGGCCCGGCGAACGGTCGATGTTGCATGAGCTGGCATGGTCTGTGCGCGGTTGCCCCTAGCAACAGCGCCTGGTTTACTGCTTGAGCAACATGGAGCTAAGCGACACGCGCCCCGCGTCTTCCACACACCCCATCGACGAGCGCGCGCGCAGGTAAGCCTTTGCATTCTATTTGCATTTGCAGTCTGGGGTTTCCGTCTTTCGCTCGATACCCACCGGCGCCATGGGCTCCGACGACCTGATCGACTTCGAGATTATCGAAAACCAGAAGGAGAACATCCAGTCTCTCCCCAGCGGTCGCTCTGCGAAGGCGCTCGCCCAGCTCTACACGCCGCCGCTCTCTACGGGCGCCGCAAAGGCGCCCTTCCCCTCGCCCTCGCAGAGACAGGATGCACACAATGCGACGCGGCAGCAATTCGAAAAGGAGCTGCTGGCCATCGACGAGTCCGACGACCCCCTCGATGTTTACGACCGCTACGTGAAGTGGACGCTGGACGCATACCCGTCGGCACAGAACACGCCACAGTCGCAGCTTTGCTCGCTGCTCGAACGCGCCACCAAGGCCTTCCAGGCTTCATCGCACTACAAGAACGATCCGCGCTACCTCAAGCTCTGGATGCACTACATTCGGCTTTTCTCGGACACGCCACGAGAGACATTCGCATATCTTGCTCGACACAGCATCGGCGACGGACTGGCGCTTTTCTACGAGGAGTTCGCCGCCTGGCTCGAGACGGCAGGACGGTGGACCCAGGCAGAGGAGGTGTACAACCTCGGCATAGAAAGGGAGGCACGCCCAGCGGAGCGATTAATTCGAAAATATGGCGAGTTCCAGCATCGGTTCGAAAGTCGGCCGCAGGAGGTTCCCGAACCAACCAGCCCTGCGTTGCCGACACTTCGTCCTGCCCTTGCCGCGAAGATCGACCCTTTCTCGCATGCCTCAGCGAGCCCCGCCGACCCGCAGGCTCAAAATCGCTCTCGCGTGGGAGGAGGCCCACCAAAGTTGAGTAAGCCGAAGCTTGCCATTTTCTCAGACGGAGACGAGCCTCCCAAGCCCGGATCCAGCGGCAGCTCCAAGGGCTGGGACAGCATCGGATCTCTCGCAGACCGCAAGAAGGAAAATACCACCGAGGCGCGGCCTTGGGTGGGTGAGACTTTGAAGGTTGGAAAGAAGAACACTGGCGTGCAGAAGATGATGATTTTCAAGGACGAGGTAAGTACAGCGCTCGCTCGAACCCCCTTCACGTATTTACGATCACAGGACTAATTGGTTGGCGTTTGCCTTGCATGTATTTCAGACCGTAACAGACCATAATGATGAACTTTCCAAACCTCATCCATTGCGCGAGCATCAACAAGCTGTCAACCCGAGGACAGGAAGAGCGGAGCTCGTTTTTGTTGACCTGCAGAAAGTATATCCTAACCACGATGCCGAATACTCATTTGAGGAGCTACGAGCCAAGTATCGCGGATGGATGGATATGGACTGGGCGGCTATCAGACGGGAGGAGAAGGAAAAAGCTGACAAGGCAGCTGAAGCTGCGCGGATCAAAGAATCCAAGCCTAAGACAATGCCTTTAGCACCCAAAGAGCCCCAAGAGAAGCCCGCCAAACCCAAGACAGTTCCGCTGAAAGGCAGCATCGAGGAAGATCTAGTATTGAACGACGAGAACACGCCCCCTTCCCAAGCTGATGCAGATAAGGCAAAGGTTGCGAAGAAAGCAAGACGAGAGGAACGCGCCAACCGCACTAGGAAGATCAAGGTGATGGCGGTCAGGGAGATACGCGGTGAGACACAGACTAGTAGGTCTCTTGAATAAACGCTGACGGACCGTGCCTGACATGAAACAGTTCAAACAAACCTAGACTCTCCAACCGGCCGCAAGATACGACGGAAGAAGAATGGCGTGGAAACAACAATGACTCTCCATACCAAGGAAGCCATGGACGAGATTTATGGCATCTTCAATCAACCCTTGAAGTCCGCTACAGATACTGCTACCGAAGTCGATAGCGGAGAGGAAAGTAGCGATGACGACGACGATTACACCAGCGCTGGAGAGAGCACCGGTACCGGGCAAATATCATGCGCTACTAGCGAATTCGGGGACGAAACAACGGCAGCCGACTTCACCATAGGGACTACCGTCGGCGACCAGGAGGATGACGAGACTGGAACAGACACTACCGATGTCAAAAGCGTTTCTGGTTGGTCTGACTTTACCGAGAGCAAGCACGTACCAAAGGAGCATAGACGCAATGAATCAGATGATGATTCTGAGCCATTGGAGGACGAGTCCTTTGAAGACACATCGCATCCGGTAGATGATGCTGGTGTCGAGCACCAAGACCTGGCTACGCCCACTTCCTCCGAGGCATCCTCCTCGCTTCCCACGCGCTTCGCTCCTGTGCCTCCTGAAGGCTATGATGTGCCAACACGACCGTACCGGGATCCCGTTGTTGCAGCCAATAATCGTCTGCCATTCATGACTCCAATCGTTGAGAAGACGGAATCCTCCCTCGGTATTGCGACTACTCACGCTCAGAAGGATTACTTCTCAGCCAAGACCCCCTCGCGCTCAAAGGGTACCGGAGCCATACTTGAAGATGATGGTGAGCCGTGGAGTAGCCCCTTCCACGATGCCCTTGAACAAGGCGTTGATGGCCCAGGGCGAGTAGCGAAGCTAGCTCTCAGAGAAGCCAAACCAAAGGACGCCGCTGTTGAAGCGAAAGCCAAGGTCCCAGCGAAGAAGGATATCAGCGCGAAGGACGTAAAACCAAAAGGACCGATCATTAAAGATGCCCAGTGCAACCCAGTGGATGAAGCTATACGAGATGCTATCCTCTGGGAGATTCAGCCGCCCCTATCCTCGTACGACGGTTTCTGCGCAGACACAGACATGGCATACGGAAAGAGTGCGGAAATCAGAAAATATGCAAAGGCCGTGTCGAAGATGAGCAGCAGAATCTCCAGCGACAAGACTACGACCAATATCTCAATACCTCCCACTCTCAAGTTTAAAAAAACAGATAGGACCTATTCACTCAGGCGAGAGCTCGGGAAAGGGGCATTCGCACCAGTATATCTCGTGGAAAGCGAAGCTGCCGAAGCAGACTGCGGAGAGAGCAAGCCCGTGCAGATGGGCAAGGGAGAATTTGGGCTGGAGCGCCACTCGCTGGAGGCAATCAAGATGGAGGAGCCGCCATCGCCCTGGGAGTTCTACATCATGCGACAAGCGAAGAGACGCCTTGGGGTATCTCGAGCAGCCGATTCTGTGATCTACGCATATGAGATGCATGTGTTCAAAGACGAGTGCTACCTGGTGGAAGAGTACCGGGACCAGGGGACACTACTCGACCTGGTGAACATCGCTCGCGCCGAAAATGGTGTTATGGACGAACAGCTGGCTATGTTCTTCACCGTTGAGCTGTTCCGTACCGTGGAGGCACTTCATTCCAAAGGCTTGATCCACGGCGACCTCAAGTCCGATAACATCCTTGTTCGCTTCGACGCTCTTTCGAAGGAAGACTACTGGGACTCCCAGTATAAACGGGATGGCCGGGATGGCTGGGCATCCAAAGGGGTTGCACTCATTGACTTCGGCCGAGGAATCGACATGAAAGTCTTCAAACCCGACGTCCAATTCATCGCCGACTGGCCTACAACCGAAGCAGATTGCGCCGAGATGCGTGAGCTCCGTCCATGGACTTACCAGATCGACTATCATGGCCTCGCCGGCATCGTGCACAACCTCCTCTTCGGGAAGTACATCTCTACGGTCGCTGAACGAGGTGCTACGCTCGGTGCTGGAGCGACGAAGACATATCGCGTCAAGGAGAATTTGAAGAGATACTGGCAAACGGACATCTGGAACGAGGTCCTAGATCTCCTTCTAAATCCGCTAATGCATCTGGAGGCAGAAGAGGGGAGAAAGATGCCGGTTTTGAAAGGCATGAAGGCCGTGCGGGAGAAGATGGAGACGTACTTGGAGGCTAATTGTGAGAAGGGCGTTGGACTGAAAGCACTGGTTCGCCGGATGGAGGAGGCGGTAAAGAAACGATGATGCGCTCATGATTGTTTTTCTAAGCATTGGATTGGCGCGATGTTGGCTGCATTGCAAGGCGTTTGGTTGGTTTAAGTATTGATAGTAATGCGACGTTCTTCTCTGCAGATCGGCTCGAACTGCTCGTGAGGCGCGCAGCACCGCCACAAGTGAATTTGGCGGGGCTTGAGGTGGCCCGCGCTCCATTATTGTAGCCTTGAGCTTAGGCGGCGGGATAGCTTCACCTCCGAACACGCTCGCCGTGAAATTGTCTCCGCACAAGATATCTCCTTTAACCCATCTTTGGTAGGCCTTTTCCCCAGCTCGCCCCGAACGTCCTTGGAGCTTCTACGTTCATTACGTTGAGCGGCGGAGGCGTAGGCAGCACTTGAATTCGACCGCACCCCACAACGCCTTCCTCCACGACAGCCCCGCGCAATCGCAAGCACAACAACCCTCAGACCAGAGCAGAATATGTCTGCGGAGCTACTCAATATACTACTCGGCTTCCAGCCGGACGCGCCAGAGCTGCAGCAAAAGCGCGAGTATGACACGACGGCCCGCAACTTCGTCTCGTCGCTGGGGAACATATCGGCACAACATTTCTTGAAGGGAGCAGACACGCCGCAGGATGTTCTATCTGTATGGAGGTATGCCCGTCAAGCTTGGAGCTCCGTTAACAACAAAAGGTGCTGGATCCTTCTGTAAACTCAATAGCATACGCCACTATCCTCCGAATCCGCATCGCCGCAGCCGTCGATAAGAAGACTACAGTACCGGACGTGGTGAAGCCCGGAGGCTCATTATGGAACAAGCTCGTCCTCTTCCTAGAGTCCTTCGATCCCATTCAGATGCGGTATGCAGGTGCAGAGTGGCGGAAGCTTCTCGAGTACGTTGAGCAGATCGCGCGAGCTATGCAGACGGTATGTTGGACAATTTGGGACATATCTTATGGCATTCGCTGACCCTTCTAAAGCCTGCCATCGCTATATCGCCCATGCGATCAGCAATGATCCGTCTCGACCCCTCTACCGGCACCTTCACCTCGACGCATCTCAACTTCATACGGCTATGCATGGAGTGCAGGTCGTACGTCGCCGCCCTACCCATCCTCGACAACTATATCCATAGCCTGCCCTCCAGTATACAGGCACAGGTCCGAGAAGGCCTGGAATATTCGGTTCCTTGCGCAGACACGGCCACAAGCGGAGAGTTCATCCATGCAAAGTCGGGGCATTCGGATAAGATCTCACTCTCAGATGTGCAGGAGTACTATGTTCTAGGAGCGATGGCATACATGGGGGTACGTCAGTTCAAGAAAGCTCACCAGATGCTGGAGCACGTACTGGTAGTCCCTGCCGCAGTGGCCAACGGCCTTATGCTCGAAGCGTACAAGAAGTGGGTCCTCGTGGGCTGTCTAGTAGATGGATCTGTAAGTAATAACGGTATCTATTCGATTCGGCCCCATCTAACATAACACAGCACAAGTCAGTGCCGCGAACAGCGGCTGGAAACGCCATGAAGCAAGTGCGGGCTTGTGCTAAAGCATATGAGGCTCTTGCCGAGGCTTTTTCGCAGCTCAACAACCTCCCAAAACTCAAAGCTCAGATAAACGCAGGTAAAGACACCTGGGATGAGGTGAGTCGCCCTACTCCACATGAAACATGCGTTTCTCGTTTCAAACCACGGAGCGCTTACACAACGCGTAGGACGGTAACGTTGGTTTGGTGAACGAGTTGCAAGAGCAGCAGTACAGGTTCTATGTTTCTCACTTGTCTCGGACGTTCTCCGCAATCCCTGTCTCAAACATCGTCAACAACGTGGGCGGCTCTGCGGAGGATGTTACCACCTATCTCGAGACTCTAATCCAGAACGGCTTCCTGAACGCGCGCCTCGAGCGAAACGACAAGCCAGGAGTAGGCGCCGTCTTGCGTTTCTACCTCGATCCCACCCAGGGACCGCAGGCCAAGACGGAGAAGCAGCAGCAGCAAGCGCTCTTGGAGCAAACGGAACGAACGAACATGCTAGCTGACCAAGTGAAGGACGCCGACTACCGTCTGAGCATCAGCAAGGAGTATGTGGAGTACATCAAGCGCCAGAACAAGAAGGCGGCGGCAGCTGCCGGTGGGGGAGGAGGCGACGCCATGGATGTGACTTGGGACGACGGCGACATGGACGAGGACATTATGAGTTGAGCATGAAAACGCGAGGCAACGCGACAGAGCAGACGCGTGGATAGCGCGCGTGGAAAAGCCACCCTGGAAGTCTTCAGCGCTATCTCACCCGATAAGCACCGTGGGGCGGGATTTCATGACGCAATAACGGTAATGCATGAAACGCGATGAGGGTTGAAGCCAACCAGCGGCACTGGCATGGTTCGACCACCATTACCTCCTATACTGGAATTGATGTACACGCCGTCGTAGCACTTCAGCCACGGCCGTAGCATAGCTGAAGAGTAGACGTGCGCTCTGTGGGGGCGTCATGGAAAGATGAAATGCCAGTGCACGCTTCCTGTCTGGGTGATGGCTCTTGCGGGTCAATCTTTGCTTTTGAGTTGTATTTGAGTTGCGGCGGCGATTCAAGTCGTTCTGGCATGAGTCGGATGTATCAGACGCAGCCCTGGAGGATATGCGTGGCGGTGTAGAGTTTGGGGCCAGGGCGAGGTTGACATATACGTATACATGGCCGTTCCTTCCACGTCGTGCTGCCTGCTGCCGACTCCGAGAGCATCCTCCTATTCCAGGACACCTCGCATCTTCCCAGTCTCCTAATCTGCCATCTGAATCCCAATCCTGCCAGAAAGCAACGGGCCTGAAACTCGGTGTAAGCGACTCGGTGCCAATCCGACTTCTTTTTCCTCGCCCTCCATCCGTCGTCGATATCCAGCGGCTCAGCCCTGCGCACGAGGTAGGAGGTCCGCTGTCTCCAGGCACCCGCCCAGCAGACTTGTCGAAGCCGGCGCCGCAGACGGTCAACGACAGCGCAGTCCTCCACGCTTCCTCTCCATCGAAACACAGCAGTCATCGCGCGCGTCTTAGTCAGGTGCCGTCCGCCGCGCGCGCGGGAGGTCGAAACGACGAAAACAGCGGGCTGCCCGGGCCAATACAGACTTCAAACCGGCTCCCGGCGAGGGTGCCCACCGCGCGGGGCGTCGCACGCAGCGCTGGGCCCCAGCACCGCAAGAGGTCGGCGAACTCTCGAGGAACGGCGGCTGTCCTCGCGCGCAGGCGCTGGTGTTGGTGCTGCGCTGCGCTCCTCCACGACGCCTGGCCGTCTCTTTTAGGCTGCTCAGGGCGCCGGTGCGGCTGGCTAGCGCGCTGCGACCGGGATCGTCTCCTGGCCTAAACCCGTTTCGCGCGGCTCCAAACAACCCCTGGCCCCGTCTCGACGCTGCGGGCGGGCGCGCGCTTGGCTCTCGCATCTCCACAGAGCGTCCTAGGGGTCCTGGGTCCTGAGTCCTGAGCGCCTCCGCGACACAGCAGCAGTCCGTTTGGCAGCACCGCAGCACCGCAGCAGCAGCATCGCCCGCCCGCGTCGCCGCTCCGCCGCTGTCCAGCGCGTTCCTGCACCTCCGCCATGCGGGAGCATCTGCATAAACGTGCATGAGGACCGGAACGGCAATCTCAGACACACATCCCAGAGTCGGGCCCGCTAGCAACACCAACATGAGCATCTACACGCCGGTCGCAGCGACTCCGCCGCCCGCAGACCTGGCCGGGCCCACGCACTCCCACCGCCGCCCCTCGAGGAGCAATTCCGTCTCGTCGTCGTCGGTCGTCACAGTCCGGCGGTCAGCCTCGCTCAAGGACACGATCCCTGATCCGTCCAAACCCCACAAGAGGGCCACACCGCCTCCCTCGCGACGCCGTTCTAGCGCTGCTGCCGGCGCCATCGAGGGCATTGGGACTTTTCGGGAGGGCGTTGGCAACCTGAACCGCTGGTCGCAGTCGACCACGAGCAGCAAGTCGTCGGCGAAGGAGAAGGGACACGCGCCGCACCCCAGCTTCTCGCGGCACCTGGGCCTCACCACGAATTCGTCTCTGCCCTCGGTCAATGGCGCTGCGGCGCATCCGCCCTCGCCCTCGCGCCTCAATTCCTCGCCGTCCCGCAGTACGAACGCATATTCTTCCACCCGCTCGCCGGCATCGAGTCCCCATCGACGTGCTAGGCCGCGCTCGCCGGTATACCACCCCCCAGCCTCTGCGAGGGAACCCCCCCAGATACCCTCCCTACCTGCCCTCCTGCCCGCCACAGTGTACGATCCCAGCAGCCCGCACACCGGTTCGTCGAGCGAAGGCCCCTCCACGGCCGGCCTGTTTACCCCAAGCACATATACGACGACTACATCGACCGACTACTTCACCTCGAAGCCACGACCCCCTCCGTCGAACCAGCGCCCGCCATCACGCAACAGCAAAGCCGACAAAGTGCTAGGAAGGTCTCCGCTGGGTTCTCCGCCAATTGGCGTTCTGGAGTCGGAAGCAAGGTACAGGTCGAGCTCGGCCGCTCCTCGGCCGGTGACAGCGGGCCGCCCCTCGACTGCAGCAACAAGGGACACGGCGCAGCAACCAGCACAGAGTGCGGGGCACGAGCGGTCATATTCCAAAGAGCAGGATTCTCACAAGAGGAGCGAAAGCAACGCCAGCAGCAGACTGGACGACAGCTATCTGGGCACCCCTCCGCGCAATCGGGAGCGGAGGGAGAAGGATAAGAAGACCATGCTTTCGCGAGCGCTGCAGAAGGCGAACACTGCAGTCTTGCTGGACAATGCGCAGAATTTCGAGGGCGCCATGGAGGCGTACGGGGACGCATGCAGGTTATTGCAGCAGGTGATGATTCGGAGCTCAGGCGAGGAGGATAAGAGAAAGCTTGACGCAATCGTAAGTAGCAAGATTCATTGCTTCCATTGTGTGACTCTCATTTACCATTTGCTGACGCCTGGCAGCGAGTCACCTACACCAATCGCATAGAAGAGCTCAAGAGACTGGATTCAGGTTACCACGCTTCAGGTGGCAAGTCATTACCTGCTCGCCCTATGAGCGGCGAATCTCTAGATGAGCAGCGCTCTATGTTGTTGGATGCGGGTGAGGAAGAAGAACCTGTTATTCAAACGGCCACCGTGACAAGAATCGTCCGTGACCGGTCCCCTGCGCCAGAACCGCCGCCTTCGCAGCCTTTACCCCTTCGGACAGCCCAATCCGCGGGACAGCGAGAATCCGTGATCTCCACAGCAATCCGTGACGTCCAGAAGGGCCTGACGAACTCGTCACAGTTTCACCTCCAACCACCTCCCGGACGCCTGGGAAACAGCATTCCCTCCTTTTCACCTGGACTAGAATCACCAATGGATCGAAGTTATATGCCCCCGCCGCTGTCGCCTAGACGGCCAATATCACCTCTGCCATCATCTAAACAGGACGCTGAGTCCGGTGCGGAGAGTAGGCTTTCTCAAGTAGAACAGCCTATCCAATCCGGACATTCAAGAGGCCATAGTAGTGAGTCAATCTCCTGGCTCGACACTATAGACGAATCCGGAGGGTCGTCCTGTTCATCATCCGTACATTCTCTCTCCCCGGGTGGTATGCACCGAAAGCATCTCCGAAATCCAAGTGGCGCGACAGAGGCTGAATTTGACGCCGCGCTTGATGCAGCTGTTGAAGCTGCCTATGACGAAGGCTATGAACCGTACGATGATGACGAATTACCAAACTCTGCCGAACTCATCGCCACCAAGCTAAGGAACGTGGAGCTGGCGAAGGAACGAGTACGGGAAGCAGAACGAGAAGAAGCAATTGCAGCGGCGAAGTACCGGTATAAGGAGGCTCAGCTACGCAACGAAAGCTTACCGCGCGTTCGAGAAAGCGCCGAGTTCAACTTCCATGATCAAGCAGAAGAGGATGAGCGGTTACTAGACGAGATGACAAGGGAGTACATGCTCGACGAATTTGATTTCGACTTGCAGACCAAGTCAGCACTGCCCCGGCAATCGGATTCCAGTGGCTTCTCGGGAAGCACGTACAACAGTTCTGTGTCCTCGCACAGAACAACCGGTGGAACCTCACTATCGACCGTTGCGGAAGTGATATATCCTCCGAAGCAAAAAGCACCCACGCATTCCCCGCCACCGGTGCCTACCGCTTCTGGTGCTCTGTCTTCCGTATCGGAATCCCAGACGTCTCAAGGAACTGATGTTTCGCAGACAACGCCACGAGGTCCAGTTATTGCGAAAGAGACGGGCTCAGTACGGAACCGGAGGTTATCTGGGCAGAATCTGAAGAGCTTAAAGATCGAAACATCCTTGCCGCCCGTTCCACCCGCGCCTCACACTGACAAGGCAACGCTCCTAGAAAAGGAACCACTGCCTGATGTGCCGCCACTACCAAAATCAGCCGCCGCCACAACGTTCAGTAGCACGCAATCCTCCATCGAATCCACCTTCAAGGTGCCAGCACTACCGCAGGCCCACCAACAACCTGGTCTTACGGCTCCGTCGCCACAGCCTCCTGTCCCAAGTCCGGCCGATACCACTTTCACAGTCTCACCAGCTACACCGGCCCTCAGCCATGCCATGTCAAACGATACCACGCTCGTGCCTGGCTCACCGAAGAATGGAAAGGGGTCTGCAATGGGAATTAGGAAGAACAAGTCCTCCCTTAGCCTGAAACAGCGAACCCTGTCAATATCAAGTCCGGATGGGTCGGACGGCTCAGTGGGGACGCCTCTCAGCGCCTCTTTCTCTTTTGCGGGACGCAAGCCTAGCAGTGCAGCGGCGCCGACGCCGACGCCGAGCGTACCAACCTTCAACGTCGACGGCCTACCAAGTGGAGGGATGCACCTGTTCGAGAGTGATATCCATTCTCCGTACTCACCTGGTTCTCCTAGTGCTGCTGTGGCAAACGCCCCGATACCCCTGGAACCGTGTCCGGACTCGTATCTCCTTCGGCCTTTCTGGCTCATGCGCTGTTTCTACCAAACCATTGCGCATCCTCGCGGCGGATACCTTTCGACAAAGCTCTTCATACCCCGCGACGTCTGGCGTGTAAAAGGCGTGAAGCTGAAGAATGTCGACGACAAGATCGCGAATTGCGACTTGCTGACCGCGGCGCTCCAGAGATTATCCGCTGTGGACACCCTCGACGCGGATGCAGTACTGGAGGAAATGCAAGCGCTTGAGGTTGTTCTTGACCAGGTGCAAACGCAGCTGGCCAAGAAGCTTGGAAACGAAGTCGGTGTACACGGCGTTTCGGCGCTCTTCAAGGATGCCTACACCGTGGGTACCGGCTCAACAGCAGACGGCAATTCAGACAAAGGATCCCATGGATCACAGGATCATGGTCCAAAGAGCGCAATGTCGCAAAGCAAGTCATATCTCACGTCGTGGCGGAAGCTGCGGTCGAAGGGCTCGGCTGTCGGTCTAAGCAACATGGCTGGAGCAAAGAACGCTGGTGGCGAAGTGCCGAAGGATTCCTTGACCATGGCTACGCTTCCAATGACTAATCTACCTAACATCAGGTTCGCCAAACGAGACATCTCCGGTGTGGTGTTTGAGGGTCCCAACTCTGGATATATGGGCAGCTTAGCGAAGCTTTTTGATTCGGCCCAGATATTGGGTAAGTTTACTCCTCTTCTAACACGGGTTTCTGTAATCGATGGAGCTTTGCTGATTGTACGTGCTAGACCAAATCGCTCGCCAAGTCGAAGACCCAGGCCTCAAACACTCGTCACCTACCCACGTCGGTCTCGAGCTCTCTGCCCGCCATGCCGCTGAGTTCTTTGGCTTCTACATCTGTCGCTTCGTGCTTGCGGACGTCACGCTGATGCTGGATAAGTTCATCAAGAGGGGAAGCGAGTGGGTGCTCGTATAACGCATCCGTTGTTGTAATGAGAGGGCTGTTGTATTAGGGCCTCAGATAGCAGAGCCCGAACCTCACCTTCGTTCCACTACAACCCCTTCTTTTCACTTCTGCTTGTTCCTATTTAACTCGCCGCTGAACGGCCGGCTTGGGTGTGTTTGCATTATGGAGAGGTTCCCGTCACGAGTTATGTCCTCGTCTTATCCCATTTTCCTGCTGTGCGAACAAAACGCACTGTTTTTTCACGGTTTTATTGTCCCGTTGTTTTCTGTTTGTTCTAGCTGCCACAAGATATCCCCCCAATTCTTATCAAACTTGTATGTACCATCCTCCATCATCATCAGCGAATTTTCCTCATCTCTGTCCTCTCTCCTAGCCGTCTGTCGCTACATCTTTAGATCCTCCACCTACGTCATGTAGTGCTTTCCTCCTTTCTTCTTTCTCTCCCCCTCCCTCTCTCTCTTCCGACAGATCGGACGGGGCATAGGCCTGCAGCATATGAGGAGATGAGATGCTTGTATGTACGCATGGTGTGCTGCGTTGTATGTATGTAGGATGCGCCGCGCGAAAGCGAAAAGATAGGACAGGCTGGCTGGTTGGAGAGCCTGTCAGAGGGGAATGGAATGGAGAGGCTATTTGAAACGTATTATATTTGCTCTTTGTGCGTGTGGTTGTGAGATTTACATTGGGGTGCAAACCGGCGCATCATCCACCAGGAAGATTCTAGGGGTGGTTTTCAGATTGGCCCGGGATGTGTTCTAATCGGGTGGACGAGGCACTCCAAGGACCATAAAACCAAGCCACAAGCTCCCAAGGAAATCGATTCAGACTACGAAGCTAGTGCTCAAAGATACAGCCCTCACGCAACAAACGGCCGTGGCTGCCGTCCACCGTGCTGCTCCTCCCACCTCACCACCGCATCATACATCCTGGCCTTCCCTTCCCTCGACTCTCTCGCCTCCGGCCCCCGTCCCCAAAGATCCTTATGCCTGTAAAACCCGCCCTCAAACGGCAGCGGCCTCTTCGCACTCGTCAAGCTCCTCTTCCCCATGCCACCATCTCCCGAGCCTGACGACGACGCCGAGCCAGGCAGATTCAAAAACCGGCTCCATGCCTGCTGCGCGTCTTCCAGGCTGCTGCTCGCGCGGATGGTGCGGAGCACCGAGGAGGTGCCGATGAGCTGGGCTTCGAGCAGGGAGGACTGGAAGGTCGAGATGGTTTGCTGCAGGGCGTCGATGGCGGAGTAGACGGGCTGGTTCATTTCCTTGTGCCAGGAGCGGCCGAGGGTTGTGAGGGCTGTGGCGAGGCTGGGGAGCGAGAGGATGTAGGTTGTGTAGGGCTCGTCGAGGGAGGTGACGGTGCTGTTAGGGCCGGTCAGCGTAGAGGGTGCGGTCGTAGTTGGGAAAGGCGGCGGCGTTGGGGGTGTGGGGGTTGGGCTGGTGACATTGGTATCGTTGGCGGCGAGCCAGTGGTCCTGTGAGTGGTGTTAGTGAGCTGTAGGATGGACGGGAGGGGCATTACCTTGTCAGACTGCAGGAGGTAGTTCGCCCTGAGCACCGTCGTCGTAATATTCGCAACCAGATCTGCGGTGCCCTACCCACCGCATCAGCATACGGCACGCCCACACCCAACTCTCAAGCACCGCTTACCAGCGAGCCCTGCGGCGCCACCGTCAAGAAGCCCCACGTCGAATTATTGGGCGCAGCATTGATCGTCGCGGCCGCCGCATCGACGACAGTCTTCAGGTCCTGCAGGTCCTTGACGGCTTGGGGCACCGCGGCGGCAGTAAGGAGAGCGCCGGTGAGATACATGCTGCCGAAAGCCTTCAGGATCCGTGAAGACATATAGGGCTGTTGCGTAGGGTATTGGCTGTGGGAGATACTGTTGTGTAGGCTAAAGGTGGTAAAGTTGTTGAGTTGGGATGAGGGATGGTGGAGGACTTCAGAGGATTGGCGGAGGATAGCTGGAATATATAGTAAGCTAGCGAGGAGGAGCTAGCGGTCGGCGAATGGAAGAAGCGGCGAGTGTGGATGGAGCGGTGCAGGACTCCGGGAAGGAGGAAATGGTGGTGAGGTACCGCCTCTGCCATGCCGGGCAGGAACGCCCCCCAGTGCACGTCCATGGATGCATCTCCTCCAGGCCTCTCAAATAACTCATCGTAACATCTCTCAAAACACTTGCGCGCCACCGCTTCATATCTTCATGGGGTAATTCATTCGTCCGCATCCGTTGTCTCCATTCCGCTGGTGGCAGGAAAGCGTCCGAGGTGCAGTTGATCTACCGCAAGGCCCAAAAGAATGAACCAACCTTGCCAAGGGCAGGATAATCCTTCTCTACTCCCCATTTCCATCTATTTGCACCCATTCTTTCCATCCTGTCGTAGCCCGAACGCTCACTCAAATCTTCCACCCCATCTCCACCGTATTTCCCTTGCCCGTCAACACGAGCCACGAATGCTCCAAGCCTTTCGGCAGAGCCGCTCTAGAACCTTGATGAGGAAACGAGTTAAGATTTGTCTCGCTCAAGTCTTGCTTTGCGAAGCCCAAATCCTCTGCAACTTGATGTCCGGCATTAAGCCGCACCATATTGTGTAGACCGAGATGAGGGAGCAAATTAGTGTCCCTATTGCCGGCATTCCTTGCGCTTACTCCTTGCTGCTGCGTCCTATTGGAGCGGAGGCCACGGCCGTGCTGGGGAAGCTCGTCCAGAAAGCCAAGTTCTTCGTCGAAAGTTCGCCTTTCCCTTCGATGCTGCTTCGCTGCTGTTGCGGCAGCTTCGATTCTAGCTTGGTCTTCGTCGAGGTTGAGGAAGTGGCCAAGCAGCATGGTGGTTTCGTCGAGCAAGACGCTGTCTTCGTCCTTGTCTCCCAAAGTCCTCGTCTTGAGCTTATAGTCGTGTGTGGGGTAAGGATTTTGTGCGGCTTGATCGTAACCCCTAGAGTAAAACTCGCCTTCCCTATCGAGCTCTGGCGTTGCATATCGTCCTCCCACCGTAACCGAAGAAACTTTGACCTCTTGAGCTCCAGGAGGAAGAAGAAGTGATTGTGTGATCGTCTCTTCAAATCCTGCCTCCAACCTCCCTCTGTCCATGACGAGGATTTGCCTAACTCCGCGTATTCCAAGCAAGGCTCTAGCAAGGACTTTCTCGGTGCTGTTGATCTTGTATGGAAGGCTTGCCTTCGTTTCCGAAGACAAATTATTCGTGAGAAACTGATTCAGCTTTCCTTTGACGTCGTAGGATACCGCAGGAGAGACGAGGTGGTAGTTGTAGCGGGTGAAGAGGGTTCTGCCGAAAACAACAATCTTGACACCGTCTAGATTGTGCGGATTCGTCCCGTCTGGACGCGGGTGGAACTCGTTAAGCGCCATTGCGAGCTTGTCTTCTTGATATGCGTCCATTTCTTCGGCGTCCAGATGGAGTTCTAGAATGCGGATCCTCTCCTTCGCATCGTTCGGATAGGTGGCAAGTTTGAGGAAGAGGTTTCGGTCGGCGTCACTTGCGATGATAATATGGCCTGGTGTGTACGGGTCTTCGACTCCGCTTGTAGCCATGATGTATCAGATAGCTCGAAGGCCTTCAGCTGGGGTTCCCTACTCCAGTCAGCGTTCCCTTAGACCAACCTAGCGCATACGGTGGGGCGATGCAGAACCAGCCTCAGAGTCGCCTCGCGCCTCGCGCGTGAACGTAGGAAGAGGCTTTACGTCTGGATCGGGATTGCTGGATACCGTCAGCGCCGTTTCCCTTTACCAGTTACGATTCTCTTGGAGCTTCTGAGCGAATACGATTGTGTATTGTGCGTTGAACGTCAACCCTACCGGGCGGCTAGTTGTCTAAGTAGCGGACGCAGCACCCGCATAGGTCAGGTGTATGTGGCAGTGTGGATCGGTCATCTGAGTGTAAGAAAGAATAGCGGGGCTTACCGGAGTGTGATAGATGCAACACAAGCAAACAGAGCGTTGTGCGGTCTGGGTTTCGCGATGGCGGGGTTCGGTGTGTCGGCAGCAAAAGTGTTGGTGATGATGTGCGGGAAGGCGTGAAGTAGAAGCGCTGGTGAAGAGAGAGGGAAACAAGGAATTTAAAGAGGTGTGAATGTGAATGTAGGGCTCGGGATCACTCTAATCGATACCAAATGATACTAGCGGAATAACGAGTTCCACCGGAACTGGAGCTCACAGCAAGAGTTCGATCCTGATCGTTCTCGCCGGAGCCATCACAATCCATCTCGTCTAAAAGCTACCACCGCGATCGCCCTTGGACCTTGTATCCCGCCTCTCGTATGCTCTCCACCATAGTGCTAGGTTGGCTGCTACTAACAAATCCATCATCTTCAAGCCCTCGTCTTCAATGATAAGTTTGCCCAGTTTCGCGTGCTTGCCACCGAAACCACCTCCAGCAAATTCTTGTCCTAGTGATAGATCCATGCGGTCAAATGAGCTCCTGACGTCCTCCGTGCTGTCGCCACGTGAGTCTGATACCGACGAGTTGTGACGACTGTGCCGCGGTCGGTGGAAGAAAGAAGATCTCTTCGGTTGTTCCTCGCCCCGAGGTGTTGACACTTTTGAGCTGCTTGGGAGGTTGAACCTTAATTCGCTAACGGGCATGGCCATGGGCGGTGCACCTTGGAGGCCTGGGACGAGATGCCGACACTAGGGGTAGATGAGTATCATGCGCGTGAGAACCGGCGACAAGTGTGTGTTGTACTTACTTTCAACGAACCTCCTCCGGCGCCAGTAATAAACTCGCAACGCCCATTCCAAGGGCTCATGAACACGTACCCTCGAAAGCTCGTCTGCTTGTCTGACACTTGAATTGTGCTATAGGACTGGTGTTCTCGGGATAGAACAGGCGGTGTAGCAGGGGGTGGCCTTAGATCCATAGACGACCTGTCGTGCTGCCAGCCCTCGACACTATTTCTTGGGCTTTGACGCGATAGGCCTGAATCGTGCGAGTTGATTTTTCGATGACCAAAGCCACCTACGAACGGTGGGGAACATATTAGCAACTGCCCTAGAAACAGGGGCGCGAGGCACATCTAAGCATGTTTTAGTCGTTCATGTGCGTTAAAGGCCTTCAGATTGGATATCCCGGCCCCGCATCGACCGACTAAAACATGCTCGTACGTGTACCGCAACCTACGTACCACTCGCGTATTTCGATCCTTCCATCCATAACCGCCTACGAAAGACGTTACTATCTCTGTCGGCTTGCTCAGTTTGGGACGCCGTGGTCATGGCTCCTTGTTCGGAATGAAGAAATTTGGAATAGCCCGGATTGGTGATGTCGATGTACATGGGTGCGCCTGTTCTCTTCTTGGCAGTAGGCTCATTGATCGTAGAGGAGGACACATCCAAGACGGGCAGATCGTCGATGCGCGCAACATTCCACTGAGCGCCAGAGGCAGGGTCGCGCCGAATGAGCGTAAGGGAGGTTCCCTGAGGATAGGCCTGTTCGGATGGTCGTCTCGGAGGCAGTGCAGGTCTCTCCTCCTCTGCTTGATGTCGTGAAGTGTCAAAAGAGCGCCGTGGACTGTAATTGGGCCCTAAGAGATTGGAAGCCGCTGGTAGGTGATTCGCGGCACTGATGTTTTGCCTGCTTTCGAAATCATTGACCGGCGCAAGTGTCCCATAAACTGGTTTTCTCTTCGGAGCAGGCGGTGCGGCAGGTGGTGCCAAAGCACCAGGGATTGCTTTCCGTTGGACGGTTGTCGCCGAGGGCCGGTCTGGCAACGGTGGACGCTGCTCGCTGTAATCAGGCTCTCGAAAGGAAGGAGGATCAACCAGACGGGCATCTTCCGGGTGCTCTACGTGAACAAAGTACAGCGAGCTCTGGATATCCTCTGCTGTCACCACCTTCTCACGGGGCTTCAGCGGAGAGAGGAACACATCTGGAACCGATTAGGCCCTGCTTCCTTCGGTTAATTGACATGGCAGTCTTACCTCTACTGCCCGGCACGCGAGCGATGTATAGCACCAACGGCTCATGCTTCAGATGCGTTGGATTCCTTGGGTATGATGGCGGGTTCGACGCAAGCGCTGTAAGAGACGATAACGACTTGGCCTCAATGGCCGGCGCAGCCATTGGAGAGAAGACTGGCCGCCGAGCAATGCGAAAGAAATGGAAATCTAGAGTCGCTACTTAAGTCTTCGGGTTGAGGTGTCGGGCGGGAGAGGTTTGCTACTCTGAAGTAAGCGTTGCCCGATAACCCATATATATTCGGCAAGGCGACGCTGAAGTGTGGCAGTGGCAGTGCATACGCGTCCTTGGACAGCGAATGGGTTGCCTCGGCCTATAAACAGAGTCAAAGCGCATTGAATTGCCACGCAGCGCTCATGGGCAACGTAGCGACCGGGACAGCGGTTACAAGCCCTTGAGGCCGCAACCCAGAGGGAGGTTGGTGAAGAGCAGAAGTTGGGTGGGGCGGTTGCCTATTGGTCGGCGTTGAAAGGCGGTCACGGACTATTTCGAACTCTTGGCACTTGAGATTTTGATTTTCCGCACTCGAACTTCTCGAGGCGCACACGACACTCCTACAGTCGCGCTCTCTCCGCCTGCTCGCTCGTTCGCTATTGCTCTAGTGGTGGAAGCGACTGCTTTCGCACCAGGTGCCCTTTAAAATCCCCAATCATGGGTGACGACCTGGAGGTCCGCCGCAACAGTCGCACCCTGCACCTCTCACACAACGCTAATCGATGATATCAGGCGCGGTTGAAGAGCCATGCTCGGGCCTTTGAGGGCTTGATGTCCCTGATCCCCGCGAAGGAGTACTACGGGAAGGATGCCAGCATCACCAGCGTACGTTCTATCTCGCCACAGCCTCACCGGGACCGCGCTAAGTGTTGCGCGTCTAGAACCAATGGAATGCGAAGAAGCAGACCAAAGAACAACGGCAAGCTGCGAAGAGAGCGAAGCTGGACCCCGACTCGCACAAAACCGCGAAAGACGTCATGGACGAGAACGCACGAAAACGGAAGCGCGAGCTCGACGGTGACGACTCCTCCGACATGGACGTGGATATCGAGAAGGAGAAACCTGGAGAGGGGTTGAAGAGCGCATCAGGTGCAACAAAGAAGCAGAAAGTCGCCAAACAAGCCGACGCCGAAGGCGTCGCGGACGAAGAAGGGAACGCTGACGGCCAAGAGCATACGAAGCAGGCTCGGACCAAGTTGACAGCAGATGAGAAGAGGAGACGGAAGCTGGAGAAGAAGGAGAAGAGAAAGGAGAAGGCGAAGCAGAAAAACACGTCAAAAAAAGAGGGGCAGGGCGAGGTCCATAAGGCCCAAACTGAGGCCGAAGAATCAGACGACGAGAAATCGGACGAAGATCAAAACGAAGAAGAGCCAGACCACGACGATGATCACATTCAAGCATTGGACGTCAGTGGTCTTGTCGAAGAGGGTCAGTCTACAGCTACACCAACCTCTACAAATTCCAACGCCTCCACAGCTTCCGTTATCTCTGCAGCTTCGTCCTCATCCTCGATACTGCCGCCCTCCGACGAGCGAGCGCCCGAAAAGAAGGAGAAAAAGCCCCTCAAACTTGACCCGAAAAGTCATGACACATTCCGCGCCCGACTGACGGCAAAGCTCGAAGCTATGCGAGCTGCAAGGAAGGCCGACGGTCCAGACGGACGGCCTGCAAGGAACCGTGCCGAGCTCATTGAAATGCGGCGGAGAAAGGAAGCTGAGCGAAAGGCTGCAAGGAAAGCCAGCCGGCAGCTAGCGAAAGAGGATGAAGAGCGTCTAAAGGCAGAGGAGCAGCTCGCTCGGATACGTGGAGGATCGGGCTCTCCCTCAATGTTTTCGAAGCGGTCGTCGCCAGATCACGAGCGGAATTTCAGTTTTGGTCGAGTGGCATGGGACGACGGAAAGCAGCTAGAAGGGGATCTCTCGGGCTTCCTCGAGTCAAGGAAGAAGAAAGGCCGGTCCGATCCCAAGACAGCACTTGAGGCCGCCAAGAACAAGAAAGCGCGGCTCAATGCGTTGGACGAAGCAAAGCGAAAGGACATCGAAGAAAAGGACTTGTGGCTCAATGCGAAGAAGAGAGCTCAAGGAGAGCGGGTGCACGACGATCCCAAGCTGCTCAAGAAGAGCGTGAAGCGAATCGAGAAAGCCAAGGCGAAGAGCAGGACAGAATGGAAGGACCGGTTAATCAACGTGCAGAAGGGCAAGGAGGTGAAGCAGAAGAGGCGGGAAGAGAACCTCAGAAAGCGCAAGGAGGAAAAGGGCTCGAAAGGGAAGAAAGCGAAGAAGCCCGGGAAGAAAGTAAAGCGCCCTGGTTTTGAGGGGACTTTCAAAGCACGATGAGGAAAGCTGGGTATAAAGGACGGGCTAGCGCAGGAGCAGACATCCCGGGGATTGGCGTAGCGATCTTTTTGACATGTGTGATGAACCGGAAGTTGACGTCCGATATCACTCTATGTTTGCATTAGTGGAGTATCTTGGGTATATGTCCGGTTAGCGATTGCAAGTCTTCCGAAATGCAAAATCTACAACCCTTCAGTGTCCTTGCTGGGCGCGGGTCTACGACGATGACTATGCTCGTAACTCACAGTACACCCAGCATGCCTATGCCTTCCTTCTTCCATTCCTCCAACGCCAGAATGCTAGTCCTGAAGGCGCTTAGCAGGCAAACCCTTCAAGACATGCTTAATGTACCGCCACGTTTGGTGCTGGCTGTGAGCATTATCACTGTTGCCACTATTCTGTAGATGCACAAATGAAACCTGATTTTGCTAGACATGACCTCTCTAATATTTACAGATCTTGCACTCGCTGCCAACAGGCATTACCGGTACGGCGCATCAGCGCGAGCAGCGGCCGCAATCTCGGGCTCCCACTTGTCGCCATTTGCCAGCAGTTTCTCCTTGTTGTACAAAAGCTCCTCTCTCGTCTCCGTCGCATATTCTGCGTTTGGTCCTATTCAGAGGTTAGCATATCAGCTCGCAAAAGAGGTATCGAGAACATACCCTCCACGATCGCATCAACTGGGCAGCTCTCCTGGCACAGACCGCAATAGATGCACTTCGTCATGTCGATATCGTATCTCGTCGTCCTCCTGCTACCATCCTCACGCTCCTCAGCCTCAATGGTGATGGCCTGCGCGGGGCAAATAGCCTCGCAGAGCTTGCAAGCAATGCAACGCTCCTCGCCCGTAGGATATCGTCGCAGAGCGTGCTCGCCGCGGAAGCGGGGTGAGATGGGGCCCTTCTCGAAAGGATAGTAGATCGTATACCTTCAGAAATGTCAGGACATACTCTCTTCGCACTATCCGAGCACAGCGCTCGCCAATTGAGGGCTACTCACGGAGGCCGGAAAAACTGCTCCAGCGCAACGTACATGCCCCGAAACATCTCCAGCAGCAAGAAGTATTTGCCTGCCTTGTCCAACGAGCCCTCTCCTTCGTCCCATCGCTTCGGGCGAGGTAACCGGAAGCCGGGCGGCGGCGGTCCTGCTGGGGTGGCCGCTCGAGGGAAGGTCGTCGAGAATCGGGCGACGGTGGCGGGTGACGGGAGGCGGCCTGACGCGAATTGCGACGGCCTGAGGAGCGTCGATGTTGGGCGGCTGCGCGCCAGCATCGTCAATGGCTTCGTGCTGGCCATTGTTGGGCGCTGCGGAGTCGCGGGGCGGGCGTGTTGGAGGGGGGTTGCGATGGTAAGGTCGGGAGAGCTTTCCTGGTGTCGTTGTAACCGGTTACGCGTGGGCTGTGATTGGCTGCAGACTCATCGACGTCAACTGAAGTTCGAGAAGAGGCAAAGTTCGGCCAGAAAATTTGAACAAGGGCAATGACTGCAAATTGTGGAGAGGACCGGGGTGACTCAAGGCAATGCAGCTCGAAGGCACATCTCTGAGCATGAAGGTCTTCCGTGTATGTTCGCGCAGTGCAGGGCCCCGATTACGTAAGGCTGGTCCGGGTAGCTCTCGCAGGAAGTTCTCAAACCGAGCATCAACTCCATCCACCTTCTCTCCCCCTCACCGTTCCTCGCTTCCACACCCCGCAATCCCACCCACAATGTTCCGAACGGCTCTTCTCAGGTCCGCAAGGCAAGCTATCCGTGCCGCGCCTCGATGCCAGGCCCCAATTGGTCGTCCCGTTGCGCGAAGCTCCCTGTTCCAGGCAAAGCAGATCACCCCCGCCGCACGCTTCCAGGCAGTTCGATGCTATGCTTCGTCATCCGGCCTGTCAAAAGATGAGGTCGAGGGTAGGATAATGGATCTGTTGAAGAACTTTGATAAGGTAACGACCGTGCGATGGGATGTTGAAGCTATGGCTGACTCGGAAGCAGGTCCAGGACACCTCGAAGGTACAGGCGACAACTTCACAAGCTTTTGAATCATTCTTACGCTTTCTAGCTGAACGGAGAATCGCACTTCCACAACGATCTCGGACTTGACAGCCTTGATACTGTGGAGGTAGTTATGGCGATTGAGGAGGTCAGTCGTCGCGGACCAGATAGCACAAGAAGCAGGCCTGACAACAGCACAGGAGTTCAGCATCGAGATTCCAGATAAGGAGGCGGACGCCATCCACAGCGGTATGCGAGTCGGTGAACCTGTCCGCGTGTTCACGCTAATGATATCGCAGTCAAGCAAGCGGTAGACTACATCCTGGCTCAGCCCGATGGTAAGAGAGGTCCATCGCTCTTGAGTTGTCGAAACTAATTGATGCGTAGCGCACTGAGTGGAGTTGACACGGCGGGTTGCTAGATATCAAGGACATGGCTGGGGGAATTGGGTAGTCGGAGGCTGCTCCGGCGTTGTTATATATATATTCCTCTATGTGTAAAACAGACGCCTGAGATGGCATCTCGTGTATTTCTCGCTAGAAAATGGATGCTGCCCACCTCTTATCGTTTTCGACTTTGCCATGTGCGCAGGCCGTAAAGGTCCGCCAAAATCGCAGTCAGCCACGCTTGCCAAGCCAAGAAACGCCTCTCTGCCATTTGCGACCTGATAGAGCTGTCACACGAAGACATTCCCGAATCGACACATTGCAACATCCCTACTGCATTAACTGCTGAATCCCTTGACACTGCCAATTCCGTCTGCAGTGTCGTAGCGCTGCACGATCTCAGCTTCACCGCATGCGAAGCCCAAGCGCCAGCATCCCTGCGCTCGCTGAGGAGCCTCACCCATAACTTTGCAGGTGCAACAAAGACGTCCGACCACCCCATTCGTTTCACCACACCACCCGATGGCTACTACGACGTCTGGCCTAACCCGCCGAAGAGGAGGAGGGGCGGGTGCAGGGAATGACGGCGACGATACCAGCCGGGTGTCCTCACCTGTGCCCAAGCCTCGAGCAGACGATCGCACACCTGAGACTTCATACGAGAACTCCGCGAACGGCCACAAGATCGCATTCGACCCGCGGGACATTAGCGAGAATGCGGAGAGGAGCAAGCAACCCAAGCTGACGCTGATGGAGGAGATAATTCTTATGGGACTCAAGGACAAGCAGGTGCGTGGCAGGCAGAACCTAGGGAGGACTGCAACTAATCTGGACGGCTAGGGATATCTCTCGTTTTGGAACGACAACATCTCGTACGCGCTGAGAGGATGCATTGTTATAGAGCTGGCGTTCAGGGGTCGTATAAGCATGCAGAAGGACTCGTCACGGCGGCGGTTTCCCCTGGCCGATAGGGTCATCGAGGTCATTGATGATACGCTGACGGGTGAGGTACTGCTGGATGAGGCATTGAAGATGATGAAGACGAGCGAGAAGATGAGCGTGAACACATGGATTGACCTCATGAGCGGTATGTCTCGGGGCCCACTAGATTGGATTCTACATTGTGTATATGGGCTGACATTTAGACAGGCGAGACATGGAACCTCATGAAGATTGGCTACCAACTAAAACAAGTCCGCGAACGCCTGTGCAAAGGCCTCGTTGACAAGGGCATTCTACGCACCGAAAAGAAGAACTTCCTCCTCTTCGACATGGCTACACATCCGGTCGCAGACGGGGGCGCGAAGGAAGAGATAAGGCGACGGGTCCGGAATGTGCTCACGAGTCGCACCGTGGTGCTCCCGGCGAGCCAGTTCCTACCTGAAGAGATGGAGTTTAGATACCTCCGAACGATCGTCATGGTCTGCGCCGCTTATGCGGCGAATGTTCTCGAGAATGCTCTCACCACCCTCGGACACGAGGCACGAGAACGGGCCTTTGCTCAGGTCGACGAGCTGCTGGCGGAATACTCGCAATGGCCGTTTGCACGGAGGTCTGGCGGTTCTGGAGGTGTTGGTGCCAACATTGGCCAGGTGGTCAACGATGAAGTCAACAGTGGTAAAGATAAGGAGCTGCAGCTGGAGGTGAGTCTTAGCGTCGCCGGCAATGTGGGCCACGTTGCTAACGGTTTTCCCACAGGTGGTCGCCGCGTGTTTGAGCGTCTTCACAAGGCTTGACTCGCTGCTCTGAGCCAAGCGCATATGAAGATGCTAACTACATTTTGAAGGATCTCTGGGCTTTTCGGCATGATTCGGAAAGATTTCGGCACAGGATAAATCCCACAGCTACGTCAAACTACGGACAGATACGGCAGGGCAAGTCTGCAACCATCGGGCATGTTGAGGGCACGGGCGGTCTTCCTGGGAACATGCCATTCTTCTCGTTCATATCTCTAGCGTTTTCCTTTGCGGCAATCGGTCGGGGATAAGACAACGGCGTTGGGCCACTTGTTCTACGGCTGTATTAGCAAGCGGCTTTTCTTCCTTCCCTTGGATGGACTAGTGTTACAAAAATCGCGTTCTACGACAAGCAATTACTGTACACTTATGGCATGCCGGACGTAAGCATTGTCCACTTGAGGCAGTCCAACCCTCCAGGCGTACCTAGGTACCTAGGTACCCGTGGACAGAACCAACCTTGGAAGGGTGTCTTGGCATGTCACGTGAGAACAGAGTGCGAACCATAAACTCACTCCTCCAAGTATCCATCAAATGTGCCAAAATTTAGCAGGCCGGAAGAAACAAACACAGGCCAACCGCGGGCGACGACGCTTGCTGCAGCAGTGTGCGGCCCTGCTCAGCACGGCGGGTGTCTCGGCGCGATTAGGCGCAAGAAATAGATCCGCAGGTTGCGGCGCTGTTGCCTCGACTCATCACACGCAACTCCACTGACCGCATTCCGAGCTTATTTTCCGCCGCCGTGCCCGACCGCATCCCTGGACCTGCGAGCCCGAGGAACGGCTGCGCTCGATTCGGGAGCCAATATTCGGCTTGCTGCTGGAGCCTCCCGACTCTGCGCGCTTGTGCCTGCCCCGTGATCCCGATCGGCAGTTCCTGCCTTCAGCCAAACAGAGGCCCAGCCCGGACGACGCGCAATTTGTATGATCCGTCGTCGGTATGTACTCCATCTAGTTGCGCTGCCCATTGTCTGCGGAGATGGACGACGTTGGCGTCGCTCTCTGCGCCTGCCCCTTGGTGGCCCTTCGCGATGGCATTGCCCGCCCACGCTAACCGCGACGCAGCCACGAGCCTCGCGGGCATCGTCTGTAGCCCACCGCTCCTGCGCGCCGTACCACCAGGCCCGGCATGCCATCCACCTCCACCGACTCCCAGCACGGCGCGTCTCCCGCACAGAACGGTGCCATCGCCGTCCACCAGCCCGATGCCCCTGCCGCCGTCGACGGCCCCGAGCCCGCGTCCGGCGAGAACCATCTGATCCGCGAGGGGAAGCTCAAGGCGAAAGCTGTCCTCGCCGCCTCAGGGGTAAATGTCGACACGGCCGCTGCGGAGACCTCCAAGTCGCGGACAGACATGGGCTCGCCGGCGCTAGAAGAGGCCGTCAATGGCGCGTCGCCGAGTCGCAAACGCTCGCGCTCGGGGTCGCGCAAACCCTCCCGGACGCCCGCACACGACAACGCCGAAGGAGAGCAGCAATCCTCCAAAGACCCGCTACTTGATGTAATTAGAGAGCGCGATCTGCAAGCTTGCGCGACCATCCTTGACAAGAACAAGCGCCACGCCGAGCTGATCAACTCTTTGAAGGACGAGGTCAGGGACCTTAGGAAGCTCCGACAGCGACATCCTGCCGAAGTCTTTGGCTACGGTTACGGAGGCTACGGCAATGGGGTGACCGACCACCCCCGGGGGGGTTTCGCGCTGCAGTATCCTACCCAAGCCAAGCGCCCGGGGAATCGCAGAGCAAGACGGTTGCACCTCAAGAGAGATCAGATCGCAGCACAGGCAGAGCAGCTCGAAGAGCTGGTTCCGGTACGGTTAGACATTGAGTTAGAGAAGATCAAGCTCCGAGATACCTTTACCTGGAACCTGCACGACAGGTGGACTACCACGGAACTGTTCGCTGAAAACTTGGTTGAAGACTTCCAGCTTCCGCCCGAAATACGCGACTATGTCAAGCAGCACGTCAACCGGGAACTCCAGGAGCAGCTTCAAGACTTTTATCCCCAAGCTTTTTTCGACGACGAGCCCCTTGACCCGCACCTACCCTACTCAGCTTATAAGAATGACGAGATGCGGATACTCATCAAGCTGAATATCACCATTGGCCAGCATACTCTTGTGGACCAATTCGAATGGGAGATAAACAACCCGCTGAACTCTCCAGAAGAATTCGCGAGGCAAATGGCGGCCGACCTGTCATTATCCGGGGAATTTACTACCGCAATAGCCCACTCGATACGGGAGCAATGCCAGATGTTCACCAAAAGCCTGTATATCACAGGTCATCCCTTCGACGGACGGCCCGTAGAAGACGCTGATATCCGCGACAACTTCCTACCCTCCCCGCTTCCTTCCGTATTCCGACCTATGCAATCAGCCAAAGACTTCACGCCGTACCTGTACGAGTTGAGCGAGGCTGAGCTGGAGCGGACCGAGCTGTCGATTATGCGCGAGCAGCGGCGGCAGAAGCGGTCCGTCAATCGGCGAGGGGGTCCTGCGTTGCCAGATCTGAAAGACCGGCAGCGGACAGTTCGCACGCTGCTTGTCTCATCTGTTCTCCCTGGGGCAGCCGAGACCGTTGAGGAAAGTCATCTTTACAAGACCTCACGGAAGCCTAGAGAGGGTCGCCGCCGTGGTGTTGACGACGATTCGGACGAATCTGACAGCGATGAATCTGGCCCTGATTCTCCTGCCCCATCCCAGATTACCGGCGGCACAGCTCGAACGAGGGGAATGCGCGGAGCAGCAACCGCAGCTCAGGCAGCAATGCGATCCGCCATAGGCCGGTCAGCGACGCCGGAAGTGTCTGCTCTACAAAGCCACCACGAACCCCGGACTGCAAGGCAATTGAGATATGAATCCCGGGAAGAAAGTGTGCCAGAACCGACAACCCTCATCGTCAAACTCCCCATTTCGCCCGCGAAATTCAAGGAGTATCTGAAGAACCCGAAGGCCTTCGTGAAGCCTGCTTCAACACCAAGGATGACCCCCGCCCCGCCTCCAGCCCGGAGCACGCCTAGCGCGAACTCTATGCCTCCTCCACCCTCCCCAGCAGTACCACCCCGATCGACTCCTGCACCTGCAGCAGCGTCAGTGGCGCCTTCGCCGCAACCACCCTCTACCCCCACGCCGGCTTCTCAAACTCCGCAGCAGTGGAATTATTACTCCGATGGCCGGGTGGACGCACCATGGCCAATGCCGTCTGGCACGCAACCTGTGAGTATGAGCGGCAATCATCTAGTAATTCATGGCTAACCGTGTGTAGGCACCTCCTCCACAGTGGCTCCAAGATGCTCTTCAGCAATTGCGCGAGAGGAATCCGGGTGAACTTTTTGAGGCCACTATGCGCTATAGCGTCGTCGACCAAAACACACTGACGAGCATCAAGCTGGACACGTTGTCAGCATCCGCTACCCTCCCTCCGGGATACAAGGCACAGTGGCTTCCAAGAATCCGTTGCGTTGACTGCCCCGGCAAGCTCTACAACGCTGGCCCCGACCACACAGCGGATAACTTCCAGACTCATCTCAACAACCGACAGCACAAGGGGAATGTTGAGAGACGCACCGGAAGGACGGCTTCGTGATGTACGCATCTCTGCGAACAATTTACCTTTTTAAGCACTATACCTCCGGCGTTGCAGAGTGCAGGGCGGGCAAACAACAAGCCATAAATAGGTCCCGCCCATGGGCATTGAATTTTCTGTTCCCGGACTCTTGTACAAACTATTTATCTTTTAGGAAGCTCGTTATTACTCTGGTTGAGCGGGAGCAAGGAATCGTAAACGTGGGCGTGGACCGGCGTTCTCATTTGCCGGCACTTGGAAAGGAGATGGCCTGGCATTTTTGGATCATTGATTTTCGATCCTGGTGCCCGGTGTTCACAGCGACTTGAAAGAGTATTTGAAGTACAACGGCCGTCGGCTGGCTGCTCTTGCAGCTGGTGATAGCTTCAATAGTATATTGTCTATATTCTCAGGGGACCTTTCGGCTCTGGTTCCTAACCCGCACGCTTCTCGGCCTTTCCGCACGCTCACCTACCCGTTGGCACCAGGAACCGTGGTAGGCCTCTCTTGGGCCATTGCGCCTTCCGCATTGAAGAGTCAACGAAACAGTTTTCGTCACGTGTTCGGTTCTTCCCCGCGAAGGTGAAACGGCGTCTCTGCGCTCGTCACGATGCAATCATCCACCTCCCAACACCTACTTCTCCTTGTTAGCATACTTATCCTCATCATGAAGAGCAGCGCTGAGCTCCCAGTGCGTCTCATAACGCACAATATCCGCTACGCCACGACATCGCCTTTCAAAGGCGAAAAACCGTGGGCAGACCGGAAGCAACTTCTGCTGAACGAGCTATACTACAACACTCTCTACAACCCGGAGTCCTTCATCTGCCTACAAGAAGTCCTGCATAACCAGCTGGTTGACATCATGGGCGGGCTTGGTGACGAGTTCAGCTACATCGGCGTGGGAAGGGACGATGGGAAAGGGAAGGGGGAGTACAGTCCGATTATCTACAGAAAAGGAGTGTGGAGGGTGGAGAGCTGGAAGACGGTATGGTTGAGCGAGACGCCGGACGTGCCTGGGAAAGGCTGGGATGCGGCCTCCGTGCGAATCGTTACCGTGGGGACGTTCCAGCATCAAGGGAGCAGGAAGCGGGTTGTGGGCATGTGCACGCATTTGGATGATCAGGGACAGAAGAGTCGGACTGAGAGCGCGAAGCTCATCCTCAAGGTCATCGAGCAGGCTACGAAAGCCGGCAACTCTTCAGAACGGTTACCGGTATTCCTAGGCGGCGATCTTAATTCTGAGCCCTCGGGCTCCGCATTCCAGATTCTGAATGGGGAGGAGTCGAGCTTGCAGGATGTGAAGGAATTGAGTAGGTGGAGGTATGGGGATATCAATACGTTCACGGGGTTCCAGGACAGCACGGCGAAGACGGAGATAGATCATATGTTTGTGGGGCCGAGAAATGGGAATGCATGGAATGTGAACGGGTATGCGGTGCTGCAGAATAGGTTTGAGGATGGGGTCTACAACAGCGATCATAGGGCTGTGGTGGGGGATGTAGTATTGAGGATATGAAGCTAGGGAAAAAGTATTTCAGAGCTATATCCCGATGAGCTCATCCTCAAAATGGATTTATGGGCATCCTGCTAGAATAAGCGTTGGGCAGCATCTTGATGCAAGCAGTTGAAGGAGCTCCCAGCGTTCATTCGTGGAGCTAATGTAGCGCTTCTAGACGAGTCAAAGATAGCAGGCGCAGCCACTCTCGTCGTCAGTTCTTTGTCATGCCTAATATGCCGGAATTACCTTAATCAATATTCCAAGGTTCCGTTGCCCTGGCGAGACAAGCCTGGAATAACGGTGGTTGGACAAGACATTCATACTGCTAGCGGCAAGCTAAGCGAGGAGGACCCCGCTGAGGGGCACGAATCGCAAAACACAGGGAAGGCTCGAGAGCACTACACACATTCAACCTCCAATTCTTCGGTGCGCAAGCCGACTCACACGACATCAACATGGCCGAAGAAGTAGCTGTCGGTACGCTTGAATCTCTTCTCAATCGTAAGATCTATGGAAGCCGTGGACAGGACAGAGCTTGGTGTTTAGTTACGTCAACCGAGGCACGCATGCTAATTGTCCTCGACAGACTATACTCTCGCCAACCCGGACACCTTGACCAAGTACAAGACCGCCGCCGGTATCTCTGAGAAAGTACTGAAGGAGGTCGCAGGTACGCCCGCCGAACTACTCCACATTGCTCCTCCGCGATTGCCGCATGACGTGGGCTGACCGGTTTCAGGATGGTGTACCGAGGGCGCCAACATCGTCGAGCTCTGTGAGCGCGGCGACAAGCTGCTAGAAGAGGAGACCTCAAAGGTATACAAGGGAAAGAAGGTCGCCAAGGGCATTGGACACTGCACCACTATCTCCCCGAGCTCCTACATCACCCCGTATACACCCCTGAAGTCCGACCCCGAGGAAGCCGCAACTACACTGAAGGCGGGAGAATGCGTCAAGATCCAGCTGGGAGCTCAGATCGATGGCTTCTGTGCAATCGTCTGCGATTCCGTCTTGGTGGGCGTCTCTGGCGAGGTCACCGGACGACAGGCGGACCTGATGCTGGCCACATACTACGCCAATGAGCTGCTGCTGAGACTGATGCTCCCGCCCGGGCTAGTCGCTCATGGCACGGAAGAGGAGCAGAAGAAGGCCGCTGCCCGGAAGCCCTACACCCAGACTCAAATCACTCAGATGTTGGAGAAGGTCGTCAAGGCATATGACTGCAATCTCGTCGAGAGCACCACAATCTGGCTATTCGAACACAACGAGATTGAGGCCAAGAAGAAGATCATTCTGGCACCGGGCGAGGGTGTCAAGGGTGAGGGCCTGCCGGAGGTTGGTGAGGCATGGGGTGTTGAGATGGGAGTTAGCTTGGGAAGCGGCAAGGTCAAGACGATTGACAATAAGCGGGCAACCCTACATCGCCGTACGGCCACTACCTATGGTCTCAAGCGTCCAACTTCCAGGGCGCTTTTGTCCGAGGTCACTAAGAAGTTCGGCACTTTCCCTTTCAGTCTGAGGCAGCTGGAGGATGAGAAGGCGGCTAAAGTGGGCGTCATTGAATGTGTGCGAGGAGGTGTCCTTCGTCAGTACGAAGTCGTCGGCGACAAGAACAACGACTCCGTTGCTAGGCTATTTACCACAATTGGTAGGTGACGAGTTCCCCCTTTCTGGTATGGTCCAGGTCGTTCCGGGATGCGGCAGGGATGTGATGAAGCATCCCACCGCGGTTCTCGGCTTCATAGCCCCTATGGTACCTCTACAATTTGATTCACGCTTGCTAACACATTGACAGCCATTACGAAGAACGGAATGCAGCGCTTGGCCAAACCCCCACCACTAGACCTCGCTAAGTACAAATCGGACAAGAAGATTACGGACGAGGAGATCCTTAAGATCCTCGAGCAACCTATCGGCAAGCCGGCTTCCAAGAACAAGAACCGAAAGAAGAAGAAGAAGCCCGCCAAGAAGGCCGCCGAAGAGGAGGACGAGGAGGAGAGTAGTGACGAAGAATAAGCGAGCCTTCACCGGCGTGTCAATGAGGCTTCCCCAAAACCGCCTAGGCGAGCATGAGGTTACCTTAGTGCATGGTCTCTTGCAGTCATGCAGAACAAGGCCTTTTCAGTCGGTTCATGATTTATGGTCTGCCCTTGTCTGCAGCCCACCTGCCTCACAGCGCAGGCTAGAACACGACTAGATAGCAGGCCAAGCGGTATCAAAAATGAACAAATGAATCAGCCTCAATTCTTCCCTCATCCTCATGAAGTGAGACCTCACCGTGGACGTGGAGGCGTTGGGTCAAGGGTGAGGCACGATCATGGGGATGGCCACATTGCCATCCGGGACAACGACAGGCATGATCACCCCTTCTGCCACACGTATACAAGACATGACAGCTAGATCGCATCTAAATTATCATCGCTGGCGCCCTGTGGTTGAGTGGAGGTCAGCAGCCGTGCAACCCCTGAATATAGGGTCTTTGCCTTCACAGGATAGAAACACTAAAAGTGTAATTATCTTCACTAAGGCTTCTAGTCGATTTCCAGTTCTTCGAGTAAAACCTGTGTCATGTATATGTGGCGCGTCGGTGAGGGTGAAGAAGGGTAGGGTGACTAAGGCGGAGGAGGGTTCAACTGCCGTCACGTCTCGATATCGACGACCAACACTCCTATACCCCACTATCATCCTTTGCGAAAACCGCCCAAATTCATTTTCTCGCCTCTCCTGGCTCAATCATACAGTTTTCCAAGCCTCTCTTTAATATTACGCCATTTTGTCGGCGTGCTGGTGAGATAATACCAGGGGTGTTGCGGCCCGAGTTGCGGCTCGCCAAAATCTCCCTCGAAGTCTCTCTTTCACTCCAACACCAACCCGCCGGCCACCCGCGACACGCCGGTCACGCTCTCTCACCGCTATCTGCACGTAAAATTTTTCAGATAGCACGCGTGGTGAGTCCGAATTGGGCCTTTCACTCGGCAGCTCGCTTACAAAACTCGCAGTGCCTCACCTCGCCATGCCGGCGCTCCGCAAAAGAGACCGCAAGAGTCGGACAAGCACTCCTCTAGCAACACCCACCGACACCCCCACCCAAGGCTCGGACCCTCGAAAAGAGAAGACCCAGAGCAATCTAGACGCGTGGGTCGAGCCGGTACCGCAAAATCCCACGCCCTCGTTCGAAGAGCACGGTTTCGCGCGACACGGCGTTCTCGAGACCATGGCGCCTCTCGGCTCCCTCCCGTCCTCCAAGATGAAGCAGAAGGCGCGCGCCCTCGGCGAGGCGACTAGCCGGCGCCTGTTTGGCAGGAAGAGCAATGCGTACGTTGGTGAGGAGGAGGGCTCTACCCCAGAGTTGACCCCGGCACCCGAGCTCGACCGCGACGATTCCGAGCGCCAGGACGACGACGATATGCACGCCGCGTTTCCCGAGCAGGACGAAGACGAGGATGACGAGTACGTCCCCAGCAAGAAGAAAGCGAAGACGTCGCACGGCACAAAGACTCCGGTCAGGGGCAAGGGCGCCGCGGCCACCAAGACTGGTTCTCACGGCAAGACACCCGTGAAGAATGGCATAAGCAAGTCATCGACGGCCTACGCCAGCCCGGTGAAGCAGACCACCCCGCTGAACGATTTGGACGACGCCACCCAGCAGCGAATTCAGATTGCGGTGAACGACGCCATCGCCCGAGCGAATAAGCACAATAAGAGGGACGTGGGCATAGCTCTCAAAGACATGTTCGAAACGAGCCGCAGCGACTCGCCGCTTGCAAAGTCACTAGACGGAGTCATCCACCAGAAGGAGACTGCCGAAGACTGGAGCCTCTTCCGCTCATTCGTCAAGGCTGCGCGGCGCCGCTTCAAGCGTGAACTCAGGATCCAAGAGGCCGTAGAGGCACAAGCAGCGCAAGCAGCATCCGCTTTCACCGAGGGACCTGAGGTCGCTTCACCAACTGCGGGCAGCGAAATTGCACCCAACGACTCAGCCTCCGCTACATTTGATCTGGACACCGCTGCACCAGCTGCGAAACAGCCATCAAAATCTGTCGGACTCACCCCAGAAGACGCGACTCTAGCCCCAGTATCTCCTGTTGATCTGGAGCCTGCTGCAATCGCACCTCATCCGCTCACCAACGCCCCGGCTTTCCCGGTAACCGAAGCAACCTCTCCACCAGCGACCAGGATGTCGTCGAAGTCACCCCGTAAGCAACGCGTCACAAACGGTAACGTTGCGCTAGAGTCTGAGCTAGATGCCACCGCAGAGGCATCTACCACCGCTCCCACTCCTGCCGCGAAGACGCCAGAGTCTGGCGGCGCGAGCGACTCCGATCTCTCTGACGTCAATGAAGAAATCCTTCAGCAACCACAACCACCTCAGCCTGCCCCCGCGGCTGTCCAGGTCAATGGACACGCCGCCGCCGCTGTACCGAAGAAAGCGAAGAACGCCGCGCTTGCTCGCGCTGGCAAGAAGTCGAGGGCAAACTCCACGAAGCCGTACGGCAAGGGCAAGGAGAAGCCACAACCCACCCCGGAGGAGCTAGCCGAGCAGGAAGAGCTTCAGAAGAAGCGACAGGCCATGTCTGAAGGCCAGTCGTCGCTCATGAACATGCTCGCTCCTACTTCCGACATCCGGTTCGACGACGAGATCCTCGAGACAGAGTCCTTGACCGAGTCCCAAATCGCCGTAGGACCGCCAGTCGACGCCAACCGTCCGCGTCGTGCAGGCCGGGCTCCTCGCAACGGCATCACCGTCAACATCGCCGGCGCAAAGCGACGGCGAGACGACTCTAGCTTCTCATCACCGAGGCTCGACTCAGCTGCCACGTCTCGGCCATCGACGCCCGCCATCAGCCACGTGCCCAACAAGCGACTAAAGCTGAACAATGGTCAGGCCCCAGCAGCCAGGACGAAGAAATCGTAAGTGTGCCCCTATCGTGTTCTACCTATCCCTGTCACGTTGTGTTGGGCGATACACTACGCCCAGTACCCGTTTCAGTGCAGGGATATTTTCGCATCGACTGAGCACGCTCAACGTGTTTTCACGTGTTTGCATTTTATTCTCCGCTGCGTCTTTCAAGATTATCGATCAAACTAACGTGTTTCTGCGCGTAGGCCGGTTAAGAACCGAGATGGACCTATCGCAGGTATCCCACACACTGGCGGTGGCGGTTCGAGACAGTCGGGGCCTGATGACAACGACCCAGTAAGTGCCACTCAAATTCCCGCTCCACCCAACCACGTCCTCCTCCCTCCACCACCCAACCCATCAACAACAAACACCTTTTTTCTCCCCCCATCACAAATGCTTCTCACAACAACGATTACACCTCTCAAATTCCCATACTCGCCTCCGAGTTCAACTTTGTCTCCGCCCCTAACACCATGCCAGGGATCGCCACCATCGGAGAGCGACGACATCTGTTCAGCCTGCAAAGGCGCGGGCGAGTTTGTCTGCTGCGACAACTGTCCACGTGTTTTCCACTTCCTTTGCTGCGATCCACCGCGTTTCGATGCTCCTCAAGGATCGTTCCTGTGCCATGAGTGCACTGCAAAGCTGAAACCCGCTGACGAACCGGAGTCTTATCCTATCCTTGGACCGCTGTTCAAGGCACTGGAGTCCATCAACCCGCGCGCGTTTGCCCTGCCGGCGGACGTCCGGAACCACTTCGAGAATGTTGCAGCACGGCCAGACGGCTCCTTTTTCGAGGAGACCAAGAAGTTCCCGTTGTAAGTCGGACGCGTTTTTACGTGCTGGCGTGATGGGCTAACAAAGCGCAGGGCCAAGAGCAGCGGCTACGGCTACCAGAAGCCTGATTACACAAAGGTCCTGGACGGTGACCACAAGCCCATCTGCTGCGTATCATGCGGGTTGACATCTGGTGGTAAGCGCCAGATGCTCAAATGCGACTTCTGCCATGCCCACTGGCACCTGGATTGCTTGGACCCGCCTATGGCTAACCCGCCACACATCAACCTTGAGTCGTCGCACCGCGACGCGTGGCGGTGCCCGCGTCACATCGAGCACGATCTTCGTAGCGGCAACGTGGTGCAGAATGACCTGAATGAAGCACAGGATGACACCATCATGGTCGATGCCCCGGCTGCTCGGCTTGGCCGGAAGATCCGAAAGCCTAGGCACCCGAAGATTATCGAACCCACCTTCTCACGTGGCATGCGCAACAACGGTCTCATTGAGATCATCAACGACCCCGACGACGACACCGACGGGGAGGGCAACTATGTGTTTGGCCCTGATGACAAGGACCTCAACTCGAACGTCTACCGCGTCCCAGAGAAGGGACTCATCCTTGATTTCGTTGACAAAGTCAAAGGGTAAGTAGCTGCACCCTCTCTATCGTCTGCAATGACTGACATTCCCTGCAGTAGCCGTATCACGAAGAAATCGAAGATGGCTGCAGCGTCTGAGAAGGCTGCTACCCAGCGGAAGAATTTCGCCGCTCGCCCGATCCAGCAGCAACAGGTAGCCCTCAACCTTGCGCAGCTTGCAAAGAAAGAGAAGGACGTCGGATTGAGCGAGAACACTGTTGATGCTCTCATTCAGTCGCTCATCGTAAGTCGCTCATCGTCAGCTCGTGTTGTTTGATCAGCGCTAATTCACGTGAATCAGGCCGAAGCTCCGAACGCTGTCGTCTCTGCAATCTCCGAAGCTCCACCACCTCCTGTCAGTGCAGACGAGCGTGCTCAGCTGTTGAAGCTCCAAGAGCTCATCAAGATGCGTCTAAGCGGCTGAACACGACGGTCTGCTGCGCCCTCTGTCTCGTAATCTCAACGCGACGATTCATTGCGTTCTGGATGTTTTCCATCGATTGAAGACGGGTATCCAACAGATTCCATCTTCAACGTCTCTATCGTCAAGCGCTTATCTGGCGACGTACCCGCAGCATTCGTTCATAGGATGCTGCGACTCCCTATCGAAACCCCAACCGATACACCCGTGTTTTAAGCGAACGCAGCGACAATCTCGCCACTAGCGCGCTCGACCCCCCCAGCCACCTCTTTTCCACCCGTTTCCACCCATGTGTTCCTAAAAAGCTTTGCTTCTTTTCCAATCGGCCGATTCTTGGTCGAAGCTCGGTCCGTTGCGTCCGGCGCATCTCAGTCTCATGTCCTTTTCTCCTCGGCCGACTGATTGGCGAGGATTCGGTACAGCGCACAGCGCACACCTTTCCATTCGGCTTTTCATTACCAGTTGCATCATGCGGGTCCTTCTCTGGACTACTACAAACAGCTCTCTTTTTTGCACTACAGGGGAGCCTTTCTCCTCTACCTACCGGTCACCGATGCATAGCGAGGAGTTCTATCCGGCATTTTCGATGGCTTCCGGCGAGAAGCTCTTTGCGATGGCGTTTTCATGAATGGTGCGGAACGGGCGGTTATCCATCCTCTCTTCTGGATCGGACATTTTCCCCTCTGCTGCCCTCGATTGTTTGCTTGTAATGCGATGCAAGGATACCAGAGTCGTACTTAGGCTCTCTTTCCCTTTTCCTTTCCTGTCCTGGCGAGGCTTGCATATCACCGGAGGGCATTTTTCTTTCGTGTCTATGTAGGCTATGAATGAGTGAGAACGGTGCCTTGATATCCTAGCTCGTCCTTCTGCCTGATGTCGTGTCTCTCTCTGTACGTGACCTATTGTCCTTCAGCTGCGAGCTCGCATCGCAACAGACAGACACCCCTTGTTCTTTCTCGACTGAGCAGACAGTAGGCGCCGTCACTGCGTCCGCTATGAGTATAGCTCTCCAACGTCCATCCATGGAGGTACCAGCGGCCACGGCCACGGTTTGGCCGGCTCTGACCGACTTCAATGCATGCACCCACAAACACCAGCAAAGAAAACAACTTGACGGTCGAAAATGAGGCCCCAAAAAGCAAACACACGCGTCGACGCTGACCGGTCCAAGTCCCTGACGTGAAGCCGCTCTCCGTCTGACACGTAAACGCGGCCTCTTCCGAAACACGCAGGGATACCTTACCATATCCGGCGAAAAAAAAAGTGGAGCTGGTTCCTCACATATGTGCAAAGGGGAGCCTGATTTTGAGTCACAAGGAGGCAAGCCGACGATTGATTGCTGTAGAGTCACTGTTGACATGCTGAGGGACGAAGCATCACGAAATGATTGGGTATGATCCGTCTATTTGTTGCGCCTTTCAGTGACACGACAGGCTATAACCTGACCGGAAGTGAAAAGAAATCAATCAAACACGCCTTAGCTATCCTTCGTGAGCCTGATCCACCGAAAGTCTATGCCCTGCGTATGCGGGGGAGAAGAGGTCTTGGCCAAGCGGGCGGCGAGAGGAAAGGGATAGAAGATGCTGCCTTACGGCTTGCAGCGACCAAAGTAGCGCGGATACAAGCAGCAGTCGCGGACGGTATGCTGTTTGCAGAGCCATGCGAGGAAGCGCTCGAGACCGAGCCCGTAGCCGCCATGGGGAGAGCTTCCATACCTAAGGGAATATCAATAACTGCGTCAAGGAACACAAGGTACTTGACATACTTCCTCTGATCCGTGTACCAGTAGTACGAAGACGGATCGATTTCCTGCCGGGCGAACGCCACGAGGAGCTCATCGTACTGGTCGATTCTCATACTTCCGCCGACGATCTCGCCCACACCGGGCATCAAGCAATCCACGCTATGCGTAACCCGCGGATCATCTTTGTCTTTGAGCATGTAAAATGCTTTTATCTCTGCGCAAGTGGAGGCACATATTAGCACAGCTCTTTCAAAGGGCGGGTCCACTTTTAAGGCGAGACGGAATTTTTAGTCAGGGAGACTTACCGACAGGGAAATGGGTGAGGAATATTGGCCTATTGATCGCATCCGTCCTAATTCGGCCGTCGATTAGCAAATGTTGGATGTTCCACTCTGGGAGAAGAGTGTTTAGGGAGGCGGCCCGAGGGAGGGGGACGACGGGATGTCTCTTACATCTTACGCTCCGCGGCTTCTGCAATGTCATCACCGAACTTGTGCGGCTCTCCTTCTTCGCTATGGCAAAGTCAGCACATCCCTGAAAGTATTGGACGTTTCACGTGTGGGAACATGCAATACAGACGCTAATGGAAGACAAGCAGTCTATACGGGGGCCTTACTTCGGAATGCCGTGCTCCACTAGCCAGTCAATAGCCTCGCTATACCGCATACGCTTGAATGGACGCTCGGGCATTTGGAACTCGGGGTTGAGCTCCATGATGTACTGTTTGATGGTGGGATCGGCCATGGCGACCTCGAGGACGCGGCACATGACGAGCTCCAGATGGTCAAGGAGATCACCGAAATGAATGAAGTCTAGCTCGGCTTCGATGTGAGTGTATTCCGCCAAATGGCGCCGGGTCAATGATTTTTCTAGAAGATAGATTAGCGGGCTTCATTTGGTGGAATTTACAATCCATATAAACACGAACCTGCCCTGAAGCTCTTCTCAATACAGTATACATCTCCCATACTGGCTAAACAGGTCTCTAGATATAGCTGTGAGCTCTGAGTAAGGAACGCCTCTTCATTGTAATAGGGTAGTCCGAAGAGCGTGGCACCTCCCTGTAAAGGTTGGCGTAAATGTCAGCGTATATTCGCAAGGGGAAGGAGGGCCGGAGCAAGGCAAAAATGAAGAGCCCTTGGCTGTCTCTAATGGCTCACTCATGGCGACCAGGTGTAACAAATGTGAGAGGCTTGAGACAGGTCTGGCATGTGTTACGCGTCATACGTACCTCGACCATGGTCTGCACTAACGCCGGAGGGCTAACTTTGCGCTGGAGGATTGTTAGTAGATGAATTCCCAAAATAAGCCTCCTCAAGGTCAAATAACGTACCAGTCTCAGTTCGCGGTACACGACGTTGAAGGCATATTCGACAGCGTCACGGACAATCATCACCTTAGAAGCGGTCTCTCCTCGTAGCGTCAGGTGGCGAAGATCCAGGAGGGTTGCATGTTCCGTGTCCTTGGACACCCTGTCTAGAAAGGGAGGTAGGTTAGCGAAGTGCTCAAAAAAGTGGACAATGGGTATAGCAGCAGGCCATCAGCTGAGGTGCACAGGTCACAGACACCATTTGTTGGAACGTCCGAAAATCCGCCGCTAAAGCCTTGTGAGTTTTGCTTTCGTACGTACTAGTTATGGCATCGTCTCCGCCTGCTGCGTGCCATCCTGGGTGGATACGGTAGTAGTCGGCGTGGAGCTCCCGTCCGTTGGGCGCGTGTGCCCCTTGTGGAACCTCTCTCAGCTCTCCGAGGATCTCCATGGAAGTCTCGCGGGTCAAAGTCAAGGCGTCGTAAGTTGCAGCCAGCTTCCCAGTCAAGATGACCTGCATGAAGCCATATCCGTCTTTGAGCGTAATGAACATGTTGGTCTTTTGTCTCCTCTCGCGATGTACCCTTCCGAATACCCTGACCCGTGTGCCTTTAACGTCTTGCCCATTGCCTAGCTTTATCTTCGCAGGGTCTGTCTCATCGAGCTTGATCTTCTCCGCCTTTGGCAAGCTGGGATCCTCCTCAAGCACGATCTTCTTTGCCTCCTCCAACACCTTCTTCCTGTCTGCTTCTTCCTTCATTCGTATTGCCATCTGCTCCTGCTCCTTTTCTGCCTTCTTCTTCTGCGCCTTCGCGTAGTTGATGGCCTTCTTCATAGCCGCTCTTGCGACCGGCCTCCATTCTAACCGGGCGGAGGCATCTGAACCCTCGGGAATGTCTCCGGTCAAGCTCTTGCGGTGGAGAAATCTGTGCGACTCGCCGTGGGTGAGGACTGCGAATCCTAGCGTCTTGTAGGGTAAGCTCTCGTCGCCGGTTTGTGTCGAGAGGTCCTGGCCCGCATCTTCGTCGATGTAGTAGGTTGTTTCCGCCATGGCGGGTTCAATTGCGCTACAAGGCGCGCTGGGTATGTCTCTCTGCGGTTGGGCCGAGCGGATTGTGAGAGGTGGGTGCTGCATTTGCGGTTTGTTGTCCTATGGAAATTATATCGAGTGCGTTGGAGTCATTCGCGGGGCATGAGTCAGCCCCTCAATTGTGGCCGTGCGAGACACTGAAGCACTTTGCGTTCCTGATAAGCCCTCCGGTCCTTAATCTAGCGACATGCTTGCCTCTATGCTCTGCTCTTGCTTACTTCCAGCTCAAGCTGAAGTGAAAGTGTTTTATTTCCTGCAGCTCTCTGAATGCGTGGTAGCGTGTCGAACTTCCAAATCAACCAATGATGAAAGTGTGGCGCTCGGATGTGGCGCAGACAGCTTGCGGCCGGTGAATCGAGTGTATACAAGCGGTGCATGTTGATGCACACCGGACGCACTGATTCCGAAGAGCGTTAGATGCAAGCATGGACTGTGGGCTTTTGGATTTGCTCTATGTTATTAGTCTATTGCTCGCGTTGTGCTCATCCGAACGGCATCGCCGCCAATTCCGCGCTGACAAACCTCGTTAAATGCTTTAAAACTGAACTGGAATTCGTATACATAGACCTTTCCTTACCTATGCGAGAGAATACTCTGCGTTAGCTAGAAACATGGCGGATCCCAGCCTTTACACATATTCTTCGCCCTTGGAAGGATATCGAGGACTCGAGCCACTCCCGAAGTCAGTCTTCCCCTACCTCTCCATAACCACCCCGGTATAGGCGTTTCATTTCTAGTCAAGTGGGAAAAGTTATCTGACAGACGCATAGCGAAATCTCAGAGGACGGAAAGTCCTACGTCAATCCACCAGCAGCACGGAAAAGCGAAGCATACAACGCCTTCGTCTCGCCCATAACCAATGGGCGGCGCGGGGGCTTTGAGTAAGCTAACCTGTAGTATCACTTCCCCTCATGATGACCGCTAATTTGATGCTAGCATACACATCTACTTCTTGCAAAGTGACGCCGAGGAGTTGAAGTTCGCCACTGAGCTCTGGGAACGCATACGGCGAGAGTGTAAGTGCCTGCTTTTGAGACCGTGGATAGCCTTTGACTGACTCCTGTCCCAGTCCCAGAGCTCCGCATATACAAAGTGTGGGACAGACCAATCGGGCCTCACCCCATGGGAATGTTTGAAGTGAATGTTTTCACACCAGGTATGAGCCGCCCTGTGACTTGAGGTATATCCGGTTAACCGTCGAGTAGAGCAATTTGGCGCTTTCATTCCGTGGCTGGTGATAAATCGGGGTCCTCTGTCGGCTTTGATACATCCAAACACAGATGACGAAGAGCGAGACCACACGCAGAGGGCTACTTGGATGGGAGGGCCACTACCACTAAACTTAAAGTTGTTTAAAAAGAGGAAAGCAGCAGGACAATGAGATGGTGAGATATGTGAAATTGACGAAAGAGAAACAATGAAGACGAGGTAGCAGTTGAACTGGGCTTGATTTGGTGCATAGAGTCGAGCCAAGTGCCCGAATTGGCACCTTTCTGGGAAGCTCATCCGCCTCTTCATGTCTGATGCGATGCGATTTCTAGCCAATTTCATGGCTCTGCTTAATAATGGCGCCTTCTCACGTTGCCAGACATGCGGCGAGATATCAACTCCAGCCCCCATGCTCTTGCTGTCCTTTGAGCCGCAGGCAGATGGGCGTATAGATGTGATGTTACCTTCCTCTATAGAGGACATGATAGGTTACCCTCTCAATCATCTCATCCCTTCGTCTCCACCGCTGTGCCCCTTTTCTTCTTCTTTTTGTCCTTCTTTCCCTTCTTCTTATCCCTCTTCTTTAGACCGCTCATCCCCGCCCGACACGCCTCAGCGTATCGTACGTAGAATGCATCCAGCTGGTCCGGCTGCACAATCGTAGATAGCTTGATCTTGTCAATATCCTTCCGGTCTGTTCCCGGCCGCTTGTCGGACTTGTTGTTCGAAGCGCGGATTATGATCGGTAAAGGGTTCTCAGGGTGTGTGTCCCACAGTGGGTCGTCCGCGACTTTGGTGGGCGACGGTGGGTAGCCTTCGGTGTCGAATGCCATGCGCTTTTGCGTCAGGTAGACGGAGCCATGGCCCTTTTTGCGGTTGTGCTCGAAGAGGTTGGCGAGCTGCGTGAAGAACTGCGAATAAGATTAGCGGGGCTTTACTGCTGCTACGAGAGTGTCAGTACCTCGTTATTGCTCAAATGTTCCTGAGTCATTGTCGCGAGCGTCGTGTTATGATGTTCTCTCCATTCGTGGTGTTGTGCGCAAGTGTGGGCGAATCGGAGGTTGGGTGGAACGGCGGCGGGGCACGAGGCAGATTCTTACATAATCTATCAGCACTAATCGTGTGCTGGCTAAGCTAGGGCCTCGTCACTGGGGCACTTGAGAATCTTTGCGGGCATAGCTTCAGCGTTTTAGCCTTTCTTTTCACTCAGTATATAAATTTCTATTCAAAATTTGTCCAATCAGACATCAAGAATCAGCAGTCGTCTTAGCTCACTTGGGAGAGCGCCAGACTGAAGCAATCAGCCTTCAAGCTGCAAACTTCGGTTCACAACGAATATCTGGAGGTACTGTGTTCGATCCACAGAGACGACAAGATTCTTTTGGCCTTTGAAATCGTCCCCAGGTTGCCTTTTGCTCCGCTTGGATGGGGCCGTGCCAAGCAACGTACGCTAAAAGCTAGGTGGGGGAACCAGCGGAAACACTCCGACCCTCGAACTTTTTTTTGGCGCCGTCCATCTTCCCTCGACACCATGCGCCAACGACAATACGGCGGCCCCAAGCTGCCAAAGGCGCTGCAGGAACAATTTGGAGGTAAGCATAACTTTTGATAAGAGAGTTCAACACATTTGACCATGCTATGGCGAACGACCAGATGCTAATCTGAGAAATAGATCCTGCGAATCGAGGGAAGGACGGTCGCTCGCGGAACGGACAACTGAATCGCAAAGACCGTCGAAAGGCCGACCGGGAAGCGAAGAAGGCGCAGAGATCACACCATTCGAGCAGACCGCAGGCTGCGCAAAAGCAGGTACAAAATGATAGGAGGCATCCCCAGCCTGCGTCTCCATCAGAAGAGGACGGAGAAAGCGACGGAGAATCGCCTCCGCCCGCGCCACTCCCAGGGCGGGAGGACACCCGGAAGCCGTTGAAGGGCATCTTGAAGAAGTCTCAATCGGACACGCAGCCTGTGCTGAATACGGAACCGTCACCGTCGCCTCCACCTAAAGTTTCGCGGGCCGTTAAGGATCGACTCGCCCAGGATGATGCGGAAATCGCCGGGCTTGAGAAGAAACTAGGTATCAAGAGAAGGAAGAAGGCAAAAGACCTGGACGATGGCTTGGATGATATCTTTGGCGATCTAGGCGGCCTTGAGAGCGACGAGGAGATGCTTGCTGCAAGAACATCAAAGAGGAAGCGAGCAGAAGATAATGAATGGCTCGCGACCAAGCGGCAAAGGGCGCTTAAGGAGCATGCCGAGGACTCGGACAATGAGGAATCTGATCTTAGCGAAGACCTAGGTTCAGATGAACTGGGCTCGGAAGAGCTGGATGTAGAGGAGAACAGAGAGGACGACCGTGGTTCGAATTTCTCAGGTTTTGGCTCAGAGGGGGATGAGGACGAGCAGCCCCGGGTACGAGAAAACCCATACGTGGCCCCAGTCGCTCCTAGTACTGTTACGTCGACCAAATACATACCGCCCGCACTCCGAGCGCCGCCATCTTCAGATGCTGAGGCATTAGCGCGGCTTAGAAGGCAGATCCAAGGTCTCCTCAACAGGCTCTCGGATGCCAACATGATGACGATCCTCCGTGACGTGGAACGGGTATATCAGAACAACCCTCGCGGCTATGTGACGACGACGCTTATCGACCTGCTATTTGGGTTGCTGGCCGATGAGACCACTCTTCTGGATACATTCCTTATTCTTCATGCTGGGTTTATAGCCGCAATCTACAAGGTCATCGGTCCAGACTTCGGGGCTCAGATGGTCGAGCGCATCGTATTCGAGTTCGACACATACTACCAGCGCAACAAGGATGGCTCTGGGAAGCAGTCAACAAACCTCATGTCCGTGGTCGCCGAGCTATATTGTTTCCAGGTTATTGGTAGCAACCTGGTGTTTGACTACATCAAACTGTTCCTTGACGAGCTGTCAGAAATCAATACCGAACTGCTTCTCAGGATTGTCAGAGTTTCGGGTTCCCAGCTTCGACAGGACGACCCCACCTCCTTGAAGGACATCGTAGTTCGCCTCCAGAAGTCGGTTACTGAGGTGGGGGAAAGCAACCTGCCTGTTCGAACGAAGTTTATGATTGAGACCATCAATGATCTCAAAAACAACCGAATGAAGACTGGCGTGACTGCTTCGGCTATTGCTAGCGAGCATACCGTCAGGATGAAGAAGCAGCTAGGGACACTAAATATGCGCAATTTAAAGGGAACGGAACCAATGCGAGTGGGCTTGACTGACATCAGAGACACCGAAAAGAGGGGCAAATGGTGGCTGGTCGGAGCAAGCTGGAGGAATGACACTGCCAGTGAGACTCAGTATCGCAAGAGCAGAGTCACCGAGACTGAGGAACTTGTCGCCTTCGACGGGGAAGAGAATGGCGAAGTTGACCTCGTGCAACTCGCTAGGGAGCAACGTATGAACACGGACATCCGCCGTGCAATATTCGTCACGATTATGTCGGCCACAGACTATAAAGATGCTCACATTCGATTGCTCAAACTGAACTTGAAGAAAGCGCAGGAGATGGAGATCCCTCGCGTCATCGTTCATTGCGCTGGGTGCGAGAAGATCTACAACCCCTACTACACACTGCTTGCCAGAAAGTTCTGTTCGGACCATAAGACGCGCAAGTGCTTCCAATTTGCGCTTTGGGACATTTTCAAGGGCTTAGGGGAGAGGAAAACCGACGATGCTTCTGAAGATGAAGACGAGGACACTGAGGCTGCCATATCTCTCAGGAGAGTGGTCAATCTCGGGAAGTTTTACGGCACGCTCATCGCCAAGGACAGTCTGCAGATAACCAGCTTGAAGGTTTTCAACTTTCCATACCTCCGGCTCAAGACAAAAACCTTGGTTGAAGTCATGCTGGTCACCGTCATTCTCGAATCCCAGAAAGGCGCAAAGGGGGGAGCTAAGGAGAAGGCGTTGCTCAATATCTTCGTCAACGTTGATGCTGCCACGGAGATGATTGCGGGCTTGCAGTATTTCCTGAAGAAGGTAGTTAGTAGGACAGATATTACGGCGAACAAGACGGAGAAGGAAACGGTGCGGTGGGCATGCAAAGTGGTGTTGGATATGTTGGCTCGGCTGATGGCAACGACGACACGGGAAGAAGCTTGAATGCAAACCCGTGTTCTTCTCACGATCCTCTGGAGAGAACAGACTAAGAATGATTTGTATTTGTCTGGCTTTTGCCTTCTGGAGTGCTCCGTGACGCTTTGATTGTGGCTGACCAATCGCGCCACACCGACCCTAGCCGCAGCCGCAAACCCTCCCGGCCGACGTCCGGAAAAGAGCTTGTCGTAATACTCAACAACCCATCCCCAGCTCAACTCCCTCCCATTGAACCCTCCCGCCCCTCTTGCCGTGCTAATCACGGCTCCTCCGTCTCCCAGGTTCTTTCTCTTCGTTCCCCATCATGTTCCGGTCCGTCGTACCTCGCGCCGTGCCAAGGGCAGCACGGCCAGTTTCTCAAAGCACCTTCTGCGCGCCCAATATCTACTTCCAGAATAGACTACGACGAGGTTATGCATCGGAAGCTGGTCAGTTGCGTCGATCTGGAGCTTTACCGATGGGCGTGTGCTAATTGTGGATAGAGGAAAAGGACCTCGTAATCATTGGTGGCGGTGTTGCGGGATATGTTGCGGCCATTAAAGCTGGCCAGGCCGGCATGAAGGTCGGCCAAAACGGTCGCGAGGTCACAAGAATCCAAGCTGATAGATCGGATTTAGGTCGCATGTATCGAGAAACGCGGTAGCCTCGGAGGAACCTGCTTGAACGTCGGCTGCATTCCCTCAAAGTCCCTCCTCAACAACTCGTACCTATACCACCAGATCCTGCACGACACCAAGAACCGCGGTATCATAGTCGGCGATGTTAAGCTCGACATAGCCGCCATGATGAAAGCGAAGGACACGTCCGTAACGGGCCTGACAAAGGGTATCGAGTTTCTATTCAAGAAGAACAACGTGGAGTACATTAAGGGCACCGGCGCGTTCCAGGACGAACACACCGTTGCCGTCAATCTCATCGATGGCGGCGAGACCACGGTGCGCGGCAAGAACATCTTCATCGCCACTGGATCCGAGGCTACACCTTTCCCGGGCTTGACCATTGATGAGAAGAAGGTGATCACAAGCACCGGCGCCATTGCCCTTCAAGAGGTGCCAGAAAAGATGGTTGTCATCGGTGGTGGTATCATTGGTCTGGAAATGGTAGGGCTACGCTCACGACTTCTATTGAAAGAGCTTTATTGACTTGGTTCAGGGCTCTGTATGGTCTCGATTGGGTGCCGAGGTCACCGTAGTAGAGTTCTTGAGCCAGATCGGTGGTCCGGGAATGGATGCTGAGGTCGCAAAACAGACGCAGAAGCTACTCCAGAAGCAGGGAATGAAGTTCAAGCTTAACACCAAGGTTACTGGTGGCGATACCGAAGGCGAGGGTGTGAAGATCAACACTGAGGCCGCGAAGGGTGGAAAGGAGGAGCTTGTGAGTGTGCCCACTTATCACGCTTACTTCAGCCTCTAACATGCGTAGCTTGATGCTGACGTTGTCCTCGTCGCCATCGGTCGCCGCCCTTATACTAACGGTCTGGGTTTGGAGAACATTGGTCTTGAGAAGGATGAGAGGGGTCGGATGATCATCGACCAGGAGTATCGCACAAAGATTCCGCACATCCGCGCCATCGGAGACGTCACTTTCGGACCTATGCTCGCCCACAAGGCCGAGGAAGAGGGTGTTGCTGCAGTAGAGTACCTCAGCAAGGGATACGGCCACGTTAACTACGGTGCCATTCCTTCCGTCATGTACACGCACCCCGAGGTTGCATGGGTCGGCCAGAGCGAGCAGGACCTCAAGGCTGCTGGTGTGAAATACAAAGTCGGCAACTTCCCCTTCTCCGCCAACTCGAGAGCAAAAACCAATCTCGACACCGAGGGCTTCGTCAAGTTCATTTCTGACGCGGAGACGGACCGGATATTGGGCATTCACATCATTGGGCCCAACGCGGGTGAGATGATCGCCGAGGGAACCCTGGCGCTCGAGTATGGTGCCAGCTCAGAGGGTAAGTCAAGTAACATTGCGTATCTTCAATGCGTAGATACTAACCACAACGCAGATGTTGCACGAACATCACACGCCCATCCGACGCTCTCGGAAGCTTTCAAGGAGGCCGCTATGGCGACGTATTCCAAGGCGATTCACTATTAGGCTTGGTCTGTGGTTTCCTTGGTTTGTTTTGTTTTAGCATCAGCGCGTGAAGTCGAGCTCCGAGCGGGAGTTTGTGAATAGTATCTGTAATATATGCCGGATGCTTGATGTCCAGGAAATACAGTTGGCTTTGCTGCTCTGTGTTGAAATTATCCCGAAGTGTAGCCGTTAGGGCTGTCTTTCCCGCGGCTTCCCTGCCAGTGGCTCGTGCTTGCGTGACGTGCACCCGCGGGCGCGTTTTCGGCGCGTTCCCGCGATGTTCAGTTTGACCAACCTCCACCTCGATTCTCCGCCATACAGCCTACCGCGAACGCCACCATGAGTACTTCCGAGCTCGAGCAGCGCTGCAATGCGCTACGACATGACTTGAAAATCTGGGAGAAGAAATTTGCAGCCTCTCACGATGGTCGAAGGGCTGATCGAGAGGACATTAAGGCGGATGCAGCTATATGTACGCTCGCGTGCGCCCTTATACTTTTTTATTTGGGACTAACAATGCTCAGCGCAAAAGTACAAAGAGTACAATAAGCTTCGAGACATACTTTCAGCGAAAGCTGCCCCACAGACACCGTCCAGACGCGCCGCAAGTCGCAAGCCTCCTCGCGATGTTGATCGAACACCGACCGCACCTAAAGCCCTAGCATCTACACCGCTAAAACGAAAAAGGGAAGTTGATGTACCTACTGCAAAGGCTGTGGACTCGACCGCCGAGCTCCTTTCCCCTCAAGGACCAACAATGATCGGACCCACACCGCAACGCGATGGCATAGTGTTAGGCTTGTTCGATCTTCTACCGGCAGAAACACCAAGCAAGGCAAGGACTGTGCTTGGAGATGTGGCGCCGAACATTTTGCTCACGCCCAGCAAGAACACAGGGAAGGCGGAAAGCGAGACATCGCTGGAGTCGAGGGCAAGAGGGGAGAGGACACCATTGTCTGCTGGGAAGAGGTTCTTGCTGGATCAGTTCGTAACGCCCAAGAAGCGAAAGCTGGACGAACAAGGCACACCGACGTCCGCATTCAAGGGATTTTCTACGCCCGCGTTTCTCCGACGGAGCAATATTCTAGATGCGATTGACGAGACGGATGAACCGACGCCGCGGCCTGCGCCTTGGAAACGAAGGGGCCTTGGAAGGAGTCTGAGCAGTATGATCCAGTCATTGAGGAAGCAAGAGGAGGACCGGTTAGACGAGGAAGCGGATATCATGCGGGAGCTGGAGATGGAGGCCGAAGGTATCTCCGTACCAAAGAAGCCTACGGTATCCCAGGTACTCGTGGAGGATAGCCAATTCGCGATGCCTTTAGGGCCGGATAGAGGTCTATCTTCAGACGAGGACGACGATGAGGCGGCCCCTGATGAGAAGCCAAGGAAGGTTTGGAAGAAAAAGGGGCTGAAGAGACAGACAAGACGGGTCATCAGTATGTTGCCGTACATCTCATTATGTGAACCTAGCTAACAACCGTGCAGTGAAACCAAATTTCACGAAGCCAAAGCCTCAGCAACAGCAGCAGCAAGAAGTGGGATCGGAGGACGAGGTTGGAGTTTCCGAGACGGAGGCAAATCCACAGGCTGCAATCGACAGCGGGCTCTCCGAAGATGACGGTGACTCGGACTACGCCAGCGACGACTCTCACAATCCAAAGAAACGGAAGACCCAACAAACGAAGACCAAGGCTGCCCCCACAGCCCAGCCAAAAGGCAGTAAAGCAGGCCAAGCCGGGCCGGTAAAGACCACCGCACGCAAAGTCAAGGCCACTGCACACGCCAACTACCGAAGGCTGAAAATCAAGAGCAAAGGTGGAAATGGCGGTAAAGGAAGATTTGGGCGCAGAAGATAAGCCAAATACGAAGGTGTTGGGATAGCACAGAACCAGGCTGTTGGAGAGAGCTGAGTGAGGTACATGCAAACACCCAATCGGGAGGTGCATGCTTCGTGGCGTATTCGGAATCGTACCGAAGTCAGCCCTGTGTATTCCAGACGTTAGACACCGACATACTCCGGTCTTTAGGAGAATACACGTAGGCGCTAATATTGTTGCCTTTTGAGACACAATGTGACAGCCTGGGTCATCTGGACCGTGTGCGCCAATGATAGGCGTTCGCCCATGTGCGGCCTCTGCGGAAGGCTTTCAAGATTATTATATCTAGAGAAGAACTGCCGTTAAACTCTCAGAAACCGCCATGGCTTACATTCGAAATCGCATCTTTGAAGGTTACGGGCAGTCATGGTCTTCACCACAGCCCTATCACATGATGACTAAGCCCCAAGCAACCCGACATACCTCACCGCCGACGAAGCTTCCGCCTCCAGCTCGAAACAAACGCACAACCTCCAAATCACCACCCAAACCCGCCTCACCCACGAAACCAATCGCCGCAATCCCCGAAACACCCTCTGCCATGGCCGAGAAAGAGCTCCAAGACCTGCTCAAGCAGCTCCATCAAACGCTCCAAACGCACAAATACCAGCAATCCACCTCCCTTCTCTCGCGCGCCAAAGTCGCCCTCCTGCACCTCAACGCCCTCATCCCCACCGAATCCACACCCCGAAAACACCTCGCCCTTGCTCGCGAAACGCTCGAGCTTGGCGCCCTCACCTCGATCCGACTAAAAGACCCCGTCTCTTTCACGCGCTACTTCCAGCAACTGCAGCCGTTCTATGCGCTGCCCGACTCGGTCCTGCCCAAGGACGGAAGCAATGCGAGCAAGATCACGGGGCTGTATCTGCTGCTTCTGCTGAGCGATGGCGATTATGCGGGGTTCCATACGCTGCTGGAGACGCTGGAGGTGGCGGCTGCGCAGGCGGGGCGGGGATTAGAAGAGGATGTGTTTATTCAGTATCCGATTCGGCTGGAGCAGGCGCTGATGGAGGGGAGCTATGACCGAGTTTGGGGAGAGACGAAGAGTGAGCGGGTGCCTAGTGAGGAGTTTGGCATGTTCTCGGAGGTACGTTGACGCTGCTATCACACCTCCCCCATGCTATTCCGGTCGACGTTCTTCGGTATTGTTATGGAACTATGGAACTGATATAATGATAGGTTCTCATCGGCACCATCCGCAAAGAAATCGCTTCCTGCAGCGAGAGAGCGTACCCCTCGATCCCCATCTCCGACGCCAAGTCGCTGCTCTTCCTCGACTCAGAAGGCAGCGTCGTCAAGTTCGCGCAGGAATCCGGCTGGGTGGTCAAGGACGGCAGGATATACTTCCCGCAGCAGGACGACGAGTACCAGAGCAAGGATATTCTCGTGACTAGCGATCAAGTCATTGAGAATACGCTGGGGTATGCGAGGGAGCTGGAAACGATTGTGTGAGGGCGTGAACAGGGAGTGGATAAAGTGCAGAGATCTGTACGATACATTCATGGATGGATGGATTGCTTGGAGTCAAATGGCCAGCTTCGGAATGGACGGGGCGGCGTTGGCCTAGCGTTATAGATCATGATGGGACTCAATGGCCTAGAAGATAATGAACATATTCCCGAAATGTCTTCTCCTCTTCTGCTACCTTGCCCGTGGTCCAAGACCCGTGTTTCCAACAAACGCGAATGTCCCTTTTAAGCATAATAGCATTACTGCAAGATCGCAAGGTGTAATATTCATCGCTGCCAAGCTACCGAGATAGCTGGCCCATATTGATACAGTTCTTTGTACAGCAATATACAGCACGGGTATAAGTGATGCTGCGCTCTCCCTTCCTCGCACTTCGGATAATCCAACGCCATTGATATGCAGATGCCTCCCTCTTTTTCATGCCTTTCCTCCTCCCGTTCTCTCCTCACTAAACCACACATCGTCGCCTCTAAGCCCTCCTTCCCCCACTTCCCTACGGCACAACCACGACACCCAAACTCCCGGCCTGCCCCACCACACTCCTAGCCAAGCCCTCCAAGCTCAACCCCCTCAGCCGGGCCTCCCCCTGCTTAATGCGCGCAATCTCAAAAACATGCTTCAAGCTGACCGTCCCGACGGTGCCCTTGACCGCATTGCCGTTGGTCGGGGAATTCGCACTTGTCTTTCCCTTTGCGCCCTCGTGGTTGTTCATCGGCCCTGGCACGTTGCCGGCGCCGCGGATTTTGGACTTGATGGCCGGCGCGCCGGCGGCGCTGAGCAGCAGCGTCGCGGTTGGCGGCGTGCGGAGCGAGAAGTGGAACGAGCGGTCGGGCCGGACGGTTATGCGCGCGGGGATGGGCGTGCCGGGCGTGTAGTGGGCGGTGCGGGCATTGAATTCCTGGAGAGGAGGGGAGGTTAGTTGGGGTGGGCGGGTGTGATGGTATTGATGGATGGACGGGCGACGTGATGCCGCTGGAGGCCCTCCGAGAGTCCAATTGTGCGGTAGCAGCATCGCGGCATAGCATTTCTTAAGCTTTGCCTGGCATCCGGAGGAAAGATAGGAGGCCAAAGCGGTGAGCTCACCTTGCAAAAATCCATGCTCTTGACGCCCTTGCTTCCCAGCGCGGGACCGACAGGCGGCGACGGCGACGCCTGGCCCGCGCCCACTATCAGTTTGACAATCTGATCCTTCTGTAATGCTTTTCTCGCCATCGTGACGGAGGTGGGAGGGAACGGACGCTCGCAGCGTAGATGCCGAAGCTTTCGGAGGTCTAGCGGAGCGGGTCGGAGGAACGATACTCCGATAGCATATTCCACGGCGAATGGGCTGAGAAACACTTTAGATTGAATCGAGGTAGCATATCCTAGAGGGCGTCAAGAGTTTGTTAGTTCGTTTGGAAGTCTGGAAACGGTTTGGTAGAAACATAAAATATTCATTAAAACATTCCTTTCTAACACTATCGATTACAGTGCCATCCAGCGCACCCCTCAGGCCGGTAGATACAATCATTTCGAGGCATTTCAGCCCTGCTAATGATGCCGAGGCCGGCTATTATCGTTTCACGAATACCCATAAATCCCTCCCTGCTCTTGAAACCTCAACTGGTAATCCCTAAGGTCCGCCCAATGCCTCAGCTCAGTCTCCTCGTCGATAGGAGCATTGCCGTTGGGATCCGAGCCCTCTGGGCTGACGCGCTCCAGCTTGCTAAGAACATCGAGGAACTTGTACAGGTAATCTTGGTGTTGCTGCGCTACAGAGCCCCTGCGCTCCTTGGGCACTTCGAGCAGCGTGCTAGCGATTGATCGAATTTTTTGCGTCTGATACAATACGGTTAGCTCATGTCCACACTCGTACGTGGGCGAAGTTGAGGGGACTTACGAAGCTGTCGCCATTCGGCTCCATATTGACCATATCGATGCTTCCTAGCACCACTAGCAGATCCTTGACCACTTGCTCGCGCTCCGCCGACATCATCTTCTCCAACGCTTCCGCATCGGTACTCGGGCTAGAGATTAGCCTGTCCAGGCCTGCTGCAAGGGCGTCCTTTGAGCTCTGGAGCGCTTGCTGTGTCCGCGCATTGTTCGACTTATCCAGCAACGCGAAGTACTTCTCCACCAGATACGAGCGGATACTTAAGTGGCTCCCGTATATATTCGCTTTCTGTATCTCGTATTGCGACTCGCGACGTGCTTCATGAGACTCTGGGCCGTTGTACATCCCCAGCGCGGGATCTCGCAAGTTCGCGTACTCTGGCATGGGTGGATAGTAGGGCTGCCTCCGCTGCCCAAAGCTGCCGCTCTGGTTGTCCTTTGAATGGATCTTGAGGACGTCTGGAATGTTTTCGAGGACTTGTCTACATCGCTGTAGAGACTGCTCCAGTATTCGCTGCTGCCGGTCCCAGTCGAAGAGCTCGTCGATGCCAAATATCATCTCCGCGCTCGATAAGGAAGAATATGAAAGATAAATGCGGACATTGATGTTGAACCCTGCGATCAAGGGCACCACACCAGCTTGCTGGGCATGTATTTCGTTGGGGTAGATGCACGCATCGTCAACCTCAAGCGGGAGAGGAGGAAGCGGCTCGGTTGGCGTAGACGGTAGAATGGTAAGCTCTCCGAACGATGTACCCAGCTGTTGCATGGTCCTAGACAAGTCAGCACACAGTCCCTCTCAAAGCCGCTTTTAGACTCACCGCACGCCAACAAACACCGTCCAGAAGACTCTCCGACCGATCTGCTCAGTGATCATATCGAGCTTCAGATCCCGCGAGCCCTCAAAGTTCGGTCCTTGTGATCCCACTGCATTTGGCAGCCCACCTAGCTGCGTATACCCCGGATCCTGCGCCTTGTGCAGGCCCAGCGAACGAAGAATGGTCAGGCACTCGCCAAAGTAGAGCCGCAGCTGTCGCCACTGGAAAATGTAGGCTCCGGTCAATCCCAAGAAGTAGCTCGTGCATGCATCATAAACGTTCAGGCTCGGTCGGTCCAGATATCCTATCCCACGTGCCTGCGCGCACGTTTCCCTGCACTTCTCTACGAGCGACAGATGAGAGGGGTAAAAATTTCGCGTCTGCTGCTTCAGGTGTAGTCGCGGCTTGCGCGGGAACGAGGCCACGAGAGCGGCGATCATCGAAGCTAGAAGAGCTAGGAATGCTGGATTCCTACAATCCTCGCGATTCTCCCACGCTTCTCGGAACGACGGCTCGTGCGGGAACGGACACAACGGATGGATGTAGGTGAAGAAATCGTCTATGAGAGCGTTCATCGTCGGAAGAGGGCATATCGACTCAGCAGAGAGCGGATGCGGAGGAAGTGTAGACAGCTGCGCGAGTGCATGAGCAGCATTTGTGGGCGATGCCGGGTTGGAGGGTGTTGAGCCCGGCTCCCCACTGCCTACACGACGCTTCTTCTTGATAGCTTCCGCATGGCGATTGGGAGGTCCTCGTCGTCGGCTTGGTCGGTCGAAGGTGCAGGGGATATCGAGAGTTGCGCAGGCTTTACACGGCGGTCCGGACTCATCACACTGCGCTCTGTGTTAGCTATGCTCGTGCCGCTGTATCTAGCCATTGTCCACGCACCTTCACCTTGCGGATACTGCAAGAATCACACGCCTTGCGCAGCCGATTCGTCTTCTGCTGCTGCTGTTCCTGCACGGACTGCTGCGAAGGCGGCGGCGCATGGCCGCGCTGGTCGCTGACCAGATTCGCATGTTGCGCCTGCTGCTGCAGGACGTCGCTCAGATTCTCGATCTTCGGGTATATGTCCTGAGGGTACTGTATCCGCGGCTGCTGCTGCTGCTGGGCGTCGAGCAGCGGTGCATTCTGCGGCGGCGGCGGCGGCGGCGCCGGGTAGATGCGCGTGTAATGCGGGTCGTCCGATGCGGGCGGTGGAGGGTATTGCGACGACATCGTGCCGACGATTTGCCGCGACGAGAGGTCCGGATGGCGCGAATGCGATCTTTCCATTGCGTTAACTTGGGGGAGTCGGACAGGTTGCCGAAACAGCGCCCCGAGCGCTTCTACATGTGTTGTCGCCGAGTTCGACCGCCGGAAGGGAGAGTTGTGTAGAGAAAGTTTTCCGAAACCCACCTGCAAAGTTTACGGTATCGGATGTGGGCGGGTCCTAGGGAGCGGGCCAAGCTGGTGAATATCAATGCGAGAGTCTCAAGCCCATAGCGGCCGCGACAGTGAACAGGTGATCGGCATGTGGAATGGAGAGGTGATGTTTGGGGAGCTACGACGAGCTTCTTAGATTTAAGATCAACTCGATGCAGCGGTTCGCCCACAGCGAAACACCTTCGCAAGAAGACCTCGTGTTGTCTGCGGTGAAAACCTAGCTATCTGACGCGCCCCAGCCCAGGATAACAATTGACCGAGCGGGTGTCCACCTTGGCCGAGAGCATATGAAGATAGATTTGGTCTCAGTGGACCAATCAGAGCTTCGGAAAATCCCTGTGATGATCCGAGCTGCGGATCTTGTGAAAAACCTCCGATGCGCCTGAGCAGCCAAGAAAGGTACAATGGTCCAGTCATGAGAATTGGCTTCACAGGTGGCCCGACCGCATACACTTGCAACTTTTGCATCATGAGAGGATCTCCATTATCCAGCTGTACAGAAAGGGAGCTTAGAGTCCCATCACAATCCCTGCCGCAACCCGCCCGCTAACAATTTGAAGTGGGGGATATCTACCCTTCTATACAATCCAACCTTAACGCCGGTTGACTATCTGCCGTGTCCGATCCTGATACCATTTTGTCCATTACTCCAGGTGATTCTCGACCTCTTCTAAGCCAAGCGTATCCAGCGTTGGCCAAATTTCCACGCCTTAGCCACTTCCAGCTACGCATTCCATATCTGTGCCATCCGCTCGTTTAGTCAATCCGAGTCGTCGCTCGCGGGCGAATCCCTCGTAGGCGGCCTTGACGATCTTGATAACGAGAAGTCCAGAATGTCGCTCTTAGGCCCTGCGTCGACGAACTTGCGTAGGCACCAGCCCATTTGAATCGCCGCGAACTTCTCGTTGCCCAGTGGGTCCATCTGCTTCCCCTTGACAAAGATGATTTGATTTTGACTGTCTTCGCGGTCGTAGACCTTGTCCGAAGAACCCCACGCGATGATCGCGAGTTTCGATGTGCGCTGCTGCTCTGCGGCATGCGCGGCTGAGCGTTCGAAGCCTTGCTGGGCGAGGCCTTGGAGCAGGTGTTCGTATACCTTTCGGGGTAACTTGGTCGATGAAGGGTTGTTGTTCGGCCATGTCGTGATATTGAGCGTCACTAGGTGCGCTAGGTCGCCTAAGCAGTTCTGTTGATGTTGGAATTAACATCCGAAGAGAACCCAAGCGAGGCGATATTGCAGCTTTTATACATACGTATAACCGCATGTAATATGCACTTACCTCGAAGTTGATAAACGAATCTTGCTTCGACCGAATGACGCTGACCTGGGGGAATGCCACCGACACCTGCTCCAAGAGCGGGCAATCCTTACAGATCTGCGAGAAGGAGGAGTAGTCGTAAACCAGCTCGTCGTCGCAGTCGTCCGGGATACGGCTTGCGTGTACATTGAGCTGTGTCAACGTCTTCCCATGTCGAATAATTCCTGCAGCTGCTGGCAAGCTCTTTGCATACGTCAAATCGATCGTCAGGACCTTGATACCGGAGACCAAGCACATGAATCCATCCAATGCGCCTAATCCATCGTTCTCATGGTTGTCGTCGTGCTTAAATTCCAGTGTCTCCAGCTTCTCAGGCAGCGTCGTGCTCTTACTAAGTTCTGCAAATAATGCGTCCGCACCGGCGCAAGCAAACACTCGGATGGACTTAACGGACTGGAAGTCGATGAGTTTGCAATATGTATTAGCGGCATATCGCAGGTTGATCTTCTGAAGCGTGATCTCCTTGAGTGCCAACGGGGTGCATTTGGAGAATGGCTGCATGTGGTTGAACATCGTCGAGGTGATGAGACCTGGTCCAGTGCTTGAATCATTGAGCTCGCGGTTGGGGATCGGCGAGTCGTTCTCCTCGAAGCTTGCATGCAGTGTAATCTTCTCTACCTTCGGCGAGTTCTTCAGCAGCAGGTGGCAGTAGTCCAGCACCTCGCGACTGTCCGGATATAGGCCAAGCTTCCTCACATTCGCAAACACCTTGTCAAAGTCCGGGATCTTCTGAATCTCAGCCAGGACGTTCCCGTCGAGCGCAATGCCTTCAAGCCATTTCATGCGTTTTTGCTTCTTGTACAGCAGTATGAGGTTCTCCCCGGAGAACGGCGACCAAGGATGCCACGAGAACTTCTCCAGTGTGTTCTCCGGAAGCAGCTCGAGTATCATGCGAATGGCAAAGTTGGCCTGCTGCAGCTGATTGCACTTGTCGAGGACGTCGGCAAGGTAAAGGTCGAGCTTCCGCACATGTTGTAGACCGATGTTCTTGGGGCTCAAGAAAGCCCCCAGGCTTGTGTCCTTCGGGCTGCCGACGTCGAGCGTGACTTCGTAGTAGAGCTGGCGGACGGCGATTTCGTGGAGCTGCTTGCAGACGAGACATACGTTTCTGAGGTCGGTAGGACGAATGACCTGTATGTCTCATATTAGCACATTCGTCCCATCGTACCGGAGAGCAAGGTGATGCGCCATGTGCAAGGCCGAGCACTCTCGTCGCACAGAAGATTGCCTTATGGAGAGGGCATGATTGAGCCGGCGCACGCGGTGGAATTGGGGGAGAGGGGCAGCGGTTCTGCGCTCTGGACCCCCGACTCCTGCGCAAGCATCGGGATTGCTGAAGCTTTTCAGCCCAGCATGCTCAACCTTACAAGCTCACCTGCTGCGACGAGCACTCTCCCAGCGGACCTCACCCCACCCTCTCTTTCGCACTTACATGCTGCACAATGAGCGTCTTGATATCCACCGAGAGGTCCATGAAGCTCATCCGGGGCGCCATATCGACCGAATGCGCAGGGCTGCCCAGAGCGACACACTCCGCTTTCTCTCTTGCCTCGCAGGGAATCGCCGAACGTTCTACGCCGGCAGATGCTTTTGTCGTCAAACAGCGCAAGAAGACGCCAGAGTATAAAAGGCGCTCCGTCGTGGTCGGCGCGCTGCTGCCTTGAGGTCGGTCCACGCCTGACCGGCGGAGATGTGCAAGTGGAGAGACAGGAAAGCGCGGGACGAGCGTCTCAACGGTCTGGACGAAGGAAAAGCTTCCACCCTTCAGCCTCAGCGCTCTTGCGACCCACTCTCCCCACGCTATGGCAGACAATGTCGACCATCGAAAGTCGGGGTAGCTGCTGTGTCTTCGTGCGATTGGTGATTAGGGCTGCAAGGGTTGCTGCGAAGCCGGTCAGCAGTTCTGTCCATCCACGGTGGGTTATCCCTGCGCCACACTTGAGGCGCAGGCTCCGTCGTGGGGTCTGGGGTCCCGTTCAGCTTCCTATTCTTCGGCTTCGGCGATGCTTTGTCTGCTTGAGGTTAAAGGGCGGACACGGACGTCAGCGCTACGGTTAGGGCAAGGCAGAAGCGACTCGCGTGGCAAACATTAAAGCAGGATTGACAATGACGGTAGTTGAGAACGAGGGTATCACAATTCGCGGCTGCACGCCTCGTATCCACTATCGTGAAATCCTATTCTAGATGCAAACCAACCCCATTCAGATCGCTGATGCTTCATAAAACCACCGTTGTTGTCCAAGCAGGTATATCCTGGACTCCAAAATCGTGTAACGCCGTGATGCCAAACACCTTCGCTATGCCGGTGTGTACAAAGAAGAAGAGACGAAAGCGGATAATGATGCTGCGCTCATGCGTCGTCCTCGCCGCCAGACTTCTCAAACTCCGCCATCATCTCCGCCTCCAGGCCATCATCGTAGTCGGATGCGAGATCCACGCCCTGGCCTTGCGGATCAAAGACCTTGTCATCTTCTTCGCCTTGTCCCTCTTCAGGGCCCGTGGTCTCAGGACTAGGCAAACCAGAAGACTTGTCTGCTGATACAACGTTGGTCAGCGATGTTACTCGCTCCATTGTGCGCTTCTTTCTCTTCTGCAGCCTCGACGTACTGTTGACGCTAGCATCGCTATCCTCTGCTTCACTGCCGTCTGCGGAATCCGTCTTCCGTTTCCTCTTGCGCTTAGTTCCTTTCGCATCTGATTGCGTGCTAGCGGTGGAGCGGACGCTCTCCGAATCGGATGCACTTGCGTCTTCCGTGTCGTCGGATTCGTTCATAAACTCCTCAAATTCATCCCCAAGCGATTGCCATTTGTCATCCGACATATCAAGATTCGTAGGCGACTCGTAAGGCTCGCCCTCCTCATCACCCGTTACATTGATACTGTCGTCCTCAAGTTCCTCGAAAGGGGACCCACCACGCTCGGCAGCGTCAACTTCAATGGTGTATGGTGTTTCGTCTACGCGCTCCCACCGCGTGCAACACTGGAACATCCATTCGGCGTTCACAATCTTGATGTGTGGATATCGTGCGGCTTTCTTGACTTTAGTGGTTTTCCGATCGGGATTGGCAATGACATGCGTCGTCGACCGGTTGACATTAAGGGATATCTCCGCACCAAAGCTCTTAACCCAGAGTGCGAAGTCGGAGCTTGATACTGTTAGCGACGCGTTTCTGGACGCGGCGGCGACATTACTTACTTTTCGACATCCATGCCCAAGGGGATTATTCCGGAGAAGACGATAGTGCAGCCCTCGAGGACTTTCCGCTTGATGCGAGGCATGAGTTGGGTGACGTTTGGTATGGCGTCATCTAAAGGTCGCTTTTTGGGGCTCTTCTCGCCTTTTAGCTCGGCTACCCGACCACCATGTGGCATGATTTTCTTCTTCTGGTATTCATCGTAGAATGCCTTGTGCACGCGCCGCAGGTTATCTTCGATGACTTCCAAACCTCTGTCGTCGTCATGCAGGAGGCTGTGCCGGTGCCGGTGATGTTCTGAAGACTGCGAGTCACCATTTTCAGCGGCCTCGGGGCTTTCTGACTCTTCCGCCTCTTCGTCCTCCTTGTCGAGCACGAGTTGCTGCTGCAGTAGAGGCCGCTCCGTTTGTTGGGAGATGATAACCTTCTCCTGCTCTTTCACCTGTTGTTCAAGGACTTCCGGACTCTCCCCGGCGCCCATTTGGATCAGCTGCTGCTCCAGCTCGCTCACGACGCCATTGGTAGATTCTGCAGGTACGGTCTCAGTGGGGTTTGCTGCAACGGAAAAGGCGGAGATGGCTTCACCTTCAGCTCCTGATTTATCTTTCGCGGTTGACTCGGCGACTTTGCTCTTCGATGGCGTCGTGACTAATTCCTGCTGTTTCGGAAGGAAGCTTGCGTTGATGTCCCCGGCGCCCGGGAAGAAGTTAAACACCGGCACGCGGATCAAGTTGTCGCTGTAATGCCAGATATCCGCTCTGTCATCAATAATGACAACCATGTCAGTATTGTTCGGGAACAGTCGGTGCAGACTCTTCAGTTTGTCTGTGTAGTTCTCGTCGCGGCTCAGAATTCTGTCGCCGAAGTATTTCCGCTCAGGGTCGATGATTTTGGCTACAGCTTGCGCGTATGCCCGGGTTGCCATTGTGTAGATGTGCAGTTCGTACATCTGTGATACCCTGTCGAAGAATTCCTGGAGGCCGGGGCGCATCTTGACATAGTACCAATTTGCAGCGACATTTGCGACATTGTCATCTGCAAGCTGGAAGCCCCTCACATCTTTAACTGCCTCATAGTTTGGATTTTCCGGGTCCGCCTGCCATTCTGCAATTGTCCGCTCGCAGGTTGTGTGGATGACGGTCTGGTCGAGATCGACGATGAGATGGAGCTTCTTCGAGCTAAGCAGACGTTTCTTGGTCTCCTCATCGGCGCGCCTGGACTCCTGCTGGCTGACCAGCAAGGCAACGTTGTCGTGGGTGGTGTTGACCGTGGCGCGTTCCGAGTTCAGCTCTTTGGTGAGATAGTCGACCTCGGTCATGTCCTTGCCGCAATCGACACACAGGCCGCCGAATTGGGTCTCGTGCGTGCATGGCTCTTCGATTTCGAGGAGTTCAAGTCTGTCCAGTTGTCAGCACTGTTCCGGCAGAACCTAAGCATTTTGCATGGCACATACCCTGGACGCTGGATGACGGTGCCCTCCTTGATGAACCATTTCGTAATCGTTCCGTCTGCCGAAGCCTCGAACTTCACAGGGAACCTCTTCTTGACATTCTTCTTCTCGCCCCACTTGTCGCCCTCTTCTACGATAGTCTCGTAGAAGTAGGTGAAGAGCGGCTCGGAGCGCTGCACCTCGTCATCGCGCTTCTTGGCGAGCTCGCCGACAGTGATGGGATAGTGCAGGCCGGAGGGTGATAAGACCTTCATTCCTGGTTGCGCGATCCCATGCGAATGGCGATGTGTTGGTCGTGCTGGTTGTCGCGACGCGATTTGAATCGGCGCATTCGGTACGTGCTGGGGTTGGGGATGGGGATTGGGAGCTCGGACGGGGAGCTTGGGGCTTGTCGCGTCAGCGCAGCAGCAAGCGAGAGCTATGATGCACAGTGCACAGCGGAATAAACGCGGGCGCGACTGGTGGGCGAGGGTAATTGTCGCGGGGCAAAGGGTGGCGGTCCCGTGGTTGGCGGTGTGACGTGAAATATAAATTGAGCTCGTAACAGCAGGGTGTGGAGCGTTGGCGCGGCTCGAACCGTTCTCAAAGGGCGCTTGTGAGGGGAACAGCTCTCCTTTTGTAGGTCTGATGGCGGCCTCTAGCGCCTTGGCATTCACTCATCCATCTTTCGATCTCACGTGACTGCTCTTGTTTTCCCCCAGACAAAGGGAACCGCGCCTCTCACGCTGCGTTTTGTCGAATCCGACTGCAGAATTCGAGGTGGAAACGGCGCGGCAGGGCTGGATGGGGGTTCCTTTTATCTTTCACGGCCTGCTCAAGCTAGTTCAGGCAGCTACCTGGGTACCGCTTTGCGCACCTGATGACTCCACCGAATCCCAGTAGAAGCAGCAAAACTCCCAGCCCTATACAATCTGAAACGTAGAACCGTATGGATTCACATGACTCGATAGGCATGGCCCCGAGGCTATTCCCGGTCCCGACACCCACACTCCACTATTACTCCGAATCAAATATCTACCAGCTCATTATGTAATAACCCAGCGCTCCGAGGTATCTATGCAAATTGGTGGAAATCCATCATGCCGTCGTGGTCGCTATCATGTCTAAATGGTAGAGGCAAATTACCAAGGAGAGAGAGCACCCCTATGCCGACGCTTAACCTCTATATGCAGACTCCGAGTTACGCTTCGATGCGGTTGCGCCTTTCAACACCATGCTGCCCAACGCCAAGGCTCCACCGCCGGTGCGTGATGCATCTTGGCCGATCCCCGTGATAGGCTCGCGGATCTCAAAAGGGTGTGAGATGTCCACTTCCTCGTCCTCCCCGACAATGGTCCAGTCTTCTTCGAATTCGTCTGTGTTGTCCTCATCTTGCTTTGTGTGCTTCTTGACGAGCGACTTTGCTCGGTCTAACTCGCGGTACATTGTCTGAATGGCGATTTGGGTGCCGTTGTCCTGCTTTGTTTAGTCTCCTGCATCATATGGAAAGATGAAGGTGCTTACCTTGCGAATCTTCTGTCCGAGGACCTTGGCTTTGACAATCATCCGTTGGCTGTTAGTGGCCTCCCATAGAGCCCGGCTAAGCACGCTGGTGTTGACCTTCTTGAGCCAGATACCGACGCCAAGGTCCTCGACGCGCTGCGCAAAGAAATACTGGTCGCCGAAGAAGGGCTTGATGATCGTGGGGATACCTGCCCGCAAACTTGCTCCCGTGGTGCCTGATCCGCCGTGGTGGACAGCTGCATCCATCTGCGTGAAGAGCCAGTCGTGGGGTGCTGCCTGGATCTGGAAGATTTCCGGTGGCAGAGGGACCTCGGGCTTGGAAGCATCCTTGGTCCCTAGTCTATCAGACCAGCCCTTGGAAAGAATGCAACGCACATCTGCCTTCAAGACAGAGTCCACAACGGTCTTAGTGAGAGCGGCTGGGTCGTCGATGACGATGGAGCCAAATCCTACATATACAAGCTTTTTGTTGTCCCCACGAGCTTTCTCAATGAAGCCGACAAGATCTGATGGAGGCTCGTATGTATCACCCTCGTCAAGGAACCAGTAGCCAGTAACGCGGATCCAGTCTGGCCAGTCCAATGGCGGCGGAACAACCGAGGGGCTGAAGTTGTACAAGAACGGTCGAAGATTCGCTTGCATCTTGGCCTGAGACGTGTTCTGAAGACCTAGCTCGCGGCGCCGCCACTTGTTGATTTGGCCGGATATAGCCGTCCAGAATATAGCATCGAAGGTGATGTAAGTGATGCTGTTGTAGCCGCCGCCCATCTTCTTCTCCAGAACCGAGAAAGCATGGGGGTATGCACGGGTACGGGTCCATGGCATTGTGAACGCGCGGAAGTATGGGATCTCCAAAGCTTCAGCGATGTGAATACCAGCCATGGCACTGGGGCTCTCGATCAGGACGTCGGCGCCTTGGCAAGCCTTCCATGCCGAACTGCAAACATCATCGAGCCAACCGCGGAATTTCGAGTTGGCTTCTTTCATAAAGTTATAAGTGAACATGCCGTGCTCGACGCAAATTCTCATGAGCTCTGCGGGGTTGCCGTCGACCGGGGCGAAGTCTATGCCATGCTTTCTCACCCAAGGCTCGAACTCGGCATGGGTTGCTATCCGCGGTTTGTGACCCTCCTTGAGGAGCTCCTTGCAGAGTGCAATATAGGGCTGTACATCGCCTCGAGATCCGATTGTCAGACACACAATCCGCAAAGACTCCGAAGGCTTGAAGTCCACAATCGATGCCAACGGGTCGTCAAAAATGAGTGGGATCCGATCATGATCAGCGACGCGCACGATATCCGAGACGTTGATGGGAGCATCGGTGTCCGTGCCTTTCCTAGCCTCCTGCAAGAGGTCATGTTCTGCCTTGGCTGCTTCATCATCGCTGTCGACGCCACTCGAGGATGATTTTTCGTCTTCGATGTACTTTGTGCTCTCCAAGATTCGAAGAATGGTAATGGCGCACTCGTCACGGTACTCGGCCTTGGAGAATTCGAAGAAGAGCTCCTCGTGTCCTCGTATGACGACAGCCAGACCGTGATACCCAAGTCGGAAGCCCTTCTCTTTATTGACATTCTCGATATCGCGCATAGGCAGAATGATCTGGGAAAAGTTAGCTTTAACATTCGACGGAAGGTTAATAGAACAGACCTTTGTCTTCGAAGTGGGCATTAGGCTCCTAAAGCAAAAGTACCGCCCACTAATATATATCTTCCCATAGTTGGGAAGAACCCGCTGAAGTGAGGCGAAGAAGGATGACTGCAGTTGTTCCGATTCAGGGAACGCAAAATGCTCCCGGAAGTGCTCCGCGGCTTTAGCCGCGTCCTCGTCTTCTTCGAAGCCATGGACCTGATCGTTAGGTTCCAACCCCTCAGCAGTGTTGTAATGTTTCCGACCGCCCGCCAGCATCCCGGATACTTTCTCGTAGTAACCCATCGATTCGGTTGCGAGTAGATTACCCATTTTCTTCGACCTTGTCCTTAGGAAGCCGGCGAGGCCAGAAGCCTTTTGGAGTGGGTAAGAGGCGATGTCCTGGAGAGCTGAGGAAGAACCTGATAGGCGTGCACTTGTCTGTTGTGCGTCTGTGTCGTCCTCCAGGTCGGCCGCGCCAAGTGGGGTCTGGGCGTTGCCTGGGCTCCCGGTGTGCTTCTGTGAAGATCGTGGTAACTTCAAGTGCGCTTTCCCCGCGCCGGACGAGCGTGTGGTATCCTGTGAATGTCGCGCAAGACTATCACTGTCTGACGCGGGAACTCCCGGGTGAAGCGCTGGCGCTCGGAACACATCGGAACGACTTAGTATTTGGCTAGCAGACGCATTGCTGTCATCGATAGACTGTACAGCAGCTGAAGACTCTGTGCCGGGATCGAACGAGTTCGTGGCCGATTCCGAAGAATCCTGTGGTTTTGTAGATAACGGAGATCTATCTCCAGGCCGGCTTCTTGATTGCTTGTCATGACGACTACCGCTGAAGCTACGGCGGGCCTCGTAGCTAGGACGTCGGAGGGCGCGGCTCGCATCCATGCTGCGTCGAACTTCGAAGCTCTTTCGCGTGATGTCAAGGCTTGATCGAGAATCGGCACTCATGCTCGATCGTCCAACATAGGGCACCGGTATTGGGGACAATGTCGCGCGAACATTCTCTTCGATATACGGGGGGTTGATAGGGCTTGCTTGGGATGCAATGGGGTCGCGATGACTGGACATGCCGGGAGCTTTTGGGGTTGTGGCGCTTTGATCATCGAGATGCGCCGACTGATGGTGCTCATTGTCGTTGACCATGATGCGCAGAACGTTGAGCGCATCCTGTCCGTTGTTGAAAAACGAGAAGAAATACTGTGGAAATGTCAAATTTGTTCACGTTTAGCGTACCTGAGTACGATGATTGACGTACCTCATCAATAGCGTACGTCTCGTCATTGTCAATCACACGAACTTTGACGGTGTCGGCGAAGTCCAGAATCGTGCTCTCCTCAATCTCCAGAACATTCTGAATAGGCAGTGATATTTTGACGCTGTTTCCTTCGTTGTGTGTTCGGAATATGACTTTCTGGATCGACCTCACCCATTCTTTTGCGCTCGCTGCACTATCAGCCTTGAACTGATACCTCCTTTCGTCGGTTGTGACGATAAATGTAGTCTCGTCCTTATTCTTGTCTTTCGTTTCGAGGACCTCGGCAGAAATTGCGTACTGCAAATTGATACGGTTGCGAGGGAAGTAGAGTTCTGCTGGATTTGTGTAGTACGCGAGCACGTCGCCCCGTAGTATGAACCAATACCTATTGTACTTTGACCGGCCTCGCTTGGAAAGATATCCAGTTTTGCTGACATCGTGCTTCGAAATATTAGCTAGGCTCCAAGAGCGAGAAGCACACATGACTCACATGCTTCTTCGGGATATACGCATAAAAGCATATGTGCTTCTGGGTGATGTACATGTAGCCTTGCAGCAAGATACTCTGAAGTAGCCAGCATGGGTATTCTGTACTTGTCAGGCCTGAAAAGCACTCTTGCCTTCGATGACTTACCTGAAATGACTTCCTCGAGATTCTCAAACTCAAATATCTGCTGCAATCTCTTCGCAAGACTGACTGGTGTCTTGCCCTTCGCTACACCAGCAGTGCTGCCATGCCTACTTCTACGGCCAGAAGTGCGTTTCTCGATGTGTATCTCTTGGCCAGGAGTGACCTTCGACTTGTGCTTCAACAGCTGTTCGTCCTGCGAAGTCCCGGCAGACTCGTCTTCGGAGGGTCGAGGCGGTAGGAACTGGGAAGATGACATACGATCCACAGGGTGGGCTTCCGATTTCGCTTCCTTCCTGCTCGATATCTTTAGTTTGGGAAGTGAGCGCAATAGCTTGTGCTCCGACAGTGCTCTCCGGTGCTTGCTCTTGGATCCTTTGCCATCGTCCCCCCCATCGAGCGCGCTTTGGAAATCATGTGCGGAGCTGAGACGGCTCATCCGTGCTGCACGATCCAGGCTATGGAATGGGACTCTCCGCTTGTCTTCGGTGTCGCTCTCTCCAGAGTCCACCTCCTCCATTGTACCCAGATCTGTTTGCGACTGCTGTCCGGCTCGTGCGATCATGGAGAAGAGAGACTGGTTCATCGACATGGTATTGCTCCGCTTCGGCGCCGTGACATCTTCCTCTGCGTCGGCTCCATCTTTGAAGCGCTCCGGGATGTCCAGAGACACCCGCCGTGATTCCTTGCGCTTCTTTGTCAATTTCCGACCGCCCTTCTCCCTTCCTCGCTCTTCAGCAGCCATCGTGTATGTGTATTTCGTGCGCTTGTTGCTTGGTATCGGAGGCGAGCTGTGTCGCTGGGGGGACCGCGGAGGACGAGGGTGCTGGGCGTTCAAAGGGCCGGGCTTATACGGGCGGCGCCGGCTTTCAAAAGTCCTACTGCTCGCAAATAGGCCAGTAAACACTGCTTCAGGCAGTCAGAGGAGTGTGGCGTCACATATTGAAGTGAGTGAGTCGACTGACGCGCTGACAGCAAATTCACGTTCACGGGTTGTCCTTAGCTCCGGCACCCTGTCCCACGAGGCTGCCTTGTAGAAACACCAGAACCCTGATAAGCTCGCGAAGGCACCAATAATACGGGGCTTTCGCCTCAACAATTCTACTGCAGGCAGCCCGCTATATTGGGCTGCATGACAGACATGCCCTCGCCGAAGTACCAGTTGCTCTAGACTAACCTTTGTAGACCTTTGGCAGGTGAAGCATGTCAAGCCACAGCAGAGCCACAGCAGTACGTCACCCGCTCAGCATATCGATAAGGGCTCAGCAGGACAGCGGCTCAAGGCCGTTGAGTGCCATGTGCTTGTTCTGCGCGGATTATTGAGTTCATATGCAGTTTTCAAGCGATTCGCATGATATCAAACGTCGAGCGCCAAGGGGACCACCTAGGTATCGTGAAGTAATTTCGTCGCTCATTAGCTGTCGATAGGGCGGATGTCACTTTCAGTGCCGTGCAAGCAGGAGTGGTATTTTCTCGGTCACCTCAATTTGGCTATTGGTACAGGCTTTGCAAAGCAATGAACAAAAGAAATGGCGGGTTCCCATTACTACAATTTGAGCCAGGCGCTGTCATTGCATTTACAGACCATCCGAGTACGCCGCCCAGATTCCCGTACCCAGCCTATCCCATCATATCGGTCGCCCCTTGCTCCGCTTACTTCGACTTGGCAAGTCCGACAGCGGAGTTCCCAAGGTCGTAGACAGAGTACCACTTCCGGAGGAAAGCATCACCAAGAATTGCAAGAGGACCGACAGGCTCAGGGAAGTCCATGCCCATGAAGGCAGAGATGCACGAGCCCTGGACCTCGAGGACATAATCGTAAGGACCGATAGTGAAGTTGTGGCCAGTGAGCGTAAAGGTGAGGTCGGGCAGACCATCACGCTTGTCGCATTCAACAGTGTACTGTCCGTTGAACGACTTCTTGGCGCCAATCTCCTTGTTCCTGGAAATAGTTAGAATTTGTAGCGCACCCATTAGTTGTAGCGACTTACAGAAGTTCAGCAATGGTGGAGGGCAGAGCAATGAGGGAGGTGCCAGTGTCAAGGATGACACCAGTGTTGTCCATCTCAGCGGTCTCCTTGCCAAAGGTGATTGCGTCAAGGTCGACCTCCCAGTACGCCTTGCGCCTCAATGGAATCTTGGTGAGCTTGCCAGTGTAGTGGCTGTCGTCGATGCCTCCGAAGGTAGCCTCAGACTCCTGGCCCTCATTGGTGTCACCGAGGTAGAAAGCAAAGACCGGCTCATCCAGCAGGCCCTGGTCCAGCATGTTGTAGAACGGCGGAACGATCTTGTTCACGCTAATGGTATCGTAGCCTAAGCCCATGATGCCGTCGAACCTGCCGAAGGCAAAAGCGAGACCGGGCTCGGAGGTAGCCTCGGCAAAATCCTGGTGCTTGACCTTCAGGTCGCCAATCTGAAAGACGTCCTGCGACACGAAGCCGCTAAGCGAACCAGATCCGTAGCGAATCTCGAACGAAGTGCCATTCTTCTTGTATGTCGACGACGCCGAGGAATCATACTTGCTGTGGAGGTAGCAGGCGATCGAGTTGCACTCTGATGAGGGAACCCAAAGGTTGGAGCTCCCGGTGTCGAGGATGACCTTGAAGTCCTGTGGAGGAGTGCCGAGGGAGATCTCGGAGAAGTCTGGGGCTGTGTCAGTATGCGACGGGGCGGGATGCAAAGCTAGCGCAACGTACATTGAGCGTTCAGGAAGTTTGTAACGGGAACTGGATGCGTTCCATCAGCGATGTAAGGCGCTTTGAAGACCTGCTCGACGTGCGACTCGGGCTTGATGCCCATGTACTTCTGTCCGAGCGCCCTCGCCTGCTCCTGGATGTTGGCGTATTGCTGCAAGAGATTAGCAGGAGCTCCATCGCACCAAGTGTCAACTCCGACTCTGGCGACAATGACTTACAAGCTGCTCCGACAGAGGAATCTTCTTGAGCTTCATCTTGTGGACCCCAGCGGTGGCGGGGCCGAGCAGCGAGCCCGCCGCGAGGAGAATGGCCGTCTTCATGACGATAACAAAAAGGCGGAAGTCTCGGAACAAATAAAATCGGCGAAGAATGAGGAGGGGAGACGGTAGAAACAGTGTGTGATGGATGGTGTGTTGTGTTCGAGCTTCGGGGAGCTTGAGAGGCTGGGGCGAGTGGCAGCATGACGAGGAGAGCTGCCGCCTGCTCAGACGCGGCCCCGGGGCACGTGCGGGTTTCCATGGACCCGTTTCGGACTAGTCAAATGCAACTGCCGCTTCTGGCTTAGCTGCTTCATGTACCTGCTTTGGGGCGCTTCGTGTAACCTTGGAACCGACGGCCTCACGAGGCACTTTTAGAACTTCAGGGCTGTGTTAGATAAGCACAGCGTCGTCCCAGGTCCGACGGAACGGCGTGAAGTACCTAGGTAAACATCTATACGTAACCAGCCTCGTGCAGGGCTTCAGACCCTTTAGCCTTAATTGGGGTGCTCCATCGGACGTGTAAGCACTCAGGACATGCTCTTTCTTGATATTTCTGATGTAGTTCGCCCACTAGATCAAGTATGTCGCGGAGAACTCCGACTACTTTCTTGTGTACCCGACCCCTAGCTTTCCTGTAGCAAACATCTGTCCTATAGATGCACCGCGCCGCTCCTCACCTCCTACCTAGGCGGTGACGTATGATTCAAGAAAGCGACAGAGAAATGAAGGAGTGACTCTCCTTGAAGCTTATCTACGGAGATAGCCAGACTTCGCGTGAGCTATACTGTAGCCCTAGCTTCATATCCTTAGCTCCTATCACGATCGACTTCCTTTCAACAGGTCATATACTCTGTTCTTCGACGTCGAGCATAACGGCACTCGTGCTGCTAGCATGGATATTATGCTCATATATTACGACAGCAGTCGCCCTTGCCCTTGGCGTATCCCCAAAATTTCACGGCCGGACCGACCTTGACGAGAAGGCCTCGATATGGAAGCTCTGCTCAGGTTTTGTCCCAGCACATCGTCCCCGCTTTGCGGTTCTCGGGCAGCTGACTTCGTTCAGATAACATAATATTCGCGCTGCAGCCACTCCGCCACGTAGTTCACGTCGTCAGGTACGTCGTTGCTGGAGCCCTTCCCAGCCCGTTCAAGGCATTCGTGGTAGCTTTGACACTGCAACCCTGTAAGTACCACCTCCAACAAAGATAGACGGACGCACTCACCATCTGCTCGTCATGTCGGGAGTACTGGAACATGGCATCCCTTTTGACAGCGAAATTAGAGTGCGTATAGTTCAAGTTCGCATCAAGCTTGCGCATCATGCTGCCAGCGTAGCTGCTTATGGTGAGAAAAGCCTTGCCACTACAAAGTGACCGCCTTACCCACGAAATGTACCATTGATTTTCTCCTGTTTTACCACTTCAGCTACCAGTCGAGCAGAGATCGCGTGGTCGGAATGATCGCCGTCGAAATCATTGTCGCCTGGTATTGGCGTCCCGTAATCTAGGACGCTGATGTGGCGGGCTGCCCTCTGCTTCAGCAGGGTGCGGATGAGGTCCTTCAACGATTCAAGCGTGTACGTAGCGCTCTGGTCGGTTGCAGTGATTGACTTCAGCTCACCCTTGTAGAGCTTCCTCAACGACTGACCACCATGTGCCGCGTAGCCTTGCCCATCAGAGGCGCCATCAGGGAGTCGCATGTAGAGTATCTGTACATTTGGCATTTTCTTGAGAAAACGAATAGTCACATTGTGTTCGGTGTGCTCCAGACTCGTCTCACCCCAGCTTGTCCCGTCATCAGGATCCGTCATGTGCGAATACGCGGCTTCGAGGCCGCGCTCCAACGAGGCAGAGAAGTTGCCCGTTATTCCACGATCGCCCGATGTGAAGACTACTGAGGTAATGCACTTGAAGACATAGAAATCGTGAAAGAGATCCGGGTTCTGGTAGAGGAGACCGTCGACCGGGTGCGCCGTGAAGTATAGGGAGCCTCTGGTGTCATTAGCAGCGGCGTCTCTGTGGTCAGCGAGACGACCTCACCCCGTGCAACCGGACGGCTTCTGGAATTCAGCACTCCCCAGCGCCAGCACCGCTGCCACCAGGAATGGGCGGAGGAGCAAGCAGACTGAAGGGATTCTGGCCATTGCGCAGGCTAAACAAGGGCGGGGGCGCGAGTGTAACGGATCGGCTGGGGGTGGATGAAGAAAGCGAGTGAAGAAACATGCGATGGAAAGACTCAAGAAAATGCCGAAGAGTGGAGCCGCGAGCTCAGACTGATGTAAAGCTTGATCAAATCTTCGCCACCTACTCAAAGGGGCAGGCACGAGGTATTCCAGGAAGGCGCGCTTCAACGGACACGGCGCGCTAAGCCGAGGCTCAAGAGATGGCAACGCCACATGGGCAGCATTTTGAATCGATATTACAATCTCAGAATAATTTGAATGGTGTTCCGTCGGCGTTGTACCTTTGGTTGCGGATGGGGAACCTGAACGGAATATCTAGACGCGATGGTAGCTTTTGCTTGCTCGTGAATCCCTCATTTGCAAGTTCAGCGAGTGGACATTTCGGCCGTCATCCCCTCCGGCTTCTCGTTAGCATTGACCGCAATAAAGTTATTTTGACGGTGTGAAGGTAAAGAGGGGTAGCAGGAGAAGGTCACACAATGAGGATGTTTCCAATCATTCCACATGCGGCTAGCCCCTGACGCCATCTTGAATACCAACCTCCCGCTTCGCAGCTGGATTCATCTCTTTATCACTTTTGTTTCACCGATGGAAACTATATTCGCCATGTTCATTCGTCATATTGATTTTCATTCAGCCAGCATGCCGACTCCTACGGGAGTTGCAGACACCGCCCACGGATGTAAATGATATTCTCAGCCACGCCAGGCGGCCTCCTCCGCACCAGAACGCGATCTACCAATCTTACTCCTCGTCCTGCTTGGAATCACTGGACGCGGCATCCTTCGATGCCTTGTGAGCAGGCATGGCTGGCAAGATACCGCTCGCAATCGGATCCAGATCGCTTGGCGCACAAGTCCCCGGTGATGCATATGGACCAGTGCCGTCGTCCGCCGCGCTCAGATTGCCGCCCTTTTTCTCGGCCCAAGCAACGGCTTCATCAACCGCTGTCTTGACTCCTCTGACGACTCCTTTAGCAACCCCAGCCACGGAAGTCCCTGCGTGCGGCATGGTTCCGTCGTCTCCAGTTGTGGATGCTTCCTCGATGTCGGGCTTCTTCTCTGACAACGGCGTCGACGGGCATGATACAGAAGTCTTGCCAGAGGTTTAGCTATGACTTCCTGCACAGTAACTTCGCCCACTCACCGTATCATTTGCTTTCATGTGTTCCTCCGAAACCTTCGCGTCGCGCTCTTCGGTATGTCCTCCGCTGTTTGTGGGTGCTGGCTTCATTTTCGCTTGGATTCCAGAGACGTGTAGCAGCCTTGTGGTTTTGATGGACGACCTATTTACGTTTTTTTGCTCCACGTCGGCGCATGAGGTTTGTTTGCTCATGTAGCAAGTCGGCGGGGCGACGTCATAAGGTAAACGCTGCCCGCAGAAAAAGGGAAGTTACGAACCCCCTGCGCATGGCAACCACATCGTCCGCCCTCCCCTCATGCCTAGGAATATCCCCCTTGTCTTTCGAGGGAGCCGCCCTTCTACGACGGACCCATTGATTGTACTTCTTTTGGTGATATCATTCTTCGTCTTCTAATCGACTCCTCGCTCTTTCTGTTCTCTTCCGACTGTGAGTCCGACTTTATTCCTCTTAGGCTTATCTGGTGAGTCATGCCTTGTCCAAAAACTCGATGCTCTTTGCTGACGGTCTGTTCACTCTCCTGTCCGAACGGGCAGCTTTTGGAAGCGGCATGAGCAACTTGATATATTAAGCATCCTCACGCGGGACTGCGACAAAAATAGCTTGCTTGGCTGCCAACTCCATGGATCGACAACCAGTGCCAGGGGGTTTGCGCCTTACTGCCGATCCACTCATATGAAGCCTGTAGCCCACGTACCTATCGGGGACCCCGCAACGCTTGGAGAAGTCAATTTTGGTACACGCATCTGGAAAACGCTCGTCTTCCATAGCCTCCTCCGTTGGGTAACACCCTAGGATCCCTTAGGATGCTAGAACCCCTGAAAGCACTCTAGGAAGGACTTCCGCCTGCGTGCCCGCTGCGAACCGCGTCATCAAGTGCAAAGAACCCCTGCTGGCCGGAACATCCAAACGAACCCCAGCGGTCTGTCGACTCCTCACGGCCCCTTGGTCGTCCACTCTATGTCTTTATCTTATACTGCATACTTGAGCACTAACATCAAACTCTTGTGCAACGCTGCTAACCCTCCATAGTAGGAGCTAAAGATCAACACTACCCCGGTCCACCACATGTATCTTTACTATGCAATTCCAAACATGGCGGCCGAAATAGACCTGCACCAATCCCTGTTCCCATTCCACTTCAAAGCACAGCACGACCTACCTGCGGTAATTTTGGATCTCGATCTGGTGGAGAATGCGTTGGCGGACTCAATATCGGTGTACGTCGCGCTTGTGTAACGTGAGGGATTCGCAGCTCAATATAAGCCACCCCGGCCAATGTGGCGTGTGGAGCGGCTTGTCGAGATAGCTGCCTGAAGTGCGGGCTTGTGAATGCCGTGGAAGCTCTCTCTCTTCGAGAAGCACTTGGTTGAACGCGGCTTCCAACGGCTATCGTGTCCACCCGTCTTCAGTACAATAATGGATCATACTCGTTCGCTCACGCACATTCTCACCTGATCCCCTGCATCCAGATTTCGCACCGGGACATGACCTAAGTACGGAGTACCGTTCTGACTGAAGTCAAGCGGTGAGTGGATTTCGAGTCGGTGGCTAGGTGGTCGCGGAATATCCTGCTGAGCGCGGCCGACTCACAACGTCCGTACTAACCCGGATGTGTAAAGAGGAGTTTGAACGATTCCGTGATGAAAGCTCACTGGCTGACCATCCTGAGGGGTGCAGTCCTGCACTCCACATTCTCCAGAGCTTCCACGGCTTCTATGACCAGGGCTGGACCCTGCCGCTGGGTTTGGGCAGCAAGTTTTATGGCCGCTTGCCGCATGGAAGCCTCGATGAGCCTGTAATGTGTCGTGGAAGCCGTGGAGTGATACTTTACGATGCTTGGCATAATATAATGTGACAGCTGTTACAGGCTGACATCGCGGATACTCACTGGTGGATTTGCTGCAGGTCCTCTTGCTGATCGCATAAGACATTTACGTGTCCAGCAAATAGCGCGGCGCTGTAAGACCTCAGTGGGCGTTTTGACCTTATTAGCCTGTATAGAGCGCGGGCTAGCAGGTCCCGACCTACTGAAGTACTTCAGGCCTAGCGATACGGTGCGCATAGACGGCCAAGGTTTGATGGGTCATGCTCTGTGCTTCCTGCGGACTCTTCTGTAAGCAGACAAGCGCTCATGGCGCACCTGCGCGTGGTAGCCACCGCCACCAGGTGGTCTCTCCAGACGTTTCTGTGAAGGGATTAAGGCAATTTAGGCCAGAGTACGCGAGGCTTGCTGAGGTCACGAACCCGGCGCCCTCAAGCACCCTTGGTCGGTCATCTCCCGGCCCCCTGCAGCCTTCTCGACGCCGTTTAGATTGTCTGAGCGAGATGTGGAGTGTCCCCCAGGGCCCCCGCACCCGCGCCGTTCATCTCGCTCTGGGTTTGGAGCAGAGACAGGGAGGCAAGGTTGTGGCTTTGATATATACACGGGCGCCGTCTCTCCACCCTCCCGGCGACTGCGCGAGCCCTCTCACCTCCCGCTGAAATCACCGCCTCACCCACGGCCGCGTCTGCATCGCGGCCTTTGTCGACCTTGTCCTGCGCACAGCGGCTGCACACGCCGCAGGCGACTTCGGACGTGCGGTCTCCGTTGCCGGCGCCGTCCAATCATGGCGCTCACCACTCCTTCGCCAGAAGTTAGTCCCGTGTCAGCGGCCACCACCAATGGACAGTTTCCGTCTCTCTCTTTACCGGACGCGAGCAACTTCGTACTAAAATCCGCGCTCAAGTCTCCGCATCTCCTCGATTCTCCGAATCCCTTCAGCTCGAGCAACGGCTTCCTAAATGGTGCCTTCAAGAAGAGACCCCGCAACATGTCTCAGTCATCTGGCACGGATACGGATAATCAACCCAGCGGCATTCCGCCGACAAGCAACGGCACCGAGCCGCGCTCGAGCAACAAGAAACGTCCCAGCACAGATACCATAGACTACCCGCGCCGACGCGCGACCATTGCGGTACTGCACCCAATCCTCCCGGCCCCGCCCGCGTTCAGTCGATACTGACCTCAAACCAGTGCGAAATCTGCCGGTCCAGGAAGTCTCGCTGCGATGGGACCAGGCCGAAGTGCCGACTCTGCACCGAGCTGAACGCAGAGTGCATCTACCGAGAGCCAGGCATCAAGCTGGATGCGGGCGACAAGCTGATTCTCGAGCATCTGAACCGCATCGAGGGCCTCCTCCAGAACAACCTCGCGAATGGCTTCAGTCTGGGGACACATTCACCGGCCGCGAGTAATTCCACCAGTGACGATTTTCTCGCTCGTAGCACCGGCAATATGGCTGCTTTGAGCATGGTGCAGCCAATCAACGGCATTGGCACGTGGAACAGCGCCCCTTCAAACATCTCCACCATGCCAAAGACGCATACGACGGCAGCCTTGAATCTGCTCCAGTCGCCAATGATACGCGAGTTGGTCTCGAGGCCGTACGATCCCAAGATCTTGCTCCAGCTTGAGATGAGCCGGGAGTCGCTGTGCCTCGGCGCTTCCCTAGGCGTCGACTTGGCCAACACCGGTGCCTACGTCCAAGCCTTTTTCGAGCGCGTCAACGTCTTCTACGCATGCCTGAATCCGTACACATGGACCAGCTACTACCAGACGGCGCTCTCACATGGCTTCAGGGAGGGACCGGAGAGTTGCATTGTGCTGCTTGTGCTTGCGCTTGGCCATGCGGGGAGCATGGGAAGCATCTCGCAGCAGCCTCCAGATAAAGATCCGCCAGGGTTGGCATACTTCGCTGCGGCTTGGTCCCTGCTACCAGGCCTGATGACCAGGAACAACATGCTGGCCGCTCAGTGCCAGATCCTGGCCGCCGCCTATCTGGTGTACCTCGTTCGGCCAGTAGAAGCCTGGAATGTGTTGTCGGGCGCAAGCATGAAATTGCAGCTCCTTCTGAGCGCCCCTGGGAGAGTCTCTCCTGCGGAGGAGGAACTGAGCAAGAGGGTATATTGGAACGCGCTGATGATCGAAAGGTAAGCCACAACGGTGACTCAGCTCCTGGAGCGCTCACTAATCATGCCGCGCATCTAGCGACCTTCTTGCAGAGCTAGATCTGCCGCACTCCGGTATCGAACAGTTCGAGGATACCTTCACGTTACCCACTGGTTTTGAAGATATAGGAACGGAACCAGTTGGAAGGGACGAGCTATGGTACTTCCTCGCGGAGATTGCTCTACGGAGACTACTCAACCGAGTGAGTTCCATGCTCTACCAGAGGACCTCGCCATACAGCAAGTCTCCCGCGGCAACATCGATTGCGCAGTTGGATCCACTAGTTCTTGAGTTGGACTACCAGCTGAACCAGTGGTATGCGGGTCTTCCGCCAGCTATGCAGTTCCCGCTCGACAGAGTCCCACTACAAAACCCGGTCCAGACCGTGCTTCGACTTCGATATTTCGCATGCCGCACAATAATCTTCCGGCCATACATCCTTCTAGTGCTCCAGGATGAGAGCCTTGCGATGGACTCTGGGGTGCAGGAGAACTGCCACAAGTGCTTGGAAGCTTGCATACGCCAGCTGGAATACATCACAGCGCATCACGCTGGCCACCTTCCCTATCTCTTCCAGGGAGCTCTCTCGTAAGTTCTCTTTTAATCTCAAGTGACATCTTCTGATCCTTCACCAGCATCATCTCGCAGACGCTTCTCGTCATGGGCGCAACAATGTGCCCCTCCCTCTCCGCACTGCTCCCACCTCCCGCAACCATGGACGATATCATCAACAATGTCATCCACGAAATGGAACGTCTCGCGCATCTAGCGCCCAGCCTCCGCCTCTCGGCTGAGCTCATACGAGAGGCCGAGAGCAAAAGGCAGATGTGGCTACGCACTGCCGGCCTTAAGTTTGAGTCCTGAGTGACGAGACATTGATGGCAAGATTGTCATTTCACATCGGCCACAATGCCCAGGCAACATTCTAGAGCAAAGCAGCGGGTCAGTTGACTTTGGCCGTTGTACTTCAAGATCACGCATGAGTAGGTACTGATGATCGAAATTTTACTATGCAGAGCGCATGTTAATTTTGCCTACTGCAGACGAGCTAGAATGACCGTTTTACTGCACCGAAGCAATTTCCACGCAATACAACCGCCTCTTCCACCTCAGGAGATATGGAGGTACATGCTAGAGTGTACCCTACGCGGCCAGGCAATCACATATAGCCGCCCAGTCAATAGCAGAAACGTCACCCGATAGAGAGACCAACAACAGAGTTCTGGGGTACCCGCCCCCGACTAGCGCGTCTGGAAAGAAATGATAGCGGGCAGCTTCATCCCCAAATTCCCGGCTGCTCGCACATCGCTATCCTCCGGTCTCCGCCCTCCAGCTGACTAGCTAACGGCGCAGGGGTGCTTGCACCTCATTTTCGAGAAACCTTCTCTGAACTATCGATTGGATCCGCACTCGCGAACGGGAAATTAACACGAACCGAGCGAAGGAGAAAGATTAATAGAAAGCCAGGATCGTGGACAAACCTGGGGAGCGGGTCGGGCCAGCCAGGGTATGCGGAAGTCGATCTAGCTCCACCGTTTTCGCATTGGCATCACGACAGGTATGTTTGGGGATTTGGAGAAGTCTTTGAATCATGTGGCTGCGCTTTGTATATCCTGGGGCAAATAACGGCTGGGGCCGGCAGGTGACGGTACAAGGAAGGCGTGATACAGAAAGATTGGTAGCAATGAGATCGCTATGGGATATGAGGAAGAGTAATACCGGTTTGGTACCTTCGATATGGTCACAGCCCTGTGCAGTTCAACACACATGCTTATGGTCAACGTGAGATCACCAGTTCTCCAACATATCGTCACTATGATTTACTACAAGCTTTCCATTCAGCGCTCCCTCCCAATCTCCCATACCACAAATATGCCATACAGACCTCTCATCTTCTCCTCCGCGTCCCCTCCATTCCCCATCCGGCCACACCCCTCAATCAATGGACATTAACGAACCGAAGCGCTTAACTAATCGAGCAGGGGTGCGCACAAGCAGGGATCCGGGGACAAAGCTGCCGTGCTTACAGGTTCACTGCACCCCGCAGGTAGCGTTGGCGCACGATTTATCCCCTCCAGCAACCAGGGTGCTTATGCACGATCGAGGCTTCTGGAAAATTGAGAGAAGGTTGCGGAGGGGTTGCTCCGGTCGTCCGAAGGAGGCTAGTTGGGGGCGAGATACGCCCTGGTGCGAGCGATGGAGATACTGTAGAGAGATGATCTTGTGTTACCGAACGGTACGGGAAAGTAACGGATGTTTGGAGGCGAGGAGTAGAAGCGATGGGAGACGAATTCGCGTTTGCATTGCGCTTTTTCGCATTTCCATTGCATAGATACTTGCTAGCTACTTCTTTCTCCCGCTCCTTGTGAGGGACGACGCCGCATCACAGTGCTCATCAGGCGTGTGCGGTGCCCCACTCCTGCATCTGTTCGTGTGCAGTTCCTGTCCTCGCCGCAGCTGCAGGTTCGGTAGTCTTGCAGCGTAGCGACGAGTCAGTCGACGAGAAGCCTAGGAACGAGGCTCGGGGTGCAGACACACACACACACACCCCAGGTGCATACGCCGCTGCTTTGCTCATCCTCTTGTCCATGTCTCTCAACTGGACGACTGAGTGGATGGAATGTTTCGTTTCAACCACCGGCAATTTTTCTGCTGACGTTCCTAAGGATGCTGTGCAACGTGGTACTGCCGTTGAGCCGGGTAGAGCAGCAGGACGCGTTTCAAGGAGTCCCCTTGTGCTGAGATGATCATGGACGCGAAAACTACCTAGGTAGCTAGGCGGTACGATTCGAGCGGTGTACTTTCACCGTAGTGGGGCACCGGTTCGCCTTGCCTTGCTTTTCTTGCTCACTTGCATGAAAGCATTGACGGTGGCTTTTTCCATCCCGCCTTCTAGAAAGTTTAAACCTTACCTTCCAACAACGCCCTGTTATCTGCGCGCCATCACGCATGCTCAAAGCCACAGCGCCGTTGGTAAGCACGGCTCATCCACACTAGACTTCCACGCAAGCACGCCCATCTTCTTGGAGCCTTGGTAGTCCCTCGAATAATCCTCCGTACACTGCGCCTCTTGAAGCCCAAGGAATGCGCTTTCTGAACCACATCAGCAGCATGTGACCCGTATCTCGCACCCGATTTTCTAATTGGCCGCCGCACGAATAAATGTATTACCCCAGCCTATAATAGCACCTGGTATTATCATACATGTAACCCATCAGTTCTCGAAGTGCGTGATGAATCTTGTGTTGGACCACGCAAACACGCCATGCCACGTTATTTCGCTCAACGTCCGTCGATGCCCTCCCATTTCCCAGGTTTCCGTGCAAGAAAGCCGGCCATGTGCTCGGGACGCTGATAGCGCGGACCGAGTGTTGAGGCGAGGCTTGTGTATATCCGGGTGAAAGTAAGGACTTGTGCAGCAGCGAAATTGAGATCGGAGACTATTTACCTGGGTTCAGTGGACTCGTCGGCAGACGGCACACATATTGGCACTGCGTTAAAAACCGCGCGTATCTCTCCCAGCTCAGGTCCGCTTCCGAAGTTCGACCCAAGATACGGTACTGTATTGTACATCGAGTCATGTGCCTACCACCACTATCGATAACCGGCTCCGATATTCCTCCAGTTTTCTAGAACGATAGGCGGGGCCGGCGTACCAGGACAGGGTCCCTTCCTAGCGAGATATGCTATAGCCAGGGGCCGGAGCACATATATGTGGTACACGATACGTGACGTGACTTCTATCACGTACTAGAGTGATGCTAATGCACGCCGCTTTTCTAGAAAGCCTTCGCGTTCGTATTGCCGATGCCGGATTGTGGAGATCTTGACGCGGTGATACCGTGAGTAGGCGCAGCGGAACCTTGCCCTTGGGCTGGTCTGACCTGAGCTGACGGTGCGGCTTCCCGAAGGAATTGCGAACTTCGTCCTCTTGGATTGGCCTCGTGCTCACTTCCAAAAGTTGGAGCGGGAAGCCTTGAGGAAGGGTGTGATGTCTCCTGGTGAGCATACGCGGAGGAGGAGGCACACTGTGGCGCGGAGACGGAGCAAGACTGGATTGCCTAATTCGGACGGGATCAGAGGGGTGAGGTGATCGGAATCATGGACGCGCTTGTGACCGCGTCCAAGTTCCCAGGATTTTCGCGCGGGACGGAGCGAAATATCCGATAAGACGTTTCAAGGAGGGCGGCTCCAGTCAGTGCTGATTTGTCAGTGACCAGTCAGATTATGTGGTAGATAGGACCAGCTTCGGGCCTCGCGTCAAATGCCTACGCGAAAGTAGAGACCCACATTTCACTGCTGCGCACTGTGCAGTCCATACAAGACGGATTGTCAAAAGGCGGGCCAGCATGATCTACTATCCCTCGAGAGTATATTGAGACTCCGTGCTCCGGGACGAGCTCGCATAGGTGACTAGACGAGGACAGGTTTGTTCCTGCATTTTCGTATTCTGCCCTGCTAGCAATGCAGAAGTAGAATACCATGGCACTTTATCCTCGGACACCGAACCTCCAACGAGATAGCGGATGTCAGCAGGTGTGCTCATACTAAAGAAGAAAATAAAGACTGGGGCCCCGCATGAAGATTATGGGAATAACGTTCTCGGACGTCCTGCTGAGAAGGAGAATTGACCTGTTCGAGTGCGCCGGCAAGGGCGAACCATGGACTGTAGATGCGGAGAGATGGCGTAGTTCAATCGCTAGAGAAATGCTTTCCGTCTGACCGGAAGGAGTACTGAAGGTAGAAAGCTAGCCGCACGCGGGCAGTCGATTGCTTGTCATGTGTAAGTCCTTGAGCAAAGTCTCGCCGCAGGGCGAAAACATGATCCTCCCGACACTGGCTCCCATCGGAGGAACACGCCGAGCCAAAGTTCTCTGGAGTCTCCCAAAGCTTCCTCACCGTAAAAGTTCCTCATCTTCTGCATACCCCCAATAGAATTGAGTTATGTCAAACGAGGTTCTTCTGGGATTACGAATACGCCGGCGGGTTCCAGGAGGGATCTACTCTATATCAAGCATTAGTGGCAGTCTCAAATTCTGAATAGTATGGGAACGACCTTTTAGTGAGGCGAAAGGGAACACCATCGTCTGGCAGGGCGGAAGGATTGGAAGACCGGCAGCATATCAATACATTAGCCTCCAAGAATGCGTGTAGAATGCGCGGGCACCGTGGGTGGAATGGGACGGTGCGCATCTTAAGCTCACTGTGATAGACGCATGGGCAAGCGCTCCTCGGCGATTGATCCTTGGAGTCGCAAAGCAACTTCCACTGTGCCCTGAAAACCTTCTGGTTACGCTGCTGGTTGAGGCGTATCGCTCGTCGAGCTTGATAATCTAAGAAAGGCTAGACAGGACGTCGGTCCGACCTCGTAAGAAGCATCGTCTTGGCTAGCTTGAAGAACAGAACGGATGACGCAATGATTTGATATTTAAGGAAGTAGGGGATGCCTAGAAGGCAGAATGTCGGATTCTTTGTATACGAGGCCCTGCAGAGCGTTTGTGAAACCGTTACACAACATCGCACAGATCGGAGAGAACTTCCGGTGGTTAAGATGAGGTAGAGTGGGACCATCCTCATCTCCTGTACCGGGCAACCACCTTCCTCCTCTTCTCGAATGCATCGCCTGCTGTTGAACCATTGCCGCGGGGCCCATCCTCTACCGGCCTCTTGCGGCTCTTCTCCAGTGACCCCAAAGAGCCACTCTTCTTTTGCGTCAGTCGCTCGATACGGTCCAGACCGGCTCCAAGTCCTCTCCATTCCTCACCTCCAAATCCGCCGACGCGACGGCCTCGCTGCTTGGCTAGCTCTTTTTTGCTCTGCTTAGGAAGTCGGACGAAGTTTGACTCCTCGTATGCTCGCCTCTCTGCCTCTTCCCTTCGTTCCTTGTCGGACTTCACGCGGCGACCTCCCTCCACTATGGTGCTTCCGATGCTGGGCTGTGCAATCGGCGCTGTGGATAGTTCTGTAGCAACAAACTCGTCTAATGTCGCGGATTTTTCGGGTCTTCGTCTTCGCCGTTCCTCCGGTCCTTCAGTGGTAGGCATTGTCACCGGAGTAATCTTTGGAGGTCTGTAGATCCCATCCTTAGATGCGGATGTCTTCTTATCGGTGCTCGCTTTTGGTCGGGCAAATGCGGCGCGGTTCGGTCCGTAAGACATTTCGTCTACATCCTCATCGGTGTGCGCGGAACCAGCTGATTCTGCGTCGCTGACATCTAAATCCGATCCTTCGTCCGCTGTGGACTTCTTGGTTGGCTGTTTGGCTGCTTGAGTGGTCTTTCGTGCTGCATCATCCGCGGCTCGCAAGATCTTGTCGATCTGATACTTCAAGCGGTTTTCCAGAGGTCGAATACCCTTCTCCAAATAGACTCTTAGCTCCACTAGTTTCTTTACAACTTCATCCTGCGGAAAAAGGTCTTCATCCGCTCCTTCATCTTTCCGTGACCGGGATCGCAGCTTTAACAGAACCAGAAAAACGAGATTTTGTAAATACGAAAGCAAAAGCTCGTTCTTCACGTCCAATAGCGAAAGGCCATCTTTCGGCGGAAGTATGTCGTCCTTCGGTATGGTCTCCGTGGCTGACTGGATCGATGCAGTGAGCGTCGTGAGAAGAGATTCCAGAGAGTTATCGACTGCCATTATGTCCGGAGAGTCCAACAAGATTTGGGCTGAAGAGTGCTATGATGGCGCTGGCGAGGTGTGGATAGAAATTTCATCGGGCTGAGGGTTGTTCCGTGCCAAGATTTCGCGGCGAAAGCGGTCCCCGATGCCGATCAAAATTGTGAAATTTCAGTCCTCGGCGAAGAATTCCAACCGCTTATACCAAACCGACGATCAAGATGGGGAAGCGAGCAATTTCAGATGTGGTAGCCGATGACGACGCGACCGTCAAGCTGGACTCTTTGTCTCGAAAGAAGAGCCGCAAAGACAAGAGCGAGAAGCGCCGAAAGCATACCACAGACACCGAATCCGTACCCACAAGCAATGGAACTACTACGCCTATAGAAGAGCAGGAGGCAGAATTGCCAAATGAGGATGGAAATGAGGAGAAACTCTCAAAAGCCGAGCGGAAGGCAGCGAAGAAGGCAAGACGAGAGGCAAAGGAAGCGAAGAAGGCAGCGAAGTTGCGCTCGGAGACAGATGCTACAGAGACCACGACGAATGGAGTAGAAGAAGACGAAGCTGCTGCCAAAGCCTCCAAGAAAGCGGCGCGGAAGGCAGAGAAGAAGCGATCGAAGAAATCGGCTGAAGTTGGAGGAGACAACAATTCCACCACCGCATCCTCGAAAATCACTTCGGAAGCTACCTCTACAGTCGCCTCTAGAGTAGAATCCTCTGCGACTAGCCCAGAGCCAGTCGCGGACTCTGGTAGTTACTCTTACATTGAAGCCAAGGAACTGACCGCACTTTCTCAGTCAGAGGTTGACTCCTACCTGACCACGCATTCAGTCACGATCGACGATCCCCTACCCTCTGCTAGAAAGCTCCGCCCGATTATTAAGTTCTCGTATGTACCTGTCACCGACGAATCCCAGCGAGCGCCGTTTGCCTCGTTCACCGCGCCCACACCCATACAGGCAGCAGCATGGCCGTCTCTACTGTCAGGGAGGGACATGGTCGGAGTCGCAGAAACTGGCTCTGGCAAAACACTCGCATTCGGAGTGCCCTGCGTCAAGTTTATCTCCTCTTTGCCAAAGAAACAGCAAAAGGGCATAAAAGCAGTCATCGTGTCGCCAACACGAGAGCTGGCTGTGCAGATCCACGACCAATTGGTGCAGCTAGCCACGCCGGCATATCTACAAGTGGTTTGCGTATACGGAGGTGTGCCGAAAGAACCCCAGGTGAAGGCCGCTCGCACGGCACACATTGTAGTTGCTACACCGGGTCGCTTGAATGACCTGATCGGAGACGGCTCCGCAGACCTCAGCAAAGCTGAGTTTGTCGTACTGGACGAGGCGGATCGAATGTTGGACAAGGGCTTCGAGGAGGCTATCCGGCAGATTATCCAGTGCACGCCGAAGAAGCGACAAACGCTCATGTTCACGGCCACTTGGCCGCCGTCAGTTCGCGAGCTGGCAGCTACCTTTATGCAGTCACCAGTGAGGATTACCATCGGCGACAATGTATCGGGGGAACTGCGTGCCAACACGCGCATCAAACAGTTGGTCGAAGTGGTTGATCCTCGCGGTAAAGAGACTCGCTTGCTTCAGCTACTGAAGCAGTATCAATCAGGCAAGAGCAAGGATGACCGCATTCTTGTCTTTTGCTTGTACAAGAAGGAGGCTGTACGAGTGGAGAACTTCATTCGCATGAAGGGCTTTCGGGTCGGAGGTATCCATGGTGACCTCAGCCAGGATAAGCGAACTGCTTCTCTGCAAGCCTTCAAGGCCGGCGATGTGCCGCTGCTTGTAGCGACTGATGTCGCTGCACGAGGTCTTGATATTCCGGCTGTCAAGCTCGTCATCAATGTGACGTTCCCGTTGACAGCTGAGGATTACGTCCACCGGATTGGTCGGACGGGGCGCGCTGGCAAAGAGGGTCTTGCAATCACGCTTTTTACCGAGCACGATAAGGCTCTTTCTGGGGCGTAAGTGCCAACTTTGTACCTCTTCCTCTGTATTCCTTCGCTAATCTCCATCTAGCTTGATCAACGTGCTCAAAGCTGCAAACCAGCCCGTTCCCGAAGAACTCCTCAAGTTCGGCACTACTGTGAAGAAGAAGGGACACGATGCATATGGTGCTTTCTACAAAGACGTTGATATGACTAAGAAGGCGACTAAGATATCTTTCGATTAGTTATCTGAAGTCTCAGGAACTCGTGCATCTCGGCGAGGTGAATATGCGAGTTCGTTCCATATCAGTAGTAACGGGCGCCTTGGGCAATGCAGCAAAAGTTTCGAATTGAAGTCGACAGTTCTTAGATGGCTGATGGAATAAACATCTGATTTGCGGGATCCTTTCCGAAGGCGTCTCAGCTGCGCTCACCTCTCTTAGGGTGCATATGTCTCCTGCATGTCGTGCGTCTTAGAGCCTTCCATGTACTTACCTGATGCAAGAGCTAGATTATATGGAAGCCTCACCAAATGTAAGCTAGTGGGGAAAGTCGCAAAAAGCGCTTCAGGAATGATCAGTCGACAAACGGCGAAGTCTAGCAGCTGTCTCCCGACGTCGCGATACTCTCGCCCGAGTACGCCAAATTCGCCCGTCGGTATTTCAAATCCCAGCGCCACGTGCTGGCACCACCATCTAGAAACGCTAGGGACGCCCCTCCCGCCTAGAACCAAGCCGAATGTGGTGGAGTCGCGGGCGGTAACCAGTCACGATCCGTGGTTCCCGAATCGGCGACCTCACTTCGGCGAGGTGAAAGAGGGATCGCGGAGGAAAGTATATCAACCACGAACACCGCTTCTACGTCACGAACACCGAACTCGAAACAACAAAACATTCTCGATAAGATTCAAACATACTACATCGTCTCCGTCGACCAAAAGCGAAGATCGAAGCCTGACTACTACTCTCAACGCCAAGACCTGTACACTGACCTTCAAGATGTGCCATAAGGCTACCTGCTCTGAATGCCGTAAGTAACCTATTATTCTCTACATTCTCACTTGATAATACCAACGTCCTTCAACCGATCCTTTCATCACTCCTTTTCCCCGTCCGCATCATTCCATTCACCTCGCTAACCCGTCATTAGACAAGACTACATGGTGGGGCTGTGGAAACCACGTCCCCGGCGTCATGGACAAAGTCCCCCAAGGCGAATGGTGCACATGCGAGCCTAAAGTCGAGAAGGGCGGGCACCAGTACCCTCCCTCAGGGTCGCCTACCGCCTGACTAGCCGGCCTTACGAAGTGGTTCAAGGGGTGACGGAGAGAACAAAGGAGGATAGAAAAGGAAGAGAGGCTGTGCATAGAAAAGCTGGAATGGAAACGCGGAAGGATAGAAGGGAAAGCATAAAAGGCGTTGAGGAGCGGTGACTAGGATTGGATGCCGAGGTGCGGCGGCTTGATTAGGAGTTCGAAGGAGATTTCATGACCATGACTGTCAGAGGTAGTACTAATGGAACTTGTGGAAGATCGTGGTGTCGTGTCAACTCGCCTCCCCTTCCGGGACCACCAACATTCGGTGTGTTCGTGCTGAATCCGCCTTACCTTCGGTCTTCGGACTGAGTCTGCGAGCCCACAGGTGACCGGTAGGTATCATGCAGTTGCGCGGCATATCCGAGCACGAGGTTACAGTCGATCTTGTTGGGAGGGTGAGATCTAGACTTGAAGAGGCAGACGTAAAGCCCTATAAGGAAAGACGTACGACGTGGAGAAGCGTACATGGGCACAGAATCCTGGATCTGCGACACCTACCATTCGAGGGCTCAACGCCCACCGGGACCTTGCAGATGAGGTTACTGGCACTATCCATCTCTTCGGTTCACGGGTCCACGACATTGATCCCTGGGTCCAATGCTGAGGAGTGACTCGGGTTTTCAACTCTTGCCACAGTTTGTGTTCGTCAAATTGCAACGGTCGCCACGGAGGGAATGCGATCGATTTCCAAAGCGATGGGAGCTTACCCCAACGCAAAAACCTAGACAGCTGTCCTCTTGAACGGGTGTTCCGCTAATTTCCATGCCTTTACAGGACATTTGCGGTTCCGAGTAGCAAAGGCTTTCGGCGACGGCGAAGGTTGCAAGATGGATTTAGGGGTTGTAAGCTGGACGGCGTCTCCTCCGTCGCAAACATAGCCCAGTATCAGAGACTGATAGCCGGTTACAGCATTAAGACGGGTATTAAGGCCGCAGATTTGGCAGATTCGGCTGCTTCAGAGGCAGAGGAGAGTCAGCGATGTGGTCTTTTAATAATGGCGGCAATCCAGAATGGTGGTGAGGCGACTCGGCTCGGTACTGAAACGCTTCCAGAAGTCTCAGCTCGTTCGATGTCAAACGCCGGGAGCCGAAATCAGACGGGAAGACAACGGGATGGTGTGCAGTTTTTGGTGCCTGGGGCCGAAATAAGACTCGCAGGCCTTAGCATCCGGCGTGTTGGGGCGTCGGGGTAGTGATGGTTGGTGGTGGTTGTGTTAAAGTGAGATGCAACTGCGCCCCATGCAGGAACGGGACCCAATGGATCTCGGGAGCGTATATAGCCGCATTGCTGCTTCGGCTTCATACTGGGTCCGCTAAGTATAGACGTTGCAAAGGTGCAACCGCCCCCCTTAGCGACTCGTTGGGCATGGTTTCAGATGCTGCCCTACAATGCTTGGCCCTGTGGTTGGCACCTCTGAGCACCAGCCACGACGGCGGGCAACGAAGGGTAAAAGGTGGACGTCACGGGTTCGACGGCTGATTCGACGAGCCCAGCAGTGGTTTTGATAAAGGGACGGCGGCGAGGAGGTGGTGAGGCGGCGAAGGGACAAGCAGCGCGGCCGCCGTGAGATGGAGGTCCTGGGGTCCTGGGAATGGCGCTTTCCCAATCCGATGCTGCGATGGCAGGAGCGAAACACAGGCAGAGGGCGTGGTGACAGAGGTGCATAGCAGAGATCACAGGAGGTGTCTCTGGGGTGATTCGCGCTGCTGTTCTTGCTCTGAGGCGTAAGCGGGTTACACCAATGAACGGAGTGGGTGCGGAATGGGCGGCGAATCGTGTGTCTCCAATGCCAGAGCACAGTCCTCAGCGGCTAACGCAAGGCCGGACCCTCACTGAGCTTGCGCGGGCGCGGGCGCTGGCTGCGGGCCTGCGACTCCAGGCCGGCGCTGCACCTTCTTCCTCCAGCACGGCCCGGATACATACTATATCAGCGCAGCCGGATCTCTGGCACTCTGGCACTCTCGCACTCTCGCACTCTCGCACTTGAATCCGCATTCTCGACGTCGGCGTGGCCAGCAAGTGCTCAGCAACTGTGCGTGCCTGCGTTCCGCTTCAGACGACGCGCATCCACGAGCCCCGCCATCCCACCTGGGAACGCACACAGCACCGTCGCACCTGCCTTCGCCCGCTCCACGCGATAGCCCTCCGCCGCCGGAGACACGCCCCGTCTCCTGCCCGCAGACGCTGCTCTCCTGTGCGTCGCCTGCTCTCCGCCGTCCCCTCGCTCCTTGCGCCGTTGCCCATCCACGACGCTGACTTGGCGCACCAGCGGACGCAGTCCCTGCCAGACCTGCCCCGCCGCTGAATCTCTCAGGCTCCGCAGCAATCCTCTGCAGTCGCCGCTCCACGCCTCTACGAACCCTGACCCGCCGATAGCATCGCCGGACGGTATCCCCGCACGCTGGCTGACTAGAGGAGGGACATTGTCTTTGCCGCCGGGGGCGCATCTTTCGGACAGCTACTGGAGACTACGGGACGGAAACAAGGACTACACAAATCGTGACGGCAGAGGAGCCGGCCAGTCGATTCCGATTGCCAGCCTTCAGTGCGACACGGTCAGGGCGCAGTATTTGTTCTACAGGTAGGTGCATTTTCTTTCTTTGAACATGAAATGCGGGGCGGTGAGGCATACTTGGGATGCAACCAATAGCTTCAGTTTGTGACCCGGTCCGCATGCCCTGCGTTTCATTCACTCCCGCATCCTGAAGGCATAGAGCATGCGAATTTGCGCTTCCTCCACAACTGCGAGTGAAAGCACATAGCGGGACCCTCCTTCCTTATTGTGAACAATGACGTCCTTTCAAACGTGCTTGTCCCACTGACGAACAATGGATCCAGATTTCCGCCGGCACTCTTAAACTCGATTCTTTGCGCCTCCCAAATTCTCGCATTGGCTCCAACGAGACGCCGATCCTCTCGACACTGCAGGGCCTGAGCAACTGCTCAATTCGACCCTCCTCCACGCGCACACGCGCATAATACCCCCCAGCCGCCGCCATGTCTCGCGCACCTACCGGGAGCGGCAGCTCCAGGAAGATCTCCTTCAACGTGTCAGAGCAGTACGATATCCAGGATGTGGTTGGAGAGGGCGCTTACGGTGTTGTATGGTGAGCTTTGGTGTGTCTGTCAATGTCAGATTGGCTGCTAACAGCTTGACAGCTCCGCGCTGCACAAGCCGTCGGGTCAGAAGGTCGCCATCAAGAAGATTACGCCTTTCGACCACTCCATGTTCTGCCTGAGAACTCTGCGAGAAATGAAGCTGCTCAGGTACTTCAACCACGAGAACATCATCTCAATCCTCGACATCCAGAAGCCTCGGAACTACGAGACTTTCACCGAAGTCTACCTCATCCAGGTGCGAAACCTACATGTTAGATTAGAAGCATATGCTGATGTTCAATGCAGGAACTCATGGAGACGGACATGCACCGCGTCATCCGCACCCAAGAGCTCTCGGACGACCACTGCCAATACTTCATCTACCAGACGCTGCGCGCCTTGAAAGCGATGCATTCCGCGAACGTTCTACACCGTGACCTCAAGCCCTCCAACCTCCTTCTGAACGCCAACTGCGATCTCAAGGTCTGCGACTTTGGACTTGCGCGATCTGCAGCGTCGACCGAGGACAACTCAGGTTTCATGACGGAATACGTCGCTACTCGTTGGTACCGAGCACCGGAGATAATGCTCACATTCAAGGAGTACACCAAGGCTATCGACGTGTGGAGTGTAGGCTGCATATTGGCAGAGATGTTGAGCGGCAAGCCTCTATTTCCAGGGAAGGACTGTGAGTAGATTGGCCCGGGCAGGATTTGGTAATTGCTAACTCGATATGAACAGATCACCACCAGCTGACCCTCATCCTCGATGTGCTAGGCACTCCGACTATGGAGGACTACTACGGTATCAAGTCTCGTCGTGCTCGGGAGTACATCCGCTCGCTTCCGTTCAAGAAGAAGATCCCGTGGAAGGCCATGTTCCCCAAAACTTCTGACCTCGCTTTGGACCTGTTGGAGCGGTTACTTGCGTTCAACCCTGTCAAGCGCATCACGGTCGAGGACGCTCTGAAGCACCCTTACCTTGAGCCGTACCACGACCCGGATGACGAGCCGACTGCGGATCCGATTCCGGAGGAATTCTTCGACTTTGACAAGAACAAGGACAACCTCACCAAAGAGCAGCTCAAGCGTATGTTCCAAGTTATTTTCATTCCATAGATCTTCACTAACAAGTTATAGTCCTCATCTATCAGGAGATTATGCGATAATTTCCTCTAGCATGCATCATGTGCGCTCAATCTCAGGGCAATGATGGAATTTATGGTTAGACGGGGGAATCCGGGAACCAACACCTATTTGCGCGAATCTGAGCAGAGCCGCAGCTGAACACCTAGCTAATCTAAAGCTCATACTCGGACTAATAATCCCTACGTATGCAAGACATAGCATCTTCTCGGATTCGTGGAACACATCTTGCATCGGGAAGGGGTCGGTTGGTTGGAGTAGAGGGCGGAAACCAACTACCCATCTTCTCTGCTACACAGTAAATGCAATCCAAATATTTCCTTTAATGTCGGTGGGAAGAATAGAGCTTTTATCGCTGTCAAACATTTGTTTTTCAATGTCTTTCCGGAAAGAATAGTCGTCGTGTTTCTGTCATAGCATGCCCTTGCCCTATTCCTCCTTGTCTTTTGAATTGATAAGGCTGACGCCTGAAGTATCTCTGGCGTCCACTCTGCGCATCTTTCCTCCCCGCTCCCACCGTACTGAATCCTCTTCTTCTCTCCATTCCCGCTTCAAGTGATGCCTCCCCGCATCATCCAGTCCCAGACCCTTACACTCCCTGCTCCTCATATCAATACCACCCAAACCAGAAGTATCCTACACTTTCCCCCTCGCCCAATCTCTCACTTCCGTCTTTCTCCTATCTAAAGGATCCGCCTGTATCGCCGTATCCCTCCTTCCGGCTGCCCTCGCGCCATCATCAAGACCCTGCCTATCACGCTTAGTCTCCTAGACCACGCCTCTGAATCTACCAAGGCGTTCACCCGGGCCATGGCGTTCGCAGCGATAGTGTGCTTGCGGCTCTGGATCCGGCCACTCATAGCCGTGCACCGAGTACCGGCACGGAGTGCTGCGCGTCGAGGGGGAGCGGGTAATTGAGGAGAGTGTCGGTGACGGAGGAAGAGCAGGAAGTGGGTGGTCTCGGTCCGCACGCGCAGTGCTCCCATATTTCGCTACACTTCCCCACCATCTTTTCTCCATCTCCCTATCCGTTCCCCTACCCATCGATCCCCACGTACCCCTCATCGCAGAATCCCTCCTCGCCCACGACGCCGAGTACCGCGGCAGCGTAGCCACGCTCTCCCTTCCATCCCCTGCACCCCTTTCTTCTCTTCCCCTTGGCCAACTGCCTTTCCTGTCCACGCGGGAAGTCCTCGTCTGCTGGATCCCCATCCTTGCATTGTTTGGCGAGTCGCGGAGTTCCAGATCTCGCAGGTGCTCTCGCCGGTGCTTGGTCCGTGTTCGCAAGGTCCAGAGGATGGCGGTGAGGATGAGGCAGAGCACAGCGCCGAGGGCGATGGCGGAGTCGCGGTCGAGACGGGAGAGGGTGGTTTCCTGGGGTTGGTGTTCTGTGGGTAGAGATGTGGAGGTGGTGGGGAGGATGGGATCGGAGTCGAAGTAAGAGTGTGTAGTGGTAGGGAAAGGGGCGGTTGTGCTGGGCGCTGCAGCTTCCATCTTGGTGGTGGACGGTCGTGGTCGCGGTTGCCAAATCTTGTGGATGAAGTGAAGCACTTCATGGCAGTCATTCCTTTTATCATGCCCTCATGCCCGTCATTACGGCGAAGGTTTCGAGACGACACGGTGAGGTCATGTCGGCGGTGGTTGGGCGGTACCGAGTATACGATATCCAGAGTTCGAGTGAGGGGTTACTGAGCTTCTCGAAAGAGTGGCTCTGTGCCGGCCTAGCGGATACGAATAAGCCTGGTGGTTGGGACGAGCGAAGATGTCAAATCGCAGGGTGATGATTAGAGAAGAGAGAGAGAGAGAGAGAGAGAGAGAGAGAGTCCACAAAACTAGTGGCCGCCTTGGTTGGTAGAAAGGGTTCAGTATGCGAAAACTTTCCTGAAAGCTTGACTGGCAACAATGGTAACTGCTGTCCTAAATATCTGCTTTATTACGATCTCTCACAATTTTCAACTCTTAAAACATAATCCGTTGTCCCCCCTTCACAAACACTTCGCCCTCGTATTTACAACAGCAGCCCTCTTCCACTCTTTGATAGCATCCCATCCAAGCATCCCTGCTTTGCCTTGTACGTCCCCGGCTTGAAAAGCGGCAGGAAACCTAGATGTAGGTGGTGTATATTAGCATCTAAGACCCAGAAAAAGTCCACGAAGCTCTGCTACTTGTGAGTGTGATGCGGGTTATTGCCGTATCGTACAGTCTAGATTCGTTGCTCTATCCAAAGTTGAGATGGTATCCCCAAACGCCGCCCAATGCCCATGTGTTACAGAGCGGAATCCTCGCTATGCAGCGTCGTCAAGTACAGCCGCCATGGTATACATATAATGTACAGTCAAATGCCACTCTTGCTTAGCCTCAAGGATCACACCTCCCATCCTTCCACCCCGTCCGCCATCTCTCCTCCCACTTATTGCAATCAAACTCCTTCTTGCCCAGCTTCACATTCACCGCATTATGCGCCTCACACATCCAGCGCCCAAACTCGTCTCTACTGCTAACTCGCGGCGCATTCCCATCCATCTTCATCCACGCCTGGAAGTCCTTTCCGCACCACCAGCAAGGGTAAAGCTTCGCGAAGGTGGACATGAAGGTACGAGTCTCGGCCTGGAGGTCGGGAGAGGGTTTCTCCGGGTACTGAGCGGTTATGGAGTGCAGCAGAGTCCAGGAGGAGCGGCCGAGGGTTTCTACGTCGGGCGGGCAGTCGGAGGGGAGGACGGGCGGTGCGGCGGATTTGGATTTTGAGCCTTTCGTCATGGCGAACCACGACGCTACGTCGGTGCAGGTACGGCAACTGCAGTATAGACGGAATCATTAGCACTTGTATGTGGCATGGAGGAGTGCATGCTGGCGCTCCCAGAGCTCGAGGCGCATTCAAGAGACATGGCTACTCACGGCTTTCCATCCGGACCTAGCACGACGCCCTTGGGCAGCTTCTTCGGCGGCGCAGTGTCTGTCCAATCCCGCTCATTCTGTTCCACTGGCCCCGGCGCCATGCTCCTGCGCGAAATCGCAAACTTGTAAAAGAATGTGAAAGCTCCGCATGCTCCGGAATTCCGCTTGGCAAGTCGCATATCTAAGCACATGTCCGTGCGGCTCTCGCTGTGCAGGGTATCCTTGTCCCTGCGCTGGACTTTATCTGATCTATATCATCGCAGCAATCGCCCGCGTCTCCCATTCCATGAATACCCAGAGGTTGCAGACAGGAAGAAATGGATGTACCGATTGCTGCAAATGTGCTGGGGGCAATGGGCGCCGTAAGTCTGGTTCTGACCTTCAGAGAAAGAAGGACTAATTGGGAGCAGGTCTGCTGGTCGGTCCAGGTTTGTCAACCAGTGGAAGATGGGATGAAAGAGATAGCAGCTGATGAGCCCAAAGTTGATACCCCAGATCGTGATCAACTATCGGCGACATAATGCTGTTGGACTGCAGCCCACGATGATGATGCTCTGGGCCTGGGCAGGGGTGCCCCTCGGCGTATACAACATCGTCGAGGAATTCAATGTCGCCCTCAGGATACAGCCACAGATTCTGACCTTCCTAAGCCTTGTGACTTGGATTCAATGCTTTTACTACGAGAAGGTACTTCCATCTTCAAGTTTGGGCTTTGAGAAGGGTGCCTCGACTAACGGCTTTCGTCGTAGAAATGGTCCGTCACGCGCTCGCTCGCCGTTGTGGTTCCTGTCGCCTGCGTTATGGGCGGTATCCAGGCTGCACTTATCATTGCTTTGCGCATTGCTAAAGGCAAGTACCTACAGTGGCCGCTTACTCTCATGGCCGTCCTATCGGCAGCATTACTCGCAGCCGGCGTGCTCAGGCACTACTGGGATATATATGTGCATCGAACGGTGCGCGGTATATCGTTCCTATTTGTTGGCATCGATGCTGCTGGGGACCTATTTTCTTTGGTATCCGTTTTCTTCCAACCTACCTTGGACGCTCTGGGATTGGTGATCTATGGAACCGAGCTTGTGTTGTGGATTGGTGTCTTTGCATGTGGGGGCTACTACAACTTCCTCCCTTGGATTCAAAAGAGGCTTCGAAAGAGAAAAGGTGATTTGAACGGGAGCGGTATTGTATCTCCGGCGTGCTCGAGGAGCAGCGGTCACCGAGAAGCTCCGGCACCAGAGCCAATCGCGCTGCACGACCTACCGTCGAGCACCTCCGTGTTCAGGACGCCGTCCGGAGAGGTTGATTTTATACGGCAGAGGAGTGCGGGCTCTAGAAGCGGTGACGAGCATGCCGCTGGACCTTGAGTTGGCCGCTGCTCGGTGCGTGGGAGCACGTACCTCGACCTCCGAATATCATCATGACCGCCGCTCTATTTCACCCCCTTCGCGGCATGACGAGCCGACCTGTCAATTGCGCTCCGTCACAGGGGCGCTTGTTTGCGGCTACGTTTTCCAACCTTTGGCCTTCACCGCGACTTGCCAAAGGCTATATAAAGTCTGCCCGCACAAACTGTGTTCTGCACACCACGCGCGCTCCGCTCGCAATCCGAACGCTTTTTGCGCCTGCTTTTGCGAGTTGCGGTCGTCAGTCTGGAATTCTTTTCTATTTTGCAGAGCAATATCACTGAAAAACGCCAGCATCACTCGACCGATAGCAAAAATGTCTGCAACCGCTACCAAGGTCACGTCCGTGTGCTCCACTTCGGGCGCACCAACTCCACCAAACCCAACGCCGCGCACAGAAGCCCTCGACGATATCGACTCGCCACCGCGTGTAGACCTCGCGGACGTTGGCAGGATCCTCGGACCTATTGAGGAGGACCTCAACGAAAGCGCCGACGCGGCCATGTATCCTAGCCCTCCTATCAACACGCCCGAGACCTTCTCTCCGGCACCTTCTGTCAAGTACGGTCGCGGACGCGGTCTGAGCGCCATTGGCGACCGTCTCGCCCAACTCAAGCTCGAAGAGCGCAGCTCATCCGGCAAGGACGCTGATGTCACTTCCAGCAACCGCTCCGCCGTGGCTTCGATTGCGGAGGATGACGGTGAAGACGTCGCTGATGATATGAGCTCAACCGGTAAATACTCCACTGCAAAAGCTCATCATAATATTACATCTGCCTCTTCACTTATCTCTCCAACTGCAGGCTCTATCCCGATCATGCTGGGCTCCCCGAGGATCAACCCGCTTATCGAAGAATACCTCAACTTCAACAGCCACGATCTGCCGGTCTCCAATCCGGACAAGAAGCCAACCTCTTCCACTGAGGTCCCCCCCGAGGGCAGCCATAGCCGCGGAAATTCGATCAAGAGCGACGGCGCCGTTAGCGGAGTCTCCGAGAAGACGAACTGGGCCGAGGAGGTGGAGGACTACGCCGATCGTGCCATCATGCAGCTTGAACAGCTGGCTCTCGACGAGTTTATCGCCGACCCGAGCCGCAGCATAGAGGACCACTATGTTGCACGCCTGAAGAAGCTCCTCGCTGCGGCTCACAGGAAGGCCCCGGTCGAGGTCAGCAAGATGCGGAAGGAGGCTGGGGAGTAGAGGCATGGGGCTGTGGGTGCATGTATGGGGGTTACCTGTCTTGAGGGCTCCCGAGTCTGGTTTGCACGGTCACGGCTTGCGTACGGCACTTGGTCTGGTTTGGGATTGTTTAGCAAAAAGCATGCTGGGTTGCGGGATTCTGTCACGACGGTTTATGCCTTGACGGCCTTGGGGCTTGCTGTTACTTAACGCTAGCGTAACGGCAAGCCTTATGATAACGGGATACGGATAATGAAAACGGACTTTTACATATACTCTGTTCAGTTTACAAGGCAGCCTTCTTAGCACCAACAGCCTGCAAAACACCAACCAAACTCAGAAGCAGCCCAGTCGGCTTGTCTCCCGTGCGGTAGTAGTTTGCCCCAGCCGCAAAGAGCAACGTCGTCAGCAACCCAGCAATCGCTTTATCGGCGCTGTCGAGAAGGCCAGTCTGGCTCCACTTGTAGTTCAAGATCCCTGGACGGCCATCAATCAACACACTCACCGAACTCAGAGAAGGACTGGAAAGGCGAGCTTACCAACGATAGCAAAGAACACACTACCCTCATACCAGCCTGCTTTCACAGCACCACGCAGCATGGCCGGGAGCTGGTTCAGCGAGTCGTGCTTGAACTGGTCGAGGCCTTTCATCTGTTCCACTCACATATCAACATAACCATCCCTTTTACTATCTCACCCATCTCGTTGTTGCGTTTGGCTTACCGTATGGCCCAAGCCCAACACGCCATGCGCGATGGCCGTCGCGACGAGGAGGGGGTGCTTGGCTGACATGTTCGGATCCGCAATCTTTGGAACTTCAACGTCGAGGGATGAATTGCACGCTGGGAGGTGCAAATAAAGATAAGGAGGTAGTTGCGAGTGTGAAATCTTTGTTTTGGAATGGGGAATGTTTTGTGACGAGGGAAGGGGGAGGGGAAGCGGGAAGGTGCTGACGGAGTCGTAGTAATGACGCTAGTGCCGAGGTAGTTACTGGATTGGGTTTAGCTGTGGGTAGAGTGAATGTCAAAGCTCTGTAATACGCCTGCGTCTCATCGCTTCTATCGTCCAGCTAAAATGATTCCTGCCGCGTGAACGCGGAGTGACCCTGTTCAAAAATGTCGTCGCAATCACGCTCATAATACAGAAGCACTACGTTTAACAGGCTCGCTGTCTCTATATTCAAGATATGCTAAATATCAATCGTTTGTGCGGCAACCGTCATGTATCCATGTATGCATTCCATCCCATTCCATCGTATCCCGGGGTACTATATCCGTTCGAGCTCTCTAGACGCCGCGTGCGATGCTCCAAGCAAACCGCGATAAGCAAAAGGTATCCAAGAAGCCGCCCAAATCCAAGGGAAAATATCGAGAGCGAACAAATTGCGGGAAGGTAAATGATGGATAGCGCCTAACCCTTCTGTAATCATTACCCACTCCATAGATGCTGATGCCCTGACTCCTCTGGCGTTCTCGTCCCATCCTCGTGCCCCGTCCACCGCTGCGTCGTATTCATGCGGACCGAATTGGGTCTCGTCGGCGGCTTCTCCTCTCCCTTACTTGGTCCGTTTCCGGCTTGCACAGGGCCGCCTTGTGTGCCATCAGGTGCTTCCTCCTTTGAGGCTTCCTGCTCGGCTTCCTTCAAGACCTCTGTGACCACCTTGTTTGCCTCGGCTTGGAGGTCTGGAATCTCCCGCCCGTCGTCCTGCTTGTTTAGGTAGCTTTCCAATAGCGCCTTGAGTGTCTGCGCGCGCACAGGTTTGGCGAGATAATTGTTCATGCCGGACTCGAGGCATTTCTCGCGGTCGCCTTGGATGGCGGAGGCAGTCATTGCGATGATGAGTATGTTTCTGATATTTGGGTCTTTGTGTTGGCGGATCAGGCGTGTAGCTATGAGGCGGTTAGATATCGTTCTGTTGAGGAAGAAGAAGAGAAAGAAGAAAGTGAAACGGCGACTTGACTTGCCTTCGTAGCCATCACAGTGCGGCATCTGCACATCCATAAGCACGAGATGAAACGGCCTCCCGTTATTGCTCGCCCGCTCCAATGCATCGATGGTCTTGAACCCATCCAGATAGGCGTCGCACTTGAAACCCAGCTTCTGCACAAAGCTTATCGCGATCCGTTGATTGATCAGATTGTCCTCTGCAATGCAGATCCTGAGTTCGTTCCGCGGAATTTTGGACAAGTCAATGCACTGACTCCCGATGGACTGTTCATGGCCATTGTTCTCTTGGGACGAGAACTTAGCCATAGGATCTGGATCGCGGCTCGTATATTGCCGCTTTTGCGCCTCGGCTTTTGCCGCTTTCTGGAAACGTAGGGAGAAGGAAACGGTGGTGCCCACTCCAGGTGTGCTCTCAAGCCACACCTTGCCTTTCATGACGTTCTCGATGAGCGCCTTACAGATGCTGAGGCCGAGGCCTGTGCCGCCATAGCTGCGGGAGCTAGAAGATTCAATCTGGCTGAATGGGAGGAACAGCTTCTTCTTTTGCTCCTCTGGGATGCCGATGCCGGTGTCGATGACGCTACAGGTTACGTCAATCCAGTCGTCGCTTTCTTGATCGACGACGGCGCGGACGGTGACCGAGCCTTTGGGCGTGAACTTGTAGCTGTTAGAGAGGAGGTTCATGAGGATTTGGTGCAGGCGGACGGGATCGCCCATGACTAGGAGTTCGGGGTTTAGTTCCAGTTGTTCGACGGTCTTTAGGCCGCGCTCTGCGTTGGTGTAGGCGAGCGCTCGGACCACTTCGGTGATGGTTTCATTGAGCGATAGGGGCATGGAGATGACGCTCATCTTGCCAGCCTCTAGCTTGGAGTAGTCAAGCAAGTCGTTGATGATCGAAAGAAGCGTGTCCGCACAGACCCTGATAGAATCGGCATATCCTGCTTGTTCTGGATTTAGGGGACTTGCTTTCAGCAGCTCAGACATGCCAATGACACCGTTCAGAGGGGTACGTAGCTCATGCGACACATTCGCTAGGAACAAGCTTTTTGCCCTTGCCGCCTCTTCTTTGAGCTTCATATTCCTGATAGCTACTGCCTCCGCCTCCTTCGCCTTATTCTCCGCCGCCCTCGCTTGAGAGAGCGCCCGCTTCTGCATCTCCAGCATGGCCTCGTTGCTCGCGCTCACACGCTCAACCTGCTTGAACAGCAGTGCATTCGCTAGTGAGATCGAGATCTGGTTTACGAGTAATCGCAACACATTCGTGTTACGCTCCGTGAATGAGTTTGGAGGTCCTTCGACATATATCGAGCCCATGAGTTTGTCGGAATGTATGATGGGAATGCAGATAACCGCTTTGCCGTCGGGATTGCGCTTGAGGTAGGACTCAGATACGTTGGAGAATCGGTCGTCTTCAAGGAGGTTTTGTACAAAAACCGTTTCGCGGAATCGAAGGGTGTAGAGCGTGATTTGCCTAGCGACTACGTCGTCTACTGTATCCAAGGGCTGACCAGCCGGGAATGATGTTACGCCGGTGGGGAACCCACTGTCGTTCTCCGCCTGGTTCGTCGCCACGCAAGCAATACTCCATTCGATGTGGCTGTCTTCGATGACGATACCGCAGAGCGAAGCGCCGGTAGATTCCAGAATTATTTCCGCCATCTTCGCCATCAGCTTGTCGACCTTCAGCTCGCTAGACAAGACTTGGCTGCTCTCAAGGATAGAGCTCAGATCCAGCATATCGAGGCCTACTGCCGAGAAACCGTTCCGCAAGTCGTGGGTATCATGTCGCTTCGCAGAGTTCGGAGCAATCCAGTTCTGTGTCCGGTCAACGGCAGTTTCTGTACCCAGAAGCCGAGACTCCTGGTCCTCATTCTGCTCTAGCCTGAACGGAGTATTTCCCGTATCGATAATAGTAGTCTGAACCCCGACGTCCATCGTGCTGAGAGAGGCGGTGCCGCGGAGAAGCCACTCATACTTCATTGTCAGGTAATTCGCTTTGCCGAATGCTGATATCCTGCGATAGGTCGATATGCAGTCTTTCAGCATATGTCGAGCGGGCCTGAGTGCTTTCTTCCGAATCAGCCATTCAGCATACAACTCGAAGGAGTACGCCTCATCCAACGTAAAACCATTGACTTCACAATGATCCATGGCTATCTCGTAGTTGAGCAAGGCTGTTGCAGGATCCCCGGTTATCTCAGCAAGCATCGCAGTAAGTAATGCGATCCACTGTCGATAGTTGACGTCTGTGATGACACAGCAAGCTTCCATCTTGTTAAGAGTCTGGCGGACAAAGTCCAGCATGCGCGGGACGTCAGGATGCTGAGGCTCTTCTCGAATCAATGCCATGTAAGCCAAAGACAAGTGATACTTAGTAGAATATGTGAGCCTCTGGCACCAGAGACTATCCAACATAGGTAGAAGCTGTTCGCTTAAGGCGATAGCCTCGCGCCAATAGCCGTACAAAACTAGAATGGGCACCTGGGTGCTGAGATAGAATGTCTTTGGTCGCTTCGGATTGCTCGCTTTGTTCTCTAGGTATTCGATGTACGCTACGGAGTTATGTTCGGTGTCGGAGAAGACGAGCGACGGATCTTGGATTCCGGTCTTTCCTTGTAGCGCTCTCGCATATTGTCGTGCTGCCGTTAGAAAGACGCCGCCGCGTAGATCACGCTGCCAGTTCTTGAACTCTAAAGGTGCCTCGTCGATCCAAGCTTCCAGCTCAGCGGCGTCGTGAGATGCCATCAGCCTGAAATGAGCGACCACTCCTAGATTGAGGAGAGACAAGATTCTGTCGCCGGCGGTTACAGAAGCCTCCATTGCTCCATTAAGCCCAGGAATCAAGTCGGATATAGGCGCTTCGAAATGACCGATGAAGAGAGTATGCAAAGTCTGGCCTCGTCCCAGGGTGTAGTGATCCTCAGGGTACAGATCGAACAATCGTTTCGCGATCATGCCGCATTCAATCGCGAATTCAATCATGTTGAAGCGACCTCCTGCGATTGAGCCTAAATGCACGTACCCAAGCGCAACCTGGGACACAGTGCCCCGACGAAGGTGCAGGCCGACCATCTTGAGGGTGCTCTGGTAGAAGAGCAGGCTGTTTGACCAGAAAGCCGCGCTAAGAAGCTCGATAAAAACTGGACCCATGGTCATCAAGATGCGGTCGTCCGCTGCAAGAGGTCGTGAAAGCAATGCTTCCTTGTCTGAGTTCTGAAGAAGGGCACAAATCTCCTGAAATTCGGCATCGCACTCGTCCCAGGTAGTAGGCGGAATAGGCGTCCCTAGGAGAGATAAGCAATCCTTCAGCGCCTGGAACGCCGCGAAGCTGTCCCCTCGGACCGCGAACACACGTGATTGCAGAATGAAGGAGCCCGCCATATCACACGCATCGCGAGCGTGCTTGAAGGTCGTCCGAATCAGGGTAAGAGCTTCGTCGTACATGCCTTGATGCCAGTAGCACTCAGCAGACCGTACAAAGAGTTGGAGTGTTTCCTGGTATGAGACGTCAGGTCGGTCATCGTTCCACGGGTTGTCCTGAAGCAGGAGCAGACAATGCGCGTAGTAATACATCCCTGTAGACCTGGCTCCGGACTCGCAAGCAGTCTCTGCGGCTTGGTACAAGACATCTCGAAATGGTGCTCTTTTTGTCTCTCGCCCCTTGATCAATTCGGTAGCGAGGCATATGTGCCGACTCCGCATATACAAAGCTTTCGACCCAAGTGTGGAATCCTCGCGGAATTCCGCGCCAGATGTCACTAATTTTGCAATGACATAGTGCATCATTTGCGTGTCCCACTCCGCGTCCAAAGATCCCGCAGCGGCCATGAGGTATCGATCGTGGCTAAATCGGAACCTATCCTCATCCTCCGCTGGCATGAGTACGTAAGCGGAAATGGCTCCGTTGAGCGCTGTAACGGCGCACTCTTTATCGCGCAAAAGGGGTATTCGCGTGCCGTCCGGGGGAGCGTTTTTGGGGTCCAGAAGCTTCTTGACCAGCGCAAACGAGAAAGATCCACCTAGCAAGGACGCCCACGCGACAAGCTTGCGAGTATTGTGAGGCAATTCCCGAAGCCGCCTAGCTAGGAAATCGTTGTTTACCGCAGAGCCATACTCCGGGCTTTCGAAGATCTCAAACACTTTGTCGAGGTCGAAACACCAGCGTCCTTGTCTCCAGCAGTAGTACACGCAGTGTTTTCGGTAGCATGCGTCCAAGATCTCCCGTATGTAGAATAGGTTGCCGCGGCTCTTCTCCTGAATGACTGCTACCAAGGGAAGTATGTACTCTGCATCTCGGTGCAAGGTTTCCGCAACGTACTCTGCAGTCTGTGCCTCGGTAAATGGGAGGAGCTGAAGCTTGGTTGCCGTTGCCGTATGTAGCAGCGCGCGGAGCTCCTTGGGTATGGCATCCTCGTCCTGGAACGTGAATATAAGGATAAGAGGGATCTTGGCTTGCACAATATGATGGATAAGCTCAGCACTCTCCGGATCCGAGTTCTGGACATCTTCAAGGCTCCATATGCAGAGCTTCTGGATTGCGAGGAGACGAAGCACATCAAGGAAGATGTTCATAAAACGGGAGGATTTTGACGTGCCTCCACTCCGGAGCCAGGCGTCGGCGGCGTGTCCAGCAGTTCCGCAATGGATTGCGGGTGAAGATGCCCGCCTGCTACAGTTCTTTTCTCTTGTCAATTCGATGTCGCGTTGCTGCGGAGTTTTTGCGGCGCTGCCAGCCGAAAGGAGCCATTCGGGAAGATCAAGATAGCTATGGAGCACACCCCAGACACCCGTGTTCTTCAGATGATTCGTCAAGGTCTGGTGGAAGTCCTATTCATGCATCATTAGCGAATCTTCGAGGAGAGGGAGACCTGGGTATACTGGAGCATGTCTTATGTGGCACTGCAAGATACCAGTCTTGTGGGGCAGGCACCTCCCAGGTCTCCGAAGCGACCCACAGCATTCGCCAAGCATCGCGATGTCGTGCAGAAAAGCACTTCATGTGGCTTGACTAGACACTGGGGGTAGCTCAAAGACCACTTCATACCGTCACACCTCGCCTGAGTGCAGGCAATAAGACATCTCAAGATATCCCGGCTCTTACATACCGTGCCTACATCAGCCTCCGAGAATATCTGACGGAATAGGCTGGACATCAGCTTCAGAATCGGCTCAAAAGGCGCTTTCTTGGCTGGATCGAACTTGGCCGATGCAAAATAGCCATTACTGCGCGCAGTCGTCTGAATGCTTTGCACCAGCCTCGACTTGCCCAGCCCTGTGGCACCTTGAATCGCAACGATCTCACAACGAGCTTTTCTTCTCAACTTTGAGTTTCGCGCGTTCGACATGCTTCGTAGCAAAGAACTGCTCTCAGATTGACCGGAGCGCGAGACGGACAAAGACCCTTCTAAACTGTTGTTGGATTGGCCTCGACTCGGTGCTTGTAGCTGCGGCCGTGTTTCCGATGCATCTTCCAAAGAGCTTTCCGACTGAACTACGCTATCTTGTGACCTCTGTTGGACCGTTCGAGCTGCTTCCATGAAGACCGGACCGGAGCTGGGCACGGATACGCTGTTCAAACGGCTGTCGGAGCCTCTGGAGCTTGTACTGTCGGATATGATATCATCAAGCTGAGTCGTTTCCATGCGCGGATCTGAGTATGAAGAACTTGAGCTCAGGCTCGACAAAGCCTTCGAAAACAGAGGGCCGTGGCGTCGCCGCTTCGCCACGCGTTCGATTACATCCACGATGATTTGGCGCTCTTTTTCTCGCCCGATCTGTTTCAGAGGAAGGTTGAAAAAGCAACTAATGTCTTTGGATCCGACCTGGAAGGATATCAATCCTTGAGTATCGCCCTCTGAGAGTAGTTCGCGAATCTTAATAAGATCAAACTTCAAGCCCGATGTTGAATGGTATCTGTCCTCGATGTTCTTATGCGTCATGTGTTGGATAACGCTCGATAGAGCGTCTGGAATGTCCATTCGCTTCGATGAGACGGGCGGTATCCGCTTGCTTAGAACATTCTGCATGACATCGAGAGGCGTACTTCCGTCGAAGGGTAGCTCGCCGCATAGCATAGTATAGAACAGGACTCCAAGGCTGTAGATATCGGTGCGGCTATCGGGCTCGGCGGGCATTCTACCTGTCTGCTCGGGCGCGATGAAGGCGAGCTTCAACTCGACACCCAGTTCTTTGCTGAGGGTGTTCCATCCAGCAGACGTAAGGCCATTCTCGAAAGACCTCGCACCGCTCCCAAAATTGATCATTTTCACTGCGCCATTCTCCGCGAAGTGGAAGGCGTCCCCTCGTATCTCTCCATGGACAAGTTCGTGGCCATGATGCAATATTTCAAGGCACTCGGCTGCGCCAATCGCAAAATCCAAGAAGGTGAGAAGCGGTATGCCACCCTTGTACTCAAACTGCCCAAAGCGGAAGGTGTTGTCCTGGCTGGTGACCTTGTATGCATTGGGGCCGAACTGGACCAGATCTCTCAAATAGTTGGCGCCGGGAGCTTCGAATATACTGGCGACGAGGGGCTCTGTATTTCCGGGCTTCGTCGGCAGCCTTATGAATTCGATGGGGCGAACGAAGTGGCGGCATGCAGGATCGGACTGTTGGACTATCTGCTTGGAGAGGCGGAATTCGCGTTCGAGACGAAGAGTGTGGGTGGATACGCGACAGATGACGGGGCGATCTCGGGGCACATCGGTGCCTCCTGTGTGACTCGTGGCTCCGCTGGCATCGCTCCCGGAGGACTGGTGGCTTCGATACAAGGGCGGTCGGCTCGACTCAGGAGAGTGGGCGGAAGCGATGGAATTGCCTGCGCTTCGGCCTCGTGATATAGGGCGCTCTCGGGTCGCCTTCTGTATGCCGTAGAAGTGCCAATTATCGTAGGACTGGTCAAGTTAACGGCGCGCTCTCGCTGCTGTCCCACGCAAACTTACAGAATGGAAGGGCTCGATCTCCGTGTCCCACGAGTAATTCGGGAGCTCCAGCAAGCGCGAGAATATCTTGGAGAAGCGCGCGCCGCGACCGTGATCATCCTCCGCCGCGGCCATGGTGCCTGTGTCGCCGCAGTCGGGACCCTGCCTCAAGTCATGTTCTAGGGCGGGGCCGAAGCGTGGCCGTACGAGTCGAAGGAGATGGATACGTGGGGTTACGGGGCAGCGGCGGTGAAAGCAGGCATCCTCGGGAGACGGGGCAGAGTCGCGAGGAGCGCGCCGGAAGAGGACGAAGTGTATCAGGGCCTCAAAGGTGTTGATGAGACAGCGCGAATGACATCTGCACGCCAATGCTCCGCGCTGACTGATGGAGGTCCAGCCACCATGGCTGATTGGGGCAAGCTTGCTTCGGCCTTTCGCCCAAGGCTTTGTCCCCGCCTGCAGGCCGACTGTTTGAGCCTAGCGACCCCGATCGGCAGCACTCAGCTTCCGAACCACATCACACGTCGGCCGTGGGGGCAGATCCGCGAACATTTTCGCATTTTGATATTCGCCAGCCGAGCCCACACCCTTAGAATCAGCCGCCGCAGCATGACAGAGCTGCACGACTGAAGTCCGGCCCCTCCCGCATTCCGCAGGAGCGACTTCCGCCTCGCACCTTCCCCCCCGCCGCCGCCGGCAGCCACGCTGGACTTGCTCGAAACACGTCTACTGTGTGCAGTCCCGAGGTCTACTGTGTGCAGGTTACGCATGCATGCCTTGTACGTGCTGACGACCCCATCAATGCTGCACCATGGACTCCCCAGAACACGAGCATGCCTACACAGGCGACCCGCCAAAGCCTCGACAGCTCCCGGCCGACCTACCCACATCGCTAGATGACAGAAGGGCCCTCCCTATGCTGGGGGAGGAGACAGAAATTTACGATGCCTGGCAGGGTGAGTGGCCCGTGGGAAAGAGCGATTGTATTGCACGAGTCTGATGGCGTGAATAGGGCAGTCACAGTTCCTCACAACGCCAATGCCCGCCCGGCCCCTCAGCTTCAATCTATCCCTCGACGACCCCAGTCTCGGCGACGAGGACATGCAGCAGCTCGAGGACAGCGACAGCCGGCTAGTGCAGATGCTCGCGCACCAGGCCCGCTTGAAGAACGACAACTCCGGCGATGAAGCGAAGGTGGTGGCCGACGAGAAGCTGTCCCACGAGGAGAAGAAGGAGGCACTGCAAGGCCTGTTCACTCTCGCGGCATCGAACGGCGAGTTGGAGAGGGTGAAACGGCTGCTGGACGGAAAAGCTAGGGAATACATTGACATTGACGCTGTTGACGCCGAAGGAACACCGCCGCTGGTCTATGCAAGTTGCTTCGGGCACGAGGACGTCGCAGCCGCCCTAATCGAAGAAGGCTCCAAGGTAGACGTGCAGGACAGGAACCGGTGGACGCCGCTCATGTGGGCCATGACCAACCGCCACAAGGGCATCGTGAAGCTTCTGCTCGACCATGGTGCTTCTACGGACGTCAAATCATCTGCTGGTAGGACGGCGTTCGATTTCGTGGAGCCAAACAGCGAGATATCCGAGTATCTCCATGAGAGCGGCTACAGCATCGGCAATGCCGGGGTGACGGAAGATTTCTACAGCTCAGGATTCTCCCAGGACCGATTCGAACAGGAGATGCAGGAGAACGACATGAAGCGGCGCATGATGATGGAAAGCGCCTTCAACCTCGAAGTCGACATCGGCAACCTGGGCATTGATGAGCAGCCAGAGGTAAGCATGCCTTCCTTTCTTGATTATGTAACTAACCCCTTTGACCATTGTAGTCACCCGGAGAACTGGAGGAGGAGGCGCAAGAGTTCGTTTGGGATCGATGTCTGAATGATCAAATGTTCGTCTTCCAGGAGACTGAGCTGGATCGCATCCTGGATATCATCATCACAACCATGACGCCGCAGCGATCTCCCTCCCAGAAACCCATCCCCGCCAACATTCTGTTCCTAAGTGCTCGTTATGCGCATTACCACTCCGGTCCAGAGCTTTTGGAAACGTTACTCGTCTCAGCCATGGAAAAGATCAACGATGTTATCGAAAAGCACCAATGGGATATGACCGTCCTCGCATTCTGGATGTCGAACGCGACATTACTTCTGCATTACCTTAAAAAGGATGCGGGCCTCGTTGCGGCCACCAGCGAATTCCAACTGCAGATGGCTGAGCTCGTCAACGAGATCTTTATCTTGATCATTCGGGACGCCGAGCGGCGGATGGACAAATGCTTGGACCAAGCCATGCTAGATCATGAGCCTATGCCTGGATTTGAAGATGTCCATTTTCAGCACGAGTGGAAAATATTTCGAACAAAGGCAAAGGCGAAACCGCCTGAACCACTCGAGAAACGCTTCCGTCCTCCCTCCCCGAAAAGACGCATGCAGCCGTCGCCACGAAACATCACCTCGCTCCTCTCGTCAACGCTCTTTGTGCTCGACCTATACGACATCCACTCCGTGATCACTGCTCAGATCCTCGCGCAACTGATATATTGGCTGTCCGCCGAAATATTCAATCGCATAATGTCGAATCGCAAGTACCTAGCTCGAACGAAAGCTATGCAAATTCGGATGAACGTTTCCACTCTCGAAGACTGGGCACGAGCAAATAACCGACAGCCGGAGCATTACGAGAATGGATCCATGACATCGACAGGCGAGAACACTGTAGAGTCTGCTAAACGCCACCTCGAGCCACTTGTACAGCTCCTGCAGTGGCTTCAGTGTTTCTCTTCCCTTGGCGAGGACCTAGAGTCGCTCGTGGGTACCTTGCAACAGTTGACGCGGCTCTCCCCCCAGCAGCTGCTCCATGCTGCAAAGTACTACAGGCCAGAGGTTGGCGAAAAGGGCCTGACGAAAAGCGCTCGAAACTATATCGTGCACTTGCAGAAAGCGGCCGCAGAACGGAAGGCGGCACGAGCAAAATCTCCTAATCCTCCTCAAAAAGCTCCCGATTCCGCGCCATCGACACCGGTCAAACCTACATCGCAACCTATCACTGCGCCATCGCCCGCGCCTTCGAGGGCCTCCGAGGAAGAGGAAAAGGACGAGCCGCCAGACGAGCTACTCCTCGATCCTTCGTATATGCTACCTTTCCATCTACCGACCTCGACAGACATGCTTATAATGTATGGCGCTGGCTTCGGCGGAGTCAACAAGGAGCGAGAGAGGAAATATATTCCTACAGTGCCGCCCGAATTTATGTCCAAGCTCGACCTCACTGGTGGGAATAAGAATGGTAGTAGTCTATACGATGAGACGCAGTGGAACGATTCAAGTTATGGGTGAAGCCTGAACAGCATAGCTATGGCCCATCCATGCGGCAGTGCTAACAGCGGACCAGACGGGTCAACTTCAATCGTCGCTCAACCGATCTTTTCTGGCCAGTCTCAACCGGTCGAAAGAGGTAGAAGATACGGCACTCTTCTAAACCCTCACCTAGGTCGAGGAATTGACTGTACATTCATGACGATTACGACCAGTGTATGGGGTATTTGGAGACGAAAACGAAAGCGCATTTTGAATTTCAGCGCGGAACATCAAGCACGGCGCACGGCTGCTGGAATGAGCGGTCTTCCTTTGCTTATCCATCTAGAATAGATGCATTTTGGATCGCATCGGCGTGAGCTTGTTTGGTAGGGGAACATGCGCCTAGATTTCAATTCATCCTGCTCGGCATTTGAGAATACCCGTCACCATCCTCGTCTATTCGACCTTTTTCATCGCTTTCAGTCCTTTACTGGATAGAAAGAATGATGTCCGCTCAATTTCTCTTACTCGATACTATTCCCTCCGCCACCATGCCGCTATCGGCCACTTACGTCTTATCGGCGGTCTCCGGTTGCTCTTGCCCCGCAAACCCCGCCACACAGCAGTCCACTCAAACAAAGTTTCCTAAGGGCACCACGCCGCTTTTCCTTCACTATCCTTCAACACTCATGGTCAATTGATCATATAATTGCCCTCAGAGCCCCTCGCTGCCGTTCAAAATCATGGAGATTCGCACCCTGTCCCCCGACGACGTCCAAGAGACAGCAACCTCGAGCTCGAGCTCACAAGCTCGCAGCATTCCAATCGACCAGATTGACTCAATGTTTAAGTCTCGATATATAGGTATGCTACCCCTTGTAGCCTCACAGCCGTCAACTCCAGGTGCACCAAGCTGACAATTTCAGACCTCATCTCCGCACCCCTGGGCTCAAAGATAGTCTCCTTCAGCGACGAATGGTTCGCGGCCGCCGAAAACCTCATCACACCCACCCCGCCGGTCCGGAAACCCGGTGTCTTCACACATGCGGGTGCCTGGTACGATGGCTGGGAAACACGTCGGCACAACCAGGAACCTTTCGACTGGGTCGTCATACGGCTCGGCGTCGCGAGCGGCAAGGCTGCCGGAGTGGAAGTCGATACCGCATTCTTCAATGGGAATCACGCGCCAGAAATCGCGGTGGAGGGCTGTTTCATCACTGGCGAGAAGGACGAGGATGAGGTCAAGAAGGCGGACTTCAAAGGCTGGGAAACGATACTTGGGAAGCAGGAGTGCGGACCTAGCCAACGGCATGCCTGGATGTTAGAGAAGATGACGGACAAGGCGTATACGCATGTGCGACTGCTCATGTACCCGGACGGCGGTATCGCGCGGTTCCGCCTCTACGGCCTCGCAGTCCCCGTCTTCCCTCAAAGCCAAGACGCCATATTCGAGCTCTCTGCTACCGTAATGGGCGGCGTAGCCACCTCGTGCTCCGACCAGCACTTCGGCACTAAGGACAACCTTTTGCTCCCCGGCCGCGGTAAAGACATGGGCGATGGCTGGGAGACGAAGCGCACGCGGGGCCCGCACGTCGACTGGGCCATTATACGGCTCGGCGCGAAGGGCGAGATCGATCATCTTGTAATTGATACAGCGCACTTCAGGGGCAACTTTCCGCAGAAGGTACAAGTTTTCGCGGGGGAGTTTGAGAAGGAGCCGGGGAGCGAGGATGCGAGTTGGGTGGAAGTTTTGGAACCGCAGAAGAGTGGACCGGATACGGAGCATAAGTATAAGAACGAATTGAAGGGGGTCGACGGGAAGGCGTATACGCATGCGAAGCTGGTGATTATTCCGGATGGCGGGGTGAAGAGGTTTAGGGTGTTTGGGAAGAGGGTGGAAAGTGCTATCTAGAATGTAGGGGTATAGTGGAGGACATGAGACTCACCTTTTATGGAGCGGTCATTTGCATGCTTAGATTGCTTGTAATAAGAGGATTTAGGAAGATTGTATATTTTGGTTCCGGCATGTCGCAAATCGGCTTCAGACGCCGCAGTTGACGGGAAATTGAGGAAACTCAAATTGATGATAATGGCTCCTCGCGGTTTTAGACTCGCAAAGGCTCAAACGAGGTTGTAAAAGTACCTAGTCTATCAATTGCCGATGTTCTTTGTAGTGCAATTACCGACCAAGGATCAGGGGTCTTGCGTGCCACCAGCCACTCATCTCCCCTCACATCTCGACATCATCGGCCCGCGGATCGGAACCTATTCCTCGCTCACTCCACCATGGCGGCTTCAACACCCTTCCTAGGTTCCGCCATCACTGAACACGATGCCATTCCTTCGAGTCGGATGCAAGAGGATACATTATACCGACTTCAAGCCGGAGAACCATGAGGCTCGCGAGACCTTTGTTTGCATGCATGGCCTGGGGTATGTACACGTATCACCGTCTCAGTTTCGGTTATGCGCCCTGAAGGGCTTCAACGGGTGAAATTGGCTTATACATGCTAACACGTTAACTCGTTGCTCGTAGGTCATCGCAGGACTACTACCACGCGGTAGCTCTGGGCTTGCAAGCTCACAAATTCCGATGTATTATGTTTGATACCACTGGCGCTGGCCGATCGCCTTACACGCAGATCGAGCAGAGCATTCAGAGCCTTGCAGATGATCTTATTGGGATCTTGGACGCGCTGGAGGTGCCCAAGGCCATTGTCGTCGGTCACAGCATGGGAGGGTATGTATTATCCCCGCCTATACCTGGAATGGACGCTGACATTGCATCTCAGCATAGTAGGAGCACACCTCGCCGCCGAACGTAGTGATCGCGTTGTAGCCGCCATACTCATCGGCCCCGTCTACCCGAACGACAGCATCGCTCCGGTCTTCGAGAAAAGGATACAAACGGTGGAGAAAGAAGGCATGGAGCCCATGGCCAACACAATACCATACGCTGCGCTGGGCAAGAAGGCATCTCCTCTCGCTAAGGGCTTCATTCGAGAGCTGCTGCTGGGTCAGAATCCGGCCGGTTACTGCTCGAATTGCAGAGTCATCATCAACGCGAAGCCACCCAACTACAGCAAGATTGCCGTGCCAGTGCTGATACTGGCCGGCGAGGAGGACAAGTCTGCGCCGCTGGAAGGGTGTCAGAAAATGTTCGATGAGATCGGGACGTCAGAGAAGAGGTTGGAGGTCATGAAGGGCGTTGGACACTGGCACTGCGTTGAGGCTTTCGAGGATGTGGGGAAACAGATCCTCTCCTTCTACCATGAGATTCAATAAGTCTGGAGGCCTTAGGATGCCAGACGCAGGCCCCAAGGCCCTCTCGAATGACCTATCTTGGGCTGTCTCTGCTATATTCAGAAGCTGCAGATCCGAGTCTGTGTCGCCCTTTTCCGGGCGCGAAGGCTGTGGTTGGGTGCCCGCGTGATGCAACAACCATTGGATGGATGCACGCCTACATTTAGCGCGCCCCCATTCCGACAGCTGCATGAGACGCCTTGGCAAGACAAGTAGGCGTCTGCAGCGATAAGCATTAAGGCAACGGCCCGAAATCTCGAATAATCCATCCTCTCACAGCCTGCGTTCTGGCTCCTGGGGCAGGCAAATGCATGTCTGTCTGTCGGGTTCAACCTTAGCAGAGACGAGACGGTGCCTGCGGCTTTCCTTCCACAACAACCTCTCAGCTTCCACCACGATGTCGTGCGTGGCGCTCCACATTCCGCAGACATGTGCAGACGGGACCCTGAAGGCTTGATGGCACGCTTACGGTTGCCGGAACAGCGCGCAGATGACCTGTCCGATGTCGCTATCCCGCATGATTCGGTCCCTCCCGCCTGGTTGTGCTGGCGTCGTGAGAAGGTCCAAACGAGGCTGCCACTTCATTCGACATGCCTCGCGCCCTCCTTTGCGCTGCATCGCCCGCTTGGGCCTGTCACAAGTCCAGCCAAGGTGATGTGCACTGCTCCGTTTGGAACCCTCAAGAAGGCTCACATTTTTGGCATGTGAAATCGACATCATCCCTCAGCCCCGTCTTCCGCGCCTTCATGTGGAACGGAAAGCCATTGACATATGTAGTCGCCTGTCGCCGCCCATAATTTCCACAAAGCACAATCCGCATCGATGCTCCAGTTTTCGCGGGTCCGCTATCCCTTTCGTATCTAAACTTGCGCTTTTCCGAACACACCCCAGCCGCTTGTGTTGAGGCGGTGAACTCAACGCGTTAATTCCCACCAACCGCTGGCGTCTATGCTACTGCGTTTTTACGCACCTGGCATCTCCCAGTCTAGCTGTCGGATAGTCGATCTTCGCTTTGGTCGTTCAGTCTTCCTATTATAAACATCTTTTGTTCGCTTCAAACTGACCGCACCTTTAGCACGTTCTGTGCTGTCGGTCGGTTCACACCGACTCGATTTCTCTTCGTTAACATCATTTCCTTCCTTTTCTCGTTTCCTTTCAGCTTTCATCTCGATATACGGAAACGGCTGGTTCCGCCTGCTCTTAGACATCGCGACTTCTGTAAGGCAGCCCGTACCCGTCTTGACTTTCCTCATTGAACAGCACTGATGGAAAGCCTAGATGATGTGGCAATAACAATACTCTCGAAAACGAAGACACATTCTTGGAGGTCGTCGACATTCTGTCGGAACGTTTGTGCACTTCATCTATCTTCCATCAATCGACCATGGACCGAACAGACAGCGCATTCGATGAATCCTTCCAAATGGAGGGACTGGAAAAGGCACCCACATCTGTCCACAGGAGCAACACCGCCCCTATTCGTCAACAGAGATCTAAGAAAACCTCCCCCGACTCGTCTGCAAACCCCATCACCACGACCGCGGAGACCGACCGCCCAGCATCCGAGAAGCGCCCCAGCGCGCACCAGACATCAACAGAGCCCCGCCGAAAATCCATAGCCTCGTCAGAGGACTCAACGACCAAATCACGGCGCCGCGGTCATGGCTCCCTCCCATCCTCACGCCGGACGTCTTGCACCATCGTCGACCCCTCCCGACCAGCCCGCCACTACAGGATCAAAAGCTCGCAGACTTGTCCTACGCTAAACCGCGAAATTGACGACGTGCTCGCCCTTCATTTCCGCAGCTGCAGCCTCTTCTCCAACCCCGCATATAGTTCCAATCTCCCCAGCCCCACCATTTCCGGATATAGGGGTGCAAATACGGACTTCGGCTCGATGCGAGTCGATCCGCCACCACCTGCGCCACAGGCCAGCCAGGACGGCATCGAGTCCTTGTCACCAAAGGAAAGCGAGGAGGCGGTGGCGACGCCTGAAGTGGCGAATACGCTGCATTGGATTTCGCCCAGCACAAGGAAAATGCAATACGAAAAGATTGATAGAGCGAACAGTGGGTTGAGAGGTTTTGCGAAGAGGATTGTGCCGAGGTGTGTTTCGGGGCATCAACCACAGCGGTTCTATGAGAAGGACAGGTCGGATGTTGGGTCTGTCCGCCGGTATCGGATGGATGTCTCGGATGACGAGGAAGTAGACGAGAAGAGTGCCTTGCGGCTGCAAAGCCGCAAGGTGGAGCGATCGAGACCGGAACAGAAGAACGATAATGCGAAGAGGAAGAAGTGGGGTTGCTTCTGAATAAGAGGAGACATGAGCACTACGGTGGACACGACATTTGCATATTCGCGCAGCATTACGAAGGCGTTTACGATACCCACGGCATGTTGTTTGTTGGTTCGGGAATATACACATGATACTTAGAGTATATGAGCTACGGTTAGTTTCTATCAGACACGTGCGGTACAGGGCGAGGAGAGCCATTGGTAATGAGGATGTTAAATATGGAGATACGAAGCATGGACTGCTCCATTCAGATATTCGGTACTATTGCTGCCACTGCTGCAGTGCACTCGCTCATAAGTCTAAATGGAATAATCTATTGTTCTGAATATGTACACAGAATCTCTTCCGCTCTAAAAACGCCATGTAGTATTCTGCACATCGTATGCCTGTAGTACTCCAGCGGTTCTGTCCGTCAGGCGCAGTATCAGACGTCGAAAGTCGCATGCATCCCCCGAAGTGTTTATCGCGATCGGGCTCGGTATCTCGCCGAAGCTCTGCAACTACAGCTTTGCCTCCTCCTTCACGCTCCCGATCTTAAGCTTCGGCGCATACTTCTTCAGCACGCTCTCGTTGTGATACTATCCATCCCTCCGTTAGCAATTCTTCTTAACAACAACAGGCTGCAATGGAGGTAAATCTTGCCTTCCAAAACTGCTTACTCGCATCCTTCCCACCCACTCGCTTCAGAATCTTCGCCCCGCCCGGATGCTCGTCCACAAAGCTATCCATCTTGTACACGCTCCCGTCGATTATTATGTATAGCCCGTTGTCCACTGTGTTGTGCTCGGCGACTTGCTTGGTGGTGAATTGGTCGGACATGGCTGGATATTCGCGGGATCTGGTATCTGGAGCGCCGGAAGCGGGTTCGCGGGGAGGGGATCGGGAAATTGAGGTATTCGGGGGATAGAGGATGCGCTGATGATTGGGGAAAGGAGTGATTAGGGTGGTAGACGGGCTTATAAGCAAGGGATTTGGCGAGGTCGCAAGTTTGGAGATGCGGTTCTGAGAGGTTGTGCCGAGGTTGTCGTGAGGGCGGCGTAAGCGGCTTTCTGGGGGGGTGCTGATTGGTGCCCAGGGTGCAGGGGTGTGGCGTGGGATGATTACTTAAGGCGGTGCTTCCTAAGGACATCTTGAGGCTTTGAGATCGCTCAGCTGTTCGTTCCAGCTGCTCGCAACATTGCGTTAGACTACTTCGCCGCCGGTGAAGAAGGTGAGCCCTTCCCGTTCACCATCGTCGAATTAATACACTGCCTACCCTGGAGGGTTTCACATTGGACGCCTTTCAGCGTCATGATGTCGCGCACATACAGTAATTGTCGGTCATTCACATCTAGTGAGCGCATGCCGCAGAGCGTACCATGACAGCTTAACGAGCTCCCAGAGTCGCCCAACACGTAAATCTAGTGTTTCTGCACTGGCACGGCTACATCAACGTACATCCGGACATACTTGATGCGGTCTGTACCTTTCGACGTGCTAAGCTCATAATCAACGGCAATGCGCTGGACCGTAGAGAGGCGGTCGGACAGCTAGGATCTCAGATTAGCCTCTTCCTCCACCCAGCCGTTTCACAGTTAACCTTCTTTAAATTTAAGTTCACTGAGGAAGATCAGGTATGTACTTCGCGATACACATACCAGTGTAGTTCGCTTCCACCGGTTCGCTTGCGGGAGGCTGTCTTTGAAGGCCTTCAGCGTAAAAACATAAGCCATGCTGCTGCTTTCGTTGATGACATCGCTAATGTGTACCACCACGTTCGCAGCTATACGACGGCTTTAAAGCGGACCTCGTGAGAATGATTACGAATAACACAGCACTCCAATCGCTAGCTATCGTTCCCACGTTCGTTACGCGAAGAAGCTTTCCAGAAATGATGCAGGAGTTCCAACAGAGTACGCTGCCGCAAGGGATTTTGTATCTTGCAATATTGGCTTCAGAGCTCTTCACATGGCGTGAGCTATCGATATGGGGTGCTCAGGGTGGATGGAACAAGCTAGAGCGGTAAGTAATCTCGAAACACGCATTTGGGGGTAAAGTTGATCGGATTCCGCATTCGCATTCCCCCGCCTCTTCCCTTTCTATTCTCTACTTGTAGACCTCTGCTAATTGTGTGGCCACTTCTAGGCTATACACTTTCGCGCACTTGCTCAATGCCTTCATTGGAAAAGCTGCTCAGCTGGAAGAATTAGCCGTTCAGCCCCTCTGTTGGACAGATCTTGACGCAGTCAAACCGTACGTGGAAACGCTGCAATCCGGCGCATCATCAGCACTCACGTTCCCCGGGATGCGCCGCTTCGTTTATAGCACATGCGAGAGAATCACCAATCAACAGCATAACGGCGACATGCTGCCTTGGGTTCTCTTGAAGATGATGCCCGGACTAACAGATTTCGACATGGCTCATTACCACTTCGTGAATGGAAGCCCCGGTCCTGCCGGAGTGGACACGCCGGGAGCGGAAGAGCTTCGCAACCTTCGGCAAGTGTGCCCGAAAATCGAGCGATATCAACTCGATTTCGCTGTAGATGGCCGCTGGCCATTTGACCTCCTCAACGAGCTAGCCCGATTTCCCCAGCCGATCGAGCTCGACCTCTACCTTCATCTTGCTTTAGAGGACGCTAAGCGCCTTTCTAAGAAGCGAAAGTGCCAATACGCTTTCGAATACATGAAGTCCATTCGGAAGTCCGTCAGTTTACCCGTCCAGTCGCCCTTCCGGGTGGGGTTCAAAACCATTCGGCCGGCAGCGGAGATGGAGGGCCACTATAGGATCCCGGACTACAACTTCTACCTCAGCAAGAGGGGGAACACTTGCTGTGGGGAGCGCAAGAGCAAACCGAGCAAACCATTCTCGCCGAAGTTTGACTTCGGCGACATTTCGGTAGAGGAGCTGGTGAAGATGAGCAACCGGCCAATCTGTAAGATGCTCGTTGCGCTACCGCTGGGATTCGTGCCGGCAAAATGGTACGTACATGAGTTCCGCAAAAGTTACACCATAATTGATGAGATTTTGCGCCGTTGCTCGAGAATCGCGCGGTGGAGGTGTTTGGAAGACGCGACGCTATTCGATTTGTGGGATGCGAAGGGAAGCGATGCGCACGGCAGCAGCGAGGGGGAGGAAGTACAGGAAGACCCGCGTCCGCAAGCCTTAGGCGATTCATGATACGCCATCGCTATCGCCGGAACGGAGTCTCTTGTGGATGACCCAGACACAGACATCGCGGAAGCCCAGGACGGCACTGCGGATTAGGCGAGCTTCTTCACGAGTCAGGAGACTATGGCTGCTGCGTCCAGGATGGTTTGTTGTTCTTCCATCCAGGCTCGCTATTCACTTCTTTCGGGTTTGAGGTTCCGGCAAACGTCCTTTATATAGTCGATCACAACGAGAAAAGCTGATAGAGGTCCTGAACGTATCAATGCTTGGGACGTACGCACTTCTGAAGACAACGGATTAAATCACTTAGATACTCCAATGCTGGTTGGAAACAAAGTACTCTTGTTTCGTGGTGTCCCGAACAGGTCAAAGAAACTGTCTTGCGCTGGGTTGGACAAGACAATTGTCTCGCGGCAAACTGTTTTGCAACAAGCACTATTCAGATGTATAACACTGACCATCATACACACAGATCAAGGTAATGGTCTGATACGGACGCACCGCTATCTCCTCACCCGCCATCGCACTCGAAATCAGCCATCTCCCGAACCCCTGGCAGTAGCGCATCCGGCTCCGAACACATCACAACTCCTCTTCTCCACCAGCTTCCACCGACGAAGAATGTGCTACGCCCTCCTCCAAACCTGCACCCAATGCTCCTGGCTCCTGCAAATCACCTACCCGCGCTGCAGCCACGCCAAAACACACGGTCTCGATCCGCCAGCGTGCCCGAATCGCATGAAGAGGAAGTATACGGATGGAGGGTTGTGCAGATGGTGTCGGGTGAGGAAGGGGAGCTTGAGTGGGATGCCGTGGGAGGAGAGGAAAGAGAGCAGTGGGGAGGAAAGGCAGGATGGGGCGATGGGACCGAACATCAGGAGAAAGAGGAAGGCGAGTTGCGTGGAGGATGGCGAAGAGAGGCATGAGGAGTCTGAGGAAGAGAGTGAGTGTGGTGGAGAGTACGTTGACGAAGTGGAGCGCAAGCGGAATTGCAGGGGAGAAACGATGGAGACTCGCTGCGTACCACGGCTCCGCACCACCCTTCCACTGCGGCCGAAGAAGGCACGACACTGAACAGTCGAGAGGGAAGAAGAAACATAGTAATGCATTACGCCTACATAAAACCCCCATCCAAAAACGTCAAGAAGCCAAAAGTCTAAACTGGGGGTATACGAACAGGGCAGACTTAGACTCACAGTCTCTCCTACATAATCACCTCCTCCGCCTTAGGGCGGGGTGGTAAGAATGATGATATCCCTACTCCTACATGATGCAACATATTATATGTCCTTGCTTCTCATAAACCATACCCGTGAATAGATAGAATGAGTTATACCGTGTTTGCGTGTGTGTGCCGAAGTTCATGTGCATGCTGTGTGCCTTGAGATCATGCTGAAATGCGAAAATCGCCCAGCAATGGGGAAGATCACAGCACATCCTGACCCGGCTGCGACTGCTGCTGCTGCTGCCCTCCAAAGAGCCCACCAAACCACGATCCCCGATTCGCCGCCTTTCTCTCCCGCATCGCCGCCTCCTCATTCTGCACCAACCTCAACGGACGCATCTGCTTGCCCTGCATCGTCTCGGTACGCCGCGGCGGGCTAGGTGTATCCACATGCGAAGTCTCGCTCGTGCTCTTCGCATCCTCCTTCTCTTCGTGTATGGGCGCACCAGACGACGGCACGCGCGACGAAGGATTGCTGCTCGCGCCGCTGATCGGGATGCCGAAGAAAGAGTTGCGGGGCGAAACAAGGCCGGGCGAGGTTTGGCCGGGGATGGCGGCAGTTGGCGGTGCACGGAACATGTTATTGATGACGTTTGCGGCGCCGGGTTGGGGTTGCGGCATTTCGGAGGTGGAGCGGCGGTGCTGGTAGCTGCCGCTGGGCACGCGGGAGGAGTTGGAGCGCTGGAGGGGGATGCTGGGTGCGGTTGTGGGGTCTTCGTTCACGGAGTGTTGCATGGGTGCTGCGAAGCTCATCGGCCGGGGCTTGTTGCGACCGCCGACTACGGACTTTGCGCGTTGGAGGAAGCCCAGCGGTTGCTCGTTCTCTTCTTTCGGCGGAGGCGGGGGTGGAAGCTCCTTGTTCGTGTTGAGACTGCCCGCGGCGACGGGGCCATGGTCTTCCAGGTCGTTGCCCAGGACGGATTCAAAGCCCTGGTGTGTGAGGAGGCGGCCGATGATCTTGTTGATGTAGAGCGTGAGAGCCTTGTTCTGGTCCTTAAGGGTGTTAACCTCGGCTTCCAGCTTGCGAATAGCGTCACCGTCAGCACCCTCTGCGGACTCTAACTCATCCGCTAAGCTGGTCGACGGGCCGTTGCGCGACGGAGCTCTGTCTGTATGCGGGGATGATGGGCGCAGGAAGTCACCGCGGCTGAGGTCTCCGTTCAATGTCTTCTCTCCGAGCAGAAGCTGGAAGCTCTCGTTGTCTTCCATGAGCCGAGCGTTGGTCATGCGTGTCTCCAGGAGCTGTTTCTCTAATTCGCGCATGCGGCCTCCACCAGCATTCTCCATCTCTACGAGCTTGATTTGTACTTCGGCGAGTTCAAGGCGCAGACCTTCGATGATCTTGTCTTTCTGGTTGATGAGCTTCGAATGATTCCGTGAATCGCTTCGTTGGATGGAGGACGGCGGTGCGAATGAGCCAGAGGTCTCGAGGTTCAGGGAGGAGCTGTTGCGCGAGGGGTTATTGCGGAAACTCGCTGTGTCATGTTAGCATTGTACTGGAAAGCTGACACGGTGCATAGAGGACTTACATGTCCGTGACAGGCGTTCGTCATCTGCATCGACAGCTTGAACGTTCTTAGTGGCCATCGTTTCCTTTAGTCGCTGAATAGTAGTCTGTAGCTCCTCTTCCTTCGAAAGAGCCTCCTCTTTCTCCTTCATTGTCTGCGCGCGCTCCGCCTCATAGATGCTCTCCAGTTCGCGCTGTTGCCTCGTGAGGTCTCTCTTCTCGTTTTCGAGTGACTCAACCTTCTCTTCCTCTTCATGTGCGCGCTCCTCCAGCTTCGCCTGCTCTTTGAGGGCATCGTCTAGCCGCGAGTTGAGCACTTCAACCTGTTTCTGGCGCTCCTCTGCCTCGGTCTCCGCCTTCTGTAACCGCTCCTTGAGATCCTGCATGAGAGCCGCGGCCTCTTCTCGGGCGTCGTCATCTTGACCATCGACCTGCGATGAGCTCATGCTGAGGCCTGAGGGTGCACCAGGCTTCCTGACGGCTGCGCGCGCGGAGACTGGCGTGCCATTCACGCTTGATCTGACTGATCGTGTCCGCGTCACGCCGTTTGCGCCGTTCGTGCTTGTCGGGGTTGCAGAGCGGGCAGGGGAGCGGTTTGCGGCGCCAGGAGTAGAAGGGTTGCGCGCAGAAGCATCGCGCGCTGGATTGCCTGGCGGCGCCGGTTTTCTCGCTGTCGTCGACATGCTGTGGTTGTGTCTGTCTGCCGTGGTGCTGGTTGAGTGCTGAGACCGTTGCCAGGGACTCGGTCCTGCGTTGGCAACGGCAGTCGGGGGTGCTGTCTTGGGCGCTGTCTCGGCACCAAATTTAGACGCTTGAGCGGTTGTCAAGCCTGCTTTCCCCACGCGATTGTCGTGGCTGTGAGCTTGGCGGTCGATGAACTGCAGTTGATTTGCGAGCGGCGTCAGAAGGGTGGTGGTGAGATTTACGATGCGATCAACAGCTGTTTACGGGGGGGGGGGCAAGAAATGTGGCCGTTGAGTAGTGCACCGCCGCGTCGTTTCGCGGCCATGTTTCGCATAAAAGTCGCCTTATTCAACACGCCCTGCATTAGCCGCCAAGCACGGTCTGACCGCGCTGCTAGTTGCCGTGGCATCCCAGGAAACCGCTTTCGCAACCATCTGCACCATCATGGTGACTGGCCGCTCATCCGTCCAAACAACAGCAGATTCAATAAACTCGCTTGCGAAGGCCAGACCCCGGGCTTATCACCGCCATGAGGCGCATTGCAGCTGGCCGCATACGGAGCTCCTATCCCCCGAAATGACCTCATATCAATTTGCTACGCCGCCGTTCGTGCCATATTATGGTGGCAATCCATGGCGCTCACGAAGAAACGTGTCTCGCAGCGTGTCCGCGGCACGTAAACACCTTCCACCTTCCACGTTGCTAGGGGCGCCTTCCACCGGCACGTGGAATGTTCTTTCCCGAGGGCGAAGGTCAAGCAGAAGGGGAAGGAGCATTGCAGCGGTCATCCCTGGCAGACGACACCTGAATCCTCCTTTCCAACGTTCGCTCCAGGGGCCTCGGGAGACTAAATCTACAAGGGAGCAGAAGTCTTCGGCCGCTTGATGCCCTGGAAAAAGCCCAGCAGATTGGCGAGATTCCGAGCTCGAGCTCTTCTCTCCAAAGTGCCAAAGTTCCCGCGGTCCTGAGATCTACGACCTGTCACGTGATTAGAATCTGTCTGGTCTCGGTCATCTACTTACCCATGGTCATTAGGGATAGGTGTGTTTAACGCCTTTCGGTTCCAGTCTCGAGTAATGGGTGGGTCTTTCACACCCTAGACATGATTCTTCGTTCTGCATGATCCTCCAGGCTCGGTTTTCGGCAGCCCGAGCTACTTGACTCATCTTTGCCCGCAGCACCGGGAAAGGAAAGCCTTCCAGGAGCTGCAACGTCATAATACTGCAGGAACTTCCACTTAACCTATTGTAGAGGATAGCCCATTCGCCGGAAGCCTACCCTTCAGTAACCTCCTCCCAATCAATGCCTCCTACGTATTGCAAGATGGACTAGTAGCACGTCTGTTACGCGAGAGCTCCGCCGGTACATCTTCATCGGAACAATGTGAGTCTAGCTGCTACCTATCCGTGCATAGTTCTGCTGCTGTTACCAAGATTCCCAGATTATTCACCATGGAAAAAAAGGAAAACACGCCCGGAAACCAATCATATAAGAATGGCACTTCAGCGTGAGGAACTTCAGCTGGACTCCCAAGCGGACGTATGCTCTATCTTGCAAGATGAAATTTCCAGTCTTACTCACGTTACCAGGGATAAGCGGAATAGTGCACTGCTCTCCAGCAGTGATCATGTCCGTGGATGAATCGACAGCGTTCGCGCTAGTGGTAGGTCATACCCTTTACGAACCTCTTAAAGGATCCTGTACTCAAGAACGTCAAGTGTAGACATCCGATACTAGCGTATGAGCGAGTCCTGGCCGCCTACTTCAAAACGAACTTCTCCGCCAACGCACCACTGATACGACGACCGTTCTTGCCGCTAATACAACCGATCCCGTCGTGCGGCCGAATACTGATACCCTATATATTATGGGCTATACGGACCTGTCTAAGGAAGGTGTGCTGTTCACATTTGGACCGCCCCACGACGATCGATATTATTCCTTTACTTACTACGACCTGTAAGCTTATATCAGCTCTGACATTCTAAGGGAGCACTGAATGACAGCAACCCCAGCTATGGAAACAATCCCTTCAATCTGGCCAGTACATTTACCAGCACGCCCGGTATGGGTACGGGCCCGACCAATTCTTAATCCCCAACAGGCTGAACAGGAATAGTTTGGGCACAGCAAGTAACATCACGTACGCGGACGACGTGCGCGTGTATCCAGTGAATGGAGGGTAATGAGAGGATAGAGACGGTAGGTTTCAGACCTTACCGCTGCCAGCGGACCTGTATCCGCCGACTAATTGGACGAGTAATTGGCTGCTGGTTACGGAAGGGGGAGGAGAGTTCTCGGTTACGCTTAGGTGGTATGGACCCGCGAAGGAGCTGGAGGGGTATGCGTATCCGGAGTTGGAGAAAATTAAGGCTATTGTGAGGTAGCTGCATCTTGTAGATGGGCACTGAGACATACGCAAATGAGATGGAGGGAACTGTTCGTGGAGATTAAGCGATTGCCCTGCTTTGATACGTTTATCTCGGCACGAATTTCTGCGCTCGCTTAGACTGCCAAGTTTGAAGGCTCTGCCAAGTCTGAAAACCTTGTTCTATGGATGTGGTATGTGATCTATTTTCTGCATATTCGTACAGTGAGAGTTGAAGCCCAACTAGGCTTAAGTTCCGCATTCGCCTGAGTAATGAAAGAGTGTCCGTAGTCCTGATGTCATCGTCCCTGCTCGGGAAACAGGATTCCACTCATTCCTTGAGCAGTTTGCCAAGGACGTTGTCCGCGGAAGACACTGAAGTAATGTTAGAGCCCACAGAAAAGGGTGACTGGTATGGTCACTCACCTTTCAATCCCGTGTTCTCTGACTCCACATGGGCCTCCTTGACCGCGCCGTCCTCAGTCACGAGGGCGTATCTCTTGGAGCGGTCACCGCCGAATATGGCAGCGCCGTCAAAGGCTAGGTCAAGCGCTTTGGTAAACCTCAGGTCGGGATCTGCAAGGAATCTGATCTGGTAGAGTGTCAGTCATCATTCAATCTCACCTGTAAACAGCGAGGAGCGACCTTTGATGTGAATGAGTGGATATGGAGAAAGAAGAAATGGAAGCTACTCACCCCGCTTGAACCCGAGGGATCCAAGACTTTGCCCCATGCCTTCATGCTGCATTTCATTAGCTTATCCGCATGATGCCTATCTTATTCCGTTGGGCTCCACATGCAAGGAGGGGAATGGAATCGACTTGTAGAGAAATGAATTTCGCTGCACCAACACGAATGCATCGTTAACTAGAGATAACGCAACGTAAGATTAGCAATCCATCCAATGGTATTTGGAGCACAGAGTGATCGGACCACTTGAAGTGCCATACTGGCAGCTCAGTATCCAATACACCTCCGAAGCCTTTCATGAAGAGGCATCCCAAGTCACTCTCCCTCAAATGGGAATCCCTCTGTGGGTGGCTTGATCTGCTGGGCCGGCGTGTAACGTACCAGAAACAACAAACACTCGGCCGGCCGACTTGAGCTGGGCCGAGTTGATATACCCGGGAATATGGCTTTCCGAGCACGACGGGGAGAAAGCTGCCGGAACTCCTGCATGCGGTATGGCGGTCAGGTGACTGTTTTGCGGACATGGCTGCTTTGGGTATCCGTTCTGGTCGGCTTACCAATGACAAGGCCCTTGCCGCTCCTGAGTTCGTCTGCGATGTTGACCTTGCTGCCCGGCGAGCCTTCCATCAGCTCGACGTCCGGGATCTTGTCCCCGACCTGGACGTAGGCGGGCGCCGAGGCGTGGAAAAGACGGCGGGTGGTTGCCGTAAGGGGCCGCGCGAGCGGGACACGACGAGCGGCAAACATGGCGAACGGAGGTGGTGGCGGAGCTGAAGGGGGAGCTTGTATACAGCAGCGCGGTGGTGAGGTGTCTTGGACGCCGGCGGGCGGTCGGCGCTGATTGGCGGAGCCGGACCCGTGGAAGGAGCGATCGACGCGAGGTGGCGCTGGACATTGGCGGGGAGGGCGCGGCGTCGCAGGTGACTTGCTGCTTGCTGCGAGGCCTGCAATTCGGTTCTCTGCGGTGTATGGAGACGCGCCGCCTGCACTTCGCCCGCACGCAAAAGACGGCCTCTGCGCGCCCGGGGTCGCGGCGATCGGAGCTCGCTGGGGCGGGCGCCGTATGTAGGAACGCTGCGTCGAGCGCTCCAAATTGCGGCATGTATGGATGGTGACGGTGCAGGCCGCGGTTCCGACCGCCAAAGGCCCAAGCGGACGGAAGAGGACAAGGCCGTCCCAAAACAAACTTCGCAATTAATCGTTGCCAGCGGCCGATCGCTCGTCCAAAACCCACACCAGGCGACTTGTCCCGCGGGTCCCCCGAAGCGATGTGCGGGTGCTGCTAGCCGATTTGGCTTCCGGATGACGCTGCTGCTGGCAGAATGCCCTCACGCAACAGCTGGCGGCGTGTGGGAGCGCGGGCATTGCTCAGTGCGGTCCTGCGCGCAATACGGATACAGTGCACAGTGCTGGCTAATAATGGCCCGAAGCCGCCCATTTCTTTCATCCTCGATCATCCACCCTGGCCGGCGTCCTCGGCACGGTCGCTTTAGCTCTCCCTGCAGGCCACTCAGCGCCCATTCAGCCACTAGAGTTGCCGTCACGCCGCTGTGCATTCCTCAACCTGCTTTAGTGCTCAGATACCCACCCGAAGAACCTAAACTGCATCTACTCTCCCTCGCCCTGGACTTCCTTCCACCTGCCTGCTGGAACACGACCGCCGTCCCGCATCATCACGGCCTCACCGCAGGCTCATGTGCCATTATTCCGTCATCCCGCATCCTCTATCAGACGCCACTGGCCGGAGACCGCTGAGGCGGTTACTTCGTGGCGGGTGAAGCATCGCGATCGCTCGCCCCCGCCAAAGTCCGAGTCCATCGGAGAGCGCCGCAAGAAGCTCTCGCACGCGCGCTCCGTCGCTTGTCCATCGAACAATAGCAATAGCACGTAGTCGCGACCACGAATTGAGCATATCCGGGCGCGGGGCTAGAGACTCGACAAGCGCGAGCCAAATTCGGGATGGATTCCAACCAGTCGCAGGGCTCGGGGTCGAGCAGTTCGAGCGATTTTGTATGTGGATGCTGCATGTTCGTTCTTGGAGTTGCGCTAATCGCGTCGCAGGTTCGAAAGTTGTACAAGTGCGTCGAGACCGAGTAGTGCTTGCGATTCGCCCCGATGTGCTAATGCGCGATATAGAATGCTCGAAAACCCGACAGACGAGAACGTAGTACGGTGGGGGAATGACGGTGACAGCTTTGTTGTGCTGGAAGTGCGTTGTGGTACCAAGTTCCACGTTCAAGTGGCCGACGCTGACTGCGGTGTAGAACGAGAAGTTCACGAAGCACATCCTTCCCAAGCACTTCAAGCACAGCAATTTCGCGAGCTTTGTCAGACAACTGAACAAATACGACTTCCACAAAGTTAGGCACAACAACGAGGAGAATGGGCAGTCGCCGTACGGGCCTGGGGTGAGTGCTGCCCGCTTATGCGCTCGTACCTTCCATTCACTATGGGCGCATGAAACTTAGGGGCGCATACTGACCTCTTATAGGCATGGGAGTTCAAACATCCGGATTTCAAGATGAACAATAAAGATGCGCTGGACAATATTCGACGGAAAGCACCAGCTCCCCGCAAGGCCAATCAGCCGAACGAGGAGTTGATAATACCCGCCCAACAGATGGATATGATGAGCAACCAGCTAGTCGCGACCCAAGCCCAGCTGCATGCATTAGAGAACCGTTACAATGAGCTGAGCATCCATCACTCAATGCTGCTACAAGAGGTCATCGGCCTACAGAAGACCGTCGTCAACCATGAGCACGTAATGCAAAATGTCATGACCTTTTTGCACAACGTAGATGCTCAACGGCGGCGCGACAGCAGGCTCGCAAATCCTTTCAGCCAAAATGGCAACCAAGCGCAGAATGGAAACGTCGAAGCCCAGAACCAGCCTCTTGAGGATGACAACCCTGCGTCACCTCTTCAACACGCTTCAAAGCTTCTTAGCGAAACAAATGCGGACGTCATGCTGAACCCAAGGAACTTGGAGCATATGAACGAGATCACTATGAGAATGAACGGAACGCTGACCACCCCGCCGCCTGATTTCATACGGAATGCTCGACCAGCAAGCCGCAGCGGTGGGCCACCTTCTGCAAGCTCGACCACCTCAGTGCGGCTTGGGGATATCGATAACTTGGTCTACCCAGTGGGACAAACCAACGGCATCGACCCCATGTACAGTGAACACATCAACAATATTCCATACGGCATGCCGCCAAAGGCTGCTGAAACGAACGACCCTCGCGTCCAGGAGAATCGAAAGAAAAGCACCCAAGTTGACCCTGGGTGGGTTCGTCCTCCTCAAATTTTACTTGTTGAAGACGATCCGACTTGTCGCCGCATCGGCAGCAAGTTCCTATACGCGTTCCACTGCTCCATCGACAGCGCAGTAAGCAAAACCACTTACAATACTGACTTTATACTAATCATGCCCAGCTCGACGGTCTCGAGGCGGTACGTAAAATGAATTCTGGCTCGAAATACGACTTGATTCTCATGGACATCATCATGCCCAACTTGGATGGCGTCTCAGCTTGCCATCTGATCCGTCAGTTCGACAACACGCCCATCATCGCCATGACATCGAATATCCGGAGTGATGATATCTCCATGTATTTCCATCACGGTACGTCTGGGCTCCCTTGAGGCACAATTTCCGCTAACTCTACTAGGAATGAATGACGTTCTTCCGAAGCCCTTCACGAAGGAAGGCCTGTTGCAGATGCTCGAGAAACATCTAGCACATCTGAAGAAGCCCGTAGCGCATTTGGACGGGATGGTAGCGCCGCAGCCATTAGCAACAACAAGGCAGGTCTTAAAGGAAGAAGAGTCGCCAGCGAAGTCCCCAGCAACGGCGAGCAACTGGAATTCTCCAAACCAAATGCCTGGCGTTTCCCCTGTTGGCAGCAACGTAACGGATGAGTACATGCAGGCTGTTCAAGGTCATCCTGGAGCGTACGCCGTCAACCCCATGCAGGGAAATATTGCCTATAATACATCACCACAAATGCCAATGCAGGCACGACAACAACCCGGACACCGAAGACAGATATCGGACATCTCCGGAGGAGACGACATGAATAACCCGGCTAAGCGACAGCAGATGTACGCAAATGCCCCCTTACATCCTCAACCTATGAATCCTATGCAACGGCCTCGTTGACGAACACCTGGCGGGTTCTGCCCAGAATGAAGAGGCTCGCATCGTGTTGGTACGGTCGCTCCGCTGGTGCACCAGGAAGGCCAACTGTGGAAGAAAAGCCGCCGACAGGAATGTTCGACAGAACCGTCGCAGGGCGACAAGCATTAATGGCGTTGGGCGCACGGATACCCAGGCTTCTCAGGCCGCCGATGATGGTTCCATTCTCTTCATTCTCTCCTTCGACCTATCCTCTCCCTACGGTAGATGATTATGAAAAGTGGATTGGACACGAGCGGCATATTCCAAGTGGATCACAGAGAAGAGTAATGGGCGCACGATGGCGTATGGCATCGGACTTAACATATGATGTGGAGTTAGAGGCTGAGATCTAACAGAAAACGGGATAAGTCGGCGATTGTCGCGGTGGCACTCCGCTCGATGTTACTACCTGAGGATATCCGTGTATTGCCTAGAGGAGGTCTAGGGGGCCGCGAGAGGTTTAGAAATAGTCTCGTATCTAGCAAGTTTAACCGGCCCAATGTTGCCCAATTGAGGTCGCTAGGAGCGTTGTGGAGGCAGATACGGAGGCAAACGTGAAAATGGCGTGGGCGAGGGTTAGCCGATGGCCAAGATGTACTCACTAGGTATTGACGCACTGTACCGTTAGAGGACTGGTAATCGTCTTCCCCATACCTTCTAAAAGAGATCTAGGGCGCTGCATTGTCGTTGTGTGTCGTTGCAATAAGCATTTCCCCGTAGTCCTGAGGGTCATGGTCCAGATGGTCTAGACCTTCGCCGCCACACGTGAAAGCCAGGAAAGCCTCCATCGCGTTTTGACCCGCGCTGCGGTCCCATGCGCAGCCGCCCGCCCCACAAAACCTTAATTCTCGGATCTGTGACGCATTTTCGCCTTGTGGTGCCGCTGTGCCTGACTCATCTGCCCAAGTTCGTATCGTGAAGTCGAGCTCCGCACCAACGCCAACCCCCGCCATACCTCAACCCACGAGCTCCGCACCATGCCGCCCAAAGGCAAGAAAGGTCAGTCGAATGAGAAGTCCAAAGCTGGGGAAGAGGAGCGCGATGAGCCGCTCCAGGCCGTGGTAAGGAGAGCAATGCAAATTGTCGTGAGGCCATACTAATTTTCTAGATACTCGCAGACCCCTTCGAAACCCGCTTCAACCCATTCACGCTCGAGCGCCCGCGGGTTTGTACACACCCTTTGCCTCTTATCTCGCTCTACTAATAAGCCTGTAGTGCCTGTTGCCCCTCGCGAATACCCCGCTCATTGAATACACGTTCGAGTTCCTAGCCAACGCCGGCGTCGAAGAGGTTTTCGTATACTGTGGGGCGCACAGGGAGCAAGTGGAATACTACATCAGACGCTCGAAATGGTCGTCACGGTCCTCGCCCTTCTCCAAGCTGGAGCTCATACAGTCGACATCACACTCTATCGGCGATGCGATGCGAGACCTGGATACCCGAGGTATTCTGGTCGGCGACTTCTTGCTGGTATACGGAGATGTAGTTAGTAACCTACCGCTGGAGTCGGCACTGGCTGCGCATCGGGCGCGGCGCGCGAAGGACAAGAATGCCATCATGACAATGGTGCTACGAGAGGCCGGTACGACGCACAGAACAAAAGCGCAGGGGACAAGCCCGGTGTTCGTCATCGATCCCACCAAGGACCGGTGTCTGCACTTCGAGCAGATGCCTAACAGAGAGCAGGCGCATTTCCTGTCCATGGACCCTGACCTTCTTTCCAGCCACCAGGAGATCGATATCCGGCAAGACTTGATCGACTGCGGGATTGATATCTGCACGCCCGATGTCCTCGCCCTATGGAGTGACAACTTTGATTTCCAAGCTCCCAGAAAAGGCTTCCTCCACAGCGTGCTCAAGGACTACGAGCTGAACGGCAAAACCATTCACACGCATATCGTCTCTAATCACTATGCCGCACGTGTTAGAAATCTCCATGCGTACGATTCCGTAAGCAAAGACATAGTATCGCGGTGGGCATATCCATTGTGTCCGGACAGCAACCTCGTTCAGGGCCAGTCGTATCGACTACAGAAGGGCAACATCTACAAAGAGGAGGGTGTCATATTAGCGCGGGATTGCATGATCCACCCCAAGACGGTCATTGGCCGTGGGACTAGCATCGGAGATGGAAGCATAATAACGAACAGCATCATAGGCCGGCATTGTTATATCGGCAAGGGGGTCATGGTCGATGGCGCATACATCTGGGATCACGCAAGCATCGGAGATGGCTCTACAGTCAAGAAAGCTATCATTGCAAACGAAGGTTCAGTAGGAAAGAAGTGCACGATTGAGCCTGGCGCACTCATCTCTTACGGAGTCACCATTGGCGACGGCATGACGATCCGAGAAGAGCATAGAATCACTAGAGCAAAGCGAAAGCGAGCACATGGTGAAGATCTCGTCAGAGGTGTACCGGATACTGCAATAGTTGGTCCTACCGGAGACGGCTTCGAATTCCAAGATTCCGACGAGGAGGAAGACGACGAGCTCGTGGATGGTCTTATCTCCGCAGGCCCTCGTAAGTCGCACCCCCCTACAGACTGTATCATCTCGTTAACCCCAGCAGTATACAAGCTCGCGAATCTCGCAATGTCCGCTGAGTCAATTTCCACGCTCAACAGCGAATCTGAAGAGGAGTTCGAAATTCGGCGGGATCGGTCGGAAGCCAGCAGCTTCCTGTCTGTCGGTTCGCAGGACAGTCAACATGCCGCTAATTTCGACCACGATGCTTCCGCGAGCATTTATGATTCTCTTGTTGAAGGGCACGAGTCGGCCAACATCCAACTAGAACTTACAGCACTTCGCATGAGCACAAACGCCTCAGACCATCAGGTCCGGCGCGCAGTCGTCGTTGCCTTCGTGAAACGAATCACGGCATTAATCAAATCAGGAACCAGCGTACGGGATGCGGTAGCGCAAGTTTTGGGCCAGCACAAGGACTTGGTGGACCGCGCTATATTTGATAAGAACGAATCGAGCAAGGTTGATCAGGTGGACTTCTTGATGCTGCTGCAGGCGGACCTGGCCCATCGAGACGCCGGCGACTCCATTCTATTGAGCGCGGCCACAAAGCTGATAGAGTTAGACGCGATAGAGGAGGACGGCATGCTGCAGTGGTGGGCGGATCCCAGATCTTCGGATGGCGAGGATATGGAGAAGGTGAAAGGCAAGACGCAGCAGTTGATTGATTTCCTAAACCAGTCATCGGAGGAGGAGGACAGTGAAGAGGATGACGACGACGACGAAGAGGAAGAGGATTCTGACTAGGTACTCTCTTGCTCCTCTGCCACTGGGAACTGCGGCACGTAAGATAAGCAGTGGCATGTTATCGAACCATGGGAGGCCAGGACCGGCCAGGCATCCGCAAATATCAGAATTTTGAATTCCATGACAGGACAACAGTTTTCTTTCACTAGCACAGCAGAGATACCACGTCGGAGCCGCAGTAGCAGGTCCGGCCATGCGTGAAGGCAGCTGCAATTCACCGCAGCGGCGCTTCTCGATCGGGCTTGGTGCTTACTAAAACGGCCCTAGCTCAGTTTGTCGCGCCTCCAACGCCCGCGCCCGCCGCCGTCCCGACCTGTGACTCCCTCCCTCGAGCTGACCAATATCTTGCGAACCTGACCCTTCGTTTTTCGCTGCCTGTGTCCTGCTAACTGCTGCCCGCGTGCCTTAGAGCCAGCCGCCCGCTTAACCCCCGTCTCCCTCCGCCCCAGCCTGGTCTCGTCATCACGGCGGGACCGGCCCCTACTAAATCACGACGCCGTCCACCGCCCGCAAGCGCAAGGCAGCAGATTCTGTCGACAGTTTGACTCCGCCCGAAGCTCCCCGCAAGAAGAAGACGCCGGAGCCCGCTGTCGCCCTCCCCGCTACGCCTGTGACGACGACCTCGGCCAACATGGATTCAGACGATGAGTTCAACAGCTCACAGGTGAGCGAGGATGAGTTTATGCAGGACAGCGATGTCGACCTGGTAGACGATGGTAAGGCCAACACGCAAGCATCCCCGTACGACCAAGAGTCTGACACTTGAGCCGTAGATTCGGACTTCGACATGGACCAGGACGATGTGGGCTTCGAGACACAGGATAAGGATATCAAACCAAGCAAGCAGGCCTACGAGGTTGATTTCAAAGTCTTCGACCCCGAACAGATACAACAGACCCAGGACAAGCAGATCACCGATGTATCAGCCATCCTCGGACAGCCACCCGAAGCCACCGCCATCCTCCTCCGCCACCTACGATGGAACAAGGAGCGCTTGATCGATAAGTATATGGAGGACCAGGACGGGATTTTAGAGAGTGCCGGCTTGGGAGAGTCAGCGACGCATAATCCTCCGAAGATAATTAGGGTAAAGGGCTTCGTTTGTGATATTTGCTGCGAGGACGGCCCGGAGCTGGACACTTTCGCCATGAAGTGCGGGCACCGCTTCTGCGTGGGCTGCTATAGGCAGTATCTATACACCAAGATCAAGGACGAAGGAGAGGCTGCGCGAATCAGGTGCCCGGGTGATGGGTGCAACCGGGTTGTCGACTCCAAGTCGTTAGACCTGCTGGTTGCCGAAGATCTTCGAGATAGGTACGTCGAACACCAGATCTTCAGCGCATGGATGCTAACCAAAGCAGATACCAAGAACTCCTCACGCGAACCTACGTCGACGACAAGGAGAACCTCCGGTGGTGCCCCGCGCCGAACTGCGTATACGCCGTCGAGTGCGGCGTTAAGGATAAAGAGCTCAAACGGATTGTACCAACTGTGCACTGCGAATGCGGCCACTATTTCTGCTTCGGGTGCTCGCTCAACGACCATCAGCCCGCACCGTGTGCGCTGGTTAAGAAGTGGCTCAAGAAGTGCGAGGACGACTCCGAGACTGCGAACTGGATATCGGCAAACACAAAAGAGTGCCCGAAGTGCCACTCGACAATCGAAAAGAACGGCGGGTGTAACCATATGACGTGCCGGAAATGCCGACACGAGTTCTGCTGGATGTGCATGGGTGTGTGGTCAGAGCATGGAACGAGCTGGTACAACTGCAATCGATACGAAGAGAAGAGCGGCTCAGAGGCTCGGGATGCTCAGGCAAAATCTAGGCAATCACTGGAGCGGTACCTCCATTACTACAACCGATACGCGAACCACGAACAATCTGCGAAGCTCGACAAGGACATCTACCTTAAGACGGAGAAGAAGATGCAGCAGCTGCAGAACACTACGGGCATGTCCTGGATCGAGGTGCAGTTCCTCGATACGGCATCGCAGGCTCTCCAGCAATGCCGACAGACCTTGAAGTGGACCTACGCGTTCGCTTACTACCTTGCGCGCAACAACCTGACCGAGATCTTTGAAGACAATCAGAAGGATCTGGAGATGGCGGTCGAGAACCTGAGTGAGATGTTCGAGAAGCCCATTGATCAGCTCAAGGGGCTTAAGGTCGACATGATGGACAAGACTGCTTACTGCAACAAGAGGCGCATTATCCTCTTGAACGACACGGCGGAGAACCTAAAGCAAGGTATGTCTTCTTACAGCCCTGTCAAATGCATTCTTGAATCTAACCATCTTCTAGGGAATTGGGAATTCAACGTCTCAATGTCTTGAATACCCCATAAGCACCTCCCTGCTAAACAGTGTGCAGTTTATCGACACTGGTACACGCCTCAGGTCCTCCGGCTCATCTATGACCCCCTCATCCGGCATGGCAAGCCCGGCTATGGCGCACCTTCGCAACATACTGCAAAGAGCCCGCGGCTCCAACCGTTGAAACGACTACGAGCGAACCATCGTCTGGCTCATTATCTAGGCCCTCATTTCCTTGTCTCTGTATAGCATTGCCGGTGTACTACCCCTCTCTACTTATCCCTGCGCTTTTTGGATCACGGATGATGATGATGGCAGTGCAGGGCATAGGTTTCCTCTTTAGATAGGGTCAATAGTGTCCGGGAAGGCAGCTGGGGATGGGGTTGTCCGGCGTTCTTTGCGGTTGCGACAGGCTTTAGCACGCAAATAGGCATAGCATGGGTCACGATAAGGAATAGATCCCAATTATAAGAGCATGTTGAATGTCCGAAAAAGATTTATCAGGTGCGTGATTTTTGGTATCGCGTTCAGTCCTCCGGCTATTCTATCGTACATCGTAATACATCTCGTATCATTGCGTCATTCCGTGGTACCCTTACTCCCCCTTGCCCTGCTTCCCATAGAACGCCTTCTCGCCGCCGAGGTCCTTCAGCACTTGCTTCGAATGCTCCTTAGACGCGTCGCTTGTGTCTATACCACGTCATATAATTAGCGTCGCCCATACTCAGAGTCAGAAAAGAGGCTTACTCGGGTTGCTCAGGTTCGCCTTGTGACCTTGCGCCTGGTTGCTAACGTCCTCGGTCGTGTTGTTGATGTTCTGGTCGGCTTCGGTGAGTCCGGCCATCTTGTCTTGGTGGCCGCCTCCTTGTTGGGGGTCCATTGTTGCTCCAGGGGGTGGGGTTATGTAGGCTATGTGATACGTTTTGAAGGTATGGGAGCTTTGTGGGCTGGAGGCTTTGTAGTGGTTGACGATGGAATGCGGGAGAAGGAAAGTGTATCTGGCACCCTTATATACGGCGGAGTGATGTCCGAGGACCGCGATGACGAAATGTGCAGGCCACTACTCGTTTATAAGGTGGCCGGCCCTACTGTACTAAATGGCCTCCGTTCCTGGGGCACATGGAAGGTCAGTTGTGGGCGTGGTTCCGTGGCAGCGATGAATGCGTGGCTTGGATTTCATCATCGTTTCAACATGATTCGTTCATATATCACAGAAGCTTTTCGCGTCCAGCACTTGTGATTCTAGAATTTTAGAATGCGGTGCAGTGTCTCGGAGAAACCTGTTGTAGAGGGCTTGGTGTGGGTGGGTTTTGGTTGTGATGTATGCGCATTACCTCATTGAGGAGCTTCGGATCGCGATGGTCGGGTATGGCGGCGCGGGTAGATCGGGCGGAAGCACTGAGGTCTACGGCGAACACGGCGTTCTTCAAAAATCCTTTTCTTCAGGCTCATCGGGTTTTAGGGATTTGGGGGGAGAGATTTTGTTACTGTACCGAAATGCCTCTCATGCGATGCCGTCGATTCACCATGCACTACTTCCACGTGACACTCCATGTCTCCTCTCCTCTCCTAAACGGCACAACCTCCGCACCACCAACTCCATCCCTCTTCAGCACCTCAACGATCTTCTCCTTCCCCCTTTTAAGCACAATCCTCTCCCCCTTCTTCTCCTCGACCCCATAAAACCTCCTCCCCCAACCCCCTAGAAAGCCCTCCACTACCTCCATCGTGACTTCCTCCTCCTTGACCACTCCCCTCTCCACCCCTTTACTCAACGCATCAAGGACGTACCCCAGTGCATACGGCTGCGTAAACACCCCCGCAGCCACCTTATCCTCCCCTCTCTTCTTCACCCGATCATGCGGCGCTGAATCGGTCCCCAGGAAGAACTTACCCTCGCTGCTCACCACGGCACGGAGCAGCGCATCGCGGTCCTCGGGTGTTTTAGCAACGGGCTTGCAGAAGCAGAACGGGTCGCCCGCCCAGTCGTCGATGATGAGGCTAAGGTGGTGCGCGGTGATGGTTCCGGCAACGGAGGAGCCGCAAGCGCGGACAGCGGCGAGGGCAGCGGCAGTGCTGCAGTGCTCCAGGATGATGCGCAGCTGTGGGAACTTTTCATGCAGCGCTTTCAGCGTGGGCAGGAAGGCGGGCTCGGCGTTGAGGATGGTGATTGCGGAGGTGTTGTTGGCTGTGGTGGAAGAGTGTGCGTGAGACGGGGTGGAGGGAACTTCGCCGTGCAGATTGAGGACCATGTTTTGTTTCTCCATTTCGGCGAAGACGGGGTAGAAGGTTTCGTAGTCTATGACGCCGGACGATGAGTTCTGTATACTCCATTAGTGAGGTGAGGGAGTGCTGATACGGAGATCGACTTACGGTCGTGACGCCAGCTGGATATGACTTCACGCCCATGATGCCTGCTTTCTTCGCCTCGCATACCACTTCCGGGGTGATGGATTCATGCAAGTACAAAGACATGAGGTAATCCACATCCGGCTCGATAGCCTTCAAGCGGCCGCGGTATTCGAGACATTGCTGCACGGTTGTGACGGGTGGGATGAGGTTGGGCTGTCTTCCAAATCAGCCAATATACTCACAAATCGTAGAATGTAGTGAAATCAAAGCCGCAGCATATTGCAAATAAAGCTTCGGAACCAATATTGAGGCCGGTTTGTGCATACCATAACATACACCTGATTCACACCACCCTGCCGAATTGTCGGCGTAACAAGCTGCGACATCTCACCATCTCTCAAATGCACGTGTGCGTCGAATGCTGCTGGCAATTCGATCTCGTCACTCCTCATATCCATGATGTCTTCGGGCTCACTACGACCTCAATGGAATTGGAGGTGGCTGCATGCTTTTTTTGCGCGAGCGAGATCGGGACCAACTATTTTTGCGGCTATTCCCATTCGGGTAATCACGACCACAAAACATGTCTCTTGCGGTAGGGAATTCTCCAGGTCTAAGGGCTCGCCGTATAAGTAAGTAAGATTAGCTGTCCTGTTATACGCACCCGCAAAGGCCTCCAGGGTAGCTGTTGCACACGTTGCTCTATCCAGAGAATTCCACACCGTGAGAGCATGTGGGGACGGTTTCCTCAACAAACGTGTTCAGAATGTTTATGCTGAAGAGTTGGGTATCTTGAATGCAGAACGCTAGTGAAGAGTCACAGCGGATATCCTCCAATAACCAGGGCTTCCCCGCTGTAATGCACGATGAGACGATAGCAAAGAGTAACGCCGCTCAAATGCTCCTGTGTTCTAACTTGACGACTGATACCACCACATGCTATCCTGTCAGGCGTATGCTCGCCTGCCCTGCTCATTTGCCTTCTTTAGTCCTTTCTCCGGCACCTTGTCCCACGCCTGAGGAACGTATTGGACTGGAAGTCCGGAATGTCGGGTTTTCCTAGAGGGTGCCTTCTCGAAACAAGGGTCGAGGTGATGTGGCCTTGATCCGGGCTTGGTGAGCTTTGTGGGAATGCCGTTTGAGGGAGTGATGCCGGACTGCTCCAAATGTTCCTCGCGTCGCGCTCTTTTGCTCAGGGAGGACCTAGAAGACTCTTCACTGGGGAGGTGAGGCCGCTCTTCAACATCATCGAACTCCTCCCTTGCTCGCTTGCCTCGGACAGGCAAGTGATTAGACAATGCCGAGAAGGTAGGCCGCAGAAAACCTGAGACACTCTTTGATAGTCTCTCAAAAATAGTGTCTGATGTTAAGACTCCTCCCGCTGTTGGGGGATTAATTGCTGTCGCCTTGTGGTGGGTGTCTTGCGCAGGGCCTAAAGGGTTGTGGACGGAATTGAGGGCAATATGGTCTTGCTCGGAGGCCACATTGATAGAGGAGTGCAATTGTCGAGCGTGTTGACGGACCGGAATTAGAACATAGGCGACAGATCGTGCACGAGCCGATGAGAAACTCGTGCTCGGCTCGTTGTCAGAAGGCTCTACAGCGCCAGATTTACTTTCGAGTGTTGTTTCGGGAGGCTGACGAGAAGAGGAAGCCGTAATCCGCATGTTGAGACGTATAGTGTGCCCAGTATCATCGGTCATAACACCTGTATCCTTATCGCTTGAAACCTTGTCGGCGTTCAATATCTCTGCGGGGCTGGTTTCTACCGCGTGCCGCAGACTTAGTCCCAGTGGTTCGGCGACGTGCCTGTCAACGGCATTCCCGACCATTCGGATCTGCTCGCTGAGGGATCCGATGATGACTTCGTCGGGTGGGATGCCTTGAGCGCGTCTCGCCTCTTCGATACTGAGTGGCCGGTTTTGCTCCCAGTGCACCACGGCACCACCTCTAGCGTCATGTGGACTTGGATTCGTGGTAATGGTGGAGATCAAGCCATCCTTCGTCATACGACGGAACGCTTTTCCTATTTCCTTCCTGACCCCGGGAAAGTCGGGGGGAATGAGGCCCAGTCTCAGAGCATCAGCCAACCCTTGCCCTGGAGGATGCGTAGGCACGCGGTTGATGATGTTCTGGTAATCGCGATTTAATGGCCTGTGCAGCCTGTGGTCTGGGAAGGGAATACAAGTCTGCACCTTCCCATTGCCAATGTTTGGGAGCTCAGCGATGGCCTCTCCCGCAGAGACAAAAGCAAAGGGAGTTGGATACTCTTCATGCACGCCAAATTTCTGACCAGTCAAAAGCTCCCCAATGCTCCTGCTTTTAGCACTGTCCGGATGGGAGTGTGTGTGCCAAGGTGCGATGATAGGAGCAAGACCCGGTGCAGCAATGGAAACGATGAGCCTCGAACGTTGCTGGGAGCCCCTGTAATTCCAAGAACTCATGATGAACTGACGGACTTGATAACCGAGTGCCACTAGGCATGCCACAATTTGCGATAAGACTCGCTCCCCTTCATAACCCTTCCTATTGCAGGCCATATTTACCACGTTTTCTAGTAGGGCCCACTTAGGTCGGTAGAGGTCGACAAAAGAACAGAATGTAGTGACATGCGATGCGTTTTTGAGCGACTGCTTGCTGAGCCAGTCTTGTTGCAAAGTTGAAAACCCGGGGCACGGACTCCCAGCAGCAATAACTGCGAATTCTTCCATATCGCTTGCAGAAAGCGCAGCCGCCAAGTAGTCGTCTACCGAACCGAGCCAGAGCTTGAGGTCAGTGTAGCGCGCATTCGCTCGCAGAGTATGCACAGCTTCCGCATTATAATCGACCGCCGTTTTAAATTGAACTGCGCCAGCTTCTTCAAGACCGCGATCCAAGTTTCCGCAACCGCTGAAAAGGCCGAGTCCAGGCAACTTCTCGAAGGATGGCTTCATAGTGGGATTTGGCCCCTGAATAAGGGATATAGGCGCCTCTGCTAGAGGCTTGATTTTTGGTTGATCCTCGGTCATTGTCCGCTGGGTTGATAAGATCCAAAAGTCGCCTGCTCCTCCTCGATTGTAGGGAAAGGGTATGTTGTGGGAGAGGACGTCTTCTATGGAGAAGAACTTGATGTAGCACCTGCGTTCGACACGCTGAGCCGAAACCTTGATGAGCTCCCTAGTCCAGACCAACTCATTTTCTGCGATCCCTCGCTTTCGCGTATTCCCGAGTGTGTCTGGGCAATCCCTCTTCAATCGAAGCAGTCGCCGTACTGTGACCTCCTTGTTTGTATGGTCAACACTATGGATGACCACCGGCTCCAGAATACGACGTCCAGCATTGGTCTTCTTGATGTATACGCTATCTCCAACGCGACAGTTTTGAACCGACCCTGTATCTCCCTTCGTGCAGTCGCATCCGAAATGTGCCTTTTGGAGCGTGATGAAATGGGCTTCCTCGGGCATATAGGTCTGCCGTACCAGAAAGTCCTTATCAGTGTCGAACGCTCTAGAGAACCAATCGACGGTGCGTCGACTAGTGACATCGGTCGAAAGGAGTTTTGGCTCGTTGCAGTTGCAGTGGTCGGACATGAACAGCTCCTTCTCAACGGGATAGTCCGCTGTGGAGATTGTAGTGTTTTCTGGATGGTACAACCAGAGAACGAACAACTGCTGAGTGTTGTCCTCTAACATTTCAACCCTGTGAATGTACGCAACCCATTCCCTTTGGACCGCTTCATTCGTTGCTGTCTTCCGCCAGAGCTTTTCTTCGCTTTCGTTTGGCTCGATAGCAACAACATCGCCGACTACGAAGGGCCGAAGATCCCGAAGCCGGAAGAGGCTGGATTTAGGAGACGTCTTTGGTTGTTTGGGCGGCGGATCTATGGGAAACCCCAATAATCGTTTCCTACGATCTTGAAGTTGCCGGACAGCGTCCGATGGCTCCATCTCCAGTAACTCTTCCGCAAAATACCTCTTCTTGAAGCAATGAAAAGTATGAGGAGTGGTAATCGTTTTCGTGCAGATGATAGGTTGCGGCTTGATGCTTTTGTGATCGTCTCACATGCAATCTGCCCAGAGTTGGTGCTTCAGCAGGGTCTTTGCATTTGGAAGGTTGTACGCCTCTTGCACGAGATAATCGATATGAGCGTGGACTGATATGCAAAAGTCGATTCTGCCATACTCGCGGAGCCAGTCGGTAAAGTCAGCATTGTTCAAGAACCGGTGGCTCAGCCACTGATGAAAGTCGTTCCGGAAACTCTCAAGGCTGATAGAGTCTTCGTGCGCCTCCAGGTAATCAATAACATGCTTTCCAAAGGTGGCAACCCACTTGAACGGCTCGTAGAATCTTCTGTAGCGGCGAGCGGGGCTGTTTAACCGATACCAGATATCGTAGTCGCGGTCGTGGTTCGCTTCCTGAGACTGGAGAAAAATGGTGGTATTTGGGCGATCCTCTTCTCCGTATCCTTCAATGGAGTATACTTTGACGCGCACCGCTCGAACGTAGTGGCGCACCTCTCCAATAGCGAGGATTCCATCGAAGCACAATTCCCTACCGCGGACATCCAGAAACTCCAGAGACGTGAGCTCATTGGCAAACTGCTTCGCGTTCGGTGATAGATAGATTTCGAAATCGGTGAGATCGACCACTAGGAACTCCTTTCTTGAGTGATATCCTTCGTATTGGACCACCTCAGCTGGATTAGCTTCCCAGGCTTTCTTGAAGTTGACAAGCGCCCTCGCCTCTGCTATGGCGGTGTAAGGAGGGGTCCAGTTCTTGTCATACGATCTTGGGTAGTCCGCTTCGGCAGGTGCAGTCTTGATTGTCTCGCTGTTCTTCGCATATTTGTGAATGATGACCCGGGGGCTGTTCGCCCGCACCCGATCGCTGGAGTCCATTCCTGCCGAACAACAAGATTTCGAAGGCCGGCCGGACATACAATTCTGTTGGGCGGAGTTCCGCGATCCGAATAAAGGCTGTTGTTGAGGAAACGACGAAGAGCGCAAGCAAAGAAAGTCAGGTAGCCATCCCAGAGCTCGCCTTCACCGCGAGACCAGCCAACAAAGAAAAAGTCTTCCTCTTGAGTCAAACTTGCAGAGTAAAGTCCGGCAGGCAAACGTCTCTCACCTCGCGACCAGGCGCAAACAGCAAACGCACCAGCTGTCTAGCGCTTTCCGGTCGTGCGGTGAGGAATGAGAGACATGTAGTGGGTAGAGAAGTGATTGTTTAGGTGGTGTCCTGGGCGGCGGAGAAGTAAGGGAAAATGTGAAGTGAGAGCGAGAAATCGCGGTGTCGCTGCGCGGGGGGATCACCCTAGGCAAGAACAGGCGACCCCAGCCACCGCTTTATGTCCAAGTCCAAGCGGCGTAGAAACAAGCCATAGGACTTCAAAGTTAGGTTTAGCAAGTAGTGTGGATAGATTTCATGCTCATAAGAAGTGTTTCAGATGAGTGCTGGCATGAGCAACAATATCCATCGGGTCCGTGGTGAAGGCGCGGTGCCACGCGTGGCACGTGGGCACGTGTCGAGGTAAACGAGCCAATCCGTTCTAGCGGACTGTGGTAGGAGGAGACCGACGGTGACAGCGCGAGGCGGTAGGATTTTATCCGGATTTAAGGGCTCGCCGTACATGCTCGTAGAGGTAACTTTATAGGATATAGCATTGTACGCACTTGCGAAGATCTCTAGGTTGGCCGTTACGCACGTCGTTATAGCTGGAGAATTTCACACCGTGAGACTCTGTGACGGCGACTTTGGCGCATCTGCAATAAGAAGCCCATGCGACTAGACTGTGAACGCGGTTTACCAATGTTGTGGTGGACGCGGCCTCGGGGCGATTACCGCGTAGGAGAGGAACGTGACGCGATGATCGAGAGTTTCATGAATTATGCATCCGTAGATCTAGCCCGCTAACTCCCAATGCCATCTTATACAAAGCCCTGTGCCGGAGCCATAAACGCCGTAGCCCCAATGAGCACCATCCGCATTAGCCTCCGCTTTTTGGCGCGTAATCCCAGATATGACTGGAGTCCCAAGATTCCGTCTCCTCCTTCCTCGCCTTGGGGTCCTCTCCTCTTTTAAAAGCCTCCGATCTCTGTTGACCTAGCCAGCCATCTATCTCATTTATACTTTTTATCAGCTCTTCCATCCTTGCCTGCTCCGTCACGTTGAACTCTATCGCTTGGCCTTCCTCTTTCGCCTTGTCTGCCCTCTTATTATAGACATCTAGCTCAGTAAACTGCTTGTCCCGCTCTTTCTGCTTGTCCCAGTAGTCCTCGTACTTTTGGCGGCCTCCAAAACAGATGCCGTACCCATCGCAGTAGCACGTGTTCTGTGCGGGACAGTACACCTCGTGACCAGTGAATATGTAGTGCCATATATATTCGAAGACTCGGCCAGAGTACTGATCGTCCATGGGCGTGTTCATCAGCCATCGTCGGTAGTGGAGGAGTCTCTCAATCGGGACCTGCTGTATCCTTTCCCTGCTGACCGCAAACTGAGCGCAGCATACGCCTGATAGTGTCGGCGGTATGGGCGCACCCGGGTTTACCTCCTCCCAGATATGCCGCCGCCAGTGTATCTCCTCAGGCTTGTGGTAGAAGTCGAAGTCGCCGCCGGGACGGTCCATATGTATCCAGTCGGGGCAGCCGGGCTCGTGGTGACAGCGAACATTCATGTACCCCAATCGAGCTACGCGCTCGTGGTTCAGGCGCTTGAGCATCATTGCGGCGTCCTGGCCCATGAGCAGGTTGTTGTGCCAAGCGTGTCGGTGGGCGTGCATGAAGATGACGGTATCGGGGAGGTCGTCATAGTGGTCAATCATGTACGTGAGGTAGACCTAAATCACGTCTCCAAATCAGCAAATCTACATGAAGCATGTTGCCGTGGCTAGGCTGCCATACCATTGCTTCCCGTCCTTTGTTCTTGGGCACTTTGTACTTCGCATTCGGGTTGTCCACCTCATACACCACCAGGGGCATGTCTGGGAGCTCTCTCTGCATCCATGATATGTCCTCTTTCTTCGTCTTCGGTATTACGACGGCCCAGGTGTAATTGGAGCCTTTCGGCTTCGTCTCGCCATCCCGGAACCGTATGGGGATGCCGAAATCGAGCGGATCGCCAACATACGACGACGTTTTCGACTGCGGAGCGCCTGATCCGAAGCCGGGAACGGAGGGCGCCTGGGCAAATTTGACGTAGCACCATGCCACGACCAGGAGGAGCAGGATAGAGACCAGCGACACGAGCCGCGGCGGCCCGGCGAGCATCTTTGCGTAATCGGCGTTCTTCGTTCACCGCTTGTCGTATATCAGGTACGGGTCGCGCATGGTCGATGGGGGACGGAGGACTGCGCAGCTCCTTCGGGGACACTCAACGAATGTAAGGTCGATGCGTGCGGCTGTGTTCGGGGACCAACCAGGATCAGCGAACAAAGACGCGTGTTTCACCTTAGCACAGGCTGCCTAAAATACAAGCGTAAATTGTTGATCGACATGATTGTATAGTGAACGACGCGACGTTTTGGGGGTTCCCCACTCTGCAGTCTCGACCGTGGAGGCCGATGTGAATTATTCGGTACGATGGACCACGGGTGTCAGGCTACTGTGGTACTGTTATGAACAGGACGCGACCATCGCGAGAGCGTTAACATCAACTCGGCGTGCGCTTCATTAATATATCTCCCTTGGCAAAGCTTGATTAATGTCAATCCGGTATCAAGTTTGAATGATGCTCGACTACTCTTCTGATACCTAGGCGTCATGGTTAGGCAATTGCAGCTTCGTGCAAGAGGAGTCCAAGATAACATGTAGAATGCGCCTAAAGGCTTGAAAGGTGCACCCTTCAAATAGTGATAAAGCAGGTATCGAGCTACCACATCATTCCACACTGCCCGCATCACCCTCGTGTTCAGCATCCTCAGCATCATCTTGTTGTCTCTGGAACCTCTGGGCGAACTCTACAGCACTTTCGACCGCCTCGCCCACCACACACCCGCGCTTGCGCTCGTTGTCAATACTGTCGTCCGAGCTGCTGTCGTCGTCCGAATCAGGCCAAGATCCAGGCGCATGGTGAGGCCTACTTGAACCCTCTGTGTTTCCTTCCTTCTCCTCTTCCATCGCGGGGAGCGCCGTCGCGAAGCAATCGCTTCGACGAGCTCTTACACTAGGTATAAGCGTTTCCGTAGAGTCGAGGGGCGATACTCCGGTTGGAGGCTCAACTCCATGAAGCGATAGTTGCCCTGTGAGTATCATCCTGTCCGGATCCAAGGATCTCAGTCGAGAGTCAAGAAGATATTCTTCCGACGCAATCAAATTTCCTTTTCCACAGACATGAACTAAGGCCTGACTGTTGCCAGCAGCGGTTGAGGCAGATAAACGTCGGATCTCAGGTATCTCGAAATTATAACTCATCGCATTGCCAATTGTGGGGTTCGAGCTGTTGCGTCGAGTGTTGCGCATTGTCGGCTCTGGTGTTGCACCGCTGGAAGGCGTTCGAGGGGCCGATTGGGTGTGCCGGAGCCGGAGCGAGGAAGGCATTTTGAAGACAGCGTGCGAGGTGAGTCGTTGCAAGGGGGTTGGGCGCGGGCGAGCAGCAGGCGATTTCGCTTTGTCGCGTTGCTGGGCGTGCGATTTCTCTTTGCCACGGAAATGATGGAGGAAGAGAAAGTGGGTCTTGCGTCCTGGTTCTTTGGAGGCAGAGGGTTGGCAGATCAATCTAGAGATTAGCCCTTCGTCGGATGAGGAGCTCGATGCTACGCTCCCTGCAAAGGCGGCGGTACACTTAGCAGATGTCACAGACCGAGGGGGAATCTAATACTCCACCATGTCTTAGGCATTTACCCGCTGAAGGCCTCGAGGAGGAGATTTTCGCAATTAAAAGATGAGACATGCTGGAGTGTGTACCGCGACCTACATACCTCGCGAAACCCTCCCGTCGTTGCAACGATCTGCTGGCCCGTCGCTCCATTGACTCGCGTCCGTCGCTAGTTCAGCTTGACGTGGGAATGGCAAGTTCTGAAGTACTTCAAGGCTCCGCCTCTTAAGCCTCCGCTGCCGGGTGGCGATCTCGGCCGCTTGATCCTCCAAGGATGGTCCTGAATAGAGGCCGGGCCACGCCAATGTCTCGGAGGGTTCTCTGGCATGGTACCCGGCTGCAGGAGAGAACCGACGATATGAATGTAACCGCAGGGCCGTCACAAGCCTCGAGCCTTTCCTTTGCTGCAAGAGAGGGACACCTTCTGCGCTTGATGCTGGTAAGAGAGTATAGCAGGAGGCGAGCAATTGTAAGGCGATGAAATGGAGGAATATATCGAAGGCCGCGTCCTCGGAACCAGCGGCACTTGCGGGATGGTGAGCCTTCGCGAGCTGCACGGCTACTCTGCTGGGTGATGGAAGGATCTCCATGTTCATCAGAATTGTACGTATGAAGAGATGGAGGCGATCAGGATAACAGACTGACCTGGAAAGGCGGCTGCGTGCGAGTCGACCAGAACTCATCGCACGCACTTAGTTCCAGACATTCTGCGACCTCCGCCATTATAGCGTCCTGAACTTTCGCGATCTCTGGCTTGATATCGGGATCATTCAATTCGACATCGCTTACAAGCCGCGAGAAATACTCCGTTTCCGTTGTGTCGCCAAAGAGGAAATTAAGATGCGGAGAGTGGAACTCTGTGTCGAGAGACTGCTCTGGGACGATGCTAACGCTGAGCCTGTCTGTTCGTTTTCGGCGCGGGGAGCGTGACGTTCGCATTTTGGAGGCTTTGCCGCTCTGCAGGACTGGCACGTTCAAAAATAGGAAAGAGGGTTACATAGGAATACGAAATAACATAGTCGAGAAGCCCAGGACGTCGTCGTGGGGACGAAAGGAAGGTCTAGAGATGTGGGAGCAACACAAAGCAGGTGCATACTAACACAGAAAGCGCGACCGCGACCGCGCTCTAGACCGAGGCCCGCCGCGTGCTTCTCGCTATGCTAGGCATTGCTCCTTACATGCGCAAAGCTCCTCCTGGAGGCCTTCGACAGGTTTAGACTCATGTAGTTGATTCCTTACTCGGCCCGAGCAGTTTGACAGGTCCGCAAGTGTCGGGATTGGCCACTTTAGCAAAAAGCGAGGTCCAAACGTAGACTCTTTATCTGTTTCCAATCCGGCGCAGTGGTCGAATCGACAGTATATGCCTCGCCTTGGGAACACGTGGACATTTTTGTTATCTGCGGTCCCAATGTCCCCTTCCGTGCATGCCTTCACGCCTGGGAAACAATAGATGGATCAGCTCCGGAAAGGTGCTCAATATTCATCGCCAGGCTGAGGTCTAAGCGCGGTAGCTCTAGAGGCGATTGTAGGTCATAGCGCGCTCAGCCGGTACCGCCCATGTCAGTGTCTTCTGCTTCACCATTCGACGGGGATTGCGTTGGATCTTCCTCAGCGACAAGACGCGGGCCGTTGGGTGTCTGAGAAAGTACCAACCGAGACCAGTCTCCTCTTTTGGCCTTTGCCTCATTTAGTCTCGCTAGAAAGTTTGACGGAGCCGGCCGGCCCTCTTGAGCATCGGGCTGCATGTTGCCGGTGGGCTGGGTAACTACGCCTCTTTCACTTGGCGCGTCCGCGGAGGTATCCATCTTGTCCGTAGTGTGCTGCTCCTCGCGCGGATTTTCGAAGAGATCATCGCGTGGACGGAGACGGCCAACCCTCGCGACCAATCTGGCCGAACCGGTGGCAAGGAGATCTACTGCGGGCAATGACCGAAGGGGCTTCTCCGTGACGCCCGCAGCTGGCTTCGGCTTCACGAAAAACATGTCGGTTCCGAGAGTTGACGTCCACTGGCAGCTGAGCATCTGGTCGTTATACAGAAGCAACGGATTCGAGGTATGCAGACCAGTGATCTGGATCTCGCCGACTGAACCTGCGCCCTGGGCATCTGCAGCATTCTCGGTTTCCCTCCGTCCTGCGTTGAGCGCCCTCAGCCTGGTCTTGAGCAGCACCGGGTGGCCTCTCTTGGGGAGCGCGTTGACCGGTCCCTGTGCGCCGGGCACATTTGAAACGTCGATTGGAATATAGAAATCCTCGGTCTCGTTCTCGTCGTATTCATACTCCCACTCGTCGTCGTCTTGTGCGTACGCCATGGCGTGCGGTGATGATAAATGTGAGGTCGAATTAAAGAGGCCTAGCTGGTCGGCAAGTCCACGGGAGCGAAAAGTGGGCCAAGCCTTGCCTGGGCTTGGCGCTCGACATGACTCTTGCTGTAAAATACAACCTTGAAGGTCGTACATCTAACTATACGTGCCACTGTACCAACCTGTGAAGGTCTCCAGGGTGGCCGTTACGTGGGTCGTTATATCCGGAGAATTCTGCACCATGAGAGACCGCTCAAGGTTCCCATCCTCCTACTTCGTGGCGCCGAAAGAAATCCGCGCCGACGGGATGCGATGATGGGAGGACTGCACTGAAGCAGGGCGATGCCGGAAGCGTGCGCACTGCTTCGAAACAAATGCTGCCGCACGTGTGCATCCGCACTTCTCCTTCGGGAATAGTGCAGACGACGTGTGCCCAGCCTTCCAACCAAGGTCAGACTTCGGACCCTCCAGCTCCTACAAGCTCCCCGAACCTGCGTTCTGCCCAGTGCCGGGCTTCAAGGCATATTTCTCCTCGTCCGTTCATACTTCGTTGACCACCGCCGATTCATTCGTTCCATATCGTTTCGCAGCAGTCCTGAAGTTCCCGCCCCGCTGCCGACGCGGGGGTGCTCGGTCATCGTGACAAGTAAGTCCCCTCCGCCAAACTCCGGCGCATGCAGGCGGATTGAAGACATCATGAATGGCCTCCGGCGCTTCCGCATCCCCCCAGTTTGCACGCTTTTCTGCTCAGGCCACAGTCACGCCCCACTTTCCTTCCCTTGACGTCGATTATCCGCGTGCTTCCTTGAGCTTAGCCTCCGGGAAGGCAATTGGAGCCTCGATCGGAGTGGACGTTCATGTGTATTTTGTCAGCCTTCGGAAATATCGGCGGCCAGCTTGCCCTTAGTAACCTGATCCCTTCCGCAGTGGCATGCAATTGGCCATGAAGCTAATCAATCAGTGCCCATCGTGCCTTACGCGCACAATGGAGGCGGCCAGGTGCCTTTCCGGGGGTTCCTCCCCTTGCTATCCTCGCCCTCGCCCGTATCTTCCTCCGTCGTCCCTTCATACCCTCCGGCAGTGGTATACGCCTCCGATACTCCCGGCGAGATCCCCAACGTCGCGCAGGACGCCTCCCACCGCCGTCTCCCGCCCACTATCGATATCCCTATAGACCATCATTCGCATGAACAGCCAGCCGGAACAGCGCATACGGCCTTTGTCCCTTCTGTTGGTGGGCTTTCCGAGGAGTCAGATACGCAGATGAAGGGCCGGAAACCAGCCATTGCCGCCGCTGGTACATTCTTCGGCCTCTTCTCCTTCTCGCAGATATACCAACACGCGATATTCCCGAGAATTACCCCGCCCTCAGAGCGGGCAGAAGACAGGAGCTGGGTGCAGTCGTCACATTCGTGGTTAGACAAGAAAGTCTGCAACTGGTTCGGCTTCTGTGGTCTGACGCATCTGAACCGCGCCGGCTGGACTACCAAGAACAAGCAGAAGAAGGGAAATGCGTTCTTTGCAAACAGCAATGGACAAGATAAGATAGACCTTGGCGAGTTCTGGAGAAGTGCGCAAACGCTTCCTGAAGACTGGTCTGAGCAGGAACTCAAGGACCGTGAGATACCTAGTTACGTCATAGACCATGCGCCATTCATTCATCTCTACTCCGGCGAAGAATATTGGCCATGCGATATGGCGGATCACCTCTTCCACACCACTCCCCATCTCAACTATACGCCACTCCAGGCCGCCGAAGACCACCCGAATCTGACGGACCTAGACGACCTGAATAAATGGGGCCGCTTCGTGTATCTACAAAGCGATGACAATGTTGAAGACCGCCCGGAATGGTTAGGAGGAGAGAGCAACATTCCCGACGTTCCGGAAGATTCAGATCCGGACACAGATGAGGGCAGTCGAACGGATGGTCACTTTAGCGAGGACGAGGAAGGCGAGCGTTCAAGCTGGTGGGACGTCGGCATAGGCGATACCAAGGAAAGGGGAGGCATTCGACCTACGGGGGCAACCAATTCACGTGTTCCCGTACCGACTGATACCCCGGAAGGTGAAGAATGGGTTGACACTGATGATGAGACATGGCAGCCGGAGCTTCTTCGTCGCAAGATGCGTCGAGAGCTCGGCAAGAAAATTGTTGGAGGCAGAAGTGATGCGCCTGTAGTGCTCATCGTTGTGCCGAAGGAGAACGGTGTTGTCGACGCTTTCTGGTTCTTCTTCTACAGCTACAATCTCGGCAACGCCGTCTTCAATGTGCGCTTTGGCAATCATGTGGGCGACTGGGAGCATACCACCGTGCGGTTCCAGGACGGCGTGCCCAAGGCAGTTTTCTTCAGCGAGCACAGCTTCGGGGAAGCATATACTTGGGACGCTGTCGAGAAGATTGGCAAGAGGGTAAGTTCTGTACCGTAAATGCTAGGCTAGACTAACTCCGCGAAATAGCCTGTTGGATACTCGGCCACGGGAACGCACGCAATGTACGCAACGCCTGGTGTGCACCCTTACATTTTACCGGGAGGCATTCTTCACGACGTCACCGATCGCGGCCCCTTATGGGATCCAACCTTGAACCTGTACTCTTTCACCTACGACTACCAGAAAGACAATCTGCGAAGCTCCAACCTAACGCCGCAAGCGCCAACAGGATGGTTCTACTTCATGGGCCATTGGGGCGACAAATTCTACCCACTTAGCGATCCGCGACAGTATCGGTTCCTGGGGCAGTACCATTACGTTAATGGCCCTCTTGGTCCTCGTTTCAAGAACCTGGGTAGGAAGCAAATCTGCCAAGGAAACCAGGAGTGTCTGTTGAAGAGGTGGGTTGGGGACAAGCGAGCACATCCGCTTGTGAAGCGCTTTCCAAATATTGGAGAGGGCGAAGAGATGAGCGAGGAGGACGTGCGACGGTTTGTCGGCCCGGACGCTGCATGATAGAAACGATACACGATAGACGACCACGTTCATTAGCGATGATTTCACATTTTAGGTACGCTCGTTTGCTTATGGTAGGCGCTTTGGGATTCGGATCAGGAGTCGGACACGTTTGGAGGCGTTCCTTGACCGCCAATGGATGGGCGGAGTGATACCAACTGCGGACCGTACCACCTGGGTGATACTTCATAACTTGTCTGCAAGGAGCGGTGGGCTTTACGAGATACCTAGTACTAGAACATATTGATTTTTTCGACACCTGTCCTTTGATTGCCTGATGAGGTGCCCAGGTGTTTCACGACAGGAGCTGAAATGCTAGGCTGCTTTAGGCAAGGGCTGAGATGCATCCCGCGTCCCGCGAGTGGTGATATCAAGTTTCCGGATTCGGCCAGTCCTGCCAACTCGCGGCTGGACTGGCTGTAATAACGGTGCAGTGACAAGGAGGCATGGCCTACGTCGATGCCACGTACGGTTCAGCGTGGCGCTTTGCGTTTTGCTTGCGATGACTCTTGTTCTAGCGGTATGATGGAGGATGAAGGAAAAGTTCTCGACTTGCACTATGAATCATCCGTGGGCTGATGGAGTACCTACGGGCACTGACTTGTCGCTGCCGTATGCCGGCGCATGCGGCAAGTTAGACGACGGGGCGGTTAGAAAACGAGGACAGGGGAGCGGGCTTGTCTCGGGGTTTGACATGATTGAATCATCGCTGGCTCATCTCATCATCAGGGAGAAAAATGGCGAGTCTTCCCGAGCAATGCAGTTCATGGTCTAAGCGTCTGACGGCTGCGTGACAAAGCTCCCTATCTGAGCTTATCAGGGCCGCACGGCGTGCAACGTCCCAACATCCCAGCGTGGCACTGCCTTCTATGTGAGCCCCATGCCAGGCTCAGCTCGTCATTTCCACCCCATATACCCTCCGACCGCCGGCGCAGTGTTTCTGCAGCTCGCTCGCTCTTCCACGCTGTCCCACCTTTGTTTCCGCGCGTTGCGCCCCTTGTGACCCAAACGTCTGAAACTCGCCTAGCGCCTCATGACATAGGCCATTTCGCGAGGTACATAGCCATCACCCGCCCCAGCGCTCGAGGCCACGCCCACACGCCGCCGCCGCCTACGCTGAGCTCGCAGTGAAGCATGAGCTCGTCCGGTCGATAATTGCGCGCGCGTAGAGTTCCGCCCAGACGAGCCGACGCCGGTTCCCCGTGTCACCGCGTTCCTTGATCTGATCCCCGCGCCCGCAGCCCTCCCTTGCGCCCGCCTTGTTCAGCGCACCGTCTCTTGGAGCATTGCTCCTCTGCTCTACTCCATAAACGCGCTACATCATGGCTTTCCGCCAGCAGCACCGCCCCCAGTCCTCGCGACAGCTTTCCTACCATGCCTCAGACCCCCCGGCCGAAGTCGGAACGACCTCCCCGCAGCGCAAGCGGCCCCTCGAGGAGTCGCAGGAATGGGTCCTCTTTTCTCCTGTCGCGCCTTCTACTACCGCTCGTACGCACACTACCTCGACCGAACGAACTCCGCGCACAGCTGGCCTGTCGCGCTTCAGCGACTTCGGATCCCTCGACACCGCAGCACGCTCGGAACAAGACGATGACGACATAACGTGCCAAGGGACAGAAGAAGGAGAGGAATTGGACAGTCTGGACGACGGGCTGCACGCATTCCACGAACCTTCCGAGTATGCTGGTCCGTCCAGCAGGTTACAGCAGAGCGGGGATACGGTACTGCCTACTCATGATGGCCTCGGCACCTTCCAACCAAATGCAACGTTGCAGGAGCAGATGTGGCAGTTTGAGCGACAGACCCCGCGGAGACGGCAGGCCCGGCGGCGCTCCAGCGTACAGCGACGCCTCGATGCGCTGGAAGAGGCAGAAGAGCTGAATCATGAGCAGGATCGGCGGCAGAGAATAGAGAAGTGGCGGCTGGAGCAGAGCAAAGCGTTGCTTGAAGAGATCGAAAGAGAAACCAGGCGCCGGCGGAGAATGAGCATGGTGAGCGCTGCGCGAAGTCGGACGGACAGTGCGCATCAGGACACCAAGAGCACACTATCGCAGGCCGCTAGATCTGTATCTGACGGTCAAAGCGAATCATCGGACGACAGCACGGAAAACCTTTCCTTCTGGCAGCGGTTAACGAGGAGGGTCATTCGCGATTTGATGGGTATCGACGAGGACACGCTTTCTGTCATCTTCGGGGAAGCGCTACCAGAAGAAGCCCTATCGACCACACCGAAAGCGTTGGATCCTAGACCTTCAATGGGTACCGCTCTGCAGGACCTGGATGACAGTACTCTCGCAGACCACGGCTGGCAGCACAGACTCCTAGAGCGCGTAGCTCGAGAGCTTGGCATACTTGTACACCAGCTCTCTGAACACCCCGGTGCTTTCTCAACCTACCGTCTCACGCAAGAGGCTCCAGAATACGCCGGGCTGCCGACATCACGATCCAGCACGACCATCATGACCGACTTCTCTCCCTCGGCTACCACTGCATCAGGGCCCTCCGCACCCGCGCCCAGTTCAGCTCAATTCGCACCTACCTTTCCCGCTCAATACTCGTCAAATACATACAGCGAAGCATCCCTCTGGGGCATCGAAGAAGAACCCGAAGTCGACCCCTTGGACTCTTTTCGCACTCCGCCGGGCCCGGCTCTAAATGCCTCTGACGAGCTAGCCCGCGAGCAAGAATACTGGGAGCGCGAACTCGACGTCAAAATGGTGTTCAATTTTCTCGTGCAACGCTTCACTTCCCGACGTAGCAGCATATCTTGCACTACAAGAAGGAGTTCCAGCGCTCCTGCGTCAACAGACAACGAAGGCGCCTCGGCGAGACGAGCAGCAATTATCCGACAGCACCACCCTTTGGTCGGTAGGACCACGGACCGCAGCACACTTCCTACGTCACCTGCTGCAAGAGAGGGGAGACGCAGATCGGTGTACTTCCAGCATCAGCCGAGCCTAAGGAACCAGGTGCTTAAGAGTAGCTCGAGCTGTGCAAGTCAGAGCACGAAGAAGAGCAAGCGGAGTGCGGGGAGTGGGAGGAATTATTGGGATATGGGTGGCAGTGTGGGTAGTGGGAGTGTCATCGCTGGAGAAGTATAGATTTCGGAGTGTTATGCTGTTTTGATAGACAGGAGGATGTCTACTGGTTTCTCTCAAGACGGCTGCATAGATTGGGATTCCTGTGTGGTTGCATAAGAGGTGGGAGTCAGTTGTCGGATGCTATGGTGCATGGAAGGAGCTAAGCTCTCACCATTCTACGATTGGGAATGGAGTTTTGGAACTTTTTCCTGGTTTGGCATACTTCTTTCGGAACTCTCACTACTTGGCATATTTAGAAGATACCACATGATGTTCACTCAGGGGTTTGATGATATGGGATCGGGATAGGCAAACTGCGTCATGGGTTGTATTAATAGTATCTCCCTTCAATACACAACATTATGAAGACAGCTTTCTTACCTTCGTTCCTATGCTCTGCTCAGCAGTCAGTGACGTCGTGACGTCGCTGGAAATTCAGTTCGCCACCCCGCCCCCATGCTGGTTGGTGCTCGCGCGGGAGGCAAAGTCAGACTCACCGGGAACGCCGAACAAACACTTCGACACATCCGCTTGACACGAAGGGACTCTGACTCAACGCTCCCGTAGTCGCTATACCTGCCCCTTCTTCACTTTCTCCCGGCCCTTTTTCGTCTGACGTGGAGAAATGCGGAACCGCAAGCCATCATGAGCTCCAACGCCCAAGACATCATATCGCGGAGCAAACCCGGCACCGAAGTTCGGATCTTTTTCGCAGATCATAGAATACTTTGACGTCAATGATTCGGGTTCTTAGTAGGATGTTTTTGGTCGATGGAGAAAAGGTAGAAGGCTTGGAGGGTTCGTAGTTGCGGGTCCGCTCGCGATGAGACAGACGTACGTATCGTGTGCTAGTAGTAGAGTAGGTCCTACACTGTGACTCATGTATGGCTCGCCGATGTGTGGGGCGGTGGAAGAGGGAGAGACTGAAGGGCAGGAGATGGAGATAGGGTCCCAGGGGGTCAGGGCTGTCGATAGGATCGGAGTGGTTTCGGGGTTTCTTCACACATCTAAGAGTCTAGACCTGTTAGTTACTAAAGCTATTATTATGTAATGCCCGGTGGCTGAAGGTCTATGGAGAGAATCCTGAAGAGCTTCAGGAAGGCGTCTCTGACCAGCCGTCTCTGTCGCATCCACCTACATACCACGCCGCGGACAGCCCTCAACCAGACGCCTCAATATCCCGCAGTAGCGGCAGCAATCTTCTCCTTATAGCGTATAGTAGTATTGTGTAATTTTTGTCTTGCAGCGCTTCTTTATCTCTTAGACGGCGTCCAGATTTTCCTTCTTATACTACTTGTATCTAGCGATAAGCTTAGCCCAAGAAGGTTTCTAGTAAGAGCTAACTTTATTTGCACGCTCTGCTAGTGTAAACTCCTTTATACCTTCTCTCCAGAAGAGTCTTGTCTTTGTACACTGCAACTATGTCAGTGTAACGGCCAAAAACATAAAGTAACTCTTAAGTTTAAGACTATCGCTCTTCATTTCCCTGCTAGGAGTTTTTACTAACCAGTTAAAGCGCTCACCTTATCTAGCTGCATCTAGAATTAAGGAGTAAGACTTAGGTAGGCTATAAACAAGAGAAAGGGAATTAGATTCAATGCTTGAACCGTTGGTCTATTTATCGCCCTGCTGTCTATTATTCTTTTTTATGGCGTTGATGATTTCATCTGGTGGAGAGGGACAAGACGCATCATTCTCCCTAACCTTCCTCTCACAGTGTGGAAATCTCCTGATAGAACGACGCGCGTAACAGCCACCCTGGAGGCCTTCGCAGGTGCGTACAATTGCACAGATAGTCAACTGTACGAGCAATCTCATCTGTATAGCGAGCCCTTGATCTGGAGAATTCTCTACCGCGAGAGGTCGCATCATCTGGAAGAATCCCGCCGCAAGTTGGGTCGAGTGAGAGAAATCCGTCGGCCGGCCATTCCTCGCCACCATTTCTGGCCAGGGAGGTGAGAAAGAAGAACGACGACTGCAACACCCGCCGACGTACTCTTCCATCTTCACATCGCACCAACACTTTGAATCCGACCGCACCGACGCCTTGACGCCCCATCGCGGCATTGACGCCTCATCGTATCCCAACATCATCACTTCTGCGAGCGGAGAGCGCCTGCAGCGAGCCTTGGACATCGTGGAATCACTCACTTTCCGTGTCCGACAGGACCGCCGAGTGGCACTCTCCATCGGCGGCGTGCTCTCCACCAGCCACGTAGCCGAATTCGGCTTTGTGCAGCCCCACGACGATTTCCAAGATGCCCAAAGCCAAGAGCAACCCCTTTTCGTCAGCGACAAGGAGGGGGACGATGACGAATACAAAGACCAAGGCGCTGACGACGGTGATGGCGACGTGTATATGGGCGATGATGACGACGAAGAAGGTGACCGGATATCACCTGGCACGGCGAAATGGCTCAACGGTCTCGCGCCCTACATCGTGAGTCCGGACGCCGATCAAGAGCTTATATGATACTAATTGTTCCGCAGCTCAAGTTCCATGGCCGCCCCAAACCCAGCTTCCCGATGCCATGCCCCCACCTCACCATAACCCCAAAAGAGCATCAATACAGGGCGCTGGGTATGGTGGAGAAGAGCCATGAGGGTCCGCACAAGGCCTTACTCGTCGCAGATCCGCCAGGCCTGGGCAAAACCCTGATTAGCATGATGGCTGCAGTGAAGGCTGCCCCTACAGTCCATCGTTTCTCGATTGTGGTGGTGTCGTCCAGTTGTGTGAACCAGCGGCTAGGAGAGTTCAACAAGTTCTTCGTACCGGTTCGTTCTCGCTCTTGGTTCCCTCGTATGCGCTTCTTTGGACGCTGATCGAATCTGCCATATAGGGAGCAATTCGCCTCTTGGTGGTGCGAGATCCCACAATCCCGCCTACGACATTGCTCAACTACGGCGTCATCATCACCTCGTACGCCTTTGTAATGTCGCAGTGTCGTAAAACCTTAAAGTTCGTCCACAGTGTGGACGACGTAAAGAAAAAGTGTGGTTTGATCCCCGAGCGGCCCGATGTCTCCATCTTCTCGGAAATCTTCTACTGGCACGACGGCGTCAAGAGCCCATATCTAATCCTGGACGATGTGAACGCCGTGAAGAATGCCCGCTCGCTCCCGTTTGAGGCCGTATTCGAATTGCGATGCCTCATGCTGCCCGGCAGCCCGATTGATAATACGTGCCGAATACGCTGCGCATTGCACCACGAAGTATACCCCGCTACACCATACAGCGTCGGAATCCTCGTTCGACGGAAGCTACTCGCAGTTGACTGTCCTGCAGTCTCCTTCCAGCCGGACGTGTTCGCCTTTCTTCAGTTCCTCCAAGGCCACCCAATCCGGTCGAAGAAGAAGATGCTGCACCTGCTTAGCACTCCAAACCGGAACACCAAGGGCGGTCCAAGCCACCAACAGGGCAACGGTTTCTGCGCTTTATCCAGATCTTGAATGCTTTGATCGTGAGATGGCCCGAGTCCACCATCGACATACCGCCCCTCAAGACACACACGTTCAACTTCAGTCTTGACTTCCACGAGGTAGCGGCCTCGAATGAAGCCTTCGAGAAATATAACACGGCGATGCGCATCGCTGCCTCGGATGGCATCCGTGGCCGTGACAACCACCAGACGAAGCAGGTCCCTCCGTTCAAAAGCCTTGTTCACGCACTTCAGCATGCCAGTCACCCTAAATTGGTCGAGCTCATGGAGTTCATTCGATACCTGAACGCGAATCGGGATACAGATACCAATGCCGAGAAGCAAGATGTTCTTTATGAGCCCGAAGATATGGAGCGCTGGACAGCATGGCGTGAAACTCTAAAGACGAACGACTCATGGCGCTCCTCTCCCATAACCGCGCTCATAGATGTCTACAACAAGCAACAGGACCTGGATCCGGCTTGCTCCGTCATTGTCTTCGACAAGAGTGTCTCCTTTTTGGATATTGTCCAGATTGCCTTTTGGTAATATGTACGACCTGGTTGAGTGCCTGCGATACGACGGCGGCGAGAGCCCTGAGAAGCGTGATGCCATTTTGTCCGATTTCGCCCAGGCGGATGGGAGCAAAGTGCTCCTAATGTCCCATGCGGCGGGTGGCATTGGGCTGAATGTAGTTTGCGCAAACGCCACCATCCTGTGTGCGCGCTGGTGGAAGAAGGAATGGGAAGAGCAGGCGATGAAGAGGGCCTATCGGCTGGGGCAGATGAGAGCAGTCACCTTTGTGACTCTGTTTGTAGAGAATTGCGATGCCGAGCGCTACAAGGCCAACGCACCGGACCGCAAGCACAAGTTCAATACGAGAGTAGTGGAAGCAATCACGAGGCCCGACCACGAGAAACCGTGGGTTTGGGGTAATCTGAGATAGGACATGGACGCGCAGGATGGGTTCGCATGGAATTTTGCAATTCCCATAATGTTTGCGCAGCAAGAATTGGACCAGCCCCCAAAGGCCGTCGGTTCAAGCATTGAATCTGGTTCCTTTCCTCGCGTTTATAGCCTGCTCCGCTCCTTAATTCTAGATCTAGCTGGATAAAGTGGGCCCTTGAACCGGTCAGTGAAGGATTCTGGCAGGGAAATGAAGGGCGCGCTCACGGTGTGGAACTCGCCGGATAGAACGACGTGCGTAACAGCTACCCTGGAGGCCTTCGCGGGTGCGTACAATAGGACGTGTAATTCGCTGAGCCAATCTTACTTGTACGGCAGGCCTTTAGATCCGGAGAACTCCCTACCGCAGGAGGGGCAATACTCTTACGGTGGATCAGCGGGCGATTATGCCTTGCGGTTCTCCTACAGGAGACACAGCGCTGAGCGAGCATGACATCCAACGGGACGGCGAGGACTTATCGGCGTAGTTTGAAAGAGAATGAGGATGAGGCACAGGGCCTCAACAGTGCAGCTTGCAGTTCGTAGGAAGCTTGGTAAACGACATCCTGGCGTCCTTCAGTGGATAATGTGGATGCAAGGAGGATGATATATCCAGCGATGATGCGTCTAACAACCGCAGTGAAGACAGCGCCCAACGGGATAAGTGCTCGTTATCGGGGGGCTCTGCAAGAGACGGAGGATGAAGCGTCGGGCGTTGGGTAGGTTGGTCTGCAGAGTAGAGTTCCTCCGCCCAAGGTTGCTCTGCACGGGGCAGTGTCTGTGGTTTCGGTTCACAGTTAGGTAAAGTTAGAACTCGGGGTATGTTGTGTTCGCATTAAGGGGTGGAAAGCATATGCCCGTGCACAAACGATTGTATCCACCCCCTTTAAAGAAGGGAACAATGTTCCAGATGTCCTTCGCTTTGCTGCGAGATTAGGGCGACTCTGTATCACGTTACGGCGGCGCTGCTCTTGTGATTCCGTGCCGTTATGGAAGGAAGCCCGCGGGTTGGCGAATGCATTAAAGGAGCCATTCTCATTGCACGCACGAGAGCAAAGAGTCTGCCTTGGCTTGGTGTGCTAGGTGTGGCCCCTGAGGGCGGCGTAACAGACACCGAGAAGGCTCATCCCTAGGCGAGGGACACCCCGACGATCCATCCACAGGCGAAGCCACATCAGAAAGCGTGCCTTATAGTTTAGTAGTTCGAGCCACGGTCCTATATCCGGGTTACCGAATGGACACATTTCCGGCGTAAATGTGGATATGCAGGGCAGTGTGGTCCCGGAAGCCCGTGCCGCAATGTGGGCAACTAAGCGCGCGGGTTGAACTAACTCGCGCGAATACGGCGAGTGCGAGGGATTGCTGAATACTAAGCAGAGCACCTGCCATACGGCACTGCTCGCATCTTTGCGGGCAGTGCATCTCCTCGGCGCTGACGGCAAATATCCCTCACGTGCGCGTGAATCCTCACCGGTGGACTCGATCCGGCGAATGCGACTGAGATGTCTCCATACTTCTGCAGGATTCGCACGCAAAGGCGCAGCAGTGAGGGATAATGAGAAAGGAGAGGAAGGGGTTCTGTGCGATTGGTGATGATGGGGTACTATACCAGGGAAGTCGGCACTGTCGTATATCCCGCGCATTTCCAGATCGGGATTCGGCCCTAGTCCGCGTCGAGGAAGAACTGTGCTAGATAGTGGACCATCATCAACGCGGCCCACCAAGGTTGCGCCTTAGGCCTCCTATGCTATGGCTCTTCCACAAGACCAAGACCAAGAGCGCCGAACGTCGATGCCTTAGGGCGTAGAAACCCACCAACACACCCACCAGCCTCGTTCTCACTCTCCGTATCCATCGCTGCGCGCACTCGCCACACATAGGGCTGAGGTCATCTCGATCAGGGAGTGTGGCGCGTGCAAGGCTGGCACTAACCCGACCGTTGCTCAGTAGACTAGACTGCCGATAAGCCAAACTCTTGACGTCGAGGAATCGAGGCGATGGTGTGCTGCGATGCGGGAATACGAGCAGTAATTCTGCCTTGCAGAGAGTCTATACATCATAGGCATCACGAGATAGTGACCGATGGGCCCACACAACGGCTAGGGCCTCGCTTCTGCGGCCGTCTTAGCCGGAACTGGCGCCTTGACCTGTGGGCACTGCTGATCCACGTGGCGCATGGAATGATCGAGGGACCCGAGGTAGTGCATGGGAATCGAAAGATGTTCTCCGCTGTGCCCGTGGAGCGTCTCCGGCAACGACGTGGTGTCCCGAGAAATTAAAGTCGCGCGATGAAGCTCTTCGCGAGTTGAAGCCGTTTCGTCGACCATCAGCGAGTAACCTGTACTACCGCGGATCGCCCAGCGATTTGGAATCCTTACCGGTCGTCGTGGTCTCGAAGGTGAGGAGAACACAAAGCACAGCCCCCTTCGACTGCGGAACATCGGTGCCCCAAGCGTCCAAGCCCTGGCAATTGGGAGCCCTTGCTCGGCAGGCGGCAGGCTGGCGCAGGGATAGCTACAGTTCCCCCGCTCTCGTTACGTAGGCTATAAAGTACAAACACCGCTCCCCAGACAACAATGGTTTCATTCCACGACCACACCACCGCTCAACGTTCCCACCACAATCCCGCCGCCGTCGCTGAATCGTCGTCTTCCACTCGACCCATTCTCGCTGATACTTCAACTATCAATACTACTGCTTCCACTGCCAACATGAGCGACACTGGAAAGGCTCCTGTCAATGGCGCCGGGTCTACCCGCGGCCGCGGCGACCCCATTGTCAAGGTCCAGCCGCCGAGGCGCGAGGACCTTCAGCCTAGCTATGCGCGCGTTATCAAGCCGGATGACGATCAGGGCGACGGTCATGGCTGGTACGGAGCCATGATCAACACGCTAGGAGATTGCATTGGTACGATGGGAGCTATCCCCTGCTGCATCGTCTGCCCGAACCCATATAAGAACGTCAGCCAGGGCAATGTAGGCCTCGTCACCAAGTTCGGACGCTTCGCGAGGGCTGTGGATCCCGGTCTTGTCAAGGTCAATCCGCTGTCCGAGAACCTCATTCAGGTCGATGTCAAGATCCAGATTGTTGGTGCGTAGCTCCCCAACCACTCCTCCACATTTGATAGCTAACGACGAGCGCAGAGGTCCCTAAGCAAGTCTGCATGACTAAGGACAATGTCTCCCTCCACCTTACCTCCGTGATCTACTATCGCATCACCTCCCCGCACACGGCCGCTTTCGGCATCTCCAACATCCGCCAAGCGCTGGTCGAGCGCACCCAAACCACCCTGCGGCATGTAATTGGCGCTCGCGTCCTACAGGATGTCATCGAGCGCCGCGAGGAAATCGCTCAATCTATCCGCGAAATCATCGAGGAGACCGCCGCGGGCTGGGGCGTCGAAGTCGAATCCATGCTCATCAAGGACATCATCTTCTCCCAGGAGCTCCAGGATTCGCTCTCCATGGCCGCCCAATCGAAGAGGACGGGTGAGGCCAAGGTCATTGCTGCGCGCGCCGAGGTTGAGTCCGCCAAGTTGATGCGGCAAGCTGCCGATATCTTGAGCTCTGCGCCCGCCATGCAGATCCGGTACCTCGAAGCTATGCAGAGCATGGCCAAGACGGCAAACAGTAAAGTAATCTTCCTCCCTGCGCAGAACCAAACGGTGCAGTCGCAATTGGCAGAGGCGGACAAGGCGGGCGAAGGGCCGTCCAAGTACAACGCCGATGGCGCGGCGCACGAGTACGGAATCAACAACCCCGGCTTCCAGAGCGCTATCAACTCGAACATCATCGAGAACATGTAAATGCGCATCGTAGCGCAATATTAAGAAGAGGCCTCTTGCGGTAGAGAATTGGCCGGAGTATGCACCCCCGAAGGCCTCCACGGTGGCTGTTACATGCGTCGTTATATCCGGAGATTTCTACACCACAAGGATGCGCTCAATTCGGCGGAGGAGGATGATTCCCTTGTATTCTGTTCTTTATATCTGTGTCCTTCTACAAAATGATCACGACGGTGGATACGAATACGTTGGTAACTGCAGAACTGGTCTCGGTCGGAGGAACTTGGCTTTCTGTACTTGTGTCTTTTTTTGACAGGTTTCTGATGATACCCTCGGCGTTCAGTTACTAGGTCACTCGCTTTTTGTTTATACCCGCCATAATGTAATGAACGCCAGTCGATCATAATCAGTCTTCCTACCCAACCTCTTGCGGTAAAACATTCTCCGGATTTAAGGGGCTTGCCGCACAGATAATAAGAAACTCGTCTAAGCTAACATGGGTGCCATTGTACCCACCTGCGAAGGCCTCCAGGGCGGCTGTTACGTGCGTCAATATATCCAGAGAATTCCACACCATGAGAGCGAACATCCCGGGGATATTCGAGTTTTACAGTCAAAATACTTTATCTGTATGGAAGATCCTGAACTCCTTCGGCTTGCTTTACATCTGTGAGTAGGGCAACATAATGTCTTATCCTGAATGCATTCGGGGCCTATTGAATATTGAAGACTTTGATTGTGACTGCTGCCTCACTGTGCCGGAGAAAGCTAGAGAAAGGCCTAACGCCGTCGCTGTATCATGTTTAGGGACTCCCATGCAGCCCCCCAGTGTCCGACCCAATGCAAGACATATGAAAGTGTGTGATATACAATCCGGCACCCTATATCTATAGGAATTGCGTCCTCCGCTTGCCCATGACGAAGTCTCGAGTGAGCTCGAAGCTGAGCCAGCTGCTGGCCATGCTAGGCGCCACTTTCAGAAGATTCGGAACGATCCCTTTGTACATGCCCCTGATTCCCTCCGTCTTAATAATCATGCGGATAGCGTCGCTGATGCCGTTGTACTGATAGCCCATGCCGGTCATGGTATTGACCTGGAATCTGCGTCGAAGAACATCGAATGGGTATGTGCAAGTCTGCGCGATGGCTCCAGACACCGCGCCCGCTCCTAGCTTGCCGATCGCAGTGGGATCTTTTTGGCCTTCGGGAGTGAATTTCGTGCGGGCCATCTCGTAGACCATGAAGTTGAGACCGACGTATGGGGCTACTCCGGCGACAGTTGGGAGAATGCCACGATAGAGCGCAAGGAATCCTCCCTCGTTCTTGTACATAGCGACCAGGATGCCCCACATTCCCGGAAGCTTCTGACCAGCTTCCCTCTTCAGCGATTCGAACGATGCGGATTGTATCGACAAGCGGGTTCGGACGATATCAAGCGGGTACGTGGTAGTAACGGAGGTGATGCCGGCGAGCCCACCGCAGAAGAGACGCTGGTAGGGCCCCAACTGGCCGCCGGGCTCGCTCTCAAAGAACTGCGGACGTGTCAGCACCACGAAATCCAGCGCCTGGACTGACCTCGGGTTGCCGGATTTGACGTCTAGTCCTCCGCCCAAGCACTATCTCCCGCCACCCTCTATCACCTGCCAGTCTCCGTACCCCAAACGATTCCAGCCTCCGAGACCCAAACCCAAACCCCCGAGTGAAAGCAACCTCAAAACCAAATAACCATGAAGAGAGAAACCCAGCAGTTGGCGGTGGCAGCCGACCCCGCAAACAAAACGATTCACTTACCCTCTTGTACATGTTGTATGCTCCGAACTGCACGGCCGAGTAAGGCACAATTCTTATGCAGTTCGTGCCGTTCCCAGCCATGAAGCCCCTCCATCCTTCATCCCTCCACATCTTCGCGAGCGCCTTCGGCACGGACATCTTGTACTCATTGCGACCAACACTCTGGACCTGGAAGAGGATTTTGAGACGTTCGAGCGGCGATACGACGGTACGCGACACGGCGCCAGCTATGCCGCCGGCAATGAAGGAAGCGACGACCGGTTGCTGAAAGAAGTCGCGGACACGGTCGAGGCCGGCCTCACCGGCAGACTCCAGGCCCGGGATCTGCAGCGATAACGTCAATTGGCTTCTTGATATCTGGTATGAGTCTGCGACGTGCCTTTTCGCCCTTTCCGGGTCCTGAGCTCAGCGCCGTCATGGCCGCCGGGCGCTGTTCCGAAGTTTTCGAGGTGCTCATCGTGACAAGCGACGCGCCAAGAACGAAAGGAAAACGTCAAAAGCAGCAAGCCGCGCGCAGCTTGAGCAGTTACACGGCTAAGGAAAGAGAGACGAGGGCTTCGGGCGCGGTAACGGGTTCATCGGTGGTTGTTTCTGCGCAAGCGTTATGGGGGTGGGTAGGTGGCCGACAGTGAAAAGGAAGCGATCGCGGCGTCTGCGTCTGCGTCTGCGTTTGTGATTGAACGTGCCATCCAAGGGGTTCGATAAGAATACAGTGAAAGGGCGCTGGCAGAGGGTGCGTCACGGCGAATTGGGCGAGGTGCGAGGTTGCGGTGAATGTGCGTGGAGCTTCTGGAGGGTGCGGTCGGCAGAGAGGAAAAGGGTTTTAGCGCAGGACCGACAACTGGCCGCTTTCAGAGCTCGGTGGCGGCGCTGACCTGACTTCTTAAGCCCTTTGACGACTCCGACTTCTCGCGCCAACCCGGCCGGAGCAGTGTTTATGGGGGCGCATGGCGGCTGCGACTCCAGCCAAGAGGGAAGTGCGACTGCGCAGGTGCGTCCCGAAGCATGCCTGAATTCACGATGGTTTCACTCGGGTACGAATCACACTCAGCGACTTCCTCCGCATCGCAGCGCGTACGTACGCCTGCTCATTTGCAAGGCGCCACTGGAGCACAGCGCTCATCTGGCATGGCTGTCGTGATCGGCCCAGACCAGGCTCTTGACAGCCTGGCAGTCAGACCGATGTCGTGCCCCAGAGCCGCTGATCGGCGTCACGAGGCTGGACAGTCACTCCCGCACAGTCAGCTTCTTTGCTAGTCATCTTCTCCCTCGCTCGAGCTTCAGAACACTGGCCGTGCGCAAGGGCTGGAACTCTTATATCGAGACCTTGTGCTACGAGGCCCTTCGCGGTGCGGAAAATGCAGCGCCGCACGGAACGTTCCCGCGGCTGGCCAGCTTCGGCTCCCAAACGCGATTGACGCCACCGCGAAACATGCAAGCGATGGTAAACAGGGTCGTCCAAGCATCCCTTGAGGTGGGGTAGAGCCGTCGGCCGTGGAAGAAGCACCGAGTGTTCGAATGACCGAGGCCTAAGGCGATAATAACTCGGGTGCTGCCGTCGAGCTGTAAGGAGTGCCCTTTTCGGAAATCTGATAGCAGCTTGATAGCAGCTTGATAGCAGCCCTGACCGTTCTGGAAGGTATCAACCGGCAGATAACTAGGCGTGCGAATCACTCTCGGCATTGGTATTGCCTAGTCAAATATCGATATCGACGCTCGACTGAACGTCATTACTACTGCGTTCAATTTGCATACGTGATATGTTCTACAGAGTGTTACCTAGGTACATAGCAAACATGTCCCTAGACCATTAAAACCTCACTCTCGGAGCGACACCGCTAGCTCGTGCCTCATGCTCGTCGTTCGAGCTGCGCGGCCCGTAAGATCGGCAACGTCCCTGTCTCCAACACAATCATACAGCGTCGTTGCATGGCCCTTGTGGCCAAGGAGAATCTTGAGAATGTGTTGACGCTCATCACCATTCGCGTCGCAGATCGTTCGCAGCCCCGAGACGAAAGACCGAACCAGTCGATTAGAGCTCTCGTCATCGCTGGGGGTGACAAGCTCCAATCCATCAATAACAAGCAGAATTGGTTGGTCGCAGCTCGTGAGCATGTCTCGAACAAGGTCGTGAACGAGCGTGATGAGACGCTGTATTGTCTCTGCTTCAACTCGCCCACTCTCGATCTCCGTGATGCTGGCCGGAAAGGAAATCTTGCCAAGCGGCTGATTGCCTCGTAATGACACCAAGCCCTGTATCAGAGCGCGAAGCATCTCAAGCAGTTGCTCCGCCGGACCCTTCGTCGGCTCCGGTTCGAATACGTAGATCAACTTGCGGCAAGCAACGAGGTAGTAGAGCAAGACACATGCGTATGTAGACGTGGCGTCGTCTGCATCGTCGGAAACCTCTATCATCAGAATCCCCGAGGAGGCGTCGCCCCACCACGTAGCTATCGTCTCCGGAACACGGGCATCGCCATGATAGTGGAACCCGCGATCAATGTGCCTTCGAACGCTGTCTGCCTGCCTGCTCGATCCGATCAAATTGGAGGCATAACCCGCCAGCGTTTGCTCATCTACCCCACGCCCAAGCTCTGGTGTACGTGCTTTCCGTAGTTGCGTTGCATCTTGATGACTGCTGGCGTTCTCTCTCTTCACTCTGCTCTCTAAACGCGCCAGACCTGACTCCAGCGGTTGAGCGGTGCGAAGAGTGGCTAGGTTGCTGGTGAGAAAGTTGATAGACAAGAACGTCAGACTGTTGAGGCACTTGTGTAAGTCCATCGTTTCGTCCACAAGTTCAGTCATCAGTTCGCGGTCGTGGATGAGCCATCTAGCTTTGTGTTTTCCTCTCCTTGCCGCACCTCTGACCCGATCCGCAAGTCTTGCCAGGCCGTTTCCAGGATCTTCCGCCTCGCTGTTCTCTTCGTCGCCTGCTAGCATCCCATAGCTATCTCTTAGCCTCTTCATTGCGTCGCACCGAGAATCCCGAAGCCGGAAGATTATCTTCATAATCAGCTCCTTCCGTGAGGTCTCAAAGGTGTGAAAACGCCCATCAGAGCGATCCACTCCCCAATGTTGGCCCCAATCTTTCAGCATATATTGGGACAATTCAAGCTTGATCGCCAACACGTCTCGCTGCCTGAGATCATCATCTATCAGCTTCGTGACGAGGTGCCCGAAGTCCAATATACCCTTCCATGCTAAGGCCACGCCGGTGACGGCCAGAGCCAGTTCAGCCATTATCGCACTCGGTCACTGCTCCTATTAGCGTCTCAAAGTCGGCGGAAGTGGAAAAGAAAGTGACAAGGTCCGCTTGGCATGGGTAAGGAAAAAGGGAACGGTCGAAAATCAAATGAATCTTGCCCAAAGCCTGACTTCGGCTGCAGTGCTACCATATTCCCCATGGTATATCAGCTGGTCGAGCAACTGGGCGGATTCTCAAGGCCCCAACTCGACTGTATGCGGCAGTTGCTGGCATCGTCCGAACAGCTCAGTCTAAGCCTTGCCCGGCCGACGTCCATCGTGAATTGACGCCTGACAACTCAACGCCACGTCTACGACTGCCATTCAGCTGCTCCTGCGCAGAATCAGCTTTGTGTAGAAAGAAGTTAGTACAGCTGCTCTCGCACTATCGACGAAGACGGCCAGCTAATCAAGCTTGAGGCTCTCCCAGCCCCCGCAGGCGCAGCACAGTCGTTGCGCGGTATCCGCCACGAAGAAGGGAAGAACTGATGTATGATCGCTGTTTCAATAAATGCATTCCGACTTGTTACAATAGGCAGAAACGATGCTGCGATGCCACGAAATGCGAAGCCCTCACGGTGTGGAATTCTCGTCGTGCATGCTCATTTGGCATCTGCAAAGAATACCCTAGCGGGAATCCTCCGCGGTGACGCCGATTGGTAGCCCTGCTGCCACCGTCTTGGCAGACCCTGACTTCCGCCTTCGCTTTCACCGTTGCTTTCGCCTCACATCAACATCAATCCCCTTCCTCTATCCACTAAGACGCTAGACAAGCAGACGAACCAGACAGGAGTCGAGATGCACTGCCTCCCTTGAGGGACGCGCTATCGGTTCCTACAGGTTCGCCCTCGCATGGCACAGCCTGCACCCGTGCCCGACATCCCAATTCAAGTGCCAACTCAGTATGACCGACATGATGCACATTAAAAGCAGGATGCACGCGAAGAGCTCTTACGGATGCAAGGCGGGCCTTTGCAGATGCAACATGGCCCCATTCCGTCTATCAGGCGGGCGAGGCTGTGAACCCAGCTTCCCAAAAGGGTAAATGTTTGGAATATTGGTGCCTACCACACCAATGGCCCCCAGCGACGTAGCCTACCAACCCATCGTCGGCACATACGCCCTTAAACTAATATCTAATCCTGAGAGTGATTCTGAAGTTGCGCTGCTTTACTCGACCATTACCAGCTCGCTCTTGTGCTACTCAGATCTTTCCAACCTCCTATGAAACGATGGTAGCTTTGGGAGAAGACCCAGAGTGTAACGGCAACAAGCAGGGATCCGAGCACATTGCAAACAATCCCAAGTGAGTCAGGTATCTGTCGTTGAGAAAAAGGGGTTGTTAATCTCATCAAATACAGGGTCCTCGCGTCCGTACACGACTTCAGAGGCAGTCTTGAACCAAATGCATCCTTCGCAACCGACCTACCTGCCGAGTCCATGGACATCGGTGGCCGAGAGAAGGCCTTGCCTAGTGTTCAAATTCGAGACGTGACCGAGGATGAGAGTCTTTTGGACGGACTCCATAAATCGAGACCGGTCCAAATTCAAGAATACGAATCCAGCGAAATCAACGAAGTGAATGGAGTGCGAGAATCTATTGAGATGCGCGAAAGCATTGAAATTCACGAAGTCAGCGGAGATTTCGAAACCACGGAAGCGTACGAGGAGCAACCGCCCACACCACCGGTAAATTCTCCGAGCCCAGGGAGAGCCTCACCATATCCACCAATCTCAACTCCATACGTCTTGTACTGCCTCACGGTTAAGGAAGAAGGCCAGTCTAACCGCAGCTTCTATAAGGATACACCCTGGAAAGGCATCAACAATGGCCTTCCAGGTTCAGTCCCTGACGACGACGCGGAGTCAAAGGCAGTTCTCGTATACTACGTTCAGGCCGATGTCATTGATAAGACAGGGAAGGATTCCAACACATCAAAGACATGGAGAGATGAGCCTGCCGACTTTGAGTTTGGAAGAGACGCGCTCCTCCGCAAGAGATATTGGCCTGTGTTAAAACTTTATTCTAAAAGGCTCATCAGGGTTTTGGAGCTGATTCTGGATTACTACCCAGACCGAGGAGACTACAAACAATACAACTCGGAGTTGGAAGATACCTTTGTAGAGCTGATGTACTGCTACGCGGAGTTGAAAGCATACTTCGATTCCTACCTACAGTCGATACCGGAGGAGGGGGGGAATGATCCAAGATTGGAGATTGGAAATTGCGGGGATGAGAAGACTGCCGACGCAATGCGACCGCATTTGGACTTCGGGAGCCTGGATAAGTCAACCGAGCCGTGCGATGAAGCTACCGCCTTCGATCTTGCCGTATTGCTACGTCTTCTAGCACCGATGTACCGCGTCAAGGCCATTCCTACGCTGACATCTATATACATCGACCCTAGACCGATGATCACATACGAGACCTTGTGGCTGCTTTTCAAGCCGGGCACCGAGGTCTACGTCCAGCAGTCTGCGTTTTCAGACGACTTGGAGTATCCCTCCACAGGAAGGCGCGGCAATTCTCGTAACCTGAAACGAGGAGACGAGGACGACAATTTCTCGGCCTGCATCGTTGCAGCCTGGCTGTATATGGACAAAGACTTTACCGCTAACGATCCGAACGAAGCTTCTGAGCGCCTAGAGCTGGAGCTGTGGAATGTGCAGTATGATGGAACCGCTTTCCAACGCATGGCACGTGAAGCCGCCATTATCAAGTTCGACGGCTGCAAACATCTCAAGGACCTCCAGGTTATCCCTTCGCGCCTTTACGATAAGTTTGACGGAGGCTCTCTCAGACAGCGACTGGAAAAGCGCGGCCAGAAATATCTTTCAATCCTCAAGGACGCAGCCGCGCATCGAGAATACAATGATCCGCGTAGCGGCTACGAGGGCCAGATCATCGTCGATCCAGATGCGTATCGGCAATACGCAGGACTAGCGGAAGGCGACTTTCCCCCTCGGCCATCCCCCGTTGCGGATGGTGGCGGCGGTAGCCGCTACGGTTACCTGACCGATTTCGAGCCAGCAAACAGTGAGACGTATGGACGCATCAAGGAAGTCTCTGTCCTGTTACCCCGCCGAATCGAAGGGTTTGGGTTAAGGACAAAGAGATGGATGGTCTTTGAGATCGACAAGATTAGTGATGAGGCACCAATGCCGTCACAAAACCAGCTTGAAACGGAGTTAGTGTTGGTATCCGATGCCGACAAGGACTCTCTGCGCACTGTACTTCCGAAGGGTGAGCACCCTATTGGCCTCAGCTCGGATTTTATCCCCGGCAAAGGAGAGGGGAAGATATTCCTGCTATACGGACCCCCTGGTACTGGAAAAACATTGACGGTGGAGTGTGTGGCGAACGACACATGTCGGCCTCTTCTCGGGCTGACGGCACAAGATGTTGGATTGGCCTACGACGTAGAGGCGCATCTTCGAAAATGGTTTTACCTTGCTGCAAAATGGGACGCCATATTGTTGATCGATGAGGCAGATTTGTTTCTCGAGCAGCGTAAGGAGGGAGACCTCGGGCGCAACAGCTTGTCGACTGTCTTCCTGAGGACCATGGAATACTACAAGGGTGTACTTTTTTTGACAACAAACCGACCCGGCCACATCGACGACTCGTTCATCTCGAGAATTACCTGTCCGATCGCTTATCACCGCCTATCAGCCGAAACGAAAGAAAAGATTGTGCGAAAGTTCGTCAAGCGCTTCGAAGAGACAGGCACTATTGAGGTCGAGCCGGCAGCAGTGAAGTACCTGGTCGGAAACTGCCAAGACCTCAATGGCCGACAGCTTCGCAACGTGCTGCAGAACGCTGTTGCTAGCGCTGAGGTCAAGTTACGCGCAGAGCGACGCTTTGCAGCGAATCGTGGTCGTCCTCCCGGGGAAGCACAAGATCAAAGCATAGTTTCGGTGAAAATGCACCACGTCAAGGCAGCTGTTGAACGGCAGGGAGAGTTTCGGGACTACTTGAGGAACCTCAGGGGAAGAGACGAGCCGGCCAGAGCGCGCAACAAGCAGGACTATCTCCCTGCCCCTCCTGGCAGCCCAGCTTGAAGTATGAGATATGGAGCGCATAATTTCACTCCGATGTGGAAGAGGGGCTTGGATTTCTTCGGAGATTCACAGGATGATCTGGAATCACGAAGGTTTTCTGAAGGTTTTCTGAAGGATCCTTTAGACTAATTTGATTTGGGGGAACGTGTACCTTGACTAGACATGGACTCAGCCTAAGAACGGTTCTGGATATCAGGCATTCCAACAGTGCAGGGAATAAATGTACGGAAAACATTGATACTTAGTGGTCTCTGTCCATTGGACGCCACATTGCACAGCCACACCTCCCAAAAGTTCCAAGGAGCTGTGGTGCGCGTCTGATTTTACCTCAACCTCCCAAATGCTTTCTCGTCGCGTCTTTCAGCAGCTCACAGACAGTCTGCTCTTTAGGTCAAGATATGGACCTGCTCGAGGCTTTTGCATCGCCATCAAGTGCGCCTCCTGTCGTCCCGGAAAACCGTCGATTGCCAGCTCAATCCGTCATGCCTCTTCTTCCTCTTCGACTAGATGGAAGTCGCGTCAAGGGAAGGACTTCTTTGCTAGGGAGGCAAGAGTTCAGGGCTTAAAGAGTCGCGCCGCATTCAAGCTCCTGGAGGTGTGGAAGCCCAGGCGCAATGTCACAGAACATACGTTGATCGATGCCAGTTGAATGAGAAGCACAAGCTATTCAAGCCCGGCCAGACGATAGTTGATCTAGTATGAAGACCCGACAATTACGCGAGGATATAGACTGATCTATAGACAGGGCTTTGCTCCAGGCTCTTGGTCCCAGGTGCGCCCCTTGAAAGCTCCGACTCGCTCTCGCCGTTAACACAGTCAGGTCGCCGTCAACAAAACCTCCCCTGGCGGTCGGGTAGTCGGAATCGATCTTATACCTGCGCAGCCTCCAAGAGGCGTCTCGACGATTCAAGGCAATTTTCTATCCCCCGCAATCCAAGCCGACGTGAGAGCATACGTCCAGGACCCCGAGCTGGGCCGGCCTCGTAGACAAGTCTTATCAGGGAAAGATGGATGGCTCTCTCAAGAAGATCTGGAGGAGATGGAGCGGGGCTACATCGACATCGAGCGGCATGCGCATCTCGAAGGGGTCGAAACAGAAACAATAGGACAGCCGCATACCGAGCAGGACACCGCGAAGATATCGGACGACAAACTATCTTTACGAGAAAGAGACAAACGACACGGGAGGGTAGTGGACGTGGTCCTAAGTGATATGTCAGAGCCCTGGGACCAGACGACTGGCTTCTACAAGAAGAGCTTAAGTGACCCATATTTCAGGTTAATGAATACGAGCGGGATTGCCTTCAAAGACCACGCAGGTAGCATGGTGAGCGGACTCGAGTGTGAGTCTAGGCACAACGGTCGCTAATGTATGCAGGATCTGTGTATGGCAGCCTTGACCTTCTCCTTCGACACTCTTCGCACTGGGGGACACCTCCTCTGCAAATTCTACCAAGGAGCCGAGGAGAAGGCATTCGAGACTAAGCTGAAGCGCTTGTTCACCAAGGTCCATCGGGAGAAGCCGGACTCATCAAGGAGTGTAGGGAGTCCCAACTTCATCTGTACACGACTGGCTGACTTGAACCCTAGGAATCAAAAGAGGCATACTTTGTGGCATTACGGCGAAAAGAGACACCGACCAGGGAAGAGGTCTTTCGGGAGTAGGCGCACATGGAAGCCGGATCGGTCCAGTATTTGGCTTTCATTCTCGCCACTTCTGCGACTCCCGCAGGCCTGATACTGTCCCGCTTCTTAGCGGATACGAGTGTGGTATCACAAACGAGCGTGGGGAGGAGGTTCAGTCGCCAGTCGGTGAGGCCGCGACATCCGCTCGTGAAGCTAAGGGCGCTCGCTTACGGTCCTGCGAGAACGGCGCACGAAGGCAATCTCGGTCGAGCGTACCAGTGCCCAGGGGCCACGCTACCGTCTTCTCACGCGGCGCCCGTGATGCGTGGACGGCTTTGGGCTTCAGTGCGGGACGAGCGCTGGCCTTTGACAGACTTTGTACTGTCTCTTGCGTTGCCTGACAGGACGACAAGATCCCTGTTGCGCGATTTGATAGGATAGCAGCAGGACGGTAGAAGTGCTTCGGGTGCGGTTAGAGGCGCCTCGGACAGGACCAGTGTAGACGGCGTCTGTCCCACCGGAACGCGACGCTGCGGTACGGATCTGGATGCGTCTCGTCCACCACAATGCTTGACATATTCTCCGTAGTGGAGCCAAGCGCGACAGGGGTGCGGCGCGCCCTCGCTCAAAGCTGCTGCGTGCGTGCGGGAACGGCGATCCAGCACGGCGACGGGCCAGGTTTCTGCCTGTCGCCCGGGCGCGGCGCGATGCATATGAATCTCCAGTCTCCAGTCTTCAGTCTTCAGTCTTCAGTCTTCGGTCTTCGGTCTTCGCAGATGCGTCTGCGCTGCTGGCGACGGGCAGGCAGAGGGCCGGGGCGCGCGCGGTGTTTCCTGCGCGGTGTTTAGTTTCGCGCGATGAGGGATGGCGCGCAGGGACTCGGAAAAGCCTTCATGCCCCAACCTTATCATCACACGCACGGTATTCCTTTCTTTGATCATCCCATCCCCCCAATCAATCTAAACCGAGCTGTGCGACGCACCCAATGATTTGCAGCGCGCGCGATGGATTACCAAACTTTCAATAGTCCCCAGCACCTGCCGCCCTCGTTTGGCGGTCCGTTCTCCACCTCCTCTGCACCCACGCATTCCCCGCAACAACAGCTGTACGCGGATCCACAGGTCCGGCTACAGCAATCAAACCCGCCGTTCCCCTACGCCCAGTTCACCAATGGCCAAGCCGGTGGCTTCCCGGCCTCCATGGGCGGGCCCGCCGCGACGAGTGGCGCCATGATGCAGCCCGGAGGCCTGTCGCAGAGCCAGCTTCACCAGGCACGAGGTAAGCCGCCGCCGTCCCTGCCAGCCCGGCCCTATCGAGCCCCCCGCGCCCCCAGCGGCGTGCGCTGACGAGTGCGATGAAGCAGCGGCCCTCCAGCACCAGCAGCACCAGCAGCAGCACCAGCAGCAGCTGTCGCCGAGCCCTTACTCGAGCGCGCCCTTCGCCCAGCCGCTCGCGTCGCCCGCCCACCAGCAGTTCGTCCAGCACCGCCAGACCGCGTCGCCGTCGAGCGCCGCCAACAGCACCAGCGTGCCCCCGTATGCCACGCCCCAGGCCCAGCGCTCGCCCAGCGTGCCCTCCAACGGCCAGCAGCCCATGAACCCGCCCGCGACCCAGCCGCAGACGTCGCAGCCCATGGCCGCCCACACGCCCGTCAAGGCCGTCCCGCAGTCGCCCGCGTCCCCCGTCGCCCAGGCGCGCGAGAAGCAGCGGATAGACACGCTGCTCGAGATCAACCAGGTGCTGATCAAGGAGGTCATGGAGCTGCACGCCCAGGGCAAGGCTGGCCACATCGGCCCTGCGCCTGAGGTCAAGCCGGAGGGAGCCCAGCAGCAGCAGGCCTCCGTGGAATATAGGGAGTGAGTGCGCCATGCCACGACTGCTACCGCAAGACACTGACTCCCACAGCTGTATGCGCCGGCTCCAGGCGAACCTGGCCTTCCTCGCGCAGAACGCAGAGAAGCACACCAAGCCCAACCAGGCGATCCTGCCCGGACCCGCCATCATGAACGCGCCCGCGTCACCCGATGAACTTGTCAAGCTGTATATGAAACTGCAAAGCCTCTTCCCCGGATGGAAAGGCGCACAGGCAAAAGCCTCGCCAGGTCCACAGCGCCTGAACTCGGCGTCGTCACAGCCCGGCAGCGCGGGCATGCAGAACAACATGCAACCGCCGCACAGCGCAGGCCTACAGAACAATATGCACCCTCCCAACAGCGCCGGCCTACCCCAGAACATGCAGCTCCCCAGCAACGCGAATGCCATGAACAGCACGATGCAGAATAACTTCCAGACACAGCAATAATCCCGTCCACTGCAACTTCCACGGCGTACATGAGCGGCATACCACAACTGTATTCTATAATTTCTTGGGTTCGCATCACAGATCACGACATAGAGCACCTGCTTTTCCTTTTCTCTGGTCCATGGGCGTGTTGTACAGAAAGAATATGAACAAACCATTACTTTGGAAAAATGGGTGGGGCGGTTGAACTAGGGTTCCCCGGCACCGACATAGGGTCGATCCGTTTCTGGGGTGGTTTTGGACTGGGCTATTCTTGGGTTTCCCGATCGATGGTGACCAGCATTTACTCTGCAAATTGGGGCTCACATTCTGCTGCTGGCCTGCGAAAGATACCTCTCAGACATTTCTAGCACTTGTATGAAACGTTATGATATGATTTATCGCAACGGCTTCTGGGTCTTATATCACGTGATTTTCTTCTCACCGCGTCGACTATCGGGAAGAGAATCCTGCTCGCTGATCAAATGCGTTCTGAACGCCTGGCTAGCGGAGTGTGCTGCTCTCGTGCACGCCTACTACGGATTCAGAAACATTAGCCCTACAGATGCCCACATTTGACACCCCTTACTCGCTATAAGGTGCTCGATTTGGCTTGCTTGGGGTCTGTTTGAAGTGTACTTTTCACAAAGCGTGAGGTAATGCATAGTCGCAACATTCTAATTTTCATTGAATCCGTCTGATCTCATCACCGCATCCATCTCATAGTTTCGTCATGATACTCGTAAAGCCGCCGTGTGTATCCAAATACATACTCTCAATATCCAAAATGTCGATCGGTATGGAAGGAGAGGAAAAAGAGAGAAGCATTTGTCGAAAAGCGAGGTATCCACCCAAGATCCTAGCAAAAGAGAAAGGGAAAGCCTCCAGACCATTACACTCTGATGCTGATCCACATCCGAGCAAATTCAAAACTACGGAAAGCATAACGGAAAAATCAAAAACAGGAAATACGAAGAAGTACTACCGGAATAACCCCGATAACACGCTCTCCAGTGTTTCCGCGATAGGGTCATCGTCTCTCCTCCGACCATACTCATCGAACCGCGGGGGCAGCTCAATAGTCTCGCCCGAGGCATCGGTATCAGATGCAGGAGACCCGTCGCGGCGGTCACTGTGCCGATCTCTATCTCTTTTCCCGTCACCGTTCCGTCTCCCTCTCTTATCATCCCTCTCCCTCTCTCTGCGATCCGGAGAGCGGGAATGTTCAGGCGACGCCTCTTGTGGATTCAAGTCGAACTGGACGGACTTTGCAGAAAGAGGCTGAACGGGGTCTGGCGCAATAGGTGGGGAAGAGGTTTTTAAGCCATCTGCAGAAGGGGAACTGTTAGCCCGTTTATCTGTACCAGGCGAAAGCCTGGACCCACCACGTGCATGCATGTGCTCGGGATTGGATGGAGCACTCACATTGTCATCCGGACCGCGTCGATGTCTAGGGTCATGAGCATAAGGGTTACCGGGTTCTGGATGAACAGGGGGAGGGGTGTAGCCATGTGGAGGGGGCATGTTGACGGCGCCGGGTGGTGGATAATCTGCTGGGTTGTATGGGGGATATTGGGTTTCTACAGGCTGCGTTGGTGGTGGAGGGAAGTAGTTTGATTCGGGGAAGTAGCGGGGGTCAGCACCAGGTGGTACGCTCGATGGGGGAGGGCTGTAGGTGTCGGTGGAATAGGATGAGTCTTCATGTTCTGTTATAATATAAGCAAAAATGCTCCTGCGCGGAGTAAAGGGCATATACTTACTCTGCCGCTCCTTCTCAGCTTTCTTGCGGTCTCGCCGCTTCGCCGCTTCATGAGCAGCCAAGCCAGCTACACCAGCAACTGCAGCGGTCTCTGCCGCCTTCCGAGCCCGACTCTTACTCCGGCTTCGGCTTGATCGAGACCGATGCCGCCTGCCATCCGAGGACGATGACGAGCCACGAGGCCGGTTCCTATAGTCCGCCGGATCATCGTAGTCGCGGGACCGGCGGCCCGTAGCCGGATCGGTATAGATGGGATCACCACCGTACTCTACAAGAGCTGTGTCACTTGCTGTGCTTCGCCGCCTACCGGAGCGTACCGACCTGGATCTTGACCTAGACCTAGACCTTGACCTAGACAATTCCTTCTCCTCCTTCTTGGCCTTATGCCTCTCGTACAGACCAGTGACGGCCGCTCCGGCAGCGCCAGCCGCAGCAATCGGTATGCCTTGTCGGATACGACTCCGACTTCGTTTACCTTTACGTTCGCGAGACTTGCTGCGTTGGTGCTCGACAAGGCCAGCCACCGCAGCGCTGGCAAGACCAACCTGTGCGGCTCGACGATTGCGGTGTTCCGGACTCATATGTCGGCTGGCAGACCTGCCCCTTGAGCCCTCGCTAACCGCTGAGACGGAAGACCTTCTTTTCCTTGACCTGCTGCGGCGGTCTTCGATGATTGTTGTATTATTGTTGTTCTTTCGTCCAGCGGCGTAGGCAAGAGCTCCGATGCCTGCAATAGCGGCGACTGTACCGAGTTTCTTTGCTCTTGAATTTGACCGGCTCCGGCGGCGCCTTCGGTCTCGTCCTCGCTCGGAAGAGCTGGATCTGGAGCGATTGTTCCTGTAGCGGCTGATGGCTTCGGCACCCACGGCTCCCAAGGCACCATAGCCAAGCGCTTGACGGACATGATGACCTGGAGCTTCTCCTTTGGACTTCCGATGGTGTCTAAGGATTTCGGCTGCGGCAACACCGCCAATGACTCCTTCAGCGAGGTGGCGGCCGTGGTGGGGGCTCGCATCACGACCCCAGGTATCCTTCTCTTTTCGGACGAAGACGACATCGTCGTCGCTGTAGGCATCTCGGTCGTAGTAGCGATCGCGACCGTATTCGCGCTCGTCGTAGTAGCCTTCCTCGCGACGACCGCCTCGGTCAATCTCCTTCACCTTACGCTCGTAGTAGTAATCCTCGTCGCGCCGGGGCTCGCGACGGGCGACTTGTCTGTCCTCGGTTACTTCAGAACGCTCAATGATCTCGTAGGACGGCTCCTCCCGCCGCACAATGATCTGCTGCGGGGCAGATTCCTGGAGAATGATGGGTTGTGGAGCCTCCTGGCGGATAATGATGGGCTGGGGCTGGGGTTGCTCCGGACGGAAGAATTCGGTCGATCTAGAATACCTCTCGAGCTCGTAAGGGGCCTCTCGCGGGGGTTCCCGCTCATACTGTCGTTCCACGCGGTACTCCCTTACAGCAGCCGGAGGCGAGGGCGACCGCTCGACCTCGCGCTCGATGCGGTACTCGCGGATCTCTCGGCGGGGAGGCGAAGGCGAGCGCTCGACCTCGCGTTCGACGAAGCGGTACTCGCGCACCTCGCGATCTCGGGGGGAGGGGTCGTCTCGGTCGAGGTACTCGCGGGCTTCGCGGCGCTCCTGGATGTCGCGCGGGCGGTGGACGAGGCGCATTTCGGACTCGTAGGTGTCTTCTTCTAGGCTTCGGTCAGGAATCTTGTAGCGTTTCACGGTGGTGTAACTGCGGCCGCCGTGGGAGCTGGCGTCCCAGTCCCGCTCGCGCTCGCGCTCCCTATATATGGTCGACATGGCTGGCGAGTGGAGAGGCAGGCAATGGGGTGATCGGAAAATGCACGGTGAGGTGGGGTGAACGGCGAGCAGGCGCGATGTTCGATGTTTGCTTGCTGTGCAGGTGCTATCGGTGTCTCGAGGGATATGCCGCTGGCAAACAGACGGCGGTGATGCGAAGGGAACGGCGGCTCGTCTGCTCGACCAGTCGGTGCTGTGAGTCTGGCTGTGGGCTGATATGAGTGGGCGGAGGGGCGCGGGATCCGCTCGGGCTGCGCCGATCGCAAGCGCAGTGATTGGCGGGGGCGGGGAGCCTCACGCTTGCAGGAGACGAAGTCGTTGCGCGGGCGGTGGTGCTGGGGATGAGGATGAGGATGAGGATGCGGATGCAGACGGCAAGAGCGCAGGAGACGGCCGGCGCAATAAGAGGCGGGCGGGAATCAGGCGCAAGACGCTGCGAGGCTGGAGGGTGCTTCCCAGTTTGGCGGCGGTGGAGGTTTAGTCGCGTGCATACGTCATAGGGGAGCGACGACACCTTGACGAAGAAGCCGACAGATGGAACAGAGCAGGAGGGATGACTGAGCGCGCGAGGACTGCCTCTGGTCTCTAAATATCTCGCGACCGTTCAGGCCACGGCGCAAAAGCTGCCTGCGTACGACTCAACACGGTATCCTCTCGCCGCTCCCCGCCGCCTCCGCCCCCGCAGCAAGTGAAGCATCGCTGGCCTGCCTATCACGATGCAGAACCAAAGTCAAGCCTCGCATCCGTGCCGCGTTTCACCTCTCTTTGCAAACGCAATCCTCACCGGACGTCGTGCGGTGCTCGACTATGAGCCCTTCCTGCATAGCCCCAGATACGGTGAGGGGCCAAGCACGAGGCTCAGGTAGTTCGCAGTCGGACTCACACTGCTGAGCAATGCGCCGTCATCCCTTGCTGCCTACTCGCTCCATGACCAACAGAAACTGTTACGTGCTTTGGCCGGCCTTTTGCAGGTGCGGCTTACTTCTGCTCGAGAATTTTCCATGGCGAGTAGTGTGTCTGTGTCATGGTCACAAGGCCGTGGAGGTGTTCGCATCCGGGAGAACCATGCCACCAACTGCATGTACGCCCGAATATGTCCCAAGCTGGGCATATGACAATACACATGCTCCAGTCAGGCGTCGAGTGACCGGAGAGGGGCGCCCCATGATATTTGATACAACATCTGAGCTGTTTCGCTTCTTACCTCCTTCTAGGTAATCCGAACACTGCAGATACCCGTTGCCAACGTCACGTTATGGAAATATGTCCAGGTGTCGAACGACTCGAGGAAGCAAGCAACTCTCAGCTAGCCTCTCGACATGGCAGTCTGATCGTCTCATAGCTCGTGGCGAGAGTTCCTATATGGCTCTTGCCGGTGGAAGAGTGACGGGAGGAGTGGTGTGAACATATATAGGGAGGCTGGAGGTCCGGTGAAGCATCGAATAGCGCAAACTACAGCCTGGTTCTAGAGTACAGCTAATTAGTCTTTGGGTGGCCTTTGCCAGAGCTCACCGGATGCACAAGCTACCGGTAAGGCTTCGGTTGGCGAGCTAGCGGGAGTTACCCAGGCCATGTGGGGTGGTGTTCCTAGCACCACGGTCTCATATATTGCAACGGCTCCGGTGGGACCTCGCTCAACCTGGTATCTACTTTTACGAAGCAGAGCCCGGTCGCCCGTTGTGAGTGTGGCCGAAAACCGAGGTATATGCAAAGCGGGAAAGGTGAAGCTGAAGTTGGACTGCCCACCTCATATGCGACGGACAGGAGCTGAGCTGTTCTAGGCTCAATTAGAACGAATGTATCGTGACTACCGGTGGGGTTCCTTTGCGTGGACTTTCCTTGTGAGTAGGTTGAGATAGCATACACAGTAGTACAGCAGAGGAGGGTAAGCCAGTCACGTGTAGATCCGTATCCACACTGGTAAATGGCGGCCTCGCACGACTGCTATTCCGAGAACACCGACCAGCATTCCGCACAGTTGCGCTCCAGCTGTGCCGTCGGGCGTAAGAATGCCTGGAAACCGGCCATTCAGCTCTTGCGCGGGGGCCGTGGAAAGTATGCCTTCCATATGTGCAGCTTTGTCTGTCGGGGTGAGACGTCTCGAAACCGGCGATCCCAGAAGTTGATGGCGATGGCATAAAGCCGTTCCCCATGGCGGGATTAATAATTGGAGGGTGAACTCGAAGGAGCAAAGCGTATCCGATTAGAGTTGAACAACGTGCGAGATGCCCCTGAATTTGGCGGGAAAGGTGTTCAGGGCCGGCAAGAACGGCGCAAGTCCACGTAAACCGCCAAGCGATGGCTGGCTTCCTAAGCTGCCCATCCCGAAACAGGCGTCCGAACGGTTCGATAGGGGAACTGTCGCGGCAGCCCCATGCGACGTTACGCAGGCTAGCGACGAGGAGGCCAATGGCGAAGAAGCCCGAACGCGCTGGCTGGCGTCTAGCCGGTGCATCTTGCTTTTGGCCCGTAGGAAAGGGAATGGCTCTGCACAATGGTCAGCTGCGCCAGCCGTCTACTACAGGAACCCGAGTTCCTGAGCCTGAGGCAATCTGTGGTTGAGGGGCCCGTGGACGTTCGAATGCAGGACACGCTGCGACAGACGTCGTGCCGTCAAAGCACACCTCACCGACCGTCTCCGCCCCAGCACCAGGCTCCCGCCCATCAAGACGACACATGTGTGGCGCTCCAGGGGTCCGAGCCACTCGCCCGCCCAAAGGGATTCCGCAAGCTCAATGCCAAGGCCACCGTCATGCTCTTGGCGCCACTCGACGGCGCCAAACTGCATCGCAGGGGCCGCCGCGATGGCCTGCAGGGTACCTGACGGCCCACTCGGGGACATTCCCCATTATAAGCTCATGAATCTCCTCGAAATCCGCGCTGTACTCTAATATCGCGGCCTCCTACTCCCCACCACGCCTCCCCGCCGCCCTCGTTCGCTGCCAATCCGCCCGGGACACCTCGCGCCGGCTTCTCTGAGCATCCTGGTTGCGGCCGGATATACGCCCACTTCCATGGTGGTCGTCGTCTGGACAGTTTGAACCGGGCAATGCCAATGTCCACGCTCATTTAACGTTTGGATTCTGTATTTCTCCTTCGCAGCCCTGATCTTAATCCTACCACCATCCCTCGGTCTTCAATATGCCACCCCGCGACGCTAACTGGATCGATGTGAGTCAACCCAAGCCCGACACAAACCTCACACCTCACACTGTGTAACCGTTCTGACGCCTCCTCTCTGCACAGGGCCTCCGTGGCATCGCCTCGTTCATGGTGGTATGCGGCCACCTGTGCACTGCGCTCGTGCCCTGGTTGCACTCCCCCGCCCACGACCCTAAATCGGCGCCGCACCTGTTTCAACTACCCTTTTTCCGCCTCGCCGTCGGAGGTCGAAGCGCCGTGGCAGTCTTTCTGCTCATAACGGGATATGTGAACTCGATCGGACCTATTGGCAAGTCGCGGGCCGGGAACACAGACGCCGCCTTCAATGGCATTGCCCGAAGTGCGCTCGCTCGCTCAGGCCGCCTCGTTCTCCCCACCATGATTGCGACGTTCATTACATGGTTTCTTGCCAATATCAACGCCTACCATATGACCAAACACGTCGACTCAACATGGATTCGCCAGGGCTGGCATCGGCAGGAGCCGACGCTATGGGCCGCCTTCAAGTCTCTTGTGAAAGCCGAGGTTGAGACGTGGACAATCGGCTGGAACGACTACGACGGAACACAATGGACGTTACACCTATTTTTGGAAGGCGCTATGATGGTATACATTACAATGTTCGCCACCGTCCTGGTGAGGCCGAAGGCGAGGCTGATAGTATATGCCGTGCTTTACATATATTTTTGGCAACTGGGCGAGGGTAAGACTTCATGTTGGCACCTAATCGGTTGGATGAATGTGCTAACGCAAGTAGGACTGGCCGTGGGTGCTCTCAAAGGCCTGAATATCACCATGGGCATGTTCGTCGCTGAACTTCATAACCACTACAAGGACTCGGCAACTTCGCTTCTCCCCTCGCCTGTCCCCGCCTTGATGATAATCGCAGGAATGTTCATGGCCGGATACCCACAAGATTCTCCACAGAATGCCCACTGGTCGCACGTAATGCAGAAATTCATGAAAACAATCACATGTCAAAACACTGACGTTCGACGATACTGGGACCACTTTGGAGCGTCGACCGTCCTCCTCGGTGTCTTCTTTTCGCGCAACGCTCGACGGGTCCTCACTTCACCGGTCTTCAATTTCCTGGGGCGTGTCAGTTTCCCAGTGTATCTACTTCACAATACTTTCATCAAATCAGTCCTCACCTGGATGATCTACCTTCCGTCCGCGATGAACCCGCCGAGGAACGAGAAAGGAGAGCAAATGGACTTGCAGCGCGGCACGACAACCCACGTCTTAATCGCCATCGTTGTGTTCTACTACGTCTTATACCGCACCGCTGCATTTTGGATTTCCCACGTCGATCCGATATGCGCCAAGGTCGTCAACGCAGCAACGAGCTGGGCATACGGCGAACAGCAGTCAGGAGGCGGCCGACCCATTCTTCGCAATGGCCACGTCGAGAAGCCTAAGACGGTACTGCCCGCATAATTGTCCCGGTTCCAACATTCCGATTCATCCGATTTGGACTATGTCTTGGACCCCTCGACCTCCAAGCATTCCTTCGTGTATTCATTAGAGCAGGAGCCCCGAGTTTGTCTCGTGCCGCAACGTATTATTTTCAAGTGCATAGTCTGGAGCGTAGCGGCGAGTGATTTGAGGTCGATATACCCCGAATTTATTTTTTGGTTGAAAAAAGCAGCGTTGGAGTGTTCGCGGATGGGGAGTTGGTAAGAGGGCTGAGTATTCTTATGCGGAGGTGAGGATCTCCAGAGAAGATGTTGTATGAAAAGAAAATATAGCAATGAGCAATGTAATCGAATCTTCAAATGGGGTTGGCTCTCGCCTTGGGACCCGTGATGATTTTAGACTGAGGAGCGCGAGAAACGAACATGTCCTCCAGGACGTAGGCACAGCAGTTGTTTCGGCCAATGATGACTTGACTTCCATGGAGTGCGTCTATTGCCCCGTCGCGATTACGTGCCTAGTACCAGTACCTTCTCCCACTCCGTGGAGATTTAGGCTGTAGGTGAGGTTGCCGTCAGATATCAATAGCTTGGACAATGATGCAATGCGCTGGGTTGAAAGAGTTCGATAATGCTTCACCACTTCAAAGGCATGTTTCTTTACGAATCCGGATAATTGCCATTTTGAGATAGAAGAAAGAGGAAAGCCCTGATTCTAGTGAAAGTTAGCAATTGTCAAGCACAAGACGTTACATTATACAGTACAAGACCTTCAGAGCGAAATAAAGCCTAACCAGCGAAAGGGCGCAGGAGGAGAAAACGGGGAGATGGGAGACTAACCCTATATCGAAACCGCATGGAGAGACAAGCCCTACAGTCTCGGGACCCTATGGGAATTAACAGCGCGTAGACCGGCATCTGACACGTCGTCTCACTGGATAGTCTGGCATATATATGCACGTCGCGTGGCATGAACGGAAAGGCCCGAATGACATGCAGCAACATGTCCGCCCGTACGCAGTGGTCCAAAGCCATCAATAACCGAAACCGTAACGTAACACCAATCCTAATCTCTACCTAGGTACAAGCTCTTTGCTTTCGCTCTCGCTGCTGTGGGGTTGGGTATCTCTAAGTCTATATAGGTATCATTGTGTTTCCAAGTTGCAGATTGCCAACGCACCCCCTCACGCACCCTGCTTCCAAGTCCCCTTTCTGATGTCGGATGATGATAATGATGATGATGAACAAACAGGAGAACGCGCTTGCCGCCGATATTATATCCCCTTCTATATACTCCCATGTGCTGGAAAAGAAAAATAAATACGAATGCAAGGCCTCCTTGGTGGCTGTCGCTGAAACTCCTGATTGCGCCGCTTAGATGGATAAGATTGGGGTGCTGCCCATGCCAACTCCATGGAACAATGTGATTCGTAAAACGCCGGAAATCGAGGCGGATGCGGGAACGAGCCCTCAAGGCTGGCAAGAATTGGATGCGGATTGCCCGTGCCGTGAGGGCGCTAATGCAATGCATAATATGGCTTACAGTCGCCGTTACCGGTACGCATGGGGGATTGATTGCGGCGTGGGATAAATCGATCTTCGCTCAAGGGATATCGTAACAATCGCTAAGGATAGCCTCGGGATCCTCGGGGGGAAGCATGTCGATAGTATCCGTTGTGCGGGGACCAGTGTACGTTCTGTGGTTCAACTGTTAGCGTTGCATCTAGCCAAGTATATGATCGGTAGGGAAGCCTCACTTTCTTGCCCCCGCGTACCACCATCCCATGCTGAACAGCCCGATGAAAGCCGCCACGCAGATGGCGTAGTTCATATTGGTAGCTGTAACCGGCTTGACCGTGGGGAAGAACAGCACCACGCTGATGAAGATGACCCAGGTGACGGCAATCGCGTTGACGGGCTTGCTCCACCGGCCCATGGTGAACGGCCCCGGGTAGAACTGCACTCTGCCTTCGTACCATCGATGCGCAATGATGACTGCGATGTAGCTGATATCGAGGGCCGGCGCGGTGATGTTGAAGATGGCCACAATGGTCAAGGTGCTTCCGATTCCGATCAAATCGAGGCAGCTGCAGAAGGCGACGACGAGCCAGACCGCGTTTACCGGCGTATGCGTGATAGGGTTGACCTTACTCCAGAAGCTGTTTGTCTCACATCAGCCTTGCGTTCGATGAGCGGTTGCGAAGAACGAGATGCTGCAACTCACTCTGAGAAAGGAAAGGCGGCATCGCGAGAAAAGGCCCAAGCCATTCTCGCGTTCGCCAGCATCGCAGCGCAAGCGGTGAAGCACTGGACCAGGATGACGAAAAACCACATGACGGTTCCCCCAGTTCTTCCGCCGGCATTGAAGAATATTTGTGCGACCGGCAGCCCAGTTGGCGACGCCATGATGGCGTCGTAGTCTGACATGCAGAAGCAGAAGGTCACTGTTAGCATCCAGCCTACAACTCCGGAGACGAGAATCGCGGCTCTGATAGCGACGGGGCCTCGAATAGCCGCATCGTGCGTTTCTTCTGACATGCTGTGCCAGCAGGTTAGATTGGGCTTACATGCAAGATGCTGGGCTGACTCACTGTGTAGTACCATCATAGTCGGTCATCGTCCACGCAACAGAGAGAAAGCTGCATGTGTTAGGCAGACCATTAACGTGTTAACGATGAGATGACGAACCCAAGGAGGAAGGAGAATCCCTTGCTGCCCCAGCCGGAACCATCCATGAACTCGGTGAAGACCCATTTTGCGCTTTGCTTTTCCGGTGTGAGGATGAGGAGAGCGATGCAGATACAGATCGACGCAATAACTTTCGATCCCCAATTACTATGACTCTGCAAGGCGTGGCAAGGGCTTACTTACTATTGATAGGGGCAAACCAGAGAATGATCTCGTGCAGCCATACCGTGGGGAACGAGCAAACTGTTCCAAACAAGCACAAAACGAATATCGCGAGCAAGACTGTCTGCAAGGCAGTTCTGTACTAGTTAGCTATGTTGAACACTAAGCGCTCTTGGGTCCCATACGGGGTAAACGCCGCTTCCCCTTTATCGAACGTGTGTATAACAGCCGTGGCCAGTATCATCTGGGAGATGGTGTACGCCAGACTCGCCACGCCTGCCGCCTGGCCGAGGAAATTGCACCATCCGATAATCCACGCCCATGGTGCTACGTGGTCCTTGGGAACCACATGTTTTGTGACGTAGTACATTCCTCCAGCTGTAGGGTAGGCCGATACCAATTCCGCCACTGAGAACTTTAAGAAAAATACTCAAAGGTGGTGTCAATGTGCGTACCTGAACTCGCTATACAGTATGCCATGATACTGCCTATGAACCACGCCCATACCGCGGTAGCGGGCCCTCCAGAGCTCATCGGGCTTCCAAAAGTCGCTGGCACCGAACCCAGTACTCCTAGAATCGAGATCGCATATGATACTGTTGACCACCTTGAAAAGTGTCGTTGGAGGACCTGCATTCGTTAGTGAACGTCCCGCGTGATTGTGCCACTCCAACATACCGGTGTGTACCCAATGCGCACAAGCAGGCGGTCGTCATCGTCGGCAATTGTTGCCATGTTGCGCGACCTTTGCTGCTCCTGTGCCGCCTCCGCGGCTTTCGAGCAGCTCGAAGTGACAGGTTGGATGGGCCTGCCCTCTCCGGGTTGCTTGCCCGATATAGAGCCCTTCTTCGAGTCTGAGCTGATATCCATGACCAATGCCTAACTAAGGGTGGGACATTGAGAGAAGGGGGAGAAGAGGAGAAGGATGAAAGAGGGGCGGATTGAAATGACAATGATGGGCGGGATAGGCGTTAGTGGGGACGGGCGCGGAGAAGGACGAAAGGGATTAACACCGTCTCAGGACCCGTTGCTCGAAAAGGAAGGGATAAGGCCCGGGTCATTGAACGACGATGCGAGGGGAGGGAGCGAGGGCATAAGTACATTTTATTATCACATCTGGCTGATTGGCAGCACCCTGCCGTGGGCCAACAGGGCACAGCAGGGTAGCAGCCGTTACCGGGAGCCAGCAGGTAACGAGAAGGGCAAGCTACTCACCTCTTCCGCCCAGGACCAGTCAGGGTAATGAATTTCTAGGCCATGATGACACGTGCAGAAGGGGGGGAGCTAGCGGCTTCAACGTGAGCGTAGGGTAATATAGGTGGGGGCAAGCAGCAGAGACGGGGCGTGTGGTGCGAAGGAGCGAGTGGATGCGAGGTGCGGTAGTGTGCAAAGGGGGGCGTGGACGGCAGATCTTGGGGAGAGCGGTGCGTGGTGCTAGAGGTACTGTCATTTGCGGAACGGGACTGGTGCTGGGAGAAGGAGTAGAGGAGCCAAGCATGGGCCAGGAGAGGCCGCTCGGCGTCCCAGACTGGCGGGCCGACTTCGACATGCTGGTCCTCACAATCTGACGCCTGCGCCCAGAATACGACTCCACCATCGTCGACACCTCCGGAGGCGCGCCGCTGTACGGGCAGCGTGCTGCCGGACCTGTCCCAGGACGTCGCTGCAGGTGCAGTCGCAGACAGCAGCGCGCAATTGAGGCCGTTCTGCGCGCCCCGGACGACACCTCTCCCACCGCGCTGGCGAAGGAAGGTGAATGCCGGCGCGGTCCAGCGTGACGGAGAGCAATGACGCAGCACATCGACGTGCGGCTCGTGTTGTCGAGCGACGCGATTCATTAGATGTGTCGTGCTTTTGCTGCGGTATGGCTGCCACCGGCAGTGCCCCTAGCTGCCCTTCGGGATGCTTCGTCCCAGGCGGTGAAGCCCATCTCTCATTGGTCTTTGAGGTGCCTTGTATCCCCGAAGCTGGCCGAGCGTGAAGATATCCGATCAGATGAGGGTATTTGACGAGATCAGGACATCATACGGCCGGCCCCCAGCCGCTGTTATAGCAACATGCCCATCTTCGTTGCTTCATCACAGAGCTGGAAGCCACCATCCGAGTGTTCCGTCCGTCTTCTGGCTCGAGTCACCTTGCTGGTAAAGCAAAACTAACATATAGACCTAACAGCCTTAGCATACAGAACTATAACGTACTTGCTATTGCTACCATGCACCGCGGCTTATCGCCGAATCCCACATCGGGCTCGCATTGCCTATCGGAGCAGCAGAAGCGAGCCAGCGGCCGCAACCACATCTCATCAACCCTCTTTCAAACGAGCCGCCGCAGCTGCAAGGCCCGTCTGGGCGGGCGGCAGCCTCCGCGGTGCCGCATGCTTGAAGCAGCCAATGCTACCCAATCCAACCGCAGTTGATAGTGGAAGACGAGGTCATTCACGGTGTTGCTTTTTCCTCCCGTACTGTCGGAACCCATCCCACGCCGCAAAAAGGTTAAAGCCCGTCGTCGAGGACCAGTATCAAGACGTACCAGCACCTAGTTCCATGGCAGACAGATGAGTTGTCCATCCGCCATCTGTCGCGGTGAGGGCCACTCCGGACGCCATTGCGGTACTTGCGCTGCACGAGGTTCAGATGACTCCCCGGCGTCGCTATGCCGAGCCCACGCTTCCAAGGTCACGGCAGCACCTAAACCTCCTTCCTCGATGATGATTGACCGGCAATCTTGATGCCGTTTGGCAGATTCCAAAGAGCGGTGGACGTTTCGCGGCTATTCTGTCCGTCCCGTCCGTGACACCGTCTAATTCATCCTGTTTAGGTAATTCCACCTGCTCTTCTTCGGTATCGTCAACTTGAACAGCACCGCCGGCGGGCAGTCCAAGGGAAGGATCCCTGCCTCCGATGCACGCGTCGCACGTTTCTGCCGTCATAATATTTGAAACGTGCGCGCCTGATGAGCGCCCAGACGACAGGACGCAGCCAGGAAATGCAGATTGCGCTGAACCGAGGTGAGAAAAATTGTCCTTGTCATTACCGCTACTCCGGAACCGACTTTTGCCTGTGATGCTTCTGGCAACCTCGTGCGGGCGTGTTCTAGAAGCGATGCCGGAGAATTCGGCTGGGCCATCTTCTGCTCCCTCGTGTGCGTCGGCGCGCATCTTGATATGGCAGACAGCTCAATACGGTAGCTGCAAGGCCGGCTGTACCGGTAGTGCGCATCATCAGCCTGTAATGCATGCAGCAGCAGGCTCGCCTCCAGTCGCCTTCGCTCCTCGTCCTTCGTTTTCTCGTCCCAAGGAAACTTCTAGCCAGCTTCTAGGCTCTCGTAGGGCATTGACATGACGACAGACCGGGTGCGCATACAATCAGCCCAATGTTTTATCTCACGAGCGCGGAAAAAGCGTAAAGCGATTACGAGGGCGCCGACGCGGCCGCTCATCAAACAACGTTCGGCGCCGCTCGACCGTCGTTTCGCTCTGCCGCCCCCAATCCAGGGTTGGCTTTCGAGGATCCCCACCACGTGGTGCCGATCAGCCCAGCCCTACCTGGGGCAGCCAATCAGATGCATCCCGTCCTGTTCCCAACCTCCCGCTTGCATGAACAGTTCGCAAGGTAACGCAGGCTGTCCTTCATACCGACAGCAAGACTGACATGTACATACAGTGCGTGTAAGACTGCGATGGATCCTGCCTTCTGTCTCGCATCAACCGGTAAGCGATCCTTCATCCTTAGCAGAGCGGGTATCACATCCGCGTATGCGGTACATGCCGGGCTTCCGGCCAAGGAGACAAGGCGACCAAAGTCAAGAAAGGTACGCATGTCCGTAAGCTAAATGCTATGGAGACTCTACGAGTCATCATAATATCATTCGATCCAGGGGGAATCAGTTACCGATATATCGGCGGCCATGTGCACCATGAAGCAATGAAATCAAACGCCTATATCGCTGCCCATGTTCGTTACCGAAAGCACAATCCTTAGTTACCCATCCACACCTGAAAGATGGTCCGGCCGTAAAGCGCACTAGTAGGGACTGTTGACGATGTCATTCCGTCCCAAGTAACTTCCCCTCGCACCACTGCGTCGAGCAGCGCCCACCCGAGAGGGCGTAGCGATACTCTCGCGCGTCGGCCTTTGCAACGCTCGCTTAGCCACCATGTCGACTTCATTCGGAAGAGCTACGATGAGGTTCTTGTCTGAGCCGAACTTGAAGTTGTCTGCCTTGACTTCCTCTGCGTAGCGCTTGATGCTGTACGGGTCTCTGCGGTTCGCGAGCACCTTCTTCAAGCTCCAGGTGACAATGAAGGGCCCGGTGGCGGTGATGATGGTCGTCTCCGTGTCATCCAATCCAGTGTTGAAACGCGCCGGGGTGAACGAGATCGGCGCTTTCGTCTCGTGCTGGAACTGGGCAACGTGGGCGGGCGTCAACGCTAGACGTCGTGGCTGCGGTTTATCGTCCTTCGCAAACGCCTTCTCGAACCCGAGTTTCCCGTCATTCTTGCCCCCCTTCTGCAGTGCGTCGATGAGGAGAAGGTATGTTCGCGTGGTAGCGAGCACCCATCGGCCGTCTGCCGATACATCTATACCTATGATTGGATCGCCAAGAGCCGGAATGAGTGTTTTTGCGTTGATTCCGAGCCTGTCGTACAGCCGAATGTCTCCCTTCTCTGAAGCCACGGCGATGTGTCCGCGCTCGGTCGTGGCTGCAGCAGAGAAGGCGTTTTTCGTGGCGTATTGTTTGTATTGGTCGTCGACGAGCTTGTTGCCGGCAAGACGAGGATCGATGCGATACAGGGCGTTACCCGACAGACCCAAGAACGTTTGCTCGTTGCTCATCTGGGCGAATTTCTGCGTCGAAGTCAGCACGAGTTCAAATCAAGTCGGTTCGTCGGAGGACTTACATTCTCTGGTGCGAACACCTTGACGGGGATGTCGTCATGCACCTTCCACTCATCCACAACCGTGCCGGTCTCCAAGTCCATGCGATACAGCGCATTCGGATTGTCCAGGTTCTGCAGGACCATATTTTGATCTTCTTGGTGGAGCATGACCTTGGTGGGATTGAAAGCCTTGCCCTTCGGCGTCTTGACGTTCGAGATGGTAGTAGCGAACTGTAGATGGTTGTTCGGAGTGTGCTTGAACACACCGATCTTGTTACCTCGGACGACGAATGACCTGTCATGTTTGTAGCCGACCGCAAGTTGGGAGTTGACACCTCCATCCTTCATGTCAGCCTCCACGTCGTCCTCAGACTCGTCCTCGTCATAATACTCGCTCTTCTGTCGTTCGTCTGCATCTTCGTAATCTTCCTCTTCTGATTCTTCTTCCTCCTCTTCCGCTTCCGGCGCGTCCTCCATCGTGAGATCCTGGAAGGCTTCCAGCACATACTCGCGGTCAGCGTCCTTCGCCTTCTGCCACTTCATCTGATTCAAGTGCTCCCATAGTGCTTGCATAACGCCATTCTGGAAGTGCTCCAAATCCTCCTGCGATTTGAAGCGGATCAGCCATGAATAAGCAGACCCATCGTCCAGATAGTGGTTGAAGATGAAGGACTTGAACTCATAGTTGAAGACCGGGTTGATATCCTCAACAATGGGCTGACCCAGCCATTCGCGCTCCTCACCGTCGATGTGCAGCCAGTACTCCCAGTTGCCGATCTCGGTCACCGTAGCATGTACTTTCGCGTCCTGGAGGACAAATGTACCCGAGGGGAAGTCGAAAAGATGGAGCTCAGCAACCGCCTCGGCCAGGGTACCTAGAGCGGCTGGCTGCGCGACAGCCGGCGGTGCAGAGGTGGGGTCCTCCTGCTGAGGAACCTGACCTTTGCCTGCTGCCTTCTTTGCCATGTTCTCTTGTGTGGTGTTCGGAAAGAGCTCGGATGCGGCAGGCGCTGCCGCGAGGGTCGGAGATCTGGCCACGGGGCTGGCGATGGGGCTCGCGTCTGGAATGGGCTCCTCGAAGTAGGCTAGAGCTTCTAGGTCTTCTTCGGTTGCGTTCTCGTGGCTTCGTCGGAACTTCCGCTCGTACTGGCACTGCAGGGCAACCCGCTCGAACAGGGCAGCAGTCTCTGGCTTGACTGACGGGTCACACACGAACTCCCAGAGATCTCCCACGTCGCCGCTGAGATCGCGCCACGCGAATATCGTCTCGCCGGTCGAACGCACGTCGGTGCGGAACTGGAGGCCCTCGTCGAGCAGGAAGGTCTTCTCGTCCTTGTCCCCTCCCAGTGCGTCGACACCTGCGTCCTCGCCACCTTCTTCCTCTAGGAGATCCTCCTCGCCTTCTTCGTATGCACGCTGGACCACGAGCTGATATTGGAACTCCTGCCCGGTGCGTCGAATGGTCGCGGCGGCGTCTTTGAAGATAAGCTCGGAGTAGCCCTTGACTGACCGCGGACGGACGAGGTAGAGCTGGCCTTGCGAGATCTCGACAATCGACTCTTTGGAACCGTCGCCAAAGACAAACTTGCTAACTGTGGGCGGTGCTTAGTGTCTGTATGCCACAATAGCGGGGGCGGGGTTGACAAACTTACGGCTGCGAAGCATAAACATGGCGACAAGTGGCAGTGCGGCGGAAGGACAGGTGAGGGGCTGCTAGCGGGTCTACTTAAGCTTCGCGACGCGCACGCGTTCCATGCCTGGGTGTGAGTGAAAGCCGGCAAGGCAGCAGATTGTCGCGATTTGGGGAAAACACATGGGCGTTTGTTGCGTCTGCCAAGTCGCTTATTCTTGCCACGCGTTGCTGTGGCGTCCCACATCAGGCTTCAATGTCAACCACGCAATATTCCATGTCTCATTCTACATATCGCTCGTACAAGGGCCCATGATGCGCCATAAAATGCACGTTACAGCCGCTTTTGATCCAGCGTGATACCAGGACCATAGTCCTCCCGAACACGCTCTAAAACAAGTCCAATAGCTCCTGGTTGCTCTTCTGCGTCGTCTGGCCGCCCAGTTGCTGGCTTGCAGGCGGAGGCTGGCTTGTTCCTGAGAGATCCATACCGGCAAACCCATTCATGATATCGTCGTTCGTCATAGGAGTGTTGGAGGGGCCTCCGCCACCGCCTCCGTCCCCGAATAAGCCCAATAAATCGTCCATTGTCGAAGCGGGCGCAGGGGCCCCTGTTGCGGGTGACGCTACTCGTTGTGGTGTGCCCGCGAGACCTTCCAGGCCAGACTCTCCGGAAATGGGTTGCTTCTGTAAAGACGCAGGTGCAGAGCCGTCGAAATCTATGTCCAGTAGGTTTTCCATATTAGTCTGCGGTGGAGCCTGACCACCTGCGACCGCCGCCGCAGCTGCAGCCGCAGCGATAGGATTTTCTCTCGCATTCTGCTGTTGCTCCCTAACCATGAATTAGCATCAATGGTCGTGCAAAAGCGATGAATTACATACTCGATCGCTGCTCTTTGCATGGCCTCTGCGCCGAATCGACCCTGTCCCAAGAATGCCTCTGGTGGTTTGTGATACACCGAAGCGAGCGTTGAGAGTTCTGTGAGCAGCTGTTCCAGCAGTTGCGGGGGCAGAGATTGGATTGTTGATGTTATCGCGGGTTTCTCGGAGAGTACAATGTTCTGGAAAGCATTAGCGGATTCCGTGGCCTTCGCGCGGGGGACCTACCTTGGCAATTTGAGGATCACTCGATAGCAACCGCCAATACACATATGCTCGATCCCGAATATCAGGGTTGTCATTCTCCGCTGTCGCTGCTTGTAAGACCTTTTGCACCAAGCCTTGCGACTGATCCGGTTTCTTCAGGAAGAGCTTGACCACAGCCGTGAGGATTTGAAGTTGAACCTGAGAGTATGTTAGTTTTAGGCCCACGCCTTAGGCGCTCTGACATACCTGTGTGAACTCCTCGCCGAACCCATCGACGAAAGTTGATAGTATCTCTCCGGCGTTGTTGATCTTCTCTGCATATTCTCCCACAATCCAGATAAGGGACGCTCGGGCGTAGGGCTCGTCTAACTCCTCAATGCATTGACAAAGCTTGGGGATTATACCCTCGTATCCAGGATATCTTCGGAAGATGTCTTTGATGACGACGATAGCTTCTTGAACGACGTAGTTCACCTTCGTGTCAATGAGATCCAGTAAGGTGTTAACGCACTTCTCGCTTGCGCTTTCGATCTTGATAGCCACCTGGCCAATGGCTTTGACAGCTCGTCGCACGAAGTCCATATCTACCTCCATTGCGTACTCCTTGAGCTCGGCGAGGAGCTGGTCCACGTTTTTGTCGTTCGCTATCCGTACCATAATCTCAAGCTTCTGGAGTTTCAAGTAAGGCGGGTCGTTGTATTTGCAGAAGAAGACGCGCATCTCTTTGCTCAAAATATCGGGTTGTTTCTGCAGAAGTAGATCAATATTCCTGAGAGCGACATACTGCACTTCGGGCGCAGATGACACAAGCGTGACTGTAGCGGGTTAAGAATAGCGCTGAGAACTGTAGCAGAGGGCGTACCTAATGGAGGTGCCATCTTCTTGGCATATGACTTCATCAATTCCGGCGAGGTGTATTTCATATGGAGGAAGACGACCTTGACAGCCGCCAACACCACGCTAGGATTGACATGCTGGAACTGCGGAGAGACTCTCTCGCATATGTGCTCCGCTTCCTTGACATCTTGCGCCTTGTAGTCGGCAAGCGTGGTCAAGATGGTAACTCTGCCCCACTCTGTGCACTCATTAAGCGCCATCAGCATCTTCTTCAAGGTTGCCGGCGTGACGACGAAGGCTTTAGTCTCGGGACTCGTTTCCTGAATTTCCACCAGCGCGGTGACCGCATTCGCCACGACCATGGGGTTCGGATCTCCGATCATGTCCTGAAGTTGCTCGAGGAAGCCGTTTTCCAAGCACATTTGGGGGTTTAGGTCAAAGAGCTTGGCCACGCAGAGCGCTGCGGTCTTCCGAACGTACGGCGATTCATCTCTAAGTGTTTTCCGCAGCGGCTCCTCCATGTAGTCCACCATCTTGTCTACCCGAATGCACCCCATTGTCCGTATTGCGAGAGCGCGTATTAGTGGATTCGGGTCTTCCGAGTCTTGAACGAACGTGTTCACGGCGAGGATACAGAGGTCGGGATGTGATTTCGCGTAGTTCCTGAATGCGCCATTAGCGCTCTACGGGATGTACGAGCCGCCAGCATAACTTACATGAGATATAGGTATACGAGCTTCTTCTGATCCAGGTCCGCGGTCGCGATATTCTTTAGCACATCGGGAAAAAGCGCGGACACGTCTTTGCCTAGAGTCATTGACATGATAGTCTTCTGGATGGCCTCTTTCCTAGCAAAATCTCAGTATATGGGTTTCCCAGTAGCAGTGAGCTCGTCCTCACCGTTCGTATGCATATTGGGACCTGTGACGCCAGTCAGTTCCGCGGTGTCTCTACCCATTGCACATCAGCCACTTACACTAGACCGGCCCTCAACTCGAACGTCTCTCCCTTCCGGGGCACCGCAAAGGCGCCTCTTATCCGGTTGACCGCCATCTCTACGCTTCAGAGGCAGAGGTGACGACCGCAGTCGTACCCCTCATGCAAAGGCGATACTCGAAACTAGGAGCTGAAGAGCGCGAGACCGGAGTCGCTGGCGGCGCAATGCTTGTGATATTGCGGCGATCTTCGAGAAGCGATAGGTGTCAAATTTGAGGGCGGAAGCGTGTGGGCGTCGTTGTCAAGGGAGATATTGAAGTTCAATTTCGTGGAGCCTGATGTTCGTCGAAAGCGACTGCCACATTGACGATGATTGGCCCGTGCGCCCCATGCATGCTTCTGGCCGCTCAGCACGAACCCAGGGATATTCACATCACGACGCGTCCTCAGTGAAGATACTGGTGACAGCTAACAATGGTCAGTTCTGCGCCTTTCTGATAGTCTTCAGCAGATCTAAATAATAGAACAGCCATCAAACCTCCCAAACCTGCGACGTCTATTCGTAGAAGCTCGCACCGAGGGCGAAGAGAGCGCATACTCCAGGAATGCTGTATGTCCCGTTACAATATCTGTTGAGCTTGCCCTTATCAAGAAATTCAGTTCTACAACCTCGTGATCTTCATGTCTTCGGTTGCAGTCTTCAGTCTGGTCGCCCAGCGTATGAGCACAGGAAAAGTTGCAGGCTCGTAGCAGGTCACGAGCTGAATGCCATCAGGACCTCGAAAGGAAGGCCCGTGTCTACAAGTGTCCGCTCCAATCGAACAGGAGGAGATACGGCCGAGCGGCACGTTGTTCTAGGCTAGAGATTTCGACTATCGAAAGATTGTGCCTCGGGGATGCATCCACGAGTATCAAAAGAAGCGAACCATCTCCGGACGCCTGCGACAAAACGTAATATCAAGAGACTGGAAGGCGGAAGATTTTGCGCTTAGAGGCATGTTTACTTGCAAAACTTGGTGAAGCCTTAGTCGACTGAGCGATATGCTATACGGGTATCATGGAATACAGCTCTCTGGCCACACAATACGACAATTTGTCTAATGCTGTGACTCTTCTTGAGACTTCAACATTACCCCTGTGCCCGGAAGAGGAGCAAAACATACCCCCTACTCTGATTCATTGCTGTCGTCCCCGTCATCGTCATTGTCCTCTGATTCAGGCTTTACCTCCTCGTCCTCGGCATCATCTGAAGCATCCTCATCTTCGCCTGAATCGGAATCGGAATCTTTCTTGACTACTGCCGCTCGCTGGATGCCCCTATTCAACCTCCGTCTAGGCCTCCCGCCGGCCTCCGCCTCCTCAGTCTTGCCCCAGGCCATTGCGCCTTTTTGAATCTCCTCCAAGTCCTTCGCAAACTCCCGTTGCTCTTTGATTCGCGCCGCCTTCTCGTTAGAATATTTGCCTTCCATACCGACATCGTCGAGCATGCCTTTGAGATGTCTAATCTTCTCTTTGGGGGTGTCGCACTTTGCAAGCTCCTTCGACCACACTTTGCGGATGCCGCATTTTACGAGCCAGCCCTGCAATCGCTTGATCTCTGCTTGGTCTGGATCATCATCCGCTTTCGCCTTGGATGGCTTGGCTCTCGATTTGGTCGGCTTAGACTCTTTCGGCTTTCGCTCCTTGCCGCGTTTCTCGGACAGTGACTTCTTTTGCCGCTTCTTCTTCATTGGCGACTCGTCAAGGAGGCTCGACAGCTCGCTTTCAGAGACATTGTCCTTTGTGTCCGCAGGCGGTGTCTGCCGGGTCTCTGGTTCAGGCTGCTTCACCGCTGGCGCAGTCTCTGCTTCTTTCTCACTCTCGTCGGCGTCCACTCTACCCTTTCCCGTCCCTTTCTTTGGCGTATCTCTGTCTTCGTCTGACTCCCCCGCCACTATGTTCTTCCGTCGACGCGTAGGCTTGTTTGGGGGTTCGTTTTCTGCATCGGAAAGTGCGTCGTCCTCGTCCGGCACGTCTGAAAGCGCAGATTCTGACTCGTTCTCTGCGGATACCGTCTTCCTTCGCTTCTTAGGCTTTGTCGCTGGTGCCGCTGCTTTCCTCTTTGCTCCGCGCGCGCTATCGCTGACCGCTTTCGCCTTCTTCCGGACGACAGGTTTGGGCTTTGGAGATTTCTTGAGCGGAGCGGCCGGGGGTTCGGCCACTGGCTCGTCGGTGCAGTACTTCCCCTACGGCTGTTAGTTACATGCAGCGCATGCCGAGGACCACACGTACTACTGCCTCATGGATGAGGTTGTGACTCTTCCTCTTCCAGCTTGTGTCCGTCTTGAGAAAGCCCGCCGGCAGTCCAAGCTGCTCCTCGGCTCTCGTTCTGACGCGCTTGACCGTGAGGTCATCGGTGTTGCCCGACTTGTGTATAGCAATGACAGTATCGCGGAGGGCGCGGGAGATGGTCGCCTCCGAAGGGAGATTGCCTGTGTCTGAATCCGACATATTGCGCGGTGGAATGATCGGCGTATAAGGCGTGTGGACGCTGTGCTCTGTCTGCCAGGGCAGCCGTTGTCGCGTGCGAGGTGAATTGCTGATGGGCTTGCCGCGGTGCGAACAGGATTGGTCCGCGCACTGTGCTGTCCTGAGCAGGGAGGCACCGCTGCACGTGATCGGCGTCCGGGCCCCAGAACCGTGCCCAATTGGAGCAATCGGTGATGCAGTCCCAGGCGGGCGCGCGCAGGGCAAGCAAAAGCAACGGGTCAAGGAACGTGGATTCAGCCTCAGGCCCGGCGAGACCCCATGCGTCGACCCCAGCGCTGTCAGGCCACATTTCCTGGATTTCTTGGGTTTCTTTTCACACGTTGCGGCGCACGGGCTGGCCTGTGGTTCCCCGCCTGGGCTGACCGACGTCACTTTATTTGGGCCATCATTATGAGCGAAGTGCAGCTGTTTCGGGCGCGCTGCCTTCACTGCCTCCACTCTCTTCGCTCCCTCAGATCCTGCAGCCCGGCCTGCATACGATTGGGCTCCACCCCTACCAGCCTGTACTTACTTCAATCTACTGTGTTCCACTCCCTGCGCGCAAGCTCACCTGCCGCTCTAACGGTATCGCGGAATCTGCGAGAACCCACCCGCTGCATCCCAGTGGGCCTTCGCGGCCAATATCATACTGTCGTCACCCGCCTCAGACGCCGAGGGAATATCTTGCGGCACTTATTGCTGGCCTCCCGAATATTGCTAGAGAACGTGGCCTGTCAAGCTCGGGATCCGTCGCCAAACCTTTCGACCATCGACAAACTTTTATTAAAGGTCTCTCGAGACTCCCAACAAGCACGCCGCGCCTGTCCTACCTCGAGCCAAGCGTACCCGCACGACTGCTATCCCTCACAACCCGCCAGCAAATATGCCAGCGCCCACTAAGCTCGTGCGGCGCCATACCGAGGACGGGCGGCTGCTGCTCGTTTCCAACCGCCTGCCCATCACCATCAAACGCTCTGACGAGGGCAAGTTTGAGTTCTCCATGTCTTCCGGCGGGCTGGTCAGCGGATTGAGTGGCCTCTCCAAATCAACTACCTTTCAGTGGTACGGCTGGCCCGGCTTGGAGGTACCCGAAGACGAGATCTCGACGCTCAAGGATCAACTCAAACAGCAGTACAATGCCGTCCCCGTCATGCTCGATGACGAGCTAGCAGACCGTCACTACAACGGATTCTCAAGTAAGCCAACTCTGCCTCAGATCCTGCCCCCTCGCCTTGCTGACCTCCAGATTCCATCCTCTGGCCTCTGTTCCACTACCATCCCGGCGAAATCACCTTCGACGAGTCCGCATGGAACGCATACACCGAAGCCAACCGCCTGTTTGCAAAGGCAGTCGCGACAGACGTCCGGGACAATGACATGATATGGGTGCATGACTACCACCTTATGCTTCTTCCGGCCATGCTGCGCGAAGAAATCTCCAACATGGAGCAGCCGAAGAAGAACGTGAAGCTTGGATTCTTCCTGCATACGCCTTTCCCCAGCTCCGAGATCTATCGTATCCTGCCCGTCCGCAACGAGATCCTGCTCGGTGTCCTGCACTGCGACCTTATCGGATTCCACACCTATGACTATGCCCGGCACTTCCTAAGCAGCTGCTCACGCATCTTGTAAGTTGTCCTCCGCCCCTTCATACCAAAGTGGTGTTTGCTAACTTTGCGTAAAGGGGTCTTGCGACTACACCGAACGGCGTAGAATTCCAAGGCAAGGTCATCACCGTCGGCGCCTTCCCCATCGGCATCGATCCAGAGAAATTCGATGAAGGGCTCAGGAAGCCGAAGGTGCAAGAACGCATTGCGACTCTAGAGAAGAAATTTCAGGGTGTTAAACTCATTGTTGGTGTAGATCGCCTTGACTACATCAAGGGCGTCCCGCAGAAGCTGCACGCTTTGGAAGTATTTCTCACAGAGCATCCGGAGTGGATAGGCAAGGTGGTTCTGGTCCAAGTTGCAGTTCCAAGCCGCCAAGACGTCGAAGAATACCAGAATCTGCGCGCAGTGGTGAACGAACTTGTCGGGCGGATCAATGGCAAGTTCGGCACTATCGAGTTCATGCCCATTCACTTCATGCACAAGTCGGTATCTTTCGACGAGCTCATTGCGCTCTATTCGGTATCCGATGTCTGCCTCGTCTCCTCGACTCGCGACGGAATGAATCTGGTGTCCTATGAGTACATCGCAACGCAAGAGAAGCGCCACGGCGTCATGATCTTGTCCGAGTTCACGGGGGCCGCCCAAAGCTTGAACGGCAGCTTGATCGTCAACCCTTGGAATACCGAAGAGTTAGCAGATGCAATTCACGACGCGGTCACGATGGGTGATGAGCAGCGCAATCTGAACTACCAGAAGCTATCTAAGTACATCAGGAAATACACTAGGTAAGCAGTCTTCTGCATTGCAAGCACCGCAATCACTAACGACGTTCAGCGCTTGGTGGGGGCAGTCCTTTGTCAAAGAGCTTACAAGGATATCTGAGCAAGCCGAGCGGAAAGTCAGGTTCGGACCGCGCCCATCCACGTCCCAAGGCAAGACGAGCATGCCGCTCGCCAACGTTGCTCCTCGTCCGTCTACCTCTAGTGGTACCTTACCCGTCGACAATAAGGAGACTGACGGCTCTGCTGTGCCTACGATCGATAAGGAGGCTGAGACTGCAACAACGGCCATCCCCGTCATGAATAAAGACAGCGCTGGCAATGCGACGACCGATGCAGCTCCGCCCGAACTGATCAAGGAGGCAGGAACGATCAATCCGTCCCAGTCGCGCGAGCACGAGGCACACATAGCATCTGCATAGCATCCTGGGCAGCTGGCAGCTGGGCGTACACACGGCTCCCCCTTCTTCTTTTCCAACATAGGGTCATTGCATGGAAGTCCGGCGCGAGGGTCAAGCGTAGACGACGATGGATATCCCTCTTAACTTCTTGGAGACCCGCAATGCACTCTAGATTCCCTAAAATCATTAAGATTCCTGGAAGACATTACCTCTGTCGTGTCCACCCAATCAGCATTACCCAATTAAACTATACCCCTCATCTTGATTACTCGTCTTTCACTTTGCAGATATGTGCAGCGCCCGCTCTCCCAAGCCCCCGTTCACTTCCGCATCTGCGGAATCAGCAGCAAACACCTCGCGTGGCGCATACCGGAAGAATTCTTCCCGTGTCAGTTTCACGAAGCTATCCTCCAGTGCTCTGAAAGATTCATAGCAGCGACGATGCGCATTTTGTAACAGTGATGTCACATATTTCAAGTCGCCGAGAGACTTTGGCCGCGTTCGCTGTATCCCTAGTGACTCTTCGTATCGAAAATAGCCGCGAGTAAGGAGGACCTGTTGCTTTGATGCAGGCAGAACCTTGACTGATCGGCACAGGCCAATGTCTGTGTCTTCGGAATAGCAGGCTTGGTGGAGGGCGACTCACTATTATTGGCTGTATAGCTGTTGGATAATCTGGGAGTAGTTATTCGGTCTTACCTGGGTGTTTCATCTGCTATTTCTAGATGGCGTTTTCGTGTTGCACTGAGTGATCAAGTTGTAGATGGGAATAATCATCGATTCCCAATCCCTACATTACATCTTCTCGATCAAGGGACTACAGCACCAAGGAACGCCCGAGAGAACACGTCTGATGTAGAAGTTGGTGATGTTTTCAATGTCACGGCATTCTAGATTTACAAGACCTCATACTCCACCACGCTTGCCAACATCGTCTGTACACAGTATCCCAGCATGTTAGCTTTCACTTTTCACGAGCTTATAGCCTTTCACGAGACTGAAGTTGGATATTGAAAAAACACCCATCCGTTAAGCACTACTTTGCTACAGTACGGTCCACTAAGGAAAACCTATCAACGCGCGAGTTGAACCAATCAGAAGCTACTACTCCTCGCCCTACTCACCATCCTCACATACCCAGAGATGAGCATTCCGTCTAATTATCCTCCATGTCGAATTTGACCCAACGCGACAGTCTCCAAGGTGCTCTAAAACGCATCTTTAATGTAAAGCCGGTCTTCGTTCAGCGTGCCCACACAAGTTAAGCAGAATACACCTTGCTCTGCCTTCGAAGTTGTTCAGTGAGATATGTGCCGTAGTAAGGGTGTATATAGAGAACGCAAGCTCGTAGGCAGGTTGGTAAGTAGATGCATTGCGTCGGCCTTCCGCATCCATCACATTCCCTCTGGTAGAATATGTGTAGAGACCTCCAATGCCAAAATTCCCTTCATCGTGTTCGGCGCGATGCGGAGAGCCATACGTAACGGTGGAATCGTGTTGACGAAATAGCTCGAGCACCTGTTGCAGCGCCGAAATCGCATCAGATCGATGATTGAAACAATTTCAAGAATGTTAAGGAGGAGCTCATTCGGGAGAACAGTAAGCCCCCCGAGCTCTCTAATACGTGGGGTTGGGTCGTCGATCGAGAAGACGGGCGCCATGCGATCGAGGAGTCGATCCAGATAGAACCAATTCCTGCGGAGATCAGCATACGTGTAGGTGAGGCTCTTAATATTGAGATCGGTTGGAAGCGCTATTGTAAGATATCGTAGAAGAAGTCGTTGTCTTGGCACTACGTCCGGCGGCGTCGGTCGGTCGGTCGGTCGATCGATCGATCGCGAGATTGGATCTGTGCGACTCTGAAGCTGTTGTCAAATTGGCTGTGCATCTCTGAGTCATACATTAGAGGTTAAGACTCAGGAAATGTGGTTGTTGAGGCGTCGTACCATAGTTGATATCTGGAGCCTACCACCCGCAACACACATGCGTTCGGCGGTGGGCTATGGACAAACAACAGAAGCTGGAGTGCATTCCGACTGTTAGATGGTGGAGGGGACTAGTGTGGCATGCTGTACCTAGGTATGCTTCCACGCCACAAGAACAACCAGGGTTTCGGCCAACAGGAAAGGTGGCAAAAAAGATATGGACTGCAAAAAAGATATGGACTGCAAAAAAGATTGGACTTGCTGGGAATCGAACCCAGGACCTTTCCCATGCTAAGGGAAAATTATACCACTAAACCACAAGCCCGTTTACTACAACTTTAAGCAAAATAGAAATTTAGACAATATAAGTCCCAAAATATAGTATTTAGATCTTTGTAAATCGTTTTCTACTTTTCAAAATTAAAAAAATAGTCTTTTTTGCGATACTTTTGCAAAGTTAGACTCTAGAGAGGAAACGTTATTTTTTAGCTTAACTTACTAAATTTATTTTTACAGAAAAGTAAAGTTTACTTATAAGCTTGCTGATATAGTAATCCTTCCGACGGATGCTTTGCCTATAATGTTAAGCCACCCGTAAGGGCTTATTTTACTTCTGCCAATTATCGCTTTAGCGTCAGCCCACGATGCGCACTTGGCTGAGATCCAATAGCGCTTACTGTTGGTGGCTGAAACTTGACGCTGCTAGCCATGTGCGAGAAATGAGAAGCGATTTCTCGAAAATCGCATCGACAGCGACGCCTGCCGCACGTATTTCGCTCTTGACTATGCTCATTTCGATTACTCCATTCAGTTTCCCTATGCGAAGCGACCGCTGCGCTCCACTGAGCTGCCCTCTCTACACAATATCTTTGGAGACCATCTGGCACGTGATGAGACAGCCGGCTTCATGTTGGGCACAAAAAACACCTGACTTGAACGATGAGCTGCGCTGCCTCGCGATCGATGAAAGACGCTTGCACGCGTCCACTCAGCCGCAGACCTAGCGGGCTGTGCTCCTTCGCTGGGACAAAATCAGAGATGCCCCTGTTCCCGACGGTGACCTGTTTTGGTAGAGGTCCATCCTGCCACACGTCCAGAGCTTCAAGAAGCACCCTCAATGTATACGCGAACTCGTCGATCGGCTGGGCGCACTTGTCGGCGTCCGATGCTTGTCTCTCTGCACTCGTCAATTGCTGCCAGCGAATTGTGGATGATCGACGGAGCGACCGACCACACGACGAGCTGCTTAACAACACTGCGCGAATAACGTGATGAGCTGCTGCCTTCGGGCAGTCCTTAGTGTAGCTAGGAAAAGGCGTAGAAATAGGTGTGTCGTGATCTTATCAAACTCGGAAGCGTGGGCGCAGGTCCCCGCTCACACTGTCCCTACAAATCGAGTTTCCGAACTTTAAAGTAGAATGTTCGCTTCATGGTTCGCGGAGAATCGGTGGATCCGGTGAGGAGCCACGGTTGGGGTGAAAAGTGGGCTGTTTGTGGTTCCGTTGGGAATCTGGGCCAGATGTCAGAGGTATGGTCGCTTTTTAAGGAGCACTCGCACCTACTACCGCAAAACTGTGCACGATTTTCACAGTCCACACACGCTGCCAGTTCATCAGTACCTAGATATCCTGTATCGACGGTTCTTCCTCCAGGTACTCCAGATCACCGTTTCAACACAACTTACCCAAAATACCCGGACGTCAGGCGCACAAAACCCGCCGCCATCTCCTGAAAGCTATCATTGCAGCCCGCCTTCTCCCAACCTCCGAGTCCACAACCCATACCACAACCCGGGGTGCGCTTCGTCGCCACGCAATACCAATATGATGGACGCTGGCAACTCGAAGGGTGACACGCAAGACTCAGTGTCGCACAAGCCCCAATCTCAAGCCGACGAACAGATAAATAAAGTGGTCACGGCCTATCCTCTCGATCCTATCTTGAAAGATTCTTCAACGCTCGCCTGCAGCTTCTTTCCTGGACCCGGAAAACAAGGCTTGCCTACAGAGATACGCCAAATGATATACGATGAAGCAGTATCATTTCCGTGGTTTCATTCCAAATACGAAAAGATCATAATGGGAGATCACTATATATATTATGAGGATACTTCTCAGGCCTTAGCGCTTCTTCGCAACGGCAGTGTCTGGGAGAACGATGCCTGTAACGCGCCAAAAGTGAAGCTCGCTATTCAACCGTTCACGCTCCACGTATATTGGGAGACACTCAGCACTCGATCAGGTTTTGAACAAGGCTATCTAGTGGGGTTGTTGAAAGGACTTGATGCAGTGTTCGCCATGGACCAGGAGCATCAGCGGGCCTCTTCGATTGCGCCTAGAAAGTGGACCGCACCGCTATCACCAACTGTACTCAAGTATGGTTACTCAATTCTAAGGTCTTTCCTTATACAAGAAAGAAATTGGTGGACTTTCAAGAACGAGGACCGCGAAAACGAATGGTACCAGGACAAAGCTCCTGGAGCCTTCCTCCAGACGGCCATACTGCATTTACGCCGAAGCCCAGGGATAGATATTAGGATCTTTGTCTACAGTCCATATCCACCCGAGCGTAGAGAAGGGGAAGCTGAGCGTGTGGAGGAACACATCAGGACACTTTTAACCCCTCTCAGACGCGGCATAACGAACACAAGGCTCCCACGCTCAGCAAAGGATTGTATCCGTCATCATATCACGCTAGTTGCTTACGACTTTCAATTTTCGTACTGGAAAGAGAGACTGAAATGCTTCGATAGTGAGGTTCAATGGGAAAAGGCAACACAAGACGAAAGCCATGGAGGCCCTAGGGAGGCAGCAATACATAATTTTGGGTATTGAGATTGTTTATCAATGTAGCATCTATTTGAATGCGCACGTGCATACGCTAGGTTTATGCTGCTTGAGAAAGTGATTCGCGTTCGGCTGAGTCTCGTCCAACGAAAATTGTCAAGTGCGTCGAGAAACAATTACGCATTTGGCCAGATGGACTCGTTCGCTTGGGCCCGCAAAACATGCTCAACGAAGCTCTCCAAACCGAAGGCTGTTTCGCAGGACCATTTGATATAATTCGCATTACAATGTTGCGTGATCGTGTAGCGCGTGGTGTGGTTATCGGAAGGCGCAATTGCTTTGAGACAACATTCGCAAGGAAAGCGCTACGTCAACGAAAATGTGTTTACACTTCAACTGCGCGTCTGTTCGCTCCACTGCTTCTGCACCCACGTTCACTTATCCCACCACGGTGGGATCACGACATATAATCTGCTATTTAGTTAAGTCATCACATACTCAATTGTTAGTGATGGCTACTCTCATTCAAAACGGGGTCCAGATAGCCTTCGGCATCGAGCTCGAGCTCCTACTTCAGGCAAAAGACAAAAGGCTAAGTGACCTTAAGCGTCTTGGATATGTAGACAATGACAAGGAGCACAGATCCGAACTCGGCCGGGGTATGAATCAACAGGCAATCGAAAAGTACATCCAACAACGTCTCGATGCGGTCCAGCTTCCTTCTCAACAACGTCGAAACAAAATGGCGCAGAAGGACTACAGCTTGTGGGGCATTGAGAAGGATGAGTCCATCACCAAAAAGAAAATTGGATGCTGTTTGGATTTCCCAGACTCTCTGCCTGAAACGAAGATCACTGACAGACCAACTAGATGGCGTTGAGTTGGTTTCTCCGGTTTTATTTCACGGTTGGCCGAACACTCTGGAACAGGTCATCGACATTATCAAAGATGCCTTCACAATCGTCGAGGACGCCTCCACGGGGACGCATGTTCACATCGCTCCGCTCGGTAGGCCATGGTCCGACGCCGAATTCAAACAGCTCAGCAAGGGCATTGTCGCTTGGTCCACCTTGCTCGAACCTTTGATGCCTCGTCCATCGCGAAATTGTTATGCGAGATGGAACCACGAACAATGGCCGGACAGAAAACAGCAAGAGAACATCATCATGTCGATTGATCGTCTTTCACGGGACGAGATCAAGCACAAAATCTCTCTGGACCGAAGATATGCTTGGAATCTCTATCCGACCGACACAATCGAGTTCCGCCGTCCATACCAGACACTGTCCCACAAGGAAGCCTTACATTGGGTCGTCCTAACGCTTAGTTTAGTCTCCTTCTTCTTGCGGAACGGCGAACTACAAGTGCCACAACAAAACGATATCAAGGCTGCCAGGGAGAAGATTAGAAAAGAGTCGAATAAGCTTGGCCTTGCTCTCCACCTGAATTTCAGCTTCTGCAAATAAGCTAAGTGCTTTTGAACATCTCAAGGCTATATGCCAGCCCTCTGGGTTGAGATTGATATCCTCGACCTTGTGTCAGGTATCCGGCTATGTGCCAGCCCTTCGGGGTGTGATCGATATCCTCGACCTTGTGTCAGGTATCCGGCTATGTGCCAGCCCTTCGGGGTGTGATTAATATCCTCGACCTAGTGTCAGGTATCCGGCTATGTGCCAGCCCTTCGGGGTCGCTATGCAGAGGTTTTTTCCGCTTTCCTCTGCGAATGAAAATTGTTTTTTTTATTGCCAGTCTCAAGTGACAATTGCGTTTCGTGTCCTATGTTGCATTACTTTTCGCTTTATTTTCCTGTAGGCTGACTGCTTTCATCACCATGTCGACACTGTTGGAGTACAATCGCCAAGCTTCCTAATCGGGCACTAGCGCCACTGGCGCCACAGAGATTTCTTCGATTTCTCGGAGCTATATACACTCAATATAACACACCTCACCCACATGCTGTATTCCTCAATTTCCTACTTCAACAGACACGACTTTATCTGGCCAGGCTCTTTATTGAATAATTATATATAACCACCAATGAAACACACAACTATTCTGCGTGCAATTAAGCAGTGTGCCGGAGTGATTACGTAGATCATGCCCTACTGTAAATTATCGCATAGCCCGCAGACACTTTAATGTGCTGCAATAGTTTACCTTTCACGAAATCAGGCGTGCTTCCACCATGTTGAAGGCTTATCAAATATGCCGGTTGAGCTTGAGTCAGGTCTCACTGACATTCTGGAAGTTCCTTCTTCTTCCAACCGTTGAGACCGACCGGCTTGACCTTCCTTAAGACTGCACAGCCTCAAACATAAACACAAGCATTGACCATGCACTAAGTTTCCACGCTAGCGCTCGAATGTGTATACTGGCGCCCGTTTCCTTGTTCTTCTTCTTCTTCTTCTTCAGCAAAGAGGCTCATACAGTAAGTACCACGTCTTTCGCGCCACAAACCTGAGAAGCTCTTCCGTTTCATATTCGCCTGAATCTATATTCGACATCTCACGATCCAAATCCGGAATCGCCTGCACCATTTTTGTCATCACCGCAATGCAGCTTCATTACTCACTCAGCCTTCTATCCGATGAGATCATGCTAACATGGGATTGCCTGTCTAGCAGACAATCACACCCAAGTAAGTAAATTTCGTTCATACTGCTTGCAGTCCCTCAAGGTCCGCATTGAGTCGATCCATACCTTTCGAGCATGTGCTTGTTATGCAACATCGACGGCAATATGCACACTTCCCGATTGTCCATTGGATCAGCATGCTTCGGGCAGTCTTCGCGCTCTGAAAGTACCTCGCCGTTGCACTCATGCATTCCGCAATTGATGCGTGCTTCCACACGTCCCTTCGCCCAATACCAACTTTCCACCGGAACAAACTACCAGGTTTCCTTTCGATCCGACGATGCCCCATCCTGGATTTTCACCGTGGCTATCCCCTATTGTGGTCGATTCCCCGATTCCGACTCCCCGTTTGCGGAGCCTTTTTTGCGCATCCACTCCATGTCCAACAGGCGCTGCATCTTCTTAGCATGGCTGCTTCAAACGAAACTCAAGATATACTTGTATGCTGACTTTGTGAACCTAGGACGAAAGACAACTACGAGTGAGTACACACCAGTTTCTTCATTCTCCTTCACCGTGTTTCTCCCATACCCGTGCAGTCATTCGTCATCCAGGCACAGCACCGTCATGGCTACCGAAATCAGTCACCAAACCTACGTTCCCGATGATGTTCGGACCCCCGGTGCATCAACGCGCTCCCATTTTTGATTCCGATACGCTCGTCACTCCGCACATACATTCTAGGACGGCGGCTATCCCATACCTTCCCTCCTACTTGATTGTTCTTCACTTGATCCACCGAACACCTCGAAAGTTGTGGAAACGACGGATCTACACTATACGTGCGGCAGCCACGTCGCAAAATATTCAACCACGCCGTTGGCTTCAGTTGCGACGCTTCGAGTGCACAAACGTTTCCGGCCTCTACAGACAACATGGAATTTCGATTTGATCCTATCACTTTGGCGTCTCATCCTCGTTCTCCATGCACTTTATGTTCTGCATTGCCGATACCTCTGGACTTTACTGTTGACCTACGCTATATTCGTTTGAGATATTGTGGTTTTCCGTAGAAATTTGCTGATATAGACATAGTGCCTCGGCGTTGCAACCTTTGCCGTCAATACGGCCATTACGCGGCCCAATGCCCGTTTAATCGGGAGATGTCCGACCTCCAGCGCGGGCTGGAAGCGTTGGGCGCAAGCCAAGTATGTATTATTCCATGTTAACCAAATTCTACATAAAGCCTTTGGATCTCATTCTTCATTTCACCCTTATCAAAGCCATTGGGTTGTTCTTTCATTAACACCTGTAACAGCGCCACAGCCTCACGGCGGGCATCCGTCGACGTAAGTAGATTGCCTTCTTCACTTCCCATCACTCTCCTTCAACTTCGTGTCTTGGTTTCCGATGCGATCTTTCGTGAATTACCTATCAACTCGATTTCGCGGTGTCGGAAGAGTCATCGGGTCCTTCGTTCTCGCACCTGATCACGTCTCGTTCCTGTACTGCTACTTTTCAACTCGCTACGAGTCACCATTTCAGCGCCACTTGCCGTTGTGGAGATCGACGGTCGAGGACCGTTCGAGCCAGTCAATCTACTGCAACTTGGAGTGTCGATGCGATCTTCCTCAAGAGCGAAGGATACAGGAACTTTCTCCCGAGAGACGACAAGCATTACGATGATCTCTTCAAAGCGTCTTGCCTGCCCAAACAACGGTCGTTACTGCGACTTTGTCCCTCTCAAGACCAATTTCGTTGTATCGCGAAATATGTGCTAATTTTGAGTCATAGAGCAACAACTGCGCGCACAGCGCGGCGGCCGGGGCGGCCGTGGCGGCGGTCGTGGTGGCCGTGGCGGCGGTCGTGGTGGCCGTGGCGGACGGGGCGGCGCCCGCGGAGGTATCAAGAGCTGTAGAAAGACATTGCTGTGAGCATGTTGACATTTGTGAATAGGCCAGCAGCAGCAGCAGCAGCAGCAGCAACAGCAGCAGCAACAGCAACAGCAACAGCAACAGCAGCAGCAACAGCAACAGCAGCAGCAACAGCAACAGCAGCAGCAGCAGCAGCAGCAGCAGCAACAGCAGCAGCAACAGCAACAACAGCAGCAGCAACAGCGGCAACAGCGGCAGCAGCTAGCGGCGGCGGCGGCAGCAGCAGCGGCGGCGATCGCCCGCGCCCGCGACCTCGCCCGCGCCATGGCGCCTCGTTGAAAGCAATTTTTTTTCTTTTGGGGTTTTGTCTTTCGGGGTTTTTTTTTTGGGGGGGGTTTTGTCTTTTAGGATTTTTTCTTTTGTTTGGTTTTTTTCTTTTTTCTCTTTTTTTTTCTTTTTTTGTTTGAATTCTACATGTTGGCATGATTATGAATTTGTGCTCTCTGAAGATTGTGACCTGTGTGCATGCGACGTAGTAACTAACCGCCAAGGGAGGGATTTAATGATATTACTCAATAAGATCGGAGCAATTCTTCCGTGTCCCTGTTTAACTGCGATTTGTATCTAATTTGGATTTAAGGATTAATATATAATTTGTTAGACGAATCGTTCTTAGGATTCTTACTTAGTGCTATCCTAATTTAAAAGCATTTAACGTCCTTTCTTTTTTAATACATCTTGGTCTAATTCTACTCAGCGTCGAGATTGACGGAGAAGCAGGCGTGGAGGGTGGGAACACAGCCATATCCGGTACGAACAAGTGGCGTTCTATCTACGTTTTACAAGCTGATCATCATAGTATGTGGCAACCCGCACTTTGAGAGTGCTGTTAGAGAGGGAGTACGTTCTGTTCATAACCGGGTTTCGACCCGAGGAATCGGAGGCAGGGAAAACAGCACGCGGGAGGTACTGCTAAGCAGGGCGGCTTTCCGGATTGCAATAGAAGTCTTAACTGTGACTGAATACTATGTTTTTCGTCTTGATCGTGACCTGGTTACCTTCTCTGCTGTGAGCATCTTACGTGATCACTGAGTAAGCATATTTTACTGTTCTCATACTCTGGCTCCGCTCAAACCCTGGCTGTTAGATATTAGATAAGTGAGCTCTCATCTCGAAAATCGAGAATTCGAATTCAAGAATTCGAAATTGTACTATCCCAATTGGAATTCCGAAAATATGGTCCTGCCAGGTGTACGCCTTGGCCTGTGCGCGTGGCGCGCGGGCAGCGTTCCCACGTTGTAAATCAGAGGACATGGCCAATCAGTCCTTGCATTTTAAGTGCCCACACGCGACGATCGCCCGTGCGGGCGAACTCCCTACGGCAGATTTGAGAATATGGCCAAATCGGCCGTACTACGTAGCATGAACGCCTTGCACAACAATCCCGTACAGTGGTGTTCACTGAGGTGGGACAGCAAGTATAGACGATCCAATCATGTCTCGCATGTGGAGGCCGACACCACATGTGATTGGACTGTTGCCTCAGGGGTGTCCCACCTCAGTGAACACCACTGTACGGACTACAAAGGTGGGCTCAAAAATTATATCAATCACGTGCATCCAGGGATCTAGCAGGGGTAAGAACACCAGACTTTTGTATTCCTGCATCTCCCCTAAATCTCTATATTAATTTCTTAGGGCTTAGAAGATAAGATAAGCTATCTTAAATTATAAGAATCTAGTATTTCATAGTAATATTTATACTATGTTGTAGAGAAAGAGACGAGACGCAACTCACGGAGACTGCCTGCTGCCTACTTAAGTAGTCACGATCTTGAATTTTTACGTTGCAGCTATAATAACCGATAGCATAGAAGTCAATTTGATTCAAGCCGACTTCGGATACAGATACACCTTAATCTCCTCCGCTCTGACTCGACTAGGAGAGACTGCATCAGATCCTAAGGCAACGACTTTTGACCTCTTTGTCAACTCCTCGATCACCGCCATGGCGTTCAACATAGCTTTGTAGCCGCCGATATCTTCCACTACGCCACCCAATTTCTCTTTCAGACTTGTGTCGGCCATGATTCTCTGGTTGTTTACAATATTGTTCATTACTAATGCAAGCCTATCTGTTTGATTGTGCAGAGCGGGGATAAGATTTACACCCTCTGGCTATGGGGAATCTATTGCGACGTGCATGATATTGATGCCCACTTGGCACTGCCCATCTCTTGCTGAGATCCAATCACACCGAGCCCCTGAGAGTCTTGAGGAACCGCGCCTTGCTCAGCACACTCTTGGCTATGGTGGCGAGCAGTCACGCAGGGGTCATAGGCATAATGCATCTGAATATGGAAGGCAGACACGTCAGAAGCAGTTTCGGTTGGCGGAGTAATGTGAAGTATGGCGGCTAATTCTGAATATATATCAGTAGCAGGAGCATGTGTAACACGATCATCTTCTTAAACCATTCCCAATGACGACCGAAGTCACTCTTCCTAGCGCAGTCGAGTACGACGCTCCAAGACCTCTTTGGTCTGCGGATGAAGTAGAGGTAAGTCGGCGTCCCCCATACTCCTCTACCCGCACCAAACTTACCCCGTCAAGTCTCATTTTCTTCTCTTCGACTTGCCGTCGCTGAGCCCGGAAACCTACTACGGATCAGGGGCATCGGAAGAGAATGACGTGCAAATCTCTTCTTCTGTGCCTCCATATCCTTTCCTTGGCCACTCCTGTACTATGCAAACATCGGATACAGAGATAATTGGCATCAATGGCGTAGGCGAAACCGACATTGACTCTGGAGTCCCTGTGAATACGCTTAGCGAAGCTCCGGAACCCGCTGAACAAATATACCGGGCTGAGGGCAATGATGTTGGCTCCACCGTGGCTGACACCATCGATCTGTCACGTGCGGCTGCCGCTGCCATCAACACCTCGGACTTCTCGGCAAAAAACACTCAACTTGGTTCTGAATCTAGCGTGGTTGAGCCAGAAGGAAGCCCAGATCAACATCGAGAACTGCCCAATACTGTAAGTCCGCAGGCTCAGAGACTCTTGACGAAGTACCGGTCGTGGCGCAGGATAGCGGTACTAGGAACAACGAGGATATGCCTCAGGATACTTCAGAGGACACTATTAATGACTCTTCCGATATCCTTCCAACAGAGCTATCATGTGTAGCGGACCCTGGTACTGATAGCTTCGTAACTGGCAGACCAATATCTATCACGCTAGCCACGGCGAAATGAAGTCATAATGACGTCAGTGCCTCGTGAGCAGCGCCTGCGTAACAACCAACTAGCATCAACATGTGCGAAAGAATATGTGTGTCAAGCTTAATATAATGATTTTGACTGGATACTTCGAGTGATCTTAGCTAATCCGCTCCCTGATACCTATACAGCTGAGTTCTCCAATGGGCTCAGAGAGACCCGGTAGCAATTCATGTCGCCCTTTCACACGTCTATCTCCTTGGTGCTTCTCTTCTTGCCCCGAGAAGACTTCGAATGCAGGTCGATGCCGTGCACAGAGATGAGGTGCGACTGAAGGCCGTCTACCGAGTCGTGATGCTTGTTGCAAAGTCGATGTGGGCAGCTGTAAGCGCCCGCCTGAAGTGTTTCCATGTGAGATTCGATATGTTTCTTTAATTTCGGCGGATCGGTCCATCTTACTTCATCGTTGCAAAACGGACATCGGCCTGGCATGATCACTACATCGCGCCAGTAAACCACTCCACATGTCAGATGCTCGCTTCCTGACTCTTCACATGTGTGATTCCGCCCACTTGAGAATTGCGCACAATCGAAACAATAAGAGGTATTATTCGAGATACAATGGCATTGCAACAGGTGCAGGGCCCTGGTACGCTTTTTGGTTTTGCTGAGATTTGACTCCGCAGTACGGACAACACATGTTCGCTGTAGGTGGCTTTACTGGTCTAGGGTACCATACGCAAACCTCGTTCGAGTTTGCAAGGGTTATGAGCGATCGGATGGATTCCTCAAGAGAAGCGGGCCTACCGGACCATAATTTACTGATCACATCTGCTTGCAAAGTGTTGTGCTTTAGCATTCGACGAAAGAGGATCGTTGGTTCGGATCTGACACGTGCATCCGCTGGACAATCTGTGACCTGCTCTGCAGCTGGTATAGAGACGATGGCGTTGTGATGACGTTTTCGATCTTGAAGGTACTGTAGTCTTCGAGCCTTCTTCATGACCTCGCTCGTTTTGGTTGCTGGGAATTTGGCGGCCACCAGATCAATGATTTCTCTGTCTGGCTGTAGGTTGCGTTTATCCAAGGTTGCCCCAGGAGGTTTGGGGTCGTTAAGGTCCCTTGTGAAAGCAATGCTGCGTGTCTTGTCCAGATGTTCCGTGTCCTCGGCCAGACCTCTCACAACGCTTTGTGTGCCAACACTGATGACGGACGACATGTAGGCATGATATATGTTGTCATTCAGATGGGCCATCGCTTTCTTGAACACGTGACCCGATACCTTCCCTAAGAGGTTATACTCAGCGTTGCCCGGATGAGTTCATGATGACACTTACCTTCAACCCCATTGCCGAAACCGCGTCGAAATGTATAGTATGTGAGCGGTTCCTCATAACCACATCGCTCCCCGAGCTGCCTTAGATATTTCCCGATGGAAGTAGCTGACATGATTTCAGTTTCGGAAATCTTATTTCCCTCCAATTTCCGGAGAATAGGCAGCTCCATCTTATCCTCTTTGATGTGATATTGCCTTGAGTTGGTGCCAGTTCGGATCCAGCGTTTATCGAATTCAGCAGGGTCGTTGTACTCAACAAATACTTCATCCGGTAACGCCAAGCTCATGAACCATCTGTACGGGCATACGAAGTATCTCTCGGGGTCGAGTTCTTCGTAGAGCATTATTACAGGCCTTGGAAAGAAATCAGCAGTGTCTCATCGCGGTCCGTGTCCGAAGCCACATACAGGCTGCCCTCGTTCTTACGCTGAAATTTGCGGTTGCGGAGTGTGAGAGCGATCTGATATCGTAAGGTTCCTGATGCTTTGTGCGGACAGAGGGATAACCTAATGTCCTTGTACTTAAAGCCCTCATTCGAACCGCGGTGGCCGCTAGACTCAACGACCTCCCCAGGTCTCAAACCCCATATCGAACAAACGAGTTCGTAAAACGTAATTTCCATCTTTATACGGGGATGTGTGTAGGTGTACTCGTCGCAGCACCACTGGAAAGTAATGATCTCTTCCGAATCTGCCCACAGAGCGACCTCTTTCTTTCTTGTTTTAGTAGACACAGTCCCTCTATCGACCAGTCTCTTCAAATGCTTTTGCTAAAAGTCAGCTGCCGCGTAACACTTTTTAAGCGGGGTGCATACCTCCTTGATCAGGACTTTCTCCTTCCCATCGTAGATGTGCCCCGTACCTATCTTCACTATTCATTGCAGCTGCTGAATCTCCTTCACCAGGGTCTAAGCTCCCACGTGCTGAGCACCAGGAACCCGCGGCTTCGCCATCCTGCTCCTCCAACTTATATATCCCTTGATCCACGGGATTCTAGGAGGAGTTGAGAACGGGTTGTTGATTTCCGCTTGGGCAAATGGTTCCGGCAAGTGTTGCGCATATCTACGAACAATGAGCACCTTCTTCATCCCTCGAAACGCCACTGACCTTCTCCACAATCGTAACAGTCGTCGAAGTCCCTCTTGGTCGTACGCTCGCACTGCATCTTCAAGTGAAAGGGTTTCTTCTCCTGCGGCTATAGCTGCAATGTCGTCAAATACGTCCATGGAATAGGCTCCACCACGTAGAAAAAAGTGTCAAGCTGGGCAGTTGGTGAAGGAGGGAGAAGTTGTCTCGGCGGACAACACTTGCTGACATTTGCCTTAGCTATAGAGAACATTTTGAACACTGCTTGGGCGATACGCCTGGATGCGCTTCCTCATTCAACTGAAGGATCTCTACGCTGCCACATCTTTGGTTTTCGTTTCTGGATTCTGACATGTCAAAGCGCGGATGGTGTTAGTCGCGCTAGCCGAATTCGGGCGCGTTAGAGCTGCGAGACTTTCCCCAATTCAAAAGTCGAAATCGAAAACTACGCCTCCATACACGGCGTACAAAACCTCTTATATAGCACTGCAGGATGGTAGTCCCACTAAACCACAAGCCCGTTTTCATCTGATTTATGAATTTTTCGGTTCTTATCAAAATATATACCTATATGAATTTTTCTCAACAAGAGCCGCCTTTCAAGAGAACCTCCTCCAGTGGTCACGGGAACGAGCGAATCTGACAAAAGTTCTACAGAAGAAATCTTTGCGTGCGGTGGGGTTAGTGTTTCGGCATTCACGATGATTGGTTTAGTTAACACGGCACAATTCCGGACATGGGAGGCCTTCCCGAGAGCACACCACGCAGAACCCAAGCATTTCAACGATCGCCATCAGGAACGCCGTCAGCCTCGTTTGTGTCATTCCATATACACCCCTGCGCCGGAGCGAGAAATACTTTCGGGCCCCCCGATGATGCACCGCTGCCCGGTGGGGATGCCGTAGCTGTGAAGCGCATCCTTACGCACACATGAAAAGCTGCCGGGGCGAGCTTGATTGGCAATAGAACGAAGGAACTGAAGGACGAAGGCGCGTAGACATGTTTGCTATTAGCCTTCCTACGGCCGATTCGTTCGTTGGTCACCGGGGAGCACAAGGCTGAAGCAACCCATGTCCTATTTGGAAACAACCTGCGTCTACGCATACAATTGACGGCCAAATGGAAGACGAGGCTGAAGAATCATACAAAAAGGCAGCCCGCCTCGTTCTCTCACACATCCTTTACTACCACATTACGCCTCCAATTTCCTTCCGTTAGAAATGGACGGCAGCGACGACATTGAGCTCGCGCAGAGCGCTCATCATGGAGCAAATATTACCTCTCTTTCGTCCTCGTTCGAAATCGACAGGTACAAGGCGAGGACGCACGTGTTCAGATCCACGCGAGATACCACTAGTCGTCGTCATCCAGAAAGCCACGTCGAATACCGCGAATCCAACATTCTCCACATTCTTCGCCTCTTGTCACACCATAAGATCAGGGTTTTCCCAACTGATCTGCTCAGCACACAGGAAGTCAGGGAGCAATTAGGACAAGGCAGTACATTTCACGTCTATGCCTCAGAGCTACCTATCTGGAGAGCCCTAGCCCGTTTCCAATACAGGAATCCCACATTCCCAAGGCGAGGAGAAAGGTTTCATTTCATTGATCACACCGAAACAAGGTGGAATAGGGCCACAAAAGGAGCATACAAGACACTGTTGTATGATGAGAACACAAGAAGAGATCAGCTGTTGGCGGATCTGATCGTCGAATTGCGCATCCTCTGTCACCCGCCACTCCAGAGACACCCGAATATCATACATGTTCTTGGATTCGTGTGGATTCGGGATGAACAGTTCTTCGCAAATGCGAACGAGCTAGTTGAGCAGAGCGAAGAATTTGGAGAACCGCGAGAATGGCCGACTATCGTTGCCGAGAAAGCCCCACACGGGTCTCTTCGTGACTTTCTGGGTTCTGGGGAATATGGAAATGTCCCTTCGTCTTTGCGAGCGAAGGTCTTGCTTTGTGCGGATGTCCTTAACGGTCTCGTGGTATGACTTGCCGAAGGTTTATTCTTTAAGAGACTAACCACCGGTAGGCTCTTCACGCATGCGACATCCTCCATGGCGATGTCAAGTGCGACAACGCTCTCGTCTACGACAATTCAACAGAAGGAACAGCAGAGAATTGGCGAATCAAGCTCTCGGATTTCAGTCATTCAATTATCCTCAACGAAGACGAGTTCAAACCTGAAGATGTCAAAAGGTTGATCCGCGGAACCCGGCTGTATAACCCCCCTGAGCTACAGCTCGAACGTCCATACCAGACCTTGCAGCAAGTCAAATACTCAGACATCTGGAGTTTTGGTCTCTTGGTGTGGGAGGTCATGCTAGATGGCACCTTACCTAGATGCACCATCGAGGAGTTTCGCGAACAGCGTTTGTGTACCATCGGACTTCGACATCTGACTCCTGTCGAGCACTGTGAGGAATACCTGCAAATGAGACACCCACGAGAGCACCGACTCATTCAGGTTATCTTAGGCTTTCTGGACACTTGCTTGCAGCATGACCCTCTATGTCGGTCTAGCGCTAGGCACTTGCTCGCTTATCTCCAGGAGAAGATGGGATTGGGGGAGAGATACAATCTGCCACAGTCCCCTAGAAATTCGGCCCAACTCGCATCTTTAGACGACGTCCCATTCTTCGAGGTCTCCGATCATTACTACGATTTATTGTCGACATTGACAGTATCGCAACAAGTGTTCAAAGGCCTCGACGATCTAGTAAGGTCCTGGCCACTAGCTAATCCTCGACCAAATCCGAAGTTGCGCATGCGTCTCGGTGCAGAGCTTCAACTCGGGCTTTGCTATGCTGCCGGTTTTGGTGTTCAATCCGATCGCCAGAAAGCCATTGCTCATATCACTAACGCCGCAAGAGCTGGCCTTGAACCGGCTCGGGCCATCCTCCCAAGGGTATATGCTGGCTTGGGAACTCGCATAGAAGACGCCTGCCTCCCCGAGATCGTGTCGTGGCTTGAGGACGCATGGCGAAGCGGATCAGTGACGGCAATGCAAGATCTACATACACTGAGAGCACATATCAATACAGTCACCCCATACACCTTGCCGGTCACTCTGCGGCCCCGAGAAGGCCATTCCAAGCGGTTACTAGACCTGCCGCCACTTCATGCAGCAGTCCTCAGCGGCAACATCGAGGCTGTCATTCAACATAGTTCATCACGCCAGGAGGTAAACGTTCGAGGCGTCTGCGGAGAAGTTGCTCTGCATTACACTATCTTCGTCCCGGCATCCGCAGGCAACTTGATTGCGGAGACTTTACTGAATGCCGGAGCAGACGTTTTCAAGCCGACATCAGATACAATTACCTTCAGTGAGCAGGCTTTCATCCTCAATGACGTCGGCGTCGGTATGACACCCCTTCATCTCGCAATCAGCCATGATCACGTTGCTCTCTTCAAGTTATTCATGGAATTTCAAATGGATCCCAGTAACGAGAGATTATGGGGACCACAAGGAAGCGTCCTAGCGCTTGCCGCTCGCTACCAAAGCATACAATGCCTCACTTATTTGCTTGCGGACCCTACCTGGAGCCTTCTGTGTGAAGAACACGTAAACCGGTTCGACGACCGCAAGCTATCGCCGATGTATTACGCTTGCCGACCGGATTACTTCGACCACTTGTGTCGATACCAATTGGATGGTATACACCCTCATCCAGTGGCGCTACCAGAGAGGCCCATCGTCACAAAGGAATCTCAAATTATCAGTCTGCTTCGGTCCGTACACGCGACGCTCAAGGTCCACCAGGATGACATCTTCACTGTTATGCATCTTCTGACTTCCTTTGGCGACCATGCCCTCCTTGATCAACTCCTTTCTGAAAACGACGGGTCAGATTTGAAGGATCAGAGGTCCGAAGCAGGCTGGACCCCTCTTTTCGACGCCATCGCCCGAGGTCGACTCGACACATTTCATCTTCTTCTGAAACATGATGTCCAGATGAGCAATATATGGACGGACTCTAGCCCGCAAGATATGCATGCACTGCATTTCTGTTCAATGCATCCAGGCTCCGTTGCAGTCACCTTTGCGGAAAGTATTTTCAAGAAGGATCCGAAGTGTTTGAGCTCAAAAGACAGCAGTGGAAACTCGCCCCTTCACGTCGCGGCAACGTATGGCCGAGTCCAGTTAATCCGTTATCTTGCCGGGCGGAATGCTTTCCTCTATGCTCGCAATCACTCCAACAGGACACCCCTCGGATGCGCGATCGCTGATCGTGTGGCAATAGCAGTACGGGAACTTTGCCGTATATTCGAACAATCATCGCTGCCACATATCTCCCACTTCTCTGGTGCTCGCAAGTGGTCGGAAGGGTTCCATCCAGTCCATCAGCTCATGGCCGAGTGGTCCCGCGCCGACATCCAACAGTCCGACGAAGCATCATTGGCCCTTCTTCGGGAGCTGTTACAGTACTTCCCTTCGCGTACCGTATTTGGTGTTAATGCCGTTCAGAGGATGCTCTATTATCCCATAGATCTGAGTGGCGTCGATTTCGCCATCTCACGAGGAAACACCGAAGCAGTCCGAACCATTCTCGATTCAGTTGATAAGACAGCTCATCTGAGCTATTGGCAACTCCAGCGCTTGATATGGGGCGAAGCTAGACAATGGGACACCGATGAGGAAGCCAAGACAGCGGTTACTGAGGAGATTTGGTCGAAATGCGACTCGAAGTTCAGATGTATGCGAGCGCAGCGACTCGCTCGACCAAGTCTACTTCCGGTCTTTTGGAGGGTATAGTCAATCCCCCGTCACAAACAACCACGCAGCTACACTAACTTATGTACAGTAAGCAACTCCTTCTTGCAAGCAACACGTGAAACATTCGAATATTTGCTTCTAGCTCCTCGTCTCTTGCGCATTTGGAACTGACTTGCAACCATAGGATATACTACTCCCTTTACGGTAATCTGGAACATCGGCAATTCGCGCGCTCTGTGGAGTGGCTTAAGAAGAACCATCACCTTCAACAATACCGTCGGCAACCTCTAGAATACAGCGAGTGGCTACCAACGCGGCTTCCACTCATGTCCTTCAATTTTCTTTTATTACTTGTTGTTGAGCTCCCCGCGTTGGGCTACTTCATCGCTACTGCCAGAGATCCGTATGCGCGATGGAAGCCCATTACATCGATGTGGGTCACTGTTGCATTCCTCCTGGTGCGTAGGTCTTTCGCGTAGAATCTTCAACGAGAATCTTCAATGAGCTCCGTATGCTGACCGGCTTAGACAAATTTTATGCCGTTTTGGGGTAGCGCCTTTCGAGTGTCTTTCGTCTACTTCAATTCGCTGAGAACGGAATATTCTCCCGTTTGTGCGGCACGCAGCCTCCTTCAAGTCGCCTTTGTCATCTCAGTCAATGTGCTTTCCATCTTTGCGGCTCTTCTTTTATTTCCACCTTGGGAAGGTCGACTTCTCTCTAGCAGCTTTTGGAGCGGGCTTGCAGGACAGGGAGAAGATATTCGTCATGCCGATGACGACTTCATGCAACTTCCGAGGGCTAGCCAAGAACGCATTCGGAACTTGAACCACTGGTGTGGTGCATTGGTTTCATGGCACTTGATAGCGATAGCGTAAGTGCCTCATACCTGGCATCAGACATATCTTCGATGTAAGATTAAGACTAACGTTCTATCTAGACTTCCGGCTCTGGCTTGTTGCATGTTCTCCGTAATGGATGGATGCATAAGGAGAAGGATGCAGCATCACTACCTGTGTACGAATAGACCGCCCTCGGACAGGAACACTACGACACATTAGCAAATATACCCTCATTTGCTATGAGCTGAAGCTTGTGTGGTCACTGGTTTGTCCACTTCGTTCTTCCAGAGACAAATGTTTTAAAGGGAGTCGAACGCGAATGCGATTAGCGGTATAATGCCGTGGACAACGCCATCGAGATTGCCGACGCCCTCAATCTGATGACAGAACTAGTCCACCGCTCCTTTAGGCGAAAAAGCCGGCCACCTCCAGGACCATACTCTCAGACACTGATACAGCTCCGAAGCCGCAACTATTTAGATAGCATGCAATCCGACATAAATCTTCCCTCTCTCTTATCCTCGGACATCTTCCAATTGTCAGTTCTCATTCTGAGCTAAGAACACAACTAGCACCGTTGCATATCTAATCGCAGGGGTCAGTCCCGATCGATTCTGCTAGATCCTAACTCACGTCGTGCCTGCGACGAAAATTTCGGATGTCTTTGCCCTGGTCAACACCGTTAAAACTAGAATGAACAGCGTCGCCGATATCCAGATAAGCACTACGCGAGCACGGAGGCTTTCAATTGCACTGATCGTAACGATGGGGACGAAGAGCAGTGTGACAAGAACGCAGGCGAGGACAACCCGCCCGAATCCATGAAGCAGCGCATTCGGAAAGACCCACAGCTTGGGTTCTCGAGGGTTCGACGTTCTAAGCTTCTACAGCTCTTCAGTATCCATGCATAATCGCGCCTGAGTACTTACCGAAGTCCACGCTCTCGGCAAGCGCATAAGGAGTTGCTCCGCTGAGACGGCAACGGCGTTAAGTGCGATGTCACTCGCGTCTTTCTCAAGCGTCATAGTATCCTCCGCCGTATCGATGTACTCTGTTTCTTTCCTAGCGATCGAGCCGTTATCCGCAAGCCAGTTCCGGACGTTGGCCATATCTCTGCCTCTGGCTTCACACCTCGCAAACGCATGTTCGTTCCTCTCTGCAAGCGCGTCTTCCTCGATTTACCAAGTCAGCCACATTCCTTAGAACAGCTATATCCTTCGAATATCGATATACATGGATACAACGCACCGTACTCGGATAGCAGAGTGTCAATCTCATCAAGAATTCGCTTGCGTTCAGGATTCTGGTCCCGCCGCAAACTTCCCAGATAGAGAGGCTTGCTTTCGGAGCGATCTATTTCTTGCAATTGTTGTTCTAGTACCGAGAGCTGGTCCTGCTTGCAGAGCATCAGGCGGAGCCGCAGCGCTGTGAACCGTCGGAAGATATGCAAAGAAGAATGGGAGCCGAGGAAGGCAGCGAAGCGTGGGTATCCAGACGGCGGGCCATTCACTAGCAACAGATCGTCTTAGTATGAAATATCCAGGCTGTTCATTACAGTGTAAGCGCCTCGGAACTACGTACCTTTTGGTCTCGCTACGGCTCCTCGGTGTGTATTCTGTGACGGTTGGAAGATCTTCCTGATCTGTCCAATCGTTAGGTTCCACATTGTTCCTCCCTCTAGTCGCATAAATTAAGGATTGCGTGGTAGTTTAAACATCTTGCCGCTCCATGCGGAGGTTTTCCCGGAAGCAAACGGCTCTATAGTGGAGAAAGCGCAGGAAATCCATACTCATGCATAGCTTACAAGGCTGAAGGATGCATAGGCCAAGCTAGCACATCGTTTTCCGCGTCCGTTAGGCAGACTCTGATTCTCACTCACTCTTCCTGATTGGTCACGTTCGTTATACGCATGCATGAACGCACAGCCTTCCCCGAAGGTGCGCGATGAGCATGCAGGAGCCGAATGCGGCATATAGAGCAAGTTAGCCATATAAAGTTCTGCGCTGCTGCCTCAGTGGCATGAGTAAAAAGCCACTCGCTTTCCGACAGATTTCGAATGCAAGGCTTCGACTGAACCCACTATGGCGTCCAACCAAACGTAAGTCGCCGCCCTCTCTCACAGTTCCGAGAAGCTTACTGATGTTGATCATTAATAGCCCTAGCGCATACAATGATGGTAGCGACGGAAACCAGAACAAGCCTCTGCGCCCTACATACAGGCCACTTGTTCGCGTGAGCCTTCTCTCCACAGCGACGGACTAAGATCCATCGTGGTAACTGCTGTACTGTAGGACGGACCAAAATACCGCGTCTCCGATTGTGTATTCTTGTCTCGAGCGAGAAACAGGGCGCTGGAAGGACCATACTTGGTGGCTAGTGTGACAACTTCAGGCAAATATGCGCTGTGTGTTGAGGACACCGGTGAGAATGTGGACGGCGGGGCGGAGTTCGATGAGGGCCAACTTACTCTTGCCTCTTGACTAATGCAAGCCCACCAGATCCCCGCGCTTCGGTTTGACCGGCCTTTGGCTCGACGATGACCGGAAACTGGGGTGGGCGGGGGCTGCCCAATGGTAGGCCGGACAGATATGCCGGCCTACACTTCGGGCGTTGGCTTGCAGCTGTTGACCTCGTGGAGGCTGTCAGCCTACCTTTCAGCCTTGTGGATTAGATACTGAAACATTTCACCACTAGAAGTTGCTCCTTCGTTTATTATCATTACGGTCGTACCTTCTTCATCGCTTGAGGATGACGACAGAATTGGTCAGGAAAGAAGACATCAACACCGTGCTAGGCGAGCGTTTCGACCCGGCATCCTCTACAATCTACAAGAGCGTTATTGTCCTGCTTCTATACTGGAAAGACGCCGATGGGGACTACAAAAGCGAGGCAGATCAGCTTGAGCGCCTTTTCAAGCAGAAGTACAATTACACAGTGCTCCGCTTCGAGATCCCTTCCAAAGACAGCAACCTCGCCCTCCATGACGAAATCAGCAGAGTGAGGCGGCAATTCAGCACCCCTCGCTCACTGACAATTATCCACTATGGCGGTCACGGAGATCGAGACGATGAGCGATCTGAAGGAGAAGCGTATCCTCCGAAGAAGAGCGTCTGGGCCGCTAAGCGACAAATCACCGACGACAAGGTACTGAACTGGTCGTACATCCAACCTCAACTCGGCCTGGGGAAAGGCGACTTCCTCGTAATCCTCGATTGCTGTTTCGGTGCTCAGGCAGCCAGGGCTCCAGAGTCTCAGATAATCCCACCAAATGTCGAACTCCTTGCTGCTGCTCCCATGGGATGCTCGACTCCAGGGCCAGGGCCATTCTCCTTCACGCACGCCTTCATCAATGAAGTTGAGGATGCTCTCGCGAGACAAGGCCACGCGGACATCTCGGAGATTCATCATCGTCTAGCTGCCGGCGATCGGAAACTGATCCAGACCCCTACCCACTTCTGCCACGGGAGGCAGTCCACAATCCGACTTGAGCCGCACTCACCGGCGCGCAAGACATCACCAGTCCGCGATACTGAGACAAGGCTGATGATGCAGATGCTTGTCGATAGTCCGCTGGACCACCACCTCCTGGACAGGATCGTGAGATGGCTGGTGAATTTCGTGCCACACGAGGTCTCCGGCTTACAGGTTACTGAACTGGTCCACAGAGCTGCCGCGGCGCAGCACTTCATCCTCCAGGAATCATCCGGATCGCGGTCTGTGCTGAAGCTTGATACGCTACCACAACCATCGAAAACGGAAGTAAGAAGTGCCTGGGCTACCTTCAACTGGAGTCTACGTGACAGTTTGAGGTGGCTTCCTAATTTTGGAGCTCCCGCCGAAGACTTCAACCTAGTAGATATTCCGAGCGAGCAGTACGCAGCTGATATCTCAGAGGAAACGCGGATAAGACAGTTCCTGCAGAGCTTTGATGCTAACATCGTGCTTTTGGAGAGCGTTATTGAGAGGAACGTCTTTGCAGTTCCAGAACTTCTCGAAGAAATCCACTTAGCGGACGCAATCCGGGATCCAACATCGAAAGACCTCGGGCTCGTGAAATCGCTCCAAGTGCGCCTAGAGAACCTCCGATTCGAAGAAAAATTACAGAACCTATCATCCCGAAATGAATACTTCCTGGAGTTCCGGACCGATTCTAAGCTTCCAAGCGCGGGGTCTTTGACCTGTGAGCAGCATCCCAAATTCGGCCGCGTGCTTGTCGAATACTCCCACTATGCGAGAACGGACAAGGAAACACAGCGCAGAAACGATGCTCGAATGGACCACTTGGTGAAGATCCTGAGTGGGTCAAATTTGGGATTCAACACTCCAGCTTGCCTGGGATGGACCGCCGTTCCGAGCAATTTTCGGTACGCGCTGTTATTCCAGAATCCGCACGGCGACACTCATTGCCCCATAACGCTGTACGACATCATGGGCCCTCCCGGTGGCGGTGGTCGTGCAGTGGCGCGGCCGACACTTGGCCAACGTTTCGAGATTGCTCAAACGATCGGACAGACGCTCCTGAAATGGCACGACGTCGGCTGGGTCCACGAAAGTATTTCAAGCCTGAATGTCATCTTCTCCCTCGACCGCACCACCCTTACGGTCGACTACTCCAAGCTCTATCTCTGCGGCTTCTCTTTCAGTCGCCTCACCTCGCGCCACTCCACACCACGCCACGGCGAAGACGACATCGTGCGAGACGTATACCAGCACCCAGAGCGCCAAGGCAACAGTCCTGAGCAGAGGCACACCAAGGAGCACGACTTGTACTCTTTTGGGGTCCTGCTGTTTGAGATAGGGTTTTGGGGTCGTGCGCCCGATTTTTTCAGCAAATTGGTGCAGCGGGCAGAGATTGGTCTTATACGGGGCAAAATGCTCAACCGCATCGAGCATCTGGGCCGGGAGATGGGCACGGCATACGCGTCGGCGACTCAGCTGTGCCTTTCGCAGGATTTCGGTATTGATGTGGACGATAAAGTACAGTCGCGGCTTGCAAGAAAGTTCGAACACCAGGTGCTGAGGAAGCTGGATGCTGGGACTCGACTTGACAGCTAAGGCTAGGTTAATTAGTTATGGTTCGTCTGGGGTACGTTAGTGATCGTGTTTTTCTTTTTCGCGTTCGGTGGTAGGGTTGGGGGTTCATGTGTTTCATTGTAAATGCTCATCAGGAAGCAATCCGTGCTTTTCTCCATATTTTACTATATCCCAAACGCCTCACGTCGTGGTATACAATACCTAGCGCCACCAGCTCTATCATACAACCCGCCTGACACTCTTTCCGGATACGTCGTCACGAAGTGCGCACAAGCAGATACTCTCCTCTTTCCCTTGACACAGCCATGCTCGTGGAGAGAAGTCCTTTCTTCCCGTCCTGATCCTCAATCAAAATTGGCCACTTAGAAGGGAGGCAGCCAGAACTGGTATCCTCCGTTCTTCATCCGAAAGACGCTGAGGAGGAAGCTGTACATGCACAGCAGAACGCCACTCCACAGGAAGACGGCAAATTGCTGGGCCCTGGAGTCCGCAATGCGAGGCACCTTGAGGGCGAGAGAAATGGTGGCGAATGCGAGGACACCATCTAAAAGATCGGATCAGCCAGTCCTTCACGAAAACATTCTCCATGTAACTTACAAATTGCGGCAACAATCTGCGACTCAAGACCAAATTGATTGCTGAAGCCACCGGCAAAGTAGGTGATACCGCCTTTGGGGTCGCCAGCCACGTATGGCACCTTCCTGATATGGTTGAACATGTGTCCGCTGGTGAAAAGGAGAATGGTAATCAGGCTGAAGGCAGCCCAGAGGTTACGGTTCTGAAGGATCGGAGCGACGTAGGGGGACGCCACGACAATGAAGGTGATGACGCCGAGGACGGCGGTGGTGACAGACACCATCTTCACATAGTTGATGGGTCTGTGGATGGCGGGTCTGGGGAGGTCGGCGGGGAGCTGGCGGGAAATCCAGGCGTGGATCTGTTCGGCGGATTGTGGGCTGTCTTTTGCGTTAATTTCGTGAGCACTACGTGGTCATGTATATGGGCTCTTACCCAGCCGTGAAGTCGAATCGAACAGGTTGCGAATCGAGCTTCGCATTCGGTCCCACGGTAGGGTGGAAGAAGAGCAGGACCGGAGCCGTTTGGAGCATCAACTATCGGCTGTGTTAGCTAGCGAGCGTCCGCCATACGGCCAAGTGGCGGCATACCGATTGGAAAGTGTTCTTTCCATCAACGAAGTCCAATGTACCGAAGAGCACTCTGGTCTCCGCTTTCTTGTCACCCTTCACCCAGCTCTTGCCCAACACATCCCACTCGGGCTGGAATTCCCTGCATAGTGTACATCCGAATCGCGTCTCCAATGCCGTAAGCAGTATGGCAACTGAGTAATCCCGCGGAGCCTTGGTCAATTGCGTGTACGAGGAGTCGTCGAGCTTCAGCGGGCCGTGAGACAGCGACTGGGCGCGGAAGTCATTGAAGCGGTCGCCGGAGGACTTCTTAGCTGCGAGAGCTGTGAAGGGCAACAGAGATGCCGTGAGAAGCTGTAACCACCGCATTGTGCTTGGTTGAGTGTGGTGCGTGGGAGTTCGGAGCTCTGGGCGGTTTCTCATGATGCTTGGTGAACGTGTCCTCGAAGATCGGCCTACGTAATCATGCCAAGCGAGCCGTCGACAGGGGTGGAACGTGACGAGGCTTCGAATTCACTGCAAGCATCACCCATCGTTTTCAAACGCCTAACTGCTCTGCTCCTGATGTAATAACCTCTATACTATGTGCTGAGTCACTGTATTCTCTCGAACCCTAACATCTATTCACCTTACACCACTGTGGTCTTGGCAGCGGGTCGCACCGCGGATTGTGTTTGTTTACGACGCGTCTACCACCAGCGCCCCTCCAAACCTATCCTCACCACCTACACTTCTTCGCATCTTTGGTGTACAGCGTTAATCATGCCTATAAACATGGAAATAGATCATAGCTCCGAGGTAAAAGACGTGAGTGAAACGGCGCGTCGTGGACTAAGAGACATTAACTGATCGTCTACCTGTAGCTTCAACATTCGCTGCGAACAGCAAGTCTTGAGCTCAGCCTCGAGCGAAGCAAGCACTCGGTCGAGATTGTCGCCAAAGATGAGGAAATCCGGAAGCTGCGAGTGAGCCAGTGCTTGCTGCAGGATGCGAACAGCGACCTACACGAACAGCTCGAGGAGGAACAGGCCCGATCGGATGACCTTGAGAACGCGCTCGATGAGGCTTTGGTGCAACTCGACGAGCAGAGAGCTGCGGACGAATTGGCGCAAAACCAACTCCGAACGCAGTCCCGAGAAGTCGCAAATCTGAAGGTGCGCAAGCGTTGCCCCCACAACAGACTTTCACTGACGTATTGGGAAGGCCGAACTTAAGGCGATGGAAAATGTTACTTCCGACTCGAACAAAATTCTTTCCGAGAAGCTCGCCCTCACCCGCGAATTGTCATCCTTACGCCCCGAAGTCGAGCATTTGCGCGCCCAAGTCGAATCCAACCAAGGGCTGCTCGCCGAGAAACTATCACTACAGCGCCAGCTGAACACCCTGCAAGTGGAACTCGAGAACGAGAAGCGGACTGCTGCCCGCGCCTTCGCAAAACAGGGAAGGAGGATGGAGCAGGACGACGATCTCCGCGGGGAACTGGAGGAAGTCCGCAAAGAGCTCGCCAAGGAGAAGAAGGACCGGTTGAAAGCCGAGGCCGCCCTCGCAAAGGCAGAGAAAGCGGTCGAGAAGGTCCAGTCAGACCTGGAAAACGAACAACAGGCAATGGAGCGGGCTCAGGTCAAACTGGACAAAGTCACTAAGAAGGAGGCCGGCAAGGCGAGCAAGCGGAACGAGGGACATGACGCTGAGCTTGAGCAGCTCCGGCAAGAGCTGCATCAGGAGAAGGCCGCTCGTCTGAAAGCCGAGAAAGCCAGCAAGAAAGGCACCGAACGGGACGCCGAACTTGAGGAGCTTCGCCAAGAACTTGACCGAGAGACACGAGAGCGCCAGAAGCTTGAGAAAGCCAATAAGAAGGGCAGCCAACAAGAAGGCGTACAGACGGAGGATCTCAAGAATGCATTGGAAGAAGAGAAGCGCGAGCGCAAGAAGCAGGAGGAGGAATACACCATGACGCTAGCTGAGCTGCAGGGTCGCAATGCCGTGCTCGACGACAAGCTCAACGCGTTCAGGGAGAAACTGCGCTCCACCAAAGAAAAGTTGAAAGAGAAGGAAGCCGAGCTTGATAGGGTCGAGAGAGCCCAAACCGCACCACCGGCCAAGGCCTCCGTGGACTTAGCCAAGAAGCCTGCGAAGAATGCTCGGAAGCGTATGGCTGTCTCGGTTGAGCCTGAAACTAATCTTGGAACTCCTGGAGATGGCTTCCCGGCGAAGAAAGTGAAGCGTGGTGCTTCCGTTACTGCAGTCGGCGACACTTCTACTTTCTCCCTCACTCCTTTCCTCAATCGCACGGGGAACATGGCGCCCGGCGAGACCATAATAGAAGAAGAGGAAGAGGAAGAGCAAGGTGTTCCACAGGAGGCAACTCCTACGGCGCCGCCGAAGAAGGCTCCCAAGAAGGCGGCTGCACCAAAGGCCAAACCGCTTGCCCCGTCCGCATCGAACAAGGCGAACGCAAAGCCCGCTCCTCGCAAGAAGGCCGCAGCGCCAACCCTGGAGATGGTCACGGAAGAAGCATCCGAACACTCTCAATCGAAAGACACCTCCGAAAACGCACCCATCACAGTTCCCCTCAAAGACAAATCCCTCGTCCCTAAGATCAAGCCCCGCAAGTCTCTCATGTCCTTCGCTACCTTCAACGACGAGCCTGCCGCGGAGAAGAAAAAGAAGCGTAAGCTGGGCACGAGCGCTACGGGCGGTGGACTCGGCAAGACGCTCTTCGATGCTGACGAGGAAGATGAGGGGCCCTCCAAACCGATCGTCAGCAAGGGACTTTTCGCTGCCAGGGCTCTGGGGAAGAGTGTGCTGGGTAAAGGGCCACAAAGGCCAATCAGCGGCGGGTACAATATGATGTCAGAAGAGGGGTTCACATTCTCGCCACTCAAGAAGGATAGAAGGGGTGTGAGTATCCTGAAGTAATAAATCCCACCTTCTGGGCGGCTAAATGGCGGCGATGCGCTCTGCATGTGCGTTTCTAGGAGATGTTGGAGGCTGGGGTGTCTGAAGGCTTGGGTTTGCATCTCACGGCGTCTAATAGGACATATGTCATGCTTGGTCTGTCTGGTCTATGGTTTAATGGTTGCTATCGTGTAGAACGAATGTTATGCTGATACTTCATGCTTGTCTGGCCGCCTTCAAGCCTAACGGGAAAATCAGACGTGTCTACTCAGCAAGCACCCTAACTGACATCGCCTCGTTGCTCTCCTCTTTCAGTCATGCCTTTACTATACATTTACATTGCCAGTATCAAAAATAAAAAAACGCGACACCGCGGTGTCTCGTTCTCACCCTAGCATAGCACTCCCTCTAGCAATCCCGATTGCAGTCTAATTAACCTCACACCACGCTCCTCGGATTCTACAATTGCCTGCCGCATCCGTCGGATCGCTTGCCGCATAGGAAGTGTCTGACTGTCTTCGCATGATCAGCAAGAGGCGAGAGCGTGGATGACGCGTGGGGCGTAAGCGCTAGGGGATATGCTTAATGGAGCGACGCCAGCGTATACTGAAACGGGGCAATAGCGGACGAGTGGTTGTGCGAGGTGCGGCGAGCGAGGATTGCGATGGAGGGAGGGATGGAGGGGGTGGAGAGATGTTGGTTGAGCTTGCGGGGTTTGAGTAAGATTGAGATTGAGATTGTTTGTTCTTCCAGATACATTGATACCCATCCAGAATGCGGGATCGAGAAGGCCGTCTCTTCGCTTTCGTAGCGATACAGTTCGAACGCCAGATTGAGTGGCAAAACCCCAGTCCCCAGCCAGTATTCAACCCGTAGTCCGAATATACTTGAATTAGATAAGGAAGGAGGAGAATGCTCCGTACGCCGCCGCCGCCCGTACACAGAACGCGCCCCTTGTCAATCTTTCGCTGTCCACACTTTCTTCTTCTTCTGATACCCAATCTATCTAGTCATCTGCATTTTATTATCGCTGGACTGGGTGCAGCTTCACCATCAGGCTCGGCTTCTCCCACAGCGTGAAGACCTTCTGGCCTTCCATCCAGTTCTTGGATACGTCTGTGAGTTCGAGATCGAAGTTGAAGAGGACTTTAGCGAGAATGAGGCGCATTTCGGCGTAGGCGAGGCTGTAGAGCATGTCATGTCAGCAGGTGCTTGTCTTTGTAGTATAGCCAACGGGCACACGGAGTCGCGCGATAATGAACAGTAGCAAAGATGATAGAAAGGAGGTGGGGACTTACTTCTTGCCTAAGCAGTTGCGAGGTCCGAAGGAAAAGGCATTCATAGAGGCCTGGTTGTCGTTCTTGTAGCGCTCGTCGCCCATCCATCGCTCCGGCACGTAGGCATCGGGATCGGTCCAGTTGCGCGTCGAGTGGTTGGCAGCGTGTTGCGACATGTAGACGGCCATCTGCGACATATTAGCGTCGGTGTTCTCGCCAAAGCAACTCCGAAATAACTTACGCCTTCAGGGATATAATGCCCAGAGATAGTGTCGCCGCCCTTGGGCACAACACGCGGGAAGCCCGTCGGAACCGGCGGATAGTACCTCAGGCCCTCCTGCAGACACGCAATCAAGTATTCCATCTTGTTCACCTCCTCGACATTAATATCCGCCATCTTCTGGAACTTTCCCCTAATCTCCGCCACCAGCTTCTTATACTTGTCCGGATTCGCCAAAAGCAGATACGTGGTGCCCGACAGCAGCGTCGCCGTCGTCTCACTGCCCGCCAGCATCAGAATAATCGAGTTCGAATCCATCTCATCCCTGCTCATAGCCTTCTCACTGATGCCGTCGTTCTTCACAATCTGCGAGATAAAGTCGGGACGGTCGCTGCCCTTTTCAAGCCTGTTGCCCACTTTGGAGCTGACCAGCGCAAAGAACTCCTCGCGCTTGCGGATCGCGGCCGAGGTGTCGGTGAAAATGCCCTTGACGCGGTCGTAGTAGTCGAACATGGGGTACTTGCGGCGAGCGGCGATGAGGCCGACGGCTTTGACCGAGGCGAACACGGCGTTGACCCAGGGGTGGTAGTCCTTGTCGCGGAGGCAGTAGAGGGGCTCGCCGAATGTGAGATCGGTGATGACGTCGAAAGTGGTGTAGTTGTACCAGCGCATGATATCAACGGCGGGAACCTTCTCTTGGACTTGCTCATGCAGGCGGTGGACGAGCAGATCGACAAGGCCCTGGATCAAGCTCTCCTGATCCCTCAATGCCTTGTCACTAAACGCATGGGAGAGGTTCCTCCGCATCCTGGAGTGCGTTGCCTCGTCGGCAGCAATAATCGAGTAGGTCCCATTTACAGGGAGTGGGAACCACGTCCGGTCCTTCAGATAGGCGCCCGTCTTGTTCTTTCCAGTACGAAACCCATAGATATCTTGCCAAGCGGTCTCTCCTGAGATGAAGGAGACTTCTCCGGGAGCGACACGAACCACATCTCCGTACTGCTCGTGGAGTTTTCGGACGTAGGGAATGATGGTGCCATTACGCATGCATAGCGTGTAAGGGAGTCTAGAAGCGCGCGACAAGATCGGGCCCGGGATGTGTGCTAGAGGATGGAAGTAAAGATTGTAGATGGCAGTTCCTAGGGTACAGATCGCGGCCTAGATTGTGTTAGTTGTGAACTAGTGACGAAGACGCATAAATGCTGCAGTTCAAGACCGTGCTTCGTTGCTTGGAACGAACAGCAACATGACAATAGAGGGAAGGGGCAGCGACTTACAAAGGCAAAAAGCGCGCCGACGAAAAGAGCAACCGTTGGGCTAGAGACGCGGAAATTCGCAGGAAGAACCTCCATCGGGGTGGCCATATTGACAAAAAGCAAGCCTTATTAACGAGAACGGATGAAAATAGGGTCAAACAGCTGGTCCGAACGACCAGCAGCCGAAGAGGGAATAATTTATATGTATACCTTGCAAGAAACTTGGCGTAGGGACCTCAGTTGAAGCCGCTGCCGTGTGTCCCAGCGGCTGAGGGACCCTTGGCTCTTATAAAGCCACGGTTATTCTAGTCCGGCCTAAGCATCAGCACTGTCGCGAGCGATGAGTTGTTTGCCTCCAATGCTTTCCATGTCTCACATCACCGCCCAAGCGGCACTTTCGGGCGAGAGCTTGAGGGGTCAATATCGGTGATCAGCAAGTATCCACATGTGGGCCCGCCGGCCGATGCTAAGGTGTAAGGCCCTAGCTTCTTCTGCACCCATGTCTCTTCTGAAATGCGAAATGCAGGGTTGGCTTCCTTGCTTGTATGTCTCGACTGGGTAATCTTTCGAGGATAGTAACGTCGGCAGTGTCTACGCGGCACAGACCGCTGTTGTGGCCGCGCCAGAGCTACACCCAGTGATGCCGAAAAAGAGCCAAACCACAATACTGAGTAAATGACTATGCACCAAGTGTAAGCGTCGCATCACAGGCGGCACGTCAAAGCGTTAGTGGGTAGATGGGATGTGCGGTGGTGGTTCCGTCTGAGTGTAACCAGGCCGCCCGGATCGCCATCATTCAGCGAGCAGGTTCCACAGCAGGCGAATACTTCCGAAGCCACGCAGTCGCACGACGTTCACTTCAGGTGCCGAGGCTCATGCGCCTCTAATAAAGACGGCAAAGTAATCAGCTGGGCCCTGCATACACGCGGCATCAAGCTTTGAGGAGAGCGAAACGTAACGCCTCCCAGCTGCGCTTGACGTCGAGAAGTGCTGATTTCAGCGCTAACCGCTTGCAGAAGGGCTAATCCGCGGGCTCCGGGGCTCCACGTCTCGGCTTGTATCAAATAGGACAGCGCTGCCTGGCTGAATCAGCCGTCGATGGCAAGCTGAAGAGCTGAATTAAATCGCGTTGTTATGTATTCATATGCGCTGCCATCTGTCTGGAGTTTGTGTCAGAGGGCCTGGCAATGCTATCCGAAATCGGACTGTCGAAGGTTCCGCTGCGGCTTTTTCGTACTGGTCTGAGTTACAAGAGTTAAAGCCAATCAAGAAGTCCTCTCCATATTGGAATGCAACTAATATCGCACTTCCTGTTGTGTCCACTAGAGCACTGCTTCCATCGGAGACGTGAAGCCATAGGTATCAGCAGCAAAGTCCCAGGCATGTTGAAAAGGTCGGTGGTGGAACTCAACCAACCTAAATGAACGATGGCAGGCATAACTCTAGAAGACGTCAACGAAGCCCAACGGCACACCGAATCTCCTATTCAAACCTGATTCAAAAGGAAACGAGGCCGGTACTCCGTACCCTCATCAAGATCCCACCGAAAGAACAACGTCCTGCGCGATGAGGTAGGCGCCGTCATGTCACCCAAGCTTCCTACTCGTTTATGAAAACAAGCCGCATGGATACGGCAGTATTGATTCACTCGACCCAAGTACCACGTTGTCGGGCCCTCCACTCCCTTGTGAGCAAACGCCCGGCAGATCAACAGGAAAATATATGCCCTTTCCCCGCGCGCCACCTCGCCTGAAGCCTTCGGTCTGCCTCGGCCGAGCAGGGTCGGCCCGTGTGTGCTCCACACGCCCAGCAACGAATAAACTCCCATGCTGCCTTTCCTTTCCAAGTCGCATTACCAAAACGGCCGTGGATATGTGCGTCGTATCCGTCCGGGATACCCGACGCATGTATGCTCGATCGCGCTACTTCGTCCGCGAGCGGGAGACGGGTGGGCGGGAGCTGCCGTACGAGGAACCGGAAGGCCTACACCGATGTCCGTCAGTATGAGTTCAAAATGCCGGTTGAGGCGCCTTCAGGCTCTTCCAATTCGGCCGGTGCAGAGTATAGGCAGAACATACGCCTTCTCCTGCGCCGCATTCCACGTCTTGACAAACGCCTTCTGCGTCCGGTCCGCATAGTCCTCGGTCCTAACCTCCTTGACGCCCACCTTCGCCCCGTCTTTCGTGAACACCACGTTCTTCTTCTCCATCTTGCGCACGCCGCGCTCTGCGAGCTCGTTCGAGTAGAGGTAGACCTGCGCACACGTATTCGTCAGCCTTGCCTTGCTCTGATTCACATAGGAGGCCCTCGCTGTTCAGAGGATCTCGAAAAGTAGTCGTAGAAAAATGGGATGCTGTACCTGATATCCCACCCAGCCCATGCCCGCAACCACCAAGAAGAGAACAACCAGTGGGATCAGATTCCCGAATGCGCCCATGATGACGTAGTCGTTCGTGGCCGACGTAGCAGCAGTTGTCAAAAGGGTCTTGTCTGTCAAGCAAATGACGCCTGTCACAAGTTGTCGCCGCCTAGTCGCAAACCGCGGGGTAAGTGCGCGCACGTCGAAAAGAACAGTGGAATCGAGGTTTGTGCCGGTCGAGATGCGCAGAACCGAAGGGAATGGAGAGGTGAGGAGCGGAGAGCAAGCAAGAGTGCTGGAAGGAAAAATAATGTGACGGACTTTCCGTTTGTTGAGGCGTGTTTCGTGGCCGCGGATGGCTGACCGATGAAACGATCGGATGAATGACAGGGGCGCGAACGGCGCTTGGCATGCGGGAGCCAGGGGGTGAAGCGAGGGCTTGCAAGGCACTATCGACGTATTTGGCAGTTCTACAATTTTTACTGGTGTGGGTTGGCGGGACTTTGGGAAGTTTGATGGTCGGAGAGGAGTGACAATCGATTGAGACGCTCCCGATAAGTGGGCGGCTTGGTGAATATGCATTGTTCGCCGAAGTGCTGACATTCAGGCGTCTTTAGGTACTACGTGAGATAATAGGGAGAACCATATCCTTTGCATTACAGTGGTGAAAAGCCTCTACAGTCCTAAGCCCCCTCTTGTGCGTATTCCATACATGACCAGCATATATCATACAGTCATATCCCTTCATACTGTTATGCCTATCCATGTAAGCCCGTCCCATGCTTTCCTCCGTCCGAATTGACCATCCAAAGTCTTCCCACCTCTTGAATACTAATACAAAGTCCATCGACAAAATGGTAACCATCATGTCCAACACGTGGAGTCTAAGGAAACATAGGTCCGCAAGTAAGCACGTGCCTTCTTGCCAAAACGAGCACCTGGGCGCTCGTAAGCCCAAATTTGCTACCGATGAGGAACAATCTCCCGGAGAGCCATTCTCGCTGCCGCTGCGGCACCGTTTCGGCGTTTGCGGAAACATAGAGTGGCCAGACGAGGGAGTACCCGCCGAAGGCTTCAGCAGCTACAACACAGACTATTAGCAATCCTGATTCGGTATACCTCGTCTTGTAGGGATCTGTTTACTCACCGTTCCTCTCCTGCCCTAGTTCCTTCGCCATGGGCTGCATATCGTAGTTCAGATGGAAGGGTACGCAAGCGGAGATCTCGTCGACCATCTGCTGGATGACGAAGACGGCTCTGTCATAGGGTTGGGAGCCATCATAATTGCCGCCGCATCTCAACCACGCTATGCAGGCCATGATCACTCTCTGGCAGAAGATGCGGCATACACGATAATCATTGACGATGCTGGCAAGCGGTACGTCGTGATAGGCATGCTGCTCGCCTGGCCAATGCTCTGCTGTGGAAAGGTCCTCAATAGGCTCGTTGAATAGGCCGATGGTGCGGTAATGCCATTCCGGTGGCAGCGTCTGGTACCACTGCTGAAGGTTCTCGTCTACCATCTGTGCGAACTCCAGCACATTGATGGCCTCGGCCTCCTGGCTGGCATCGTATGGCGAACTCGTAAGGTCCTTCGCTCGTGCGCGGATGTTGGGTAGGTCGATGCAGATTAGCGTGAGACGGTTGGCGGCGTTTTCTTCGTTGATGTCGTTCGCTATCCAGCCCTTCGTCCCGGGAAAGGACTCTATCGGTTTAGACCGTTGCACACAGCTCGTGATCTACACATCCTTTAGCGCAGGTCTATGCAAGACTTCTCTAGGATTTCCACTGCCTGAAGTTTTCGAGACTCCATTGCGCGGTGGAGGATGAGCATACCATCATTGTCCGCACAGCTCGGAAAACGGCGTGAGACATGGGATCTTTGAACTGATCCGTACCTCTCATCTTCGTCAACGCCACGGCTCCGTCGACATGGTTACCCCATGCCGTGATCGTATCACCAGTCGACATTATAGTCTGAAGCTAGTCAGCACCCACTTCATCCTCAACGCGCGCACAAAGGAAGGAAAACTACTGAAGACCTTGACGAAGTAATCATTGAACTTACTTCATACAAGGAGAAGAGAAGGGTAGCAAGAACGCTCTCGTCCGATTTGGACAATGCAGGATCTTTAAGATCTTCATTGAGCTTTCGCAGGGCCTTGCCGTACGTAGTTGCAGCTTCCCTGAGCAGATCTTGTCTGCCGGGATAGTTTCCGCAGGCCGCAAGAGCAACGGCGTTCGTGGCAAGGTGTAGAGCAGAAGAGGGGCGCGCCTGGTTGTATAGCGGCACGAGGAGTTCTAGATATCCCCGCATGCTTTCCGCTTGCTGAGGTAAGGAGACGAAGTTCCGGAAGAAGAAAGGTACGGCTTCGAACTCGGGAGCCAGGGTGAGGCTCGGCGGAACGGGGTTCTCAAGATGCCACATGAAGTCTTGGAAGGTGACTTGTCCCGGAGGCGTGGTGTATGGTGGGATTACTACTAGTTGGCCACTTTGGTCTAGGGAGCCTTCGAAGATCGAGCTTCCAGCTTCGTAGGGACTAGTCGAGCGGGAAAGCTCGAAGGTTGCATTTGGCGAACTGCGGGGCGTTAGCGATTGCATGCAGGTACGAACACTAGCCCGAGCCGAAGGTGAGAGTAGTGGTTCGGGAAAGCAAGAGGTCGGCCATTGGCCACTCCACTGCTCCACAGGCCCAAGCATTCCACCAAAGAAGCTTGGCTGAGCCGGGCGCATTCCAGGGTCCAAATTCCAATGCCATCATGGTTCCTCCAGCTCTGATGTTCCGGATGTCGAAACATGATATGCACTCGGACACAAGAGGAACGGAACGCACCTAGAAGGCGAACCTTGCGAACCTCCAGCCTTCGACGAATGCCCGGATCCCTTCCTCGCCTTGCGCTCCATCGCCTTATTCTCATCCCTGAACACGAGATCAAACTCGTCCGGGTAGCCGGGACACGCCCTTCCGCTCTTCTGGCATTGGCCACATGTCGGACGTTTCTCATCGCACTAATGCTCAGTCAGTAACAGTAACACCCACAACATCCGCGCCGCACTATAAGATCCGTAATGGCAACAGATGCGAAGTTGCCACCACCAGTCCGGAGTACAATATAAAACAGCGGGGGACGGGACAAATCAGACGGAGAACGCATGAGCCTACCTTGATCCTGCGGCTCTTGCACATGCCACAGCCCCTGCTCGGCTTGCCGGTATAAACCATCGTGCCGCAATCCCAATCTCAGCAGAAAAAGTAGACTGAAGGAATGGAAGAAAGCAAGAAAAGAAGTCCAGGGCTTTCGGACAACGGCCTTGAGGCCTGACGAACAGAGGTCCCGGAGAATAAATATTGGAAACGCGCAACACGCAAATATCTCGTCGATATCATCAACCGGGCACTCCGCCTCTCGAGCACACGAATACCATCAGGCCTACGTTACCACCTAGACGACTAAGCGCGTGGGCAGCAGGTGCTACACTGCTTCCTTCAGCCCTTTCAAACGCCCCCGGTGCCTCGCGACACGGCACGTAAATGCGAGGCTTGACGTGCAGAGAAGACGTCGACCGTTCCCGCGGAAGCCCGGGCGTATCGGCGGTTGGGAAATGCAAGGCCGTCGTTCGCAACGCGATCTGGTTGGTGAAAGGTCTTCAGGAACGGCTAGTAGTAAGCAGCACACGGGCCTCTGAGCCTATGAGAGACGACGAAAGAGAACAAGGACAGGAGATAGAAACAGCTGTGCATTTTCGGGCGAAGGATGCGAAACGGCGGAACCGTTCGGAGGCAGAAGACTGCTCACCGAAGTGGTGCAGGACTCATCGACGTCGTCCCAAGAAAGCCCAGCTCGCTCGCAAGCTCTTCCAGAAACGGGCAGGCGCGCTGCGATTTAGTAAGCCGCGACCGCGCCCGGGCTTGGTCGACTACCACATCGTGGCGCAGCGCATCGAAAGATATGAAGCATCTATAGGCGATGCGGCACGAAGGAGCTCAGCGCCTTTTACACGGGCTGCTGCCTGAAGCGTAAACGAGCTCTACCTGAGGCACGTACGCAATGGTCTACGCAACGCTTAATTCTCCGAGATTCGCTTTACGAGGTTGACGTCCTTCCATTGCTCGGTCACTTGATCCTGAAGTCGTCCGTACCAAGCTTGGAAGCCATCTTCTATTGGATTCTACTGCACGAGCCTCGGCTGAGCGCCGTCCTCCTGTAACGTGTTTCGTAGGATCCTGGCCCACGTGCGATTAAGCTTTTCCATCTTGCTCATTCCAAATATATACACCATGTGGCTTGACCCACGTCGTCATGAGGCACACTCGCTCACCTCGCGCACCAACACCACCGTCGCTCAGGTTGACTCCCAACACCTGTATTTTGTCTACTAGCAGTGCCCGCCCGTGCCGCACGGAATATGCTGTGATGCTACCCTCTTATCTATTATGATACAATGCCCTCCGTGCCATGCGAATTATATGCTCCAACGCCAGAAGCGAGGGTATCGCGGTGTTATAGTCCAATGTACGTCAGAGAGAAGCAATCTCCACCTCCATCATGGCCACCGAATGTTTCGGCGGTGCCGAGCTTTGTTCATCTGCTCATCTAGTCTGACGCATGCGCGCCTTCGATTTCCAGCTCGTCCGGCGCTATTTCCTCTCGCGCACCGCTCTTTTCATCACATTCATGGATGATCTTCTTCCAGCCAAGAGGCTCAGCAGCATCCTTGACGTACTCAATCGTCGGGAAGTAGTGCTCGTTCTTCTTCATGGTTGCGACCCATGGCACGTTGTCGAACGTCATGACCTTCAGCCTGAAGTACTCGTTGTCACCGATCTTCTTGACCTCCCTTAAGAAAGCGTCCAGATCCGGTGTTGGCACGTTGTTGACGGCCGTGAGGAAGTTTGTGGGAGCAAGACCTATCACACGTTAGCAAATCCTGTCTCATTTCCTGACAGCCTTCATCTATGGTCTCTAGGGCCGAGAAAGAAGTTAACGCTATAGCTACTTACCGTACATGTAGGCTGGCGAGCCGCGAGAGCGCGATGATATGTAGACGTCGGAATGGATCTTGCTGATCTGCTGGCGAACGGCTTGGTGTGGCCGGTGCAAGGTAGCTCCGCAGAAGCTTACCATGCGAGCAGTCTCCAAATCTTCAGTAGGTACTGTCGGCACCTTGAGCGACATCTCTTGCCGCTTCCTCACGATAACAGCGTCCAGATACTCGTTGTTGTACATGACGTCCAGATCTGGTGCTCGTGTGATCAGCTTGTCGTTCAGGGTCAATAGCACATCGCCCTCCTGCAAACCATCTTCGTGGCCAGAGTCAACTTTGCGCACCATGAAGAGCTGGTGGCGTTCAGGGTCAGCTTGTTCTGTCTTCTCGATCCACTCCTCGGAGACACCCATGACGCGAGCCTGGCTCATTTGCACAGTCTGGAACTCGACGTTTAAGATCCGTAGTTTGGGCTTTTTTCCGCTCCTGATCTCATTCAAGACCGGGAGTATCATTGGCGTTGCCAAACCAAGGTGATACTCGACGTCTTTTCCGCTGTGTGATGTGCGCTCCCCAAGATAACTCAGCCAAAGGGCCTGCACGGTTCCATCCCCGGAAACTAGCACGCCGCTGGCGCTATGAGAAGCCTGGGTCGTATCGACTGTGATAGCATCGAAGTTCGTAGCACGATAGCGCGGTGTCACTGCGCTAGCGGGGATTGCCACGGTGGTGATGTCGGTAACCACCGTCTTGGCGACAACAGGTCGGAAGTTTTGATTTAACCCAAAGAAGATCGTGTCATCGCCCTTCTTGATAAAATCGGTGGCGAACTTGGGAGTCTTCACCGGCGCGTTGACGAGCGAGGTGTCGTACTTGATGATGGCGTAATTCTGCAACGGGTGCATGAAGATAACTTTCGCCTCCACAAAGATAGAATCAGCGATGACGAGATTAATATCGCAAAGATCATACGGAAGGAGTGCTCGCGACACAAGGACCAAGCCTTGTTCAGCATCTACAACCAGACCATAGCCTTGCTTATTCATCTTTGGGAAGCCATCCAGCTTGACCGGCATGGAGACGTGCACTCGAACGAAGCTGCGGACGATATCCACAGCCTCAGGATAGTTTGAGCTGAGCTTGACGAAGTTTGCTCGTCCAGGAACCGGAGGAACGGCTGGAATCGCGTCGGCAATTGCGCTGAAGTCCCAAAGCCCAGTGCTGTCGTTCCGCTTAGCTATCCTCATCTTGGCGTGCCAATGCCGGTCGATGGAGGTTATGCTTGTATTGGAGGTGTGGAGATCGCGAAGGTGCTTGTATTGGATGACGACTCGCTTGCGGTCCGGAATATTCTTCATAACCTCAATGAACGCTTCAAGATTAGGGGTAGGTTGGTTGTCGACTTCATGGACAAGCCATCCCGACGCGTACCCATCAGCAAATCGGAAGGAGCCAGCGGCCTCGCAAACGTAGACGCCAGAGTCCTTGAGGGAGATGGCGTACAAGCGCGCCTGCTGGTACGAGAGATCGTGGAACGAGGCGCCCGCGACGGAGACGAAGCGGTCCGGCGTGATGTCGTGCAGATCAGCCACGTCGAGCTCCAAACTTATGTTCTCGCCCGCGCGTTGTATCGTTACCGAGACTTTGCCGCCGACGCTGTCATCCAGGACGGAGTCGAGACGGACAAACTGCGTGATTAGCTCGCCGTTCACCTGTATCAGCAGGTCTCCCTCTTCAATTTTCTTAGACGCAGGCCCGTTGGGTAAAACAACCTCGGCAACCAGCATGCCGGTTTCAGTCGGGAATTTCGTTCGAATAGCCTTTTCAGAATCTGGGGAAAGCCCTAACCTTCGGCATTCGTCGAAAGGCTTCAGGATCCACTGTGTCTGAATCGTTCCTCTCGAGACGTGCTTTCCTTGCTGGATCAACTGCAAAGCGCGCAGCGGCCGGTCCAAGGGCAGGAAATAGTCCGTTGCAGCGCCGTCTGCTCGTCCGCCAGCCTGTAGAGCCACGGCAAAGCCATCCTTGTTGACCACAGGACTTCCGGAACTTCCTCCGCTTGCAGCAGCAGCAGCTTGTATGTAGTTGGTATTGAAGTCGGAGTATCCCTCGCCGTATTCAGGCGCGTTGCGGTCCAAGCGGCTGATGACACCGGACAGGATGCTCAACTTCTCGCCGGCATCGTTTCCTACGACGCGGATCTCCACGCCAACCTTGGCTCGATCGGGACGGAGCTCGAGCGCGGTCACGGGCATGTACTTGACAGCCTTGGGGTCGAAGCGTAGGATGCCGAAGTCGTGCACAGGATCACGGTACACCGGGTAGACGTCGCACTGTGAACGAAGTTAGCTGGCGGTGTCGCACACAGGGTCTCGTGTGCGTACCTCTTCATGGTTGTCGAAGATACAGTAGCCGATGAAGGGGCCTGCTCCGACGACGTGCTATTCCAATATCAGCTCCAAATCCAGGTTCAATGCCACAGCTTTGCGCACCCTATTGGTCAAGATATAGCCCCTCTCAGCATCCACCACGAATCCCGTAGCCTCAGAGGACACAGCTGCGTCGGTGTCGAAGGAGCACGTCTGGCAGAAGTGTATCGAGACAACGCTCTTCACAACCGTCTCTATCGTCCTCTGCCACTCAGCTGTGTCGTGGAGGGCGGCCGCAATGGGCACCGGCGGGAGGTCGTCGAGGCTGATGTCCATGCCGGGCGATGGCGTGCGCTCCCGGGCATCTAGCTCTGGCGCAGCTGCGGCATACGTGCCGTTGCGGGTATGCATATCAGTTTCGGGCTTGATCTGCTTCAGCGGTCGCTCGTTCGAGGGCGTGGGCGGTTGCTTGCGCTTGGTGCGGGCTTCCGTAGCGTCGCCATTGTGTTCGGAGGGCATCAGGCTTAAATGGGCGGAGGAGCGTTTGCAGGGAGTGAAAGCAAGTCGCGGGTGACGGAATAGACCAGTGAAGAATGCGGTCCGCGACGTGGAGGTGAAGGGAGGCTGCCGCGCCGAGGGTGGTGAGTTTGGGAATGCGGTCGCGAAACTTCTGCTGAAGGCGACGAGTGCACTCTGGCGGCCAAGAAGCATCCCAGAGCCGGCCAATAAGAACGCGATGACTGCTTCGTCGCTGCGCAGCCAGTGAGGGGTCTTGACGGCGACTGACTGGTGTGAGATATTGGAAGAGTCCTCCTGCGATAATGCGATGCCTTTTGCTGCAGGAGGGCGCAGGCATCAGGGGTCTCACGTCGGCCAAAGCGGCTTTTCCGCCTCCGCGCCGCACTCTAGCCTTCAGCTTCATCCAACCCACCCCATCACGCTATCACGGTACTCACCCGAATACCTTTCTGTCGCTCTCCTAGATCGTCATGAGCCACTGAATGGGCCCGGAGTGACTTAGGATTGTCGCAGACGCTAATCCCTGTCTGTTCAGTGCCGTCTTCGCTGTACGACATGCTGTCACGCATCCTGTCGAACCACAGATGAAACCTATCACTGCCATTCAAGCACATCACATGTCATCGCTGGCATACAACGTTCAAGATCAAGAAAGAAGTCCGTTGTTTCGACTCCTTGTCGAATGAGGCTATCCTATCCAAGCCAGACACCAAAACCCATGGTGATCACATATCCATTAGAAACCCAGAAATCGCCGTGATACGGAAGCGTGGCTGACGCCGCACAATGCGCCATTCGCTCTTCCATTCCGGACCAGAATGTGCAAATCTTCCAAGTTCAGGCACTCAGATCTCATCACTAGCATCCACCTCCTGCTTGACTTCCTCCCTGACCTCAACCTCCGCATCCGCCTTCTTCTTGCGGCCACGCTTCTTGGGCGATCCCTCGCCATCCACATTAGCCTCGCCCTTGGTCTTGCGCTTGGTCGGTGTCTTCTTCTCGCCATCACCATCGCCGTTGCCGTTCGCGCGAGCCTTCTTGGGCGTCACATTGCCGATAGGGTCACCCGCCTTGAGCGCCTCGAGCTCGTCCTTGAGAGTGCCCTTGAGGCGGTCCACCATGCGCTGGCAGGCGATGACGGAACGGCCGTTGGGGCGCGGGGTCGTCTGTGGACTGTTAGTTGGTTGAAATAGAATGTCGCGATTCGAGGTGCGTGATAATTGAGTGACCTACGTTGTAGTCGAGCTTGACGCCGGTGTTGTCAATGAGCGCGAAGAGATACGTGAGCTGTGGGCAAGGGATTAGTGGATGTAAGTGGATGCGCTGGGGGTAGAGCTGGACTGACGCGTTCCTTGTCAGTCCAGCCACTGCCTGCTGCCTTGCCGCTCTTGGCTTCGGTGTCGGACATTGTTGATGACGTTGTTGAGAGGTAATGCTGGAAGTTGACGTTACTGTAGTGTTGCGTTGGAGGGTTTCGGTCGCAGTAGGGGAAGTAGAAGGTGGATGGTGTTGGGAAGGAGGAAGGGGCAGTTGTGCAGGTTTATATAGTGAGGAGGACTCTTAGTGCTGGAGCCGGGCTGCAAACCACCGTGTCTTCATCGTGCAGACTGGTGAGGGTGAAGGTGATGGTGAGCCGGTGAAGGTGAGCTTTGAACTAGTGCACCACCGGAGGGACACCTGGAAAACGCACTTCGGCCTCACACCGCTTCTTCCATGTATGCCGACATCATGCCTTCCGTGGGACCGTGAAACTAAGTGAAGGTGTGCTCACAGTCGAACTCGTGCTTAAAGCTCTCTCAAGTGGAACTGAGGCCTGACTATATTCGACATATCCCTACATCTGAGGGGCGAATGCAAGAAGGCGGGTGCTTTCGGCGTCAATCGTTCACAGCGTTTAATCAGCTCGCTGCTTCCCGTTATTGAGTGCCTGTCTAGGCTGACTATTCGAATCGCCGCCGTTACTTGGGGCTGCCGTGTTGTTCGCGTTATTCACCACATCTTCATCTCTGTCTTTCGGCTCAAGTTGTTGTAGCTCATAACGATGTGTGAGACTGCCGTGCAGCTCGGACGCCGTTGATGTATCCGACAGTGTCCGGATATGATGTAATCCGTGAGCTGGGGTTGAGGATGAATCGTGGCGGGCTGCTGGTCGGCCCACAACTTCAGACGGCTCACGGTCCGATGGCATTTCAGTAGGATCTGGACTGTTGGGTACTGTCTTCGACGAAGAGCGAAGACTTGGTTGGTCGGATTCCTTCAGCGGATCGTCTAGCGGCACCTGAAGTCCTCCATTGGGTTCCGCTTTCGGTCCCGTGTTCCTAGGCTGGGGATTCTGCTGTCCTTGGCCTTGTACTGCACGGTGACCGTGGCCGTTTCCTTGCACCGCACCGTGAAATTGACTATTTCCCTGGCCTTGAGGTATGCCATGACCCGGCACTGCGCCTGCTCCTCCGCCTCCGCCTACGCCTACGCCTACGCCTGCATTTGCACCTAGACCTGGACCTGGACCTGCGAAGAGCTGTCCATGCTGCTGTGCCGTAAATAGCTGTTTAAGTTTGACGTAGGCAACATAGATGAGGACGGCGAATATCACAGCGCCGCCAAGGATAGAGCCAACAGTAATACCGACAAGTGTCCTTGTTGGAAGGCCTCCACCGTTGCTAGGTGCAGCACTGCTGGAACTGGTACTGCTAGAACTGGTACTGCTGGAGCTATCACTGCCGGGTATGGTTCTGGTTGCTTCCCAGTCACCTCCTTGCCAAGTAGGCCAACAGGAAATATATAGTCTCGAACTGGTATCGCCCAGGCTTTCGAAGATACTACCGCTAATACATTCCGATTGGCTCTCTGTGCCCGTACTTCAACCACGATTAGCTAACGGGTCCATTTTATGGAAATCAACATGAAGTGCTTGACTCACCATGTGAAGCTATACTCATCATTGAAGAGTACGCTGGTATTGGTACACGCGGTATAAACCGGGCAATCCGTGGACTCAGGGCAACAGCGAGCGTAACCGGAAACGGAGAAGTATGTACCGGTCAGGCAATGGAATAAAGAATCTAAGGCGCAAGTGTTAGCAAAAGAATGGCTCAACGAGGTTTGGTAGACGTGCAAGTTCCCTGAGTCAGCGTGAACCCGATCCCGTTGGGAGGAATCGTGGTCTCCGCTCGAGGTTGTAGAAATGTGCGCGTTTCATGTGGAGGAGACAGTATAGAGTCGCCTTCGGCCGTAACCGTTGGCTCCGCGCGGAGCTCACGGTGAGCAGGTAATGGGTAGCCTTCGCACAGGCCCGTAGGCCCTGCATAAGGCTGAAGATTTGGCGTTGTAATTGATAGAGAACTTGAAGTAGATGCAGAATGTGGGAGGCATACCACTAGGGTGGCAGGCAGACAGCAAATAAATAGCAAAGACCAAACCATGGCTGCAGGTTGATGATAGCAGGAAATGAATGAAAGATTAGGAGTTTCTCCGCGACATCAACCACCCCGAAATGCTCACACGGTGATAAATACACATCAAGTTTCCAGCCTCGTTGCCTGCCAAGAGTCTTCCAGTATTGGAGCTCAGGGATGGAAGGTCTGATCGAATGGGAAAATCATGTTAGCGAATGTTGCAAGGGTCCTAGATGAATGGGTGTGTTCATGCAGTCTATCAAGGTTTGGCGCAAGGCTGAGGTTTCAAACTTCAGCTGAAAACGCCTATCGGGTGTCAATTCGATCAATAGGCTCCCGGACGCCGGCCGAGGATGCACTCTATGCGGGCCGTGCCAATGGAGTCTTGACTTGGCAGCGAGTTGTATGGCGGATTTCGCAAAGGCGGATATCCTATCAGGCCGGGGGACAGCGCCGAGGTCGTGGCATATTCCGAACGGCTGAGTGGCTTTGTCAGGTAACAACCGTATCAGTCAGAGGACGCATAGCGGGCGTTTGTATCGTCCAGCATGCTTCGAGCGCTGATAAGTCCATCGCAGCCACGGCGCTTCGCAATGGCGAGACGGGCTCCGGCTGACTTCCAATACCACCACGCCATGCAGCACCAGCCAGACATACCTAACTCCATCTCCATTTCCACAGCCGCCGCCAAAATGCATGTACTCCTCGTTTCGTCCTCTCAACCACAATGTGATGTCTGACGCATGTGAACGTTTAGGTGCCTAGGTAGCTCAGCCTGAGCGATTGCGCAGAAGCCAAGCTATAGTCTCGCTAGCTGGCTTGGTTTGGTACCATTATATGGGAAGACATGTCGGAGAAGCTGGACTTCATGAACTCAGTTTTCGAAAGTTTTGCAACTGATCTGAGCAGGCAGAACCGGTATCTGGACGACAAAGCGGAGGCCGCGCCATGAACGTGAGTTCGATACTATCCATGGATTGCTGGTTGAAAAAAGCCCTGCACTGGCAGACCCGAGGAACCGATTCTGAGGGACCAGGGGTTGAATGCGAAATGACGAGTTGAAGAGATGAGGATGAGGCAGGGTCGGATTTAGGTCGCCGCTATCGCTGCTGACCATCCCGAATACAGCTAGTCGATCACAGGACTACGTGAGCCGTCCGTGCCTTCCGTCGCAAGGTCCTGATCTTCTACACATCGACATCCTCCTCCTTCGGCGACCATTAATCAGAATGTCTCTGACTCAGCCATCCGTCAAAATGCCCGCAACAAAGCGGAAATCCGACGGAGCCGAATCGCGTCCAAACGCACGTCAAAACCACACCTTCCGTGCCCACGCCAGTCTTTTATACCAAAGACTAGCTTCACATCTATTGGACGTCGAGATCTCCAAGAAGGCTGCGAAAGCTCGGCAGATGCTCGTCAAGGACATCGAGAAGCAGGTGAAGGTTACGGGCCCCAACATATCTCAAGCTTCTTCCACACATTGACACACCACTACTTCGCGCCCTCCTGCAAGACCATTGAGATGGTGCCATGCGAAGCTATTCAGCAATCCATGCCCGGACAATCTCCGCCACCGCTGCACCAACGAGGCAGTCTAGATCCCGCTAAACTCTCCAAAACCCCCATCATTCTAACGTACCGCCTCACTTCAGTTTGAACATTCCACCGTGCCATCCATATGCGCGAGTGAGTCGCCGACCGTATCGCCTCGTCAGATTAAAAGCAATATCACCCTCCGGATGTAGCTTATGGAACTGGATACCTCTATCCAGGTTGGCCGTTCCAGGAGTGAACTGCCACGCCGAGCCGTGCAGCTTTTCGGCGGAGAATCCGAGCTTCATAAGAGCGTTCAGGAAGCTCTCGCATTTGATCTTTCCTGGAAGTTCGCCTTCGCGCGGCATGTGGAAAAGCGCTTGAACACAGGGTATGCATCCTTGCTGACGTGGTACAGCGGCTCCGGGGGCGGAGCCTCCTGTACGATATTTTGTTCCGGCTCGGCTTCGCGGGCAGGTCCTCTAGTCTTCTACTTCATCTTGTCGCTGATCGAAACTCTCTCGAAGTTTCCGGTTATCTCTTTGCTCGCGTCGTGGAAAATCCGCGACAGCGGACGATACTCCTAATCAACATTTCTTGGGCGCGATCGTGGACCTGTCGACTTCGAGGGTTCAACCTAAGGGCATGTTCGACGCAAGGCACCCCCTTCTGTCAAGACACGTCGAATCGTCTCGTGTTGGGAGTTTCCGGTACACTTCTGGAAGTTGTCGTCGACGTAGTTCCAAAATCGGTCCAAGTTTTCCTCCGCTTTCTGCATGGCCTCCACGTTCTCTTGGTTTCGAGCTCTATGCTTCGGATAGTTGAATTTCCCATCCGACGGATCTCCCAAGCGGCCCTGGCCGACGATGCCCTCAAACTTCTTCTCGAGCAATTGCTTCCATGGCTCCAAGGGCTTATTTAACACGCTGCGGTATTCGCAATCATCCAACATTTTCCATATCAACTTCCAATACGACGGCTGAAGCTCACAATGGCAAACGCATTCCACTACGATGGAGAATTGTGTGAGAGCCCATTCTGTCAGCGACGAGATCCATTGCCTGGCCCCACGTCGTTTCCTAATTAGTGTATCCAAGCAATCAAGACTAAGACTGACCTCATGAGGGCGTAGTGGACTGTCCACGCCCTTCAAGTTCCCGGTCAGGTAGAAGAGTATTTTGCATACTCCCTTTCTGTCTTCGTCGGTCTCCAATGACGGCCATGGGGTGGCCGAGAAACAGTCTTCGAGAGGGCGTCCAGTTCTCGTCATGGTGGTATTTCTGTACACGTTAGGGCGAAGGGTAGGTGCACCGAGAGTGTAACACGACAACACCTGCTCAAGGAATATCTTCATAGTGAAGAGGACGGCAAAAGTTTCCGCTAACGCTTTGGCATAATCGTTTGTTTTAAGCTGAACAGGGTCGATTCCTCCCGGATACCTCCGGGAGATTTCTTCTATCCTGGCCATTTGCTGAAGAAGCTGGTCCCAGAAGATGAGAAGGGTGTGCGACTGCATGACGACCCGGTTGAGGACGCGAGACATGAAGGCTTCCGTCTTGACGCATTCGTGGATCTGGTCCCGTTGATCCGGCACCATCTCGGGAGAATGGTCTTTCTCCTTCTCAACCTCTTCGGCAAAATAGCTCGGATCCTCCCGCAGGGCCCAGACATGGTCTCTCGCCGCCGCGCTGAAGAGCGAAGACACCAGATGTTTCAGTCGAGGAAGATCCAGACTCGTTCGGGCACGGTAGGGTGCCTTTGCCGCTGCGTCTGCGAAAGTCGTGCCCACATCCTAGTGAGTGAGCAAGCGCGGCGGTTCTGGTTGAACAGGAGAATCCTCGCTGGTCAAAGACTCAGCAGGTCGATCATGAAGGATTCTCTCGTAGTATTCAACCAGGAAACGGAGGATACGTTCTTGGATCCATAAGACCTTTATACCGTCCGCTACGCTGAGACCTTTCCTGGTGTTTTCGAATCCTGCAGCCAACGCTTCATGGGGAAATTCAATGATAGTACCGTAGCTTCCCGAGTCGGTCGGGCCATTAAGTCGCATCTTGCTCTTTGGGCCACGGCTACTGACTGGAATGGGCAAGGTCACACTTGCAACAAAGTCCAGCTCCGTCAACGCAAACGTATGCGGGTGATTGCGCGCTCGTGCATTGATGAACAGGAGCAGCGCTTTTGGTTCGACAAGGTCCTCGAGGTTGATATACGGCCAATTGCTCGCGTCTACGAAATCTCTCTCCCTTCCGTCTCGGAAAGAACCGCGTTTGGTGAAGCTCGCCGGCCGATGCACTTCCGGCATGTTCGGCCATGCGCTGAGGAGCAGCTCGCGGCGCTTCATCTTGGTCTTCTTCCTCCATAGATGGTGGATCAAGAGCTCGTGTCGCTCGACGATGGCGTGGAGCCGGGTCCAATGTGCGATCACTTTTGGCGTGACCTCCTGAGCCAGCTGCTCGACGTCAGTTTCGGGGTATGGCGCTCTCGCGTTCTCGCTGTGCAAACTCTTCATAGCGGAGTGAGGATCGATGATGAAAAGGCGGGAGTATAACCCGGGAGAGAGAAAAAAAATCATATTCATTTCCAACGTCGGCATCAACAAACAAAACTTGCATATTCGCCGGGTGGAGCTGGTATATAATGAGGAGCATGCTCCGTTTGTCCGTCCCCGCAATACTGTTAAACAGAAAGAAGTGGAAGAAAGAGAGTGAAGTGATGGATACAGAGGAAATGCTCGCGTCCTGTCTCTCATAATCTTTGAGTATCGTAAAGCCAGAAAGAAGCGTGATATATATCAAGAGCCTGAAGATTGTAAAACATTGAGCAGGTATAAACGCATGACATCTACCTTCACACGACTAAACAGTACTACTATTTGCAATTTAAAATCGATAAAGTCTTATGAGCATCATTCGTCGCTACCACTGCCGGAAGACATCCTGCTCAACTACCATTTTCTTCTCCGCGTTCAGTATCTGGCCACATCCGCGGACGCGTAGAGCAGCGTGTTGGCTTCAATGGATACTCAGCACGGCGTCTGAAGTGCGAAAGATGCACCGAGTATCATCAGGCTCAGTATTTGATGCATTTCTCAGCTTCACCGAGTAGATATTAGGCAAGACAGTGCATCTGGATACGGCATTTTGATGGCTTCAAGGTGCTGTGAAGGGATCACGCGGAGTGAGGAACGTAGATTGGTGGTAGTCAAGTTCGCTGGTGTCAACTGGTGGTTTGAGCGGCTCATGCAGATGGAATGCATCGCTCTCATCACCTTTATTATAATCATCTACCTAACCCTTCAGAGTCGCTTTATCCCAGACGCGATTACCCTGGCTGTGGCAAGGAAGTATTGCACCTGCCCCATAGTTTGAACTGTTATACAAAGATGTCTGCACTTTCGTGTGTCCAAGAAAGACGACCCTACCCAGTTTCGGCGCGCTTAAGGCCACTGTTCCTTGAACCCCTCAAGCCAGTCCAAACGTGTTAGCAGTCCAGCCGAAGGCCCTCGTCAGCCTACGTCCATACCGGCGAGCCCAAGTGAACGGCAGCTTGTTTCCGGGATGCGGCTCATGGAATTGGATCGAGCGTTCGGCCTCTAAGTTTCGCGGAGTGAAGTGCCATGAGGAGCCCTGAAGCTTCTCTGCGGAAAAGCCGGCGGAAACCATGGCGTGGAGGAAGTCAGCCCAAGCGACCTCTCCAGGTTGATCGGGGGAGTTGGCGCAGTGGAAGAGTGCCCGGAAGACCTTGTGGGCGCGCTTGTCGACGGGGAGGGTGGGTTGCTCTTCCAGTGTTGGCAAACCATCCTCCTTGGCTACCGTATCCTTCGTGATTACTGCATTCTTGACCGATGCCGCAGTACCACGAGTCTTTAACTTGGTCTTGTCGGACGCAGCAAGTTTGTCAAAGCGACCAGTTATCTCCTTTGTGATATCGTGGGACGCCCAGTCTGCTAGATCAGAGCCAACGGGCGCAGTCTGAAGAATTGCCTTGGACTTCGGTTGTGACGTCTTGGTTGGCTTTTGCAGGCTGTAAGGTCCCGTCCTCTCTATTGTGTGCCTCCCGACGATATCTTTGACCACATCATGCGGGCACTTTCCAGCGACGGCCCGGAAATGCGCATCGGCAGCTTCCCAAAATTTGTCTAATGCAGCTTCCGCGGCTCTCATCTTATCCGTAGTCTGGTGAGTTTTGCGCTCACGCACTGGGTGGTCAAACTTGCCGTCTGAGGGGTTCCCAAGCGACCACAAGTCCGTGCCATGAAACATGGTCTTCAAGATAAAGCCCCAGACCGCAAACTTCTTGTGGTATCTGTGGAAGTGCCTGGCCTTCTGTTCCTGGAAATCGTGCTCGATCGCCGTAGCCCATGGCTGATACATCTGCATGTGGTGCAGACACTCGGAGATCACCGAGAGTTGGGACAGCAGCGAGAGCACGTATGGTGTGAAGAGTGCCTTGACAGCTTGATCTTTGAGCAAGACCCTTTCCACCTCGTCCATAACACAGTGGAACGTGAATTGTTCCCTTTTCTCTTTCCGGCATAAGAGCTCTACTATCCGCCATGCCTCCTCTTTGACTCGGTCTCCCTTCCACTTATCGTTGCTGGTGTAGCCGATGGTCCTTGATGAGGATTGCGGGTTGTCCCTGAAGAAGTACTTCCGCATTGGCGGCGAAGCGGCCCAGGCGTTTTTGAACATGTCGATCAAATCCAGCATCATCATATCTAGTAACATACGAGTCTCCAAAATCATGTCGCAGATCGACGTGGGTAGCTTTTTCTCGTGACGAATCTCGTTCGCATGCTTGATGGAAAGCTCGTGCCATTGGGAGAGCAGGCTCTGCACCTTGTCCCAATTCCAGAAAGAGACGTAGAGATCCGTGATCATGTTTCTCAAGACCCTGCTATAGATCACAGGACCGGTGGAGTGCCGATGCGGTTTCCCCGAACCGTCCAGGATAAGCTCTCCTCGATGCTCCCGCAGATCACGAACGGTCTCCGCGAAACAGGAAGGATCTTCTCTCAACTGCCAAATCTGATCGCAAAGCTGATTCCTGTGGGCAGTTGCAAGGGCACGAAGTCTGTCTAGGTTCAAGCTTGTCGGCAGACAATATGGCGCATCTCGTGCTATGTTGTTCAACAAGCTATAGGTTGGATGTTCTTCAAACAGCGGCGGGGGTTCTGGCTGCATGCCAATAGGAGTTCCTAGTGCAGGACTCTTCGGAAAGTCCGGCATGATTTGGAGACAGCATCGTATCAGGAACGGCCAAATCTTCAGCTGAGTGCGTAGAATCTGCATCCCGTGGTCAGGGTGAACGGTGAGACCATTGCGTTTCGACTCCGCAGCCCCCGACACATCGTCCCAGGCAATCAATTGGCCATATGTTTGAGGAGTCCTTCTCCCAACAAAAGCCATGGTGTGTTTCTCCCTAGCTGGGTTGAGCATCTTTGGCGGTATCTTGTACAGAGGTCCCCATTCGAGGTCAGAATACGCGAACATGTCCGGAGGATGGCGGGCTCGAGCGTTGAGAAAGATGAGTAGCGGTTTCGCTTCCGACAGGTCCTCCAGATTGATGAAGGGTATTTGCCAGCTTTCTGGCACCTTCTGGCGCTTTGCTAGTTTCGCAAATGTCGTCTCGAGATAGTCGCGGATGTCGGGGCGGTGTCCGGAGGGGATGTCAGACCATGCCTCGCGTAGCAACTCTTTCCTCTGGCCTCTGGATCTCTTCATCCACCGTTTGCGGATCTGAGCTTCGTACCCGCCAACGATGGCGTTCAACAGCCTCCAATCCTTGAAGAGTGTAGTTGCGAGGTTGTCGATAGATTCGGGGAGCCCTTCCACTGAAAATCCTGCGGGCATCGGTCGACCCTCCATTACCTTATGAGTCGATTCGAACAAATTGGGTTTCTTCGGAGGGCAAAAGTAGTTCGCTTGTTCCTCGTATGCTCGCGGATCTCCTAGTGGATCGGCCGACAATAAAGCTGAACGATACTGCCACGCTTTCTCTACGCACGCGGCCGCTTCTTCCTCGGACATAGCGCTGTACTTCGCCATGAAAGCGTCATATTTCTCTTTCGTCGTTAACTCCATGTTGGCCGATTGACACCTGTTAGATTTAGCAATAGCACCGACGAAGTGTGCGGAGTAGCTTACCGCCTTGCGGCTACAATGTGGGCGATTGCAGAGGAGTGTTGTAGAGAAGTAGAAAAATCTTCGATCGCGGGGCAATACGTTTTCGCAGAGTGAAAGGTCCGCAACTCAACTTTGTTGTCGACTAGTTGCCAAGGGACAGTATCCAAAACATGCCTCGAGGTGAAAAAAGGTGAAAACGATCTGTCGCGAATCTCGACCGTTCCTCACCATATCGGTATAAGTGCTGCAGTGGATGTCCTTACCGCACAGCCTGGTAGTCTGTCGGTCCCGCCACAGCATGGAGCATTTCCTCCGCGGACCTAGTGCTCGGATAAAGAAGCCACAATAGTAGAGTCACTCCTTTACTAAAGGTTGTTGAAGTAGCTCTTAGAGCCCTTCATCTACATTCCGCAATTCAAATCTGATTGCGTCGACAGTCTTCGCTCCCCCGACGACCTACCTAGGGCTCTGCTCTCTTACTTTTGTCGGACGCCGACGCTTGCGACTAAGTTGCGGTGAGAGGGTGAGAAAATGAAAGCGTCAATGATGCATTCGATCGGAAGAGCAAGACATGAAGCTGCATATACAAACCGAGGCTGACCAATGGGACATGCTGCCGTTGACCGCTGCGCTCTATTGATCCCTCACTCCGCAAGTGTCGACATCTGAGGTGCAGCGACAGCATAGCTCGCACAGCATGGGTCTAGCAATGGCCGAAAGAATCGCCAAGGCTCAGGTTTCACGATATCGCGGGGATGTTTCGATGTGAGGACGCCAGGGGCGGACGGCTTCCCCAGATCAGGCGCTCTGGAATGCGGAAGGCCGGATGTCGCAAGACTCCAGGGGCGCGGAGACGCTGTACCACGACAAAACTACCGACGGTGATGCCTGACAAATGTCTTCCACAGGTTCCTATTCGAGGCGCGAGTTGAATGACAACGGCGACGAGGGGCCTTGGCCCAAGCCTTTGCACGACATGACAGCCGAGGTCAGTCGCGGCAAATAATGGCGATGCGGCAAGCACACAAGCGCGTGCGACGTAGCATTCCCCGGGGCCGGGATTCTGGTCCATAAGACGGCGGCATTATGCGGAGAGGCTGCGTCGTTTATGTGCTGGGGACGTCCTTGCCCCAAGTATCTGTTACGTGAGGGCTGCCGGCATCGGGAGACATCCATTTTTGCTTCATCTTGCGAGACACAGACAAGGCGGCACTTTGGGGGCAGGGCGGAAGGAAGCCTGGCGTGTCACTTTCTCCCGGATATCTGCCGGTTTCCATGGGATTTGGCGCGGAAGACGGGCGGAAGGTGTGGCGCGGACAGGAGTCGCGGAAAGGCTTCCCAGAGGCGGCGAGCAGTCCAGGCACGGACGTCCTGCTACTGGCTTCTAGAAGGTCGCGCAGGAAGATCAATGCCGAGAAGGAGCTGGGCGGGATATGTAATAAGGAGCAGGGCCCGTCCGTGTACAAAATGGCTCGTACATGGGGTTGCATTTGGGCGAATTGCGGCTGCTCACGGGCCTCGGTCGGGCGTCGAGAGAGAGGCTCTCGCGGGCTCTGGCGGCGCAAAAGGAGGTGGGCGCATCGTGCATCGCGGCGCGCTGTGGTTGCTGTGGGTGCGTCTGATGAGACGTCTCGTCTCCAGGCGTGATGGTGCAGCGGCGCACCAACGAGGCTTGCGGCAAGGGGGTGGGGCGGTGGATGTGCTTCCACCTTCCCCGGCCGCAACCACGCGTCCGGAACACGCTCAGCAGCGCTCGCGTGGGGAAGCTGCATAAGGCGGTCAGTCACCGCACACCTCACTCGACGACGCCGGACGGCATCGCGCGCGCGTTGCCCTGCTTGTCAGACGAGCACGGCGCCGCGGCTCCCACGTCAGAACGCAGCATGGTGAGCTGCCTGCCGCGGACGGGGAAGGGATGGAAGACGAGCCCGCGCCGTTGCTTCTTCTCCCGTCTGCTGCGTCCACTATCGTGCTCGACATGGAGGAGGCGTGGGCGAATAACAGCCGGCTCTGGCTTGTTTGCCGCACCCCGGCCTCGCATGTGGGCAGCGCAGACGGGCTGCAGGCTGGCTTGTTGATGGGAGCAGCGAAATGCCCGACCGCCGGCGTGGGAGCTGGCCGTGGGGTGGTCGACGCTTCTGCCGCTTTGGGAAAGCGTGCTCGCTCCGCTTCATGTGCAACGGACGGGGAAGCAGGAAAGCAAGGAGCGCGTTTGCCCGCCGCTGGGCCGCCGTCGCTCCGGCGGCTGTCGTTGATGCGCCGCCTTTCTTTTTCTCGAAGCCCCTCTTGTCGCCCATTCCGTGCGAGTCAGTCAGGGATGCAGGCGCTGTATAGCTGCTGCCCGTCTATAAAGAATGCAACCCCCCAGCCGCCGTCCTCCCTCATACCGCACCCCAAGCACCAAGTACCAAGTACCCAGCACCCCAGACACGCCTCCCTCTTAGTCCTCCTATTATCGTCTCGTGCGTACCCCCGCAGAGCCTACTCGTCAGCCCTCTCGGACGTACCATTCTCCCTCTCACGCCCTCGCCTCCAACTCGCCGGATAATTCGCCCAGGTACCATCCAACCACACCGGCAGCGTGCAGCCCTCGTCGACACCGGCAGCAGCCTAGAAAAAGTAAGTAAGCCTCAACTGCAGCCCGCTCCCTAATCGCAGCGCGCATCCGGGGCTCCGTCATTTGCTTGGTTCCCCGTCCCGGCAGCCAGACGTGCCAGCGCATCCACATCAGCCCTGCGCACCACCGTATATTAAATCTGACTCACTCATTCCCAGGCTCTGAGCGCATCGCATATCAGCCCTTCCCGCACGCCAGCCTCGGAACGAGCGTGGAATCAGCCATTCCAATTTTGCCAGCGAATTTATTAGTTGTCCGAGACAGCTCATAATACCTGCGCCCGTCCCGACTCGTCTCTCACCAACCATCGCATACGAGCCGAGGACACGCAACTCTCTTACCGTCGTACCGGTTGCTAAATATTTAGCCTCCGTGCCCCCAAGTCCACCCCAGCTTTTGCCCCAGAGTTTCCTGAAAATCTTGCCCGGCTCTGCGGCGTTTACCTTTCATCTCTCCGCGCAGTCCATATAAAGTCTGCCTCGCTACAAACACCCCTTCAGCACACCACCAGTCTCCCCAAAATCCTCTCCGCGGCTCCTTCAGTCCTAAAGACATCCACCATTTCCACTACTTCGGACCAGTCCACCATATCCACGACCACCAAGATGCCTCTTCACCAGTCTGCCGCCAACCCGCGCCAGCGCCTCTCCATCCTCACCAACTCCACCCTCGGCCACGACGTCAGCGCCGCCTTCAAAGCCTCCAGCACCATCTCCTCTCGCTCAAGTCAAGAGTTCGGCGAGACCCCCGCGCCACCACCATCTCCCGTCGACTTCTCCTTCCCGTCGACGCCCGCCGAGCAGAGAAGTCCTGATGGAAGCGAATCCAACTAAGTCAATCATCTAGTCTCCGCCAGCAGACGGAGCCCAGTGCGAGATTTGCTTTTCATCATGATTGTCTGCATTTAGCGAGCGGGCGGGTAGCACTCACGGCCACGGCCACGGTCTGGAGCACGGCATGGAACGGGATCGGGAATACATCAGAGGGGTCGCTTTTCGCAAAGCAGAGGAGTTTTTTCGACCTTGACTTTACGTCTTCCTCTTTCTCTTTGGATTCGCGCGTTGATCGCTGCATTTGCTTTTTCGACTTGGCTGCTAGATTCCCCTTCGTGTTCATCGTTGTATCTTTTTTTTCTTGGTTCGGGATAGACTTGGATTTCTCGCTCATACTAGCACGCTTGTGCCGCATTTGATTCCCCCCAAACATTTCCTTACCTTCTGTTTACCGCTCGATCCGCCCTAGTCACAGTAGTATCTGGTAATAACAACGTCATTGAACCTCCACGCTCCCAGTCTGTCGCTGTGCGCTCATGATTCGTCTGCTCTGCACTTTTCCTCCCCACGTCCTTCCTCCTATCACACGCGGGACGGAAGCCACGCATACGACTGCCAACTCATACAACCCTCCATCCCACTCTATCTCCGTTCTGCTTCGTCCACGGACATAAGCGCTGTCTGCCATAAGCTTATCCTCCTCTTCCTCCTCGTACAACCCGAGCCTACATACCGAACTCCCGTCCACGCCGCAATCCTGCATCCTGCACCTTTCGCACCACCAGCACCTCACCGCCACTCCTCTTCAAACCGATCAGCGCATAGTAATCCCTCGGCTTCGGATCCCGCATCGCATCGCGTCGCGCCGCTCCGCTCCCGCTCACGCCTCGTACGCGCAGGAAACGGTGAGCATCAATCACAGTACATCGTAAGCAATGCTATTACATACCCAGCGCCGCACCGCCTTCTCGATGCAGCGACGCCGCGCCCTTCAATATCGGCGCGCGCACGTAACTTCGCTTGGCAGGTTGGTGTGGTGTATAGTGCATGCGTTATTGCAGCCGTTGGCGCTGGGGGGATCTTAGAAGCCGGGTGTTAAGGAGGGTTGGGCTGGATGGGATGGTAAGTGCGAGACGTGCATGCGGCAGCATGCACGGAAGCATTGGCATGGAACACGTATGGAAGGTTCCTGGGCATGGCATGGCTGAATACGAACGAATGCGGAAGCGATGTATTTTTACCCTACCCACTTGTGTACATCCCTAGGTAGATGGATTGGGTTGGTGGAGTATTAGCAGATCCTGGTAGCCGGGCGGATAATAACACGTGGGTCAGCCTGCCCCAGCCAGCCTATTCAAACTCAAATCTCCGGAACCCTTTCAAACTTTCTCCAACGCCCAACCAACATCCAACATCCAACAGCACAGCACAGTATCATGAAGCGACTCGAGTCGTTGAACCGCGTGCGTCAAACTTTGTCTTGTCGGGTGCCGCACCAGCACCACCAGCAAGCACCACCCGATCCGATCCGATCAGCGTTTCGCCCTTCCTGTTCCTGAAGCGTCTCGTCTCAAAGCCAACCGTGCCAACAAGTGCAGCGTTGATCCCGATCCCCCAAACCAGCGCTCGCGTGGAAGCCGCGCCATTCGACCCGGCGGCCCCGTTGAGCCGCTTGCGGGGTGCATGTCCGTCACATCACATGAAAACAGAGAAAACTTAATCCCTTAGTATGTAGTAATGCCATTGAGAGGTTTCCCTGGGTTGGCTGTGATTCATGCGGTCGATGCGGGCGCTCGCCTTGTAGGGCTTGTGCGACCGTTGGAGCGTTGCAAGGATGCTTGCTTGCTTGCTTGAAAGCAGGGTCGGAACAGCGTCCCCTTTCTGCTGATAAACTTTTCGGGTATATCGCGGCCCTGTTATTAATGGCATGAGGTACCTAGGTACTTCGAACATGTCATGTCACTAGCTGCAGAGGTAAAACGCAAAGTACCATTTCCCGGCGCACGGTACAGGCCCACCACAGTACAGACGAGACACCAACGTTCCTCAGATGCTGATGCTGACGCCGAGTGGTGGCGCGGTGCTCTTGCGATCCAATCCTTCCCATACATCCAACCCGTACACTCTCTCTTACCGCCTGCTTGATTCGCTCGTCGTCGTCTTTGACTACCTTCTACTGGACTGGGCTGAATGAAACTCTCTCCGCAACCTCCTTCTCCTTTGGAACACGGAGACTGTACCGTACCGTGTACATAGGCGTAGTAGTACCCACCCGATACCTAACCTAAGCAAGCCTCTCAGCAATCCATCTGCGATAGGCTAGATCCTAGCCCCGAGTCCGAGTACGTACTCCGCACACAGTACACAGTACGGAGAGGTATGTACCCACACACAACGCGCCAGGTACTCCTTCGATTGCGTGTTACGGGACGGGGTTGGGAGAGAAAAATGTCTCGCAGCTTGTTAGATGGGATGGTTAGATGCCGGGCGGGAAAATCCCTTCTTAACAGCGGTGCTATAGCTCGGGGCTTGGAAGTTTGGTTAAATGTCTGGCACACACAGACACACACGCAGACGGACAGGCTTCCCCGGTTTTTCTGCTCGGCTGAAAAGAACTTTGGGTCAGGCTGCTGCGCGATGACCCTTTCAGTATTGGAAGAAAGGTCGAAATAAAGTTCGGTGAAGCTAAGTCAAGGCGCTTTCAATTTTGGACGACGGCATCGCTAGCGACGCGCTGCGCTGCAATGCAATGCACGATAAGAGTTAAACGGTCCACCAACGCGCACATTTCTAATATACATCCCGCGGCCAAGAGAACGAGAGAGAAGCTGCCATACGCCGTCTATTTTTGGTTACATATTGTACATGCGATGCCATAACAAGATGCTAGTGTTGTACATGGGGAAAATCCGGGTATCTACGAAGTGTTGGTGCTTGGTGCTGTTTCCGTGGGCGGCTCGTCGATGCTTGACGGCGCGGGTTGGGGTGCGGATGTGGGAGTGGAAGGTGGCGTAGGTTGTAGTCGCAGTGCGTGATGGCTCGTTTTCTGTGGTAGACCGAGCGGCCTGCGACTGACCGTTGGTTTGGCGGGAGCATCGTGCGATGACTCCAGGGAAATATAGTATCGCAGGCTGGGGTCAGTGTGGGTACCACTTGTAGGAATTGCAGACTCGGCTAGGGGTTCCTGGGGTCCCTCCTCGGAAGACGATGCCTTCGATGTGGCCGCGGTCCCGCTATTATCGGTAGGCCGATACTTGTTCGGTGGGTGTGCAATCGGGCGCTCTGAAAGAACTCTGCGGAAGACAGCAGGATCGTCGGAATCGGGAGCACGCAGGGACTTGATCATTCTCCGCAGTTGATCAACTGGCGGTCTAGGCATCTGGTTCCCACTTCGGCGAACGAGCACCGATTCATCACGAACGCCGTTCAACGGCTTTCCATGCTTGATGCTGTGGGCTACCTTGAGAGCGCGTGCTTTCTCGAAAGATGTAGCTTCGTTCATCAATTCCGCAATCGATACCCAGTTGAGGAATCGCAATTTGTCAAACGGAATCCCTGTGGGGCTTAGAGCCGACGAGACTGGAGGCCCTTCCGGTAGCGACGGTAGGGGCGGCTGATGAGGGTCGACAGTGAGCTCATCATATACGGCACGTAGCGTGTTGAGCGGGGCAAGTGGCTGTCTTTCCGGATCGAGAAACATATAGAACGGCGACTTCCGTAGATCCAAAGGCTGTCCGGACATGACCACCGCCGCAATGTTCTTAGTTTGACGCTTTAGCTTATCGATCTCGGTACCAAAATCTACTGGTGTCATTAATGCATATTTGTCGTCCTTCGGCCGAGATTCTTGCTGATCCAGTAGGGTGAGTAACCCCTCTCGAAGAGAGCCGGAGACAGTATGCTCGAATTGTAGAAGTTGCTCGGTGAAGAAATCGGCGTGATTAGCGCGCCTGGATGCCTTCACGAACGTAACCCAGTCCTCGTACGGAATCTGTTTGCCTTCGGTTTCGGCAATTGAGGTGATCTGGGACCAACAATCCTCGATCAAGTCCTTATTCTTTAATAGTCCAGCAGAAGTGAGAACTGTCCTCCTCCCTATTTCTCCAATATCCAACCGGGCTGTCTTGACGTCTTGCAGGGAGACGTTGAGTAGATCAGGGACGCGTAATTTCCCGGCGAGGTGGATGAGGGATGTGAACAGATTCGAATGAGGGGGCATGCCAGCTTGGATAAGCGTCGACATGATCTCGTGCGCAGTAGTGATAATGACGTTTCGAAGCTCCGCCTCTTGTCCGTCATAGTCCGCCCCAGGGCCGATTTCGGGGAGTAGGGTGTCGAAAGCAGTTAGGAAAGCGCCTACGTGAACGCCTTCTAGCGTGCCTCCGGCTTCGAGATACGCATAAATAGCATTCGCAATGGCACGAAGGATCAGTATGCGGTCTTGCAGAGATGACGACGATGCCATTGCGGCGCGAAGCTTCTTTATAAGGGATGTCAGGTGGCTGGGCTTGAAGGCAACTCCTGTGCGACAGGCGACTAAGTAGACTGTATATGCCTCAGGCAAGGGCCTTTCGATGATGAACAGTTCAAAGAAGCGGGGAGGAAGGCGCGTGGGGAAGATGCGCAGCGCCGTGTCGAGAGCCAGATATGCGTTTTTCCAGTCGCGGCATAGGATGCGGGCAGTTAAGATGCCTTGTAGTAGGAGTATCGGAAGGCGTATATCCGGGAATGGCTGACTGCGGTCTGGTACAATGGCGTCCGGCGAAAGATGGTACTCTGCAAAGGTGCTCGGGAAGCGCTTGAGTCCGTCGAGGTATATATTCTCGAGATCTGGAAGATTGTGTATTCCTCCATAAGCCATCAGCTCAATGGCGGCCCCATAAACAGCCTGGTTCACGAAGTTCTCATCTTTCTCAACGAGCCACTGCCAGAAGGCATAGCCTTCGCCGTACTTCTTGCACTCTTTGTATATCCCCAGGATATGAACATGCGCGTATGGGTGAGGCGGCAACACGCCATTCTGGATATGTTGGGCCAGCTGCTGAACGAAGGGAAGTGCATCGGACATGGTAGTGTCGGAGAGGTGGATGTTGCGGACGTGGGCGTGTAATGCCTGGGCAATGCGCCGGGTGTCGTTGGGCTCAAGCAACCCTGAAGCAGCTACAGTTGGATATAGATCCATCAGAGCCCTGGCATTCCTGGCAACGCATACATGCCGGAAGCGCTGTAGCAATGGCGCAGACTGACGCTGTGAGCGCGATTCACATGCGACAATTACAAGACTTACTTCATTTGCTCGGGAGAGCCTCTTAATCCTCCAAGTATCAGGTTGGGACGGGGCTGACGAGCTTGCCTTGCCCTTAGCCTTGGCTTTTCCCTTTCCGCTTGACTTTGTCGCATATGTCGGCCGTTGAAGGCCTGGAGACGCAGTGGAGCATCGTGCCGAGAGGGTAGCGAGAGGAGTCGAGACGCGGAGCAGGCGGGGAGCGAGAAAGGGCGCCGAAGGACAGATTAAAGAGGCAAGCGGCATGCGAGAGAGCATGGGCATTTCCGGACCGGAATGGCGGACGAGAGTCGAGATGGCGCATCTGATGGTGTTGCAACTTTTCGGGCGCGCCAAGCAGCGACGCGATTGGCAGATGCTCCGCTAGGCGAGCGCGGAGGAGACAGCTTTCAATTCCCCATCCCCACCACCAGCACCCCCACCAGCAGCTGGATACGCACTGGACCACCTCTCCCCCGCTTTTGCTACTGCCGGCCCCCCCCCTCCCACGATGTCGCGAGCGCTGTCCCTCTTCAGCGTCTCCGCAATCCTCATCCTCGCGATTGACGATGGCTCTCGAATCCTCACCAAGTATTACTCGAATCCGCACCCACCGTCCGGGAACCAGACCGACTGGCCTGGGCAGATAGCATACAAGACGGTCAAGGATCAAAAGGCGTTCGAGAAGGGCCTACTAGGTGTGTACTGGACCTTGGGAGGATAGGCGAATACAAGGTCTAACCGGGTGCACAGAGAAGACGGCGAAGCAGACGACGGACATTATCCTATATGACGGGAAGGTGATTGTCTTCAAGATGGAGTCGGACGTGATGCTCTACGTGGTGGGCGGGCCGGAGGAGAACGAGGTTCTTCTGTACAGGTGCGCGGCGTGCTTGGACCTAGTTCGTAATGCTTTAAGCGCGCACTAACTGGTGTTGTAGCGTTGTCCTGGCGCTGCGGGACTCCCTGAACATCCTTCTCAAGTAAGCCATGCCCCATGCCTGGAGGTGCTAGAGTTGGAGCTAATAGCTGCAGGAATTCCGTCGACAAGCGAACCGTCATCGAGAACTACGATTTAGTGGTATGTGGGGCGCCGATTGAGCATTTTATCTGCTGACTTCTCAGTCTCTCGCTGTCGACGAACTGGTGGACGACGGCATCATCTTAGAAACCGATCCCGTTGTCGTGGCCTCTCGCGTGAGCAGGCCTCCTGCCCAAGACATGACGTCTATGAAGAATATCGACCTTTCAGAACAAGGCTTTCTGAATGCATGGGAATTTGGCAAGAGGCAACTAGCGGAAAGGATACGTCAAGGTCTATAGAATCATCCAACAGTACTCGGCGGCCTGGCGTTGGGGGAGTTTGGGCTCAACGGCATAGCGATGGTCATGACCCTCAGGGCTGCACCATAGACTGGGAAGGAAGAACAATACTTCTCGATAATCTACTAGCGTGACTTCAAAGTACGCGCGGGCGATTCACACATAAAATTCACTTGCATACCTAGGCAGTCTGTTTGCGCTCAGCCTCATTACATAATCGTCCGGAGTAAATATCCCTGTGCTAAATTTCAGCCCTACGCGCCACCTCGCTCCGCATCCGACCCTTCGTCATTGCCCATCCCACCACCCCACTACACTTGCTTGCTCTGCACACAGCACCATGAAGCAGGGCTTCTCATCCCTGGATGTCAAGGTTAGCAATATCATACATTCGGGGGAAATTCCCTAACTTTCTCTAGGTTATTGCGCACGAGTTGTCTAAGACACTGGTCCCGCTGCGAGTCACAAACATTTACGACCTCTCTTCGGTATGCTCGCAGCTTCGCACGAGCGAAAAGAAGTGTCATTTGCTAATCATGGTAGCGAATATTCCTGTTCAAGTTCCACAAGCCCGACCATCGTGAGCAGTTCATCATCGAGTCCGGATTCCGCTGCCACCTCACGTCCTACTCCCGCACGACCGCATCCGCCCCGTCAGGCTTCGTAGCTCGGCTGCGCAAATTTCTGAAGACGAGGAGGGTAACTTCGATATCACAGGTCGGCACCGATCGTATACTTGAACTGCAGTTCTCCGATGGGCTGTATAGACTATTCTTGGAGTTCTATGCTGGTGGCAACATCGTACTCACCGATGGGGAGCTGAACGTCTTGGCTCTGTTGCGCAATGTGGAGGAGGGCGCTGAGCACGAGAAGCTTAGAGTCGGACTACAGTACAATCTCTCATTGCGGCAGAATTACGAGGGAATTCCTGAGCTCACAAAGCAGCGTGTCCGCGATGGATTACAAAAGGCAGTCGAGCGTCAGCAACAACAGCCCGCAACAACTGGGAAGAAAGCCAAGAAACAAACAAAGAACGTATTGCGGAAAGCACTGGCCGTATCTATAACCGAATGTCCCCCATTGCTAGTGGACCACGCTTTGCATGTCTCCAAATTCGACTCTACACTGAAGCCGGAGCAAGTTCTAGCGGACGAGGGGCTGTTGGACATGCTTCTGGAGGCTCTGCAGCTAGCTCGGAAGATATCAGAGGAAATCACGACGCCGGATAAGATCAAGGGATACATATTAGCAAAACCGAACCCGGCGGCGCCAAAAGAAGAAGCGGAAAGCTCTGACAAGTCCAAGCTACTATACGACGACTTCCACCCCTTCCGGCCTCAGCAATTTGAGGACTCAGACTATACTTTCTTCGAATTTGAGGGATTCAACAAGACCGTGGATGAGTTCTTCTCCTCCATTGAGGGCCAGAAGCTTGAATCGAGGTTGCATGAGCGCGAGCTGGTGGCGAAGAAGAAACTGGACCATGCACGGAAAGAGCACGAAAACCGTATCGGAGGGCTACAGCAAGTGCAGGAGCTGAACTTTCGAAAAGCCGAAGCCATCCTGGCTAACGTGCACCGGGTCCAAGAAGCTATTGCTGCTGTGAATGGGCTTATCGGGCAGGGTATGGATTGGGGTGAAATCGCGCGATTGATCGAACGAGAGCAGAGCCAGGGAAATCCGGTCGCGCAGCTTATTAAGCTTCCTTTGAAGTTGTATGAAAATACAATTACGCTCCTGCTAGATGACTCCAACTGGGATCAAGCAGAGCAGGATGAGGACGAAGGATGCGAGACCAGCTCCGTTAGCGAGGATACGGACGCCGAGGATGAGGATGGGGGCTCGAAGAAGAAGAAGAAAGCCCCTGCCCCTCAGTCAGTTGCTCAACCCAAATTAGCGATCGATATTGACCTGGGCCTGTCAGTTTGGCAGAACTCGGGCGAATATTTCGACCAGAAGAAAACCGCTGCAGGGAAAGAAGAGCGCACTATCCAGGCATCAGAGAAAGCGCTGAGGAGTCACGAGCGAAAGGTAGCTGAGGACTTGAAAAAAGGCTTGAAGCAAGAGAAGGAAGTGCTGCGCCCAGTGCGGAAGCAGCAGTGGTTCGAGAAGTTCATCTACTTCATCTCGTCGGACGGATATCTTGTGCTTGGAGGGAAGGATGCCCAGCAAAACGAGATCATCTACCGAAGATTTCTGCGCAAAGGCGACGTCTATGTACACGCGGATCTCAAGAGTGCGGTGCCCATGGTCATCAAGAACAATCCCAACACACCCGACGCTCCTATACCACCATCGACACTATCGCAAGCCGGAAACCTATCCGTCTGCACTTCTGAAGCCTGGGATTCGAAGGCAGTTATGTCCGCCTGGTGGGTCCATGCTGACCAAGTCAGCAAGATGGGTCACACCGGGGAATACCTGGCCCCAGGTCTTTTCAATATTAAAGGCAAGAAAGAGTTCCTCCCGCCCGCTCAACTCATTGTTGGGTTAGCTGCCATGTTTGAAATCAGCGAAGAGAGCAAGGCTCGCCATCGAAAGCATCGCATCACCGAACCTGCCATTCCGGCCGCCGAGGAGCCTTTGCTAGATCCTGTGCGAGAAGAGAAAGCTGCGGATGTCGACAAAGGCGCAGATAGCGATAGTGATGAGGACTTCCCAGATGCGAAGATTGCGTCTGAGTCGGAAGACGAGTTTCCGGATGCGAAGCTGAGATCAGAGGACAGTGACGCTGAGTCTGATGCTGAAGAGCACACCAACCCACTGCAAATGAGAAATGGTAGCAGCATTGGTGATTCCGATTCAGAAGACGAGATACCGCCAGCGCGCCCCCATCCACAGGACGTCACTCCCAAAATGAAGAGTTTAGACCCCTCAAATGAGGCCTATGAGGAAGACACTGGATCAGTCGCAGACTCTGAGCAGACGCAAAAGACGAGCCGGCGTCATTTATCAGCAAAAGAACGAAAACTGCTCAAGAAAGGGCAGCTGCCAGGAAACACGCCAACTCGTTCCGATGCAGTTTCGGTTGCAGATGCCTCAGCAGAGGACGAGTCCGTTTCAGCCGAGGTCAATGGACGAAAGCCGGCCACGAAGGGACCCGGCACAACCACATCACAAGCTTCCAGGGCGGGACCTATGCCCCGAGGCAAACGTGGGAAGGCAAAGAAGGCCGCCGCCAAGTATGCGGACCAAGACGAAGAAGATCGAGCATTGGCATTGCGTCTGATGGGAGCTACATCCGGACCGTCCGCAGCGGAGTCTGCGGCGCAAGAGAAGAGGACGAAAGAGGAGGAAGCTCTTGCGAACAAACAGCGCCGGCGCGAGCAACATATGAGAGCTCAAGCAGCAGGCAAGGCCGCCGAAGAAGCACGTCGCGCGGCTCATGAAGGAAACGCCCAGGAAAACGACGACGAAGACGAAGAATCTTTCAAAGCGCAGCTCCTCAACCTCGATGCTTTCACAGGCCGACCTCTACCCGGCGATGAGATCCTGTCCGCTATTCCAGTCTGCGCTCCCTGGTCGGCTCTCGCGACTTTCAAGTATAAGGCGAAGATCCAGCCCGGTGCCGTCAAGCGTGGGAAAGCCGTCAAAGAGGTTCTAACGAAATGGGACCACGCTGGCAAGGATCCACGAGCGACAGATAAACATAGTCAAGATGTGGAGCGCGTCTGGCCGAGAGAGATTGAGTTGATCCGTAGTTGGAAAGAGGCGGAGGTCGTGGGCGTGGTGCCAGTAAGCAAGGTCAGGGTTGTGATGCTTGGTGGACGGGATGGTGGTGGCGGGGGCGGTGGTGCCAAGGGAAAGAGCAAATCCGCACGAGGTGGAAGAGGATCGAAGAAACGATAATAGGGGACTGGGTTGAACGCCTCGGTAGACGGGCAAAGCATTGACCGTGCGGCAATTTCCGTCCAGCCACCAGCCTCACGTCAATGTTCAGCTCCGTCACTGCTCTTCAGCCTGCCGTTCCGAAATTGTACTCACCTGCAGGTGACTCGCTAATCCAGACCATTCATTCGTGCACCCATTTAAGCCTGCCTGGGCAGGCTTTATTCTGACGACAAGGCTGACTTCCAGTATGTACATTTGCAGGCTGAAGTTCATTACGCTGGCTCTTCAGTTGCTTCCCACCGATTTCCACTACTCTCTACATTCAGATTCGAGCGGTTGCTATTGACATACGTTCTAATTCCGCCTACCACTCATGGAGTCGTTCACCTTCGCTTCCAATTTTACGACTCCGACTTATCCTCAGCCTTGGGCGGAGATCACAGAAGCGCCGGGGATGCTAGTGTGGACCTCGACTTTCGGCGTGTGTAAGCTTTCTAGATACGTTGCATAGAAACTTGCTGATCCACGGCTTCAGACCCACCATTAAATTGCCTCTCCGGAAGGTGGTATAGCGTCTCTAGCTATGCTCGCTGTGATACAGAACTTCAAGACGACGCTGTGCAAGACCCGTATCGCGACAGCGGCGTGATGGCGAATGACCAGTTCCGTATGACATGGTCAGTCATTCCAGGCCTTTGCTGGTGCCTTTAGCAGGCCTTGTTAACGGTGTCATACCCAGCACCGCATCCGGCAGCGAGTCACTCTGCCTGGTGGGTGCCATATATAACAGTACGGGAGAGCGCGCTCCAAAGCACCATACCGGTTACTGGCCCTCATGGACCGGTCGTAATTGGGAGGCTACACAAACGGCACGGTCCCAAAAGAGAAATGATACTTCGAATGTGCTGAATGGTGGCTCTCTCGCGGGAATTATCATCGGAGTTATTTTCAGCTTTTGCGGACTCATCTTTGGTATCTTTCTGTCTGTCTGGCTCACTCTCCGACGGATGGCAGCGCATGCAGAGCGGATGTCATCTACACTTCGCAGTGTACATGTTGAGTGCGGTCACGATGCGAATCCCTTGGATACGCCTGCAGAAGCTCCCGGCACCAAGAGTGGGAGGGCCTGCGGTATGGAGAACAGAGGCAGGGTTTCAGCTCCGGCGAGGAATGAACCGGACGGCGTGAGAGAACCAGTGCGAGCCACGAGTGATCTGGTACGAGGGCAGGAGCGTGCGATGTGTCTGGAGAACGTGTCCGCAGCCGCGGCGCTCGATCGAAGGGTTGTCTAAGTCGATTTCCACGTGTTCTGTTTCTGCCTAGATGGGGGAATTGCAGAACAGAGTACGAACGTTTAACCCAATTCCATGTGGCCTTGTTTTTGGGTCTCTATGAAAAGGAAGAGCTTGACGCATGAGTAGCACGTCACTGGACGCCTTGTTAGGCCAGCCGTCCTCGGTCTGAGCCTCCAGCTTCTAGGCAGCCTGCAACCTTTAGATTCTTTGATCCAGCTACAGTACAAGGCTGGCGGGCTGCGTACGCCTACCCGCTTTGAGAGCCCGGAAGAGATCCCGATAACGTTGATTCAGCGTGACTGTGGGCACGCGACAGCGACATAACAGGACTACTGTGGCTGATAAGACGAGAAGAGGGGTGCTTGCATGGAGGCTGGGGCAGTGCTGGTGATGATGTAGGAGATGGTACGTTTTAACATGCCCATTCCTTGATGTTTGAACTGCACGTGAACCGGGTTAACCGCCTTGACCACTAAGACAGTGTCTGGGCGCGAGGGAGGCTATCGAAATTCATCACCTCTACTGCATATATGCCGCTCCCGCACAGCCCCGCTGCATGCAAGCCTCACCAATCCTTCGCGCCCACATCTGACGACTGAACCCCGCAAGTTTCAACGCTCCGCAAATCAGGCTCACCCGATCGGCAACGGCCCGGATTCAGGCAAACGGGCGTGCTCTTCGCCTGCATTTTCGGTCCACAACTGGTACGGCCGAGATTACCTGGAGTGAGGCGGAGCCGAGAACTCCAACTTTGTGAGTATGTGGAAGGCAGCGATGTAGGCTAACTGATCTACTTTATCCATGTTTCATACCTTACCGAGCGCTCTAAAGAGCGCACGCCATTCGGTAGGTTCCATGCCGGGGGTGAGCGTTGCATGAGAGGTGTCAGGCAGTCGTTCGGAGAGGCTGAGGGGTTTTTGGTATATATTCTGCTATGACCAGCCGTTTTGTGGGTCCTTTCTTATCCTCTCCCGACTATTTCTAGTGCTAGTAGTCATGAAGTTGAGGTCTTTCTTCCTTTTCTATAGCTTTTGGGGAGCTATGACAGTGTCGCGGGCTTTTCCTACCTTAACGACGTCGGATACCTCGGTGCAACCTACGACCACGAACCTGCAACCATGCTCCACGGGACCAGTAACCCCTGGAGCTTCGTCGACGCTCGAAACTGTGTATACCAGCCATGCTCGCCTCGAGCTGAGGGCTGAGACCACGGTGCCACCAGCAGGACCTACCATGATAGGCTGGACCTCGACATTCGGGGTGTACTCGCCCTGGAATTGTCTTACTGGAACATGGTTCCCTGTCTCTGGTAAATATCTTCTCCCATCGTTCTATCTGCGTTTGTTGACTCCCACTAGGGTATGGGAGATGCTGCCCAACGACTGGAGGTGACTGCAACATGTACACCACTTGTCTCGATGGCAGTATCCTCGCGAACGACCAGTTTCGCTCCACGTGCTCTGGCTCTAGCAGCCAGACCGTCTGCGTTACTGGAACCGTGTACGAATCAATTGGGGATAGCGACCCCAAGTACTACGTCGGTTGCTGTAAGCTAAGCTATTGCTACGGACAATGATCATCTGCTAATCGTTATTCAGGGCCTAGTTGGACGGGAGATAACTGGAAGGCCACTAGGACGGTCTCTCCGGAGCCTACCGACTCGCCTGATGATGACGACGGACCGGGGCTAAGCGGCGGCTCGATTGCGGCGATCGTTGTTGGCGCCGTCTTCGGGTTCTGCGTCGCAGTCGGACTCGGAGTCTTGGCTGCTCGATGGTACGGCCGCCGAGGAGCACGAGCACGAGCCCCAGAACCAGATGCTCAAAACGATCAGGATGCACCAGAACTAGCCCCAGACCGGCCTCCCTCGGGCCCGCGTCAGCCTCCGGCCGCATTTCAGATCCCACCGCGTACGCGTTCGGTCGCGAACGGGCTCATGCTCCAGCCACAGCGAACCCTGTCGGTAGAGAACGGCCTCATGGTAAAATCTGAGGCGGTATCTATTCGGCATTACTCCGTGGGATCTAGTAGCAATACATCTGCGCCGGTTTCGAGGGAGGCAACTCTGCAGGATTCGGTAGGGTCGTCAGAAAGACCCTCGGAACTCAGAGCGGACCATGACGCTCATGAGCTGGAAGTCCTTGGTGGAGGTGTGTGCGAGAGCCCTCAGGCAGCTAGAATGGATGGGTCGAGGGCACTGCCCGCGGCTTCTCAGGAGGAATTGGTTTGGTTAGGTAGTGTAGGTGAGTCGCGTAATTGATGAGAGGGTGTGAAGACGTGAAGACGGATCGAGATGCCGAGAGCGCCAATGGATAGGGCCCAAAGCGACAGCACTCCTTCGCATCGAGTTTTTTCTGCATTGTTGAAGTGCCGCGAAGTGGTCATTCCCGAATGATACTGATTCCTCTTGCTCCTTTTGCGTGACTATTGTCTTTCCTTCGAAGGACCGCGAGCAGGGCGACGAGTTTGCATTTCCTGTTACTCATTGATTCAGTGGGATACCCTTATGCAAGACTCACTCTTGAGATCTTCAACAAGCAGTGACGGTGTACGTATGTACCTAGGTACTCCTTCGGACGTCACCATGCTCATCCGTGGATCCTTAGAAACTGAGATCCACCTAATCTAGCCTTTTCGGGAATAGCGAAATTCGATCTTCATCCAAAAAGTGCAATTGCCGAACATACAGCGCTTCGATTCTGAGACCGACATACCCCTTTATGGCTGCAATCCAGCGGTCCAGCTCATGGTCCGATGCACGAATCTCGTAGTGCAAGTCTCACATTCCATTGGACTCAGCTTAACATTCGCAGTTCAGCCACATACTTCCGGTATCCCCCGAGATCCGTTGATGATATTCTCGATTCCTACAAGCTCCGCCCCATCCTAGAGTGTGGTGCACTTGAGAAAATATACTTAGATGGCATCGACTCGAAAATATCCTATAGCGGAAGCGACCTTTTGGGGCCCTTGAAGCAGCTACTGTGGCTCACCACCCGATGCACGGCCCCACCGCATGCACGATTTCGGATGCCTACACCCGAGAACTTTTGAGGCTCTACAACCACATATATACTATAAAATCACAAGATTTTCTAGTGTAGCAATTAGAGAAGCTGCCTAAAGGCGCCTATGAGGTTTTTTATGTACGGAAGCGTTTTAGGAGCTCTATTTTGCGGGTGCGGCGTGATCTGGCTGGTGTGGGGGCCACATCTACGATCGATGAGAAATCTACATCAACATCCTCCTCATTAATAGAGAACTTAGGAGAAGGTGTAGGAGCCCTCTATTTACCTCTTTTAGAGGTCTTAACGTTGTTTTTAAGTTGTTTATTTGCCTTACGTGCGATCCGCGCTTCCTCTTTTTTAGCAGCCTTTTTCCGCTGCTCCTGCAGGCGGATTTCCTTTGCCTGTGCCCTTATTTGCTTCCTCTCCTCTAATTAACGTGCCTTCTCAGCCTTCTTAGCTTTCTTAAGCTTAGTTGCCTTATTCTTTTAGTGTTGTAAAAGCTTCTTATTAGCCTTCTTCTAGTCCTGCTAGTTACGTGCCTCCTGTACTTTGTTTAGTAACTAGAACACTACACTACTATAATATTCTTAAGGTGTTTTAAGTAGTAGAGGCTTGCTACGCTGCTAGCGCTTCTTCTTATTAATTAGAGCTTCTTTAAGTTGCTCGTTTTTATATTATAGAAGAGTCTTCTGTACTAAGATTACGTAGATTATATAACTAAGCTTCTAGAAGCGTTTATTATAGATATTCTCTACTATCTACCTAAGCAGTCGCTTAATTTTTCTCTAGTTAGAAGCGCTAAGTACTAACGTAGCTAAGTTACTAGAAGATAGCTAATTAGCTTTCTATATATTAAATCGCTTTAATATTATAGTAGAGTTAAAAGACTCTAGTCTAGTTAACTTAAAGGCTTTAAGAATAGTTTTAGCCTTAAATAAGGCCTTCTAGATAGTGTTAAACATATAGAAGAAATTTCTTTTAGTTATAGCGTAGATTTCCTATAATCTCTCTATAAAGGCTAATAGTTTAGCTAAGTAAGCAGCTAAGAGCGGTTTAAATATATAAACATCTAGAGGCTATAGTGTATAGGTAGCATGTAGTAGAAATATAGCTAGAAGAATTCTATTATTATTGTAGAACTTAATAAACTTTATAGTAACGTGTAATCTATAGCTATTAAGAATTAAGAGTTAATTTAATTATTCTACTTTTACTTATATTTCTCTATTAAATACCTACTATAGCTATACTAGCCCTATAGAGTTATTTGTCTATCCGCTTAGTAATAAGCTAAAAAATACCTTATATAGTGTAGAATTAAAATCTTATAACTAGGTATTCTAGATATTTCTAGAAAGGGCTTAATATATAAGCGCAGGTGTAAGAGTAGTTCTGTCTACGTATATACATATAATAGTTATAATCTACTCTTAATTACTATTCTAGAGCATTTGCTTAATTTTTCTATTCTTATAGCGCCTTTTAGAAAACACTCTCTTTATTCTACTTAACACTCTAATTAGAAAGCCTTTTTTATCTATATTATATGTGTAGCAGGGTAGAATTTTGTACTAATTAATTTTTTGTTGTAAAAGCTTAAAATATAGTAAGTACTTAAAGGTAGAGTTAGCTCTTTTACGTAAGAAATCTAGGCCTAATGTCTAGCGTAATATAAGATTAATATTGTGTTAATTTATAAAGCAATCTACCTAGTTTTTACCTACAGGTTTTCTAGCTATTTCTAATATAAAATTTTAGATTATTTATCTTAAAGAAGGTAGTTCTTTAATACAAAGCTTATTAATATACTATATAAGCTGTTTTTCTTATATAGTGTTAAGATTCTAGCTATTATCGACTACCGCCGTATTTAAGTAGGTAACCTTTCTGTGGCGCCGCGACAGCGTTAAGCGATTAACACTATACTTTTTAGCGTACTCTGCGTAATTAGGTGTTTCTCCTAGCTTTAGCGATTCCAGCGCTTTAAGCGCAGCCTTAATACCTGACATATTAGTAGAGATATAGAGGGTGGAAAATTCTAAAAAATTTCGTTAAACCGTGCATGCGGTAGGGCCGTGCATCGGGTGGTAAGCCATAGTAGGCCTGTAGTTCAAGGACTCGTTCGCGGAGAAAGACAGGAAAGTTAAGGTGTAGATAAGCTAGAGATAGGATTACAAGAGTAATTATCGTGCGCTCCAGTTTAAGCTACTGTAGTAGCTCTTATAAATTATATTCGGTGTGCCGTAAGCATTACTAGCTAAAGCAGATTATGCCTACGGACGTCTTGCTAACAGACTATTCTTGCTAGGCTTTAGCTAGAGGCACAATGCTAGACTTTGTTTCTATAGTCTATTAGTAAGGATTAAGGTTAACTTTTAGTTCTTTATCTAACAATGTAGGAAAGGCTAGGTAGCGTATCTAATAGCTTAGATGTGTTAGGTAAGACCTACTAGTACTATATTTCCCTACTTAACGCACAGACTCTACTTAACGCATAGTTTAAGGATAGCTATTACTACTACTTTTAAAGCTGTACAGCCCTATATAGATCTAATTATTACGAGATTTTTTAGAGAAGCATTCTTAAAGGCTTGTTTAATTAATTAGCAACGACAAATTACGTGCGATACCTCTGTAGGAGGCGTACTTTGCGAGTACGCGATAATAGGCTAGATGCCTTTACTACCCCTTTAATAACTAATAGATTCTTAACATTAACCTCTGGCTTCTTAATAACACGAGCAGGAGGTGCAGGAGCCTTAAGGTTACGCGCCTTACCCTTTCTAGCTAATTGTATATTAGTTCTAAGTTGCTTTTTAGCTGCGCGCGCAAGTAGGGCTTCTTCGCGCTCTGCGGCCTTCTACTGTTTTTCTTACAACTTAATCTTCTGTGCAGCTATCCTTTTCTGCGCCCTTTGCTTAAGTATAGCCTATTTCTCCTGCTTTTTCTACTCCTTAGCTAGCTTATCGCAATCCTTTTAGTGTTGTAGTTCTTCTGCTTTAGCGTCTTTTTAGGCTTAGCGATTGCGGGCAGCTTTAACTTTAGATAGCAACTAGAAGACGGCGCCGCCAGCGTAATCCTTAGAGGGTTCAAGTAGTAATACCTTGCCACGCTTACGGCGCTTCTTCTTATTAATAAGGGCATCTCTAAGGCAATTATTTTTATGCTAGAGGAGCTGTTTTTAAGTCGCTATCGCGTGTATCGTGTAAGAAAGCTGCGAGGCGCGTTTATTGTAGATATTCTTAACTACCTCTCGCAGGAGTCGTTTAATTTTACGCTAATCGCTTGCAGAGAGTACTAACAACGTACTATCGCTGCTTAATAGCCTCTTAGGCTCTAGATTCTTAAATTTCTTTAATATAGCGTTGCTATCTAGTAGAGAGATGCTAGTAACTTTAAAGGCGTTAATAATCGTTTCTTTAGCGAACGTAATCCTATATGCCCTATAGAAGAAGCGGAAGAAGTCGCGCTTAGTAATAGATGTAAGTTCCTAGTTGTTGTATATATATTTGCTAAGCTCTTTTATATATGCAGCTAAAAGAGGCTTAAAAAGGTAGACATCTAGAGGCTGTAGCGTATAGGTTAAATACGGCAGGTAGATAGCTAGAAGGATTTAATTTTAATCGCAGAACTTAATAAACTTTATAGTAATATGTAAGCCATGCCTATTAAGAATTAGGAGCTAATAATCGCGCTTTGCCTTCTTCTTCGTCTCCTCTTAAAAGCACCTCTTGAGCTAGGCAATCCTAAGTTCGTTGTTTGTCCATCTAGATGGTAATAAGGCGAAGAAGGCCTAGTGCTCTTAAGAATTAAAATCCTGCAACTATGTATCCTAGATATTGCCAGAAGCCGCCTAATATATTAGGGTAGAATTAAGAGAGCTACCGTTGGCGCATATACAAGCTATCGTCGTTATCTACTCTCTGTTGCTGTCCTAGAGTACCTGCTTAACGCCTTCTTAATTATATCGCTGTTAGGAGAACACGCGCTTTATTTTTAACACCACCCCGATTAAGAAGCCCTTCTTATCCATGTTGTATGTATTTAACGGCGCGATATTATACTGCTTAATCTTATCGTCTAAAAGCTTAAAATAGAGAGCGTATTTAAAGGCTGAATTAGCTTTGTAGCGCTAGTTATTAATGCTAGATATCTATCGCGATACAAGGTTAATTTGATGCCGCGCAATATAGCAATTAACCTAGTGTTTTCTAGGCTCTTAATAGGCTATTTCTGCTGCGAAATTTCGTATTATCTCTCTTGTAGGGGGTAGGCCTCGTACACACAGCTTATTAATATACTGCAGGAGCTGTTTTTCCTGTATAGTGTTAAGGAGTCGCTTTTTCTCAGCCCGTGATGTATTGGTGCCCTGAACCCCGCGATAACGCTTCGAGAGCCGCGACTGCTCAACGCCGTACTCCCGAGCAACCTGGGATATATTAGGAGGTTCTCCCAGCTCTAGGGATTTTAAAGCTTCAACAGCTGCGTCAATCGGGTCCATATTGGTGGAGTTATAAGGTGTTGAAAATATACGCGTTTTGGTGTTAACTGTGCGTTGAGTGGGGTCTGTGCGTTGAGTGGGGAAATACAGTAGGTGTTCTAAGAAATGCAAGGCATATTGTTTCGATATTATCTTTGCCTACTCGAGGACTCTGTGAGACATGTATCTGTAGGAAAATTTACTTTTGCACGGTAAGCTAGTGCTGCACAGCAATGAGGAGAGCAAAGAGGGTTGGAAAAGAAGAGCCTTATAGCACGTTGGACTCGCGGTGGGTAAACAACAGCTTACTTCGTAACTTATCTGTCCTCCTACCCTCCCTCTAACGTAAAGAACCTCGAATGCTCTTCAATATGGCGGTATCCGTGTTGCTGTTGCGACGCTTGCGCAGTTATGCATTCTGTTCCCTCCCGCTGCTGGCGACGGTTCTGGTACGGAACTAGTAACCTAAAACTTTGTCAAGCAGAGTTAACAAGGCACAGCCCATATTATTCCTGCTCGCCCGCGCCATCTATCGCATTCCCTTCCATCTACTGGGGCAGATTCCCGGTCCGAAATTACGCGTCATCTCTCATCTGCCTCATGCGATTTCCGGAACACGCGGTCAGCAGCCTCATGATGTTCGCAACCTGCATCGTGAATATGCGCCGGATCAACTTTCCTTCATCACGCCCAGCTCATGGGACGATATTCACGGACATGCTGCGGCGAATAAATTTCACAAATACGGGTGTTTCAAAGTCCGACCGGACGCGCAACCAATGCTGACCAGCTCTGGCGACGAACATGCTGTACGTAGTTTGCAGACTTTTGGTTCGTTGAGCTAGTACTAACAGCAAACGGCGACAGCGAGCAGCCTTCGCGCATGGTTTCTCCCAACGAGCCATCAATGACCAGGAGCCTATTCTCATGGTGAATATCGATCGGCTCCTCAAGAAGCAAGGGGAGAACATCAAGCGAGATTACAAGTTTGACATCTGCGAGTGGATGCGCTTTCTCTCTTTCGATGTTAGCGGGGACTTCTTGCTAAATACTCAGTTCGAGTGCCTCGAAACTTAGAACTATCACCCTTGGGTAGCTTTGCTGGTGAGGTGGATGCGCGCAGTCGGTTTCGTGACGAATGTGAACGCATTTAGGAAGCTCGCCCCTCTCCTCATCATGATCTTCGCACCCATGAAAGACTTTAAGGGCGTCAAGGACCCATCTTGAGATGAGCGCGCAGAAAGATAGAGAGCGACTAGCCGTCGGGAACGATCCAAACCGGTTTGATCTTTGGACGTATCTCCTTCGCAATAAAGGAGACAAGGTTCTATCACTGGGTAAGATGGAAATCAATGCAGCGTCGGGATATGAAGTGCACGAAGTGGAGAGATATTCACAAGTCGAGAGTTCTAATCCGAGCGGATATGGGGTATGGCCTTGTACATTTTCCCCGGTGCCTTCGAGGAAAAGGACATACCTTAGGTATTGCGCACTCCTGTCTCATCGAGCTATCTGGACGGACACCTAATAGCGCTTGGAATAGAGTCCTGATTACAAATCGGTCATACCCATCGCAAAAGCAGGGAATCTGTCACCAACAACGGTGTGGCTTGACACGAGAGAATCTATGAGATCCATGTCCTCGTCCTTCAGCTCAATCACAGCTGCATTCTCCGTAATATGCTTCGCAGACTCTGTTGGTCTCCGATTAGCGGGAAGCGGCGTTCTTCGCTAAGGGGAAATAACATACTTCCTCCGGGAATAGGAATGATGGTGGGCATATCAGGTCGCTTGGAAAGGGCGACGAGCCATCCCAGCGCAATCTGAGCTGCGGTGCACCCTTTCCTTTCCGCCATCTTCTCGATTTCTTTCACGAGCTTCAAGTTCTCTTGGAAGTTACCGTCTTGGTACTTTGGGAACATACGGCGGTAATCGCCTTCGGGGAGATCCGTAGGGGACTTGAGCGTTCCGGTCAGCATTGCGGCGCCGAGTGGCGAGTATCTGCTCCTTCATCAGCGGGACTAGCCGGTTCCGAATTTCAAAAGAGCGAGGCTTACGCTATGATAGGAATGTCCAACTCAGCGCACGCTCGCACAATACCGTTCGTCAGTGGCCCTGTGTTCCAGATCGAAAGCTCGACTTCCACAGCGGATATGTCGACAATCTTAGCGGCTTCTCGTATCGTGTTGGCATTCACCTCCGACAAAGCCACACTTCCGATTTTCTCTTCGTCAACCAGCTCCTTCAGCGTGTTGAGCTGCGTCTCCAGCGGCACCTTCACATCCCTTCTAGCGCACTCGAACATATGAATATTCGCCTTCCCATCCAATTGCTTTACGCAGCTCTCGACGCTCTGTTTGATGTAGTCCGGGGATGCGTCAGGAACCCAGTTCGGACGCATAGCTCCCTTTATATTTAGTAGAACTTTGTCTGCGTATTCGGGATACTTCTCAAAGAAGCGACGAAGTAGGACGAGGGAATTGTAGTCCGGTGTGCCGTAGAATTCGGCCCCATCCCAGACAAGACATCCAGTATCTGCCGCGGCACGCAGGGCGGCGAAGGCTTGCTCTTCTGTGGGGTGATTTGTTGGGGGGCCGAAGGTCAGGGATGCGAGGCCGTACCCTATGGGGCCTACTTTGCGGTTGAGTATAGTGGGCATACTTTGTTGTCTGTCCGTGCCGATAGGAGCCCTGGAAGGGGAAGGTTGAGAGGGCGTTCTTGGAAAGCTCACGGAAGTTGAAGCTCGAATGGCCCATGAGACGGGTGTAAGTAGTCCCCGCATTTATTCCTCGCGGCATAGGGCAATGGTGGCGCAGTGCATGCAGTCTAGTGTTCTAGAATCGAATGGGGCTTGCGGTTCCTTGTCAGCAAGTTAGGCCAACCGCGCGGGGGGCAGCGGGGCGGACCAGTGACTCTACCCGGAAGAGTTTTAGTTATGAGATTCTCGCACGGGAGAGGTGATTATTTTCGACCCTGCACACACAGAATCCCTCAACACTGTCCCATGGCCATGACCACTTCAAATTTGGACCTTGATGTTCGCATTATCCGAAGTTCGGCATCGAATCACTAAATGTGCTTAAGGTAAATTGAGAGATGATGCAGAGTATCTATGCATTCTCAACGGTATGAACCACAGACACGCTCCTCTCGTGGACCCGAGAGGGGCAGAGATATGATAGCAATGAACCGATCGAACCTTTAAGGTCATCCTATACATGCCATCAATACTGCCTTGGTGATATCCGCTTGATAGAATCCTAAGGACCGCCAGCCCGGCCAGACTTATCCCAGTAACCGTCGCCCTGAGCACGACAAGTTCCAATAACGCAATACATCCCACCGCCGCGGTTGGCTTGGTTTGGACTGTACATAACATATGGATCAGACGTGTCCCAAGGATTGGGAGATTGTGTTCCGCAAGTGTCGTAAGCTTGGTTTTTAACGGTATCTGTCATGCGAGTCAGCTGTTAGCGGCCACGATATTGCAAGCGAAGGGTGCGTCTGCTACCAAATAGCCCACTTACAAGCTGTATGTGCAGTGTTGTACCATATGCAGACCGAGTCGCCGAGGCCACCATAACACGTATATTCGTTGCCCGTCTCCCATGATTCCTGGACTGAAAAACCGCCGGATATCCAACTATCAGCGCTGATATCCGCGGTCCAGCCAATCGTGTAAGATTTGGACACTGCATATCCGGCGGAGCAAGATGGGGCGACAGCACAGTTGATGACCTCCTAGGAAAGGGGCAGGTAAATTAGCGACGAGCACTTCAGGGAAGTCTAGCTAGGAAACGAATTATTACCGAGAGCCGTTTATGAAGGTAGTTCTGGTGAGGGTTGCCTGTCTCTTGAGTCAGTTCTCCCATCCTCGTGGCAGAAGATAAGATTTGCAAAGGCATACCGTCTCCCACGCGCACAGTCCCGTAATCGACGTGACAGATTTGTCGTCCACCGATTTTGAATGTCTCTGGCTGAGTACTGCGCTGCTCGACGGTCGTCGGCATGTAGTTCAGAATAATATTACGTGGATCCAATGCGGCAAATGAAGCCTTAGCGTCGTCATTGCTGAAGCAATCCGCGGACCGAACAGCATCTTCTGGAACATCGAAGCTGAGGCCGGCGCACTCGGCAACGGCGATGACTCCGTTGTACTCCCTCGTGCAACTGACGCCGCCAGCGGACTGGGACTGGGCGCTGACCCGGAAAGTACTATCGCCGATTGTGACGTTGCCGAAGCCATTCTCATCGATGCTAGAGAAGTCGAGAGTACCGATGGAGCTGCCACAACTCTCCGCGAGGATGGCGTCGTTTTCTGCCGCGTGGACTGTCAACGACGTGCTACCAGAGGATTTCTCATGACGCCAAATGACAGAGACATCCGCGGCTATAGTCGAGGCCGCAAAAGCTGCGAGAAGAATGGGTCGTATTACGAATGGGATAGAAAGAGACTCCGAAGTAGCTGTTTGGCAACGACTTCGCATGTGGACTTGTCAGGGATCGGAGACGAAAAGGGAACCGCGCAGTGCGCATCACTGCGTTCGAAGCGCTGAACCCAGACTCTGGCGACTAAAACTGCGGACTATATAACGTAAGAGGCAGCGGAACGGGTTTGCAAAAGCATTATGTTAGGTAGTCATGCGCAGTGCCGTCCAGGATTCTGATGAAGATGGAATGGGTCGTCGCGTAGGTCACCACTCAAAACACTTCGATCCTCCATAGCGGAATCGGGCTATCCTAAAGTGAGGTGCATTACAACACATAACCCTGCTTCCGTTCTTTCCAAAACTGCCTTTCAAATGGCGTAATGAGAGCACCTGCTTACAGAAAACTATGGGCGAACACCCATGTCTCGGAATCAGTAAAGCCTTCGGCATATTGAAGTTGCTCAGGAAGACTTCCCATGATCCAAACCACGGCAAACCTTCCTCATAGACTAGGCTTTGCCTATGTCTAAAGACTACCTCCTACAACGTTCAAGGCTGGACCTTGTCTTCCAACCCCTGAAGAATCTCAGACGTTTGCTTGCTCTCTCGAAACTGGATCCTTTCTGTATTCCAAAACAGTACCTGCTCCCGGCCATGGTGACTTAAATCCAAGTGCTGCCAATGGATGGTTTACTCCGGGTACTTCCAAGCCCTCAGCGGTTCGTGGAGTGAGACTGGTTCCAAAAAGCCACCAGAGTTCTTCGATGACCACAGCAAGGGGTAGCAATGAGCAGCTATGGAAGCCTTGCGAAGCTGAATGGAATGTACGCCGTTATTATGAGGCCCATCAACGACCCTTCTAAAAGATTCAAGCATTCGACCTATGGGCTTCGGGCATCCTCGAACGCTTGCGTAATTTCCAAACCCGGGTCCCTGATCTTTTCTGGCTTTCACCTCTACTCAAATCCGGATGAACTCGTATCATGCGACCATTCTGTCAAGTGTTCAAATCCACTTCCCATTTCTCATGTCTGTGGACAGCTCAGGGTGTGACAAAGCCTCTATAGCAAGGCGTGGAAGATTTCTAAGTACTTGTCCATCACCACATGTTTGGCTCTTGCTCTTCTGCTCCTTTCAATCTAGCGGAAGCAAGCATGGGACTCAATTCTCCGCGTCTAAAAGAATGGGTTACGCAATGCAATGGGAGAATCTTCCTCGGGCGAAAACGTGAGACACTGGAGGTCTACGGTCCTTGGGTAGGAGAATTGGTCCTCGGCAAGATTTATGCTCCTGCAGCTCTTACAAAAGGAGTTCGCTACGACAAATGCCTGTCTGCTTCCTCTCCCACGATATTGTACCTCCTTAGGCCGCCATCTTCAACAACCCTCTATACAACAAGGCACTTGCCCAGCTATGTGTGCACGGTATTGGCAAGAAAGGTCATTCAACGGGCCTGGCACAAGTCAACGCACACAACATCAAGACGTGTAATGAGTGTCAGAAAGGAGACTTTATCACGCTTGGCTACTACCTACCTTTCGGCGCCGTCTACCTATTCCTCCCCCCAGGATTTGGCATCGATGCTGAAGGGCACGTGGTTGACAAGAACGATATCGACTTAAAATATACAGAATTGCTCATCATGAGGTCTTCGTTTCCGCCTGCCGAAGATACGTTCGTCGCGTTTATGGCGTGCATCTTTCGAAACGGAAAAGGGCAGATTCGGCTACCAGTATACGCTCGGTTGTTTGCGCCTTCTCTCTAACCTTCCATGCTGGCAGATCTTTGGCTCCCTATCCCAGAATTCCAGTCCTTGACATGACCCGCCATGGAGACTCCCACTTCCTTAGACAAAAAGCAAAAACGTCCAGAACGATACATGATGTCGGAAGGGGATAAGCCGTCTTTGATGCGTTGGATCAGCAGATCTTCGCGCGGACTCCAAACCCAGTTGAATGCCTGGAAACGGCTTCGCTTTTCTTCTCTCGTTCAGGGATCTAATATTCAGTCGCCTTTCTACGTAGGCCCTGCCGCTTCTCCATAGTCAACATTACATGTGTCGATGTGGTTTGGTACCGTCGAGCCGCCAGAAATAGAAAAGCCGAAAGAAGGGCACTATCCACCTATGTGCTAGAGACTGGATCCTACCGCTTTATCAGCATTCCATACGGCCTCGTATGTTCCCTTTTTTTCCCACCGTTCACATGGTGATGTCCGATGTGAGCGTCCTTGCTTCTTCTCTCAAACGCAAAAAATCGAGAAAATGCTGCAAATGACTCCCGGTCCACTCTCTTCTCCGAAAATGCCGTCGCTAAGCCACATGTGTACGCCTCGCCGACTTCTATAGACCATGATGACTCTGTTGGTAGAACAGTAATGAATGACATCGATAGGACGTACCAGCAAGTGTATGTAGGCGAGAGCAATGTGCTGGAGATTGGAGCCTCTTCTCCAAATGTCCTCTACTAGCTTACCCATAGCTTGCTCTTCTCTCTCTTCTGGATACACGCTCTTCGGCTCGGAGCTCATATCGGTATTTTCAGCTCTTTCCCACCATCTACGAGAACTGCAGCTGCCGCTGCTAATGGTCTTCGTCCTTTCTCTCCCCCAAAAGAAGATGCATGGACTGCATGTTCGTGTCCTGCTGCTTTACAAAGCTTTCCTAGCGGCTATGCATGTGGATACTAGCCGGGATTCCAAATACTAATAATAAACCAAATCTAGGATGGATGGATGTTCAATGCGTAGACTCCGGGCGGCTTTCCCTCCAAAGATAATGCGGTGCTTCGATGCCTCGCTCTTTCTCTCTTCGACGATCAAAACCACACGTAAAGAACGAATGTCTGAAGTTCGCGACTACTACTCTCGAACTCTAAATCGCACTGCCGACGGGTATTCGACCGCTTGGCTTCCTAGTCGAGCGGTTTACATGCCCCATTCTCCTCCACTGCTCTTGAAAATACTTCTGAATACCATCAATGCAAAAGGCAAAGCAGACTCTGCCCTTTCTAGATCCAAAATCTAGAGGTTCCCCCATATGACCGGACCCCTCGCTCTCTTCACTTAAAAAGCAGCCCTCGTCCCACGGTCGTCTTTAATGCCTCCCGTCTTCCCAACACTAAAACTGGTACGACAATCGCATCATGTCCTAAGACCCAGCATTCTCCTCGTAAGACACCAAGCGAAAGTCCTTTTTCGGCATGTTGCCCTTCGTCTTTCTTTCTGGACCCTGCGGTGTCCTCTAATTTCACAATCGGAGAGTAGAAGTGTCTCGCAAGGCTGTGCTCAGCTTCGTACCGTCTCGAATGATCTTGCTATGTGATTGCTGGGAGTGGATGGCGAGCATATGCAGATGCTGATGCATACCATCACTCACTGTGATAACGGGCGCACATCCCCGCCCTAGGTCGAAAACGCTCTTCCAGTACCGCGCCTAAACGCATCAAACATTGCTCTATTGGTATCGTGCGTCCCCTTCAATTAAGCCGCCCAGGTCCGGTCTAAAAAAAAAAGCCGCGCTCGCCTCATTATCATTATAATTACTCGCCCATCATACATTATGGGGGCACGCGCTTCGCTTGCCCTTGTTTTGACTCGTCATAGATCTTCACCTTCTCGGCGTATTCGCGGATGTTGCTGTGGATGGACTCTTCGATAAGCTCGCCTCTTCCGCCCGCAACGCGCAGGATGAGGTCGTTGAGAGATGAGCGACCTAGGATGTCGACGTGGTCGCCTAGTAGATTGTCAGTACAGCTCCCCAAGAATGAATAAGCTTTCAGATACATACCTGTGTTCGGCCCACCGCGAGGACTGAATCTATCCGGCTCATCTGGCATTTCTACGGTTTTGATCTGTACACCAGCGGGATTATACCTCCTGATCTTCCAGCCTTTGGCGCACATATAGCCCGAGCTCAGTAGATTCACGGTACCGTCTCCTTCGCCCATAATCACACCATGATCAATCTTACCATTGGTGAAGGCTGTATCAATGGTAACGTTCGTCTTACTCAGCGGATCGGTATCATCTTTATAGTAGTACGCGCGCTCTGTTGGCTTGCCAACACCGTAGAAGCAGTAAATCTTCAAATGCCGGGCCAACGGCAACCGCGTCTCGAGAGGGTTTACCCACTTTGCCGGAATACCCTGATTATCTTCGACTTCTTTCGCCGTATGCGCAACGCCGTGAGAGTAGCTGCTCTGCACCATCTCCTTGTACCAAGTCTCACTATTATGGTATAGATACGGCAAGCTTTCTTCAACCGTCAGGTTCTTAGAAGTGAGGCTCGAGGTGCCATTCCGAAAGCGTAGGAGGTTGCCGAACGAGCTCTCCTGTCCCAGTTGATCATCGGGGGCCCAAGTTTGGTCGCCCCAGACCGCGTTGCCGCCAATGGGCAGCATGGATGATATGCCCGGCATGGCGCGGAAGAGCTCAGCGCGCTCGTGTCGCGCGAGGAACTTTTCGAGGCCGTAGACGGCGAAAGCGTTGAGCTGAGCGGTGTCTTTCATTTCGCCAGATAGCACAGCGGGGATACCCTTGATGGCGCCGAGCATGCATCCGCTGATGTTGATCCAGGAGTCGACGTACGTGTCTACCCAGTCTGAACCGCCATTTCCGTAGCCCTCGGCTTCTACCCAGTGGAAGAAGTAGTATAGCACCTGCGAGCCCATCGAGTGCGACAGCAGCACGACTTTCTTGTTAGACACGCGCACCGCAATCTCGATATGCGCCTTTAGCCTCGTGAAGTATTGATCCCTCTTCTCGTAGTTCATGTAGGACATGCGCCAGTCGTACGCGGCCGTGAATGCATTCGTGGGATCGTATCCAATCGTCGCAAGGTTCTCCAAGATCTTGTTCCATATCCAGTAACCCGTGATGAAGAAGTCGGTCGCGTCGAAGCCCTGCGCCGCTCTCAACTTTATCCCCGGCGGATCCAGGCCGGTGCGCTTGTCCAGCATGATGTGCTTCTTCCAGCCTGCCTTGTCGAGCACCAGCGCTCGCATCATGGTCCAGGAGCCCCAGAGCCTTTTGCGAAAGTACTGCCGCGACGCTTGCTCTGTGCCCCACGACTCGAGGCCGGTGGAGATGACGCCGGGTATCATGATGACGGGATGGCTGGCATGGATGCCTTGCGATTGCGCATGGAGGCCAACGGCGAAAGAATCGTAGTTGACGGCATCGCGTTCGTGCTTCTACTGAGCCGGCCAAATCAGCACTCGTCCTCCCCTTCAACCCAGCGTGCACCCATAATCTCGCGACTCATGAGCGGATCGCCTACCTGCAGTTGCTGTGCGTCCTTCATAAACCCCGAGGGTAGGGCATCCAGGATACTGTCCAGATTCATGCCCTCCAAGCCGCTCAAGTCAAGCATGTCATTGCTCCCCGCAAAGAAGGCCGCGACCAGCAGTCCGAAAACGCCACCGAGCCCAAATATCCAGAGGTTCTTCCGCTTGCTGGGCGTGCCCTTCTTCTTCAGCGTGTGTAGCTTCTCTGCCGTTACTACCCGCAGGTTTCGGTCGGGGTCGGGCGTTGGATCGCGGGAAGGCTCCGTCGAGGAGGAGTCGTTGCCGCCGAAGCGACGCCGTAGGAACGACATGTTGCGAAGAGGGTGAGTTGAAGAGAAAGCAGAAAGCTGCCCGGGAGAGCTTGGGCTGGTTTTTTGCGAGCTTCCAAGCTCGACTCACATGCAAGGAGCGTCAACCGTTGGTTCGGTCTCGGGGACTACCCATCACACTAATCCCGGTCTGGTTAGACGGCACGTGCACCCGCGGCCTTATCGATAGGCCTGAGGACAACCTCCTCGAAGCTGACTAAATCTTGCCCTGCACTCCACCTCGCAGCACTCATCTCATGGTCACCATGAGCGCGGAAAAGGAAGAGCAGGACGCGGGCACGCGCGAGCTGCAATATGTGCAATATGATGGCTCTCAAGAAGCGACATATCTCCCCGCCATCCGCCAGCTCATTTCCAAAGACCTCTCGGAACCGTACAGCATCTATGTGTATCGGTACTTCCTGTACCAATGGGGTGATCTGTGCTATATGGTACCTCTCGCCTCCAATCTAACAGCTCTTCCACCACGTTGGCTAATAGTTTCCAGGCCCTCGACCCCTCCACCAACGCCCTCATCGGCGTCGTAGTCTGCAAGCTCGAGCCCCACCGCTCTGGCACCTTCCGCGGCTACATCGCCATGCTAGCGGTGCAGGAAGCACACCGCGGCCGGGGCATTGCCACGAAACTGGTCTGCATGGCCATTGATGCCATGGCAGCTCGTGACGCCGACGAGATCGTGCTCGAGACCGAGGTCTCGAATACGGCGAGCTTGAAGTTGTACGAGCGCTTGGGGTTTCTGAGGAGCAAGAGGCTGCATCGGTATTATTTGAATGGGAACGCGGCGTTTCGGCTGGTCTTGTATTTGAAGAAGGGGACCGCTGGGAAGAGGCCGGAGGACGCGGGAGGGGGCTCGGGGATGAGGATGGAGGAGTATAGGGGGTATGGAGCGCCGCCGGGACAGGAGAGCGTCATGATGGGCCCCGTGAGCTGAGGCAGTCGCGATATGGTGCGATGCGGGCTTGGGGGCTCAGTCCAGGTCTCCACCACAAACGATAAACATCGAAGCTCCCGGCGGCAGACCCAAAGTATTGCGCAAATACCCATGCGCCTTAGGCAAGTCCTAAAGAGACAGTATATTATAGATCCTTCCCTAGCGAGCCAAGGCCTGCGGGAGAGGGGTACCACACCGAAGAATCGTCCTGTGAAGGGATCGCCAGGATTCGGTGTCCGGGTCATCGGCACAGCGCAGATGGGATTGGGTACATCTGGAGGAGACTTGTAGTCGCGGTGGTGCGCAACTAGAACGGCTCCTTTCTGATTTGCTTGAAGGCTCGTGTCTAATCACTTCTCTTCGTCCTCATGCTCACACTCTTCCTGATTTCTCTTTCTCATCACTTCTTCGTTCCCCATCCGTTGCTCTTAAATCACATTCCAAGTCATTAAAGGCCAACTTCCCTCCCTCATGACCATAGAAAGGCTGCTTACTCTCTCTGCTTCCTTATTCTACAACAGAGACTCAGACTCGCAATCCACCTCACTAAAAATTTTCAGCTCTTCATAAATGCTACTTCTCTGCCGGCCTCTCTGGTCTCACAAAGCTACACAGAAGCCCAGGACAGGAGCATGAATTCTAAAATCAGATAGAGGGAACATATGGGCGCGTCATTCTTGCCTCTTCTTCCCTCATACTCAAGTTTCCTCAAGGGATCTTCACGTCTGTTCTACAAAAACGCGAGATGAGCCGGTATGAGCACCTAGAACCTTCGCCCTCCACACGTCGACTTCAAAACCTCCTTTTTTTATGTCTCCTCCAGCCGGTAGAGCTCCTTGTCGCCCCGCCCGAGTTCGACTAAACTCCAGAGTAATTCCACTGTATGCGACCGCTTCCTTGGCGTTTGCCTTCCGCTCCAAAAGCTACCGGCATGAATTTGCATGGAAGATCTGCACCAAAAGAAGCACAACGCACTATAAATGAGGACGACCTTGCCTCTGCCTTTCTCCCAGTGTAGGCAAAGATCCTAAAGTATTCCAAATGGTCATCTTTCTCCCACTAGCCGGCGCAACACAAGAATACGACCTTGTCCCGTAGGACCAGTCCAGAACATGAACGTATTCGTATAGATGTCGGCACTCCGTATCAGAACTCATACCCCCTTTCTCTGTATTTGAAGAAGATACTAGCGACTCCTCCCTCATGGTTGCCCTGTTGTCTTCTCCTGAATCCCTGTGGTTCTTTAGAAGATTGCGACCGAGGAGGTCATGTGCGCGTGGGGTCTGAAAACCGAGCATGGTGTCGCTGGACGGAAGTGCATTTGCATAGATACTGAGACCAAAATGGAGTGAAGATGAGGCTGATGAAAACCTTTCTTCCCGTTCCCAGCTTCCAAAAAATTACGCGGAATATTCCCATGGGAGTCCGTTTTGAGAAATTGTTTCTGGATCTCGAAATGCGTCTGCCGCTCCATTCTTCCTTGTTCTATCCTGCGCAAAAGTACTTCACTAGTTGACTCATGGCCCGGATACAAGATCCTTGTCCACTCTGCAATAAGGACCGCAGTCTCTTCTTTCTCTCCGTTACTCAAAATCGAACGCGAAATAGTTTACGACTTCTTCGACCCCAGCAGATTCTCAACCATACTCCCAGCTTGGATTATAAAGGAACGGTGTTAGGATCCCATGGGCCGCTCCCATTGGATTTCGGTGTTTTTCGAAAGGCCACAGCAAATTACATATGGAAAAGCGGAATCGACGAGTACATACGGTCAGGTAGGACTACTTTTCTCTGCGCCTTTCCCTATTTTATCGAGTACCTCTACTATGAAACCTGCGCTGCGCTATAAGAACGGTGGCAGCCGGGAACGTGAAGGAACTCACTGTTTTTCACTCCCCAAACGGCGGAGAATCTAAAGCCACATGCTATATGTACCGGATGGAAATGGTTTGTAGGCCTAATGTATGACTTTAGCACCCCTTCCTTCGCCCATTTATTACACCATCCAAAAAAGCTGCTGATATCAGGATAAACTGTCTGGCAGATTTTTTCATGCCTTCTCTCCCCCATCCTACGCCCTACTTTTCATTGCTCCTTAGAAACCACAAGGCACAAGGCCCAATGGAAACTCAAAAAAACCAACCCCGGACAAAATACCCCCTGACTAAAATCGACCCTGCTCGTCGGCATGGCTTCGCCGTCTCCCCTTCCCCCGCAAACATTTTTGGCTATCGTATCCGGTATCAAGAAAATAAACCAATTGCATGAAGCATGGCACTTGCCGCGGGTCCTTTGTCGCACTACCTCATTCCGAAAATTGCAGCGAGATGTGGGTATGTGGACTTCCAAAGAACATAAACGTCCAAGTCGTGTTAGAACTTGAAAGTACAAGACGGCACATACATGGGTTCGAAATCTTCATCTTTCCTCATCCAATAAAGAGATCAATACGCCATGTTCGAAGCAGCCATGGTGCGCTGGATCCTTCGCCCCACGGTAAGAAAATTGCGACTTCGATACGTTCACGATCCGGTCAGACGGAAGTGAGCGATTCTACAACGAAATGCCTTCCTCCGCTTCTACTTTCTCACCATCCAAAAAAAGGGGAAGAGGGACACATGTTGGCAACTAAAATTCTAAACATCATCCGTGATAGCTTTTCGCAGTCTTGTCTCCTCGTCTAGCAAATCTTCTAAATTATATGGTTGAAAGATGCCATGAGAGCTCTCAAGTAGTAGTGCAGGCTAGCAATGGCTGCACTGAACGAGCCATTACCCTGACCCATGACTTCGATACCATTCCTTCTTTATTCTCTAACAAACGGTATCAAGCATCGATGTTGGACGCCAGAACCCTGGCACCTGGCACGATATGGCGCGTTGAAGCCTTCCTCGCCAGATTTAGAAGACTTCGCAAACTTTCGGCAACGATGAGGGTGCTCTTGAAATTCGCAGGCTTAACCGGTATGACTGGACCAAAGAACGTCTCTGACGTCCGCATGGCTTCTATTCCCCCATACTAGCAAGCCTAACAACCGCTCTTGCGCTTCCCCTATCCCCACCTGCGCCATCCTCCTCTGCATTTGGTACAATCGAAGCACGAACGCGAAACAGATGCGTACACTGCAACTACATCTTTGCTGAAGATTCCGAAATGTGCATCTCTGGGAGGTGATTGGGGGGTCTATGCCTTACCAGGGAGGACTTGTATGAGGACTGGTTGTAGCATACTAGATAGCCCAGAAAGCTAGGCCGTATTGATGCTATGACTAGGGTGGATGTCAGGGCTGGTTTGTAGGATTCGGAGTTCACTCGTAGTGTGGAGCGAAAGACTGTAGCTTTAGTATAGGCTAAAGCAGGCAAGGACGGTCACGACTTACACTGCTTTCAGAACTGATATCAGAGGCAGATAATACAAGTTGCACCCGTGTCTCTATAAGCTCTATTAGGCACCGCTCATGCCAGGACTCCTCGACTCCGCAAAGACATCGGGTATACCCCTTTCCACCCAGGTCAGAAAAGCTCATACTCGTACTGTATACATTCCATTCATTCATTCCAAATCTATAACTCGTCATGCTCCGGCATCTTGATCGGGCCTTCGGGCCTTCCCCACTCCTTATCCAGCACTACACCACTCTTCTTCCTATACTTCTCCCACATGTTCCAGAAATCCTTCTCCATACTCTTCTCCATCTGATCCGGCAACACAACCACATATTCGACATGCAGCGCGCCATACTGCTCCTCCGCATTATTCTCGAGGAGCTGGTGCCATACCGGCATGCCTTCGTTCTCGATGACTTCGACGTGGTTCGGTTGCACGACTTCGCCGCGCTTGCGGGAGAGTTGCACGATGTGCCCGTCGAGGTGCGTGATGTTGCGCCTCCAGTCGCCCATCCATGCTTCCCGAAGGGAGAGCACTTCGCGCCAGAAGAGATCTTTGCCCCGCCGACGGAAGAAGGTGCCGTCAGTACGTTCGTGGTCTTCCTGTCCAAGCCGGGGTTCTGTTTCCACCAGATGTACGATGAGATCGCCAGCTACCCAGTCTGGGCTCTCATCCGCCTCGTTCTCGTATGTGATCCTGACGCCCTGCGGCATGCCCTTCTCAATGTGGAGCTCGTGCGTCTCCGGTTCGCGAACGACTCTGCTGCCGCCGCACACAGGGCATGGATGTTTGATCATCTTTCCCTTCCCGCCACATTTCTCGCAGTGTGTCTGGACCTGCTGGAACAATCCCGGCGCCAACTGCTGCCTTACTATCCGCACTCCCCTGCCTCCGCATAGGTCACACGTCTCCACATGTCCGTCTGCTGATCCAGAACCCTCGCATGAAGAGCAAATAGCCTGCTTCTCCACCGTGAACTCCGTCTTCCGTCCGTTGTAGAAGTCGCGGAGGGGTACCGCGACCCGGACTTCCATGTTCGGTCCTCTGCGCTCGCCGCCGCCGTGTCCAAAGTGCCCCGTTCCGCCGAAGAAGCTTCTGAAGAGGTCGAACGGATCGTGGTGCTGGCGGGGACCTCCTCCCTGCTTGTGCTGCTGGATACCCTCATGGCCATACTGGTCGTATATGCGCCGCGTTTCTTCGTCGATAAGGATATCGTAGGCTTCAGCTATGGCTACGAACTTGTCATGTGCTGAATCGTCTCCGCTAATGTCACGTTAGTTGCCATAGAGGTTGGACGAGGGCCTGCGGGGCCAACGTACGGATTCTTGTCCGGATGGTATTTCTTGCTGAGCTGGCGGTACGCTTTCTTGATCTCGCGCTCCGAGGCGTCTTTCTGGAGACCTAGCAGCTATAGCCCAATATCAGTGACACCGCTCTGCAATTACAAGGTGTTGCATCCAAAGGATGTATCGTAATGGTCCACGTACCTTGTAAAAGTCCTCTGCTCCCAGCACAGCCAGCGTCAAGCACCCCAGAAGCAGCAATATCCGGAGGAGCATGTTGCTCAATTGCGCCCGCAACGGCGCGTTGTGAAAGTAGAGAGTCGAAAGGAGCGGACGGAGTTATCCAATTTATTGTCGCGAACCGGGTAGCTACATGAAGAGGGGAAGTAAGTGACACTGGCGTGAGACAGCAGGGAAGCGGGCGGGGCGGAGGTATTTAAACGTGAATTGTGAGTTGGAGCTTCCGCTGGAAACCATTATCTGGCCAGTAGCTACTCGGGCCAGCCAATCGGAGCGCGGCTTGGCAATGACGGGGGATTTGAACTTTTATGCGGACCTGAGAGACGAAGCCATCAACTAATTGACGACGTGCGCGTAACACTGCCTTTTACTTCTTGCCCATTCGGCTTGAGACGTATTTGCTTGCTGTCTTCCTCTATCGCCTATCTTTTCGCCCATTGACGCGCCGCCCGGGCGCTCCCATCCTATCACACGATTCACCTCTCCCGCTCCCGCCCTCCAGCTACCTCCAACATGGTGAAGCCAGTAGTACCCATAGTGCGCAAGCTCATATCGAGCTCCAAAGTGGGCGTTGTCGTCTCCGCCGGCAAAATGTCACGCGCGGTCAAAGTACGCATCGCAGGTCAAGAATGGAATAAGAAATTTCGAAAAGTACATCCTCCCTCACAGACCCTCTGGTCCAAGAGACATGGTACTAAGGCTGTGTCCAGCACTTCCCCTCCGAACAAACCTACCTCGTAGCCGACCCCAACAACTCCCTCGTCGAAGGCGACGTCGTCCGCATCGCCTCCGGCTGGCGCACCTCCAAATCCATCCGCCACGTCGTAACCTCCATCGTCGCGCCCTTCGGCTCGCCCGTCGAGGACAGAACACCCGTCCTCACTGAAGAACAGCGCATGGAAATCCGCATCAAGGAGCGGCTGCTCAAAGACGTGCGGTCGGCAGAGCGAGGGCGGCGAACGAGCATCGAGCGGCTGGCGCAGGCGCGGAAACAGGGGTACAAGATACCGAGCTTGTCGGAGGCGATGGCGAATGTGAGGATTGCAGAGGAGGAGGAGAGGATGGGGAGGGAGGGGGGTCGGAAGGAAAGGCATGGTGGGCAGGCGGGGCAGATTCTGACGGCGAAGGAGAGGAGGGTGGAGAGGGGGAGGGAGACGAAGGAGGAGAGGGGCGCGGAGAAGAAAGTTAGGGAGGCGAGTGTACAGACGGCGTGAGCTTATGCTCAAAATTGCGAGATATCTGGGTTCTTGTGTAGGATACGCCATGTATAACGTAGCATCATTGGAGGTCCGCAGAGATGAGGGCGCGCCATTGTATGATAAAGCCCCCGAGGTCAACATTTGTGCGGTATAGATATCATATCCGACTGTAAATAATTCTCCACCTTTGGAAGTAATGCTCCGAACGTGTCTATGTCATACAAAGCTGAAGGGTATCGCAGTAACAAATCGGTCGGCCATTCACCCATAAATGCAGGGACCCTAGAAGTGAACACCAGATAGCATGCTTCCTTCCAAACCATACGCCTGCCTATGCTGCTGAACGTGCTGAAGTCATGCCGCATCGCGTCGTTATCGTACAACAACTCAGACCTCCACGAGGTCAACCATTTCGTCCTCCGCCTCGCTATCCTCATACGCTTTGGTGATAAATTGGTGCTGGAGAGCCTCGTCGGCAGTGATTCGCTTCATGGGATCGCACTCCATGAGGCGGTACAGGAATTGCACGGCTTCCTTCTCTTCCTCGTCTAGCTCTTTCTTGGGTCCTGACTTATCGCCGGTACGGCCGGTGCACCAGAGGATGATCTTCTCCAGGCTGTGACCGTGCTCGCTATAGCTTGGAATGTTCGTCTCGAAAACTTGGCCGTGCAGGATGGCCGTCTCCTTCATCCTCTTCCGACCGAAGATAGTAGTGATTTCCAGCAACGCGTCGATGTCATCGGCGCTGTGGAAGAAAGGGAAGCGGCGCGTTAACAATGTTAGTAGGATGACACCAACGCTCCACATGTCAATCGAGCAAGTTTGCTGAGTGCACTTGAGGAGCACCTCTGGGGCGCGGAAGCCACGAGTACCCGCTCGGTTTGCGCGACGGCTGTTTCGCGTATCGTTCTTTGGGTAACTGGATGTCTGGTGTCCGGCTTGCTGGCTCTGCGCATAAACGCTGTGAGCAATCCTGTATCGTCGTTCTTCAGACGATAGGGCACAAGCGCACTGGTGCCAGTCTGTACCTTCCCGCTCCGCGAGACCAAAGTCGACAAGCACTCCGCGCGCCTGCTGAGGATTGTAGAGGAAGTTGGTTGGCTTGACGTCGCGATGGAGGATCTTCTTCATATGCGTTGATCGTAGGGCGGTGAGCAGGCTCTTCATATAGAGGCGCATCTCTGATATCTTCATGTCGCGGTAGTAGTCGCGAAAGTCCGCGTGTTGAAAGTACGGAAGGACGGCAACGACCTGGTCCTGGTGACGGAATGCGGTGATCAGCGGACAAACTAAGTCGGAGTTCTTCAGGTCGTGGAGTAGTTCTAGCTCGTTGAAGATGCGTATGGGACTGCTGGTGACATAGATCTTCTTGATGGCGACGTAGTGGGGTCGGCGGGAGGAGCGCCTTCGACTGGAAGGTGACGCCCACTTGCGGTGCTCTCGTTCATCGATATCCCATCGGTTGTCGTAGCTGTTGTACTCTAAGTCCTCCGCCTTGTAGACGGTCGAGAAGGTACCTGCATGAGTGAGTCCGGCACGCCCTGCATAAACCGAGCCAATTGAGCGACGTACCTTCTCCGATGCGATTGATTAGTCGGTACCGCTTGTTAATGCCCGCGAAGCTGTCCTCAAAACGTGAAATCTCCTCAGCGACAGAGTCGTCTATCTCTTCGTCGCTCGTGTCCACGGTGCGCCCGCTTTCCTCGAGCGGGTCGGCGCTTTCATCTAATAACTCCTCTGGGTCCTCCTCTTTCACGTCATCCTGGTGGACCTCTATGTGGTCTTGATGTCGCTGTACCTGCGCGCGTGCCTTTGCCATATTTCTCGCGTTGTGGTGTTGTTGTGGCACTTGTTTGCTGTGAGGGCATTTCCTGGGGTGGTGTGGACTTGAGTCGCGCCTCGAAACGCCAGGAGACGCTAAACCGTGTTGGGTTAATTCAAAACATTGTCGCGCCCAGCAAACACAGACGCGCCTTCCGAACGACAGCGGCCTGCGTCGTTCACTTGCACAACAGCAAACATTCCGCGACGACTGCGTTTCGTCGCTTCTTCTTGTCTTTCTCGTTTCTTCTTCCCAAGCGATTCTGCACATCATGGACGCGCGTGTCGATTTCGATATCAACGAGGCGACTAAGAACTACGACATCGATCCGTCGTCAATAGCCACGGCCGAGGCCCCTCAGGCGCTGCAAGACTGCGAAAATGACCCAGAATCGCTGTCGTCGGCGGCGTTGATCAACAGCGAGCTGAATCCTGTGGTCGACGCCGTCGCAGAGAGCCCAGATGCGATCACTCGCAGCTCATATTTTGATACGTTGCAATTCCTGCTCAAGTGCGTTCCCGCAATCCCCGGTCATACGAAGACGTGGAAAACAGAACCTGACTGTGAACTGTTCCGACGATCCAGATACTCTTCGCAGATTCCTCCAGCGACGCTCGGAAAGATACTCGACCTCATTGTCTCCGCATTATCAACACAAGCCGACATCGTGCATGCCGACATAGAGTCGGAGGAGCAAGATGCGCTACCACACCACAAACAAATACTGGAGATGTACGGCTTCTTGCTCCGGTGGACGATATCAGCAGTGGAGACAAGAGCCCTCGAGAAATCGGCATCTGCGCCGGCAGCGCGAGGTCGGGGCAAAGGCGCCAAGTCGAAATCTGGAGCGAGCAAAGACGGTACTTGGGATGCGTCAGCGCAGCTTGAGACGGCCCTCGACAGGATGAGCAAGGTCCTTAGGCTGAAACTGGGACGCATATTCGTCACCACATCGGAACGGGATACCTTCATCGGCCTGTTTACGAAGCCGGTTTACTACATTCTGGAGAACGAGGCGAGGGTAAAGAGCACAGCGATTCGGATGCATTGCTTCAGAGTGCTATGTATTGCGATCAAGCATCACGGGCATGCGTACAGTAGGTCGGAATGCCATTATTGAATACCGGTTACTAATGCTCGTATGCAGCCGCTCAGACATCCATCAATCAGAGTCTGACCTATTTCGAGCATCTGTCGGAGCCGATGGCTGAGTTCCTGCAAATTCTTGCCGAGCAATATGATTATCCTCAGCTCACCGAAGAAGTCCTCCGCGACGTGAGTAACAAGGAGTTCAGTGGCACAGATCAGAAAGGGCCGAAGTCTATTTCGACTTTCTTGACAAAGATCTCGGAACTCCTTCCGCACCTGGTCATAAAGCAGATGACATTACTTGCGAACTTGCTAGACAGCGAGGTACTATATTTCCAATCTGCGGAGTCTCTGAGACCTAACACGCTTACAGTCGTACACCCTCCGTTGCGCGATGATCGATGTCTGCGGCAACTTGATAGCTATGCTCAGCAAGCAAGACGGAGACGACCGAAGCGAAAACCACAAGACCCAGGTCCGTATTTTCTTCGATGTCCTCGAGGAGAGGTTTCTAGACGTGAATCCGTACTGCCGATGTAGAGTCATTCAGGCATACATCAAACTTTGCGATCTCGAGCAGAAGTTCCCCAAACGGCGACAGACGGTTGCGGAGCTGGCGGCGAGGAGTCTTGAAGACAAGAGCAGTAATGTTCGACGAAATGCGATCAAGCTCCTCGCAAAACTCGTCTCAACGCACCCGTTCACGGCGCTTCATGGTGGCTTACTTGCGACCAAAGACTGGACCGTCCGGCTGGAAGAGTGCGACGCACAAATTAATGCCTTGAAACCTCCCGAAGAACTGCGAGAGCAGCCTGCGCCTGGGGAGCAGACGGTGGACGAGACACTACTGCAGGACGCGACGCAGGCCGAAAACGACGCACCTGAAGCGCCAAAGCACCCCAAGGAAATGACTGAGGAGGAGAAAGAGGCTGCCATCAAGAAAGTCCAAGAAGAGGCTGCGACCGCACAGATGATGGACATGCTGCAGAAGACCCGAAAGTACTATCTAGAGGCTCTGAAGTTCATCGAAGTCGTGGACGAGGCAGCTGAGGTTGTTACGCAGCTGCTCTCTTCTAAGAACAAGAGTGAGGTTATTGAAGCGATGGACTTCTTTACGGTTATCGACGCCTACAAGATTCCCAATGCTCGCACTGGTATTCGCAGGATGTTGCGCCTCATCTGGACTAAGGGCAACAGCGATGAGGGCAAGGGCGTCCAGGCTCACCTCATTGAGTGCTACAAGGGCCTATTCTTCGATGCTCCTCCCGACTTCAACGCGAACGATTCCGCCAACTATATTGCGAAGAACATGATTAGCCTTACCTTCGGCACGACGCCCGCAGAGCTCACATCTCTGGAGCAACTTCTCAGCACAATGATGAAGCAAGGGCTTGTGAATGAGCTTGTTGTTCAGAAACTCTGGCAGGTGTATGGCTACCAAAAGAAGGACATATCGAAGAATCAACGCCGGGGCGCTATCATCGTTCTAGGTATGCTTGCGCTTGCCGATTCCAACATAATTGTACAAGAGATGGAAGCGTGTTTGCGTATCGGCCTGGGCGAGCTTGGTCGACGAGATCTTGGCTTAGCTCGATATACCTGCATTGCGCTCCGTCGAATAAGCCCCCCGCCTGGCAAGCAGAACGCCGGTGCACATCCTACACAAGCCGTCAAGCTGCCCAACGACCACGCCGTACTAGTGAGGCTAGCATCCATGTGCGAGATCGTGTCGGATAACAAGGAATGGTTTGGGGTTGCGGAACAGGCCATAAGCGCTATTTACGTCCTGTCGAAACACCCCGATGTTCTCTGCTCAGAGATTCTCCGGCGGAAGATCAAGTACGTCTTTGCGCCTCGAATCTCCTCACGACCTTCATCGAGTAGATCAGATGTGGAGGAGGCCAGCCAGGTGCCGGGTCCAGCTGAAGAAGCAGCGCCAGAACCGCCAAAGGAAGTTCAGCCACAACCCCCAAAGCAGAACTCTGCACTCGCTCTTTCACAGCTGCTGTTCATTGTGGGGCATGTAGCCATTAAGCAGATTGTCCATCTCGAACTCTGCGAGCTGGAGTTCAAGCGACGAAAAGCTGAGAAGGAAAAGAAGACCGCACCTACACCACGCAAGTCCCTCGCGGCGGAGAACCCATCGCCCGTGAAGAAAGGCAGAAAGAAGTCAGCCGACAAAGAGCAGACTCCTGCTCCAGAGGAAGCCGACGAACTTGATCTCATGGCCGGCACGACAGAGGACGACTTCACTGAAGCCATTGCCCACATCCGTGAACGCGAGCTTCTCTACGGTCCGCAGTCGCTTCTCGCAAACTTCGGCCCCCTCGTGGCGGACATTTGCGCCAATAACACCTCGTACAATCATCCAACACTGCAGGCGCAAGCCGCTCTCTGCTTAGCGAAGCTCATGTGCGTGAGCTCGGAATATTGCGAAGGCAACCTCGGTCTCCTTCTCACTATCCTCGAGCGAAGCAAAGATGCTGTTGTTCGCAGCAACCTTGTTGTTGCGCTGGGTGACATGGCGGTCTGCTTCAACCACCTCATCGATGAGAACACCGACTTCCTTTACCGCCGCCTCAATGATGGCGATCCGAGTGTGAAACGCACATGCCTCATGACACTGACCTTCCTTATCTTGGCCGGTCAGGTTAAGGTTAAGGGTCAACTGGGTGAGATGGCGAAGTGTCTCGAAGACAGCGACAAGAAGATTGCGGACATGGCACGTATGTTCTTCTCTGAGCTTGCGACCAAAGACAATGCCGTGTACAACCAATTTGTGGATATGTTTAGCGTGCTGAGCGCCGACACGGCGTTGGACGAAGACGCATTCAAGAGGATCGTAAAGTTCTTGTCTGGCTTCATTGAGAAGGTGGGTTTCCGGACTACCGTTCCCTTCACAGAGAAATCCAGCTAATCAACTACAGGACAAACATGCCAAGCAGCTCGCCAACAAGCTTGCTGCCAGGCTCCCGCGAGTGGAGAGCGAGAGGCATTGGAATGATGTCGCGTTCACATTAGGCCAGCTGCAACACAAGGACGAAGAGATCCAGAAGATGCTCGCAGAGGGCTTCAAAGTTGTGCAAGCGGCAGCGTGACGTGTATGAAATGTTGATGATAAGGCTTATGACGGATGTGATATCTGGGTGGGGGTTCCAGTTGGATGCTGGATTCGGCGTTGGGTTGGCTTGCATGACAGGTCCCAGGATATGGATGCTACATAATGATTCTTTTCATCGCTTCGTTGCTATGCCATTATCGTCCTGTTTCTCAAAGAAAAAAGGCTTGCCGCATCCAGCCAACATTTCCAGATCTCAACCGCGCCTGCTGTGGTTGACCAGTCGCAAAGAAACATTCACGCTGAGAATCAATATTAAACTAGCTTGTTTTGCCCTAGCGTGTCGTAAGCGACTTGCAATGGACAGCAACCTCGCATCGCGAGCTTCCACGCTTCGTTCAATCCAAGTTTCGCAACCACCGGCCAAATTATTGACGAGCCACGATGGGGAGTAACAAGGGCTCACGACGCTTTCCATTTTGGGCACGGATCCACTGTGACTGCTGCACAGTCACAATTGTCATCACGAGCTACAGCCATGGATCTTCACACTAGCCAACGCTTTGATCCTCTCGCTAGAGCGTCGGCAGTAGCCTCAGCAATTTCGGATGAATGAACGACCTCAGGGATTGATCGCACACAGACTGTGCCATATCCGAGGTCCTGTTTTCTGGACGTCGTCTCCTACCTACTGGACGGCTTGTGCAACAATGCAGGCACGACGTCGAAATATGGCAGGCAGACGCATCCTCGACTGTATCTGCATGACAGCTCAATGTAGAAATGTTTCAGAAGAGTGGGATTTTGGTGGATGCTCTCGTTTTGGCGAGCAAAAGGCGGCGTTCTGCTCCGCTGTTTCACTAGTCAACGTCAAAAGGAAAGGCCCGAACCTTGACGGGTCACACTTTCGGCAGAACGTGACTCCCGCGAGAAGATCCGCCTCGAGATGGTTTGGTGCATTGCTTGGGCTTTTGGCACCCAAGGTTGACCCTTGTTGTGTCGGACGTTGACGTACTGCATTGAGAAAGACCGAGAAAAGAAAGTTTAAAGTTGATATCAACACGGGTATGATCATATGATCGGCTATGATTCGGAATTATGAGCTTTGAAGCAAGACTGAAGATTGGGTGCAGGTGGCGCAATGGTTAAATGTGAGGATACGAGAGCGATGACGAGGTTGTTTAAGTTGGGGAAGCTGCTCGGAGATCAGCAACGATGAGCTCTACGTGTCCACCTCGACAGTGAAGGCGCGCCTCATCCCTTGGACAGCGGATGGACAGGCCAGAATCGCCTCGTATCTCGATCGTTATCTTTCTGGCGAGTCACCCGCACACAGTAAACGGGATGGAGCCGATGTGGGTCCGCCTTTGCCTCATGGTACCTTGCAGCCTGCTCCCCGGAAGATCAGCTACCGGCATACGTCTTAGCCTTGCCGACACCGCATTGCCATTGGGTCGTTTCTGCGACAACCTGCATTGCTATCGTTTCCCCTTTCCTGGGTCCGGGGTTGGGAGGTCCAGGCCTATTGAGGAAGAGGTGCACTGGCGCGTGAGAAAGGCTCGCCGATAGTGGCGGATGCTTTGGTGAGCTGATGAAAATACGCGAAGGTGTACGGCTACGAGCGAGTATGTGGACCAGTAAGTGCCGAAGAAGCCTTCTCGTGGTCGCTTAACTTTTTGAAAGTGCAGCTATACATAGTGTGAGAGTTCTGCACTGTCAACTTGATAGCGAAGCAAGCCAAGTAAAACAGCGTAGCAGGGGTTACCACGCCCACTGGATACTCATAAATTCGCACAAGTCCCGCTCTCGGGCGTCACTCATTAACCTTCGCCCGAGCGCGCTACTCACGATGTCACGGTCAGAACCTCTCCCATCGCCTTTATTCCTGAACTCATCCTGCGACGACACTGTTTTCGGATCACTTCAAGCACATTCGCATCAACATATTAGGCACGCAGTCGAGACTCTCAATTCGATCGATGTCTTGGCTCATCGACATGGTCTCTACCTTATATTGGCCATTCTAGCTATTTATTCTTTTGCCGGTCTTTCTCGTAGAATCGATGCTCCCACAGCGGGGCGGCGTGCTTGTGAGCCGACATGGCTCTTACGATACCGCTTCATCATAAACTCCAGGCGCATCATACAAGAAGGGTATGAGAAGGTCAGTCAACATCTCCACTCGTGGTCTGACATACACTGACCGCGACGTCAGTTCAAGAACAGTTGCTTCATTGTGAAGCGACTGGATTCGGACCTACTCGTCCTTTCAAATAAGTACCTGGAAGAATTGAGCTTCGTCCCCAAAACGAAGTTGAGCAATGTTCACTCGCAGGTGCAGGTACGTTGTCTTGCTCCAGTAACGTTCATTGAGGCAAACGGTTATCTCAGAATATTCTCGGATCGTACACCTATAGCACTTTTCTCTTGGACAGCGATCAACATGTTCGCGTGGTTCAGAATTTCTTGACTCCAAATCTCAAGACCTTCCTTTCGCGATCAAGAGAAGAGCTTGATTTTTCTTTTGAACACGATGTCCCGCAAATAAACGGTGCGTTATAAGTAGCCCGCTTGTAATGACTCTCGTCCTCATTGACTTACCGCGTCACAGAATGGGAACCGGTCGACATTCAGCCCATCCTGCAGAAGATGGTGGCTCGAGTTTCTTCCCGAGTCTTTGTTGGAAGCCCTGCATGCCGAGACGATGCGTGGCTGAAACTATGCTTGGAATTTCCCATCAACGTCTTCGCAACAGCTTTTATCATGCGCCTCTTCCCTCCTTTCCTTCATCCAATCGTTGCATGGACCCTTCCAACACGATATCGGCTCCGGAAAAATCTGAAGCATGCAAAAGAGCACGTTGCGCCCATAGTTGCCCAATACATGAGCCGAGGTGCAGCATCATCAAGCAAAGAAGAGATATCCAGGGAGAAGAGTACGCTACTCGAATGGATGATCGGCAATGCGCAAGGAAACGAAGCGGATCTAAACAGCTTGTCGCCACGGCTTATGTTCCTCTCCCTAGCTTCAATCCATTCTACCTCTTCAGCCACTGCAGCTGCCCTCTTCGACCTCTGCGCTCATCCTGAGTACATTGCGCCACTACGAGAGGAGATAATGGAGATCACTGGCGGAACCAATCATTCCTGCAAAGAAGACCTTCAGAAGCTATGGAAGCTGGACTCTTTCCTACGGGAGTCGCAGCGGTGCAATCCACTCACGCTCTGTAAGCTGCTTTCAAGGCGTTCCAAAAACTCTACTGATATATCCGCCAGTATCACCCCAGCGCCTCGCCCTGACACCCCTCACCCTCTCCGACGGCACCAACATTCCCGCAGGCACACACCTCGCGTTCCCCTCATCCGCCCTTTTCACCGACTCCTCCGTTGTCCCTAACCCGGACACCTTCGACGGCTTCCGCTCCTACCGCCAGCGCCTGCAGCCGGGCGAGTCAACGCGCCATCTCATGGTGTCCACCAATAGGAACCACCTCTACTTTGGCTATGGCAAGCAGGCCTGCCCAGGACGGTTCTTCGCAGCGAACGAGATAAAAATGATACTTATCAGGTTTTTGATGGAATATGATATACGATTTGCGGAGGGGAAGAAGAAGCCAAAGTGGTGGACGATTGACGAGATGGTGTTTGCGGATCCGCGTGCGAGGGTTGAGATGAGGAAGAGGGATATTTGAGTGCGTCAGCTACGCTGACTGGAGCCTCATTCGCTCGACTTCTTCAACGACCGCCTCGACTTCTATTTAGATTGTTTCTGTTTCCGTCGCTTTCTATTTATGCACTGCTTGTCATGGAGGTATTGCCTATCTACTCTTTACACACTCGCTTTGTAATCGCTCATTGAAAGAAACGCATGGGAGGAATGTTTGTCATGGGCAGTTTATTGGGCGACGATACCCTGCGAAGGATACGACTTCTTGTTCATTACGACTGGACGGCCAGATTGAGGGCATGGAAGCTATTCTAGTATATAGCGAACGGATAGGGTAATTCGGGATCGCTGATGCCTGCACCAAATACTCGGTTCCCATTCACTTGACTTATTGCCATGGTACTATTGCTTTTGAGCTACGGACTGACCACGAATACTAGGTATCGAAAAGAGGCTGCAACACTGCATCGCCGCTTTTGGAGCGGTGTCGCACCATGAGCATACTGCCATGTTCAAAAGACTGGAGGTCGATGCGGTTAGCTTTTACCTCTGGAGTTACATCTCGAAGCCCACACATAGTACCCTATTAGTTTTCAACATCTTTCATTTGTCTATTGTGTTCAAAAAAGTACCTATGCTTTGGCCTACGCAGAGAAACATCTATTAGCGTTGAGCCGTTACGAGTCGCAGCACCGTCCATCCTCCAAATCGTTGGCAGCGGTAGCGACGGCCTGTGCTCTTGTTCCACTGGTCCAGGGTCATCGTCAGATCCACCATGTAGTCGGAATGCTAGACAGCAAGTTATTCGAAGAACCCACAGCGATGCTCTCGGACAGGCTGATACAAACTCAAATGCCCTGGAAAGGCCTCGCGTTGTAGAATTTCCACCCATCCCCGGTCTCAAAGTTGTACGCAGGGTAGAATTTGATGTTCTGAGGAAATGGTGCTGCCATAACGCCATAGCCACTCCATTTGCGAGACATACGGCCCAGAGTGTCTACGGTAAGTCGATCAAACCCATAGTGGTAGAACGGTGCAGTATACCGTTTCCGGGAGGCAAGCTGGACGATTCCTGCTATGGTGGATAGGCAAGTGCAGGTTAGAGGCGATGTGAAGCACTCCAAGATGACGTTGAAGGTGAGATGGTTGTGCGTCCGAGCGAATTCGACGAGGACACCCATAGCTTGCAAGTCAAATAGCTTCTTGTAGAAGCTCCGGACATTGCGGGTAACCTGCTCCTGGACCTCGACCACCTCGAGTGCATCTATCTGCTGGGCTGTACATCTCTCTAAGAAGAGCGTGCAGGTTGCAGCAGCGGAAGCCTCAGTCGCGCAGGCAAAGGGGAACACAAGGTAGCGGCATGGCCCCAGAAGTAGTCGTGCTGTCTCGTGTCGAAGTTGACGGCAGACGAATTTCATCTGATTGATGCCTTCGGCTGGCGAACCCGGATCTGACGACCGGAAGAAGTTGAACGCTACCTCATCGGTCTCGGATTTGAAGCAGTAGATTGGGCTGGATCCTGTCAGGACGTGCTCGCAGATCTTGTTTCGCACTTCACCAGGCAACCGGAGGAATCGACTCCCTGCTTGAGCTTGCATTCCGCGCGGTTGGTGCGGTACACGCTTTATTTCAAGGATATCTCTGGTAAAGACGCTCGATGGACTGTTTGCGTATACACGGGAGGGATTGGTTGTAGGTTGGCTGGTCTATTAGGCGTGGGTGAGGAAGGTGCTATAGAACTTTGCCAGCAGCGGTGCTGCAGGTCTAGATAGGAATGTACGCCTTTCACAGGTCAGAGCACAAGCGCAAACCTCTCCTGGAGGTGGTCAGAGAGATAGACGGGTTGGGAAGCATCACGGTAACTGGCGGCACCGCCATGGTCCTAGTTGCTCTCCAACTCGGCATCTCTCAATACGCAGTCATCGATTCGCTCGACCTCGTCATAAAGAAGATGCGAGCATACTACATATCATCTCTCAATACGGTTGGTTGTCTCCGCGGGTTATTAGCTTCCTCGCCCTGGGCCCTAGCATGTACATGGTCTTTTTCCTCGTCGAGTGGAAAGTGGCCAAGCATCCTTTGGTGCCAATTCAATTCTTCGCGACGATGCCACGCATTGCGATCTTGATGGGCGGCTTCCTTCAAGCCCTGATCATGACTGCTACAACATACTTCATCCCGGTGTACTTCCAGGTCGTGTTAGCTGCATCGCCGCTGAAGTCTGGGGTATATTTCCTTCCTACCACTCTCACCCTCGCGATGTTATGGGCCACAATCGGACATGTAATAAAGAAGACTGGGCAGTACGTACCTTGTATTCGTTTCGGCGCAGCTGGGTTACTTCTTGGGACTGGCCTGCTTATCGACACCAAAGGTTACATCAGCTGGCCACACATCATCTGCTCGCAGATCATCATAGCTGGCGGCCTCGGATTAACATACCAAGCGCCCTTGATTGCATTCTAGGAGGAAATCTCCAAAGAGGACGCGTCAGCGGGTACTTCCACCTTCCAATTGCTCAAACAGTTCGGACAGGCCGTCAGCATCGTTTTCGGCCAGCTTGTAATCCAAGGGTATATTAGGACACACGCCGGGGACCTCCTCCGCATCGGTGTCTCTCAGATTACGATCAGTGATCTGACTACTGGGCAAACGATAGTGTCGATTCTAGAGACGGAGCCCAAGTCAGGACCAGGCATTGCATTGCGCGAAATGTTCGTCCAGGCTCTCAAGATGATGTCAGTGCTCTACACAGCGTTTGCAGGCGTTGCACTCATAGCAAGTTTTGGCGTGCCAATGAGAAAGATACCTAGAGACGCGTCGAATGAGGAGCCGGCTGATGCCGCGGTTGAAAAGGACTAGTAGGAATAAATATCATCTCCCCGAATACATCTGCACGATTTCAGAAAAGAAGGATGAGTGCCGATACATGAATTCATAAAGTGTCCCAGTAAAAAACCACAACCATCGAACTACTGAAGGAAAAATGCAAAGAATGGAAGGGAACGACAAGCATCCAAACAGTGGTACAGTACAAACAAAAACATAACGCCAAGAATGCAGAAATCAATCCATGTAGATACCTCGGACCCAAAGCCTACCCTGGTGGAACACCGGCCCATCCGATCATCTCATCTCCAATTCCTCCGCTTGTGTTTGACGGAGCAATGTACCTCTTGGCAGCGTTTCCTCCAGTAGCCTGCGCCGTGTTCGTACTCATCGTGATCGTATCAAAAGTGGTTATGACCACGGTGATGGTCCCGGTATTAGGAGTCGTCAAGGCAGGAGAAGCATTACTCGGTTGCACAGTGCTTGGGGTCTTCGGAGGCTCCATAAGGCTGTTAGGCCCACCAGGAGGTGCAGCACTCGTGCCCGTTGCGGGTTGGCTCGTCGGGCCAGGACCGTTACTTGCGAGAGTCGAGGCGCTCGTGTGAAAAGTAGTTCCCGGTGGTGCAGCGTTTGGCGGAGATTCCGCATTAGCAGCGGCCGGTGCTGTAGGCAGAGCTGGTATATTAGTACCGGTAGATGCCCATTCCTCGTAGGCTGAATATGCAGTCCTGCTCTATGTCAGTGTTGTGCTTGCGGATGCAATCTCTACCATGTAGGTGGACTGACCCATTCCCGTTCCCAACGCAAACCTCAAAGTACAGATCCCCGCGATACTCTTCATGGCACGCCAAACTCATCTCTCCCTCTCTGGTTTTGTCGTAATTGTAGATTCCGTCGCAATAGCTCTGCCCGTCGCAATAGATGGGGCGGCATTTCTTCGAGTCGGTGAACCACAGAGCCACTCCCCCTTGATACCCTGGGCATCCATCAATCTTCTTCTGATTCCACTCTAACTCTTGGCTCGACTGCACATCAGTCATATTCGCATGATCGGCGGGCGGCTTTGCGCAGTCTAGGAGACTAATATCGTAATCCAGTCTCCTGAATTTATCGCGAAGGGGATTCTGCACGAGCGAGTATTCAAGCTGTAGGATATTCGAGAGATCCCCTGTGACGTTGGATATCTTGATAGAGATTCCCTGGCCCGGCATTTTCTTCAGCGTGGAGTCCATACCCACTCCCTCCTTGGGCACCACAACGCGGTATGCTTCGTGGTAGGTACCGCCGGCCGGAATAGTGAACTCGTCGTTCGAGTGGTCGGAGCCTTCAAGCCATGCACCAACTGAATAGGCGTAGAGGTCGGAGCCGCAGGAATTCTTAATGTATACCGATCCATACTCCTCGCCTGGGTCCACTGGGGGAGCTTCATTCCTGGGGAGGATGTAACTGAGCACGGAAACTGGAAGGAGCACTGAAAAGAGGAGTGATTTTGGGCCCAACATGCTGAATGAGAAGCTACTAGATTCTAGAATATGTAAAGACGTTGTAGTACGCGATGGCGTGGAAAACCGGTTGGGGATATGCTTTCGATGCGGTAGTAAAGATGTGGTAAATGTTGAAGGAAACTTCGAAGATGGAGAGCAAGATATATGCGGTTTGTATGAGTACTTATGAGCCTGCGTATATGAGTAAATCTCTTTCGAATTTAGACTCATACCTAAAGCTTCTTCGTCGCTTACTCCCTCTTAACACCAACCCTTCCAATGCCCCTCAAGCCCCAAATGAACAGCAACCCCGTCGCGCAACTACCGGCAAACAAATACCAGAAAGCTGCCCGGTATCCTTCCATCAGGGCGTCTGGACTCTCCTTGTCTACCACCTTGCTCTGCTCAGTGATGCTCGCGGCGATGACGCCACTCGTCGCGAGGCCCACGCTCTTCCCAATCTGCGCAATAGTATTGAATACACCCCCGGCGAGCGCTTGTGTCCTTGACGGAAATACGGAAGTGATGACGAGGTTCGACACCGTAAAGAGCGCATCCGCACCGATCGGGTTGAGGAACACGGCCGGGAACGCGCACGCCCAGTACGCCCACTCAGGCTGAATAATGCACATCAACAACGCGCCTATGCTCGTCATCGCGATGCCGAAGATGACAGCCCAGTCCGCACGCACCTTGTGCGCAATAAGCCCCATAACGAGATTAGCGAGGGCGCCGGAAATCGGTGCAGGCAGGAAGCGGACCGAGGTCTGAATGGCGGAGATCTGCTGCACGTCCTAGAAAAAGAGGGTGAGAAAGGACTCGATGGCGTTGAATACGCCCCATGTCATAAAGACGCCGATGCAGATTGTCGTGAATATACAGTTGCGCCAGAGTGAATTGGGGATTACGGCAGGTTTGCCGAGGTTCTCTTGACGACCGACCCAGAGAATGAAAGTGGGAATTAGAGCGATAGAGATGATCAACATTGCTAGAGTCGTGGGCTTCCGGATGCTGGATGTACTTTCGCTGATGAGGCTAGGGGAATGAGTATCACGAACAGGACGGCGAGGAAGGAGAACTCACGCGAATGAGTAAGACAGCATCGCCAGAGACGTACTGCCGATCACGATTCCTACCCAGTCAATCTCCGTAGCGAGACGTCTCCATACGTGAGGCTGCTCTTCATCGATCTTCGGCAACCCGAAGAAGCTGACAATGAAGATAATCGTGTTGATGATGGCAGCGATATGGAATCCCCATCGCCATCCAATAGTGTCCGAGAACACGCCTCCAAGTGTAAGTCCCAGAGAGAACCCAATCGGTTGCCCGCCGCCCATGGAAGCAAAAGCGATATTCCTACGCTTGCCTTCAGGGAAAGTGCTCGTGATGATACTAACAGCAGAGGGAAGACAGAAGGAAATGGCGATACCAGCAAATGCCCGGAAGATGATGAGCTGTGTGCTAGTCTGTGCAAGGCCGCAAGCGAGCGTAAACCCAGATTGCAGAATGCAGCCAGTGAGATACATTGGTCTACTGCCAACCACATCTGCAACGGAGCCCAGGAGAAGCAGCGTGCATCCGCATGTCAAGGCATATATTGAGATGGGCCTGCAATGCGTCAGCTCCATTCTTTCGACTCTGATCTGACTCACAGTGACTGTACTTACCATAGCAACACATTTGCCGGAATCTGTAATTCGGTGGCCATAGTAGGCAGGCCTACTGTGACTAATCCAGCTAGCAGACTGGAGATGCCAGTGACACATACTACTGTGACTAGCACGATCGTTGTCGTGCCCTTTGTCGGGTTTTCGGTTTGCTCAGCCGATACTGCATGAGCAGGCGCATTGATGGGTCGAAGATCCTCGGTCAGCGGAGGTGTGCCATAGCCCTTCACATGAAGGCTTGGGGGCTGCGTAATTAGTACAGACGCCGGATACGGCTCCAATTCGATTGACGTAGATGAGCGCGACATCTTGAAGTATGAATCGGAACGTCGAGACGGGGACTTAGGAGGTCGCGGGCGACTTTAAATTTCTGAGCGCGGAACTGGGTCCGTACCAAGCCCGCGCTACGGCGGGCTGCGTTAGTAATGGACTCATGGTAGTCGATGGCATTTCTCTTTTATCTTGGAAGATAGAAGAGTGAGACGTAATGCAAATATGCTGTTGAGGAGGCGTGGCGAACTATTAGTCAAGTTACGAGAGATACAGAAACGCGATGACTGAGATAGGCTCTACGTGATGACATAATGGCAAGTTCCGATTGTCGGAACTGAACAAGTAACGGCACCGGAAAAGATGCAAAACCTACTGATGAGATATTCTGACGTCGATGAATTTCCTCTTCAAATCCCCTTGCGAATGTGGAAGGAGTTTACATACGCGCAGGGATGACTGTGCCAGATTAGGACGGTGGGAGAAAGACTGTTCGTTGAAAACTACACGATTGGCGCAGATACTTTCTCTGAAGCGGCGACTATGCGAAGGAGAATGCAAAGCGGGTCCAAGGCTGTAGAAGCGAGAGTTGGATACGACGTTGGGCACGATAAGGTCGGGTTAAATAGATCGTGCGGAGGGAGACACAGACCTTGGGGCTTGGTGGTTCAGCCTAGGAGCGGCGTTGTACGTTTACCAAAATCGCAACGTAAAGGTATTGAGATGGGCTTAAGGATGTCCTAGGAGGTAACAGTCGCCGTCAGGATGCCTCGAGGCTAATTTGGGGATGTTGTGCATGAAAAACCCACTGGCCGAATTCGGACTAGCGTAAGCTGATTAAGCGCTTGGCTGAAATGCCGAACCTTCAAGGTTCCGAGGGTCTTCAACCTCTCGAACGCTCCAACCCATCGAGCTGAAATCCACGACAGCTGGACATTGGGATATAGCACGTCGATATGCGCTCGTACTGAATCTGCATCAATCATGTTCACCGGTGCTCCTGGCCCCCGGTGGCGAATCTCCTCGTGCAGTCCTTTCGGCCCCCACACCACCTCCTCGCCATCTCAGCTGGAGCTAGCACCCATGTCCAGTCCTCCGGCAAGGCTGAAGCCATGGCCCTCCATTCGCTGGTCGTTTATTGAGTACTAATCCATGCTGCACAGACGTACCGCAAATGGCATGTCATACCATGGAGAGTAGCCTTGCTGACTGGTGCCTTTCGTCTTACAGTTTGCCTAGTCCAGGAGGTCGCGCCACCTATACCAGTATTAAAGATTCGTTACACCACCCCCTCCTCGCATCTTGTCCGCGTCTACATTTAGCATATTCCTTTACCGCGCGTCCGTCCACCTCTTCTTCCCTTCACTGAGTTTCCACTGTCCTTCGCCCTTGTAGTCTCCTGCTGGAGTCGGCCAACATGGCTACCAACGCCTCCAGCGGGTCTCAGAAGGAAGACACGGACCTCGGATCGTTATGGAAACAAGCAATCGACAAGTATATCAAAGACACAGGCCATGACCTCTCCCGTCTGAAAGCCCAGAGTATCTCCGACATCAAGAAGGCAGCAGAGAGCGATGCACAAAGCTTTGAAGGCTTTCGGCACAAGGGTGACAAGGCGGATAAAGTGCGGAGCGCGTTCGGTGACCATATGGATGCTATGCAAAAGTGTTGGAAGGGCGTCGAAATGGTGGGAGCCGCCGCCGGAGCATTCCCTCCGGCTATGCCCGTAGGCATTGTGTTCGCTGCATGCGGGAATCTACTTTCTGTAAGTCTACTCGACCTTTGAACGTTACATGCCCTAACAGCGATAAAGGCATTTGCTTCTGTCAGCGCGGAGTACGATAAAGTGCAGAATTTCTTTCTCCAGTCCAGCCGGTTTTTCGAACGCCTGTCCTTGATCGAGGGCAAGACCAGCGATGCACAACCCTTGAGAAAAGCCATAGTTCGAGTTTTTTCGACTCAGCTCTCAATATGTGGCCTGGTCGAAAATAGAACCAAGCAGAAAGCAGCGCGCTTCAGTACATCTTGCCCCTCATGCCCCGCTGTGGATACAAAACTAACCTACGTGCAGAACAATGGCTAAGTGCTCTGTGGAATATGGATGATCCAGACCTCGCCAGTGCATATGCAAATTTGCAAGCTTGTATTGATGAATTGGGCGACACGGTCGGCTTCGCTAGCTACGCAGCAATCAAGTCCACCCAGGAAGTTGCACTCAGCGTCAGCTCCAAAACTGACGAAATCGACGCAAATATTCGGAGATTCCGCTCGGAACAGCGCGAAGACGTGCAGCTGCTCTATGAGAGAAGTCTGCACCTTGAAGCTCGCATTACTGAGGAATTTTCCTTCCATAGAGCTCATACCCAGGCGGGTTTCGACCGAACCGAAGCCGTGATCACCATGAATGCCGAGCGTCAGGATCAATCCTTGGCCAAATTCCAAGCCAATCTCGAGACGACGATCAAGAAGGCTCTAACAGAGAAGAGCAGAGTCGACGACCAAGAGAAGGACAAGCGAAAGCAGATGCCAAAAGGCAGTGGTAAAGGCGATGTGGGAGACAAGAAGTTCAAAGCAGTACGAAGTATCAAGGCATTCTTCGACGAAAAGAGCGATGTATTTCTCAGCTGGAGAGACGCACATAAAGAAACATCTGCCCAGCATCAGGATGTACAGGAGTCCTATGTTAACGGTACGGGCGAGTGGCTTGCGAGTGACTCGGTGTTTCAGCAGTGGACACAAGGCACGAATCCAGTGCTTTGGCTTACGGGGTCAGAGGGTATTGGCAAGTCATTCCTTGCCTATGCAACCTTGCGAAAGCTCGCCTCGCAGGCCGATGGACATACGTCTGTCGCCTATTTCTTCTTCAAGGAGGATTTTCCATACCTTCAGTCAGCGCAAAATGCTTTTGCCTGCGCCGCTCTACAGGTTGCCGAGTCGAATACCAGGTACGCGGAGTCGGTAGCAGCCAAGCTCAAGGAAGATGGCGAAACGTCGAAGGACCTCTCAACCTGGCATCGGTTCTTTCTCTCACCGTTCGCAAGATCCTCTCAAGGCTCAGACAATCCCTCCCCAAGTGGCGATCATCTCTACTTGATCTTCGACGGTCTAGATGAGGCGCAAGAACAGCAAAAGGAGGTCATCTCGCAGTTTCTTGCAGACCTAAGCAAGGCAAACTCCAGAGTGCGTGTGCTCGTCACCAGCCGGCCCGAAGCAGTCCCTCCTGTCGAGCGGCTCAATCCTCTCACCATCGCAATCACCAAGGCGAAAATACTACACGATATCAGAATTGTAATCTGGGATCGACTGAACAGCCTTGCACGCCTAAATAAGTTCAGTCTCGCGGCGAAGAGGTTCATACGACGGAAAGTTTCCAGACAGGCCGACGGTAAGCACATTCTTGGTACATCCGGCCTTTTGCTTACTGTCTCCTAGGGATGCTGTATGTAGAACATATACTACGGAGATTGTCCTACATTGGCCGCGAAGGCGCCGTCCGAAAAGAGCTAGAGAAGATGCCGGCTAATCTCCATGAGCTCTACAAGCTCATGCTCGATGACTGCCGAAGGAATCGGACAACAGAGCAGTATGACGCGCTGAAGAAGCTTTTCGCATGGCTAGCCTTCTCAAAACGCTCGCTTAGTCTCGCGGAGGCGTCAGAGCTGGTGAAACTTACGATAGGCAAAAGTGACTTTGACTTTGACGTTGAGGACGAGATCATTGGAAGATCATCAAGGTAATCTCTCTACTGACTGAGATGACGATCCAAGTATTGACCTGTGAGCAGGATACTCGAGCTCTCGCGGACGAGGAACCTCGACGACGACGACCTGAGAGATGACGTAAAGGATGATGACGACGAAGAGAACACCGAGGATCGCGAGGCAGCATTGGACGAATACCGCAATGCATCATTGACTTTCCAAGAACGATCCCTACGGCAGTACTTCAAAGCAGTCAGCGTTGAATCACATGGCGAAGAAGAACTCAGAACTCCAGCAGCAACCGCACATTTCACGATCTTATCCATGTGCATTGATATCCTCCTGGACTCTGCAAAAGTAGAAAGGGGTGGAGACTATTCCACGCTGTCAGGTTACGCAGTGAAGTACTGGTACGAGCACTTCAGCGAAATCAACCCAGAAGCGGCATCCACTGGCGAAGTTAGTCATGTGCTTACGGCGCTTTACCGGATCACGAGCAACGAGAACAACGTCGCGCAACTCTTTGAGCAACGAATCTATGCATCGGACGTCTATCCTAAGAGCGACGGAGAGACATCGCAACCTTGGTACGAGCGGCTCATGGGCTGGACCGCGCAATTGGCTTCGCTGCCTGCGTCATCGCTTGGTCCCGAGGTTGATGCATGGGCTAGAGAGATCAGCGCCAATCCAAAGAGTGTGCTCGACTCTTTGGCCCAGGGCCACATAATGAACTGGCTAGCCCACTACGACGAGTGGTTCATATCCGAAGCATATAGGTTTGCAGAAGCTGCACTGAAGATTGTAGGTAGCATCGCCTTGGATTGATGCTCTTGTGTTAACTCTTCGTAGACAGGTCACTTCAAAGAAGTGAAAGACGATCCCGAAAAGCAGATTCTTGCTGTCGCAGATGCCTATGAGGCCAAGGAGAAGGACGCTAAGGCTATGAGGGCTATCGGAACACGCCTCTTCTACTACGCAATGGAGTCGTCTGAAAGCGACGACCGCAAGGAGAAGCTACACACAGATGCCATCCGATATATCAAGAATGCCCTGGATATGATGGACGATGATCCGTTTGAGAAAGGAGCCACCTTCCTGATTCTGGGCTATTTGTACCCGGCTAGGAAAGAATACAAGAACTCGGTCGAATACTTGGATAAAGCCTTGACAACCTTTTCGCAAGTTCAAGCAGAGCCCGGTTCTGCAATGCGGCACAAATTGGACGATCTCTACCGTCCTTACTACCTGTGCCTTTTGAAAGCGGATTATTCCAACGAGGCTGGCGACAAGGACACTGCAATGGCGATGTACCATGAAGCTAGGAAACTGGCTGGTGAGGAAGGCATCGGTAGCTATTGGCTCGATAAGATGACGCATGTGCTGGACGAGAAGACAGACCTAGACGGCCACCGCCTCATGGATATGCTCAAATCCTGGACCGAAAAAGACCGGAACACCTGGTTTGAAGGTTGCCTTCAATATTCGGCCGACATCGAAGCCTTGGAGACGATGTATCGTGCGGCCAAGCTAACCAGTGAATCTGGAGTGGTCCTAGAGTGGTTGAACGTATTTGAGAAGACCCTCGCTCCGCGCTCTCTGATCCTCTTCAATCTGAAAGCCGCGCTGGCAGATTATTACCGTAGGGTCCTCGGAGACGTCGAGAAAGCCAAGGAAGCAATGCGTACGGCACTAAACCTCCAGCCGAAAGTCGACGGCAGCGAGGAAGATGTTCTCAATCTGCAGATATCCGAAGTCCGCATGGACCTTGCGGGTATCATCTTCTCTCAGTTCCGCCATTCGTCCGACCCGGCGCGGAAAGAAACACTACTTGAGGAAATGAAAAGCCTTCCCGGCATGAAAACGGACGACGAATTCCGTGAGTCTCACATCGGTATGCTGGTCGCAAATATGCTCAGAATTATGGGTCCAGCACGCGAGTACCAGAAATGCATGAACGACATCTTCAAGACCTGCATTGATGGGCTGGAGGACAGCGTGTCCTGGAATGATGGGGATTCGCTACGGTTGCTCGCTAAGGTGCTAAGCTCGCTGGACGGTCTCGAACATGACGCGCGTATCACCATTTCGGCTCAATTCTCAGTTATGGATCGAACTATCTTTGACGGCAGTGAGGCGGGATCAAAAGCGTCTTCTGTGAACGGTGAGCCTGAGGCTCCTACGGAGAATGGAGAGGTAGCTGAAGGAACTGCGACGGAGGATGGCGAGGTGGATGGGAAACCAATTGTTGTCATCCATGGGGACCATGCTGAGCCCGGGGCCGCGAAAAGTACGCCAACGATAACAAGCACGTCCGGAACGCAGGATTTAGATTCCTCACCGCCCGATGAAGATTCTTCCAACTCAAGCCAAGGTACGACCCGGTGTCCACTGCTACTCATACCATCACCTGACTCATACTTACTCATGAATACAGAGAGCACGATCAACGGCAACAGGGAGACGCAAACAACCCCTGACACCGAAGCCACTCCTCTACCAGACGAAGCAGTCCCAAAACCCGCCGACGACCAAGACATAGGCGATTTCAGCATCTTCTGCGACGGCAAATGCGGCCGCTCAATCAAACAATGGACCGAACCCTTCTACCTCTGCCTCATCTGTCCGAACACCGATCTCTGCGAGGAATGTCACGCTAAGCGGTCGGAGTGGAACGTCTCCGCCTCCACTTCCAACCAAACCCCCAGCTCTGAACCTGACTCGGACTCCGGGCTTGACACTACCGCTGAAGCTCCAACGTCCTGGACCACGTTCTGCGGCGAAAACCACCATTATATCAAGGGCCCAATGAAGGGGTGGAATGGTATCAAGGACGGCGTAGTCAGGATTGAGGATAAGGAGTTTGCGGTTAAGGACTGGATTCGGGAGATGAAGGAGGTGAGATGGCCAAAGGCTTGGGAGAGGTATTGGCTAAGGCAAGGCGGGCTCAAGGATATTGATGTGGAGTGAGAGCGGTATTATTCTCGCGTCCTTGAGCTTTTCCGCTTTCATTACAGGCAGTGCAATTAGCGATACTCCCAATCTTGTACCCCCTCGCCTCTCCTCTTCACGAATGCCCTACCCAATTTTTCCCAACCATCTCCATACCCGTCGTGTTCTACTCCCCCTTCCTCTATCTCTTGTAACTTTAGAAACTTATCCTCGTCCAACCGACTCGCCTCCACTATCTGCGCCATCCACTTCGCGTCGTCCGCACCGCGCAACTCACCCAAATATCGCTCTGTCTTCAGAAACACGCATTCTGTTCCTCGCACACCGCTCACGTCCCACCTATTCTCCCTAGTCAGCGTGATGCGCGTGTCGCAGTTTCTAGCTGAGCATGTTATGGTAGGCCACTTTCTATCCTCGTGCTTGGGACACCATCGCCCCCACCCGCAGCGAAGACTGCAGTCATGCCATCCAGGCAACGCCTCAAGCAACGCAACGTTCTGATCCATCAGCGGCGGCAACCACTCCACCGCAAACCGCGTATGCAAATGCGGACACACGCTCCAATTCGCCTTCCTCAATCCATCCAGCACCTTGCACTTCAAACCCAACTTCTCTTTCCCCTTCCCTTTCTTCTCCTTACCCCACATGACCTGCATCTCGCACAGCGGCAGCGCGACTTCGACTTTAATTTCCCGCCGGCCGGCATCTTCTGTCTCGCGGACTCTGACGAGGCTGGGCCCGGTGTTGGTGGACGGGTGCGCGCTGTTGCAGCGGATGGAGATGGGTTGCAGGAGCAGGCCGGCGTAGGTGACGCGGTTGTGGGGGCAGATTTGCAGGATGCCGGAGGCGCCGATGCAGATTCGCTTCTCGGGGTCTTTCTTCCTCTCCGAGGGCGTGAAGCAGCGCTTCGCGTGGGCGGCTCGGCAGATGCAGCAGACGATTTTCTCGTCTGCGAGGAGGCCTTGTCTTTCCTCGGCGCAGAGCGTGCGGAACGATGCTTGCCGTAGCATGTGGCTGTAGGCGCGGCGGTCCCACATGGTCCAGTGCTGCGTGGGTGAGTCAGAGCCGGGGAGGATGGCGTGGAAGCGCCGGCATGTTGCGCGGAGCGCCATTTGGTGGTGATGGAGAGAGACGCGGGGGGTCACGACGTGCGGCACTATGTACGCATGAACTTCCAGGAGGAGCTCTGTGGGGAGCGCATGCAGAGCGCTAGTCACTGAGTTTCGGGCTGTGATGTGCTCATTGGGATGGGCTTCGTGTGATGTTTGTCTTGGGCGACATGCTTCCTGTTGCTGCGCCTGGAGTGCGCCATTGCGGGACGGGCGCCGCGATTTCGGAAGGATGGTCGAGAGGAAAGCGCCCATTATTGCTAGGTCCTACTTTGTTCAAGGCGAGGTCATGTGAAGAATAGACTTTGGCCGGGAAATAAAAAGGAACGGAGAAGACTGGAGAGACGCATGTGGGGAGAAGAGAGATATGCACACCTTATCCGAAATGGATGCCTAGCAAAAGCACGCCGGGCTTCGCAATACGAACACATCGCCTACCCACATTCAGCCACCTCTTTCCCAGGCAGCGACCTGGCCAAAATCTGCTTCGAATATCAAGCTTTACGATTGTTTACTTGGCCTTTCGCGTTCGCAGTCTGGCGTAAATATTCCATGATGTGTCATCTCTCAAGCTCTCGCTCCGCCTCCACCAGCTGCAGGGCACCAATCTCACAGATCGCGCTAACCCCCTTCCAGCGGCCCACCAATGACAATGCTCGCGCTATAAACAACCATGACCGCCAGCCTCGCCGCACCGTATCTGCAACCTCGTCCCAAAATACGCAAAGATCTCGGATAGACGCGCGTAGCCTCTAACCGCGGTGCCGTAAGCGTAAACAGCCGGACCGTAGCGTAAGACATACGGCTCGAATATAATTCGGGAAGCGGCACAACGTGAGTCTCGGGATTCTGTAAGGCCACGGGGCAGTCGGGGTGCTACCTACGGGATCCCTTCGTCGGGAAGAGCGGATTGGGATTTATCTTTGTTAAAGGGTGTGGAGCCGTGGATACGGTCGAGCTGGCAAGAGGTCACGGGAGGTTTGTTGGGCGCTGTTGCATCACTGCAGGTGTGCATGAGGCACAGAGACCACGGAAAAGGGTAACAGGAGTTAAATATTAAAGGAGTGAATTATTTTCCAAACGAGGAATAACCCTCGTAAAAGTAGCGAAGCCGTAGTGCTTCATCAAAGAATATCAGGAGTAGAAGAAGAAGAAGAAGTGTAATCGCCAAAGCGAAAGCACAGCAGCAAAAGCCACTAATCGTAAATGCAAAATCCCAAACGCCGTCGCCATGCCGAAAAATCGGACGTCCAATCCCAATGCCATGCACTCTACCCATGCACCACTCCAGAACCACGGCCCAGTTCCTTAACCTCTCTAGTAGCCCTGGCCCTGGCCCTGGTCCTGGCACTTCGCCAGGCAGATATCGATGTCCTGGGCGATGTTCGCGGGGATCGTCTTGCGGAACTGCTCGATGTTCTTGCCATCAATCGTCTTGGGAAACCCGAGCGTAGCGTTGACGACATCCGGGTTGAGGCCGAAGAAATTCTGCGCGACCTGCGAGGTGCCCGGGTCTTCGGAGTTGAGAGTAGCGACAAACACGGCGGGCTTGCACTCCGGGTTGATCTGGTAGTGGATCGATCCCATGGGGAAGACAGTGCCCTCGAATTTGTTCAGCGTGCCCGCGATCTCTTGATTGTTGCCTGCCGCGACAAGTCCGTTTTCGAGAATGTATCCGAAGTTTACTTTGCCCTCGACCACAGTGAGAAATTCGGTAGCGCGGGGGTGGACGTGCGGTGTGTTGATACCGCACGCATCCAAGAAGCCCAGTGTCGTCGAGATGCCCAAGCCAGTCAGGATAGGGAAGGTTTCGATATTTGCTGCCTTGGTGGCGCCGCCCTTTGCTCCCGGTGCGGGCGTAGCGCCATTGAAGTTGAAGACGGTGAGGGCGCGGAGGGCTTCGCCGGAGAGGAGCGCTTCGCCGTTTGCGGTGAGCAGGCGCTGGAATTTCTTGACGGCCGTGGGGAGCGTGAAGAGGTCGCGGAAGAGGGCGGCTTGTTGTTGGGGGTCTGGGGTTGCGGCGGGAGGGGCCGGCGCGCCACTGGGAGTAGCTGACGGAGAATAACCTTGCTGTGGAAGGGCATGGACGGCGGAAAGGGTGGCGAGGCCGGCGATGAGGGTTTTGGTGATGGAAGGCATGGTGAATTGGATTACTGATTAGGTAGCGAAGGTGATTCGATAGTAAGGAAATGGAGAGGAAATGGAAATGGGAAAGGAAATAAGGTAGAAAATTTGAGATGGGAGTATGGTTTTGTGTGTTGTAGACAAGGAGATACTGAGATGGGAATGAGCGGTATGGTCGGTAGAGCGAGATCTTTATATATCCATCTCTCTCGTACGCCGCTGCGGAGTATCTACTACAGCTACGCCGGCACACCTTCAACCCGAAGTACCTAAGGTAGTTCCTAAGGCAGTACTAAGCAGCCGTCAACGAGGCTGTACACGACGACGGCTAAGAATAAGCTTATTTCTTTGACGTTCGTCATCCACTCAGTGCTAAAAACGACGATTGGGCGCATGTTTCGAAACGCGTTTGTTGGCCGTCAGCCGGGCGTGCGGTAGTGCTGTAGGCGCTGACTCTTGGCGCTGGGCGAGGTAGAGTGGCGCAGGGTCACGTAGAAGGCCGGCAGCACGGCATCTGTACAACGTGAGAAAAAGCTTGTTTGGAGTCGGTGATGCGCAACGTGGATGGATGAGGGGGATGATCTGTGGATTTCAGGTTGAGACTTTCTTAGTTGTCTTTGTCTGGAGGTCGGCTCCCCGCTGGAGATGGCGAGGCCACAAAGGCCGTTGCTATTCTCGTCTTTGGAAGAGTCAAACAGGCGTTCAACAAAGGCCACGTGCCAGACTCAAGCAACGACGACGTCTCAGACACGCTGTTGACTAGCGCGATGAAGGAACGTCGGAGGTCGGTGCGATGTCGCGATGGTTCTCTAAGCGGGAGCAGCCTAGATCCCCCAGCCTTGGCGCTGGGGTGGGTAAGCGTTCCATAAATAGTGCAGGGTTCAGAGAGAAAATTTCCTCAACCGACTTGACGTGGCATTTCCTTCGGAAATTTGACGGTGACTTTGCTGTGCCTCGGGCGAACAGCGCTCGCCTTCTGGGCGCTTATGGATGCAAACGTAAAATTGGATGAATTCGAAGGAAGCCCAAAGTCAAAAATACTATGCTAACAAACAACGACACGCTCCGAAAATGCTCGCTGATGATATCGTAAACGAGGCCGGAAGGAGATGACAGGAGAGCATCAGCGAGATACAATCTATATGATGAAATCAGCCGTTAGGGAAAGAGACTAGGTGGAGACGACTTCGATATCCATCCCGCTGTCGACCACGGACCAGAACGGCAACTCGTCGAGGGTGAAGCCATCATCAGAGGGAATCGACGGTGGGCCTGGCGAGTGCGGAATCCCTCCATCCTCCGGCTCTTCCACCTCCACGATGTGCTCAGCATTCGAATAGCCTCTGTCCTCAAAGACGAGAGACGATCTGTCACCGGGTCCCCGAACCCGGCGGCGCAGACGGCGGGCGTTTGAGTCGACGTCGTCGTGAGGATCGTTATCGGAGTAGCTGCTGTCGCCTTCGATGCTCTGGCTATGGCTGCGCTTGTAGATGCCAGCGCTCCATCGCTTCTTCTTCCTTTCGTATCTCCTCTGTCGTTCCTCTTCGTCAGATGAACCTTCTTGGCAGCGTAGTTGGTTGAACCTGTCGAGGAATCCATTTTCTTCTAGTCTTGCCCCGCTCTTGTCGCTTTTGGCATCTTCGAAATGGTCCGGCCGTACCACCTCAAGGTCGCTGTCGTAGCCTGGATCGCTGTCTAATTCCTCGAGTACAAAGTCGGCGTGCTCGACCCGGCGGGCGGGTCTTTCTTCCTCGTATGCACTCTCTTCGTCAGATTCGGTCTCGTCTTCGGACTCTTGCGGCGTGGTGGCATAGGCGCGCCCGGAAGCAGTAGACGGCCGCGATGATGCCTCATTTGACTGCGGGCGGGTGAAGCGAAATTGATGCCCGTCTCCGGTGGGCTGAATGAACTCCAATGGCGGGGACTGCGCCAGCCTCGAAAGACCCATGCGCTTGTATATCGGAGAGGTATGGCTAGTCTGGGGCGGATAGCGTGCGTGGGTGCGAGTACCGGGCGTCATGGGGGGCGAGGTTGGATGGCCGTTGGGGAAGGTGTAGGTCGGAGGACGGTCGGCCGTCTCCATGGCGGAGAAGTGGTGTGGTGATGTTCACCGGAAAGGTGACGCAAGGCTGGCGGGCGGATATCAGAGGTACGTATCCACGATGGCCTCGAGGTGTATCGGCACTCAGGGTATCAGGTTCCGACGGACGGGTCTATTCTGCAATATGTTGGGAAAGAGTTTCGCGGGAAATATCATTTTCTAGGAGTGATCTGAAGAGGAGCGTTCGACTGAGGTGTCTGAGCGACCAGTTAAGTGCGGGTAGGTGGGAGACTTTTACAGGTCAGACCCTGCAACGGCTTGGCTTATCGTGCGGGTGGAATACAGAAGGATATAGGCAGCAATGCAGGAATTGCAGGCCAGACGACCAAATTAGCCACGAGGTGCCGGTCAGTTCGGATGCAATGCGTATGTGGTGGCCGAATGGGAGGGTTAAAGAAGAGAGAGCAGAGGAGGCGGGCCTGCGGTGACGGCTTGGGTCTGGGGGCAGCGGAACAGCGCCAAATATTCACCTGCGTTTCAGCGCTGAGTTGGCGGCGGTGGTGCGGATCAATGTGCAGAGCGTCTTCCCTGCGAGGACTGCAATGGTGCTGGAAATGTGGTCGCCAGCTATTAGCGGCGGCGGGCTGCCAGCGTGCAATGCAGACTCGAACAATCTCACCTTGCGTCGAGCACGGTGGCGGCGTCCAATGGCCGGGGAGAGCAAAATTGCAGTGTGCAGGCCTGAGGAAGTGCTGGCAGCGCGGTGGACAGCTGGCGGGGAGCGGATTGGGAGCGGATTGGTGAGCGAGGCGGGGCAGGGTTCGGTGCCAGACCAGGGAAGCCGAACCACGCAGGCCGAGGTGGGTTGCGTGCGGTGGTGCGGTGTCGGAGCGATGAGGCTCTGGGGACGAGAATAGCGCCGATTGTGAGGAATTGGGGAATTGGGTCTGTGACGTGAAGAGCCTCAGGTCTTTGAGATCTGGATCTCGGGTCGATATCACGTGAGGCGGGGAGGGCAGTTGTGCGCTAGGCCGCAACGGGCAAGGTCGCTGCCGCAGATAATCCGTGGACACATTGAACATTTGGCGAGAACGCAGCTCGCGGGAGGCAGCAGCACCAGAGTTGAGCGCGCGACAACTGTTTCTTTTCTTTTCTTTTCTGTCCTCCCTTGGCTCGCCCACGTCTGCTGCTACTCCGTCCGCCGACTGAGGTCGTCCATTGCGCACAGGAAGCTGCGGCTTCTCCCTCACCGCCGCCATGTCGACCCCGTCCATGTTGACCAAGGCACGCAGCTCCCCGCCAATGTCACTGCACGCAGCTTGCTAACGACCGCAGTTCGAGTCCAAGTCCTCGCGGGCGAAGGGCATTGCCTTCCACCCCAAGAGGTAGCTACGCGCTCTCAGCCCCTTGCCTCTCCCGTTGCTGACCGCTTCAGGCCATGGATCCTCGTGTCGCTACACTCCTCCACCATCCAATTGTGGGACTACCGCATGGGCACCCTGATAGACCGCTTCGAAGAACACGACGGGCCGGTCCGCGGCATAGACTTCCACAAGACCCAGCCATTGTGAGCATCCCGCGAAGAATCCCGGGCGCGGGAATGGCGTAGCTATATACTGAGACGGGCGCAGGTTCGTCTCCGGCGGCGATGACTACAAGATCAAGGTCTGGTCGTACCAGACTCGGCGATGTTTGTTCACGCTGAACGGGCATCTGGACTATGTCCGCACCGTCTTCTTCCACCATGAGCTGCCATGGATATTGAGCAGCTCCGACGACCGTAAGCGGGGCGCTAATCCTATATATTGTGGCAGCGGCTAATGTATTTGCGCGTATAGAGACCATCCGCATATGGAACTGGCAGAACCGTAAGTCCGCCCTCCCTCATGAGGGTATGGTTGCTAATCGAGACAGGCTCCCTGAGTAAGTAGTCTGAACCAGCGAACAACCGCGTCTAATCCTTCCAAGTATGTACTATGACCGGCCATAACCACTACACCATGTGTGCACAGTTCCACCCCAAGGAGGACCTCATCGTTTCCGCCTCGCTCGACCAGTCCGTCCGCGTTTGGGATATTTCTGGCCTGAGGAAGAAGCACTCGGCGCCGACAGCCATGTCTTTCGAGGACCAGATGGCGCGCGCCAATCAGAACCAGGCGGATATGTTTGGGAATACGGATGCGGTGGTGAAGTTCGTTCTGGAGGGCCATGACCGCGGAGTTAACTGGGTTGCATTCCACCCTACCCTTCCGCTTATTGTTTCGGCCGGAGACGATCGGTTGGTGAAGCTCTGGAGGATGTCGGAGACCAAGGCGTGGGAGGTGGATACATGCCGAGGCCACTTCCAGAACGCGTCCGCGTGTCTTTTCCACCCTCACCAGGACCTAATATTGTCGGTTGGCGAGGACAAGACTATCCGAGTCTGGGACCTTAACAGGCGAACGTCTGTGCAGTCTTTCAAGAGGGAAAATGATCGCTTCTGGGTGATTGCAGCTCACCCTGAGATCAACCTTTTCGCCGCCGGTCACGATAACGGTGTCATGGTATTTAAGCTGGAACGTGAACGCCCAGCGTCAGCTGTGTACCAGAACCAGCTTTTTTACATCACCAAAGAAAAGCATGTCCGCATGTACGATTTCCAGAAGAACATCGAATCGCCGTCAATGCTCTCTCTGAAGAAGCTTGGTAGCCCCTGGGTGCCTCCGCGGACGCTCTCTTATAATCCCGCCGAGCGATCCATTCTCGTCACCTCCCCGACCGACGGCGGCACGTATGAGCTGATCAGCCTTCCGCGCGATGCTTCGGGAGCTGTGGAGCCTACGGACACGAAGCGCGGCTCTGGTACTTCTGCGGTTTTCGTTGCCCGAAATCGATTTGCGGTGTTCAGCCAGTCGAATCAGCAAATTGACATCAAGGACCTTGGCAACTCCACGACCAAGACTATCAAGCCTCCGCATGGCACTACAGACATTTACTTCGGCGGTACCGGTAACTTGCTCATGATTACTCCGACTTCGGTGGTCCTCTACGACATTCAAGCCAAGAAGAACCTCGCTGAGCTTGCTGTAAACGGAGTCAAGTACGTTATCTGGTCTTCCGACGGACTTCATGTGGCGTTGTTGAGCAAGCACAACGTTACTATTACTACGAAAAATCTCGAGCAGGTCAGCACCTTACACGAGACCATCCGTATCAAGAGCGCAACCTGGGATGACGCCGGTGTCCTACTCTACTCTACGTTGAACCACGTCAAGTATAGTTTGATGAACGGCGACAATGGTATTGTGCGAACTCTGGAACACACTGTATACCTGGTCAAGGTCAAGGGTCGGAACATCTACTGCTTAGACCGAGCAGCAAAGCCCAAGGTCCTCCAAATTGATCCGACGGAGTACCGATTCAAGCTTGCCCTTATCAAGCGAAACTACGACGAGATGCTCAACATCATTAAGACATCAAGCCTTGTCGGTCAGAGCATCATTTCGTACCTGCAGAAGAAGGGCTACCCTGAGATTGCACTTCAGTTCGTTCAGGATCCGCAGACACGTTTCGAACTCGCCATTGAGTGCGGTAACCTCGAGGTTGCGGTGGAGATGGCCAAGCAGCTTGACCGACCAAAACTCTGGCAACGTCTGAGCGCTGAAGCTCTCGCACACGGAAATCACCAGGTCGTCGAGATGACCTACCAAAAGCTGCGCAACTTCGACAAGCTTTCCTTCCTGTACCTCTCGACCGGAGACCAAGAAAAGTTAAAGCGCATGGCCAAGATTGCCGAGCACCGTGGAGACATGACTGCTCGCTTCCAGAACGCGCTGTACTTGGGCGACGTACAGAACCGCATCGAGATGTTCCAGGAGATCGACCTTTACCCTCTTGCATACGCCACCGCGAAAGCCCACGGACTTGACGAGCAAGCTCAGTCGATACTGGAGGCAAGCGGTCTCACCGAAGACCAGATCAATATGCCGTCAGTTGGCGCTCCCCTTGCGCCGCCGAAGCCAATCGTTCCCACATATAAGACGAACTGGCCGACGCGTGCTGCGTCCTCTACCGTCTTCGAGAAGGCGCTCATGGGTGAGGTTGAAGGTGTTGGTGCCGAAGAGCCAGCAACAAACGGCTATGGAGACGAAGATCTCCTGGGAGAGGCTGAAGCTCCTGGTGCTGCCGCCGGCGAGCTCGGCGGCGAAGAGGAGGATGACGTTGGTGGCTGGGATATGGGAGATGAGGGTGAGGTCGAAGCTGAGGACGATTTCGTTGAGGTGGAGGGTGCCGAAACGGGCGCCGGCAGCAGCGAAGCCGACCTATGGGCCCGTAACTCACCGTTAGCCGCAGATCACGTCGCCGCTGGCTCCTTCGAAACCGCGATGCAACTCCTGAATCGGCAGATTGGCGCCGTCAACTTCGCTCCGCTCGAAGGACGCTTTGAAGAGATATACCAGGCGACACGAACCTTCCTCCCAGCCACTCCGAACATGCCGTCGCTAGTTAACTACGTCCGGAGAACAGTGAATGAGACTGACTCACGGAAGATCCTTCCCATTATCCCACGCGATCTAGAGTCTATATTGACTTCGGAGCTGCAAGCCGGTAAACAAGCGATGGTCAAGAACCAGCTCCAAGATGGCGTAAATGTCTTCAAGAAGTTGCTTCACCTATTGATCGTCAATGTTGTGTCTTCACAAGCTGAGCTTTCCGAGGTAGGCCAAATCTGTTCTAATTTGGGACATATTGCTAACATAGTACGGCAGGCTAAGAAAGCCATCCACACCGCGGCCCAATACGCCCTCGCCATGTCTATTGAACTCGAGCGTCGTGCTCTCGTCCAGGGTGCGACCGACATATCTGGTCTCCCAGAGGACACCAAGAAGCGCGCTCTCGAGCTCTCCGCATACTTCACCGTCCCCGAGCTCGAAGGCCCACACAAATCTCTCCCCCTTTCTGCGGCCATGAACTTCGCCAACAAGAATCGGCAGCTCAACACGGCATTGAATTTCGCCAATGCTCTGCTAGACCGCACAGGCAACGCGAAACTGAAGGAACAGGCTAAGAGAATCAAGACAGTAGCGGAGCGGAATCCTGCCGACGCTATCGAGATCGACTTCGACCAGTTCGCGGATTTCGAGATCTGCGCTGCGTCGTTTACCCCGATATACCAGGGCAGCCCGTCCGCCGCTTGCCCGTACGATGGGTCGAAGTATCATGCTAAGTATAAGGGTACCGTGTGCAAGATTTGCGAGGTTTGCCAGATTGGTGCTCCTGCGAGTGGGCTGAGGCTTGTTGGGTGAGCAAGAAGACTGATCATGGGAAGGATTGTTCAGGCCAGACATGACAAGGATAGGCTTTCGTAGCGCATGCGATTGCAGGAGGATGAAAGGGTCTCGGGCAGGGATGCTCTGAATGAGGGTAGATGCATGATTGGGAGCGAAGGCGCGGGAAGGACCAGTGTTCCTTGATTATCAAAATGCGATATGAGATAATGTTCACAACTATGGCTTGCGTCGTCCCTTTCGCAGCTCACAGGATAGCTACGTATCACCTTCGGAATGTACCAACCCAGGTATGTACGTAGGTAGAGCGCAGCTCTCGTGACTCTACTAGCCACATTCGGTGCACCGCCGCGGACGAGGGTCCATAATTTTTAGCGCACTCATGACTCCGCGTGCAGCCCCACGAACAACATTCAGCCTGCCGACTCATCTACAACATTTCCCGCCAGGCGACCTTGCGACTCACAGATAGACCCCGCGCTAAGCTCCGAGGCTTCGTTTCTCATTTCTTACGACTGTACCAACTCAGACTTCACCAATTGGCGTCTCAGCGCTCTCCCAAGCGCGCATCTACCCCACCATGGCGGACGACACGCAGGCCATAAAAGACGAGATCGCGCTTCTAGAAAAAAACATTGCAGAGCTGCAAGCACAGCTAAAGGATGCGCAAGCAAGACTGGAGAAGAAACAGTGGGATGCCGTGGACAGGACTTTCGACACCAAGCTGTCGGTGGACCAGCAGCTCGCGCTCATTAATACGAATCTGAAGGAGGTGCTCAATCCGGAGATTATGGAGAGCGTGCTAAGGAAAGGCGAGCACTTGAAGATCTACTGGGGCACCGCGACGACGGGGAGGCCGCACTGCGGTTACGTATGCTTCCTTTCCTTCCGCAATCCGCTGCGCATCTTGGTCGCGTGGGCAGTTTACTGACTGACGGTCCCCAATAGTTCGTTCCGGTCCTCAAAATCGCACAGTTCCTCCGCGCCGGTTGCCACGTCAAGATCCTTCTCGCTGACATCCATGGCTTCCTCGATAATCTGAAAGCGCCCATTGAGCTCGTCAAATACCGCGCCGAGTACTACCGCTTCGTCATCATTGCGCTCCTCAAAGCGATCAATGTACCCATCAATAAGCTCGAGTTCGTGCTCGGGTCTGAGTTCGAGCTCAAGCCGGATTATATGATGGATGTGCTACGGCTGGCGAGTATAACCAGCGAGCACGACGCGAAGAAGGCCGGTGCGGAGGTAGTCAAGCAGACAGAGAACGCGCCGCTGTCAGGCTTGATTTACCCGCTAATGCAAGCGCTCGACGAGCAATACCTCGACGTCGACGTCCAATTCGGCGGCCTGGACCAGCGCAAGATCTTCGCCCTCGCAAAGGAAGTCCTCCCTAAGGTCGGATACAAGGAGCGATGTCATCTCATGAACCCCATGGTCCCTGGTTTGCAAGGCGGCAAGATGAGCGCCAGCGACCCAGACTCGAAGATCGACGTCCTGGACACGGCAGACGCAGTGCGGAAGAAGCTAAAGAAGGCCTTTGCGCCGCCGAAGCAGGTCGAGGAGAACGGCATCCTGAGCTTCGTCGAGTACGTGCTGCTACCGGCCGGCGAACTCAGGCACGGGACACCGAAATTCATAGTCGAGAGGAGAGATGCGGAGCCGCTCGTCTACACCGAAATAGCGCAAATGCATAAGGATTACCTGGACGACATTGTACGCCCCTCCCTCTCTCATTCGTCTACTCCAACCACAGCGTAGCATACTAACCCATTCTCCATCCAGCTCACCCCACAAATGCTCAAGCCCGCCGTAACAGAAGCCCTCGTCGAGCTCCTGGCCCCCGTCCAATCCGAATTCCAGGCCACGCCCGCATGGCAAGAAATCGAGAAAAAGGCCTACCCACCACCGCCCGCGCCGCCCAAGAAGGAAAAGAAGAAGAAGGACAAGGGGACGGGATACCCGGGTGCGAAGAAGGTCACTGCCCAGCCAGATGGGCATGTCGAGGGTGCGGATAAGGCGGTGGTGGATGTCGGAGCTGATGGTGGGGCGAAGGCGATGGAGAAGCTGGGGTTGGAGGAGAAGTAAGATACGGCTGAGGGCAATGCGGCGGTTGGAAATGCGGGTTCAAAAGTTTAGAAAGCTTTGGGTTTTTAGCGGCGTTTATGCATAGGGAGTGCAGTGGGGACGATGGACGAGACGTCGATATACCAAAGCATGCACGAGAAGTCATATAGACGACGGAACGGATGAATGGCAAGACATCACACCCATCCCACACTTGAAAGCATGGATGCGTTATGTACGTATTCAATTGATGGTATTCTTACATCTATTCGCCAACCGAAAATTCAAACGCCCAAAGTCAACGCCCACCCCATTCAATCCCCAGCGCCATCTACAACTCATCCCTCTTCCTCTGCGCCTCCTTCTCCCTCTCCTTAGCCTGCTCCTGCTCCTGCACATTGTCCCCCTGCACCGACTGCTCGCCCTTGATGCGCCTAGCCAGCGCCGCAACCTCCTCGTCATAAATGGTCCACTCGGGGACCTGCCTCCTCGCGCGCTCTAGCTTCGGCTCCTTGGTCAAGGGGTTATTACACAGATCAATCGTCTTCGCTTTCTCCAGATCCTCGTCGGCGCACCACGTCTCGCACCACAGCCACTCCTGCGGCAGGCTATGGATAGGCAGATTGAACTGCATGTTGTTCGGCAGGTCCTGGTCGAGATTGGACAGGGACTGCGGGTCTGCGCTGAGCGTGTGGTACTGCTGGCGCAGACGGTCGCCGGCGGCGAGTTTGCGGAAGCGGGTCAGGTCGACGACGTAGAGGGCGGAGATGTGGTAGGGGCGGCCGCGGAGGAAGTTAGCCCAGTAGCCCGTTTTCCAGAAGCGGAAGCCTTCCATTGAGGTGCGGGAGTCGCACATGGGGGTGAAGCCGTAGGGGGCGCCCTGCAAGTCATGCTGGACGAGTTCATACATGTCCGTTCTGACGATCTGGTCTGCGTCGACGAAAATGACTTTGTCGAGATCGAGCGGGAACAGCACGTCGAGGAAAAGGATCTTGTAGCCCCAGATCTCGCGCTGTTTTTCCGTCTGGCCGCGCAGCCAGTGCGGCCACTTATACGTCACCATTTCGTAGTCGAAGCCGTATTCAGCCGCCATGTGCGGGAGGAAGGATTTGAAGCTCGGGGATAGGAACTGCTCGATGAACCAGAACTTGACTGTGTGCGACGTGTGCTTCATGACGGAGAGCATCATTATGTTTAGCATGCGCTCGTAGAGGTGGCCTGAGGCGACAGAGAAGATGTTGATGTCTGCTTGGACGCCTTGCTTTTTGCTCTTTCCGTGCAGTAATGCGGCGCCCTTTTGCAGCACCTTTTGGCTGTCGAAGTTGATGCCAACTTTGCTGAGGAAGTTGTTGACTTTTTGGGTCCCTTTTTCCACGAGCTCCGAGGCGAGAGAATCGTCCGTAGCGAGCACGTCGGCGGTTTCCTGACCCGGTTTGCGGGAGAGGCGGGGGAAGAGCGTGAGGCCTTGGAAGGACATGAGGGCGATTTCGCTAGTTTCGTCTCCGGGTGCGGGAGCCCAGCCTTTAGGACCGGCGCTGTCGATTGTGAAGACTTCGGAAGAGCGGCCAGGCTTGAGCTGGATGTTGTAAAATCCGGGATTGGCTTTGAACTGGAAGTAGCCTAGGTTGGCCATAATGATGGTGTCTGCGAAGTGAGGGTCTTTCTCGGTGGAGAGGACGACTTCGGCGCCGCGAGGTGGTTGTCCGCCGTTCGTGACGTCCCGGGAGTGGCCTTCGATCAGGATGCTTTCGAGGCCGTAGATGGCGTCGATGTTGGCGCCAGCGGGCAAAGTGCTGAGCTTGATGTTGTCAAGGTCATGGATAGATTCTTCCGGCGCGACGAGCCACGACGGCGGGACATCCATGCCCAGGTTAAGTAAAGCCTCCTTGGGAATGCCGGTGAAGTGGGCCTCCAGGCTGTCGACGGAGCCATCTCCATTAAATGTAGGTCTCGAATCTAACAGGTAACGATAGAATCGCTTTACTGGAAGCTCCTGCAGCATCTGCCTAGGGTTAAGGAACAGCTTGAGATGGACACCTTCCATCTCAGACAGCGTGTTCAAGATCGGAACCCATTTCTGCGCCAGTTCAGTAGCAGGATCCACCGAAGCGACGATCTGGAAGATGGCCGTGGTGTTATCGCCCTTCGTAATTGCGGTATGCGTGTCGTTGAAAATCTTAAATTTGTCCATTCTCAATGTGGACGCAGACTCGAAGATGCCTTCGGGAACATCTGAGATCATAGAGAGCGCAACTAGGGACTGGATCTTGGCAACATCAAATGGCGATGCAATCTTTGCTGTAAGCTCCAGGGCCTCAAGCGCCTTGTTGAGCGGCTCGATGCGCTTTGTCCTCTCATAAGTGACCAAGGCCTCAATGTCATCCTTGGTGAAAACTTGATCAGCCGAGATAGGCCCAACAAATCGTCCGTTGACTAGTATACCATGCTGGCCAGGCTCCAGGCCCAGAGCCTGGTAGATTGGTTCGGCGGATTTCCAGAATAACGTGGAGTTCGCTGACGTGGGCGAAAACGTTGGCTCCTGAGCGAGAATAGCTAGCAGCATTTCACTGCTAACATCATGGCCAGACTTGATCCACGCCTCCAGCAGATCCTCGGACGCATTTGACTGCTCGGCACCTGCTTGTGGATTGTGAATGAGGACGAGCTCCACGTTCGGATGTTCCTGACGGAACTGAGCAACTGACCTGAGCAGAGCAAGCCCAGAGTCCGAGTCGAAGTCACCGACCAGAGTCATGTGAGCCCAGTCTGCCTTGTTCGATGAGTCTCCAACCTCAACGCGAGGCATAGTCTTGAAAATGTCTCCGTGCCACTCTTCAAACTCCGCCATATTCACAAGTGTGATGTTCTTCTCGTTCTCCGGGATGATCAACGGGTTACGTTTGGCGGCGGCCTGAAAGAGGAAGTATTGAGGGAGCCAGCTATCCTCTTGGAAGATTTGTTCGAAGACCCCCTTCTGTATTGAGCGAAGGTCCATGCCGATACGCTGGCTCAACATGCTCAGCCATTCATCAGTCTGTGCAAGTGGTACACCATTAACAAACATGGGAGCATTGGGCCCATCGGCTGCCAGGCGTGCCAAGTACTTCTTCGCGCCTGTGATGCGTTCGTCAATTTCTTCGGAGGCTAGTACGTCTGCGAGCTGAGACGCTTCATGGTCAGGACGAAGCTTAGCATCCTTGATGGCGGCATCGAAGGTAGATTTATCCGGATGAGCGAGTTTCTTGTTCTCGTTCGACTAATTCAGATCAGTAGCGCATCGGGTAACGTGCTGGATGGGCTTACCGCGTCGAGATACTTGATCATAGTGGAGAGGCCGTATGTATCAAGCAGATGGTAGACGACCTTCGCCTGCTCAGCGGCGCCTGGTGTCTTGGTGTTTGGTACCAAACCCCAGCGGATCGGAATGCCACGTTTTACCAGGCTGAGTACAGTCTCAATGACGCTGAACACATCCTCTTTCGAAGTGAAGTCAATGGCTAAGATAGCGTTATGAATGTCTCGGCGTACGGCAGGCAGTTGGCCAGGGAAAGTCCTCTGAAGCAGCTGGAAAACGGTCAGTGCTGGTCTCATAATTCCGGAACGAAGCCCTTACAGCTGTGAGATCGGAAGGCCAACTCTCATATCGTGAGTCCTTCTCGATGTTGTTCATCCAGATGATCACATTACCACCCTCCATTGTATCTCGGAAGTCGTACCGCTGCGGCTCGTCCTCCGTCTGACTTTCTGTAATCGCGGAATGCGACAGCAGAGAGATGGCGTCAGGGCCAGAAAGTCCTTGACTCCGAACTCCATTGATTAAGTTGCGCTCGCGTCGAAGATGCTCAAGCAGCGTGAAAGGGTTTACATCGCGGGCAGGAATCTGCACGCCGTTGATCCAGAGGACATTATACCCGGATGGAAGAAGCTGCTCTCGGTTTTGTGTGTGCTCGGTACGGAACTCCTCCGAAGCATTATGTGCAACGATAGCTGAAGAATACTTAGGGAAGTCCTGGACCAGTTTCAGGAGGGTATCCATGGGCTGCTCGCTCTTCATGACAAAACTGGCGGCCTTTAAGCCAAGGTCAGAGACTTCATCCTTAGAGAGTGGTTTCAGATCTGCGACATCCTCATCATCATGCAGCTCCGTGTCAACAGGCTTCTGTGCAGTAGCCTCCTCGCCTTGTTCTGCTGGGCGGTCATCGATGACGATGTAGTCGGTTCGCTTCAATTGAAGCTCGACGCCATATCCATTTACAATGAGAGGCGACTTAGACGCATTGGGAGAGGGCTTATGTCGGACACGGTACGATGTCTTTCCTTCCTCCGCCGTCTTGCTCAGCGTCTTGTGGAATTTGGCGAACGAGGGCGAGGTGATATCGGCGTAGAGTATCGACGGTAGAGCATGGGAGCTGTTCCCCAGTATCCGGTCGAAGGGCAATTCGTATGTCCTGTCCACACATTAGCTTTGCAATCCAATGCATCAGACCATTGCAGTGCGCACCGTTCACTCTTGATGCCACCATGGCTCTCATCTAGTTGCGGAGAGCAATATTGTTTCCCTGCAAACGCTATCCATATCTCACAATCCGGTGTCTCCTCTTCTTGTAATGACGGTTCCACCGAAGTATTATAGAACTGATAGTGTGCTTCTATGCGCGGCGCCGCTGAACGGACCGAAAGTGCGAACTGGAACGAGGAGAGTGTTTCGGGGGCGGTGATATGCCCGTCATTTTCTAGAAGCTCTACAAAGGATGTGAAAAGCTCCTGATCTGTCTTCGCCGTGTCGAAGTAGCCGTCTGCTATTCGGTCGAGGATGGGGAAGTATGCGGTCGAGTTCTCCTCTGCGGCAGTCTCTCTGCGTAGCGTCAGCTCCAATTCGATGCAGAGGGTTGGCCGAAGCTTACAATAACTCTACTAGATATGGCGCAGAGTTGAAAGAGGCCCGTAAAGCAACATTGATGCCGGGACCAGCAAACGCGCCAATGTGTTTGAATGCACTAAGCACGAGGAGACACCTCGCGCTCAGCAAAGAGGTGAATGCCCGCATTGTGCTAGAGCGTGCCGGAAGCTTCTCAAGCACCGTCTGAAGTTCCAGGAAATTTACGGAGTACAACTCGAGTTGGAGGTTGGGAAGGTCAGCTCTGATATCACAGAAGTTGCAACGTATGGCATTCCGCCGCAGTGCCTGTGGGCCACTCCAAATGCCAATTACGAGCACCCGAATCCTAAGGCGAACCGAAGGCCTCCGAAGAGCAAGGAAAACGCTGGTGCGGTAAAAAGGCGCGAGATATCTTTCACAATGGAATGGACGGTAGTCCCAGGATGTTGGAGCAGAGGTGTCCCAAAAAGCTCCGGTTTAGCCGTGGCTGGTTGCCCCGCACCGCCACTTATTGTGGCACCTCCGCGCAAACCGCAGCTTAAATTCACCGCCGTCCAAACTTCAAGTGCCATCTTAGAGAGTGTCTATTACACCTTGCTTCTGATGAGGAAGTGGCAGCTACGCACATGTGCTCCAAACTCACAGGAACGAATTGGACCTAACATGTGTAGGATTATTCACTCTTATCAAAGTCGAAATAATGCCGAACAATGCATACAGTGTACTGAATCTATCCAAAGCGCTGTTTGGGCACTAGTAATCAAACATGAATCTCTCCTCACCTCGTTTCACCACTCGGATAGGAATACTACACCCTCGCAGCTGCAACGTTATAATGCTCGCCGTCTTCGTCCTCAGCAAATGCTGTGCTCTATCCGCAGCCTTCTGCCAAATCTCCTTCCTCTCCTTCCCACCCTTCAGCATTCGCTCAATCTCCTCGTCACTGGCCCACTCATCAACAGCGAGCTCAACGCTATACTGCGAAAAGAAGACAGCAAAAGCGGCCAGGAGTTCAACTTGAGCGAATCGTCGACCAATGCAGGACCGGAAACCGTCGCTGAAAGGAATGTACGAGCCCTTAACAGGTTTGAAGAGATGTGAGGACGTGTCTTCGCCGGAAGGACCTCGTAGCTCTTCATCATCGTAATTAATGTCCACGAACGCTTCAGTGGGCTTAGCGTCCACTAGCCAGCGTTCCGGTCTGAACCTGTCTGCGTCGCGTAGGCCGTTGCTTTTGCTGTCGTGTGCCGGATCGCCCCAGTACTTCGGATTCCGATGGATGGCCGCACTGAGCCATATGGTGGTATCGCCCGGCATCGTATATTGCTGACCACCCATGGTGAATTGCTGCGGCCGGCTAGGCGCGGTGGATTTGGGAATGTTGATAACAGGCTGGATAATGCGGAGTGTTTCATTCATTACGGCTGCCGGCATACAGCTAAAGAGTTTTGGGAAATCTTCTTCGTACTTCCATTCCTCAATTGGTCGTCCTTGGATGATCTTGTCTACATCGTCCTGGAGGTGCTTCTGGGATTGCCAATGCATGGCAAGGAGAATGAGGGAGAAGTGGAGAGCGTTGGCCGTGGTCTCGTGGCCTGCCAACATGAGGACGAAGGCATTTCCCAGAAGATCGCTCTTCTGGATAGCGGTCTGCTTCTCGTCCAGGATACCGCTTCCTCGGATGAGGGCTTGGAATAGATCCATGCCTGCCGCACTATGTCCCTCGGCCACTTGTTTTCTTTTCGTTTGGTAAATCTCGTCCATATATTTTCCCCATTCAACCACCGCAGTACCAACAGTACGGTGAATTTTGAACGGAGATTTCGCTGTCTAAAGGTTAATGCCGCTTCATAATTGGGTCTTAGGTGATGGATTGGGATTGCAGGCGGGAAAATGACAAGGAGGTAAGAGAGAGAGAAAGGAGTCGACTTATCCCCGAGTATGTGAGAAAATGGGGAAAAGAGGCGTACTTACTTAGATACTCAGGAGGACCCATCATAGTCCACATGATGTTGTGCAACAGCTCACTGAGCGCTCCGCGATAATTCATCTTATGACCCGGAGGAACTTTTGAGCTCATGAAGATGGAGTCTGCTCTAGTCTCTTCGTCCCCGGGTTCGTCATTCTCTTCGTGGGGCCACGGCACGCGGACATCGAAACCAGCACCGCTGATGATGTATAATGCCCATCGCATTGTGTCTGTTGCTGCGTCATTCAACGTTTTGTCGGCACCAGTGTCGGGGCTGGTCCACAGGCGAAGGAGAGACTGGGTGTTATGCAGCGTCTCTTTGAAGACTAATTCATTGTTTCTCTCGCCAAAGCTCGGCGCAACGAGCTTCCGGTGCATGCGCCAGTCTGATCCTTCGGTGGTTACGAGATTTTTGCCATATATGTCGAGCCGGCCATACATCTCAAGCGGCTTTGGAAAGTCATTTCGTCGCGTGGTGATCTGAGTGACCACTTCCGCATCAGCCACGAAGGCGGTCAGTCTCGTAGGAGAAGCAACCACGAAGACATCTGCGCCCAGCTGCTCGAATGGCTTGTGTGCCAGCCTGTATGACCACTCCGGATCCAAGAGTCTGAATCACCGTGCGGTTAATGGCAGCAGGCGGACTGGAACGGAAAAGGCACCTACTCTAGCCAGAGTCCCTTGCAGGAAGCCGGGAGTTTCTGCAGCAGCGGAATCCAAATGTAATACGTGGCCAGCCAGAAGACGGAAAAGACGTGCCATGGAGTCACGACAACGGGCAACCCCGAGCTCTTCGCCAACGCAATATTGCGAGCGAGGCTACGATAACGGAGGAACAAGTGGTACAGGGCGATGGCGGCGACAGCGCTTAGGACGAGCAGGACAGCCATGGTGCCCCGCTGGGTGGCAACTACACGCAGCTAGAGAATGTGACGGATGCAAGGCGGCGGCTCAAGTGAAGACGCGCGGGACGCGAAGGAGATGGCAGACGGAGGAAATGGAGTTGTGTGCGCGTGGTGGCATCTGTGGACACGTCGCGCTCGCGGAGGGTTGTGATGTCAAGATCCAGCGGTCGCGCCTGCCTCACTGGCGTTTGAAGGGGTCATTGTCCGTCTCGGTAAGCAGCTGCAGCCTCCGACTCCAAGCGCCGCCCGGCTGCACTCTCTCACCACAGGGAAACATGTTCGCAATGCAGCTCGGAGGTGAGGCACGCGAGCCTCTTATCACGCTGGCGCCGAGGAGCGGACGAAGAATTGAGGGCGGGAGGTATGCGGCGAGGCTATGGGCTAGGCCCGATTGGGACTCGCCTGTTTCCTCTGCATGACGGAGAGCTGACCTCTCAGCTTCGCCGCACCAATCTGCGCAGTGTTCAACGGCCTCGCGATCTCGCTGCGGACTATCACATTCCCACCGCTGCAGCGACAACGAGAGGCGTCCGATCGGGCTGGGCCACGGCCGCGTCGTCGGTCTGGAGGCGTCGGAAGCTACACCGTGGCACAAACCCGTGGACTCCACCGCTGCGGCTTGAAGTGAAAAGCAACTCCTCGGCCAGCCAGTCAATACTGTGTACAGCAGATGCTCTGATGGGCTCGCGGCTTGGACCGACTGGGGAACGCTTCCTCACAGCAACTTATCCGAGGATTTCTACAGTACCTGCACTCTTTACCGTACGACGTCCCCAGCGCGACAAGGGCACCCCTCGAGGGAGACAGAGCCCTCCGATGCTGGCACCTGGAATGCTCCGGAGGCACTCTCGTGGCTTGCCCAGTCCACGTGGGCGCTATCTTTGTGGGCGCCATCGTTTCTACAGCATCGTGAAGCAGCCAGGGGGCGGCGAGTCTACATCCACGGGTGTCCGGTTCGCCGCGGTGATAGGTCTGCTCGAAGGCTGCTAAACCAGTCGGCCCTTTCGGAAATATTGTCAATACCGCAGTGGCAAGCAGGAAATCGAGCAGCCTCACCGCAATATCTACTGCCGTCGTCTTCGGTAAGCTGAAGACCGGGCATCGTCGGCTGGCTATTTGGCATGCCGCTGACTAAGAGGGCTGCCTCCTGCGAACGGCATAGCCTCGAGCGCCTCCTGCTCTGTCAGTGAATTCCGCAGGGCAGCTGACCTCTGGTCCGGCATTTGGCCTTCTCCGCACCGTGCAGGAGCTGCGAATCAGGCCATGCTGGAGTCGCAGCGCGCACCTGGGCCTGGCTTGGCTTCGAAACACCCCGGTCGGCGTGCAGACTGTATCGCATGCTTCACGTTGCACCTGAACCTGGTGCGGGTGCTGCTGGCTTCGGTACCGGTGTCATGACAGCCTTCTCGATGCAGCAATTGCAGAGACCTAATGACACGCTGCTGACTCGACCTGCTGCCCGCGCGCTACTCAGCTCGCTCGGCGGCATTCCGGAGACGCATCCAGGTACCAGAGCCCGTTGCGCATCCATTGGCATCGCGCCTAGTCCGTCCTCCAGACGCGCATCACACAATGAGGCTCGACCGGGACAGCTGCCCAATGTGTTGATCTCGGGCAGCGTCCTGAGTCGCCTCAAACAGCGGCGGCAGCCAGGATGAGGCCGGCAGCCTCCATGTCGTCTATCGCTTGATCGCGATGATGCTGCGCAGCGACTACTCATGACGGCGCTGCTGGCCGCGGGCTCCCCTCGGCCGTCGCCAGCCACCAGCGGCGCATCATTTCGATGAGGGCTTCGAGAAGCCGTGCCCTCAGTTTCATGCACTGGCAATCTCTCGCGACGCTCGGATGCCCTGCCTCATGGCGTGCAATTGGCCGGCCTGAGTCGCTGGTCTGGAAATTATCCGACGCGGTGAGCACGCTGGTGCCGTCTGCGCAGGCGGAGAAAAGCGCAGGCCGGCACGAAGCAGAGGACGGGCGCTGTGTGTGCGAGTGTGTGTGCGAGTGTGTGCTGTACGCCGTCCCTCGCCAGGTCACGTTCCCCAGCGCGACACACGCCGTTGGCAGCCCCATGCGGAGCGCTTCCGTCCCAAGCAGCACGCAGCGTTTGCTGTCGCCGTCTGTGTCTGTGTCGGCCGCAGAGCGCATCTAACGGGCGAGGGCAGCGCACGGCGCGTCCTGCGGCACCGCCTCCGCTCTTCCAAGGGCCGCACTGCTGGGTTGCGATGGCTGGTGAGGCGCTCAAGCGAGCGCTCCTGGGCTTTTCGCTGAATCGTGGGCACTGCGCACTTTACTCGCCCTGCTGTGCTCGGATGCTCCAGTCTCCACATGGTGGCGCTCCCCCTCTCGCTGTCTATCAACAACACGTCGGCGCCAGCTGCCCTCCGACTCTACCCATCCCCCCATCCCACCGCTCGCCCCCGTGCCATTTGCCCAAACAGCCAAACAGCGAAGCCCTGCCCGGGGCCAGCTGCCGTCTCTTCCTGCCTCTCAGCGCTCCCTCCCTGCTCCTCGCTAGCTCTAATCGCCCTCCCTGGCCCTCGCGTTCGTGGGCACGGTCCTGGCCGCCACGCTGCCCACAGGAATTGGGAACAAACGTCGACGCATAGCCTGCCCGTCTCAGCGCGCATCCACGCTCGCTAGACTCGCCATCTGGCGTTGCTGGCCTCTTGCCCGCTTCCAGTACTGTCTCCGGCTCCATGGTAAGGTTGCGGTCAAGGCTGGGTCCTCCTCGCACGGCCTGACTGCTCCCGCCGTCTGCATCCCCCAGGCTCTGCCCTACGCAGGTTGGAGCCTCTTGTCAGGTGCTCTGCTTGTCTCCTGCTCTGCGACGCTTGTCAAACTCTTTCCTCCCCAGTGATGCCGCGGATTGGCCCGTCGTCCGCAGAGCATCTCCGCCCAACCCACCGCTGACGTGCTGGTGAATTGCGCCTTCTGTCATTGCTCGCTGCCGAGGCCCTCCCCCCACAAGGACCCGTGCTGGGCGGCCGCCGTTTGGACCTGTGAGCACTGCGCAGTAATATAGCCCAGTGACGGATATCGCAGCCGCATGGCCTGAGCGGAACCGTCTGATATAAGGATGGAGGGCGGTGATCCGGACGCGCCAACCCACAAGAGGCCCCGTTTGGACTCGTCGGTCAATCCTGTGTATAACGGCCTTCCCCCTCCACAGCCGCCTCCAGCCCAACCCAGCCGGCACCCATCTCATCCCACTTCGGTCCAGGCCTCCTCACCTCCTCCGGCCCGTCACTACCCTCCCCACAGCTTACCACCTCCCTCTCAACCGTATCCCTCCCCAGGCCCCGGACACTTTCCACCACCTCACCCCTCACCGTCTGTTCCCCCATCCGATATCCGCACCTACTCCGACCCTCGAAACATTCCCTCGCCCGGTCAGCGCACCCATGGCGTTGCCCGCACTCCCGTGACCCTCCCCGCGAGAAATATTCCTCAGGACAGCATCGCCACCTACCGTCCTCCGCCTCCCACATCTCAGTCGACCTCCGCCCCGGACCACCAGAGCTCGAGGTCGACCAGCATCAGTGTCGACTCCAAACCTCCACCTCCCATGGAGCATGGCGGCCATCCAGGTTCATGGCCACCAGATCCGCGCCATAGCGGCAGCATATCGAACGGTTACAATCCTACCATCAGTCCTCCTAACCCAAATGACCCGCCCTTTCACCCGCCGCTCCCGCCAGGGACGCCCTATGGCCAGCCTATTGGCGCCTACACTCCTGGGCCGTACCTGTCGCAATACGCTTCGGGCCCAGGACAGGCGAGAAGGAAACAGGTTCGCGCTACGCAAGCTTGCAATCACTGCCGTGCTCGCAAGCAGAAGTGTGACGAAGCTAGACCATGCCAGTTCTGCCGGGAAAACAACTTTGATTGCCAGTACAAGGACGTCCCACCTCCAAAGTACGTTCCCCTTGATCGTAGCTGCGGCTGATGCTGACCCAGTTCAAGGCAAGACAGGAGTATGATGCAGCTCCAGGACAGCGTCAACTGCATATCAGATACTCTCAAGACCTTTGTGGATACGTTCAATGTGTGGAAGCAAAGCGTCGAGGGCAGACTTCCACACCCCAGGGGTGGGGAACACATGCGCGCACACTCAGATCACCCTTCTCCGGAACAAACATTTGGCGGGAGAGGCTCCATGAGCGAGCAAAATGCGTCGAGATTGCCGACCCCAGTCCAAGGACGAGTGCCATTGCGTCGCGTCGATAGCATGAAAACGGAGTCTCCGATCGTCCCTCACTCGAATATGTCTCCGATCGCACACGCGTCTACTCCGATCAAGCAAGAGTCCATCTTGGCCGCGCCGCAGCCGCCTGCCACCCCCGCTGATAGCGTCAGGACGGATCACACGCAAACAGCTGGAGATTCATCGAAAGATAGAGGAACTGGTCTCCAAAGCGACCATAGAACTCCTGCCCACATGCTCCTGGAGGAATGGCCGTCTATGAAAGACTTTTGCGCTGATATCCCACATATCAAGAGGCTATTGGATCTGGGCAAGAAGGTCTACGACTACCCCATGGAGCTCGAGCAGGACCGCGGACTCCTGCGGGTGTGGGGTGTCGGGGAAGGCCACGATTCCAATGATGGAGCCCAAGGACCCGCCAGCCCAGAGAGTAACGATTCCGATGCGCCTTCACCTGCATCTGCAAAAGAAGGTATATGGGGATATCCTCCCGTTGATCATTCCAGCCCGAGCACAATGAGTGGCGATACACCTAGGTCTCATTATGGCCACCAAGGAGGCCTGGGGCCGGACGGAAAGCCTGATTTTCGCGGGAAGACGTTGCTGGAGCTCCTCGAATCGTACCATCAACATATTCACACTCTGCATCCTTTCCTGAATCCCAGCAAGCTGCGCAAAATGATCAAGGATTTCAGCGAAGTCTATAGCCCGGACGCCAGGACTGGCAACGCGATGTCTCCGGGCACGGCCCTGCCCAACCGTCTCAAAGGCATCAAGAGGAAGCGGTCAAGCAGCGCTTTCGGAGACGGCTACTTCTCCCTCGGTGACTTGTGTAAGGGGAGTATTGAAAGGTCACTGCGCAACGCAATTGTGCTCCTCGTCCTTGCTTTGGGCAAGGTCTGTCAGCACAAGGACGCTTTGCCCAGCCCTCAGGGAGACCGAAATCCTATGGCGAACGGCGCGTGGGGCTACACCCGAGACTCTCCCCATTCTTCAAGCCACAGCTTCAGCAGCGAAGATCCCGATAATCGCCCGCGGAACATTGATATCTTGCCCGGTATGGCGTATTTCTCCTATGCCACCGACATCCTCGGGAATCAGCAAGGCGGCAACACCGTCGCGCACGCACAAGCAAACCTGCTCGCGGCGTTGTATCTAGGGCAATTCGCCCGGGTTCTCGAAAGTTGGAGTTGGATTAACAACGCCTGCAGGATCTGTCTCGTCCTGATTAAAGCGTAGGGAACCGACCCTCACTTGGTTATAAGCAAGCTAACCGACGCAAGCGACTACAACAAGATCAGCCGCGAGGCGTACTTGAACAAGACTACCATTGAATCGGGGAAGGAGGCCTACCGCCTAAACCTGGTGAAATGCGTTTACTGGACGTGTCTTCAACTGGAGACGTAAGAACTATTTAGTGCGTGGGATGTCTTCTTGCTAACGTTCCTTCAGCGATATTCTCGCCGAGATGAGTACGCTCCCACCAAGCGAGGTGTCGAAACATCAGGAAACGGTCATGTATCCTTCCGGCGTCTTCGAGAACTTCCCCGAAGTAATGTCCAACAACGACGGCAACGAGCACGACAGGACGATGTGGATCTACTCGAGTCAAATCCATCTACGTGTAATCCTGAATGGCGCCCATAATACGTTGTACGGCGCAAGTAAGTGTCAGGATCCGTGTGCCACAGAACGCATCTTGTCTAACGTTCCGTAGACGACCGCAAAATGCCTCTTGGATTCGATACTACTAATGTTTCCGAGGTGGCTAACGCCGCACGCGTCCATGCCGATATCCTGCAGAGCTGGAGAAACCTACTACCACCGGCACTCGCTTGGAACGACGACGATCCACCATCGACCGATATCAACATCGCAAGGCTAAGGGCCAAGTTTTATGGAGGTCACTACATGATTCTACGACCGTTCTTATTCATGGCGGTTCATCAAATCAAGCTACCGCCTGCGATGTCTTCCCATACTAGCTCTCCAGCTTCATTTGCGGAAACCGCGACCACCCCTACGGATTCGGACAGGTCTCGCCGGCTTGTAGATCTGACGTCGGACCAGACTAATGTGCTCGATATCGCGCACAACTGCATCAAAAGCGCGATCCAGAGTACTATCGCGTTCGACCGTGTCGGAGCTGAGCCCAACAGCAGATATGACGACTATGTCAGTCGCCGAAAGGATAGGCTCATTTTGACGAACATCTTCGGCACTCTGCATGCGTATGTAGCTCTACCCCGAGTTTGTAATCTTGCTAACCACGAGGTGTTTAGACAATTTGGAAACATGATCGTGCTTGCTGCCGTCTACAAGTCCCCTCTGCGAAAGTACCTCCCGCTAGATACGCCGTTCACGAAGAAGAACCTCACCGCTTTGTTCAACCGAACGATGAACATTTTGGCGGAAGTCGAACCAAACTCCCCCGTATTGGGACTGGACCTTGAGATTCTGAAGAATGTACGACGACAGCTCCACCTGTAATAAAAGCCTTGACCGCGAATCTCGTCCCCCGAGCCTCGTTTCGCGCCGTCGACAACGCCGTCCCCTAACGGCTTTTCTTTCCGTAATATAGTTGGATATACCCCATGTATTCAAGGCCGAGTGGATGGCGCCTTTTGAGCAGCGTTGCAGATGCAATGTTCGTATAATGCATTTTCTCTGGCGCATTGTCTATGTTTTTCAGTCATACTACACCATCATTGGGAGGCTAGCGCTCGATTTTCAACACAGCATAGTCATTTTTCTTTCACGATGAACAGCGAGGGCAGACTCTTTGCAACTTTCGCGACGTTCGGACATCTATACCCGGTTTGGATGGGAGGGGCGGGCTACTGTATACGAAACGCCAGCACTAGCGTCTTGGTGTGGTTATCTGATTTCCTTCGCTTTTACGCATATTCGGTACTCATTTTTCATCAACCGCAACGGCCGCATGCCGTATCTATCTCGGTCCGTTTTTGGGCTTCAAGGGTCGCCGCTTGGGTAGCGTAGAGAGGGGGGGATCAACGTCTCGTCCATGGGAGTGCGAACTTCGTGGACCGAGTGCGCTAATTGGAGAAGATTGCCCACATCAAGATTTGCGCAAATGAGGACGTCACCGTGGTCTGACGTGCAAAATTGAAGGTTCGAGGCGTTGAGAAGGGTCCGCTAGCGATGACGCTATTCGCACTACTGACACTTCTCCCCTGGAGCTATCTCGACACAGGCCGACTTGGCCATCCCATTGGAGAGGCGGAAGCTCGGGGTGGAAAGCCCAGCTCGACGCTATCACAGACCCTTGAGCGGGCTTCGCAAGCACCCTTCAGCTACAGTACGCCACCGACTGATGATTTTCTGATGGCTTTCACTCTAACCACAAGTGCGGTTCCGCAGCCACGTGTTGTGCAGCTGAAAAGCTCCACTTTTCATCGACCGTCTTGCCTCCGCCGGACCCGAGAACCAGAACCCCAGCACACATCCTTCAGAGTTAGAAATCTCAAATCCGAGCTGAAGCTCGCTTCACGATACGAAGATCATGCTACCCAACTTGATCTGCTCAGAGCCTGATGAGGCCGACCATGATATCGATTGACATGCCAAGGCTACCATTTTGGGAATTGGAGATCTCGCCGGCGCTTGTGGGGAGTAAAGCGTACGCCCGATTGAACAGTTCGGAGGGGCGTGGGACAAATGGAAACACGGCGCAAGGCACACGTCAAATAGGTGTTCATGCGAGACGTTCCTGGATGACACTTTCCCTTGCCTCCCGTCCGTCCGCATCAACCGCCGCAAAAGCAATTCCAACCGAACTGCTGTTGCTTGGGCATCCATCCGTCCTGGGATCCTGAACCATGACGGCGCTCATCAGCTGCGGGGCCCGCACGTCAAATCCTCGGCCGAATTGGGCAGCTTACCCCTCAAAATCAGCTCACATGACCGCACCTTCATGCGGGTGGCCTTGAGGGTGTGTTTCATATCTGGCGTCAGTTAACCCCCGGAACGCTGTTTCGAGAATTAATAGAGTTGCCGCGATAAGCTCCCCAAACTGCAAATGCGCTGGGTGAGCTGTTTGCGTGGGTAACAAGATGCGAGCGAGCGGCATGGCATGTGATACAAAAGAGTACGAGGGGCACGGTTGTACGCGAAAGCTGCAAGGTTCGTGATACAGACTGTGCCGCGTGATGAGTGCTGTTCGCGCTGTGGTATGGAAGTGCGATGATCATTTGGAGAAGCGCGCACGGAGCTTGGAGAAATTGAGGGGGTTGGGTGCGCGGACGTCCGCTTGGCCGTTGGGCTACTGTGTGGTACAACTTGAGGCCGTGATGACGATGTACCATTGTACCTCCGTACCCCGCGGGGTATGTAGTGGATGGTAACGCATCGGCGATTCGAGCTTTAGGCGTCCCTCTATCTTCTACATCCGCCTATAGCTTCACATCTTATAAGCATTATTGTAGGCTCGGTCACTGTAGGGATGATCGTTGGGCAGCAATAACGGCGCCCTGTTTTGCGTGCCAATCCACGCTCGAGAGATGGACGAATCACGAAGCACGGGTCGACCTCCTAGAGCTTTGCTCGAAATAGGATACATAGATTGACGGAATGTTGCGCGGACTTTCAAGCTTTTGCGGAGCGGGAGGGCCTCGTGGGAGCATTTGTGAGGGAAACTCTATTTGCGAGCGGATTTCCGCTTTGGTATCTGGACGGAGGACGCTTGCCGGCATGGATCTGCATGGCGGTCGGTGCCTGGCATTGTTTTGATGACGATACCAGGGCGGAACTGTTCCGATACCTATGATGACGGTGGAAGATGGGCAGAGGTGAGCTCCTCACAACGGCGTGTATACCGGTATGCTATTTACATCCAAGGTGTTGTTGACATCAACATGCCGAGATCATCACAGATCACGCTCCACAGATCTGGCTGCCCAATTCTCCGTACGCGCGTCAGTTCCAACGCTCCTCCATGGACCCTCACCGCGTGTCGGCTTGATACGCCGTCGATAAGGCCCCGAGTCATGTTTTATCTAGGCGAGAAATCGCGATATCTCTGCCTCGGGCTTCCTCCCTCCTGACTGGCCAGACCAGGCCCGGATCGCAGTCCGCTTCTCGAACGACCTCCCACGACCATGTCCATGTCCATGTCGTCGGACCAGCCCACTCCGTGCCCTGTCGCCCTTCAACGCGCCCAGGCGCCTCACTATTCCCACGTGTCTCATCAAGACCGACTGTAAGGCGGACAGGGCTGCGAACGGCTCGCCAGCCTCGCGTTTTCTCGTCAAAACCGGCAGTCTCGCAAATAATCGAGATGTGAAATCCATCGAGATGCAACACCTCACTCTCTCACCGCGAGACGCGCGAAAAGAGCGAACCAACGAAAAGCAATCGTTACACAGCAAAAGCTGCAGAAGCCGGACTTAAGGCTGTCTGCAGCAGCGCCAGCCGCCAGCGCCAACGCCAGCCAGTCCTGCATCTCCTCGTGCCGCGCTCCCTTCACCGATCAGGACCTCGCTGCAACCACGCTCGCTCGGCTAGAGGCACCTCCCGCGCCCACAGCCGATGGATGCGCGCCGAGCGGACCCCGGCATTCGGCTCGCTCGCTCGCCGCTCACCCCTTCGGGGCATAGCAAATCGTGTTCGCATCGCGTCAAGCGCTGGCGAAAAAGCAAGCAACGGCCGCACATCGAGATTTCGGCTCTGGCGCGGAGCCGTGTTTCTGGAAGGGAAAGGGGCGCGTTGGTGGCTTGCAGCGCTGAGCGAACGCCACGCGCCCCCGGACCCCGAATGTGAAACGGGGCAAGGTGTGTTGGAGCGGGGGCAGCGAGATGAGGGGGGCGGCGATGTTTCGGCGAGGAAAGTGTTTCGAGAAGTTCTGACGCTGGTGGGTGGATGGAAGGATGGATGGACGGATGGGTGCACGGTCACTTGAGGCGAGTTTGGACTTGCGGCATTTTTTTGTTTGCGATTTCGCGAAATCGTGGGCCACACATATTGTGAGAAGAGCCGAACACGACGACCACGAGCATAAGCACCTTGACCGCCGCTCCGAGTCGCACTCCCCCCCGGCATGTGAACGAGACGAGGGTATAGCGCCGAAGCGAGTTTATAGCGAGATATCCGCGACACGTCGCGAGAAGCGAGAGAGAGCGCGAGAGCGAGCTCTTGCTGCTTTTCGCACCCACCGCCGTAAGTTTCACGTACTTCCTCTTCCGGTCCCCTCCCGTCTCATGGTATTCCTGTCTTCTCCCTCTCTCGTGTCAGTCGGGCAGCAGTGCAACGATCCTCTTCTGCCATTGGGAGCACGCAAGCGACTCCAGAAACTTTCCCTTTTGCTTGGCCTCAATTTCCTGCTCTTCTGAAGAGAGAACATCGGCGATGCTCCCAAAACAATGCTGTAGCGCCACCTCCGTCTAGCCCGGAGTTTAGAGACCGACCAACGGACGAGTGTCGTACGACCACCGCATGGTGTAGCGTTGCCAGCTCCCGTGTCAAATCTCAGCCCTCCGCCGGGGGGAATTTCTGACATGTTCCGCGCGAAGCGAGAGCAGCTTCCGAGTTCCCCGAGGGGTAAGCGTAAGGCTTTCAGGCACCGAGGTGCTGGGTGCTGGGAGAGACTATGGATTGAGTAGGCAGAGATGCTGCGGCGTAGTGGAGAATGAATGGCGCAATTATACCCAATGCCGTGGGTTTGTGAGCGTTCAATGGAGAAAGGTATGTCGTGCATTAGAGGACGTTGGTTTTTGAGTGGAGCTTGCTGTGGAGAATGCGTTTTCCGCCGATTCGGAAATACGATGTTGGATCTGGCGATGCAACTGGAGAACATCACGGTGTGGAATGCGCACTTTGGGGGTGTGGATGTGTGAGTAAAGTCTTTCCGATCTTGCTTCTTTTATTTATGCGGAGTCAAACTTTGAATTGGACGTCGGATGCGACGCGCTAGATTCGTCTCCTTCAACTGCACTCTTAATGCGGTAAGTCCCATGCTTCTGCTTCAAAGTCTCTTGTCAATTTTCACTACTTTCCTTTTGCCCATCATTGCCCTTCGATGTGGAGAGTTTAGAAAGAGATGAATCAAAAGGCTGATAACGATTGCCACGGCGGCTCCCTGGACTGCCGCTCTCTTGAACGCTCCTACTCGACTTCCGGATGAAGAACGCGCGAGTCCGGTGTACGTCATGTGCGACCGCACGAAGTAGAAGAGTCATTGAGCAAGCACTATGAGATGAGATGAGATCTGTATGACTCCCGCGTGTGATGACTGCACTGTTTGTGGGGAACGCCATGTGCGCTACCTGCCCTCCGTACGACTCAAGACTCACCACTTAGTGCGCAAGAACTGCAGTGCAAGACCAGCAAACCTCATTCCTCTTCTTCCACGCTCCTACAGCTACATCTAAATCCTATTCTCATCTCTATATCCTCGCTGAATTCCGTCGACGCCGCTGTCTAAGCACTACGTAAACCGAATGGGTTGAGCCGCGCGACCACCTGGGACCATGTACTACTACCCTCGACACGAACCTCGACCCCCTCAGCATCCTTTAAGAGGAGGCTTCTCAAGATCCGCGGACTCGAAATGGCCAGCCCGATCGTCGTACGCGCCTAGGTATCCGGTTTACGACTATCATGCCGAACCTCGAGCGGCTCCCTACCACCGGTCGCAGCGAGCATCCGCAGCAAGCCCTCGTGACTCCTACACTCGATTCAACCCTCCACCAGCTCCACCACGCCGGGTCTATATACCCGCTCCTCCACCACCCCGAGTCTACATCCCCGTCCCAAATCGGCACGTCCATTTCGACCTCCCGAATTCATCATCGCGAACGCACCACACGCGCAAACGCAGCCATCCAGACCTCCACAGACCATCCACCCCCGCCCATCCCTCCCGCAAACGCAGCCTTTCCGACCTGCACAGACCGCACGCACCCGCGCAACCCCCTCGAAGACGCGCAGAACCCTCTCGACAACCCTCCTTCTACACCCTCCGCCCCGAACCAGTCTTGCCGCGTCCCCCCCGCGGCCCCGACGAACCAACAATCCACATCCTCACCTACTCTCTGCGCCGCGCCCCCTCCGCCTCGCACCACTCGGCCCTCCTGCGCACCTACCTCCCCCCCAGCACGCCGCATCTCTACACCATTAACGCGGCGAACCTCACCCCACCCCCGGGTCAAATCTGCGCGCTGTACTCCGGCGTAAGCCGCACCGTGCAATCCTACGTGCTGGCCGACGCGCGCGCACGCAAAGCGGTCGCGCAAGCCGTGGACGAGCTGCTCGAGTTTGGGCGGCGGGAGCGCCGGAGGCAGCGGGAGGGGAGACAGGGGCAGCGGGCGGTTGCGCTGAGTGTGTGCTGCGAGCTGGGGACGCATCGCAGTGTGGCTATTGCGGAGAGGATTGCGGGGGAGGTGAGGGGCTGGGCGAGGAGTAGGGGTGTTGGGGTTAGGGTCAGGGTTGTGCATGTGCATCGGGTTAGGGGGGAGAGGGATGAGTATTGAATGGTGGTGGGGTGGAGTGGAGAGATGCTGGAGGAGGGGAGGGTGAGGGAGGGAAGGAGGGAGTGATTTCTGGGCTTTCTTGGACTGTTAGGGATGTTGCATTTGGCGGCGGTCCAGGTGTTGTTGCATATCTGTGAGGGAGGATTGGATAGGATGATACCCTAGATAGAGAACCCCGATCACATAGTGGAGTCTCATTTGTTACCGGCAAAGCTCACTGTGAACCTGTAACCCGCTTGAATTGTTCTACATGGTAACGAAAAGGGGTACCTATCATCAAATAGTAAAATCCGACCTTCCGTACTCCTACAGGACTTTTATCCTTATCCCAGTGGCTCGGTCTCCTTCATTCCGAGCCTTTCTCCTCCCACTTGAAGCAGCCCTTACGCCATCTTCTTCTTCCCAATACTAGTATCAATGCTGCCCAATACCCAAGCGACGGTGAACACCGCAAACATACCCAACGTAATGACAATCGGCTTCCTATACCCAGCAGTCCAAGGGTAGTCATATGTAACAATCAGGTCCCTCTCTCTGAACTCATCGACGAGGTTGATGGCGTGCAATTCCAAAGTCGTCCTGCCAATGGTATCCATGAACGTTTTATGAAGGCTATTGTGGCTGTCTACCAGCGGGACGGTGGTAGAGTACTTCACGTTTTTGGCGCCCTCAGGGAGAACAACGCGGAGATGGACTCGCGCGTACGCAATGCCCTCGCCGATACGAGGGCCCTCTAAAAATGGAACCTTGAGCACGTAAGAGTCGCCCGTCGAGAGCTTGCGGAGGTAGGTCGATAGATCCGCGTTCCAGCCAACGCGGAAGCTGTACTTCCATCCTCCAAAGACAGGGTAGCGGGGCTTCAACTCCAACAAAGCTTCCTTCTTGCCTGGTCGGAAACGGGAGGTCGAGACGTTACCGATGTCGTCTGTGAAGTAAGGATCCATAGCACCGGGGTGCAGGGGCAGATTGAGCGCCTTTAAGGCGGAGGTCGGCGGGTTCATGTAGGATTGCTTCTGCCACTCGACGCGCGAGAAGTGGTTCTTGAGCTGCGCGCCCTGGTTGGTAACCCAGTAGCGCTCCTCGGATGCCAGATTACCACCCCAGTGCGAGACCTCGAGGTCGCGCTCTAGCAGCGAGGCGTGCGTGAGCGGCTTTGTGAACTCGTAGCGCACACTGACAAACTCCTCCGCACCAGCCGGGACATCATTGTACGGTCCGTATGTGAAAGTTGAGCCTTGCTTTTGCGGATCGGCCTTCTTTTCGGCATTAAGATCGGCGGGGAGGGTGGTGTAGTCGGGGATGTCGCCGTTCGGAAACTTTATCTTGGTCTTCTGCTTCTCCGTTTTGTAGGCAGAGGGAGTGTAGGCGCTGAAGGTGTATTGTACGTACTGCTTGTCCGATTGGCCGATCTGGGCGGGTACGGGCGCGAGCGCGGAGAGAACGGAATAGGAGATACTGAGGGTCTGCTGCTGTTTAGGAGCAAGAGGGGTCGGTAGGTGGATCAGGTAGAACTCGGTGGAGCTATAGCAGATCGTCAGCATCTTCGACATCCCACTCTGGCATTGGGGGAGCTACCTTTCGACATCAAACTCGACCACCTCTACTTTAAAGCTCCCCTTTTCAGCATCCTTCTTATCCTTGACCTCCAGTCCGCCAATTCTCGATATCAAGCTCGCCTCAAATGGGAGATAATATTCCGACTGCGGTTTCGAATCAATGTTCTCAATTATGACATTGATGGTCTCTCTGGGATACGCCTTATCCAGATTCGTCGTCCGGACCAGATTGGCATTCTTAAAAACTTGCGGGGGTTTGAACGTGCTAGGTAGCACCTGCTTCGATAGCAGCGGCTGCGACAGATTCAATTCGGCGAAAGCGAAGCTCGAGAGAGCCGCCAAGCAGCTCGAAAGGAGGGGAATTGGCCTCATCTTGGGTAGCATCCCGGTTACCCAAGCATAGATGAGGGTTTCTGAAAGGAAGGGCGGGAGGTTGTGGGGTAGGGAGTTTCCTACACACTTGCGCATGCTGGGAGCTGAGACGTCGTGTCCACTTGATTCTGCCGGGCGGTGAGCGTCTCCGCTCCGAAGTTATTCCGCCCCGCGATACTGCAGCTTCCGCTGCATGTCTAGATCAGCCCATGGTTTGTTTCTTCACACAGAGTGCCATGGGGCTCATTACACCGGCAATTGGGAGGCCGCGCCTACCGCAGAGGATAATATCTCCATGTTTTGGAGCTAACAGGCGCTATCTCACTAACAATGGCTTCTTTCGCGTCTCGGAGGAGGTGCGGGAAGCTCTCAATGCTAATAAACCGGTCGTTGCTCTCGAAACGACGATATATACTCACGGTAGGCTCAAAAATGCTCTATTGCTGGAGCATGAGCTAACAAGCTACCCAGGGTTTCCGTATCCCGAAAATGTGGCTCTAGCATCGCTCCTCGAAAGCGTCGTCCGCGTCAATGGCGGGGTCCCCGCGACCATTGGTATCCTTGATGGAGTCGCACGCGTGGGCATGAACCCCGAGGAGATTATACGGCTTACGGAATCCGCCGGCAAGGATACAACATTGAAGCTCTCTCGCAGAGACCTGGCCCACGTATGTGGTCTGCGATTAGCTGGCAAGAAATTCCACGGTGGAACCACTATAGCAGGGACAATGCTACTGGCACACTTGGCGGGCATTAAGGTGTTTGGCACCGGTGGGCTCGGTGGAGTGCACCGTGGTGCAGAGTCTAGTATGGACATTTCCGCCGACTTGACAGAGCTGGGAAGGACGCCGGTCACTGTCGTTTCGAGCGGTTGCAAGAGCTTTCTAGACATCCCGCGGACCCTTGAGTATCTTGAGACCGAAGGTGTCTATGTCGGTACCTTTGCTGATGGCCGTAAGGGGAACGTGGACTTCCCTGCCTTTTGGTCCAGAGACAGCGGGGTGAAGAGCCCAACTACCATCGAGAACGAGATGGAGGCGGCTGCAATCATCCGTGAGTCTTTCTACGTCTCTCGTCTCACTTTTTGAGCCATATCTAAGAGCCAAATAGATGCCCAGCATTCGCTCCGTATCCATTCCGGACTGCTCTTCGCAAACCCTGTTCCTGAGGAGTTTGCGATTCCAAAGGAAACCATGGACGAAATAATCGAAGAAGCCATAAGCCAAGCTGTCGCTGCAGGCATCTCAGGCAAAGACAACACGCCATTCATACTCAGCAAGATCAAAGAGTTGAGCAAGGGGAAGAGTATTCCGGCCAACAGAGCACTCATAGAATCCAACGTCCGGCGAGCCACCATCGTAGCCAGAGAATTGGCGATCTTAGACGCAAAACAAGACGAAGCCCAAGGGTGAGCCAAGTTTTCTTGCTGCTCAGTTATAGACCCTGGAGCTGATTGTAAGTTCGTAGACGCACTTCCTCGCGCTTCAATCCAGCCTTGTCCAGTCCTGCCTCGACAGCAAAAGAGCGCTTGAGCAATGCATCCATATCACTCTCAGATGCTCCTCCTGCCGCGCCAACATCTCAAATATCACCAAATCCCGATATCATCGTGGCGGGTGCCCTGGCAGTCGATTTCTCGTGCGACTACGCACCCTTACCGCACTCTCCTGACCAGACACACCCTACGCCACAAACCTCAAATCCCGCCATCATCAATCAAACAATCGGTGGTGTAGCTCACAACATCGCCAAAGCCGCCCACCTCCTCGGTGCTTCCGTGCAGCTCTACAGCGTAGTCGGAGACGACCTCGCCGGGCGCGCCGCCTTGACCAAGCTAAAAGACGAAGGTTTCAACGTGGATGGCATCGAAACTCTCCCTTATCCAGACCGCACGGGTCAATACGTAGCCGTCAACAACGCGAACAAAGACCTCACTCTCGCCATGGCAGACATGCAAATCCTAGAAAAGGTCCCCTACTCAACCATCGGCCACATGTTCCACAAGATTTCAGTGCAAAAGACGTCTCCACCTAAAGTCCTTGTCGTGGATGCGAACTGGGATGCTGACGCCCTACATGAATGGCTCTCATTAAGCAGGTCCTGGCCGAACACCACGACTATCTTCGAACCGGTATCCACTGCAAAAGGTCTGCGCATCTTCCCCGAGAACCTCCATCATGATACCCAACACCCCTTCCCTCACCCAATAGTTGATATCATAACGCCCAACTCGATGGAATTGAAAGCTCTCTACGATCACGCCTTCGAGCTTGGCCTTTTCGATCATCCCGTCTGGTTTGCTCTTGTTGACGCGCTCGGTATCCCCTCCTCTGGCCTGCGTGTCCCTCTTGCGGTGACGACGACGTCTGCGCTCGTCGATGAAGGGATCCCACAACAAGCCGTCAAGCTCCTCCCTTTCTTCCCAACAATCCTCACAAAGCTCGGCCCTGAGGGGGTTTTGCTCACCCAACTGGTCAGGCCAGATGATCCAGTGTTGGGCTCAGCTGAGGAATCGCAATATGTCCTAGCGAGGAGCAAGAACGGGGATGAAAGGGTTGGTGGACTGTATGTGCGCCTGTTCCCTGCGGAGAAGGTGCTGGGATCTGAGGAAGTGGTAAGCGTGAATGGGGTTGGAGATACGTTCCTAGGCGCGGTGGCTGCGGGTTTGGTGAAGGGGAAGAGGGTGCAGGAGGTGATTCCATTTGCGCAGAGGGCTGCTGCCTTGAGCTTGATGAGTGAAGAGAGTGTGAATCCAGAATTAGAGAAGTTAGAGGGAGAGATTGGGCTGTGAGGAATGTATAATCCCTTTTCCAGCCTGTCTCATTTTATATTGCATGCTGCCGCTATGTACATTCAACACGCTCCGTGGGATCCTAGGGGAATTACTACACTGGTGTGTAGATGCCCTTAGCATTTTCGCCCATGGGCCTACCACAAGGCTGAATGCGCCTTGCACGTGGTTGCCGTTGACGAGGCTGTGAGTTATGAAGGCTGTCACGACCCCGCCTGGCGGCTTTCAGCTTCAGCGCTTCTTTCGTCAACATTCTTTCTTTCTCATGCGGACTCCTACGTGATGGTGCCAGCATTCGGGTTCTCTGTCGGTGACTTTATCGCTGCAATTGGTAAGTGTGCCTGCTTTCGATATTTCGAAAATTTGTACTGACCGTTGGTGGTTTAGCCCTGATCGCGAAGGTCAGCAAGGCTGTGAAGGACAAGGCCGGCGCTTCGACAGAATACCAACACGTTCTCCTTGAGCTTGAAGCGCTGGAGAGGACGCTCCGACACTTGCAAGCATTGCAGCCCACTGCTAGCAACGTCGACCATGTCAATGCTATTCGCGGGATGGCTCTCACGTGTCGCATCCCGCTGCAAGAGTTCCTTGAGAGAATCCAGAGATATGAAACCTCACTTGGACCATACTCAGTTCATCGCCGAGGGTGCCTAAAGTCTGTCGGACGGAAATCACAATGGACAGTGTTCATGAGCGATGAGGTCGTGAAGCTTAGGACTGCGATCGGGGCCAAAGTGCTCAGTATCAACCTGCTTCTCGCAACGCATACTTCGTAAGCTCGACGGGTACCGCTACTGGATCGGCGCTGACCGAGTTATAGAGAATCCGTTTCCAGGATAGAAGCTGAGGGTCACAGATCGCATCTCACCCTCATGGCAAGCATACTGGAGCAAGGGATGAATGTAGAGAAGATCGACAAGAAGATAACCGACACACAACAATCCATTGAAAACAACACAAAGACGCAACTGCGTAGGACTGACGAGCTCGCCAATCAGATCGAGGATGCAGCTACGACTTTGCACCACGTTTCCAACAGGATTGACACAGTCAATACAACTATCATGAGCTTTCGGGATTTGGGTATACAACTTCTACAAATGTAAGTCAGATGTCTTGGGTTTTTTGCAATCACAATCTGACTACGATAGCATCCGACATTTGCCTTTGCAGGTCCGAGAAACATTGGATCAAATCGTGTAGGCGTCATCCCATGTCCGCTTTGGAAGTACACACTAAGCAGGTAGATCAGGCGATCTAATTTACGGATATATGCAATCCTACGGGCGATTCACAATAGCATTCTTCGATCACCTGCATTTCAGCCAGAGGACAGTGTTCGGTTTGAGGATGTGCTAGGGAGGACCAGGTCATTACCATATGAGTATTTTCGTCATATCGAGGTATGCACTTGACCCTTCTTGACCGTCAAGACCTAATTTCCCCATCTTAGGTATTCAACTCCTTCCTAGAAACTCAATTCAGAGGGCTACCTGGCGAGCAAAAGATCCGCCAACGTCGATATCTTCTTCTAGATACCAACTCCGATGGTGAACCCATTACCGACAGCGAATGGAGCAACACCGTCTTTCCCGGCGCCTGCCTGGTCATGTCGGCCCTTATGCTGCAATTAGGGCTACCGCCAGGTGCCGACCGGTGTCCCCGGCGGGGCTGCTCTGGCTCCGGGTACCCTCAAGGCCAGTCAGTCTTCAGAACTTGGTACGATTACCATATTAAGCCATTAGCTCATATAGAACCTCATTTCTCCAGTGACAAATGCAGCATGAAGTTCTGCACAGCAGCAAGAATTACTACTCAGCGCGCGAAAGGAGAGGAAGAGCCGCCACAGCAACCGAAACAAGCAACAGAGCAATCTTGGAGTGGTCCCTTCAATCGAATGAGCGGCCCAAATCCACCACTTCAACCAGTCCAGCATAAGCCTTCTGAGGAGGCAATCCAAGAGGTAGCATTCTGGGAGCAAACCGCAGAGTCAGAACACACAAAGCGAGAATTCAAAGTCTTCAAGAGAGTACACTTAGAGGCTCCAAGCCCATTCTTGGAGGCTATAAATGGCAGGAATAGCACGGGACATTGTCGCGAAATTGACATCAGGCATGTCCGAGCGAAGTTCCCCGGCGCGCCAGATTATATCCTCCATCGTTTGGGGGGTGCCATCTCAAGGCGCCGTGGATATTTTCTCTACTGCGAAAGGAGTTCCAGAGGTTTCCATACGGAGCCCGAATTCGCTAAGGAGGGGCAAGAGCAGGAGGACGGAGGTGAAGATGCATGGGTCCTGCCACTTCCGCCCCGGAGTACGTACGAACAAGCGCACGAATGCCCTATTTGCCATCGATCCATCGTTCTTTCTTCTGCAAAAGCTTGGAGGTATGTTCTTGGTCTACCACTGCTTACGTGAAGCTAACAAATCATAGGGCACATGCGTGCAGAGATCTGCATTCTTACCTCTGCACATTCGAACACTGCGATACCGCCGATCGTATGTTCGAGAGTCGAGAGGAATGGCTCAACCATGAAATGCAAGCTCATTGGCAAAACAGCATGAGCCCTCCTAGCGAATGTATTCTTTGTGGGGCCTCTATAACGGACGTCATTTCCTACAGAGGCCATATCGGTGCGCACCAGGCGCAGCTTGCGTCCGACGCTCTGCATTTTGCGTGGGGAATACACCCAGACCTGCCAGATGCCCCTGAACGCCTTCAGCAATACCTGGAGGATCCTTACAACATGGATCAGGGATACAGCTATAAGAATATCCAAAACATATACCCCACCATATTCTAGACTCTATCTAATAAAATTTCCCCTAACTTAAACGTATTTTTTTATTTATATGCTTTAGGGCTTACATACGTAAGGCTTAGTAGGAACCTACATAGTAAGAAAAGCGTACTTTAGAGAGCGTCGAGTCTGAGTAGCTTTTGCAGAGTTAGAATAGCCGAGGCTATATTATACGTCTTAGCTATAGTATTTATAGGGAGGCTAAAGAGGCCACATAGATTCCTCCCACCGCCGCCCGTGCCCTCTAAATACGATGCAACGGCCCGGAAGTGGCCGAGGACCATGGCATACAGGCTGCATTGGTCCATTGCGTGGCAAACAGGACGAAGTCTATCAATATTCGATACTCCATTGCAGGAGGTGTCCAGACTTCCTCCAGCCCCAGAAATCTGTAGCTATCGATCAGAACACGATGCACGTGCTCGACTACAGTCTAAATATCCTTTCCCGCAGCTATTTACTGATAGCTTTCGCTGTACCGACATTCCTATGCATACTAGCCACACTCCTTCTATATCATAGCCAGGTGCATGGGGTAATTTAACGGTTAACAAGCTCCACGTGGCTATCTGTAGGCACGGATTCAGCACAGTCTCCAGATTGATTTCGGCTAAGACTCCCTTACGGCTAGGGACCGAGGACTCCATAGAATGAGAGTCTGAAGAGCAGCCCTATTATACTCTAACGTAGGTGACTGTACCGGGCTGGAATAAGTGACAATAGAAAGGTCAACGCCGACGAAATGTTTCCTTGTTTTTGACTCCGGCGGATAGCAAGAAGGCCACAGGGGAAGAAAGGCGTCTTCAAGGGCAGATTACAGTTGAGTTGTCGAAGGACTAGAAGTAGGCTACCCCTGATCTCCTGGACGCTGCCTCCAATGCACATGCTTAACCACGGTACGGATACCCTTGCCTTGTAGTTCCTTGCTAATTGCCTCTGCTATTGCGACACTCCTGTGCACACCCGACCCGCATCTCACCCATATCATGACAGGATCGTGTAGACGCAACTCGCACTCAACACGTTCCACGGCGCGACCCCTACGCATCATATCAGCACGATTTGCAGATTGACTGCTTCGTATACGTTGTCGGGCCATGGCAAAAGCACACTCACTATGCTCTTGGGCTGAGAAGATATTATGGGGTCACTTATATAACACGTTGAGCCTCCGGATCAGACATAATAATCTCTTGGCAGATGCGGTGGATGCCGCTGTATCTTTGGCAGATATCGAAGGGTGGAGGGCATGTGTAGCATTTTATGGTGCCGATGAAGGTCGCTTCGTGCGGGATGCGGGAGAGAGCGTCTGAGAAATGGAGTTGAGCGAGGGGATATCGGCGGTATTTGGATTCGCCGTAGGAGAGGATGTAGACTGTTGGCATTGTAGATATTATGCTGGGAGATTTGAGGAGGCAATCAGGGGCTAGGGAGCTGACGAGGTTGAGGTGGACATTTGATGTGAAGGCGGGAATAGGGGAGATAAAGAATGATGGATTGACAGCTAAGAAAAAAGGAGTGACAGGATAAAAAAGACCGAGATAAGGAGACCTTACGTTCAGTTCTTCACACCAGCCTTCTCATACACTTCCTCGACGAACGCGTGGCGCTTCACAGCAGCCTCCCAGTCCAGCACGCCTTCATCCTCGCCCTTCCCATCCGCAAACGCCTCATACAACCTGGCAATATTCCTCGCATACAGCGGGTACTCCTCACCGCTAAAAGCATCCTTGTCCACTTCCACCGTCTCCGTCTTCCCACTCTCATGCTCAAAAACCTCGATCTTCACATTATCATCCGCAATCTGCAAATAGCTATCGGGACCCGTGACCTGGACCTCGCCCTTGCTGCCGTAAATGCGCCATATATGGCCAGCTTCGTTGCCGAACGCGGGGCCGCCGCGGAGATGGTACGACACCACGGCGCCGCAGGAAAGGCTGCCCTGGAGCAGGAACTGGTCGTGCGAGGTGCGCGGGATAGTCTTGGTGGGTTCGCCGGCGTAAGTGGTGAGCTGCACGGTGGGGTGGGATACGGCGAGAAGAGGCGTGAAGGAAGTAAATGGCGCGAGGACTTGTTGGATGGCTTCGAGTGCTAGGATATCGCATCACAGTCAGCCTTTATTTTGGGTTTGCAAATCAAGGAAAGGAGGAACTCACAGTGGACACCGTAGATAGTCACCATGTTCCCGCCAACACTGGGATCGTTCTGGTACGCAAGGCCCTCATACTCCGTCCCCCCAAAGAACTTCGGCGTCCCATGGAACGTGCTGCTCAGCACCTTCCCAATCCTTCCACTCACCAGCACCTCCCGCACCTTCCGCATCCCCGGGCTAACGCCCGCCTGCAGCCCCACCAGCGTCCGGACGCCTTTCTCCTTCGCCACAGCCAGCATCTCTTCCGCCTGCGCAGCGTCTTTCGCGAGCGGCCACTCGCAGAAGACGTCCTTGCCAGCCTTCAGCGCCGGCATGAGCGCGTCGTAGTGCTTGTCGACGCGGACGGAGCAGATCACGAGGTCGATGTCCGCGTCCGCGGCGAGCTCGGCGGGCGTGGCGTAGGCTTTTGTGGTCGGGGGCAGGTTGTGGGCTTTGATGGCGGCGTGCGCGGAGGAGAGGCTGGAGTTGCAGAGCGCGGTGATTTCGTACTTTGAGGAGGACGCGAGGTAGGGGAGGTGTGCCCAGACGGCCCAGGATTGCGTGCTGGAGAGGCCGATGAAGCCGACTTTTATGGGGGACATCGTGGGGGAGGGGAGGGCTGGGGGTTATGGGGAATAAATGGTGGGAAGTAAAGAGAAATTGAGGTGGAGATTGGAGAGATGCTGACTTTTGGATGATTTAGACTGATTGTATAGATTGAAGACATATTGGAGGTTGTGTTTTATACTCGTCGTTGGGCCCCTGGGTGGATGACAAAGAGTTGCGGGAGAGTTGCGGAGGGCGTTGCGGAGTTGCGGAGGAGGCTGCTGAGCCTCGTTGTGCTTTGAAATACTTAGTATACCGGACGAGACTATTCGGAGGGTTGCGATATTGCTTTTTGCTTCCTGGATTTCTGTCCTTCCTTGTGCTCTGGGAGTTGGTCGTGAGTTGGGCGTGGGAATGGACGTTGCGGGCACGTGCCAGCCTCGGTACGCACCCCCACGCGTCTCATTGGCCAATGGCTTATCGATCAGATCTGATCCTCTGCCCGTCATCGTTACACAGCAGAGCAATGACAGCTTCGACTGAAAAGTCAGTGGGCTTGGAAGTGCTTTTCTCGAGCGGAAGCGGCACTGCAAGCTGCAGAGGAAGCTGCATCGATCAGCAAAAGCGCAGAAACACGTGGGGTGACGGCGCCTTCTCGTTCGCTGCATGTGGCTGGCACCTCAAGATCGGCTGGCTGGGCCCAAGCTCCCTCTCATCAGTTTCTGCACCACGTCGCGGCGGGGAGCTGTCTCTCGTTTCAATCAGACATCTTCGATTCTGCGCATAGCTTCTCTAGCTTTACCTCATTCTTAAACCCTCTCGTCGCCCGTTCCAATTGCACCCGGGCGAGCAATTGCCCTCGTTGCGCCCACCATGAGGTTCGTCCCACCCCGGCTGATCCATGCCGTCCACCCCTCACCGGCTGCATGCGCGGAGCTGGAGCTTGACGTAAGGCATACCTAACCGCTCATTCGCAGATTCGGCCACCAGCTCAAGCAGTCGCTTAACAGAGACTGGATCTACAACTACATCGACTACGAAGACCTCAAAACCGCCCTCCGCGCGCCCCAAGAATGGGACAACAAGCTAGAGCAGGACTTTGTTGAGAAGCTCGAGAAGGAGCTCGATAAAGTGTATACTTTCCAGAAGGTTAAGAGCGAAGAGATTATCCGCCGCATCGCCGCGTCGGAGAAGGAGGTTAATGAGGTTGTAGCCAGGCTGGATGGCGAGCCGGGCCAGGATGGAGAGGACGGCCCGACCGAGGAGGATTTCGAGCTCCTGGAGGAGGACCTGAGCGACGTCATTGCCGATGTGCACGACCTGGCCAAGTTCACACAGCTCAACTACACGGGCTTCCAGAAGATCATCAAGAAGCACGATGTGGGTAGCCCCCCACGCGTTCCGGCCTCGTGGGCGAAATGCTAACGAATCGCAGAAAGTGACGCGCTGGATGTTGAAGCCAGTCTTCGCAACGCGCCTGTCGCAGAAACCTTTCTTCCAGGACCACTACGACGAGTACGTGTTCAAACTCTCGAAGCTCTACGACACCGTTCGCACGCGAGGCAACCCCGTTAAGGGCGATTCGGCGGCTGGCGGCAAGCAGCAGAACTTTGTCCGCCAGACAACGAAATACTGGGTGCATCCCGACAACGTGCTGGAGCTGAAGCTCATCATCCTCAAGCATCTGCCCGTGCTGGTCTACAACGCGAGCAAGGACTGGAGCGAAGATGATACCGCCATCACATCCATCTACTTTGATAACACGGATACATGGGAGCTATATGAGGGGCGGCTGAAGAAGACAGAGGGCGCCGAGGCTATCCGTATCCGCTGGTATGGAGACATGGCGACCGAGCAATGCTTCATCGAGCGCAAAACTCACCGGGAAGACTGGACTGGCGAGGAATCGGTGAAGGCCCGTTTCAAGCTGAAAGAGAAGAACGTCAACGCTTACCTGCGGGGAGAACTCATGCCTGAGCAGATATTCGAGAAGGACCGACGAGAGCATAAGAGGCCAGAGAAGGATATTGCGTCTGATGAACAGCTCGCGCGCGAGATCCAGTACCGCGTCCTGACTCGAAACCTCGTCCCTGTTACGCGTTCGTTCTACCACCGTACTGCCTTCCAGCTACCTGGCGATGCCCGTGTTCGAATATCACTCGATACCGAACTTGCCATGGTCCGTGAAGACAATCTCGATGGTCGCCAGCGCTCGGGTAACAACTGGCGCCGGATGGATATTGGGGTCGACTGGCCTTTCTCGCAAATCCCTAAAGAGGACGTTGAGCTCTTCCCCTATGCAGTGTTGGAAGTTAAGCTCCAAACACAAGCCGGCCAGGAGCCACCGCAATGGATCCGCGACCTAACCGCTTCACATCTCGTAGAAGCAGTCCCCAAATTCTCAAAATACATCCACGGCACCTCGACGCTCAACCCGACAAGGATAAACCTGTTGCCGTACTGGGCTCCGCAAATGGACGTCGACATCCGCAAACCTGTCAGCCACAAGTTTGGCATCGAGAGACCTGGCGCGAGCAACGATATTAGTACTAGTGGTAACTTGGACGAGAGCGACGATGACGACTACGCAGCTACGGAGCTCCCACCTGCAAGCGAGCATCCCGACGATGAAGGGCTTAGAAGGCTGCGTGAGGCGCGTGATGCCATGGAACAGCATGATCTTGACCGGCGGCGTGACTACGGGACTATTCAGAATGGTGACGGCCCGAACGCGCTCGATGTCGAGGAACGTATCTCCGCACAACAGATACACGAAAACGATTACCCACTTTACGATTCTGAGGATGAGGAAGAGGATCTAGAAGAGGCAAGGCGCGTAGGAGGCTGGCATTACCGCTCCAAGCTCATCAAGCAGAGGGCCAAGGACTTTGGGAATGCGATGATGAGCCTTGCCGCAGCGCTCACTCCACGACCGCGAGCGACCGAAGTTGGCGAAGGCGGATTCACGCTGGGTGTGCCGAGCTGGAAACAGCCCGGTGAAGTCAAGCACTTCAAGGCCCCCAAGGGAAAGCGTAAGTCATGTCCCCCATTCCCCCTCCCTGTCTTCTCGCATCAGAAACTTACGCTAAGCAGGAATCCACGTCCCCGTGCGCGTAGAACCAAAAGTCCAGCTCGCCACCGAACGCACCTTCCTCTCCTGGCTCGAGTTCAGCATCCTCCTCGGCTCCATCGCCGCTACGCTGCTCAACTTCGGCGATAATCTCGCGCTGACGGCTGCGTGGGCATTCACCGTCATTGCCTGCTGTGCGCTAGCTTACTCCGCTGGCTTGTATATGTGGCGCGTGGATATGATTAAGAAGAGGAGGGCGGTTACGTATCATGATAAGTGGGGGCCGAGCTTGCTGTGTCTAGGATTGCTGGCGGCGGTGGCGGTGAGCTTTGGGGTTAGGCTGGGGAAAGGGGGGTGGAACGGAAATTGGAAGGGTGGTTTGAAGGGATGAGTGGGATGGAGAGAAGGCGGGTTTTGCGAGGGGTTGGGTACGCGGCGTATTGCATCACACTTGCATTGTATTGGTAAATGGTATGATTAGGGGCTGGGCCTGGCGTTGCGGTGCTAGCGCAGATGGGTATTGTCTAATACATGCATCAAAATCCACTAATGATATGGGCAGGCTTGCATCATCCCACCACGTTCGTTTCCTCAGTATCTTCATTACCAGCCTCAAACTCCCAACTCTCATCCATACCATAACACTCATAGCCGCGAGACCGCTCCTCTTATAGCACATCACCCGGCTTCCTAACCCGATGCACATGCGTAACATGCACGTCCATAGGCACTCCACTCCCCAACAACCTCCTCCGAATGATCTCCGCCGCAGCTACACTCCTATGCGTCCCCGCCACACAGCACGTCTCTATCAGCACTACATGCGGACCCTGCATTAAATACGCGAGCGTCTGTTGCACGGCGTCGTCTCTTTACTTTCGTTAGCAGCTTCACTTCTCCTCCATTCTCTTCATCCCCTTCCTTCAATATGTGTGGAAATTGTAAAGGGAGTATGGCTTACATATCCCTCCTCGCCGTCCGACTCCCTTCAACAAACTGCTGGATTGCGCCGCTGACGCCGGAGTATGCTTCGCACATGTGCCGCGGCGGGGCGCGCCAGCGCTCGCAGTGCACGGTGAGGAGGGGAGGCACGCCGACTGGCCGGTGGGTGTATAGGAGGTGGTGGGCTATGGGGTCGCCGGCGTTGAGACGCGCGAGGGAGTAGGAGAGGATGTGGATGGTTTTGTGGGTGGGGTGGATGTAGGGGTGGAAAGGCTGGGGAGTGATGAGTGGGAGGGGCATAGGGACGGGGAGGAGGGGAGGCTGGGGATATGGGAGCATGGGTACGATAGGGCCGATGGGAGCGGCGGCGTGATGCACGATGGTGGCGGTGATTGGGAACATGGTCGCTGGTGTTGGCGTTGGCGTTGGCGTTGGCCGTGGGCGGTGGGTGGGAATCTTTTTTAGAAGAGAAGAAAGAAGCAGGTAACGGACGAGGATGTAAGTGCAGGTAAACTGTGTGATGTGAAGAGTAGTGCTGGAGGGTGATGCGAAGCACTGAAGTATTCATGGCTCTCGAAAAGGAAGAGTGAGGATGTGACATGCGGTACAGTGCTAAGTAACAAAACGAGACATGAGGCGTGAAGAAGCAAGAAAGACATTCATTCAAGCGTAAGCTTTCGCCCACACTTTTGAACCATTCCTACAGCCCGTATCTCGCAAGGGGGGGCATTGCTAGGGAAGGAAAATGCTCCACACGCACCCGGTGACAATCGTAAAGGCGGTGCCCATAGGAAAAGGAATGAAGTATTGAGGATTATCTTGGGGATAGAGGTCATGTCTTCGAATCCAAACACAAATTGCCTGCAGCTGTGGGGAAGCTTTAGACGCCTTTGAGAAGGAACGAGCCTTTGGTGTTGAACATACTTTGCGTGTCGTGGCCATCAACTCTCCTTTTTCAAAGCCTGCTCTTCATCCCTCATAGCTAGCCTCTGCTCCCTCGTCGCTATCTGAACATACACATACCAAATCGTGAACACCAGGGCGGTGAGTCCGCACGTGGTGCCAAGGTATATGCGCCAGCTTCTTTCTGGACTAAGCGTGAAGATACCAGCGTCCCATAGTGACTGGACCGGCGTTAGCACGCAGCCCATTGAAAAACTTACCAAGGAAAAGAAGGCATAGGACTTACTGCGAGCATGGTACTGGGAAGGAACGTTAACGTCAAGACAGTAATGGCTTTCATGGTCCGGCTATCTGCGGCCGTCAATTTGGCGATCTGGTAGTTCTGCTCGTTGCCCCTTTGCGCGGTGAAGCTGTAGATCTAGAAGGAAGAAAGAAAGCATAAATTAGCTCTCAAAAGCGCAAAGTGTGCTTTGCTCTACGTACCACGTTAATCTGCGCGTTGACTCTACCCAAAAGCTGCGTAGTGAGGTCTGCCAGCCCCTGCAGTCTCGTTTCATTGAATCGTACCTGATCTTCAAATTGGTCTCGCTGGCCTGAGAGTATGGCAGGTGCGTTTATTTGCGCTCTCGCCATCTCTATCTTTTCTGCTGTGCTCCGGAAAGAGGGACCAAGATTTGCTGCGGACTGCAAACAAGTTAGGTTGAGTCTGAGGCTCATGTTGATGGCATGCAATGATTTAAGAAAATTACGCAGTCTAAACCCATCGAAGCTGGCGACAGTGTTTTCAAGAGGAAACCTGTTCCATGGTGACATTCCAGTCGTGCCTTCTACGCTCTGGACTTGAGCCAAAAGCCCGTTTGACCGTGACTCGATGAGCTCGGTCGCGCTTTCGATAATAGAGTTCAAAAGGTAGAGCGGATATGCCCGAAATGCAGAAGCCTTACGGAGGCAGCTGGCTCTTAAGTCTGTGAGAATTGCTAAGTCGCTAGAGCCCAGAAAGCAGACACTTGCTAGGTCCTTCAGCCGGATCTTCAAGGCGCAGTAGATGATCTCAAAGCCCGTCGGAGCTAGAAGAAGCACATCTATGATCCGCTCGCCTTAGCAATCCGTCCCGAGAGATCAAGGCCTACTTCGTAGTTCACTTACGAATGGCAATGGGCCTGATGTTTTCTGCATCGTATTCAGTGTAGTATGAGTAATGCGGTTGGTATGAGCTGTACATAGCTGCTGGATGTTGATGGAAGAGGCCGGTTTCAAAAAAAGATCGCAGAATCTTGGAAGACAGTTGAAGGGGATTGTCCGGCCTTAACGCGTAGCCCGCAGCAGAACTATGAATCAGTTAGCAGATATGTTGGAGGCGCTTAAAGAGCAATTTTGGGCTTGCATCAGGATGAAAGGTGGAGAAGGATTTCCTGTTAAACTCCCAGGACTTCGCTGTGCGCTATCATCAACGGCGCTGATCTAGGAAATCTATGAGTCTACGTCGCATTGATATGTGGCCAACATACGATATTTGGCATCTTTGCCTCGAGCTCTTGGTCGTTGAGATATTCATTCGATATGTTCCCCTCTCGGCTGTCGAAATACTGCACCCTAGATTCAGGCGCCAAGCGTAGCCGACGTAAATACCGCTCGTAAGATCTCGAATCCATGGATTATGCTGTCCCACTAATAGGTCAGTGAGCAGATGACAATCCGCAGCGGTACAAGGAGAGATGGAAGAGGAGGAATTCCTTGTTCCCAAGACAGCAGGCTGCAGTAGGAAGGCTGAGGACTGCGGCTGGAGATCGGATAGAGTCAGCCTAACCTAATTCGGACGCCGACATTGAAAGATACATGGCGCGCGATCTTTTGCACAACGACTGTGCCTCTGAAACGAAGAAAGTGGATCGTTACGGTTGCCGGATTCCTCTTCTACCTGCAAGCCAATGTAAGCAAACGAACGTAATCAATTACCACCCAGTGTTGCGGCTACGATGAATGACTTGCACTCACTTATCCCCACCACGGCCCTCACAATTTTTCCTCTCCCTTAATCACATCCCTAACCAATGTCAACCCTTCCACCGCAAACCTCACCATATTCGCCTCTCTATCCCCACCCAATCCCGTCTCCACCTCTCTTGTCACTGTCCCCTTCTCGCTCGCTACAGCCAGCGCCACATAACCCGGTGTTCTATTCTTCGTCGTCCCTCCGGTCGGCCCCGCCGTCCCGCTTTCACTAACCGTGTACGTACTGCCCAACGTCTTCCTCGTATGTTCCGCCAATCCCGCAACAATCTCCGGCGTGGGCCCAGTGTATGTTTTCAAGTTCTCGGGCGTCCAGCCAGCGAAGGCGATGCGCGAGTCGAGCGTGTAGAGGGTGAGGCCGCCTTTGTAGTACCCCGAGGCGCCGGGGTAGGAGAGCAGGGCTGCGGAGATGAGACCGCCTGCTGCCTGTGGGATTGTAAGTGAATGCGGAAGAAATGAAGGGGTGGGGTCAGTGGGTACTGTCTCTGCTACTGAGATGGTTTCTTTGCGCTCTTTCAGGAGGGCTGCGACTTCCTGGACGATCTCCCGGACCTCGTCGGGTGGGAATGAGGACGACATTGTTAATGCGAGAGGGCTGTGGATGAAGACGAGCTGCAAATGGATAGGCTTTGAGGTTTGAGATTGCCGCAGAGGGGTGTTTTATGAAGCTGTAGATATGGAAGGAGCCCACTCTGGAGATTGGAAAGAGCTCCAGCGCGGGGTATATCTAGTTACATTTGTAAGATGGGTTAGGTATGACGCTAAGTGGGGTAGCTCCTTTTCCTCGTGCGACTATCGGAGAGATTTTTAGCTTCCGTCTGATCCTCTGGTTCGTGGCGTCTGCAGCTTGTTTCGCAAGTGGAGCATGCGCAGGACGTTGTACAAGGTCGAACTCTCTTAGCAAAAAGGTAGAGAGTGAGTATGCAATGTTTATGAGATATACTGGTGACTACGTTCTATGAGGATAAGAAATACCCACGAGCAAGAGCGGAGTCGATCGCTCGGACCGAATCAGAGCGGCCGCGTCTTAGCCAAAGGCCTATTTTCCATACATGAATTCAAAAGAGAACAAAGGATATACGAGAAACGAGAGACCCAATCAACGCCGTGCCTTTAGACCATAGACGTTGGGTATCATTGAGAAGGAAAACGTATCATTGGTTCGTTGGAAATTACGTCCGCTGCCGGCTGCGCTCGGCCTAGAGGTGGGCTGGACTCTCGAAGCCTGCACTGCCACTCCCGTTGTTGAGGAAGGGATGGCGATGAGTCAAGAGAGTGAAAGGTGAGACACATCGGCCGGAGACGGTTTGTCTACCGCAGTCTATTTGGTGGGCCCAATCCAACCCAACCTCAAGCGAGCGGCTACGATGCCTGCGGATCCTGCAAGGGATGGGGCGTGTCGACCGGGAACGTCGTCGAAGGACTCACATGCTGTGAGCTCTCTGGCGAGTTGTCCTTCGAGCTCGCCGGACTAGATGTAGGTGATACCGATTTCGAAACGATGTATAGGTCCGGGTACGAGTTGAAGAAGAGGCGCTTCCAATACGCGCTGGAAGGGAGGCCAACGTTGGCGAGGGAGGACTTCAGCGTAGGCTTGTCGCCATACTTTTGGCGTTCCTCGGGCATCAGCAGGTCTTCGGCACTGACCTCTAACCGGCTGTTGCCTCGAGGAATCTGTTTCTTGGTGACGCGTAGGAAGGGCAGGTTTGGGTCTGAAGAGGCCGCCCTCTGTTAGCCATACAACTCGTCCATGGTTGGGTGAGGCTCAAGCGAGCGCACTTACCGGAGTCTAATGCCTTGCAAAGATCATGCTGCGAGCTCACCTCGAGTGATTTACTGCCCGAGCGATACTTGTAGACGAGAATATTCGCCTTGTCGTCCTCGTTCAATCCGAAGAGCGTGCTTGCCTTGCTCGAGTTCGTGCCGCCGGTAGAGGTGGAGGTGCTTTTCCAGGTCATGACTGCGCGTGTGATTGTGTGTCGCTCCAAATTGGACGATGAAGGCTGAGACTGGGTTACGTAGGGCTGTCGGTCGGCGGTGGAGAGCACAGTTGGTCGCTGGTTTGTGGTTCACGAAGGGTAGCGAATGTGTTCGTGGGCTTTGTATAGGAAGGGCGGCGATGCGGCGGTGCGGTGTCTGGTGATGGGTGAAAGCAGGTGGAGTGAGGCCTGGGACATCAAAGAGCTGCGTCACTGCGCCGCAGGCAAGCGAGCCTGGGACATGGTGGCTGGTGAATCCGGCGTCGGCCGAAGAGAACTGATTGGTAAGATTATTACTTTTATTACTTGGCAGCATGGCGCAGCAAACCTCGTGTGATTGGGTGCAATCTCATTCACCATGGATTGCCCTGTTACCACGCACCACAGTGACTCTGCTGTGTTGTTCCGTGGACGTGGATCGAGTGAATGTTTGCTGGCTGTGACTAGAACAATCAAGCTCCACTGTGTTACCAATCTCTGAGGTCTCACAGAGGAATACTGAGACACGACTATGAACAACGCTCTCTTCATTCCTCAAGCCAGGCGAAAAGGAAAGCGGCGGGTCTTCATGTCACGGAGCGAAAACGCCATCCAGGTGACTCTGTTGCTCATCTCACCTCTGACTCTTCGTTCACAGTCTGACTGCGAGTTTGTTGTTCCGGCTTGCTCACGCCCTCTGTCACACGGAGGCGTCATCTGGACCACAAGCAGCTTGCTGCAGGCTCCAGCTGTGGACAACCAGGGCTCACACCGGTTATCGCCGCATATCTCTGCCTTCCGAGCAAACAATAGAGTCGTGCTGTAGTTTGCATCTGTTCGGAATGGGCGGGTGTGAGCAATAGTGGACCATGCCGTACCCCAGAATATGGTCCTAGGGCGAAGGATGCGGGTGCCGGAATGACTTCAGCACCTTAAATGCCGTGCACATCGCACAAAGCCTGCGGCCCCTGAATACTCCGAACAGAAAAGGAGTCGAAGCCCCATAAGAAGCGAAGAAGGCGCGAGGCGGAGCCGTTGCACAGCTCCGGCAGCCAGGCGCAAGATTCACCGCGGACCAATCAGGGGTAAGTACCCCCGAGACTCCAGCGCGATCCTCCAGCGCCACAACCGAAGGAGCCACCACAGCTCTCCGTGACCTCGTTTCGAGTGCAGCGGGCTGCTCATGAGGCTCACTTGATGCTTTGCGGCCTTATTACTGCCAGGCTGCTCCCTAGCCTTGCTCCCTCTACATCAGTCGCCCCTGACACTACCTCGCGTTTCAACTTTTGCCGCCACGAGTCTGGCGCGCTAATAAGCTACTGACGGCCTTCAAGATGCTGCAACCTCCAGTCGACTCTCCCCGGCGCCCGGCCTCGATAATGACGACGGCCTCCTCAGCGGATAAGACGGGGCAAACGTGGGTGGATGGTGTGAACAAGTCCAACTGCTGGGAGGATCTCATATTGACTCTAGGTACGTACACGTCTCCGTTAGTTCGCAGCGCGCGTCTAGTGGTGCCAGCACCTTCCCCGTAGCAGTCACGCCATTATCCAGTCCGGCGCATACGATAGGGCGGTAATAGGGACTTTGTTATGTCTTTCGCAGGATGCCTAGAGCTATTATACGACCAAACGCTCCGGTCATGGTCCTCCACGAACCTGGCCAGCTCCGCCCGGCGTATCTTCCCCCGAGGCTTTCGCACGGCTCTTCGTTCTCGACTCATAATGCTACTTGGCAGACGATAGTCGAGTTGATCCTCCGATACGTCGCCGGTTTGCGCCAGGATGGTCAAACAGAACCGAGCAGAGCCACAAGCGTCCCATGCGGGCGTGCGAAACTGGAGTTCAGGAACAAATCCATACATAGCAGATACTCTAATCAGAGCACGGGAATTTAAGCAGAGCTACAATTACCGCTCGAATGCGCTGGACTGCGTTATGCGCGACCGCTCGAGAATGTTCGTTTGGACCACCTAGGCCAAGTACTGACTATGATTTAGATGGCGGCGGTATTCGAGGCTACTCCAGCCTACTTATCCTCCAACGCGTCATGCACGAGATCGCCGAGATCGAGCAACGGATACAAGAACAAGAAGGCCCTCCGAAAGGCTGTGGACGGCGGACATTCAACGAAGATGAGCTTCTCCCTTGCCATTACTTCGACTACATGTACGGAACGAGCACTGGCGGGTTGATATCGGTAATGCTGGCACGACTACGCATGACTGTCCCTCAATGTTTGGAAATATATCGACAAGTCGGCGAGGATCTCTTTGGTCATCGGAGAAATGTCCTTCCTTTGGCGACGAAATACCATCACAAGCCCTTGGAGAAAGCGGTGCAAAGAATCGTAAGCGAGTTCTGCAAGCACCATGATAAGTGTGACGGCCATGACTGGCATCCTTGGAGCGCGGATGAGGGCTCAGAGACTGGAAGCGGGAGCTCGTCGTCATCAAGTTCCTATCTGCAACCTGATAGGATCTGTCAATCGTAAGTACACTGAATACCCCCTCGCTTACTTTTCCACATCCCGACGCAGTTGCCTGGTCCTTATCAGGTCTGCGGCTCAAATACGATTCAGCAACTGACATTAAGTAGTATCTGCCTCACCGCAACCCACTCCGGTATGATTGACGAAGCCTACCTCCTTCGGACATACGATCACCGCTACGATCCTGAGATTGCACCTGTCTGGGTGACTCCCTATAACGAGGGCGCAGATAAGCTTAAGATCTGGCAAGTCACTCGCGCTACTTCAGCAGCCCCCTTTTTCTTCAAGATGCTTGAAGCCGACTTCGGATCAGGTCGCAAGATTGGCTTCAAAGACGGAGGAATACGCGAGAATAATCCCTCGTACGCTGCGTATAGCGAACACGCTTCACTGAAAGGGGATGATCACGAACCCGCCTTGCTTCTCTCAATCGGCACAGGAAGACCAGATACGTCAAACGACGGGTTCGCTTCCGTATGGCCAGGACCTTTCGGAAAAGTACCGCTGATGAAGAAGTGGTCGGAGAAGTTTGCCGTTTTCAAGAACGTTTTGATCAAATACACGGAGGGTGAAGACAGACACAAAATGATGAAAACAATTGCTCGCGGCGAGCATCGGTGGTACAAGCGGCTCAACGTCAACAAGGGGCTCGAAGACATGAAGCTCGACAACTGGGAAAAGGGGGTTTGGACAAATCCTCAGACGGGCGAGACCAAAGAAGTTCCGGGAGGCAAAACGCTTTCAAGAATGGAGCAGGTTACGAACGCCTATTTGGCTAGGGAGACTGCAGAGAGACAGGTACCTCTACAGGAGTACGCACCTCCACAAGTGATGATAAGGCAGGTCGCTGAGCGGCTAGTACGACATAGACGGCTACGGGAGGAGACAAAGAACGAGGACCTTAGGAGGTGGCAAACACATATGGGGCAATGGTTGAGCGGCACATTGAAAGAGGAGGACAGCATGATCAAGAGAGAACCGCCGAATAAGAAGGGCAGCCGCGCGACCGCGACCGCGACCTTGGGCACGAGCACGAACACAAAGCAGCCTGTAGTCACCGACGAGAACAGCACCACGGCCAACAAGAATTGAACCGATTTGAGCTTGCCATCCTCCAGCCTGAGCCGTCTGGACTCCACATCCTCGTCGCCGTCTTTCTGGCCCTGAGTCAAAAATCTTGACGGCTCAACCGTGGATCTTCCATCAGCTATCCCAACCTTCGACGGTTCCACCGGTGACCGACCTCGCCCTCAACTACGGTTTGCCCCAAACCCGGGCATTCTGCCCCGGCTGCGACCCTCACGACCATGAGAGCACCCAACTTTGGATACATTTTACTGCATAGCGAAGCATGTGCATTTGGCGGCGTCACATCACATACCCCTCCCTTCGCTGTGGATATCGCGAAGACGTAATACTGGGCATCGGCGTTGGCGTTCTTAGTTCTTGAAATTTTGTAAGCATATGGGGCGCCTGACTATTCACGGCAGTTCTTGCATATAGCAGATAGCGCACGAGATACCACATTCTTAGTAGTTTTTTTGGGCATAATATTCGGTAAACTCCATGTTGAGCTTTGCAATGCGGCAATGGGTGTCTTTTCGCATGTGCCTGACATCTTTTTCCGCAGCTTCGCCTATACTTACCCCAACGTGTACGTCTACAGACACTGACACTTCTCAACGCGACATAAGTCCATGGATTGCTTCAACACATGCAGAGAATTTTTTACATACGACAGAACGTTCCATGGGTGGCTTCAACACATGGTGGGAAATTTTTTATACATAAAGATGGCCCCACGAAGTATTTCTCGCTCCTTCATCCCATTCCCTCCACCTCTCTATAGCAGCTGTACAAAGTCTCCTCCTGATATCCTCGAAGCAGCACTATGGAGAATAACACTAACACAACCACACGCGAGCCGTCCTGGGACGCAGTGGGCGAGCCCCGACCTGAGAGCTCCCTAGGTTGCCCTGCCTCCCTCGATGCGCTCCTGGAATCCCTCTCGGTCTCAGAGCCCGAGAATAACGAGGTGTCAGTCGGCACCCCAACGCCAGCTGAAGGCCTCCAGGCTATGCTATCCATGTCTGGTTTCGCTTCGCCGCCACTGTCAAAGTCCACGCACGAGCGAGTTGATAGTTTCCTGGAACCACTCCCTCCTGCCCGCTGCGACTCACCACCACCTCCCCCACCTCGCATCCCGGAAGCCTACACCCAGCTCCAGGATCTCTCTGCCGCCCTGTACAAGGCGCTGAAGGACCTCACGAAGGGCTATCGCACGTCGATCGCCCGCGCGCGTACAACGCAAAAACGTGCCGCGATCCGTAAGAAGTTCGACAAAAAGACCGCGACACTGCTGCACAACTTCGAACAGAAAGTCCAAGGGACGCTGTGGGAAGGAATGGGCCCCCGCATGCTCTCCGACCTCACCCTCAGCGCGTACCCCTCCCAATCCTCCACGCGCCACGCGCCCAATTCACTCTACACCCTCCGCCGCTCGCTCATCAAAGAACTCGATTCCCACCTTTACGCCCGCGCAACCGCCCAGCGCGCACTCGAGCAAGACCGGCTAGCCTGGGGCGATGAAATGATAGCGCAGCTCATGCAGCTCGAGGAAGATACTAAGAGAGCGGAGCTTCTTTTTGCTGATCGGTTTCTGGAGCTGTGGGACTTTCAGTGGATTGCTACGGAGCAGGAGTTTCAGGCGGAGTATGAGGCGTTTTGTGGCGATATGGAGAGGCTGGCGCCGATGGGGGAGAGGTTGAGCGTGGAGTTGGAGAGGTTGGGGGAGTGTATGGATGATGATGATGGGGAGGAGGATGAGGGTAATCGAGGGGGTGAAGGCATAGAGGGGGAGCCGTGGTGGTTTAGGGAGGAGAAGGTATGTAGAGGGGAGTGAGGTTTTAGGGGAGGCGGAGCATAGTTGGGAAGGTGGAGAGGAAGAGGTCTTTTTATCGGAAGCCCCTTTTAGTAACCGAATCGCAGCGCAAGTGCGATGTCATGTATGTATACTAAGTCCATGCCTGAGAAGTCTAGTGAGGTGGGCGGCAATGCCGATCATCTGATCCTGACTTGTTTCGCGGAGCCAAATAGCAGTCGACCGGGCTTCTTGCATTCGCTGCTCTCCACTATGCCAGCACAGCGTCATCTCGGTTCTCGGCTCTTTGACGCCACGCAGCGGGATCTCCTGTATCACAGAGTGGGGAGAGTCGCGTTCCGCGAACCAGGAGGAGCAGGTCGAAGGGTACCGGCGACATGTAACCGTCTCGCTTAGAATCAAATGCTGCCAGCTCAGTGATTTCCATGTCTCCGTGCAACGCTGCTCTTGACTTCAAACCCGCCGGGTGTAGGGTTCGCTTCGCCGGATGTAGCGCTCACGCGTCTCGTTGGAGGCAGTGAAATGAAGTGTCGTGCGAGTATCACCTACCTCATCTGGGAGTAGCAAACAGCGTCGATGCTAAGCCTGTGATCGGGTCAGGCTACGGTTATTGGGCGGGCGTCTGATGCTACCAGGTGACGGAATGCATGGCCCTTGGATATAAGAAGCCGCAGGATCTAAGGCGTTATGAGACGTTTCGCGACGCTTGCTCTCGCTCTTTCTCCGTCTGGGCCCGAGTGCTCTTACCCAGCTAATTCAATGCAGTCCCACCGATCCTCTCGTGTGCCGTACGGCGGATACGCAGATGGAAGAATGACTTACCGGCCACCAGGTATCCGTCCCCGCTCTTTCCACGACCTTCTCCTCTTCCCTCACGAGCCTAACTACCAAGGACCAACAGACCGCTTCCGGCCCCCACAACGCACATATACCGAAAAACAACTCTTCTTCGACGACACCATCAGCAAACTATTCCACGCGCTTAGAGAAGCCGAGATCTGCTTCGCCTCGCTCCAAGACACCTTCCAAAAGGAGATCGAGACAATCGAGTGGTATGCGAGCCAAGCGATCATAGACTCGCTTTGGGAGATGCGGCTCGACATGAAGAAGCCGAACCGGCCGGACCCCAAGGCCGACCACGAGGTGCACATCCCCCACGACGTTGACGAGAAAGTAGCCAACGCGAAGCAGGTCAAGCAAGCGCGAGTCAAGCTCGAGAAGGCGCTGCAAGCTGCTGCGCAAGGAACCAAGGCTGTCGTGAGCCCGAAGCGGCGAGGTAGCAAGGCGGCGCAGGATAAGGCAGGGATTGAGAGGACGATCTCTAAGTTGCAGACGAGTGGGAGCCAATGCCTTGATCTGCTAACGCAGTCGAAGAAGAAGTATTCGCAGTTTAGGCCGTTGCAGGAGGAGCTCAATTTCTTGAGGACTATCGTGGATGGGTGGAAGGAGTTCCAGGGTGGGGCTGAGGAGGATGAAGGGGAATCCGGTGGTGAGTATGGTGATGATGGTAGGGATGATTTCTGAGGAAAAGGAGATGGGAAGGCGCGTTCGGGGGTCATAGCAGGCGAAAATCATAGGCTTGGATACGTTCCTCGAACTCCCAAATAGGCGACTGGCGAGATTCGCATCAGAAATAGTTTACCTACTCGCCCGTCACTAGTGATTCCGTAAGCAGTCTCGGAGGGAGCTCTTATACTAAGTATGAGAGCTGGGATTTGCTACTTTACAGTGCACGACATGCAGCCTTCCGTCTTCATCGAGGGGACTACTTTCTTTCATCTCCCACAAACCTGTCCATGCGGTCAACACCAACCTTACGTAGTTTCGGTCCAAAAATGTACAGCTACAGAGAAGTATTAGTGCCACGCCATTATAAGATCAGCCCAATTAACGGGCAATACGTACAAGAGCAATCAACGGCATACCAATGCCCAATACAAGGAAGGCAAGCAGAGCAACACCCCAATCAACGCCGAGCCTGTCAAAGAGCTTGGGCCCGAAGAGGGGGAAAGCACCGGCAAAGAGACAGCGAAGCACCGAGACTAAGTTCGATCAGCGGTGAGAGGATTGAAGAGGGTCAGAAGTGGCTTACTGGTGGCAAATGCGGAAGCGGGATACTTGAAACTACGGAAGGATAAGCGAGAGACAGGCGCGAGGAAAGCAGGTACTTACCCGTCAACGGCGTAGAGCTGAATCGCAAGCATGATGTTGATGCCACCGATCGCAAAGATCGCGCAGCCTACTAGTGGCTAGAGCGGTGTCAGGTTGGGCATTGAACGTGGCCCGTGGAAGAGCTACATACCACAATGAAGTGTGTCTTTAATGCCGAAAACCCATACATGAAAAGGCCACCAACACATAGGAGCCCTCCAGCAATGCAACTGATTAAACTACTCGTGTCAGTTTATTCCTTTTTAGACGCACTCTGGGTACAACGTACCGAGATTCGGGCTTGTATTTAAGCTGCCCCGTAGACGTATCCCGCTTGAAGACCGCATCCATAACCTTGATGGTGGCAACGGTACCAATAACTAGAGGGATTGGTCAGATTAGGGTGTGAGGATCTTCGTGTGGAGTTCTTACTCATTCCGACACCAAGGGCGAGGAGATCCGTGCCCACGATACCAACAGAATGACCGTAGCCTCGGCCGAAAACGTTTGCGAACTTGATTTCGTGCTGTTAGCGTCGACACCGGAATGACTCCAGAGATCTTACCGTAACGAGAAGAAGGTAGATGACGCCGAACACAATGGAATAGAAAAGGGACCCAAGAAGCAGTGCTGGGTCGAGCACAAGGTAAACAACTGGGGTGCTGCCTTAGAAGAATGCTGGTGCGGGTAGAGTTGAGTCCTTACGTGGTCTAGCAACCTCACTTAGTAACGCACCGAATGAAGCGTGCTGCTGCTGCTGTAGATCAAGAACAGTGTATAGATGATCGTTTGCTCGAGATTTCTGGGCCTTGCTGAGCTTTCTTTGGAGGACACGCGGTGCGTACGATTCCGGCATGAGGAATAAACCGAGAAGTGATAAAACGCCGCATGCGATCGCCTAGGGTGACATCAGATGGAGAGTAGATAATTGCCACTTAGGGTGCAACATACAGGAACCCACAAAGTCCATCTCCATGATGCTTCTTCGGACATCCATCCGCCACAGACGGGGCCAATGATGGGCCCTAGAACACTTGCCCGTTTCAGCCGAAGTAGCGGTCAAGGTGGATGCGACTATGTACTTACGGCCCAATCATCACAATGCCAGATGCTTTCGCCCGAGACTTCAAGTCCCAGATATCCGCGACTACGCCTCCGACGACCGCGACGGCTGCTGAACCACCAATCCCTGCCAGGAAACGGCATACAGAAAATTGGGCAGTCTGTCAAATGGTCAGCCATATTAAACTCGGGCAGATTACAGTGGAGAACGGGGTCCACCAACCGTCTGGGAGTATCCCCCTCCTATGCAGAATGCCACAAAGATGAGGTTGCCCCCATGAATGACTACAGTCCTGCCATATCTCTCGCTTAGGGGAGCGAGGAAGAGAGGGGCGATAGCGTATGCGAACATGAAGATAGAGACTTGTAGGGCGCCGACCGTACTATCAGTGATGTGTAGATCATGCATGACCTGGAGAACAGACGGCGCGAATATGGTGCTTGCGAACGGTGATAGGAAGCAAAAGCCACCAATCATGGCGGTTGCACGGGCTTTCTCTCGAACCGGCCAAGTCTAACAAGCTCTGTTAGTCTATGGGGTCATAGCCATTACAAGTGAACCGAGTCTTACACGAGGGTGCTCATGAGCATCTTCGTCAAGAACGACTAAGTTTGGATCGAGGTCGCGGATAGTATAACCACTGTTAAATATCTTGTCGGGCATAGAAGTCTCCTCAGCTAATAACTGCAGGTATCTTTCCCACACGAGGTCCCGTTGCGAAGCAGCGTGAGAAGCCACATCCAAAGACGGATGTGTTTTCATGTCGGCGATATCCATGAGAGGCAAAGTAAAAGAAAAACGATGATTGAGCCTGATACTCCAAGCAGAATAGAGCAGGTGTCTTCATTGGTATACAGAAGGGTGTGCAAAGGAAGAGCGCCTCATACTTATAGAGGGTAAAAGCCGTGAGGTCGGCCGACAGTCGGCGATAAAGCACTAAGAGTCATTCCTCTGCCGCGTAGGGTACTCGAGTTCAAGGCCTAATGCGATACGCATGCTCGCCGGAGGCCCCCTGCACAAGGAAACCTTCGAGGGCCATCGACCGGATGGATCCACATGGCGGGCTCGAAAGGGCCGCATCCGGTCTGATCTGATAAGAATTTAGGCGCAGGATGACGAATAAATCTCGTAAACGTCGTTTTGCCGAACACAATCCGCGAGCTATAGGTGTTGTCAGGAGGCAGCCACGGTCTGTGAGGTCTGATGATACGGGAGTGCTAGGCTTAGTCAGGCTAGACCAAGATCGGCGTTAAGCGGGTGGGAAGCTGCGGACAAGAGCACTGACGACGGCACCACACTACCATCCACCTAATAAACATCATGGCTCACCCGCATCGCCAGCCCGACTATCACCGACTCTCTTCTTTCCCTATCCTCGGCAGGAGAAACGCGGTATGCAGCCTCGCGAAGTTCAGACCTGCGTGCGGTGCCGTGATTTGAAGAGGCGATGCGACAAGACGAAACCGAGCTGTACTCGATGTCAACTTGCAGGTGTCCCATGCCGGTACGCTGTACCGCAGAGTACTGTTGCGCCTTCCACCCTAGTCGACGCGGGCAGGGCTTCTCCCGACGTCGAAGCTTCGACCCCTTCTGCCGGACCGTCTGGCTCTTCGAATAGCGGATCAGTGCCCGAAAAAGCCATCAGGAGACGAGATCGAGCCTGTCTATCATGTACTCGATGCCATCGTCTAAAGGTGAAATGCGACAAGAAACAGCCTTGCTGCAGCCGTTGTGCCCGTTCTGGCCACGCGGGAACGTGCATATACACACATAGGGTGCAGCACACCAATCCGCCATCTTCTCTTTATGGCCCGGTCGTCGTCGCTGGGGAAGACCCAGAATACGTTGTCACCACCTGGTTTTTACGGAAGCGTGGCTCAAGCCATTGGAGAGCTCTTCTATCGCGGGTAAGCTGCTTAGGTTCCTACCCGGATCCAAGATCGTCGCCAGCTGACAGCCCTAGCTTGAATCACTAACTGGTCTAGCTGATCCACCATTCACGATGGCGATCCGGGAACATTCTCAGGGCGACTGCTCATCTGATCTTATTCTTCCCGGGAACTTCCCGTTCGGGACCCCTGAATCAGCACGATATTCTTCGCTCGACAGCATACACGTCCTCCTCCAGGCTTCTAAATCCGAGTCCTCACGTTATCTCAATCACTACAGCCATCTGTATCATGCTTCGATTCCTATTTTTGACCTCAAGAGATTCCATACCGAGATAGAGCGGTACTGGGAGGCTGCGGACAAGCTTGATTTCTGCTGGCTTGCACAATACCTAGCAGTACTGGGGCTTGGTGCATTTGCAACGAGCAGGGATGAGAAGCTGGCTGCTGACTTCTTCTTCGCCAGCGAAGCGTGCCTGGCCAGGACGCCTTACATGTATCGGCCCTCTGTCGCCAACATCAGGACGCTGTGTCTTTTGGTAGTCGCGAAACAGGTGGCGTTTGCGACATGCTGGGCGCTGGATTCCTGCTGGAACATCATGGGCCTCATTGTGCGCTTGTCTCTCATGACGACTCTACACCAGGACTACATACCCGGCTGCGACATCCCAGGCGTTGTCGAAGAGCGAATACTGCGTCGTCGGCTATGGAACATCGTTGTCTATCTCGACATTCAAATGGGCTTGATTACAGGCCAGACATCACCCTTACCCCATGATGCGCTATTGACCACCGTCCAGCCGAGCAGTGATGGTACTGCAGATCACTGTTGGGACTCGGTGCTTCCTACCTCTTTTCCTATCATCTGCCATTTCCTGGCTAGGATCAACTCGAGCATCGACGTCATGACCTACGACGAGGTCTTGCAATACGACTTGGAAGTCAGGCAGTCGATGCGTCATGCCGCAGCAGTAGGAGGCAGCGACATCTTATCCACGACTGTCGACATTTTCTTCCGTCGCGTACTGCTCGTCCTACACCGTCGCCATGCCCTCGACCCGGAAGCACCCACTTTGTATCCTACCTCATACTGGTCTTCGCTAGAATGCAGTCTCGCACTCATTATCCATCAGCGGGAGCTGTCCGACGATCTCTGCTCACCACACGACGTTCATCTGATCGGGCGCCCCTTTATGCTGGACTTCTTTGCAGCCGCCCTCACGACATGCATTCACCTTCTTCGGACCGATGCGCCACTGGCTGCGACTTTAACATCGGAAGGCACGATACCACCCCGTCAAACTATAATGAATACACTCAGATCTTGTCTTGACCTCTTCGCGAAGGAGCAGCACAGATCCGTGTGTTTTCGAAGCGGCTATCATATGCTGAGCGCAGTGTACGGGCTGATACCCAGAGAATAGCAGGCTGGATGCTTGCGCTACTGGTCGAAATGTGGACATCAGTAGCCGGGAAAGCTCCGAGGCGAAATGGGATGCAGCGCTCAGAATCCTAGCCGAATCGGCCGGCTCCGCCGTCATTGCCGACACAGGCATCCTCATCATTAAAACCAACCCCCGTGGGCATGTAAAATTGCAACCATCGCAACCTTCATCAAGTCAGCCTCAAGATAAGCCTGGCCAAGCTGGAATCTGTTAGCCTTGCGTAAACGTGGCGTTGGTCTAACTCACTCCAAATAGTCCTCTGCTTGCTCAGCTCCATCACTCTCACCTTATCTCCGACATTGAAAGTTTGAGGAGTGCTCTTTGGGTTCCAGAAGCTGTACCTCCCAAAGACTGGACTCCACTTGGCCCCTGCATCGACCCTCCGATCCTTTTGCAGCTTTTTGAGCACCTCGCCAGATTCGCCAGTACCGGGCTTCCCTGTTTCATAGTCGATATTGATGCTCTTGCAGCGGACACAGTTGTGCGCCATGATGATCTCAGCGTCTCCAATTTTGATCTTGCGCCAGAAATCCTCCTCCCACGGCTCCTCGGCGCCCTCGATCACGATGTTGGGCCGGAATTTGGTGACGTCCATTTCCTCGCCTTTGGGAAGCCGTAAGGTTACATCGGCAAGCGAAGTCTTCGAGATGATCAGGTACGGAGCGCAGTCAGCGAAAGTGATGCGGTGGGTTGCTGGCGAGGTCAGCAGAGGAATAACCTTCGCTGCGCTGGATATCCAGGAAAGGTTCTTCCCTGGTATCAGATCCTGGAAGAGAACATCCCGACGATTGTCGCCCAGGTACACAAACAGTACTTCATAGCCGAAGCACGAAGAAAACCAGTCGCTGTACTCGGCCGGCATCTTGAAAGCCAGCGCTGGACTACTATGCATATTCACTTCGAACGGCTCCAATTTCGCAGTCTTAGGCACGAGTGGGATCGTCAAGGTCTTGACATTGGCCTCGTTTCCGAAAGCTCGGAATGTCACGGTAATGGTCCCATTGCCCGTGCCGTCAAAGTCGATGCTCGTCAGGAACTGCGTCATCTCTGGGTACCGGGACACGGCCATGTTCTTGTAGCCGTCTGGGGTTGCTTGCAGGAGCATGAATGTTCGGTCGTGCTCGAAGCCATACTTGGTGGCAAGGGCTGAGGTGAGTTGGGTTGGGCGGAGGGACTTGATTGGGTAGAGGTAGATCTTCGCGCGGATATCAGCTTCAAACAGCAACCTTCAACGGTATCCGGGGAGAGTACCTCGCTGATTCTCAACACTTTCCCTTTATGGGGCTGAGGTTGCAGGAATCTGTAGAGCTGATAGAGCAAGAAGCCACTCGTGGCGAGAATGGCGGTGAGGTAGAGCGGGTACATGATGGAGGGGTAACCTCTGGAGGAACGGCGAGGGGAGGCAAAATCGGCTGCTGCACGGTGGAAGATATATACGAGCTGCACTTCACATTAGCGTCGGTATGTAGAGCGGTGGACGATAAGACCCGAGGGTGTTTAGTAGCGGGATCCGCTTTCCTAAGCGGGGTCAACTATAAGCATGGGAGAGCTGCACGCCCTACGATGCGATCTCGCTCATGCGTTATTCCATTCCGTCTTGTCATCTAAACCTCTTTGAAGAAATGCAAGCTCGCTCGGAGAGCCCGAGCAGCGCTTCTCAAGATTTACGTCTGAAGTCACCTGCGCACAGCTGATTGGGGGTCCACCGCATCGCTTAGGGCATGGTGAAGGAAGTTCCTGAAACCGACACGGCTGCACGGTGGCCCGCTGCAGGGGCGGAGATCCCTCGCTGCAAAGCCGAATCGTGGTGAAAAGTTGGATATGGTGAGGAGGTGATCCTGGACTGGAGAGGTGGAGGGTGATGCGCGATAGGCTGCGGTTGGTGGAGCGAGTGTGGCTGTGCAGCGATTACGTTTCTCGTCACCGCGAAGAACGGTTCTCGCAGGCTGGAGTGGGGCTTGGCGGGAAACGTCACCGGCATGGCACTCAAACTTCGCCTTCGTGGAATGCGCCTAACGCTCAGTAACAAGACCGACAAGACGCCTACTAAGCCCACGTGCGACCTACCACAAAGCCCTATGAGTCTTCACGCCGCTCTTTAACCTCGCGCGACTCCCGTCTTCCTAAACTCACGATCGCTGAGCGCTTCCGCGCGCCGTTCATACGTACTCGGTTCTGTCAGCCTCGCCGTTCTACCTAGTCAAGCCTCCGCTAGCGGTGCGACGCCAACGCGCTACATAGCCCTTACTTGCATCCACAGTCGCAGAACAGAATATTTCCTCTCAGGTTGAATACAAACAGCGGTCAGGAGCTGAGACTCACGCGCGGACTCTCTTAAGGGCCTTCTGATCTGGCCTCACGAGGCTCTCAGCCCTCGAACCAGTCACTCACCCTTCCGGAGCCACCGCCGCTCCCCTCTACGCCATGGCAAACAACGGGATCCGGCGGAAAGACACCACCAAGGGCCCGCCCTTGCGCATTTTATCCCTAGGTACGCATATTGATCGCTCTCTCAGAATTCAGGCACTGACGCGGGGCAGATGGCGGGGGCGTGCGCGGCTACTCGATGCTCATCATACTGCAGGAGCTCATGCACCGGACCTTTGTCGAGACAGAAGGCCGAGCGCCGAAGCGACACGAAATACCGAAGCCATGCGAGCATTTCGATCTCATCGCCGGGACGGGCACGGGCGGGCTGATTGCCATCATGCTGGGAAGGCTGCGGCTGGACCTGGATACCTGTAAAGATGTATATGTGCGCATGACGAAGAGAGTGTTTGAGACGGACAAGACGTTCGCCGGCATACCGTATCGATCGACGCTGTTCAAGGCTTCAAAGCTGGAGGAGGCGATTATGGAGTGTGTACGCGAACACACCATTTACGATGATGAGGGGAATGACAGCGAGCATGCGAGCGCCATGTCGTCTACCCCGGATGTCAGGGACCCCGCGACGCCGAATAGCGTGTATGGCGTACAGAGGAGTCCTAGTACGGCGAGCAGGTACAGCCAGATCGGCATGACACCCGTGAATATGCGGATGGCCGCCTTGAAGTGGGGCAACCCGAATGCGCTGCTGTACGATAAGAGAGAGGAGCGCACAAAGACGTGAGTAGAGGATTATGCTTGCGATTGGCAATATGCTGACTGTATTAGCGCTGTCACGGCAGTCTACAAAGGCACGAAGAACGCTGGCAGCGGCCAGATACTCCTCCGATCCTACGACTCGCGAAAAGAGACCTCGATAGAACCCAACGCTACCATATGGCAAGCTGGTCGGGCAACGTGTGCGACTGCTCTCGCTTTCAAGCCGATCCAAGTTGGCCAATCCCTGTTCCTCGACGAAGGCTCCGGCAAATACAACCCTGCGCCCATGATTCTCGATGAAGCCGTCGTCAACGAATGGCCGGGGCGCGAAGTTGGTGTTTTCATCAGTATAGGGACTGGAAAGCGTCCAGAGGGCACCAACCAACAGCAGCATCTGTGGTGGGAAGGATTCGTCTCCAGCGGCATGGGCGATTTCGCCGAAGCGAGGCGCAAGCTCATCAGCAAGATTGAGGACTGCGAAAAGACACATCAGGCGATGAAAAATCACCTAGCGAAGCGACAAGTCAATCCCGAACACTACTACCGCCTAAACGTCAATGTGGGTGTCGGCGAGTTCGGAATGAACGAGTGGAATCGCCTCGCTGAGATCAGCACCAACACGCGCATGTACCTTTCGGATAACGATGTGCAAAGCAAGACCTTCGATGCCGCCTCGAAGCTTGCTAGGATATACCGCGCAAAGCAAAGATGGGAGCGCGCAGAAAGAGGGCAAATGGCTTACGGCGCGAAGAATCCCTGGGAGCGCCCTCTCCCACCCGTCCCGGATGCTTCTCCCATCGCGGTCGAACTCCCCGCCGAAGAAGTCGCGCCCCAGTTCTACTCCTCCAATAATCCCGACAACCCTCCAGACGACTTCCTCCTCCATCCCTCAGGCTACCACCGCACCCCCGAAAGCGACAAATTCGCCATCGTCTCCTCAGACGAATACCCGCAACCAGTCACCGACCTCCCTCCCCGCCATTCTGGCGAACTTGTCTCCCCAGGTCGGCGGTCGAACGACCAATTCAACGTGAGCTCGCTACACAGCTCGCCCAGGCTGAGCTTCGAAGAACCGAATCGACAGAGCCCGCCTCCGAGGCCGCCGAAGACACCACTGCAGGAGGGTGCGAAGCCGTTGAGCATGACGGGGCCGCCTACGATGCCACCACCAACGAGCGCGTTGCCAAGACCGCCGCCTGGTGCGCCCTTGCCATATCCAGATACGGATGGGCCGCCGGCGGTCAATAGGGCGCGGAAACCTGAGTACTCACGATGATGCGCGTCATGGTTTGTTTCATCGCAATTGAATCACGAAGCTATGATGTCAAGTCGAAGCTTAACGAATTAGGTAACGATCTTCTTTCTATTTGTGTGCGATTCCTCTTCCAGGGTTTTGGCGCGAGCGCCCTGGCTGGCAGGCCCGGGGTGGCTACAGCACGTTACTGGTGGCGGCGTAATGTGAGTTGGATCTTGGGTTTCGAGCGGGTTCGCGCATGCTCGATGGAATACTGATGGTTGGGAGTACGTGAGTACATAGTTACAGATACCCTTTGAACTGTTTCTTCGTTTTCGCTTATAGTCCGTCTCCTTGCTCCACCTACGTAATTTACGTTGGTCGAAATCATCATGATGGTGATTGTCATCACCCAAATAACGATGCCTTCCGCTCTCATCCGGATTCCCTCGCCTCCCGCCGTTCCGTTCCGTTTCTTTCGTCTTAGCGGCTAACGGGCTGCATTGGAGTATATATATATATCCGTTCTTGTACCCCGTTCTAGATTTCCTTTCTTCTTCACGCAACAATATTATAGGTGGATTCTAAAACTAGCTTTCAGCAGGGTCATGGAGCTTGGTCTTCGCCTTGGTCTCCTGAAAAAAAAGTTGAAGCAAGAAAATATGGCTGGATTAGAAGTCGACAACTCAAAGCGTGATGTGTGCGTCGCTGGCTGCGCGCTTGGATTGATGGTGTGGTGTGGTGCAGTTCGTGGTGTGGCTTACATGGCGAGAAGGGTGATGGTGAGTATCATCTTAGCGTTGGACATAATTTCTTCGCGCTTGGCGTCTCGAGGCGTAGGGAAAGGTCAGATCAGATGGCTGTCAGGGAGGGAGGGGTATATATATCCCCTCCTCCGCCCGCCCTTCTCTTGTTTTTCTTCTTCTTTACGCACAGGGCCGGATATGAGGCTCTAAAATTGGGCACAGTGACTCATAATGCGTGTGTCGTCTTCGCTCCGTCTCTAAAAGGTCTATCAGGAGTTCCATGGGTGGATGGACTAAAATCTCAGGAACGGCGAAATATGTCGGTTCTCGGAGCTAGACGGTAGGATTGCGGTCGCGCGTGGGTTGGCTGGTTTGCGATGTTGGAGCGCTGTGTGCTTTGGAGCTTTCGAGGGGATTGGGGGGCTTGGAGGGAGGAGGGGTGAAGGTGGTGGGCACAACGATGCTTGATCTATAGAGGTGGAAATTTGATGATGCTGCGCGATCTACTCAAGTCTCTTCGACTAGTGTTTCTTTGCCGGAGAGGGTATAAATACCCCTTCTTCTACGCTTCTTCGCTCCTTTTCCCTTCACGATACCGGGCGTCTTCCGGCACTAAAAAGACAAGATGCAATGGGCGATGGAGACTGGCCTCTGTGCTTGTCTAAAATAAACGAGGACCTCCTCGATGGTGGGACTAAAAACCAGGACATGAGTAGATGCATGCCCGGCTTCGGCGTGGTTGGACTGCTAGAGCGTCCGTTGTGGGTGATGGGGAAGGGAAGAGAGATGGGCTAGAAGTGTTGGGCTAGAAGAAGTGGTGGTGATGAGCAGCAGCAGTGCGTTCCTATGTTGAGTTGGGGTTCTGCTGATACTTCTCAGTTTGCTTAGATAAGTCTTCGTCGGGCTAGATTGTCGGCTTGTTGGGGTATAAAAGCCCCCTTTCCTGTGCCTCTCACTTGGTTTTCTCCACAGACATTGAGCGAGTTTCCGACACTAAAAGCGTCTCGCGTACGAATGTATGGACACCGGCCCGCTGTAGTCGTCTAGAAGCTGCCTTCTGAAGCGAGAATGGCTGGAATGACAGAACCCTAGCTCCATCGGCATAGCCGATCCAGAAAGGGACACACTATAAGACCATGGCTGGAGTAGTGTGCGCGTGAGTCAAGATATCCCATGCCGCTCCGATCTCCCTCTCGTTTTCTCTACACATCTCCGCAGTTCGTTCTCTAAAAGAAGAAGAATATATAGACTATGGAGGCTCGCTCGCGCTTCTCCTGGAAATGAGAAATGGGATGAGGATTATGTTGGATGGAGTAAAAGTGCGACAAGATTCGATAAATGTCTGCTCGAGACTCGCATTATAATGCACGCTTGCCTGGATCATGAGGTCTCGCGTCTGTTGGCTGGGGAGTACCAGGCTTCCCATATATTTCGCAGGGGTGGGCTCAGGCGGCGCTGCTAGCACTCGTGGCAGTGCGCATTCCCATCTCCGCGCCATATCAAAAGTGCGCTGGCGATTGGAGACTCGGTCTTACCTAGCTTCTCGCTCAGGCTCATGGCTTCAACGGGCGCTAAATAGTCCGATAGGGTATATATACCCTTCCACCGACTCCGAATTCTTTTCTTCTCCACGCACAGTGCCGGACTTTGACACTAAAACGACGCGATGCGCTGGTGGTGGTGACGGGCCGTTTCATTCCTCTAAAAAAAGGTGTCGCGGAAACGTGACATGGCTGGACTTCTCGGTTCGGGGCCGAGGGGTCCATGGGTTTGAAGGGAGTGGTGATGATTGCCAGCATCACCACTTCTGGGCTAGCCTTCACTTGAGCTTATGCGGGCGAAAGTCTTCGTATACCGCGGTCTTGGACCGAGCTACCTCGTAGGGTATATATAAGCCCCATTTTCAATTCCCACCACGCACTTCTCTAGAGCAATGTTCTAAAAAGAATGCTTGATCGGCTTGACGGAGACAGGAGCGCCGCGGCGGTCTATAAAGTATGTTCGAGCAAAACTATAGGCGGGACTGAAGACGGCGAAGACGTTGATGTATGCTTGGCTTCAAAAAGTTTTGCTCAGTATCATGGGTGGAGTTCCCACTTGCCCGTTAAAGCTTCTGGTGGTTCGGAGCGGCATCTGTAGAGCTAGAATGCGGTGGTCCTTGATGATGAGGTGTGATATCTCTTGCCTCCGTGCTGTACTTGGTCGCGCTACTTCAAATCACTGCCAGCGTATATGAGCTTTTGCTCTTCGATACTACTTTTCCTTACACGCACACCCAGGCGGGACCGTTCTCTGAAACCACAGTGCCATAACCCTGATGGGACCCGGGGGCCGCGGTGGGTATAAAACGCCATAGGTACCCAAGCATGGGCTGCATTAAATAGCCCGATAGAGCGGATTCTGGAAGGTAACCACAGATGGCGATGTTTCTGATTCCTGAGGGAAGCATGAGGAACAAAAAAGCCAACCACTTACAAAATACAAAGAACGCGTGAGATGAGTAATTTGGTCATCGTCATCGTTATCTTTGTACACATTGGCTGGCTTACGACGCTCCTGTGGCTGGCGGCTACTGGATCGGACTCCTCCTAAGGTATAAATACTCCCCCTTCCTCACAAAAGCTCTCTTCTTCACGCTTGCCTCAAACACAATCCACTAAAAATCCCTTTAAACAACAACTATGGAGCTCGGCCGTGGCGCTCGCTCCTGGAAATGATAGCTCTATTCCTACATGGCTGGGCTAAAAACCTCCACGAATGGACGAAACGTGGGGACTGAAGAAAACCTTACCTCATTCGATCCTGTGCAGACCGCCCTGGGCAGTCTTTCGTCCTACAGTACAGTAGACCGATACCATTGCCAGTCTCCCTTTTCCACCACATCACGGCGAACATCGCTGATGTAGTAGCCATGATGTTTAAACCCCCATCTATTCTTGTCTTTCTATTCCCGCATATCCTTGCATTGAGAAGTCGGTCTCGACAAGCTGAAGACGCCGGAAGCTATGGATGCGGACGCATGTTTAGAAACGTCGATCTCGGGTCTTCAGAAGCGAGGCGCTGGCAGTCATCCAGAAAGCATCCGATTCTACAATATCAAAATGGTCATGACATCAACAAACCATCGTACAAGCGTACCTGTTGGTGATGTTAGAGAGCTAAGCCATATGAGAAGGCCTCAATTATCTAGGTATGCCAAGGCGAAAATCCACGCTAAGCCTATCTGCTTACTAGCAGCGAGCAAACCTCACACGTCTCCTTTTTCTCACACCTGGACACCCTTTCTTCATTGTACAACATGGGCCCCCAACTCGGATGTCAACGTTGCCGATTCTTTTCATTTTGTTTTTGGGGGCCCTGACCGTATCTTCAGGAAAGCTGATGAAAAGACGCAGTCGATGTCCTCGTTCCCTGATACGCTAGCCTTGCTGCACTGTCTGCCATATTGGACGATCACTCAATATACTTTCGCTTTCGGCAGGGTCTAAGCGCTCTCACAACCCGATGGTTCCCACCCACAAATCAGAAGCGATCCTGTAAACAAGCTTATCGTCGCACACATGCAAGCTTCTTACGCCTTATCCCAAATGCGGGGGCGGACCGTCCGCTCGGGAAAGGAACCGTCTTACTGTTGTCTCTATTTTGGACATCGCCACGAAGGCTGAGGTTTGTTGACCAGAAATAACAGCTTGAAGGGACGCGACCTTATCTCGCAGATATGAGGATGCCTTGCGAGAAGCCTCGACTGAGGGCGATCCTGCAGTCCGGTCATTATAAATCCTGGATGCCCCGCTGCCTTGAGCACGGTTGGAAGCAACTTACCCATCGCCTTAGGAGAATCGGACGTTATCCTATACATTTTTCATCATGACTTCCGCGGCTGACGTCTCCTACTCGGACGTCCAACTCGGCTCATGGATGGACAGATCGAAGGGGCCTGTGCATGGAGCCAACGTTACGGTCACCTCTACCAACGGCGTCATACTCGTTGCATTCATCGCTCTCTTTGTCCAATTTGCTGGACAGCACCTGTGGGGTATCGCCTCTTTCGTCTGGCACCAACTACGCGTTTCGCATCGTGCGAAGACGGCCTTGCAGTACCAACAAGACGCTTCACTGAGGAATAATGGTTCGCCGGGCCAAACCCTCTGGCACTTTTTACAAATCGCATGGACATGGCGACATACTCGTCGCCATCGGCGTGGATGGTGGTGGCTGGCAGCTGTCCCTATCCTCATCCCCCTGCTCTTCCAGTGCCTTCTCACTGCAACTGGCATCCTTTCTTCGGTAATCGTGGAGACATCCGACGTTGAGATACTACTCCGTGGCGACAAATGCGGCATCTGGCAGACTCCGAGCCAGGAGATGATCCTTGCGGCCGACAATGAATTCATGGTGGAGAATCAGCGATGGATGGGGGGAGTGACGGAATTCAGCCGTATCTACGCTCGGACATGTTACAATAACAGCGCGACTGCGGATTCGCCTACTTGCCAAGCCTTCACACAGACCTCCATTCCATATTCTTCCCGGACCAATGCATCATGCCCGTTCGACACCATAACCTGTTCCTCTCCAAACGGCAATCTGCAGATGGACACTGGCGAGCTGGATACGAACAAAGTCCTAGGCATCAACACCGGGAAGGATAACGTCATGTTTCGGAAAGTCACTACCTGTGCTCACCTGAAGCCGGATTTATATACAAGGACAATAAACGAGACAGGCCCCAACGGCGAGTCGGGATATCATGTATACTGGGATTGGGGAACCCTCACCTGGAATGACGGCTATGATTATATTGCGGAAGCGCGGAACTACACTGGTCAACCATGGGCTGGATACACTATGATGTGAGCTCTGTATCCGTGGTTGTACGACGAGCCATTATCTAATTGTTGCAGCACGCCTCGCCACTACCTCGTGGATCCAAGGTTGGACTTCCCAGACCAATCTTCCTTCATGCCGCGTGCAGAGTTCAACGTCTCGGATGGAGATATATTCATGCTCTTCCTGTCCGCTCATGATATGGTTTTCGCAGCGCCATGCGATGATCCATGGTTTTCAGCGCATGATGTCGCGGCGACGGACTACAACCGAACCGAATACCGGTCTGATCATTTACTGAACCCCGTTGGGTGCGTGGAGCAGGTATGTTGCCACCAAGCGAAAATTTCCGGATAAATCCTGATGTCACTATGCTCTAGTTTACATTCTGTAATCCTCATGGCAAGGGCAGCCAATGCACGCCTCTAGGTGGCATCCTGCCTGCTGCTGCCGCAGCTAAGGAGGGTCTCGGTCTCAGTACCTCGCAATCCGCCATCGTCGATATTATTGTCAACGCAATATATGGCGGCAATGCCGGCATCACCCAGCCTGTTTCCTTGCTAGCAAGTAATACCGCCTGGGAGGGCGTACAGCTACCCCTACCTAAGAATCAATGGGTCTTCGAGCTTCAAGATATGCACAACCGCGCACTTACTAGCCTTCAACGCATGATTGTCGATTACGCCCGCGGTCCGGGCTCTGCTTCCGCGCAACAGTTCCTGACCGTGCCGAATGAGGCTTTCAGGGAGCTCTGTGGTTTGGTGCGTGCAAAGACAAATGCACGGTTCAGGTCAGTCACGAAGCACCTTGTACTCTCTTCACATAATCCTAACGTCGTATCATGCCAGCAACGTAAACACCTACGGGCTAGTGGTCACCGTTACTCTTGGCACTCTGGTCATCCTCACCAACATGTTCCTAGTCGACATCGTTTCTGCAATCCAAAAATGGAGGAAGATCGATTCGTTCAAGCGCAAGACTTGGATCGCAGATGGGCTCTTCCAGCTACACAAGACCAACCTGGATACAGATAGCCTAGATCCGTGGAAGAATCTCGACAAGTCCGTACCGACCACACAACGATGCGGTCTCGTCGCAAGGAGGCCATACAAGGAGCTCCCTGAATCCCTCGCATCGACTCCCCAGACTGCCTCGAAGAGCGCGCAATTAAGTCATCAGGACCTCGAAGCCGTGATTGAGATGCATGAAGTTGCGGAGGAAGGCACTGCAATGCCACGTGCGCCTGTATCAGTTGCCCTAGCGAGGATGGAGCAAAGCGGCAAAGGAATACACGCCCAAAGCAAAGAGGTGGAAGAGGAGCAGTCTCCCGTATCCCCGATGGAGTCATCGGCAAACATTCCGACGTTCGCACGAGAGCATGAAACTCCGAGCAGAGGTGTGTGAAACCGGAAGAAGGCGCAAGGAGTGCAGCACAGGAATGGGAGGCCAGGGCCATGGAATGGTAGTACGTTAGCGATGAGACACGTGCGTCCGGGGCTCCTTTTTATACCTTTGGGACTTTCATATCTCTTTCGTCTCATTCTCCTTCCGACTCCTGTCTTTGCCGTCTGTATAAACCACCTTCTTTCCTTCCACCCTTCTCTTTTTTTTATTCCACACAACCATCTGGGCTCCTCTAAACCTGGAACCCGACGAAATTATGGAGACCCCGCTTCGCGCTGCTGTTCAAACCCATTACGTACACCACCTCATGTGGGTGCGGCGAGTTCCTGGTCCAAAAGTCCACACAAGGTGCCAAACATGTATTTGGAAAATAGGTCTGGCCCAGTCATCCAAACCAACAAGAGTCGATAAACTGGGAACCCATGTCAGTCAGATGATTTCTCAAAGTCGCACCTGCAGCATGTCGTTGAACTTCCTGCCCATAACACTCTTCTTGCTTTCGTCTTCTTTGCTTGCCACACCACATATTCCCAGACCCGGCGATCAAAAACCTTTATCGCCATATGTGATGGACTGCTTTGGGGGAGAACTGGGGGAGAACTGGGGACTGAAAAAGACGGATCCGGAAAGCGTACTGCTTCCACGTGCGCACCTTACAGCCGAAAAGACGTACGCGAATGGCGTATGAGACCTATTCGAAAAGGGCCATGATCTACTTTTATGGACGCGCGTGTCTTCGAAAGCGGCTGAAGGGTGTTCTTGCGGGCCAGCGCCAGAGCGGGGTTCTCCGTGTCGTCGGCGTTCTCGGTGGCTCGGGCATAAATCCCGAGGTATTCCCCTTTCTCTTTTTTCTTCAACCGTCTTGCCCCATGGTCCTCTAAAGTTGTTACAACAAGGGGCTACATGAAGACCTGGATTCCGCGCTGTTTCTCAACAGCATACCTTAGATGAAGATGCCTGCCCCGCGCTTCTTGCCCTAGCTCCTCATGTCTCGACGAAAAGTCCTTAAGAGCTCAACTATGGACGCGATACTGGTAGTTACCAAAAGGTGGATTCGCGTGGGACATGCCGCTTGGGAAGTGGTTCAGGGCAAGCGAGATAATGGCCATAGGCAATCTCGATGGTTTTGGGATTCCTTCCTCGGCGCAACGGCGCTTCATTCCCCGGGCATATAAGCCTCCTTCCTAAACCTCCTCCCACCACTAAATGATCACCTCGAAGCATCTCCAAAATCGCATTAGGCGTACTTCCATGGAGCAGTAGGGACTCCACCAGTGTCTAAAATTCGTGTCCATCGTCTACCATTTCCAGAAAAGCCTCGGGGTTCACCAATCCTCACACGCAGGCCGGTTTTCTCCCCAGAATATCCGACTCTTTGGCAATTCTAAGCTTCTATCGACAGGGTTTACATGCGAGTTGTAAGCTGACGGACTTATAATCCATCGAATACGAATACTTCTTGTTACCTGCCCGCTGCCTCCTTCCCCGTAGACGACTTGATAGTTACTCTAAAATCGCAATATCAAGATTCTCATGGTGTTGGATCCCTGCTAAAATAGAAGGAAGGACGAGAGGATGACCTCCGCCCCGGCTTCCGAGTGTCTACGGCACGGTATATATTCAACTCCGCATCGAGGTATGACCCGAAGCCCAAGGGACGGCAATTCATGTAGAGTGGGAGCAGCCGGAGGAGAACATTGAAACATGGTCGAACTCGTTTCGAAAAGCCCACTATGCGAAGAGATGAGTTCGCACCAGTCGCGAAGACTTCGATAGGGAAGCATTGCAGCCGCCTCAATCAACTGCTGTGCCACCGCTTCCGCTCCTTGAGGCACAGATATACCTCTCACCTTGGTCGTTCAGTCTTTCTCACCCTGCTTCAGAGTCTGTCGGACCAAATCCTGCAGAGTCCTGTACGATGGGCGTCATCTGACCCTCTTGAATCTGAAAACTCTTGCTAAGAAGGTTACGCCCGCTTGCAGCAACCAAATTGGGTAAAGAGATATCCTAACAACTTCCCGCGCGAAAGGATGTACCCGAAATCCTCGAACCCGACCGATGTGAAGTGTTTGCGATTTCCAAGACATTGCTAGCATCAAGGCATGCGCGTCGGAAAGCAATGGGAATAGGCCTAGTACATGGGGTTTTCCTGATGCCTTTACGTCTAAAAGATACGCAACCGCATCTATGGATTTAAGACAGATCCAGGACCAAAAGATAGAACGGAGAGAAACACCGCCAACCCGAATGTGCAAGGTCTCGAAGTTCACGAAGCCGACCTGGATGACACTCAGCCTGGAAGCCCGACTCAGCAAAGTATCAGCCTTGAAACCGCCATGCCTGGACCTCTCACCACGAAGTTATTCTTTCATTCATGAAAGACACCGCTGGCAGCAAGGGCTATGCGCTGGCATCTAAGTGTCAAAAATGTGCGCTATCGGGTATATAGCGCTGTTGAGCGAGGCGAAGATACAGCACATACTACCTTATCAAGCTGAGTTTCAAATACTCAGCATGACAGACCCATGGGGCGGTTTCCAGTCCAAGGCACTGTAATTGCCTTATCCTGCGCGGCTCCGCTTGAATCGACCTCCGTATATCTTACGCTCTTGCGGAATTGTTCCTTCAATTTGATATCGACGACTTACCTACCTTCGCGCGGTTTCCAACACCCAAAATCCGCAATGGCACCACGTCATTCTCAGTCTAAACGCTCCAGAACGCGTACTCCATGCCTCCACGCACTGAGCTATATATACTTCACAACCAGGGCACCCTCCATCCACGTTTCCTCCACAAGGGGCTCAAAGTTCGACCCCAACCTTTCTATGACTGGGAGCCTTGGGATCTTTTGATTATATACCGAATCCTTCCCGATCATGACTGTGGCAGCTTTCCGTCTTCGAGAAAGAACTGGTTTCTAAAATCCTATCCGAACTCTTCATGGAACAAATGTCGTTATAAGAGCCATATTGACACTCTCGATGTTGGGAGCTGCCTTCCGAATACTAGCGCGAGCGCTGCCGTGCCTCCTCTCAAAAATAACGCTGGGACGCTCGTATGACCGTGCTGTCAGAAACGGTTACTTAGTGTTACATAGAGTCAGTCTTGGACGTGGGCCACAAGCAAAAGAGACTATTTAAATATGTAGGTATGACTACTGCGGCCAGCAGAAACAGTCATACTCACACATCCAAATAAAAATAACTTGGGATACCGACACGCCTCGCTCCCGGAAGTTCTCTCTAGAAGGAGAGGAAACAGCAAGTTGGAGTTGAATGCTAGCCATATCTATGGCGTGTGTATCCGATCATTCACCTAAGGGCCTCATCGAGAAAGGACATGTTCCCCTTTCCGGTACTTTCTCCGCCTCGAAAGTTATAGATCCATCTGCCACTGATCAGTCCCTATTCGATCTTCCAAATGGTATTCACGCTACTGTATGCGAGCGCTCTCCCATAGTATACCCCAGTAATCATTTCAGAACGACAAAATCGGGCTATAGCCTTTCCCATGCGTGGGAAGTCCGGGAGAATGAAGCTCTGAACGCAGTCCTGGCATGGAAAGTCTTCCCGGGACAGAACAGAAACTGCACTAGTTCCAACACCTGAAGCGATCCGGAACTCGTAACTGCTGAGCACTTCGTGAAGCCCTCCGGGCTGAGCAATGTGCATGCCCATTCCACTTCATGCCGCCATCACCCGCGGCCCCGGTGTATAAGAAGACGACCGCCTCACAAAGATCCCCTCGCTGCCCTCCTTCCCAATGGACCTCTAAAAAAGCAAAACGTCTGACGTCATGGCGTGCTGCCCGTCCTTTAAAAAATGAACGAGGTTCGGGCTCATGGTTGGACCCTCTTCGCCTTCTAATCCGACTTCTTCGCTCTTATGGACTCGCCGCCTCCTTCTATTCCTCATATTCAACCACAACGCCGCCATGAGAGCGCTCGTTTCTCTAAGAGCTTCAACTCGTTCAGACCATGAGTGCGCACTCCCTTCCTCGTCTCGAAAACACTGCGAAAAGAACCCGTACTTAGACTCCAAGTCCAAGGCTTAGAAACAGCGAGGCTGACAAATAACTGTGGCATTACCGTCATGTGCAGAAGCTGGATCCGCACTCCGAACCAAAATCCCAAGATACGCGATGCGATGTAGCTCTCGAAAGGGGCGTCGAGAACCCGTTATGCTTTGTGCGCGGAGGAGAAGCCGCTGAATCCAGCATCCTTAAATTCCTCCCATGTTGCCCCGTCCCGTGCTCGCCGAGATTTAAAGTGGGTAAACGCACCTTCCCATGCGGGACAGCATGTTCGGACAATGAGATTCAACATCGGAATAACCTCTGGGGAGCTTTCGAGTCTCGTTTCGGAGTTAAACAGGAAAGGCATGTGGGCCAGAAAACTAGGCGATAAGCACCAATGGAAGCGACAGAACCGCGTTGAGAATCGGAGAACATGAGTGCTCCACCGCGGAAGCGCTCAGGCACCGAATACGGCGGTGATGATGGACGCCAACGTGAAAGCCTAGAGATGTACGAACAGCACTGTCGGCCGTTGCCGGCCGTTTGCATACTAGTCTCATCGATAGACACCGTCTTGCTCAAGTTCGAAGAGCATCACACCACGGGCGAAGGGCGCAGTACCTCAAAGCGTGCCCGTGCGTAGAAACCGCATCGTAGAAGCCCGGAAGGCTACCAGTGCGAGGGCGAGGGACGAACTCCCTTCATCGATCCGGAACTCAACCCCACCGTCCTAGAACAGCTTCTTTAATGCCTTTCCCGGCTCACATTCTAACCCAGCAGAGCCCTGCCATTCAACCCGTCAACATACTTTTCTAGAGCCGGGGGTCGTTACAACTGCGCAGAGGAAGAAATCGTGACTCCCACGGGAGAAGTCGTAGGGCCCATACAGTACAACAAAGGAGCAGCCAACTGATGGAAACAACGGTTCGTGAGGCTGAGGCTAATAATGAGTAGTAGGCAAAACGATATCCCAACAAGGCCCGTGGACTAGCGTGGACCCCATGATATGGAGTGTAATCTCCTCAGGAAGAGCTTCTAGAGATGGCTCGGCGTTTGAATTTGGGCGCAGGCGCATGGTGCTGCACATTTGTAGTCGTGTCCTGGTTTACTTTCGAAATCGAACGAAAGACTGCAGCAACATGGTACTAGACTAGGTCAGATTACACTGCCGTTGGATCACCAAGTCAGAACTCCGTACTCCAATTAAATAGAAGACAAGGAGTGCCGAAATGAGGACGTTGTGCAGCACAGCGTCCGAGGGCAACTAAACTTGGCAAGCAGAGAAAAGCAGAAAAATTCCACCTTCTCAATTACAAAACGTTCAGCACCACCTACGTGCCCAAATGTGTTAGTCTACACAATAAGACCAAAAAAAGAAGAGGATAATTGACGACGAAAGCCGCCAAGCGCCCTCCACCTCGCCAGCGCTATCAGATTATCAGATCGCACTTACCCAAAGAAGTGGCGTGATACTCAGCTCATAGAAGACACACCGTAGTCCCAAGCTAAGCTGGAGTAGTAATACGTGCCTGGGATGTAGAAAACCGGTCAGTGGCGCTGGAAAACGTTGAAACCTTACACCACCATCAATGTGCTCAACATTCGCCATGCATACCGGCGGCATCATTGTTTAGATGCAGCCTGCCCCATGAACAGGGTTCAATAGCAGAGATGCAAGCACGACGAGATTTTCAGATATCCATTGTTCGATGATTTGATTGCTAGGGCAATATAGGTACGTGATATGGTGGGACCTGCAGCGTGAGCAACCACGCTCATCCCAGCACTTTTCCAATTTCGATGCAAAGCATCCATCCCAAACGCTCGAACTCCTCCAGCTCCATCAAATGAAGAAGCGAGGGACCTGATGCCGACCCAAGGAAAACATCAAGGTAAGATATAGTGTACACCTTCATCCCGTCTCATCATCTCTCATCGCCTCTCCTTGTCTGCCTGGTATCAATCTGTTTCATCCCCTACGCCGTAGCGGTCTTCGGCTCCATCACAGTCTCGACCTCCACCTTCGGCAACGGCGCCGACTTGCCACCGAGGTCCGTCTTCCGTGCGGTCGGGTTCTTCGTGTAGTAGTTCGAGATGGCGGACTTGATTGCGTCTTCGGCAAGCATAGAGCAATGCACTGCATCACGGTCAGCATCCAATTTCATCTCTCCTCATCTCCCTCTCCCCTCTTCATCATCAAGAATCGACTTACGCTTAACAGGCGGCAAGCAAAGCTCCTTCGCAATCTCCGTATTCCTGATCTTCGCAGCATCCTCGAGCGTCATTCCCCGCACCAGCTCCGTCAAATAGCTCGAGCTCGCAATCGCGCTCCCGCAGCCAAACGTCTTGAACTTGACGTCGCTGATGGTGTTGCTCGACGGGTCGACCCGGATCTGAAGCTTCATGACGTCGCCACACGCGGGAGCGCCGACGAGGCCGGTGCCGACATCAGTATCGGTTTTCGACATCGATCCAACGTTTCGCGGCTTGTTGTAGTGGTCCAGCAGTAAGAGAACGTTAGCCTTGCGTCGAGAAGAGAAATTTGCGGGATGCGCCAATGAGCTCGGAGATGCTGGAGAAGTCCGAACCCCGGCGACATCGCTCGCAATCGCAAATTTGGAAAAGAGAACACTTATCTTTCTCGTGGTACTGCCGCCGGCTGTTGGCAGATACTGTGGCGGATGCTGCTGCGCGGACTGGAGAAGCGATATTCGGGCGGGCGCCTGTCGAAATCACCCTGCCGGCCTGCGCGGGCACGACGGCTGCGACTCTCCTGAACATGGCGATGGGGCGTATGTGGTGCGGCGGCGTGTGTCGGATGCGTCAATCGATGGGATTCAATGGACGTTGTGGGATGCAGAGGGGTTGCGTGGGTGTGGGCGAGGTGGTGACGGCGACGAGGAAGAAAAGGCTCAAGCTTCTTAAAGACGGCCGAACCCCACGCTTCGCGAATTCGCCCCATGACATATGTGTGGCCCGTGCGCACAATGCCGAGTCGTATCTCCGGGCCGAGACTTCACTCCGACGACGGAACCATGACACGCACGCATCTTAATCAGATCACATCTTTTGGATGCGCTCCTCTACTCCGCTATCTATGCTGGCTCTTTTTTTTTGGTTGGAAGCGTGCGCTGCCCGTGTTCCCTCTTCGCCAACCCCGCAAAGTGCGACAACATCCCAGAATGATCCGAGGCATTCCGCCGTCTCAAGCGCCGTCCGCTATGCTAGTCCCCTGTAGATGCAAGACCTAGACCCCATGTCTTACAAACGCCTGAAGAAATACACATATGCAAACTTCTTCATCTCCTCCACATCGCCCGCCTTGGCCACCTTTTCGTCGTTGAAGAGCACCCACGATGCAGATTGCTCGTCAGGAAGCTGCTTGCGGATGAATGCGACGTAGTGTCTGCGCGCAGATTAGTACGCCATCAGACTAGGCGCTCACTATCTGTACTTACCCGGCGTGAATGGAGCTGCCCTTATGGCAGACAATGGACTGGAGTTGGAAGTTTGCTGGCAATTTATCACTGCCTGGTAGTGTCTTCTCCTTCGCGTCGGCTGGTGCCTGCACGGTTTTGCGTTAGCCGCATCTGTAATCGGTCTATTCGAGCAATGACATACCTCCGAGCTTCCGCCTCCTTCGAAGTCGCCCTGCGCATCGGGATGACTGAACAGCCAATCAACAGCGCGCTCCATATCACCGCCAGTCTCTTTCAGGGCCTGCCGAGCTTGTGGAGCATTGAAGCCCATGGCGCACAGATTCTCGATCTTCTCCGGATCAACCGCAGTCGAAGCACCTCCCTGTCCACTGCCAGCATTGAAGTCTACCGGGACGTCAATGTCAGGATCCTCCATGTGCGCGAAGAGCCAGTTAGAAGCAGCCTCCGGATCGGCGTTGCCAGTCGCATGCAGGGCCTTCTCGCACCTGACGCGAGGGAAGCCCATTGCTTCCAGCATCTCTAATGCGGCTTCGTTGGGGACCCACTTCGGAGTGCTTCCCGTGTCGCCATCTTCTGGTAGGAGCTCTTCGCCCTCCTGGACGCCCTTGGACTGGTATGCATCGAACGAAAATGGCTCGTCGTCTACGATGACGGGCACATCCTGCTTCGTAGGGACCCAGTTGACCAACTCGAAGCGACGCGCATTCACAGCCAATACCGCAGGGAACGTCTTGAACATGCTCTTCTTGGTGAAACCAGCCTTGCTTCCGCAAGCGCTGCAGGTAAGCTCGACTGCCTCATCCGCGGTGAAAATATCCAGGCATTCTTTGAGCGTGACTGGCTCGAACTCCTCCTTTTCCTTCTCTTTACCCTCGGCATCCGTCACCTCCATCTTCGCATCTTTGGGGATCCTCCTGATGGGCACTGGAATCGAGATATTCTCTTGCTCATCTTGGCGATAGCGCACCTTCTTGCAGTTGATGCACTGCAGCCGCTGCTCCATGACGAACCTGAACGCATCCACAGGATCCTTGAGAGGTGCGACATGTGTAGATCGTGAAACGAGCTTCAGCAGGTGTAGCAGCAGCTCGAATGCGTCCTGCTGTCGCATGGTAGAGAACTCAGGGTGACCTCGTCCAATGAGATGTTTGAGCATAGCGGGCGCGAGCCCCTTCTGGTGTGGGACCTCAGGAGTATGTTCTGAGACAAGAACATCGCTATCTGGCTTCGAATAGCGTCCAGAGAGCAACCCATCGGCGACCTTCCGAAGCTGGGTCTCAAGATCCTCCGCTGGTTGAGGTGCATCCGTAGGACCCTGGCCGGGATGGTGGTATCGCTCCACGAACTCTGGCATCGAGAATAGGGCTTGGAGGGTGCTATTAAGATAGCAGCTATTACCTAGGTTCTTCAAGCCGGTGAATCCCGAGCCAAACAGCGGCTTCAGCTCCTTGCCATCCTCCGTTGTCATCGAAAACTCCCACTTCAGGTTCTGCTCAACCTGCATTTCCGTGAGGCTCTTCTCTGTCTTGATCCTGTCCTTGATGTTGATGCCCCAATGCATGAGATGATTGGGTAGCTCCGGATCGATCCGCTCCTCGTCGCAGGCGTAGCAGTAGATGTCAGCCGTTCCGTCGGCGGTCAAAGATCCTAGCTTGACTGCTACAGGGTGGCCCGTGGTCTTGGTGTGCTCGAGACCGTGAGAGTTGCCACCAATGCCACCGAACTGAGCGCGGCCACAGCCCAAATTGCCGCAGGTCAAGCACAGCCACAGGTTCTCCTTTAGATCGCACGCGGAGCAGTGGCCCAAATTCTGGGACTCAATCTGCCGCGCCGCATCTTGCTCCAGGCATAGCGTGTGCTCGCAGGCTGTCAGCTCCTGCTCCCAAGCCTTGACTTCCTCCTGCCGCGCAAATGTATTTGCCTTCAAAACCGCATCCACCACCTGAGGAAGCTTCCCCGAGGTCTTGGCTACATCATTGATGCCGCATGCATAGCAGTTGACTTGTGTCGTTGTGTCGTAGCGGTCGGCTTCTGTCTCGGCTGCGATAGCGAGCTTGGAGATCTTCTGCGGAGGCTCGTCGCGCTTCACCTTCTTACGCGTGCGCTTGATATTCAGGACGAGTGGATGATGCGTCGAGGAGAAGTGGAGGGCGGAGTGGTTTCGCTCACCGGTGCAGCTGCCGTTGAAGCAGAAGAGGCAAACATCGAGGCCGGTGGGGTCGTCCTGGAGCTGCTGTCAGTCTGGTTTCTTCCCGGCACACGCCACGACGTTCAGCTTCCATTCAGCTCCTTACAATAGAATCGAAGCATTGCGTGCAGTCTTCACGGTACACCGACTGGGTTGGGCCGGGGGCGCGGAGCTCTGGAAACTGTCAATACTGTGAGGCGGATTAAGATGTGAATGCGGGGAACTCACCCGGAGCGTTGACGTGCGGGCAAGCCATCTCTGCGTCCGCTGGCAGTAGGGGCGTAGACTGGAGCTGTAGAGGAGTTGCGTGAGGAGAAAAAAAGGTGTGTGAGGTAGAAGGAGTGCTCTAGCGGGGAAAGTCCGCTGGAGAGGGTTCCTGGGGTGCGGTATGACGGGACTAGGCTTCCATAGCTCCAGTTTGGCATGGCGGGGCACTTCTAGGCAGGCACCATTTCACCCTAAACAAATCAAACACTTTGTGCACAAAATATTCCGATATCAGCATTTGATTGGCAGGGTATCAGCGCCTAGCTGTCTATAGGCCTAGTTACTCTTCCTCGTAGGTCTTCGTTTGAGCAGACCAGTTCATCAGCTGCGTGATGAAATTTGGCCGGACGCCTGTCTTCCCGCCCAAATACCAGTCCTTCTGGGTCTGGGCGTATATATCTACTACCCGGGAATAATTGGTCCTATCAAGGGCGACCAACACTTTGACAACGTGCAGACTCGCAACGCTGCACGAACTCACATGCAGGTTACCGCCATCCCCTAGCTTGCCCTCCTCGTGAATCGCTTGCAGCACTTGCCAGACTGGGTCAACGTCGGTTGGCGTCGGGAGGGAAGCCTTGTGTTTTGCGTGCATATCAAAATACGACCTCAGCAGCTTCATGCTTCTCTCCGCCAGCTGCTGGTTCGCCTTGCTTCGCGTCCGTCGCAGGAGTGGAAGCAGTGCTTCCAGAGCCAGCGGACTCGAGGGCTCCTTTTCGAAGAAAATAGCGAGGAGATCAAGGACTCGGTTTTTGAACTGGATCATGTTCTGTTTTGCGTCTTCGCGCGTCTTCTTGCGGGGTGTCTGTTGTCGCTGCTGAAAGATCTTCGAAAGATGAGGGTCTAGTGCCATCATCTGCTCGTCGTCCATGTCCGACTCCTCCGAGCTCTCTGATGCGTTGCCATTCAAAGCAGGGTTGGATGTCTGCAAGGCTATGGATAGCATATTGTTGAAGTGGACTAATTCTTCGTCCTCCTCTTCCGCATCGCTACCTGTGCCGTCGTTTGCACCGCTTTCCGCCTCGCTTGACGATTCTTCATCAGATTCCGGCCCGCTTTCATCGGCACCTTTACCTTCACCGTCAAGCATTTCGACGTCTGATGCTTCTTCCGTATCACTGCTGGAATTCGCGCTATGTGCGTCCTCCTCGTCTTGCGCGAAGAGCTCTCTCTGCCCTTCAAGAGTTTCTTCCGTATCGAGTATGTCGGTCAACGAGCGCAACCCCTCAGGGCTAATGTTGGCAACAAATGCCGCGAAAGCATCCTCGGCAATCTCGCGGAAGAGGGTGCGAGAATTCCCCAAAAAAGACAGTACGATCTCGACAAAAGCTTCCTGGCCATGCGTTGCCGTGTCCTTCGTTGTCTTAAGTAATGCGTCCCGGGATGACTCCAAATCTTCAAGCATCAACAAGGCGTCCCCATCGCCGTTATACACTTGGAGTAGCGTTAGAGAGTATAGAAGGATAAGACCTTCCGTAGCCGGCGCCGTGGAGCTCTGCAGAGACAAATTTAGCGACAGAAGTAACGAAAGGGAATACAACATACCTCGGAAGACAGGGTATCCAGCGTTCGAAACGCTCTTTTGACTGTCTTTAAGACGGGCTCGTCGGCCTTGAATATCGGATCCAGAGCCTTGGAAGTAGCCTTGGATCGAATCATTCCCAGAACCATTGTAGCAATAGATGTTCGAGAAAGGTCCTTCAGCTTGAGCAGCCGCGTTAGACACGATGACACCCGCTCCTGAAACATCTTCCTATTGGAGTCGCTGATTGGAGGCAAGGGGACTTTGCTCGTCTTTGCGCTTTGGCTGGGGACGAAATAAGCACATTCGACCAAGAGTTCTAGGATATTCCGAAGCCAATTATCCTGTTCCACGAAGTTGGAGCCAAGGTCCTCGTAACGCTTATCATGCCGAACAATGCTCAGAAGCAGGTCCGCAAATCTTCGTCGACGCTGGTCAGCAGTCTCTTGTTCCGACGTTTCCGGACGAAGGATGAGGGCCTTCATATGCCGCACTATTTTCCTCAGCGATCCATCGTCAGACGACAAGACGATGTGCTCTAGGGTTTCCAAACTCTTCTTAGTGCCAAAGTCGGCACTCCCATTTCTCGAAGTGAGCGCAATGAAGAGTGCAGAAGTGGAACCAGGCGAATGCTCGGCCCGGAGCTGAATCGCTTTCCACGCTTGCAGTGCTGCTTTATGGAGGAAGCGGTCAGCCTTTACGGTTTGATTTAGCAAGGTCCGCATGAAATTCGGACTAAACAATGCGGCAATAGCCCAATCGGGGACCCGATCAACCATGGCTTTGAAGAGTTTGAAGCCCCAGGATTTGCGTTCGTGGGACGCAGACAAAGCGAATAAGTGACCTAGCAATGTCAGATGTTTCTATTTGTAGCTCCAAGGGAACTTACTGTCGACGGTGTCAAGCCACAACTGGGAGAACACAGATTTGTCGGCGTCGGTATGATCATCCTTTTTATTCATGTCCCTCTGCAAGGCCTCAGATAATACAAGGTTCCACGCGAAGACTGGGTTAGGATTAGCCCCGGCGGATTTGATAGCCTCATCGCTCCCCGCCCCAGAGGCGCTACGGAAGTCTTCTTTCATGATTTTCGCCAACCGCGTGCGCTCCTTCTTTGAAAGGGGATCGTTATGGCGCCAAGCATCAGTCGGAAGTACGTCCGGATAAGCTGCTCGCACTGTGAGCCAGATTGCAACACCCTGAGGGGTATCGACGAGCTTTGAGGAGACGAGGCGTTGTATGAGCTCCTGCGCACACTCTTGTGAAGCGGACTTGGAGCCTAGGGTCTTGATAGCGTCAACGAGGATTAGGCAGCATTCCTCCCGAAGCCATGGAACGTCCCGCGCCATTTCGTAGATTTGGTCCAGAAGCTTGGTCCAGCATTTCAAAGACAGCTCAGGCTCGATGACTATCGATGATTGCATAACAGCCTTATATCCGAAGAGTCTTCCAATGAGATGATCTCTTCGTTCCTGTATACCTGGTTAGCTTGAGTCGGCCACTAACCGTGAAATTGCTTACCACTCCAGCAACGTTACCCTGAACCTTTGTCTTGTTCTCGATTGTCAGGATGAGAGCATAGACGTCAAGGTTTAGACCTTCAATTGAGGATTGAGACTGCCCAAATATTTGGCGCAGTAGCTCTGTCAAAGCGACACAGAACCCAAATCGAGCGGACTTGCGCTGGGTACATAGGCCTCGTATCAGCCGATCCAGAGCTTGTTCCACTTCTTTTGCGTTCGGGTGGCTTTGCGGAGAGAACTTCGTAACGATCTGCTTAGCAGCCTCCAACCGTACTTCGTCTTGTTCAGCAGCCAAGTCCTCGTAGAGCTTCGACAACTGTAGATGACCCTCACTGAGGTGTCTGCGGCGCTTTGCAGGGGCTTCAGAATAGCGTCCTCCATGAGAGCCATCTCGCGCTCTCTTGAGGTCCTTTTCCCTCATCATGGATGTTGTAAAGGCGTAACGTGCTTCATGTCTTAGCCTAGAAGAGTGAGGAAAGGAAAAAAAAAGTTCCCGCGTCGGAAGAACCTTTTTCCACCCCGCAACACCAACGCACGGACCGCTCACGAACTTTCCACTTTGCCCACATGCAATCCTTCTTGCTGACTGAACTTTCATGAGTACACGTTTCTCTTCCTGGTTTAGGCTACGATAACTTGCATACTAATAATTGACAAAGCCGACGACACTTCCACGTGCCTCTTCTAAATTGCACTCGGTCTGAGCACCCACCTAGACAGCAAGATATACCGTGTGATATCTGCTATTTTCAGCACAACACGGGCTCGGTCACAGATTCAAAGGGTCCTGCTCGCAGAAGCGGCTGAAGCTCGACATTTGAAACCTTAAGGTGTTGTAGATATATTATCTTGAGCGAGAGGAACACGAGCGAATTTTTTGATTGGCCTTTGCGCGAAGGATTTACGGCGATTTTCTCGGGCATGGAGCAACACCTCTAAAGCTTTCGACAATGCTCAGGCAAACCAAGCAGCAGCTTCTTCTGCTGACTGGAAACTCAAACCACGGTTGTATCGCCGCCACGCGCCTCTAGTTCGGCGTGGTCAGGAGCAATTGTCGAGGGAACCACGGGTCTTTACAACCGACGGTGACATGACATGAGTTCGTGCCTAAACTCTGTCAAGGGTCATGAAACATGACTTTTGTCCCGCGAGTCTGGGGAAGGTGTCTGTTATCCATGCAAGAGGCTCGCAGAACCGGCTGATTGAGTCACGGGACCGCGTATATTTTCGGTCTCGGGCTTTGTTTACGGTCGCGTCCACCCGGGAGCACACGCGACCTGCTCTCTTCAGCCCCACGCCCCTGCAAGCGCTGTCCTGGCGCGGCAGCAGCCTGTCAGCGCTGCAGGAGGGGTCTTTATGTTGGTGGGGACCGAACAATGGGACCGGTTATGAAAGACTTGTGCACGCTATTGTGGGACGTGGTTCATTTTCCGCGCGTGGGAAGGCCAGCGTTCTCGACCCATTTTCAGCCCGCCCTCACCTCCCGGGCGCAATGCCCCCGGCAGCCCCGAATTGCGCAAGATTCTGCTCTCGAGATGCGCCCTGGCAGCGGATGATTGTCATGGCGATTGACAAGTGTTCAAGCAAACAATAGCTCCAGAATTAGCAAACTTGGAAGCTCCTCACAGCCTTATTGCCTATGACGTTAGGGATCTCGAGATCGATGATTTCGCTGCAGCCGCGCGATGCACAGCAAGGCGACGGTGTGCGTTAGAGCCTGCTTATCCGGTTTTATGCCGCCACAAGCGGCTTAAGGCAGGGAGACGGAGGGGTTCACGGGCCGTGTGCGGTGCCTTTCAGGCCTTCAGCACTCAAGCGCTGCAACGTCGGTACCGCTGCACGAATTCAGACGGCGAATATCGCGGGCCTGCCCAATCAGGGAACCGAGAGGAGATCATTTTTGCTTCAGGATTCGAAGCCCTGACCAACAGAAACCAGCAGCCGTCCTGCCGTCGGCATCCTCGCGGGCGTTTCCCTGGCAGACAGCGCCAAGTTGGCGATGACGAAAGGCCTCACGAGCTGACACCGGCGCCACAGATGCCAAAACAGCAAATGGGCTCTGGGAGAGGCACTTCTGGACGGAGGCTCGCCGCATGGCTAGCCGCGCAGAGATTTGGTACGCTGGCGGTGGGTTGGTATCCCTGGGAGACGGTACGACGCAGGGCGACGGCTGCCAGAACCACAGTCAGAGAATTCTGCCCGGCGGTGCTGGATTTAAGCGGAGAAGTCATCGTTTCACAGTTTCTGCAGGCATGTTGCCCGCATGGGGAGGGATCCGTGCAACATCTGCTCTGGCAACGCCGCCGTGGGAGGCATGGCGCGCAAAAAGCGACGATGGTTCGGCACGCCTGCATTGCGCTGCCTCCGCCCACTGTGACGCGGATTGTTAGATAGAGAGTGTGCCGTTCCAATAGCCCAGCGCTGGCGAGCAGGCCTGCGAACTGCGAACTGTTGTTTACCGCACGACGCGGGGCCTAGCTTGCTGCAGCTGCAGAGGGAATCAGGGCGCGGCGTGATCGCGATCTCTCGCCGGCGGACGTAGGTGGATGCGTCTCTGCGCGCAATCATTGCAGGGCGCCAATTGAGCTGGCGAGCTGGCAGATCAGCACAACCTGCAGAGAGTGGAGCGCACGCCGGAGCGAGAGACTGCGCAGGCTGCTCGTCCCGCTGCAGAGCCGCGAACGCGAGCGTAATTGGCGCTGCGCGTGCCGGTGTGCAGAGCGCTTAGCATGCGGCCCCGGCTCTAACCTCAGATGCAGCTTGTTACCACAGCAATCCAAGCTGCAGCTCGGCATCCTCACCACCCTTCATCACCGCGACCTGCCCTCTCTCTTCTCACCCTTCTCCGTCCCCAAGAAGGCCCCCCTCCCTCTCTTAAAAGCGGCTGCGTGCTGGGACGTCGGTCGTTCTGCTTGGATATACCCATTGGGGCAGGCGCGACTCGCTCTCTATCCATCTCGACCACGCCTGGCAGCGCCCATGTCTGCTGCGAACCGATAGCCTCCTCTCCGGCACCCTCCTCATATAGCGACTGCTTGGGGCTATCTACTGCGAGCATCTTCAGATTGGGATTAATTTTCTTGTCTTGTATGCTTATCGACTGCTCGCCGGTCGGCCAGTACCCGCCTCGACGCCGCGATTGAGTGAGAGAGACCGCACGCTCGTTACGCCATAGCAACGCACTGCACGACCCCGGCCCGAGCAAACCGCCCACCGTTTGCTCCCACGCACCGTCGCCAGCATGGAGATGTCGTCGCCCCTCGCAGCCATGCACCCGCCGCCGCTCCCTGGCCCATGGGGATACAGACGAGACCTGCCGCCGTCGAAGCCGCTCTTCGGCGCGCACACACTGGGATCCAAGAACTTCAATTTCCGCGATCTGAGCATGAAGAAGTCGAGCTCCGACTACTTCACCCTGCAGCCGATGCGAGGGTCGTCGCCGACGTCGAGCCTGGCCGCCGACATGTCCTCGAACCTGCATGTCGACCAGAGGTATCCTCCCTTGCATTCCGCCCTGCAGAGCCTCCGCTAACATTGTTCCAGTCCCCAGCTCGCAACACCTCGCCGGTCGCTGTTCACGTCAAATCTCTTCCAGCAATTGGACAATCGGGGTAAGCGGGCGGATTATCGGGGGTGGTAGTAGTAGCAGTGCTGATAACGTGGTGAAGCAGAAGGAACTACGACCCCACCAATCCGCTGGGAAGGCGTCACGACTCCGCCAATTCCCTCCTCGTCGCCCAGCTTCGTCCCGGATTCCATGGACATCTCGCCTCTGCCCCACAAAGCACCCTTTAGCTTTGTCACTGAGCGTCCGCTGCCTTCGCCCACTCCAGACACCACCCCGGCCGCAGACGACGACGACATGCTGTCGCCATGCGAGCTGCCCACTGCGCCTCAGTTTCCGGCTCCTGAGATCGAGGTCCCCCGGCCGGTATCGGCTGCTGAGTGAGTATCTGGAGAAACGTTAGTTGTCCACTTGTTCGCTGACGGTGCCAGGCGTCGCAAATCCATCCTTCTCCGACCATCTCTTGCTCGCACAAAGAACTACTCGACTAACACAGTATCCTTCAAGTCGCGCGAGAACAACCCCTTGCCGCCGTTCAAGTTCGGCGCAGGCATTGAAAGCTTCTCGACCATGCCCACCCCGTCATTGGACGAGTGCTTCGCTGCCTCCCCTCCCCAGGACCGTAGGCCGTGTTCGAACCCTTCGCTGGGTTTCTCGAAGCCCAAGCCTTTTACCCTTAACACCAGTGTCTCGCGTGCCAATGGATCGCCCCTCAGTGCTAACGTTCGGAAGCCTGCTGGGCCCCCGTCTCGGCGTCCCAGCAAGTTCCGGAGGTCGTTGAGCATGTTCGAGCATCCCGGCGATGTGATGAACGCGAAGCAAGACAAGGACAACTACACACCGAGCGGCCTGCAATCTGTGATGGACGTCGATGACTCGCCCTCCCTCAAGTTGCCTCACTTTACGCCACCCAATGAACCCGACAGCCTTCCCCGTATCAGTGATACAACGCTGGTTGAGGTCCTAAACGGTGGCTACGATCACTTGTATGACCAGAAGGTCATCGTTGATTGTCGTTTCGAATATGAATTCGATGGCGGTCACATTGACGGGGCAACCAACTACTGTGACAAGGACAAGCTAGCGGAGCGCCTCTTTGGCCCCGACACGGCTTCAATGGGAACTATTAACACTCTTCTCATCCTCCATTGTGAATACTCTGCGCATCGCGCTCCTCTCATGTAAGCCACACCCACGTACGGTATGGAAGTATTTTCGCTGACACATTATAGGGCCAAGTTCGTGCGCCACGAGGACCGGAAGCTTAACTGCCACCGGTACCCGCTGCTCACGTATCCCGAAGTGTATATTCTCGACGGTGGTTATAGCTCATTCTATGAGTCACACCGAACACGCTGCTTTCCACAGAACTACCTTCGAATGGATGCGAAGGAGCACGAGAACGCTTGCGAGCGCGGCATGAACAAGCTCCGCCAGCGCTCCAAACTCAATCGCGCACAGACCTTCGCATTCGGCCAGCAATCCTGTCAAATGGAAGACAGCCCCACAGCTGTCGGTCGGTCAAAGAGCGGCGGCGTCATCACGCTACGTGACGATAGCTCCTTCAATGTTGGACGAATAGGTGCCACACGCCGCATGGCTTCCTACTGAGCCTGCAGTGCAGCGACCATGATTTCCCTACGATACTCTACCATGCTCACGGCGAATCGGACTCACGGCGTTATTGATTGACTGCGGCATTCGAACCCCCATAGCCTGGCGTTCTGGTCACATCTCACTTTCATCCTTGCGGCGTTTAGCGACTACCCTCTATACCGCCTGCATCAATCTTCGATCTGTTGGACGGGAAAAGCATCGTCGACTGCTAGCGGACCGCTTCTGGGTTTCAGTCATCCCGTCTAGACACCTTTTTCCTTCTGCAACCATGGATCCGCTAACCGTGGCACGATTTACAATTCTCGCGAGAAGTCTTGCCGGATACCCTTTGTTTCTAGCAAGTGAGTAGTGCAGCACGAGATGGCTGCCTCGCGAGCTTTTAATTTCTTATGTTATTCATGCCTTATCCTCACACGGATTTTTCTATGCCCCTGCGGAGCTGGAATATTGCTCCCACATGTTCAAAGACCAATCTAAAGAGTCATCACGAAAGAAATACCAATCAGGCCTACGTGCCTCGACCCCATCACCACACCTGCATCAGTCACTCAACCTCTCCTATCCAACAAAATTCCGCTATCTCGGTATCCATTACCGGCAAACAGATTGGTCTCTCGTCGCCGCGCTCCACTCCCCGGATCGGTTGCGCTTCTCGGTTCCTCAGTTCCTCTTCCCACATATCTCTCTTGTCTTCGGGCCCCATCAAAAAGGGACTTCTCTTCTTTGAACCCCTGTTGGGTCTCCACTTGTTCGATTGTACTCATCTGCTTGTCACTTCTTTTTCTCTGCAGGCCGGGGTGCGAGGGTTTGTAGATGAGCACAAAGCTTGTACATATGTGGACCTTGGTGGCCGCGCAGAGAGGTGTTAGAAGGACAGTTGATAGGTATCTCGTCGTAATGTGGAGGAGGGACGACGGTGGATTGAGTCGTCTGTTTGTGTCTTCTCAGGAATTGGAAACAATATCATGCTTGAACTCGATTCACCGATAGATGACGTGACGTGAACGGTGATGTGACAACCTCTGACAGATCGATTAGGTTCTGTCACCGGTTGTGACGAGGGGAAAACATGCAATCCACCGACCAATCACGACGCGCCGGACTAGCCTGCTAGCTTCGTCGATCATCGCGGAAACCCCCACATCCCTGCCCCGCGCCGCGCCTCCCCTCGATCCCCATGTCTCGCACATGTCCAAACTCAAATTTCGATCCAGACAGCTCAACCTCTGCCCATGACTCGCCTCCATTGCACATACCGCCGCCACAATAATGGATATCGATGACCTGCTCGCCGAAGTCGCGATCGACAGCACGCCGCGGGAAACACGCGACTTGCAGGAATTGACAAGGTGTTGGGTTGCGGAGCGCGTGGCGCCGGAGATTTTGCAGTGGCCGGGGGAGACGATGGATAGGGTGTTGGAGAGGGTGAGACGGCAGGTACGTGACTAGAAGGGATTTGATGGGGCAAGACGGTGGGAATGTGGGATTGAAGAATGGTACTAATGTGGGGGGTAGATTGAGCTTGTCGAAGATCAGACGGGGAATATGGACCCGAAGACGAATTTCAAGTTGATTGTTATTCAGACGGAGTTGGAGAGATTTAAGTTTTTGGTTCGGAGCTTTTTGAGGGCGAGATTGAAGAAGGTACTGTCGCTCAATTACCACTCTCCTCTTCTGGTTATAGTTCTAGTTCTTCGAACCGGCTTACTGATAGCTGTCTAGATCGACACACACCCCCTCCACATCCTCAACCAACATAACGCCTCTCTTGCATCGCCTCGGCCCCTCCTCTCCCCTTCCGAACACCAATACCTAACTTCGCACCAAGCGCTTCTCTCTTCCCACTACTCCGCCTCCTTCCTTTCCCAGTTTCCAGCGAGCTTGCAGCGACTAGATGATACGACTGGCGGCATTAGCATGGTGGACAAGCCGGACGAGGATAGGGCGGTTTTTGTAAGATGTTTGAGGGATGTGGGCGAGGTGTGGGTCGAAGGAACGGATAGAAGGTTTGAGATGAAGAGGGGGGATGTTTGGGTTGTGAGGTGGAGTGCTGTGAGGGGGTGGGTGGGGAGTGGGGATTGTGAGTTGATATGAGCAGGATTGAGGAATGAGCAAGAGGGATTTCAGGTCTTAGGAGGAAGCAAGAGAAGGAGCCAACCCTTTAAACAAGATGAACCCTCACCCAGCCGCGTGATGATATCAAGCAGGCGTCTAGATCCAGCAGCACCGCAGCAGAGTGCAACAGGAACAAAGCGTGGGAATGGAGGTTGTGTTCTTAGAGCAGGTTCAAGAGCAGGCCAGGACGGCAATAGGGTGAAGGCACGGTGCATGAGAATGGAGGAGCGCTCCAACAAGGCTCATTCGATATATACAAAGCCATTCAGTATCGTCTCCAATCCTTTCCGCCCTTCAATTCTTCCGGCGCCTCTACAACTCTGCAATAACACTATCATCCAAAAACGTCTCCAACGCCGCCTTACTCGTCACGCCCCTCCGATCCTGCCCCGCAAGATACTTATCCTCGTCCACCAAAAAGTCAATCAAATCCGGTCCCCACGTCCCGCTCCACTTATGATCCGCCCACACGGCTTTCACAACCGCCGCATCCATGCCCACCCGCTGCGCCACATACTCATATATGCCATTCGCATCCGGACTGTTCTTGAACACATCCAACGTCTGGTTCAGCGCGCGCACGAACGCCACGATATCCTTCCGCTTGTTCGCGTCGTTGAGCTTGTCCGTTGTGCTGTACAGCGAATACACTTCCCGATATATCGAGCTATTCTGGAATAGCACGGCATTAGCGCCCAGGGCCTGCGCGCCGAGCTCGACAGCCGGCTCCCAGATGCCGAACGCGTCGATTTGCTTGTTCTGCAGCATGACGGGGAAGGTGTTGCTCCCGCACGGCGTCTTCATGCATACATTGCCGCTGACGGCGGTGTACTGGGACTCGGAGACGCCGACAGATGCCATCATGCGCGACACGAAGACGCCGGCGCTGGTGCCCTGCATGGTGCCGATGCGTTTGCCCTTCAGGTCGGCGAGCGTGGTGATGCCCGAGTTTTTGTTGGCGACGATGCGGTAGGCGACTTCGCAGATGATGTAGATGAGGCGAACGTTCTTCTTCGAGGCGTAGACCTTGAGGCCTTGGGTTTCCGCGTTCGCCGCGAGGTCAAAGGAGGCGTCCGAGCCGAGGTTTTGCACGCCGCCGCTGGTGAGCGAGGCGGTGGAGCTGCCTTTGTAGAATTTCGAGATGGCGTAGGGCTGCGGCGTGTGTTCGATCCATTGGAGGGAGGTGGCTATCTTCAAGCCGATGGCGGAGTGGATGAAAGCTAACGGTGCGAGCACCACTGCGAGCGGTGGAACATGCATCTTGGAGGGGATGATAGTAAAGATGGCGATTGGGTCCATTCCACAGCATGTCCGCCATGGTCTATTTATTCTGGCTGCTGGATGCTGAACCGGGCGCAGCTTCGCTGCTCCAAGGACAGAATGGGATTCTGATATTGAGCTCATATGCCGGCAGGGATCATGGTGTTCTGGAAGTTAAGCGTCATATATCAACCGTGTAACCTTGCCAGTGTAATCGCCTATCGAGCAACTGCCGATGCTTATTTCGACGATCCGGCTATTACGAGTATGGACGGACAGAGCCATTCAGCATGGGTGTCGTAACAAGCTTTGTGGTTCGCTTGGAGGCTCATCCTCAAATTGGACGGCATTGTTCGCAGCTTACCGTCTCCGCGAATCATATGCATTCTAATGCTGGGGAACCGTAAGCACGTGGAGAAGTTTTGATTGAGGACAAGAATCAGAGCTAATACACCCGAATAGTATAAGCCATCATATGAAACCCCTCGAAACCATAACGCCGACGCATGCAGACCCCGCAATACCAACACTGCAGGTTGAGGCGGGGAAGAAGTCATCCAGTCCGCTATTGGCCTTTCAATGTGCCTGTATCCAGCCGAGCATCTGTCCAAACGCCTGCGCTTGTGACTGCTTGATCTTGGGGTCGTCGTAATCTCCCAGAACCGCGAAACCATGGGGTACCCCGGAGAAGACCTGTATCTCGTGTTCCACGCTGTTCTTTTCCATGGCTCGTCGTCCCGGCGTCAATACCTCGCTTTCCGAGAACAGCGGGTCGTTCTCCACGGCAGCGATGTACACAGGCACTCTGACGGCCTCCATGTCTTCTTTGGTAACCATCGTCCCATGGGCTATGGCTCCTGCCTTAATCACGGGCGCCTTCTTCACGACACCCTGCTCCTCGTCTTTTGGTGCTTCCTGTCCCCAAGCGACTGTATCAGGATGTTCGCCTGCCATAATAAGAATATACTTCGCACCGAAGCAGTATCCCACTCCATAGATTCCACCTCCGTTCGCCACGGCGTCGGCGAATTCTTCCTTTGCACCCTCTACGACTTTATGCAGCAATGGCAGCACCTTCTCTGGCGTATGCCTTGCGAGCCACATGTCGATCATGAAAGACTTAATCCCTTCGGCCGTCTTCATTTTGACCTGTTCCAGCCAGCCAGCGTCTTGTGAGACCTCGGTCATGTCGACTGAATTCGGCGCTGGATCGTTGTCGAATTGGTCTGGCATTACCACCAGGTAGCCTTCCGAGGCATATTTATCAGCTTGTAGCTGATTGTTCGTGGACTTGATGCCGGTACCGCCTGTGAGGAGGAGCAGGAGCTTCGAGGGCGAGTGTGGGTAGTCGGAGGGCTTTGCGACGTATACGTCGACGCCGCCGAGCTTGGTGAGTTCGCCGGTTGGTATCTCGCCGGAAGGAGTAGGTCGATCTGTCGTGCAGTGTTCCTAGTAGGGTCAATAGCCGCCTCATTGCTGGTAGCTGGCGGCTTACACCCATGCTTGGTCCTTCCTGTGCCCTGGTGTCGCCTGGGAAGACACTTTGTCCTGCGGAGGCCGCAGTCGCCTCTTGTGCGTCGCTCTCGGGAGCTCTCGTTGCAACGTCGTTGTCGGACATAGTGATGCTGATTGAGTATTGGGGGATATGAAGACTTCCGGTAGCTTTCGAATCTTGCGTTGTGAAGGGACCAATTACGTATGCAGGCAGGTACGATCCCGCTCGGACCATGGGTGCGGGGCTTAGCGCTGTCACGTGAGCACTTAACGCGTCGAGCCCAGGACGCGTCGGAGGCAGCACATCATTTCCTCCCAACCTCGCCACGCCACGAAGTGTACTTCGTCTCTCACCACCACGCGTGTAGCATAATACAGTCAACATGGCGGAGCAGGCGATTACTCAAGGCGCCATCAGGTAGGCATTCAACGGAATGCACGAATGAGAAATCACTCACTCTGCTACAGGAGCATCTTCGAGCCTAGCGGTTGTTTCATAGAGCACCCTGTCTTGCAATGTGTGCAGATCAAGACGATGGAGCCGAAGGCGGGCGAGGCGGGCGGTGTGCAGCGCTTCCGCGTTGTCCTCAGTGACGTCCGGAATTTCATCCAGACCATGATTGCGACAGGTGGGTTGAAGTATGCTACTAGGAGACTGATGAAGCTAACGCTTTGCAGCCGCAAACGACATTGTCCTCTCTGGGAAGCTGAAGAAGGGCTCCATTGTGCGACTGCTGAAGTACAATCCTCAGCAGGTTAAGGAGAAGAAGTATGCCGCCCACCTCTGCCTCCCTGGAGTCCGCTGACTTAGGGATAGGATCCTTATCATCATGGAACTTGAAGTGCTCGAGCAGTATGGCGAACAAGAGAAAATTGGCCAGCCGGAAGCCCTCGACATCAAGACTGAACCCCAGCCCTCAGCCATCTCTGGCAACGGCTTCTACGGGTCGAAACCTGCACAGCAGCCGCAGCAACCACAGCGATCGCTTCCCGTCCATCAGAGCAACCAGAGCACCTCGACACACCCACACTTGTATCCAATCGAGTCGCTTTCGCCGTACGCACACAAGTGGACGATTCGAGCGCGGTGCACATTCAAGGGCGATATGAAGACGTGGCATAATGCAAAAGGCGAGGGCAAGCTGTTCAGCGTCAACTTGCTGGATGACACCGGGGAGATCAGGGCAACAGGCTTCAATGACGTTTGTGAGAAGTTGTACCCCATCTTTGAAGAGGGAACCGTGTACTACATTTCCGCGCCGTGCCGGGTTACCTTGGCGAAGAAGCAATTCTCTAACCTACCGAACGATTATGAGCTGCAATTCGAGAGGGATACCCTAGTCGAAAAGGCGAGTCGCTACCAACGGTGTATTATACTATGACTGACTTTCCGCAGGCCGAAGATCAGAGCAACAAGCCTCAGATACGGTACAACTTCACCAAGATTGGCGACCTCAACTCCGTAGAAAAGGATACCACTATCGACACTATCGGTGTGCTCAAGGAAGTTGGCGAGGTGAATAAGCTGACCTCGTCCAAAACCAACAAAGACTTCATGAAACGGGACCTGACTATCGCGGACGACAGTCAGACCTCAGTCAGGCTTACCATCTGGGGGAATCAAGCTGAGAGCTTCGACGCGCCTCTTGAGTCAATCATGGCATTCAAAGGCGTCAAAGTTAGTGACTTTGGCGGTCGAAGCCTGAGTCTGCTCAGCTCGGGTTCCATGACCATTGACCCCGATATCGACGAGGCACACAAACTGCGAGGATGGTTCAATGCTGTCGGTCAGAACGCTACCTTCTCAACGCATCAGAACCTTGCATCTGCTTCTGGTGGCAACGCAAGGCAGGACAGCAAAGTAATCTCAGACATTGTCGCCGAAGAGAGCTACCTGCAAGACACGCCCACCTACCTCAGCTTGAAGGCATCTGTCATCTTCGTCAAGAACACTACCGTTGCATATCCCGCCTGCTCAAACACAGCGCAGAACTGCAACAAGAAGGTCATCGAAGACAACCCTGGCGAGTGGTGGTGCGAGAAGTGCCAGATGAGGTTCCCGGAGCCGCAGTGGAGGTACGTCTTGAGTGTCAACGTTGCCGACCACACCGGCACGCTCTGGCTGAGCTGCTTCGACGAGGCTGGCCAACTCATTGTCGGAATGCCAGCGAACAACTTAATGAAGATGAAGGATGACGACGACGATAACAACACGGCGAACTTCATGAATGCCATGCAAGATGCAACCTGCAAGACGTTCAATTTCAGGATCCGTGCAAAGATGGAGATGTATATGGATCAGCCCAAGTAAGCCCCAGCATATATTGCAGCCACGGTATATACTAATTGCTCTTCAGACCGCGCTACCAGGTGTTGAGCATCCACCCTCTCAACTACGCTCAAGAGGCCAACAGGCTGGCACAGCTAATCAAGCAGTACGATATCAACGATGACAGCTTGTTCGTTCATTGATGAGGGCGGATGAAGCGCTGGTAGCCGAAGGGGGCCACAGAATTGGACTCCTCCAACGTTCTCTGACGTTTGGGTCATGTTGTTTCTCGGAATCATGGGCTAAGGATCAGGGTATGCATGCTTTCATAGGGTCGTTTACACCAGTGTACATCGCGAAAGGCTCTTTCGAGGAGTCTGCAGAGCTCCGTTATCTAAAGGGATAGCTAATGTTCAAGAGGGCTGTACTCAGCCAGCCTCCTGCTTACATTCGGTGTTCCATTGCCGTCGTGCGTTAGCTCCCTCCGTCGATGACCCCGCCATCGGTCGGCAGCTCTAACTGCCCCGCTATAGCATCATTATAAATTATCCCGTCGCGCGGAACGCGTCGGAGTTTCAATTCTTTGAACTCCAGGCTTCAGCTTGCCTTTTCTCTTGATTCTTCGTATCTCTGACAATCTTGTGCAGTGCACCTGCTATCACGTTTTCTTTCGGTCTTCTTCTCTATCTTGCACCAAGCATAGCTACACCAGCTCATCCATTATACAAAACGGCTCCTAAAATGACAGACACAATGCGCGCAGTAGGTCCGTTACTCAAAACCGTCATACTGCACCACGCCAATTAACCATCTTCAGATATCGAAGGCGGCAAAGGCCCCATCAGTGCCCTCCACATAGGCCACGTCCCCAAACCCACCCTCAGCGGCTCACAAGCCCTCGTTCGCGTCAAAGCCTTCGGCCTCAACCGCATGGACCTCCTGCAGCGCGAAGGCCAGTACCCCGTTCCTCCCGGCGCGTCCAAGATCCTCGGCGTCGAGTTTTCGGGCACGATTGAAGAGCTGGGCGAGGAGGGAGGCGGGAAGGAGGGGTTCAAGAAGGGGGATGAGGTCTTTGGGTTAGCGTATGGAGGCGCGTATGCGGAGTTTATCGCCGTTAGTACGCATATGCTTGTTAGGAAGCCGGCGGAGTTGACGTGGGAGGAGTGCGCGGGGATTCCAGAGGTACGTCATTCATTCCTCTTTTTTTCCTCTCCTTCTCTACATCATAGTCAAGAAGCGGCGACTGGCAAGTGCTGATGATGAAATGAGGTTAGACCTGGATTACTGCTACCCAGGCTATGTATCTCATCGCCAAATTCGCCCCCGGCAAATCCATCCTCTGGCACGCGGCCGCGTCCAGCGTCTCCATAGCGGGCATCCAGCTCTCGCTCGCCGACTCCGCCTCCGCTGTCTATGCTACCGCACGACAGGACGAGAAATGTAAATTCGCCGTTGAGACGCTCGGCGCGACGGCTGCGTTCAACTCCACGACGCAGAACTGGGCCGAAGAGGTCATGAAAGCGACAAACGGCAAGGGTGTCGACATCATCATCGACTTCATGGGTGCGAGTTACTTCCAATCGAACCTCGATGCTGTGGCGCGCGATGGAGTAATTGTAAATCTGGGCTTTATGGGCGGGACGAAGCTGCCGGCGGGTGTGGATATCAGTGCGTTTATTCGGAAGAGGTGTACTTTTGTGGGAAGCAGTTTGAGGTCCAGAGATGAGGGGTATCAGGGGAAGTTGAGGGATCAGCTGGTCGAGCACGCGCTGCCGCGATTCAAGGATGGGAGGTTTAAGATTTTGGTTGATAAGGTGCTGCCGTGGGAGAAGATTCAGGATGCGCATCGGTTGATGGAGGAGAATAGGACGAAGGGGAAGGTTATTTGTACGATAACGCAGTAGTGACTTGAGCAAATAGAGGATAGGAGAAGCTTGCAAGATCCACGCTATAAACCCCCTCTATTAGTGCTCCATTCCACATAACTCCGCTTGCCCCCAGCTCCTAGCCTCTTGCGGGAGGGAATTCTCCGGATCTGGGGGCTCGCCGTACGGGTAATGAGGTTGGCTCGTCTATTGTACGCACCCGCGAAGGCCTCCAGGGTGTTACGATCACAGGATCGGGAACAGGGTTGGCCAGCCAGGACGGAGAAAACGGCAAGCCAAGCCCGGGGTCACGGGACGAGGGATCACGTGCAGGGTCACGGGAATGATCAGGGTCACGTGACGTGGATCGGACGGATCAGACGGATCAGGACCTGATCCAAGGATCAGACCCTGATCCAGGTAGTCCACGAGGGCCAGGGTCTTGGCACCTAATCTAGCCAAGACAGCACATGTATATAACTAGAAGGAGCTCGCTTCTTGTAGCTCCTTATAGTTATTGCTTTATTTATTAAATTACTATAGAGACCTGCGATTTATAGTATTATTACCTCTACCTCTTTGTTACTAAAGATCTAAGCCTAAAGCATACCCCTTACCTTCTTTTACGAAAGTAAGCCTTAGTCTTAGTTAAGAGAATAGCTTATAACAAAATAACTACCTAATATTAAAGAGTAGAACTATTATATTAATAGTTAGAACCTAGTCTAGAAAGGCCTAAGTCTAGAAGCTAACTATAGAAGAATAGATTATAGAACTCTAATAGATTATTATAGCGCTCTAGAAAATAGGCGTTTATTAAGTAGAAGAGCTAGCTATAGCAAAGCGTTAGGCCTAGGCTAAGATTACTCTACTATAACGTTTTAATAGTAAGAGAGAAAACCTTAACACTTTTCTAGTAGCTATAGAGCTCTACCTATAGTATAACGCTATAGTATTTCTATAGAATAAGAACAAGATTCTAGAAGCTATAATAAACATAAAAGAGAAAGCTCTTACGTAGGCTAAACTCTATATGTTAGACTAGCTAGAGAATAAAGGTAATATAAAGAGAATATAATAGTCTATAGATAAAATCTTTAAAAGCTAGACTAGGTTTATAAAGCATCTTAGGGGGACGTTTAGAGAAGTTAACGCCTATAAGGTAGCTTAGAAAAAGCTGTTTTAGCTCTAATAGACTAGATTAGCATTCTAGTATATAGTAACGTTTAGGTAGCTAAGCGCGCGCCTAGACTAGAACGACCTTACGCTAGCAGAACTCTTCTACAAGAGATTAAAGAAGTTAGTTAAGAATAATATAGCGCACGCTAAACAATCTAAGAACCTAAGTAACGTAATAGAAATAGTAGTAAAAATTAATAACTAGTAGTATAAATAAAACCTAGAATGTTAACAGAGTAGAGATTACTCTATACTACTAATAGTTAGAACTAAATAACTATAGACTCTATTCTAAGAGAACTCTATAGACCTAGACTAGGTTAAAATACTATAGAAAGGAAAACAAACTCTACAAAATAAGGATAAGGCAAGATACTTTAAAGAAGAACTATGCCTAGTCTATAGAGAAAAAGAACACTTTGCGCAAGAATACCTAAAGAAAAAGAAAATAGTTAAAATAATTTAAGTAAACTATAATAGTCTTATATAAATAGCATGCTACAATAATAGATACATAACGTACTAGAGAAATAAGGTTAACTTAGAATAGTAGCTAATAAGAATTAAGGCTATTATACTAGAATACCTAGCGTATATAGAATACCTTACTCTAGATACTATCTAATAACGTATTAACGCATAATAGTGCTAGATATACGCGGGATTCTATAACGTATAGAGCTATTAGCACGCACACTAGAATATTCTATTTACTAATAAGAAATTCTAGAAGGCTCTAGAAACCCTTAAGAAAGCAGCCTAATTAGTAGAATACCTTATAGACAAAGAAGTACACTCGTACATCTAGAAAATATACTAAGAATTCTTTATAAATAACCTAAAGACTTAAAAAGCTAAGTAGTAGTAACTAAGGTATATAGAAAGAGGTAAGTATTAAGATCTCTTCTATAAGGTACACCTAACTAAACTATTATAAGAAAAAGAACTCTCTAGACTATTTATACATAATTAGAAAATTAAAGCGTATCTATAGTAGAAGCTATACTAGCTATATAAAGGTAACTATCTAGGCTATAACTATATCTACTAAGCTTACTCTCTAGTAATTTATAGCGAAGAAGAAAGAGTAGTAGTTAAGACAGCTACTAGCACCTAGAGACTAGACAACAAAGAAATATAAGTAGCCACGTATATAAACCTCTAAACTAAGAAAGAAAGTAGTAGAATAGTAATACTTAAACTAGTTAAAGAAACGCATAGTAAAGAATACTACGCTAAACTCTAGAACTAGTGTGCTATAGAATACTAATACTATTAGAAATAATATTAAACTATAGAATAGAGAGCGTAACACTCTAACTATTACACGCTTAATTATAGGTAGTATTTTCTAGAATAGAAATATTTATACTATAAAGAGAAGGCTAGAAATAAACACGCGAAACTCTACTAGACTATATACTTGCTAGAACAATATTTAGTACACATAGTAGAAAAGAAATAAGAATTAGTACTAACTACTCTCTTAAAGTTAAAAAACTAGTAGGCCTCTAAGGCAGAGGTCTAGCCTAGAAAGGCCCTATTTAGACTATTAACAAAATTGTTACTCTAAAACCTAGAACGCTACGCGTAAAAGCTACACTAGAAAATAAGAAATTTATAGCTTATGTAGATAGTAAAGTAGTAAAAACATATATTTCTACTAGCTTAGTAAATCTATAGAATATACTATTTTAAGAGAAATAATAGCTATACTAAGTATAACTTGTAGACAACTAACTACCTACCTTTAGCTAAGAATAGATTTACTTAGAGACTAAGGCACAGGTATTAGATGTCTAGAGAATATAGAAATAATAATTCTACAATATTATAGAACTAGAAAATATAGACGTACTTCTAGAGCTAGATTAGCTACAAAGGTATAACTCTAATATTAGCTAGATTAGGTTAAAGCTCTAGAAGAGGCCTAGAGTAGTATAAAAGGCTAGAGCAAGACACTACCTAAGAGCTTACTAAAAGCTAGAGGTAAAGATTAGAAGAATATCTCTTATAAGTTTAACAAAATAGGCGAAGAGGTAACTTTAAGACGTTAGCGTTATATAAATACAAAAGCTATAACCTAATATAAAGTAACTACCTTATAAAGTTAAAAAGAACTATAAGAAGTTTGCGTTATTATTTAATAGACAGAACGACGGCATTCTACCTAAATACAAACTATAGAACTATAAGATACCTATAGAGAATAAAGCTATGCTAAAACCTAGACCTATATACCTACTTAGCTATATATAAAGAAAGAACCTCTAAAAGCACCTAGAAAGACTTCTATAAAAAGAATACATTTAAGAAAGCTAGAGCCTAATAGTATTACTAGTACTATTTATGCTAAAGAAGAACGAATAGCTAAGATTGTGCATTAACTACTAATAGCTTAACTAAGTAACTTAAAAGAACTAGTACTTACTACCTATAATTCTAGAACTTATAGACTAGCTTATAGAAGTATAGTAGTTTATAAAGTTTAATATTAGAGAAGAATACTATAGAATACAAATTAAAAAGAGATATAAGTAGAAAATAGTATTTAGAATAAGAGAAGGCCTATATAAATACCTAGTTATACTATTTAGACTTACTAACGTACTAGCAACGTTCTAAAGTATAATTAACGTAGCTCTATATAAATATATAGAAAGGTTTATAACAGCCTACCTAGATAATATACTTATATACTTAAAAGAGAAACTAGAAGAATATAAGAACTACGTATAGAAAACGCTATAAAAGCTTAAGAAATATAAACTTCTAATAGCTCTAGATAAGAGCGAGTTCTACTATACAGAAACTAGCTACTTAGAATTCTACCTAACCTAGAAGAGAATTTAGATAGAAACAGATAAGGTTAGAAGACACCTTAACAACACAACGTAGGTTACGGGAATAGTAGGCGCTATAGAGGTTATTAGACATATTAGCGCCCGTGCGTAGAACGAGGTTAGCGCGACAACAGCAGCAAACTATTAAGAACTTAGTATAAGCAGGCGGCATAGTAGAAATAGAAAGAGAAGAGAGAATATAATACTATAGAACTATAGGTAGTACTACTCTTATATAGAAATAGCATAGAATAATAAAACACTATACTTAGAAAAAGAATAGAGCTTTAGAATAACACTTTAGAAGGAAGAGCGGGTGTTACAATTATAGAATTAGAAATAGAGTTAGCTAGCTAGAATAGAGAAAATAGTAAGCTAAGTCTAGAGTTATAGAACAAGAGATTACGTATAGAGTTATAGAAATAATTAGAGTTACGTAACGTAAATTAGATAGATTAGACAGATTAGAACCTAATTTAAGAATTAGACTCTAATCTAGGTAGTCTATAAGAGCTAGAGTCTTAGTACCTAATCTAGCTAAGATAGTATATATATATAACTAGAAGAAGCTTACTTCTTATAGCTTCTTATAGTTATTACTTTATTTATTAAATTGCTATAGAGACTTGCGATTTATAGTATTATTACCTCTACCTCTTTGTTACTAAAGATCTAAGCCTAAAGTATATCTCTTACCTCTTCTTACAAAAGTAAGCCTTAGTCTTAGTTAAGAGAACAGCTTGTAATATAGGGTAGCTATTACGCACGTTGTTCTACTCTAAGAATTCTATACCGTAAGAGCTAGCATCGTACTCCTAGCCTTAACTAATCGCTTAACCTCCCTAATAACTCTTTCTACAGACCCGCCATGTGTATAATTTTTCTTGCCCATTACTTTTCAGGTTCTCTTTCCGCTTCAATTTTGCTGGTATATATATTTCATATCTCAAACATAATCACATGATCTGTTAGAACGCTTTCATTCGGTCTAACTTCAGATGGCATTGTGGCGGAGTGGTTATCGCGCAAGACTAGAAATCTTGTTCCTTCGGGAGCGCCAGTTCGAATCTGGTCAATGTCGACGCATTTTCTTTTTGCTCGTCTATTTCCACTGCGTAGTACGGCTTTTTTTTTGTTCTGCGCCGGGTTCTGTTTTGTGTCCTGCGGCCTCCTAACTAATCGAAGCACTAGCGCAGCGTGGGAACTTCGACTTATCGGGTTGTTATCGGCATGGGGTATGAACACAGTTGCCTTCACGGTGTGGCATTCTCTGGTCTTCTATCTACAGAGTTTAAAATATAGCGTTTTTGGCATCTTCTTTATGACAAGGTTGAGCGAATTAATGACTGTGGTAGTGCTCGCTCCATGGCAACCAGTACGCTTCGACCGATAATGCGGGGACCAATGAGAGATTTTCTCCTTCTCTACAGTGCCTTTCAAGGTTCGATATCCGGTTAGTTATACGACTGCTACGCCGTAGCCTGATGCATGACGCCGCTCTACTTTGCCCTGTGCAGATGAATGGTGTCGAGCATAAGCAGCCTGTTACCTTGCTGATAAGGCTATCTTTCTCCACGATACTATTAAAATTTAGGCAGGAGTCATGACTTTTGGATCTCTAGCTCGAAATCATCTTACGAAGTAGTTTCTCTCAGCACGTGTTACTAGTTTGCATTGCACACTCTCAAAGACAAAGCGAACCACTCAGCCTTATCATCTCCCGTACAGCTTTTTGCCTAATCTGCCTCGAATGCGCCTGCGGCATTTTTGGCGGGGTCATTACGCCCTCACTTGCAGGGCCGTTGACCGGTATCTCTCTCCCACGTACCTAAAATTCACAACGCTGCTGCTTCCAGCTCGTAGGTATCCTTCCTTTCAGAATTCCTCTGCTCTGACACCCGCTGGGTGTGAGCACTCTTCTATTACGCTGCAATGGCGCTTCCATCTACCGGGTCGGGCAGTCAGCGGCTCGATCTCGTCACTCGAGGATTAGATGTGGGCGCAAGAAGCATCGATCTACTCCAAACTATCGCCGAAATCGCCAATTCTCCGAATGGCGCCATCCAAGCCGCGTCGAAGTTCATGTACTGGCTTGGCACGGAGCGTGTCAATCAAGAGGACTTAGGGCACTGCTTGAGTCGCGCGAAGGACCTAGCTCATCCAAATATGGCGGGTTTGGCCTTCTGCTCAGGGGTAATGGAGGGAATTGAAGCCCTGCCCAAGTCCATATTGGAGCCGTTCAAGTCCATCTCTTCCGGATCCTTGGGACGCTTCCTGGTGCTGGACCACAGTCTCCGGTGGATTACATCCACGATAACGAGTTTTTACCAGTTCCATGATGAGAAATTCATTGCATATGCAATGACGGCCCTCATAGTGCGCATATATGACGAAAGAGAGGGCAACAGACCCACGCCCCGCTCCAACTTCTGGTCCGATCCTACATACCTCCGCATGATGCCCGTCGTCAAGAAGATAACGTCGAGTATTTGGCTCAACATTGTCAACTCTAAGAAAGAGTCACTGCCGCTTCCCGACAAACTCCGGAGAATATGTCCTGTCGGCCATCATCTCGACTCCGAAGACCTAGTTGAAGCGCTGGCTCGATTAAAAAACCCACGTAGAGGGCCTCATGTAATTATTACAAGCCGCTACATGCTGGGTAACCTGTCGCTGTGGCTGCTTTACCATTTCAGCGGCCTCTTCCGGGTAGTAGTTGGCGGAGAGATTGTCTATGAAACGAGGCAAGGGCATGAAGAACAAGAGATAGAACTGCGAGTTGGAGTTCGATGTGGTGATAACAGTCAATGCGCCAATAACAATGACCGTGACGAGCGAAGACAGTTTGAAATGGCAGAGAACATTGCAGGCCACTGGCACGAGTTCTTTGTGGGGAGCTCCAAACCATCCCCCACGCTGGGAAGTGCATCGCGAGCCAGGAGAGCGCTTTACGGTTTTGAAGACGGGCAAAGCACTCCCTCTCAGAAAATGAGCGCGATAAATTCCCACATTCGAAAGGTGGCGTTGGATTTGGCTCGATGGTTGTGCAGCTTGCGCGTTGAACCATGCCCGCAGGCTGCATCGTGGATCGTGTACAAAATAAACTTGGACCGGAGGGGAGCAAGCGACAACCATCACACGCTCATGACCGATCTGCTGAAGAGATCTCCTGCAATTTTGCAGAATCCTTGGGGCCCAGGCCTTCCTAAAGATTGGACGCCAGAAGACGCTGTTCAGATATGGTCTCCAGAAGGATTCATCGAAGTTGCAGAGTGGCTCAAGAATCTGTCTGGATTGTCTGAAAATACGGATAAAGCAATTGATGCTCGACAATCTTCTGTCTGGCGATGCTTTCCGGGTCTGGCCGATCTACTCGCGGAGGCAGAAGTGCAGTGCCGCTGTATGAATTGTATACAGAAAAGGGGCGTTACCCCCCTGCAGCCTGGTTGTCGAAAGTTCTACGCCTATGGTGCGGTTCTCTCCCTCCTGGGCCACAGTATTGCAGATGCGTTCGGTGCTGATAGCGCATCTGGGTCTGAAGAAATGTCCTCCCCAGCAGTAGGCTCTGATATTTACTCCGTGGAGCACGTTTTACTGGACATTGTGCGGAAGTCTCAGGTTGTGTGGCAGACTTGGTTCGAAGTGGCGTCCTCTGTCTACCTTGGACGTCGTTACTCCAACGCGCAAGCTCGCCGCCACGGAAATGGCGTTCTCCCAGCCGATAACTCAATGACGATTGCCATCCAGTACGGCGACCTTGCTGTGGTCGCACCATGGGTTGATCTCTCCAGAGAAGTCAGCCATCTGGGATCGTTCGGCTTCGTGCCAGTTCCAGGCCGGCTATGCGTTTCTACGGCAAAGCAACCCAGGTGCAGGTCAGATTACCAGGTCCTTGATGATGTGTTCGCTGTCATTAAGACGCGTCCCACGGAGGCCATAGAGATTGATGATGCGCCACGCCACGCCGGGGGGCCGCGTGACATCGGGCCAGAGCTCGATGGCCACGAAGTTGAAGTCGATGCCATCCTATTCCCTTCTGAAGACGAGGTCTACTTCCTCATGACACGTGCGCGAGCGGGGAAGTGGTCTCGATTAGTCGATCCTTGCGCCGCAGCCATTATGCAGGCAAAAAATTTCCGCGGTATACAATCACGACGGTGTCAGCATGAGCCTGTGCATAAAGCAGAAAATTCTGCGAGCCAGCTCTGCGACTTGACGTTGGCCTATTCGTTCGAAAAGCTGCTTGGCGAATGGCCTCCCGGAGCGCTGGACAAACTCCACATGTCGAATGTCCTGGATACGTATCTCAAATACAACATCGCTGTCGCTCTCGCAGGAGGCGGAATTGTTACGGTCAACAGATCCGACTGCTGGATTTGCCCGGCGAGTAGGCTTCTTACGTTACAGCGCAAACGTATCCGGATGTCTTCAGGTCTCTTCTTGATAAACGCTAGTCCATTTCTGAAAGAAGGACAGGATAGAGACGGGCGGGGAAAACTTATTACCGAATCTGGCGGAGTGGTTATTGAGCAAGACTAGGAACCTTGTTCCTTCGGGAGCACCAGTTCGAATCTGGTCGACGTCGACGCGTTTTTTCTTTTGCTCGTCTACTGCGCTTTTTGGGGGTTCCGCGTGGAGTTTTGTTTGTGGAGGTTGCGTGTCCCGGCTGAGTTGCCTCCCCTGATTGATGGTTAAGAACGCAATTGAGGGAAGTACTTATGTGAATGCGCGCATACGTAAGTATTAGATATACGCAATCACCATCAAACGCTACCCCTTCTGCCTGTGGAGTTTAGAATATGGCGTCATTTTTGCTGGTACTGTGTATGTAGTATGCTCGCGTCTGCTTTATGACGAGGTCGAGCGAATTGATGACTACACCATCAAACGCAGCCTAACTACAAGATATCGCCGCTCTGGAACCCTCCCGTCCTCCCATCAGTCGCACCCACCAAGACCTGGTAATCGCCCTTCATAGTCGGAAACTCATTCACCGATTGCGCAGGCTGAATCTCCGTCCAGAGCACCGAGATTTGAAAGCCCAGTGCATCGTCGATGCTGATAACTTGGCCGTCCGTCTACAGCGTGTTAGCGGACGCCTAGGAAAAGCCGAGTTTCTGGGCGGCGGCGGGGCGTTGTTTATAGAAGTGTACACACCTTTGAGATCTTCCACTTCAGATTCGCCCTGAGATACGCAGCTACCACGTCCTCCTCCAGGCTCTGCAGTTCTCCGCTCCGCACCTTAGCTTCGAGGGCAGCGGTGAGTGGGACTTCGCCGTTGGCTTCTTGCTGCGCCATCTCCGTCGCCACGGAGCCCGTTTGAGCGAACATACCCGTCACGCCGATGAAGCTCGCGTCCTCTGCCCAGGTGCGCGGCATAGCGTCGGGTGCGCCGTCGCCGAGGAATACGTAGACGTTGAAGGAGCCGTCGAGGCCGAACTTGCGGACTTTGACGCTGGCGATGTATTGGCGCTCGCCGGTGAAGCTAGGCGCTCCAGCGATCGCGCGTGCGTCGAGGCTGCGTTTGGAAGGCGGCATGGCGTTCGGACCGTACAGCGAGTTCACGGTGCTGACTACGGCGGAGGTGCTGTTGATGAGGCCGAGGAGCTCGGGATACGTGTAGCCGAAGATGGTGTGGGCGCGGATTGTCTCGGATGTCCAGAAGTTTCCGGAGTCGTCTTTGTGGAAGGGGTGGAGGGCTGTTTTGCGGGAGAGGTTGAGGTTAGAAGGGGTGGGTTGGTTAGGGGGATGGGGAGGGGAGGAGGCACTTACGCGTGTTTGCGTCTGCGATAGAGTTGATGGGCGTGGTGAAGGTTGCGTATGGATTACTGTTTGGTGTTACGTAGCTGTTAGGATTTAGGGCTTGCCAGATGGCGACCAGTCGGTCGACGTTGCTGCGGGCTTGATCAACGCCTGTCCTCGACATGCTTTACTGTGGTAAAGTTTCAACTCACGCGTGATGTAGCCAGAACACTGGGTCAAAGGCCGCATATGCAGGGTCCATCATATGGCCACCACTCCCCACAAAGTTATGGATCGTATCGTGGATGCTCTCGATATTCTCACCCGGTCGTTGGTCGTTGCTAATATTGAAGTAGTCGTGTTGCAGCGCAAGCAGGTTGTACACTCGGGACTGGAGATTTACTCGAATCCCTTCGAGGTCCCGCGCGACGATATCGTTCCGGCTTGCTGCGTTCTCGTCGTACGAACTTGGGTCTCGCATCGTTGAAGGCCAGGTGCTCCAGGCCCCGGGTGCCTGTAGCTTGTCAGCTTGTTCTAGCTTCCTCCTATATGCTGAAACGTACGAAGTCGCTGACGGGTATCGGATGGAATCGATACGAGAACAGAGGATTCGCAATGGTCGAGGTTCCGTTGTGCAGGACAACGTCAACTGTGGGTCGCTGTACGCTCAAAGGAAAGGATCCTTGGCCTGCTGGAGGAACAGCAGCCCAGTCCCAGTAGGGCATTCTGAAGGTCGACAGAGCATTGTTGTATCGATCCTTTAGCTTTCCGCTAGGAAACTCGGAGATAGCCTGGCGGGTATTGAGGTATAAGACTTCCTAGGCAAGGATCAGTGGAGTGGTATTTCTACGTCGTGGTTCATGCTCACCTCGAATAGGGCAAGATATGGCCGATGCCACGTGGGAAAGATATTGCTTCCATGTTGACAATACCCACCTCCTCCCTTTGGGTCACCCTGTACGCCGTCCCAAGCTATGTAAGGGCGTCCGTGTATGCCTACAAAAATAGCGTTAGTAAAACAAAAACATAATCAGTAACAGTGGCCAAAGCAAACGTGATGGTTCGAGCATTACACTCGCTTGGTCAATGATTCGTGCCGAAGGGAGACGTGAAATGTAAAGTCCCTATCTCAGAAACTACACTCACCAGCAATTTGATAGTAGGAAAGCTTATCACTCTGGGTGATATTCTGCAGCCTGCGCAGCCCTAGCAAGTAGATATTCCATTGATCGGGATTCTTCTCCAGCTGTCGAATCTCTAAGCGTGGGTGTGGTGTGCCGTCCCCCAACCCAGCGACACCAAGTACCGAGAACACGCCGCCTTGTCGTTTGCCGATATTAGATACATCTTCACCTTCGCGAAGACCTTGTTTGGAAGCGGTTGGGACGCATATTGCAATTGTGCAGAAGATACTGAAGAGGAGGACCTTGAGTACCCAGAGCGACTCGTAGTGGGCCATTAAGGGTCTCTAGAGTCGATTGGCCCTTCTTTCTCCTGAGTAGTGCGCCCCTTAAGTGTACTTGAATGATGCGATAGTCCGGGAGCAGATGCTGGGAATAGGAAACCGATGCCAGAGAGCAAGAAGATGGGGAAAGCCAGAGTAAATGTACAAGGAAGTTCCTAATGGACACGAAAGACGCCGCCGGATCAGTGAGCGCAACTCATAGTCGCCAGCCATCTTTTGACAACGGATCCGAGCCAGGCAGTGCAGCGTTAACTGTCCCAGGGGCCTGCAGATGCAAGCATCAGAGCCCCTCAGCTTGCCTCGTCTAGGGACAGCACGGGGTACAATACCGTTGGTCATCGGTTATTGTGATGGCGCTCGTGGCGTAGAATCGAAATGGCCACACTTTCGTGTGCCTGCGCTAGTCTAGACAACGTGCAGTCGTTGCTAGAACACTTTGTTCCTGGGAAGCTCCTGTTTGGCGGTCGACAGTATCCCAATGGATGAGATATGAGGAGAACCGTGAGGCTCCACTTGGTTGAAGGCCAATGCTCCGGCGGCGTGGCGTGCATGTGGCACAGCGTACCACATTTCCGAGGTGAGCTGTCGTGCATCGCGAGTGGTTCGTTCTGGGGGCTTACGCCCACGCAGCACGGGGCTGAGGCGCGGATATCAACGCACACTGTAGCTGCGAGACATGCAAGTGACGTTATGGCGGTGAAGTGGTTCGTAAGGAGATGTTGTGCAAGGCGAAGAAGTTCGACGGAAGGTCGTGTCACAGCAAGGTACAGAGCTCTTACCTGCGATTCGTCAATCCCGGCACAATAAGAAGCATCACCAACCTCTGTCCGTAGTAGCCATCGATGTTATTCCGCCAGCACTGTTCTCACCGGACTCCATGTCGACGTGGAAGCTTTTGAGCAACTTTCGCAATTGGCAGGAGGGCGATATCCCGTCGTGTAGTAACTCAGACTACTATATTGACCACCACAGTTCCACAACAGACCACGATCGGCCAATGCAGCAAGCCACGGACGCCCTGCAGGGAAGGTTGCAAGGCATACGCATCCAAAGGCGGAAATGTAACATCGCACGTTCAACACGTCGGCTAGAACCTCAGCCATGACAGCCTTGCCTGGGCGGTGGATCGAGCGTTCGCACGTGAGGCTCCACAGGATTCATATTGAGACGTAACGCAAGGGTGGTGCGAAGAGAAACGAAGAGAAAAAGAGATGCAGGTGCCGTGCGGACTTTCTCAGCTCATCATAGAAGAAGTTACAGTTCGAACAATGGATACCTCCGCCTGAGGGTATTCACGGCTCCACTAGTCGTCGGGTGGGTGAGAACGGAAACTACAGATGCGCGATTAGCTGTGTCTGGCAACGAAAAGTTTGTGTAGCACTTAGCTTGCACTGAGCCGTGTTGCAGCGTACATGGGGAGTCCCCGGCTCCAGCCTCGATAGGTGGGGGAGACTGTACCTAGCGCGGGGATTGAAGAATCCAAGGTTGCTGTACTATTGCTATAGCTATGAAGGTATCCCGGCGACACGATCACAAACTCGGAAGCCGAAGAATCCCCTTATGAATAGAAGGGTGAGGAAACATGATCGTACAATTACCTAGATAGCCGTCCGACAGCTACTGGTCTGTCCAAGACGCCTTTGCGTAATAGCAAGCTGGTCCTAGTCCACCAGAGATCACAAAACTCCAAAATCCGAATTCATAGCAATTGAACGAAAAGAAAGAGAGAATGAGTCTAAGCGTTATCGCCATCCCCTGTCTCCCCATGATGCGTTTCCGTGCCGTGGAAAGCGTCGCCGAATGCTGAGTCGTCCATGAGATCAAGCCCTATGCTGTCGTCGCCAACGTTGGTGTAGTCCGCCAGCGCATCCCCGGCCGTGTCCAGGTTATCGAAACTGAAATCTGCAGTGTCAAATATACCACTCGGCTCAGCATCCGCGCCCGACGTTGGTATAATGCCCGCCAGCGCGCCAGCGCTGCTTGTAGGATGTGCGTTGGTGGCGCCGGCTTGCTGTGCACTGGGAGAACCCTGATTGTCGACTACTACCCAGTCCGCGTCACCGCCTTTTCCGTCCGCGTTGGTCATGCCTGACATTTCCACATCCAGATCAAGAAGATCGGCTCCGGCATCCGTTGGATCGAGGTTGGCGGCCTGTTCTTCAAAAGAAGAAGGCTGGGCTGCATCACCCATTGGGGCGCTAGGGGTAGCTACCATTGACTGCGACTGGCTTGGGGGCTGTGACATCTGAGGGACGGATAGATTCGCTCCAGGTGTTCCTGTTAGAGAACCTGAGCCAAATTGGTCCAGAAGGCTTGCTGCAGTATTGTCGCCCTCCATGGCGTCTTGACCTAACCCGTTGGATCCGCTATTCGTGTCGGACCGTGCCGTCCCGTTGCCATTGACCTGGGGTTGTTGAGGCTGAGGCTGCTGGGCTTCGATGAAGCCTCCCTTGTCAACACAAACCACGAGCTTCTTTGTGTCGAACTCTACGCCGAGTGACTTCTCCAGATCGCGCACAACTGCATCTAACGGTTCCGTGCCCTCATCAGCATCCGAAACGTGCGCTGGGCGTGGCAGATCTCGCAAACGGCGCTCCGCTTTGATATATGTCCGTGATTTCTTCAAATCAGCCATCTTCTTGGCATGGGCGGCCATCATTCTGTCTATCTCAGCCTGCTCTTTTGCCATATATGCCGAGACCCGCGTCTCAAACTCCTTGAGTTGCTCGGGTTGCAGCTTGGAATAGTCTTTGACCTTGTAATTTTTGTTGGCTTCCCCATTGGTGTCTATTGGGGCAGTTCCCGAAGGGGCGTCAAGAATGTCGGCCGTGAGGGGCGCCAATTCACCCATCAAACCTAGTCCCAGATCGATCGGCTTTATCTTCTGGATTTCATGCGGAGACGCAAATATTTCCTCCATCCATTCATGATGTTGCTTGTACCGTGACAGGCTGATCTCGCGGGGCGTCATGAAGTCGAAGGAGTCCTGCGTCGCATTTTCCTCCTCTTCGAGAGACGAATCAGCGTGCATAGTACCGGGAATAGGCTGACGTGATGGCTGCTGGGTTGGCAGGCGCTGCCGTTTAGGAGGCGGTGGTTGCCCAGTGTAAGGTCGGCCCGGCTGCATTGGGTTGACATAGGGCGACGGACCCCTAGCTGCACCTTGTCCGAATTCCACCTTGGGCCAGTTTGCGCTGTCGTGGAGCATGAACTCCTTGCGCATCAACGGACCAGCGGCTTGAAGCTGAGTACGCATGGCCATCTGAGCCTGCGCTTCCCTCGATATCGGAATTTGACTTGCGGGTATCCTCACACTCGGCTCGGCCATGGTATAGTGTATAATCCACAGATTGGGGTCGTATACGCCGGGCCCGCCGGTGATGCGATACCGGTAGCGCGCGTGGGTTGCGATTGGTTCGTGTGGGTACTGGTACCCGCTCTTGTGGACGAGGACTTGGAGTTGCTGGAAGGTGTTAGTCTCCTGGAGGGCTCCTGAAGCTGGAACCACCTACATAGCCTTTCATATTCATTTCGAATGCTACTTCCGGGTCCGCCCATACCATGCCGTCGGAGGCAAAGTGGGTTCCCATGCGCGGTGACTGCCATGTCAACAGCACAGTGCCATCTGGAGGCGGGGACGGGAAGTAGGTCCAGGCGACGGCGGCGGCGTCTTTCACGATCGAAGGACCCTTGCTGAGGTACTCGAGCGCATGCGCGGGAAGAAGCGATGGCATAGTCGGATACCTGTAGTTTGACACCAAGTGGACGTGCGGAAGCTGCTGGGTTAGCTATGAATGCCGTGAAGCTGCGGTATGCTCGCGCTTACCAGATTATTGGGCACCTGCGCACTCGGGTCGGCCATGTTGTAGGCTTGATTCATGCCGTACATGGTGATTGTTGTGGGGCGACAGCGGCACCGCGGTGGGAGGTGTTGAGAGATGCGGGGTTGGCGGGTGCGGTGAATCGGAGGTGGTTGTCTTGAATCTTTCGGTCGCGTTGAAGCGCGAACACGATCAGCCAAGACTGGGGCGCAGATTTTCACGTGACACAATCCAGCGTCTAGCATCAGCGCACTCAGATGGTTATGTGTGCACAGTGAACGCGGTCTACCCAAGGGCTGAGGAGCACAAGGCAGGTCCATGGTAGGTTTCAAGCCTTTATTATAGCGCTTCTAAGAATCCCAACGTCAACTATGGGCCGCACACTGCATCCACCCGCCTTCCTAAGCACTCCCCAAGATCTCTCGCCGATTCACCTGGCATTTACTACAGGGCGCGACGAGTCTTCACCGGTTTGCCCGGTCCGATACATGCAGACTTACGGATCACTCCATCGTGCCCGTACTTGGTCATCTAGGTCGTCCCTTCCAGCGCACAGACGTACCCTCCCTCTTCACTGTGTAACACAAATCCTGAAGTGCCTCAGCTAAGAATCCACGGTCTAGCCTCGCCATTCATCCAAGAACCCTCGGGCCGCCGGATTTGCCTTTCTTCTGTACACCGCTGCTCATAAACGGGACCGCCCCAGCTCCGGCGGCGTTGTTGCCGCCACCGGGTTTCTTGTTGTTATTGTGCCTTCCGTGCTTGCCATGCTTGTCGTCGCGCTTCGTGGTCGCTTTGACTTCGGACGTGGCTCGCTTGATGAGTACGGGGTGGCTCCCGATATATTTCCCCTGCATCTCCTTGGCAGCGCGGAAGTAATCATCAGTATTCGCGAAGCTCACGAAACCGTAGCTCTTGCTCTTCGTGGTCCGCTTGTCGCGGACGACGCGTGCTTTGGACACGGAAGGATACTTAGAGAAAGCTTTGAGGAGCGAGTCATCCGTCACTTCACCTGCGAGGTTCCCAATGAACAATCGCGGGTGAAGCGGATCCCACTCGAGGAGTGAGGGATCTTCCCACGCCTTTCCTCCCCCTTCGCGAACAACGGTCTTTTGCTTGGTAGTCCCTGGCGAACCTGCCGCAGCATCGGGAGTCGCGTTCACCTCGGCGCGGGTAGTAGTATTCGCATTGCCTCCTTTTTTGCCGCTCGCATCCTCCCTGGTGTAGGCGCTATTCCACTCGGCGATCCTGGCCTCCTCTTCCGGATCATAAGTGCCAAAGCCCCGGCTCACTGGCGTGGGGGCAGCAAAAGCAGCTGCTGGTGTTGATGTGCCATAGGCTTGATAGGCATTGTAGTAAGCATCGCTGCTCGGGTAAGCGGTAGGTTGATAAGGAGCGCTCACAGTCGGCTGGGAGTACATGGTCGGGGCAGTAGAGACCTGCGCAGGAGCCTGAGCGACCACGGACCGCGGAGCGAAGCCACCAAAGGCGGCAGCGTTGCCTCCAAACCCTCCTCGCCCGCCTGCGTTATTGCGTACGGGCGGCGCCGAGTAGGACGACGGCGGGGGACGCGCAGGCAGCGAGGGATGTGGCTGAAGGTCTTTGTTGCTCATCTCGAGTTCGGTCTGGGGGTCAGTACAGGTGTCCTTCTTTTGGCGAGGTGGAGACTTAACCAGATGGCTGGTGTTGGGGTCGTTGATCGAGGTGGTGACGTCGTGACGTGTGCGGGAGTCGTGTTTGTTCACCGGGGTCGATATGAGGCGGGTATCCAAGAGCTTCGGCCGCGGGGTGAATGGGGAGAGGCTGTGCAGCGATGTCGAATAGTGGTTAATGCCGCACCTGTTCGCGCAGAGGATGCTGGCCACGGGGCGCTGACGAGGCCGCTGACTGACCGACCTCAGGCGGTGCCAAGTCTTTGCTGTAGCGTTTTGAGGCAGGTCGCGGATAAACCGCCTCGTCGGGCTTTGAACTGTGGGTTGGCGGGCCGACAGAGAGTGCAATTACCGGACTGCGCCTGCGTGAATTGTTGATGGTGCAATATGTTGGGCGGCGGCGGTGGGAGAGGGCTGGTCTTGGCAGCCTGCAGTCGTCCGCGCCCGGGCCGGAGAAAAGAGGCGGCGGTGCGGAGCCACGGCACGTGATGGCACCAGCCTTACGCCACCTGGGCATGATACGATGGGAGGGCGGGGCACGGCAAGGACGGCCGTTGGAGCAGCGAAATGCCATGTCCGCGGGAGCACGCCGGAGGTGCAGCACGGCGGGAAAGCAAAGTCAGGTAGATCATACTGGCGGCGGAGTGCTCTGCAGCTGCGCTATTGCCGCGGCCGAAGCCTTCTCCGTGGATTATCAGGTGGATTAGAAAGAACCGGTAGGGGTCAATTACGGGACGTGCTCGTCCTCATCGAGCCGCCGCGCTCTCATTGATGCAGAGCGCCCCGCCCCACGCAGACGCTACCACCACCAGACTCCAAACTCTTCCGGTCGGAAAGGCAGGAAAACTACTTATCTGCATACAACCCCCACTGCGTCAGCCCATCGTCTTAACTTCATCACCACCCTCAATTGCCTCTTCTCGTTGCGCGCCCAGGTCGCTGCAGCACTCCCCCGCCATCCGCTCCACACTGCACACACTGCTGATCCTGCTCAACGTCCCCCACCATGACTGAAGCTGTTGGCGACTTCGGCCTCATCGGCCTGGCTGTAAGTCCATCCGCACCCCTCGCCCAGCGGAAACCGAACTCGTACTCACTCGCAATGGCTAGGTCATGGGCCAGAACTTGATCCTCAATGCGTAAGCCATTACTCAACCTGCGACCTGTCTCATAAGCAGCAGAGCTAACTCGATGTAGCGCCGACCATGGATTCACAGTACGCGCCCTATCTACAGAGAGGGATACTCCGTGCAGAGTCTAACTCGAGCCGCAGGTCATAGCATTCAACCGAACGTATGCCGCCGGCAGCCCCACCAGACGCGACGTAAACTAACCCAGCTGGCAGCGTTTCCAAGGTCGACCGATTCTTGAACGATGGTACCGTCTACTCCGGCAAGAAAGCGTGAATTGAAGCTGACGCAGTGCAGAGGCCAAGGGCAAGTCCATCGTCGGCGCTCACTCTATCAAGGAGTTTGTGCAGAAGCTCAAGAAGCCGCGACGTATGATGATGCTCGTCATGGCCGGTAAGCCCGTCGACGACTTCATCGAGCTGCTGCTCAACGAGGGCGGCGTCGAGGAGGGCGACATCATCATCGACGGCGGCAACTCCCACTACCCCGACACGAACCGCCGAACGAAATATTTGGCGTCTAAGGGCATCCGCTTCGTCGGCACCGGCGTGTCCGGAGGAGAGGAGGGTGCTCGATACGGCCCTAGTATCATGCCCGGTGGCAACGAGGAGGCGTGGCCATACATCAAGGTGGGATTTCTGAGCAGTTGCAAGGAATAAACTCTAACAGGAGTATAGGACGTGCTCCAGTCCATCTCCGCCAAGTCCGATGGCGAGGCCTGTTGTCAGTGGGTCGGAGATGAGGGTGCTGGCCACTACGTCAAGATGGTCCACAACGGTATCGAATATGGTGACATGCAGCTGATTTGCGAGGTAAGAGGGACGGCCACCAACGACAGGGTATTGTAGCTTACAGTCCCCAGGCATACGACATCATGAAGCGCGGCCTTGGCATGAAGGACAAGGAGATCGGTGACGTCTTGGCCGAATGGAACAAGGGCGTCCTGGACTCCTTCCTCATTGAGATCACCCGCGACATCATGTACAAGAACGACGAAAAGGATGGTATGCCGATCGTAGAGAAGATCCTTGACTCTGCTGGCCAGAAGGGTACCGGCAAGTGGACCGCCATCAACGCCCTAGATCTCGGCATGCCCGTCACTTTGATTGGAGAGGCTGTCTTCGCGCGCTGCTTGAGTTCGCTGAAGGCCGAGCGTGGCCGCGCTGCAAAGGTCCTCGATGGACCGACCCCAAGCTTCTCAGGCGACAGGAAGCAGTTCATCGACAACCTCGAGCAGGCTCTGTATGCGTCCAAGATCATCTCATATGCTCAAGGTTTCATGCTGATCCAAAACGTACGTCGACTGTGCCAACAGCTGGAGCAGGTACTAACGAGCAGACAGGCTGCCAAGGAGTACCACTGGAAGTTGAACAAGCCCGAAATCGCGCTGATGTGGCGTGGTGGCTGCATTATCCGATCTGTCTTCCTCAAGGACATCACCAAGGCGTAAGCTTCAGACCAGCTAGCTGGAAAAGCACTTACTCACATTTGGCCAGCTACCGTGCCAACCCCGACCTCGAGAACCTCCTGTTCGACGACTTCTTCAACAAGGCCATCCACAAGGCGCAAGCTGGGTGGAGAGAGTGGGTACAGGCGTAAAAATCTGAAGTGCGGCTACTGACATTGTGCAGCGTTGTCTCCAAAGGCGCGCTCTGGGGCATTCCCACTCCTGCGTTCAGCACCGCTCTGAGCTTCTACGACGGCTACCGCGCCAAGGACCTGCCCGCCAACCTCCTGCAGGCGCAGCGCGACTACTTCGGTGCCCACACCTTCCGCGTCAAGCCAGAATACGCGAGCGCAGACTATCCCGAGGGCAAGGACATCCACGTCAACTGGACCGGAAGGGGAGGAAACGTTTCCGCCTCGACATACAACGCATAAGGGGTGGAATACCTAGGTAGCTTGAGGTGCATTGAACGGCAGCGGTTCGCTGCCCGGTATTTGCGTGCAAAAGTCTGCATATATGAATAAACAAGACTGCCCCTGTCTAGAGTAAAAGTCGAATTGTTGTCAAGCATGCTCCCCGTCTGAACTGTGAGTGAAGTGACGTTGAATCTCGCGGAGCCGCTAGTCGGCCGCTAGCGCCGTCCTTATTGTGTAGTCGCTGCCGACTCCATAAGACTCACAATTTCCACGAGACAAATTTGAAAGAAGAACGCGTCAATTTGGCAGCGCTTTGCAGTCTCGCGCTCAGAAAGTTCGTACTGACTGTGGGAATAGCTTGGCGAAACGAAGCGTCGAAACGTGATCGGCCCGGCACCGGCAGCAAGCCCCCGGAAGCTTCCCCAAGGCTTGAACTCTCCCACTGCATCCGCCCAGCGCCGCGCCGCCCTCGTCTGCGCGTTCCTTTCCACCTCCCCGTCCTCGTCCCCGTTTGGTCGCGTGCTGTGCGTGTTGCTCTTCTTCTTGTCGCTCCTTTGCCTTGCTTCTTTCTGCTTGCATGACTCCGGCGTTGGGCTTCGGGAGTCTTTGGCGAGCGTCGCGAGCTTAGGGACACGGACGAGTAGACCAGACCCTAACTGAGCCACGCTGCTGCACCGGCACACGACAGCACGCGGCTTCGAGTGACACGGCGACGGCCATCATGGCGGACGGCAAGCGCCAGAGCATCGCGGGCAAGATCGCGACGCCCAAGGTTGGCCCGAGCAAGGACGTAATTGACGGGGACTCTATGCTGTACAAGGCCGTTGGCGCGCGGTACGTCTCTCCTTGCTGGCGCGCTCTCTCTCCATCGGCCTTGCGCCGCGGCAGAAGATATTCTAGATGGATTTCAGACTGACGAGCGGCAGCATCAAAATCACTTGTGCCCCCCACAACAATGTGCTCGAAGGCACCCTCTTTACCACCTGCAACATCACCAACGCCATTGCCATCAACACTGCGCCCGCCCCGCCGAACCCCTCCGCGCCCCTCTCCAGCCAGCCCGGCGACTACCACATCATCCCCTTCGCACACATACTCAGCTTCGAGCTGATCGGCCCCGGCGAGCGCGTCCCCGAGTCAGGACCCGGCTTCGATGGCGCGCTGCCGAGCATCTCCAAGGTAGACTTGGATGCGATAAAGGCCAGGGAGGAGCAGACGATACGGGAGATGAAGAAGAAGGACGCGCAGAAGGGCAAGGGAGTCACCAAGGAGGCCCAGGAGATCTTTGATGCTATCTCAAGGACGTGAGTGCTACCCTTCGTTCTGCTTTTGGTTTGGGAGCTGACCGTAGACTGTGTAGTCTTCCAACCCGGTGGGCCGACACCCAGATCGTCGTTAATGACGCCGTTCTCATATCGCCACCGTACACCCTTGAAAGCGCCAAAGCTAGTGCTGGTAGAGAGCAGAGCTTAGCTCAGGTCCGCAAGATCATGGAGAACTACCACCTGCGCAAGAAGGCGGTTGGGACGACGCGTGCGCCCGTCGCTACGCCGATTGCCCCGCGGAAGGGGGGATGAGTCTGCGCTCCCAAGATGTGAATAGTTCAAGGGAGAAGAGCTTGTGGGGAGGATAATGTGATATTTGAGCAATCTTCTCTAGTTGGATTGGCAGTAGGCGAAAGCTCTATTGCCAATGGCAGACTGGGACTGAGCGGAAGGACGAGTGGTGGTTATGTGGTTGATTATACGAGGCTGGGACATAGTATACGGAACTGTATGTATGAACCGGCAGACCTTCTGTACTAAACGTAGGCGGAATAGGTCCAATTTAATTATCTGAAGCACGGAGGCCTTCCTCATCCTCGTCCTGGGCCACATTAGCATTATTCCTCGTTCTAGGGTACCGCCGAACGAATAGAGTGACCAATGCTGCGACAGAAGTACCACTCTCAAATCCTACCCCCAGCGCCATCCGATCCGCGCGATTAAAATCATCACTTCGACCAGCGTCCCGTTCAGATGGTCTTGTCTGGACATCCTCGGAAACTGTAGTCTGAGAGGGAGCCACTGGCTTTAATAAGGTGCTTGCACTTTTGCTATCTGTGCTCGCCGTCGAGGAAGTGCTCGTGAGCTGATCCACTGGAGGGACGTTAGTTAAGAGAATAGGGGAGACGTCTGGGTTCTTACCAGCAAGGGAGCAACCATATTTGAATAGGGTACTTATGGGACAATGTAGAAGCAGTGCTCGGAATGGTGACCTCGGCCCCCATCGTGGCCGTAACGGTGGCTGGTAGAGCTGTAACCGCGCCCGTGAATTTGCTCAGCTAACGTCTGAGTAGTTTGCACCGTGGTTTCCTCTGTAGTTTGCTGCGTCTCCGTCGGCGTAGCGTCCGTACAGTACGCAGCGGCGTGCAGGGCTCGTGGGGCTCGAGACGTCCAGTCCACCCGTTGTTGGTGCATCTCGAAACCACGCAGCTGCAAAGGAATGAGAGGGCTGTGGAACTGTAGGTCTGATTTGCAGTAGCAGTCGTCGTAGGTAGAGTGGTCATCGCTGTAGTAGAGGCCATCATCTAGTTGTGATCGTAGCTCACGGAGCATGCACATTTGCGCTGTGGGGCATACGCTGACGAATGATAGATGGTCACTGTGCTAGTTGGCTGCTGTGAGGGCTTGAGACTGGTCTGAACTGAGTCGGTTCTACCCGGCGATGAGGGGACGGCATAGAGCCGCCTTTCTTTAGAGGTTACTGGAATGGCCGATTCTCAAAGCCCCATAAAATACAGGTGTACTAACGCTCAACTCAGACTTTAAATAGACCTGTTCACTCCCTCCAGCACCTTCCCAAACATACTTCTCAAAATCGCAAGTTACAGATCCTACCCAGGACCAAACCCCGTTACCACGGCCCCCGTCTTCGGCGACAACCGCTCCTCCGACATCTCCGGAAACGGCGATGCCAGCGGCGGGCTCAATACGCGCGTAGCCTCCTCGTGGTTCTCCTGCGGCGACACCTCGTCCGGCTTGTACCACTTCAGGCGGTCGAGCGTCTGCGAGAGCACGGCGAAGTCGCTGCTTGTGCGGACCCACTGGCGCCGGTTGATGAGCTTGAAGATGATGAAGAGGGAGAGGAGGATTATGGGCTGGACATAGATATGTTAGGTCGCGACCGAGGAGGGGGTATCGGCGGATATGGGATGAAAGGGTGTGGGGAATGAGGGAAGAAAACGGACTTACAGCAGCGTAGCCAATGGCGACTTTCGAAAACGTGACGGGCGTGTCCCACCAAGTTGCGCTGCAGAAGGCGAGGACGACGAGGCAGCCTGCGACTGCGGTGATGGCTGGGAGTGGTTGCGCGAAGCTGAGAAGGGTGAAGGGCTTGTAGGTCTTTACGCCGCGCTTGAATTGCTCGTAGTCGTCGGCGAGGTGTTCGTCGCATTTCTTTAGCCTGCATAGTGTTAGCAGGAGTATTTGGCAACCGGTTTGGGGGAGATTTGACGAACCAGAGATAGTATCGGAGGTATGCGAGGGAGAGGGCTGCCCAGCAGATGAGGCAGCTTACGCTTGACGATATGCGAATGATTGTAATAAGCTAACAGCAAGCAAGTTAGCGGAGTCGAGTAACCTTAGGAAGAGGGTGGCTCACATATTGCACGGCATAGCCCTTCCTCAAGTTCAGAAACGGCAGCCAGATGAACGCCAAAGCCGAGAAGATCAGAGCACGAGCCGGGACACCCGTCTGCGGCACAACGAGCGAGAAGCTGTGCAGATGCCTTCCCAGCCACGACGTCGTAGGCACGTCCAATGCAAGGCCATACAGCGTTCGGGATGCGACGTAGAGAGAGGTGTTGCTCGCAGAGAGCACGCTAAAAATGGTGGCGCCATTGAGGAAACCTGCGAGGCCCTTCTTCCCCCAGTCCCAGAGCGCGACGACGGCCGCACTATCCGAAGCCGGGTTTACGGGCTCATTAGTGTTTGTGGCGCTGTCGCCTATGCCGCCGTAGATAGGAGGGAGGTGATCCGACGTGTAGGAAATGTTCAAACACTGGCCGAGCATGCAAAGGAAGTACAGGGCCAAGGTAAGGTAGGCTATGATTTGGGATGGGAAACGGAGCGACTTTGAGGAGCGCGCTTCGAACGCTGTGACGGCTACTGTTTCTATGCCTAGGAAGCCGAAGGCTACTATGGGGATGACGTAGCTGTTGGGGTTGTCTTATTAGATGCGAGATGAAGTAGTATATATGAGGCTTAACGTACCATAAAGCGCGGTACTCGTTGCTTATGAATTGCGGGTTGTATACGAATCCGTCTTGGATCGCTGGACCGATTAGTATGTACATGGATCCTTCACGACACTTGAAAAGCTTACGTCCATCTTTAGACCAGTAACCCACTACAAGTTTGATTAGCTTCTTCTGAATTTGGCAGGAGAGAAAATAGACATGACTTACTGTCTGCCGCCATCACATACAAGACGATAGTTGTCCCAATGACGAGCGCTATCTTGAGGCATCCACCAACAGCCTCGATCCAGCCAAAGGTACCAACGCCGACAAGATTGATGCCTACCATGATGCCTGGCGTGACAAAGTAGAATATGATGATCTGCCATACCCGGGTAAGGCCCCAATACACGGCGAGATTTGCGGCTGTGAGGTTCTGCGCGGCAAAGATGGAGGAGTATGTGAACCTGCCACAGCTTAGGTAACAGCTCTTCAAGATAGCAGAACGGTTCTTACCAGTAGGCAATGCCGATGACCCATCCCAAGTCCTCATCGATGAAAGCGCGGACATATTCGACGATGGCATTTGGCGCGGGGAAAAGCTGCGTGAGTTCGCTCAACCCTTCGGAAACACAGATTGCAATGACGCCTGATCAAGGGGCTAGGTCAGTATGTGATAGATAGACCGGGGTTCAGTTGGCAATGAGAAAACGCCTGCTTACCCATAATGACAAGGGAAAGAAGGGCGCCTCCTGGGCCAGCGATTTCGATGGCAGAGCCTCCATTGCTGAAAATGCCTGCCCCTATCACAGCAGTGATGACAACGAACTATAAAAGACGGCCACAGAGATCAGTACATGTCAAGGGTTGTATGGATAGCCGTTGGGAGGACATGGAAGGGGAGTTGCTTGCGTACTAGGATCTGCCAACCGCGAAGATTCTGCCTATTCCCGTTAGCGCTCGCGTCACTACCCAGCCAACCGTTCGGCAGATCAGCACTCACTTGAGGTCTCGATGGCGTCGCTCCGTCATGTTTCAAACCCGAATTCGACCGCACTCAAACAGATCCAATGTCAGTCAGACGGGACGTTGCATCAGGCACACGCGATCCGCGGCGCAGCCCGGTCATTTATTCGACACCGGGCTGCCCTGAAAGAAGGCAACTGAACGAGGCTGAGGTACCCTCGGCTGCGGTGCCAATGTCTGGTCTCGCTTGGGGTGTGGGAGGCCTTCCCAATGGGGGCCTCTGGTGCTCCAGCTTTGTGCGTCGTAGACGCTGCGGCGGCGGCGGGCGATGTAGCGAGGCAGATAAGTAGGCTGGGCCGAGCTGCTCGCGGCATCTGAGAACGCCCTTGCATACGACATATCGCGCGATGGTTCTCAACGTTATCGAGCCGGCGCACTCGCGCTACATCCCGCTCGCGGAGCTTCTGGAGGACTTTCTGAAGGAGAAATTTGGCAAAGACTACCCGGATTACGACTACAATATCGAGGTACGCTTTGGCAATGAAGATGGTTCGCAACGAGGTTGGCTGATTTAATGGAGCAGCACGTCTGCGATCGGTGGACATTTGAAGCTCCGGAAAAGGTAGACGAAGTACGCCGCGTATCCCAACTCTACTAATGTAGCATCATGCTAACTCAGAGCAGGAAGAGATACTGTAGGATTACTGTCTTGACAGCGTGGCAGCCAATGCTTATTCATTCCAGGCGGTTAATCGACGAAATCGAATCGAAGCAGAAGAAAGATTAGTAGGCAGGGCGATCGGTGGATGCGGATGCGGCTCTGGAGGATTACCGGTCAAAGCGGGCTTGTACGGCTGTCTTATCAAATACCATTTGCTCATTTCTTCAAAGAAGGCTGTGCGGCTGAGGGTGTGCGCCTGCATATGTGCCACGGAACGTCCAAGGTTGGCTGTGCTGCTGGCTGCGTGACCTCCGCGAGTGGGGACACCAAGGCAGCTCGGAAATCCAGCCTTGTAGGCTTCATTCCCGACCGCAGCACTCTGACATTATTTTCCTGCCTGTGGCATCGACCGATGCGGATCTCAGATAAAGGTGACCGCGTGGGTTGCATGTGAAGCGCGAATTTCGTTATCTCGCTACGTACTGTACGAACAGCGCATGACCGATATGCCGAATCAAAGCACTCAGCCTCGCGAATGGCCTTGGACGTATCCAAAGTCGAGAGCCCTGTTGAAGGATGGAAGTGATGCGGTAAATATCCGGATAACTGATGTCTCAGAAGGTAATATCAATTAGCAGAGAAGGCATTGCTGGGGACGGGTGCTAATGTAGCGCAGGCCAATACCGATCCACGCCATGTACTTCATCCAAAGAAGCGCAAACCGCACTCGCTGCCAAGCCACATGACAAGACCAGAATACGCATCATGTATGTCTCTCGAAGCCTTGGAAATATTTTTGCTAAAGGATTCGGAAAGATCGATATATTCAAGAAGAACAGTGGCCCCATTGGACATCACCACAGATCTGCTAGAGCAGATCTTCGACAGATACGCCGTGCATCAAGACTTTGCAAACGTGGTGTCCTCCTTTGGACAGGATCCAAACATAGCGGAGGGAAGCAGTAACAATGCGACCATATACACCAAACAATCCGGAGACTCCCACCTTTCCTACCAAATACGCTACGTCGAGGAAAACCAACGGGGCGGCAACAATCCCTGGTCACTTCGCCATACGGGCATATACCATCACCACTCCCCAAACGGAGGCCCGGATGTCTTCATCCTCCTCCATCCAGTTCGCGAGCCCGGCCTCGAGACCGTGATATCCGCACTCGACGGAGATGCCACGACACGGAGAGACCTCTGCAGCAATCCCTTCCTCCTGCACACCTGGCTCTTCGCCTGCTACTTCGACAAGTGGCGCTGGTACTTCCGCTACCTGGGCGAGCGCTTCGCCGAAGAAAACAACCCCGCCATGGTCGTAAAGCCGCAGCACGCCGAACCAGTCTCCAGCTTCCTCCGCGTCCAGCGGCTACGCAACACGAACGACTTCGTCCTCTTCTCGCGCGCCTGCTGCGCCGGCAACCTCGATCTACTTACGCGCCTTTCGCAAACGCAGATCGAGTTGCTCAAAAGCCTAGATGAGCTCGACGCCCACAAGTCGAAGATGCAGGGGTACATCGAGAGCGCGGATGTGTTGAAGGGGCGGGTGCAGAACCTGATCGATCTCGTCGGCTACACCTTGACGCTGCACAACCAGCTCGAAGCCGCGAAGATCGATACCGAGCTACGGGACCTAACCGAGGGACTCAAGCTGCTCACCGAAGACACGGTTGATGACAGCGCCACCGTTAAAATCATAACCTTCGTGTCTGCTGTATATCTGCCTGGCAGCTTCATCGCAGTACGTTGACGATTTCCCCTTCTAAGCATCGCCAGTTAACGCCCCTCGCAGACACTCTTCGGAATGAACTTCTTCCTGTTCAACCAGGACTCCAAGCGGCTAGAGATCTCGCCGGATTTCTGGATCTTCATCGTGTCCTGGATTCCATTGATCCTGGTTACCGCTGCGATATACGTTCTCATTTTGTATATGGATGCGAAGCTGAAGCGGAAGGCGTTCCGGTGGCCGTGGCAGACGAGGCCGAGAAGAAGGGTGTCCACGATTTCACTCTCTGAGAAGGTTGGGTAGTTTTATTACTGCTTAATTCCGATCACGAAGGAACGGAAAAGGACGGGACTAATACAAAGATACGATAAACGCCAGATCGGGTATCACATTGTTATATACGCATTAGCCTTCCGCAACGCCTTGATGAATGAATAGGCTATGCCCAGAGCGCGCCGTCATAGTTACCGTGGTTCAGCCACCACTGGAATCATGATGATCTTCCCATCCGTCGTGCATAGGACGATCATCAAATCATCCGTTCCCGGTACTGGAACCACCTTCATTTGTGCTCCCTTGTCCACGACGCCCTTTAGTTCGGCGACTGGGTCTTTCCCGGCTGGCTCGATGACATGCTCGCTTCCGCCAGCAATGCGACGTTCCCATATTCGCGTGTGTCTGAGGCCTTTCTCGGTAACGAGGAGTGAATGATCGCCGTAAATGCATGCAGCAACAGTGTTTCGAATTGTGCTCATGTTCTTTGGCAGCGTATGAATGACGCCGCGTTGCGTGCTACGGATCTGAGCCGGGAAGAAAGCGTCTCCTTGGGCTAGAATGACGCAACCGAGATAGGTGTTGTAGGGAATGATGGTAGCGGTAGGGCTGCCTTGTTGCTTCTAGGAGCATGTCAGCGCACTCTTCTTGGTCTGGGTCTATTGACGTACAGATTGATAGCTTCCTTCTGAGTCAGCTGGAAGTACTATCTTCTTCTCGAACTCTCCGATGCGGAAAACTGATAAGCAGTCATCCGGGCGGCCAAATTGCCATGCGTACAACAGCGTCCCATCGTCATTGAATGCGGCGTGTGTAAAGGAATGATCGTTCTTCGCTCGAACTATTTCACGGAAATACGGATCTTTCATCAGCTCTCCTCTGAAAAAGCGTTAGCTGATAGCGCGCTGTCTATTGGTTTCGAAGTGACTTACTCCACGACCGTGTATATTATAGACTTGCTGGACACGAAGGCAAGAGAACCATTCCTGGAGACGGCAATGGTGATAAGGGACGCCAACCCGTCAAGCTCGGATCCGGTCCAGACCTGTGCAGACATCCGATTTGTAATGTATACCTGACTGTGGTCAGCTAGTATGTAGCGAGTGAATTAAAATTACTTACCATTTTCGCGCCGCGCGTTGCTGTGCCCCAAGCGACTAGATAGTCTCCTGCCAAGACCACCTTTGCCCAAGCTGCACCGTTGGGCAACACTATCGGATTCGCTAACACTCCCCACCGACCATCATGCTGTTCATGTCTATCCGCTAATAACAGGTCGTATAAATGTATCTCCAACTGAGACTTCTTGATCTCCGTCAGATAGGCGACGCGCCGTCCAGAGGAGCAGAGGGAGACACAAACGATCTTTCGCTCTGATAAGTGCTTGGGAATGATTACGACGGGGGCGTGGATCTTGCGGAGTTTGTCTTGATGTATTAGCACACCATGACAGTCTTTTCGTGACGCTATAGAGGTAGGCCGACCAGACTCGAGTGTTTGCGCAGTACTCGGCGTACTAAGAGAGTTTTCTCGCTCATGACTGATGCCCAGACCGTTTACAGATCCACGTAACGGCGGACTGAAGCTCTGGGGATCGGCAACGCTGTCTTGCCGGCGTGATGTAGGTGATTGTATGTTCTCTGGTAACTTCGGTTGCGATTCTGACGCGGAAGCAATCGTCATGGGATCCACGGATTCGGCTTGCGACAGGCTACGTGAGCCTTGGCCTGGGGCTATACGGTAGCTTAGGAGAGTCTCTTCCTCTATTGTGTTGATCCGCTTGATGGACGGTATTGAGACTGGAACGGGCGGTGCTGGGGAGGGAGGTATCTCTGGTGAAGGCGGTGGAGATGGGCGCTGGGAAGGGCGCCTCTCCAACGGGCAGTTTGGCGGATAACCACCTGGAGCCCTAGCGGTACTGACATGGCTTGCGACATGTTGCATCTTGATCAATAACTCATTCGCTTTCGGTCTTCGGGATCCGTCAACGTCAAGAACATCCAGAATGGTCTCGACGCAGCAGTTGATAGCATCTTTGGGGAATGTATACCTCTCCGGAAGCGTGCGAAGCCAATCGATAATCCAAGGTCGCACACGATAAGACATCTCAGTCTGATCCGCTTCCAACGTCCCGTGGGAGTACTTTTCGTAGAAGTAGTCGTTGCGGTATCGCCCTTTGCGCGCTCTGCGGAATTCTTTGACGAGTTCTGCTTGGCCCAACGAGAAGGCAAGGACTTCGGAGAATATGCACCCAAAGGACCAGATGTCTCCTCTTCGCCCAGCCCGCCCTTCTCTAGCATTGTTTCTCCTCTCGTGCAATTTATTGTCGGTGTTTTCGACCTCTGGAGGCTGGTATGCACCAGGGTCTCTTCGTGGCGGCGTGTTGATGGTGAGAGTCTGATAGTAATCTCGAACTGACACCAAGTTTGATGAGTCCGACTCGTCATCTTCCTTGAAGGCAGAAATACCGAAGTCGGTAAGCACCCACTTGCCGACCGTTGATGGTCCATCGTCATTGTCGATTAGAACATTGTTCGGCTTGAGATCCATATGCGCGAATCGAATCCTATTTTGGTGCGTCCCGTGCGTGGTGATGCCTTTGTGGAGCCACTCCAGGGCGTGAGCAAGATGATGCATCTGCATGCAAATATCATTGATCATTGCTCCTTGCTCGATGCGTGGAAACCGGGGGTTGAATTTGTAGATTCTGGTACCCTTAAAATCATACCCTTCGCGTAGGAAGATATCGAGATCAAGATGTTCCGCCCAAGGGAGGAGGATGAAGTGCTCGCCCTTGTGGTGCAATATAGCGAGATGGAGGCGGATGTTGTGGTGTGAGGTAATACTCTCCTTGAGAACCTGTAGGTTGTCAAGTTCCCGTCTGGCATCGTTACGAGCAAAGCCTCGCTGAGGATGGAACCTTTTGCAGGCAACATATTTGACCTTGAAGCGTCAGCCTATGGCCCTAGGTTCACTGCAAGGATCGTTCTTACTTCTGAATTGACCTGTGAATAGGTCCCGTCTCTATCACGAGTCCGAAAGTAAAATGGCGATATTCCGACTCGATCTACTCTCCCGTACGCACCATCCATGTGGTCTTCCGAGACAACTTCAAATGGAAGCCGACGGTCATCCTCAATCTGCTTGACTGCAGCTGTTTCGTAAAGAACTTCCTGCAGACTGGTAAGCGGGGAGACGACACCAAAGGAGGAGAAGGTCCGTACAGGAATGAACAGGTATTGCTCGTGGCGAAACCTTTGTCGGAGAGCAAAATCACCAAAGTCCGGAATATCGTCGTCCTCCAAAGGCAGGCAGCTATCGGAGCATAGCACTTCTCCATTTCGGCCGAAGAAGTGAAGTCGGAAGTCGTTTAAGAACTCGTGTGCATCGATAAAGACCAGAATTGATAAGAATCTCAGCAGCTGGCTTCGAATGACTTCGATTTCTGTCTCCGTCGGAGTGGCGGGATGGAGCGCGCCCGAAATGGTTGCTTTGCAGTTGATTCCAGACCAGGCATACTGGACGTCCTGATAGCGGATATACGCGTCGGCGATCTTACGCGAATTGACGATGTGGCGGGCCAGGTAATCTTTGATCTCTTTTCTTCGAGCCTCAGCCGTTGCAGTCGGCGGAGGCATACCGGGTCATCGTAGATTGACAAGGAGCTTGTCGGCTTGAGGGAGGTCGTTGAAGGGATCGTTGGTTGACTAGGCTTCCTTGGTAGGCTGAGCTGAAAGTCGCTGCATCTGAGGTTACGCAGGACACGGCTGAGAGCCTCAAGGGGCTGAGGGCGCAGTCCTCTGAAGCGCGCGCCTTGTGCACTCTGCTATTAGCGTGCCATTTCTTTTATCGCTTGGCTCAATAAAAGCATGCAGCCAGACACGAATGGTGTGGCCCGTAGTTGGGAGCCTGGAAGAAGTGAGGCAGACATCTCGCCAACGGTTCCGCGGGGTGTGTTGGCTGGGCTGCATGGTGGCGTTCGACTGCGCCACGCCTTGTACAGCCGAGCAGCGAAAGCGGCGTTCTCATAAAGAGAATCGAGTGATTGTGACTTTGGAAGGCTGGACGGTTATTGAGGGACGTTAGGTTATGCGGAACGAGGGCTGAGACGAGTCATATTGAGATTATGTCAGCAGGACTCCTGATTCAAGAAAGAGCCATCAAAGATCACCGCTGTACGATTAATATTCAGAGAGATTGCCTTATTTCGAAATAAATTATTCTATTGTGCCTTTCTATCAGGCTATGAGGCAGGGGTATCGTGCTAGCAATGCTCATGACAGAGCCCAACAAAGGAAGACAAACTGCTGGCGGTCTCATGCTTTCAACACGAGTTAACCTCCAGCTCAAGCTTTTGTATCCTGCATCAAGGTGTGAGATCCTGACTATACACTCAGAATACAAACCTCCGGTCACCCATCAGTCCCCAGAGCTCCTTCACAACACCTTCCTGCTCGGCACGCTTCGCGCCTCGAACAGCAAAATAGAGGCGGCCCTCCAACGTTGGATTCCAATCACCTGGATTTGCGCTCGCGACTACGCCGCCCGCTTCCTCCAGAATAATCCAGCCCGCGCAGACGTCCCAAATCCACACTCCGCCTTCCCAAAACACATCCAGCCAGCCAGCCGCGACGTAGCAGAAGTCGAGGGCTGCAGAGCCGTTAGAGCGGATCGAGTGCACCATTGCGCCACCTGAGGACTTGGAGGTCATCAGCGTCTGCGCGATGGACGTTCGGAGATCCCAATTCGAGCCCTGGCGCTGGGAACCCCATTCGATGGCAACGAGGCAGTCGTTCAGTGAGGCAAGAGGTGCCGGGATGGGTCGGAGCGGAAGGCGCTTGGTCGAGCCGTTAGCGGTGGTGAGGTAGGCACCACGATTTTTGATCGCGGTGAACAAATCGCCTCGGAACGGATTATAAACAACGCCGATAATGGGCTTCTTCTCGACTGTCAATGCGAGTGACACGGCGGTATTCGGGAAGCCATGAATGAAGTTGAGGGTACCGTCGATGGGATCGCAGACGAAAGTTGGCTCATCTCCCAATTTCTGGCCGTCCTTGAGTGTCTCCTCGCCAAGAAAGGCGAATCGCGGGTAGGCTGACAAGAGACGTGATTTGACCATATCCTCGACAGCTTTGTCGGTTTCTGTGACGCGGTCGCTGCTATTCTTCTTGGTGTCGGATGTATCGACAGATGGATCGGCATCAACCATCATCTTCCCGGCGGTCTGGGCAATTGCGACGAGTTTGTCTTGAATGATAGGTAGCATGGACTCAGTCATAGAATACTTGGCGAGAGTGAAGCTTAGATCCAAGGGCGATGAGCACTCGGTTGTGGGGGCTGTAGAGACATCTGAATTCTCTGCGCTGCTGTCTAAGGAATCGGCTAAGCTGAGGACATCGAGGCGAGACTCGATGAGTTGCTCCATGTGTGGCGATTCGTCGGTTTGGCCCCGAACTCGAGATATGTCGGGGGACAAGGTTGAAGATTCGCCGCTTGCGATGTTTGAGGATAAGATAGCCGAAGTTGTGTAGTTACGAGGGAGAAATGGGTGCTTTGTCGACGCCTTGGACCGGTCTGCGCAAGACTATTTATACGTGGTAATCTAGGGTTAGACCTGTGCGCGGACACGCACGGCGGACGTTGTGGAAGAACAACGGTGAGCGACGTGAATGGTAAGCTACGTGAAAGTGGAAGGATAATGGTGTGCGACGTTAACGAACGAGCCGGAAGCACTCGTCTTATTCGTAGCTCGCCAAGGCGGTGTGGTGAACGTGCTTGCACAATGTCAACTTGTCACCCGGAATCTTGTCGAATAGGAAGCCGCGGGTGGCTTTATCTCGAGCAGAGGTCCTGACGAAACTCCCCATGGCGGTCATATCCTGATAAAGCGGCCGTTTGAGGGTATACGCTAGAGGCCGGATCGTGGACGCCCCCTCACCGGCACGTCGCACTCGTGAAAGCGGGTCCTCTGGGCTCCCTGCAGGCGTTCCCAACACGTCTAGAGCACTGATAAGCAAGGGTTGCCCTTGTCATACGAAGAATTCTACAATGCTACAATGCTCTGCTGTAATACTGGAGCTTGTTTCGAAAATCCATTTGAGTCGCAGCGACCTGGAGCCACGCAGTCCGGTCGTGTATTTGCGCTTATCCGGCTTCATGTGAAAGACTCTTCTGGGGTAGTCCAAAGGAGAGTTAGCCTTTAGTGCGAGAGCGGGGAGGACTGGAAGATACGGTCTGGAAAGCGCCGGATTCTTGCGGCTCTTGAGCTATGCATGCAAGTCTGGGGTAGACCACCGCTAACGGCTGAGCTGCCCTATAACTCGGAAACATCCATGCATGAGGTACCCATCAAGTACCTTGATAGCTCCACATGCGAGCTCTGTTATGGCCAATTGCCTGCTAGAGCACGCCTTTGGTGTTGATTCGTTTTCGTTTGACCGATTCTTTCCGAGATACCTCGGACATACAACCCTCCGCAATCGGGAGGCAAGGTATGCTGCAGCTTGATATGGAGAAGAAGGACTAGCTTACTGCAGTCTTAAATCCAGCTTCTGAAGATATACTCGACGACTTCTATGCAGTTTCTCGTCTTACGCCGAGCCGGGGTAACGGACGTGCGGGTGTCGACGTTCCGTATAGAGTTGAGGGACGACCGCACATTCAACGGTATTGCGATGTCACAAGAAATAACTTCTGGACACTTAAAGCATTTAGCGAGATGTCGGAGAGGAAGACGGGATCGCAAATGGGATAACCCTTCAGGTCAGTACGGGATTGAGGTTTGGCGATTACTAAGCGGCCTTCGGCTAAATTCCGGACCGTCACTGCGCCAATGACTCGACAGACAACCTTCGCCGCAACGCGACACTCTACATCATAGGAAGCATTCTGTCAGCAATATACCAGAACAAAAAAGCTGAGGAGCTGATCTAAGGTATAGTCCACGTCTGGAGAACCCAACGCTCTGGTGACCTCTGGTGGCATGATTGCCGGTCCCCCATCCGCCTTCAAAGGCTTAATACAGAGTATACTACGACGCGCGACGAGTCTGACCTAGGTATAACTAAGGGAGAAACTCAAATGGTCACTCCTTAGACATTCCAGCCAACGGCGAAAGGTCGACTCCTGGTTTCCTTTATGTATCACCCAACTAACGTTGAAGCATCTAAACTCCAGCATGTAGGCGTCTCCACCCTTTTCTATCCCTCCTATTAATAATCTAGACAGGAAACCCAAGAAACCCAAGCCTAAAACCCATTCTACACAACAGAAGAATGCGCGAGCCCTCCGACGCGCCCTCTGGTCAATCACACCTGAAAGCTGTCACCCGCAGAAACAATCCCCACTCTTCTCCACCCTTCCACCAGAAATCCGCTTCCTGATCTTCGAATACGCCGTCACACAAACATCCGACTACACATTCACCCTAGAGAAAACCTCACGCCACTACCGCCCCGGCCACGAGCACCCCACCCGCATCTCCACCTCCCTGCTCCTCACCTGCCGCCTGATCTACAGCGAGACGCGCGCCATCCCTCTCCTCAGCACCACGCACCACCTGTTCGGCGACGACTGGAACCCCGTCGGCTGGCCGCAGTACCTGTTCCACCTCTCCAGCCAGCAGGGGCAGAACCTGTACCACCTGCACGCAACGACGAGCTGGGACTCTATGTTCGACTTCTCGCGCCTGCTGCTGCCACATCTGCACTGGCGCAAACTCACCTGGACGCTGCGCGTGCCGACGTGGCAGAAACCCAACGATCAGGATTACTGGAGCCTCGTGGTCGATGACCTGAATCTTAAATGTCCCCTTTCCGTAGGGTTCCTCCCGAGCTCGTGTCGCGAGGTCAATGTGGAGATTGAATTGCGTGCGGATTACGATGAGCCGATTGGCATGTTACGCGAACGAGCGGCGCAGTACCGCAGCTCCGAGGCGCAGAAGAGAGATGGATTGAGGTTGCCGTTTGACGAGGAGTACTCGATCGAGTATACATGGGATGCCATGGATTTCAGTGAGAGGTCTGATACGGGGCACTATGTTGCGCGCACCTACCATGTTATTCGACTCTGTTGGCGGGAGAGGGTTCCGGAGAGGGAGTACATGCACTACGATCATGTCGACTGTCTCCGAAGCAAAATTTTCAAACCGGTTATAGAAAGGCGTGCAAAGGACGGTGAAGAAGCAGAGTTAGATTAGATGGGGATATAAATAATCTCGTCCACCGTCTCCGAAACTATATTATCAAACGGGTTATAGAACGACGTACAAAGGAAGGTGAAGCGGAAGATTTAGGTTAGATACGAAGAAGACGAACACAGAGGTAAAACGCGATACAAATTCCTATTTTGTATATGCAGTAACACCCTCTAAGCTTCGGCATACAACAGAGGAGGAGCAAGCTTAAACAGAAACGATCTGGCCTAGAGACCTCTTAACACCGGATCCAGAACAGCCCCAATACAGAAACCGGGTATCATGCCCACGTCCCATTCCCATGCCATTTGCGCCCTCCACTAAATGCCGAGACGGAAAAAAACCCCGCCCGAATGCCGAAAAATGCAAACCCATTCGCGCCCTCCAATGCGAAACAAAGCCTCCATGCAACATCCAGCAAAGAGCAAGGTAGGTTCAAATCTGCACCAACTTCAAGACATCATCCAATGAGCCGTCCAAATCCTCGACGTCCTTCACACTGCCACCCTGCCACGTCAACTCCTCGTCCAGCACCATTGGATCGCCTAGATCCACGTTCCATCCATTCGACACTCCATTCGTCGATGCGCCATTGATACCATTAGGCAGCCCATTCGGCAAGTTCTTAATCCTGCCAGAATTGTACATCTCCTCCATGCCCGGCGTGTCCAGGAAGCGGCTATTGGTAATAGCCCCCGCTATCAGTGGCACCTGGCCTAAGTAGCTGTCCCCAAGTTCCAGCGCCAGTCTCAGATCCTCCATACACATCAGCCTCCTCTTCCTCCTCTCCTCATGCTCAACGGGCAATTCGCCGCCCGGCACACGCTGCAATTCTCCCCTCCCCACCATGCTCTCCTCTTTCTCTATTTTCTTCTTGAACTCGGCCGTCTTGACAAACCCTGGGCCGTTCGAGCGGACTTGCTGGAGGAAGTTCGTAAGTGCTTCCTTGATGTAGGTTTCCGTCGCGATGTTCATGTATTCGGCGCAGTCGGGCGTGTGGCCCTGCGGGAGGCCGAACTCGTAGCATATCGGGAGGAGGCGGTGCGAGATTGTGGTTGCGGTAGGGAATTCGTGGGTTTCAGTGAAGAGGGAGGAGGTGTAGCGCTTGCGAATTTCGAGGTCCCAGTCTATCCACATTTGTTAGCACTGTCGCCGCGCTGATTGCGACCTGAGAATAGAAAAGGAGTAGATGAGTATACGCACTTGTCTTTTGATACCCGCCCGCCGCACTCGCCGGTCCCGCCTCTGGCAACTTGACTCTCCTCGCCTCGTGGTATTCCGCCATCACGCTTCCCACGCCGTCTAGGCCAGGGTCTGTTCCCACCCCACCTTGCTGTATAGTCTTCAGCCTTTTCCTCTCCCTACGGCTCAACTGCATAACCTCGTGCTTCAACCTCTTCTCGCTCTCATCCCCTGTCCCCTTCGCGACCCCGCTGCTCGGCTTATCCGAGCTGCTCACCCAACTTGCAATCCCCGCCTCCGGCGCATCCCTCCATAAATTCGCGTATATCCCCATCATGAAGGCATTGTGCGAATGTTCGAGCGCAGGAGTTGTGAGTATCCTATCCAATCTTTGCGACAGTTCGTCTTGGTTGAGGTTCCCTAGCAGGAACGAGGATAGCGAGTTCTTGTACGTCGTCCAGTCTGCATCGCTGATCGCGGATTTGACGGCGCTGTATAAGGGCTCGACGTCGACGCGGGGGGCGCGGGGGACGGTGGGTTTCTTGGATTCGGTCTTGACTATGTCGGGGATACCGGGGAGGGTTTTGGAGGCGAGGACGGGCGTGGTGGAGACATTCATGTCATTGGGGCGTATTGTGCCTGCCATGATGGCAGCCGGAGGTGGTTTCGCGTGATGCGATCAATCGCGGAGGTGTAGCAGGCGGCGCGTGCTGTGGTTGAGGCCGCGGACTGAATGCGCGTGGCGCAGGGCGTCCGCGCAGCTACACGTTTGCAGAGAAATTCCAACGAGCTTTTGTGGGGTTCAAACTGGTCGCAGAGCTTATGCGAGATGGTATCCGATGGAAAATCGACGCATTAGGCTTTGGGCGGGGAGCGCGGCGATTGAAAGCGCCGTGGTGGAGGAAGCGTGAGGTTGGATTAAGGTCGGAGGTTGCCGAGTTCGCCAGCGGGAATGATCAGATCTGGGCCCCAAGCACGAGTGGTCCACCGCAATCCAAACAGCACAGTAACCAAATGTTACGGCCCGAATATAATATATCACCCAATACGATCGAGCATATCAATAGCAGAAGCTCGGCCAACGGGTATCCTGTACGCCATAGATTCATATTTCTACATGTTGCGCCAGCTAATGTAAAGTCATGTCCAAGAAGGCGCTTTTCCATACCTCAAAGCCACTGCCACCACATATTCATGCCCCTCGCTAGAGAACGGAACAATCATGATGTCGTCTCCTTCGACTTATGCGAAGACTTATCCCGACTCGCCGAAAACGTCGCCCAGCTCTACCATGCCCACACTCCATAGCTCCCTCTCGTCCTCGACCTCATCGCTTGACAGACCAAGCCCTCCCGCACCGCCCTCAGCTTCCTTACGCTCTCTGGCTTGCCCGGCCAACCTCAGCGCAACACGCTTGAAGTAATCGCCCATGCTGCGCTGCTGGCCTGCAGACAAGCTCTTGCCCGGTCCTGCCATGTATTTATCAAATACCGCACTCTCCTCATCCACAACAGAGAAGATGGCAAGGAATGCAGCTTCAGCCGAGAGCTTAACGGGAATGACAGGGTCTCGCACAGAGGCGAAGACAGGCGGCGCAAGGAGTGGGATGTGCGGTCGGACCATCTCATTATGTTGACGGGCCACCGTCCTGAGAACCACGAGTGCCAACCTTCTCGAATCCACTGGATTCCCAGGCTCAATGACTGGTGCAAGCGCCTCGAAGATCGGCTTTGTGTGATCGTACGTCTTGTTCGTTCGCTCGCCCAACAAATACTTTCCTGCTGCCAGAATGGAGTTGTCCGAGATGACAGGCTGCGAGTGTCCGATGCCCTGGGAGATGGTATTGACTGTCTCGTCGGCAAATGATTCAGTCAAGGCATCCGGCGAGTCCAAAAGGATAGCGTTGAGGGAAAAGATGGACGCTTTACTGAAGTGAGTGGTCAGAACGCGTGTTTTGATTAGGCTGGCGGCCCCGTCTACGGGGAGACAGCCGATCAGGGCGCCGAGGAGGCGAGCGTTGGTAATCGCCATCGCGTCTGCTTGCGTGTTAGATATAAGCGAAGATGTTCCAAGAGATGGATGCTTACCATCGGAGTCGTCCGCGTCGGTGTCAATGAGTCCCAGGATCGCGTTCCTGCTCGCCTCGTTCATGTTCTTCCCAGCCTTACTTACTACCTCGAACAATGCCTTCAACATAGCAGTCTTGACAGCCTGGTCGCTCGTTTTTGATCCCGTGACCAGTTCCGCAATCAAAGGATCAACCCTAGGCGTGAGCTTGATTAGAGTCCCAAGGGCCTTGGCAGCTCGTGCTCGAAGAACATCGGAAGTAGTATCAGCGAGCGACTTGGCAAAGGTCCGCTGAAGCTGCGGTAAGAATGGCTTCAAGAACGTGGGAATCTTCTCAAGCAAATTGTTAAGGGTGAGCAGAATTGCTGCCTTGACTTCCGTAGAGCGCTCCGTTACCACTCGGATGAGCGGACCGGTGATCTGGGTAACATTTGGCTGTAATGCTTTGGCATCCGTTCGATCGATGATGTCCGAGATGGCCAAGGCGGATTGTGTTCGCTGCTCTACCGTGCCGTTCATGAGGCCTTGCAGGAAGATTGGCAGGATAGCGTTGATACCCTTGGGTAGCGAGAAGCCAGCAAGGTTTGACCCTGCAACGCCAACCTGTTGAAGTGTCTGCCGTGTCGAGATAACGAGAGATTCCATCTCCTCTTTTCGCAGTTGCTTGGTCAGTGCAGTGAGAGCAGTCCATGCTGCTTTGACCACATCTTTGTCCCCATCACTAAAAGAGACGAGGAGAGCCCGGATAAGGTCGGGGTAGTATCGTGAAAAGTCAACGTCCGTTTCCTCGAAGAACTTGGCCAGATGCATATCGGCTCTCGCCCGCCTACGTTCATCGTCGTGCTTAGCCAGCGCAAGCATAACACTCATGGCTGTGTTGAGGCCGTCGAACTCGTCAACGGATAGTAGCACACTATCGAATGCGCCTTCAAGCTCAGATCGCAGCTCTTCATCCTTGCAAGCGATGACGTTGTCCATGATAGTATTGAGAATGGCTGGGAGCCGCCTTGTCATTGCGCTGCTAGCTACCTCAGCCAAGGAAGCGATTGCCCGAGCATTGAAGCTAGACATCGGCGATTTGAGTAGTGTTGGTAGGAGGTTCGGTAGGATGATGTTGGATCTTGCGTTGTCTGTAAGAAGAGTGAGGAGAGCGGACAGAGCGTTCTGGGCATCTTCTTCACCCCGGAGAAGGGAGAGCAGGTGTGGGAGGACCTGGTCCACAGCTCTCTTGCCAAGGATCTCTTGCAGGGCGTCGAACGCTTCAGCTGCAGCTTCGCGGACGTCGCTGCTGGGATCCACCAAGGCCGACCGAACGACTTGGATCAAAGTCTTCTCGTAGTCCTCAAGCTGCTCTGGCGAGGCCGCTGATATAAGCTCCTTCAGAGCCATGCAGATTCCTTGCTTAGCGTCCGTATCGGTGGAGTGCAAGCCCTCTTCCAAAGTAGGGAGCAAGCTTGCCAAAACGCCGTCGCCAGCCTTACGGATAAGTTCTCCCAGTGCGTTGCCTGCAATGACCTTCTGCTCCATGTTCGAGCTGGCAAGTCGCCGAATGATGAGCTGAGTAAGCGTAGGAATGAGCTCGCGAAGAGTGCGTGGTGTCGCCACCAACGCCTTCCAGACGTTGATAGCTGCGGAACGGACGAGGCCGGATGTGTCACATCTGCAAATGTACAGAGCGGACAGGACCTTGTTGCGTTTCTCTTCTCCAAGGGCTTCGAGAAGGGATTGGCCAGCTTCTTTGGCGCCCTCTTCAACCTCTTCTTGCTCTGCTTTACCGCTGATTCCAGTGAGATTGAACAGCAGGTCTCCCACGAGCTCGACGGAGCTAAGGCGAATACGGTGGCTATCGTCCGCGAGGCCTCGCTCTAACTCAGGGAGAAGGAGGTCAATAGCCTTCGTAGCGAAATTCTTGACTAAGAGACGGCCAGCACGCAGTGCAGTCTCCCGTATTGACTCAACGTCATCCGCAAGACCACCTAGAATAGGTGGAATGATCTTGCTGAGGTAGTTTGCGAAACTGTTTCCGAAGCAAGCCGGCAAGAAAATGAAGAGAGACATGAACCCTTCGCGGACAGATGGCTTGCTGCTGGCCACGTTTTGCAGGATGCTGGGCAACGTCTCCTCCAGGCGACCCGTCCCGAGGCCCGCGAGCACCTCGGAGAGTGCCTGGGCGGATCCCAACCTGTCGCCAGCCCCCGTGTCTGATTTGAGTGTAGCCATAAGACTTGGAATGAGGTCGGGCAATGCATCTTCTCCGAGTTTCTCCATAAGCGAACCAAGCGCTTTTGAAGCTGTTGCTCTCGTCGTTGGGACAGGGTCAACGATCGCTATACGTAGGCCAGCCACCAAGATCGGCAAATGCGATATGAGATCCTTACGCTCCGTGAGATGTGCTAGGCTGCCGATGATCTGCGCTGCTTTCCGCTTCGTCGCAGATCGATCGCCTAGTCCTCGTTCAAGTATACGAACGACAAGGGCGAGAGAAGGGGCATCAAGATAATGGGCGAATTGCACCTTAATAAGCGCATCAAGAGCGTCGTCCGTGTATTTTGTCGGATCGCTCAAGGCCTTGAGCAGAATGTTCACCACACTCTTGATCTCCGGGTTACTGATGACTTCACCGAAGCGCTGCAAGCTTCGGTTGGCTGAGGCTCGCACTTCTTTGTGGCTGTCGGTGAGAACCGTCGTCAACGGCGGAATGATGTCCGGTAGGCTTAGAGATAGCTGGTGTGGATCAAGGTAAGCCATTGCTCCCAACGAGTCACAGGCACCCTTTTTGCTTCGCCATTGGTGGTCATCTAAGCCCTCTAGCAGAAGCGGCAGGACTTGTTTGACGCCGTAGGAAGTAAGGGTTGAAAAGCAGGTTTTCGCAGCGTCCAGACAGGCTTCTCGGACGTCTGCGCTCGCGTCGCCGAACCCAGCAAGCAACTGCGGAAGTATTTGGATGACATACGGTTCGAAGATTCGACCGAGAATGAGGGAGAAGAGCTCATAGGCCAGAAAGGCACCTTGTCGTTGATGGACTTCTTTCTTGTTCTCGGCAGCACTTTTGAGTGTGGACATGATCCGGTACTCTTTGAGCACTCCGAGCCCTTTCCCGCGAACAATGCCTGCGAGACCGTAGGCCGCCCCACGCTGGGTTGGGTACTTCTTTGAATGAAGGAGCTGCTCTATCATCTGTGTGACATAGGCCGGAAGCTCTTGTTCGGATGTTTGCACCAATGGCGGTAGACATTGTGCCACGGCATATTGTACCGTCTCTGACGGCGTGCTCAAAGTGGCCAAGAGCCGCTGGACGACCTTCGGGACACGCTTGTCTCCAGCCTTAAGATGCCGACCTAATGCGCCGTAAAGGATGATGACGGCTTCGTTAACTTGATCGTACATCTCCGACTTCCGATCGGGACCTTCAAGTGCGTTCTCGAATAGCTCCATTAATGGCTCGACTTTTGACTGCGCTTTGGTCGTGATGACTGATGTAGCTGCGTCGATCATCTCCTCTCGTACAGTCGCGTTTCGGTCGCCCAGAGGCCCGTCATAGACCATGAACTGAAAGAAGTCGACAAGGTCTGTGTCTTTGAAGGCAGGCGTCATCTCCTTGAAAGCGAGAGCTGTACCATCTCTGGCTTCCCAAGGGTCTCGCAAATCAACTTTTCGCGGCATGCCGTATTCATCACGTTCTGGAAGTCGGGGCTTTGCTTTCTCTTTGTAGGATTCCTGCAGGTGCTTCAGGAGGTCCTCAAATATCTCCGGGAAGTTGGCCACCATCTCTCCCATTGAACGTGCTGCTGCCCGCCTGAGTTGCTTATCCAACGACTCGAGGTATGGCGTAACCTTGGCTGTGGCATCCGCCTTCAACTCAAGTCCATTGTCTTCCCAGATGGCCTGAGCGAGCTCGGCGTTCTCTTGCACATCGTCATGGCAGGCCAACCAGATTTCCTCGCTGAACGTGAGGTCGTTCATATCAAGTTCGGCGTCGATGGCTTGCAATGTTGCCGTACGAACGGATATCTCGGGTACAATAGTCCCACGAAGTAAGGCCCCCAGCTCTTCGTTGGTAATGTTGGGAGCTAGGCCACGGGACAAGTCCATCAAGCAATCTTTGATCATTTTATAGTGTTGATTGTATCGCTGCATAGAAGAAATGAGAATCTCAAGCAGCTCTTTTCGCGGAAGTCGATCGTCGGAGCCTATCGGGTCAGTCAAGAAAGACGTTGATATTGGGGAGACATACAAGACCCTGTGTGAAATGACACAAACTCTAGCGCTAGCACAAGCTGCTCGTCAGCGTCTTCTGATGATGACCGACCAATACCGCCTTTCTCGAGCACCAGGAAGACGAGGACAAAGCAGTAAGCAAGGGATACGGCGTCTAAAGGTCGCTGTTCGCTCATGAATCGGAGGCGGTAGAGGACCCTAGTAACCAGATCTACCCATTGTTAGCATTTATTCTCTGGTAAAAGCGTGTACGCACCTCCTAAATCCTCTTCCTCATACTCTTCAGACAGTTGAATCGAGCCAATGGTCCTCAGGGTGGCGACTCCGACAAAAGGTCTCAGAGCGCCAAGCCGCGGTGAAACCCTCTGAGAGCACTTGATGAAGGCCATCGCAGGGCGATCCCCGAGTATGAGACCTACTCCAGCACGAATGGCTTGTATGAGAAGTTTAACTGCCGGGCCCATCCACTGCTCTGCTTCGGTTGGCGGACCTGTCGCCAGGCTCTGGATAATGCCAACTCCCCGCTTCATTTTCCGCTCTATCTCAGCGACCTCCTGCCGGATAGCGGACTCTTTCGCGAGCTGTGCGTTTACCTTGGCTTGCTCGTCCGCTGTGAGTCTCTTAGTTTGGCCCTTCTTTTGGGCCAGTTGAGTTCGCAGCTCTTCCTCCCACTTCAGAGTATCGTAGTCTTTCGTATTTTTGTCCAGGGTGACCGGTGCTTTCTTAGACAGAACATCAATGTATGCAGTGCCTTCAGGAGTCCGAAAGATGGCAGCTTCGGTTGGACCTACGGAGTCCAGCTGTCGCGGATCAAGATCCCGACTGAACTGATCCACAATGAAGGGCAATGCCACCTCCGGAGATACGAATGCGAGATCTGTGTAAGCATTGTATGCCGCTCGACTGATTACCGGAAACTTGTCATTTTCCTTATTCTGCTCAGAGGATTAGTGAGTGAACTGGGTGAGAGGAGGTGAGGGACTTACTGTCGTCGCGTCGTGTATCAGGTCTACACAATCTTCCAAATAATCCCGAGCGAGCTGACCTGGATCTATCCCCATCCTGAGACAAAGGTCAATCCAAGACACCCGCGGCACAATCTCAGGCCGAGCCAGGACAAGGAGCCCTATACACTGTTTGCAGAGCACGTCCACGTCCAAACTCGCTCCGCGTCTCTTCATAGACTCCTCGGGCAAACAGAAACAACCAAGTACGGTGTGCAGGTCGCTGGAACCAGATTTCGCTGCGATTGCTGCACTCTCTTTGTCGGATTGCTCGTGCGATTTGTACCATGACCAACATCCCGAGATCATGATGCTACTGGTTGCCTCTGGCGCTCCAAGGTACGTTTTCGTCAGTGCTTCTTTCGCTACGGATTTAGCCTTTGCCGAGACGCCATGTGCAACGATGAAGAATATGAAGGCATGTGCCCACGCATCTCGCGCCTCAAGTGAGATGTTGGCTTCAGACAACCATGGCGCCATAGCGGTCAAAGCACGCAGAGCTATCTCAACTTCTTCCTCAGTGGTGAGTTTGGAATAGACTCTGGGATTGAGCAAGAACGAAGGTTTTGGCTTGATTGTGAGCAACTGCGTAACGACATCCGTCTTCTTGTAGATGAGCTTCGCATCCCCCAAGACGCGGACTTTGCCGATAAGAAGTGCGGTCACATAGTGACCTACGGTGGCCATGCCACTCTGGCTAGCGGGAACTGGGTTAGCAATGACCTCCTGCCACATCTCCACTAGTTTTGGGAGAGTAGCTTGACAGAAAGCCATAATGTCTGACTGGGCGAACTGTTCAGAAGAAAGATCCCACCAGATTTCCGCTGCTCGAATAGCCCATAGGCGGCGCACTGGGATGCGCTTGTCCGCCATTCCTTTGAGGAAGGCATCGGATACGGACTTGTCAAGCGCGACACCGTTGGCTAAGCCGAATGTGAGATGTTTGGTCAAGGCAGATACTTCAGCCACCACGGCTGGCTCATTGGGTTCTTTGAGTGCTACCGGAGCCATGCCAATGGGGATCTTCTGAGATAAAGACACAGAGCGGGGTAGAGCCGTTAGCATTTGGGCGTGGAGAACCTTCTGATCCACTCCAGTGACCTTCCCTTGTTTCAGAGGATTCAGGATCTCGTCTGCGACTTTGCCGAGGGCGGTGACATTGCTCGACCGCGAAGCAAGCGCCTGGAAAGTTCGTAGAGCCCCTGCACGGATGGTCGGATTCGTGGACTTGACATTTGAGAGCAGCGGCTTCAGCAGATTGCCAAGAAGCACTTCGGACAGGTCCATTGATTCCGGAAGTGCTAGTATCATTGGGGCGACGATGTCGTTCAATACTACTTCCGGGGCTCTCAGAAGAGCTTTTTCAATCGGCGGAATGACCTCTTTGCGCAATTCATCGAGCGTGGGAAAGGTATCGAAGAAGTCGTGGAACGCGTGCGAGATATGGTCAGGCAATTGACTGCGCGCACCGACGATCTCTCGCACGTAGAAGGTGTAGTATTCCTGCTTGTGGCGCTCCAAAATCGGTTTGACAGCCGAAAGACGTGATGACACGCCGGCTATGGCGCCAAGGAACACGGCGTTTCCAGCCGTTGAAGACGAGCCCTTGGTCGTGAGCGTGGCTACCAGGCTGGCGAGCGCGTCCTCCCCAATTTCCTTTGATCGAAATAGTCCACGAAGAGCCCGGCGCGTCGACACCAAAGCCGACTCCTGTATGCGCGCTGCACGACGGCTGTCCCCACCCGCCATGCACGTCTCGAGCACTCTCGCCAGGGCAACTGACACATCCAGGCCGTATTTCCGCCATTGCTCGGGCGCACTGGCGAATTGTAAGAGCAGCACCGAGCACCAGTCCACCAGGACGAAGGCATTGACGTGTGCTATGCCTTTCTTGACGCATTCCTTCTTCAGGAAGTCGACAATCGCGGGCAGTGCAACGGACCCATTTGGGCTATTTATGAGCGATTTGAGGACCTGCTCGACGGCTCGTCTGGATTCGCGGTCGTCGTACAGCGGGTAGGTTTCGAAAAGGAGATCGAGGAGGAACTTGAGGTCGGGAGAGACGATGGCTGCGTGTCAAAGTCAGACGTCACAGTAGCAGACAGAGACGCGACATGCCACACTCACATTCATCCACCTGGTGTTGCAGCCCAGACAGCTCGGAAACCCTGCGCTTCGTGGAGCTGGTCACGAGCCCACGCCGCAGCTCGTCGCGGTCGATGGCATGCGAATTGCTCGCTCCATCCACAGCCATTGTGTATCGCCCATGTGAATCAGCGCGGGGCTCTGGCGGGGTGCTGGCGAGCTTAAAATTGAGGTTCTACCAGGGAGCTTTGCGGAGGAATCTTTTACCGAGGCGCCAAGCCCCACCGCATCGGGCACGTCCGCCCTTCGCGGACCCCTTCGCCGGCACCTCCGCCCTCCCGCCTGCATCTCCTCCTTTTCAGCAGTAAAGCGCGTACTAAATGCATCCAGGCAGCATCGGCACCCCCAACCTCGATCTAGCCAAGGATCAAGCGCCCTGGTTCTCTATACGGACGCCCACCTGATCGCCTTTTCTTCCCAAAGGCGTTGGTCTACCACAGGAGAGACCTGGAAACCATCTTCTATGGCCCCCAACAAGAAAAAGAAGAAGCCAGCCGGGAATCCCGCGCGCGGCTTTGCAACGACTTCCATCGCGAGCAAGCCGAAGCAGGAAAAGACAGCCGCTCCAAAGGAAGAAGCGGCCGTGCCAAAGCAGGAAACCGCCGTCTCACTGGAACCCGTCTCGCAAACCCCTCAGAGCAAACCATCGCGTACGGAGGTTGAACAAACCCCGGAAGAGCTAGAGGCTCAGCTCGAGCGCGACGAGCTTCAATTGCTTGTTGAAAAGCATGCATCAAAGGCACGGCGAGAATCCCGCCGACAGGCCTTGAAGATCCAGACCGACAGACGTGTTCTCCGTGGCCAGTCCGAATCAGTCACTGTACATGACTGGCTCTCCAAGGACATCATGGAAAACATCATCTCCCTTGCTCAAGCCGAGTCGACAGACTCAAACTTACGCCAGGGCCAGCACTCGCTGTTGAAGATTCTTTCCGAAGACGATGCCATATCCAAGCTGTGGATGTTAGACTTGACGTTACGTGACTTAGGCTTCTCTTCCAGCCACATTGAGCCCGTCCTGCGTTGGGTCTGCGCTAATGCTGTCAATGTCGATACTCCTGCCGGTATATGGGGCCTGCAAGAGGCACTAGAGTGGCTAGCTCTCGGTCACTGCGATGATTCTTCGTTCTCGTACGAACAACCAAAGACGAGACGTCCTGTGGCGGATACCCCAGACTCGTCGCGGCCCGGTATGTCAGCCCCTTTTTAATGCAGTCGAAGCATTCCGAGTCCTAAAGGGCGATATTTTCTCGCACCGAACGGGGTTTCTGCTTTTCAACGCTAACTAATATCCCATCGGACCTCCGCCGTTGCGAGAAATCAAGCGTATGCGGCTAATCCATTTCAGGCACCCCTCTTCCCAGTGTTTTCACTGTCGATTCAGTCAAAGGCTCAGATGGCGAGATATCCAGGGCTTCCACTCCGAATTTGCCTGCCCATGCTAACGTCCCGCATGCTGAAACCGATGACAGCGAAATAGCCGTCAGCGATTTGGACAGCGATCTAGAGCTAGATCAACTAGTTCCCGCCTATCTCAGGATCAAGGGCAAGTTGTTCGAAATTGACCCTGATGCAGTTGAGTCAAAACCACGGAAGCAAGCCAAAGGCGCTAAAAGTCGAAATGCGAAGACAGCCAATGCAGCTCGGCCTCCGGCAGTCCGAAAGCTTCTGTCACAGCTCCAGCAGCTGGAGTCGGATGCTCTATTTGACCAAGCAGAGGCTGACGCACAGTGGCCTGAGAAACGAAATCAGATTGCCCAGATGAAAGCGGCCCAAAGACAAGAGCAGAACGCTCCATCAACTGCCCCAAATGTAACTGTTGGAGCGACGAGGGGTCCGCTATCCCCAAGCGTGAATGGGGACCCAGACTCCCAGTCAGAAGCAGCCGGTTCCCTCTTCGACGGCGATGACGCCGGGTTGTTGGGCGATATGTTCTCCGCCGTCCCGGACCAGCACGCCCCAGGCGAAGTAGCTACCGAGAGCGCTACGTCCATTATGTTGCGTGATTTTGGCAAACGGACCGGTTTGTCTCCGAGGCGACTCTTAGAGGAAGCGGTTCGCTCGAGGTTCGTATCGGCTAATGACCTGACATGGAAGAGGCCCAACGCTAACATTTTCGGCAGAGATCCTGGAGCTCGAGTAGCATATAAGCTGGTCTCCCCTACTACCTATTCGTGCCGACATTCATTAGTCATTACCTGGTCCAAGGAACAAGTCATCGACTATGACACGGAAATCCTTGGGGTGAGCTGCACCGTTTCGCGGACTCAAGCCAAGTTTGAAGCGTCCACCTTGGCTGCCATCTCAATCGACCAGAGCGAGAGCTTTATTGCTACTGCGGCCCTTTTCTCTATCTCAGCGTCTTCCACCAAGGAAGAGAAAGTATATCTCCGACTGCCGTCTAACTGGAGGGAGCTTTACAGAGATTTCCTCGAACATCGGAAAAACCGCGTTGATAGTGCAGATCGCGACACAGTCAAACACTTACGTTCCCTCATCCAAGACCAGTTGGAAAATGAGGAATCTGAAGGTGTCGTACTTACCAGCCGATTCAAGATGCGAAACCAGGCGGCAGCAAGCTCGAGCGTGTCCAGCTCCGGCCACAGCACGCCTTCCGAGAACTCACAGGTTCTTAGGGATTTATGGAATCAAAAGTCGTCCACAACTGCATTTCAACGTATGCTGTCCTTTCGATGGACGCTTCCCGTTTTCGGATTCCGCGAGTACATTATGTCGACAATCGAGAAGCATCAGGTAACGCTCATTTGCGGTGAGACTGGCTGTGGGAAGAGCACGCAAATTCCATCATTTGTCCTCGAACACGAGCTCTCTCTCGGCAGGACTTGCAAGATATTTTGTACTGAACCCAGACGCATTTCAGCGATATCATTGGCTCAGCGTGTCAGCGACGAGTTGGGCGAAGCACCAAAGGATCTCGGGACGCCTCGCTCTCTAGTTGGCTACGCTATCCGATTAGAGACCAAAACCTCGGCCCAGACTAGGCTTGTGTATGCTACTGTAGGTGTAGTTTTGCGTATGTTGGAGTCCTCGCGGGGTCTGGAAGAAGTCACGCATTTGATCATTGACGAAGTCCACGAGCGAAGGTAAGCATCGCCTTAAGAATAACTAGTAGAATAATGTTAACAACTAACAGCATCGACACCGATTTCCTACTCATTATTCTTCGCTCCCTCATGGTCCTCCGACCTGAGTTGAAGGTTATATTGATGAGTGCTACTGTCGATGCACAGCGATTCTCGAAGTATCTCAACGATGCACCAGTCTTGAACGTTCCCGGCCGGACTTTCCCCGTCGAAACGAAGTATCTAGAGGATGCCATCGAGATGACCCACTACAGCGCATCGGCCGAAGACCGACTCGACGATTCAGACACCAGCGGAGCGGAAGAGGATGGGCCCAAGGACAAGTCAGGTATTCCAAGCCAGCTATCGGGCTATAGCTCAGCGACCCGCAACGTACTATCAAACTACGATGAGTACGCCATCGATTACGAATTGATTGTCAGCCTGGCCGAGACTGTTGCATACGACCCGCAGCTGAGCAGATACAGCAACGCTATTCTAGTCTTCCTTCCCGGCATCGCAGAGATCCGCCAGCTCAACGATATGCTAATCGCCCACCCTTCATTCAAACAAAACTGGCTGATCTATCCTCTGCATTCCACCATATCGAGCGAAGAGCAACAAGCAGCATTTCTGCTTCCGCCCCCTGGCGTCAGGAAGATTGTGCTTGCGACCAATATCGCAGAGACAGGTGTTACCATTCCCGATATTACCTGCGTAATAGATACTGGGAAACACAAAGAGATGCGCTTCGACGAGCGTAGACAGCTATCGCGCCTTACGCAGTCGTTCATCTCACGTGCGAACGCCAAGCAGCGGCGAGGTCGTTCCGGACGCGTTCAAGAGGGCCTCTGTTTCCACCTCTTCACGAAATACCGCCACGATAACCTGATGACGAATCAGCAGACGCCGGAAATGCTGAGACTATCGCTTCAAGATCTCGTCATGCGCACCAAGATTTGCAAGCTCGGGGACATCGAGAAAACGCTCTCTGAAGCTTTGGATCCGCCATCCTCGCGCAACATTCGTCGCGCAATAGACGCACTTATCGAAGTTGATGCCCTCACTACGAACGAAGAGCTTACGTCTCTTGGACGCCAGATTGCGAAGCTTCCGCTAGATGCGCATCTTGGCAAGCTTGTCCTATTAGCAAGCGTCTGTGGCTGTGTTGATGCCGCAATCACTATTGCTGCCGTCCTATCCTCCAAATCGCCATTCCTCACACCCTTTGGCGCGCGTCAGCGGGCAGACGCCGCTCGTCTATCGTTCAAGAAGGGCGATTCAGACTTGCTGACGACGTACAACGCTTACAAATCCTGGAAGGCCGTTTGCACTACGCGAGGTCGTTCTGAGACGCAATTTTGTCATAAGAACTTTCTCAGCTCCCAAAACCTGGGCAACATTGAGGATCTCAAAGCACAGTTGTTGTCATCTTTGGTTGAGGCAGGTTTTATCCAAATGTCGGCCGATGAGCGTCAGGCACTTAGCCGCTACCGTAGCAGTCCTCGATATCGCATGTTCGTCACGGTGCCAGCGCAATATGGCGTTCACTCCGACAACGATATCCTCGTCAACTCAGTTATCGCGACAGCCCTTTATCCGAAGATACTCACCCGCGAGGGGAAGGGTTGGCGCAACATCGCGAACAACCAGACCGTTAGTCTTGCGCCCACGTCGGTCAACAAAGCTTCATCCATCAATCCTATTACCGCAAAGTATCTCTCCTACTATCACATCATGCAGTCCTCGAATAAGTTTTACAATGCCCACTCGACATCCATCGTACATCCTCTTCCCATGATCCTAATGGTCGGAGCGGATTTAGACTTTAAGCTACATGCCGGCGTTATTAGCTCGCCGGGCAACGCGCTCCGGTTTGCGGTCAAAGATTGGGAGGCAGCCGTCGCTTTGAAGGTGCTACGTCGACGGGTTAAGGAGATCTTGGCCGGCAGTTGGAAGAATCCGGGTCGACATATGAGTGGTCGGGAGAGGGAGTGGTTGGGTTTGTTCTTCAAGATTTTTGATGACCGCTTCGAGCGTGAGAATCGAATTCGGGAACGGGGTGCCGCGAAGGGCAAATGAAAAGGCTGTTATTCTCGCAGCAGCCTTAGCTTTGGTAAGCTTGTGGTAGCGAGCCCTCCGTGTAGGGTAACATTGTTGGCTTATCCCGAATACACATCCAGGCATCACAAGGACGTCCCGTGAGCTGTCCGCTTGCCTAGCTTACGATTCCTCTGGCTTCAGTCTCTTTTTTTCTCCTTCTGTTACTTCCTTCCACTTCCTCTTCCCCCTTGCGCACCTGAGTTCTCACCCCAACCACAAGCGTCCTCAAGCCGTCCCGGGAAGCTTATATTCACTGCCGTGTTCCCAGGTTGCTCGATTTCACGCGCCGATGGCATCTTGTTCGGAGCTGAAAATGAGGTCGCATGCTTAATCTTCCGGAATCGGTGTGGAGGTTAGTTTTTTCGGAAGAATAGAGCCCTGGGAGATTGTAAGCCTAAGCGTTATGAATGACGCACATAGAGTCAAGGCGAAAAATTTGTGGTTCGAGTTTCCTGCCCGGGCGTGCATTTGATTATGTGATTTGGCTACTTGACTATCTGAGCCTCCTTTTAGACGCATGGCCCAAGTTGAAGACAGCCGTAGTGGGTACTTGTTGCGCGTAATTTTAGGGATGGGAAGTAAGGAGCAGAGCGCAGGTTAGCCGTTTGAGGTTGTGGTGGATAGAAGGATTGGCGTTCCCCTGTGGTCACGGGATAGGCACACTCCGGCGCCCGTGGTACGCCCGTCATTTGTTGGGCGGCTCACTTCGGCCGGTCTTGCTTGTTAAGGATAGGCAGGTGCGGGTGCAACGCAGTCTGTTCCTCGTGGCGGCTGTCCTCATGTCCAACAACCGGCCAAACTTTGTTGCATTGGGCAGCGTTTTCCTGCCCAAGTGAAGAGAATCCAAGACGATACGCTTCCTTCTTTTCCTATCTCTTTCAACTCCCTGTTCATCTCTTCTACAGCTCCACCGTTATTCCCGCAGAACGAAACCCGCCATGGCCGACGCCCACTCTTTCCCTCAATTCGACCGCCTCCCAACCGAACTCAAATTCGCCATTATCGAAATCACCATCAAATCGTACCTCCGTGAGCGTATTCGCACAGTCACTATTACCATATCGAGCAAAAATGGAGAACTCATGGCCAAAGTGCCCCCTCTCCCGTCAATACTCTACGTTGATCGCCTGTTTCGAAGCGAGGCTTTGCGACTACTTCGCCCGGAGAGCACCCGTAAAGCGACTCTCATGAAGCTGTTCTCATCTACCTTCAATTCCGCTCTCCCTCTCAATACACACGTGCCTACCCTCGCCACTTGGGCCGATCCACAGGTCGTCTTCGACCCTAAGAGAGAAACCTTAGAATTCGACCTACGATCCCTCAGCAGAGACGACCCGCAGCACACAGCGAAGCAGTGGCTAGCTCGGCTCTCGACAGGCCTCCGAAGTCGCGTAACTATGGTACAATTTTCGGTCGAAAATCAACCGCTGTTGCGATACGACGAAGGTCTAAAGCTCAATACATACGAAAACGTGCCGAAACTCCTATCTATCTGCGTTATCGAGGAAGAAGCGTGCATGCATACTTTGCATGAGGGTCAATGTCACGTCGTTTACAGTATCTACAGGTTGAGGAGTCACGTCGACACCAGCATGGTGCCATACTGTACGTACTACTTTTTCCCTTCCATCGAGGCCGGGCGGCAGAGGGACATGCGATTTTGGCTCTCTCTCTGCCGCGAGACTCGGCCATTGCTGATAGCAAGGGGTTGAAAGGAAATTGGTTAGCCGCTTTCGAATGCGTGTTTTACTATGAAAATTGTCTTGCGCAGTTATTAATTCGCTTGATCTCGTCACAAAGAAGATATGAGCATACTACACGTACAGCACCCGTAAAAGGGTCGCCACACCTAAACCCCCGAGCAGCAGGGACGCCACCAAAATGATCCACGGTTCAGTGTAGGCCGCATCAAGCGATGGAAAATTCTGACGCCAACGAGAGCCGCCATGGAACCCTGCATGTAATCCGTGGTTCGATAGCTTAGTGAGGCATCATCTCGAAATACATAAGTATTCCGCGCACTAGAGAAAAGTTTCATTCAGGCTTTGCTCAAAAAACTAACACCAACACTCCATTGTTCGCTTGGAAGTACGTTCTTACTCTCGAACCGCAATCAGCAAAATTTCTCCACCACTCCTGCCATCATGGCCACGCTACAATCGTTCCCACAATTCGCCTCTCTACCCGTCGAACTCCAATTCTGCATCATCGGATTCGCAGTTGAAGCTTGCCTTCCGGATCGCAAACGAGTCATTACAATTCGCATCTCTAATGAACGCCTGGCTCCCATCATCCCACGTCTCCACGCCATCTTCCACACAAACCGCCAATTTCGGAGCGAAGCTATCCGCCTGCTCAGCGCACCTACAGACCACGAGAATCGGTTGATACGGCTATTCTCCGAAACTTATCTACAGGCATTGCCAACGAAGTGGCACTTCGCGTCTCCCCTCGTTGTGTTCAACCAGGCAAAAGACAGTCTGGAATTCGACGTCCGATCGCTGAACAAAATATTGAGTCGGTGTGAGATAAAGGTATGGCTATCCCGTCTCTCGTCGGAAATGCGCGATTGCGCTCAGTCCACAAACTTCTTGACGCTCTATTATGACGAGCCATAATTACCATGGTTCGGAATGGTGGTCCATGCGAAATATTGGCCAAGTGATGAACAAAATTGGTATTTCCAGTGGAAGCATGCGGGAGTTTACGTGGAAGAAATTTCTGTTTCGTTTTATAGGGGCATAAAACGACGGCTTTTGGTGCGCAAGGTAGAAAGGCAATAAAGACTTCGAGGGACCATGTTACTCCGTCCTGAAGATGCGTGACAACTTCTAATCCAAAGCCACGGTAGGACTTTCACGTTCCATGGAACTACAACCACGCGTTCAACACTTTCCACAAGCTCCTTGCTGCCCAACAATGTTTCCACAAACCACCCGCATTGAATTGACTTTGCTCAGAATCCCTCCTTACAGCACCGAAGCTAATTTCCCATCCAGCACAATGGCACCACCATCAAAAACCAAGAGCCAGCCAAGTCAAATTTCTCTGGCAAACCCAAGAACAGCATTAGGGCGTCCTCGCCTAACCCCAGCGTCATCGTCGCAGCTGCACTTTCCACAGTTCGCTCGTTTCCCCATCGAACTTCAGCTCGAAGTCGTCAAGCACGCTCTCCACAATGAAACGAGCGGGCGACACATCTATATCCACATTCTCCGCCCAGGCATACGACCGAATCTTCCCCAGCTCCCCGTCGCATTCCACGTAAATCGCCTCTTCCGCTCCGAAGCACTGCGCCTCGCGCCGCCACGAAACATATTGCGCGACTCGTACACACGAACATTCCTCGGCCATGGACGAAGCTCGTTGCTAGTCTTCGACCCGAGCTACCACATCGTTCATCTGAATATTAGCATGCACGATGATGTGTTCTTCGAAGAATGCTTGACGCACTTTCGTTGGAGCTTCAGATCATGCGTTCAGCATCTGCGGGTCAGAGTCGCAGATAGACTAGATGTAACGCCTTTGTCGGGACCAGTCACGGCAGCTTTTGAGTCACTGCCAAGCTTGCGGGACCTTGTCATCGCGAGCCATTTCGCGAGTAGCCGCTACACGTGTTGGGAGTGTCTTTTCGCCAGAAACAAAGATGGACGGATCAAGAAACGGGAACGTTGGACAAACTGCAAGTGTTGGCTACTGCAGCAGTGGCGTGTTGGGGAGTCGTGAGAGCGAATTGGATACTGGATGAAAGGGACTCCACCCGCACCGCCAGAATCTTGGAAATCGATGTTCCCGAACAAGTCGCTACATGTACTTTGCATCGAGTCTTCTGGGAGTTGAGGAACACAGTACCATACGTGCTCCTACGCCTCGAGCCATCGATTTCCATCTCACGGATGGAGTATTGAGACTGCTGTCCAGCACAGTGAATGGCTTGTGAAAACGTGATGAGTTTTCGAGGCAGCCACTTCTAATGGACGAAAAAGGAAAGTGAAATATGTGTTTTTGTCACAGGAAATGAGGATCCATCTTACCTCACCTAGCAGTTAGTAGCGCTTGGTACCACTTTGCCAAAGTTCCTCAACAGTTATTCGGCGTCACGTGGTCACTCCTCCTTTGCAAGGAGAAACTAGGCAACTTCGGGTGAATGCCCGCATACTCTGCACAGGCATATATTGCCAATCTCTCTTTAGTTTACAACTGGACATTCTCCCACTCCCAAAGGTCATCATGGCCCCTTCTCAACGCCACGAATCCAACTCGTCGAAATCCTTCGACTACTTCCGAGAACTCCCAAACGAACTCAAAGTATACGTCCTTGCATGTGCTCTAGCGGACGAGCTGGCTAGTCGACGCCAGCAGAGAGAGAGCATTCTTCGCGCACCTGATCAGAGAGTGCTCACAAATCCGACCCGCAGCTACCGGCATCCGAACAAACTCGTCCTCAACTTCACAGAGGAGGGGGTAAAAGTGGTTACGACCCCATGGCTCGCGACTCTGCAAGTCAATCGATTCTTCCGTCGCGAGACCATTCGACTCTGCGGGGACAGCTTAGTGCCTGCCTGGAATACGGATGTACTCGGTTCCGCACAAACGACATGTGATCACTTGGTATTCTTCGAAGGACAGACGGACATACTCGAACTCGAAGGGTGCAAGATCAGCACATTGAAGAACTGCCTCAACATCCTGTCGCCCGCTCTGAGGAAGTGGGCTCGCTTCCTGTTCATCCCCACCAACGTACTTATCTCGAATAACGAACTTGTGTTCGGCTGGCCGGATAAAATCGACGAAGTAGCTGAGTTGCTGCCCAATCTCGAAGTCGTAGCAGTCAAGAAAGTGCAGGGCCAAGAACACCAGGGCATTCCAACGGAGCTCTCTCTATACCGGATAACCAATGAGCGGGGAGGCGATGGGAGAGAGATATCGGTTGTTAGGTGCCACGACGAGTATGTACCGAGTTTCATCGAAGAGGCGCGAAACTATACCTGGGGAGACGGCGCCTCGTGTTGAAAGAATGACAGGGAAATGGCGCGGAGGGGACGCAGGATACTCGCTGCCCAATGCAGAGTGGTAGATTTTCTATGGAATTTTGGGCGTCCGACTGTGCAGGCGTACTGAATGAAAGACTGCAGCCTGATTTCACGAAAGCTCAGCGGGAAAAGTGGGTGTTTTGAGATAGACATTCTTCGACATCAATTATTTGCACACTCAATTTGTCCACTCCCTCTCAAATCTCCTCTTAAAAGTTTTCGTCATTTTAGCGTTCGAATAACGTCGACCTAATGAAATGGCAATATCTAATAAATCAGAAAGCGCAAGTTCATTACTTAAATACCTTTCCGTCCTTCCTCAGGTCCCAGATAAGATCGAAGTACACATGATCGAATATGCCTACGAGGACGAGTCGACTAGACTACAAAAAACTAAGATCACCGTCACAATCAATTTCTTCTGGAAGCTTATTGCGGCGCCGCTCCCCAGCTTCCTCGCCGTCGTTCGAGGGTTCCGATACGAGGCTGTACGACTATCCAAAACGTGGTTGCTGCCCTGTCCTGCCTCTCACCTTAGTTACACCTCAAAACAACGGATGGTTCTCTTCATCGAGAAGAAAGACTTAGTGCGACTCAACATTGGTTGCAGTCTGTAGCCAAACATGGCGCCCTCAAGGATATCAAGAACGCAGTACGTTTACTGCACTTAAATGACGGCTCAAAGGTAGACTCGAACGAGTTATGGCGCTATTATATAGGCCGGTTTAATTGTCCCCTTCAGTACTCGAGATGGATCGGCCCTGTTACTGAAGCGGTGAAGAAGTTGCCGTAGTTAGAACGACTGACAGTTGCAGTCGAAGCAGATGATTACTACGCCTTGAGTATTTCTTTTTACAGGTACCGAGACACTGCGGTTCTGCAGGTTGCAAATAGGTGTTTTGCTTTCTATTCCAAACTTGCGAATCCTAACGAAGAAAGGTAGACGAACAATAGGGGATGAAAGAGTTTTTGTCGGTTATTGGACAACACCAGGGCTAAGGTACACCGTGTGCGGGTCTGCATTGGTTGGCAAGCATGCACGGAGATTGTGGTGCTATCGAGGATATTCTCACGAGGGATCTCAAGGGAAGTACTTTCACCTTTTCCCTAATCTCAAGGAGGTTGAAATTCGGAGTAACAGAGGTCTGAGACGGTTCAGGAATGTCTTCTGTAAAGAGAGGATCAGAGCGCGCAGAGTAGAACTGAGGTACTGTCATACTCATACAAGCTGGATAATGGGGCAACGGGTGTCGAGCAGGGCTGAGCGTGAACAGATTTGCGTGGTTGGCACTTTCACTTTTCAGAAACACTAGTGGCGAAGGAGCGTACCTGCCCTGTAAGGGTTGCTCTACAGAACTAATTTCTCTCGCGGGCAGCATACCATGGAGCCAACAAAGACCACGTCACGACGCAACCGTGCTTCCATCCGTTCCCACGCCTGCCTGACGAGCTCAAGGTCCGCATCATCGAATGCGCCTTCGACGCTGAGCTCGCTGAGCGTGACAAGCGAATCACCATCACTATGCGTCCAGATACTACACTCGTATACTACACTCGTCTCACCGACCGCATGGCATATCTTCCACGTCAACCGATTCTGGCAGTCTGAGCTACTCCACCTGTTGAACGGGAACCTCATCTACGCGCTGAACGCCGACGAGCCTGGCTTCTTTGAGCAGAACGCTATATACTTCGACCCCGCGACCGATGTACTGGAGGTCAACATCTGTGGTCTCCAGGGGAAGGGGGATGTCGATCGCTGTATCGCGAGGTTGTCGGGCGAGCTGCGAAGCAAAGTCACCCGCATGGAATTGGTGACCGACCATCTCATCTACGGGCAGCTTGTAGTGCCAGTACCACTACCCAGACTCTTAGCTCGGCGAATTTATGACTGGGTGGACCTTTTGCCAGCCGTAGAAGACGTCCTGATCAGCGGGACTGTGATGATTCAAAGTGCACAGGCAATGCAGGAGGTCGAAGATGTCGATGTGCATCACATCTGCAATTGGGGGAGTCGGGTTGTGCTGGAGAGACAGGGTCTGCCAGACGTACGACTTGATTTCATGGGTATTGACTGATTGAGACGGACAGGCTGTGGTGGGGTTCCAGCGGCAATCTGGAGGGCTTTCTGTAGCGAGATGCACTCAATTAGATGACAGATGAATGTAAAATTGACGAGAGCTCCGTGATGCTCGGCTTTTCAGACGTGTTAGCTGACGGGCAATCCCAGGCGAGAAATTGAAGGTTCTCGCGACCAGATTGCCGTTTTCTACCTGGAAAGTAAAGTGCTCACCACTTGCGTGTTGATCTTTTGCTCACGAAGCACCCAAAGCCCTCTCGTGCTTAGCAGGCCTCCTCATTATCTACACTCAAGTATCAGTCATCAGATCTACGAGCGCCGGGCTATTCCTTACCATGAGCTTAATCTCTTCCTGGCCGCCCCACTTCTTCAAATCAATCGCAATCTCTCTGATTGGTACAAAGCCAAACCTCTCATACAGAGACTGCCCCATCTTACTCGCCTCAAGAAATGCCTCCACGCCCGCTTCATCCGCCCTCTCACAACCCCACTGCGTCAACAACCTCCCAGCGCCCCTCCGATGGTGCTTCGGAAGCGTGGCCAACGTTTGAAGCACGTAATGTGGCCTCGTTCCCCGATGCTCCCTCTTGGCCGCATTCAGCATGCTAAAGAAAGTATTCCAGACCTCGGGATGACTCTCCTCATACATGCTTCCGAGGCCTAAATCTTGTTCTATTTCCTCCCGGGTCCGCTCCTTAGCATCAGGGTCTTTGGGGCGGATGTACTCCCAGCGCGCTCCGGCGATCATTTCACCTGTTGATGTGTCGACGCATTTGAGATATAAGATGCCCTTGCTGATGCCGTTGCGGACGTCTTGCGTGACGCGGTCGAGCGTTTTCTGGGACGGCTCGCCGTTGAAGTAGAGGATTTTGTTTATGTCGTGGCGGAAGGATTCGTGGCGGATGCGCATGTATTGTGGTGCTTCGTCCGGCTCCAGCGGGGAGACGACGAGGCTGGGATTTGCCATTGTGAGGTTCTTCGAATAACAGAGATTCTTAGTGTAAAAGAAAATGACGGGCGAGATTGGGGTGATAGAGAAGGTAGTACGTGTTCTAGGCAAAGGGCAAACAATGAGTCATGTGGTCCGAATGTGTCGAAATCGCCCTTTGCTAAGACTCATTGCATTTTCACCTTCTCGATTTGGTATGGCTCTCAGATGCTGGATTGGCGAGACGTTAAGCCAGTTCCTCACCAATAGCTGCACATAAGACAGGCTCCGACGTGTAGGATTGCTCTCAGCGGATCGGAATGCGCTTCGGAATCGGAGTGGCTGGCCGTCGGAAGTCGAAGATGGACCATCGTTCGATCATGCACTGCGTTTCCTCTCCACAGTCACCGTAGACGCCGACAGACTTGGAGCGACAATCTATTCCCCCAGTGAGCGATCAACGAGGGCAGCCAGGACTTGAAGTGCTCATGAGCACTGCATCGGCGGAGTCTTGGCAGAAGTAATTCCGAGAAGTTCCGATTGTGCACAGACGAGCCGGATACGGTTCAAGAATCAGCGCGGGCGCATTTGCGCAGCAGAAGGAATGCAGGGCTTTTGGGTACAGTGGTCCATCGTCAATTTTCCTATCGTGGCAGGTTGTGAAAGTATCGATCGCAGCACCTCGCTTGCCCTTGCCCCACTAAAAAGCTTAACTCAGAACCCTGCAACAGTTTTGCCGACATCCTCAATTTTCGCGACCGCTGGACTACGGCTCCCGACAGCTCGCAGAACGCCGCAATGGCCACCAAAACAAAGACTCCGCACAAATCGAATAACCACGAGCGATTCCTGCCTACACAAATGAAGGATGCGCCGTCATTCGGTTCCGAATCCGACGAGGCGAGCGACGCCGAACCAGGCGCATTGCAGCAAGTGAACGGCGAGAAGGAACTAGATTGGGAGGGGTTTGACGAGGAGAATGAAGACGTACACAGTGGGAGTGAGAAAGAAGAGGAAGGAGATGATGATGATGAAAGCATGGAAATCGTCGTGCAGAAGGAGAAGCCTGTGCTCCCAAAGGATACCGAAGAAGAAGAGCTCGAACGGCTCGTGTTTGGGGACTCGGCAGGCTTCAAGAAGGGTCTAGAGGCCTTTTCGCTAGATCACTCTGCAGTCGCATTCGGTGCAGAGTCGGAAGAGGAGCAGGACGAAGACGCGGACTTCGACAACGTCGCGGATCAGGACCTTTTCTTCTTCGATACTGGCCCGGCACCTGCGCCCGCCGGGCCTTTAGCTATTGTACAAGGAGATGAGTCAGAGGATCAGGACGATAAGCCTGCGTGGGAGGATAGCGATGACGAACGCATAGTTGTGAGTCTGGCGTCTGTGCCGCAGTTGAGGAAGCTGCGGGAGACCGCCCAGGACGACATGGTCAATGGGAAGGAGTATGCGCGCAGATTGAGGAAGCAGTACGAACGGTTGTATCCGACTCCTGACTGGGCGACACATGCGATGGGGAAGACAAAACGGAAGAGGCGGCAGACACTGGAGGACGGTGAGAGCGATGACGAGCCCGCAAGTGACATGGATGTGTACGAAGATGGTCTGTCTACACAGCCTTTGGCTCGGCTGCTCAAAGACGCAGATATACTCTCGCGAAAATCAAGAGCCCCTGCGAAGCGGAGGAAGCTGCAAGCTGGTACGATCGACATCCAAAGGTTGAAGGATGTCGCGAGGACGGGACCGGTGTGTAATCCCTCCCACACATTTGCACCTTTGATACTAACGTGCCCTAGTCCGCGATTACGTCTCTTTCATTCCATCCAACGTTCCCGCTCCTCCTCTCCTCAGGGCCCAGCTCAACGCTTTATCTTCACCATGTCAACCCGAACCCTCCAAATCCAAACCCTTTGCTCACTTCATTACACGTCAAACGAACACCCCTGACCACTACCGCCTTCCATCCGTCGGCTTCAGACTCTCGCATATTCCTCAGTGCTCGCCGGCGTTACTTTCACATTTGGGACATTGCCACAGGTAGAGTAGAAAAGGTGACTCGGGTGTACGGGCATCAGCAGGAACAGCGCACGATGGAGTATTTCACCTTGTCTTCAAATGGCAGATATATGGCTCTGCGGGGATCTTCGAAGAAGGGAGGCGGCGTGATAAACATACTCGACGCTACGACCCTGCAATGGGTGACACAAGCGCGCATTGAATCCAGAGGTGGCGTTGCCGACTTTGTTTGGTGGGGAGACGGAAGCGGTCTTAGTATCGCTGGAAAAAACGGCGAAGTCACGGAATGGAGCGTTCAAAAGGGCGTGATAGGGCGATGGACTGACGAAGGTGCTGTGGGCACTACAGTCATTGCACTCGGTGGGAGGAGCGGAAGAGATGGATGGATAGGCGGGGATCGATGGGTCGCGATTGGGAGCTCAAGTGGCATCGTGAACATTTACGATAGAAGAGCGTGGAGTGAGAAGAACCCCTCGGTCAGCGGAGATGTCTCTGATCTTAACAACGGCATACCCAAGGCTCCGAAACCCGTCCGCGGTCTCGACCACCTTACGACACCGATTTCGCACCTTGCATTGTCCCCTGATGGACAGATTCTGGTAATGGCCAGTCGATGGAAGAACAACGCGCTGCGGCTGGTACATTTACCGTCAGCGACTGTGTACAGGAACTGGCCTACGGACAAGACGTCACTGGGCCGGATTAGCGCAGTCGCATGGGGACGACCCGCAGAAGAAGAAGAAAGGGAAGGGAGTCTCGCCCTGTTGGCGATCGGGAATGAGGCTGGACGCGTCAAGCTTTGGGAGGTGAGGGTTTGATAAGGCGCTGGGATGATGCTGGAGACTGGGTACACTCGAGTACAGCGTACGATAACATAACTTGTCTTACTCTAGGTTGTGGAAAGCTGCTCCGGAAGAACTTTAGCAGGTGAAGCCCGCTGAAGATGCAGCTCCACAATTACAGGGGGTACTGGTGATTAAGGCTGCCTTCTCATTTGTTCCCCATCCTTGAAAGTTCGCTCGTCTATGATCCCCCCGTCTTGGCGTACTAGCAGCCACCTGTTCACTTGACGTCTTTCCTACCTCGATATTATGCCATTTTTCTCTTAGTGTCCGAGCTTTCAATTTCCCTCGTTTCCGAGCTTTCTATTTTTGGTAGCTGTCACCGCTTTCTTATGGAAGGCACGCCGTCTGCCGCCCTCTTGCACGATTGGTTGACCACAGCTTCTCCGCTCGCTCACACTTGTCTTTCGATCTTGCACTTCAGTTCACCGTACTGCCTGCTTGTTACTTCGTCAAAATCGCAGCGATGGAAGGAGACGTCTTGCTCGGAACAAACAAAATACGGACGTGTTTGCCGCAGGCTTCTACTTCTCACCATCTCTCACCTTTTGGACAAGCCGAATCAAAATCATTGTGCAGCACACTTCCTCTAGCATCTTCGAAGCTGTATCATAGCTACAACATCATCTCCCCCCTTCTGCTATGGCCAAAAGCAAAACCAAGAATCGCAAGAACAAGCAAAACGCAGCGCAGCACAGCACCGAACAGTCGACCGGCCACTCATCGAGCGTACAAACCAGCATCAGCGGATCAAAGGATAACAAGACCTACGACGGCACTACAGAACCACCGACCCCGACCACCATGTCCTCTTACGCTACAGATGTCGAACGCCGCGATAGCGCACATCCCAACATGAATACTCCCCAAAAGCCACTTCGAGCGCGTCGCCCTTGTTGGAAGAAGTGGATGCCCCGGCCTTGCCAGTGGTGGCCTTGTCGTGCTTCAAGGTGGATTCGGGACTTCGTCCTTGCCGTCTTCCACGTTTCGAAATCGGCAGCCTGGCGAGACCTGCTTTTCTCCGGCTCGCTGCTTGCACTGTTCCTTTTCGGATGCTGGGTAGCTATGGAGGGCTTGCTACACGTCTTCCGACCTGTCGCCGCCCAAGATGCTAACTGTAGTGTCGTCTATGTCACGATCCCAGGCCCGATCATCACGGTTTCTCTCATTGGAGCGACGCCTTCGGATCCAAATCATGGGACGTACTACTTCTCGGTCATCAATGGGACTACGCACTGGCACAACAGCATTGCTCCTCCCACGCGATTCAGCACGCTCGTCACTGTGACCCCAGGAATCACTATTACTTCCGTGACAGCCCCACCTCCAACTACTGGGTCATCGCCTGCTCTACCTGGTCCGTCCAGCATAAGCGGATCACCGCAGTCCGGTGCACCGTCGCCGAGCTCTCCTCCTCCCGTTTCGGCTCCCACATCACCAGGCACTTCAAGATTGACTACGATAGTCTCTGGGTCGACCATCATCTCGACAGGAAGCCCTAGTGTTCCTCCTGGAGCCAGTCCAACAGCCTCGTCGCTGCTGCCGACAGCAAGTACCATCACCGTCCCCGGAGTACCTACGTCTTTTCCACCAGACTCATCGAGCACAATAGGGCAGCCACCATCATCCCTACCGTCTGAAGTCACAATTACGACCATCGTGACGGGGCCAAACGGACCATCAACGACGACGGTGACCGTGCAAATCCCACCTCCGCCCACAAGTCCGGCAGCCTCCTCCAGCTTCGGTCAAAGCTCGATCGTTGGCCCAAGTCCCCCAACGCCAGTTGTACCTTCGAGCGGTAGCCAAACTTCGCTGTCAGGCTCGCCGGTCATACCGGGCAGCTCTAGCGTCCTTGGTCTGCCTTCTTCTGCGTCAATAACCAGTTCGCTCCTAGGACCTTCAGCCTTACCATCTAGTCCCTCTGTATCCACCATCTCGACGATCTTTACCATCACGAGTGTTGCGTCCGGCGGGCAGACCATGACGATCACTAGGATATCAACTACTTTTAGCACTGGAAGCTTCTCATACCCGTCTTCATTAGTCATTTCTGAGTCGTTCAGTGCTCCATCCACGGCGCTTTCAAGCCAGCCGTCAGGCGCACAAAGTAGTCGGTTCACGGTGTCCTTGCCCGGCCCATCGTCAGCACCCAGCAATCCCTCGTCAAGCATAGGAATACCGACAGGCAGTACGGCAACGGGAATACGCAGCTCTTCGAACCCGACTGCGTCTTCTCCGACGTCCTTAGTGAGCCCCCCACCGATAGGGTCGTCCTCTCCTTCCGGAAGTCCTTCGCAGCCGTCAGCCTCCTCTGGATCTTCACCAGGTGTCTCATCGCTCATGCCGTCGGCCACCAGCGGCGGGTCGTCTGTTTCATCTCCACCAGCGTCCACTTCTGTTGTATCCTCTGGTACGGCTACATCAACGACGTCAAGCCAGGCTCCCCCATCTTCGACCCCCGCTAGCAGGACCTCGACGTCTCCTAGAAACCCTAGTGGTTCGTCGATAGGCCTCACAACCACGCCTGCTATACCCTCCAGCTTTTCCAGTATCTCGTTATCCGCTCCGGCTTCTTCATCGGTAACAGCACCAATCTCAAGCGGAAGTCTTTCGTTCTCTACTCCAATCCCAAGCAGTTCTAGCGCAGCTAGTTTCTCGTCGGCTTTGACGAGTTCGCCTACGAGTTCACTGGCTTCTTCGCCAGTCAGCTCATCTCAATCATCGACTGTGCCCTTGATAAGTTCGGCGACGTCGCCTCCCACGAGCCTTTCATCGACTCCAACAATTACCCCGACATCGCCTGGAGTGCCACCCGTCCAGCCAAGCCCACCCTTCTTCAACTCCACGTCTTCGGCCAATCTAACCTCTAGTTCGACGTCAATGTCGAGCTCTACAAGCTCATCTATGTTGAGCTCCCTCATTACAGCCTCATCAATGTCTGGTTCGGGAGCGGCAGTCTCCTCGACGACCGCAGCGGTCTCCGTTACAACCATCACATCGACAGCAGGGACCACTCCTGGGATCGGGCCTCTTCCCTCGTCCGGCTGGAACGGCACAGCTCCGACGTTAACATGCACTGGCACAGTCTACAGCTCTGGCTGCATGCCCGACATGAGCGCGTTTACCACGAAAGTCATTGCTTACGGCGATACACAATTTAGCTTCGTCTTCCCGACGCCTCACATCACAACCACCGTATCATACTGGACCGGAACGTACCCCACAATCACCGGACCAGACTGGACAAGTCTTCCCCTGACCACTCGAACCGTCCGGCAGACGCCCCTCTCTGAGCTCCCCTCTTTCGAGCTCTTCCAGCCCTACCCAACCAGCTTCAGTACCGTCGTCACCACCGTCGTCGCCGACGCCGTAACCGGCACCGAGACGCGGGTCGCGGCGGCAGCTGAGCCCGCCCTATGTGGCGAATACGGAAACTTCACACTCACCTTTGACGATACGACCGTCGGACCGGACGACGATTCCATTCTCCCCGTGAACGGCATGCGGAACCCATATCACCACCTCTTCTACGCAAACGGCTTCGTCTATGTGCCCGATAAATGGGAGCCCTACCCGGCTGTCTCGCAGCCCAACGTGGCCATGTTCCTCCCCATCGGCACGAATCTTCTGCCCAACAGCCCTTTCGCTGGCACGCTCCTCGCAGGTGAGCTGGGCGCAGGACCGCGCGCCTCCGTCGACGCGTACTGGTTCAACGCATACTCGGGCTTCTTCGGCTGCGCACTCAACGGCATCACGCCCTGCACGCTGCGCATCTCCGGCTACCGCTACGACGCGACGTTGAAGCAAGAAGTGCTCGCGGCGGAGCAGAACGTCACGATAGCGCCGTGCTGGGGCTACATCAACTGCCGGCTTACGCAGGTGTTCTTCAGTCCCGACTTCCGGGCGCTGAGCGGCATTCAGTTCAATGCGTATACGTACAACCTGGGGATCCCGCAGATCTTCATGATGGACAACTTGAACCTCGAGTGGTGGAACAATACGTGCTCGGCGGGGATACTGCGGATTGGGCACAGTTAGTACATCACTCGCACACACGTGTAGGGGTGGAGGATATATACATTATTCTTTCGTGCTAACTCGGGGTGTTGCAGACTGGGGGCCGCCGTGAGGAAGTGCACGGGTCGATGCTCGTTCGGGTTGGCGCTATTTCAGGGGAACAGCTTCTATCATCTGTTTGTTAAGTGGGATATTGAAGGACATTGGATAGAGATATGCTAGTATGGATAGCTTGGGTTTTCCTTTCTTGTACAATACAGCATGATACCGTGAATAGTGATTAGCGTATCGTAGTGCATATGCGGTTCCTGCAGCTGACGGTTCGCGGATGACAACTCCTGTGGCGATGGATAAGCGTCTTCTGACCGATGGAAGGATCATCCTGTGCCGAAGCCGCCTTGGGTGCCCGCGTCCTGAGATATGTTTCAGAATTACTGTCCATGTGAGAGGCGACCGGGGGAGCAAGCCACCCAACCCTCATCCCACGTTCCCCCCGGATCCAGGTTCCCCGAGACACTGCAGCTTTAGCGGAGGCATCCAAACGGGAAGCGGCGGAGGGGCGTGGCTGCCATCGACACGGACGTGAAACCCGCGCTTATCAAGACGGCCTATCTATCGTGCCTGCCTTCCTCGAGCGGCCGTTCCTGCCCCAGCGGCTCCCGCGTGACGCGATATCGAATCCGCAGGCCCTGCCGCAAGAAGCTGCAATATATCCGGGATATCACCCCTAAGCATTGCGCATTTCTTTTTCTGCGCTGCCGCCTCCAATCAGTGCCGGCGGATCGTCTCGGATTTCCGCAGCTCGTTCTCGCCTCCGCGTTTGGGCGGCGTGCTGGTCAGGCAGAGAACCGTGTTCGGCGCGGGTTTGACGTCGCCTTGTCGCCTGGCCGCTGCCCGCCTCAAGCGAACGGCCGCTCGTCTGCCTAGGCCGAGTCCAGCCTAGCCGCGCCGGCGTCGCCATCTCTTGCGACACATCGCGCTCTCGTTCTGCCACCGCACTCCTCGCTCGCGGGGTGCTTTCACTGCAGAATCTTCTCGTCGAGTGCGCCCGCGCGCGCAGGCAGCAGACGCCGTACCATGACCACGCTCGAGTCCGGCAGCCATCCCAGCGCGGCGCTCGCGGACACACCCCACCACGACCTGCCCCCACCACCGCAGCTCCAACACGGTCCCTTCTCGCACCAGCTCAGCCCGCCAAACCCGCCAAACCCGCCCTTCTCTCCCAACCTGCCGCCGCGAATCGCACACCGGCCCTCGGGCGACTTTCGAAGTGCCTCTGCGAACGGCGCCATGGCGGGTCCCAACGGCCACGGCCCCATGCCTGTCCCAGGCGGACCGCATGCCCGCATGGGCAACGGCCACGGGCATGGAGCAAACATGCGCGAGATGGGCTTCGGCGGTCCGCGCAGCCCGCCCAACAACAAGAGTGCGTAGCAGGCCGGGCCTTGCGCGGGACAGTTACTGACGCGCCCAGGTACCTCCCACGTGCCGTGCAAATTCTATCGCCAGGGTGCCTGCCAGGCCGGCAAAGCCTGCCCGTTCCTGCACTCAGACGAGCCGCTCGCGGAGCGCGCGCCGTGCAAATACTTCACAAAAGTATGGCAGCTAGTGAACGGGGCAAGCGCCTGAGCTGACAGTGTCCAGGGAAACTGCAAGTTTGGCCCGAAATGCGCCCTCGCCCACATCCTCCCGAATGGGCACATCGTCAATCGCAACAACGTCATGGGCGGCGGGGGCCCCTTCGGCCGCATGAACATCCCACACCATCCCGATCCGGCCCCGAATAGCTCGCTCCTCACAATGCAGGCGCACATGGCGCCCATGCAACCTGGCTACCCTTATCAGATGCAGGACGAGTACTTGCCTGGCCAGAAGTCGCAGTACGACATGATACCTACCATCGACACCACCTTCTCTTCGCACCCGGGCTCGCAGTACGGGTCGCCGCCAAACGAGAACGGCCGTCTACCAATATCTCCAGTGCAGAAGGGGCTGAGCGTTATGGACGTGCAGCTGCCGGCCTCGTTCGATAGCCAGGGCATCTCGCATATGGCACGGTATGGTCCGATCGCGTCCTCTGTGCCAGCCAAGTTTCTCGCGAACTCTCCCCCGTCTTCGTTCCATGGCGACTCACCTGCGCTGCGGAACCTGCACGACTCTGCGTTTGGCGATAGATCCCACAGTAGAGCTGCCGCGCTGGGCTCGTCTCCGCCTGAGTCAATCGAGCAACCCGTAGGACGGAGAATCATGCATTCTGAGATGGGTGCCCATCGGTCAAAGGGCATGTTGTCCGCGAGTGTTGGTGCGCGTCCGCCGCTCGCAGTCCACGATGACTGGGACGAATCGGAGCTGATCGGAAAATTCGAAGAGGATCTGCTACCGAGCTCGCTCAATGACCTGCTAACACCACAGGAAAAGATGCGCCGATTCTCTCGCGATCAGACTGACAACGAAGGCAACTCGCTTTCTCATCGAGCTTCGCTGTCCAGGCTAGGAGCCTCGCCAACTGCGTCAGATCTCAAGGTCGGTTCGCCTTCAGCCGCTACCTCCTCTCCATCTCGATTCCAGTCACTGTGGGGCAAGCCGCGCCCTCAGGATACGGGATTCGAATCTGGCTCGCTACCTGGACAATCTGCGTTCGGTCACGTTGGCTCGCCTCTTCGCAACTCGACCCTCCATCCAGGCGCAAGCCCGTCTCTGCGCGCTGTTAATCGTCCCACACCCAACATCGAGAGCCCATTTGTTTCATCGCCACCTCGCCAGGCCTCCATGAGCATGATCAGCCAGCAGCTGCAGCGAACGCGACTCTCGTCCCGAGCATCCGAAGAAGGTGGGCTCCCCAGCAACCCCATGCATCCTGGAATGAATCGTGTTACCTCCGCATCCAGCATTGGAAGTTCCAGCAGCCGCCTCGGTATGGATCGGGCTGTCAGCAGCAGCAGTATCAACCGCGAGAGGATCGAGGAAGAGCAGGGCCTGTTCAGCATGGAAGAGGAGGACGATATCAATGCGAAGAGCAAGGACGGCGCCTCGACCACGTCAAGCACGAGCAACAAGCGGCTGAGTGGCTTGTCCTGGGGTAGCGGTGGAAAAGCGAGCCCGAGTCTCGCTCCCATCGGCGGTCATCGGTCTGGGAAGTTCTAGTTGCAAGTTGGGACGTCGCAAATATCGGACACCCACCTCGACGAAAAGTGATTCATGAGCTACGACCACCGCTTCCCGCAACATGAGCGCCCATAATCTGATAATCTAAAATAGCAAATACCCCTCTGCCAGCAGCCCGGTGTTCTGGAGTCTTACCCATCCTGGCGGCGATCTACAGCAAAATACATAGCGGCATTTCCCTTCATTTCCAACCACTTCTTGGAAAAAGCACATCGAGCGCTTCAGCTTCGGCGAACTTGCATACCGGGCGTTTCTCTCTTTCGACCTGGCCCTCCCTCCTAATTTTGAATGAACCTTTTCAAGCGATAAACCAAGACCAAAAGAACTTCTCTAGCTTCAGCTGCGGCTTCGGCTCCACACACCCCCCTTTGTCTGGCATCAGCGACTCTCCGCATGGCGAGGCGCCCGTGGATGGGATTCTGCCAGGTCGACACTTTTTTTCCCCTTGAGTCGATCTGGGACAATGGCGTTTTCACTTGTCCTTTTTATAGATGACATTCTTCCCATGTGAGGGGGCGGATAGTGACGGATGGATGGATGGTGGACATGGTTTATGACAAGGGCGGACACTGGATCATATTTTGGTAGTGTGTATGTGTATCTGGTATCTGCAGCGAAATGCAGCGAAAGATGAATAGACTTGTGCGACCGCCGTGTCGGCATTATCAATGTCACTGGTACCTTAGCTCTGTGTGGAGTGGTCGCGAGGCAGATAGAAGCATACGCGCGTGCGTCCTAAGCATGCATGGAAATGACTGGTCATCATTAAGAGGGCCTTATCTCATATGGTAATACACCTGCTGTAGTAAATGGCCTGATGCCCTTCAGCACCCAGAGCATAGCAGCATACCTAGGTAGCAGCAGCCCGCGTCCAAACCCTCTGATCCCGGACGACTCCGTCTCCCTAGCCTGCCAGCATAAATGCAAGCCCGGCGCCCTTCAAGCACCCTAACCACAGCGGCCGATTCCACCCACCCAGGAGGCCTACTCCGCCTTCGCCGCAGCAATCCTTAGCACCTCCTCAACGCCCTTCCTAAAGTTCTTCGGATCCTTCGCCACACTCTGCCAGATCTCGCCATGCTTCGGCTCCGCCATGGCCGCCTTACTAAGCACCTCCGCCTTCTTCTCTTCCGTACCGTGTTGCTCCAGGAACTTGTAGTACCACACCCAGCCGTCGCCGTAATCCGGGTCCAGAACGACCGCCTTGGTGAACCAGGTAGCTGCCTTGTCGAGCCGGCGCTCTGACCAGAAGATCCGCGCCACGACGATGAAGAGCTGCGGATCCTTCTCGACTTTCTTGATGGCTTCTAGCGCGCGAGGCTTACGTTGAGTTCGCGTCTCCAGGTGCATGATCTTCTCGGCCCACAGGAGGCCCGAGGTAGGGCATTCCTGGAGTGCGGCAGCCATGATTTTCTGGGCGGCGTTGATGTTGTTTTGACGGCGTTCGAGACGGACGGCCTCGCAGAGCAGCTCAGCGTTCTTCGGGTTCTGTTGGCGGCCTCTGTCGAGCGTTGAGCGGGCTTTGACGATAGCGCCCTGTCTCTCCTGGATGCGCGACAACAGGATGTACAGAACTGGCGCTTTAGGCGCTGCGCGTGTGCCAATTGAATACACCTCCTGGGCCTCCTTCAGCTTGGAGAGCGACTCGTATATTTGGCCTTTGATGGCATGCAGTTTCCAGCTACCTGGCCACGTCTGCAGGCCCTGGTTGCAGATATCGATCGCCTCTTCATAGGCTCCGAGTTGCCGCTCCAAAACAGCCGATTTCATAAAGATACGGTCCGTAGCGGCAGACTCTCGAGCGATTTGTAGGAATGTCCGGGCTTGGGCGTAGTTTTCGGCATCAACCTCAAAATCGACGGCGCGCGTATACAGATTCTCGTTACCGGGTAATTGCTCGAAGGATCGGCCGAGTACCTTACGTGCCCCCTCCGCGTCGCCGGCTTGCCACATCTCTCGGGCGTATAGCAGCCATAGAGATTCGGAGTGTGGACAGGCGTTCGCGGCTCTCTCCAGCACGCTTAACAGAGCTTCGGTTGAGCCATGATGCTTCTCCAAATCGGCCGACGCATGCCAGACGGTTGTGCTGTACGGGAAGATAGACACTGTGTGCGCGAGGATGGCCCTGGCCACCTCGTGATGGCCGCGTGCAGAAGTGCTCTTCGCATCCTCCAGCCAGACGTCCCTCCGGTCATCATTCTCATCCAGGCCCCATCCGATTGTCGCTTTTACGATTGAGCCTGCCGTGACGATGTCGTTTTCTTCCTCGCATACTTCTGCCTGTGTGATCCATTCTTCTCGTTTGGGCATGGCATTTTCCTTGATTAGGGCTTTCACCGCACGCTCCATAATCTTGTCGCAGAGGTTGACCCTTCCCATCTCTTCTTGCAGCCTACACGCATGCACCCAGATAGCCCAGCTTGTGGGAATAGCTTTCCGCGCCGCGTTGAGAATCTGCTGAGCCTCTTCAGGACCACTAACACGTGCATAGGATATCCAAAGTTCCTCCGACAGTTTCACGGTCTCGGTGGCCTTGGCGAAGAGAAGCTTCACCCTCTCGATATCGTCGGTGTCATTGATCAGAATCTTCCACAGCTCTACGGACTGCGGATTGTGATCTAAAGCTTGTCGTGCCACCTTCTTGCGCGCATCCGGCGTCTGCTCCAGGTCGATCGCGGCCATCCATAGTTTGATCGCTTTAGGGTTGAGCTTGATACCGGAGGCGGCAATAACCTTGGCATTGTGTAGATTTTCGCGGTTGAGTCGAATTGCTTCTTCCCACACGACTATCGACTTCGGACACATCTGACAGCCTTGCTGAATGATTTTCTTCGCTGTATGAATCTTGCCTGCAACCTCCTCTAACCGGGCAAGGGCGACGTACCCGGGGCCGTTGTGCACATTTGTCTTGACAGCAGATTCCAGAAGCACCCGCGCGCGATTGATGTCCTCAACAGGCAACTCTTCACCCATAGCCTGCTTCTTATCAAGGGCAGTGATATAACCCCGTGGGTCAACAGAGGTCGCAGTCCCGGAGGTCGTCGACGTCGTCGTCTGCGTGCCAGGGTTGTTCGCAGCCGAGTCGAGCCGTACTTGAAGCGCCGATTTCTGTGCGGCCCCGATGGACGCGAAATTGGTCATTGTACCGTCGGAGTCGGTGGAGATCGAGGTCTCCAGCTGTCCTGACTGTGATGCAGCCTGGATAACGCTATCTGGCACAGCGTATGACCTGGAGTTTGCCATTCGTGCCTCTCGTGCCCGCTTCGCTTTTCCAGTCATATCCCCCACCTCCGGCAACGCTGCCCATTCTTCTTCGGATACGCTACCGAGGGCTCGTTTCAGGTCCGCGAATTGGAGCTGAATCTTGGGGTTGTTCCGTTCGTATTCGTCGCGTTCTTTCTGCTCGCGGGCTTCCCTACACGGTCGCAAATGGTCGGTATCTGCTCGTCGCAATAACAACGATGAATACTTCAACGGCTTCAAAAATGAAGAGGGGGAGGGGCAAGGGGAAAAAGAAATTAGGGGTGCTAACCTTCTAGCTCGCCGTCGCTTGTCCATCTTTTCGTCCACGTCCTGGTATATCCGATCTGCCTCGTCGTCATCTTTGTCGTAGTTCATGCCGCTTGAGAACAGTCCGACTTCGTTATCGGGGTCCTGGAATCGATCTTCATCCTCGTCCTCCTCTTTCTTTTCTGTAACACCGTATGCGGAAGGAGCTGCCTGACCAAGGGAGGCTGCTCTCTTCGCCAGCATCTCCTTCATTTGTTCTTCCGATGGCCCTTCTCTCGCTGGACCTAAGTCGCTTCGAGTCGTGAAGCCGGTAGCGCCACGCCCGAGACCAGCTACGTAGTTCTCGGGCGCAGGCATGCTCAGAAAGTCGCGTCGGCCGCTCATCTTGGCTGTGTAGTTGAGAAACGTCGGCGAATGGTAAACCTCTGAAGGCGCTCAGGCGAGCAGTTGCCGATACGGCGGCGGGGTTTCGAGGTGGGTAGTCGGTTGGTGGGTTGGTAAGGTCCGCGCGAGGTCTACGCTGAGTTGTCGGAGAATAAATTGGGAAGGCGGCAGTGCCAAGCCGAGTGTCACGTGCTCACGCACCCGTCTCAGCTACACTGGTCCTGAGCAGTGAATAGGTTCGTGAAGCCCTTCAGGCTCTATTTTCCTCTGCCTTTTCTAAGTCCTGATTTCCCAGCACAGTTTCCATTGATAGTATCATTTTGTACAAGTCATTCCGTTTATGATATCATTTTCCCTGCATAGCATCTAGCAGGACGTATGCCTACTTTTTGAGAGAAGTCCTCAACCATGTGCTTCCGCAATTTAGATTCCCAGTCGATCTATGCCGGCGATTAAGGCTAGCGACGACCCTGCGGATCCATCTCCTCCCTCACCTCGCCCAACGGTTCAATCCTCGCCGGATCCACGGCCTCGTCCGAGAAGCCTGGGTTCTTCCTTGTGCTCTCTCCCGCTTTTCCATCCAGTGGTTCGAGCTTGGTACCATGAACGGTCTCGTCTGTTCCGACGGAGCCCGCGCTTGCGTGCGGCTCTGGGTGTTGGTATTTGCCTAACCTTTATTAGCATGCAGTCTCTTCGCGAAAATATGATTATTATGGCGTACCTCGTCCTCCGAGAGGGTCGATCCTCGCTTTGTCGATGGCGGAATCGGTGCCTGCTGAGCCGCGGGCGCTCATGTCGTGAGGCTCATTTTGCTTGAGGCTCGAGTCGAGGGGCTGGATCTTGGAGGCAGAGATGTCCTCGCTCTTGCCGGTGACGCCTCTGGTCTGTATGAGCATGTTGTTCCGAAATGGTAGCAGCAGGGCAGCAACGTACGAAGACATCGTAGAGTTAGTTTTCTCGTTGTTACGTTCGAGGTAGGAGTTGTGTCGAGCCGTTTTGGTTGCTTGGCGCTCAGTTGGTACTGAGGTGAGCAGGTGAGGCTGCATTTTGTACCATTGGGGGCTGCGGTGCTTGATTACATCATTGTGAGTTCACCGCTGATAGTTTCAGCGTCGATGCGCTTCTTTGCGCAGTCACACTTTCCATATCGAAGATTGCGGCGTTGTTATGATGCTAGCTGCGGGGGAGCTGTGCAGCAATGACATCTTAGCCGGCCCCCTCAGCTCTCACGACAAGGACCCTGACAGTCGATCCCGGAGGGCTCTGAAACCGAATAGCTGGTTGCCTGAATAAATGAGGTAGAGATCCACGGAGCATTTGGCCGATTTCAACCTCGAATTGCCCACTCATCGAGACGACCCCCATCCGACCCGGGCCATGCAATCAAAGAAGACTCGCAAATGGAGCAACTATTTACAGTCAATGGGTATAAAGCTCCATTCCAGTCCATAGATTCATACGTAGAATACCTGCAGAAAGGTCACCCATAAAACTCCTTAAACCAATGACCATCTGACAGATCGATGTCGAAATACTAATGCATGCTTCCAGCCAGAAGAGATCGCACGAGCTAGCTTTCGGGGCTCCTATGTTGCCCGTGATGGCACCGGGACTCTGCCGTTTGCCGGCCCTGGCATAGGGACTGCCGCACGTGGGGGCATTTTTGGAAGAGGAGGCGATAGCGGGGAGCTTCTGATAGCCATATCGCCTTTCAGGTCCTTCGTGCTACGATCAGTTAACACATGTACTCCCTTCGACCGGGGTAGCTTCCAAACCCTACCTCTTCGACTTTTTCACCTTTCCCAGCCACTTCTTCAGCCCTCTCTGCTTAGTCTGTTCGCCGTCCAACTCCTCTGTCCTGCCCATACTACTCCTCTGGCTGACGGGACTGAACTGACTTTCCACACCATTCTCGCTAACTTCCAGCTCTTCATCATCTTCAAGGGGCGGCGCCCATCTCTCCACGTCTCCATTGACTACCACAAACCAGCCCACCTTCTGCCCTGTGGCGATCTTATCACGCAGCTCCACCAGCGCGCTCCAGGCCTCATTCTTCACACCCTGCCCCCTCACCTCGTCTATATCTGCGCCTAGCTTTATCTCGTGTACTTGGTCGCATACGTACGCATACGGCTGGTCTTTGACAGTTATGTCTTCAGGGTCGTATTGCTCGATGAAGCGCAGGTTTGGTAGATGTGCCATTTGTTCTGGGTACATCTTCTGGAAGTTCCTAGTCAGTTCGGCAGTCGTGGCGGGCGCCATGAGCCATTCTGGGGCGCAATCTTCGAGGTTCTGAAGGATGACGTGGATGCGGATAGGCTCTCGGGGCCAGCGAAAGCCGTGGACGAGCCAGGTAGGCATTGCGGGCGATTTGGTTGGACGATCTCTGGGGCTCGTAAACACCTGTCTTGTGCCAATAGACGTGCGGGGACAAAGAGGCGTCCGACCTGTCTGCTGTGGCGCAATTCTTTGGCCGTAAGAGGGCTGGGTCGTGGTACAGTACGTAGGCGCGGAAGCGCGGGTCGGGTTCTCGAGTGTTACGTCTCTTCAGCAGATCCTCGCTCGACTATCATACATTCCCGACTTTGCTGTTGGTCGATTTGCTAGAATTAAACAGTGGGAGCTCGAAACGTTCGGTGGAGGCTGTCGGACGCCGTTCCTGTAGCGGCGATGAGCCGACAATGGCACGATACGGCTCGAAAAGACAAGGGATGTGTGCAAAGTAAGAGAAAGACCGTGGGAAGGCAATCTAGGTATATTAGTGGACTGGACGGAGGAGGGCAGTCCATAAATACCATTGTGTTACACGGAAGTTCGAAGCTTGAAGTGCGAGCCGTGAGCGGGCTGCGATCCGAGTTCCGCGCCAATGCAGGTCAATCGTTGTTTCCGCGGGCATCCCTGCAACTCCAATTCACTCGCCCGCCAACTGCGGGGGAGGTTTCCCGCCACCGCTCACGATGGGATAGGCTCGTCCGCTCCATATCCCTACCACAGTCGTACACCTCACCATGCCTCTGTAAGTCCCATCCAAGGCGGCGTGCCTATTTGCATCCCCATACTGACAAACCTTCAGTCATCTCCTTGGCAAAAAGGTAGACGATCTCTTTCGCCGTCACACAGCATTGATCCGCTGACAATGTCCAGTCATGGAACGTATACTCGCCGGCCAATGTTGCTCGGGTCAAGGCCGACGAGGCCGCCGCCGCCGCTCGCGAAGCTGCCGAAGAGCAGCGCATGCAGGAGCTCGATGCCACGCGACGAGCCGCCATACTACGAGGCGAGACACCGCCACCACTTCCAGAGGAGGGTGCAGAAAACGATAAAAGGAAAGCCGACGGAAGAGAAGGGCATGATCGAAAGAGACGGAAGTTGGCCGGTGAGGATGACACGGAGAGAGACATTCGGTTGGCAACGTCTGCCGCCGCGCCCAAGGAAGACGCGAATAACGATGCAAAACTCCTGAAGCTGAGGAAGCCAGGGAGCGACGCTCCGTTGACCGACCACGCGGGCAACATCAACCTCTTCCCGGTAGACCTGAGAGAGGCGAAGAAGCGCGAGAAGAATGAGGAGGCTGAGAAAGAAAAGAGGAAGAAGGAGAAAGCTCTGGAGGATCAGTATACCATGCGCTTCTCGAATGCAGCGGGCAGAGGCGGACTGGAACAGCCATGGTACGCTGCTGGTGGAAGCAAAACTGCAGAGAACCATGACGCACTGCTAGGATATCAAAACAAGGACGTTTGGGGCAACGAAGATCCACGCCGGAAGGAAAGGGACCAAGCCAGAATCACCTCGAATGACCCCTTCGCCTTCATGCAGAAGGCTCAGACCCAGCTGAAGAAGTCCCGCGATGACAAGAAGAAGTGGGCCGAGGAGCGGGATCGTGAACTCCGAGAGCTAAGGGCTGCGCAGGAGAGGAAATCTAGGCGGGAGAGACATGGCAAAAGAAAGGGACGACATAAAGAAGAGCCGGGCGAGAGCTTATCACTCGACCGGCAACGCGAGAGAGACAGATCGTCAAAGCACAAGCGTCGCCATCGCAGCCGGAGCCGGAGCCCCGAAAAACTACTTGAGCACAAGTCATCTCATCGACGCGAGAGGAAACGTAGTCGAAGCTGGACTTCAGGCGGCGACGGACAACATGAACGGAAGTCTTCCCATCGACATGAGCGAGAACGCGCGGATGGCCTGTACGAGAGGAAGACGGAACGTAGCCCAATACATCTGTCGGAGGGATATCAGGCCCGTGCCGCGGAAGGGGGCCGGCGTATGGTGTAGTATAAAATCCGAGGATTACCTAGGTATCGTCGAGAATGACTAATCAATATACCCATTCCCACCGCATCCTAGTCATCTTCTCTCTCTTGTGCTCTACAGACCCGCCGTGCTGACCCGAGCCCGGGAACCGCGCCAAATTCCAGGTCAGCCAGATAATCCATAGCTTCACGGTGCTCGGTCCTCCCGAGGTCCTTGTCTTGCGCATAGGTCATCCCAAAACGGTAAGGTACTGCTTCTTCATCGGGTAAGGTTCGCTAGCGTATATTGTGCGTCACCGCAGATGCCTGCAGGATGCCCCTCGGGTGGGGCAGCAGGAGCATCCCTCGGCAGAACGACGCGGACGAGAAAATGTATTTAAGACCTGGTTATCCGTCGCCAATTTGACTCCGGTCACCGACATCTGCCTTCAATCGTTGCGCTGCGCGTTCACTCTGCTCGTCTCTTTCCTAGCACGTTCCAAGACCTCAAAAACAATGGCTTCAAATCCGATCGGCAGGTGCTGCACCGTTGGTGTCAAGCATGAGGGCACCGCGAAGGGAGATGTGAAGAACATTGGTGACGGTATAAGCTTCATTTCGAGAGGTTTGTGATTGAATTGATGCTGATATGAGCAGTCCGAACCTACTTCACCTACCCCGAAGACAAGAGCACGCAGAATGCGATCGTGATCTTCACCGATGTCATGGGCATGGACTTCATCAACGTGCAGCTGTATGCCTTCCATCCTACCACCTAAGCCTCCCCCTTCTAACCACCCGTCCCAGCATCGCCGACCAATTTGCCGCGAATGGGTACTTCACCATTGTTCCCGACCTTTTCAACGGCAACGTAGTACCGCTCAACCCGCCCACAGATTTCGACATCATGAAGTGGATCAACGAAGAGATGCCGCGCGTTCCAAAGGTCGACCCCATCATCGAGTCCGTCCTCAAGCACCTGCGCGGCGACCTGGGTGTCAAGAAGCTGGGCGGTGTCGGGTACTGCTTCGGAGGCAAGTACGTGTGCAGGTGGTTGAAGGAGGGGAAGCTGGATGCCGGGTACACGGCGCACCCGAGTTTTGTGGACAGGGAGGAGGTTGAGGGGATTATGGGGCCGTTGAGTATTGCTGCGGCAGGTATGTGCAGTTCCCAACTTCCCTTTTCTATTCATCCTACATGAGCGGACGCATCGCCGCCCCGAAGAGCGATCGCCAATGCTAATGCCAAAAACAGAAACCGACCAAATCTTCCCCGCCCCCAAGCGCCACGAAACCGAAGAAATCCTCCAAAAGATGTCCGTCCCCTACCAGATCAACCTCTTCTCCGACGTCGAGCACGGCTTCGCAGTGCGATGCGATCTGACCAAGAAGCCCGCCAAGTTCGCCAAAGAGCAGGCGTTCCTGCAGGCGGTCGCGTGGTTCGACGAGCATGTCAAGCAGGCGTAAGTGGAATATTCTCTTGCGGCCATTCCTTAGGCGATATAGATGGAATGCTGGTAGGAACCCGGCGTTTGCGTTTGCGTAGCTGAGGTGTGAGGTCGAGATTAAACGGTCCGGCGTCGCAGTCTCGCAATCGACTCTTCAATCTCCGCATCTCTTCTAATTACGTCGCACTCAATATCATCTGTATACCTCGCCCCTTTCCCGTCTATTCTCCTTGTTCTATCTCGTGCTGTCCTTCTCATCGGATTTACAACGTCTTTGATCCTCCGTCCGCACCATGCCGCCGAGCACACGGTGATGTAGACTAGATAGAAGGCCGCCCACAAGCAGTACGACGCTATAAGAAATTCGATCACGTTTTCTAACGCGTCCCAGGTCGTCGGGTGTAAAGTTGTGAGGTGGATGGGATGTGCGTGCGGCGAAGTAGACGGGTCGTGGGCGGGGAGCGGCGGCATTGCGGATGGGCAGAGCGGGACGTTGGTGGTAGGAAGGAGCGGTCGGTAACGGAGATGGAGTAATAGGTGTGGGCTGGGAATACGCGTAGTGATGATGAGTAGCGTTATGGAATTCTGGTGGTGATATTCCCCGTGGCGATAGTGTGGTGGGCCGAAATGGAACCATGGTAAGCTTCTGAGATGCGCCGAGTGCAGCCATACGTTCCTCCTTCCTCGATGTTATTGTCTTTCTTCGCGACCCTGCTCTCTTTCCGCCTCAGTGCTGCGCTGGCAGTCTCGCGTTGCTCGTTCCTTCCTCTTACCGCCATTCCGCACTCCCTTCCGCCCCTGCACCGCCCATCGCGGTATAGGGTAACATGGTCAGCTCATCTCCACTTTCGGCGCCAAGGCACTTCGCTCTGTCTATAAATGCCCCCTTCTCTTCCTTGCTCTCCTTTCTTCTTCACACGCTCCCATAGTCCTCGTCACTAAAAGTCCGGAAACATAAGTTTATGAGCTCCAAGTCTCCTGACCCCAGGGACTAAAAGCAATTTCGTGGACGCCACATGGACTGACTTCTTCTCTGCAAGTCTAAAACCGCCTTTGCATCCAGAAATGCTCTTGCAACTCGGTCGAACTTTGACATCAAAACAGTTTTGTACAACTGTGAGTCATGGAGCTGTCCTCTGTTCGTCGCCCACTAAAACGTCCCTAGAGATAACTCCATGCGGGGTCCTCGCTTCTTCGAGCTTGGTCGAAATAAGTTACCCACCAATATATGGCCATCGCATCACGTACTGAAGCACCTCTCGCTCTATCTATATAAGTCTCTCTACCTCCGCTTTCCCTTCTTCTCTCCACACGACGAGCTGCTTCGGTACTAAAATAGATGAAAAGGCATACCGATGGACCTGGCGTTTCCTGCCCGCGGTGTAAAAAAAACCACTTCTTAAAGGACATATGGCTCCATCCGCGTGTCTCTCCCCTCGATTGCTCTAAGATGATCGATCTCCTCAAGCCTAGCCGCGATACGACCGTTCCGCGAGGACTAGAAAATATCGACTCGAGATCCAAATGGCGGAGCCTTTTCTTGGAGCAGTAGAACGGATCGACAAGGTAAAACATGGTGTCCTTGCTGCTTGGAAGACGTCCAAGAACTCCTCCCTAGTGTCCACCCGGTCCGCTATCTTCTCCCTTACCCTCCAGTATTCAAAAGGCCCGCAATCAGTCTCCCGAGAAACTTCCTCGCTCTCTACTATAAGTACTGTACTGGTCTCTGCCATGAGCCTGCCACCTCCTGCTTCCAGTGCCGAAAAGCTGTAGCGGAATCATACATGGCGTCTCTCCCCTTCCGCGGTTACAAAATAATTCAACACCACGCTATGGTTTGGTCCCGGGATCGAATGAAAAGGGAAACAAGCGTGGTTTATGTGCTGCCGTCTTTCACAGAAAGTGTTGGGAAAGGGAATTGCATTTCTGCATTGGGGGTTGGGGGGTTTCTCGGAGACGTACAGTATGTCATCGTATGGGATGCGGACCTGGTTTCGTTCAGCTCGACGAGCAGAGACAGTTCGTCTATATAAACTCCTCCTTGCCGTCAATTTCGTTTCTCTCTCCACACGCTCCTCCGGCCCTCCACACTAAAAGCGACGGATGCCACCCTCATGGCCGTCCTGCGTCTGCGCTGCGGTCTGTAAAATCCAGCTTGACGTGTGCTTATGGCGTCGCTCGCTGGTCTATTGAGGTTAAAGGTCTCAATAAGAGCTTGTATGCCTTTGGTGCTCGCATTTGGGGTGGACTAAAATTCCAGATTGGAGTACTCATGTTGGAGGTTTCCTCTCTCCGGTTGTCGAAAGCCATACGCGTACTCATTCGTCATTCAACCGCAGCAGAAAGTGCACTTTGGAAAAAGATTCAAAAACAATGTCCTTCTCCCTGATGGAAGGCACCAGAGTTCTCTGGTCGGCGTTACTATGACTCTTCGCCTGTTGCGCTTCTCCACTGGTACCATCGGCTCCCTGATATCAGGGGTATAGAGTTGCTCTCCTCTATACTTCCAACCCTCACTGCTGGACGCACCGCCCCGCGCGCTTCTCTAGAAAGGATATGTGCCCCTTTCGATGGCTTTGACCGCGTGGCCTCTTCCTAGGGAGAATTTCTATCCTTACCTAGAGATGGACTCTTCTTCCAGGGCGGGGATTACAAAATGAATCCACTAACCAATCCACGCTCTTGCCTTTTTCTTTCGAGTACTTAAAAACGAAACGCGAACACCTACCATGAAAGCCGGCGTCTCTGTCCGTTTACCTTCAACGTGGAAAACACTACGGCTCAATGCTTCTCTAAAAGCACAACCATTGCGTCCATATGGAGTGTACGTCTCCCCTCGCCGATCTCAATAAAAGCGCGACCCAACCGTTTCATGGCTAGCTTTGTGGTCGCTGCGAATCCGACTATTGGGAGATGACTTCAATGTCTTGCACTTCGCTTCCAGGTCTTAGAAAGGGGCATAGGCAACCAGCATGTGCTCTTCCTCGCGGAACGGAATCATTGCTTAGACAAAGATATGGTCCTGGTGCGGGGTTTTATGGGGTTCGTAAAAAACCTGAGACAGCAAAATACGATCGAGAACTCGCATGGATTCCTCTCCAAAGTAGCTGCGGAGCACGCAATGGCTGGAGCAACTTCGCCTATGCTTAGTCCAAAAATCTACGAGTGAATCTAGCATGAGTAGTGCTTGTGATTAGCTGGAAAGCTGGTTCTTCATATGGAGTTCTGTGCGGCGCGTCAGCATCTCGAAGTAAACGAAATACCCTGCTGCGGGAACTGAATGCCTGTCTGCTGCTGGGTTGTCCTGCTACAAAGGACCGGGTGTTCTGCCCATGCCGTTCCTGTTCGACTCACCCCTCGTTCTAAATCCAACTCGCTACATCCTATGTGTGCTCCACCTGCTCTCAGCTCGTCTCTCCAACCGTTTCCAGATCTTTTACATGGACTCCTGCTCTTGCTTGTCTCCAAAATCTCCATTGTCAACGATTATGGAACCCCGGCACGTTCCCGGGGTTGCTTCACCCGAAAGAGTTCCACAAACTCATCATGCCTAGGAATACATTTGCGCCTACTCAATGCTCTCGGAAACAGCTGCATGTCGGCTCGCTCGGAACGGCGTCAGGCTAATCGCATGGACCCGCAGTCGTTTCCTCGGTCATACGCAATCGAAATGCGTATTCTATCATGCAGCGCTCCTCTGACCTTTTTCCCAACATCCTACGACCCCACACCATGCTCCCGAATCTGCCGAACTTCTCGCAGAAAAAGAAGAATCAACTCAAAGCATGGCTTGGGCATCTTCCTCCGGCAACAAAAAAATTCAACACCGTCGGATTCTACGGGGCCACGCGGGGTCTGTAATTCTACCAAAAGACGGGGACAATGATCATGCTGTTCTCGAGCCAGGTTTCTGAAAAAAAAAACCCCCGGATTGAAACGGATTGAAAACATCCTTAACACTTAATTATGGACGCTTGTTTGGCATCCTGAAAACGGACGGCGGCCCGTGCGATGCTCTTTCCCTTTCTCCCCGTGAATATCAGAAAGTGCGTGCTGTCCCTGTCATGAGAACACCCGTTGCGCGCGGCACTTAAAAGCAGTGCAGCACCAATTCATGGCCGTGCTGCATTCTCGGGAATCTTCGACCATAACTCGCACACACCCCTTGATATGCTTTGCGAGGCGGGCTCCTCTCCGCTCAAGAACTTCGGAACCACCTGTATGTCGCTCCGGCGCCTTTCACCTTAGGGATTTGGAAGGCCGTGGGGGTCGTCATATGGTCTCCTCCCGTTCGTTTGCGGGATATGAAGAGTGCAGCGACGCGTACAACATGTGTATATTCAAAGACGGTTACTGAAAAGGCATGGTGCGGGCCGCCGCTTGCTCGTCGTATTCGGTATTTAAAACATTGCGAACCACAAAGAGCAGGACCGCTTTCACATGGTCCACAAGCCATAACCGCAGCGGATCGCTAGAAGCCTCAAAGTGGACAGCTGTGATGGTATGCTCTGAAAGGTTACTCTGAAGACATGTTCTTCGGAGCTCTCGCGGGTGGCTTGTAAAAGTCTTTTCCCTGGAAGAATGATTATTCTTTGCGCATACGCTCATTTTCGTTCCTATTGATGCTGGTGAGCATCATTGTAGTTTGCCGATCATAGGCGTGCAGATGGCTACGGTGAATGAAATCAAGCGAACTGTGAAGCCCCACTCACTCGTTTGTTTCGTAAGGAAAGAAGAGCAGTGACCGCAGCGGGGCTCGTCGAGAAGCAAACGTACCTATATATTCTCGCCTTCCCACGTTGCCCAGTTCTCGACCTCGACACAACTAGCACATGGAAGCATGAGCAACGAACCCAACAACTCGACAGCTCCCGCAAAAATGACAAAGCCAGCAGTGCGATTCGCGGATGTCGAACCCGTGGAGCTCACGCGCGAGGTGCTCGGAGATGCCTTACTAGGTCCCGCACATCAGCGCGAGGCCCTCGATCTCCAAGTGTCCATGAAGGAGCTGGGCGCCTTTCTGTGGACCCTCCTGGAACACCGTGACGATCTCCTCAACGCCGACATTACTCTAGAAATCTTCGGCAGCCCGGATGCGCACCCCACGCGCCCGGGCCCCCAGCTGCTCATGTCATGCACAGGCCTCTTCCAAAGTACCAACCTTGGTCTCCGCGACATGTCGGAGCTATGGGAAGACCTTGAAGCCGGGAAGCCATCAGCCTTACTTGCTGTCATTCTAAAGCTGCTCTCCTATTTCGGAAACCTCGTCCATCTAAACATGAGGGAATGCCGACTGCACGAGCTGCCCATGTTCAACATGCTCTTCAACGACCCGAAGGTATCGCCGCTCGATGGGCAACCAACGTGGAACAGGCCGCTGCACTGGAAGAAAGGATACCCGGGCGCCGTACTCCACGAAGTTGCAGGGAAACTGGAGACGCTCCAGATGCCGATGACGTGGAGTATCGCGTCTGCAATATCCTCGCCGCCGTACAAAACAATGACCCCGATCTGTCACCTTCCGGGCTTCAGCCAGCTGCGCGAGCTAGCTATCCCGTACGCGGCAGTCATACCGCGTCCGAAGACGAGTCTACGCGCATTGCCGACTTCGGCGCTGCCTTCCACGTTAGAGACGCTGGGGATCTTCGACGCCTATCCTTCGCGCTTCCTTTCTGATTTCCTGAGAGCGGCAAGGGTGGCGAAGAGGGAGCATGGGATGCTGAAAGCGCTAGAGAAGGTTGAGATTCATTGCAATGACAGCTTTCCGGTGGGTGGCTATGATGAGTTGGAGGAAGTAGCGAAGCATTCAAACGGGTTCGCGGAGCGTGAAGCACATTACTTCCTAGTTAGGTTGGGGTGAGTATATAACGTTTGCGGAGCGGTGATGGAGCGACATAAGCAAGTTGGGGTGGTTACGCGACTTGTAGGGAATGCACACGTACCTAGAATCAATCTGCTGGTCCGTATATGAGGAAGCTCGCCAGCATTTTATCAATGCGGCTGAACATGATTCGTTGTTATGGCTTTACAGAGCCGTCGTCTCTCTAGAATACGCCAGCCAGTCCAGCGTGATGCACTTGCAATGACGTTGGCAGTGCCGTCACGCATGCGGTGGTGGAAGTAAACGAACACATATATATTCGGCCCTCAGAACGTTCGATGCTTGCGGTATACCCTTCACCAAGACGAGGCGAAACGAGAAAGAAAATGGAGAAAGCTCCCCTAGAAGGAATACCGAAAAAAATCTTCCAGCAGATATGCACCTCTATCTGCGGTGGACAGCATGATCTATCCACCCAAAGAGACCTCATCAACCTGAGTGAAAGCTGCAATCGACTGGCCCCAGCCGTACGTTACGTAATATTGCAGCATGTCATCGTTGACATTACGAGGTTAGGAAGCCTCCTTCAATATTACTTGAAATATAGGAGCGACCAACCGCAGGGGTCTTGCATTCTAGAGATCACCTCAGGCCCTGGTCTTCCAGTAGCCAACATCCCGGATGGGAGGCTCATCAGCGAGTGCGAAGACAGGATCTTTGAACACCAGTCGGAGGTTCAGAGCCAAGCCGAGTGGCTGAATGACCTCGTAACTGGAAATCTCGAAGCATTTCTTGGTCTAGTGCTTATGCAACCCCCGGGACTGACGGACCTGCGGCTAGGTAGAAGTCGACTCCACGCTTTCCCGCTCCTCAACAGGCTGTTCAATGAGCCTCAGGTCGTCATTAGACGCGGCGGGTATGACTGGCAACGTCCCTCGCCATGGAGTCGTAATTATCCAGATGAGATCTTCGACTGGATCGCACCCAGGTTGAAAGCGCTCGAGCTGCCAGGCCATTGGGATATGGTCCACGCGTATGACCCCACCGGCGTCAGGTTAATGCCCCGCGTAGCCACTCTCAAAGCCTTCACCTGCTTGGAACGCTTGTCGGCGCCTTATGATGCACTGATTTCTTTGCCTGGTCTGCATGTACCGAGCGGTGCCGTCCCTCATGTTCCCATTGAGAACTTTCCCCCGACTCTCCAGATATTGGTAATAACCGATGCCTCTCGGAACCATAGAATGTTTCAATTCTTGGAGCAGTTGCTGGTCAAGAGGAAGGAGAAGGGTATGCTTCCAGTGCTCAGCCGAGTTGAGGTATGCTCTGGGAACCGGTTAGAGCCTTCCTTAGGAAACAACGCCGAGGAGGATACCATAGTGGCGAATGGGAGGCGGCTGGGGATAGAGATATGCTTCGGGTAAGTGAGAGTGCAAATTGTCTATGCTTCCGATTTCGGGTCTGTCCTCAAGGTAGCGTACTTCTCGTATGTACTTCTAAGTCGTTCTTAAATTGGATATATTGGCGATATTCCTCTCTTCGGGTCGGTATTCGTGAGTGGCGAGAAAGTGGCCATGGTGTAAAGAATGAAGAATTATATACCGTCCTCCGCTTTGATGTACTAGCTAAGTCGGTTTCTAAACTGTAAGGACTGAGATCGCCCGTGCGCTTATCGATAAGGCTAGCGCGAAAACGCGTCAAGGTCGCGCTCGCGTTTAATAGGGAGACGCTCCGCACTACTTTCTCCTCATGTTCTGCACGTCGGCGCCTTTCGTTTCTGCTTGACCCGTTAGATCGCCCTGCAATACTAGATTCTCTCCAAAATGGCGTCCCGGCCGGAGTTGAAGGAAGACGACGAGTCGAGTTTCTGTAAATTCTTCCGCAATTTGCCCCACAGCGATGATACTGTACGAATATTCGACCGTGGGGATTACTACAGCGCACATGGAGAGGATGCCAAGTTTATTGCTGCTTCGGTTGGTGGCCCGCCAACCTACTGGAAAGTCTAGCTAAGGTGTATACCAGGTTTATCACACAACGGCTGTCATCCGCAAGCTAGGCCGAGAACCGGGCCTGGAATCCGTTACGATGACGACGATGGTGTTCCGTAATTTCCTTCGAGAAGCTCTGTTTAGACTGGGCAAGCGGGTGGAGATCTGGCAGTCGTCTGGGCGCATGGCTTGGAAGGTCGCGAAGCAGGTACGGCAACACCAGAGCAAGGGCAGGACGAAAAGCTCACTATAACTCAGGCCTCGCCGGGGAACCTCCAAGATATCGAAGACGAGCTCGGCGGACGGATTGAGAATGCGCCCATAATACTGGCCGTCAAAGTGTCGGCAAAGGCGTCGGAAGCCCGCAATGTTGGCGTCTGCTTCGCGGATGCGAGCGTGCGGGAATTGGGTGTCACCGAGTTCCTCGACAACGACCTCTACTCCAACTTTGAGTCGCTCCTCATCCAGCTGGGCGTGAAGGAATGTCTTATACAAGCGGATGGTGCGAAGAAGGATGTGGAACTCAACAAACTTCGGACGATTGCGGACAACTGCGGGTGCGCCGTGGCAGAGCGAGGAATTGCAGATTTCGGCACAAAGGATATCGAGCAGGATCTTCCGCGGTTGCTAAAGGATGAGCGAGCTGCTGGCACTCTTCCTTTGACAGACCTGAAGCTTGCCATGGGAGCTGCCGCAGCTTTGATCAAGTACCTAGGCGTCATGTCGGACTCTTCCAACTTCGGACAGTACCAGCTCTACCAGCACGATCTTTCGCAGTACATGAAGCTGGACGCAGCAGCACTGAAGGCGCTCAACCTTATGCCAGGACCCCGAGATGGTGCGAAGACGATGAGTTTGTATGGCCTTCTCAACCACTGCAAGACGCCTACCGGAAGCCGCCTGCTCGCCCAATGGCTGAAGCAGCCGTTGATGAACGTGTCGGATATCGAGCGGCGGCAGCAGCTGGTGGAGGCTTTTGTCAACGACACCGAACTACGCCAGACGATGCAAGAAGAACACCTGCGCGCCATACCGGATCTTTACCGGCTGGCCAAGAAGTTCCAACGTAAAGTCGCTAACTTAGAGGATGTGGTGCGAACATACCAGGTAATCATCCGGCTACCGGGTTTTCTGGGCGCTCTCGAGTCGGTCATGGACGAGCAATACAAGGACCCGCTAGACGCCGAATACACTACGAAATTACGGGAGTACTCTGATTCCTTTGCGAAGCTTCAGGAGATGGTCGAGACTACGGTCGACTTGGAAGCACTTGATAACCACGAATTCATTATCAAGCCCGAGTTTGACGAGTCGCTGCGCACTATCCGCAAGCGGCTTGACAAGCTGAAACGGGATATGGAATCCGAGCACTACTGGGTGGGTCGCGACCTCAACCAGGAAACCGAGAAGAAGCTCTTCCTAGAGAACCACCGCGTACATGGGTGGTGTTTCAGGTTGACCCGGAACGAAGCAGGCTGCATCCGGGGCAAGAAGGAGTACCAGGAGTGCTCAACTCAGAAGAACGGCGTTTACTTCACAACTTCATCCCTGCAGGCCATGCGGCGGGAGTTTGACCAGCTATCAGAGAACTACAACCGCACACAGTCCGGCCTCGTCAACGAGGTCGTAGCAGTCGCTTCCTCTTACATACCTGTTATTGAGAAACTGGCCGCGGTCCTTGCCCATCTCGATGTTATTGTCGCATTCGCGCACGTCTCTGTCCATGCTCCTACTTCGTATACGCGACCAAAAATGCACCCGCGCGGAACCGGAGACACCATCCTGAAGGAAGCCAGGCATCCCTGCATGGAGATGCAGGACGACATCTCCTTCATCACCAACGATGTCAGTCTCGTCCGCGGCTCGAGCGAGTTCCTCATCATTACAGGTCCGAACATGGGCGGAAAATCAACGTATATTCGACAGATCGGTGTCATCGCTCTCATGGCCCAAATAGGTTGCTTTGTACCTGCCTCAGAAGCAGAGCTGACCGTCTTCGACTGCATTCTCGCTAGGGTGGGAGCGAGTGACAGCCAGATCAAGGGCGTGTCAACATTCATGGCGGAAATGCTGGAGACTGCCAATATCTTAAAGTCCGCCACAAAAGAATCTCTCATCATAATCGACGAACTCGGTCGCGGAACAAGCACGTATGACGGATTTGGTCTTGCGTGGGCTATTTCCGAGCACATCGTCAAGGAGATCGGCGCCTTCGCACTCTTCGCAACGCATTTCCACGAACTCACCGCGTTAGCCGACACCTATCCGCAAGTAGAGAATCTGCACGTCGTTGCGCACATATCGGAGGGCACTACGGACTCTTCTGATGGCATCCAGAAGAAACGCGAAGTCACCTTACTCTACAAAGTCGAGCCCGGCGTCTGCGATCAATCCTTCGGCATCCACGTTGCGGAGCTCGTTCGCTTCCCGCAGAAGGTCATTAATATGGCGAAGCGGAAGGCTGATGAGCTAGAAGACTTCTCTGGCAAGCACGAGGACGGCTTTGTGCAGGCGAGCAAAGAAGAAGTTGAAGAGGGCAGCAAGTTGTTGAAGGAGATGCTGGCGAAGTGGAAGGAAGAGGTGGAGAGCCAGGGGCTGACGAAGAAGCAGCAGGTGGAGAGGATGAAGGAGCTCGTTAAGGAGAATGCGGCCTTGAGGAAGAATGGGTTCTTCAAGGGCATACAGGCGCTATGAATTTCTATGGGATAGGCGGATCTGGCTATATGATACGGTAATCTATATCGGATACAGGAGTACGATACCAAAGTAATTCAGAGGATGGTTGCACAGCCACAACTAGCCACATTGAGCTAAGCCTGGGACCTTGGTGCCCCGCGCATCCCACTTGCTGCTCCAGTTGCAACCTCAAGCATCATCCAACCTCTCCTCATAGCATTCCATGCATATATACCCTCTACCTCTCCGCATATCCCCCAGGAAGACACCATGGCGCCCTCACAATCAATAGTGGTCAGCTTTAGGATACCATTCCAAGCGCAACAGCGACGGAACTAACGACAGGCGTAGAACAAACTGAAAGTGCAGCTTAAGCTCTCCATATCGCGTCTGCGTATGGTGCAGCAGAAAGACTCGGCGAAAGCGAAACAACAGCGGCGAGAAATGGCCCAGCTCCTCGAGGTTCGTATGCCATTTCCATCTCTTGCCAGGCATCCTCCAAACCGCACTCTGTACTAACGCCGCGCGATCCGCTCCAGGCCAGCAAAGTCCAATCCGCACGAATACGCGTCGAGAACATCATCCGCTCCGACATCACCACAGAACTCCACGAGATCCTCGAACTCTACTGCGAACTGCTTCTCGCGCGCAGCCAGCTCCTCGACCCGCCTTCCTCGCCCTACAACTCCCCCTCCTCGTCGCACAACAATGCCCCGCTCGACCCGGCGCTGGAAGAAGCAGTGCGCAGTATCATATACGCAGCGCCGCGAACCGAAATCAAGGAGCTAAACACGGTACGGGCCTTGCTGGTCGAGAAGTTCGGCAAAGAGGTCGCTCTTGCGAGTATGGAGGCGGAGGGCGTTGCGGAACGCGTCATCAAGAAGTTGAGGATTGAGACTCCGAGCGCGGAGCTCGTGGACGCATACCTCACGGAAATCGCGCGCTTCTACGGTGTTCCGTTCGGCGCCGCTGCTACCTCAAACTCTGACGACGATGACGATGACGAACCTTCGGGCGGTATTGCAGAAAAGGCCGATGCACAGCCACAGCTCGAGAACCCGCTAGAAGCCGAATCCGGCGCAAATAAGGATGCCAGGAAGGAAGAAGAGGAGGAGGAATTAGTTAAGGCGACGCCGCCGAAGATGTTTGGACCGCAGAGCCCCCTCCGGGTTATGCCGCCGAGCCCGAGCACGGATAATATGGCGCCGAAGTTGAAGTTGCCGGGCGCGGCGACGGCGAAGCTGAATAAGGCGGAAGCTAAGAAACCAGCGAAGAAGGACGAGGGGCCGGGTGGAAAGATTCCGGACGTTGATGAGTTAGCGAAGAGGTTTGCTGCATTGAAAAGGTGATTGGGTTTCATCATTGGTGAGCTTGCTTTGGGCTATTTGTGGCGTGTGGGGCCTCAAAGGGCGTTTTGGGGCACGGCTAGGATTTTTACGATATGGGTGACTGGATTCTAGGGTTGGGGTTTGATTGAGCTGAGATATTCCCCCATCGGATGGGGAGATATACACTATTCCACAGTGTAAGAGCATCTTTTTGGCTATTCTTCCGGCTTCTCTTGACTCCTCTCTCAAACCGTCTGGGCCGAGGGTAGCGAATTCCTCCTCATCCCGTGGTTTTAAGCCCATGTTCCGTAGATCCCACCAACTTACCGTCGTCAGCCGTCCTCTTGTCTACTCTTGAGTATGTCGCGATGGAGCCGGATTAGAGGGCAGTGAAAAGAATTCCGATCATCGTATAGTCGGTAATTGCGGAGTAAAGCTCTAAGGTAATTGGAGAAGCATATGATGGACCGAGGGCAAAGACGGAAAAGCAAGAGAGGGGATCACTAAAACTCGTGCCTCTGCTGTTGCACAATGTTCTTGCCGTGTTTCGCCACCTCGACCAACAACGTGCGTCTCGGGGAAAAGTGTCTATGCGCTTATTTCTAGGATGGTTCCATCGAAGATAGAAAGACGATGAGGAAGAGAAAAGACTGCACTGATATCGCACCAGACTTCTCCACCCTGACCGCGGTCCATTTTCCACCAGCCCACCGCCTTAGCTGCTCCTGTCCCCCTACCAACCCGCAAAGAAACCCAATGTAATTACATCCACTAGACTAAAGCACCAACCAGACCTCCCATCCTCCTCCTCTCTCTTCCTCTCTCTTCCTCTCCATATCCACCTCCTCAACCTGTCGAAGCTCTTCCGCAATGCTCGCTTAGAACTCCGGGGAGTATGGCGTGAATCCACATCATGGACTCTTCCTTCGAATAGCCGCTTAAATCGAAGTTGGGCTTGGTCTTGCGGTTCGGTTTCGGCTTTGACCGCGGAGGTGAGGGCCGTTTTGACATTGGTCGCGGTTTGGGGGGCCTTTTGGAGTTCTTCGAAGACGTTTGACGTATGACGCGTAGGGAGCTTTGCATGGCGTGGATGTTGTTGGATATATGCATTACTTGCTGGTCGATAGGTTGAATGCCGAATTGGCTGGGCGATGCTCAAGGAGACGTTACCTTGGGGAAAGGTCTCCTGGTGGACGGCATACTGTAATTACGATTCGCAGCACGCAAGGCGTCTGCCCAGTGGACAGAGGTGATGTGGTCCGTTGCGCGTCTCGCGCTTTGGCGAGGAGTAAAAACACTTCTGCGAACTGATAACAAGAACGTTGCGAGTCTGTGGAGAGCTAGGGTCTGTTGACACGGGGTGGCGGTTCGTTTTGGGGTTCGCTGGACAGTCCTCACCGGACGGTGACACAGCATTATGCAAGGACGCGACAGTGACGCACCAATGCAGGAATGCTCCGAGTTGGTTTCAAGCACCATGAACCGCAATGAAAGCACTGGGCTATATCGACTATGAGGTTGAAGGACTATTCTTGTATCGCCGACCTCGCCCCAGCCACCGCGTTGCACAACGTTCATCGCGTCCCCCCGCCCTCCAATCGCGGAAAGATCTCCTCACCGATGACATCCACATGCAGCATCGACCTCACTTTTTTTTATTCGCCCTCTCTTTTCCCTTCTCTTCCTTCAACTTCTTCTTCTCAGCCTTGGACAGCGTGAACAGCTGTTGCTGCCATCTCCTATCCTCTTCCTTTGCCAACAGCTTCGCGTTCCTGCTCGCTTCCAGTGACTGCTGAACTTCCTCTGAACGACTCTCAAGTTAGATCTAGCGCTGAGAGATGGAGACTTCGTTTACCTACCTTTGTGGCGCTGGCGCTTTTTCTCCGCATCAGCACGTGCGCGTCTGCTCCTCTCTTCGGGGGTGGGATAACCTTTGGCAAGGTCTGGGGTAGGCGTGAAGAAGTCTATAGGGAGGTTTGCTGATCTATCTGGGAAAACATCGTGCCTGTCTTGATCAAAGAATGGCACTGCGTCCTGTGTACCCTTGGCTGTGGGTGCCGCCTTTCCGCGCTGAGGGGAGAGAAGGTCGCGAATGCTATGTTGGGACGGCTGTCCATGGCTGAATACAGAGGCAGGAGTGAAGAAAGCGTAAGACGCAAATTTGGAAAGAGCCATGCGTTGCATGCTTGCGAGGTAGTAGAAGGCCATGAAGTGCTCTGAGTTAGTGTCATTGTATGCGTTTTTGATTTATAGAAACCAGAGGCCGGCAGTGCCATGCTACCGAGGAAGCTCTGGGGGCCAGCCGTACAGAGAGAAGCGCGAACGCGGGTGCCTGGGCTCTGGGCATGTCTAGTGTTGCGCCACGGTGACAGAACGCCTTAGGGAGGTTGGGTTCGATGGAGTTTGCTTGCTAGATTTCTTGGATCTACAGGCGTCACACCGATCGACGTATGTTTCGCATGCTCCTCATATATCTGGTAGGATCAAGCATCCTAGGGCCTTCGTGCAGCAATAGGATACTCTCCGAACGACCGTGGAGGGCGCTTCTCAAGGAGGGGCAAGCTCAGTGGTCTATTCCTCACGGTTCGTCGACCTAGCATCTTCCTTCGGATAGGTTTTGTGAAACACGCAGTGCTCCAAGCATATAAGCAACATGGGGTCTGCCCCATAAGTGGTGCTCTCGTTCCTGAGGCGTGGGTTTGCATAGCAGGCAGCAGTCTGGTTCGGTGTATGGCGTATGCAGATGTTGGCTTGGAATGCGAAGATGTCGTCCAGTCAGTCGGATGGGGAAATAGGAGAAATGCAAGGAGTAATTCAGAACTGGCCAATGGGGATCCACCGAGGGACTCCAAGGAGGGAGGAAATCGAGTCAGAGAAAGTCTCTTGCTAAGGACATATGCGGGGCTGCAGGCCGAACGCGTTCCGCCACTCTTACTGTGCAGATGCCCTTCACACCGTCCTACTTTTTATCGGCTTCCGAGCATATTCTCAGGCCACATCCAAGCTTGGGAAGTGTGGTGTGGTCAGCGGGTGGTCCCGACAGATACGATGTGAAGTAGACCGAATAGAATCGACCGAGAGCTTGCTTGTTTTGAATAAGGAGTGGCACTAGAAAGCGAAGGTCAGCAACACTCTGAGCTGAAGACACCTTTGGACTGCAAATGTGCACGTGATATCAGAAATTCCCAAGAACCAGTACAAGCCTCCAGTCGGCGACATGAATTGCTTTCCTCCCAATACAACATCCCAAGCCAATCCAACCGTAGTAAACACCCTCATCTCTCTTCCCAGCCCTCTTTCCCATCCCTCTCCCTCTCTCCTACCCCTCAGTCGAGCTCAACTCCATAAGCATCTCCCTCGTCGCGCTCAAACTCTGACTATCCCCATACAGCGCCGCAATCAAGCTGCTATCGATCTTGGGAAACTCGCGCTGCAGGATCGCCTGGTTCTGCTCGTCCTCGGTCTCCGGCCGCGTGCGCGACATCTCGTAGCTCTGCATGACTTCGACCTGGTGGCTGCGGTCGCTGCCCTGGGGGAGCGCGACGTCGGTGCCGGTGCGGCGGGGTGGCGGGTTTGGAGGGGGTTGTTCTTGCTGGGGGTGCGCCTGGGACTGCTGCTGGGGGTACTGGGGGTGTTCGGAGTGCTGCGGTTGGGATTGGTAGTAGTCGTTGGATGACATGTTGGGGGGTTGGTGGTGGTGCTGTTGTTGGGACTGTTGGGCTGGCGGTTGCAAGGTGTGGTGGAGGAGCTGCAGAGAGGGCTTGTGCAACGCGAAAACTGTGTGGAGATATATTGAAGGGTAGATCTGCGCTTGCGCGTTCCGTGGCGTTGATGCTGCGGCACGGAGGAGTTGTGGTGGTGAGACGGTGGCCGATGACGTATACGTGTGATACGGAGCGAGCACCGCTCCAAAGCCACTGGAAACGGCTTAGTCAGCACCGTCAGCGTATCAGACATCACAATGGGCGTAGACTTCAGCTCGAGCTCTTTTAGGGGACTATCGTCTACATGCGATGTATGGGGATGAAGGATGGCCAGCTAGGACTACGGGTTTTAAGGGAGCCTTATGAGATCTCCTCGGAGATGTGGTGTACCAGAGCGATCGATGCCCCCAGGCACCTCTCATGAGGGTGAGACAACCAGCAAAATCATAAGCGAATACGTTTCAGGAGGCAAGAAGTCTCTTATCCTAATGACGGCTTTTGAACATAAAGACAAATGACCAATGCAGGATAGGATCGGACGGTTCACTCAGGTGAGGGTAAAATATGCTGAAGTCATGATGCTGCCTGAGCTCTACTTCGTACTGGCAGAAGAAAAGAAATACGAATCTTGGAGTCCAGTAGTTGAAGCGAGCGAGAGACGTAGCGGCACGTGTCTCCAATCAGCCTGGCCGCCTGGACAACCTGGGATCTCATCGCCCCCAGTCGCCGTGTCACCTGCTCATTAACAGCTCGCTTGCCGGTTGCTCGTTGCTGGTCCAATACGATCGGACCACGACGTACCGCACCACGAATGGGGACGCCTAGACAAGCCATAGTGAGCAACGAAGCAGAAAGAATCGAATGAGCCAGTAAGGAAAAACAAATGCAGGGACTCGTTGGAACTGTTCGTGGGGTGTTGAACTATCGGGGCATTTCGGGATGAGAAAGGACCGGCGGGATTGCCGGGAAGTAAACCGCGGGAAAATGAAGCTTGAACGAGTTCTGTAAGACCGCAGACTTGGGGACGGCTGTGTCCAGGTGTTGCAGTTCAAAGTAGAAGTTAATACCAGCCTAACGTCAAAGGACGGCGTCTGTGAGACCCGACTTACAAATCAAATGCCTATCACCGTGCCGTCTGCACAACATAATAGCAATATACAAAGACCGAGGCTGACGTTGTCCTCGTGGCACGGCCCGGGTCAGATTCCCGTGCTGAGGTGAGGTGACCCAGGATAGACGAATAGAGGTACCGGGCACTGTGTACCATCCATCAAAGGGAGAAGGCCACAGCGCACTCGAACAGATTAGCCCGCGGGTTCTCGACCGCCTGGCACATTTCGAAGGCTCGGCGCGGGTGGTCGGGCACGTGGAGGGCTCGGAGTCGTGGAAAGGCCGGGGGAACAAGCATTGCGTGCATATAGAGTCCAGAAAGGCGCGCGACAGGTGTGGCAGTTCCCCGGACGAGCGCATGAGTAGCCCTATCGAAAGCGGCAGTTTTGCAGGACATCAGTGTGTGGCAGTCCCCAAAGCGGAGCGACGAGCGCTGTCGCACCGCCGGGGCGGGCGCAGCGTTCGATGTCCGGCCGCGCCTCTGGCGCGCAGCTGACGAGAGGATGGAGCCCTGATTCGCGGCGGGTTTACGATGTCTTGTGAGTTGGCGGTGCAGGCTTCCACGGTTCCTGGTGCGTGTGGCTCCGTCAGCAGCAGCCGCGGCCTCTCCCGCGCGCATTTCAACACTGCCGGCCGTCCTCGCGCCATCGTTCCATCACCAACAAATGCCAGCTACCACGCCACGAATGCTCTCCTCTGCCGTGCGCCACAGCGACTCTGCTTCGACGGCGAATTTATTCCCGCACCGCAGCGGGCCAACGACTGCGCGCCGCGTGCTGGGCCGCGGGCTCCTCTAATTTGGCCTTTTGACCGCCATTGTTCGGCTGCGTGCGTTGCTCCTCCCGGCCTCACTGTTACCCAGGCACTCGCCGGCCACCCACATCGACTCACATCGCCCTCAGCATGCCACGGTTGCCGCACGCCCCCACGCAGCCTGAACTCCCATCATGACGGACGCCAACGACGACTCCTTCCGCTCCATCACGGGCGTCGCCCAGTCTGCAGAGCCCGCATCGAGCGCCGCTCATCGGCCCACCGCAGCATCGTCCAGCGAGCCCTCTGCGAGTAAGGCGACACCACCTGCTTCTGCGTCCGACAGCGGGCCCGCCTCCATGCGGCAGGCGCTCAACGGGGGCCGGTCGCTGAACGTGTCCGGCTCGCCGTCCACAGCCAACTCGCCGCTCTCTTCGCGGGACACCTCGCCTGCCCGCCCGCCTCTGCGCACTACAGGACCGTCTGGATCGCAAGCCAAGCCCGGACTGCGCTCGAAGAAGAGCAGTACCGACGTCAGTCCAAACAGAGGCCCCGGTCTTGCAGGCTCAAGCACCACCGTCCCCTCTGCCGCCGCCATACAGCGGGCCCTGTCCTCCGCAAACATACCCCAGCTGCAGCCTGCACCGTCCCAAGAACCTTCCAGGGTTCCCAGGCCCTCGAAAAGCACACCAGCGCCGAGTTCTGGGGACACTACACCCCATTGGCCTGTCTCACCCCGATTAAAGTCTCCGCCACCCGCACCAGACGCCCGCTCGCGCTCACGACGGAACTCGCTGCGCAACCACCACAAGAAGCCCGAGTCAGCATCCACGCCCTCCATTGTCGTCCAGAGCTCGTCGCCGGCACCGGAATCGCGCATCCCAGTGAAGGATGACAGCGGCAACAGCGACCAGGAACAAGCACACCCGAGCATGAAAGCGCCGACAAGAGGAGCCAGCGGTGTCGCTCCGAAGCTTGAAACTGTTCAAGAAGGCAGTCTGCCTGCAGCGCCGGCCTTCGATGCCCTTGGCGTACAAAGGTGAGGTTCTTCCCCGCATCGGCCGTCGGCCCACACCGGAACTGCATGTAATTATGAACGCGCCTGCAGCTTCCGAGTGAAATTGACTTCGGCACGTCATGCTAACTCGGCCTAGCCCTCCTCCTGTCACTCATGGATCCAAATCATCCGACGAAGAGCGAAATGACGTCACGTCGTCCAAGGTCACCGAAGACCTTAGCGCGAAGAGCACCCAACACACAGAGAGTGGGAGCGACAGCGGCATCAGGAACGACAAAAGCAAGATGTCCGACCAGCGATCCGCCTCTGCGCAGCGGCCGAGCATGCTTCCCTCGAAGGCGTCATTTTCCTCGCTTTCGACGGGTAAATCCCGAACCGAGACACAGGCACCCTCGCGAAATATGACCGTGGAGACGGAGACGGTACCCTCAGTGGCGCAAGCAACAATAAGGGATCAGGATCGATCAGCATCAGGACGCGGCGATGGCAGTCTCCGCTTGAAGCCGAGCAACGAGACCATTAGGCCAAAGAAAGAGAGGAAAGCACCGAAGCGAAAAGCGCCGTCAATCAATGCCGGCACTGGTAGGTCACCCGGCATTTCGTACCATCACCACCATCCGAGCAGGCCAGTATACGGGCCACGCTCGCCAACGACCACTTCGCTTGGGAGCCCGGTCTCATACCGTTCGTATGATGACCGGCGGTCCATGTTCACCATGTCGACCATGTCCCCCCCAAGTCCGGAGATGGCCCGCAGGCTCTCTTCCCGATCCCCTTCGTACAAGTATTTTTATTCAGGCACTAACGCTAGCTTTCGCAAAGCCTCCTCTAAAGCAGATGTATTCGAGCAAAAAGTTGCAAGCGCCGTCGATGAGGCCGACTCATCCGACTCGGATGCCACTTTTATCTACGAATCGAACCCGCCCGACCAGCAGCCGCATCGAAGCCGAACTCACCATTCGCGCACACCCAGCATGACCTCGATAGCGAGCCTTGTCGACCCAAGACTGGCAATACGAGACACACACAAGAATCCCGGCAAGAAGAGCAGCATGAAGTTCGCGAATCCGTATAACAATGCCAGCGCCGATCCCGATGCCGATCGTGGCGACGGGCCCGTCCGAGTCGGGTCAGGCAGGGTCAGCGGAGGCAGCCACCACCATCACATCGGTCGGCATGGCCAGGGACGCGGCGCTCTCAGTCACCTTGTGATGGACAGCGACTCTTCAATGGCGCAGCCTTCGCGCGTACGTGGTCCATCGTCAAGACAGCCTTCCCAGCCGAACAGTCCTCGCTTCCACAACCTCAGCATTGGTCAGGGAAATGGAAATGGCAACGGCAACAAGAAGCACGGGGACTTCTCGGGTTACGATATTGACGCTGAGAATGTAGCCGACGATGAACGCACGCCGCTGATATCATCCGTGCGAAGCCCACGGGTGCGAACGCCACGCCGCCGAAATAGCACCACCCTCCGCCAGCTGGAACGCCGACACCGTCGCAATGGAGGCTGGTGCCGCCGGTTTGCCGGGTGTCTTGTCCTTGCGATTTTGCTTCTTGTTATCATTTTCAGCGCCGTCGGTCTTGTCTTCGCTACTACGAAACCACTAACTGATGTCAAGGTCCGCGAGGTTCAGAACGTCATCGCTAGCCAAGAGGAGATTATTCTGGATCTGCTCGTTGAGGCAATCAATCCGAACATCATAGGAGTCACCATTTCAGAGATGGACGTAATTATGTTTGCCAAGAGCAAGCACGTCGGCTCTGACCGATGGTGGCGAGAGCACGGGAACGGTCGGCATCAGGACCGCGAAGATTGGCTTCCCATCAAGGCGTCGACGGACGAAGAGACGGTCATCGTGCGTGATGGTGTAGACGAAGGCACCGATCCCATTGAAGATCCCGAGGTTGGCGAGCCGCGAACCATGTCGCTCGGTCATATTTTCCACTTCGACTCGCCCCTCAATTTTGATGGCACGTTCTTCAAGCGGCGTCATGTAGAGTCGGTTGGCGAGATTCGTCTCTCCAATCCAGGCAACAAGACGGAAGCTGGCGGGACGGAGCGATGGGAGGAGGTCTTGCAGTACCCGTTCGAGCTCATCGTGCGAGGGACCTTCAAGTACCAGCTTCCGCTCAGCACGCGCGAGCACAAGATTCCCGTTACCGCCTCGTATTTGTACGATCCAGAGGCCGAGAAGAAGAAGCTGAAGGCACTCGAGCTGGAGAAGCTCGAAGAGAAGAGGAGGGACCTGTTATCAACACATGTAACACCAAGGCCAGTGGGACGCTTTGACCGCAGAGCGCTACCACTGCTGGACTGGGACGGCCGCTAGGCCTGTCAATTTCTTTTTGTATTGCACCAATCATCGGCTCATGGAAAGGCCCGAAAAGAAAATCAGATACCCCCATAAACACGGATTTACGACCATAGACTTGTACGGTACGGACGCGCCACCGCAGACCGACCGCGATATTCTGGCTAGACAGCCTAACGAATTTTCTTTGCTCTCGCCACCGCTTATTATCTTTGTCGGTGGCTGTATCATCTTTTTGGTCCTGTTATGGTTATGAGGAGGGCTTGGTTGCCCCAATGGGTGGCTACGTTTGTGGTTCTGCGCTTCAGCGAGGTGTTTGTTATGATAGTGGAGTTTAATTGGGAGATTTGGCCTCCGTCTCCAACGCGTTGGACTTTTCAGGGCCGTTGTTAGCGCCCGGGATTTTGGAGGTGGACCTCTGGTCCGATCACACTCTTTTCGATCTCTTTTCTATGTTCGCCGACTCATCTAGGGTTTGTTGGGCTGGCATGGAAAGGAGTAATTGGGCTGGACTGGACTGGTGCAACATCAGAATGGAGAACTGTTCACCGACTGGAATACATGCATGCTCGACAAGAGCGGAATATGGCGTTTTCCTAGAAAAAGTATTGGCGGATATGGATATCACATCCAGCGAGCGGCGTCCTATACCTGGGCACGCATGGATTGGGCATTCACATTGCCTCAGATTGTTCTACCAGAGGAGGAGCGGAAGAGAGAAGCTGGGTGGTTGATGGATGGAAGTGAAGCGGAGTGAGGTGGTGCATGAACGAATAAGCGCAGGGATATAGTGGAGTGAAAAGGAGGCGTAGGAAGGGAAGTGTAGTGTGTAGTGGATGGAGTCACCAGTGCGTCCGACTGTACGTATTGCGCGTCGAGCACGTAGGTAGCCCGCTCCTATCAACTCACGGAGCTGGGCAGAACCAAGAATCATATGGCTCTAGCCGACATGTGCAGTCTTGCTTTCCTCTTGTTCCTTCACTTTGTGTAGTGTGTTCTGGGGGTGGGGGAGTGGGCGTGAGTGGACACGGTGAAGTGCATGGGTAGTTCAAGGGCATACGGTACGTGGTTCCAGTAATTTGAGACGATGCTTCTACCAACTAGTATGTATGGGCGATCATGAGCGTCACTCCGTCGCGATCGCTCCTTCCTTCGACCGCGTTAGGCGCCAGCCTGAATAGGAAAGATCAGTGAACGAGGCTTCATTGTGAGTGGTGCGCTCCTTGGTGAACGGACTTCTCGGAGGCGCGTAATCTCCTTGCAGCGTGAAGTGGCGCGTCACAGATGAGCGTCACGACTTTGCTTTCCCTCGGTTTCAGCATCGAGGCGCGAGTTTTGCACTCGTATAAATCCCCTCTCTCGCGCCCGCCTCACAAATAAGTAGCCGTACGCACGCTTCTTTTCACTACTAGTGAAGGAGGAAGCAAGCTCTTCCTGGCCGGCGCATACCTACCGTCACTATCGACACGTCGATGAGGCCAACGACCCGGACAACATGGAACCCCACGACAGCTCACTAGCGCTCAACCAGTTGAATTTCGCCAGTCGACAACTACAGCAAGAAACCTGCGACTTGGGACTGAAATGGAACACTCTTCGCTTTTATGGATTGGTCAGTCATCTTCATTGCCTTCGATTTCTACGCCAGTTCTCGAAAGCTCAGAAAATTCGCATTACCCGAATCGGTCGAATCGGGAGTATGATGAATGGTTGAAGCGACTCAGGTTAAGGTATGAGCAGGGTTTGGGAGGCCTCGAGCGAGAACACATCTGCACCTATGCGTGTGCAGCTTCTTCAAATGCCATGCGAGTACCACTCTCGAATCTGCGCAATCCAATCCTCGAAGCCCTTGCGCTTCAGAAGATACGAGTACCTCAACGTCTCCTCATCGTACGCATCCCAGGGGAAGATTTTGAAGTTGCTCGGCACCGGCCGCTCCACCGCTGAAGGCACTGAATACGCTAAATGCATTGGATCCTCTAAGATCTCTTTGACAAGCTTCTCGATCTTGACGCTGGTTTCGTGGTCGGTGGAGAAGGGAAGTGCTCGATTCCGGAGAACCATTTGCATGGCCGCGCCGAGAGGTATCAAGTGGCTGCAACCAGCGGTAATCACAAGACTGGGACTGAGAACAAACACCTCGAGTTTCGGATTGGAGCGGCATGCTCGGACGAGGGGAGCGACATGGATATCTGTGCCTTTGTACCCCTCGACGATGAGCTTCGTGATGTTTGTGTCGAGCCAGGTGGCGGCAGTTAGGACATGTCCAACCTTGAAGCTGACGTCCTTCTTGTGCAGGCCTATGGCAGAGGTCTCGTGGTAGAGTTGGCGGCAGACATACTTGAGCTGGTTTGAACCTAGCATGCGCTGGATATGTGGGTGGGAATCATCGATACTAGGTCCATGGCATCCCTTGACGCAATAGACATCGCCTGCGACCTCGGAAGTGTGTTGATAGATCATATTACGTAGCTCGCCAGGGAGACTGAGGAGGGGGCATTGAGCTTGAGGCTCGATGGGACCTGGGAGAAGGATAGGCGACGTCGAATCCTTCGATTGCGTGACTTCGAGAACTTGCTTACCAATCTTGATCGTGCTTGATGAGCCGCCCATTTTGCAGTAGGTCGAAGCTCGGTTGTACTTGTGGATTTGGAGTTACGATTCGTCCAAGGGTGCGTAGACGGTGTTAAATATCAGTAAGCGCCTTCATTGGGGGTTCACTAGCGCGAATTCCGCCGTGAAAGAGGTAGCAAAGTGAGAGCTGCACGTGCCATAAAAATTGTGGATCTTCACTACCTGGGCAATATGCAGATGATAATGACTGCACATCGCGGTATGCAAAAGCGTGGGTTACGGTGCATGTGATGCTGTTAACGCCCTTCTTACGAGGACGCCGTGGACCAATAACTCAAGACAGGGAAATATATACAATAGCCGGTAACCCAAATTATACTACAGTGAGTCCAAAGCTCATTACCTCTAAGTCTGACGCTCAACTTCGACCAGATAATCATCACCCTCCTGCCCCGTAACAGTGACGATGACGCCATAGCCTGTATCCCAAGACTTGCCAACACTCAAGGGTGCATCGTTAAACTCGTGCGCCTCTCCACCGGATCTGGCCGCACAACCCTGGGAATCAGGGGTCGTGTCAATGACACGGATGGGTCCCTCCCCACTGCGCAGCCCGTTGTCAGCAGTGTACAAAAGCACACCGGTGCCGCATGCATCGTCGTCGATGCCCAGATTCGAGCGAACCTCGGCCATGATGTAAACGTTATTAGTAACCGGGATAGCGAGAGCCTTGGTGTTCTCCTGATTTTCGCCCATGACCTCGATGGGACTGATGCGATGGGTAGTTTTGCCAACGGACGGGACGCACTCAACCTCATAGTCGTTGATCCAACCAAGCTGCCACTTGTGCCAAGCAAAGAAGTCCGGAGACTGGCCACCGACGACGCCCATAAGGTCGAACCCTCCGACCCACTTCTCGTTTGCTCCTTCCCGTACGGATACAGGTCCGGCAGCCCCATGGCGTGACCCGTCTCGTGGTTGATCGTCTTGTAACCCCAGACATTGTACAGATCTTGTCCGAATGTAATTGTGCTCCCAATCACCGAGTTATCGAGGGCTGTGACGTCCATGGCGGTCGATGTGGAGAAAGAGATCTCGTCTGCGTACTTACAGGGCATTATAAACAGGGTGTCGACTCCGGCGAAGCTGGCATCTGGGCCGACGGCTTCGAGCGCATCGTTGATGTATTTCAGGTGCATGTCGGTGGTAAGATCGCGCGAATAACTGTATGATGACGAATCGGCAGGCATGCGATAGAACTGGTCGAGCAGAGGGACGATTTCGAAATTCAGTTTCCCGTAGGACATCTGGCTGTACAGCTCTTTTGGGGCAGATGCGTATGGTGCCCATAGTTCCTCGACCGTGGTGTTGGCGGGTGCGTCGGGGAAGTCGACAAAGATGAGGGCGGCTTTGAGCGTGCCCGTGGAAGGAGCTCGTCCTTCTATGGTCCAGTTTGCTGGTTTGCAACTCTCGCTCGGATTTATTATTGGAGTAGAGGTTGGTTCGGAAGGTTGAATGGATGAGGACGTTTCGTCAGGAGGGAGAGGTGTCGGGATGGACGAGGTTTCATCCGGAGGGAGAGAGGTCAGGAGGGCCGAGCTTGTTTCATCACAAGGAAGAGTGGTCGGATCGACGGGGGCTTCGGTCGGGCTTGGGACTCCTGTAATAGGAGTATAGTGCCATCCCGGATCACTGGTCCTTGTGACAGTAACTGTGGAAGTCTCATAGCAAGACTCGCTGCTAACGAGAGGAAGGGCGTAGACCCGTGAAAGGAGGGCCGGGGCGAGGAAAGAGATCGCTGCTGAACGCATGATGGAAAGAACGATATCCCTTGTGTAACGACGGTTCCAACCTGAAAGCAAACGACAGACGAAGACAATGGAAACCGGGAAAGGAATATAGGAAAAACAGAGATGCGGATGGAGAAAACGTTTGCAGTGTTGTTGATGATGAACCTAGAGAGCGAGAACAGGAATCCTTATATCCTGGATCTACGATCATTTCCAAGTAGCCGGCCATAGTGATGGCTTGCTGCGACAACGCTCGGTGGTTTCCCACATTGTACTTTCGTGGGGCAGCTGAGGAGGCTGGATGCCAAGTGCTACATTGAAGCTTCGACCTCGTATACACATATAGAGTGCTAGAGCGAGGAATGCCGCCAATCGGCATCAATTGACGGACAAGCGGTACCTTGTAAGCCTGGCGGTGAGCTTCTAGAACTTCGTTGCGCAGTATGTCTTGGCCGAGCTTGACTCTGCGCTAGTTAGCTGAGGCTGTCGCTAGGGCTGCGGCAACGGCGGCTTAGCCACGGCCAAGCGTTCGTGTCGGCGATATTTTAGACAATGAGATCGCATCTTGACCAATAGGCGTTCAACATGGGCGGCCTCTCCGATTATGCCCCTGATTGGGTATCGTGGTCCAGCTCCGCATTGTGGTGAGGAAATTTGCAGGTAGCATTGGGCGGTGACGTCGCCGACTTGGACCTTCAGGCCTCCCGTCAGCCGAAATGTCTGCATTTCCATCTGGTGGCTAGCTGTGTACCTAGGTAGCATTGATGCGAGAAAAGTAAGGGCGAAAGTCGAGCTGTCGCGAAAATCTCTTCCCCGGGAAATGACTGCCACCCTTGTGGTCGGCCTTGAGTAATTCCACGGCACGTGATCAAGCTGTAACAAGGTTCTAGGCCGCAAACATAGCATTAGAAGGTTGGAAAACATATCCCAGGAAGTAGGGAAGGATGTTCAGATAACACCCCCAATCAGTGCCAGTTCCATGCCGCCCCTTCAAATGAAGCGTATAACAGCTCCGCAAGAAATAAACACTCAGATGCCTTTCTCATACCAACCCCGGATAATCTTAAGCCAGTCTTCGAGGTTTTGCTTATCTCTCCACTTCTTAGAGTAGGAGTCCCTCAAGGCCTCCTCTTTGTACTCATCAAATGGAAAGATCCTGAAGTTATCCGCATCCGTCACCCGAATACCTTTCTGAGCCATACCGTCGACGATTCGCTTGAACCTCCACCTGAGTTTGTAATTACCTTCCCAGAAAGGCTCTTCTTTTCCGCGGACCGAGTAATTCAGCGCAATGCCATGTACGAGCAGCGTAAAACTGTCTTCATGTGCCTGTAGGGCTTCCAACAGGAGGAGGACTTTAACGGTAGGATGTGCCTCGGAGAATCTGACAAGGATGCGAGCCGCCTGGTAATCGAAGAGCATTCTATGAAAACCCTTGTAGTACATGCCACCATAGGGTTGCGCAACGACGATCCTAGCGATATCATGCATTAGATATGTTTGCGAGATATAGTACTGGAAGCTTATCGGGGCCCCGGGCCCCCGTTCTTTGCGTGGAATCGCGATCATACTCAAGCCCACCCCCGAAGCTTCATTTCGAGTCTGGCGGCAAACATAGTGCAGTGGATTGAGACCGAGAGCCAGTATTAGCCGTGCGAAGGAAGGTAGTGGACGACGGTTAGGAGAAGGCGAACGACGGCCGAACTGACGGTTGAAGTAAAGCACGACCTTCTGTCGCTCGTCCGCACATGCATACTCGTAAATCTTGTTTCTTAGCTCGCCGGGTAATCGAAGAAACGGGCTTTGGGGCTGCGCCGGAATGATGGCTGACGAGGCATTAGTACGTATTGAGTGCTCTGCGCGCGACGATCAACTCACCCATGGTATCCTGAGTGGACGCCGTTGTGCTACCACTGGCGAATGGTGGGGTCAAGAGACGTTTGCAATCTTCCTGCAAGGCTAGGTCGAAAGCTTTAGGAGATGGCGAGTGGAATGCTAGGTGAGACTTTGCCGTGGCCGTGCAACGGGTTCGCAACTACCCAGGTATCATATATCAAAGCGTGCGGGCGGCGACAGAACTATATATGAGGGAGTTGCTTATGTCGACGTGAGTTTAAGGCTTGTCATGCGAGTAACTGGTTATGGCTCAGAAGCTGGCCCAGTGAAAGGCCTACTTAAGGACTGGCTGGCGAAGGGGGCGAGCGGGAAAATAGCAGAGAGAAAGATGAGAACTTAATCCAGAATGATCGCAAGTAGGCCAGCATCAAGAACTACAGAGACCGGGATCTCATATACTCGCCTCCATGCCTGCCGGCTTCAGATGCCGTCCATGAACCATTTCTAGACTCACTGGGGTGCCGAACATAGCCCAAGCTAAGGATACGTGGCGAATAGGCTGTCTTTAAAGGTTCCAGCAGAGTAAGATCTTAAAATTTGCGGAAATGGCGACGCTGTTCATCGTATTCCAGAAATATACTCGCCATTTTGCGAACGGTATCGTTCAAATTGCTGGTGAAGTACTGCATGTAGTGCTCTTGTGGTGCTAACTAAACAAACTTCCCATATCCCTAAACATATCTACCTCGGTGGATTTATCCTAGAAGGAGTGCAGGTACACGTCGGCGCGCGTAGATCGAAGAGCAGGGTGGCAGAAGTCCACCAACAAATGTATTCCCTCGAGGTCGAAGATATTCTTTTTCTTGTGGTAGCTTTGGAGGCAGAAAGGCGCGCTCTCATAGAGTTCAATCTTTGCCAACGCACTCTTCTGCGCGCCTGTGCAGCTTTTCGGGGGCCGTCCAGATAAACGGACGTGGACTCAGGCCTTTCATCTCTGATGGGGAGAACGAGACGGCGGACCGTTCCCGAACCGAACCCAGGAGCCTCTTGTCGCAGCTAGCGGCAAACTGACTCTATAGGATAGAGTTCTTCGACAGACCAGAAGAATCGCGGTCGACTAGTAGTCGGCAGTGCATTGTCCGGTTTACCTCGTACGGAAGACATTGGCCGAGCGCGCGCAGTCATTAATTCGCTCGACCTCATCATAAAGAAGTGTAATATATATCACTCTGGATAGTTTCTTCATTTTTGTAGAAGTCACAACATAGTCCGTGAAGTCGGTGCGCTAAGTCTACAGAGAAACGTTGGGAGCGCTTGAAATCTCTAATCTTCTCTAAGCCTAGCCCCAGACTTCAACCGCAGCCTCATTCATCCTGCACCATCATACCGTAGTAATATACTTTACCAAGCCTTTTCTGCTATTTCAAACCGGATGCCAAACCAGCCGTCTTCCTTTAATACGTACTATGCAGACAGTTGCGTGACGCCGTCCCAGCTTCCGAGCTTCTCGAGCGTTCCCGTCGGATAGGCGGCTCTTAGCTATTGGGACTGAGTATTACTGTACTCACGGTGCTGCACCACAAGGGAGTGCTATCAGTCGATATTTATGCGTTGATGCGGATAGTTTCGCTCGTTGTTCCTGGATGGTGCAATTCGGCTCGGGTTGTTCAATTCTTGACTCAACGTTTCGGTTTAGCTGTCTGCATTCCGTACCTGCATTGCTTACAGCCACCAGTCCGTTCAGACGGAAGCCAGCTTTTTGCCATACTCTGATACCCCGCTTAACATACCATGCAGCTCCGCTCCACTCCGCAAAGACTAGTCGCTAGATCCCTTCGTCGCACCATTTCCGATACTGAGCGTATAGCACATCCTTGTGCACATTGAACCATTCTCCCTCTCGATATCCCCCGTAGTGATCGAATTTCCTCCTCTTGTATTTGCGCTGGGGCTTCACACGAAGATTAGGAGGGAGATGGCCAACTGTGTTCTGAGATTCTTTGTCAAGCCAGCGCACTACGCGTTCCACCATCTCAACTCCTCTAGGACTGAGCAATTCGGGCATCGTGCGGCGGGACCAAGCGTACCATCCAGCCATGTCAAGGAAAACTAGATAAGCCTCATGTCTCCACGGAATGCTGAAAACCTGCGAGAGACATTTAACGCAGAAAATAATCGTGCACTTGTCATTGCGTGCATAGAAGTCGGCAAGCGCAGTGCATGCAATTTTACTCGTCACGAGGTAGCTGAATATCTCGACGCGCGTGACCAATTCCTTTCGACGGGGCGAGCAACATGCGTAGAAGTCTAGAAAGTCTTCTCCGCCTACCTTCCCCGCAGCTGCTTCGAAGTTGATTTGGTTGTATTTTAACCCAAGTCCTCGTGTCTCGAAATACATCTGGCGGCAGACGTGTTTGACTTGGTTGGACTCCTCTCTCGATTGCCGGCTAGCAACGCCGATGAATACGTTAGAATCGGGGGTATGCCGCTTAATCTAGAGTCCGTCATCCTTAGTGAGCGCAAGTCCGTAGATAATGTCCCGAAGTTCGCGGGGTAAGGCAAGCAGGCGGCTCCTACTAGATGACGAGAGGGCCGAGTCAGCGGCGGCTATTTCGCTGTCTTAGTTAGGACGTAATCTCAGAGCTAGTGTTGATAGAAGAACTTGCCTTATTGGATTTGGTTGCATTACGACTTCGAATTCAATCGGATGTGTGTGCCGTCGGTGGAGTGATTGTGAGGAACTTGGGGGTTGGGCGAAGTGGAGGAAGCGGTGCTTGTGTGTTTGACCTTGAAGTTACCTTGGGGGCACGGCATGAAATTAATCATATGAGGAATCGACAGCTTCTCATTGGTCAGATTGGCTGACAAACTTCACGTGATTGAATTTCATGCCGTGCCTCGTAGGTAAAGAGAACAACACCATGTGCCAAGCCGTTGAATGAGGTCAGCAGGGAGTCGGAGCGAAAGTGTAATGGGAACGTGAAGGAGTGTAGCTGAGAGTCGGGCCGCGCTCGGTGGAGCTCGTTCTATTATCGCTTATTGGAACATCGGATTAAGGATTCTCTTTAATTCTTATTTGACTAGATATATAAGCTAGAAAGCTTCTCATAAACATAGAAGCGAACGAATAATGCCGCTCAAAACCCCTCAACCTGCCATTCCTTGGTCTGAGCATTCCATTCCTCGATATTGGCCGCACCGGGAATTCTTCCATTCATGTTCATACAGTTCGCACGTACCGGCACTTCTCGAGGGAAGAAATGTATATTGGTTGGAAATCCGTCGGATTGCGTCTTGTTCTGAACACTCATACGTAGAAAGACGGAGCTGGCGAGATGGTGCTCTGCGGTATTCGGTCTCAAGGCTCCTGGGAATTCACCCCTTATCATACGATGGATCGCACTAGCAACGACCACCCAAAACCAGCGAGCATCCATCATGCTGTTGACGAACCGGAGATTGACTGTGATGCTTGCGCACGGACTAACTTCCAGGAAACGACGGATGTGCTCTTGCCGCCACGTGCTCAGGAACGGGTTCGGAGTGTCATGCGTGAAGTATACCGTTTCCTCAACGATGACGCTCTTGATATGCGCGTGGCAATTTAGGGTGCACTCGTAGAGGAGAAAATGCCGGAAGAGCGATGATGCCGAGGCTCCGTACGACGATCGGAAAGTAAGGTCGTTTAGCCTGATACCGAGGCCCTTAGTTTCTTGATATAACTGGCGGCAGACGTATTTGAGCTGGTTAGCCTCGCCCATAGTCGCCTGATCACCGGCTGCCCAGAATCTGCCTTCCGCGACTGCCGTTCCGTTGGAAAAGACGTTATCTTTGACGAGCCCACCCTCTTCAGTGAGCGCATATTCGTACACAATATCCCTCAGTTCAGGCGGGATCGAAAGGAACAGGTTTGGGCCTCTAGGAGGCACAGTCGCACTGCCGACAGTCCTAAAGAAGTAAGAACATTGCTGATACGACAACCTCGAGTTCCTTACACAGCCGTATCCATTACCTCAGTTGAGGAGTGCCCATGCCCGGCGGTCGCTATTGCAGGGCTCTCGGCTGCCATCTGTATTCTGGAAGTTAGAACCACAGCTGCTGACTGTGCACGAGGAACTACCTTGCATCTGGGGTGAATGGAAATGAGAGGCTGGCGAACTTCAACTTGACATATGTGTTCGAAAGTGTGGTGCGTGAGAGGAAGGTTTTGTGTCGAAGTGAAAGGCTGAGTTGTAGACGAGGTTGTTCGATGGCCCGTGCTGAGACGGTTGAAGCACACTTTCCAAAAGTACACTTTCCAAAATTGGCGAAAGGTCACGTGCACACTATTCACGATCCTCAGCTTGGCTCATGTGGGCACCCCGCTTGGCTGGATCGCATCAGGCTCCACTATGGTATGCAAGTTAAATGCGAAATCAAGAGATTAGAGAGCTATAGCTGCAAAATTTTATCCGTAAACATCCCACACAATCTCAAGGTGCAAGCCATCATGAGGGAATTTGCTTTGGTCCCTAGTAAGAAGATAAACGGTTTTCGCTTAAGCCCGTTCCGAAAAAGAACCTTGACCGGCGCCTCCCACATAGTTCCTTAGAACCTGTCCTCAGAGACCATCTTTGTGCAGAGCTCTCATCACTTGCAGGATTGCATCTGCGACCGTATCTCCAAATCCATAATACCCTGAAAGTAATTCCCGAATAACGTACTGAGAGCGTTCACCGAAGGTTGTTGAGCAGGTGAAACGAAGATTAGCAGGTCGTTGGAAACCGCACCATTCTAGAACACAGTCCTCGTAGAGCAGGTCGCGTCCAAGGAGCATTGGCAATGGAAAGCTGCCCCGTAGAACGTAGTGGAACGCATTGACCCAGTAAACGTAGTCTATTTTGCTTAGAAAAGGGATGCAGCAGTCTAGACGAACAATGACGACGGCGTTCGGATGCTGGATGCAGAAGTCGTACGGTGGTGTCGACGGGCCGAAGTGGAAAGCTAAGTTCAGCGAAGGCCAGGATCCAAAGGTGAAGATGATTCGCTTAATCCAGTCCTTGCGGAAAGGTGCGCACTGCTGGAGGAAGCGCTCGAAATGTAGAACAGCCGCCGACGGCGTGTTTCCCCTCCACGTCAGATCATTGAACTTAATCGCGAGTCCTCGCGTCGCGTAGTACGTCTCTCGGCAGACTTCTTTAAGAGGGTTTGGGTGAGTCGATTGACGGGAGTGACTGTCGAGTATCCGGAATCGCGTGCGTGTATTGATGGCAGCAGAGCTAGCCTCTTCCACAAGACCGTGGTCGTTTGTCAACGCGTATTCGTAGATCATGTCCTTGAGTTCCCTCGGAAGCTGCAGCAGAAGACTCGGGCCATCTGGTGGGATGGAGGGATCCTTGATGTTATCAGGTGCTGGGGCCTCGCTCACTTGTGCAACCGCCGTGCCGTTGGACCGCGAGGAAGTCCTTCCAGGGAGAGCGGCCCTTCTTTTTGTTAGACCTGCGGCATGGATGTCAACCATAATCCTACTTACCGGCATGAGCGAGCGCCACTCCGCGTAGCAGACCTGAGTGAGCTTTTCTGAACCATCGTGGAGCTATTCTTGCTCCATCTACAACCAGCGCCAAGAGTTGTCGAGAATGGGTACTAGTCGAGCTAGCTCGTGAGTAGTATGTGTGGGAGATAAAAGCAGCTGTTGGGGGTGAAGTTATATATATTGCTGTGCCATCCGAAGATACCCGACAAAACCGGTCCTACGCGGGTACCGCTGGTGAAAGTAGCAGAAGAAATAAAATCGTGTCGCGCATGATTTAATGTCCAAGTGCTTTCCATGTCTCTGTAATTGGCAAAGCTTGGACCTGAACGCGTTCACTACCTTACTCCGACTATCTCCGCGTGAGGTCGTCTCGCATTATCTCCCTTTCACGTAAGAGGTGTGCGTTAGATTCCCTCCTCATGCGCGCCTTTCGCCAGCTTTACCATTCACCATTCCCTCGGAGGTGACAGGACTGTCCTTCAACAATCTGCAGATGTCATGTTAGTCAATGTCAATATAACGACCACATGTTCAGCACGTCAGCATCCCTTTGATCGCTGCCTTTTGTAGGTCTGGGGCAACGACATCGTAGAGTGTTGTGGAGAAGTCGCGTCGTGATCCGAGGAGAACCACTTTCCTGGTTCACTTCTGGTCCTGCGCTGAGGAATTATGGAGAAAGCTCGCGAAGCGTTCGGGGGCGGTCAGTCCGTTTAATATGCTCGTATATCATCAGCCTCAGCTCCAAGGCAATGGTGAAGAGAAGACATCGTGCAGCAGTTGGAAGCGTAGGATCAGTGTTCTCCGCTGGAGTTCGGTGACAAATAGCCATCTTAGTGTTCAAAGATAGCATTACAAGGGACCAGAGCTAGAAGGTGCGATGGCTAGCCCGAGAGAAAGATGGGCGATTGGTGAAGGTATAAAGCAGGGACAGGGTCGGCTACTAAATATCAGCGTGGCGCTAACAAAAGATCAGACTATAAATCTCACCCAAAGGAACTGGCAATTCTTGCGGAGGGAGATTCTCGATCCTTTTGGGCGCCATAGCTGACTCACCAGTGGCCGTTTTCTTGCTCGCAGGCAGTAACCAGATCCTCCAGCGTACTTCAAGGTGCTTAATTGTAGTGGTGGTGGTGAATGTGTTGTAATACCAATGTTAAGGAAGCAAAAGTTGTATGACGGACATCTGGCTCAAATGTTACGGTAGCGTCAGAGGCTTAGCGGTGCTATGGTCCCACGGGGGAGGAATCAGCAGGAGTGAAGGCCCAGAGTGAAACAGAAGTATGAGCCTAAGGTCTTGATGATGAAACTAGGGTAAGAGAGATGCGACAGGCTCAAGCGATAAGCCACCCCTTTGGAGTGTGTGCCGAGGATACGGTAAGACATTCCAGGGTATGTCAAGGCTCTAACACAAAGTCGAGGGGCCAACGTTTCGCTGGGAGCGTGGACGGGGGGCAGCGGGCCTCGGGGTGGAGTGGACGGACACTGTACACACGATGTGGGTTGTGTCGACTTTATGTTAGAACGGGCGACGCGTAAAGGGTCAGAGAGCATGAGCCGACGGTGCCTTGCATTCGCGTTCTATCGTTCTTGAATATTCTCAAAACAGGAGAGAGGTGTCGGTCCCGTGATGCATGTGTGGCGGATTTCGTAATGGAAAACAACGTGACTGACGCGATACCGGCAATTCGTGCTCAATAGCGTTCACGTCCACGTCCGCAATGAGTATGTAATTTTGAAGGCCCGTGCTATGGAGATGACTGGCGGTCATCCTCCGGCGCCCGTAGTTCTGCAACATCTCAGCATCCCTCCTCGAATAATCTCTTCACTTCCGCGGTACGCAGTTTTAGGAGCAAAAGGATCGCGCCAATCCTTCTGCTCTTTCAGTTATGACGCCTTATATATCCGCTAACAACAGTCGTTGATCGATCTCCTCATTGTGTTGCAGAGGGCCCTTCGTCTTGTAGTCACCCTCACATATTGTGTCGTCCAAGGTAATCCTCAGGTTGGGAAGAAAGGGTCGCTCGCCAGCATACCGAAGGAGGGTATCTCTCCAAGGAACTAACTCTCTCGATTATTCTTCTTTCGTGCGATAGGTAAGCCCGCGTGTTCGAGACTCCACCAGGCCTTGACACCAGGTCTCCTCGCAAGGCGTGCCGTAGTGAAGCGTGAAGGACCAGCCAAAGCCGTTGAGGCAGCTTACGGTTCCCCCGGATAATCACCCGGATGGTGGGATAGCGGAGGCAAAATTGATAGAGAACAGGAGAGGTTTTGCCACTGAGATCTTCAGTAGTATCCTGCGTGAAGCCCTTCATAACCGCCTCCTGGAAGATGAGAATCTTCTTTAATCGTCTTCGCTGCCTCAGGGCAACTCTGAACAAAGTGTTCGAATAGCTCAATCCCACTCATGGCATCTCCGGAGCGGAAGGCGAGATCATTCAATCCCGGGGCCAAACCCCTCGTCTCGCGATAGAGTTGGCGACACACGGATTTCAATTGATTTGCCTCAGCTGCACGGCAATCTCTCCCATTTTCTTGTGAGAAGTAGAGTTTTAGTGGGAGCGCAGAATCGGCGGAGGCGACGCATATCAGGCCCCTCTCTTCCGTGAGCGCGTATTCATATACTATGTACCGCAGTTCCGCAGGTAGGCTAAGAAAGACGCAGCGGTCTCCCGGTGGCGGTATCGAAGGGTCGTCCCGAGCCATCCTTGTCGAAGCTCTCGCATAAGCCGGGCGGATGGCGGTATTTTTAGATAGCAGAAGCAGTGAGTGCGAATTCGTCGTGTCTCCCAGGGCGATTCGCTTTGCGGAGGATGGGGGATGGTGGTGGAGGCTTGAGTCAGAAAACTTAGTGTTGTGAAACAGCGCATAGGCCGCCGCTACCTGATTCGTGCAAGTAGCGAGCTAGGTAGATAGCACCTGAGCATACACGAACAAAACCAAGGAATATGAAAGGCATGAAAGTAGCAATTAAGAGAAGGGGCATATCCTTTAGACTCTGATGCAGAGTACATGAAAAGAGGGCTGATATCTGGGTAGCCTTGAATGCTAATATATCACGTGATCAATATTCGTGCACGTGCACTGAGACTGCGGCTGACTAAGTCGTCCTATTCCACTTCCGATCTGTTCTCCCCCCGACCTCATCCTTCATCCGCTGAACATCTTCACCAGCTCAATCCTTTCTGGTATGCCAAACTCATAGAACTCAATTCTTCTCTTCGACGAAAGCATGGACTCCAGGCTCATCGAGAACGACTCCCATCAGCCTACATCGGCCAATTATGGCCAGACTCGTGCCACTTCCTATCCTTACCTGCCGAGCTCAGAAACAGGATATACGAATACCTCTGTACATGCGAAGGCGGACTGAGCTGCCCTCGTCGACATCCCCTCAGACAGTGCATTCCGACTGAGCAGCGCCCGAGAAGTCGGACACAACAGGGGACCCGACGAGCTTTCGCCTGGCGGCAAATACGCTCACCGCGAATTCAACCAACTAAAATACGTGTGTCGGCAACTACGCCAGGATACCTTGCGTCTGGAGCTCGCATACAACGATACCCTGACCTTCTTTCACTCCGCGGAGTTCTATGGATACCAAAATTTCGTGTGGTTCTACGATCATCTCCCAGCCATGCTTAAGAAGCGCATTAGAAAAGTCAACGCCATCGAGCGTGCATTCCCGTGGGACATTCACATGCCTACCAACAGCAAGGACGCATACGAGGGCTGGCACAACACGCTCACGGGCCAAGGTCCCTCGTCAGCTCTCTACCACATCTGCCTTGCCAATTCCGAGCTCCATGTCGTGCTCCGCTACGACCAATTTGAAACTTCCTGCTCGCCCCTCGGCTGGCTAGTCACGACCTGCGCGCTGCTGTGGGGCTTGCGGGGTTTCCCGCTAGACATTAATATCGGCCTCAGCGTGGACGAAGCAATAGAATCTACCTGGAAATATTTCTTCTTTCAGGACCAGCACCTGGTGGGAGATACCCTGGCTAATTTGAGGATGAGTGTCACTTGGGGGTTTGATGAGGAAGCGCTTCGGAAGGTGGATTTGCCTTTAGAGGACGCGGTTGAGATTGATTTGGAGAAGCGGATTGCGGAGGCCAGGAGGATGTTTGAAGAGGGGGTATGATTCTTGGGGGCTATCACAGTGGAATGTTCTTGTATGGTTGTGAGCGCATTGGTGGTCGACAATACACAGTCAGAAGAGCTAACCGACTGGAAAAAGTTAGGGGAAACGGATCCGTGTGGGCTGAATGCATTCATTCAACACCATGAACGAGCAGACATGTGCCGCATAGAGAGAACTCTAAAGCCACGCTCATACCCCCCTCGTAAACCACCCCTCGCCTCCTCAATCCTCTCTCGCTGCACTAACGCCGGCCCTCTAAAAACCGGCACATACTCATCTCCAACCCAGAATTCCGTCGAAACGCTCATCCTTAGATTCGCCAGACATGTCCCCCGTTGCATCCTCCGATGCATTTGCGCTCCCTGCGCAAATGTAGCCCAGAGCTCCATCGCAGAAAAAGATGGGACGGGTCTCGGTTCCCCTTCGCGTCCGAGCGCAATTCTCCACGCGTACGTCTCCTGGATCCAGTCCCAGCTCGCAGTTCCGTCGCGGTCCGTGTACCGCAGCACGACGTGCAGAGTGGGTGTGAGGCGGCATATGTTGTAGAGGAGGAGAGACGCTTCGCCGGCGCGGCCGATGAGCATGGGCTCGCGACGGTTGAACCGGCGCACCTCTTTTGGGCCCGCATCGGGGAAGCGCTCGTATGGCAAGGGTGAGTAATTGTTGGCGATTGACATGGCTGGCATGGGGATATCCCTATCGGCGTGGTCAACATTCATCTCCAGCTCGATGATGCTGACGGCGCGCATGCACTCCTGGTTCGCAGGCGAGCAGCGCTTGTAGAAGTGCACGAAGTTGGCCACGCCGGTGCTGCCGACGGTTTCGTGGAAGATGAATTCGGCGCCGGCGTTGAATTTGAGGGCTATGCCGCTTGTCTCGCGGTGCAGTTGCTTGCAGGCGTATTTCAACTGGTTGATTTCCCACTTCCACGCTTCTCCTTGGCGCTGCACGAATTGCTCGAATGCGTCGTCGCTTCGGTTGAGGAAGCGGAAGGGTGGAAGGGTTCCTTGTCGGCGAGGTAGACGATGGGTGCGGAGCTGGTGAGCGCGTACTGGTAGATGCGATTACGGAGCTCGCCGGGCATTTCAAAGAGGACGCAGCGATCGGTGGGCGGTACGCTGGCGGTGGCCCCGTAAGGGCGGGGTTGAGGAGTCTCGTCACGCATTTCATTAGAGCGAGTATGAGAACTCATCGGTTTCCCAGATATACGGTCCAGGCGGTCCATAACGGGTCTCGGTATAGGATGAGTGGATTGGAGCGGACGCAGTTCGGTGTTGATGTTGAACGGGAAATAGTTCTAGCGACGGCAGCGAAGTGGGCCGAGCGGACTCTCGACAGTAGTATCGGATTGTTCGGCGACGGCGCAACGGGCAGGTCCTTTCACCAGACTTCCACCACCATGGCGCCGCCGTAATAGCAGTGCCGCCCGCTCAAGGTCGCAATTTTCGCACTAGTAAACCCATCGCGATATCTTGGTGAATAGCGGTGACTTTCCCACCTGTATCTTCATCCTTCCTCTAGCCTCTCTGCCGCCCATCACACGGCTTCCTCACCAATTTAAAGCTCTTTAAAACATAACATAACTTCATCCCCCTACCTCTAGTACCACGTATGCCTCTTGTCTTGGCTTCTTGTAGCTTGACGGCTTCAACATTCCAACAACCAGCTCATCTTCGCTTTCTCCACAAAAGCCGAAAACACACTCGACCCTTCCCATCAGCTCGCCTAGATCAATATTGCGAAAAGCGCAGAACCGCCATCCATCAAGACCGAAGCTCCTCCGTCATTCGCGGCCCTTACACACACCGTACCGTGCACACACACACAGGCGAACCTTGGCTCACCATCCCCACTCCACACGTGCACGACCTCCCCTTGCAACCGTGGAACAACCAACCACTCCTCACAGTGGCTCTGTGACGTCTTCTCTTCTTCCTCAAACCTCCTCGCTCCTCTGCTCTTAAACTTCCCACCCCGTCATCCAAATGCGACACCCCTTCCACGCATCCTTCTCTCCAAAAGAATTCCACTTTACACGTCCCCCATCCACGCCCGCGCGCGTGCACATGACACATCCACCACCATTGCACGTCTCAAGTGGTCAGAGGCGACGTCCGCAAGTGGGCCCGCTAAACCGCTCCGGGGCACGCGAAGCCGGAAAGAACACTGCTCGCACTGCACGCGACTCAAATTTTTTTTTCTGGTGGTGGTTTTGCTTTGCTGGGACGGGTCGAGCACGGTGCAGGTGCAGGTGGGTGGGGTACGGGATCAAACTCTTCTCTTGCGCAGCGGAAGGGCTGGGCTTGCCGGGGCCGGAACGCGGAACGCACGAAGAAACTGTCGTTCTTATAAGACAGGGCTCACACGTCGATTGTTGGAGCTACTTACAATTCACTGCGAATGCCCGGGTCACTTTACTCTTGCGATGAGCAGCTTGTGCTGTATGTGCAGCGGCATCACGGCTGTTCTAGTGCACACGGGCTCCGGTAAATGTGGCTTCAAATTCGTCATGACTAGCTAATCTGCCCCGCTGCAGAAATTCCTTCAGAAGAGGACCAGCTCACTCACACCTACAGCCTCAGAGAATCAGACACTTCGTCCACCGTGGTCCAGTCCCCAAATGCCGCTTCGAGAGCCATATCCTCCTCGCTGGTCCCTCATCCAGAACGATCACGCGGCCGAAGTAAACGAACCAGCCAGCCGCCTGAGAAACAAAAGATTAGGGATTAGTCATTCACGTCTCGAAGAGATACTCATTGACTTCGTGAAGACCCCCGAGAACCCGAATCCACCGATACCCCGCCGATCCGTCATAAGGTTGAGCGTTCCGTCGTGACCAAGGAAAAGAAAGAAGAGTGCCGCGCCAAGAGTATGGGCTGAGAAACGAAAGAGCAAGGGGAGGTAGGTTCGTGCGCGGAATGTACAAAGGAGGTGTGTGTGTGTGTGTGTGGATGAAAAGAGACGGCAGCTTATCCAAGAGCCATCGCTCGGGCTTCCCGGATAAGCAAGGTCGCTATACCGAGCTGCGTTCGGCTCGTTAGCGATCCTGTGTGCCGTCCTACCACTTCACCTCCGAATTAGTGAAGCAGACGGAAAAAAGATCAGTAAGGGGTCATGTCGTCAGGAGCCCCTCGTCCCGCCCAGTAGGAAAAGGAATAAAGGAAGAAACAGAGAAACGGCCAGTCCTCAATGCAGTCAAGTATAACCCCGAAGAAAGCTAAACACACCAAATGTGAGGAGGCCGACAAAGGTAGAAGGTAAGTGCAGGTATGAACAGACATAAGAGATGCTTTTCAGATGACGGCAGATAACAGGCCGCAGGCCATGGGCCAAGATGAGGCGGCCAATGTGAGTATTCTCACAACGAGATGATGCCGAGATGCAATGGACGGCGCTCTGAGGCTGCCGATGCTAACGCCGATGATGCAAGATCAGACACCTATGCACAACTGCTGCCGGAAAGAAGGCTTCAAACTCCTAATGGTGAGGCAGATGCGCTGGGTCGCTCGGTAGGCCGGCGAAACGCTGCTCGAAGGATGCCGGAGGCTCGAATCCGTAAGAGGTGGAGGCACGGGGGAAGGTGTTGCTCGGACGGCCACCGAAGGGCGAACCGAGACGAATGGTAGCCTGCCCCTGCATTTCTGCATCAGCAGGCGAGTACGGCGAAAGTCCTTGCATCGCAGACCCGGCGTTGGAGAAGGGATTGAACTCTGACGGTCCGCTGGTCGACAACGGCAGACGTCGAGCGCCTTCGACCATATCGCCCAGGCTGAAGCCACGGCTTCGCACACGGCGATGACTGGACTCAGCAGGGGCGCCAAAGACCTGATCGATGAAGCTATTCGTTCGGTTCCGGGCCTGCTCTTCGAAGTTGTGAAGAGCCCGGCGCTTAAAAGGTCGCGAAATGGGCCGCGGCGCATGCAGCTTGAGAGGTGAGCCAAGCCTAGGCGGGTTGGCTGACGGAGCATGCCACGTCTGCGCGTTGTGCTGGTTCATGCTCATGTCGGTCATCTGCGACATGGTCTGGAATGAGGATCCAACAATGTTGCCGAGGCCAAGTCCCAGTCCAATATGAAGAGACTGTGACTTCTGATGTGCTGAGGCTCGCATTGTCGACCGGTCGTTCTCTGCAGGTCGGGGGGTTGCGTCGCTTGCCAACTGCGACAAAGGATTGCCGAATTGCATGGACGCTGCGCTGCTTGCAGCAAGCGATACGTTCATATCCCGCGTGGCAAAAGTCGACGTTCCCTGCGAGAAGGGAGACGACAATGGGCGAGATTGCGAAGACTCCGACGCTGGTGGTGATGATTGGAACGGCGATGGCGAACGATGGAGCAAACGCTGGTAGTGCGCCGAGAGTGTGGGCTTCTGCTTGGCCAGATCCCGCAGTCGCTTACGGCACTGCTTCTCAGTCGGAAATCGAGGGTACGGCTTGCTGCTTCCTGGAATCGGGGTGCTACTGCCGCTCTTGGTGGGCTTGATGGTGTCGGGCGTGCCGCAGCGAGAATCGTACCGTGATGCCGAACGGACAATGGGAACCACTGACGATGGCCGACCTCCTTTCCAGGTCTTGCGGGCCATGCGCGCCACGCGATGACACACGCCATTCGGCGGAACAGTGCTGGGTAAGGCCTTGAAGGGCGTGACCGTAGGATCTTGCAGATACTTCATGTAGGTCATCCAGAGATGGCGGTCCATTTCTTCGGTGAAGCTGGCCCTCAGCTTCATCTTCTTTGCCGGGCGGGTCTGGCGTGTGGCAAGAGGGGAGCTGAGCTGGGGGGTCTTGATCAGTGGGGAGCAGAAGGTGAATGGATCAGCCATCTCTTCCTCAGGACTCGTACAGCTACCACCTAAGGAGGGGAACGACTCGATGCTGCCTCTAGAGGAAATAGACGAATCCGAAAAGCCGGACGAGGAGGTCGGCCTACTGGAAGTTTCGCTCTGGCTAGCCATGTCAATGTCGGACCAGTGCTGTGGTCCTTCGAAGCTGGCGAGATTCCTCATCTGGGCGACAGGAGTCTTGGGCGGAGACAGCATGCGACCAAAAGCTACTCCTGGAAATAGGTACTCGTCGTCCATGGTAGGTGGTAGAGTGGGCAATTCTGAAGCCTCTGAGTGAAGCTCTGGGCCCTCAATAGTGGGAACAGGCCTGCTGTCGACGGACTTGTCGAGGTCGCTCAAGTCATAGGCAGGTGCGAAGGTAGTGCGGCGACGGCGGACCTTGAGCATCTGCCGCGGAGGCGGCGGCGGCTGGAGCTCCTCTGGTGCTGGCTCAGGTTCTGGCGTCCGGGGCGGCTGGCCGTCGTGGTAGTGGAACATGAAGTTCCTGGGGAGGGTGATTGACAGATGGGGGCGTTCTGAGTCCATGCTGCCGGTCGTTCACTGGACGAACGGGCTGGGTATTCTAAGCAAGGTGCTACTCTGGGTCTTTGGATCCCTTGGTCTCAATAGAGGGAGCCGACGCCACGCTCTGCAAGGAGGGCGAGTTAATGCGGTGAAGCAATTTAGCGAAAATGCTTCCTACTTGGTCCAATTGCTGTAAATTCTGGCTCGTGGATCTGCAGGGCGATGCTAGTGAAGGCTGCCGGGTGCCAACAGGAGTTTGGGAGCTGCGAACGCGACTGGGCGGCTGCACTTCGGGTTACACCAGCGATCGAGGGGACTCGCGAGATGTATTCGGACCCTACAGCTGTCGCAAGGTGTCGCGCACACTTCAATGCGACGTAGGGGCGGTCGCAAGTAGTGTGTAGGCAAGGAAAAGTCGCGACAAGGTCGTTTGCAGCCCAGCGCGTAGCAGTCGCTCACAGCTAGCAGCGCGCAGGACGCGGAAAGCGCAAGGGAAAATTTGGAGACGACCAGCGAAGGCCAGCTCGAGCGCTGCAGCGAGCACGAGGGCGAGCAGCGGCAGGCGACGCTGCGGGTGTGTGGAGGTTGGTCGCGGCGAACGCTGGTGGAGCGCGGGTCGAAGCGACGGGCGGCTCGATGGTCACTCGCGGTCCATGGGCGGGTGCAATGGGGGCAAGGAGGCGAAAAGACGCAAGGAAAAGAGTCGTAGACGTCTGCGGCGGCGGCGTCAGGGCATCGCGGGTGCGAAGGGCGGAGGGGAGGCGGCGGTGGTGGTGAGGTGTGGGCGCGGGTACGGTGAGCGGTGCCGGGTGGGAAAAGAGGGTTGAGGATGGGTTGGGGCGGTCGGCGCACGGGCCCCGCGCTAAGAGCAGCCGCCAAGCTCTGACGATTTCTTCGAGCGGGACAGGCGAAACCTGCACCCAGCAGTGACTGGCGCTGCGCGCTCGACGAGCGAGCCACGCCAACGCCGCGGTGCAGACGAAGAACGCCCTCCGCCACGCGCCGCACGCCCGTCTCTCGCAGTTATCGCAGCAGAAACCCCTCAGCCCGCCCCCAATCAGCACGCGCGGGCAGCCCAGCAGCAGGCGCCGGACGCGTCGCGTCGCGTCCCCGTTCACCCGCCTAGGCCCGATTCGGGGCCGCCGGGTCCGTGCGCGCTCGTCGCGGCCCCTGCATGTGCTGCACGAACACTTGTCACAACCGCATGGCCTGCATTCTTTCACCCACACCCGCTGCCAGCGCCATGCGAGCCTCCAGCGTCGGGTGCACAACGGCGTCGTTCCGCGTGGAGAGCCCTCGCGGCCTCAGTCCCCCCGCCGCCGCACCTCAGCCGCTGCATCGAGCCTGCGAGAGCGAGCAGAGGGTCTGCCAGCTGTGAGCCCTCGACACGTCCGACACGCGACGCGAAACACTCATTGAGCCCTGTCATTCGCTGCACCACCGCTCACCACCACGCTTCTACGGGACGTGCTTTGCTGCTACTGCACTGCACTGCTTCAATATCGTCGTGCAGAGCGAATTTTCCCCCTCCATTGTCTCTCCATTGTCGGCAGTTCGCTCAATTCATCTCTTCTCCGTTACTACCCTCGTCAAAGTACACCAATTCCACGTCAAGTTGTATCACGCAGTCGATCCCTCCCCCCCATTCGATACATATCGTATCTACACCCCAGTCCCATCTGGAGTCCGAAGAGAGACGTTGGAAATCCCGCGCTTGGCTCAAAAAACGCCCGCTTGCCTCTTCTGCAGCCCATCACAAACCAATATTTCCTTTTCCCGATCGCCTGGCCGAAAACGGCAATAGGATCACCCCAATGCTGACAGTGAGCACCTGATTGGGCCCATTTTACATTCCTCTAAAAAATGGGGAGCGTGTCGCGGCCTCGCGGTCCGCATCGAGGCTGTGGGGTACAATCGTACTTTGGAATACTGGCGCCGCCGATCTTGGCTCAAATGCTGGCGTGACTGGCAAGTCTGATACTCACCGTCAATGCTTGAATCATTGGTCGGCACGCTCGTCGTCAATTTTGATCATTTAGAGAAAAGAACGGGTTTCTATTCGTTACCCGGGAGCGAAAATCACACACCTAGCCAATACCACGCGGGTCCTCGCGAGACGCGTCGGATAGCTTTTCATGCATTGGCGCGAGACGAAGTACCACCGCATAGCCCCTCAGTATCAGCTGATAGGATACAGGCATGAATGCCGTGGGGAAGTCACCAGCTTGAGCGCATTCCTCGGAGAAACGAACACCAGCAGGATGACGCCAGTGTGCCCTCTTCAACCGAAAAAGAGGCTCTGTCGGTGCTGGCGAACCGGGAAGCTCCGCGACGTCTTTGCCGTGGTCTGATATCTCGGACGTTAACCTTCAGAGCGCTCGTGCGGGTTCGCGTGAATGAACCTTCTAGCAAAGTCTCGTATCTAGTTCGTCGATTACCGCCGAATTAACTTGAAAGGATCTATATTATGTCTTTTTCCCGCTTTTTCACACAACCCTTTCCTCTCGGTGACGTCCTACTCGGGGCCCTTCTCGAACACTTTTTGATCGCATTCTTCTGCTCGACTATGGGAGAGCCGACACCGAAGTCTGTACGATTCTCCTCGCTTCTGACGCATTCCCCCGGGGATGCTCAATTTATATAGATTACTTACCCGCTTGTGTGTACCAAACTCATCTACACAGTACTCTCCCCAGGACGCTTTGCTGCTTGAAGTATTAACACTGCATCGAAGGCACGAATGAGCTCGAAGCCTTCTGCTCCATCAACACGAGGCAATCTCGACTTGATTGGCGACCCCCCCCCTTCTCCGTCCTCCCTCCCAGCGCTCACAACATTTGCGGTGCCCGAGCTTACTTATAATGGCGGACGAATTTGATCACCTCCACATTGTGGATGGAGCCGGCGGCTGGCATCTTTCAGTATGAGGGCCTTCATCACAGCTTCCTTATTCGCGACTTTCAGGCCTGCGACCTCACATTGTCCGTGAACTGCTCCCTTGTTCTTTAGCCAATCTTACTTCGCTAGATGTTTTCGCGCATTTGATCGTCAACGACACGCTCTTCCCTGAATGGCAGTACATACGGTAAGATGCCGAAGCGCTCCCCGTTCTCGCTTCAAGACAGTTTTGACTAACTTCTTGCGGGAAATTCGACCCGGTTGTCAAGAATGAATCAGCAGGCGAAGGCCTGTTCGGACCGTACGTCGACCCACTATACAACTTCACCACCCCTGACCTTCGCTGTGGCCGCGGCGCGTTCCACAATGGCGCGGACACGGAAGTTGCTACCGTTCTTGCCGGTACACAGGTCGGATTCCAAGTGGGGCTTCCGAGCTACGAGAGCGACCAGAAAGTGGAAGTCGTCGGGCACACCGGACCCGGCTCCGCTTGGTTGTCGAAGGCCGAGGGGACTTTGGAGGCATACCAGGGCGATGGGGAGTGGGTCAAGATCGCGCAGATAGTTGCGAGGGATGCAGAAGAGAGGAAGAGCTTTCCGGCGAGCAGGAAGGAGTTCGATTGGGCGCTGTATGCACAGCATAGTGTAGATATTTCCCCTACCATTCTGCCTAGGACGACTGACGTGAACAGTGGAATTTCACAATCCCGGCAACCACACCACCAGGAGAATATGTGCTTCGGATCGAGCATCTGTATCCTACTCCACCCTCGCCGACGTCTATTCTTAACAAAGGCACGCAATGGTATGTCAGTTGTGCCCATATTCGTATATTAGGCGATGGAGGAGCAGAATTTGAACCCACGGTGAGAATTCCGGGGCTTTATGTGGAGGGTCAGCGGGGTGAGTGCAGTTCAAAGCGTATCCGCTGGAGATTAATAGTGTACTACAGATGTGTTCTTCGATTCGAGAACCGCGGACTTCAATCTCAGTGCATACACGCCTCCTCCGCCCTTGGTGTGGGCCGGATAGATACACATGAGCAATGAAGAGGGACCTTCGAGATGTATCATGTTCACAGGAAACGCTATATTGGTATATCCGAAAAAAAGGCAAATCATGATACGAAGAAAGCTCATAACCATTTCCGTCCACAGTAAAGTACACATACGTCCTGCAATCCGAGGTACGTATCAAGCAACATCATTCCTCCACTGTCTAGCCTTCAGGTTCTTGCACCATCTCATTCCCTACTTCCAGTCCCCCGGCTTACACACCGAGAACTTGGTTGAACGCATCGGCAGCAGCCTGGGCCGCCAGACCGTCAGCGGCAGCCGCGGCCTGGTCGCAAAGGTCAAGAGCGGCATCGTCGACGTCGCAGTTGTTGCCCAGCTGGGAGCAGATGAACTGGGAGATCACGTTGATGTTCAAGGCAGATCCGTGGTTGAAATCGGCGAGGTCAGCGGGCTCGAAAGCATCCTCGTTGCGTCCGTCAGATGGGATGCCGAAGTTGATGGCTGGGTTGCAGGCGCCGAACGAAACGGCACCCCCGACAGCGGCGCCAGCGTTTCCGGCATCCGCGGCGTTTTCAGCATCAGCAACCGAGTCATCCTCAGCATCCGCAGCGTTTCCAGCATCAGCAGCCGAGTCATCCTCAGCATCCGCAGCGTCGCCAGCGTCGGCATTGGAAGCATTGGCGGCATCTGCACCCGCGGCAACGGATGCGTTTCCAGCAGCGACACCGGCATCAGCACCACCATCCGAGACGGCGGCGAGGATCTCGTCCTCAGAGAGATCGTCAACGCGGAGACCAAGGGTGTTGATGCACCCTGCGTCGTCGGCCTCGTCATCGCAGGTGTTACCCGCGCCCGTGGGGTCACCGATCTCGCCAGGAGCGAAGGTACTAGCCTCGTTGGCAAGGGTCGGGTCACCACCGATAGCGGCAATCTGCTGGGCGAGGATGGCAGCGATTTGTTTGTTGAGCTCCTCGGCGCCATCCGACGCTGGGTCCTGGTGCTGCTGGAGGGCCGCAATCTCGGGGTTGACGGCTTGGATGGACTCGCATGGCACGGAGGCCAGACCGACTGAGCCCGTGTTGCGCTCAAGAGCGCGGTAGATGAGGGCGAAGGTCATGCCGTTGATGTCGCCAGCCTCCTTGGCGTTACTGAATGCCTGGTCGGCAGTGGCTAGCTGAAGGCAGTCTATGGTACGTCAGTGCAATCCGTTCGAAAAGTCTTCAGCAAAGGACTCACCGGCATCAGCAATGTTGCCGGCACCCTCAGCAGCTGCGGCGGCACCGAGCAGACCGAAGACCGGGTCCACGATTTCGTCCGGGTTGTTCAACTGCAGCACAGTGGCGACCTCGAGGTTGACGTTCCTATGGGCTTGCTCCTGAGGGACTTCACGCTTGTTGAAGTTGTACCTGTTGACGGCCGGGCGAGCAGCGACGGCGCTAACAAGGCCGAGGTAGAGGATTGATTGCTTCATCTTCGCGGTTGATGTATCGGTCCAAAGACGTAAAGTCGTTAAGTTCAAAAGAAGGTAAATAGCAGTAATACAGTTCGAAAAGGACCGGCCGAGATCGTTTCTCCAGGAACGATAGAAGAGAAGAATGAAGAGCAAGAAAGAACGACTGTAACGAAAGACTTTTTGTTGTGGAACGGATGAATGCGATGATGAAGAGAGGAGATTCAAGGCAACGACTACGCATTGCGCTTATATACAGCCAAAACCTTCGCACACCTATGCAATTCTCGGCTTCGGCAGGCCTTGACGTGTGCGGACACGGGCCATGGAGTCGGCACACAGGCTCTGCAGGCTCAAAACAGGTGCGTCGCATGACGGTGTCTCCTGAATGCAGCGCGACTCACCACCACTACGTGATCGCCACTTTGCGATATATTCATCTCGAACGGCTTAGCACTGTTGTTGCGGCCCGCTAACCTGGATCGGGAACGGAGCACAAGCGGTGAATGTCGCTGATTGGTGCACTGCCGCCAAGCCTGTCGGATCGCGCCCGAAACGTTGCCGAAAGCTTGGAGACAACGTCTGCCTCATGTCTGTCGAGCCAGCCGCCAATGACACGCCCACCTGGGCTATACAGAGCCTTGTTATTGCGGCTTTGGGGAAGAAGCATGAGCGGCGTGGCGCTGTGACGGGCAGACGTCGCAGCTTGCTTCTGGCATACACCCTGCAGCCTGTGAGTGTGTTCCTGATGTCGTAGGGCCCGCTGTGGATAGCTCTCGGCTAGAGAACACCTCGCAAACAGCCTCATCGTAGCTCTCATCTCGGATCTTCAGTACTTGATTATTGACGCGCTGTTCCTCGAATTTGCCTCCTGCGCTCGTCGAGACCTTTCTTCTTGCTTGCCGCGAGAACCGGCCGGATCACAAAGCATAACTGCTTCCACCTTGGCCGCTTTTCAATGACCAGCGTCCGCATTTCTGCATCCCGGTTTGAGGTTTAATGAGATGCAATGCCTGGATGCCTCGCCCTCACGAGGTGTTTTCTATTGGTCGGACAAGACCGCCACATTGCGGGGTGAGATCTCTCAGCAAGAGATCGACCGGAAAGGCCTTTTCGCGCGCGCGGCATTCAAGCTTGATATTGACTTCACAGCATATCGTCTTTTTTGCGCCACTCACTTTCGCTCGCTCTACCCTGGAGATGCCAATAAAGAAGAGCAATGGAATGACGACGCACGTCTTGAGATTTGAGATGAAAACGCTGCTCCATTGCCGAAATACCGAGGAAGGCGGCGAAGAAGCCGTCTTCTGGGGAATTGTCGACCGAAGAACCGCCTGCAAAACGCGCTCGACTGACGTACGCGCTCATCGCAGAACAAGGACGGCCTGGATGCGCCTTCGCACCTCAATGTGCTCTTCACAAACAATGTTGAAGCACATCCGGTTATACCCCGAATCCTCTACTTTCGGATGCCTCAGCCCCGAATGTACATAGCGCATGTACCTTTTCTTCCCAAGAATCCTCAAGCCTATATTCAAACCGCACGCCTATATTATCGCTACCAGAATTCCGGTCGATCAGGTACAGTACTCACACGTTCCCGGATCCAGCTAGCCTCTGAAGCACGAGCCTATATTATCCGCACATATAACCGAGCGATTCCCAAACACGGCACGTCTCAAGCAACTATTCTAAGCATGTGGGGTAAAAGAGGCTCGACTTCAGCCACATGACCAGACTCAAGCCGTCGTGAGCCGTGTTCGAGCCATTTTGGCTCTGGTGAAGCTCACCGCCGAACCCCTGGTTTGACAGTACGCAGGGACAAGGCGAAGCGCGGGTCGAGCTCGATCCTATCTTCCACCTTCTCCCACGGCCACGGCTCGAGCGTTTGTGCATCACGATACTCTCTTTGACCACTCCTTAGCATAGCGACTTCTCGACTTTGATAAGAAGAGTAGTGGCGTACGTCTCACGCTCCGTCATTACAAGGACGCCGTCTGCATCTTATTCTTAGTCCCACGCCGCGCACCTGTGGACGTACCCATCTACTCGAAACGCTCTCCCTTTTATCCGGAAGATCAGTCGCCCCACGTAATACAGCATTCCCTCAATCGTTCGCAGGTTGGAGGAAGAAGTCATGACTAAGCCCAAAATCTCTGGCCCTTTTGATGCGCGGCATGTTGGTGGTGTGAGCATTCCTGGTGCGACAATTCCTCTTGTTGGCATCGACAGGTCATCTACGAGTACATTCTGGGAACCGGACGAGCCGCCGTCGCATACGAACGTCGCTACCGGGAACATCGAGATTGTACGAAGATCGAACACTATTGCGAGCACGCTGAGCAGGCCCAGCTTGCGCCTCAAGACGTCTATATCGAGACTAAGGGCACGGTCAAACTCGAACTCGCCGGATACGCTTAGGAGGAAGGAGGGAGAGCAAATGAGAGAGCACGCAGAGACAATGGGCCAGAGTCTGAGGAAGAAGCCCAGTTCGTCGAGACTGTGGCAGAGGGTCAGGCAGGAGTCACCTCCTAGGCCGCCGAGAGACCCTGTGCGCGAGCAGAAGCGAGAAGATCCAGAGCACGCCGCGCCACCTCAGCCCGTGGAGAAAGACATACTGTCCCTCAAACCAACAACCTCAATATCCCGCAAACCTTCCCAGCGCGCAACACCCTCTTCCGAGCGTCCCTTGCCTCCACCACTCCCGCCACGCGAACCCCCACCACCTCTTCACCGCCAACCGTCACATAAGAGAGCGCCTCCTGTACGACCCAAACGCGCAGACTCGGGAACAGCGATCGACTTCGGTGACGTCCCCGTAGACGAACGACCACGCGGCTTCAAGGAGATATTGTCGGTGCAAAGCTTCGCGGAAAGGATGGCATTGTACAAGAAGACGAGGGAGTATTGGGCGCACGCGGATCACGGGTTAGATGAGTGGGTGGGAAGGGCCGGTCAGCAGCGTCCGCTGGCCTTGCAAGTGTAAGGTGCCTTCGGTGGGCCAGCGATGACGGCGCAACTTAGACCTTCGCTGCACGCCACTACACTCAATATCCATTGGAGTCGACTTCTTCACTGCTAAACATGTTGTTCATTTATCCTTTTGCTTTCTCGGATACCCTGGTCTTTTAGTTTTCTCGACACCGTGCACAGTCGCTGTTGCTGTCGCTAGGATATTGTAATATGGCGCTGGTCGCTTCCGCTCTTTTGTAAATATGCATGCTGGACTGACTGGGCTGGACCAATGGGTTCATCGTGTCGTGTGATGTGCGGAGTGCTGGGCTTGTAGCATGCTTCAATGAGGAGCACGGACTCTGTCAATGAGGAGGAATCGCTTTCGTGGTATCTACGTGTCTGTCAGTCACATCACCGCCAACATTCTGCTTGACATCTTCGCCCTTTTCTCTTTTGCTACCGCGCCACCTGGATTCCCAATTTTAAAACGCATACCAACAACCTCCAATATCGATACCACTCTTAGAGCACTCTTTCATTGCGCATCTTTTCCTTCCAGAAAACGCTTCCTCATCATCAAATCCCCACACCTCCCTCTTTCCAACCCCCCCCCCCTACCACCACCCATACTCCCCTCACAACAAACAAAATGTGCACATACATCCAAACCATGTACATAGGCTGCCAACGGCGCTGCCCCGGCCCCATCGACCACCGACCCTGCGCACCCGGCGCACAGTGCCCCGACGATGGGCGAAGCAGCACGAAGCAGGTCAGATGGCAGCAGGGAAAGTGCCCGCGGCATAGGAAGAAGCTGGAGAGGGGCAATAAGAGGGTTTGGGAGTGGAAGGGTGGGAGGTCGAATGAGTGGCGGGGCGCGGTTTGTGGGGTTATGTGAGAGGGGAGGGAAGAAGGGGTGGTGGGGTCTTGGCGGTGAGGATGCGCTGAAGGTCGAGGGGATGGGAGACGAGTATTCGGGTAGATCCCATTTGGCTGGGAAGGTTGAACCGTCTAGGACCCAGACGCGCCGAAGGTCTCTAGGAAAGGCGACGGGTATTTTGAGTAGACACACACTATGAAGCTGAAACCGTTGAACGATGTTGATTGATTGTTTGATTTTTTTTTCTCGCTTGAAGTTATTGGACCGCGGAGGTTGTACTAACTAATAGTGCAGTAGATCTTCTTATATATGGAGATAGAATAAGCTAATAGAAAAGAAAGGTTTAGGCGTAGATAATGAGGGTGTAACCCACGATAATGACGCGAACCATGGCACAAGGTTGTCAACGAAATTGAGAAATGCTTTTGAGGGTTATATATCTATCATCGCTGTCTATAGGCTCCATGTTGCATCACTTTCCTAGAAGCCATGCTCATGCCACTCCCGAAGCAAGTCTGCCATCTTGCTCACCTCTTCAGACGTCGGCCACCTTACCGGCCCATTGTCGAACATTCCGAACATCTTGGCCACTTCCACGAACTCCTCTTCATCGAACTCTCGCTGCTCAGGCCAGAACCTTAGATTCGATACACGGAGCTCCTCCGCTCTTCTGCCGCTCCTCCACCTCTCTCGCCTATAGTAGCGCATAGCGGATCTTCCTTCAGCGTCCATCTGCACATATGGCACCCACCCATTGATGTCTTTTCCTCGGAAAATTTCGAGAAGATCCCGCGCATCGTTGAGGAGCATAAAGCCTGGATGGAGGCCAGACTCGCGGGGCACAGGAACACGGTTCAGACGCACGTTGACCTGGACGTCTGGATGGGCGCGGCAGAGATCGATTATGGGGAATACGTTCGAGCGTGGCCGCGGCAGGGCAGCATTGGCATCTTGCCCAACTGCACCATCCTCTGCTGGCAGGTATATGGCGCGGATACAGCTCCGGGTATTGGTCCCGCACGACTCCCAGAGGCGCTGGAATTGCTCGACTGTGCTAGGGTGTGCAATTGAGAAGCGGGTGAAGTTGACGGCCTCGTTCACTTTGAGCACAAGACCCTTGGTTTCAGCGTGGAGCTGGCGGCAGACGTATTTGAGTTGATTGATTTCCGGTTGGATGGAATCTCTCGTATCCTCCTCTGATGCGAAGAACGGGAAAACGGTGTCGAACGGGCGGTATTGGTAGAAGAGGCCGTCTGGCGCATACAGCGCGTAATCATAGACCTGATCTCTCAACTCGCGCGGCAGCCGGAAGAAGTAGCAGGTACCGTCCGCCGCAGGCACGCTTGGATCGGCGCAAGCGGGCGCGGCCGAGGCCATTGGGCGACTGCCATGGTTAGCTTCGACATTGCTTAGGCGTCTAGTAGAAACTGTTATACATACAGTGCGCCTTTTACGAGTGTAAACATTTCCGTAGCGTGAGGTGGAGATGTGGAAAGAAACGCGCGATTGCGGTGGGAAATCGTTGGGCCGGACGGGCCGAGGGGTTACGTAATTGAACTAGGAGTGAATGGGCTGTCACGGGTCTGCTTATTAGACCTTGACAGACGCCCGTGGACAGTTGCCTCAGTAGCCCCAGACTTGAGAAAATACTGTACCAGTAAAGCACAGTAATCTCATATTAACGCATCTGAGTATTCCTCGTATCGAGGAGCGATGAGTGAATTGCCTCTCACGTGATCAGATTCGACATGTGCCCCACCAATAACGTATCTCGCCAATGCCTGAACCCAAGTGTTAGCCTCGTATCAGGAGTGCCGGATTATGTTCCCTGGCATATCCGTAATATACCCCTGAAACAGCTAAATATACCCAAGTCATTTGACTTTCCTCTGGCCCTCGAAGCACTACAGAATGCGCAAAACACTCCCCTTCCAGTCCATCCCCATACTGTAAACCACCTCTCTCCCACCATCTAAAACTGCCCCCATTCATTCCAGACCCCCAACATCCCACCTAAATACCCTCTACCAACCACCTCCTCGCCATCTCCCTCCACCTCCCCATAAAACCCTGCGCCCTCGCTACACGCACCAACCCCTCCTCCCACGTGCTCCCTCTCGCCGGAAACAGCGCCTCAAGATCAACGACCCCCTGATCACTCTCGTGCGGCACGAACCGCAAGTTCGGCACACGCAACTTGTCCATATCCTCGGTTTTTGTCGACGGCACGAGCCCCGTAGCACCCGCACGCCGCCCCAGCTGCCAGTACATCAAGCTCGTGAAGCTCTGCGATTGGGGCCAAAGCTGGTGCAGCGTGTCGTCGCGCAGTGTGGCGGAGAGCATGATGCCCGCGGTGATGACGTCGAGTGCGGTGAGAGGGCATAGATGGTCGGCGGAGGTGTAGAGCCAGTTTGGGACAAGGTAGCGGACTGTCATCCAGGGGAGTGCGGCGCAGGTAGCTGCTAGGTGCAACAGGGTCGGCATATCGTCTGGGATATGGGGAAGTTGCGCGCAAGGAACCCATACTGCGGAATGGTCGAAGACTACTGTTTTGAGCCAGTGCGTTTGTGGCGGGCTGAGCGAATGGATGAACTGGGTCGATTGAGACGCGGGGTTGCTGTGGCGGTGGTAGTAGGTGAACCATGCTGTGGAGTTATAGCGGACTTCGAGGTGACTGGTCTCGAGATAGAGCTACCGGCACACGTAACGCAGCTGATTGAAGTCATCGCTGAGATCGCCGGGGTCGTTCGTGGAGCGGGTGTACTCAACGCCTTGAGAAGGAGAAGTCAGCACGTAGGCGTATATTCTGTTTCGAAGTTCGTCTGGTAGACTGAGAAGTCTCGAGTATTGCGGTTCTAGCTGATTGATTTCGATGGGCATTTTTGGACTGGTCGTCGTGCGCTTGGTAACTGTTCGGTCTGTCAAGAGTAGGTTGAGGTGTGAGCGGCACAGTACGAGGCGAAGCTATAAAGGGGTTGTAGAAATGGCCATAAGCTTTTAATAACTAAAACATCTGTTTGGTGTTTTAGCACTCGGGGGTGAAACTAAGCGCCACTGTTCGCCGATCAGGAGACGGGCACGGGGCGTACGTGTGGCGTATGTAACGGTGCCTTAGCCTATTCACTAGATCGTTGCTTACTGACCCCTCTTAGCCGGAACCTCCACCAAACCCCTCTCCTCCTTCGTCCGCCACTGAATCGCCCTCGCAATCTGACAAAGCACCTCGAGCGTCGGCATCGGCACCCCAGCCTTCCGCCCCTCCCTTAGCGGCTCGCCCAGCAGGTTCTCGAACTCAATAAAGTTACCCTAGGAACGATGTATCAGCCCCGTTAAGTTAAAGACAGCTGTGTCCGCACCCCACCCGAGAGACGAGCGAAATCGCGCATGTATGGATTGGAATACTTACCTTCCTCACATCCGCCAACATACTCGGCGCCAAATAGATCTCCAACGGATCCACCTCCAGCATATACTCCACCACGTCATCCCCGAGCTCAACCCCTATCTTTCTAGCCGCGGCGACAATCTCCCTCATCGCCGGCTTAACCAAGCCCTCTGCCGCCCCATCGGCTAGTCTAATCCTCCCCGTATCCAGCCCTGTAATCGCGCATATCGGGTTCAAGCACGCGTTGTACACGAGCTTCCTCCACCGATCGTGCAGCACGTCCGGAGAGTACTTGCAGTCTGTTTTCCCGCCCCTGCCGTACATTCCAACGAACTCTTGTGCTTTCTGTTCAGCGTCTTTTCTGGTGGTGGCGCTGGGGAAGGCCCCGATGAGCAGACGGTCCTTGTCATCTTGCACAATCTTTCCGGGTTCTAATTCAGCACTGCCTATTAGACTCACACCGCTGAGGACCGCTGTGTTGGGCCAGCGCTCTAGGAACGGCTTCTCGATATTCAGGCCATTTTGTATGAGGACGAGCGTGGTGTGCGTGTTGTCGGAGGGTAACGCGGGGCTTACGAGGTCGACGGCCGTGGGTGGAATGTCAGGGATGTTTTTCGTGGCGAGGACGATGTAGTCGTAGGGGTCGAGGAGTTCTTTCGCGATGTCGGGGACGGTGTTCCGGACTGTGCGCTTGCATTAGCCTTTCACTTCACAATTGCATGGGCAAACTTCTGCAGAAGCGGATACGGTACAAGGCGAAGCATACCAAAGCTCGGTTTCCACCCCCTCAAGATGCCGTGGTCGCAAGACTCGATATCGTATCCCTTGGTGCTCACGACATGGTAGTTTGAGCGTAGGACGATGGTGACGTTCGCGAGGCCACCGATTTCGAGATTGAGCGCTGCGATAGTGCCGACGGAGCCGCCGCCGATGACGAGCACATTCTTCTTCTTCATGTCAGCCATTAGGGAATTGTTGAAGCATGCATGGACGTTGACTCACGGCGCGCAGAATGTTGTTGAACGTTGATCGATAGGGCGCGCCGGTGGGGCAGAGGAGATAAGCTGTTCGGCCCGAGACTACGCCGGGCTTCCACTCGGCTGCACTTGCCGCTCTAGAAAACGCGTGACAGTGCGTTCATGCTGTACTGGAGGAGATGAAGATCAATTCTAGCGAACTGCAAAGAAACTACCGTAACGGTGTGGTATCATGAATCCCGCGAAATCCCAGGAAGGACCAATGCCGCCGCATAGATACTGCGTGGAGTGATCCGGAAAAGAAAAGTCGAAGAAAACGGTAGAGACTAGTAGATGGGATGGCCTTCATCCCAATGCTTGACCTCCTTCATCTCGTTGGGCTGGGGAGGACTGCTGCCAGGGGCCCACCCCAGGCTGTATCGGCCACCATCGCGCTTTCCGCTGCTGCGGCCATCCTCAATAAGCTGAACGGGTCCGATCCATTCCCACATGCGCGTAATATCCCCACTGTGTCCTTCTCTTACTGCAGCGCGAATGTTCGAATTGTGCTCCACCTTCTTTTGCACTCGCTGCCATAGCTTGATGCGCCTGGAAGCAGAGAACTCGTTGCGCAATACATCGTCTCGAAGTTGGTTCATACTGATGCCTCGCTCCGGATACGCGCCAGGCTCCTGAGTGCTCAATGCCGCCTGGTTGGCCAGTCGATCGAAGACGTCACTAGCCAGCTGCTTCGCGCGCGCCTCCATGGCTCGATTGGAAGAAATGGAATACTTGCCGTAGGAGCCAGATGCGATGGTGAGAATTACGAGGGCAATGCTGAAAAGATGTCGCTCCAGCGTCTCTCGGAGGGATCGTCGGATGCTGCAGACGAGGGAGAGCTCTGCGAGTGAGGTGGATGCAAGTCGTCGTTCACCAGTGTTTCTGTATTTGCAGCAAGGGATCTGATTAGTACAGTTCGCGTCAGATGCGTTACAAACGTAGGGGAGGGTGGAGGATTAGCGACTTACCCGTCGGAGCCCTCGACGACTTCCTCTCGTAGGGTTGCCTCCCCGATAGCCTTTGCGAACAGATCCTCGAACTCTTCGTTCGACATACCCTTGCGTTTCTGAGCCAGGATGCCTTGCTTAAGGTCCCCCACGCTGACGTCAGGGCTCTGAACGACGTTGCCCTCGGCATCTAGCTCTCCGCACTCATACTGTGCTTTGCGCTTTCTCAAAATCTGCACCGCGCGATCGGCTACAATCGTGATCTTCCGCGTCTTCTCGGTGTCTGGTTCGCATGTCGGTGGCAGCGGAATCAAGCCCCCTAGCGATAGCGGATGCTCCTTCTTAATGAAGTCTGGGTCGCAGGTGACGCGCAGCTCTGGGTAGCACGTAGCATGCGGCGGGCAAGGCTCACATTGCGGCAGTATGCCGCTCGCAAACTCTGGAATCTCGATTCCAGCAAGCGATGTTGAGTGATCCCTGCCGATGCCGCAGAATCCTACGGCATATTTCTCCTGCCTCCAAACTCCGCCAAAGGCGGCGAGACCAGTAGTAAGAAGAGTCAACGAGAATGCCTTCAGCGTTCCTGCAGCCTTGGACGGTTGCTTGCGTCGCCGAGGTGGAAGGATATCCATCTCTCCGTTCTTCGCGCGGTCGCGCACCAACTCCAGCTGCTCTTCTGGCGTGAAATCCTCGCCCGCGTCGATGCCATCAGGTTCCTCCATCGGCTCTTCTTTGTTGGCACGGGATGGGCGCATATCAAAGGTCTTGCGCGTCGGTACCACGATGCCGTCATCCAGCTGCTCCACCTTGGGCTGCATGGTCCTCCGGCGATTGCCGTCGCTCTTGCGCTTCTCTTTGTGCTCAAAGCCCATGGTCCTTCTCCGCCTCTCTCGAGCGTTCGAGTCGGGGACAGGCGGAGAGCTGCCGCTCTGGAATGGATTTTCCTGTGTGAAGGGACTCGCGGCGTCCTGGCGATGCCACGCCTCCGGGTCCGGTGACTCCTCCTTCACCGCGGGAGCCCTGCTCTTGCGGGAGCGCCTCATTGCCGGCTGTTCTTCCGCATCGGCGTCTAGCTCCCGGGCATGCTTTGTAGGCACGGTATACGACGGAGTCTTTCCGCGTGGTGCTGGCGCTGGCCTCTCAGCGGCTTCTTCAGTCGCCGCCCGCGTCGTCCGTCGTGAGGTGCGCCGCGTTGTCGGCTGCGGCGGAAGCAGCGTCTCGTCTTCTTGATCGTCCGTCGTCGTGCTTGCAGTGCTCGAGGGGATGTCTTCGATGCCCCGCGTGGACCGCTTCGTTCGCGCGTGAGCCCTTTGTATCTTCGCCGCCTGCGGGACGACCTGGTCCTCGAACAGCCCCAGAAGAACAGACTTCTTCGCCGAGGTAGGATACACCACGCCGTGCTTCAGGAGGATGCTGCGCAGCTCTGGCACCGTTATCCTGTTCGAGTCGACGTCTGGTTCGAAGTACCAGTACTCTCCTCGCGCGTCCGCCATCTTGAGCGGCCACCGGGTGAGCTTTGCGTGAGTAAAGAAGCGGCGGGATAAGGCGAAGTCCTCTAAAGAAATGGAGGAGGCCTAAGTAGTCGGACAGTGGTGCGACGTTCACTGGAGACGCGGGTGGGTTGACGGGTGGCGTGGGGTGATGGTTGCAGGAAGGCGCCGAGGAGCTTTGTTGTGATGTCAGTTGCAAGAGGCAACAGCGCTGATCCGATCGACGCACGGACCACCACTTCGCCCTCTCACACTCCGTCTTTCACGCCGACGACATGTCTTCACCTCCAAAGCAGACCCCTGACGCGAATCACCGGCACGCGACCCATAACGGCCTGCACATGCCATTGACCAACCCGACACAGCCGCCCGCCACCCTCACCGGCCATTGCATTTCTTGTCTTCGCCCAATGGATTCTATCTCCTCATCATAGTTTCTTCGCCTGTCTCGCTCACAGCGTATTCTCTGTCCCCTGAATTGTGTGAGCACAGCTGTCGCGGCCGCCTAGGTAGGGCGCGGCGTTCCTATTCACCTTGCTTTCTCCTTTCTCCTCCCACCCCTCTACATTCTCTAGATCCGTCGGCAATCGACTCTAGGCTCCCGTCAGCGTCCCCTTCCTTCATCCCCAGGCGAAATATGGAATTGCGTCTACGGGTACTTGCTCTCGGCCCCTCGTCCGCTTAAAGTCAGCTAGCCCGCCGGTGCGCCCCTTTACCTCCAGTATCTTGCACACTGGAGAGACGCTCCAAGACTACTAGATCCGCCACTTCAAGCACTGGTGCAAACCCGGCATTTGATCGGGCTCTTAGAATGCGGACGCGCGCGGCCACACGAGCTCGACCTCATCTTAACCAGTATGCCACCACGCACTCCCATTGCTCTTTAATGGCCTCCTAAGATCTTCCAATATGCGAACCGGAAAGCTGTTTCTCATAGAAATAACATTCCCGCATATTTTTCTTATCTTAAGAAGCGTAGTCCGGTTGCTAATTAGTTCTCCATTCTTACTTACCTTTTAGTACTTTCTCAAAGCAAAGAATACCTGAGATCAATTCACAGGTCTTTCCTCATCCAACTCTTCTGAGTTCTACTTTTGCAATGCCAGACGCCGCGGATTGTTCGTCGATGGCATGACCCTGAAAATTCCGTGGTCGGTTCGGCGATTCAGGTAAGTGGCGCGCCCGATCTTCAGCTCCCACTGCGCCAGTGTCAACGATCTCTAATGAGGACTGGTCTACGCACAACGCCAAGGGTCGAGGCCGAATTAGGGACGCGGCTAATCGTATGTGGCCTAATCTGGTCATTGTAAGGCAGAGGAGAAATGTAGCTAGGATCAAGCTTTCGCCGAATCGCTTCTTTCGCTGCTTGGCCACAGATTATTATCAGCTAATGTTAACGTACGGTTCCAAGGTGATTGCCACCGCCGCAGGTATGGGCCCAGGATCTGTGGTCTAGATGCCCGCCAAAGAATCTTCGCAGGGCAATTTCGAACGAGGCTTGAAGCGGTGTCCAATTACAAGATTGATACTCCCTGCTCCGCCCGTAGGCCGCAGAGCCATAGCCATCACAGAAGACCATCGGATGACACGCCTTTCGATATCATCCGATTCTGTCAGTTATTCGGGCTCCAAACGTCCAGAGGTGACCGCGCTCTTGGTGTATAATAATCCCCACTGAAACTTCGGGGCTTACTTTCGGGCCCACTCTCAGTTTCTTGACTATTTTCTAGGCTTCTGTACGCCGACATGTCGCTGATTACGAGCTGGTTTTCGTCCTGTGGGCTTCAAGATGCCTACTCACTCAACTTCACTTGCACCGGTCACGGCTGTGACGTCCTCGCTCTCTTGCCAAACATCTCGTGCACTACGAACGACTTTGGTCTCGCGTGCACGAATGATGTGCATTGCGCTGGGATACCTGACTTTGAAGACGTCACTTCCTGGACATTAGATGGCAGCCAGCTGATCCATTCGGAGAATATAACCGTGGTGGAGGAAGGGTATCCGGTGCAGAATGAGACCGGAATACAGTCGAATACCACCGTTTCGGACTACCCAGATTGTGTCACGGCTACATTTACGGAAGTGGTCTCAGCGACCGTTTGGTATGACGACGAGCTCGTTCGACCTCGACCAAGAGACACGATGCACACCCTCCAACGCAGAGAGCGAAGGTTCAACACACCCTCTTCACCCCACGAGGACGTTAGGTCACTAATCGCCTTCGTCAGGGAGTCCACCCAAGGGAGCACCGACGAGGCGGTTTAAAAATTTGACATTGACGAAGTCACCGTTAAGGTGTTTGACTATGCTTGCGAATTCCTCGCGGGAGTCGTCGGAGGGATCTGGATTACTCCGCTCGCTACAGTGGCTTTAGAGCTCCAAACATTCCGCACCGGATGCGCGGCGCTCATCATGGGAGCGATCGAAGCACTGCTCCTAGAAGCCGGGCCGGCCGGCGTGCTAGCCCTCCCCGCGATTGGCTGGGCGTCGAATCTCATCTGCGGGATCCTTATCAAGCAGGCTTTTCTTACCGTGGTTCCGGATGCGAGGCAGACGTACAACAGCGCGAGAAGACAATTCTGCCACAAGGCTAACTGCCTCGTCTTTGCCGACACGCTGTCCGACCACGAACATTGCGGACATTGCGACAATCCTGTAAGTCCCCGCTATGTGGGTTCTATGCGTTGCTAATAAGCCTTCCAGTGCGGATCTGGCGATGTCTGCATCAACGGCGCCTGCTCGAGCCAGTACTGCAGCGGCTCCAACTCGGCTCTCTTTCGCTGCGGCTACGGCGACAACTACGACACGTGCACTTGTGCGAACACCTTCTATGGCAGCGGACTGTGCGCCGAGTACACGACTTCTTGCGTCGACTCAATCACTGACAGCTGCGATTCAAGCGACGACTGCGACCCTGGCTTCATATGTGGTCTTATGCCGGGCTGCGAAGCGCAGACGTGCTTAAATGTCGCCGCCTGCGCTAGTTCCGAACGCCCGCCCGATCAAACAGAAATGCTTCCTCCTGAGCAACCGACCGACTGGTGGACTTTCCAACTAAAGGCCCAAGACGGCCGGGCCTACGTTCAGAGCCCCGGGTCTACGTTCAGAGCCCCGGGTCCCTGTACAACCTCAATCCCTCCAATCTCGTGGGCGATGCAGAAACCGGCATCGAAGTCAACACAGCCTGCATCAAAGTCAGTGACACGCTCTCCAGCGTCGTGGGCTCGTACTTGAATAAGAATGACGCGTTCTATTTCGGATGGGATCCTGAAGGCGAGACGTATCCCGATAAAGATAGTTGCTGCATCCAGGTGTTCGGTTATGATGAGTGTGCTATCGAGGCTGAGGCGGAGGACTATGAGACTTATTGCCAGGTGAGAGGCGGGACGTGGCAGTTTCCATTTGATGTTGTGGCATGGCAGGTTACGAATTGCGTGGCTATGTTTAAGGCGGCGGGTTGAGGTTGGAGGGTAGACTGATTGCTGGACCGTAGGTATTGCCGCTGAGCGACCTATCAAAGACACTTGCTCATCAATGCGATCACTCTGTCCACATTTGCATCCTATATTGACCTCGTCTGAAAACTATATCTCCACCAAACACTCTTGAATCCTCATGCGCGCATTATGGCGATTCAGAGGTCAGCCCAGGTGGCTCGATAAAGACCTGACAGCATGACTACACACAATTCAACAGCTTTTAATATTCAGGAGTATGGTATTGAACCGCCACCGGGGTGTAAAGTGGCCCTTCGTCTTGGTAACGATGTGTGTCACTCGAATCAATGAAATATTAGAAGCCCTACCAAGCACACTCACTCGGCTTGTCCCACGATTGTGCGGGAACAACCAGGCACAGCTACGTAATACGGTCTAAGCGCCCAATTCACTCTGCTGGTTTGGATCTTAAGAGACATCCTCACATTCCTCCATGGTAGTTCTATATATTCTGTATATTCGAGACCCGTTGAGGTCCCCCAACTTCGACAACTCATCTGAGTCCGATCTCCTTTCAACAACTGCCCCCCCGTAATGGCGACACATTCAAATCCCTCAGCGGCTGGATCCACGGAGCCCGCGTCAGAGTCCCGTCTTCTTCAACTTCCTCCCGAATTACGAAACCGAATCTACGAGTACGCACTCTCCACAGGCCCCTGGCCTCTCTATTGCAGCTGCGTGGGCACCACAGCTGCTCTGAAGAAGCCGATCCACAAAGCGATCTTTCATCTCGAACCACCCCCGTGGCCTAGATCTTTCGAACACGACCCGATTACAGAACTTAACCAGCTCAAGTACGTCTGTCGCCAGCTGCGCGTCGAGGCCGCGGGACTCGAACTCAAGATCAACAAGGAGATCAAGATTTCTCGAACCGACAGGGATGCACGCAGCCCGATCTGGGACCTCTTAGTCCTATTCAGGCAGTATCCAGTTGCACAACTCATGTGGCTCTCAAAGATCATCATTGCCGATGAGGCATTGAACGTATGTGACGCCTTCAACGACAAACGTCGTATATTCACTGCCCCGGACATCGCCCAAGCCGCCCAGTTGGCCCGCCGTCATCCTCGCATTACTTTCAAATACATCGTCGGAGAGTGGAGAAACGACAAGATGCGCCACCACCAACACCTGCTTCGGGACGAGGACCTTGTATGGACCCTGACTGAAGCACACGCGTTGGTTATGGCGCTCCGCGGTACATGCGCCGACGAAGTTCTCAACGAGCTGTTTGCTTGGTCTTTGGATCCGGCTGCGCCTCAGGAGTACGGTGGAAAATGGCGAGGCGGTATTACTCCAGAGCAGTTGCAGGCGCCTAATCTGCGGTTCTACCCACGTTTTCCGGATTTTGACGAAGTGCAGATCCGCGAATGGTGTAAACCCTACGAGCCGCAGCGCCTATCGAATGGGGAGACGCTGCTGGACGCTTGGATTCGGCTTCACAAGGAGTGGTGCAAGAACGGCATTTGATCTCCCAAAAGGCTTTGCTACGCGCCCACCATGGGTGGGGAAAGTAGTGGGGACTGCCGGAATGGTGAGGTATCTGGGCGGATTACTATACTCTTTCTTACCTCGGCCTATAGTATCCATATCAAAAGGACCGTACAGTCGTATGGGTAATGAATGAAAATATGATAATCCACCCTCGGATGGCTTCAGACATTTTCTTAGGGCGGCGACGGTGATATCTGCTTTCAAGTCTAGTGCAGATTATATCGCAAGACTATTCTGTGCTTTTTCTCGTGCTCTCCACATCTTTGCATCTTGATGTCCCTAAATGACAGCGACGACTGATATGAAACCGCCAAGGTGATATGTTATGAAATTGGGTGAGTGAGGAGAGCGTAGCCAGGGCTGACAACTTGCCTTCACCTCAGAAAGACGACGGTGGAGAGAAACGAAGCCGTGACCGTCGCTCTGAGACCGAAAAGCTAGTTTTTTCAAAAGACCACGCTCTCAGCAACACCCTCACCGGCGTACTACGGAAAACAATCGACGACATGGAAGAAGATACCGCTACTCTCGAAGCATTCATGGAGCTCAATTCAGCGGTTCGGATTGACAGCGCGGCCGAGAGCGCAAAAGACGAGTTGGAGATCAGGACAAACGCCGTGGTTCGAGCCATACCAGACAACGTCGAGACCTCGACAGAAGCAAAGGCTCTCGCAAGATACGCATTAGCCGACCTGCTCAACATCCTGGTACGACAAGATGCTGTGGATGATGCGATCGATGCAGTTAAGGCGCTCGTCGATGCCGTTCTCGATCGTGCCATTAAAGAAAAGCACTGGATTGCCGCTGCACTGTGGACCCGTTCCTTCCTCCAAACACGCTCGGAAGGTCTTGAGGAGATTGAATACGGAGACTACCTCTCGAGCTATATTATAATATTCGAATACTTCGAAGAACGTGCCTTGGCTGAAGTGGAGAGGACTTGGGATGTTGGGGCGCTGGAGCTGTGCCTAGTGATGGCCCGGAAAGGTGACTGCACTGAAACGTTCGGTGTCGGCGTAGCCGGACATCTCATACGCTCCCCTCAACTTCTGTCGCCCGGAAACTTCGAGAAACTTCTCGCCTTCGTCGGGCAAAGTATACCGCTTTATCGCAGGAGCGGCGACCGCTACATGGCGAAGTGGAACGGAATTTTGAGCAAGGTGGAGGCCATCGGCAAGGAGTGTGATATCAATCGGCAGCTCATGGCTCTTGGACTCAAGGCATTCTGCGAGAATGAATTGAACGCCCCGGCGGTGGTAAGTGAGAACCCCTTTTCGATGTGTTATGGCATCTGATGGGGGTAGTAGGGCGAACACTCACTAGGCGCCTAAAAGACGCCCACACTGAGCCGCCGCACAACTACAGTACCCAGCTCGACTGAAATGGTATAGTAATGAATTGCTGGAGGAAAGAGCACAGTGGGATGAGATGTGGGAAGAGGACCAGGCGTAAGTGCGGGCGCACGGACGCGGCCCGATTGGGCAAGGACCTCGGCAAAAGTTGAGCAGCCGCTCTAGCATCTCCGTTCCTCTCCTCTCCCGCCCACAGTTAAGATTATTTTACTCATATTCTCAATTTTTTCTGTTCCTTGTTCTATGCCTTCTTTCCATAGCTACCACTCGCGTCGATATCATTGTTGGTCGTGAGTCGGCGCCGTGCTACTGCCCCTCCTCGCGCCGGTCAGATGAACGACTTCTCGGAAGCGCACGATAGCATCTAAAAATATTGATATGAGCATGGAGCAATGATTCTTGCTGGGCACCACATGACTGCAGCCAGTCAGTCCCAAATAATGCCGCATGTTTGTCGATCGAACCAGCCTTCTATATGGGTTCTAGAAGACATTCAGCCTTCTATTCGAGGACCCATTACCTGGTTACCAAGCTATGGCACTTACAGAGATCGGCTTGCTTGCACCCGGTTTTTGCGACACGCAGTTCGCCGCATTCTCACACGGAACGTCATCCCGATAGGCCCAACCGCTATCATATAGGAGCGTTAAACGGTCGGCATCAACTCGAAGGTCTATCACTGGTGGCTCGGCTCTGTCGCGCCCTATTTCATCAATTCCCTTTCCGCCCAAGACCTGGACGCTACCCACTGGGAACTACAGTCCGGATGCATACTCATCTTGCACATGAGGTCTATTCTCTCCCCAATAACGCAGAGCGTGCTTGCTTGCTAGGAGGGATTTTGCAGTCTAGGTCATTGACCGACGACTCCCGCACGTTTCGATGCGGATGCTGTGAAACAAGCTTTCATGAACCAGGAAAAGCTCCACAACCTGCCCTTCATTCATCCGCCATGCGACGCTAATCCGGAGCAGGAAATTTGTGGGGTGCATCATTTGAGCTTAATTTCGACGACAACCTAACCTCTCGACCCACCTCATCCCACTGTTCATCCTACCTTCTGCATTCGAGACCTCCTCCGAGAGCAAGAAAATTCTCCAGCCTACTATACAGGGCATTATGCAATGTTCCCATTCAACCCTCGCACTTCCTGGTATTCTACACGGAAGAATAGCGCCAGGATCCTCTCCGTCAATTTAAGCGACATGCGGGGTCTACCCCCGGACCGTTGCGCCGCCACTAGAGCAGGCATATGCTTAAATGCCGGCGGCTACATATAGATTTATTAAGGACGGAGGTCACGCCCCCACCATCTAGTACGACTGAAGCCTCGAATCGAACCGTTTCGTTTCCGGGTCCTTGGCGTACAGGACTTAGATCGATGATCATTTGTTTTGTGTTCAGAAATGCGGGTTGTAAAATTAGTGCCTAGAGCCCCGTGCTTTATATAGGCTGCGAGGCGTCGCTTTTTGGATTTTCGTCCTGTCTGCTATTGCTCGCTTTTCGCACTTTGATCGGTTCCAGCTCTGGTTCTTTCGACGTCATGTTCGGTAGAGCCGCGCTTCTGGGCGCTCTTGCGAGCGCCGTGTCTGCTGGTAAGTCGTCTTTTCTTCTATGCATAGGCGCCAAATTACATGTTGTTGACTTCGTCCAGGTACCATCCTCTGGGATGGCCGCTTCAACGACATGACTACGAGTTCCGACCTGAACAAGTGGTCATGGGCAAACCAAGTCGGCAACTACCAGTACTACATCCACGGCTCAGGCGCAGTAACCAAATACGTCAACCTATCGCCGGACTACAAGAACCCCGCCGACACGGGCTCGAAGCAAGGCGCCAAGATCACCATCGACAGCACGGCCAAGTGGAATTCGGACATGTGGCGCACGGAGCTCATCCCGCAGACGACGGCCGCCATCAACAAGGGCACCGTGTACTACCACTTCAGCATCAAGCGGTCGACGACCAATGTGCCGAGCGCGACAAACGAGCACCAGATCTGCTTCTTCGAGAGCCACTTCACGGAACTGAAGTACGGGTGGGTGAATGGCGAGTCGGGGACGAGCAATACCAACCTGCAGTGGATGGTCGGCGGCCAGAGCAAGTGGAAGGTCGAGCTTGCGGCGGATGTGTGGCATAATGTTGCTTATGAGATTGTCAGTGCTCTTCCACTCCATTGCCATTCATTCGATAGAGTAGGACGCTGACCAGTGCAGAACTTCTCTTCCGGCTCCGTCACCTTCTGGCACTCCACCGGCGCCGACCCACTCACCAAGACCGCTGGTCCATTCACCGCTAGCACCTCGTCCAACGGCGCTGACTGGCATCTTGGTATTCTTCGCCTGCCGCGCTCTGGTAATGATGGTACTGGTGCTGAGGACTGGTACTTCTCCGGCGTGTACATTGAGAGCGGAACTCTTACGACCTCTGTGGCAAGCCCAGCTAAATAGGTGTTGGCGAGTCAGTACCCGGCAAGCGCAACGGCTTGTAGGATGTTCACACAGTGGTATTATATGTATATAGCTTATCCGATGCTATTATCCTTGCAGTCGCTTATGCATATGTCTTATTTTTCTACTCCCTGCATTATTGTCCAATGAGAAGTCCTACATTGAAATAGGAGATATGGTGAGCGTTGTAACTTGTATTGTATTAACTTTATTTACTAAAACCCCCCTCTCCTGCTATGGGGAGGAATGGTCTCATTGCCACCCCCTCAAATGCCCTTTTCGAAGATATCCTTTATCAGCGCGACCAATTGGTCAAGTCCCCCGTGGACAGATATAAGCGCAGAGACGATCGAGCAGTCGAAATTCACACAAGGACCTTCCGAAATTTAGCTTCGTCCAAGACTTCGTCCATGGGAAAGTAGCGAAGATTGTTTGGAGTGGACTGCTCCCCATCTTCATTTCGGCATACGGCTTCGAGCGCGTTGACTGTGTATCGATCCAAGGTCGCTCGAAACAGAGGAAAGAGTTCGCCATCCCCCCAAGGGCGCCTCTTGGGAAAGCCGAGATTCTTCTCCTCGCGGGTTGCGAGGAGTAGCACCATCTTCATGAAGAGGTTGTTGTACGGATCGAAGGCGGCGAGGCGCGCATTGACCGTAGCCATTGGGTGATCTCGGCAGTAGTTATACAGATCAGTCGAGCTGGGGGTTTCGAGTTTCGCATCAAGGCATTCCAAGGTGATGATGCGGATGTGAGCGTGCTGCTCACTCGGCAAAGGGCGAAGAAAGTTCATACACTTATCGAAGGTCTTCCTTAATGATACGTCATCAAAGTGATATCGTTGTAGCGGATGCCTAGAGCTTTAGTTTCCATACCGCGTTTCCCAGGGGGGTGAAAATGCCGTCTTCATCATGTAGAAACTATTTCATTCTGCGAGATTATATTATATAGGAGGCGTCTGTTTCACGATATCATCGTTAACATATTTTGATACTCAAAATGCTTCTGACAGACGTTAAAGCTTAACATATGCTGCAGAAGGACCCACAAGGAAGGAGCAACTCCCCCCCCTGCCTTCTATATTAATGTACAGCTACATTGCGACTCTGTACACCGCATTAACGCGCTACTTCTGTACTACGTGGCAGTATGCCTATATAAGGGTGTTGATGAGCTGATCATTATTCCGCTACGTGCAGCTGTGTGGCGTTGATGAGTACCCTACACTACACATCCGAGAGTGCCAAGCGTTCAAGAACACTATTATTTAGGCCCCCTTTCTCAGAGACTTGAGATAAGTCGTGGCAAACAGAGCTCTATATGTTGACAGAGCTTCAACAGCGCGTTGAGCTTAAACAGAGCTTGAACAGACGACGCTGATGGGCTGACAGAGCGCCAACACTAAAATTAATCAAGTTTTGATATATTTCCATTACAAAACTACTTAGAAATCGTATCAACCGTACGAAATAGCTCAGTCAACTCTCTCTGGGTGATATCATCAAGAAATAGCTTCACAGAACCCCTATTGCGCGCTATGGTTCGCGATACAATTGGCGGTTGACGAATCGGAGCTGGTTGGCATCTCGAAGGCCGCTAGGCTCGCTTTCGAGTGTGTGGACGCAGAGCCTGCTAACGCCATAGTCGTCCTCACGGTAGAGTAGGCCTGCTTCCTCGGTGAGCGCGAAGCTGTATATCTTGTTTCTTAGCTCTCCGGGGAGACGAAGTAGGCTGCTCTCCAGAGTGGCGTATTGCAGTCGGAGCTGTTGAGGTGGGATATTGGCGTTGTGGTGGTGAGAGAGGGTGGATGTGAGAGCAAGAGACGTTTCGGGAAGAAGCAAAAATCCTAGAAGGGTAAGGGCTAGGTCGCACTCACGTGGGTTGCGCGCAGCCTGGAGCCCTGGTGCCATTCACAGATTAATTCGTTTGATCTCATCATAGCATACTACTACAAGTACAGTTACCAGGAACTAAGTGAGACGCTCAACTACTGGGATTTTCACAAGAAGCGGGCCTTTCACTTCTAGCATTAACTAGCACTAAAATTCCGATACCACATTCTCTGGGATAAAGTAAACAGCATGTGCTAGAGGCCGACCTACGCCACTCAGTAAAGCTATCACCGGAACCATCTCGCGCTAAGCCAACAGCAGGCCAAAAGTTGCATTGCTTCTTTCACAGAATCCAGGCTGCGATATTCGCCCACAACTTTTACCCCAAAGCGGTGCCTCCTCAGTTACGCTCATCATGAATCTCCGTGGTCATTGAATCCACGTATCCCAGCCACTCGGTGCCATGGAGGACTGTTAAACCAGCGTTGGCTTCGCGGAGGATTCACCCCCTCAAGCTTCTCCTCGACTAGGGAGAACTATGGCGCTGATTTTTCAAATTCCACCTTCGTAGATCTCCTGCGCTCGTTCCATCCATGCGTCCATGCCTCCCGCAATCGATGAGGCAATGAGATCCGTAAAACCTTTCGAGCGCTGAAGGGTGCTCCGGAACATATCAGGCTTGAAGACAAGGTCGGCAGGAAAGAATCGTATATTTGGCGCTACCGGCCCTCCGATAAGGGACAAATACTCCTCAACGAAGAACTGCGGATATTTGCGTTTGAGTTCGCCCAACAATAGATCTTGAGTCATAGCAGTAAAAATGCTCAATCCCCTTCTTGTCTCGTCGTCTCGTCGGGTGATGACGGCGAGCAGCACGGCGCGATATATGAGATAATTGGAGCCCTGACTGAGACCGTCGGTGCAGATCCTAATCTGGCAGTCCGGATAGTCTTTGGCGAAGTTGTGGAGGAGCGGATACCAACGGCTGTCAGCGAAATGGAGGACTCGTTGCCGGCCATATACAGTGATAGTGAGGGAACGAAGCCGGGAGCGTTGGCGAATCGAGACCTCGTTGAGAAATTGCACACAGTCTTCGAATAAATCATCCTCCGAAGCAGGCTCGAAAGTGATGTTATTGAAGCAGAGCCCAAGTCCTTTTGTTTCAGCGCGCAGCTCGCAGTTGACATATTGCAGCTGATTCGTGGCTTTTATCTCTTCTCCGCCGTCCTCCTTTTCTTGCGCATGCCGATACGCGCAGAGTCGGCCTGCACCTTCATGCTTGTAGTATAGTAAACCGCCGGGCTCCGTCAGGGCGTATTCGTAGATTCTGTTGCGCAGCTCTCCGGGCAGTAGATGCCAAGCCATTGCTTTGTTTGGAGAATCGGTTTGTGCCTGTTTGTGTGCGTTGGAGTGGAGTGAGAAAGGTGAAGGGCAGAAGAGCGCGACGTGCCTAGTGGGTGGCTGCTAAATACGGGTAAGCGCAAACTCTGGAAGCGATTATTGGCAAATGTTTGGCCCGCAGCCGCACATTTCTGGACAATTCACCTGCAATCGCTCACTTGATGTAGCTTCGAATACTTAGACGTGACGCAGTTGGTCGTCCTGTGCTTTCTTTCTAGCTCCCCTAGTGCCATCGCCTTGCGTCCCTGTGATGTTTCGTCCGCACTCAGCTGCTTCTTCCCTTCCTGATCTCGCTGTTAGTCCTTCTCATAGATGCAGAGCTTGCCGACACCATTCCTGCCTCCCTGATGGAGTGGACCGGCTGGTCCTGTCAACGTGTACCTAGGGACTCGTGAATTCGATTGTGTAGCTCAGCCGAAAGCTGGAACAATTGCATCATAGCAGCAGTTGGAACTGAGTAGTGTGCGAAAATGGAAGGGGTTCTGAAGGAGCGCAAAAGCTGTGGTGGTTGCTGGAAAGCAAAGGTCGCGCGGGGCGTAATCACAAAGGATTATCTAGCGGGTAGTTATCAAACGAAGGTCTTACTAAAGGAAATGATGGTCTGCAACAAGAAGGTGAGTTAGAGTGCCAAGGTAGAAAATGTCATTTCGGACCCAAAGAAAATGCATATACGCCAGATGTGGATTAATCCTCCATCGACCGCTTAAGATACAAAAATCTCTTTCCACGCTTTTCCCACTCGGCTTTGGCATGCCCATCCGGCACCCATCCCCCTTCCCATATCGTCGCCGTCAAGCACCCTTCTGAAACCATTCCTTTACTACAAGGACCACCTTATCAATCTCCTCTATAGTTCGAAGAGATGGTAGATGGAACCATGAAGCTTTAACGTAGGACTCCCGAAATGTTTGTTCATTGAAGACTTCTTCAGCCGGAAAGAATCGAAGATTCCGCGGAGCTGTGCATCGTTTTGTCCTTACAATGCGCTGGTAGTATGACTGAGCAAGGGCGTCTTGCGGACGCTGGTCGAAGAAGCTTGTGTCTCCACGAATGATGTACTTAAGAAGGAACATCTCGTCCAGGAAGTCGGGTTTTTCTTTTCGTGGAATAGGGAAATGGAGCTTGACCGTTGCTTCTGGATTGTTGATGCAGAAGCTAGCCAACTCAGAGAACGAGCCCTTAGATTGTTGGGGACCAGAAGGCAACACGATGATGTTCCGAATGAAGCGTTGCTCCATGAGAGGGCACCGGTCAAGGAACCTAGCGGCTTGCTCACCCAAGTTGCTTCCATGGCTTTGCTGGATGATAATATCATTATATCTTACTGCGAGACCTCGCGTTTCCTTGTGGAGTTGGCGGCTGACGTATTGAAGTTGGTTGGCAATTATGTGGCTGCCGAAGCTGACCATCCCGGTGTCTGAATTGCCGGCCGATCTGTCCACCCACTGGATGGTGATTTTTGGCGCTTCGTCGCACACCCGTCTGGGTCGATCCGTTGGCGATCTTCTTCCGTGGAATATTGTTTGCCGCAGTCTGTGGATTTGACGTCCGAACCAAGGCACAGTCGACCGACGCCGTTTTTGTCTTCGCAGTAATAGATGCCTCTTGGTTCGGTGAGCGCATATTCGTAGATTGTATTGCGCAGCTCGCCTGGAAGTCGAAGCAAAGGCGGCGCCATGGCGGCCTCAGTGTAAGGCACGATCATGTACTGGCGGAAAGATGGTGGAGGCCGGAGAGGGGAGTGGAGTAGCGGAGAGTTGAAAAATATTAGAGTTCGTACCTAGGTACCGCGTAGAACGGTTGGTGTAGCAATCCACGGGTGAAAGTGCAGCCGAGGCGGGTCAAATCACATGGTACCTCGCCTTGCGCCAGTGACGTCATCCCCAATTGGAACACCGAATCATTTTTCTCATTTTCAGTCACCAGCCTATAGAGATTATGCTCACTAATAGCAAAGCAGGGCTGCCTACGCACAAAAGGAGTCAAAAGACGCCAAATTTAAGAGAAGAGAGCCCCGCAAGCTTTATTCCTCAAAATCCTTCACGATACAAGCGTCTGAACAAATGAACCATACCCTCAAGACCCCCTCGAAAATTCGCCAGAGTGGGAGCCCCTATCGCCGAGCATATCTCTCCAAAAGCTACTTCGTCGAACACTTCCTCATGTGGCCAGAACCGGACGTTTGAAGGCACACTTGCCCAATAGGCCGTCGCCCGACCGTTCTTTGGTTGATGTGTCTCAGCGAGAAGTTTCATAAGGGGCATGCCGGTCGAGAGAGGGTCGGGCCTAGTGTCGTTCCGCGCAAGAATAAGGAACGATGTTATCTCAAGGAGGAAGTAGAGCGGAACGTGGTCCACCCGGTTCGAGAAGGACGGTGACAGTCGGAGATGGGGAATGCGTATGTTGATACGAGCGCCAGGATGGTTGATGCCGAAGCCTTTAACTTTAGCCCATGCGGTGGGATCGCGAACGAGCCGTTTCATTGCCGAGCTGGCATGAGAGAAAGTGCGGGTGAGCTTCTCTTTCAGATTGACGCGGCGCAGCTTGCCTTGCTGATTTGCGGGGCAGATGTCGAGAAACTTGGCGAACCTCTCGACTGATGTCGCATCATCATCTCCTAAGAACGAAAGGTCGTTACACCGCAGACCAAACCCTCGGGTCTCCTGTCGTAGCTGGCGGTTGACGTACTGCAATTGATTGGCCTCGCGAAAATACTTTATTCGCATCCCCTCCTTTTTGGCCTTCTTGATCATTCCTCCAATACCCAGTGGAAGCCCTGGCTCTCCGAACTGTGTTTTCTCTGCTTTCTGAACTTCGAAAGCGCGCACCTTGGGAGTAGAGACGAGCATCTGTTTTCCTCGTTCACCCTCGACGCGACGTTCACCCTCCAAGTAACGTTTACCCTCGACGCAACGGAGGCCATCATCCTCGGAAAGAGCATATGCGTAGATGATGTTGCGAAGCTCACCCGGTAGCCGGAACAAGTGGCAGACCCTATCCATTGGAATGCCGTCGGGATTTGACAACGGTGTGGAGCACTTGAGCAGGAGCGGCGCGGCTCTTTTGGAGAGCTGTTGCAGTCGACCGGAATTGAGTTGTACGGTTTGTTTTGCAGCAGTAAGGTGAAGGTGCCTGTTGGAGAAGAGGTCGCATTATATCTGAGGCGGAGGAAACGCCTCGTGAAGTGAAATTGCAACTGTGGCCTAGAAATCCAGGAACAGCCATCCTAGTCACAGCAATGGGTTACGGCTAAACAATACCAAATAAGTCCGTTCACCAGTGACGGCGCTGTTTGACATCACTCATCCTAAGCAAACATTCACACTCTGCATTCACACTGTGTCGCTTCAAACGGTCAAAATTATGAGCTCCAATATCTCTTGCATTTATTCATTGAAAATATCATGCCACTTTTTTATCTGCCTTGGGTCCTAGCAGAGCGATACGCATGATAGCGTTTCACTTCTTCAAAACCCGTCCGCATACAATTCCTTCGTCTTCTTCACCCATGCATCGAGGCCTCCAGGAATAGTCTGCACAAAACCAGGCCAGTCATGCAACCGCAACAATGAAGTCTGGAATTCCTCCTCATCAAAAACTTCTTCCCGCGGGAAAAAGCGCACATTTTCCGGAACCGGCGCGAAGAAGAACCGAAGCTGCTGCGTAATACCACACCCAGTGACCCAAGCGTGGAAATAATCCTGAATGAGTGGCTGGTTAGATATGCATTGTAAGAACTCGTAGTTGTTCCGTGCACCTACCATGACTTGCAAGACGTACACGAACATGAACAGCAGGCCCCCGCACACTTCGTCGGGGATATAGACCCAAGGGATGCGCATGTTCACCCGCCTCTTCGGATTGGCGCGGCAGAAGGCCGCTACATGGCTGAATGCATATGGATTGAGCGTGTAGCGATGACTGCCAGACAAGTCGAGAAAATCGTCCCGTAGCGTGATTTGACGGATCTGGGTCTGGTTGCGATCGGAGCAATGGCGAAGAAACGTGGACAGCCGTTCGGTTGCGGTGCCGTTAGGGCTGCCGACGAATAGTAGGTCATTGTACTGCAGACCCAGGGCGCGAGTTTCATGCCGAAGTTGCCAGTTCACGTACTGCAGTTTGTTCGCGTCGACGACTGGCTTCTTCGCCGACTTCTTCGTACTTGCCATTTGATTCTTTCCAATTTTCCGGCGCTTAGCGGCTCGAACATCATCTTCGACATCCTGGGCGTCCATGAGAGCAAGGTTAGCTTCGCTATTAGCGACGAGTTTGGTGGATCGATCAATCTTCTCCAAGTACAAAAGTCCCTCTGGTTCGGTGAGTACGTAAGCGTAAATTCCGTTACGCAGCTCACCGGAGAGACGGAAGAAGTGACATGTCCCATCATTGGCAGGAATCGAGGGATTAACTTTCCTAGTACTACGAGCCTGAACGGCCATGCTATAAGGAGTAGGGTGGGCGCGTGTCGAAACCATGATACCTACCGGGGCAGGACTAGAAGCTTTGCCGAAGGTTGAGATTGTAGTTTACGTTGGTTTGGTGTTAGGGAGATTGAATGAAGAGAAGAGTAGGTGACTCAATTTGTTATATACTTCCCGTTCCCTCTTTTGCAATGCGCGGGTACGCGTCGTGCGGCGACAGCTCCTTCTCGGCGCCATTATGAGTGGACACCGCACTTAGTCGAAAGTGCATTGGTCATAAACAATACGAGAACTGAGACGTGTAGTAGGTCTGTTCTTTGTTCACCTCTATTTCACCGCGTGCTCGCAACATTGCTTGCGCAAGATGCTACAAACGTTAGACGCAATTTCATATACACAGATAGTGCATTATTATTACATTGCTTGACGGGGCTTCCTATAGTTCATCCAAGGCCCTCAAGTTTTCCGATTCCCCTGTTCATTGTCTAGGAGACAAAAAGAGATAGCTGTCCTCAGACTGTCCAGTGATTAAAGAGTCGCCGATCACGCTTCTAAGATGCTCGAACCCTCCAGTCGTATGTGTCCTGAGAGAACATTCTAGTGGGCCAGCCGCGTGCCGTGTGCGCTCAAAAGCCATTCTTGAAGAGGTTCTGCAGAATCGGAATGTAGCCCTCGACACCGTCTACAAAACGTAGCACCAACGCTTCAAGATCCGGATCCTCCTGGCAAAGCTGCCAAACTGAAGCTTCATCAAGCGCATCCTCCTGCGGAAAGAAGATCAGGTTCGTTGGGGATTTTTTAAGCGGATGATCCTCGTCCTCCGGGTGTTTCCTTGACATAAACTCAATCAGGCTGGGGCTCCATTTCGACTCCAGAAGTTGTCGTATTGGTCGGCTAGGGGGCCGAGACAGCAGGTCAAGCCTGAATACTTGTAGCAGGAAAAACTTGCGTTGAGCAGACATCCACGGTACGTGCCATTTGACTGTGGCATTGGGTCGTTTATGACAGAAGTCCATAAAGATATTAGCACTCTCATGATCGTCCTCGAATTTGTCTTGCGCGACTGGCCGTGGGCCTAAATCGGTGTCTCGATGTCGAAGTGTGATCGTACGGATGTAGTCGAGGTGACGCGAGGCGCAGACGCGGAGGAAGAGCGCAAATTGTGAAGTCGCGAGATTGTTGGAAGTACCAACAAAGGTGAGATCGTTATACACAATCCCGAGGCCTCGCGTCTCGCGGCGCATCTCACGGCTGACGTACTGCAGCTGGTTTGCCTCGACGTAGTCCAATCGCGTCCCGCTGTTCAGGCCTGCATCTCCTGGCTCATGCGCCACTAGGCGAGCGGCGCAGAACTCTGAGTTGCGGTACGTGAGACCGTCGGGCTCAGTGAGCGCGTATTCGTAGATGATATTGCGAATTTCTCCTGGAAGGCGCATGAGGTGGCATTCCCCGGTTGTTGGCTGTACGGCAAGATCCCCGTGGTCGGACATTGTTAGGTCTTGTAGGGCGTGTCGTAGACGGTGATGGACCCTAAGAAAGTTGCTGGATTAGGTAGCGGTGGCCGCTTCCGCCGTCCCGGTAGGAGCGCGTGAGACCGAGCACGATTCGGAATTTGATGCTGGAGAAGGAGTGTCGGTAGTAGGACGCCGTGATTTGGAAGTGGCGAGGTCAAGAAAACTTGACGAAATGAGGGCCGCCAAGAATAGTCGCACGTGCAATCTCTATTCACCTGGTTATCGGCAGGGCTTCGCTTAAGCGAGCGCGCTAGTCTCGATTCGCCACTAGCCGCTTGATACGACCATCCAAGGAAGCGAACGAGAGAGGCTTCCAAGATGCTTGCTGCAGAAGAAGTAAGGGAAGAGGAGAGGCTCAGGCCGTTAAGTTATCATTAGCATCATTTATTCAGAGTTTGTCTCTAGGTAATTATGCAGCTGCTTGAATATATTCGGCGGCCCGAACATAGATCGATCGGAGCCGGAGGAGATGTGAGCTCCAGTCTTGTCTATGTGAAGTCCGAGTGTGCGCCATGTGACAACACAGGAAGTTTGAGGGCAGAGCTGCCGATGCGGCTTCTGCGCCTTCATTTTCGCAACCTGTGTTCGTGTCAGTGTCGGGCACCGTACATGTACGTTCTACCGGATTCCACACCATTTCGTTAGCAGAATTCTGTAGAGTGCGTAGCCCATATATACGTTATATCCACAATCCTTTGGTTAAGGCTGCTTGCTATGGAGAGACCTTTCTATAGCAGAGGTAAGTAGCATTAATAGCGCGTCTATAGAAGGCAAATTTAACAAATTACAAAGAACGGATATATTTCTATAGAGCTATACTTACGTGATGGAGATTGGCCCTACAGCCTTACCCTATGGAAAGACGTACGACCCCGGCACTGGTTCGTGCTAATGGGAAATCTTGGGGCATTCTGTCGCAAGTCGTATTTCGATAATGCCTCCACGAGGGCTTCAGTGTCTAATCCGTTAAAGGTAAGTGCAATTTTTCGGAACCAAGAAGCTCCTAAATGATGCTTTGCCATCAAAATCCGTGTTCGTCAAGGTCCCTCAGCAGTGCTGAATGCTCTTTGATTCCCCTTTCCAGCTCCGGCCAGTCTGATGGGTCCTGTGCTCTCATGACGGCCACTGGATCTATGATCCTGTCTCCCAAGAAGAATCGAAGGTTTTCTGGAGCATCCCGAAGAGGTGGATGGGAAGGATACACCAAGTCTGCCGATGCGGCGGCCTTGCAATCGGCTTTATCCCTGGCATGTACTGGGATCATATAGACCACCAATAGTAGTAAGCCATAATCGGCATCAAGAAAAGGGAGATGGAACATCACTGTGGCGTTGGTATGGGCGCGGCAGAACATGATGAGCTCTTTGAGGCTCACATATTCCTCCTCAAAAGTCTCCGTTGCCGGGAAGATGCCGCGGCTCGAGAATTCCCCTATTGCCGAAGGGTAATACCGCGAACTTTGCTCTTCACGCTGTCGGAACAAACACGTAAGAAGGTGGCGCATTGAACCACGGCAAGATTATCGATCGTTCCGAAGAAGATGATGTCATTGTATCGTAACTCCAGTCCACAGGTCTCCTAGTACAATTGCCGATTGACAAATTTTAATTGATTGGCTTCCATGTAACTGTCGATCAGTGGTGTTGCGGGCTTCGTGGCGCGTACTTCGGGACTCGGTGTAGTGCAGGCATGACTTGTAGGTATACAGAGTTTGTCTCCGCGTTAGACAAGCCCCTCTGTCTCTAAGAGTGCGTACGCGTATATGGTGTTGCGGATCTCTCCGGGAAGTTCGAGGAAGTCGCAAGGCATGCTGGGTGAAGAGGTGGTGAAATCGTGGTTGTGTTTCGTCGTCGAATGGAGAGCTATGAGGGGAGTTGGATGCACAAAAAGCATCGCGCGCTTTATCTGGGGAGAATAGTGAGGGACTACGGCCCCAGCTTGCTCGTTGTGGAGTGACGTTACGCGTGAGCCGTCGTGCACGGGTCTGCACCCCGCACTAACCCTGAAACAATACGTCCCAACAGTCCACTATTGGCTCCATGGGATTTAAAGCCAAAGCGTTAGGCATCTCTGGTCAAAGCAAACAGGATTGACCGTCACAAGCTCCGCAAGTGCATTCACCAAATGAAGGGGGAAACGTAATATCGCAGCGGTTACACTCGTCCAACCGCAACATTTATCAAGTAAATACGAACTTGTTTGACGTGGCAGCTTTAACACTTCCTCTCTCACCAGTTACGGCGTTGCAGACTCCCCGCATTCTTCACCCTGTCGGTTCTTCATATCAAACGCGATACTCATTTTGACTGGTAAGGTGGGCATACTCATTCTCCACGGTGCATATGGCTCACTTTTCAAACTGAACCTCCGAACATGCCGAGCACCAACCCAAGCGTACCACCATCGAATGGTGCTTGCCATCTCTTTCGACTCCCCGCCGAGCTACGAAATCGCATCTATTCATACGTCCTACCTCAAACGCGCCAGCAGGCGACCTCAACCAAATGCAGTATGTCTGCCGACAGCTGCGCGCGGAGACAAAGAGTGTGCTCCTGTCATGTAACGAGATCGACTTCCATGGAAGCTTCTTCGACTTCGTGGACCGATGCGCCACGCATTACAAAGATGCCTTGCGCAGCATTAGTCTAGATCATGGGTGTGGGGTACATGCTGTAATTGACTTCTGCTTCGCCCACCCTGCAGTTAGGGCCAAGGTGCGGGTTTCGAGCCTAGCGTTCACATCCAGTCTGTTTCTTCAGGCTATTGGCGTTGGACTCGGAATTCGGAGGGCTTGTCGAGGTATCGCATATACGGAGGAGGAAGATGGTTTATCTCAAGAACTTCTTGAGGGACCTAGACTCCGGAGTCAGCGATCGGGGATATTGGAGATAGCACGTTTCACCTGTGTTTGTTTTAGAGGTGCCCGCTCTGTGAAGCAAATTAATGCGCCGAATTGTCGCTTTGTTTCACCACACCGCTTTGATGAGGGCAGGCTCCGGATAAACTTGGACCAAGCTAGTTACCGGCATCAAAAGGAGATGTTGGCTATTTTTGGAAGCCCTGGAGGGCTGACTGAGGAAATCCGGAGATGGCATAATGAAGGCATCTGAGAAGGAGCACAATATGAGGTGGCGGGCGAAGACTCGGTACTAAGATTCCTTTTTAATGTCTTAGTCTCATTCGGCTTTTTGAAAGTGTGGCTTCGTATTATTGTGATAATGTAATGCCATAGCTACAGCCAACATGGCCTCCCATTCAAAAGCCTTGTGTGTGATCCCCTGGGAGATGTTCGGTTCCCATTTTTTACCCATTCCCTTGCCTGCTAGCGTCGATGCGTCTTCGTTCCTTGTTTCGGACTAATGTTTCACAGCCCATCATAACAATGCAGAACCTTTCTACTCCATGGCTTCTTTCGCGGGAAGCTCTACTGCAGCGAAAAGCTTCACAATTCAACGGAGATAAATTCATCAATGATGATTCACAAAGTTACCAAAACACACTCAGCCCCGTACACCCCTTCAGTCTATTTATACTAAAGTACATATTCTGTTTTTCTCCAACACCGAATTATCAACATAACACAATCCGCCTCATCCCGCTGGGCCATAACGACTTCACATTCTCACAGCCCTTGAGAGGAAGTGTTAACAACTTTAACATGTCGACTCACCATGTCGAAGTGGCCGCTCTCACGTCTCTGACATCAAAGCTTTCGTTTCTGGGCTTACCTAGCGAGCTACGCAATAAAGTCTACAAAGAGGCGCTTACTGCAGACTCGAAGCTTCTTTATTGGCTGCAAACTTGGGAAGACGACAATCCTCGACAAATCCTTACGCTACTTAGAGTAGATTACTCTTTAGGGTGTAACAACGAACCCTTCAATCAGCTGAAGTACGTCAATCGTCAACTGTACCGCGAAACAGCGGGACTGGAGCTGAAGTTCAATACTCTCAGCTTCTACCATTACAAGTCCTCAACCGCCGCACTCTTTACTTTCGCGGCCACCATCACTCCTTCCAAGCTGGCTTGGCTTACCTTAGTTGTGGTTCGGGCGGCCGGTAACTGTGTTTCCATGCGAGGCCCCGCACCTGAAAGTCCGGATATCTCAATGATTGTGTATTTCTGTAAGCAGAATCCTAGAGTACAGCTCCGTTACATCTTTCCACGGTTCAAATACCCGAATGGATTAGCCCCCCTGGAATTCATGGGCACAGGAGTGGCTCTATGCGTCGCACTGAAGGGCGATGATACGCTTCATGACGTCACACCACCAGATTTTGCTTGGCCAGACGACCTTATTCGGATGGCTAAGAAGTGGCGGGCGAATGGGGGCTTTGGGGAGCTGTTCAAGGGTGTAACTAACTTCACGGTGTTCCCGCATTACTCGCACTTGGATCAATCCTTCGTTGCCGATTGCTTATCCCCTGGAGGCTTCATAGAGGAGTTTAAGAACTTTTGTATCAAGTGGGCTCAGAGTTGGATTGATCACGGCATTACCCCTGCCAACTAAGTAAGATGGTTATCAGTGCAGTTGCTCCAAGCGTAAAGCAAGCTCTGGAGATCTGCCTCGGAACAACATGGTGTAAACTCTTAAATTCACCTGGGAAGTAATGCTGAGAGCTAACTTTCCTGGAGTTTCAAGAATTCCCCATGAGACCAACAATGGTAAAAACCGTTAGATAGTTCTCTTCGGAGCATTCCGCAAACGGTTATATAATGCAATAATTAAACCGACCTCTTTTCTCTGTAGCATATAAGCAAGATCAAAAATATGTACTTCAGATTGTCCTAGCCACCCTCAGAGCCGCTTGAAGAGATTGGGGCTAATCTATATACGGAAACTTAAGTCGTAGCGGCGTACTTTTGAGTCTGGAATGCTGATGTAGACGTTGCTCGAGAAAATTCATAGATACCGCTCCTTAAGTATCGAAATATTATGTTCTATATTTCTAATGTTGTTAATATATCGTAGTCTCTTTATTGGTAGAACTAGACGGTCTGATGCCTAACGTTTGGAAAGCAGAACTTTATCACGTGATTTTCTACGTACTTCTAGCCTCCCGGTAGGCGTCCAGACGCCACCGAATATATAATCCTTGGCTTATATGAAAATACTTTTTGGGTAAGGTCACTAAGAATTCAAGGGTGATCCATATCATGCCTCACCGTGGCCCCAAGCCCTTTCGCTCATTGGTGGTTCCGTGCCCGGCGCCCTCGGAAACGACAACCTCTTTCGCAGCCACATCACGATTCTTCCAACGTACCATTTCCGACGTGCTTCGAGCTCAGCCATGTTGCTGTCGCTCCCCTCTCACGCGATCCCGTATTCGACGCCGCCTCTACGCGATCCACCGTATCCCTCGTAAATGCGTCGCAACGCGAGCCAGTAAATTATCTACGTCACTCCACGTTCAACACAACTATACCACGACTGTTCATACCTTGCGTCTTGCTATTCATGCACCGCGGCTCCTGCCGTTCCCAAGCTCAAGCGGATGCCATCGAAAGCCCATTTTGGGCCAGATGCAGACCCCAGATCTGGGCAGTGACATACTGGCGCTACACCGTGGACCCGCTAGATCAGGATGCGATATCGGAGGAGCCACTGCAAGAGAACTATTCGTGGTGACTCTTTGATCATGCAGTGCGCGTTCCCTCGTTTCCATTCTATATTGCTCACTAATTCATACTATAGCCATGGGTCTTCAGCTTCAGTGACATTTACTCTCGTACTTCGCAACGGCTACGATTTCCATCAAAATAGTATGCGAGATACAGTACGCGATGTCTGCAGTGTGTCAGACCGGTCCGAATATGCCCTATGAACCATAGGTATAAATTAGTACGTCGCACGTAGACACGGGAAGCAAATTGTTATTTTGCAGCCAGTACAAGATCTACCAACATGAAGATAGTCGCCTTGCTGGCGGTCCTTGTTGGGGCCGCCCCTGTCCTCTCCAACCCTGTTTGCCTGCAGAACGAAGCCCGGGCCGCGCCGACGAAGACCGTCGTCACTCGGTTTAGCTATATGGTCCCGATGGGCGTAGACGCCCTCACCCAATACTTCACGCAGGAGAAGGCAGCGAAATACTACGTAAGACCAAGATCGGCCTCATTTGAGATCCCACTTCTGACTGTGGTTAGGCATCCGTGACCGCGTTCGGCTTGGTCCCCTCGCAGACCTATGCAGCCTTCCCAACCTGCACCGGAACAGACTGGCAGCGCTTTAAGTGCTATGTCGAGTCTCATAACAAGGCACATCCACAGCAATTGTATAAGGTTGTATTCCTTGCGCGCCATGGTGAAGGGAAGCACAACGTCGCATCAGGCGTAAGCATCAAACCCTCTGTCGCCTTAAGGCAACGCTAACCACGCCAGTGCGATCTGATAAATCCCGACAAAATGCTCGACGCCGATTTGACAGACCCTAAAGGATTCAACGAGGCCACGGCAGCCCGTAATTACTGGGCTACTGCTGCTGCGGCTCCGTTAAATGTCTGGAAGCCGGAGAAGGTCTACGTTAGCCCGCTGCGCAGGTCTACACTCGCGGGCTACATAACCTTCAACGGATTGTCTAGTTTTGTCCAAGACGTCACCTTTAAGGATGTGAGTCTCCCATAGTCCTACCCCCATCCATGGAGTACGCAGGCAGGCACTGACGGGACGTAGGAACTTGGAGAATACAAGGGCAAACAATACTACAACCGCCGCCACAACACAGACTGGATTCAGAACAATATCATCAGAAGCAACACCACATTCCAAGGCCTCGACCAACTTGATTTCTGCGACACTGAGTGGCTGCGCTACACCCTCCAGTGGACCCAAGAGACTAACATGGCCACGCGAGTCAAGAACTTCCTCGACGAGGCGTTTACGGTTGACGCCGACAAGAACTTCATTTACATTACCAGTCATGGCGGCACGAGCCAAGCTATACTCTCCGTACTCGGCAGATCTGGGAGCTTGTTCGGCGGTGATACTGGCCAGATCTATCCAGTTCTCGTCCAGTATTCGTCCACTGCCACGGCGACCATTACTAAGTTATCACTGCCGCCGGCAAGGACCGCGGCGTGCTCGTTGTCGGCCGGCGGATGCACTTCGACCATTCCGGCTTCTTTCATGGCAACGGGTACAACCTGCCCATAAGACTATCCTAGGGCCACGACAGAACCAAGGATTGAACGCGCAGAGGATCTAATTGGCGGTTTCGAAGTTGGTGTTTCGAGGTTATCATGGTAACACTACGTGTCCTTTCGCTGTTACTCAACTGTAGGCAAGAATCGCTCAACGCCCAATTTGTATCTATCATGCGACACTTCCTCGAGTTCAAGTGTGTGTAACGTTATATTAATGAGTGACTCTCTAAGCAAAGACCGTACGACACTGTGCGCGTGAAAATAAATTCAGTACTTCATTCTAGGAATCCAGCCATGATCGGTGAATTGAATTTTTCACCAGCTCTAGTCTCACGCCGCGGTTCCAATTCCTACTTACGGGTCTTATGCACCCTGCAATCTCCTCACGCCCCAACCTGCTTTTCCTGTCCCACACCGGGGACCCTTCCCTTGGGTGCCTGAGCCGAGAGTGGTGCAGCAACTTCGAGCCAAGGCACCGAACTTTCGTGTCTTTCTCGAGCAGACCGAGATTGATCCGCAGTGCATTGAAAAGACGCGGGGGTGGCTCTTTGGAATCGGCAAACCTGAGAAGCTTGTGGATGCATGGGTCTTCCATGTGACGGACTGGGTTGCAAATGGGATTTAACGATAGGTTCAACAGCAACAGCGTTCAGAACTAGATCTTTCCACCGCAAGATAGTGGCAATCCTCTAAAGATGTTTGGAATTCTCAAGATATATGGGAAGCCGTGCAAAGCAATCCTTGATAGACGTGCGTCCATTTTGCAGACGCATTGATGGCAGTAGCTGTATGTCGCAACTAAACTCTTAATATCAGCACTTTCCACTAGCATAGGCGTATCTCCCCCCAACGATACACTCCTTTCTCTACCAAGTCTACGGCTTCGCCGTCCATAAGTCCGTGTACATATGCTGCACCAACCACTTCGAAGTTGTCGTTTTTGGGACGCAGCACCAGCGGAACGCTACAGCCGCGCAGGATATATAAATCGTTCCCCGATTCCCCCATGGTGGACACAGATCCCAGGAGCCCATTGGAGGTAGTGATTAGCTTTCGACCTTGCAATTGAATGCAAGCGGCTTGTGAAATGGCAGCGTTAATTCCTGATTCGTATTCTGGCACGTCGTCGACCTTCCCGGGGAAGAAGCTCTGGAAAGACCGTCCGAAAATGTTGAACTGAGCATTTGCTTCTCGGAAGGTATGAAATGCGCCGAAATAATCGCTGTCGAGGACTGGGTCCCAGCCCTTTTCCTTCATCTTCACGAACATGGGATCTTCGAGATGTTCGGTTTCGAACCATGGAACCCAGAGAATCTCTTCTTCCCGTCTAGGCATATCGCCTAGGCCACGACCTTCTAGTTGCGTGGTCAAAGCCCGAAGATTTGCCATGATATGCTTTGTATCCCTGCCATCGTTGTGAAGCAAAACGCTTGCGAGTGCATATCGTAATTCCTTCTCATCCGTATACGCATGGTCTTTCCGCCTTGGCTGGATGATGACTTGTGCTTCAGGGGCGACATTGGCAGCTACATGCGCAGGCGGATCATTTTGCCCACAGTATCCGGAAAATCTCTGTGGAACTTCCCCTTGCATAGTTACCATTCCTCCCTCTTCAACTAGGTATTTCATTCCATCTTGCGCTAGGATCCGCTGGTTGACATATGCTCCTATACCATCGATGCGATCCACCCTGAATCCTTGACAGTATAGAACTTTCCCATCACTCGAGAGGCGAGCTGATGCTTTCAGTGATGCTGATGCACTGTGTAGCACCTCGTTTACCGCTGTAGCTCCGGCAGGTCGATTAAAAGGAGCGTTCAGGTTAATAGCCCACGAAGGGAAGCCTTCCGGTCTGTATGGATCGGGGTTGCAGATCAGATTCAGGTTTCCAGTTTCGCAAAGCACGGCTCCTGTGAATCTTGCGTATACGTCGAGCGGGTCGGCAGAATAGTCCGGGACGATGTAGTCGGCTATAGTGGAAGGCATGAGCCCGAGAAGGGCGTAGACTTTGTCAAGGGGAAGCGTGGCGTTTGCTGTAAGGCCTAGGTAGACCCAATCGTAGATGATAGGTGGTAATCCTTGCCCATTTTCACCCTGTTGGGCTTCGTGGGCATCGTGCTGCCACCGTTGCATGGAATGAACAAGATGATGTGCTGCTGCAATCTCCGGGTTTTGCACATTCAGGAGCAACTCTGGAAGCACCTCTGGATGCCGATACAGGTAGCGAACCACGTTTGCCAAGTGCATCCACGGCAAAATGTGAGGGCCACAGTGAATCGCCGCCCACGGAGCGCTGACCGCCAGCTCCTGGATGATCCACGCCCGAGTCCAATATGGCTTCTTCAGGATATGAGCGACTGCTAGGTTTACAAGCTCGCGGTTCTGTGCTGGAGTGAGCTCGAAAGAGTCATCAGATCCATGGACATCATCTGGAAAGGGCCGCGCCACCGAAGCACCCGAAGCGGGATCACCGAAGAAAGAGTCGGTTATACTATCATCATCCCGCTCCACAGCAGATACTATGGTGTCATGACAATACCCCAGGAACGAGAAGAACGGTGCAGTGTCTTCATCGGATTCTCCGAGCCAAATGCGGGTGACAGCCGAGTTGCTGTAAATGTCTTTCATCCTTTTAACTTGAATAGCTTTCTCTTCCTCATCAGCTTGGTTGATACAAATTGCGTCCACCCAGAGTTTTAGGCCATGTAGGCGTTGCGTGTAGCCGTGAAGTGTCCGCAGCGCGGCTTCGAGGTTCGGTCCTACCTCCACGAGCCGGCTATCAATGACAATGTTGCGCGCCGGGGTTGGACTACCCCAAGTGTAACTGAGCGCGCTATATTCGCCCCAGGCAAAACGGGCGAGATATTTGTAGCAGGTCTTTTCGTACAAAGGTCTATCCGTATCCGATATCTTGCTATCAACATGGTGTGACCAAGCCCGGTAAAGTTGGACGTTAGAGGTGCCTGGATTAACCTGAGAGAGATATTGCCTGTATTCGGCCGTGTAATCGTCTAGAGAATGGTGTTCCATGGTGACGGTAAGGGTGTCGTCAGGAGAGAGCTCCCCTCCATCGTCTGGGAAGACAAACGACAGGAGCCTTACCTCGTTCCTCGTGACGTTCAGCGGTTGGTAGAGGGGTCTCCTAGAGGATGACCTAGTGCTTCCCATTCTCACGGCGAGCACCGGAGACTTCCGTCTTCGGTAGAAGGTCTGTAGCAGTGAGGGGGTGGATATCGTCAAGCTTCGAAGAGCGCGTCTGAGGGAGATCGAATTCATAGTTCGGTCGTTAGGGCGCGGCACCCTTGCCTTATATATTCCTGCGCCAAGATGCCGTGTCGCTTATTTCAAGCCACGACGACCTTATTTTCAGCTCGTTAAAGGGGCTGCGCCTTTCTCAAATGCTCGCGTATCTACCTGCTCATTTTTAGTACGGCTGGAACACTGAAAAGTTCTAAAGAAGACCGCATTCATCATTGTTGCTAGAATGACGCGAAGATAAGGACCCCAGCCTTGGAGGGGAGTCTACCCCACCGCAGCGATTACCTTCCAGGCCGCAGTTACTGCAAGTGAAAATTGGCCTGCCCATACTCATCACAAATTTCAATGAGCTTTGTGAGCGTGGTTGGCTCCTGTACCGCTATCAGCTTGGCCGGTCGTACCTGAGAAGCTCCGGACTTACAGTAGCACTATGCCCTGCAGTAATACTCCAATAGAGTCTTGACTTGGGCAAAGCCCTATGAATCTTCCAAGCTGCTCGCGCAGGACAGACCATATCGTAGCGGCCCTGAACGATGCTCGCTGAAAAACGTGAGTATCCCGGATTCCACGGACCATTTGGAGACCACTTACTCGGAATATTCTTGATCTTCTCGCACCCCTTCAGAAGCTGATCCCCCTCAAGAAAGCATCCGTTCAGAAAATAATGCAACTCCATTTTCGCATGCGACATCACCCAACGCTCATCCTGCAGCTTCTCCTCAATATCAACACGCTTGCCTTGTTGCAAGAAGGAAACCGACAGCTCCCAGCGATTCCACTCCTGGGCAGCCTCGAGCGCTTTCTCGCGATCTTCTGAGAAAACCAGCTCGTGGTACGACTTCAAAGGGTCGCTTCTCTTATCCTCGGGTAGGTAACCGACGAAGCGATCATACTCCTCCGGCCACACCGTGCCCGTCAACTGGCCCATCATCACGAGATCGAGCTCTGCCTTCGTGCCCAAGAAGACCCCTCTCAGCACCAGGGATCCAACAGCCTCAGGATGCGTTTGCGCATACGCAAGAGCAAGCGTGGAACCCCAGGAGCCACCGAACACCATGTGCCACTTCTTCACCCCAACATGCTCGCGCAAAGCCTCAATGTCTTTAATCAATAGCTGCGTAGTGTTGTCCCGAGTTTCAGAGCTGGGCTGGGATAAGCCAGCGCCGCGCTGGTCGAGAAAGATCACGCGGTAGACTGCGGGGTCGAAGAACACGGCGTTGGCCAAGGTGCAGGGCCCGCCGCCCGGTCCACCGTGGAGGAAGATAACTACTGCTATTAGTGATGAGTATCCCTTTTGGGTGGCGTCTACGGACCAGGCTTGCCATCAGGCTTGCCGCACTGGAAGTAGTGCAGGCGGTGGAGCTCGCTGACCTGCAAATCGCCGGAGTCGAACGCTTCAGCGTGTTCGTGACCACCTTCTGGCGCCATGATGCAGAAGTGGGAAATACGAGACGGGAACCGATTTTGATGACTTTGTGGTAAAGGTGACCTGACTCACGAGAGACGGGAAATGCGGAGGTCGGACTTAGGCTAAGGGCATGGGGCTAAGCTATTTTGGGAACGCGTGATGCAAGCATCGTGCAAGCATGCAGCCTCATGGATGGCCGTGGGCAGCATTGTGCTAATTTATGCCATTCTGAGAGGGATTGCTATGTATAGTTTATCATTGACGGCCGGTAGTGAAAAACTCTCGATCCGCGCGAAAGCGTGGCGGAAGACGGGAACGAGAGAGACAGGAGGCTCCAGACGCAGAATCCAAAGGACGATTCTTCACACGAGCTTGCTAGTCGAGCACTGTGAGTAAACAAGTCAGATCTCGGCCACTGGTAGCATGAGCCCTCCGATATCGCGCGCGGTTACTTAAACGCTACCGTGCACAAGGCCCATGTAGCTTCCTCTTTAGAGTATGTTCAGGGCAGTTCCGGGCATTCTCAGAGACCACTTTCCATCCACTTTCTCGCTTGAGCCAATAGAAAGTCTACGTCATCTCTCGTCATCACCGGCGCATGATATTCTTGTCGGCATGTGTCAACGAACACGTCATCGAAATCTGTAGTTGGAGGAAAGACTCGAAAATTCTCCACGAAGGCTTCGCACTTAGACATGTGACGTAGCGAGCAGCGTTTTGCGAGCCGCAGTTCATCCTCCCAAGGCGAGGCGCTGAAAGGGAGTTGGAGCTCCTGTTTTCGGAATACCCATAGGAGAATCGTAGCGGCGGCAAAGAAATTCCCGGTAGAGATGTTCTGAATATTGTCGAAAGGCTGCTCGACATAGGAGAATCCAGAGCATATGTACTTTACAGTAGCATGTGGATTTTCTTTGCAGAAATCGTTGATCTTGACCAGATCCTCTGCATCCTCGTGGATGGAACATTCGCCCCATATAGTTTCTGGGAGCAGAATGATCGTCCTGAGAATTGACCGTTTTGGGGTGTCAAGTCTGCCCATGAACAGGAGGAATTGGCAGCCAGGTGGCGGTAGGTCTTCATCGAGCCAGGACGGAAATGCTATGGGATTGAACTTAAGCTCTAATCCCGCCGTTTCGTTGTACAGCTGGCGATTGACGTACTTGAGTTGGTTGAACTCGATTGCTTCGCTGGCGAACTTGGGTAGACAGAGAAACGTTTTGGGGGGTTCCGCCCAAATTTTCCGTCTCTCATATTGAAGTCCATCAGGCGCGGTAAGGACGTACTCGTAGATATGGTTGCGAAGCTCAGCGGGAAGTTGAAGGAGCCTAGGAACGTTGAGTCCGGTGTGGGTGGCTGATGGGTTGTCTGTCACTGTGTTCATATCCTGTCTAAGCGAAGCTGCGAAGCCCTTCTCATTCAGATCGGACATGGCTTTGGCTGAAAAGTACGCTCTAAAGCTTTGGATAGTAGTCGGAATTGAGCGAGTTGCTGTCGAAGTCGAAGTCAAAGTTGAAGTCGAAGTCACGCAACAACTTCGCGGAGGGGGTGTCTGAGGCTTCTGATTGCCTAGTCTATAAGGATGCGTTAGCAAGGAGGAAAGGAAATGCTTGGCACTGATTAGTGAACAGCACGAGGTGGCGCAGATGGAAGAGGTGAAAGCTTCCTAGATGTTGTATCATCCATATAGCAGGGAGTTCACACATCCGCCCGAATCCCTTCATTCCCTACTCACCCTAGTCACTCAACGCGCACTCTAGCGCTTCCCAACCGTACCACAACCATCTACTTCCATCGCTCAAGTCAACCCATGATCGCAATTGATCAAACAAGGCGAGCTCCCTCTTCGATGTCTTGCGGTTGCCAGGTGGATTTCTCAAAAAGTCTCAAGTACTCAAATCCCCAACTAGCTTGTCTCGAATACGCAGAGGGTGTCAATATAGGAGTAACCCGACCCCTTCTCTCAGTTCAGAGACTGCCATTGAATTGATACCGTAATGTTGTATCGGATATAAGTGAGGGAGAAGTTCCAAGGTACGCCCCGACGCCGACCAAATAGATTCCACGATTGCGGTGGTCATGATGTCATGGCCGTGCTTGACTACGACGACACCTAGATTTATCGTCCTTGCCAGCAACATTAAGTGGAAAGTACTCATATGAGGAGCACGGATTCTTTATGCAAGATCCAAGCACGTGACCGCTTCCGACCACGTTTATTGCTTTCGCTTTCCCACGCTGGGCATCTAAACTAGGATAAAAATACAGATGTCAATACCGCTTTGAGTTTTCGAGCCGCTGCTGGAGGTTGGGCTTGTTTTTACCCGATTTCCCGGGTCGACGTCCCGGCTGTTCTACCCGCCATATACGATTAATACAATTAATATACGTGAGTAAAGACAGCCACATTTGCATTAGATCTCTTTCTAATAGCGGCCATTTCCAGGTCCGCGGATCCGTATGCATAAGCACCCGAGCTTTCGCCGCACTCTTAATCGTCGCCTTGTCGATCGACTGAGCGCCCTCATCGAACGCACTATGCGCCTCTCTCAAGCCATTCCGTTCGCAGCGCTCGCGTCCGCAACACCGCTTCTCTACAGACACGACAACGCCATCAAATGCCCCATAATCTTCGACGGCCGTATTCCGCACAACCTCACCCTCGCCTCGTTCGACTCTGCGGCTACATCGCCATACAGCCCGGACTACGTCAAAGGCGAAAACCTAACCTGGTCTTCCATTCTCCTCTTGCCCAATATCACGGCTCCATCTCGCTTCGACGACCCTGTGCTCCACAAGTCTTTCGAAGTCACCATCAACGACCGTTCGCTCTTCCGCTCGGGCCAAGGCCTGCAGCTCGGATTCCGGCGGGCGGGCCTGCTGCTGAAAGACGATGTGAATGACGCCGGCGCTGATGCTGCCGATAAGGGTGTAGCGACGTTCCATTGGAGCGTCAGACAGGATCGCGCGAGGGCGCTCAATCTAAGCCACGAGTACATGAATGTGTGGCATGAGAAGGCGGATTATAGCGGGAACCAGTTTACCTTCGTGGGGGGCGTGGTGTTGCCGGTAGATGGCGGGGACGGGTTGGATACGCGGGAGGAGAGGGAGAGCTGGAAGGTGCAGGATGCGAAGAATAGGTTTGTGTTTAGGACACCGATCTTGGGGGATGAGTGGCAGAATTTCGCGGTGAGGTTGGATTATGGGGAGAGGTGAGTGGGTAATGTGGGGATGAGGATACGGATGCATGGAGCTAATAGAGTGCGCAGTACTATGCAGGTCTTCTACTCCGAAGGCGTGGAGCCGTTGAAGAATGTAACTGCGACATTTCCGAACGATAACTCGGGGGGCGGCCAGCTGCAGCTCGGGATTGCGAAGAAGCCTACGGAGACCGAAACAGTCGTTTGGGATGGGTATCAAGAGCTGATTCCTGGAGGTGAAGGGCAGATATACGGAGGAGTGTTTGTGGAGGATAGTGCTGCGGGGTGTGTCAGTCTTTGAGTGTGGGCAGCCGTATGCAAATTCATGGTGTTGGTTTACTGGTTCGGGAGATCTCACACCTCGGACGACGTTATCTGGGCCTGCCTTCTCGTTCGTTCTGGTGCATGGAGCTGTCTCTACGCCCCAATATTGAGCTGCTTTAGGAGGCTAGGATTTCATGCGGGGTCAAGTCGAAGACATCACCTGGCAAAGATTAGATTTCCTCGCACACTGTACACTGTACACTGACGTTCCGCGTTGCAGTAACTTCCATCAAGCCAACTGGATGAAATACCTCGGCGCCTCTGATCACGAACCCGGTCGCTCCATGCCCCCAACACATGCCCTATTCATCGAGCGTTGAAGTCAACGGGCCATCCCGGCTCCAGGACACACCAGCCCCAATCTCCCACCTATAATCCTTCCCAAGAAAGCGCGCGTAAAAGACCAGAACCCTTCTCAAGTTAGGAAACTGCTTCGTCTGGATAAGCGACCGCCACTGCCCCACTGTCGGAAACTGCTCGGCCATCGGATACTTGAGACTATCAGTGTGTGGATGGTAATATATCTGCAGTTCCTGCAGCGTCGAGGGAATGAATGGTTCCAACGTGGTCCAAACAAGCGGCGCTGCTCTTCCCTGGCACATCCAGTCGTTGAGCCAAAGCATGTGCGAATCCAGCGTGAGGCGCTTCAATTTGTGGAAGGCGCGGAGCGAAGGCTGGATATGGTGGTCTGGGATGGAGATTCTCGTAGGGCCCTGAAGGTGAAGCCACGTAAGCGTGTCCTGGTGGATCTGCAAGGTACGAATGAAGCGGTCGAACTGATAAAGGGCGTTCTGGGCAGAGGTCACCGTCTCTCCGCTGAACCAAACATGCAGGCCTTCGAGCTGCTTAAAGTTTCTAAGGAAGGAATGCCAGCGAGCAGGTCCGAAGTACGGTTTGACAATTGAGAGTTGCTTCACTGCGGAGCTCCCTTCTGTGTCTGTCCAGGTTGTCAGGTTATCCTCAATGTTGACGTATATCAGATTGAGGTTGGTCAAAGTCGGGATGCGTAGGATCGCAGAGATGTCGGGTGCTTGTCCAACCTTGGCCTTGCTTCCAAATTGGAGTGAAAGGGACTTGAGCCGCTGAAATTTATGGAAGCGTGGAGTCTTTGCAGCCAGCACCGCCGATGCAAGTAGCTCGAGTATCTTCTGGCCTCTAGATGAGCCCTCGTATCTTGGTAGCTGGAGACTTAAGTTCTCAACATTGGGCGTGAGTAGGAGCAGCGCGACGAAAATGTCTTCAAAGCCTTGCGTCGCTGCATCTGGTAGCAGAGCCTTCACTTCACTCATCTCCCGGATTTTGACTCCCAAGTCCTTGATCCCTAAGCTTTCCAACGCCCCATCACACCAGAATAGGAAGTCGTTGGCGCGTGTGTAGCCGAGGCTGACAGACTTGAGAAGTCTAGCGAGACCTGGCTTCTTTGACAGAGTGCGCAGAAGTAGGCAAGGGTCGTTATACGACGTATCCTCGTCCAATGGCTTGTACGTGTGGTTGTAGTGATAGTTCGCATAAAGGAATTCCGTGGTGACGTTGCGAAGGCGGCGGCTTGTCAGAGAGAGACCCCAGAGGTCTGGCTTCGCGTGAATGTAACTGAGGATAGCGCGAAGAATCTCTGTGGGCATGTCTGCCAAGGTAGTCCGAGGTTTGAGTTTGACGACTTCCCTCTGATCGCCACGCCCGGAGATCTTCCATTCTCCGAAACTAAAAAGTTTCCGTTTCGCGGCGTCTCTTTCCCTCGCCATAGACTTTTGAAGATGCTGGAACGTAGGGGGGCGTCTTTGAAGAAGGTGGTGATGAAGTGGACTTTTCTCTGAGATTGCGATTGGCGAGGCCACCGAGCTGGAGACAAGCAAAAGGAAAGAGAGCGGGGGATATGGGCGAACACTACTGATGCGCGGGAGCCAAGAGCAGTGAGTCACTGCTACTGGTTCGTTTCACAGACCGTGCGAGGAGCTTGATTTCACTTTGTACCACATCAAGGACTCTAATCCAGACTATCCCTACAAGAACTCCAACAATGAATTGTGAACATACTTCCCGCGCCAGTGCTGCGCGGACGGATGTGGATGCGAAGTCCGATAAGATGTTGATGAAGATGTCGCGCAGCATCTCGTTCGGCGAGGCCTCTCTAGGGAGCCGGCGAGGCGTGTGTCATGGCATTTGTATGAGAGCCACGGGCCTGGGCTGAGTGCACTTGTCGCGAAAACATCGCAGTCGCGGAAGGTAGAGAATTAGTCGCGGTTGCTGGCGAAGATGAGCCTGCGTCCATGATGCTTGGCGCCGTCCAGATTAGAAGGCGCTGGTGGTGTAGCCGGCGTGAGGCTCGAAAGATTTGGAGAGGTGAAAGAGCTGGTAAGAGTGTGGAAATGTGATTGGCAACGAAACGTCACCGTAAACAGCCAGTAAAAGAGAGCGGAGTTGCGTAAGGTGGGGGAAGCAAAGGCGGGCGAGCAAAAGTCGAGTGCAAAGAGGAGAGAGCTGAGCGAAAGACGAAAGAGCGACGGAAAAAAGGAGGAGGAACTAGACGAGATTCAATGCTGATACTATCCACCTGCGCAGTCTCGTGCGGCATGACATCGGCCGCGGCAGTCATACCAGATCTCAAACCTCGGCAACACCAGTCTTGTCCACGAGATTCCCAAGGTCTTCTGCCCTACCCAGAGCAGATGCAAAGATCAACTTGCAAGCGTTCAAGAGACAGTGTCATCTGTACGCTTGCCCGTGTGGCGCGGCCAGATCTCATGCAGCAAGTCCCAATCACCACCATTATTGGTATAGTATAGCTGCTTAACCTTTCTCAAGCTGGGGAACAGCGCTTTTTCGGCCAAGGCGCTCCATATATCTGGCCAGCGACTATCTCTTGTCCCTTGCTTGTCGACGCCCGCAAAAGTCTCGTGGTAGTCTCCACCCCAGGTGACATGCGAAAAGCATTCGAGCGATGGGGGAAACATCTTGCTCAAGTACTGGAGGGTCACTGTTTTCTCATTGTGCCAGTGATGGAAGCCGTTAGTCCCGTTGCCAACAAGAGCCGCATCGGTAAGAGCGAGACCTCTAAGTTTGATGAAGTCGCGCAAGCTAGGCATCGGATACATGACCGGGATTGGCCATGCTCCCAGGGGCTTGTAGCTGTAGCAATCGTAGGTCAGTACAGCGATGCGTTCGAGAGAGTGCTTCTGAGTCTCCAAAGCCGGATAGATCGAAGACGGCATTCGCGCGACATTGACTGGCACACGGAGCGTGTCCAGGCGGAATTCTCTGAGCTCGGCGAAGCTCTGTAAGACAGTCCGCATCTCCGGCGCTCCATATTCATGGACGCGCAATGAGAGCTCCGTTACTGGAGATGTGTAGGGCCGGCATGTCCAACGCGAAGGCTCGGCGGTAGCGAAGTAAACGTTGCCGAGACAGACCTTGCGCAAGGACGGTATCGTAAAAAGCGCGCCAGGGATATCCGTAAAAGACTGAAATGTGAGCTCCAGGACCGAGAGTTGACAAAACCCGTGAAGCCCGCACCACCACGGGCGTAGGGCAGCGGAACATAGGACGTCAAGAACGCAACTGGGCACATCCGCGCATACTTCTGCCCCCCTCACATTCAATACCTCTAATTTGGGCAGTAGAAGACTGAGGTATGCCGACATTGCGTCGCCCAAACCGCTGCGGAGAGAATGCCACAGAGCGCTGATGTTTGGATATCCTCTTACTTCCGCAGCCCCGATGAGGGCATCTGCTTCCGTTGCCGCTCTCATAACTGGCACCGGCCAAGCGTGCCCGCTACATGTTATGCTGACATGTTTGATCAAGGCTTTGAATTCGGGCCTGCGTTCGAGCGTGCGAATGAGTTGATACGTAGGTTCTACCGGAATGCACATTAGCGACTAGCTTTAATAAAGAAGAGAAGGCTGAGAGAAGGTTAATGGACGCAGCAAGCCTTCCTTCTCAAAACCGAAGGGGCTCTAGTGGAGGCTTCGAGAAGTAAATATACCAGACTAATAGCATGTTCGCGACGTACGTACCCTCTGAAGTTTCTAACTCGGCATGGTAGCGGTGATAGAGATGCTCCTGCGCCAGATAGCTCAGGCGCTTGCAGGTCAGAGACACTCTGCACAAATCGGAGGGTAAGATGGACGGCGTCTCGGCCCGGAGGTAGCGAAGGATCTCGTGAAGAGTCTCGGCGGGGAGATCTAACAGCCGCCGTCTTTGTTCGTTCGACATGCCGCAATGTGTTGCCGCTCGTATGTTAATTGTCTATATGTCTGGATTGAGGATGCGACGATGAGATGAAGTGAGTGAGTCCGTGTTCGGAATAGGTAAGAATTCGTGGTTGGCGGGCAAGGAACCGCGGCGATGTGCGGATAAGATGGAAAGTAGACGCAATGATGAAGAGCTGGTAGCCGCTTCACAAGCAGCTCAGAGAGTGGCAGGAGCGATTCGCACGTGCTCTCGCGAACTGCTGGCGTTGGCCGTTGGCGGAACCCCACGGGGCTAAGAATGAACAGGCAGCTTTAGTCTGGATTATTTGTTATTTGCTGTTAGCGGATATAAGGGATTATAACTAAAAGAGCAGGAGGATTGGCGCGATCCTTTTGCTCCAAAATTTGCTTTCTTAAAACTTAAATGGTGAATGATTGCAGAACACGTGACGTTCCGAGGATGACCTATAGGAGTATTCGCTCGCCCATAGCACGGATGAAAACCCCTTCGATGTCATCAAGAAGGACGACAAACCCCCATGTGTGGAGCCATCCAATCGCTAAGCATCTGGCTTACCGGTTATGAGGCGTGCTTGGGGTTGGGCTGATGAGCTGTGCCTCCCAGGTCCTAGGCGGGGTTAACCCCTTTCCATCTTGTACTGACACCACTCGATCACCGCACTCTCCGCCTTTCCACTCGCAACCAACCGTCCCCAAAATGCTGGAATACTTCATCGCTGTTGTTGGCTTGTACTTGGGCTATAGCTTCATCTGCTTAGAGCTCAACTACAGGCGAGCTTCGGCCATGGGCATCCCGCTTGTGCGCGTGCCTGTTGATCCATTGAACATCCCATTCCAGGTCTTCGAGCCTCACCTCTTCAAACTCCTTGATCTATTCCCCTCGGCTGCGCTGCCTACTTTTGTTCCATATTTGCGGCGCGGTTGGTTCTTCATCGACAAAGCCGACTCTCACCTCCGTTACGGTTCGATATTTGCCTGCGTTACGCCCCGCGGAATTCACGTTCAAGTATGCGAATCGGAGGCCATCCACGACATTTTTTCCCGGAGGCTGGACTTCATACGCCCGAGCGAGAACTACAGTGAGACTCGCATCGCTTCTGCTATTCACTTCAAAGAAACTGACATACGGCAGAGCTTCTCGAAGTATACGGTCCGTGTATCTCGACAGCCAATCTGGAAAACTGGCCACGCCACAGGAGAGTTCTCGCCGCGCCCTTCAACGAAAGCATCATGAAATTTGTCTGGCGGGAATCGCTGACGCAGACAAAGCAAATGCTCGCGTCGTGGACTACGCCCACCAGTTTGGCCGACGGTATCGTAAGCGTTGCAAAAGATACACGCACACTCTCCTTGAACGTGCTCGCGGCGACCGGGTTCGGTCGCTCGTTCAGCTTCCGTTCCGCAAGTAGCAAAGATGCCGAAACCGACACAGCATCCTCATACCGCGATGCGCTGTCCATGGTGTTGGATAATGCCATCTTGCTCATGCTAATCCCACGTCGGTACCTATCCCTTCCATTTGTTCCAAAGGCTTTGCGGCAAGTCGGCAAGGCCGCAGACGAGTTCAAACATCATATGGAGCGGATGCTGGAAGAGGAGACGGCAGCGTTAAAAAAAGGAAATTCAGGAGCAGGGAGTCTAATGACTTCCTTAGTTAAGGCGTCGAATACCTACGCCACGAGCAATAAAGACTCCAAGAGCGCTAAAGGCCTATCAGTCGAAGAGATCTTCGGCAACATTTTCGTTATTAATTTCGCCGGCCATGACACGACGGCCAACACCCTTGCGTTTGCCGCATTTCTGCTCGCGACAGCCCCAGAAGTCCAGACTTGGGTCGCCGAAGAGGCGCGAAAGATAACCGCGGACGTAGACGAGTGGGACTATGGTCAGCTGTTTCCACGGCTTATCCGTTGCTGCGCGGTCCTGGTCAGTTAATTCGGATTGTTGAAGCGTTTCTACTGATAAGTGCAGCATGAGACACTCCGTCTTTACCCACCCATCCTATCGCTCCCGAAGCACACGAGCTCCCAGCCTCAGACTCTCGTCATAGAAAACCGATCGATCGTCATCCCCGCGAACACAAGCACGAGCCCCAGCATCATTGCCGTACACACACACCCTCGATACTGGCCCGATCCGCTGCAATGGAACCCTCAACGATGGGTGATCACAAACGACGATCTACAGGAGTCTCTGATAACACCGCCACGGGACACGTTCTTCCCGTGGTCCGATGGGGGGCAGAACTGGTAAGGGCCCTACTTTCGAATGCGCACATTAGACCTATACTGACTTACGCCTCCCGTTTCCAGCCCAGGTTTAAAGTTCTCACAGGTCGAGTTTGTCGCTGTGCTGGCGCTGCTTATGCGGAAGCATCGGTTAAGCATTGTAAGGAAGAATGGAGAGACTGAAGCGCAGGCGAGGGAGAGGGTGAAGTGGGTAATCAACGACTGTGATATGCAGCTTTTGCTACGAATGAGGGATTCTGACAGGGTGAGGCTGAGGTGTGAGCCTGGAGCTTAGTAGCGGTAGTCGGTGTCCGGGCTATGGGGGCCCATTCCGGCCTCTGTGTTCTATTTGCTGGCAACTATGGTACTGGCCACCGCCCGTCGTCGCTCACACCACGAGGTTTCACAATCGCATCATGACAAACTCTCACTCCTGCCAAGAGCAGCGGTCAACGCAATCGTCATGTGTTCTATTTGGGCGTGAAAGTGACTTCCTTGCTCATGGGTAGGACTGTGAGTTTCGCGCGCCGACCGACGGGGAGGGCGGCTGAGGTGTCGATGGTGACAGTGGAGCTGTTTGCCGTGAGGTGGTCGAACCAGTCTTGGCAGGGGGCATCCTTTCGTGACGCGGGGGATAGGCTAGAGAGGCGGAGGGGCGGAGGGGCGGAAGAGCAGCAGCAGGAATGAACAGGCCAGGTCTGGTCTGGATTATTTGCTATTAGCTTTCTGAAAATTTGAACAGTGAATGATTGCAGAACACGTGACGTTCCTCCCATATCCACCTTGTTCCCTGTCGCGACCCCGACCGCTCCGAGACATGTTCCCCTGCCATTCCCCCCAATGACCCCAAACTCCAGGCTTCATGCTCATTTCGACCTCGCCGAAGCCGCTTCGAGTTCGCTTCCGGAACTAACGCCAGACGCTGGAAGAACGTCGAAATAATGTACATAGAGAAAGGTACCGTGTAATTGCAGAAATTACAGCGCCACAGCAGTATGTGCGCCAAAAGGACAGAAGTAACAGAATCAGACGGAGGGGTATCGGATCGGATTTCGTGCGCAAATGTGCCGGTAAGGATGAGGGTGACTGCGGCGACGTAGCCGACGGTTGGTGGGCAACATTTCGAGTAAGCGAGGAGCAAGCGGGCCCGTCATCAATATCTGCTCCTGTTAGCCTAAGTCCTGTGGAATGAAGAATCGGTAGTCCCGGAGACGAACCTACAGGTTCCTGAGACAATCCGCGGTAGGAATTCTCACCGATATCCGCTGCCTCTGCGACTGCCCCGTCTTGTCCGATATTCATCATGCTCTTCGATCACCTCGACAACATCATCGTGCGGCACGCGCACCCTCTCCTCCACCACGACACTCCTCGGCCTAGGCGCCCTCCGCTCTTCTACGATGACTTGTGACCGCCCTCCTCCCGATCTCCGCGGACTCCTGCTGTACTCGCGCACTTCGGTGCGAGTGCTCCGTCGCGACCGGCCAGAGTGCGAATTGCGCGGCCTTCGTACGACAATTTCTTCCTCGCCGGCAACAGCATTGCCCGACACGTTCGTGAGGGAATACAGCAGCCATATTAAGACCAGAAACCCAGCGACACTGCCTAGGACAATGCCGACCACGGCTCCGCTTCCAGGGCCATCAACCCTGTAATATGTCGGAATAATGCCCGCTACCGCCCTTCCTTCTATGGATCTTCCGCTGAGAGCATCTGGAGCGAGTGCGCTGTCTGAGGAGAGTTGAATTGCCGGCCGTCGCGCTATCAGGCTGGAGGCGTCGGGATGGCGGGGAGCGAGGCTGCCTGGTTGCAGCGATGTCGCGTCAATGGGTATGGGTATTGCAGGCATTCTGCGATGGGGTGTGGGCGACGCGGTGGTTGTTTGAGCGGAAAGGGTCGAGGGCATGCGCGTTGCCGCGGACGACAGCGGTACCTGGCGGAGCTTGGCCGGAGCTGCCGGCGCTAACGGCGGGGGTTCGAGTAAACACAGGCGCGGGAAAGAGCGAGGGAAGAGAAAGGAGGCGCTTGCAGAGGCTGCGACGTCGCCAGATCAAGAGAATCGAAGAGGGAGAATGAAGGAGTGCGAGACCTCGGTCGTGGTGTGATGGCGGCGCAGAGTCAGCCTGGCGTGGACGATGCCATGATGCAATTGCGCCCGGACTCGGGACTGACGGGTGGCTGGGCCCCCCGCAGAAATAATTCGGGAGGCTTGCGCAGCGCTCCAACACCACACGCCCGACGCCTTATCACCACTAGACGTCGCTTAGACTAGCCGAGCAAGAATCCGCCGACTACCACCTAGCAATCGGCGACGTGAAACGAGACAGCTCGCCGCGCCGCAGCCGTCCGGATCCAGGAACGCGCATGCCGAGGCGACGCCCGCAGCTCAGCACAGAACTCTCTGTGAGGGCTTCGAGTACCACGGGAACATCAGTGCTCATCTATCAACCCTCTGTTTTCAGCTAGCGAAGCCGTTTATGATCTTCCCAACCAGGTTTGCTTAACGAGCCATTTCCAGCTACTGTACTCTGTGCGCTCCGCTTGGAAGCGAGCCTTTACATCATTCACACATCACGACAACATAGACTGCCATCTTGTTTACGCAGGCTTTATTTACCGAATTATCGCTACCCAACTTCCAATCCCTCAAGAAACCGATCTTCCTCCAGTTCCGCGCCTCGGTGTTCGCATATGGGCAGCGCTCAATGCGATCCAGGAAGAAGCGCGGCACAGCAGCGGGACAGACTATAATTGGCGATGAACGGACCTTGCCTCGCGGCTCAGCACCCATTCTGCTCTACTTTGCTTCTCTTCTGGTTTTGCTAACCGCCAGTGCAACGCAGTTTCATAGAGTCTCAATGCGTGGATCACGTGATCGCGCCCCGTTCCGAACCACCTGCAGCGCCTGCAGAACGTGCATGTCAACCGTTCGTCAACTAAATTTTCTCTTAACTTCTTTCTGAGCTATCTCTCAATAACACGAGACCGTTCTGGAACAGCCCTCTGTCGTTCTACGACTTCTTTTGTCTTTGTTTTGATTCTGCCTTGATCAAGTCCCAGCACCCACCCCTCGGGGGCGCTCTAAGGATTCCCTCATTAGCCGCCGTCTTTGGCGTTCATCTCCGCCAGGCTGTGGCGAGGCTCATTTCACTGAGATCTCAATCCAAAACAGCAATGGTATCTTGCCCAGTGCAGTTGCTTTGCTTCGCCCAAACTGCTTTGTCAACGCCGCATGCAAGGCACCGCTGGGACCAGATAACTGCAGAGGTATAAATCTCCAACCTTCATTCACTGTATTAGAATCTATCACTAGACCACCAATTGTCGCTTCTCCTATTTCTCCTTTCTATTTTCTGTCCTCTTCTGTTCCGGCCTTCCAGTCATGAGGGCAGACATTTTCCTTCTCATTTTCTTTTCACTAAGGCTTTGCAGTGTTTACGCGGCCTTACCCTATAGCATACCGGATCTTGGTGAGCGGTGCCTCTGGCTCTATTTCTTAGACTGTACTGACGTCTGCATCGAACCACAGGTCCCGATCATCTGGCTTATAGAAGAGCAGAGTCAGCTTCCATACCTGAATTCGGAGTCCCATCGCTCTTCACGGGCTCTTCGCCTTCCCCTTCCCGCGTCGGATCACAGACGGAGCCGTCAAGCCTTCAGTCCTCTACCGCGCCTGCTTCCGACTCTCACCGGTGGACTGATACCGCACCATTCCCCACACTATCCAATTCGACTGCGGTTCAATCTGGGACCGTTAGCTCGAGTACAACTGTTCAATCCTTGTCCTCTATCGCTATCGTGGGTCCTACTGCACCGGGATCGACTCAACTCCCATCGCTAAGCCCGTCTAATTCCTCTGGTACCACCCTCACGAATTATATTACGTCTACGACTTCCCCCGCTTTCGATTCTGCATCCATATCCACGTCCACATCCCCAGCCAGCAGTAGCTCAGCCACTACCAACGCAATCGTCGTGACCACCGTGACAGCCTCAAATAAATCTCCCAGCGTAATCACTGTTACTACCACAGCCGCGCCTTCATCACCCCCGAATCCTAATCCATCCCCAAGTCCGCCCACGACCGATCCGGATAGCAGCATGTCGGCCGGGGAGCCAACTCAACCGTCCCAAACATCGCCTTCGGAGTCTGACCCACCGCGATCCAAACTTCCTCCAGCATGGATCTTCGACGCAGTCGTCGACGGTCAAGCTTACCATCTCCCATCCCCAGATGAACCGCCCATCCAGATCCTCCTCCTAGACGGCACACTCGCCCAGCTCTTTTCAAACAAAGTCATCATGCGCGGCCAGACCCTTACCATACCGGCTGGGTTATCCGGCTCGCAGGAGATCTCGAGCGGGGGTCAATCCATCACTGCTCAACCGGGTGAATCCAAGAAACCGGAATCAGATGGGAACGAAGGCGGCGGAGGTGGAGGCGGAGGCGGCATCGGCGGTCTTTTTGCCGGTATTGTTGGTGCGGCCGGCAAGGCTGCTAGTGGTCTTGCAGACGCAGGAAAAGGCGCCATGGGCCTCGCAACTGGAGCCGGCGGAGTCGCGGCTGGTAGCCTCGCCAGCACCTTCTCAACCACCGCTAACGATGTCGGTGGCCTCGTCTCCTCGCTGAACGGCATTCAGCAAGCTTTCCCGGCGGATCAGCTTAGCCAAGCTGGCTTAGGGGCAGCTATGGGAGCCCTAAACCTTGGTCGAGACTCCTCCAACTGGCTGAAATCTGTGGGTAACCTGGTCAACGGTTTTGACAGTCTTACGCCGGAAGTCCAACAGCAGGCGCGCGAGAATATGCGTCAGTATGCGGGGCCAGGCGGACCTTTGGAGCAAGCGGGTCAAGCTATGCGATCCTTCTCAGAGTTTCCTTGGGAAAGCGAGGTTCCGGCCACGCAAAATCCTACCCCGTCGGCAACGCAGCAGCCGACTACGAGCGTGCCGCCTACCAACACGGCTACTTTTCAGAGCACACTAGGAATATCTACCACCCAATCCCCGGTCTTCTCAACCGCTAGCATTCCGACCACAGCATCTACGAGCACAAGTAGCGCGACCCCATCAACTACGCCCGAGACGCGCAAACGATATCTCATAACCACTAAGAACGGCACGACCTTAGAGACGTTCGAGGGCTTCGTACAGGATCTCGATGGTGGCGCGGGCAAATCGCGTACTTACGAATACGTCCCGCACCAGAGCTATTTAACCCATCTTGCGTTGTCGGATGTCGAGCGGATCAAGCAACTTGATTTTATATGGAAAGTAGTGGGCGATGTTTTTGTTCCGCCAGAAGAACACCAAATTGAAGAGTACGGTGTGATCAGCCGCGGTGTGTCGACAATAGGCGAGAGAACCGTACGTAATGCGAACAAATCGGAAGGCATCAGTGGTTTCATTCCTGAGCACGACGCGACTATCCTTCCGAGAGCGCTGCTCCCGGCCCAACCCAACGCACCCTACTGGAAGAAGATGATCTCCTCCCCGCCACCCCAAAACATTCAGCAACCACCACCCCCATCTCAGGATCCTCCATACCTGTGCGATGACTCCGGAGGTACAGGAACAACCATATATGTTTTGAACGCTGGGTTTGATCTGAGCATCGCTGTAAGTCTGTCCAATCGTTGGACGTACTTGACTGATTGAAGCAGGATCTTCAACCAAATGGCCGCTCAGTGCAATGTTTCATCGTGCCTAACGAAGATACATTTCCTGACGGGTGGCTCGACTCTATGCGGGCTCAAGGCTGGATGGGTGCAGTAATGCGTCCAGAATCTCTTGAGGGCGATGGCCATGGTACCTTAATGGCCGTAATTGCCGCTGGACGGGAGCACGGGGTAGCCCCCAACGCTGATTTATATCTAGTTCGAACGAAGGGCCGATACAATAGAGACAGCACGGACGAAACCGATCCTGGGGCCCAGGACAGAAGCTGGCCCCTCCAGGCAATCGCTGTTAATTCAGCTCTCGACCATGTGCGTAACGACATAGAATCTAGATTGAGTGCCAACCCGAGCGCAAAATCCGTGGTTAACATGTCCTGGGGTGAGAATCCCGTTCTCAGATCTTATTGGCTAAGCCCAAGGAGACTTTAGATCACTAATTGAATGCAGGCAAGAAACTAAACACCCCCGGCGCCGGAGATGTAGCAGACTACCTCGAAGACTTCCTGATATGGTCGGAGCAAAGAGAGGTCACCGTTGTATTAGCAGCTGGCAACGAAGCTAACTCGCCACTCCACGAGCGTGTGCCCCAAAAATTCAGCACTGCGGCCAATAATATTATCACTGTTGGATCAGTCAACCAGGACGGCACTCCGAGATCCGACTGTTCTCCAGGGATTCCTGGAGAGGATGGATCCATGACCGTATTTGCGCCAGGGACGGACATTGCGGTTCCTGGCAACGCTGGTGACATAGTTCTAAGCCAAGGTACGAGTCCAGCGGCTGCTATGGTGGTAAGTTCCGTACACGCCGTATGTGAAGCTGTACTGAGCTCTTTACAGTCTGGTCTAGCAGCTTACTTTTGGTCTTTGCCCAACGTCGCTTCATTCCTCTTTGAGAACAATGGCCTTGTGGCGGGCGATAAGATGAAGAATCTCATCAGAAGCCATGCGTGGACACGCATTCCTCTTCCTATTAGGGTTCCTGAAGACTGGTCTCCCGTCAACGAGTTACCGGTGGTGTATAATCTCGCGCGCGGTGATCCTGCGCATAATGGACTCTGCGTGCAGAAACGCGCCGGCGACCAGCTCTCCGCATGTGAAGTCCGTACGTCCGAGTCGTCATCCACTCTTACTACGACCTTCAGGTATTTACGGTTGCTTCTTGCTTTATCACGACACATGTACTAATCACAAGCAGGCCCTCTACCGCCAATGCACCCTCATCCTCTCCGTTTCCTACAACTAGCGCAAGCCCCTTACCCTTACCTAGCGTTACGATCATTTCGCCTGCGTCATCCCTGAACCCCGACCCCACCGCGACTCTTATTCCATCGTCGACCCCGGAACCTGCCTATGAGAAATGTCGCATCTTTGTGGCGGAATTCGATAACAAGAATGCAACAAACCACAACGACGAGAATTGGAGCATTTCCATCTATCCTGTCAGCGAAAACAGCCTGACGAACACGACTCAGATATGCTTCCATGGAGTGACGGCAAACGAGCTGAGCGGTGCCGAAGTCGAGTGCCCGCCTCTAGGCGATGGCGAAGAAGGCGTCGTGAACGTCCGGCGGGAAGAGGAGGACAGATTGAGATTCGTTTGGGGCGAAAAGACGTGGACGGCCGAAGATGAAGGATGTACAATATTGGAGAACTGGCATCAGTCCGATATCGATACGGTATGTTCAACTTGTGGTGGTGCAAACGAAGAGGGCGTTGAACTAACTTTTTGCAGAATGAGAGGAAGCGCGAAACCGAGTGCATCTTTGAATGCAAGATTGACTGGTCTAAGCCCCCGTCGAATATCATAGACTAATAAGGGTGCGACATTATGGAACTTTATATACTTGTTTGTATTACTAGTTAGTTTTGAGAGCTATCATGTACCATTCCGGCGTTTGAAAAGCTCCCGCTGCTACTACACTCCCTGTTCGGAGACCCCTTTTCTCCACCGTAACCCAGTTTTCTTGCTTGGACGGGTACCACTATACATTCGTCTTCCCACAGCCTACACCCTCCGCACCTTCTTTCTGACAATGAGAGCCGGCATGAAGGTCATTTGCGACTACTCATTATTTCCAGCATTATTTTCCATCCCGATTATGATTTTGGGGGCATATTTCTTTTTTCAGTTAGTGGTAGTAGGTTCGAGGGTGAGGGTAAGTTCACGTGATATGTGCTGAATAAGCACTTAGGCGATTCGTTAGGCAACCGGCGCCAAATACATAAACTCCGCTAAGTCGCCTCTTCGTCTAGACCTCAACCAGAAGCGTCAAAACTACCATGGCATTCCTTCGACTTGACACAGATATCGTTCTCGAAATCCTAGAATACGTTGCCGACAACTACCCAGCTACGCTGAAATCTCTCTCCCTAGTGAACAAAGCCCTGAACAATGTCACCCAGTCAATCAAGCACCGTAACAAACGGTACACTTTTGCGCACGTTTCCAACAAGGACAGAGTCGTTCGAAACACGGAGCTCATCTGCGGATGGATGAGCGATGCGCGCATCGTCCGCGGGATCCGAAATCTTACCATTGCTGGAAATCCGGTAACCTCGGATCCTCCAGTTACACCCACAGAGATTGCACATGTCGTAAAGCTCATTACGAAAGTGGGCGGCCTCAAGCGTCTGGATTGGAGAGCATGGATACCGATCCCACTCGAGGTTCTGGATGCTTTGCATATCCACCAGCGCAAGGCCGAGTTGCGCGTCATTGCCTGGGTACGTGCATCGCAGGATCTGGGTCCAGATGATGAGGCAGAGCTCGCGCTCGCTCATTCTCCGGCTTTAACGTACTTCCATGCGAGCGTGGAGCAGAACTATCGCTGGTCCAATCAAGACACCAGAGATGCAACTGTGCATCGGATCATTGCAACCGCTCCGAATCTCCAAACCGTCTACTTAAGGACGTCTGAGGGCGTGTGCTGCCAGCGTTGTCGGCGGGAGAAGTGGACGCCGCAGCAGGTACAGGCGGCAGCAGATCTCAGCGAGACGTTTTACGAGGGATTAAAGCGCAGCACTTCAATTCGGCAATTGACGGCTTACGGTGACCTCGACGACTTTGTAGAGGCTTACGAGCGACTTGTCGATCTCACGAAGCTGGAGTGTGTGTCCTTCAAGTATGCTCGCACGCACACTCCGGCTTTCTTCAACGAAGCGCCTGCTTTACTGCAAAATATAAAGCACCTGCATCTCGATCTACTAGTACGTAAGAAGGTACTTGATGTGGAAGTACAGGATACAATCAACGCCGCCCTATCTAGATATCTAACGCAATCTTGTCCACGTCTCGAGGTATTAGATCTCTGGAGCAAACCTTCTTCAGTCCCCTTGTCCGGGATCCTCACGCGCCACGGCTCGACGCTAGAGCACCTAAGCCTCCATCACCGCGAGAAGCTCCGCGGACCTCCACGGCAATCCCTCAGCACCGAAGATATCGCCCTTGTAAAGAAGTCCGCCACCAAGCTGAGCCATTTATCCTTCGACATACAGCGCCGTAGCCCCTCCCTTGTCTCCGATCTCGAGCACTACAAGCCGCTCTTCGCAGCCCTCTCTGAGCTCAAACTCCGCACCCTTACCATACACATGGACCTTGGTTTGGAGTTCCTTGGCTATCTAGACTGGAAGGAACCCATCAAAGGCTTCAATCCGCGCTTTCTCCCGCCTTCGAACACCCGCGAGTGGGCCCCGGCTTCCAGAGAGCCTTATGCCCCGGAAACAGATGACACCAACATCGCTGCCTTCGTGGAACCTGTATGGCGCTCCGTGTTTGGGTGTCTAGAGGAGGGAGTGCAGAGGCAGCTAAAAGTCCATTTCGAGGAGTGGGATTACTGGTGGCGGATCCAGGGCGGAAGGAGGGTGAACGTCAAGGACGAGACCTGCATGAGGGCTTTGTGGGTTGCTGAGGGAGGAGCGAGGAAGGGGGAGGATGTTAAGGTTGAGCATGTTCGCTCGGTTTATGGGAGAGGGAATGAATATCGGGTGGCTCCTTATACGGAATTCATAGGTTGAGCATTGTTGCTGTTGAAGAAGGCGATGTTAACAGCCGGATCGAAAACCACATCATCATTCTGCGCGGAATTCAGCGATGACTATGCTGGTGCCATGGCGCCTCCTTCAAGACCTGGGTGTTTGACAACGGAATACAACATGATGTCTTCCCATGGCCGTCACACTGACTCCGTGTCCTAGCCAGAAATGTGACTCTGCCTCGCAACATGACGCCCCGCGAAGTCGACGTGTACCTATCATTAACGTATGACAGTATCTTCGGGTATTTCGCATGACTCTTCGATACTCAAAAGCTATTTTCGTTCCCCGTATAAGCTTTCTTCCTCTTCTTCCTCTTTATTTACCACTGCCTGTCTCTTGCCTACCATTAAACTCTCTCAGACAAAGTATCTGCGACTATCTCTACAAACGTACTGCTCTCCGTCCGTCAAAGAACTCACGCTTACCTCTCTTGCTCAGAACATCACTCAACCCTTGCCCACACCTATCGGCCTCGAAATAAAGCTACTACAGCCTCCACGACTGCCAAATACCGCTCACTGCTCGACAACTCAAACATGTGCACGTACATAAGGACCTACCACACCTGCGGCTGCCCCGGCCTTGACCAACTCCTACAACCATGTGCGACACGACTGCAGCAACGCGCTTGCCCTATTTATTCCATGGCCTCTGGACATAACGTTACGGGAACATGGTGTGGAGCCAATAATACTTGCGCGAGGCATCCAGAAAAGAGGGACAGCGGCACTCAAGCTTGAGGGAGAACTGTATTAGTATCTCGGCTGTAATCGTACAGAGGGGCCACATGGTGAAATGTTGGCGGATATGGTTACTGCTACACTTGACTTGGGTCATATATATATATATATATATATAGCCATATTTCTCGTACTCTCAATCAATCAACTCATGTCTCAATACTTGCCACATGCCCTGAAATGAAACTTGTAGGGACGAGCCCACCGACGACAGAGACAGCGCTCCTATATAGCAAGACCAAATCAAAGTACCTTTAAGCACACAGATGTAGATAAACAAAATCCATTCAGTTACTGATCAATACAAAAACAAGAAGCAGTACCCAGAGCCTACGTAGAAGGAAACAGGGCTTTCTTCAGTTCCGCGTCTGTAATACCGGCAAGACTCTCTTCCCGTTTCGTAGCGGCGCGCAGAGCCACTCCAACATAGCCTTGAATCTTGGTGTCCGCAGAGTTTCGACATCTCTCGGCTACCCCCTCAAACTGTCTAATGACTTCCTTCATTGATTTGCACGGCGTTTCCGCCCCGTCTGCCATTGCCTTCACGAAGTCGTCCCACTCTTGAGGATGGCGCTTGCAGCCGCTCTGGCGGTGTTCGCAGTATCTATGGCTTTCGGCGAGACAATACATCATATCGCAGAAGCTTCTGATGTCGACCAAGACTTTCGTCTTCTCTTGCGTTGCCGACCATGCGCTGCCGAAGTCCAGGAGCACCAGGTCGGGGAAGATAGCTCTTCTGGGGCTGGAAACCATGATATTCCGCTCTTTGATATCTCCGTGCGCCCATCCAGACTCATGCAGAGACTGCAGCGCCCGGCCAACATTGAGGAAGACATGGAAGACAAACTCCACCGGGATCAGCTCCTCGTTGTATAGCCGTGTAATATCCGTCGCCGTGGGGCGCGGCTCAAGTGTTTGGTCTACCATGGCTTCGCTCCAGGTCCAGCGTTTCGTCAACTGAAGTGCGAGATGCAGAGTGTAGAGGCTCACGCCCTGGATGGCCGGCATAGCGATCCACTCCACCCTATCGCCCAACTTCTCATGCTCGCGAATCTCGACGAAGTTGTTCCGAAGATCCTTGCTGGTTGTGCTCTGCAGGATGTCTCGGACGTGTTGCAGTGCTTCGACCTCTGCGACGGCTGATTCACGAGCTGAACTGATGCCGTTGAAGGGTATCTTTACGGCCACGAGTCTCTCGCGAACCGCGGAATAGTATTCGATCCCTTTCGGAGGATCCGATTTCCGGAAATTTGCCTCGTCGTCTTTGTGCAGGCCGTACCAGATGGTGGCGTTTCCCCCGTAGGTGACCTTCTTGTAGAGTTTGTAGTCTCCAGCGGGTGGAATATCAGCGTGTGGGATGTCCATGGCTGATTTTTGCTGCTGGATCGGCTATCGCGGGCTTGGGGGCTGTGGTTGGGGGACGGGCTTCCTTGGTGTGGAACCGATATAGTAGCTGGCGGGTTTTGAATTGCGTCGTCAAGAAGGTATAGATGCTGAATGTTACGGCGAACGAAGGAGCCCACGCTGGGGAAACTTTTATATGCCACCTTCGACACATAGTGGATGACTTTCTTCTTGGGCGTAGTCACCTTATGACTGAGGAAGACTTCGTCATGTAACTGACGGGCGTTGCGTTCTTCAGAATGCCCACTACTCGGCCTGGAGAACAACAAATCTGAAGACGAACATGAAGCAGCTGATGCAGAATGTATCCTGTGCCTAGGAAAGCAATTAAGGAGTTTGGCCCAGAAGTAAGGAGCTCAGAGTTCTAATGTTAACAGAGCGAGTGACTCCTTTGCGTCACTGGAGCTAGACTCAATTTTCTTTGAGTCGACCATCACTTAGTCACTCACGCACGGTGTAACCTGCAAGCGCCTAGGACACGGGTGTGCGAGCAGTGTCGCACTGTGTGTTGTGATACAGTTGTCAAAAGCACGGATCCAGTTTTGGGGGCTGCTCAAATGAGTCTTACTTCCGTGACTCTTCCAAGGCTTGTCCTACCTCAGGCACGACTTCCAACATGTGGATTTCAGCATAGTATAAAGCGCATACGTAACAGGGTCGTGATGAACGTAGCATAGTTCGGTGAAAGCGATTCTTAGTAGGTCCAACATCATCACGTCTTTCGATGTTCTAATGGGTTTTCATCTCAAAATAGTTGGAAGAAGTTAAGTTCGATTAGTCTCATGTTATACCTAATTTATTCTCGCTCGCACACCTTCAGTCGAGAAGTGTGCAGAGACAAGGGAACTGCTATTCATGAAGGCTCAAGTTTTTGGGCTTCTCCACTTGCTGGGTATGTGGGACTAATCTGAGATCATGTCAACTAAATCTCCAATCTTCGAACGCAGAATTAGCATCCTTGGGTGATTTCTTGGTCGGAGGAATTTAAACCCGACAGCCGAGCTCTAAAAAGCACGGCATTGGTGCAGCGCCAAAAGGAACAGGACACCTCGTGAGGACGATATTTGAAGAGCTTGAGTATCAAGGCAGGTCAGGATACGGAGGTGAGCCAGAAGACGTGGACGACCTTTATGACAGAGACGACCCTGAATGTGCCGATGAGGGTGAATCGTAGAACGGACCGAGATAGTACAACTAGCCTGAAAACCTTAGGTCTTGAGGGTTCTAATACCGGGCCGACGACGAAGGCGAAGGCGAAGACGAGGTAGAGAATGAAAATAAGACCGAGGTTAAATACCGGAACAGTATCAGAGAAGACAAGTCTTTATCGATCTCGAACCTGCGAAGAATGCCTGCTGCAGCGGCCCGAGGACTAGCAGTCAGGCTCGATACGCACGGTTACCAAGGCTCAAATAGCGATATCATGCAGTGGACCCTGCTAAATATCCCAACTGCCCCGATGTTCATGCTTAAGCTGGAGTCCTTAAAGGCGCCATAGGACCTTCAAAGAGACGGTAGATAGATCATATGATGCGTGTCTCTCTTCCCCGCTGGTTCTTCCAATGTCGGGCAACTAAAGTTGGGAAAATCGCTCGTCGCTACCGAGCACCTTGCTAACATCACAAAGGCTTGTCGCAAGCTCAAGACGTTCCTCTCTGAACATTGCCAGAAGGATTGGCGAGTGCGGGATCCAATATATCTGGATGTCCAGCTTCTTGGGTCCGCCTTGGAAGTCCGGCGCACACACCGCTCGAGGAGCTAGCTATCGTAGAAGACCCCGCGGCTATAGAAGACTCCTCATGCAGCGGCCGCTTGGATAATTTGTTAGAGTTCGAGAAGGTGGTGCAGAATCTTTTGCTCCCTACTTGCGCCCTTGATAGCTGAAGACGGCGAAGAGGCCTAGGGCTAGGTTGATATGTCGAAGTCAAGCGACTCTGGCTGCAGAAGGGCGGGCTGACTGGACAGAAAACGAGAAAAATGAGATTTCCATAGTGACTCTTCGTCATCAAAAACCACAGCTTCAGGTGCTTTCAATATCTTTTCGCACATTCAGGATACTGTCTTCGACAGCACTGGCCAAGGCCCGGGACGGTTGCGCAAGGTACGGGGCCCGGCTCGAGATGATGAATACCGCGCCAGTCTTCGGCGATGAAATAGAGGCTTTCAAATGTGCGATGTTGGGGACTTCCTTGAAGGATGGGAGAGCGAGGCGTGGAATAACGGGGCCCAATCGGTTGGAATACCTAATGGTTTGCGCACTTATCTTAGACTGGGAGCGACAAAGGGAATTCCATTCCGCGTCACTGTATAGCAGAAGGAACTTCCTGCTTCCGTGTGATGAGCAACTTAGGACATACCAGTATCGGAAACGTATTTGATCTTCGATAAAACTTCCCCCGGCCCGACGATTGATCCGCGACCAATACCTCGGTACCTAAGGCGACTTCTTCTCGAATACGACGTAGTGGTTCGACGCGTGTGCGCAAACGCAAGACCGATGCCGTCAGCGAGTAGGTTGCAGACGCGTTTCCAGTGTGCATCTTCTCGCCCAAACACTCTCCCGCTTCGCACCCTAAACCATGCTCTTCCAAACCCGAGATGCAAGACGCACTCGCCTCCATTCCCTCTCTTCCAGTCTCTTTCTCTCCCACGACCAGACGCCGAACCCATCTGCAACTCTTCCTTCGCCATCATCTCGCACCAGCCTCCGGCCGAGGCCCCCGGCATAACCCCCCAACACAGCCGCATCGCGTCTCCCATATATTATCCCCCCGGCTGAACGACGCTCACTCTCATCATCAGCCTGTTTCGCTTCTGGAAGGATAGGCTTGTTGTTGTGTGGTCAGATGAGGCGCCCTCATTGGCGGGTAGGGACTTGAAACAAGAGCGGCAGGGATGTGGTTGGCTGCGAGGGATCGCGACCCTTACGAGTCGTGTTACAGATGGGATTACGTCTTTATGCATGGGAGTTGCAGGGCATAAAAATAGCAGTTAGGGTATCGATAAGGTGGTCCGATCAGCTGGGTGTGGGGAGATGGTAGGGTATTTGAAGGGAGCTGGCCTTTAGAACAGGTACCTCTCGTGGCCCTTTTCTTTCCCTCCTGCTCTCCGTCAGCTTTTCAAATGTTTTAAAGTTACCCAGTCGCTCTTTTGCTGTGCTGCATGCCCCAGGCCATACACGTTCATTCCTTACTCGACGGAAGAATATACTCACTCCCCAAGATCGACACCATGGCTGAACTAGCCAACACTCTCGCCTTCGCAGCATACGATCAACAGTCCTCTCTTTACGTACAAAGCTTCGCTGCGAGCCCCGTGCAGAATGATGCAGAAAAGCGTGAGACTAAGTATGAGGCCACGCCTCGCGATCGCGACTCCGGCGTCTTTCTCTCGGATAGCGAAGACATCGCCCCGCCTCCATCCAGAACTCCATCCATCTCTTTAAAGCAAGCGCCTTCCACAACGGCCACCACGACACCCCAACGCACTGACTCGATATCGCGGCGTCTCCGCCGCCCCGCAGAGCTCAACCTGTCTGGCGGCACCCAGGACTCGCCGAAGCCAAAGTCTGAGCTCGAATTGCGATATGATATGATTCGCAATTCGCAGAATCGGTCCAAAGCCGCATTAAAATCGCCTACACAGCTATTAAACGATCGCCTAAACCTAAGCCCCAAGAAGGACAAGCACGAGGAGAAAGTGCGCATATTCAATCCGCCGCGACCGATGCTGAACGGTTGCATACTACCCGGGCCTGCAGCGCAGATGGAAGCATTTACCGGCGCTTCGGTTCGAGCACGGACGGAGAAAGGAGGAAGGCCGGCGTGGTGGTGCAAGTTCGACAAGGTTGTCGTATTTGACGGCATCGAAGAATCAGACGGTGTAGAGATGAAGTTCAAGACGCGGACTAGCAAGGGGCTGACCGTCGCGAGACGGCGCGGGGACACTGAGACTGTGGTGATCCCTATGAATTGCGCGCATTGCCGGGAGATGCTGAACAGGGAGGAGTGGAAGTATGATGTGCAAGTCTGCAAGAGAGGGGTGTGCTGGGACTGTAAGGAGAGGTGCCGGTGGGAGATGGAACAAGGGAAGGTGGAAGAGAGCATTGACGGAAAGACTGATGAGGCAAGGAACGAGGCGAACCGGGAAAGAGCGGATAGTGTATTGCAGGATGGGCAGGCTCACGAGGAGGAGCTGATGGAAAAGATTGGGATTGAGCAAAGTCCGAGGACGCCAATCGAAGCCGTGGGTGGCATTGAGGAGCGACTGGAGTTTGCAGAATCCCTCGTTGTGGTTTAAAGGGGTTGAACGGGAAGGAATGAAAGAGACGAGCAAGTCCTCCGGCAGGCAAATTTGGAACCTTCTTTGTACATATTGAGAATGATCTTACTTTTCGTTGAAGTCTGCCAGATCCCTGTGGTAGCGCCACGCTCGTGACCACGCAAACGCCGGTGAATCTCTCGATGCAAATGCCAGATATGAAGCTCGCTCGCAGAATGCTTTACGCTGGGTATATCGCTGGACAAATTATGAGGCGTATTGTTGTACACAAAGAGCTACGCGTGGCGATTTCATCATGGATATTCGCAGACAGCTGTCTTCATGAGACACTGGCCGTAGCTAGTCCAAGTCCATGGCATCGCACATGTATTCGAAAGGAACATCGTCCGTCTCCATGCTATCGTCGGCATAGGCCTCCGGCTCGAAGTCCCTGCTGGTGAGATCATTGCCGTTGAAGCTGGGGTCACGTCCTTGGACGACGCCGTGTGCGTGTTCACATCCAGCCAACAAGAGCCTGAGCATCCTTTCCAGATCAAGGTCTTGTAGCTTGACATTCTTGCGCGACTCCCCGTTGTGATGTTCCTTTTCCGGAGCAGCGATGTTCTCATCGGCATCTTTCCACGCGTTCCGATAGTCCTTCGCCAGACCCAGCTGTATGCGGACCTCCTGGTTTCCGAGAGATGCACGTAGCGCGCAGTTTTCGTCATCCAGTGCTTCCAACAGGTTTTGATGGAAGGCGTGGGCTGCCTCTGGTCGTCTCCTTTGTAAATCAGGGTTGGTGATGAAACGGAGCGCGTTAACGTTCGTTCGAGGGGCGGTCGCGGAGACGCTGACGCCGAGGACCCCGAGGCAGACGGTGATATAGCGCTCGAGCAGGGTATAGAACTCAAAGAAGTCGACTTTGAACATGCTTTCTGCCTGCTTCTTCTTGAAGTCAGCATCCCGGTTGGCTTGCTCATGCGAGCGGTCAAAACGCCGAGTACTTACACTATTCGTGCCCAGCACGAAAGCGTACCGCGATGCTAGATGCCGATCCAAATGCCCATTGTACTCTATTTCGGCATGCAATATCTCCATTGCCCGGAGGTAGGATGCGATGAGGGACTCGGCCTTCCAGCGGAGTCTCCCGAGCAAGCGCGTCGCCTTCTCTTTCTCCTGCTTTAGCTTCTCCGCCTTGGAGAGGGCCAGCGTCTCCAGCGGGGTCTTCGGCGCGTACTTGGAGCTCTTCAAGCTATTCGGCTTCATCGTGCAATACGAAGTCGTGGTTGCGTCGCGTTGAATGCGGTCGATTAGGGGAAGCGAATCAGGAGCCTGGCGTTGTAGAGCGATAGTGTGGGGAGAAAATGACGTAGAAACAGCGAAACAGTGCGTGTTTCATAATATATAACGAGTGAGGCATTGTAGGGTGACAATGCGGGAGGGAAAGGGCAGCGCGTGAGGTCTGGGGGCTGCATTGTGAGATTCGCGGGAGTGTTTGCTGGGATGACTCAGCCATCACATCGTGCCGTGACCGCATCTGCTGCATTTTGCTAAGAAATTTAAAATAGAGCCTTAGGATGTGAAAGAAGGCTCACAAGGCAGATGGGGTTAGACAGAAGTTATAAGACAGACTCTGTCTTGCATCGTACAGCCAGGCACCTGTTCACGTGCCACCACGAAACCGCGTCGTGCTGCCCCGCCTTAGCTCGCATTCGCGTGGTTGCCTACGATAACCTCGCTCGGCTGCCTCCACGACCTCGTATCCCCAATTTCGCGAAAAGCATAAATACAACCCTAATCCCGAGGTATTAGAGACAGCATCCGAGAGCGCCCCAGATCCTCCACAATGGCTCCAGCCCTGCGGAAACGCGCCGCTCGCCCAACAGCTGCATCCCGCCGCAGAACCCAGTCAACAAAAGGCAAAGGCAACGCCGTTAAACCCCCAGCAAAGCGCTCTTCTAAACCCCGAACTTCCAAGGCAAAGGCATCTTCCGCAAAATCTCCCTTTATCCACCCACCCAACAACCCCCAAGCAACTCTCCTCGGCCTCCCAACTGAAGTACGTCCCTCCCAACCGCCCTACACAGTACACCCTCCCTGTTAACCCCCACCCACAGCTCCGCCTCCAAATCTACGCCTACCTCCTCGAATCCGACACCATCATCCACGTGCACCGAAAGTCGCTCCCGGGCCGCAACCGCTCAATCTTCACCTGGACGCCATGCAAAGGCGCCTCAGCCACCTCGCCACTCCTGTGCGCGAATCCAAAATGGTCCGGGCTCTGCGCCGAAGAAGACCGCTGCACGTACAAGAAATACGCTCCGCCGGCGCCGCGCGGCTTCGCGGCGCTCACGGCGAGCTGCAAGTTCCTGCGCAGCGAGACGCAGGGGTACTGGATGCGGAACACGGTGGTGTCGATTGCGCCGCTGGCGCTGCGGCTGTGGCTGCTCTATCTGGAGAAGCATGCGCGGCACCAGCTGCGGAATTTAAGGCGGGTTACGCTCGCGGGGCCGGACCAGTATAATACTTTTAAGGCGCAGCATGTTCGCGAGCTGTGGAGGCGGGTGCCGAACCTCGAGGCTGTCGCTTTTCAGGGACAGACGCATCCTTTTCCTTGGATCCGGCAAGTGTCTGAGGTTTATAATGTCGATATGCGGAGTCGCTGGCACCAATGGAGCGCCCTCGCGCCGTTCCGGGTCTTTCCCCGCAGTGTTACGGTGGTCGTTGAGGGGCTGATCTACCTTAAGCGGAGGACTTCGAAGACGACGAAGGGGAAGCCGCTGAAGGAACAGCAGCTTGTAGTGCGCGTTATCCGGGAGGGGAAGGAGCCGGACGAGAATGGTATGTTTGAGGGAGAGGGAGATGGCTGGGGGGATGAAGATGTGCAGTTGGAACTGGTGCAGCCTGGAGGGCTAGTGGAGAAGGCAAGTGATGCACTGTGGAGAGAGTGGTGGAAGGACGAGTTCTTCGAACCGTTTTATACTATCTGGTGAGCAGACCGGCTCACTTTACTTTCCATATACCCACTATGTCCATATCGAACCCTATATCACCCATCCTGGATATCTTCAGGTCCTTTTCCGAACGCCAATCATGATGCATATCCCGCCGAAGATCTAGACAGCAGCGCCTCCAGCACTGCCATTCCGATCGCCACCTGAAAGACTTCAGCCTCAGCTATACAGACACCGAACGGACTCACATACCTCCACTGAAGCCATTCAAGCTGCCCTTTCCATCCACAGCCCCATCCTTCATATCCTTCATCTTCTCTACCAAAAAAATCAGCACTCAGAATCCCAATTCTCTCCAAATAAACCCCCCATACCTCTCGCAAGCGCATCCCGCACCGCATTCTCCTGTTCTTCCTCCCGAACAAATGCCCCTTCGCCCTGCGCATACGCCGGCACCGGCACCGCACCAATGTCAACAATCTGCCTCGACTCCGGATCTCGAATAGTGTATCCCTGCTGGAACCACAGTCTTGCCTCTTCAAGTGTCACGAGAATGTCTTGACCCGCAGTTCGAAGCATGTATGCCCTAGCGGAAGGATCCGCACGAAGGCGCTCCGAGCGAAGGGGCTCCGAAGAGCTCGGCGGACTGGATGAGGGATTGAGGCTTGGAGGGGGCGAGGAGGACATGGTTGAAGAATGGTTGATGGTTGAAGAATGAGTGTATATATGTAATGAATGGGATGACTGGAAATGCAGAGCAGTGTGGATGTCGAGATGAACAGGAAAACGCAGACGGACAAGGAGGAGAATTCTTATACCTACTACCTGCAGAATCCTACCTGCGTCATACGGAGCCTTGGAAAGTCAGAAGCACGCTGAAATTGCAGGAGCAGAATTGCGTGATTAGAAACGAAGGCAAGCTCCTCGGTGGTGAAGAGACAGAGGAAAGAGCAAACGAAAATGACCGGCTGATGTACCCGGACGAAGGCAGTCACGCAGCTGAAGGGCCTCCAAGACCGTCTTTACATAATTGATTTGCATTCTGAGTTGTACAGGCTGAGAAGTGCCTACCTACGCCCCTAGTCGCCAACCCACACGCACACCCCATACCTACTCAGCATCTGGCCGACGACAATGAAGCCGCCCACCGCGGGCGCAGAACTGATAACATACAACACGACCCTCGTCGACGGCCGCAGCCACGCCTTGAATCCCTGGCGAGCGTCTTTGCCCTCCTGATCTAGGACCCACCATAGCCCGCTGACGACGGAGAAGGCCAGCCATTGCATGGTGTACGATTTCCAAGTTGAGCTCTCTTTGTGCGGGATACTGCCGGGCTGGAAGCGCGACATGATGCCGACGATGGCGAGGGGCGTGAGTGCGACGACGGCGGTGAGAGCGTATTTCGCAATGTGCCAACGGCGGGTGGAGGAGGTGATGGCGGAGGGCGCGAAGGTGAGGACCCATTCGCGGGGCTTGAAGGGCGGGCTGCTTTTGCGCAAACGGAGTTTCTGGATGCTGTAGCGGGAGGGGCCGCCGTCTGGGTCTGGGCCGGTGGAGGAGCGTTTTATGGGAGTGCAGCAGGGGATTAGAAGTAGCGCGTCGTCTTGTGTGCCGGCGTAGTTGAGGTTCGCGGGCAGTGGTTTGATCAGGTGGGAATGCAGCGCTAGGGACGAGCGAACTGAATCCGACTTCTCTGCCGACCGCTTATCCCAAATTTCCGGAGGCGCGGCGACGCCGAAGGTTGCGTTCGCTCTGCCCGTGCCATCGACTGCGAAGCGGAGATGTTCGACGTCGTCCCCATCGGCGAGACCGCATGCGCACGTTGTGGCCTCGTCCTCGACGACTCTACCCACAGCTCCGGCAAACACGCCTCCTCTTCTACGAGCCTCGTCCATAACGTCGTTTTCAACCATGCAGATCGATGCATAGTCAGGCCGGCAGAGGTTCCCCACCAGGTTTACCATTGACATGACTGCGTACGGTGCCACGGTCAAGCCGAAGGCGGCATACCCGAATTGTCTGATCTGATCGCCACGCGCACGGTACAGAGTGAGGAGCGTGTAAATGGACTGGGCAAGAGCGATTGCGGACCTGACCAGGTTGTATGTTGCGGACACCTCGATAACGCTGTTGACCGCAGAGGGAGGAGCAAACAGCGTGTCCGATGGCACGATGACAAAGCGGTAGCCTTGGGGAAGCGAGTAGGATCCGTGGATAAGTTGTCTGTGGACGTAGATAGGACATCCGAACTTGGAGCCGAGGCAGGGAGGTGAGTATGTGAGGAGATGTACTGAACTGTCGTCTTCGACGTTCGACTTGGTCACAGAGTCCGCATCGCTGCAACTCTGCTCGGGGACCGTCTCTTTTGGCTCTATTGTGCGGCGCCGAAATATTCCATTTGACGCTTCGTCGCCGTCTAGGGGCCTCCAATCTCTCCCTCGGACCACCATACAAAGCGCCCCGCTCCGCGCCGCCTTCCTCAAGTCATCTTTCCTGGCGAACACGGCGCCACAGAGAATGGCCTCGATCCCTCTATACAGGCCCAAGGTCGGGCAAAGCAGGCTTCCAACCACGGAAGCGAAGAAGTCATCGGACCGTTCTCCAGGCCGCGTCAAGACGGTAGCAGCGTGAGCGACGTAGTTGAAGAGATAGAAAAGCGCGATATCGGTCCATTTCGTGGGCGTGCACAACAGCCCGGGTGTGCCGTGGTTTGTGGTTCCTAACGGCAGTGGCAGTGTTATGTTGTGGAGAGGGAAGGCTGCTGCCGCGCACACCAGGGCGCATACACAGAAGAGCCAGCGTGAGAGAATGGGATGTCTAAGGGCCGCCATCTCGTCGACCTGGAGATGTCATGAGAAGGGAGGCAGAGGAAAGCGAGAAGAGCGATATTTCATAGCAGCGTTCAGCCCGTCTTTGATGTTGCAGTCTGCCTTGGCCGAATCGTTATCTCGTCCGCGATCTGATTCGCTCTCAAAAGCCTCTGTCGTATTCATCAACCACTTACCAGACAGCGACCCCGCGATGTGTAGCCAGCCTAATGCAATTGCGGGAGAGCACCGCCCACCTCGCGAAACGCAGGCCGAACGCGAAAGATGGAGTTCTTGCTAGTGATGCGGAATCACATAATCGGCTCCTCGTTCCCGCTACCACCGAAAGCGGCTTAGCGCGCATACGAATTGCTCAGCCACACTCGGCGCCACCCACGGTTGCGACGTTGCTCGTCTCCGAAGTCGAGAGTCCGCTCTCCGGCAGTTACAGACAAACCCCGCTGCGTTTACACAAGTTCTTCATCTCTCTTTTCCATCTACGCGCTTCTCTATACTCTCCTTCATAATACCCTAATCACCAAGCCCCGCTGCAGACAGCCCGTTCCGACGACTCATACCGTGAGACAAAGCGAAACGCTGCTTTGAACGACCGAGGACGAGCACTGCCCAGCCCTGCCGCGCGACACCGTCGACGAACCTACGTATACCCGTCTCCGCCTCTGAAGAGGACTTTCTTCCTTCATTCCACTTCTTCTCTTCGTGAAGAGCAAACACACGTAGACAGCGATGGCATCTCAGAAATACGTACGTTCATCCCCTCAAGCCGCACATCTCCATGCATCACTCCCTCCATAGCCTCAAGACTAACACTCCGTTCTCTAGGACCCGCCAACCGGCGCTCCACCATCCTACCCCCAATCGCCCCCTCCCGTGCACCACGACGCCGGCCCAGCCCCCTACGGCTCTCCCGCACCAGGCCAGCCCTACGGCCCGCCGCAACCCTACTACAGCCCCTCGCCCGCCCCGCCCTCGAATGCAGACTACTACGGCGCATCGCCAAACCCATACGCACAAGGCCCGGGACCTTACGGCCCCCCGCAGGGCCAATATGGGCAGCCGCAACAAGGCATGTACTACCAGCAAGGTGGACCTCCGCCGGGCGGGTACTACCAGGATAGGAGAGGTGGAGGGGCGGGCGGAGGCATATTCGCGGGTCTGCTGGCTGCTTTGGCGTGCTGTTGCTGCTTGGACTGCTTGTTCTAAGCCGTTGCAGGTCGCGGGAATGAGAGCGGAAAGATGGGGGAGATGTGCCGACGCGGCGAGGAGCCGGAGCGTGCGTGGGGATGTGAGATTGGATCTGTTCTGAGGAAGTTGGGGTCTACTCTTTCTTTCCCTGCTGGACGGGTTAATCGCCGCGCGGAACCCGCGGAGCGTGGGCCCTGAGATTATACCGCTCTTTTTCCTTCACCCACTGTGCGAATTTGTTCCTTTGTATCTATAGCTATAGCCGTGGAGGGTGGCGTTCATGGTGCACACAGGCAAACTCGTTGGGTCGACACCTCAATCCTGGGAGCACCTGGCGAGCCGAGGATTGTGAGTGCAATACGAACTGTTCCCTGGTGCTAATATTTTCGAACATTTCAGATCATATGCCTGACTCGTTTCGTTTCATGAGCCACACCGCAGACCACCAGACTACCAATCACCCACCACATCGAAATAACTGCCAAGCGAAGGACGCCCTAAATTTCTACATACATACGCGAATAATCTAGCGAGCGGACGGGGGTATCAAGCTACAAAGACAGACAGGACAGTGGTATCCTCCCAAAGCTTAACAAAAAAAAACTCCAGCTCGCTGATTATCACCACACTACTATTAGACATTACACCTCCCTCTCTCTGTCAGAGCCCCTCTCCAACATCCCCGAATCCCAGCAGGAGGCCACACCTCAATGCAACCGTCTGGACCTGTCCATCGTTTTTTTGCTCTCCATCGAAGCCAGCCATCAAGACCCAGCAAGCACAGCTAACCTTTCACAATTCGCATCAGGGGGTTACAATCTGGCTCACTCGCGCGAACCCACTCAATCGCTCGCTCGCTCGCGATGAGCGCGGCATCTAAGCCGTCTCAGCCGAAGGCCTGACATCCTTCTCCGGATGCGCCGGCGCAGCCGCCTTGACAGCGGCGCGCTTCCAGGCGCAGACGTCGACGAGGAAGGCGACGGTCGAGAAGAAGCTAAGGCTTATCAGCCACAATCCATTCATCCTAGTAGTAGCCCACCGGGGTGGGTGGGGGTCCAAACAACTTACAAAGCAAGGAAGATAAAGGCCTCATTGGTCAGCTTCTTGCTGCAGTCGCCGCCGGTCGTCGGCGCGTTCCACTTGCAGTTGGCCTCGTTGTAGTCCTGGGCGGCGAAGATGAAGGCCGTGAGCCACAGGTAGCTGAAGACGAAGTTGGGCGCGCTGTAGTACTGCTTGTAGCCGGACCAGAAGGGCAGGACGAAGCTGGGGAGCCAGAAAGCGAGGACGAGGGCGGCCTTGGGGTTGCTGGGTTAGCTGGGAGGAGAGGTTGTGGAAGGAGGGGGAGACGTACAATCACCATCTCGAAGATGAGATGCTGGTCATGGGTGAAGTCGTCGAGGAAATGGCCGGTGATGCCGACGACGACGGCGGAGCTGAGCCAGGTGATGAGGTTGCAGCCGGCGACGATGGCCTTGTGCGGACCCTCGAAGTGCATGGAGACCATTTTGGCTGTTTTTGCTTTGGGGGGATGTAGATAGACGAAAGACTAGGTATCAAAAGTTGGGGGTATATCAAGGAGACAGGAATGCTGCGACTGCTAGAGGAGCTTCGATGTGATGGGCCATTGCACAATCCAGACATGAGACCTTATATACCTACCCCTCACCTCGGACGATACGACATCCTCGCCGTCCCTAGGGCAGCCTCGCAAAAAGCTCGGTATTGGGTCAATCCAGGCATTCCTGCATCGTGACGCTGTATGTCGGCGACTCAGCATGCCGGTCTTCACCACTCAGCACATCCATCCATGAACGCTTGTCATGCCACATGTCTTCCGCCCTACCCTCCCTACTATGTAATCCTCGCTCTTTCTCCACTCCGGTGGCCACCGGCTGGATCGATTGATCAGGGCCCATCAGGCTGGTTCCAGCACCTTGCCCAGTGGAGAGGTTGTGCAGGATGGTCCGACGAATCTCCGTATTGCTAAGCGTAGAGTCAGGTGGCCATGTCCCTCTACGAGAGCCGTCTTTGAAGAATGCGAAACAAGGTTTGCAGAAGAGCCATGGGATTGACAAATCATAAATTCTTGCCTTCTCTCGTGATATGCCTCGTTGCCTCACAAAGAAAGGGCATTGGGTCCGGAAGTTTGCGGATGTGTGATGTGTGATGTGTGTCTCGACATGTGCAGCCAGGGTGGCCCTTCGACGTTGAGTTTAACTCATGGTGAGCAAAATACCCCGGCATGCATTTCCCGTCGTCTTTTGCGCCTGCTGGCCTTTCCTCTTAGCGACAGTGATCTGCGATTAGTGCGATGCTGCAGGCGTGTAGTGGCTTTAGGGATGGCCCGCGGGAGCTAGGGTGCGCTGTAAGCTTCTGACGTGTGGCGGTGACCCACAGTATCGGAAAAGCAATCGGATGCTTCGGATTTGGTCACGTTCCATAAGCACTCAACAATTCGGCATGCCGGATGAACCAAAATGCGGTCATACGTCATTGGGCGGTGTTAGATGGCCCCATCGAGTTGATTCGGTGGCCTGAGCGGTCGGGCGATTTTGCGACGTTTGGGGATGGAGTGATGCCGCTTCAGAGCGGAGAGATCCGGCACAAACCATCGAGATGGCAAGGCCGGAAATGCGTGGAAAACTGTCGAAAGCGATGACCCGAGCATCGATAGATCTCGAGAGAATGAAGTCGCGAAGCAGAATTATGTACACCATGCATATTCGCGCGGACCACGAGACTGAACGAGGGTGTGATTGGAGTTTCAGTGTGAGAACGCTGTTCTCCCACAGCCTAGACAAAGACAGACCTGCTCATCGCGATGCTCTGAGTCTGCATCCTCCTCTGCTGCCTCTTCGAAATCCTGACTCCTTGCTCAATGCGGATGATCTGCACCATGTCAGCCCTTTGCGTACGCCCGTGCATGGCGAGGAACTTCACCTTTAAATAATTGGTCATAATGAGCGCGTCTGTCCCTTCCTCTTCAACGGGTTCTGCCAAAACCATGTATTGGCCCGCCAGCACGGCAATGTCTCCAATTTGCACTTGATCACCCCTATCTTTCTCCTCAACATACTCCAGCGGTGCGAGGACGTACTGGTTTGGATCGTTCTGTAGGCTGATGACGAGTTCGTGATCCCAGAAAACGTTTGTAACGTAGCTCTTCTTTGCTTCAATGCTAAGCATAGTGCCCGTTGTGAGGCTGACCCTATAGTCATGCCAGACAGGTGTGCAGTAGATGGAGCCACCGGGGGGTTCGACCAGGGTTACGATTGGTTCGTCAGATATCGTTGGGTCATTGGAGATACTCTGGCGCATTGACTCCGCCGTGCCGATCTCGGTTGACACAGCACTGAGAGTGTTGGTGATACGGCGCAGACTGTCAGGCGCGAAGCTATCAGAGTAGCGTTGAAGCTTACTCTGGTAGTAGTCCACGACGCTCTGTATGACTTGGTTATCGCGAGCCAAAGTCGCAAGCGCGTCCTCGAGGGTTATTTTTCGGCCGTCCAGCTTGTAAGCAATTGCAAGCATTGTGTTCCCCAGGATGGCTCGGAAGCGCGTCAGTCGTCCCGTCACTCGAAGCTCCTCAATCATTTCGACATCCGGACGGCGACTACGGGAGACTCTCATGTTACCAAGTAAAGACTCGCGGCGTCGAAGGGAAGAGCTGCGGAATCCGGTGAGCCAATGATTTACAAGCTTGATTACCTCATTGAGCCGATCGACACCGTTGTAGGTAGCTTGGTTCAACGGACCCTCTTCGATGATTAAGTCGTAACGTTGGCCGTTGATGTCGGATTCTTGGATGCTGTAGACGCCTCTAGTAAGACATATGATGGCTTCGTAATCCGCAACCCGAATCATGTACTGCCTGTCGTTCGTCAAGATGGCATTCAGCAGGGTGTTATCGCTATGACGATCGTAGTCTCGCTCGATTGGAGGAATCTCGTTGAAGGTGCGCATCCCGTCTTCCGCGCTATACTGAAGATTGCGGAAGGCGAGAGAGTCTTTGAAACCTTTTTCTGGCCACTGTACAATCCCTAAGGTGTTACTGCAATCAGCAAGGCCCAAGAGCGGAAAGAAGACGGAAGGGAGAATGAGCGTCTTGGGTGGAAGATTTGCTGGGGGATGCGCTATTCCCAATGCGAGCTTACTTACAAGACTTCTGTGCTCGGCAGAGGTTATCGATGGTACCTGGGAGGACGTAACCATGCGCTGCAATGCGACTAACAAAAGTCTCCCAATAGAATGCATGATCTTGTTTCTCTGGCTTTCTTGGTGACCAGCCTTCGAAAGCCGGCACTATCGAAGTGAGGAAGATGTGCGAATTGATCGAGTAGAATGGTATGACCTTCAGCAGCAGTAATTCTAGGTTCTTACGATCCGCGTTGAAGTGGAATGTCCGTTCCAAGAACTCTTGGATGTTGTGAAGGTCGTCATCGTTCAGGAACGATAGTAGTAGGACTAGCATTTGGAGGAACCTGGGCTTCAAAAGCTGCTGAACTTTATCGGCTGGATCTAGCGATGTGTAGTATGCCGAAGACAAGCTGATGATCTTGCGAATTCCCTTGCTCGTCGTAAGCGTAGTGAACTCTCTCCCGTTATTGACACCATAGCGGATGTCTTTGGACGTGATGATCTTCGTTCGGGTCGCCATTCGGAACAGGATTGCGCTCCGATTGCATAGTCTATCAAAGTCTTGTGAGAAACTCATTTCCCCAACCCAACGACAGACGGGGGAATCCATACCTTCTAACGTCTTCCATCATCGCTTCAAGAAGGTTCCTCGTCTCATCCAGATCTTGTGCTGCATTTCTGCTCTGGATGATGAGTTGGAAGTTCACAAGAAGACTAGCCATGGACGAATAGTCCACCTCGACTAGGGTACTCTCAATATCAAACTGCCCGGCGTAACATCGGAGGTCATGGACGAGAGTGACGTGCTCACTGTCAATGTTGACAGTTGGTAGCCGCTCCCTTCCCGCCACGATGAGTGCCTCAGTCCTCTGCCCGGGGAAGAATGAAGGCAGCGAGCGCTCCTCTCGGCGTCTGGAGTGCTCTAAGACTTCTGGTGTCAGATCCTTGGCAATGACCCTGAGGTCCTTCGTTACTTCAAAGTCGAACAGTAAATGTCCAGCGGTATTGACCCTCCAGACAGCACTTAGTTGATCAGGCTTGTAGTCCGCCATCAACATTTCTTGTTCCAGCTGTGTGACGGTAGGCCGGTCGACCCCTGGCAAGAAGACCATTCCGACCTTAATCACAGGTGCGCTTTCGTAGTAGTCTCGTGTAGGCCTTCCGCTGACATAGCTCCTCTTCAGTCGGCGATCCGCCGCCATCTGTAGTCGTGTAATAATTTGGGAAGCATCCTCGGCGTAAGAGCTCTTCTCCTTGATGTACGACATCACTTCCTAACGTAGCCCTGTGGTCAGCGGATATTCAGCACTCACACCGCGAGGTTGTCTTACAAGACCTTTTTTGAATCGCTCCTTCGCATCGCCATGACGCTCTGTTCCCCCGTTGGCTGTGGTGTAATCGTCAGAGAGACTACTACTGTTGCCATCTGGAAGACTCTCCGTCTCCGTTGGTAGAGCACGTTCTATCCCACCCATAGATAAAGGTGGTGCGGCGTTTCGCGCCTCATCATTACTGTCGCTTGCGAAGCCATTCAGATTCGGTAATGGAACGGGCGGCTGAGTACGATCCGGGACTTTTGAGAATGGCGGTCCTGGGTTGCGGCCAGCTTGCGAATCTCTGCCTGAGCTGGCATACGCTCCAGGAGGCTCTCGGAACGTTGAACGATTCTGGGATGCAGTCCCGCGCGAGCCAGGGTCAGGAGATGAAGCAGGCAATTTTGCGAACGGCGGAATAGGAGGGGGCTCTATGTCGGGTGCCTTTGAGAATGGCGGTTTCGGCTCGGATTCGGCCTGTGAGGCTCGACCTGGCCCTGGATACGCCATGTACGGAGAGTGCTGGCCGAAGTTCGAATGGCTTTGCGAAGCCCCTCCACGTGAGAGATATGGATTGGTGGAAGGATCCATTGTGCCTCCTCAATTGATGAACGGAACGCAGGAACTGGGTTGACGAGGCTGTGAATCTGAACGGACGGGAAGGGACTAAATACATCCCCGGTGTAAATGGGCGCCGAAGGCTGAAGTGAGTAGCCTGAGGACTGCATGTGGCAGGCAAGCCGTGGCATATGCATGAGCACACAGCCTGGCGCAAGGCTGTCCAGAGATTTGACGGACTTTCTTGTGGCATTCCTGTTGAAGCCACATTTACGCTTGCAATCGCCATTCCCACTTGTCCAAGATCACAGCATTGCGGCTCCTATCGCTATCTAGGGAAAGAGCGTACAATTGCTCATCCTCGCTGCGAAATGTTCTGTGGAAATCCGTGGGGGTTGCCGCCAGTTGATGCCATTCCAGGACGAAAACGCTGGCAAGCGACTGAGGTCAACCTTTCCAGTCGTCTTATAGGTGCCCGTCTTCCACGATTACGACGTGGCTGCTTTTATTCGGTGCGGAGATATTGACAGGGCCTCCGCGCGCACGAATCAAACATCTCACCGTCTCTCGACTTTACCATTTCCGGCACTTGCATAGCCTCAGCCTGGTCGACAACAGGCAACATCGTCCGCTAGGGTTTTCGTGGCAGCGTATGCAATAGAAAAGGCTGCGCCCTGTCGTTTTCTCGTTACCGGCCTCCGAGGCGAAATTGAGAAATCCGCACGCGCTGTTCGTGGCGATGCCGCGCGATATAAGGCAGGACAGCCACGAGCACGAACCCACCATGGAATTCTGAGCTACCGCCCACGATGGTAATCCAACGATTGAACCGAGTTCTCGCTACCTTCTTCTTCCTTTTAAGCTTAGTCTTCTCCGACGAAAATGCGCCCTGCTACTTGCCGAACGGCTCACAAGCGTTCGGCTTTTTGCCCTGCAATGTCTTTGCGCGCGTCACGTCGTGCTGCCCGATGGGATGGACGTGCTACTCGAATAGCATGTGTGTAGTAACGGATCCGTCGACAGCTAACTCCGCATATCCAATCGGGACTTCAATGAGGGGGAGCTGTACGAATCCAGAATGGGACAATGCATTTTGCGGCGATTACTGTCTGGTAAGATCCCGAATGAGATGTCGGACCCTGGGACTGACTCCATCTAGAGCGATCAAGATCTTGGTGGAAGATTAACGGCTTGCGGTGATGACAAGTTCTGTTGCGCCGACGATACATCCTGCTCTTGCTCGAACGGGGCGTTCCAGATTAACCCAGGCAGCGCCCAAACCATCATCGGGATCGAAGGCTTGGAGCATACCGATACATCTACTATTCAGGTCAGCACATCCTCAGTAGGACCGACTGCCACGACTCTCGTGACTGCCATCTTGACTTCGAGTAGCTCAGGTGAGCCGTCGTCGACACCGACTGCCGCGCCGGTAAAGGAGAAGGCGACAGACAAACCTGGGGTTAAAGCAGGCATCGCGCTCGGCGTGATATTCGGAGTCCTGTTTCTAGGAATGGCAGGATGGCTTATATACAAATATCTCTTCTCTGGAAACAGATGGAGGAAGTCGGATGAGGGTACAGTGGTCACCGAGACGTCCGCCCCGCCGAGACCGTTATCGACCCAGGACCCTTATATACCAGGCAACGCAGCGAGCCTCATGTTCGATCCGCCAGTAGCGGCGACGACGCGCCGGTCTCAAGATAACTTCGATCGCGGCGACGCCCCAATTGGGAATGCGTATGAGCGGAATGCGCAGAATCTAGATCCGTTTGAGAATTCGTCAACCACGGTCGGGACGCGGACTTGGAATGCTGGGCAGGGTCCAGCGAGAGGACCGTCAGCGAGACCATTGAGCTTCGTGAGCGATGATTTGGAAGAGGCTCGGTATGTGCGGCCGAGAGTAAATGAAATGGGTGTGTGAAGTGGTGGATGGCGGATGGCATCCAGTGATTAAGAGCTAGGATCTAGCGTTCCCAGGGTACCGGGAGAAGCAGGCACAGTGTTAACATCATCCTATACAAAGGGGAGCACCTTATTATGACGACGCATTCACCGCACCCATTCTGAATTGATCTGAGGACCAGTGATATGCAAAATGAGGTTTCATTGCTCCCAATGGATTCAGGCACTTTCGGAACGTCGAGCCGTCCCGCTTGCTCTTAGTCCTTCTAGGTTGAGATCTTCCCAATCGTTTTGGGATGGATGTTGCTCCCAGAAAGACGAAGACCATGCATAAGCATGTTCACGCTGGCTTGATGAACATTTACAGTGTAATGCAGCCTCCAACGGGACATCCTCAGTCCCAGGGTCGGGCGTGTAATAATAGGCCGTAATTGATGTTCTCATACTCTCCCAGCTACCACCGATAGCCAATTTGGAGCAGGACCCCTCCAATCCAGTACCGTGCGATAGGGTAAAGGATTCATCAAGATGCATGCCTAGAGTATATCGACTGGTGTGTTTTCCCCTCGACACGCGAGAACGAGAGCGACTTCACGAATGACATATGGGATCTCACTGGGATTTCCACATGGGCTAGTAAGGGGAAATGAAGAAATACAAACCTGTACAAGATTAGGTTGCTCGCTTCGTGGCAAAGTGTTTCGAGGGCGGGAGAAGGTAGGAAAGGGTTCGACGTTCTACGGGATTCGATCGAGTAAAGTACAGGAGGGGAAATCGCCAGACCGTATCGACCGACCGATCGACCGAGATTTAAGCGAACCGCAGGGGATATCGTCGACATCGATCGCTAGGAAAACAAGGTTCCGCTTCGAGTGAGACTGCTTGATAGATTAATGCCGAGACGTTCACCAAGAAGTCGTCGGAACCACCACCGAAAGAGAGAATGAGAGACCTTAGCAGTGTTGCTACATTCCGAAACCCCGGTACTTTTTGCGTTTCTCAATTTGGGATAAACTGCCGTTGGTGTCGATCGAAAACAATGACCACCAGACGAGGTAGCGCAGCCTCAAGCTCTGCGTGCGTGGAGCACAACAGCGCCAGAAATCTACTCTGCCACATCCAGGTCATCGTGTGCAACGCCCGGCGGAGGGGAGTCGTCTGCGCATGTCATCAGAGGAGCTCGTCGTCTCCCGGTGCGGGGGGCTCACTCTTGCGGTCGTCGCCGTTGGCACCGGCGTCCCGGTCGCGATCTCGCTCTCGATCACGGTCACGCTCTCGCTCGCGGTCGCGCTCACGGTCGTCCTCACGGTCGCGAACGTCCTTCATCTCGCGGTCGCGATCACCCTCCGGGCTCCTAGTCCGGTCTCGGTCGCGGCGGTCGTAGTCGCGCTCACGACGGTCGTCCTTACGCGGGGAGTAGTCGCCTCGGGCACGGCGCGGAGACACACTACGGCGACGCGGAGAGCGATCGCCGCGGCGCTCGCTGCCGCGTTCGCCACCGCGTGGACGGTCACGGCCGGAGTCGAAGCGCCAAGAAGCTGATGGGGGGGTGCGGGCCCACTGGCCTTTGTTAGATGGATTTTGACCACTTGAAAGGGAAACATACCTCGATCTTCAACAAGTCATCGCGGCCGATGCGCTTGTTGTGCATCTCGTGGTAGGCGTCGTCCGCATCACGGCGGCTCTCGTACTCCACGAAGGCAAACCTGAACAGTCAGCCGCTTGCTGCCTGGGAGTAAGGTATGTGCACTCACAGCCTGCTGGACGCCGAACGCGGGGCTGGAATGTCGCAGCGGACAAGCCGACCGTACCTTGGCGAGGAATGTTAGATAGGGTTGTTACGCAGGTCGTGCGGAAAGGGCGAAGAAGGGAGCTGCGGTCGGTGGTGTGGCCTGCGCGCCGCACGGAGGCCACGGAAAGGGGCCAGGATATCGCGCGACGAGGATCGCTGGGGGACGGCGAGGGGGAGGAGAGGTATGCATGCTCGATGCAGACGATGGAAGACGACGATGGAAACGACGACGATCGGGCAGGGCGAGGCGTTAGGAGACATACCGTTCGAACTCGTAGGCAAGGTCGCGAGCGCGGGTGCCGTGGCCAAAGCCGGTGACGTAGAGCGTGGTGCCGCCGCGAGACATGGTGTCTGGGACTGCGTGTGTGATGGAGAGGCGTTGATTGAGAATCTGCAGTAGACAAGTGGAGCTCCAGCCGGAGTGGTGTTGTGAAGAATGAGTGTGAGGCTGCGGAAGGCGAGAGAAAGCTTTGGCAAACGTAACCGCCAAGCCGCTAGTCTAGTTGCGGCAAGCGCGATAGAGCTGTCGCATTGTCCACCTGGGCAGTACCTAGGTGTATTCCTGGGGACGTCAAGACAGGCCTCCACTTGGTCCCAGTAGGCAGAGACAGCGGTCACATAATGCTAGTCACTGCAGAGAGCTGCCTAAGAGCCTCTACCTAAGAAAAGACTTGCCGTAGTAGATATCCTATGCCTAGACATAGTATACTCGGAGAGGTATATACGCTATAGACAAGAATTAACCTAACGTATGCGTCGATATGCCAAATATGGGTGAAACGATGTGCTTACCAGCAAGGCGATGTTGATGGAACGGGGTCGAAGAAACCTTGGACGCCAGAGAGCGAGGCTCCAGCTTAAGTAAGCGTGCACGTGCCACGACTTCAGTTTCGCGCCTATGAGCGCAGTTTCGAACCTCCAAACAATCGCTGCACTCCCACAACCGCCCCTTTCGCTCCACCCTTTCTCCACGCGCACTCTTTGTCGCAAGGAGCACTGTCTTTGTCGCCTTCCTTTCAGCAACCGAGCGACAAGGAAAACGCGAACGCCGGCGCCCCGTCGCCACTCCCTTTATCCCCCAAACTTTCCTCACCCGAGTCTGCGCACCCTCCCTATCTCACTCCTCACCTCAACCATGTCCGTCGATTTCGCGAACGGCTCGCCTCTGGCGACAGCGCTACAAGACCTCGTCCAGCCAAAGCTCGCTGAGTTCGGATGGACGACGGGCGGCGAAGACACGACGCTCTTCGAGTATATACTCGCGCTGCTTGCGAACGACAAGAACGAAGACCAGGTCGCCTCTGAGCTCTCCAACGATCTCCTCGACCTCGGGCCCGAGAATCTAGAGACACAGCAGTTTGCGCACTGGCTGTTCGAGCAGATCGATCTCCTCCGCCGGCAGCTGAACGGCGGTGACGCAGAGGTCCCAGATGCCCATGGAAACCAGATGGATGGCGACGGCTCGGCGCCCCCACAGGACACCGAGATGGAAGGCGTTTCAGAGCCCTCGCAGGGCAGCATGTATGCTTACACTTCATTATCTCCTTTCACTTCGCCTATTCTGAACGGACACAAGGTCGGCGCTCGCGGGCACCCGATTCCATCAATCGTGTCTTTATTGCGCCTGCCATTCTTGTCATCCGGCCGGAACGGCATTTCCCCGCAGCAACAGAATCTGACAATTCGCAGACCTACCGGACCCAAGGCCATGCGCAACGGCAGCGGCGCCAAGCCAGCCCGCGGTGGTGGTCGCATGCTGAACCAGCTTAACAAGCAGATGAACCGAAACGACGACTCCGCTCTGCATCGTGTTCGAGGCTCGCAGGGCGCTGGCCGAATTAACTCGCACTCGCGAGAGCCTCCGAAGGGGCCTCGTAGCCAGCAGATCGGCCGTGGCCTGGACGCCATGGCAAACGGCAGAGGCATGAGCAACATGAACATGACACACGGCGCCATGCCTGGAATGAACGGCATGAACATGGGCGCGATGCCAGGCATGTCAATGCCACCCATGGGACAAAACGGAATGCCGGGCATGCTCAACCCGCAGCAACAAATGGCCCTCATGCAGATGTACGAGCAGCAAGCCCACATGATGCAGCAAATCTTCTCTGGTCAGACTCCGCAGCCGTTTGTGAATCCCAACTTCCAGCAGGGCAACCGTAATAAGAAGCCTCTCAACGAGCGCATGAATAGGACCTCAGGCCAAGCCAACAGGCTAGGTCTGCCACCGTCGACAAAGTTCACGAAGAAGGAGGGTCAAGACGAGAACATGGCGGATGGACCCGCAGCAGAGAACGGCGACAACATGGAGGTGGAGACGTCGAGGCCGGATCCTTCGACGACCATGTGCAAGTTCAACCTGCGATGTACCAAGCCCGACTGCCCCTTCGTCCATCAGTCGCCAGCCGCCCCTAAGGAGGGAATACCGGTAGACATGAACGATACCTGCAGCTATGGCGCCGCTTGCAAGAACAAGAAGTGCGTCGGCAAGCATCCTTCTCCGGCTCAGCGACATCAATTCCAGGCCGAGCAGGAGTGCTTGTTCTACCCCAACTGTCGCGACCCCGCCAACTGCCCGTACAAGCATCCTACCATGCCAGCTTGCCGCAATGGCGCCGACTGCACGACCCCCGGCTGCAAATTCTGGCATAGCTCCGTCACGTGCAAATTTAACCCGTGCACCAATATCCGCTGCCCGTACAAGCATGCCGAGGGCCAGAAGCGCAATTCGTCCAATGTGTGGGTCGCGCCAAAGGCAGGAGAGGAAGACAAGAAGGAGCATGTCAGCGAGAGGAAGTTCATTGACGAATCACAAGAGGAGGAGCTCATTCTCCCGGACAAGGCTGAGGTTGCAGAGTCAGCAATGTGAGCGAATATGGTTGGTTTAGAGATGGGGAAGCGATATGGATGAAAGAATGGCCGAGTTCATGAGGTGCGGCGACGGCGGCCCTACTGCCTAAGCGCAAGGGTCACAGTATTTGTATTATAGTTGAGGATACCGATGGGGCTCGGCGTTAATGGTTCGGGAGGCATACCTTGGTCTGGCATACTCAGGGGTTGTCAATCTGGAGGGATTTCTTTGAAAATGGGTATTTTGTTTCTGCGGCCTGCGGGCTGCTCTTCTCCTTAGATTCTGCTTCTCTGCTCTGATGTGTGATGCTTGTTATGGTCTGTCCTAGCCTTCGGTCGTGTCTCCGTCGTGGGCCGGGGCACGTGCGGGGGTCCGGTGGGTCGACGAAGGCCCGAGCGCGCACTCCCCGAAACTCCAATCTATGTTCACGTCACCACTCGCGCTCATGGCCAGCAGTCTGCAAGCTACATCGACCCTCCACACACGGCAATGCGGCTCAAGAGACATGTCCCGCTCCTCAAGTCAACACTGAAGCACGTCGCCGCCCGCCCGCTCGTCTCGTCGCTCTTCGCCCGCACCCGCTGCCGCTATGCCTCGTCCTCCACTGCATACCCTGAAAATATCGCGGTGCTCGGCGGCGGTGTCTCGGGTCTCGCCAGCGCGTATTTTGTGTCGCAGAGCTTCCCGGACAGCAAGATAACCATCTACGAGGCCGAGAAGGAGACGGGTGGCTGGATAAAGTCCAGGAGAGTGGATGTGCCTGGCGGCAATGTGCTGTTTGAATACGGCCCGCGGACATTGAGGCCGGGAGCTGCTTGCTTGCCCACGGCGCAATTGGTGCATTTGACACCTTTTCAATTGCATCCGCCGCTAATGCGCCATAGATCCAAGAGCTCGATCTTGTACAGGACGTTATATACACCAAACGCACTGCTCCTGGCGCCGCGAACCGCTTCATCTACTATCCCGACCGCCTCAACCGACTGCCGTCCGCTACCGGGCCCCCTACATTTTCCGAAATCCTTAACCTTGCGCGAAGTGGCATATTAGCGGGTGCGCTACAGGCATTCTTCGAGCCATGGAACCCGAGTCGACCATCAACCATGCCAGACGAGTCGATTGGCTCCTTCTTATCACGGCGATTCGATAAGAGGTTGGCAAACAACATTGCCTCTGCGGTTATGCATGGCATCTACGCGGGAGACATCTGGCAGCTCAGCGCCAAGACACTCCTTTCGCAGGCGTGGCAACTTGAGGGCAGGTATGGGAACGTAATTGGGGGAATGTTCCGAATGAATCAAGAGGTTCAGGGGCCGGAACAGATCGTGCTGTGGCATCCGTATGATCTCGACACCCTGAAGATGATGAGGGACGAGATCAGGCTGGACGGGAAATTGCTAGCACAACTCGGGGATGCTAGTATGTTTACATTCAGGAACGGGCTGCAAACACTAGTCAAGGCACTGCAGCGGAACCTCGAAGGCAATCCGCAGGTAGAGATAAGGCTGGGCAGCGTGCGAGATTACAAGATGGCCGGGGGACAGCGAGTCGAAGTCGTCACTGGCGTATGCCTCCCCTTGTCACCTTTTAGGTATGGAAGCTAACTAGCTCGGCCAGACTGAGGAATCACAGACGACAGAGACTTTTGACCTCGTCATCTCCACTCTTCGCAAAACAGCTCTTACAGACTACGTCACCGTCATGACTGTCAACCTCTACTTCCCCACGCCCGGCCTCCTCCCCGTCCAAGGTTTCGGTTACCTCATCCCACAAAGCGTTCCATTCGAACAGAACCCGGAGCGCGCTCTAGGTGTCATCTTCGACTCTGACGCCATAACCGGCCAGGACACTGCGCCCGGCACCAAGCTCACCGTCATGCTAGGTGGTCACTGGTGGAATGGCTGGGAGCACTTCCCCGACCATGAGGAGGGCGTCGAACTCGCCAAGTCTGTCATCCGTCGGCATCTTGGTATACAAGAAGAGCCTATCGAATGCCATACAAACCTGTCGCGCGACTGTATTCCGCAGTACACGGTCGGCTATGACGAGCGATTGAGAGCTTATGCAACCGTGCTGGACTCTCAGTACAAAGGCAGGGTGAGGGTGGTCGGAAACCAGTATCATGGCGTGGGCGTCAACGATTGCATTAGGGCAGCCTGGCTGACGGCGAGGAGTTTGGAGGGCAATGGGTGGAAAGAGAAGGGCACGGGCCTAGAGAGGGCTATGGATGACCGGAGTTGGGTCACTGCGCCGTTGAGGCAGACCTATCGGAAAGAAGACGTCCCCGCGCTGTAGTATATTTGTATGCATGCAAAAGCGGATTGCGGGAATAACGTTTAGAAAATGTACAACATTCGACTGACAGGCCGTTGGCCCTACTGCTGTTGCACGCTGACCGGTACGGTGGAACGAGCACCATCTCCTGCAGCACCAGGAGAAATTCAGGGTCTCATGACAGCTCTGTTCCACAGCCATAGGGCGATGGGGTTGGAAAACGTGCTACCGCACAGGTATGTGCTGTCCCCGTACCATCGTCGGAGCTTATGGCGTCATTCCGCGTTAGATGGCTATCAGCGAGAATGAGCCCAACCAGCAGCCATTCGCTCTTTGATGCCTACGGCATCGTTCGTCTTCGCTGTGGGCTTGTAGTTACCGCTCGACCTCTCTCATTGCCCTTACAACCCAAGCGATGCGTCTGCCAACCGTCTTCCTCGTTGCTCTCGTAGGCGGAGCGGCAAACGCTCAGACGAACGCTGTAACAGACAGCGCGTCCGAACTTATCTACCTCTCTTCGAGTGCTACCATGACCTCGTCGGCGACTGGGAGGCCTTTATCTCCAACATGCGGAATCGTAAGCCTTGCTTCCTTCTTCACTACTCGCATCCACTAACCATGCCTCACAGGAACGCTGCATACCCGGTGGTCTCTTCTTCGGTTGCACCGTGTCAGACTTTCCCTGTATTTGCACGAAGGAACGCCGCTTCGTCGACGACTACATCAACCTAGTGTCACCTTGTATCAAGGATCAACATGGCTGTACGCCTGGAGGCATTTATAGTAAGTTTCAATACTCAAGGAATATGGGCAGTGAATGATGGTGTGCTAATGGCGACAGCTTTCATGGATGCGTTCCAGTATATCTGCGCGTATTGGGGGAACCCGCTTACGAGCTTGCCGAGCGATATTGAGACATGGCTGATGAGTAGGTATGCGACTATGCCGGCTTCGACGCATACGGCCGTGGCTTCTACGATCGTATCCATAACAGCAAGCGAAGGACGGCCGTCCACTGTATTTCCACTTCCTTCCAGCGCACCGCCGACCGCTACAAGCACGGGCACCTACCCCTTGTCTTCCTCTCGCCTCTCTACGGGAGCGAAGATTGGTATTTCACTAGGCTCGGTCTGCGCAGCTAGCTTGCTAGTCGGCATACTAGCGGTGGCGTATAAGCGACGGAAGGCTGGACCGCGGTTTGACGATCAGACGCCCGACATAGGGAATGCTGAAGCGCATCAGCCTGCCATGCGGGATAGTATTCCAGTGTCGGAACTTGAAGGAAGTGCAGGGGTGTATAAGGACGACGTGGAAAAGGAGAAGGAGAAGGCGACTCGTCAGAGTGTTCCCGTGTCAGAACTTGAGGGGGATGTTGGGTTCGAGAGGGCAGCGGTGTAAGATGGTGGAACAACGGGATACATAGGCTTACGCATGAGAGGCTGGTTGAGTAAGTTAATCACAGGGTGGCTTGAGTGCGTATACTGAAATGCTCCAGGCCTGATTTGGACCACGTTGTCGCGCATACCAACGCGGCACAGGCGACAGCATGCCCGAAAACAAACTTGCTTTGTTAGCGGCCGAACATTCTTCTGTTATTTTTCTCGCGGTAGCTGGCTTTTCTCTTACCGCCAACTAGTCAACATCGCTATGGTCATCCGAACGGTTTCATTCCATCGTCAGTCACGGAGGGCTACGGCTGCAGAGAGCTCAGGCACCCCGATAGCTAGCGTAAAGCCTCGTGAAGGCGGACCTCTGCAACAAACGCAAGATCCTTCAGACTCTGGTTCCGTTATCGTCACAGAAATTGATTCCACGACGGCGACGGTCATTGTGGACCCGGGAGAAACGACGAACGGTGGAGGAAGCCCAATTTGGGTCACGACTACATCTCCCGCCCTCACGGTTCCATCTTTTACTAGCTCTCCTTCTTTTCCCACCCCACAGAGCTCGAACACTTACGCATCGGCTCTGCCTTCTTCTTTTCTTACTAGCGCTTCTCCCTCTCCCGCTTCTGAGCGAGCGAGCGCGACACCAACCGTTCCGCCGAAACACTCAAACCCCTCCAAGAAAACACTCACGGGCCTTGCCGTCGGGCTTTCCATCGTCCTCGTCCTCGTCGCTTTTCTCTGCGCTTTCCTCTATAGGATCCGCAAGCAGAAGAAGAGAAAGGCTCGCGAGATCGCGTTCTTGAGCGATCAGTTGCATCGTGAAGATGGCATCGCACATAGGATAGCGGAGTTGACGGCGGACACCGAGGTGTGTGAGCTGGAGGGTAGTCCGGTGTCTAAGGAGAAATGATCAGGTGGGGAGCGGGTAGAGGGCTACTGGTGGTGTTTGTAGTGCGACAGGTACGGTCACTCTTTTTACTTCCACACCGCCGCTGGGGTTCCTTTCTGTGCCTCCTTACAATCCCTCTTGGAGACCTTCGAGCCTCTTCACGTCTTCCCAACGCCGCTGAAGAGGACCTGAAGGATCCCAGCCCTCCTGTTGCAGTTCCCGCTCCTGGGCCCTCTTTCTCGAGAGCCACTCTGCTTTGGCACCACAACCGGGCCCAAAGGCCCGCAAGGCCAGCGAGGCACCATGGCGAGTTGGCTTCGCCAGTCCCTCCTGCGCCTTGTGCGGCGGGCCAAACTCTCCTGTCGATATTCTAGACGTCGAAAAAGACCCGGGAACTTTCATGAACAAGGTTGGAGGTCGCTCGAGGCTGCATTCGACCGATTTCTATCAGAGCCGTTTACCGGACGACCGAATGGCACTTTCCCCTAGAATCAAACAATGGGGATCTTTGTTTGAGCATTGCCGGCATCGTACTTCTTGGAATATGCGCCTCCTTACGGAGGGTGACGGTCAGGGGTCGGATATGGGATCGTGACTTGGGGCGGTGATCGCAAGGATGGGAACTGAGATTCGGTTTTCCAGAAGCCCATATAATGGGGTTGGGTCGGAAATCGATATCAGTGGGTGAGGGTAAAGTGTTCCTAACGTCGCCTGACCGATGTTGGCTTATACAAGTCAATACTCAGGCTGTACATTCACGGGTCAATCATTCATGAGCTCACATACGGGAATTGTAAACCCCTTTGAGCGTAGGGAGAAGTACAAACGCATAGCTATCCTCAAGCGTTACCACCTCGTCACCTCGGCTAGCCGTTTCCTCCACCTAAAGCCACTTCAACCCAACCACTTCTGCGATCTGACGTAGCACCATCACAATCACCATGCAGGGCCGTCAAATATATCGACGCCCTATATGAGATTGGCGCACATCGCAAAGTGCAGCCGATCGACGTGGTTCATTCCGAGGATGCAACGTCGGCTGCCAACGCCTATAGTCTCTGCTCGGCCAGAAATACTTCTTGCCCCTTACACTGCTTGGTCGTTCGTTGCTATTTCTGCTGGAAGTACGAGAGCTCGGATTTCCTGTTCTCTTTTGTGCATAGGGTCGAGAGATGAGAGGACATGTCGCCAACTACTGCGACTCAAGCAAACAGTCCCAGCACGGCTGTCGTTGCGTCGCAGCTGCTGCAGTTTACTTTCGTTGCTGGTCTTTCCGCGGGATCGCAATCAAGAGAAGGGCTTGACACAGTTGTGGTGAGTGATGAGTGATTGAGCACGAGAGTAGATGTTGATTTGGAGTAGGACCATGATACATCGCGCAGCTCAGTCGAAGATGCTGCTCTTCGAAAAAGGGCATGCCGAGGCACGCGAAACTCGCAACCCCGAAGTAAGTGGTTCCTCCGGCATTTTTACATCCTGTAAGCTAATAAATGCCAGAGGTGACATTTCAATCTCGCCGCGAGCGCCGTTTGCGACGCCCGACACGAAATCTCGAACCAGTACCTGCAATCTCTCTAGGCTCAACTCAAGGCGCCCCTGTTTCTTCGTCGCCCGAATTATCGCTCTCTTCAAATGAATCGAAGCCGCTTCGAGATACACAAGTCCTTGTGGTAGTCATCAGCGTGCTTCTGGGCTTAATCGCCCTGGTTCTGCTGTTCGTACTAGCACAAAGAAGGTGCAAGAGCCGTAAGAAGCCTGGAGGTGTGGAGGACTTGCAGCTGCGTCAGTTCGAACTATCGTTCTCGACCATTCCCGACATAGGTGGATCTACCCATTCAGTGACACGCCCTGAGCCTGTGGCGAAACCGAATTTTTGGGTACGTAGGTCGCAGTACACAATCTGGCATGTCTCGGTTCTTACCTGCGGAAACTCCTCCCTAGAGGCTTTCAGCAAGTAAGACAAAAGACAAGCTGGATATTTAACACTCCTCATACCCCAACCCGGCTCCTTGTGGCTAGAGACATCTGCTAAGTGTGCCGCCATCCTCGCAGGTCAACTCACCGTATTCAGCAGCAACCAAAGTCGAGTCGAAAGAGGAGCAAGCCAAGCGCCATGGACGGGTCTTTGGTTCATCAGATGTTTTGGATGCTGAAGGGAGTGGGAATCCGGGTCCTCGAAGACAGCCTTGCGCAGGAAATGGGGACCCCACCCTTCACCATACCGCTGTAGAGCGACCGCCAACAGCTCCGGTATGATATACTTTCTACTACTAGATAGAAAATTCACACAGAAATGTTCAAACATGAGTGCGAACCAAAATATTGCATCACCAGTTTCGCCACCAAACATGCGTGTCTTGTTTATTTTGGTCTAAAAATATTGCAGAGAACATGTTCTCAGCCGTGCACTGCTCGTTTCCCAAGTTACAATCGAGTGCACAAGAAACAGGGTCCTATAACACAACAGGACCGCCGTGACACAAATCCGCAGTGTGCTGACGACGCCTTTCCTGTTGTGCAAACCCGTGCGTTGCACCACCAGGTTCGAGGGGTCGACAAACAAATGTATCTAGAGAAACTGTATATGTTGATTCCGCGAAACATTACATAGAAAGAGCAGCTGCGCACCTCCTTTCAGGAACCCAGAACTACTCCCGCCAGAACGACCGCGAGCCCACCCTAATCGACTCATCATGTCTCTAAGCTATGATGGCTGCACCGTAAGTGCGAGCGCTACCTAGGTCTACTTCCTTAATTCTCAAAGCCTGACTAACCGGACCGTACCTTACAGAAAAGATACCTCTCAGATGGAAATATCAGCGCCGCTCCTGACCAATACTGCAAGTACATCCAATATGACTATATGTGCAAGTACCCCTTTGTCCGGCGTCTCCTGGGCACTGATAGCAATGCACCTTGAGCCTGTGTTGTGAAAGAGTGCAACCTTTCTGCTCGCTCCCATTGGTTATCCCCTACGAAAATCGCCCATGGTTACACTAAGCATATCCAGGTTTTGTCTCCGAAGCCCCGAAGACCTCTTCTCCGTACAACGTCGATATCTATACAATCTTCGGGCCTGAAAATCCACGAAGATCCATTCTTGAGCTCGAAACCACAGCCGCCACGACGCCGTCGTATTCAACGAATGACCCTTCAGCACCGCTTTCGACAAAGCCGACGATCGATTCTAGTATCCTCTTCGTACCAACTTCGCAAATAGTTCTGGCGGACACGTTCATTCCTTCAACAGATGACACCATAGAGCGATCGGGGTCGAATGTTAACGGGTTCTTCGCTATTATTGGCCTGGGTGTGGTTGCTGGGGCTCTACTCGTCATTGTCGCGCTGCTTTCCTGCCTCTTGTATGCACGACGAAGGGCCGAGCAGGTCGCAGTTGAGGACCCGCCGGAACGTGTCACGTCGTCGATTCAGGGAACAGAACTGGAGGTGGTTGCCCCGCACACCAACGAGGGCGCTCGAAAGCCTGGGGAGATGTTCCGGTATTGCTGAGGTGGGGGTTGGATTTTATGGCAGGAATACATTCGAGAGAGGTTGAAGCGAGGCAGTGATGGTACTGTCGCTTGTGGCACGCACAAGCTCACTTGAACCGAATACCATTTGCTGGGCAGATTTTTCAGCACCACTACTGTGAGGGGAACAGTTCAGCTCTGAAATCGTCGTCCATCGCTTTCGCTGATTGATAGTGCTACGAGACTTCAATCTTGATGCAGATGGACTCTATCCCGTGCAACCTAGCAAGAGAGGGGTCGCGTGGGCCTCCACCCTTAACACTCAATGTCTAACGCCACTGATCAGCCGTGCTCCTCTAAACAGTTCGCCGTAATTACGCAACTGAGGCTACGGCATGTCGCAAAATGTGGCGCTGAAGGCGCCGTGACACATTATACAGCATTCTGAGAACAACGATTGGTTCTTACATATACGCGCCCGGATAGTTGCAGAAAACCGTTGGTGGGACGCGCTCAACGGATGACACTATATGTTGCAAGCCCTGAGTTCTTTGCAACGAGAGGATTCCTTTCCCAGCGCCCTCTCGCTTCTCGGCTATTCTCGAGTTCATCGGTGTCTTCAGATCTCGAGAAACTACTACATCATGTCACTGGACTACGATGATTGTATGGCACGTAAAATTGCTCCATCTTCCATGAAATTTTGACCAATGGTTTTAGACGTTATGCTTTTCAGACGCTGCCTGGGGGGGGGCGATTCCGCATCATGTCAACTGACATACTATGAGTGCGGTTGCAACGATCTCTTGCATTACGACGAATGCATAGCCGCAAGGTGCAAGACGGCTGCCCGGTCGCGTAAGTCATTAGCCAATATTCCTTGCCACAAACTGAGTCTTCGCACAGAGTTCGTTGGCGAGGTCTCTGCGGTATGCCAGTCAATTTGGACAGAAGATATACACACAATCATGAGTACGAATGATCCGCTGTACGGATACCTCGTAGCTTCTACCACACCGAGCTCAACCACTCGGCTCGCCATAGATACAAGCGAAGTTACGTCCGACTTCGCACGAACGACAATTTTTGTGTCATTGATCCCTGTCCAAACCCTCTCCTCTACTTTCAAAACCACGACCGCGGAAATATTCTCATCCTCATCTTCGACGTCAGTACCAGCGCCCACTACTACACCCGGCGCTACACACAGCAGTTCAGGGCTAGACACCGAAGTAAAAGGCGCAATCATCGGCGCATGCGCAGGAGCCGGCGTCCTCTTGGGCGGAATCATCATCTTACTCCTCTATCTCCGCTCGAAGCGACGCAAAAGCAGGACTGGAACAAATGGCCAAGAGCAGTCTCAAGGTACTGGCCCGGAAAGCGAGGAGAAGATATCATATCGACATGTTGAAGGAGTTTCTGAACTGGAATCGCCACTTTACCCCATGCACGCGGATTCGGGAAATGGTCCCATCAACGCCGTCGTTTCTGAATTGGAGTCTCCCCTCCACTCACCTGACCAGGGTGGAGCGTTGCAACCTCAGGCTCCCACGGAACTTCCGGCTATTCAAGATTCAGTTGAGACAGAGGATCGTGCAGGTGACAAGAAGTGAAATGCGAACAATATTTCATGAGGACGGCTTTCATTTTGGGAGAATGAATTGGAGCCTTTGATTTCGTTAGTGAAGGCCATACATGAAACTCCGCCGCTACATTCATTTCCAACATCATTTCTTTCTTTATTCAATGTAATGTATCGCATTCATTTTCATCCGCGTCGGCAGGCCGAGACTAAAAACGCGAACATCTCGTGGCGATGCCAGCCAAGGACCACATCATAATCTCTATCAAAGCTGCTACCAACGACGAAGCCGCAGCACTTACTTCTCGTTTGCCCTCCAAAAATTTTCGTCGACTCCCATCAGCCGTTTCAAAATACTTCAATAGCGTCTCTCATTCCTTCACACATGCATCATCCACTTCAATCCACGCTTCTCCCTCCTTTCACAAAACATGAGCACATTAGGCTCTCCAAAGTGCGCGGTGCGTCCATCCCCAATCTTGCCTAATTCAAGCTCTCGCAGTAACTCCTGCACGCCAACACCGCCCTCTGGCACGGCTGCCCGCACTACTCCTGCTCCTGCTCCTGCTGGGCAGTGACTTGGAAGCGGGAACTCACAGACAAAGATATATCAAGCGCATGCTCCAAAGGTAGCGCGTGGCTCTAGCTAGGTAAACAGTATTCTGGAGGCTTCCAACCTGCTATCTATCGCGCAAGCAAGAAAGTAACCTTGGAGACATTTCGTCCAACCTCCTCCACAGAAACCCCCTCACACGCCTGGCAAGCCTCATCGTCAGCCTCGCCGTCCCGAGCCCAGTTCCGCCTTATCCATACCAATTCCAGAGCCTTGCAAGACGCGAAGAAGGGAAAGTAGATAGCCACTAGCCCTCAAATGCGAGATGAGCCTATTATCTGCCGCCCCACGAATTTCTCACTCGGCGCCACTGTCGTACAAGCACAAGCTTAAGCGCCAGCCTCGCCGGTGCCATTCACAACTCAACGCGCCTTTAGAAGATATCCCGACGCAGAAGCCCTTATTAATCCTATTAATGTTCCCTACTGTAAGAACCACCGATTTACCCAAAGTTGTGGAGCGGATTTCGCACTACTAGTTAGGTAGAGGGCGCCAGCTCATCTGTCCCACCAGTCCCGAAGACCGCGCGATTCCATCTCGAACACGATATTGTTGAATGGAACGGCTTCATGTGATGTATATACACCAACTACGCATACAAATGTATATTTTCTACAACAACTACAGATACAAGTGCATATAATCTACACCAACTCGCGGAGGCCCTTTATCCAGAAAAGCTTGTGGAAGTAACTAATATTATCAGTTCGTACATGGATAACCGGGGCAGCCCCAAATGGTACTATCGCAACAGAATGCTGAGCTGCCAACAGTGCGGCATATGTTTGGCTCCTGGCACTCGCTGTCGCGGGTGCATGTTTGGCCGGCGGCGATTTTTGCCTGTTGCGTTTTGGGTGGTGTAGTGTCTTGCGAGGGGGGAGGAGACGCTTCCGTACTTCCTGGGACAGAAGTAGTCCTGGTAGCAGGTTGCAGGCTCGTTGTCGGAAAAGGAGTTTCTTTCGGAGTAGATAAATCGATGAGGGTAGAGAGAGTAGAGACGATGCCCGTCGACAAAGCGTCAATGAAGCTGAGCGGGAAAGTCTGCCAGGGTTCATTATATTAGCCATGAACGAAGACGGTGAGCAAGGAGCTTACAGAGCTTGTTAAGGCAGTGCCCGCGGAACTGTCCTTGCTCGACTCGGATCGTTGCGTGAGGACGACTGTGGGCACAATTGCGGCAGCTGCTATGAGAAGAATACCGACAACAGCGAGACAGACCCACAATCTCCGCCTTCTGGTCTCAGGACTGCCAGTGGCTCGTACGACGGTAGATGGAAGTCGATCCGGTTCGCGCTCCTCTGGACGGCTAGGGATAGCACGGTTCTCGACAAAAATGATTGAGTGCGTTAACGTTACTCCACTCGACAAACTATTAGTCGTGGAAAACAGACTTCTGTTGAGATTGGTCTGCTGCAGGGTGCTCGACTCCTTGGTTTCGACGTTTTGCTCCGTGTTGTTTGAGTCCGTGTTGTTCGAACGAGAGTTCGCGGCGTTCATGGACGATTGAGACCCGCTGAGGTCACAGCCGAGTATAAGGTCTCGTAGGGGTCGCCCGTCTGTCGAAGCCATCTTTGCCAGAGAGAAATCGCCTTATAAAGGCAAGTGTCCGAGAAATGCTCCGAGAGGGTATTCAAATATCCGAAGGCTGTGAAGGTCAACGACCCCAATCGCTGGAACCACTTGCCTGGGCCCCAAAACTCCTGCAAACGTTGAATATCGCTCGACACGTTGAATCCTTAAAGAGAGCCCCTGAGTGCCTCCAAATAACGGTGGTACCCCCACGAACATGAGCATGCTCGGCACTCTGCTGGAGCGGCATACTGCCAGCCTCATTTATGAGGGGCTCAATCTCGTAAAAGGCCTCGCTGTGGGCCTGAAATCTCCAAGGCAAGATTTTGGAAACTTTATTTGGCGGCTCTTTGCCCTTGCTGACCTGGTAGCGTTGACCGGAATTGTCCCTGGGCTGATTTCCAAGGCAACATGCACGAGCCTGTATGCTGTGTGACATTGGTGGAGCACCACACCGCCTAAACCCGACACCAATCGGCGCGTAATAAGGCAGACAGAGATACGTACGGCGTACAGGCAGCCAGCCACAGAGACTTGCTTTATTACCATGGCTGCTTCAAACGTCTTTTCAGCCCTCTTTCATACCCCTTTATCGCGGTATGGAAGCGGGGCATGGAAAGTGTCGGCACAGTCGCAGCTATCAGTCAACTGATTATCTACAGCGGCTCTGCAGTCCAGGTCATCGCCAAGCTTTATGAAGCGGTTCGAGAGGGCCCAGCCGCCGTCCGAGAATACGAGTCGAATATAAGCCACCTGCTTAACATCATCGAACGAATCCAAGCGGAAGAACCAGCTGCACAGCAGCAGTACCGGCAGCCCGAGCACATTGCAGCGCTAATACTTGAGCTTACCGAAATCGCCCAGTCAGCCCTATCGTATATCTCGCGTACCCAAAAACAAGGTTTCCTTGGAATCCGCTGGGGGTCAATCGGGGTCAGTCCTGCGCTGTCCAAAACCTTTAAGACGTTGCGGGTGAAGACCGGAATCCTACATCTGGCTCTTTCTCAAGAGATGCTCGCAAACTCCAATCGAACCCAGAGCGAAATCATTCATACAATACAAGAGAAGACAATGGCAGCCCGAAACTTCGTAAACGGTTCCGGCCGTAGCGGTACTTGCAGGGTAAGCAATAATTGTGACTCCTCTTTTAAGCGTACTCACTAACCCCATATTAGCGGCAGATCAGGCTCACCTTTGGAGAAGTAGCGCAGTCATCGAGGGCAGTGGTCGGCACTGGATGGGGCCAGAATGGTTCGGAAGATGCCGACGTGACAGTAAATGGGCCCATTATTGGTGAGGGAGCGAAGGTCATAGCTTTCACGGCGGAGCAGGCGGACTCAGAGGCTGTTCGAATAATGATGAGAGGCGAAGCCACGGTGAGGGAGAACCACAGCCGGAGTGAAACTCAGTCAATGCACTCGACGGCCCGCGAGGAGATCACCGAAAGCGAAACGCAGTCGCCGTATTTTACAATCAGAGTTGACGACACCCAAAGCGGAGAACAACCAACAGATTCAGACGCACGAGAGGGCGACGACCGGAACGAAACGCAATTCGCTTCTATTACGGCTAGTGGTGATGATAGCGAAGTCGGGGCACAACTGGAAAATGTAGCCATACGGGAGGACAATGGCTGGAACGAACAGAGCCGAGAGCGAGCTGGCGGAAGAGGGAAACAAGGTCAACTTGTTATGGAGCGTAGTGAGAGGACGGAAACACTGGAAATCTATCAGAGATATAATCAAGAGGATGGAGCTTGAAATGTTCGGTAATCTTCTCAAAGGAGAATGCTGAATACGCTAGGGAAATTTGCTCATGGGCGGCGTTTCATCTTCTCGATGCCTGTATTACTCTTTTTCCTGGGTTCGCTCATTGCGGGGCACTGGTAATTTCTCGGGGTATACTGCTATCCGATTGAACAAGACGGAAGGCACTGGTTAGAAATTGGAGCGTTTACAGGGAAGATCATGTGCGTGCGTTGAAGGCCAAAGGCTGGGTAAAACTTTCGTGGGTCCGGAACGATGAGGGCTCAATAATTTGCGTTAGTAACGCACAAGGTGACTATGTAGTAATTTTACGGGGTTGTTAAATTACGATTAAAGAAACCAAGGGTCCCGTGTCATCCTCGTTTCCTCCCAAGGGAGGAGAAGGTTCCACCGTGTGCCCATCCGTTTTGCCATACGACTACGGGGATGAAGAGGGCGAGAACGAGGCGAGGATGAGAATAGAGGAGAAGAGACAACTGAATACAAGCCTTATCGTATAGGCCTTAGTCTAGAGTCCAACAGAGATACGCTTCTGGCAATAAACGTGCATACTATAGCTAGAGTAAAATAATCTATAGTAACTCGCGTACAAGAATAATATAGATTTAGTATGTTTATATTTTACTATAAGATTATTAAATAGAGATCTTACTATCTACATATAATAAAGAACTAAGCTAAAGGTAAGACTATTTACTTTGATAGATAGTAATAGGTTCACGTTACCTAGCCTTGTAACATTTGTGGCGTACTGCATTTTCTTTCCCTTGGTTCCCCGCTCCCATCCCGCTCGCTCAAGAGAAGCTTTATCACTCCTTCCGTTCCGTCTCTTCCACGCAACGCAACATCATCCACCCACCAACCTACCAGTAACCCCACCCACCATGTCCCAACCCCAAACTTCCCATTTCCGCGCAACTAGCACCTCGCCCTCTAGCTCCAGCGCCCCTCACTCTCCGCCAAACCCTCCCCCAGCCTTCCCCACGAGCGCAGCTATCGGCCTCGCAATCAGCGTGCCCATCCTCGTATTCCTCTACGCGGGATACATGCTGTACAAGGAGCGTAAACACCCCGTTATCTCGCCGCCGAACTCGAACATCCCGGGCAAAGAGAAAGACAAAGTCGAAGTCGCCGAGATGGAGGGAAGCAGCGCGCCACAACAGACGGGGGAACTAGAAGCCCCGAACAGCACGCTGCCGTGGGGGAAAGGGAAGAATGGAAGGACTGCTGGACGGCAGCATGACGATGATCTGCCGGAACTCGTTGTTGTGTGAAGTAGGAATTGGAAGAGAGTGAAAGGCAAGGGTGGGCGCGGATTGGAGCCTGAGTCGGAGGCGTGTGCGTCCGCGTCCGCGTCTACGTCAAGTCAATCTCGAGTCCCATTCACCGTGAACCCCAATACGGATTAAGATTAGCCAACACAGCCTCGGCGGCAACGAACCCTTCCTCCCACGACCTCTCCACGCCGAGGCCTCAAATCCCAAACCTTCGTCACCTCCACCCTCTCTCCTCAAACTCCCACATCCCACCGCCCTACCTCAGCAATGGCACCGCACGCCGCGCACTCGCCCTACGACGCCGCACCGGGCCTCTTCGTCGAGCCGCCCCCGCCACCAAGCGAGGCCCCGCCTTCCAAACCTTCGTCCACAGGCCCAGCAAACCCCACCCAAGTCGCGCAGACCGATGCTCAGGCTACAGCCGCGCCTCTCTTCCCGGCTACCGACGGGATCAAGGTAGCGCTGGAGAGTATCAGCGTTGTGCTACTGCTCTTCTGCTTTCTGTACTATGCGAAAGGTACGTTGGGGGAGTGTCCGTGAAGGGACGAGATGAGAGATGCGTATGCTGACGTCCATGGAATAATAGGGAAGAAGCAAAAAGGCCGGTTCTAGTGACGTTCGGGCCATAGCCGCGGGAGGAACTCACGAGCGTCGGCATGGATTAGGGCAAGGCGGGCGAATCTGGGGGGCACCGGGCTGGGATCGAAAGGACGTTTACAGGAAGAGTCACCCGGGACGAGTCTGTTGCGTCCATCGTTGCGAAAACAAAAAGGAAACTAGGCAGGAAAGGGGAAAAGGGTCTTAGACCTGAGATGAGCCTTTTCTGGCTAAGTCTGTAGGAGCTTCATGCTGTATCTGGAAACCTGCCGCAGGAATCAGATTCCGCTCCTACTATCCATGCCACCCCTAAATGCCGAATGTGAGACGTATCCAGCAGAACCTCCGGTCTCGTTTCTACTGAATATAGTTACTGAAGCTTATGAAAAGCCGGTTGGCTGACACCCTCGCGTGGCCCATAAGCGGGTGTGTTGGAGCCCTTCACTTATGTCTCCAGCGGCTCAACGTCGGAATCCATCAATCGCTCCGGACAATTCCAACCCTTAACCACAGTAAAAGTATTCTCCCTCGCGGCCCCTTGAATCGCGTTATACATATTGATTACTTTGTGGAACTCTGGCACGCGATTGGATACTAGGTTCGGGTTTTGCGCGCCATAGAGGGAAAGCACCGTCATCTGCTTGAGGTTCTCCTCCTGGCTCTGCTGCGAAAACGAATTTAACACAGCCGAGTCCAAGTTGTAGGCTTCCTCCCATTCGTAAGTCTTCCAGAACGGTCCGTAGCGCGCATAGCCATGGACGGCGACGGCCCGTGCGACGGCGGCGATGATGTCATGCAGAGAGGGATAGCCCTTGATGATAATGTTGTCCCCGTCGTATATGGCGTCTGAGCCGCCGTGGTTGTCTGCAGGCAAAGCGACGACGTGGCGCACCCATTTGCGCATGCCGACGGGGATGCGGGCGAAGTACTCGGCTGTGACGTTTCGCCTTTGCCCATTAGCATATGCTCTGTGCCTCGGATGGCACATCTGTGAAACTTACTGGAAGGGAGCGGTCTTGTGTTGGCACATCATCCACGGACGATCGCACTGTCATTGTCAGCCTAACGCCGTCGGGTTTCCAGAACATGGTAACATACATCCTCGTACATGACGTCGAACATGTCGATATACTTCAGGCTGTGATTCTCCTTCAAGAATATGTCCTTACAGTACGTGCTGACGAAGCAACCGTTCGGCTTCCCCAGATCACAGGCCCACGGGGTGATCTCGGGCTTCGCGTACATGAGCTGCCGAAGGAGGTACTCATCGAGGTTCGTCACCGGGGGGTTGACGGTAGGCTTGTCAAGGAGAGTGGCAGCAGCACCAGCGCGTGCAATGGCATGGGAAGGCGCACCCATGGCAGGTGTGGCGATGGCCGCGATGACGGCCGCGAGGGCTTTGGCGATGGGCACCATGATGTAGAGTGAGCGTGGTCCTTGGGATTGTGTCGTGGAGTTGCCTTGGAGCGTCGCCGTGGAGCGTGATCTGGAGGGGAAAAGAAGGCTGGGAGAAGAGAATGTTTCGTTGAGAAGAGATTTTCGGGCGCGGGCATAGCGGTGGTGGAAGTCACGACCGAGAGTTCCTTCCGTCACCGCTCGAGACCTACGTCACTTCGCTGAATCGGGTCCTGTAATTGTCCGATCGTAAACAGTCGATGACCGGGGAAACATGTCGCCCTGCCACTCCCCTTCAATTCCATCGCGAAGCCCTTTGGAAGAGGCGACAGCCTCAGGCAATACCAGCCTAATTTTGCACCTCTATTTTTCAAGCCCGAACATTCCACTAGACCATTATCCAGATAAACCCTTCTCCTCTATGCTCCTCCCTCACCCATAATTGAACGGATTTCTGCAAAGTGGGCACGAGCTACTCCCACTCGTCCTAAACCACTTGAACAGACATGTCCCATGAAACAAATTCTTACAAGTCTGACACCTCTTATCCGGCAGCTTCCTGTCGCTGCCCACGATGCTGTAGCAAATAGCGCATTCGGTCTGTCCCTTCATCGCACCATCGACGTTGCGCTTGAACGTCGTCAGGGCGTCAATCAAGCTGCCGTTGAAGATGGTAATGGCGCCAAGTGAGGTGCGCATCCAGGACTGCCACTTCTGCTCGTTGACTGCGACGCGGTTGATGCCCTCAATGCGGGCGTTGGCCAATGGGAACGCGGGAGGGAGCGAGATGCGCATTGCCATGGTTTGCTCGTCGACGGTGTAGGAGGCGGTGATTTCTTGTGCGCGTGGAGCGACTTTGATACTGAATGGCGCGTCAGGCTCGGCGACGGCTTGCGCGTCGCCCCATTCCTGCACGGACTGGAGGGCCGCCGCAATGACCGGCGGCGATATCTGGGAGAGCGTTAGTGATGTCTAAAGAGGTGGATAGGCGGGCTTACGAATTTCTCTGTCCATGGCTCCAGAGTGACTACAATCGGACGCGACTTGCAGTCGATGTACCAAGACTTGGTAAGTGACGGGACATGGCGCAGGCAAAGGTAGTATAGATGAGTAAGCAGCCATTGCGCGTCTCGCTTGGGAGGTTCCATATCCGGTATGTAACTGGTAATGTCTAGCTTGGACACATCCACCGGCCTGTTGTGCGCATGACCCAGAAAGTCGAATGTGAAGTCGAGCAGGCCGGAAAGATATTCCCCTTCTTTGATATGCTCGACGTAATCGTTCTTGACTTTGAAAGACTGTGCAGTCATTAGCAAATGAAGAGGAGGGCGATTCATAGTCAACTTACGGCGTGTTCCAGGTGATCGAAGACAAGCAGCCAACTTAGCATGTAGCCTCGTAGCGGGAGTGGTACATTTCGCTCGAAGTTCGCTTCTGCCAGCGCTGCAACCGTTGGTGCCTCTAGGATCAGAGACAGCAATTCCTCAGGCAGTCGCGCCGTAGTCTTCTCAAGTGCAGCATCGATCGAAATCTGCTCTTGTGTGGCGGGGATCTGTTTGTGCAGGATATCGAAGGCCGTCTGTTGGACCGGCTGCGACTCTACATAGAGAAGTGGGAACAGCTCATCCGTAGACTCAAGGTGCTTGAGTGGTATTCTGGCGATTTGCCTGGCGAGAACGTCGTTGACCATCTTCAATGGTTGATGGAATTCATCTGGAAAGTGCTGCGAGTGCTTGAGCAGATTGACGAGTCCGGCGGCTACTGCTTGCTCTGTTTCCTTCCAAGCATCGAGGAGATCGTCGTTCGGATCCTCTGTCTGAGTCAAGGTACGTAGCTGAGCGTAAAGCTTTAATGAAGCGTGGATGAATGGTATCGGACTGTCATATGGTTAGCACTATACCGAATCCTTAAGTCAACATTGATGCATACCTATCCATCCCCGACTCGTTCCGTTCAAGCTCTTGAGTGACCGACCAGCTCTCGGCCAGGATTTTCAAGATGTCGCCCCAGTGCTCCCCATAGATATCACCCATTAACGGAAGGAGCGTTGTCAGTGCACGGCAAACTTCAGCTCGAAGCGGCAAAGCGCAGTTAGCATTCTGTAACCAAGGCATAATGTGCTTGACGAAGAAGATCAGCCGCTGTTTAGCGATAGTCTGCGCTATATCTTCTTGGCCGTAGATGAGGGTGTTAAGGAGAACTAGCTGTCGGAGCCCTAATACGGCGTCAGCGATGCAAAATGGGGGATGCTACAGAGTTACGTACCTACGCCGGGCTTCTTCTCGACATCGAGTCCGGTGAGGTCTGCGACTAGCTCATTGCACATCCTCTCACAGGACTTGGAAGCAGCCAACGGTTCTTTGAATGCGTTGAGAAACCCCACGAGAGGGAAGATCTCTACATCCACAAAGTCAGCGGAGATATGGGTGAATCAAAAGGTCAATCTTACCCTTGCTTTTACGAAGAGTCTTCATGATATCCTGGAGCTGCGCCGTTTCCGAATTTTTCCAACCGCAAATCTCAATGGCATCCGCAACAAGAACACTGTAAGTTCGAGCCGAATGATAAGCTCGTGCCGAGGTATCTGGTTCCACTTTCGATAGCAATTCAGTAGCCCAGACCAACAACGAGCTGTTCGTATCAGAGCTTGACCATGCCGTTTGCAGGCGCTTCAGCTCTTGGGTGACAAAGGGTTGTGCATCAGACATGAACGAGATAGCGTCCGCTTCCGCATCCAGGTTATAGTCCGCCCAAAGCCCATTTGCACCGGCAAGACCAAGATTGTCATCCGCAAGCTGGATTGTGTGTGCAATGTTGCGTAGGAAGAGGTTCCGAAGCTCTGAGGGGACTCTCTCGATAGGGAAGAGGTCCGTGTTTTTGAAGAGCCGGGTCACATACTGAGTGATGCGGTACGCGGCAGAATAGCCGTCCGCATCGCTAGGGATCTTCTCCTCTTGTGTCTGTGGTTGCTTGGGTTCTACTAGGTAGACAGCACCGGACAACGGGTTGGTAATAGCCAGCGAAGATTCCGGAGCAGTCTCGAGAAAAGGTGCCAGCGCTGCGTCCCAGTCGCCCACTGCGGGGAAGACATTTTTCATTTCCTCCCATGCACTTCCCGGCTTGACTTGCTGCTTCGCGAGGTCGACCAAAGTCTCAACAGAGACGGATGTCTGCGTCGCCTCCACAAGCCCCTGTTGAATTAAGTCGTAGATTGATTGCTTCGACTCCGCTCCGGCCGAGAGGACAGTCTGTATCGAGGCATTTAATGCCGCGGCACCCTGTGAGATTTCATCATGAGGTGACTCCGAAGCTAACAGCAGAACCCGAAGAAGGTTGGATCCTTGCGCTGTAGAAAGGAAGGTCTTCAGCATAGATGGGTTCTGCTTTACTATTTGTCGAAGACCTTGCAGCGCGTAAGGAGCTTTCTCTGCCAGCGACAGTGACTGTGTAATGTATGACAGTATATCGTCGGTCGTTGCGGAGGATAGGATCTTCGATGGTGATTGAAGAAGGCGATTGAATGAGTCCCATTCCAATGTGCCCTCAATCGAGCCACGTACACTGGACTTGATATACTCCTGCAGTTCGGGGTCTGAAGTAGCCAGATCGAATGACTTTGGAATCTTAGGGGAAGTGAGGATGGCTTCGAGCGCTCTTGCTTTAGCTGGAGAATCATCCTCCTTTAAAACTGCCTTGAGAGTCCTGCCGAAGATCTCTTTGAACAACGGGAGATCTGAGAACGAATAGAGAATGTCCACCAAATACTTGGACGAAGGCGATACCATGATTTCCGGGAGATCGTCGTTCACAAAGCTCTGCAGTTGCCGTGTGGCTTGCTCCTCAGCCAGCACAACGTCTTTATTTCGATGCAAGAGCCCCGCTACAGCGCCCGCGGCACCGTATGGTTTACCGTTCCTGTTTCTCACTACTGAAAGGGCTTCAGAAACAACCAAGGAGCATGCTTGGCTAAACACAGAGCGTAACGACGTGGCCGCCTCTGTACGCAAGGCTTGCTCTTGTAGTAGTGCGAAGCGTGTAGCTCGCTGGACTAAGGCGTTCTGCGACCTCTCGTAATCCTTCGACTGCTCCGGCGCAGACGTTTTAATGTCATTGACAAGCTGCTGGGCGTACTCGGGCCACTTTTCGCGGAGAATAACAGGCATCGCGCCCAGACTCATAGCCTTTGCATGCAGGCTCACGGAATTTTGTGGAACGTTCCATTGACTGTTTTCTGACGTGGGGCGAAGATACTGGGCGATGATCGGCAGCACCAGTTCGTTAAGAAGCTTGCGCTGCTCATCGTCTGATAATGCCTTGCTGATAGACGCAGCGATTTCAAGGTAAGCATTGAAAGCGGTTTCAAGGCTAAGCCTTGATTCGTCTTTTCTGGAGATGCCTCCATGCAAAGAACCGAGAAATTCTGCAGCGTCTGCAGCATTGCTTGGCAATACTTCCCTGGGGATTGATTTGAATACATCAAGCAGACGGTCCCAGAACTCACGGGGACCAGATTGGGAGCCTTTCTTCAAGAATTGTCGGAGGCGTCTATCAATCGGGGTTTTACTCTTATAATGATCCGTCCAAATAGTGGGATGTGAGGCCGTAAGCATTGCTAGAGCGTCGACATAGTCGTAGGCGGAGCTGGTCTGGTCTGAGTTCAACGCAGCGGAGAGGTACGATTTGCTAATGATGTTCAAATTCGTTTCGATTGCTTCTGTGAGGATTGTTAGCTAATGCAAGACTGTAGGACTGGCGCACGTCTACCTGGCTGCTTTGATATGCACGTCTTCAGGAAACGGTGTATCGACCGCCTAATGGAGGCATCCTTGTGGGACGCGAACTCCCACAGTTCCTTATCCGCCAAGAGGCTCTCGTAGTCGGAGCGGAATTTGCAAAGATCCTCTGGCTGCAGGTTCGCCAGCAGACTGCCTAGCAGCGATATGCACGCAGAAATTACTCTGCTGTACTTGGCTTCCGCGTCGTCTGGGCTCACAGTCCGCTCATCGCTCAGTGTGATGGCAGTCTCCTTGTCTATAGCATCCCGACAGTATTCGAGGAGGGGCTGCTGGTATGCCTTTCGGATATTTTGTATCTTCTCGGGTGTGTTGAAGACCTGGCGGAGCGAGTGCTGGGTTGCTTCGGCCACGGATCGATCACTATCGTATAGGCCGCAAAGCCAGGCACCGACTGATTTGGGCATGTATCTGGCAAATCTCCTCCCAGTGGCGGCAGCGAGCTGGCCGTGCAGGGTATGGGCACTTTGGCGGACGGCCTTCGCATTGTCTATCGAGGTACGGGGATACATTTTGATCTGCAGGACACCCTGAATTACTACATGGAACATAGATACAGCCATATAATGAACGCACCCATGCCTCGAGCACACCTTCCTCCACCGGCTCTTTCAGTGATGAGATGTGTGACTGCAGGTCCTCCAGCGCCTTCGCCTTTGTTGTGCTGTCCTTCTTCGACAGATTTCGAAAGTATACGACCACGTTGGGATCGGATATTGAGGAGAGATCCGGGGGCTCCGTCACGTAGGATAGCTGCGTGGAACTGGCACCGAATGCTACTGACGACGAGGTACCGAAGGGGGAGCCAAACGCGCTCGAAGCAGCTCGCGCGCTGCTGGCTTGCGGTTTTGCCTGGCGTTTGCTCATGATGGAGGAGGGTCGAGGCACGCGGGGGAAGAAAGGAGAAAAGAGAGGAAACGAAGGTCGAATTATTGTACACGAAAGTTTGCTGTGGAGCGAAAGCGAAATGTGCCGTGGATTGATGACGGCACCCAAGCAGAAGGGCGGAAGGCGGCGGTGGGGCGCACCCTGGTCTTGCGCTTACCTCCTCTGGACTAGCGCTGAATAACCAACTTCATCTGAAGGCAGCTGTCTATGAGCGCGAGCTTTCAACAACTTCCTATCTCCACGCCAACTCATCGCAAAGGCGGAGGGCGCATCAAGATGAAGTTCTTCATAGAGTACGTCATGAAAGCTTTTCCTAGTTCCTTCTATTCTCAGCTACAGCGGAAGTTATGGCTCATAGCTCCCCTTTGCCCCCATACAATGACCCCGTCAGCGTATATTGGGCCAACTGTGGCAGACTCGACCCATGGTGGACTGAACCCGTATCTTCAAATTTATACCGCCTTATTTGCTCACACTTTCTAGCGAGCTCCCGGTGCTTTTCCCGTATCCCAGGGTCTACCCCGAGCAGTATGCCTACATGTGCGATCTCAAACGCACGCTGGACGCCGGCGGCCACTGCGTGCTGGAGATGCCTTCAGGCACAGGTAAAACTGTGTCGCTTCTCTCGCTCATCGTAGCATACCAGCAGTTCCATCCTGAAAAGCGGAAACTCATCTACTGCTCGCGTACCATGTCCGAGATCGAGAAGGCGCTGGCCGAGCTGAAAGCGCTCATGAGGTACCGGACGCAAGAGCTCGGCTGTGAAGAGGAGTTCAGAGGCCTTGGACTGACGAGTCGGAAGAACCTGTGTCTCCACCCGTCGGTTAAGCGCGAGAAGAGCGGCTCCATCGTCGACGCGCGATGTCGAAGCTTGACAGCGGGCTTTGTCAAAGAGAAGAAAGACCGGGGCGACGACGTCGAGCTTTGCGTGTACCACGAGAACCTCGACCTCCTTGAACCGCACAACTTGATCCCGCCCGGCGTCTGGACGCTAGACGGCATGCTCAAGTACGGAGAGGAGCAGAAGCAATGCCCGTATTTCACGGCGCGGCGGATGATGCCTTACTGCAATGTCATTATATATTCCTACCACTATCTGCTCGATCCGAAGATCGCAGAGCGCGTCTCTAAAGAGCTCTCGAAAGATTGCATTGTCGTGTTCGACGAAGCCCACAACATCGACAATGTGTGCATCGAATCGCTGAGTATCGATTTGACAGAAGATTCATTACGAAAAGCGACGCGTGGTGTGAACAATCTGGATCGCAAGATTACAGAGATGAAGAGCACTGATGCCGAGAAGTTGCAGAACGAGTATGCAAAGTTAGTCGAGGGGCTACGTGCGGCAGATGAAGCGAGAGACGAGAACGCATTCATGGCAAACCCAGCATTACCGGACGACCTCCTCAAAGAAGCCGTGCCGGGAAATATAAGAAGAGCAGAACATTTCGTGGCCTTCCTAAAACGATTTATCGAATACCTAAAAACGCGGATGAAAGTTCTCCATGTCATCTCAGAGACCCCGCCATCATTTCTTAGCCATCTCCGCGAGCTCACATTCATCGAACGAAAGCCCCTTCGCTTCTGTGCCGAGCGCCTGACCTCGCTCGTCCGTACCCTAGAACTCACGAATATCGAAGACTACCAGCCGCTGCAGGAGGTCGCAACTTTCGCCACCCTCGTCGCGACCTACGAAACCGGCTTCCTCCTCATTCTGGAACCCTTCGAGTCCGCAACCGCCACAGTCCCTAACCCTATCCTCCACTTCACGTGTCTGGACGCCGCTATCGCCATCAAACCCGTCTTCGAGCGCTTCAGCTCGGTCATCGTCACTTCCGGGACCATGTCGCCTCTTGACATGTACCCGCGCATGCTCAACTTCAACACCGTCGTCCAAGAATCGTTCACCATGACCCTGACGCGGAAAACCTTCCTTCCGATGATTGTGGACCGCGGCAGCGATCAGAACCAGATCACATCGCAGTTCGAGCACCGCAACGACATGCCAGTCATTCGCAACTTCGGCAGTCTGCTGATCGAGTTCTGTAAACTGACGCCAGACGGAGTCGTCGTATTCTTCCCGTCCTATCTCTACATGGAGAGCATTATTTCCATGTGGCAGGGCATGGGCGTCCTCGACACCGTCTGGAAATACAAGCTCATCCTAGTCGAAACGCCCGACGCGCAAGAAACCTCGCTCGCCCTCGAAACCTACCGCACCGCCTGCAACAACGGGCGCGGCGCCGTGCTGCTCTGCGTCGCGCGTGGCAAAGTCTCCGAAGGCATCGACTTCGACCACCACTACGGCCGCACCGTGCTGTGCATGGGCGTCCCGTACCAGTACACAGAATCGCGCATCCTCAAAGCGCGCCTCGAATTCCTCCGCGAAACATACCGCATCAAAGAGGCAGACTTCCTCTCCTTCGACGCCATGCGGCACGCCGCCCAGTGTCTCGGCCGTGTCATCCGCGGCAAAGACGACTACGGCATCATGGTGCTGGCCGACAAGCGCTTCGGCAAGAAGATCACGCAGCTGCCGAAGTGGATCCAGATGGCCCTCGACACCAAGAACACCAAGCTCAGCGTCGACCAAGCAGTCTCGCAAGCGAAAGCCTTCTTGAAGGAAATGTCGGTCCCGTGGTCGCGAAGCGAGCAGGAAGGCCATTCGAGCTGGAGCCTGGCGGACCTGGAGTCCCACCAGGCGAAGAAGAAAGCGGAGGCCATCTCAGGGACGGAGAACCCTTCGACGAGGCTGGAAGAGGGCAGGGCGGAAGCCGCCGTCGTAGCGGTAGATGAGGATGAGTTCGGAGGCGCGGGGATGGACGAGATCATGGCGGATGTGGGCGAGTAGAACGCGCTTGGGACTATTATTGCGCAGACGTTCTGTCGTGACTGCACGGACTTTCATCCTGTTCCTGGCTTGGGTAACTGGGCTTGGTGCAGGCCTTTTGGTCGATACCGGACAGGCTGGAGTACATAAGGATGTCGGCGCGATCATTGCCTAGTAGTAGCATCACTGTATTAGAAAACGACTTCTCTCCAACTTCGTAGGAAGCAGCGCTCGATGCTTATATTGCTCTACGCACCATAAAAGTGGCAGTGACAGTTTCCATTACCTGACGTATACTACGAATTGCTTATGACGCCCTACTAGATGCCATGAAGGAAGATATACGTACAACCCGGAACTCTTGACGCCATTCTTGTGGTAAAAGGCATGTACAGAGGGACCCCACACAGGTAGACAGTGAATGAGGAATTAGTGAACTGAAAGAGAAGGAGGGGAAGTCGTGGCCTAGGTCTCCATATCCATGAATATCCACTGGTCACTGATGATATCCTCTCCGCTGGTAAAGTCATTAAGGGTCGTGAGCTGGAAGCCAATCCAACCAAGGTCCTTAGTCAGAGTGTCCATAGCTCTTCGGTCGGTCTCTCGGTCGAGGCAGACGACGAGACGGGAGCAAGAGAAGTAGTCGATTTCGCAGAGTTCGAGGAGCGCCATCAAGCTGCAAAATGTTAGTACGAGTCCGTTTGGGCGAAGGGACATAGACGTACCCAGCCTTGAGGTCGCCTCCAACCACGTTCTGGTCGAAGAAGACGAACATGGCCTTCTCCTCCTCTTTCTCGGCGATGAAACCTCTGAACCTAATCCCGCCCACATAGTCCCATACCTCGATCCAGTCACTGACCAAGCCCTTCTGCTGGACAGGCCCCACCATTTCCGGCGAAGGCGAGTCCATAAGTCTATCCGAATATCGTCGTACGTGGACACCATAGTCGGTGATATCGGTAGGAATTTGATGATGATTACGCACACCCATTGCAAGCGGGTCCTGACGACCCAAGTTCCCCTCACCAAGGAAAACAGATCGCAGTGTCCCGCAGAAGAGTCTCTCACACTCTCCCGCAATGGTGCATGCAGCTCCCCCTCTGCGCGCCCGTCCGATGGTTGTCGGAAGCTTGGTGGTGGACGTGTGTCTGGCGGCGAGGGGGGGACTCAGCGGCGGCGAAGGTATTCCCTGGTGACTGTTAGTATCCGACCATGGGCGACTTGGGGGAAATCGAAGACTCACCGAGCTGACCTCAGGAATACCACTCGGCCCCGCCAGCCCCCGTAGTGGAATAATGGAAGCCCTGGAGAGCCGTGGTGCGGGCGTTTACGGTATAGCAGGTAGCGCGCACATTGCCGGAGGAGCAGTAGCTGTAATTACTACTACTACTACTGCTTCGTTTATTGGTATCGATCGCCATTGTTAGAGGTTTGCCACGGTTGCGTCGGGGTGGGTAGTAGGTGGACGAAGGCTCCTGTGGATTGGAAGTAGTGGTTGAGAGCTTGGTATTGCTGGTAGCTGCTGCAGGTGCGCGGTCGTTGCAATTAATCGTCGCGGTGAGTGGTGAGAGAGGGTTCTGGAAGGTGGCAGATGAGGAGACCGAGCGGAGATTCAAATCCTTGTGCGAGTGGCCCGTGCGCCACGCCAGCCCGCGGTTCGTGGATTTTCCAGGCTTCTGATTGGCTCAGCGGTCTTTCACACGGATCGAGCTTGCCGAATGTGGCACCCACGCAAACAGAATGCCGATGCATGAGACGTGAGGTATCCGGAACATTTAGTAGATGCTTGAGATGCAGTGGATTAGCGCAGAGCAGGACGGCAGATCCATTCGTGACGCAGCAACAGCTGCAAAGTGCGGACGCAAGGTCGCAACAGCCAAAAGCAGCCATATGAGACATGTATCTATTCACTACACAGAGACAGGAGCAGACCACGGACTCCTTGACTTTTAGAAATAGCATCCTCAGCGACATTATGCCATATGCTGGCAATGCCGCCTCGCTATACCAGACAACCCTGCCAAACGACTCCTCCGACAGACATCGACAGAATGGCAGACGAGAGAAAGGACATGGAGGCATTATTGAGAAATCCTTCCTCCCTGCACGAATCTAATAAGAAAAGTAGACTATGCAAGTCGGATATCTCGTAGCGCTATGCAGTGAAATCAGATGAAAGAGACAGGGAATCGAGGCGCACTGGCGCACTGCAGGTTGAACCCTGCGCGAGCCGAATGCGCAGGAGTGGAGTCCGTGGCGTTGTACATGAGCGAAGTGGGACGTGTGTGCGTACGGTCGAGGAGATGTGGACGCACCCGTCTAGCTGACGGAGATGCACTTGATGTCGAAAACCAATTCCGAGTTGGCGGGAATGCCGGGTTGGGCCTTGTTGCCATATGCGAGCTTCGCGGGTATGGTAAGGCGGCGCTCACTGCCGGCCATCATGCCCACGACACCGATGTCCCAGCCCTTGATGACTTCGCCAACACCGAGCTTGAAGGAGAAAGGCTTTCCCTTCTTGTTGGCTATTGCCACTGTAAGTCCTCGCGAGGGAATTCTGTAGGAACGTGTGGAGACGACTTACCATCGAACTGCTTGCCGTTCTTCAACTTGCCAATATACCGCATCTCGACCCGATCGCCTTTCTTCGCGGCCCGGCCCCTGCCATCCTTCTTGTCATCGATTACCACACCATTGACATTCCTCGGGCCCTTGGGAGTCTCCTTCTTGGGTTCTTCCACCTTCGGCGATCCCGTGGGGCCTTGCTCTAAATTCTTGGCAAACTGCACCTTCTTCTTGTCGCTTCCGGGTGTCTCGGCCTTCTCTTTCGCGGAGTCCTTCTTGGCCGGCTCTTTAGCAGCGGCGACAGCCTGTCCCTCATTGTTTTTCAGCTTCTTTGCCTGCTTCTTGCTCAGCTTCTGCTCGCCATTCGTGGCAGCTTCGGCCTTGGTCTTGCTGATCAGCTCGTCAAGGGTAGTAGCCTCCTCCTCCTCCTCGTCTTCGGAATCGGCCGGACGCTTGTTCTTGCCCTTCTTCTCGGTCTTAACTAGTTTGGGGGCGTCCTCTTCATCTGATTGGACCTCAGTGATGCGAGGGTCCTGGAGTCCATCGAGCTTATCGTCTTCAGATTCCGAGATGTCATCAAGCTCATCCTCGTCCGAGGACATATCGTAGTCTAGACCACCCATGCCATACTCGTCCTCATCATCATCGTGGTCGTGGTCGTGCTCATCTATGGCAACAAAATTGCCGGTAAGGTAGATGTCGTGGGTACCATTGGAAGAGAAGAAGATCTGTTCGCCCTCGCGGACGGTGATCTCCAAGGGCTGCTGGTAGTGCTTGTATGTGTTAGCTAGATAACAAATGGTCAGCTAGCACACAGTCCTTACCTTCTCGGGGTCAAGAGTGCAAACGACGAGCTCTGACACTTCATCGTCGTCCTCGTCGTCGTCCTCGTCGTCCTCTTCTTCGTCGCTGCTGATATCTCCATTGAGGGCTTTGGCCTTGCCCTTGCCGTTGACACCGTTTGTGAGGCCAAGCATCTCTTCATCTTCCATCTCTTCCTGGATCTTCTTCTTCAGCGCCTCCTGCTTCGCCTTCTTGGACTTGGCAGGGTCGCTTGGGCCGCCGTTCATTTCTTCATCGCTGTCATCATCATCCTCAGACATGTCGGAGGAGGAGGAGGAGCCGAGAACACCCTCCTCGCGCAGCCTGGCCCTGATGGCCTCGACGTCGTCGGGATCATAGTCATCGTCATCGTCGTCCTCATCGTCGGGGACACGAATGAGCTTTAGAGTCGCGCGTGCGACCTTGTAAGTGTCATCGACCTGCGCTTCAGCGGTCGGATCGATCGCAGCCATGGTAATGCGGAACTATAGCTGTTAGCTCATGGCAGAGAACAGCGACATGCACAGCGACATGCAATAATCGGGCAAGAAATTTCTCTCGGGTTTCTGAACACGCCATAACAGTATCTGAGAAGGCGCGCAAGGTGTACTTACTGCTACAGAGGGATCCATCGAGGCGGGGATGGGCCTACCGCCCGCCGGGACTCTCAGTCCATAGACGCCTGCAGGAATAATGCTCGCCATTGCGCAGAATTGCAGGGAGGTATCGGTGCAAAGATGGGCGGGAAGCTGTGTTGGAGCTTTGTGCAGACGGCTTCAGAGCGCAGAAGGGCGGATGCAGCTGGAGGGCGGCCGTCTGAAATGTTCGGGGGAGCAAAGGAAAAAAAGAGGCGGGCTTCTGGTCGAGGTGGAAAAGTTCACGCCAAGATTTCGATTTCAATGCACGGGCCGCCACTCACCGCCTTCCATCTCAACGTGCCCTTGTCAAAATCGGCACGGGCGCGGGCAGAATGGGGACGCGAGTGACGCCACACGGACGCGACGAGCATCCTCTCTTCACGCGCCGACATGCTGCAGCCTACCGCCACCACCACCCGGGCATCATGACTGCGGCCCCGATGAACGCTCTCGATCCCCCCCGGCAACGTGCAACTCCTCGCAGCGACTATGGGCTCGCGTCTCGAGAGCAATTCGAACTCCGTGCGAAAGCGCATCGCAAACCACACCTTCGATGACGAGCATGGCGAGGAGTACGAGGGCTCCAAGTTTGGCGGGTTCAGCGACTACTTTCGGCGCAAGAAGATAAAACTTCAGAACCTGGACGCCGATCTACGCTCCCAATCTACCGACAAGCCCCAGATATTCAGAGGCATCGTAGCCCAAGTAAACGGCTATACCCAACCATCGCTCAACGATCTACACACGCTCATCGTCCAGCATGGCGGCGGCTTCATGCAGTATCTCGACGGCAAAACCACTGTGACACACATCATTGCTAGCAGCCTCACTCCCAAGAAGGCAGAGGAGTTTAGAAAGTATCGCATCGTCAAGCCGGCATGGGTGGTCGACAGTGTACAGGCTGGGAAGCTGCTACCGTGGAACGACTATCGGGTCGTGGACGAGGGTGAGAAGCAAAGGGTGCTTACTTTCGACCAGGGCAAAGTGCTCAGCCGGGCGAATACAAAGGCGCGAGGGTATCGGGACCAGACGGATAGCAGTTGGTACACCAGCCAGCTGAGGGGGACCCAGAATGCTGTGCCTGCCAGCACTCCAAGCCCCGCTCCAAGTAGCTCGTTGCGGTCGCGTTTCTCCAAACAAAGGTTGCCGACCCCTGGTGATGAAATCAAAGACCGGCCGCCTTCGCACCAGCCAGAGGAGCGTCCCTTTGGTCCTGGTAACCACGAGCAAGGCAGAGGCGATGAACCTCAGTCAGAGAAGCTCGTCACGCCGCCCAAAACTAGCCCGCCGCTAGGTCCGCAAGCCGATGATGACCCAGCTTCTTCAGACGGTATATTCGAGGAGCAGGACGAGAGTCTATATGCTGGTCCTCCTCCACCGGAACCGCTGAAGTTAAAGACACCGGCGTATAGAAATGAAGAACTAGACGAGGGTGCTGTCCAAGAGACAACGACATCCGACGGCAAGAAGAGGCCACTGACGGCCGAGGAGCACAATGCCATATTACTTCGAGACCCAAAAGTCCGGAAATCCACTGTCGTAGACCCCGGTTTTCTCGAGCAGTACTACCGCGAGTCTCGCCTGCATCACCTTTCGACTTGGAAGGCTGATCTGAAATCTCAGCTGCAAGCGCTTGCCAACGAGAAGAGCTCGTCCCAAAAGTCTAAGCAGAAGCGGCCTCTAGGATCGCGGCGATACATTCTTCATGTTGACTTTGACAGTTTCTTCGCTGCCGTGAGCCTGAAGAAGCACCCACAGTACAAGGACAAGCCGGCCGTCGTGGCTCATGGTCAGGGCAGCGGGTCTGAAATCGCCAGTTGCAACTATCCTGCCAGGAAGTTCGGCATCAAGAACGGAATGTGGATGAAACGCGCTCAAGAACTCTGCCCGGATCTCAAGATTTTGCCCTACGACTTCCCTGCATATGAAGAAGCTAGCCGATCCTTTTATGATGCCATACTTGATACTGGAGGCCTTGTGCAGAGCGTCAGCATCGACGAGGCGCTTATCGACGTATCTGATATGTGTATCTCTATTGGCGGAAGCGATGGTAGGAAGATCGCCGAGGGAAGCATTTACCGCGAGCAAGCTAAGGCGGACGAGATCGCGCAGTCCCTGCGAGATCAGGTCAAGGCCAAAACAGACTGCAATGTCTCGGTTGGGATCGGCGGCAACATTCTTTTAGCCAAGGTGGCCTTGAGAAAGGCGAAGCCGGCAGGTCAGTACCAAATTAAACCTGAGGATGCTCTCGATTTTATCGGGCAACTCCAAGTACAAGATCTTCCCGGCGTCGCCTGGTCCATTGGCGGCAAGCTAGAAGAGATTGGAATCAAATACGTAAAGGACATCCGGGAATGTTCGAAAGAAAAGCTCGTGCAGACTCTCGGTCCCAAAACTGGAGAGAAGCTCTGGGAGTATGCGCGCGGTATCGACCGTCAAGAAGTCGGCGAGCAGGTTGTTCGCAAGTCGGTTTCGGCTGAAGTCAACTGGGGGGTGCGCTTTGAGAACCAAGAACAAGCCGAAGAATTCATCGGCAATCTTTGCGGCGAGCTGCAGAAGCGGCTCTTAAAAGAAAAGGTCAAGGGAAAACAGCTCACCATGAAGATCATGCGACGCTCGCCAGATGCCCCTCTCGATCCGCCGAAGCATCTGGGACATGGGAAGTGCGATACATACAACAAAAGCTTAGTCCTAGGTGTGGCTACGAACTCCAAGGAAGTCTTGACGAAAGAATCGTTAAGCGTCCTCAAAGGCCTCGGCTTCTCTCCAGGCGAGTTGAGGGGCATCGGTGTGCAGATGACCAAACTCGAGCCCATGAAGAGCGCCACAGATGGGAGTCTAGAAAGCTCACAGCGCCGTCTCCAATTCAAGGTTAGCAACACCGAACCGAAGAACACCCACAAAGCACGAGACGTTGCAGAGGCGGATCCAATCCAAGACGACCCAGAGACACCAAGGAAGCGCAAAGCCGGCCCGGAAGAGGACCATGTCGCGTTTGGTCCTCCAGAGCTGAACCATTCCACGCCGTCTCGCCGGCCTTTAAACATGATGGGGACGCAGTTCATCATGCCTACGCAAGTTGATCCGAAAGTCCTCGCCGAGCTACCAGAGGACATCCGCTCGAAGCTCCTACGACAAGCGCGCCAGTCATCACCAACACCGGCTGCTCGCAACGCACCCAAGGAAGATCGCGCCGCATCTCCCACCAGGGGCGTGCCCTTCGCCCTTACAGCACTACCCGCGCATTCCCAACTCGATCCTGAGATCCTAGCCGCCCTCCCTGCCGACGTCCGCGCAGAAGTCCTCGCCCAATACGCCGCCGGTGCAACACCCAGCTCCCCGTCCGGCCGACACAAGCATGCCGACCAGACTATCCTCCCTCAATCTCCCCGGAGGAACAGACTCATCGGCATCCCCGCCAAGAAACCCATCGCACCACCCGTGAAACGCGGTCGCGGTCGCCCACCAAAGTCAGCCCAGCTAGCAGCCGCCGCCCTCACAAATGCAAAAGACAAAACAGGCAAGACGCTCACACAAGCAAACTTCATCTCGCTGAAGAACCCCGCTCGCAGCAGCAGAGAAAGCTCTGCAGACCCCGCCGCTCCAGCTACTACAACTACAAATGCAAACGCAGATGCTGTAGACGACCTAGACACAGACTTCCTCGCCGCCCTCCCCGAAGACCTGCGCAAAGAAATCATAGAAGAGCACAAGCGCAAGAAACTCCAAGCCTCGCGTCTTGCCGTCGCAAAGTCCCACAAGCAGACTGCCCCGCCCCCACAAGCGCCCAAGCCCGCGCAGACGATCAAGGTCCCCCGTCCGCCGCGGCCGACGTTTACCATGCAGCGCCTGTCTGCGGAGAAGGACCTGCGGGCTGCGATCAAGGAGTGGGTGGCCGAGTTCAGGGACGAGAGGCCGTACGGCGAGGATGTCGCTGCGCTGGCGAAGTACCTGGGCAAGGTGGTCAGGGAGGAGCGCGATCTGGGCAAGGCTGTTGGCGTCGTGAAGTGGCTGGACTGGATTGTTGGCGAGTTTGCTGACGATCAGGATCAGGATCAGGAGTTTGAGGCGGCGGAGTGGGGAGAAGCCGTGCAGAGGGTTAAGGATGGTGTGCAAGACGCTGCTAAGGACCGGGGATTGGGCGCTGTTGCATTTGACTGACTGAGCAATCTGATGGTAGCATGAGCGCGGCGTTTCTTTGCTGAAGAGTCTGGTTGTATTATTACTATTATGTGCCCTATGTACCTTACGACGAGATGAAGCAAGCCGTTACGCCCGCCACTTATCCCATCCCGTCCACTAAGTGCCGTATAAATCCAAGCATGTGTGTTTGTATGCATCCGTTGTGGACGGTATAAACCGGGGGTATCTGTGAATCCGGGTATTCGTATCGTGAGTGGGCGGAAGTGCTAGGGGGTATCCAGAAAGCGCATGCAATACCAAATGCGCCAATAATGCCCACTCATCCAACCAACCCATGCGTCCCAAAACGCCAAAACATATCCATAAAATCACGCATGTGCAAGAGACACCCATCCTATCCCCAAGATATGCTAGACCAACCCTACTCATCCTCCCTCCAGCCACGATTCTTCCGCCTCCGCCTCGCAAGCTGCGCACTCCAAATCCCAGAGAACAAATCCTCACACTCATCCTCATCCTGGCTATCGAACTCCACCTCCTCATCCCGCGCCGTCTTCCCCTCGCTCTCTCCTCCATCAACATCGCCATCGAACTCCCACCCCGTCCCCCGCACCACCCTCTTCGTCTCCAGGATAAACTTCCCCACCTTGTACCGCTGCGACTCCTCCTCGGCCTCGACGTACTTCCAGCCCAGCACGCTGCCGCACGTGCGGCACGAGATGTCGGACACGGTGTGCGCGCCGGTGACGAGCTGGCGCGGGACCGGCTTGTGCGTGAGCGTGTTGGGCAGGTCGGCGGCGCCGAGCTCGTTGGGCGGGAGGGAGCCGCGTGGGTAGAGCGCGGCGGTTGGCGGGGGGGAGACGAGGTAGGCGCGCCCGTGGCGGCCGGTGAAGCCTTTGGAGATGATGGAGCTGGTGGGGATTAGGTCGGTGAGGCATTTGGAGCAGCGCAGGTGCGAGGTGGGGGCTGCGCTGAGGAAGGAGGTGGGTTTGCTGGGGGGAGAGCTGGAGGGCGAGGAGGTTGTGGAGGTTGAGAGGGCGGAGCTGCGGCGGCGGCGGAAGGGGATGGAGGGGAGGAGGTAGAGCGGGAAGGGGGTTGGCGGGGCGCTGGAGATTGCCATCGTTGTTGTCGGTGGTGTTGTATTAGGGCTGTGTGAGGAGGTTTCTAGGTCTGCTGGTCTTGAATCCCGCGGGGTGGTTGGGCGGTGAGTCGCTCGTTGGGACGGGGGGAGCTCTGAGCTCCACAGCGGGGTACGTCGTTTCGAATTAAAGCGCGGGAATAGGAGGAAAGCGCTCGGCCAGGAGCTTCGAAGTGAGGGGGTATTATGAAGAGAAGAGAAGGAAGCTTTGGATCCACCGCACGAGGCAGAAGCCTCTCTTTGAAGGACGTCTCGCGCGTCTGGCGGTGGTCAGATGGAGGAGGGCGTGACGTGATAGCTCTCCGCACTAGGGAAACGCGCTAAGAGCCGAAAACGGGCGCCACAAGCGAGGAGGGGCAGCAAGGCGCGGGGCTTGTCGTATGTACTGCACTCTTCCCGTTCGCAATAATCTTTGAATGATGAGAACGGGGAGGTGGGAAAAAAAGAAAGAAGACCAAGGAGAAAAGAGATGTCCACGATGTGCAATAAACGTGGTGGTGCTCTAGTCGTCCCCACTCGCCGTCGAATCATCAGCGATCGCTCGGATCATGCGGATGTCCCAAATGAGGTTATCACGAGATGAGGTGTGCTGGCGGGCCTAAATCTCGAATCGAAGTATAGCGGTCCGGCTATTGCCGAAGGCATTTACTATTCACTGCGGAAATACTCTAATTTGCTGTGCGGAAAGAGTGGGACCATGGGAGCGAGGTGATCGGCAATGCGATATGCCCGCGGAGGGCTCTACTAGGCTAGTCAGATTGACGGCACGTTGGGAAAGAGGAGTTGAAATTGTTGTACTCAGTACGCTGTGAGTGTAATGAAGAGCTTCAGGCATATAGGTTCTAGTTAGTCGTCCAGGTCGAATTTGCCGAACTCCTCGCGGGCATCTCTCGGTACTTCCCTGGGACAACCACGAAGCACCAGGTAGCTAGGGATACAAGTCTTCATGCATCGGCATGCGGGGACAACCAATGGCGATGAGAAGAACAGCTAGTAGCAAAGAGACACAGGTGAATTGTAGCAATACCATAAGAATAACTCAAAGCGCCAAAAGGACAACGATGCAACGCAAGAAACGCCCACCATTCAAGCCACCCCCCGCTCACGCACTCACTTGAATCAGGCTGGGCCTCGGCAGCGGGCCAGCCCTCGCAGCAATCCTATCCTCCAGCTCCGGCAAAGTAAACTGCGGCCGCCGATACGTATAGCCCATGAAAGCACCTTTCTTGCGGATCTCCAGCACTGTTCGGCCAACTTGCGCATCACGGAGCAGCTTGTCGCGTGGTCTTTTCTTCTCCTTCTTACGCCTCCTCATTTTACCGGGTCCTTTGAGAGAGGAAGAAGCTTCGTACACAGGTGACGGGACGACAAGGACTTGATCAGCCGTGGCCGCCGGAGCTAATTGCGCCTGAACTGCAGGAGCCGGCGCTTCCAGCCGAGGGGTGGTATCGTCAGGAGCAGTGTCGTAGCTCGAGGAGTCAAGATGGTCAGAAGTGCTCATGATCTCGGCCTCGTCATCGAAGTACTTCGTAATAGGCTGGCCTCCATGTACGCGCGGGACAAATGGCGGCCTTGTCATATGCAGGGTTGACCACTGGATGCTGCGGAAGAAGGGATGGCTCTTAATGTCTTCGGCGTCATTGGCGAAGACAATGTGACCTGTGCAGTTGTTCCTCACACGACGCGTTCCAAGGGCGCGGTCTCTGAGGACCCAGTCATTCTCCCGATATCGCTTCGCTGAAAGCCGATCTGTCCTCTCTTCTAATAGCCGCATCATCAGGTCAATAGCGTTTCGGGTCACTGCCATCAGAGGCACGCGGTCGATGTTCGGCCGTGCGTATCGCTGTTCAGGTGGGAATTTCAGCCAGCGTTTGTGGTCCTAGATGTTTAGAACATTGAAGGAGTACTAAGCGCAGAATGCTTACCAGGATCCTTTGCTTAGTAGCCTGTCGGTTGTCGCAGAAGAATGGAGTGCATCCGTAAAGACACTGCATGAGTCAACAAACCTCCCTCAATACCCAGTGGTTCGGTACAACGTACTTCGTAAAGAATGATGCCGATGCTCCACCAGTCACACCGGCCGTCGTAGCTCTCTCCCCGAATGACCTCCGGCGCCATGTATTGACTTGTCCCGACAACGCTCTTCGCAAACTGTCGTCGCTGGGTACGGTTAAGCCAGTCGAGAATAGGCCCACTCGCTCCGTCTTGCTCGGCTTCGAATCTCCCGCGAGCAGTCATTTTGCCGTTGATGAGGTCAAATGTCTTCCGCGTCTCTTGCCGGTCCCTTTCCTCTTCGCAGTCTTGCGCATCGCCCTGGACATGAAGATTCAGATCGCGCAAGAGACTATATCGTTGTTCGTTATAGTACGTCTGATTGTGGGTCCAGTGACCATCGAAGGCAAGGCCGAAGTCGGAGATTTTGAGATGGCCAGACGCGGTTATGAGGAAGTTGTCGGGCTTGACGTCGCGATGAATCCAATTCATCTTGTGCGCTTCTTCAATGCACAAGATCATCTCGGCAATGTACCATTTGGCAACAGTCTCATCCAAGATGTCTTCTCGCAGTAGGAGACCGAGGAAATCACCACCAACCATGTACTCCATGACGAGATAAAGGTTGTTGTTGTCCTGGAAGCTGGTAATAAGCGGAACGACCCACCGAGAATTTTCCGAAGCGACAAGGAAATCTCGTTCTGCTCGCAAATGGCCTTCCTGGCTATTGCGGAGCATGTCCGACTTCCTAATCACCTTCATTGCGTAGACCTGCTTTCTCTTTCGAAGGACCGAACTCTCCGAAGGGTCGAGACCGTGAGGGCCGTCTACGGTAGAGACATGTTCCGCATCGCTGCTGTTCGAATCGTCAACGGCATCGCTCTTCTCGCGCACAAGCCGGACCACGCCAAAACTGCCTTTTCCTAGGACTCTGACGATGTCGTAATGAGAGGCATGGACGCCTTTAGTGGTTTGCCGAATTAGAGTCTTTGACTTGAAAACGCGGGTTTCGCGAAGATAAGAGGTCTCCGCTAGATACCACTCCCGTCTCTTTTGATGTCTTTGCTCGTTCGGAAGCGCCATAGCAAATAGTTTCCGCTCCATATTGCGGCGACGCATTGATCGTGGAGTGGTCTTCGTACCAAATAGGGCATTGAAGTGGGATTCGAAGAAAATCTTCGCACCGGCAGCTTTCTCGACGGACGCAACGGATGGCTGCATAAGCCTCGGCGCATCCTGGCGAGGGAACACCAGCCACTGGTTGTCGAGCTGCTCCAAAAGCGGCTCATACAGTGGTGAGCCTCCAGTCGAGACATGACGGAACCCGTTCTGTCCTCGATGTGTAGTCTCCCCTGATCTCGGTGCCCCAGATGACACCAACGATGTAGGTGCTGTTGACTGACTGGGGGGCGGATTGCTGCTGCCGAAAAAGCTTGAGGGCTGCGAAGGAAGGGACGCCACGTCTGTCATAGGACCATGAGGGTGGGGCGCATCGAAGACAGCCTCTGTTTCCTCGCCTGGGCTTGTAGTCAGGACCGTGGGTCGGGAATTCAGCTTAGGACGGTGTATGACGGTAGGGTTATGGAGCAGACTGGAGGAGAGCTTTCTCTTGAGCTGCTGCGAGAGTCCAGGCGTGGATCTGCTTGTACGCAAAGCCACTGGGCGCCGCTGTACAAGCTCCATGGGAGGCTCAGATTCGCCATCGAACACCGCCGCATTAGTGAGCTGGAGCAAAGACGACGCGTCGTGTCGAAATGTCAGTTCCACTTTCGGCATGGGGATCTCAGGTACGCTCGGACATTGTAGAGGGGCCTTTGGATCTAGCAGGGCAGCTTGGGCGGCATCAGCGCGCTGAGTGTGATCCGAAGTATTCGTATTGGAGCCATTGCTGTCCGTCGTCGTCGGCGCGGGGCTAAGCCCGGAGCCTTGTCTCGTTCAGAATTGCGCAGATGCTTCCAGAGGTGGCACATACCTTTGGCGCCTCGGAAGATGGAAAAGATCTTGAAGCTTCCTCTGCGAAGGTTGGAGAATGTGCGAGAGGATGGCAGGCTGGCCCGCAGATGAGGTGCCTTGACCAGAGGTTCTGCATTCCCGTTTGAGGATCGGTCAATGATGCGAACCTTGCCCTTGTCGTGAGAGGCTGTCCTCGGATTGTGGGCGTCCTTCCTCTTCCTGGTCGCAACGAGAGATATCATGTCGGCGACTAGGGAAGGGTACTGAATTGCTCTGGTGACGATTCTCACATGGAGGAATAATGGACCCTAAGCAATGCGAGGGCCGGAAGAATGGGGATGCGTGAAGCATGGTGAGAAGAACTGGGGCGCGAGGTAGAAGGGCTGGTGAGTGTAGTATGGAAAGCACGATTTAGGGAAGAAGAAGGAACATGGGAGTCTTGGTGGCAAGCTTGAGAAAGAGGGAGGTAGGAGAGACAGAGTAGGTGCCCCCTTTCGCAGCACCTTCGACCGCTATAGTCAGCAAGCAAAAAGAGGAAGACGGCGCTCTCTCGGTAGGTCGAGACGGCATGGCTCTTCAGGCAAATTGTTGCGGCCGGATGCGCAAACACGTCTGGGACGTTCTGTCGCGCGTATAGCAAGAACTCTCCGAGTCCCATCGAGCTGCTCCGGAGATGGCGTAGGAGCGAGATGGTGAGGTGTTGTTGAGGGGCAGCAGGCGTCGCGTGGAGCTCCCCTGTCTATCAACACCCCCGCTCGGATCACCAACTGGCCGTTCCCCGAACACGATATCTCCAGCGCTCGATGCTCTTCAGCTGCTGTCCCAACCGCCCGGGCAATACTCCAACCCTGCGCTCGCCTGCATGCTCCTTGTCCTTTCCACATCCCCCATATTATCCAATAAGCCTCCTGCAGTCCTTTCATGGGTTTCTATCCCAGCCGCTTCCCAAACGGCCGCTTCTCGGGACGCCCCTCCTGGCCACAACGGTCAGCGAACACGAGTGTGGTGCATTGTTCCTATCGGACCCTGCAGCTACCCTGCGGAAGCGAGCTCCAAATAGGAAACTGTGCCTGTCGATAGTGACGTTTTAGGTGCATAGACAAGCCACGGACAGCTCAGGGTCTAGATTTCCAGCCCGCCCGCGATATTCGCCCCTCAGACTGTCCGATGTCTGCTCCCCGTGCATGATGTATCGATATTTCGTGCAGGAACATGCTCCGAGCTGATCGCTAAGTACGAGGATAAAGTAGTCCCTTTCCGTCCGTAAATGCCTCCCTCGCTCTGCATTGCTTCCGCACCAAGCCTCAGTACCTAGGCAGTGTTTCCGTCGCAATGCTTCTCCTCATGTCTTTGTACGCATTGTTGAACCTGGCGGCCTTCGCCTCGGCGTCAGAGCTACTCTGGGCCAGGAACAACCCACCCCAGCCGCCATGTGTCTATCCATACACCGAATTCGTCTATTCAGGATGCTTCACAGACTCAGTCTCCAGCCGAGCGCTTCCATTCATGACTGAGATGGAATTCTACAATGCCACTGTCGAGCAATGCACCGCTTACTGCAAGGGTAATAACTACCGCTATGCGGGATTGGAGTACTACGGTATGTCGCGGAGACTACTACAGCAGTGATCGAGCTAACAACGTCAGGACAATGCTTCTGCGGCGCTAGCGTGTCGAGCCCGTCTGCCCCTGAAGAAGAATGCAACCTTCCTTGCAACGGTAAATCACCTCTAGTACCTCTTTCTCGCCATCAACGCTGATGATAGAGCAGGTGACAACAGTCAAGCTTGTGGCGGCGAGGACCGCATCTCCATTTATCAGGACCCGACCTTCCCCGATGCCGACGATATCGCCGAATCTTCCGATTATATGTCTCTCGGTTGCTACACTGAAGGAGCGAGCGGCAGATCGCTCGACTACTCGCAATGGGACTTCCTCGATGCCGACACGATGACGACCGAGACCTGCTTAACGGCCTGCGGCGCCAAAGGGTACCCCTTTGCGGGAACCGAATTCGGACGTGAATGCTACGTAAGTACCTCAATCAAACTGCTCATGTACACATAAATACTCACAGTGAGCTTTTGCAGTGCGGTGTCGTCCTAGGTAACGGCACAACGCCTACAGACGCCAGCGAATGCTCCACCCCTTGCACAGGGAACAATTCACAGACCTGCGGCGGCCCCGATCGCCTCTCCCTCTACGTCGCGAAGAACCTAGAATCGACCGACCCTTGTGGCCCGCCAATCATTTCCTCTTCCAGCATCCCCTCCTCCACGACGACGACGCCGCCGCCCTCTTCCACCTCGAAGTGCCACGGATACCACTGCCCTAAGACGACGAAGACGTCATCCACCCCAGCTAAGACGACGACGTCGAAGTGCGTCGGACTTTGGTGCCCGAAGACGAGCTGCAAGACGCCCACGCCCACGCCGCCGAAGTCTACGAGGAAGTCGTCGACGCTGAAGACGACGACGACGTCGTGCAAGACGACGCCTACCCCGAAGAAGTCGACGGCTAAGAGTACGCCGAAGCCTACTTCGACGAAGAAATACGGATGGAGGTGGTGAGCCTGAGCATGGATGGAGATTAACAAGTAATGAATAGGAGGCTAGCACGAGGAGCTAATAAGACAAGGCGTGTGCATGCCAAAGGAAGGATAAATATGTTCATAATGGGTAATTCTATAATTCTCCGATGCTCCCTTGTCCTTCAGCTTTCCCATGTCATCCCGCTCCTCAGTGCGTTCCACTCTGCGATGGGTAAATCTCTAGATCGAGCGGATTGGCCTTCAGTTAGAGGTTCTTAGTTAGGTGTGACTGGTGGCCGATGGGGATGTTAAGCAAAACACGAGAAACGGGGGTAACACACTGAGCGGTTCATCGGAAAACACTCGCCATCCAAAGACTGCAGTATTAGTGTCGATCACTAAAGCTGCCTTCAACATCGCGCCTGACACCCCAAACCCGAGAAACAAAGTGAGTGCACACCACCCATTCCGTGCAGCGCAACGTTGTATAGTCTATTTACCAGACTTGTCGACGATTGGATCGTTTAAATTGCGCCAGGCTAACTCGCCGCTTGGCCCCGCGCGGTACACATAACGGGTACTGCGCTAGGAACGTAGCCGGGAACGAAACCGTTCCATACGACGCGAACGAATGAGGAAGAATGTTCCCGTTCTACGATAACCAGACTGAGACGACGAATTTGGCTTAACTCTTGCGTGTGACTATATATCTTGCTGAGATTGCTACTTCAACCAAATTATGCGGGTCGGCCACAGCGAGTAGCTGAATGTTGTCGAGCAGATCCCACCTCTTCTGCCCTTAAACATGCGATATGTGTATAGGGGCCCGATGCACCACTTTGAGACCTTCCTAAGCGTTCTCCATACGCACAACCTCCCCCTCTATACCACCCTTCTCTGTACCAGTGTACTCTACCTCCAAAGCGTGCTCCAATCCATCCGCCTCGAAGCGTCCCTTCTTTGCCCACTGGGTACCAGCCACGATAGGACTTGTCCTGTAGAAGATGGCTTCAATCTCTTCCAACCTGCGCCCCGTCGTCTCCGGATAGAAGAAGTAGATGAACGGTATGAAGGCGAAGTTGAAGACGGTAAAGATCAGGTAACCCTTCCACCCCTGGCTACTCATAGTGCTCGGCGTCATCATAACGGTGGCGAAATTCCAAACCCAATTCGACGACGTAGTAACCGCGTTACCCTTTGAACGGAGGTGCAGAGGCATGATCTCAGCGCAGTACAGCCAGGGCACGGCGAGGTAGCCGATGGCGAAAAATGTGTAGTACAGGAAGAAGGCGATGACGACGACGATTGAAGCACCGTACGAGCCGCTTCGGATTCCGAGCGCCATCGTCAGGAAGCAGATGCCCATTCCGAAGGCTCCGATCATCAGGCAGCCGCGCTTGCCGACTCGTCCGATGATGTATGGAGGAATGAGGGCGGATGCCATGTACCATAATCCGTTGAATCCGGATAGGAGCAGCGAGAGGTTGTGCGAGAGCCCGACGGAAGTTTCAAAGAGGTACGAGATGTAATAGCCGATGGAGCAGACACCGCTGAGCATCACCATTGCCATGAGCCACTGCATACTCATGCGTTAGCCACTTGCTCCGACAGCAGTTCGTGGAAATTACTCACCCAACCGAGAGCAACCCTGCGCAAGTTCTGAGTATTGGGTTTATTCTGGAACAGTTCGATCCACCCAACCGATTGCGCCATGCTTTCAAGCTCGATAGCTTGATTTATCAACCTGATCTCGGTCTGGGTTTCGGCGTCGTTCGCATCCGTCACACCATGCATACGAAGCAGGGCCTCGATTGCGTCGCTGGGGTAATTATGCGCCATGAGCCATCGAGGCGACTCGGGCATGAAAGGAACCATGGCAATGAGGGCAAACGCAAAGACGATCTGAGCGGCCACGGCAAGACGCCACTCGATCTGTCCGCCAGCGTACGAAAGGCCATAGTTCATCCAGTAGGAGACGCTGGCGCCGAAACAGACGAGCAGGTATTGGAACGATCCGAATCGCTCTCTGGTCTTGGCCGGAAGAGTTTCAACTTGCCTAACAGAAAGAAGTAATTAGTAGCTGCGCTGAGAGATAATGAACAATGCAAGTTTCTGGAGAGCCGCTCACCAAATGGGAATGATAGACGTGTTAAGGCCTGTTCCAATGCCGCCAACGACGCGGCCAAGCATGAACTGTATCCGCTCATAGGCCGCGGCCTGGAGCACAGCACCAACAATGACAAGCGTAGTCCCGACTAGCAGCGGCTTCTTACGCCCAAACTTCTCGCTGAATGCGAAACTGGCGAGACACCCCGCCAGGCAGCCGAGCTCGTAGATACTTGTAATGAAACCCTGCATGAACGTCGAGGGGTAGCCCATCTGCACGAGATAGTCGTCGGCGATTAAGACACCAGACATAAAGCCTTCAATCAACTGTTAGTATTTTCTTCCAGAAGAGACGCGTCCAACCATGGATATAGACTTGCCTTGGTCGTATCCATAGAGAAGGTACGAAACACCGCAGGTGATGGTGAACAAGATACGCAGGACGAGGCCCGAAAAAGCCATGCTTGTGTCTCAAGTTGGCGGAGAGATTAGCAAAGAGTGCAAAATTCCGAGGGTTCCGCTGTTTCACGCCCGTATTAGAGCGGGCTGATGGATGTCAGGTCGGAAAGTAGAAGGGATGGGGTAGCCCTTGAGGTTTATAGCTTGGCGAGCTTGTATCGCCTTGTTCCGATACCCCAGACCCCAGACCCCAGATATTTGCGTGGCAGCACTACCCCGCGGGGATAGGCAAGAAACCCTCGGCTTCTAACCCTCCACTGCGTTCTACAGTTCGGCGCTTTTCCGGGCGAACAAACCTTGTACTCGACATCTTAGCGCAACCGACCTCGGGACGTCTAGACTGCTATTAATTAGCGTAGGCGATAAGCGATTGGATGTTGTTAAGAGCATCGACCGCAGGTTGCAGTACACATAGCGGCATGCATTAGTTTTGGCTTTGAAAAGTCACTCCGGAAGGCCTTGAACGACCTAGGACACGCCAAATGTAGTTGGTTTGAAGCGTCGAGCGGCATCTATAGCTGGAAGGGAAGTGTTACATGCGAGGCCTTTGGATGCCTGATGAATACGGCATTTCTAGGTAGAAGTTATAATAGTCCGTGGCTTTCGTGCTTCTGGCGGCCTGGCGTCGAAGTGGATGAGGATGTGGAGTGGAGTTTTAGTACCGCTTTATCGATAAGAACGGTGCGCTAGCCCGTTTTGGAATGGTTAGTAAGCGTGGGCCTCTCAACCTTAGCAGTGTATCTCTTTCCTCATGCCTCCTCTTTCGCCCACATTGGCGAGTATGACGTCCTCATTGCCACGGTTATTTCGCTCGATGCAGCTGTGGGCAATCACTGCTATAATTGGGGCCACGGCTGAAGCGGACTGCCACAACATTAGCACGGTTACGCACAATAGCTATATCTTGTCCGTGCCGTACCAGCGTGGATGGGACCTCCAGCGAATGGCCAGTACACACCCGTAATATTCCAAGTATCACTAGCTACCGATGAATTGCCAGATAATTGAACCCCATCTTCCCTGGTTTTGTTTTCCTCGTCGGGAGCGACCTATCAGACCCATGGTAGGAATCTCTTTGTCTACCGCCATGTAAAGATTCTAAATGGCTTTGCCTTCCTCCAGCCGCTTGCGGGCAGGAACGCAGGTGGGATCTTAGGTATAAGGGCCTCTGTTGACCGTGAGTTTGAACATTGTTTCTTAGAGCCATATTGGACAACCGGATTTCTATGCTATCTTCCATTCCCATTTTTCCCTTGTCAAGCTCTCGAAATATGTCTGTTTGTGAACATTGAATGTTTGCAGCAACCTTGGAAAGCACCCGGTCACGCATTCTTGGCATATCAGATTGAGCAAGCGCGTTACTCTACAAACCGAAGCACCTACACAACCGGCTCACCGCCTGTCCGCCCGAACATCCACTCTCGTGTGCACCTCAACCCTGTTGCCTCTCCCACTCGCAACCTGGTGGCACTGCATTGCTACTCTGTGGTGAATAATCTTCGACCGCCCTGCGCGGAGCCATCGCTGGGACACCGCTTGCCGCGATGCCTTTCCCCATCCTGGATTTGCCACCTGAGTTGGTCGGCATCATCTGTAGCGAACTCGATGATACTACTCTAATGAACGTTCGACGCACCTCCCGAACCCTCAAGGTCCATTCTTCGACTGCATTCGGCACGCGCTTCTTCAACCATGTGGTGGCTATCTTGCATCCGGTTAGCCTCACTATCTTGCTGGAGATAGCACGTCATCACGAGCTTTCCAAATTCGTCAACACGGTCACCATTGGAGGCGAACGTATTGGTGGCGTCATTAATATGAGCATCAAAGAGGACGAGGAAAGGCTTAAAGACCTCCAGACTAGCATGGAAAGATCGGGTATGGATCGCCTTATCCTCGACGAGGTCTTTCGAGAGCTTCAGAACCTTGAGATTGTGCGAATGGACAATTCTTCATTCCTCCCAGAGTTCGCCCAAGTCGATGCCGTTCGCTGTGGAAAATTTCACCTTTTCGGAGAATCCTCGGCCTCTTACAACGTCGCTAGCAACGAGCGAAACCTCAATCGAGAGTACAGCTTAGTGCTAGACGCTTTAGTCAAGGCCGGCAAGCATGAAAAGGTCAAACTGTATTTCGTATTCTGCGCTGAAGCCAGCCCAACGCCCAATGATAGCTTCGATCTTGACTCGGAGCACTGGAGGAAAAGCTTCCGCTCCAACGTCCAGTATGTCAGGTTCTATGGAGGCCACAACTCGGAATGGGGGAAGAGTCTCCTCACTGCGCCGAATCTAAAGCAGCTTGAAGTCTACGGCCGTTCGGAAATCTTCGACTTCTCTCATCCATCGGCAGGATTGTTCCATTGGCCGAATCTTCAGAAACTAGCTCTCAACGATACCCGGGTCATACCAAAGAGCTTCTTGGCGTTTCTCGAGAAGCACAGCCCGACAATGACTCACCTACATCTTCAAGCCATTACTCTCCTCCAAGGTACCTGGACAGAACCACTTCAAATCGTTGAAGGCATGCCAAAGTTGCACTACGTGTTCCTCAACGTTTTATGGGAACGCAAGACGCCGTCTATGAGCGAAGGATCCTTTAGTCGATTCTATGATGATGGCGACCTCCACGGGCATTTGTTCCATATGTACGGCCATACTACCATATCCTTGGTCGTACGGGTGCTTCTGAGTGATCTCCGAACCACCAGGGTCAGACCAAAGGGGGTTAGTGGATTTGGTACTTATTACGAGGTCGATTTCCGGAAAGCCAGGGCGGCTCTTGCAGGCAAGATTGTGTACTGTGACGGGGAGTGGAAATCGAAGGACGATGAGGACGAATCAGTCACATAGGCATCGCTAGAAGCAGTTACTGGGGAAGAATGTGGTTCGGATGACGAAAAGAGTGTGGAATGATTTGATGTAGCCAGGAAGCCTACCATCGCGCTGCGGATGGGAATAGCGCTGCCCCGATGCCAATGAGAGGGATGAAGAACGGCGTTGCTGCACCTCTTGGAGATGTGGTAGCAACTTTATCTAGGTAAATGTTATGAAGAGAAAATGAGAAGCAATCTACAAATCTCCTGCTTATTGTGAGGTAAGAATCATAGCATAGCCATTGCAGATCAGCCCTCCCCGCAATGCACGATCTACCTCGACTGCGCAGAACCACCCTGCGGTTCCCCGACACGATATCGAAGGACGATCCCCGCCGATGACGACTAGGATCGCTGACACCCAAAAGATAAATCTCTTTCTCAAAGGACTCATCACTTGGAACAGGCATCAGTGAGCGGACACGCCGAAGATGTTGAAGACTTCGCCATGTTTGCAACCATGAATGTCGAGCTACGACCCTTAGGGGCTAACGCAATTTCTTGTCCGCTGGTCGAGACTCAGACTAACCGTCTAGAAGAGTGGATGCGCTTTGTTGGCGATGCGGGTTGGGGCGCTTCTGCGGAATGGGCAAGAACTGACGATGCAAGCTCGCGAAGGGACGCACCTCTTCCACGGATCGCAGAGCAAAATTTTAACCCCGTCATGTTCAACAAAACTCAGTTACGGATAAAATTCTTCCCCCATTCTGGCACGACTCTCCTCCAAAATCGCCAGAAAAGCAAGACTCTTGAATGTCGCGAAGCACTTCAGTGTCCTCTTGCCAAATCGCACCCAACACACCATCAGCAATGGAAGCACTTCAGGTCCTCTTTCCCCCTCCGGAACCCACCGCAACTGGCCTCCCTCCTGAGATCTGGCACCAGATCTGCCTCGCTACGACATTTACCAGGAAGCCGAAAGATGTGTCTCCAACGGCGCATTATATATTAACGCAATCTGATCTACGCAGGCTGCGCATGGTATGCCGTCATCTTTCCGCAAGCACGGAAGACGCTTTTGGAATTCGCATCTTCTCGTCCATGAAGTTCATGCTCACGCCGTGGAGTCTGGCGTCTCTGCTTAAGTTTTCGAAGGAGGGGAAATGGGGGAAGTATGTAAGAGAGTTGCGGTTTGGGCCGGAGAGGTTGAATGAGGAGATGCTGCATGTGGCTGGACCTCTGTGAGTAATCCTAATCCTAAAGATTATTCACCCCAAAAGCTTCTTCATCCTAAAGCTTCTTCATCCCAGAGCGCCTTCACGCTTCATGAGGAAATATACTAACAAGCCACAAGTCCCTGCGCAGAATGGATGCGCACCTACTCGGCCCCCTACCGCAAACTCGGCGCCAAACAAGCGCACTTCCACAAAACTGGCTTCGACGTCCTCGCCCTAGTCGCCGCCATCCAGAACCTGCCTCACCTGCGCAGCATAGCGCTAGAAAGCACGCGGGATCCCGAAAACGGCTGGCCGCACATATCTGACTGCCGGGGCGCCTGGAAGCTCTGGCGCGACGTCGGCGGCGGCCTCTTGCAGCAAACTCGTTTCCCCGTCCTCCTTCCCGCGTTCTCGACAGCAAACGACTCCTGGCTGCGGAAGACGCGCTACGCAGAGCCCCACGCCCTCATGTGCAGCGTCCTGTGCAGAGCGCTGCAGAAACTGTACCCCGCCGCCAGCAACGGCATCACTGCGTCCCTCGTGGTAAGTACAAGCTGGCTGTTGAGCTTCGAGTGGGCTTTGCGTGGGAGACGGGAGTCTCTGAGGGATCTTTGGCGCCGCATTTCAACGGTTCGTCTTCTGGATGATCCGGACGCGCGGCTCAGACTCTCTGCTGTCTTTCTGGGCAGCCTCGTGCACGATCTGAGTCTCGATGTCAGGACACTGGACGTACGCAGTCGCGGCGCTCCGTCCCTCCTGGTGCAAACGCTCTCCTGCGGCGCTCTAACCACGCTGACCCTGGCCTCTGTTTGCATCAGCGACCAGACCCTGATCAGCGCGCTCGTTCTCAACGCCCAGACGCTCAGGAGTATCGCCTTCCGTCGTGTCTGTTTGAATGCGCACGGCCAGATCGACTGGCTCGCTCTACTATTTGGCTTGTCCAAGTTGCACATGGCGCAGCTGGGGGAAGTGTGCGTGGAGCACTTGGAGCAGTCGCCGCGGTTTAGAGCACGGCTGGACTTCGTTACAAGGGTTCCTGTTGTCAATCCGTGGTTTGAGGGGGTTGCGCCGTGGCCTAGAGAGCGCCGTTTTAGAGCAAGGGGCAGAGATGTGGCGGGCAGAATGAAGCGCTTGGTGGAGGAGGGTAGTTGCCGTGTTATACCGTCTCAGACTGGAGGTAGTTTGGCGCGGGACTGTATAGTTTTTCGACGGGGAAGAGACGGCGAGGGAGCTGATCGGCTCTGTGAGCAGCTCGGTGGTATTCAGTTGAATGGATAGGAGGCTAATCGGGAGCCTGGATACCTTCGGAACACCATTGGGTTGTTATATGCGAGTCGAATAATGGACTGAAGGCAGTCAGAACCTGCTATCCTGAGCTCGCCGATGCTGGCAATTTTGTGAACAAGGAGAACGAGTAAATGATTACATATCTATGCATCCTCATACCAAGCATAACATCGCATATCCATGACCAGCATCCAGTTAATCAAAGATCGGAAAAACGCCACCATTCCAGCACCGTGAGACTATACAACTTCCAGGATCCCATCACCGGGTATTGAGGATCCCCCTAAAATGCGCCCACAACCCTCTTTACTATCCTCCTGGGTCCCTCGCCCGAAATCTGCACCGCACCCTCCAACTCCGCACTCCTCAATACTTCCAAGAACTCCTGGTTCTCTACCTGTTCGCTCGCACCCTCCCTCACCTTCTTCACCAACTCACTCAATCTCACACTCTGCCCTGCACTACCTAGCTCATCTAGACTAGCCAGCACAGCGCGCTTAAGATCCTCCTTCCTCCTACGATCCGAGGTCGATTGGCCCTCGGTGAGGAGCGACATATCGATAAGACCCGTGCGGGAGTCGGTGGCTGCTTGCTTGAGCGCGGACTTGATTAGGCGGACGGCTTCGTGCACGTCGTCTTCGGTTACAACTTCACTGAGCCGCATTTTAGCGTGTGCCTCTGCTAGCCGGATCATTGATTCAAGTTGGCGGGTAGTAGCTGTGATGCGGCGTTCCTGAGAGCGCACATCAGCACCGAGAGCGCGCATGGCGACGTAGGCATCGACAAAGGCCTTTTGAGCGCCGTCGGTGATTTTGGGGTGGATGTTCGACCGGGCGTAAGAGATGTAGGCTGTTAGGAATTCGATGGGCAGAATCTCGTTTCTCGATGCATTTTCGGGGGCGTCTTCGAGATACATGCCAACCAAATGCCTAGCCAGTCTCCTGTCATTCTGTTCGTCGATGCGGTCGAGAACAAGGTAGACCAAGTCGAAACGGGAGAGTAGGGTGGGTGGGAGATCGATGTTCTGTGGGACAGGGAGATTGGGATTGTATTTCGATCCGATGGGGTTGGCGGATGCGAGGATGGAGGTGCGGGCGTTTAGTGTGGTGATGATGCCGGCTTTGGCGATGGATACCGTCTGTTGCTCCATCACTTCGTGGAGGACTGAACGAGTGGAGTCCGACATCTTATCAAACTCATCGATGCAGCAGACACCGCCATCTGACAGTACCAAGGCACCGGATTCGAGCACCAGCTGACGAGTTTCCGGATCGCGAGTGATGTACGCGGTGAGACCGACGGCGGAAGAGCCCTTGCCCGAGGTGTACACACCGCGAGGCGCAATGCGATGTACGTACTGCAGGAGCTGCGACTTCGCCGTGGAAGGGTCGCCACAGAGCAGAACATTGATATCACCACGATACTTGGGGCTTCCACCCTTTTCGAAAGATTTGTTCGTACCGCCGAAGAGCTGAAGGAGAATACCTTTCTTGACATCGTCCTGCTCGTAGATGCTGGGTGCTAATGAGCGCGAGAGAAGCTCGTAGACATCAGGCCGAGCCGCGGTCGCCTTGATCTTTGCTTCCTCCTCTTCACTGACTTTGCGTGTCTCCTCAATGTCGCCAGCGGCGTGCTCGGCGAGCTCTTCTTCGATGGTGGACACATCAATGCCCATGCGCTTCTTGTCGACTTTCTGGATGTGCAGAGCATCCACATAGGTCTTGAAGATATTCTTGACCGTCCGTTGCCGCGGGTTGATGCGCACTTGATTGCACTTGAAGATACCGGTAATCTCAACACGGTCACCAGCTTTGCAAACATCGACCAGTTCATCGTAGGCACAAAGGGATACCGAGTGAGGCGTCTGACCGTCAGGGACGTTGTCGGGCGTCTCCTGAAGCTTGATAACCTGCTTGTCTGCAAAGCCGGACCGGTTGTGGACGATCTGCATGGAGTTGGCAGACTCGCAGACAGCGCGCGGGCATCGAGTGGGTTCGGTGATCTTGCCGCGGTCGATATCCACCTTAACTGTATGATGACACACAGAGCATCGGAAGAAGGCTGCAATGTGTTAGCAACGAAACGCAAGCTAAAAATTTAACGCCACTCACCATCCTTCATGTCCGGAATAATAGGGGTGGTCCTGATGACCAAACCCTTGACACTGACCAACTTATCCATGTCTCCAGGATTCAGATCCCGTAGATTGATAGTCGTGTCCAAACCAAAAGGCCGCACCCGATATGTTTTCTGGTCGACCTCCTTCATAAGATCTGGAATATCTGCAACGGCAGGAGCTGGAGAAGGTGCGCCAGGGGTCCCAACATCAGAGCCGAGCATGGGCGGAAGAGAGCTCGAATCGCGTCCACGTGCCTGCGGACCGCGCTGAGCCTGCGACATCTGGACCCTCAGTTCAGCCATGCGCTTCTCTGCGAGCTCAATCATGACATCTTTGACTGCCACATCCATGAGCGGGATGATTTCGTTGGGGAAAGCTTGCAGCTGGTGCCACAACTTGCGCGTCGGTGGGTAGGCCTTCAGGTTGCGAGCATCCAGATTAAGAGGAGTAACTCCTAGCTCGAGCATTGTCTTCATCAGCTCCACATACTCCTTTGCCATAGCCGGGTGATCTGTGGGAAGATTGGCACCTTCCTCGAGCTCGCCGTCTTGGATGAGGCGGTATTTCCTCTGGAAGTTGCAAAGGAAATCCTTCATCGCATTCATGGAGTCTACTAGAGAGACATTGGTTCCCCAAATGACTCTGGACGAATTGCCGCCCAAAACATCTGCATCTGAGGTGTCCGGGTTCAGGTTGGAGAAGGTTGCAGCATCCGAGGCATCGTGAACTGCCATACCGTTTTCATCGACGAACAGCCGGCGGCGCCTGCCCGTAGAGCTGGGACCGAGAACATCCGAGTGGATGTCGCTTCGGCGGTTGCGAACAGCAGTGTCTGTAGGACCTCGTACGAAGAGAGCGCTGCTACTGCTTCGGATATCGGTGTTTTGCGCATTTCGAGCACGGCCAGGGCTGGAGCTGGAGGCATAGCGGATGGGAGAAGAGTCTGTAAGCGTCAGTCTCAGTCTGCACCATGACTTTCATACTTGAAGTACCTCCAATTGTCATCCCACTAGCCTTGGGCGTCGCGCCGCCATCGTCTTCCGGTGCCCCTGAGCCCGAACCGTTGACTGGAGAAGACCGGAAGAAAAGCGGCGATTGCGTCGAAGCAGTCTGCAAACGAGAGTTCCGAGGAGTAGCCTGCGACTCGCGCTGCGAAGCCTGCGAGGTCTCAGAGTGTAGTTGCTCTTCCGGACCGCCAGGCGCCGGACTGCTGGAGGGGATCTGGGAATTCCTCGCGCTTCGAGCGCTCCTTCGCGGAGTCGCTGAAGCAGAACTGCGCTGCGAGCGGCGCTGCGCAGGAGAAGACATCACTGCAACGGGGTATTGAGAAGGGTATGTGCGGGTTGTGGAAAGTTGGGAGGAAGCGCTGGGGAAGGTGGGACGACAGACTTTCAAAAGGGGACGAACGCGAAAGTTAGCGCGTCGAGTGGACGCGTCGCGCGAAGGGCCAAGCCAATTTAGTCCCCAAAAGAAGCTAGCGTGGACCGTTATCGATAGAGCTGCTCAGTGGGGCGATGATGAATTTCATCGATATAAACAGGGCAGCAGAGCAGCGCCAAAATATCACGAAGCCTAAAGATCTTCGACTCCCTCCACACACTCTACCCACACTCAATCAGAGCTCTTCCTCAACTCAACATGGCACCTCCTTCCAAACTCGGCGTCGCGACTTCCGCACTTATGCGACTCGTGAAGGAAGAAGCGAGCTACCACAAGGAAATGGAGCAACAAGAGGCGCGCATCAAGAAGCTAGAGTCAAATACGGAAGACGAGAATGCCGAATATCAGCTGAAGCAAGAGGTATGAGCATGCGTCCGCGTTCCAGTAATCCGTTCTAACATCACGCAGCGACAAGGTCTTGAAGAGACCAAGAACGTTCTTCCAAATATGCGATCAAAGATTACCCAAGCTCTCCAGAAACTGGAGGAACAGCTTGTAGGTTCACTCGACTCCGTTGTTGATGGGATACTAAATAAGGAACAGGAGAGCAACAAAGAGGCAGGCGGGGAAGCTTCGACGGAAGACGTTACTAAGGCGAAGGAGGCGATTGCAAAGGGCAAGGAAAGCCTCCGTGAGATCTCATAAGCCGTCCACGCCCGGCTCATCCAGATATCATACCCACGAGTCTATATGTAGATGTACATAGCCCAGGAAAGGTTGTTCCATGCCTCAAACACCGCGCTATGCAAGGAAACAGGGTATCAAAATGAGAGGAACCCAAAGAAATAGGCTATCTGTCGTCGCACGCGCAGAAACGGCCCGTCCGGAAAAGAGAACTATGAAAACGACTGATCAGGGATCGTCCATATCACGCGGAGTTTCGCCTCCCCGGTCTCCACTTTGCTCATCATCTTCGCCCTCTTCCACATCCTCGCCCTCTTCCGGGCCAGACGAATGGTCCGCCTGGGTATCTCCCCCATTCTCGCCTGCTTCCCCCATCTCTGCGTCGTCCACGCCTGCAGAAGCTGCAGGGGAAGGAGCGACACTTGCGTCTCGAGAAAGAGGTGCTAGTCGATCGTGCGGGACCTTCAGCGTATTTGAAGTGTCGGCGGATTGGCTGATATGTATCGGCGTAAGGCCACCATCCGGCCTTGGTGTGCCCACATGGCTGACATCGCCTCTCGTTGTGCTGCCTTCTCCATCGCCTTCGTCGTCTCTGTCCTTCATCATGCCTTCCTTGCGTTCCGCTTCTTCCTTCTCGTCTTTAATCATACGCAGCATTTCTCGTGCCTCCTCCTCGATGCGGTAGAACTGCACACGGCGCTCGTTCCAGGTATCCTTCGCGGTCTGTACTTCTTGCTCGAGCTCCGCGATCTCCTCGTCCAACTTCGCGTGAGCAAGCGCCTGCTCGTCTCGCGGCTTCAGCATCTTGCTGTTTGTAATCTTCTCCGTCAGCTCGTCATATGTCTTGCGAACGGCTAATGTCTCCTTTGTTTGCTCCAAGTCGACCCGCAGCTTCTCGATATTCTCTTTAACACGCTCCTGCTTCTCGGTGATGGCGGTCTTTTCTCGTGCATATCGCGCCCGCTCATCGTGATTGCTTTCAGTCGTGAGTTCGAAGCGCAGGATTGTGTAGTCCAAAAGGTCGAGCTCATTCATTAGATCATTCCGCCAAACCTGGATTTTGTGATCTTGTTGGTCTCGTTCGATTGCCCTCGCGGCAGCAGCTTCTTCTGCAGCAGAAGCATCAGGTGGCGGCGAGGGAAGCTGTACTAGTCGGCCATTTGCAAATGCGTCGGACTTGAGCAGGCGACCAGAGACTCGCTGGAACGGGCGCGCTTCGACAGAGAGGAGACGTGCGACGTTGTGAAGCGCATCTGTTCACGTTAATACGATCTCTTGCGCGGATTGACGGCTTCTTACCCTCGTCCGCTTGGGACAGGAGTCCCCAGTTGTTTATCGCCATTGATGAGGAGTATGCGAAGATGTGACAGCTGGAATCGGCGACGATGTGGTTGTTTCTGACGCGATTAAAGGCTGTTTGCGCAAGTTCAAAGGCGCGAGAGTCCGTGCGCAATGCCAAGACCCGCGTCCCAGCCGCAGCCCAGCTCAACATCAGACGTCAGCCGCTCCCGAGGTCGTCCACGGGCGTCTTCCAGGGTTCTTTCACTCGACCTCGACCACACTTTCTCTGTTGCAAGTTATTCTTTCACTTATAAAGAGCGCACCATGTAAAAGACGTCCAATCTTGCATCTTGCTCCGCATCTTGAATGTCCACGTACATGCCTCCACAATAGCTATTCATAGCTATTCACCGTTCCGCGATAATCTCCAGGCAACGCACAGTCGCGCTCCAGAGCTCCGAGACTTCGGCCGCGATTCACAAGTCCGTATTCGCACCTCTATCTTGGCGAACATTTGTGCGAGACGCTACTTAGCTGCCGCCTGCCTCCACCGCTCACGCCTCGCAGCCATTTCCACACCTCATACTCCCACGACTCAACTACACGAAGACCCGAAGAATATACCGCCATCATGCCTGCCTTAAGCCTCTTCGACCTCTCGAAGCAGCGCATGATCCAGAATATCCACATGTTGACCGACATTGGCGACCTGCCTTATTCCTTCCTCGCTCCTGTCCTCCGGCATATCCAGAATCCAGACCAACTGGCCGAGCTCGAAGGAAACTGCCCGCAAGTCCTCGGGGAAACAGGCGATATATGGTTGCGTTTCATCAAGCGGGACATACCAAACTGGGACAAGAAGCCATTCGAGCCCCGGGATGCAAAGAACTGGAGCAAGGCATACCGGAAGCTGAAGAGGGATGCCGAGAAGGAGGAGGAAGCTCAGAAGGAAGCGCTCAAGCAGCAGATGCAGGCTCTACAGAAGAATCGAATTGGACACCAAACCACGATAGTCGAAGGCCGAACCGGATATGGTCCCAGCGCGCGTCGGAAAGGGTTCGCTTTTGGAGGAGCAGGCGCTAGTACTTCTTGGGGCAATCCTGCTGCTCCAGCGAAGACCGGAAAAGCCGTCTTTGACAAGCTTAGGAGGGGTATCTTCGACCAGAAGCAGGCTCGCCCCAAGGCTTCGCAGATGCCTATGCACATGCTAGCTGAGAGGAGAGCCACGGTAAAGCAGGCTCCCGCTCGGTTGGTCAGGATGCAGGAGAATGAAGCACCAAAACGCATGGTCATCTCTAGAGAGGCCTCCGCGTCGCTTGCGAGAAGCAACAGTGTCCCAAGTTCCGCTAGCGGACCGAAGATCACGTCAAGACCGGCACCGCAGACGACCGTGGCCACTGCGGAGAAGCCACGGCGAACGCATTTGCCTGTTGGCCAGCAGTTCTCGGCGCCGAAGTTACAGCCTCAGCGGCCAGCTGGGGCGCCGGTGCCGAAAAGACGGCGAGAAGCGCCCAGTATTTTTCACAACCCAAAGAGGAGGAAGGTGTAACATGGCGCTACAGGTTTGGCTTAGGTGACCCGGCAGATTTCGAATATCTTTTCATAGACAGCGTTTGGTTAGGTGGGATGGTACTCATGACTGGTAAGATCTGCATTGGGCGGCGCTTGAATACAGCGAAGGATTTGGGTTCGATGTTTATTCACGACATCTTCATTCTCCAGCTATCTATGGATACAACATCGGACGTCGCCGTCGATATACAAAGGAATCGATATCCGTGATAATCCTCCGTCTACGTTCGCTCTACTTTCATAGGTGTTCCACAGGACTAACAAAGTCACACAGCCATTACTATGCTTTTCTCCAGCGCACCCACAAAAAGACCGATGCTAGTGGGAACCGCGTACGTATGCCGACACTCGACGCCGCACTCGCACTCAATTAATAGCCGTTAGCGTAAACCGGTCGCCCTTGGAACACATCCTGCATGACCTCCGCCTCTTTGAACGGTAACTCGATTCTCGACCGGCGCAACACTCTCAGCCTCACCTGTCCATACGTGTCTCTCTCGATTCCAAATATTTGCGCATCCTTGCTCATTCCTTTTCCTTCGGAGAGCCATTCATATCGCCCGATCGAGTACTTCCACCGTTTAACCGGTATCAGCAGCTCGCCGCCAGCTTCCTTGACGCCTGGAATCAGCTCCACAACATCGGAAGCAAGCGCTGGACTCTCGGAGCAGACACACACGTAGTTGATCAGCGCACCGCCGACGGCGTGCTTTAATAATTGGTCCCGCCAATTGCGGGGCGCGTAGCCGAAGTGGTAGTTCCGCAACTCGCACGATAGGCGCCAAAGTCTTCTGTCGTACGGTGTTGGAAGAGCGGGGTTAATGGCATTGTTGAGGGTCCGAAGGGAACCGTGGAGACACGGCCGGAGCGAAATTTCCGAAAAGGTCCACGAGCGTCCGCTGTCGTGCAGTTTCTGCAGCGGAATCCTGGATACCGAGCACGTAACCAGGCTTTTTAACGCCGTTGCGGCTGCTGCGCAGGCTGGGGTCGGACATGTCTTGGAGTTTAGAGACACACAGCCGTGCAGATATCGCACCTCCTTAGCTAACGTGGGCAGCTTCGCCTTCAATATTGCTGTCATGTCCGCAAGTTGCGGACTCAATCCGAAGACCCGCTCGAGGAACCGCTCTTCCGCGTGGAGCTCTAGGATTTGGCAGCGTGGGTTGAAGTACACCCATTGGTCTCGTTGCTGTCGGTCTTGGATCGAATGAAAGCAGTTCGTCTTTACGGCTGCGCGGAGCAGCAGTTCACGTACTTTGAAGCTGACGTGAAATATGGCGAGGGGGGCCGGGGGTAGGAGACGGGGCGAGCGACATCCCGAGACGCGCAGAGTGAGGATGGGTGGAGTGGTGATGTAGAGGGCCCAGAGCCAGATGAGGTCTTGCAGTTCCTGTGGAAGACGGCTGAAGGACGATGTGGGCTCGGCGTGGGCCTTGGGGTTGCGCTTGCGGAGACGATTTCGGGGGCGCATGTTTGTGTGCGCATTGCAGGGGCTGAAGACCGACATAAATGAACGTGGATTGGGCGGTTTTGGGGCGATCGAGAAGGAGGTCTTGTATGCCTGCGTGCTCGCATAGCGACACGGCAAGAAGGTCAAGACCGGGGCCTCTCCCTCTCTTTCTCGCACCCCAGAAACTTTCATCTTTACGCCCGCAATTAGGCGTGTCGCTCATTCCGCGGAAGCTCGAATCGAGTGGTATGGCTTATCAGAGAGAGTTGCATCAGGGAGGGAATTTGTAGAGGAAGGTGGGCATGATTGGGAGAGAAACGGCATGCTTGGTTCGTACCCTTTGGACGGATGAGCCGTACTGCCGGTTCGACAGTATCGTTAAAATCAGACGAAGAGGATCCGGAGCACATGTCACCCAGAAGGCTTTCAGTGCCTTTTGGCATGATCCAGTGGCGTATGCATACAAGAGGCAGAAGTCGTTCAAAGCATTATCAACTATTACTTTTCACCCAAATCGACGACCTCTTTGTCTCTGTTCTAGCAGCACCAATGCTACACAGCGTACCCCTCTATCGCATTTTGCACAAAGTCGGTTTGCAGGTACTGATTTCGCTACCGAAACTTGACCCGCTTTCCCCCGCCCTATTGCGTGTTGGTCGGACCTAGCAGGACTGCGACCCAGGGAACAGAAGGCAAGATCGATGGTCCGTTTCGAGGTATTCATGACGACTGCCACTGCCGCCCTGGCAGCCGTGAACCTATTGAAACACACACTGTAGCATTTACAAGGCTATGGAAGCATAAGGTAAATGTTATCAAAAGACCGCACGATGCCTAACTAATGTCTCCAAAGGTCGGGTAGCCGTACTAGCTACCACACTCATTGTATTAATCCAAATCATGACCTAAACGCGAACAAACTCTACGATCCCTTCCAGACCACACGTCCTTCCACAGCATTCTGCACCATATTCTCCTCTCTTACAGGCAACATCATCTTAGATTCTCCCATCAACTTCAGCGCGAGACGGTTACGGGTTCCTTCTCTGCAAATCTTGAATATCTCAGCGTTCACTGCATCCTCATCTTGACAATAACCATACTGGCCTCTTGGCCGATAATCCCAAGCTGTCAACGGCATCTCCAGCACAGGGACTTCGCCTCCTAGTCTGATACTACTCCGCGGGACCGCCTGTTGAAGACGCGATAGGGCGAAATTGCCGCTCCCGTGCTCGCAGACCAGGTCTGAGGCGGTGATACCCATCTCCTTGAGAACGGGCTCCCCGTCGACTACCCAACTCGCGCCGCCCTCGATCAATTCACCCAATCTCTGAGCTAGCCGATGAAATCCCGCCCGCTGGATCTTGTAGATGATAGGCCAGAGGCCGGGCGCGATCCAACACTCATTGAAGGACCAGGAAGCCTTCTCGCGGTAAAGTTCGAGGAGAGGCCGCGCTGAGGTGGAGTACCAACGCAAGTTCGGGAAGTCGTAGAGGAAGTAGGTGTCCGCCCAGAGCCTCGTAGCTAGAGCCGCGCCGGGGAAGGAGACATGGAGATGCTGCACCTGTGGCATCAGAGTAGGGAGGAAATATGCCAAGGTGGTCGGCAGATAACTCGTATCAATCCCACGCACTGTACTCAGTTCTAGCGCCTGGCAGTGGGGATTGAAGAAAAGCCACTGCTCCTCCCGGGCAGTCCTCACAATCTTTCGGAAAGTTGGGTACGCTGGGTAATTTTCATGGATAACCCAGATTACCCTGCGCAGTCGGAGGCTATGCAGGCAGCCCGACTTCCTGGCCTCTTTGAGGAGCAGCTGCCGTGTTGCTCGGCTCACATGGAAGACGGCCGGGGGTGTGGGGACCAGGATTTGCCTTCCGTATCCCGGTGGTGGTTCGGAAGGTAAGAGGAGAGTGACGACGGGCGGCGTGGCGATGTGGAGGGCCCAGAGCCACACGATATCCTGGAGTTCTTGTGGCAGGGACTCTAGAGGGAACGAGGGGTCGCGGATTTCCGAAGGCCCTGAGTCGGGTTGGGATTTGGATTTGTGGCTGCGCCGGGGCAGCACTTTGCGCAGCCACTTTCGTAGTCTCATGTTGGCGTACGCCGTAAGCAGAAGGGCGGACTTCGTAGCGAAGACTGGAGATTGAAGTACTTTACAAGAAGAGGCAGAGATTGGGCAATTTTAGGACTTCGGGGCAGGGTAAGAGGCTAATGCACATTGAAAGCGAGATAGAAACGCAGTGTTGGGCTGGAAATCTCCTGAACCTGCGTGCCTCCTGGAAACTTGTGACGATAGTTCCCAACACACCACACAACACCGTCACGGTGTCCCAAACTTCGTCGTTGCGAACCAAGGATCTTATTGAGTACGTCCCGCTCGACTTCGATTGCCGTCCGTTTCGCCTGTGAGCTACCTTCAATCACGTAGCGTTCTCTCCATTTTCGCTTTTACATCTCTCACGTCCCGGTTTCTCACACTCCAGTAGGGCGACCACCTTCACTTTCAATATTTTACGTGGAAATTCGCGGGTGATAAAATTGCTGATGAATGGGGCGGCAAGCCACGAGTTGGGTCGCTTGATACCCTCAGCACCGTGGTTCTAACATCGTCGCTTACCTCAACGACCTTGGAACGTACGAGGAAGAAATTTTAAGCTCCACCCGATTTTCCTCCTTCGCATACTTATACCGTCCGTTGCAGACCCCACAATACTCGTCTTCGAAATTGTCGTCCCGTCGTCCTTCATCATGTCCACGCCTACCACATTCCACGATTTCCTGGACCTTCCGATCGAGCTGCGTTACGAGATCTGGGAGCACGCAACCGACACCTATCCTCTCTCTGTCACCGCAGAAATCAGCACGGAAGAAAACCGGCTTACCCACGTCTCCCCACCCCCTGCGATCCTCTCCGCTTCAAGTGAGTCCCGCAGAGTAGCTCTCAAGCGCTCCGGATGGCGCAAGTATTGCATTGGCTCCCCGTCGAATCCCGCCTCGATCTACTTCAATCCGCACAACATGGTGCTCGACCTGTACCTCCATGTGGAAACGACGAAAGAGGGCCTTTATGAGAACCGTCGTAGAATTACCTGGACTGGACTTGACGCCGTTCTCCACGATGCCCTTCGCGCAACTCAGCATCTCCATCTGCGAAGCCGAGACTTACGCTATCACTCCGATCTCTTGGATTGGGGCGCTATCGAGGGGATCTGCCTGGACCCTATTTTTTGCTTCGAATTACCCAATTTGAAGATCATCTCCGAGAGTTACAAGACCGTCGAAGAAATTAACGATGGCGGATGCAATCGGTGCGAGGGTTACCATTCGGAGAAGTCTTGCGGTATTCCCCGTATCTCGTGCTCGAGGTGCTTCAATGCATATCGTCCTACCATGCTCCGGAGCTTTTGGCCGTTTTACAATCCGCAGAAACCGGAGGAAATGGAGTGGCACGCCAGGGAGATGAGGATTTCTGGGAGGATACGGTTACCGATCGATGATAAGCAGATTGCGGAGTGGGATGACGAGGATCAAAAATTGCGGAAGATAGAGGAAGCAGAATTTCAATGGTGAGCTGCAGATGGAATACTGGGCGAGGCTAGGGAATAGCGTCTTCGTCGTAGGCAGAGGCCGTAATATATTTATCGCAACCCTCCGTCCTCCCGCTACGGCCGCTCATCTGCTCTACGCACTTCTCAACGGATCTCGAGCGTTTCAACCTTTCCCTCTGTACACCACCTCATGATCTCTTCTGGATCCCTGAAGCCAGAAACATAAGCAGAACCTACTAGCCTCCAGAAATGGTCTTGGCGACGTAGGACGAGAGGGCTCTTCGCACCACGTATAATTGCAACGTGGTCGCCCGCTTGCGTGGCTTCCGGTCCCAGTCCGATCCACACCCTTTCACTAGAATTCCCAGCAACGAAAAGCCTCCTATTTTGCAGAGCACGGCGTACAAGACTCCGGAAGTTCCCACTGTCGCCAGGCGCCGAGAGTGAGGGTTTCGGAAATCTTCTTTCTAAGGTCTCTTGGAGAGACATAAGCATCGCGACTTCTCGCGTGCATGGAAGTGTTCTAGGGTCAACTGGTAACGGTGCGCAGTAGGTAATAGCAGCCCTGAGATCGGCTTCTTGCCTTTCGTAGCAATCTGGTGCGTAGTGATCGGCCAGTATTCCGCAAAGCCCTGTACTCAAAGCGCTAGAAAAATCGAGATTTAATGCGTCTAGTCGATCGTTCCTCGGCCCGAATTTTTGCCAAATATTTTCGATCCAGAAGTCGGCAATGCAAGTGATGTTTGGCCAAGCCTCTCGTTCATGCGAGCTAGCGTTGGTTTGACCGTATGACACCGTATCAACGGCAGCAAAATCAATGCCAGCCACTGTCAGGAATCCGTTGCCACATATTGCTCTCGTAACGGTAGGGTAGGTGCGACCAGTCAACACTTCTGTAGCCGTGCTGTATTGTTTCCACTCCTTCTCTACAACATGACGTAAAGGACTGTGAGGCTGGAACGGTTGTAGATAACCGTTGGCGCAGACATTCCACTGTGGGACCCAGGAATGAACGCACCCTCCGACCCAGCGCTCTAAAGCACGCCCATGCTGCACTGCTTCGAGGACCTCGCCGATAAGTCCAAAAGAGACCGCTCTGGTCGCAAAATCGAGGTAAACCTCAGATACGGCGGATTCGTAGCCCGGCTCGATGGATTTGACTAGAAGAGAGTCTGCCTTGTAGGTTGGTCCATAGTGAAGCCCTAGGATGCCGTATATACGATCACGATCGTCCGAACAGTGAAGAGTCCTGCTAAAGCGTAGCACGTCCAAAAGGTTTAATCCGGAGTCTCTGTTCGCTTCCTTCATCATACACAGCTCAAAAACCATAACCAAGAAAGCAAATGGGTTATTGAATGAGGTCGGACGCAGCTGATCAGGGATAAGCTGAAGACGACGCAGCCCTCCACTAACCCAGCTCCAGCCAATTTCCTCATCTCCCCACAGGAGAATAGCTCGTTTCGCCAAGATGATCTCTTGTAAAACCCAGAGACGGCTGAACCATTTGCATCTCGCGAATATTGAAAACGGGACGTTCGGAGAAATCGATTTTCCTTGGCTGAGTCGTCGAAAAGAAGTGAACACTGCAGGAGCCACACTGGAAGGATCCGATCCCAGCCAAACCAGCACACGGTGAGCCTTTTGGTATACGTCCCGCATAAACTTCACCTGGTGGCCGCGCTCCTGTAGATCTGCTTGATTGATGCAAATGCCGTCGGCCCATATCGTTCGTCGCCTGTCAGGAAGCCGGACCCGGAGGAGCGCCTCGTGAAGGCTCCCAGTCATTCGCATGATTCGACCATTGCAGCTAAAATGGTGAGAATAAACCGGCGTGCCCCAAACATAGGAGATTGCCTCGTATGGAGGATTTATGGACAAATCGACGTGGGCGAGCTTGCATACCAAGGGCGCGTCCGTCGCTCCCGGCTCGATCACGATGAGACGGATCGAGGTTGGTGTCTCTAGCGGGAGATATTCATATGGGTCGAGGAAGGCGTCATTGCTCTTGTTGGTCTCCTCTAGGCGCTCAATTTCGTCCGGGAGCTGAATTTCCTCGGGAAGTTCGGTTTCTTCTGGGAGCTGCGTCTCCACCGTAGCCCGACTCACTTCGTTTCCCATGTCCGGGGCCAGGTGGACGGAGAACGGATGGGGAGAGATTCTGCTGCGGGAAAGGCCATGCCGTGAGGAGTGGAAGAGATGGCCATTCGGGTTATCGAAATATGGGCTGCGAGGCTCGAGTGCGGCGGTGGCTGTGTATGCAAGCTAGCAACACTAGTCGTCGCATCGTGCTCCGATGCCATCGATAAGACTCCCCGAGCATTCAAGATGCTTCACGTTTCCCAGGCCGTCAACGGTGTCGAAGGCCATCGGGTGCCTAGAATGAGGCCAAGGAGTCGATGAACGACCGTTCAGGGTTGAGCGGCAGCACGTGCACGCTAACCATGCACGCTCTAGGGTCTTGTGCTTGTGCCACCTCAGACGGGTCGATCACCACCGCTCACCTCTTACACCCCGCGTCTCATCAAGCTAATCACCCAGCTCAACCTGGTCAAAGGCGACCACTTACGGCGCTTGGCAACGTTGGCCACCCAGGAGACCCCTCGGCTGCCCTCAAAACATGCGATGGCTGTTCATGCTTCCCTGCACATATCGTGCAAGGAGCGTGGGCGTCCGGCCCGGCCGTGGAGGCACAATGCCGTTCTTGATGCCTTGATCTGCTCGCACTTGCCTTGCTTTTCTTTTCTCGTCCTGCTTGCTCTTCGCCACTGCTTCTGAACTCCTCGCTGGTGCGAGAGAATGCGTTATCGTTGTTGAGCAATGATCAGGTTATCGTCGCTATTTCAGACTCTGCTGGTTGTTTGCTCGATATGGAGAGGCGTCGAGGGACAGATGATAGGGCAGTACGACAACAGGCATCGGATATGGGCGCGACAGAATGGCAACGGGAACAACAACGATAACAATAACAACAATGGTCAACCCGATACGAGCGCGTTCAACATCGTCAACGGACGAATATTCACGCCTGGACTTGGCATAATACTGGCTGTAAGTGTCGAAATGGATTAGGAGATGTGATAGAAGCTGACAGTTTCAGCCCCAACCGTTCACACCTATGGGCGGCGATTTTCTCCATGTCGCGATCGATGTCTCCGGAGATGGCAAACTCAAAGTGCCACCGCAGAACAGAGACGACCAACTTACCCAAGTGTTCAACTTCACGATGTTTCTCACCAGCAATACGTTGCAGAAGAACTTCACAATATCCAACATAACAACCACAACGCCGCCTTTCGCCGATATCATGAATCAGGAACCCGGATCAACGGTCAAGCACGTCAACTTCGAATGGCCAGACTGCTTGGTTGGCGACGGGAAAGAGGCTATTGGAGAGACCGCCCGAGGAGACTACAACATCACGATTCATCAGAACTTTCGCCTGAACGGCAGCGATTTCTACAGCATCTTCAACCTTCCCATCTCCGTCACGAACAGCATCGAACAATTCCCGGGCGCAAACCAACTTCTCACAAATCCAGCACCTGGACCGTTGAGCGCGAACGGCGGTCGCATGAACTGCGATATGATCTCGAATCCGATGATGAGCTTCAGCGCGCTCGTCCAGAGCGTGAACAACCCGCCAGGCCAGCCGTTCCAGGACATCCAGATTGAGACCTCGGGAAGCGGTCAAGGAGGCCAAGTCGGAGGCCCTGGTCAAGCAAATCCCAGTAGCAATGGGAATGGGAACGGTAACAGCAACGGCCAAGCCGATGCGCAGGGCCAGCTCGGTGCTGCTTACAAGAGTGCGAGCATACAGTATGCAGACGTTGCATTCACGGCCGCAGTTGCTGTTCTGGGCATATCAGTGGGATGGTGAAGAATATCCGGCGCAGGCACCTGAGACTGGAGCTCTAATTGGAGGAAGAGAGAATAATGATGCAGATCTGATCATGCAGCGGAGCGGGGCGAGACCGGAGGCAACAATCTCAGGTGGGGTTGCATGAAAGGTGACATTCGGCGGCGTTGTTGCTTTCGTCATCCACGAGTTACGGCCTGAGGCAGACACACCTCGCGATACGATGCGACGGTAGATGGCGCACCGGGGACGAGAAGACATACACCCATGATACCACATCCACTATTCCTATACCTTTCCACAAATCTTTGACAGAATACCCATAGCATGAGCACCCTTCCAAATCGCTCTGCGCGCATCTTAAGCCGCGGTCGTCCCCGCACAGCCCTCCATCTCTATAGCCGAAGTTTCAATCCAGCAGCGGTCAAAGCAGCCGCGCCGTCAACACAAGCTTAAAACGCTACATGGTTGGCTTGTCCTCTTCCCATCCGCTACTGCCGAAAATGACGTGTTTCACCCTCCGCATGGGTTCACGCGGCTTGGACCCGGGTTCATGCGGCCTTGTTTCAGCCCTATATCTGCCTGCTATGACAGCGGAAGCTTGTAAAATGTGACCTGTATGGATTTTGAGTGGTTGATTTTTTCATGAGAGGAGGGACAAGGGACTCCTGGATTGGGCGGGCTGCAGACGGTATTGCGTGAGCTGCAAGGAGAAGGGTTGTGGAAGAGTGGGACGGCGGGGTAGGACGGATGCGTACGCTCTTTATGCGTGCATTGCCGGTGTTTGTGTAGACTTGCGGTGTTGCTAATGCCCTCCAGATGCGCTTCGGAGATGTCGCCCAAAGAGCAAAATGCGTCACAGGTGGACGAGACTTGGTGTACAGCAAATTATCCAAACCGCTATGCTCATGGCTCGTAACCTTGGAACTGTTCATGCTGAACAGTGGCACAAACACCTTGCTGTACTTTCCAGAGCTTCTGGGCGTGCCCATTGTTGGTACCGTGAAGAGCTCACCACTCCCGAATCTCCCCACCAGGCCCAATGAACCCAGGCGTAAACCAAGCCTTCGCATCTTTGCTCAACCTTCTCACCATCTCCTCATCGACTTCAATACCCAGTCCAGGTCCCTTCATCAACTCAATATACCCCTCCTTCACTGTCCAAACCTCGGGATTCTTCGTGTAGCTTGTCAGATCCTGACTTCCCGCATTATAATGGATGCCCAAGCTCATTTCCTGGATTGAGAAGTTGGCGACAGTAGCGTCGACTTGCACGCATGCTGCGAGCGCGATGGGACCAAGTGGGCAGTGAGGCGCGAGAGCTACGTCGTAGGCTTCGCACATGGCGGCTATGCGCTTCATTTCGGAGATCCCGCCACAGTGCGAGATGTCGGGTTGTAGGATGTCGACGCAACCAGCTTCGAGAAAGGGGCGAACATCCCAGCGGCTGTGGAGTCTTTCACCGAGAGCGATGGGGCTTGAGGTAAGTTGTGAGAGGGCCTTGATGCCGCCGATATGCTCAGATAGAAGAGGCTCCTCGATGAAGAGTGGGTGATGCGGTTCCAGCGCTTTGGCGAGCTGCTTGGCCATAGGTTTGTGCACGCGCCCGTGGAAGTCCATTCCAGCATCCATACCGAGGGCTTTGACGGTTTTTAGGCGCTCGACGCTATCGTTCAGCGCTGATGGGGAATCGAGCCAAGCTATGTCCTCCGTAGCATTCATTTTCACAGCATTGAAACCTTGCTCTTTTCTAGCTTGCCTGCAGAACGTTACTCTTAATCCAGACCAGAATAAGGAATAAGAAGACTCACGCTTGCTTTTCGACGTCCGAAGGCCGATCTCCACCGATCCAAGCGTACACCCTCAGCTTATCTCTGACTTTTCCACCGAGCAGCTGATAGATCGGTACACCCAGTTTCCGGGCCTTGAGATCCCATAGTGCGATGTCAATGCCTGCTAGTGCACTCATGAAGACCGGGCCGCCACGGTAGAAGCTGGTTCGCCATGACATCTGCCAGATGTGCTCTATCTCGCTACACGCACATTAGAAGACACTTTCAACAATCGAGTGGACGAGTCACTTACTCTGCCTCGAAGCCCAAATATCTGTCAGTCCATGCGTCTAGACATCCCTCGACTGCTTGGGTATGCCCTTCCAGAGAAGCTTCGCCCCATCCAGTATTACCTGCCTCATCCGTGATTTTGACAAAGAGCCATCTTGGTGGTACGCGGAAGTATTCAATGGTAGCTATTTTACCCATCTGCGAGCTATTGGGACTACAATTTGACTAAAAATGGCGTGGATTTTCCGATCAGAGACCAAAACAGTCCAGAGATAGAAGGAATTGATGAATAATCAAAGTTCGCGGTCGATGCTCAACCCGTAGTTTGGCAGTCGTGGAAAGGCCTGGGGAAGTGGGGGTTGAGTACCAGGGCTCCAAGGACGCCGGCTTGAAATACGGACCCAGGCTTCCCCTACTGCGAGAACTTTTCATACCAGATGGACTTGGTAAGCCGCTCGGATACGCCATGAATGCGTTCTCTTTGAGGCAATCCCGACGTCGGCGCGGGGTCACGATGGGGAACCAGAGCTCCACTCTTCGGAACTCTAGCTTCGGGAAATGGACGAAATGCCACCGAACTTACCGACAACTACCTTCCCCATATTTTACGATGTTGTCGCTCATCCTCTTGGGTAACTCCAGCAACGTCGGGTTGAGAGTTGATCGATCACGAACGCGTCTCAGGAACACGGCCAAAGCACGAGCCACAAGATGACCTCATCTCCTCCCACTGGCGTCTGGGTGCCCGTCCCGACTTTCTTCAAGCCGGCATCTTCCTCCACCTCGATCCAAGCCGATATCGATGTTGACACGCAAATCGCCCACAGCGTGTACCTCGCCAAGAATGGCGTTCGCGGCCTCGTCCTGCTCGGTTCGACGGGCGAAGCGATCCACATGTCGAAGCAAGAACGCTTCGATATGGTCTCTGGCGTCCGAAAGGGATTGAACGATGCGGGATTCCCGGATTACCCGATCATGGCCGGCGTGCTCGTCAACAGCATTGATGAGACGCTGGAGTGGTTAGAGGACTTCAAGAAGGCGGGTGCGCAGTGGGGATTGGTGCTTGCGCCAGGATACTTTGGGGCTGCTGCAAACCAGGACAATATTAGGGAATGGTACACTATCGTTGCAGATAGGTCGCCGATTCCGATCTTGGTGTGAGTCGCATTCGTGGGGCCTTGACGGGAACGCAAGCTAAATTTCAGATAGATATAACTACCCAGGCGTCACGAACAACATCATGGTCACACCCGAATCCTACCGCATCCTCGCCCAGCACAAGAACATCGTCGGATGCAAGATGTCGCATGGCAACGTGTCCTACCACGTCCAAGTATCGCTCGACCCCGAGATCGACCACAACAAGTTCAGGGTATACAGCGGCTTCGGTCAGCAATTGGGTCCAATTGTGCTCTTCGATGCCGCCGGAGTCATTGACGGACTCGCCGCGATATACCCGAGGACTGTTTCTCTACTCATGAAGCTATGTGAGCGGCGACCGGTGACGGACGAGACACTCAAGAAAATCAAGGAGCTACAGTATACCGTGAGCTCAGCGGAAGAATATGTTGTGAACGGCGGCATTGTCGGTATCAAGGAAGCTGTGAAGCGGGTGCTTGGAATGGGTACTATGGAAGGCGGAAGGCTACCGCTCAAGGGCAAGCTGCCAGACGGAGTGTGGGAGAAGTGGGATAAGGGGGTTCTGGCAAGGATACAGAAGACCGAGGATTCGATCAATGCGGCGGACCTCAGGTGAGGGTAACTGATTGCCGTACATATGGCTGGTCCTGCGACTTCAAACGATAGAAATCACGCCTCCACGCGGATTGGCTTATACACCATGCGCGCGCTCCAGCACTTACCCATTACTTTGTAACCAGCAGCAAACTCCGTACGTGATTAACCCCACCTCCTCCCGCCATGCTTATGCCGTATCACGCCGGCCTTGCTGACAAAATCCTAATCGCAAGTCGCGAAACCGAGTCCGTGTGGCTCATCCGCTACTGCACCTGCGCACGGCCCAAAATCTCCAGTCTTGGCATGGTGTATCAAAAGCACAGACGAAAATTCCCCTTTTCTCAAAAAGGGCGGCTGGTCGGCGTCAAGTTGGCTGAAGGATTCGGACTTGAAGAGACGCCGTTATTTCCAGTTGCTACGAGTGAGAGAAGTATAAATGGTTGCGTTTGTGGGACTGTTTGCAGCCGTCAGTAGCGAGAGGCGGACTCGTTAGTGCAGTACCACCTCATCTCGTCCGCTATTACATTTATATCAACCTCCTCAGCACTTCGGCCTCTTTTCTACACGAACTTGCTCGGCATCAAAGACGATGGCGCCATTTGACGACACTACGGGCGCAACCCGCTTCGACAGCTTCGACATCTATCGCACCTCATACAAGCAGATCGGAGACCACAACATCGAAGTGGGGATCCTAGTTCCCAAAGACCTTCAACCGGTCAAACATCCGCTGCTCATCAAGTTCCACGGCGGCGGTCTCGTAAGAGGTGCTTCCTCCAACAACCCTCTCCCTCATCACTGATCCTATCAAGGTGACAGGCACAGCGCTCTACCCCGACTGGTTCTCCGCCTGGCACGTCCCGTTGATCCAGCGCAACACCGCTATAACCGTCCTGCCCAACTACCGTCTCACGCCCGAGCACACGGGCAACGACATCTTAGAGGACCTCGCAGACTTCTGGAAGTGGATCAATGGCGGCGGCCTCACAGATTTCTTCGCGTCCCAGAAGCTAGCAATCGAGGTCGACTTCGAGCATATGCTCGTCTCCGGTGACTCCGCTGGGGGCTACATGGCGCTGATGAGCGGCATCTCCATGCCCAGGGGAGCTATCAAGGCCATAATCGCGCAGTACCCCATGACAAACTACCTCCGCTGCGATCCAGATGCGCCCTTCAAGGTGGATCCTAAGCCCCCGCTCTCACTGGTGGACGAACACATCGCATCCATCACGCCCGGCACGGTGATCTCCTCCGCCACGCCGCCAGCTCGCATGGAACTCTCCTTCGCTCTCGCGGCCTACGGCCGCTACAATGAGTTCTTCGGCACCGGCAAGCATCTCTGGCCGATTACTGCGATCGAAGAGGCGGAGCATTTCCCGCCGACGCTGATTATCCATGGCGAACAGGATACGGCCGTTAGTATTGAGGATAGCCGGGCTTTTGTGAAGAAGGCGGGAGAAGTTGTGCCGGGGGCGGAGATCAAGTTCGCGATGACGGACGGGGATCATGGGTTTGATGTCGAGATGAAGGAGGATGAGCACGAGTGGTTGAGAGAGGGGTTGGAGTGGGTCGAGAGCAAGTGGTTGGCTTGATGGGCAGACATAACGACTTGTCTCGTCGTGGCTATGCTTGAGGTGATGAAGAAAGTATTGTCGATTGTATCCTCTCCGCTTGATCATGAATGCTCGAGAAAAGAGTTCACATATGGGACGTCCCCTCCTTGATGTGGGCAATTGCTCTCCTCGCATAATCCATCTTACAAGACTCGATCTCAAAAAATCCCACCCATCTAAAAACCTCAACATCCCCATCCCCCAGGTTCGCGCTATCGCCAAACCCCAGATCGCCGCACCCAAGTGGGGCACCCATACCAACACCCCCGCACACACCAACCCGCACCCCGTGCACCCGCTCACTTTTCCGGACGACTCCGGACAACCACCCATTGCCGCTCGAAAAACCACCGCCCTTTTCCACCCTCTCTCCCCCGTAAAAAAATTTCCCCATGTCTCCCGATGCCATGGAGGAGACCGCGCCCCCGCCAAAGCCGTCAACGGAGTGGGTCCATGTGACCGGAAATCCGACCGTTGCGGAGACGCCGACTACGGTGCATGCTACTTCCGAGGGTGCCGATGCATCGGAGCAGCAGCAGCAGCAGCAATTGAGTCCGCCGACGGCGAAGCGGCGCAGAGAGGAGCGCGAGAGGACGAGGGTTAGTCGGGCGTGTGATCGGTGTAAGAAGTAAGTAGGTTGGAATGGGAAATGTTGTAGAATTGCAAGGTGCATACATATATTTATTGCTCTCGCTTACTAACCGGTCCGTATAGGAAGAAGACGAGATGCTCGGGGCGCTGTCCATGTACGCTATGCCTGAAAGCCGGCCTGCCCTGTGAATTCACAGCAATGTACACGCGCGGCCGACTACCCTCAGTCATCGTCGACGAAGCAGCTATGACGGCGAATACCAGGCCCAGGGTTTCCATGCCGGCGACAGTATCGATGCCATCACCTAAGGACTTAGCGACGACGCCGTCTTTTCAATTCCACAGGCCTCCAACGTCTCCACACCCCAATCCGTCCAATGCTACCAGTAGCGATATCTTCGCTGCTCGAGGAGGAGACAGACTCGCAGTGCCCCCGGAGGACCCAACCAGAGACTCGTCATCCCGCACCTCCCCGGAGCCCGCGCAAACCGACCAGCAAGGCCACTACGTCGGCCCAGCCTCCGGCGTATCCTTCCTGCTGCGGATCCAGAAGCGTCTGCACCAGAACAGCTCTTTGTCGCACGACTCGTCCATCTTCACCTTCGGCGACGCGCCCCTCCCAGAGTTCGACCCGACGTTCTTCGTGCTGCCGCCCAAGGCGGATGCGCAGCGCCTGGTGGAGCGGTACTTCGACTTCGCGGCGCCGACGCACCGGTTCCTGCACCGGCCGAGCATTGAGAGGCTGCTGAATGAGTTCTACGAGACGCAGGGCGATATGCGGAATCGCGAGGATGCGCCGGCCAAGACGGCGCTGCTGTTGATTGTTTTTGCGCAGGCGCAGGCGTATATGCCTTCGGGGACTGCGGAGCATGATAATAGGTGCGCTGGCTATGTCTCCAACCCCCTTTTTTGGGCTCATGGGCTCTGCTGATGCAGGCGCAGTGCACGGTATTACTTCGCTTCCGAGCACCAGCTCTCCAAGGAGCGCGGAGCAGTGCGTCTGGCAAGTGTGCAAGCACGCCTCGGCCAATGCTTCTACCTCCTTGCGCAATCCCGCGTCAATCACTGCTGGAGTCTGTTCGGCACCATGGCCCATCTCGCCTTCGCGATAGGCCTAAATCGCGGCAGGAGATGCGATCCCTCAACCACAGTAGATTACGTAGAGCTCGAGAGCCGGCGGCGGTGCTTCTGGGTCGCGTACACGCTGGACAAATATCTCGCCGCCGCCCTCGGCCGACCGCGGACCTTCAAGGACGAGGATATCGACCAGGCAAGTTTATTAACACATCCCCTTCTCCGCCCGCATCGATTCCATACTACCCGGGCTAACGTGAAGCCCAGGAACTCCCCACCGTAGTCAACGACTCGGACCTGCACTCTCACTCGCTCAGCCCCGCGCCCACAAACTCTCCCCACACCATCCCCGTGCTCCTCGCCCCCGTCGAGCACATAAAGCTCTCCCGCATCGTCTCCCTCGTGCTGCGCGACCTGTACCCGATCCGCCCGCCCAGCATCCCCCTGCGCACCGAGCTGTCCGCAAAATACACAAAGGACCTGCACGCCTGGCGCAGCAACCTCACCCGCTTCCTCGACGCCTCGGACCTGCCGTCGTCCCTGCTAATCCCCATCTACCAGCGGCAAAGGAACGTGCTGAACCTGGCGTACTACCACGCGGTCCTGCTGGTGCACCGGCCCTTCCTGCTGTCCAACTTCGCGTCGCTGACGCAGATCGACGGCGGGCGTGCGCCCTTCGCCGGCGGCAGGAGCATCGACACCAGCGCCGCGGTGCAGGAGTGTCTCGACGCCGCCATGGGCATCGTGCGCGTCGTCGAGGAGATCGCCAGCACGCAGATCTTCCGCGCCTTCTGGTTCACGCAGTACTACGCCTTCTGCGCCGTCGTCGTGCTGTACATCTACCGCATCCAGCAGGGCATTGTCGAGCCGGGCAGATGCGAGGGCTACTTTGCGGCGGGGCAGCGATGCCAGGCGGTGCTGAATTCTATCAGCGATGTCGACTGTCTGAGTAAGCGGTACTGTCTCGTGCTGGAGGAGTTGCGGCTGGAGGCTGCGAGCCAGGGCCAGGGCCAGGGACAACAGCAGGGCAGGGAGAGGGCTGTGGCGACGCCGTCGAGCTTGAATTCCCCCTCTGCAGCGGCGCTGACGCAGCCGACTTCTTCCTCCTCGATGAGCTTGTCCGTTCCGACGTCGACGCCTCAACGGGATGCGAGTCCGGGCTTCACTAGCTCGCCGTATTACGGGGGCACGACGATTCCGCCGACGCCGGAGAGCGCTGTGTTTAGTACGAGTTTCCTGCCGACGAGCAGCATCATGGCGGATCTGACGAGCTGGGGCCAGTTCGATAGTCTGGTTACGGCGGGCATCGGCATGCTGGATGGGGGGTATGACGGTGGAGGTGGGCTGGGGTTCGGGCTAGGGTAAAAAGGTTTCGAAGAGCGGGTGTAGTAGCAGTGTTCCACAGGGGATGGAGTCTCGATGGGATAAGGGATTGGAGAGCGCGCGACGTTCTCTCCCTGCAGCTCCGAATGAACACTCACCTCTGCATCTCCTGCGGTGCTCTGATCCGACCGCCGTGGTGAAATAGCATGAGCCAATTGAGGGCGTATCGTGCGTATGTCGTCACATCTGCCGAGTAAGCGGATTTCAAATGCCGTCTCCATCACACATAGCCCTTCAACACCATACGCAGTGCCTATGAATTCTTCATTCCTACCAGGTAGAAGTAGTAATGCAACAAGACCTCATCAACCGCGGCCATGAATCGCTCCATACGCATGCTTGTATATGATAGCTCATGTTCGAATGATGCCAGCGCCGACCCGTCAAGCCTCGGGCGCATACACAGGACCGTCCGGCAACTCGTCAAACGTTAGCCCACACGTCGGTCAGGAAAGCCGCGCAGGAAGGAAGGAAGGGGGAAAGAAGGAGGAGAGGAAGCTATAGGCCACCACCGCGTAGGGCAAGTACCAAGTGGAGCGTGGCACCGCCTTCGAGGCTGTAGTCTGCGGCGGTCTTGTCGTCGGCCCTGTGCACAGCGCGTGTTAGCATCTCCCACGGTATTCTGTATCAGCGAAAAGGGTGGTCGAAGAGAGAGGGAATAGATGTGGAATAGACGCAGTGTGAACAGAACGGAGAAGGCGGCATTGGAGGGAGGGGATATGTGTAGGTAGGATAGGAAGACGTACATCTGCTTCCCTCCGTAGATCAATCGCTGCTGCGCGGGCGGAATGCCCTCCTTCTCCTCGACGCGCTCTTTTATCCGGGACACCTGGTGCATGTCAGCACTCCAGCACTCACTACAATTCCCCCATCCACACTCTCATCATCATCCTCTCCCGCAGAAACGCACCTTGTAGTCCGGTTCGATGTCGAGCTCGATCTCCTTGCCCGTGAGCGTTCGCACTCTGCCACACAGACACACCACGTTAGCACTCCGCCTTTCCGGGAATTACTTACCACGCCAGAGTGGAACTGGACGCGTAAAGAAGGCTGCGTGTGCGCTTACTTGATCTGCATCTTGACGAGTCCTCTGCGCTGTCTTGTCTCTCTTTCAAATCGTTGAGTCGAGCTTCGGTGCTCTCGGTGGGGTAGGTCAGCGGTAAGCGGCGCAGGCTTGGTGTTCGGCGTGGACGTGAGCAGTACGTAGTTGCAATCGGGCGAGCGTGGGGGTGCTGATGCGTGTTTGGTTGTTGGGATGTGTGTGTGTGAAGAAAGTGAGTTGTTTGCTCTCGCGCAGGCAGGTGTAGGCGTCAAACCGTGTTGACGTCCAGGCTGCAGTTGCCGTTGCCGTGGTCCAAGGCCGCAATGGCGGGGCTCAAAAAGTGAAGGCGGCCGGAAAGGGAAAGAGGGGCAGCGCCGTTGTGGCGGAAAATCCCGGCACCGGTGGCGGTGGCTTATCTCATCGTCGGGCACGTGCTTGGCGCAGGCCAGGCTAGCGGAAACTTGCCTCTTTTGGGTACTTGCAGGGGACGCGTGCTGTGACTTTTCAAGGGCGTGAAATTACGGGCTGAGGTGAACTTGTTTGTGGAGATGAGATGGGGTGTTTTGATATCGGTTGGGAGACGGTTATCTGTGGCTGTTACAGCCATCCGTTTTTCACTGCGGCTGCCCGGACGCAAGGCGCCACCTGGGCGGAGGCTGTTGATGGCGCTTTCCAGATCTCCGCCCGCAGCCAGGGGAGGCGAGTATTGTGTATCTGATGCTCTTCAGCAGACGTAACCACGTAAACTCACCAGGTCCTACAGGCCCCAAGTCCAGGTCCGTTCCTCTGCAGACCTCGACCTCTCTGCCTCTGTGACTCAAGTCTGGGCAAGAGCCGCGCAATCGTACACACAACGCGCTGACGCATAGTCATCCTCACCTCTCCCTCACGCAGCCTGACCGGCTCCAAAACCTGATGGTAACACCGAGTATGCCTCTTCAAGAATCCCACTCGGTCACACGCGCGCCACGTCGTATTCTAACTCCAATCACCTCTGCTCGTCTTGTTGATAGGCGCCAGACATGCAACGCCTAAACATGAAACACACACCTCCGTCCAAAAGAACACCAAAAATATTCGACAACAGCTGAGCTGGTTGGCCCACAAAGGCCGGACCGGAGCAAGCAGCTTTGCGATCTTGCATTTGGCGTACCATTTTCCAAACCTCGTGCCGTTACTATACACAACCGAACCATGGGGCGGCAGACCAGTCCCCGAATGCAGGGCATTCCTTTCGCGTACCCAGCCCAAAGGTCTGATGACCACCATCCAGAACCAACCTTATGCCAAAACTATGCACATGCTGAAGAGAAAAAATAGGCCGGACCGAGCATATCCGGACGGTGCCGGCGCCGATTGAACATCAGGTCCACCTCTTTAGGAAATGTCCGTCTCTGCGGAAAGGCAGGAAAGCCGGGTATATGGTTGTAACAAATTGCAGCCAACAGGGAACCAAGAACGGATCTCGAGGATCGGGATAATCGTTGAACAAAGGAAACAAGGATGAATCAAGTCCTGCTCTGCTAAAACATAACGCCGGAAATGCTGGCGCTCAAGTCCGCACTCCGGCCTCTAATGGAACGAGAAAAGGGTGACGGCGATATTAGAATGCCAATCCAAGTCATCACAAAGATGCTGCGCTTCTAGTCGCCAGAATGTACATTTCCAAGGAAATGGGACTTGGCAGAGAACCTGCCCTGTTGAGCCCCTGCCGGTCCGAATGCGATGAAGGATTCCAGCGACGATTCCAATCGTGCAGTAGATGAAGCTGACGGATGCCGACAGACATGAGATGGATACCTGCCACGTAATGTACTGTTTCCTCGATAATGGTACATGAAGATCTCCATAAGTATAAATGGCTGGCGGCTTGCATGCAGTGCGATGAGACACGGTTGGGCGTACTTAAGCCGAAGATTAAAGATGCCGTCGCAGGGCAGGACTCCGGCCTGCGTGACTGGATTACTGGATCCGGGCGATATGCTCGATACGCTAGTTCTATGCAAAGCGGGCTCGTGGGAATAGATTGAGGTCGAATATGCGTAAGCGGCCCGTCGCTGGGGAGATCGCCGTGCCGTTTCATGTCGAACAGGGAGACGAGAACTTGGTCGCTGACGAGAGCACTCTATGGTGCATGCGACCACGCTGACCGGAAAGAGGAGGGAGACAGGCCGTAGCGAATAGGGTGCCGAAGAAGGTATAGCCAACGATTCTATCTATAACCATCCAATAATGGAGTAATGGGAAAGTACTCTGGGTATATGAACCAAAGCTTCGAGCGTGCCAAACCGTGGTTGGAAAATAGAAAGCCCAAGATGAGAGAAAAAGCCGTGATGAGTGTGATGATCCTGGACAGCAACGGGTAGCCGAATCGGTAATTCATGCGATGGTGAGACCTAATTGGAGGTACGCGCAAGGCTCGCAAAGAACATTTCGAATGCAATTTCCCAAGATTGGAGTGGTTCGTCTTGCAGTAGCTGGGCCGTGCATTGCTCGTGATTTTGCGGTTGAGATGAGGGGACGTTTGACGTTGTGGAGCTCATTTCGCTTGCAATGCCTGCAAATTCACGGTCGCGAGGGTATATCCGAAGGTGGCGCATTCCAAAATAGACTTGTGAACGACTCCTCTGTTCGCCTGCGCGTAAAAATGACTGGTTGCATGAGTAGCCTGGTGAAGAGCGAAAAAGCCGATTCCGAATCCGGGTCACAATGCTGAAACTTGTCCCCGAAATCACTGAGCGCCAGTCTCCCGATTAGGAGATGACACAGAACCCGGCCCAGTTTGTCGAGTTTCAGCTTGAATTGCCATGGAACTTTCCGCCTGCGCGTGCTGTCCAGATCCGTGCCCCTCATTTCGCTGGGGCGCTGTCGCGTACGCGGGGTCATGTTGTTGTTGTTGACGATGGCTCCCAGTTCCCCGTGCTGTGTGCTGGAAACGGTGCTCCGCGCTCTCGCTCTGCTGGGCTCCTGCCTCTGTGTGCGGGTGACTAGAAATGGTACCGCGTCGGCCTAGAGAAGCGCCGTGGCCCTCTCCTCGTGTAGACGCATCAGAACGGGCTCGGGCGTGCCCTCGTCGACCTGGCGTTGATGCGGACGATGTCGATACGTGTGAGAACGATGGCGAGGTGTATGACTGAGGCGCCGACGTTGGGGGCGGCGGAGCTGGGTGGCCGCCTTGGGCCTTCCGCTTCTTGGGGGAGCTGGTGTAGTCTGGGTCAGACGCATGAGAGGCGGCACGTTGACGGGACAAGAACGAGGGCGAAGCTTTGTATTTACCTGAAGGGGTGGCCGGCGGGTTTCCGCTTGACTTCTCCTGCTGCGACGTAGGGGGAACCCAATGGTGGAAGTAGATTGATGGCGAAGACTGCTCCTGTTGTGCCGATTGCGTCTGCTGAAGCTGCTGTACATTCGATGGCGCCGTCGGAGGCTGCTGAATTTGAATTTCGTTCGTGGTCAGCCTGGGTAGCTGCGATTGAGGGGGAGGGCGGGGAGCGGATGTAGGAGCACCAACATGGCCTGATTGCGCAGCTCTTGCTCTCGGGGACATGCTTCCGCTGGCATAAGAACTGGTCGCGAAAGCCGCATGGGACGGTTGTGACGGTAATGGCTGTCCCGGAAGCACTGAGGTCGGCGGATGTACCGTTTGGGGGGTTTGTGGTTGGGCTCCGTACGCTCCTGGCTGAGCCTGGCTGATCAACCTCGACTCTCTGCGGAGCTCGGGAGATAGTTGAGACTGCGCTTGCGCTTGCGCCTGCGCCTGCGCCTGTTGTTGCTGCTGTGCGGTCTGTAGCTGGACCGCATAGTCTCGAATCCATTCGGCGCTGATGCTCGCGAGACTCCCTCCCCCAATGCCAGCAAAGATCATTGGGACGAGGTGTGGGGGCACTCCACCCTGCATCGACTCGCGAAGCATCGACTGCTCGATCTTGCGCTGTTCGAGCCTCAAACCTTCCTGCCTCGTCTTCTCCTCCTCTTGCTTTCGCCTTTCTTCCTCAGCCTTCGCAGCCAGCCAGTTCTTCATACCATCTTCAGCACCTTGCCACTGCGATGGTGCTGGTGGTAATGAGCCCATTGAAGAGGGAATTGGAGGAGGTCCCCGGCCAGGGTCCGGCAGCGTCATCGCCGAGGGCGGAGGAAGCCCTCGGTGAGGCGTGCCCATGGTGGAAGAGGCACTGGCCGGCTGTGAGGGCAGTTGCCCGCCGTTGAGCTTTGGGGAGAATCGAGCGGCCGCGTACGAAGAGATGGTCGGAGAGTAATCATGAGTCTTGAATTCGAATTCCGCCTTGGCTGGTTTAGGAAGTGTGAGCAACATGAAGGGTGCTGAAGGTGGTGCGAGTGATATTAGAGAAAATTCTCGACATTGAAATGACTGGTGGAGAGACGTCGAGATTCAAGGTTCCAGAAAGAGGCGGAATAGCATACATACTTATTCAGACAAGTTCTCCAGGGAGCAACGTCCGCCTATCGCCCAGAGCACAGCGGCCGTTGCCTTCTGGGCTGGGCTTAATGCTGGCCAGGAACAAGTGACCCACTTTGATTCGCGGGTAAAGGCGAGGCTAGTGGAGAGCAAATGGGAATGGTTAAAGGCAAAAGCTTGCTGCACCGAAGATCTCGGCCAGTAGCTCGCGTGGGCGGGCTGGGGCGATCAGGCCCAGGTGGAAGGGCCGATGAAAGAGGGCAAGAAGAAGAGACAGCGGCGGAGGAAGGTTGTAACGATTGTACAGGAAGGGAAGCCTGGCCGGCTTCAGTTGACCAACCGGCGTCGTGGACTATTGTAGCCAACGACAGACGGCACGAAGGAGCGGCAGGCTGCACGACCAGGACAGCCGGTGTGTGGCGTGCACAGTAGCGGGCGGCAGTGGAAGAAATAGCAAGGATATGCATGAGCAGCAAAGTCGCCGTCAGCAGGTGAGGGATGGAAAGGTCCGCGGTGGGCGGTCTTGTAAGTCTGCAGTCTGACGTGCCTGAAAGGCATCCGCCGCTGCAAGCTCTGGTTGTGTTTCCCAGTCCGGGTTGTGTGGCGCTAGTACCGGCCGCACGACTACTTTTTGACATGCGTCTAGCCAAGCAAAGACGCCTTCCACGAGAGCTAGTTTGATGATATGGAGGCCTGGGGCTAAGCTGGCTTGTACGTGCCCGCTTCCACTTGAATCTGCGCTCTGCGAGCCCGCGTCGCCTGATGTCCCCGGGACCACCGTCATGTAACCTGTGAACGAGCTGCTGAACAGTCCGATGCTGCCCTTCGTTACTCCGTGGATAGGCGCCATAGTCGCCCGTCATATCGACAAGAGCACCACGGTACAATTTATCTCACAACTTAACGAGTCCTCGATCCGCCCTTCATGGAATTACGGCGGCGGGATGCAATATCCACTCCGTTCGGGCTGCCGTGTTCCTTGAGGCACGAGAGCTGCCGGACACCTCATGACACTTACGCGGGCAGCTCTTTGTGGGCAATTTGCTGCCATGTGCTGCCGTTGTCTACGGCTGCTCTGGACTCGGGATGCCGCTGCCGACCAGCCTAGCTTGCGTATCGTGGCTAGTGGAGGCGAGGCTTGTGGAATTAAAGGCGGCCAGACGACATGGGCTGGACGCCTGCGCCGCGGTCCAGGACCAAGAAGCAGGGTCAAACGTTCGGGAGGAAGCGAGCGCAATTCTCTGGCAGATTAACGCCCTGCCGCACAGACGCGGCCTCGCTCTTTTGAGCCTGTTGACGTTGCTCGAGGCTTGCGTGAAGGGAAATGAAGGGTCGTGGCTACTGTCTGACCTTGGGTGTGTAATGTCCCAAAACAGGAGTGCGAAATGAAGTTTGCGTGTTGGTGGAGCCGTAGTGTGTCAACACGAAACCGAGACGAGGGGACACGCAGCAGTGCCCAGCATCCATGGACACGCAGCTGCAAAACCAGCTTCCACCGCCGTGATGAGTGCAGCACCCGAAGAGGCAGCGCAGATGCCGTCACTCATCCGCTAACGCCAGCCAACGGCGGGGCGTCTGAGCACGACTGTGGCACACAAACACCTTGTCAACCTGTCAGCCTTGGGCACAACCCGCCTGTGGATCGACGCAGCGCGGCGGGCGGCATGGCGAATCGATAAGAGCAACGATCAACGAACTGACACCCATGGCTTGGTAGAGCGTTACATAGGGCAGTGGAGATGCGCGACAGGCGTTGATCTTCGCATTGCGCGCTCCTCCCCCTCGTGCTTTGCCGGAGCGGGCGCGCACGATGAACAGGCAGCGCGCGCGTCGCTGTGCACCGTAGAGTGCGGTGCTGCAGCAAGCGGTGGGACGTGCAGAAGGTGCCGTTCGTTAGAATCGGGTTGCGCAATCACCGAGCGCCTGGCTCCGGTGTGAACGATCGACTCAGCAGTTAAATTTCCGTGCCCGCGCTTGAGCTTTGCCTATTTCGCGGCGACGGGGATCTACCTGAAACCCGTGGCGCCCCAGATCAGTCCAGAGGATCTCTGGACGAGATTTGGCCCGCTGGAATCTAGGCGCTGGCCAATCGGGCGCTGCTAAGCGACGATGAGGCATTCTCAATGGTCTCCACATGGACGACAACCGTGACCGCCTGGGATGCGGTGTATCTCCTCCAGCGGTGTTGATGGTTTGCCCGCGTCAGCATGCTAAATAGAGAAGTCGTTAATGAGAGGGGTGCTCTAGTCGCGCTCGAAACCTGACTGTGGCCTGAAGGCGGCAGATGATATAAAGTAAGATTGCTGCCATGTGACGGAAGCCTCTTTCGACGCGGGACAGCCGCTTCCAGTTGTTGCAAGTGTGGCCTGTTGCCTTTTTGGGGGACATGAGTTGATGAGAAGTGGACTCGTGCAACTGGCGAACGTGGTTGCCATCTGGGATCCATGCCGAAGGAGATTAATAGCGGTGATAACTAACTGGCAGCAGACATTTTCTCCTTGCTTACAGTACCGTATCCGTATCCGCCGGGTGGCTCGCCCTGGAAGCCTCGTGACGGCGGGTAACCGTTGCTTTTCTTCTCACCGACTCGAATCTGGAGGTGCAGCTGTGGCGGGGAGTGAGGCTGAACGATGCCGGCCCGAATAAGCTGGAGAAGCGCGGTTTTACCTCGTGATCGGGACCGCGCGGGGCTTGCTGGCCGCATCGTAACTTTGCTGCCAAGGGATTCGAAATGCAATGAACTGTCGAGGCTTGCAGTAGCCACGGGGATTGTGGAAATGACGAGAAATTCTGCTTTCGCTGTGCCTGCTACATGGCAGCTTCCATCAGACGTCGGTGAGTCGGGCGGGAAGTGGTCCGCGAAGGAGAACAGTCTGCAGTACAGTAGTCGTGGACAAGAGGAGCCGATGGACATGTACCTCTTTCCGTCTTCGGCAGCGCGGCTCGCGGCTCAAGACGCTGACCACTGTAGGACAGCTGTGCTTGTGCTTGCGTATACAAGAGGAGACGAGCGGAGTTGCATGGTTGATCCCCCTCTTGCTGTGGACTTTGAGTGGATGGGCAGTCAGCTGAAGACGCAGGGCAAAAGCACATTCGCACTCACCCCGCCCATGCCGGAGCAATCTAGAGCCGTCGTTCGTGGGATGCCGTTCGGCTCCGCCTGCACCTCGCAATCGTTGCCCAAGCGCCCGCCCGTCTTGGGTGGCGTCGATGGCGTACACCATGCCGCAGCCGAGTGTGTCTTTCAACCCTCGCAAAGCAACCATCTCTGCATCCAGAAAACCGCCCGTAGATCGTCTCGCCTCACCCTGAAGAATCATGCCACAGATCGGCAGCGGCCGGCTCATCCATCCGCTGCTAAATTTGTCGCTAAGGATGTGGAGATGCCGCAGCTGCAGCCGACAGTTAGTGACTCAGTAGGATCCGCTTCGTGAGAAGTTGAAGATTGAGGGAGGGCGAGAGGCGAGAGGCGAGAGGCAAAGTCGAGTCGGGGCTAGTGCACCTTCTGGTGAGGGGAGCAGCTGTCATCGGGGGCAGGACCAGACGACGGTTGCCACCCACTCACTTCCTAGTCGGGCAACCACCGTGTATGCTCCCCTCAAGCCTCTTCGCCTCCGTCAAAAATTTCTCCTTCTCTACAAAAGCCATCTCGAATGGCCCAGCCAATGGTGTCGCGCTGTCCATATTTTTCCGCGGCCTCAGATTTGGTGGATGCCTCACCCATGGTTCTCTCGCAAGATGGTCGTACAGATAAGGTGATCAGCCCTTCATGCGGAGTGACTGAGAGAGCATATTTCTCAGCGACGTGGTCCGGAGCAGTTCCCCAACAACTCCAGCCCCTCTCCTCCTAGGTATGAGTAATGTGCGCGGCGAGAAATCAGGCGGGTTGATGCGCCGCAGGCCGTCTCCGACCGACGGCGCCTCTCGGATAGGCTAATCGATCGTGGTAGCGACAAGCCGATCGCAAAGAAGCAAATCCACAGAACCACGCCGCAACTGCGAGGAACGATTGCAGTGATGAATAAGCCAGAGAGGGAGGACGACGAGAACGATCATCTATGGCTGACTTTCATGATATTAGAGATTACTACTACAAACTATACAGCTTCATACAAACAGGTTGTATATGTCCATGACCATCGACCCATGACTGCGTACACTGTAACAGAGAAGGAAAGAGGTATCTTGTAAGCCGTCGTTGAACCAACCCACCACGTAAATGCACCCAATGCAAGGAGATGCCAATGTCGTAATGCTGCCCGGTTGCCCTTCCGACGGGTCCCCAACCCAATAGAACCGAACCGAACGAGGCCAGTGACCGAAGGATGCCGAAAACCGTCTTGGAGGAGTCGCAGATTGTGGATGCAATGTCGCGATGCTAAGCGCAAAAAGAAAGTATGTCGCAGTAGGCCTGTCAACCGGAAAGGGTAAAATCAATAGTATCCGGAAGGGGGAAAACGTGAGAGCCACGTTAGTCGCACGCGACACCGTCAAGCCACTGATCTCAAAAGATCGGCATTCAACCCGCCAACGCTTTCTCGAACGAGACTGGAAGCGCAGCCGAAGGTTCCATCGTGACGAGTTGCAGATGTGGCTGGCGGCTAGCGACCGCAAATCGCAGGCTCGCCTTGCTTGGCGGGATCAAGATGGAAAGACGGAACGCGTCCTTCAACCGGCATTGGCTCGCTTCTTTCGCATCTTATATTCTGCCTTCGCCACTTTCATCAGGAGGTCCTCATCTTTAATCGGGATCCAGGATGTCAACACCTTCATGGCATTCTCGAAATCCGAATCCAGCAAGATCTCCCTCGTTGCATCAATTAGCGCGGCAGAAGTTGCATGCAGCACGTCCAAGTCTCCGCTGAAGTTCGTTGAAGACGTAGTCGAATGAGAAGCGTCGCCCAAGAGCATGAAAATGTCCCATACGCGAAGCTGTGCCGGGAACGGTAGCGAGTAGTTGAACAAAGTCAGATACCATCGGGTGCCATAGGCAGTGGACGATATGCCTAGCTCTTCCTGGAGGGGTCTAGATTAGCGAAGGAACTTGACAAAGTGGCTTCACTGGGCCGGACAGACCGAGAAGTCTCGCAGCCACTTCATCACAGAAACGGACCAGAAGCCGCAACACGGGGCAGCGAGACGACAGGGTGGAACTTACCAGCTTCTTCGCTACGTCCCCGTTGCGCAACCAGTTCTTCTCGAAGTCCTCCAAGGCTTCCATGAGGCCAGCGAAACCGGATTCATAGAGGCGCTCCAGGCCGCGAAGCATCCACAATCGGACGAGCATAACGAATGCTTTGTCTTCTTCGTAATAGCAGAGAAGCGTTGCTGCTAGAGCGGCCATGCCTTGGACGTACCCCGTGTCAGGTAGGTACAAAGACATTGCATGAAGCACGCGGAACAGGAGTCGTTGGCTGTAGACTGTCAACATCTACCGACCCGCTCGATAGAAACCAAACTTACCCGCCACGATATCGTCTTCGAAACATGATATGTCTGTTGATGGTCCTCGGCACGTCTACGTCTATTTGGACGTCGTCTGCCGAACTCTCTTCTTGTAGCTCATAAAAGTTTGCAACCAGCTCCTCGTCGGTAGGACTGTCTTCGTTTGCTTTAGCGCTCGCTGCGAGAAACGCATACCATGCGGTCGCTCTCCATCGGTCTGGGATACCTTTCCATGTGCGGGAAACGACTTTTGGGTCTTTGACATCGAACTCGAACATCATGCCTCCACTGTTGGCGCCAGACTGCACCACCTTGGCCATCTTTCGCCATTTCTCTTCTCGTTCCAACTCTTTTGCCTTCATAGCCTGGGCGGCTCTACCTCCATCCTCTTGCTCCGCAACTTCTGCCAGACCCGGAGGCAGCTTGAGCATGTCGCTGGCTTCGTCCATCAATCGACGGCTCCTGTTATGTGGCAGCCGGTTCGCAGCATGCCGGAATGGCCTCTGAGGCGTACTTCGAGTTGTAGTGTTTGAGAAAACAGAGGCCGGGGGCTTGGTAGACTTTTGCGATCGCCGTCTCCTGGGCGACCCGGACCTGGGGTTTGCTGTGCGGGCAGAGCGCGCCTTGGAGACGCTGCGTCCGATGCCGCGTTTTCTGGGTTCTTCCGACGCCAGCTTCAGCGCCGTGGAGACGCGCTGAAGCCGGGGTTCTTCCGGCCCATCAATGGCGCCATTCAACGAGCCCCGTGATCCGGTCTTCTTAGGGAGGATGAAGCCATACCGGTCCACCTCTCCGCCTGCAAGTTCTGACCAATCTTCAATTCCTCCAGCGGCCTCATTTGGCTCCTTTGAGATTGCACTCCCGCGTCTCGAGCTCCGGACTGAGCTGGAGTCCTCCCGGTTCCTCTCCACGGTCAACGACGAGCCATTGGCAGGGGTGCCGGTCAGGCTGCTGTTGTCTGCGAAGCTGTCCTGGGCGCTCTCCGACTCTTCCTCAACCCCGTCCCAGTTCGCTGCACTCTCGTTCCCGTGGCGGTACATGGTCCGCACCTTCTGTGACAGCATCATCTCGTCGGCGGAAAGCACACGATTGCTGACGACCCGTCCTCGAGTGGAGAAGCGCGATGGCGACCGCGGGGACAGTCGTGGCGTGACAGGCGCAGACAGCTCCTTCTCTTTCCCCATCTTGGGCTGCTCCTGCTCCTGCTCCTGCTCCTTCTGGCGCGGGGGCGTCCACGGTCTTGTCTCGCCTTCCGCAACAGGGCCCAGTTGTTTGTTCACCTTGTTTGCCCGCTTGCCGCCCAGCAGGATGCTCCCTCTCTTTGAGAATGAAACCTGGCTCGGCGACGTGAGGTCGTCCAAGGCGCCCGTGGGGATGATTGTGTCTATGCCGTGGAACGCGTCCCCCTCTTCTTCCTGCTGCCCGTCCTGCGCTTGTGCCTGCGGTGGTGCGCTGTTGCTTGACCGCCCCGAGTGCTCATCCTGTACGACTATGGCGGGGAGGCTCGGGGTCTTGCGTAGACTAGTGGGCGTAGAAGGGGCATTGTTGGCCGTCTGGTCGGCGCTGTGGGCGGAGTTGGATGACGCCAAGGCCGAGTCCCTTCGAGCGTCGTCTTCGGTCAGTAGCGTCCTCTTCAACGCGGAAGCCTTTGGGCCTGGCGATGTCTTTGGTCGCCGTACGCTGCTGAGCCATCCCCGCGGCGACGGAGCTTTCGACGACGCGCTGTTTGTGTTGGACGTGGCAGGATGCTGGTCGCTGTCGGAGGTGGAGGCTGCTCGGGCGGCATTCCCGTCAGGGGTCTTCGCTGCCTCATCGCTCATGGCGGCGTGATCGCGCAGTTCTCATGAAGTGTGCTCGGAAATGACCTCGGTCTCGGCTCGTGAGGGAAATGAAAGGCGCGCGACTCGACCGGGCGCGACGGTGAGGCGGGAATGCGGCGTGCAGTACTGGGTCGGGGCGTGGGGCGTGGGAGAGAGCCGCTGCGGTCGCAATTGCGGGCGACGAGTGCAATTGAAGAGAGCACCGGCACGCGCCTGCAGTGACGACTGTGTGAAGCTCCGTGTGCGCTTTCGGATAGGGGCACATCGTGGGGCCTGTTGCTCTTCTTGCTCCAGGCCCAACTGCAGGGCTCCAAGGTCGGAAATTATGATGTTGTGCCGCCGCTTCTGATTGGCTGCTTGCACATCAGATCCAGCTTCTCCTCCTCAAACGGCCAGACAGAATATCGTCGGCGCCGCATTTCTACGCACTGGATCCTTCCTCGGCTTCAACGAGTCCACTCACCACTCCATTTTCGCACATTCTCCGGTCTACGATTGCCTCTTCTGTCTCGTAGGTTCCTCATTCGGAGCCATTGACTCGAACACACGGCCGCGGTGATCGTTCCACGCGTCTTAATAAACCCTACTATAGCACACGGGACGTTACTTCTGCTCCCTAAAAGGAGTCGACTCCGACACTCCATAGCACCATCAACACCTCCCTGCCGTTAGCCATCGACAATGGCTTCCACGTCTTCCAACCGCCTCCCTTACGCAAGCCAGCGAACAAGAGCACGGGCCAAGGTCTGCGGAGGAACGGCATATAGAGCTAGCAGAGGCTACAACACCCAATTCTTGACTCGTGCTTTTTTGTCAAGAGCCAGCAGTTGCGACCGTCGGCTTGAAGAGGGTGATACGAGACATCACCCCTCCCTCGCGTTCCTGTACGACAGAATCGGTGCACGAACGATAAACCACGAAAACTGTACTTAAGACGCTGTCTTACAAGACTAGGGACGAACGAGCTAGGCCATTCAATTCTGGGCATCTCTCCTTTTATCGCTATTTACAGCGGGTCTTGGTGGGCTACACGATTTCTCGGACAGTGCCACTCAATGCGGCCACTGCCACCTTAACGCGGCTAAGCGGCAAACTTCAGCGGAAGGGCAAGGAGAACTGGAGGTGCTCCATACCATCCTATGGCACCAGAGACCTTGCTTGCCGAATTGTGAGCACACCGTATCGAAATATTCAGCTTTGCGGAGTCTGGTCCTAGGACTTTTAAAACCGTCCAAAGAATTCTCGCATGTCGCTCACCATCTCGTTCAGACACTCCATGCAAGCGAAATGACCACCGAAATCTCTCTCTGTATCATCGCCAGCCCCCGACCTTCCGGCAACAGGCGATTCCTCTTATCTCTACAGAACTTCAGGTTCGTCGTTGTCGTCTCCGGCGCCGCCTTGAACACCGGATACGCGTCGAAAGGAAAACTGCTCACACCCAACGGCACCATAATCAGGTTCTCCTCCCTTGCATTAAACTCGGTGTACACCTCATGGCGGACGTTGTTGTAATAGCAGAGCATCGAAGTCATGATCGACGATGAAGTGAAGAAGTACAGGCTCAGCGTCGTGCAGAGGCCGTTTTCATGAATTGCTCGTTCTCCAGCACGGCCGTTCCGAGCTTAGGGCCTGAGAGCTTGTTGTACTTCTCCCCGACAAACATCATGACTCCGACCGGGTTGTCGTTGAACCCTACTATGATGGTCTGCGGCCTCGTTCGCGTCTCGATCGCGTAACCCATATGGCTCTCGTTGAGCGGCGTTCCCATGAACTACTGAGCGCAATCAGGGAGGTCTTTTCTCGCTCGCTCAGTTTGTAGCCTTCTGGTGGAGCTCCTGGGCACATGTTTGTATGAACGACTTTGCAAGCATCTTATCTTCCTGTTCCGAGCTCGCGGACAACCCAGTGTCCCCAGTCACCGCCCTGCGCAGCGTAGCTATCATAGCCAAGGCGCTTCATGAGCGCATCGTATATGCGTGCCGTATCTTGCAACGTCCAACCCCTTGGCGGGCCTTGAGACTAGCAAAAACCGGGGAGGGAAGGTACCACAAGATTGAAGACCGGATCATTCTCGTCTCGCGGCTCCAGCAAAGGCTTCATCACGTTTTGAAATTTGGACTTTGTCAGCCACTTTCGGACATCATCGTCACTCATACGGACTCGAAGAATGTTCCAGGCCAGCCATGGACCAGACGCAAGGGTATCGTCTTCTCTGTGCGCACTCGAGCCTTCTCATGGATAAAGTGAACCGTGAGCCCCTCGATGTGTATCGGCCCAGGAATAGCTGTTCAACTAGTATTGTACAGCTTATGAGCCCATTCCAATGAAGGGCCTACGAGTGTTAGTCCAGGAATACCCAACGCCAGCAGGATATCTCACCATAGTCTTCCCCGCATCAGGCACGATTGGCTCCGTGGGCGACCGCGTGTCTTTCAGCTTCTGGAACAATCGATCGACTTCTTCCTGAGGGATCTCGGGGTTGAAGGCTCTGATATTCGCCATGTCTCACTTCTTTACTCAAGGTATGCAAATCCTTCATTGATTGCGCAAGTAGGTTTGAAATACACAACGTCGACGACTCGTATCCGACGACCTCGCACGTCATTACGATAATCGCACCTACGCGGAGCGGCGGATAGGTTCCGAATGAGGAGACGTAACGTCCCTGCGTTAGCTCTATCGATGTGACGCAATGCACCATCGACCTCTCAGGCTGTGCTTCCGCAGCCAGAACCCCCTTACCCCGACTGACCATAACCTTAGAGCTTCATGTTGCAAATTTCGACTCGCTTCCCGTTGAGCTGGCCCCTCCATCGTGCTGCTTGCATTGCGGATGCCTCGCGGACGGTGATAGCTGGAGGATACCGGATGCTCACAGCATACTGTTCGACGAATCAGGCGTGTATGGCGGTTCTCCGGCGACGCAACGATTGGCTTTCGCACCTAGGTGTCCACAACCGTGATGCGCTTTTTTTCAACCCGAGTAAGGGGACTACGAGCGATCTTCCCTCCAAGAATGATGCTTCAAGTAGAGCGTCTGGCTGTGCCTTCATCGTGATCCGGGAGGGGTTTGTTGACCGACTTTCCCCTTCTCTATCATCAGGATACCAGCGGCCGCAACCTCATCGCAAATGCCCAATCGGAATCGCAAATGTCACCCGGCGCGGATTCCCCCCTTCCTGTCTCCGCTGCTCAGTTCCCTCACTTGGCCCTCCTCCTGATTCGGCGCTTTCAGTTTGGGTGCCCGCGGTCACCTTCTTCTCCTCAGGTTTCTTGCCATAATACACCGCGCGACAGATGGGGCAGCTGTACTTCCAGCGGATGAACCACGAGATGAGGCATTCGGCGTGGAATTCGTGACCGCAGACGTTGAGCTTCAGGATCTCTTCGTTCGCGCCCTCGCCCTTCTCGAGGATTGAAGGCGCGATCGATGGCTCGCCGACTTCAGCTGTGCCCGTGGCTAGTTTCGCGGGCTCGGGAGGCGAAGGCGCATGCAAAGGCGAGAGACATATCGCGCTGTGCATTCTGATTAGCAAGTTCATCAGGAACATTTGCGGATTCCATGCATGGCCTTACCATTCCCTCTCCAGTATAGACAAGCTCTCCGCCGCCTTCTCGCCTTCAGTTGCCTCGCCCACGCACGCAGCCTGCGTCCCGTCCGCTACATTCGACACCGTCGTCACGCCTTGCAGCCTCCTCCTCGCCTCTTCCCTCCGCCACGCCATCTGCCGAACAGCAAACGGTACCGTGGTTTGCGGCACATTTCTCCTTGATCTGCGGATGCCCACTACGCATGCACTATACAGCACCCCGTCAGCGAAATGCTTCTCCTCCAGCTGAACAACACCTCGCATGTGGCAAGAGGAGTACGTACATGGGGCCAAAGATAAATACGACGAATAGCGGAATCAAGAACGCGAGCGCTGTTGGCGAAAGCTCTACGCGCCCATATGGCTCCTCATCTGCAGTGCGGGCTGCAATAGGTCCGCTATCCGTCGGCGAAAACACAGGTATCGTCGGCATCGCTTTCGTTTTCCAGTCGCCGCCCTATTTCGCGGGTATCGTGGTTGTAGGTCGTTGCTCGGGCCGACTAGTAAGTAGTAGGCTCCTCGGAGATCGGCACGGTATGGTATGGTAAACGTAGTCTGTAGTCCTGGTGTAAGACGACGATCGCAAATAAACCGTGATGTGTATTCCAGTAGCTGTATTCGTGTTACAAGTAAAGTGCAAGAACTCAATCAAAGAAGAGCGCAGACGCAGACGCAGACGCAGATCCGCAACCGTCTTATGACCCCTTCACCCCTTCACCCCAGACCCCGTACCAAACCCCCCAAGCTCTCAGCCTCCACAGCCATACCTATGCCCCCCTCTTGGCCGTCTCCTTCACTGTCTCATGCTGCGCAGCCGCTGCGCAGCCTGCGCTCGGCAGCGTGTCCTCTCATGTCGCAGGACCTGTCTGGAACCAAGCGGAGCCAGTTGGAAGCGCGTGGACGGTCACGAGATGCCGATATCCGGGCCCAAGCCTGGCGAAGCGGCTGGGCTGATGAAAGCGTGCGGTTGGTGGAGCCACTGGGGTGGTTGGGCCGAGCGGCGTGCGGCTTGGCGGCCAAGAGCGGAGCGGGGTTTGCGGTGCTGGACTTGCTGGGGGGTAATTGTAGGGTGATCGAACGATGGATGGAGGGCGCAAAGCGTTTCGCGTCAGCTGCGGCGGTGGTTTGCGTGATGCTGCTGGCGCTTGGGAGTTTGAGTGTTTTTCATGGGTGTGAGTAGGGTTGTACTGGAGTGGAAGTGGGTAGGGTTGGGTGTGGAGTTCATGCACTGTATTACATAAGTATCGCTAGATGCAGAGGATATCGAACTGGGGAATTTGAAAGGGAAGGGAGCTGGACGCTCCCATGCACAGCCGTATAAGTCATGAGGCCGTCGGTCACATGAGCTTTTGACGAGCTCGTAACCGTTTTCCGCTGCAAAAGCAGCCTTGAGCATCTCATTTCCATCTGAAATGCCAACCAGGACCACGCTAATAGAGAACACTGCTGTATCGTGCGCCTCCACGGCGTCGATAGGCCTGAAAGGCCTTCGGGACCCCCCCCCCCCATTAGCCAATCTCATGCCTTCTCCCCATCCGAACTCGCAGCGCCATTGCTGCCCATCCACCCTCCAAAGGCATGCTTCTCGATATCAATGCTGCCCTTCCTAGCAGCGACTCCGCCATTCTTGTGCTCCTTCCTCCTGAAGTAAACCCTCTTCGCCCACTTCCAGGTCTCGATGCCTAGGAAGAACAGTACGGCAGCCACGAACACAACGCCCCATTCCCAGCTGATGCCCGTGTGCTTGAATACGACGTGGTTGATAACTGGGATGTACAGAGTCGGGAAGATGGTGGCGAAACCAGCCATAACCGACCAGAAGAGGAACTTGTTGCGCCAGACGTCGTGGATCCATTGCGTGAAGTAGCGCTTCGAGCCAGGCTGCATGCGGAAGAACGAGCGTCGCATATCGATCATCTGCCAGGCCAGGAACAGCGCGAACCAGGTAAGACATGCAAAGCAGGTAGCGCGGGCGCGGAACACTGTATCGCAGGACTCGGAGTAAGAGTCATTGCAGTTTACCCCGAAGTCGCCGTTGCCCCAGGCGTACATGACGAGCGAGAAGGACGTGAGGCACAGTGCCGCAATCCAGAGGCCATATACCAGCATATCGAGCATCACTTCGATAGTGAAGACGCCGCGTTTAAGCTGGAGCACATCAGTAACAACTTCTAATAGTCAGAGGGGAGAAACTTACGCTTTGAGGTGGTCGCTGGAGGATATCCGGAGACGCAATTTCGAATCCCAAGCCCATATCCGGTAATGCGGAGGTCACCATGATGATCCACATGACTTCGACGGGCGAGAGCGGGAAGACTGAAATACCAGTAGAGTCCTTGAAGACCAGGCCAATGAGCAATGTGCATGCTTGCGCGATATTCTCTGCGAGTAGATGGAGAATGAACTTCTGAATGTTGTCGAACATGCGGCGGCCCTCTTCGATAGCGTTTAGAATCGATGCGAAGTTGTCGTCCGTCAAGACGATGTCGGCTGCGTCCTTGGCGACGTCGGAGCCGGTGCCCATACCGATACCCACATCGGAGCGCTTGAGGGAGGGACTGTCGTTCACACCGTCACCAGTCATCGCAGCGAAAGCCTTTCTCCGGTGCAGCGCCTCAATCATTCGAACCTTGGTGTTCGGGGCGCATCGTGCGATAACGAGAGGAAGCAGGGGGAGATTATCGACCTCCTCATCGCTTAACTTATCAAACTCTGATGCCGTCATAACCATCGCATCCGTGACCTCCTTGGGCAGGGTAGACATATTCGAAGGGAGAATACCGACTTCACCCGCAATTGCTCTCGCGGTTCCAGGATGATCACCAGTAAGCATGTGGACCTGGATGCCGGCCCTCTGGCACTTGCGCACCGACGCCGCGCTCTCCGGTCGGGGCGGGTCATAGAGACCGACGAGGCCTCGGAAGGTAAGACCCTCTTCAATCTCACTTCTGTCAATTTCTTCTCCTTTGGTGATCTTGCCCTCCCAAGTCCTGCTGGCAAACGCGAGGACGCGGAGCCCAAGCGATGCTAGAGATTCCATGTTGTTGAGGATGTCCTCTCGAATTTCATCGGTCATATCGACGGCCTCGTTGGTGTCTTCCTTGAAGAGCGAGGTGCACGAGTAGATCACTCTTTCCACGGCGCCTTTGGTGAAGACATGCTTCTGCGATGTGCCAGCCTCTTCGAAGATGACGGACATCTTCTTGACATCGGAGTCGAATGGAAATTCAGCGAGCTGCTTCCACTTCGGGTTTTCGCCTTGGGTGTAGGTCCGTCGGTTCCAGTCGAAGCGGGAGGCGAACACTTGGATGGCAATTTCGGTCGGGTCTCCTCGCGCATTCCAACCCTCGTGGCCTTCATGTACGTGCGCCAAGTTGGCCAGAGATGCAACCTTCAAATAATCTAGTAGAGGTGTGTTGTTGTCCAGCAGCTCGTCATAAGGCGAAGCCTTTTCCTCCTGGTTGAAATCCATCTGGCTTGGCGGCTTCGGCGTAAAGCTGAGCTCACCAACGGTCGGATTGAAGGGAGAATCCGTGGGGCTCACAGAATAGGTGCCTTTAGCGGGAATCCAGGCTCGTTTCGCAACCATCTTTCCCTGCGTAAGCGTACCAGTCTTATCGGAGCAGATGTCTAGAAAGGGGTCAGCATGTCTGCGGCAGTTGCCAAGAGTGACATACCTGTAACCCCACCCAACGCCTCAAGCGACTTGAGGTTACGAACGATAACATTCCTTTCGACCATTCGCTTGGTGCCCGCAGCCATGGTAATGGTCAATACCACGATGAGCGAGGCGGGAATCATACTAAGGCCAGTGGCTACAGCATAAATGATGACCTCTTGGTCACTAACGAACCTGTTGGCAGCGAGGACGATGATAGCGCAAACAACTGCGACACCCAGGAGAAGCACTGCGAGGCGCGAGAGCTTCTTTTGCAGCGGAGTGCCCACGTTGACTCCAAGGAAGTTGCCGACCAGATCTGAGAAGGTCAAGGTCCACGCCTGCAGATACCGATGCGGCTTGGCAGACCCATCCGGCTTGCGCTTGACTGGGCGCTTCCGAGAGCCTTTGTTTCGGAGGGACATGGCGATACTTCCAATCTCCGTGTACATTCCGGTCGCGAAGACGATGCCGCGTGCGCGGCCCTTGGTCACGGTGGAGGAGCTGAAAGCAACGTTGAGACGGTCGCCAGGTCCGGTATCATCTTCGAATACGGCTTCGGCGTCCTTCAAGACAGGCAGAGATTCTCCAGTCAAAAGTGCTTCGTCGGTCTCGAAATTGACTGCTTCGATGAGTCTGGATGGGTATTAGTGAAGCTGAAGGGTGATTGGCCGATGTACCGCACTCACCGAACGTCGGCAGGGATCGTGTCTCCTGTTTTCATTTCGACCATGTCGCCAACTACTATTTCCGGGGTCGGGATTGTCAGTGTTTTTCCGTCTCGAATCGTAGTAGCTGTGGGTGAACTGAGAGATCGCAAGGAGTCCATGGTCTTCTCGGCGTTGTATTCCTGCATGAAGCCCACGACGATATTCAGCATAATGATGACGGCAACTACACCGCCCTCAATCCAGGACTGGATGCCAAAGCTAACAGCCATGGCAAGGATAAGGACCTGGTCCCAGGTTAGTTGACGCCGTCGGTCCATGTGCGCAGAATCACGTACCACTGTCATTGCATTGGCTACCTGCCGTATCAGAATCTTGCCGGGCTTGACGCCTTCGCCTTCTCCTATATCATTTGGACCATACTCGATTTGGCGTTTCTGGGCCTCCGCCGTGGACAGGCCGTCCTCGGCATTGCCATGACATTCGTCGAGGACTTTGGTGGGCGGAAGCGCATGAGCAGGTCGTGACAGCGGCTTGTTGGATTGTCCAGATACATGGCCCTCGAGCGAGGGTTGATCCTTCTTCCCCATGGCGAATGGGCGGGTTGATGGCGTGAAGAAGAGCTGGGTAAGACAAGCAATCGAGACCAGGAGACCTTCAGGTCTTTAAAGCTCTCCACGAAAGCGGGAGGACTCAGTATGGCGACAGCCAAGGCTATGACATCGCCACGTCTTGGCGTTGAGCAAACTTCTGGCTCATCGGCACCGGAAGCATCACCCGTCGTACCAGTGAATAAAGAAGCTGTGCCCCCAGTGAGGGTAGCACAACGGTCGAGCAGGAAACATGATGTTCACCAGAACGGAGAAATGCCTTCTAGGACCTCTTGAGTGCCTCATCTGATGGTAGTCTTCTCTTCTACGGCGCTGGCAGGGTTTCGGTGGGATGTAAACAAGGGAAACTGGAGGGGTGAAGTGGGCTGAGCACGTGGCGACGATCAGACCGCGGAATGGCAGCAGCAGGTCTCCGCTCTTGGCGCCAAGCCGCTAACACAGGAGCCAAGCGCTGTCTGCACCGCCTCCGCCGCTTATCGTTCCGCATTCCTCGATCCAAGACGTCGCCATCGGAACTCGGCACCCAACGTCGTCCACCGCGCTGCGCATTGCACAATTCACGGACGTCGACTGGCCACACCGGATCTATCTCACCGTTGCAAGGCCCAGAGGCCCGGTGCTCTTCGTCATCGCACAGGGCGAAGCCGAAGCTTGTGCCCAGGTGTGCAAGGTATGCTGATCAAGTCTGCCTCACTGCCATGCCAAGATCAGAGTTTGAGATGAATATCTCGAGGCTCACTTATGCATGTCGAACGTGGGATGGGTCTTACTTTCTTCGGACGAGGCGTACAGGCTCACAGGCGGGTGTACGCATTCCCATTCATTCAAAGTCAACCATATTTCTACCTTTAGTTTCATGAATATGCCAGCCAAAAGCATGCACGCACGAGCCCATACTCTCTTCGAAATTCAACTGATGACAGCTACTAGAGAGCGCATTCCATATCGCCTTCGACGAACACCTCAACCCTAGTCTCATGGAGGGCTATCCGCTTCCGCTACACCGCAGCCGTCCTTACGGACCTTGTCTTCTGAAAACCATACTCGGACTTTTGGAGCTTTGTCGACAGTAGTTCGATCCCGGATCGCGCGGTTCAATAGAACGACAATGTTGCTCCCCTCCGCCATAATCCTGTCACTTCCGCCTTGTGCCTCACGCTTCGCCACGTCCTCTTCGTGGTTCGGGAGGATAACCCCGTAGTCAATCCACCACGAGAGCTTGGAAAGCTCCAACTTCTGTAGACGGGGCATTGACCTCATGACTTCGAACTCGATAAACCATGACGGGTCAATCTCCTTAACAGAACTGGGCTGTGTGCGAAATTGAGATGACATGAGCCACCTCGTCAAGCTCACGCCTGAGCAGACGATTATCTCGAGAGTGTCTGAGTGCTTGACAAGGAAGTTGCGGAATTCAAAGCTCCGAACGCGGCAGTCCCGTAGCGTCAGACTCGTGACATTGGCCCACCATTCTTGACGAATGATCGGTTCAATCCGGCACTCATTCGTAAAAGTCAACGACTCCACATTCTTACACCCTCGAAGAAGCCGATCCATCCAGTTTGCGCCTATTATAGTTGGTCCGTCCTTGGTCGTCCCTCCAAGGCGGATGCTACGCACACGATCCTTGCAGGCATGCCATTCGCGAGACGTGATAACGAAGGGCTCCTTCTCAACGCATAGGTCAACGGAATCTAGGCTGACCTCTATAGTCCAGACTTTGCGGCATTTGATGGACTGCAAGGCCTGGATGACGACGTCGTAATGCCGATGCAGCTTTGGACCCGAACCGCCTTCGTCTGCGAGTGCATAGCAGGTGTCTGGCCAGGATAGCGGATTGAATTGACCCTCACCCAATTGCTCGAGGATCGTCTTCGCTCCCCAGGCCCGAGTCCATTCGCCATCGTTGTTTGAACGTGGATACGAATCAAGCCGGATATTGGTCAAGTGCTCGAAGCCCTCCAGAGCAACCTTGAGCAAATCCAGTGCCTGCCCGCTGGTATCGAATTCCTCCTGCTCCAGTATAAGTTTCTCCTGGCGCGGGCCAAATTTTGCCTTCCACGCCTCCGTTTCTACTTCTCCCATAAACGCTGTCAGGAACGTCTCGAAAATGGCAATAACTGGGGCATTAACTCGCTCGGGTCCAATGGCAACTTCCCGGACGTAGTTGCTAAAGACGGGGTGACGAGATATGTCTACCAAGGCCTGAAGGCTAGTACGGGAGAGCATATGCTTGCGGGAGATGAAGAAGCGTTGTGCGAAGGCATCTTCGGAAGTCTGACAGACTCGACGGCTAACGAGGCGAATATTGCATAGGTCACCATTGCCGAGCACGTACTCGTCGTCTTCGTTATCGGCTTTATACTTGACGCTCGTTAAGATCAGTGACATGACCTCGACCGGCATACCCTCAAGTGTTGGTGTCGGCTTCTGAGATTGAACCTCCATTTCAGGGACGGCCTGCTCTTTATCGACGATAGCGATTGATTGAACGGATATGGTTGTGGGCTGTAGGCTGGGTTGTGTCGAGCGCGCTATGCTTAGAGAACTGAAGGGCCGAAGCGGCTGCGGATTTTATAGGTGTTGTCCCCCCGAGCTTATGCGGCGGGGCTGCATCTATTTTCACAAAATCTGTTTGCGCTGACTCAAGCTGTAGTGCAACAATTCATTTTGAGTACATTCACTGCATTCAAAAGAGGTCACCGGAACTGAAAGGAGGGTATGAGCACCCTAACCTCACTTACAGCACTAAGAGCCGCGTAGCCGGTGACATGTTCAACTATCCGTACCGTCACACCTTATGCGACGAACCGCAAAACGAAGTCGACGTGTAGGCTGACTATTCTTTCCGCATATGGGGCCGGTTTGATCACTTGCCATGTATGAAACGCCGTATGTGAGACATCAATGGCTTAGATCGTCCAGTTAACTTAATAAGTCTGGCAGAGACCCGACTCACACACCCGGCCAATGCTGTCCAGAATGAGACAAATTCCAACGAGTATATTCTACAAAAGCACACCCCAAACATGCCTCCATCTTTTGTATCGGTCTCTTCCCGCCCCTATAATCATGATTTCACAATGTATAAACAAAAATTCAACTTCGAGGGCGAAGGCACCGACAGTCCACACCGTTCCTACACAACAATCTTCATCACAGTCAGCTATATATGAAGCACCGCCAGCACAGTGATCAAACATCCAAGAAGTCAACATTGATTCTTTCGATCGTCTTCAATCGACTCTCTAAGGAGAAAAGGAAAAGCAAAAGCCGTTTTCATTAACACAATGTCTGGTTACCGAGGTCGGGGTAGAGGCAATGCCCCCTTCAGATCTCGCAACAATGGCTATAACAACAACCATTCATACGGAGGTCGAGGTAGAGGCAGTGGCTCCTTTAGATCTCACTATACAGGCTACGACGACGACCGTTCATACGATTCATGGTCCGATGAACCAGGTAATACCTGGAACGGCCCAGATCCGTCCCTTCCGGCAACATTCCAGGCTTGGGTCGTTGGAATCCTGAATGGTGGTGACGAAAGCTGGCTGAAGCCCTACGTCGAGTCCGCATTCTTCGAGGAGTTCCGTGCGAGGATGAAGAAGCGCACAGGGTTTGACGCCCAGTGGCTGGTCAACGGCTACACGCTCTATAACACTGGTCGTGAGTACCTCCCATCTATCCTTGATTACATCAAGGATGCGGTCACTAGCTCTGTCACGGTCGAGTCAACGGACACCGTAGTGTACACGGGTCTGATTAAGTTTGCTTCTCAACAGACTCAAGCCTCTAGCTCTTCGTCTCTAACGCTCCGAGGACAGCACGAAATGCTAACTCAAGGACAGGATTTCCATCCCGTTTCCGGGCAGCCCGGACGCATCTTCTGGTTCAATGAATCGCTCTTCTACCTGGAGACATTCGATTCTTCCAACCAGGGCTATGAAGTGGACGGACATTGGATTTCAACTTCATCGTCCGATTACTTGCTCGTTCGGTGCTTTGGAGGGAGTCCCAAGCCCATCCACGAACTGATCGAGCACTGCAAGCGGGAGTCAGTCGGCAGTGAGAAGCTCGAGATTACGCAAATGCGCGCAGGCAGGGGGAAGGAAATTGTCGAACGACGGAAAAGGCCGCTATTCACGATCGACTTGGAGCCCGCCCTGCGAGCAGAAATCGCCGAAGACGCCGAAACCTTCTTCCACAAGAGCTCGCGGAACTACTACGAGGCGACAGGTACGCCTTACCGGCGAGGTTATCTGCTCAGCGGGCCTCCAGGTACTGGCAAGACTTCGCTTTCGAACGCTATTGCGTCGCATGTCAATGTGCCTCTGGTTACGATCACGCTCAGCGGCATGGACGACAAAGAGCTGGAAACTGCCTTTGCCGGCCTTCCAATTCCGTGCGTGGTCCTGCTAGAAGACATCGACTGTGCCGGCGTAACGCGCAATGAGCCTAAGCAGGTCACGGATGGGAAATCTAAGCATTCCTCAAAGTCGATAAGTGAAGAGGAGATTGGAAAGAAGATCCAGAACGCAGTTACCATGGCAATCACAGAAGCGCAACAACAGTATTGGTCCCAGCTGCAGGTCCGAACAGCTGCCAACGAGTTCAATTCGCGGGACGCTCCCCGGGCGGTAGCCAACGCAACTAAGGCCGTGAAACCCCCCGAGGCGCCAAAGGTCTTAACGCTGAGTGGGCTCCTCAACGTGATTGACGGTGTATGTGCAAAAGAAGGTCGACTGCTGATCATGACCACCAACGCACCCCGGAAGCTAGATCCGGCACTCTATCGCGCCGGTCGCGCAGACAGGGTGTTCGAACTCGGCTACGCCAACAAAGTCACCGCAGAACTGACCTTCAAGCGCACCTTTGGGCAGGACGAGGTCCGGAAGTTCACTATCGAGGCGGTAGACAGGCTGGCCAAAGCTTTTAGGGACCAGTTCCCCAAGAACAGCCGGATATCTACTGCCAAGCTCGCCGAATACTGCAATTCCCATCGTGGGAGGCCTGATCGAGCGGTTGAAGCTTTTGCGGATTTCCTGCACAAGCTTAGGACTGGGGCAGATGCGTTCTCGTACGACATCAACGATGTCGTTGCTGATGCTGCTGAAGACGGCGATCTCAATGTGCCGGATGAGTTCGACCGCGACCTGCTAAAGCTCAGCCACAGCGACTATCTTGAGGCCAAGAAGGAGGAGATGAAGGAAGTTGTGGGCCAGCAGACTAAGGTCCGCTCTTGGCGGGATACTTTTGGCTGGTCGTCGGTGGACCTGAGGTATGATTCTAAGGCAAAGGTCACGAAACCTAAGACCCACCGGCTCGCTTTTGAGGAGTCCAAGGCTTTAAGGAAGGACTCTACCATGGAGGGCTTAGCTGGCATGGCGAACTCGTCACGAGGCCTTCTAGAGTCTTTTCCGGCTCTGGGAGGGTCCGCATCCCAGGCCGCCTCAAGCAAAGCTGCGCTGGAGACTTCAACGGATTCTGCAAAACGTGAAACGGAGATCAAGAAGTTCTGGGAGACTTTCCCCTTCATCTCACAGCCAGCTCAAGATCGCAAGACCGATGTCTTCTTCGATGTTGACGATGAGGCACTGTTCCCCGACGATGAGGCGGATTTCCTCCCGGACATCTCACTAACAGACTACATCCCCTCCATAGTTCCACCGCGGCGGCGAACATCCTCCTCCTCGGTTGAGTCAGCATGGGACGAAGCACATCACAACGCCGTCTCTCCAGTACGAAGCTCCGCATCCGTCAAGTTCTCCGATCCTGGTCGCCTCCGCCCAGTCTCGCCGCGGCCACTGGACACCTTGACCCTGGAGCATGAGGATACGCTTATGAAAGAGGACAGCCCTTATGTAGAAACCAAGGAGGATAGGATGAGCTCCTCCGCGAGCGACTGCGAGAACGATGCGGCTTCGATGCAGGACTCCGAGGAAGAAGCGACATCGAGTGCTCGCTCGGGACGGCGCCCTGATGATCTGGAAGAGCACTTCCTGCACTACGGTAAACTGCCCAACTATCGTATGGAAAATGCTCTGAAATAGGGCAGCGCAAGCTCGCTTATAATTTAGGAGGCTACAAAATTGTAGTGCGGCGTCAGAATACGCGGAGTAATTCGGACTGCGGCTAAGGCACTGCTGGTAAGTGAGTGATCTGCTCACTCTCTTATCGAGAGCATTTCTTGTTATTACTCAATTAACGTCCCCTACTGCGAAGCGAGACACACCAAGCCAGAACACATGAGGGGTGCTTCAACGTTAAGTAACTTGATCTCTTTACTTATGTTGATATCCGCTGTAGTTTTGCGTATACTTTATACTACAGCTATTTGTAAGCATTAGAGACCTCTTCTGCCTAAAAACTACAATTGTGGCTTGGGCTGTGTCCCGCTTCGCAGTATGGGACGTCAGTGGAGCCGTCGTGCTGTGATTGGCAGGCGAAGATTCTCAGCTTCAGGTAATCGGCGATGCCAGTCTTACTGCCAAGCTGCGAACCTTGACCTTTCAGACGACGAGAAAGGCATTCTTATTCTCTGGGAACCTCCATTTGGCCCCCGTGGCGAAGCAGGACGCGTATGTAATAGCACCGCCTCGAATGTTGCCTTCCGTTGCTTGCTTATTTAGCTACTTAGCCCAATCCAGCCGGCATTCGCGATGAACCTTCAGACCACAATCATACAGCCTCTTTCATTATCCTACTCAATTGCATATCTTCGAAAGCGCAATATCGTCTGATCAATCAGGCTGAGCCAGTTCTTGCCTCAGCCATCTCAATCATGGCCGCGCAGACAAGAAGTGAAGGTTTTCTTGGGCATAGCCACGAAAGTCTAGATAGGGCACCGAAAGAAGACGGTATGCTGCTGAGAGCCGCAATGACCCCAACGCTTGGCGCCCTCCGATGCTTACAAGATCACATCAGTCGGCGATGATAGAGAGCCCTTGACGAACAGTCTCAGACGACTGCGTTTACAATCTCCCACTTACCTTACCATCGCACTTGTTGCGCTGTCTGTGTATTCAACCGCCATGTCGGGCCTGTTTCTCTGCGTGGCCATCATTGGACCAAAGTATGGACGCATCATATCTGAGAGTGGTCCGTTCTCGCCCTCAGGCGCGACGCTCTTGACCGTACTTCTCGCGAAGACAATCGAAATCAGCTTCGTTACTCTGTTTCTTGCTTTTCTCGGCCAGGTCATTACTCGACGAGCTATGGATGGGCGGTCTGTTACTTTGGCAAGTGTGGCGATGCGTTCATGGGTAATGTAAAAACATCATTCTGCAACGACTCATCATCATGGTCCTGATTATGTGTACAGGCAACCTGGAACCCTCTTCACACAATGGGAGACAGTGTGTGAGAAAGGAGTCACCATGCTCGGGCTGTTGTCGCTATTAGCAACCTTCAACGCTTTACTGTATACAACATCTTCAGGGGCTTTAGGTGCGATGAAGAGCCGAAGTTCGAAAATTTCTTGCTTACTCATCTCACAGTCCAGCCCCAAATAAGAGTTCCACCATGGTCGCATCAGGTACTCAGCGGCGTCGTGCAGACACCGAAATTCAAGAACCTGCAAACTCAGTGTCTGCCATTCGCAAATGATCAGAACACCCCGGCGGTGGGGTGTGTACCTATTCAACTCACCTCACAGTGCTTACCTACTTTCGAAAACTATCTTTCCAAGTGGAGGGAGGATAGTCTGACAAGCTGGCCCCGAGATGGATATGGACGACTGCTTATTATCGGAAACTTGGATGAGAACACCACTGTTTTTCCAGCCTGGATTGAACATATGGATGTATCTGAGGCGTCTTCAAAGTGGGGAAGGATTGGTAAGAATGCCACACTGGAAACAGGGCAACTCCCTAACAACTCTCGAGTGAACAACGTCACTTTGGCAATCCCCCACCGCGATGTCCCAGGTGCTGTTCGAGACAGACGCAATGGCTTGCTTCAGCCTTCGGTAAATCATTCGAACAGGTTGTTGAAGCATCGCTAATCTCTTACCAGGATCTGCGCAACGCCGGATCGTACTCTATCCATGCCTCCGTCCCAGCTCTTGCACTTCAAAGTCTTTGCGTGAACGCGAACCGCGAGGAGCTCGCCCCAATAGTGTACGAGGCATGGCCGAATGCAAATTCAAGTCGTCCCGGGAACGGTATATACAGTAACCCATCTACAAACAACAGAACTGTTCTCGATGAGATCTTCGATTGGCGGGACATTTCGTTAGACAAGGATCATAATGACTCGCAAAACTGGACTAGAGCCCGACCTGGTAAGAGTAATTGTCATATGTAGAACGTTCTCTGACGTGCAACAAGTCTTTCGTAAATTTCCGCCTATCTCAGGCACAGCAAGTCAACTACTTCCTCAAGTGAGCCTCGCTAATAAAAGTCTAGGTTCTTAACCATACGAACTACAACCATGGCACATCAGAAGCCTATGTCCTGGGTAGACATTCCAATACGATAGGGACAGATTACTTCCTATGTTCGCTCCAAATGCAACTCACAACCATCTGTTCCACACGCTACAATGCATCAACAACTGGCCAGACGCTCGAGGTTCTATGCGACGAGCAACACAAAGATCTCGCTTATAAAGCATCTTCTCCAGAACTTCCGGAATTCACCATAGTACAAGACTGGCTTGATGCAGCCTACGAACTTCTCGAGGCAATGTCTTTGAACACGGGAGACATAGCCATCTATCAATCGGTTTCTCGCATTCTCACATCTTTGCAACTACAGGAGCCTCGTCTCAATGAGACACTTCCTTCTCCAGCCGAAGCCCTGGTGTCTTTGGCCCTGTGTAAGGCACTGGATCTGGTTCAAGGGGTTCCTTTTGCGGGATCTTGGGTTGGTAACCCAGTGGGTATAATTGCAATGTCTTGCTGATAAACATTAGATCTCCTCTTCCGAATCTGTCGGTTCAGCACAGTACCAGACTTTCAACTCTTCGGTTCAGGTCACGCAATATATGTCAGGAGGCATTTATGCATATCAAAAGGTATGTTCAATTTTAATCTGCAGGACTCAATATCGTAAACTTACATCGTCGCACAGGGATTTTTCGTCATTCTGGCTGCTGTCTTTGTGGTAAACGTCGTGATCCTTGTCTACTTCACCGCCATTATGCGAGTTCGCTTCATCGTCGATATATGCGAGCCGCTCGTGCTTTTCCTTCTAGGTTACCATTCCCTAGCAGACAACCTTTTCAGCGGTGATGCTGAGATCAGACCGCAGAAAGAGACGTTCTCGGTACCTTGGCTAGTGAAGGCAAGATATGGGCAATTAGTCGTCGTTGGCCAGGACGAGGCAGACGAGAAAGAGCACTCGATGTGGAGAGACAAGTTCCACAATAGGAGGCGTAGGCCGAGCTGAGGGAAAGATTTCTGCTTCAAGGAATCCAACAAGGACTTGCAATAGTGGATGAATAAGAAAAGCTATCTCGACAAGAACGCGCTGTACATAGAAGAAAGAGACGCCACCCATAGGCGGATGCTACTTCATCAGACCATTACGCCGACGGAAACTCCGAAACGAATGATATGGAGCCCGCTCTCCTCAGCCGTGACCAAACGGATCCGACTCGGCCTTTTCTCATTTCCTCTCTCCTCCAGTCGTTATGCCATCACAAATCAGCACGACTCGCGTACCACCCTAGCCAACCTTAACTCTAGACCCCTTCCTCGAACTTGACACCTCCTTCCAACTCCACAGCTCCCCTCCTATCCTCTGCACTCATCTCTACTGGTACGGTAAATGCATGCACCCTCCCATCACCACCTCCTCTGACAGTAATCTCCTTCATCGCACTCTGATGCATCTCATTACTGTACAACTCGGCCGGATTATTCCATCTCCGCGTCAGATTACTATTACGTCGCTTCCGCAAATGGAGGTACATCAGAAAGAAAAGCAGAGCGAGAGCGGAGGCCGCGCCGATAACGATGCGGGCTATAGCGCCCGTTGCGAGCGCAGGGGAGGAAAATGCTGAGCCTGCGGACGCCGTGGGCTTATGCGTCGAAGTAGACGAGGGCGAAAGTCGTCGGCGTTCGCCCACAAAAGCATAGACCAAAAGGGCCTTTTCCGCTAATGTACAGGCTTTAGTTTTGGTTATGCAATTGGCGTTTCGCTAGAAGACCATTAAGGCTGTTTTCACCATGTTAGTTCGAAACCGTTGAAGAACGCTGCAAGAATATCAAGGAAAATAGGTCTGAGATATCGCAATACTATTGTACGCATTACAAAGTCATTAATCATAAAGGATTGTGTCCTGTAAATTCTACTTCTCCGCAAGCAGCGCTGGTGAGTTTGCCACTCTGCCAGTCGCAATCACGCTAACGATCTGCCCTTAAGAACCTTGATAGACCGCAATCGCATCATCGAAAGCCTGGTCGATTACACTCTGCCCTAGACCGAGATAGCCCGCGGTGTCCGCGTCGAACTTCTCTCCAAGCGCCGCGATGAGGTCGTCCGTATGTGCCTTCAGAACTTTCAAGTCGAGCAGCACAATGGGCGCTTCGAGTGTCTTCTTGAACAATGGGTACTGTTTCCTCAGTCAGCCGATCGCCCGGAGGAGACACGCGAAAGGAATAAATGCACTTACCTTGTTCTTCAACGCGGTTAGGGAGTCTTGAATCGGCGTAATCGTCCCTGCTAAAGCGCCTAGAATAGCTTGGCTCTCGGACTGGGTAAAGCTGGAGCTCTGCTTGGTGATGGCGGTGGTTTTCAAGATCGTGGCATCTAGCTTCGTCTCTGCAGTGATGACGGCGAGAGACTGGGGCAGGAGGCCGAGCAATGTGCCATCGAAGTTGTTGACGGCGGTCGTGAGCTGGGCTACTGAAGAATTGAGAGCCGTGATCTGTTCGAGGACTTGGGCTGATTGGTCGGTTGCTCGGCGCTTGAGGTCGGACACCTGGTGTGACTCTTTCGTGGGGAGGGCGAAGGTCAAGGGGAGAAGTGTAAGGGCGAGAGTTGAGAAGCGCATATTGGGTGGTAGGGCGTTCGTATTGTTCTTGGACTGTCGCGATCTAAAAGACTTGTCGAACCGCGATGGGCGGAGGCAGGATGGGAAGAGGAAGTGCCTGATATTTAAGCTTGGGCGCAGAGCTTACACTGCCTTGTCTAGTTATTCCGTCATTCTCGCCCAGGCTCATGGGAACCCGGTTGATCCCAATATCCAAAGGTTGAGCGAATTCGCAGGTATCCTTGTTGCGAATCCGGCAGCTTAGTTCGGGACGGGAATGAGCTGTTGGTTCAAAACTCCTGTCCAACCAACTGGCACTGCAGGGCTCCGCGCTGGGTTGAACGGGGGGCCATTTGCGCAAGTACATGCAGCCTGAGCGCGCCTCGGTCGCCCATGCCAGCCATCTCCAGCGGTTTCGTTGCGGTCCTTATTGGCCAAAGGGCAATGAAGTAATGGAATTCGGCGAACGTTCACGTGTGATCCGGGTATCGGTGAGGTGATGCTCAAAACGCTCGGGGACGTTAACCTAAACGCGAAGCTTGATGGTTGGATCTTCGTTCCTATTGCTTGAAATGCTCAAAGCTCCGGCTTCCTGCGAGGATCAGCGCATGTTCCTGGCTAGGACATGGGGCTGTTCCTGGCAGGGGGTTTGCGGGGCCCCGCCTTTCACGAGCCTCCTCTTCAAGCTTTGACCGCCGAGCCGAGGCAGGTGCATATGTGATGAAATGTGTATTGGAGGAGAAATTGAAGGTCGGAGAAGAAATTGGAGTCCTGGGCATTATTGAAATGAAAAGATGAAAAGATTTTGACTTTGGCGTAAAGGGTCTTATGGACCCGTAAAACTGGTGAACCGAGGCAGTTCACAAAATGTCGCTAACCTCTTTCGGTTAGTCATTCATCTTGCAGACTCATTTCCAGGGCCGCGAGGCAATGCAACGCATAATCCTTTTGCAGGTGCTTTCTCACCTCCCCTCCGTCATGGAGACTCCTGACCGACTAAAATTCCACTGTATCCAGAATCCCTTCCATGAGGCCAACGGCACGTTGGTTTGCTAGAGATCAGTGTCGAACTCTTAAGCCTCGTCAGGTCGACTATGTCGGTCCATCAATCCGGGATTGCGGGACTGTGGGTGATTAAACAATCATCTCGATGCCACTAACCCTGCCACAAGTGCAACGACTATAGCGCTCCCTCTCTTCGAACCCCTCTTCCCATTGTTCAAAGCAGCAGCGGAATTGGCTTTCTTAGTACTGACAGCGGCATTCGGAGTGTAGTAAAGGCTCGCGGCAGTTTGCGTCCCCAGTACATCTTTCGCCGTCGTGCTTGGCACCTTTGCCTCAGCAGCGGTAGCTTTCCATGCGCCCACGAAGTTGTAGAACTCTTTGGTCAGAGGGTCAGCGTTACAGTAAGAGTCTGCCAACGCGCTGACGTAACTCTCCGGGAACCAATGATATCCTATTGTGTTGTTATCAGCCTACAGCTTCACCACCAAAAGCCACTCATGTAGACTAGAGAGGACGACTGACTGACCCTCAATACCACCACGCATCTCAAAGCACTTCTGACAACCCAATACGGAGTCGAAGAACGGATACTTCTCGCAATAGCAATGCTGCTGCTCCTCAAAATTGTCCTCATACTCCCTCAGACCGGAAAATGTCCCATTCGTGTTCTGAAAATGGCAGTTTCCGTTGATAGCAGATTGCCGTTTGCAGGGCGCCTCTTCTAACTGATAATCTGGCTTCTCGATGGTTATCGATACCCATGATTCTCCTCTTCTGACATTGCCGTTGGCGGCAGTGCTGGCGTCTGAACCATTGTGTGGTGGAGGTAGGTAAGACAAAGGCCTGCCCGGCAAGTAGCAGCGATTGAATAGATCGGTATCCAAATTAGTTATTCCCGAGTATTGAGAGGCTACCAGGTAGAAGCGAGATATCCATTGTGCGTTCGGAAAAACGGGATAAGTAGGATCGCCGGTGAACGTTGCGGTTGCCGCTGATGACGTATCGGTTGGCGTGTACAGCGGTATATCGGGGCTTGTGTATATGGGTAGCGCTGTCGTGGTTCCGGATGTTTGAGGCTCGCGATGTTGAATGTGCTGATGCATTTCCTTCCTGCAGGCTGAAAGTGGCGGCGTCTCGCGCCTGAAAGCTGAGGAAGAGGTGGAAATGGCTACCTTGGGCTCATTGTGTAAAGAATTCCGTTGATTTGGTCACGTCAAAGGAAAAGACGAGAGATGCACGGACTCTTGAACGAAAAAAAAGGAGGTTTTGAGGTTTGGCGCCTTACCGCGCTGAGTTAGCGTTATCCACTCGAAAAGTCATCCTGAGATCAACCAAGGATCCCCCATACTAGGTCTCCAACTCTTCATGATGCCTTTGGCTCTGCTCTCTGGGGGCAGGGCCCCAGCAGGCGCCGGTAGGAAATAGGCCATTCAATTGGCTAACGGACCATCGACGGCTTCTTGGTACGTCTGCTCCGCTTGGATGGCTATGACACATGCGGAAATTGAGCAGTCCAAGTGCTGATAAACGCCGACGGAGGCAGAAAGAACAACTCGCGGAAAACTTCGACAAGGAGGTAAAGCCGAGCGAGGAGATAGCTGAGGCCGACCAAGAATTCGAGTACCGGGAGCACAACCCGAAGGATAGAGAACCTTCGAAGATGGATATCCGCGAGTAACAATGCATAGTAAAGCGGCAGCACCCCTGCTGTTCCGACGCTCGATATTCGCCAAAGAAGTCGCTCTACAGGAGACGGAAAAGCGAAATTCCACGCTGCGCAGTGAATGCCTCCGAATACGATCCCGGCAATGGTGAACCCATCATCCATGCGCGTAAGAAGCACCCCGGGGAAAATTGCTGACGCAGCTGCCCCATGTGCGTACCGAGCATCATTTGGTATCGGGCTTGTGATGGCCTTGGACGATCCGAATCGGCCGCGGTACCGGGCTAGTTGTAGGGATACATCAAACCACGACTGTGGCCGACGCACTTCAATCTCCAGCCTATGCGCTCTACTTATCGCTTTTTCCCCAAGATCCTTTTTGACCGGAACGATTGTCGGTACTTTCACGTCCTTTGGTTTCGAAAGGCATAGGTAAAGCGTTATCAGAGAGCATGCGGCATACGCCAATATGGCGATTTCGAGCGCTGATATCGCGAGACCTTTCGATGCGCGGGTGATCACCTGGATAACGAACCACGCTAGCTGCATCCCCGTGAGACACTTCACAAAGAAGTCTCCTTTACTCTTGTCTTTGATCTCGTCCTCAGTTATCCTTGGTAAACGTTCGATCATCCTCATTTCGCCGCAAGCGTACTGAAGAGAGCGAAGGTTGAGAACCACAGGAGTTGGCGTAGCCTGGTCTTGCACCGTGGTGTGGGCTTTGAGGACGAATCCACCCATATCAGCGTAAAATCCGTGAGTAATTGTCCATTCAAATCCTGACTCGGAAGCCAGCTCTTTCATCTCGTCTATGGAGACTTTTGCAAGGTGACGGTCCTGCAATGCCTTCCCAAGCAGAAACTCGGGTACGAGGAGCGTCAACACCATCCATTTGAACTTGGGCAGGAAATCCACAGCGTAGCTTTTGATCTTGTCCCACATGGACTTCTGCAGGCGAGGTAATTGGCTGGGGATATTCAAGTGTAGGATTGACCAACTGCAGATGAGGAGGGTGAAAATTGAACTCCATAGAATGTCGAACGTTCCTCTCACTCCTGCAGATAATACCAGGTTGTCGGTGGTCAATGGGAGGGTACAGTTCGGTCGGAAAGTTGATGCGTCGGCTTGGCCTAACGTCGCGGCGACTACAGTCGCTAGGACAAGTGGCACGCTTTGCCACGTCATGGTTCTAGGGCCTCGGGAACGGGACGCTAGCGTGTTGAAGCTTCGAGTGGTCGGAAGGAATTTGAGCGTGTCTTTCTACGTGAGTGGGGTCAGGTTGAGGGTAGTGCGAAAGAAGCAAAGTGCGGCTGAGAAAACACATTCATCGGTACAAGCGGGGTTGTGCCTCACGAACACCCACCTTTCTCAACACTTTCAACCACCTAAACGCACCGATGCCGCCGAAGCCAAACGTGGACCTACTCCTGGATGATGGAACTGGTCTTCGCTCAGAAGACGTGCCAGTCGGCAGCATCATCAAAAACCCACATGACCCTCGAGGTTCTGTGATTCTCAACAATCATATCCCGCCCCAAGACCTTCGACACAGCCAGCAATCAGATTATGAGAGGACTTTCAAAGAGCAGTCTTACGTCCGAGGGGTAAAGTTCTCTGAATCAATTCGAATCCGTGCAGACCAGTGCACGCAATGGCGTACCAGCAACGCCGCGCATCACCTCCACAATGCTTGGCGCAATTCGAGTGACAATGCCTCGATCGCTGAGCACCGCTTAGAAGCTTTCATCGAGGATCGTCGGCTATACTTCATCTCGGGCTTTGAGGCGATGAACGGGGTTCTTGTTGAACGGATTAGAAAGAGCAAAGGATTCGCGCCCATTTCAAAGGACTTTCCGGACGTACGTTCCATATCTCAAATCTCTTCTACTCATCGAACCGAAATCGTTTCGGGTTTGTATCTCATCCCTTTGAGATTCATTGGCAAGCAAGATGTCAAGTTCGAAAGAGCGGAAGAGTTTTCCATGCTTGCGGCACTAGTCGAGCCAAAGATAATTCTCGAGGCGGAGTAATATTGCACATTCTCACGGGAGGCCGACAACCTGGGATCCAAGGGAAGGTGCAGGGACGGACCGCTGAAATGGATGGCAGACTGCCGGAAATACGCTTGTGTACCTATCTGGATATCTCTTCATCGTCTAGCAAAGCGGCGAAATTCAAGTCCTTTAACTTTTGCTTTCAAGACTCAACGGAAAGACTCTGTCGCACAGCCGACAGGGCGACACAGACGACCAAAAAACATCATGACACGGCTTCGAAACCAAAAATAGGCCTGAAGAACCACACCAGCTATGCCAGCAGCAGTGAAGATGATGTTGTGCTTTTCATGAAATTTGGTCTAGGCGAGCTCTCATGGTGTGGAATTCTCTAGCTAGAACGACGGGCGTAACAACTACCCTAGATACCCTCGCGGATGCGTACAAAAGAACGTATAATTTGCTAAGCTAATCTTACCTACACGACGAGCCCTTAGATCAGGAGAATTCCCTGCCGCAAGAGGCGAGCGAGCGTCCTAGCAGAGCTAACAGCATCCTGTTCTCGACACACACCCGTGGACGATTTCGGTGGCCCAAACACCTTTAGACCACGGTTTGGCGTGAAGCCATAGGAAAGTCATGTGTCGAGACCATGCATGTCTTGTGAACTCTCCACCGCAATCGCCCTAGCAATTCACAATGCCGCTGTCACTGCCAACCATAGCACCTGCCTCATCACCATGTTGTCACGGTGCCAGCCTAGCCCTACCAACATATAACCTCGCCTTTCTTCTACAACTGTTGGTCTCGAAACCACAAACGAGAGTAGCAACAAAAATCCCCAGTTCCCACAAGACCAACATCATCATCATGGGCAACTCCTCCTCAGCGACTAGGCATCATCGCCGCATGCCCCGAGATCACCGCACTATCATACGGGTAGAGTTCGATCCTGATCTCGCAATCCCAGGCTTAGCTGAGGGTCGACCGCATCGCCGTCGCCGGCGCCACCACCACGATGGACGACGTCGACGTTCGCATTGGGATGAGATTGAGTATGCACATGGTGCTGGCTACGGCGAGGGCTTTGACGAGGGCTATGGCGAGGGCTATCACCAAGGCTACGATGATGGCTACGTTGATCCACATGCGCACCATGGTGGTCGATCGCTACCCGGTATGCGCGAATACGGCTACGGCCCGGAAGACTATCTTGACGGCGATGGACATCCTGCACAGCCTGGCTACGGTATGCAAGATCCATACGCTGATGCGGACTATGCCTCCTACGAAGGTGGGCATCCTGCCTATGGCATGCACGACCCCTACGCGGACGGCTCCTATCATGGCGGACACCCCGGCTATGGCATGAATGAACCCTCCCCCCGTCGTGCTGGACGCCGCCCTCGCCGCCCACGCGCTCAGGCTGCCGGAGGCCGCGACCGCGTCCAGCAGTCTCAGTTTGAATTCGCGGGGTACGAAGAGGATGACATTAGGTCTGAGTATGCTGGTCCTCTGGAACCTAGGCGGATTGGGTGGCACTAAGCCGGTAGCGATAGCGCGTCGTAGAACGATGTCCTGATCTGGCTTTTGAGTATGGCTTACGAAGCCGCTGAAGACTTGGTTCATCATGACTAAAGGATAGCCAAAGGAATTACCCTGATTGCATAGCAAATAGATATCCATTTGTTTGAGTATAAAGCCCACTTCTGTTCGTATATCGTGAAGTCCATGTGTAATGTTCGCGTCTGACATTAGTCGTCCTCGTCGTACCATGCAAAGGACTCCATAACCTATTAAAACCATTAGAAACGAGGACATCCACGGTTCTTCATAGTAGATCGCATTTCAAAACGCGTCCTAATTGCCGTCTTGGCTCCACCTTTCGCGAGCAGCCTTATTCTCACCAAACTTACCGCATTAGGCAGGCTGTTGATTGCTGCGCGTTTAAGCTTAAATACGATGGTGCGGGGCGACGGGGCTCGTGCGTGGGGGCCGGGGGCACGGACATGGGGCGTCATGAATTGATGGGAGAAAATGGACGGGCTTTGGTTGACAGGAAGAAAATTCGCAGTTCGTGATGGACGCGTGATCCCGAAAGAGATGGAGTGGGTGTGGGGTTACACACGGAGCCGGAGTGGTGCGTGGTTGGGGACGCGCGGAGGGCGGGAAAACGGTGTTGGATGTGTGCGGACTTCGACTCAGAGAGAAGAAAGTTATTCGTATCGTGAATTCGAAGAGCCCCTTGGTCGTTTGAGAAGGCCGTCGTCATGCTAGGATATACCACATAGAATACGCCGTAATCCCCAATGGCCACCTCCCGAAAGCAAAGGTATCCTGCAAACATAATACATGCGAAAGTAACCACCATGAGCTCCGCCTGTCAGAACAAATCGAGGACAGTCCCGGAGACGAGGGACTTATTGCATCTCCTCCGTCTTCGCCCTCTTTCCGTTCATTCCATCCTCCTCGACCTCAAGCTTCCTCTTGCTGCCGCTGGCCTCGGCGGACGCTGACGCAGCTGGCGCAGGAGCCGGTGCCTTCTCCTTCTTCTTGGTCTTAACAAGTCCGGAGATATCGTTCGCCGCCTGGGTGGCTTCAGCGAGCTTGGCTTTCTGTGTCGCGGCATCAGCTCCTAGCAGGCCTCCGAGCAGACCTTGGAAGACCGTTTGGTCCACGGCGTCGATTTGCTGCTTTGTGGGGTCCTCTTTCAGATCCGTAAGCTAGGCGTATTAGCATGTGGTATTTTTAGCGAAGAGCAATAATTCCACATACCCGGGTCTTTAGATCCTCTAGCATACTCTTCTTGTCGGTGATAATGGCTTCCTTTTCTTTTTTCTGCTCCGGCGTTAGAGCCTCTGACGACAGAGCTGCCTCTTCTTGCTTCAACCGCGTTTCGAGGCTCTGAATAGCGAGCTCAGTGTGTTTTGCCGCCTCGTTTCGTAGATCCCAGTCGATCACGTCTTCTTGCTGAGCGCCATCTGCAGGTGTCTCCGTGTCTTGCCCTGCCTGCTGCTCGCGGACCTTCGCCACGGACGCGAACTCTAGCGCCAGCGACAGCGAGTAGTGGCCCTCAGTGACGTTCTCATGCTCGAATGGATGTAGCTCCTCCTGCAGTGCGACCGCAGACCGAGCGTCCGGGATGGCATCATGAAAGCGCTCGTTCTCGAAGGAGATCTCGACGAGGAAGCCATGACAGTCTGCGAGCTTTTCCTTGATCGCTCGAGCTTGTGGCGTGACCTCCGCCTTTCCTTTGCCTTTATCTGCGCCCTCACTTGACTCCTGGGCTTCCAGCTGCTTGGTGTACAGCACGCGCGCCAGCTCGAAGACCTCGTACGCGTTTCCGAAGTCGTCCTGCTCCTCTTCCTGCTCTGCACCACCCTCCTCCTCTTCGTCCTCCGAGTCTGTCCAGTTCTCGTCGCCCGTCAGCTGGAAGTATGCTTTCGATTCGACAGTCTCTTCCTTCCCCTCTGCTTTCGAGCCATTGGCTGATGGAGCTGGTCGTTCCGATGCCTCCTTCTGCGACTTCTCCGTCTTGGACTTCTTCTTCTCCTCCTGTACCACTTTTGCGCCTAGAACGTCGCTCTTCGCGATGGCAACCTTGTACAGCGCGCGTCCGTAGTAGAAGAGCAGCTCCGCATTCTCAGGTGCCATCTCACCATTAAGCTCGGCCTGTATCTCGACCGCGTCGGCATAGTGGTCGGCGGCGGTGGAGTAGTTCTTCAGTGAGTATTGCAGCGAGGCGGCCCTGGTGAGCTCCTCCAGCTTCTCTTTCGTCTTGGGCACGTCGGCGGTGGTCGCGGCGCTCGGAATGGGTTCGGTGACCGCTTCCGCCATTGCGGTACGGTTTTCGATGAAAATATGGTTGTGGTATGTTCGAAAAGTCTACGCGACCGTAACAAGAGCGGCCCTGGGAAATATGAATCGTGGTGGCGGGGCGAGCGTAAGTTTGTTGGTGGAGCTTCCGGTGCGACAGCTACAGTTGACTTTTGGCGGTCTGTGCGCACGCGAACTCGTAAGTCGCGTCGACGCGCCGGAAGCAGCCCCCGACGTACGCTTTAGGCATTCTGATATGCTGCGCTGACACTCTCCATCCCATGACAATGGCGACTGCAAAACGACCTGAGAAGCCCTCGGCGGTACCGAAGAACCTAATTCCTTCATCCTCGCCTGCATTCGGCACTCCTGTTCACCCCATCAATCCCCGCCGGACAGCCCCAATACCCGCACCGCCCGCGCTGAAACCCGCCGTGAGAGCGACAGTCCTACCCATCGAGCTTCCGCCGGCGACACTAAGGCCCCTCGCATTCCGAACATTCACCAAGAAGCACAACTTGACCCTGACATCTTCCGCGCTTTCAGCATTAGCGAGCTTCATCGGGAAGCACTGCGGTTCGGGATGGAGGGAAGAAGGACTGGCAGAAAAAGTGCTCGAGGAGGTGGCGAAGAGCTGGAAGAAGAGCGGTAGCCAGGTCATTGTAGAAGGAGATGGTGACACGCTCAAGAGTATCCTAAAGACATTAGAGGGCTCCATGAGCGGTGGAAGAATCGTCAATGGCTCGAACTTGAGCAGACAAAGCAGCTTTAACTTTGGGCCGGACGCGAATGGGCAAGGAACTCCGGAACCCGGGGTGAGACCGGCATTGGACAGCCAGACCAGCTTTGGCATGTCGAGCTTGGGTGTAGACGACAAGGACGACGAGGAGGAGTCGTTAAAGGATCCGCGGGAGTGGATGAAGGTCATAGATACCTTCGAGCAGCCAAAGCTGGTCTATAACATCTCGCAACGGCACTTCGAGAAGTAGTCTCCCCGGGTCGACGGTAAATTACTTTCCGCTAACACTGGTAGATCGAACGTAAAGTCCTCGCTCTTCCCCGACCCATCCCACAAAACAGACCTTTTCCGCCAACGCTACCACACCGTACACCAGCGCATCCTCCGCAATGAAACCTTCCAGACTCCTACCTTCTCCACTGCGCGCTCTGCGGGACTGAGCCGTACGGGTTCTATCGCCAACTCCCAAACAAACACATTAACCCCAATTGCGAACCTGCTGGGCCGAAGCGGCAGCGCGCATCTACTGCTAGGAATGTTGACAGTATCGCCGACCGGAGCACTCTCATTATCAGATCTGACGGGGACAATAGCACTAGACCTCCAACATGCATGCCCAATACCAGAAAACGGTGCCTACTTCGCGCCAGGTATGATAGTGCTCGTGGATGGTAGTTATGAGGAAGACTATAGCAATCCGACGTCCGGCTCAACCTCCACATTAGGGGGCACGGGCGGTATTGGCGGGACAATAGGTGGAAAATTCATTGGTTTCTCCGTTGGCCACCCTCCATGCGAAAGACGGACTACGACGCTTGGTGGCACTGAAGAGTCTGACAGGAACAGCTTGAGCGGGCCGGCCTTCGGCTGGACAGATTTCCTCGGCGTAGGCTCTGAGCGTGCAACTGGATCGCGAATGAACCGCCTGGCGAACAAGCTTCTTACCGCAGAGAAAGCACACAACGTTGTCATCGCATCAGACCTACACCTGGATAAACCCTCGACACTCTCAGCTCTCCGTACCCTTCTCCGCACGTACTCTCCAGATCCCACGGACTCCCACCCCATATACCCTCTCGCCATCATTCTTATGGGAAACTTCAGCTCCAAAGCCAGTCTCGCAGGCGTCCCTGGTGCAGGGAGTATAGAGTATAAAGAACACTTCGACGCCTTAGCCACCGTCCTCGCAGACTTTCCACAACTCATCGCTCACACAAATCTAGTCTTCGTCCCAGGTGACAACGACGCATGGCCAAGTGCATTCTCAGCAGGCGCCGCAACACCCCTACCGCGGAAAGCAGTCCCAACGCTTTTCACAAACCGAGTACGGCGTGCCATCGCAGAAGCAAACCGCGAAGTATGGGGCGCAGGAAAAGCGAGAGGAAAGGAGGGCGAAGTAATATGGACTAGCAACCCATCGCGATTAACCTGGTTTGGTGTGAAGGGCGAGATGGCTATCCTACGCGACGACTTCATGGGCCGCTTACACCGCACAAGCATCCGCTTCAACAAGCCCGAAGCAGACCCCGACGACGACGATGAACAGCTCCCAGACGCCACCTCCGCGCCCCAAAACAACGAAGAGTCCCAAGACGCAGCAATGGACCTCGACGCCCCCTCGACCCTCGCTCCGGCCGTCCCTCCCGAGCCCCAAGACTCCATCGACACCGACACGCAGACCGCGCGCGCACTAACCCGCACCCTGCTCTCACAATCACACCTCTCGCCTTTTCCACTCTCCATCCGCCCGTTGCACTGGGACTACGCGCATACGCTGAACTTGTACCCGCTGCCTACGAGCGTGGTGGTTGCGGATTCCGAGGCACCCGCTTTTGTGGTCAAGTATTGTGGGTGCACGGTTATGAATCCGGGGGCTATTGATGGGAGTGGGGGCCGTGCGAGGGGGGAGGGGAGGGCCAGGTGGGTCGAGTTTGATGTTAGGAGTGGGGTTGGCGTTGTGAGGAGTGAGGGCTGAGGTGGGTATGATTATACATGTGGTGGTGATTTGGTTTGGATTTAACGTTGGCATATACGGGTCAGGTTATGAGCGGCATAGGTACGGTGTTGCATAGGTCGTTGGGAAGGTTGGGTTAATGAACTCTTTGTATTCAGCAGTGGCTGAGCCTCGTATACTCTATGTGCTGCTGCAATGTTCTCGAAGTGGTGCATTCCGCGTGTCTGGCAGGCCATGAGCAAGTGAGGACATGAGTCAAAGCCGGCAGTGGAATGGGTTTATCATCACACTAAAGCGAGAAATGGAATATTTGTCTTCAAAAAGCTGATATTCATCGATGCTACTAAGCGTCTAGCATTCCATCTAGTACGCCCGCCCGCGCAGAAAGAGCCGTAAACTTTCCGCCAAACAAAGAAGAGGGAGCTCAAAGCGCGGGTATCGACCCAGGAAATCAAATCAAGATCAGAGAACCATTACGCCTTATCAACCGCCCCCTTCCACCATCGATAGCAGACATCCAGCCAGGTTCAGCGGATCTTCAGGAACGGGTTATCGGCCAGAGATCCAACAGGGCTGGAAGAAGTCTGCGATGGCTGCGCGTTGCCAAAGGCAGTGCTGCCGAAAGTCGCTCGCGGGGGCGTCATGAAGGGGTTGCCTTTGCCGGATTGGTGCCCGAGAGATGCGAACGGCGATGGGCTCGGAGCTCCGGTATTGCTGTGGTCAAGGGAAGCGAAGGGGGACATATTAGATGCACCCATGTTGTTGCCGCCGCCGGGGGCGCCTGAGGACCCGGTGCTGGTGTTGCCGAGGGAAGCGAAGGGCGATGCATTGGCTGCACCCGTATTGTTGCCGCCGCCGAGAGAGGCGAATGGCGAAGTATTAGAGGCATCTGAAGCTCCCATGTTGGAGTTGCCGAGGGAAGAAAATGGAGAAGTACCTGCGCCGTTGTCCATGGGAGAGGCGCCGAACATCGCAGCGCCGTTGCCGCCAAGGGAAGCGAAGGGGGAAGGGCTCGAAGAGCCGATGTTGTTGTTACTGCCGAGAGAAGCGAAGGGGGAGGCACCAGTAGTATCCATGAAATAATTGCCCTGCTGTGATGCCTTCAAAGCTTTGAGACGCTCTGCGAAAGGGTTGGTATTTCCGGATGAACTGTTTTCGGTAGCAGGCTTGGTGGATGCATTGCCGTTGCTGGGGACGCCAATACCGCTGTTAGTAGGGTTCAGGAAGGGATGGTTCAGCCCGGGGGTATTTAGACCGTTGAGACGATCCGCAAATGGGTTTGATTTACCCGCTGAGGTGCTCCCGGAAGCCGGCTTTTTATGGAGATGGTCATCTGAATCGGTGTCGTCGACAGGTGCTTTCATGACGGGATTGGCCCATCCGGAGACCGAAATGCCGTTGTCTAGGGGGGTTTTCATGAATTTATTGTCGTTGGTAGAGTTGTTGGTGTCAGGAGGAGGCCTCATGAAGGAGTTTTCGTTGCTAGTGTTGCTCTCAAGTTGGCGTTTACGTGTAGGAGCGGCACTCTCGGAGATGCTGCTGAACAGAGAGGTCTTGGGAGTATTATCAGGCGCCTGGTGTTGCTGGTCATGGCCGAGAGACTGCTGGCTCCCGACGCCGAGTACAGAGCTACGAAGAACCGATCCGTACCCGGAGTCGCTAAAGGAATGGACCTCTTGGCGAAGCTTGTCGGCGTCGACGGGCGTGTTGTAACTTGAAGCGAGCGAGGTGCCCTGCGCCATTAGGCCGCTCAGAACATATGGACGCTTCTTGAGGCGGAAACCACCTACTCTACTATTAGTACCTGGCCACTGGGCAATCACATTCGATCTGACTTACGCTCAGTTGCTTGAGGCTGAACAGGAAGGTTGTTACCCATCCCAGCCAGCACGAAGTCCCAGAGGAGATCAAGCCTCCCCTGATCAATCTTCAGGTCGATCAGGCTCACGTTGCTCATCTGAAGGGCTTTGGCGAAGACAACCGCAACCGGGAGCTGGGCGGGATCCGTCTGCTCGGCGAGATGGTGGAGGACGTCGAGCACTCGGCGGTGTAGCAAGATCTCCTTGTCTTTGGGGCACAGCTCCTTCTGGTGATCATCGGCTTGCTGTCTGAGCTGCGCCTCGAGCTTGTTGTTATCTTCTTGAACCTTCTTCTCACGGGCGGCAGCGTCCTTGGCGGCGTGGTCAGCGGTGTCCTTCTCCGACGTCTTGATGGCCAGTGCAGTCTCGAGTTTGCGAATTCTCGCATCACGGTCACCGATATCTCGATCTTTGGCTCTCAGCTCGTACTCCAGATCGCTAACTTCTTTCTTGACGCTGTTCACTTCGCCCTCAAGCCTCTCCTTCTCTTTGCGGTGGGCGACGGTTGAGCTCTTGTTCTGGAATCGGTCGAGACGCTCTCGGGTGTCACCCAAATTTGACCGTAATTGGGCGTTGTCGGTCTTGAGCTGCTTATTCTCGTGTGTAATCTGCTCCTGTGCACCGACCGAATGCTGATGCAACATCTCTGCGTGGTCGCGTTCGCGCATCAGTCGCACTTCTTTGTCGTCGTACGAGTGCTTGAGCCGCTCAAAGTCCGCTGGTGAAGCGCCGCGCCATGCCAGCTTCACGAAGGAGGTCGCCAGGTAGGCCAGGAGTTTCAGAAAGTCGGAAGCAAGCACCCTGGTCAGAGGCGAGATGAGGAGCATGATGTAGCCAGCGATTGTCAGCAGGCACAGCGGAGAGCTGGCCGTAGCCCAGAGAAAGGACGCTGTCGGCGTGCAAGCGGGGCAAGCCTGGCAGTTGGGGTCGACATGGTAGCCGTACGATGCCATTGCGGTGGCAGAGAGCAAAGCAAAGATGAGGAGGTGCAACATAGTTGGGTTGTGCACAAAGTTGGTGAGGCTGCTCGATGTGGGAAGTAAGGTGTGGGAGGAAGGTTTAAGTAGTGGGAGGTGTCGGGGAAGGCCGCGCTAGTGCGGGTGTTCGACATTGTGGTGAAAGGTCTCTCTCGCAGGGCTTGGGCGCGTCATCATGAAGCCAGAAATTCTGAGAAGCGAGTTCGATTAGGGAAACGAGAAGCTGGAGGCGTTGAGCACCAGATTCACAATGTCAACGGGCATGGTGAAAGGTGTCGAAGTTACCATAATGAGCTTGACAGAGCTAGAAACTTGGAAATAGAGTAGGATAATCTACGAGCATGCGGCGATTGGAGAGTATATGAAGTTTCAAGAAGAGACGGACGAGATCCAGAACGAGATGAGCAGTACCACGTGAAGCTCGAGGCCGGAGGGAATCGTAGAGAACAATTTTATAGCCACCATGATGGCTCGCCCCGGTCAGTTGCCACTGTACCTCGTCTTTTATCCCTGGATATGGAGAGAGCCGCTGCCTACACGCGAAGGCTGTATATAGCCATCCCTTTGGGCTTGGGTGTTCGAGATGTTCTGCGGCTAGAAATGGCGGCTTCCTTGTTTACAAGACAATAGAATGACTCATGACGGCAAATATGTGGCGTCGCGCTCAGGGCAGTCAGAGTGCATGATGAGAGGTTTGATCACGACGTCTGAAGTTGAGTCAAACGGTCTCGGCAGAAAGTTGACCCGGCTCCGGCGGGACCTTTGACTCAGAAAAGTTCCCCACTACTTATTGGCAGCCCGCCCGCAAACAACACACGCGACTCACCACACACCTCAATTGCGACCATGGCAGACCAATCTGCCCCGGCGCAGGCGCAGCCCGCCGCTGAGGGTTCCGAGAACCAGCACACGGACCCCGTAACCGGCGAGATGATCTCCAAGAGCGAATTGAAGCGACGGCAGAAGCAGCGCGAGAAGGAGGCCAAGAAGGCGGAGAAGGAGGCTGCGCTCCCAGCGAGGCCAAAGAAGGAGGGCAAGAAGGAAGAGGAGGAGCTTAATCCGAATGTCGGTCCTAGCAAGTCTTGAGTCGCAAGCAGCGATATGGCTAACAATGCGCAGCAATACTTCGAGATCCGCTGCAACAAGATCACCGCGTTGAAGCAGAGCAAGAAGCCGAACCCGTATCCCCACAAGTTCCACGTCGACACCAAGCTGGCCGACTTCGTCGAGAAATATTCACACCTCAAGAAGGGCGAGACGCGCGAGGACCAAGAAATCAGTGTCGGCGTTCGCATCATAACCAAGCGCGAGAGCGGCAATGCCCTCAAGTTCTACGTCACGAAGGCGGAGGGGGTCACGCTTCAAATCATGTGCCAATTGCAATACGCGTCCGGCGATGTGCCCTTCGAGAAGCAGCACGAGAATCTCCAGCGTGGTGACATAATCGGTGTGGTGGGCTTCCCCGGCAGGACCAGCCCGAAGAAGGGCGGCGAGGGTGAACTCAGCATATTCGCTCGGGAGGTCGTTCTGCTTACTCCATGCTTGCGCATGCTTCCGACGGGTGCGTATATATACTTTTAATATGCAGGACAGGTACTAATGTGGCTCCTCGCAGAGCATTTCGGCTTCAAGGATCACGAGCAGCGCCACCGCCAGCGATTCCTCGATTTGATAATGAACGACTCCACTCGCGGTATGTTCCTTTCCCTAACTAGGTTGCGACGCCCGCCCTCTTTCTGACTCCAGACAGAGACGTTCATCACGAGAACCAAAATCGTCAAGTATGTCCGGAAGTACTTCGACGATAGAGACTTCCTCGAGGTTCAGACGCCCATGATGAACAAGATTGCGGGTGGAGCCACCGCTAAGCCTTTCAAAACGTACCACAACGAACTCGGAATGGGTAAGTCTGTCGCAGTACTCATACTAGAGCTGTTTTGGTCTCTGCCTTGAAGCATCACTCGAGGTGGTTAGCAAGGTTTGAGAAGTGAGACATCTTTCGTGTCCAACTTTCTCTCCTTCCCCCGACGCTTGCCTCTGCTAATGTGGAAATCTGCAGAGCTTTTCCTCCGAATAGCGCCCGAGCTCTACCTAAAGGAACTTGTTGTCGGTGGCCTGGAGCGCGTCTACGAGGCAAGTCTCCCTGTTGAGTGTCGTTGATGTTTCGCATCACAGCGCTCGACCGACACAGATATCAGTCCCTTACTCTCGAGCATAATGCTAATCTTACACCGATAGATCGGACGACAATTCCGGAACGAAGGCATAGGTATAGTCAATACGCGCTCTGATGGCGCAGAGGTACTAACGTTTATCCAGACCTAACCCACAATCCAGAATTTACAACGTGCGAATTCTATATGGTATGACTGACTACATGAAGACGCTTTCGGGCATTTACTGACTTGGTCTAGGCTTTCGCAGACATGTACGTCATGCCAGTGTCAAAATACCCACTGTTGCGGAATGGATCCGTCGCGTGTTTTCGCAACGCTCTGAATGGGCGGAGACGGACCGAATTCCCTAATTGATAACTTGTACTTACCCTTTACCCTCCTTAATAGGTTCGACATCATGGACATGACAGAAGAGCTCGTCTCCGGCCTTGTATATGCGGTCAAGGGTGAGTTACCCCCTTATACGAATTCCGAAAATTTTCTAAACGTGCTGTCTAGGCACCTACAAGACACAATATCATACTCAAGGTGAGTTCTATCTTTCAATCCTCTACCAGTGTGCCACTAACTTGTTATGCAGATGGCCAGGTGTACGACGTTGTACGTCTTCTCTAATTTCCCGCCCCTTTTTACGTATCATCAACTAAACCCTTAGAACTGGGAGAAGCCGTGGCGGCGAGTGGACATGTAAGTCATGGCCATGATATGCAGAACCATGATGGGCATTTGCTAACAAGATCTGATAGGATTCCTGAGCTTGAGCGTTGCACCGGCGAGAAGTTTCCGCCAGCAACCGAGTACGTACAACTCGATCCCTCTTTCCTCCCTGGTACCGATAATGGTGAACTCCGCTCACTCATTACACCAATTATAGATTCCACACAGAGGAGACAAACGCCTTCTTGAAGCGCGTACTAGAAAAGGTCGGCGTAGAGTGTTCGCCTCCTCAGACGAACTCTCGAATGATCGACAGTTAGTAGTAAAAGCACTTGATTAATGTCCCATACTAATTGACTATCAAGAGCTGGTCGGCGAGTTCATCGAGGAGACCTGTGTAAATCCTACGGTGAGTCTATCCCTGTGGTAGGCTTTGCGATGTTCCGGGAGCTAATGTGCGGACAGTTTATTATGGGCCACCCCGAAGTCATGTCCCCATTAGCGAAGTGTCAGTACCTGCACAGGATGAGCTCACAGGACGGAAAATGGTCCTAACATGTTAGCAGATCATCGCAGCATCCCGGGTCTGTGCGAGCGCTTCGAGGCTTTCGTATGCAAGAAGGAGATCTGCAATGGTACGTTTATTCACCTTGTTCGCGAGGATATCTGCTGATGCTTGCTAGCGTACACGGAGTTGAATGACCCCTTCGACCAGCGAATGCGATTCGAGGAGCAAGCCAATCAGAAAGTACGCTCGCTCTTCCTTCTATCTTGATGCTAGACATGCTAACGCGCATCGCCAAAGGCACAAGGAGACGATGAGGCGCAGCTGATAGACGAGTAAGCCAACCTCGCGGGACGAATACTGAATTCTTACTAACAGTACTAGGACCTTCTGTCAAGCACTCGAGTACGGTCTGCCTCCCACCGGGGGATGGGGCTTGGGAATCGACCGATTGGTGATGTTCCTGGTACGTTTCCGGATTGTTGAGCAACGGTTGAAGGTCTACTAACCGGGAGACAGACGGACCACTACAGCATCAAGGAGGTGCTCGCATTTCCCTTTATGAAGGATGTCGTGGAAGAGAAGAAGGAGAAGACAGCGGCGGAGGTCGCAGGTGTGGAGCCACTCCCAGAGGAAGGCATTCGTAGGTGCCATGGCTACTGAGACCCGGTCCTGATTTCTGACTTTTCACAGCGCACAAATGATCCATCTGCCGTGGAATATGCTAGGGCGTGAGTGCATAAGACTCCTTCTATGACCTGGCAGTGTCGAATGGAATTCACCATGTCGGCGTAAATGGTTTGATAGAGAACCGGTCGAGACAAACGAAAAATGATTGATGGCGACTATGCTGCAAAAGCATCACGGGACATTCATGATAGACATTATCTTCTCTCTTCTTGCTTCCCAAAATATCACACATCCCAAACTCTGAAAGGCAAAACAAGGAACTACTACCTCCACGCATGACTGCTCCTGTACTGTTATCCCTCTCGCCTACACCCGCTTCGGGACCTGCCTCGGCTCAGCCGAAACATGCAATTTCGGAGACCGTCGTCCTGCGCATCTTCCGTCGCGGAGCTATGGTCGGGGCCTAGTGGTATTGGTCGATTAGGGACGGGTGGTACTTTGATCCTTGACGGGAGCGCGGGAGACTGTGTAATAGAAAGACGATGGCAGGATACTCTAGAGAGCTTGAACTTGGGTGAAAGCGGGAGTTTGTTTCGCTGGAAAAGAACGTTGACGCCCGGCTGTGCTCGAGTCTTGTTGCATGCGTATGTTTCGCCGACGATATAGAGGGGAGGCAATGACTCCATGTTTCTCATCATAGTAGACATATAACTGCAAAAAGGTTCCAACACGTTCCTCATTTCCGTCCATGAAGGAGCTAGATCTCTAAATCGCACAGAGAACAACATAACTACATTGCACAAGAACAAAACAGTCCGGCAGCGCCACAGCTCTTACTCAAGCGCAGGCTTAAACTTCTTCGCGGACTGCGCCGCCCTGATCATAGCCTCCGGATCCCGAATGCCGGCAACCTGGCCCTGCTCCGCGCGCTTCAACGTCAGCGCCGCAATCAGCGCCGCGCCGACGCCAGACCCGTCCTCCGAGGGCAAGATCTCGATCGGGTCGCCCTTGCCCTTCCCCTTGTTCTTTGGCCAGTCGAGGATCTCCTTGAGCGCCTGCGCGCCGCGCAGCTTGAAGTGCGGGTACTTGTTGAAGACGGAGCCGTCGGCGCCGACATGGCACGTCTGCCAGCCCTTCTTCTTGCAGATGGCGGCGACACCGCAGGCGGAGAGGCGGGCGGCGCGGGTGCCGATGAGCTCTGCGAGTTTGCGGATGAGCTCGAGCTCCGGTTTTGTGCAGACGATGCTGAGGGAGTTCTGGAAGAGGTCGTGCGTTTCGGACAGGTTCTCGAAGGGGTCTTCCTCGATGGCGGCGAGGAAGCCGGCGTCGAGCGAGTAGGCTTTCTTGAGCTTGCCGATGTCCTGGCCCTCGAAGATGTTGCAGTCGGGGTTCTGGTGCAGGTCGAGCAGGACGAGGCGGAAGATCTCGCCGAGGTAGAGTCCTGCGATCATCTTCTCGAAGGATTGCTGGCCCGGGCGCGGAGACTCTTTGTCGATTATTATGTCGTAGGGAGTGCGTGGGAGGACTTTGTGCTCGTTGTCGAAGGCGCCGTATTCGCAGTTGATGGCCATGGGGAGGTCGGGGTCGAGGTTCATGTGGGCGAGCTTGGGGATCGAGCCGCAGTTCTCCATGTAGGCTGCGTTGCAGCCAGTGCCGAAGATGCAGCCAATCTTCATCTGCGTGTCAGTGTAGGCGGACGCGATCATGGTACCAGTAGTGTCGTTGACGAGGGCTGTGAGCTTGATTGGGACACCGCGCTCAGTGAGCGCAGCCTCGAAGGGTGGGACTACGTCCTTGCCCTCAACGCCGTCAATGTCGAAGCCTTTCGTCCATCGCTGCAGAATGCCGTGATCAATGTAGTTCTGTGTTGCCGGATAGGAGAATGTGAAGCCGAGCGGCAGCTGCTCAATCTCCTCGTCCGCATGGTGGTACTCGATGAACTGCTGAAGGCAATCCGCGACATAGCCCCATAGTTCGTCGGCCGTGCCAGTCTTTAGCTCCTCCGGCATACGGTACTTGGATTGTATGATGTCGAACTCGCCCTTTTCTTCAGTAAGCGTCACTTCGCAGACTCGGAGGTTGGTACCGCCCATGTCGAGGGCGAGGAAGGTGCCAGTCTCGTTTCCGTCGGGGAAGGCCATACACCAGGTAGGATTCATGGGCTATATCGGTCAGCACCTTGGGCCTCTGGGAGGAGACTTTTCAAAGGTTCCGAGCGGCGGACTCACAATGGTCGAATTCTCCTCCCGCAAGCCTCTCTCGAGCTCGCTGACAAACTGATTCGTGACTTCCTTGAGCTTAGCCGTGTCGACGACAAAGAGCTCCTCTAGTCGATTGATTTGGTCCAGCAGATCCTTTGGCACATCGGCCATGGAGCCTGAGACACACGTTATCTCACCCATCCTGCTATTTCGTATCGCAGCAACTTATATCGGCATTGCGGAAGGCGCGGATGCGGAGATGTGAGGCAAACGAGGAAGAGGAAAGAGCGATCGTACCCTTTCTTGAGGGCGGTTTCCTTCCGGCAACCATGGCTGCGGTTCGCTGTTTCCACGACGTTCAGGCGGTTGTTGAGGCAAGCGCGACGGGGCAGACAGCGCGTTATGAGGAGGAGGAGTCGATCGAAGAGGAACCGGAATGCGGCTGCCCAGGTGTCCTAAAGTCTTGACGGAGCTGTTAGCGCCTTTAACAACCGAGCACGGCGCAAAGTGGGATGCTGAGGCATAAAAACATCTCAGGTCATGCGCAGCAAGTCAATTGTTCAGCCTTTCTGCTCGCCGCCGGGCTGTGGTTGCTTTTGCGCAAAGAAAAGGGCGATTGGAGCTGCAGCTTACCAAGCGCGTGTGATAATGCTAAGTCAGGTACCCCGCCTGGACGAATGAATAGAGCAATTGCCAGGCCTTGAGGCACGCGATAAATGCGCTGAAGATATTGTAGATGCTGGCTATGGATGAGGGTCTCAATTGAAAAGTTTTGGGCAAGATAGATGAAAGGTTGAGGGTTGAGAACGGCGGCTCGTCTCTGTTGAGACAGCCGGCATCCCACGTTGTCGAAGAAATTGGAACTCCGAGGGGCAGGTGCCGGGTTGCTGGGCAATGACGCACGCGGATGTGGGCAAGGGTCCCTGCAACCTCGGCGAAAAGTATTGCCGTCCCCGAGAACCCTCGCTTCACTCCGCCTTTCACCACCACCAGCACCACTACCAGGCTCTCGATCTTGGCTTCTGCGGTGGTCTTGCGTCATTTTCGCACTGTAAATAACATTGTGGCATACTCCGATGATGACCGAGACAAGCCGACCACGGCCGGAAGCGCACTTCCACGGCCTAGCGTACTTTCACGACTTTCACTGCCCCCGAGACTCAAGTGTGAGCAAAGGCTGTTTGCAGGATACTCGAGGTTAAAAACATGTGACTGACTGATGAGCTTGGCATCGGTAAAGGAGCCCGGCTGCATCAGCCACGCAAAATGGGAAAGAGCTATACCTGGGTATACGTCTGGCTTGCCGAAGCGCCCTCTAGCAAGCCCGGAGAAAATGAGCTTGTCGAACGGAGGCTCCGATATACAGCCGCCCGTGCTGGTGGGCTTGTTATCTCTCGAGTGAAACGACTTGTCCCGCGAGGCCCTGCACTCAACTCTAAGTTCGTCATTCACCTCGCGTGCGGGGCTCTTCTGGCAGCTACGGCAATGCTGTCGCCTGTGCCCTCAGCTACTCCAGAGTGATGCCATACCGGAAAGTCTTCAAACTCGTTGCGAAGAGCTTCATGCGGATAGTCTCGACGTGCTCCTAAGATTGAACAAATCTCAGCGTCTTTCGCAGTCAGCACGAAGTGGCCTTGATGTCAGCACCAATGGTCAGTCCTTCCTCCCCATCCAGCGGACCCCTCACTCCCCTTCACTGCGAGTTTGAGAGCTTGTTGCCGCGATTCTGGGAGTGTTGTGTTTGTTGTTGCCGGGCGCCGCGCCGTTGCCGCGGCGCGTTTTGCTGCGTTTGCCTGACGACGCGCGCCGAAGTTTTCTACTCGGCTCACCACCTTGTCTGCTCCTCACCTGAACACCACAACAAGGTCTAAGGTCCTGTGCAGTGCAGTCCGTTATAGCAACTCACAAAGAAGCTCACTAACAATTGCGTGTACAGGCTTCAACAGAGATGAAGGCTCTCTTCGCGAACCAGAAGAAGTCCGCTGGGCAAGTGGGTGACAGCTCTCTTCCCGAGGTACCTGCGTATACTGAGGGTAATCTCCTCAACGAGAAGACCAGGCCAGCTCAGCGCAAGCCCGTCGTCGACCCAGCTACGGTTCTCTCCGACCAGATGGCTGTCTTAGGACTTAGTGGCGGCGACTCCCAGAGCGGAAGCCAGGGTGAGCCGTACCAGACCGAATGCCTTGAGTTCCACATGCTAACAGTCCTCCAGTATTGGCGCCTGACGCTCCATCCAACCCCATTGACATCAAGAGCGCGCACGCCGGCATCAATGAGGACAGCGTCTTGAAGCAGTCCATTGACATTGGAGATCAGGAGGTATGTAAGGCTAGGCCCACAGGCCTTCACCTGTTGAAGGCCCGTGGACATGCCAGAGTTGCTCCTCTCGTTCTTGAATCAAGTAATTTACTAAAACATAAACCCCAGGAGGCCAAGTTGAGGGAGTGGTGCACTGGCTACCCACCCAAGGCACCCTTTCTCGGCGCTATCCCCGACTCTCCACCGCGAGCCAGCCTGTCACGCCGATCCACCCTCGCGGATCGTCCCGAACTCGACCACCAGCTGGCGGAGACCATGGTGTTCTACCACGGCTACAAATGCCTACCGCTTACGGTGCACACGATTCATCGTCTCTCGCCGTTCTGGAAAGGCGTCAAGCCAATTGCCAACTACGGCCTCTTCAAGCGAGTCATCATCGACAAGGAAATCAACTTCGTGCATCCCGACCACGCCATTGCGGCCCTGACGCGTATTGGCCAGCACTGCAAGCACCTTGTCATCATCGCGCCGATCCATACGAGCGATCTTGGCGATGTCTTCAATCGCGAGGCGCTCAACATCAACACGGGTAACGACTGGGACGAGATTCTGAGGTGCCTTCCGAACCTCGATTATGTCACGTTCGAGCACCCGGAGGATGAGTCGGCTGAGCTCACTCGGAAGACGTATACGGCCTTCGTCCAAGCCCTCTCCGGAGCCGACTCGGAATACATCAAGTCCGTGAACGTGCGCATCCCACCCCGGGTCATGGCCAGCCTGAATGTCAATGTCGCCAACGGCATGGGCAATGGAGGCGCTCTGGGATCCCTCAACGGCGGACAGTCCTAGCTTATTGCCACGGGATCATTCAGCGTACATGAGCAAGGGAATCACAAAAGTCGTCTTTTCTGGCGCTCAGGATGGGCTCTTCTTCACAGGGCACCTGCATATTGGAGGGTTGGCAAGAGACGTTGCTCTTTGGCACACGACTTAGCCTTAAGTGCTTCGACACCCTTTCGTCATTAGGATGGGAATATGAAACTTGAATCACAATGTGCGCGCTTGTTGCTGCTGTGACGTGCGATGTGTGAAATGCAATGTGTTGTTCTCGCCGTGCTCAACAGCATACAGAGCTATGAATCCCTTGTATGCAGTATCCTAATTGCCATTTGCGAGAACATTATGATGATGGCGATGTGAAATTTTGAGATTTCGCGATTTTGCCATGTGCGAAACACATGATGTTCGACGTTACATGTTGTTCGAAGTTCGATGTTCGCTATTCGGCGCCTTCGGCTCCCCACAGCGGAGTTGACGCCATGCCGATCGGGCCCCGTCAGGCGGGCCGCTGCATCTACCCTGCTACCGTGAGACACCGGCGCCCACAGAAAACGGCAATATATATATTTCGAAATAACAAGGCAAAGGAAGGTTTCTGAAGGTCTCTACGCTTTTGTTTACGGAGATTAAACTGCGAGCTATATACAGACTTTGAGAGAGGTATTGAGAGAGTAAGAGAAGGTGTAAAGACTGGCAACATGGCTGCACCGGGCGGAAAATACTTTATCCAAGAGAAGCTGAAGCTGAAGGCGAAGCATCACGAGAGCTATGAGATGCTGTGGGAGACGAAGTGGAAGAAACCTGTACGTATTTCCTTGGGCTCTGCGCGTGCGATTTCAATATGCTTCCTTCCTATTTCGCTGTATACGACAAATAGGCTGACTGAGACCCATGCCTACAGGCCGAAATGGGCGTCTACCCCTTCATGTTCGGCACAGCGTCCGACTTCCAACCCGTGGTCGACGAAATGGTCAAGCGGGGCATGAAGGAGCCGTATGATTGGGACGAGTACGCGAAGATGTACTTCCCGCAGGCGGAGAAGCTGGCGGGTGTGGCGAGAGAGGCGGAAGGCAAGGGCGAGGTGGAGAAGGCGAGCGAGTATTATTTGAGGGCCAGTGCGGTGTATCGGATTGCGAGGTTTCCGGCGCCGAGGAGCGAGGTGCAGAGGGAGGCGTGGAAGTTGGGGAAGGAGGTGTGTATTAAGGGGCTTGGGTAAGTGTGCAGGACGGGACGGGACGCAAGGGAGGGAGGTTGTGAGGTTGAGCTGATGCTGACGGGAATAGACTGAGACCGCATCCTGTAAAGGAGGTAATGGTGCCCCATAAGCATCGTACTTCCGGCGAAGGCGAGACGATCCCTGTATACTATCTCCTACCGGAGGGTGCTTCGAAAGAGGCGCCTGTGCCGCTGGTCATTATCTTCACCGGTCTGGACGGCTACCGCACCGAGCTCGCTGTCTGGATGGAGGGCTGGCGGCAAAACGGCGTTGCTACTGTCGTCCTCGAGATCCCGGGAACGGGAGACTGCCCTGCTGCTCCCTCGGACCCCACTTCTCCTGACCGCCTGTACTCCTCGCTGTTCGACTGGGTAGGCCAGCAGGAGGGCGTCGACCAGAAAAAGGTCGCAATATGGGCCTTCAGCACCGGCGGCTTCTACGCCATCAGGGTAGCGCACACGCACGCCGACAAGCTCGCCGGCGTCGTCGCCCTAGGCGGTGGCTGCCACCACATGTTCGACCCCGAATGGCTAGATCACGTAAACCACCTGGAGTACCCGTTCGACCTTGCGAATACGTTGGCGTACAAATTTGGCTACGACAACGACATTTCCACCTTCAAGCGCGAAGCGTCGTCCAAATTCTCACTCCTCAACGACGGCACGCTCGACTCCCCTATGTGCGCGCGGCTGCTGCTCGTCAACGGCACCGAGGATGAGATCTTCCCGATTGATGACTACTATGTGGCACTGCAGCATGGCGCGCCGAAGGAGGCGCGGTTTGTGGACGGCGTTAAGCACATGGGCGAGCCGGAGAGCTTTTTCATCATTCTGAATTGGCTGTATAAGTTGTTTGGAATTGAGGCGAGTGCGGTGAAGCAGATGCAGACGTTGCCTTTTAAGCCGAAATATTAGGAGTCGTTGGGGATGGGGAACAGAACGGCCGCGGACGATGAGGCACACGAAAGACGAGAGCTGAATCTTAGATGTAATGATATGATAAATCCAACGTGAAGGACCGATGATGATGATAGAATTTCCCCTGGCCGAACCTGCCCCCGCGCTGTTGCGCGGATGCTTTTCAGGACTACCTGACGCCCTTTTTGTCAACGCACACCGCTTCCAGATTGTTGCCCTCGGGATCAAGGACAAAAGCCGCGTAATATGGCTGGCGGCTCATTTCATATCGAATACCGGGTTTTCCATTGTCTGTACCACCATTCGATCTGCATTTCAAGTCAGCTCATGCACTAGCCGGCTGAGCCACACTCACAGTCCTAGGTTATGGAACTCGTCCACCGCCTGATTGTCTGCTGGCGTCAATCTTCGGTCAATCTCCAGCAGGTGCGCGGTTGCTTACTAGGAGCATCGATGGCGACATGTGCAGGATACGGCTTGTGACCTTCTGGGACTTGCTGTAGCCATAGGTATGGGTAATCGCTCCCGTACCCGATGGTCTTGCCTTCGAATGCTCGGATCATTTCGGTATAGCCTAGTGGATTTAACACACTCCTATAGAAGGAACGCATCGCTGCCATGCGTTGAGCGGTAACGTATACGAAGACGTGGTTGATTGTCATGGTCTCGATGCGGAACGTGCAAGCGGAAATGTAGGCGGAAAGAGCGAGAGTTTGAGAAGAGGTTCGCAAGGGTTGAGCTCCAAGAGGATTACCGGCAAGATGGGTCAGGGCGCGGAGATATTTGAGTTTCTTTCGACACCACATCTTTGGGTGGAGCTGGTTGATTATTCAGACGTCTGGACGTGGTCCTCCTCATTGCTCGGAATTCCGGGTTCAGGCGAGGCGCCTCAGAACGGACAGCCCAGTTTGACATTGGTTTGCTGCATCAAGTAGCCTGCGGAGACTTCCGTCTCTGATACAGGATCTGAGCCTCATGATGCTTACGTTCGACAGTCTGGTTTGATAAGCAATGATGAGCGTAGGTGTTAAGCGGAGTGAAACTGTGGCCGAGGAGACGTAACGCTAACCCTAAACCAGGCTTAGACGGCATTGGTAATCACGCCAAGCCTCCGTGTTTCGTCCCGTCTCTTTTCGCGCAAACCCACTATGACTCTCAGCTCGACATTTGAGGACAATGCTAGCACACAGAAACGGAGAATTTTTCTATTCTTGCGTTGTTACTTCCTTGCCCCTTGTTGCTTCATTGACCGCCCAGAGCTTGGCCTTCACCGGTCGATCTCGTAGGAGGCTTTATCTACCCAAGATGAGACCGCGCTGAGAGCCGCAAACCCAATGCGATAAATCACCGGAACCCCGAGACGCGTGCGAAGTTTTCATTCCTACGTAACAGGCGGATAGAGTAGCGGACCACAATGGATAGCCGCTTGAAGTGCCACATCTGCAAGAAAATCTTCACCCAAAGTCCGAATCCCATGTCCCGCTTGTGGTATCCCGACTAGCCCTAGCTAACGCCTCGCAGAGTCTTCGCTTGTTCGACACTCTAAAAGATGTACACCCGGCCCGGCTCCCAGCCTACGGCAGAAGAGTTGTCGGCAATGCACCAGTTCGAAGACGAAGTGTGATTTGCGGCGCCCGAAATGTTCGAGATGCGAGCTGCGGGACACTCCCTGCGAGTACGTTGTTCCAATGACGAGGGGCGTTCCCGTCCACGCACCCGACGAAGAAACCGATCGAGTGGAACCCAATGAGCGTGAACATGACAGTACCAATCTAGCTTTGGTGGCGAATATCGCTTCTATTGGGTTGCCACGGGTACCGCCTTCGTTGATAAGGTATGCTTGTTCCCCGTGTTATCCCGGACTTTATCTTCGCCCGCCTGCACCATGACGTGCAGTTCCTTCTGGTAACATGACGGGTGCGTCACTCCGTCAAGGCCTGCCTTCCTCAACGAAACTCTGTCCCGCATGCCGAGTGCATCTTGAGGTCATCACAGAATGCAATCACGACAATCTCCTTTTATTTCCCCTTTCTTGATGAATTTCATGGAAAGAGACTAGATCCTTTATAGGTAACTTCAGAGCAAGTTGCTGACCAGTCAATGTAGTTCCGATTCGAGTCTCGACCTAGACCCCGCATTGGCCAGCTTTTCGTTTGCAAATCCTTCAGGTCATACGAAAACATCGATGTTCAATGTCCTTCCTGAGAAAGATGTATTCCCCAGTTTTCAATGGGACTCTCCAATGGCAACAGAACCAGTACCCGGTGCCCTGACGACTAGTACGCGTAGATACGGCACCGCTCACTTCATGAGCTCCGACACTAGTACTAAAGCCAGCGACTTCGCTTCAGATGACTGGCTACTTTGGAATCCAGGACCGCCTGGTGCTACACCTCCGCTTGTCAAGCACAGTATGGAAACGCTCTTACGGGTTATCAGGACATACCCGAAAATGCTGGCGAAGGGGTTTCAGACGCCACCAATATTACACTTCACACATACGAGTCCCGAGAGCATACTGTGGCCCATGGCGAATTGCCTTAGCATTTCGAAAATGTGGGCAGACCAGAGCGACGGCGCCACTGACATCATCCGACGGACAATAGTCCAAGAGATGAGATCCATTTTCGAGCAGGTCAGCAGGGCCCTTCACGCCCTTGGCATACTTTGAGGGGTTACTAATGTCTTGTGACAGTACCGATCACTGGACGAAAAGCATCTTCTAGCGGCGCTTCAGGCTTTGACCATGTATACAGTCATATTGATGTTTCCGGGTAGAGGCCAGCTCTCTGTCTCGCTGGTTGACCCGGCCATCTTTCTCTGTCTGCAAAGAGTGGTGAACTACGTCTCGAAGACGGGTCTCTTGCTTACAGAAGAGAGGGATTGTAAGCGGCCATCATGGGAGTCCTGGATCCACGTCACCGCGAAACGTCGGGCAGTTTTTACGCTGTATCTCCTCCACTGGTCCTACTCAGTTTATCACGGTCTCCAATCCTTCGCCTGTAGTCAGCTGGGATTTTTGCCAGCACCAGCTCCCAAGTTCTTGTGGCAAGCAGAGAACAAGGACAAGTGGGAACATCTCTACTATCAATGGCTCGTGCAATGGGGCGAGTTTCCGTACATGATGCACGAATTCGCAGCAATTCTCCCGGGCACGGCTTTGGAACCACGAACGGAGAAGTGGCTGGAAGATGCGGATGAGCTGGGAGTCCTCTTCTTCTCAATAGGTACAACAGTCCACCCGTGCGTACAATGGTGGTAAGTGCGCTTACCACAGGTAGTCAACGCGACGGATCGAGGGAGTCCTGTGTACGATCACGGCAACGGAATAGCAGTCCTCACTCCATAGCGCATACTGCAGGGCACTGAACCGCGCGGACCGTAGCCTCATTTGGCAGTGGTACACCCTACGACACGTATACCGGAGCTTTCCGCTTCATGGTGGCGACGAGGCTGAGGAAACAGGGTTGCAGGCCTGACATTGGGCAGTGGGTTGCGAAGCCCCTCTCGACGTTCTCCAGCTCTGCGTACGTGCGCTGGATTGCCATGCGCAATACAGAATCGCATACCCATTTTGCTGCCCAAAAATGTTAGTCCCAGTGTGGTTCTTGCGACCACACTGGCACAACTGCAAGAGGGTTCAGCGTGTGTTGGTCCGTGGCTGACTACGTGTATTTCGCGGGGAAGGAACCCTGGTACCGTCGCCACCGTCAGCCCTAGGATACCTGTCTTCGCGGAATTACAGATTCGCGACTCTGACGTCGAGACTGGGGGTATCGCCACACGTTGCCTGAGCAATCGGCTTTACAGCTCTTCTTCGACATCCGGCACTTGCTTCTTTCCTTCTTCCGCGTCATCGCCACCGTCGTGCCTCAGCGCCGCACTCGGCCATGTACTTAGGGCATTCGGACTCTACAGACGCTGAAATACTAGTATCAGATCTCACTTACATGTCGTCTCCTAGGTGACCGGACAATAAATGGTAAAACCAACGGTATTCTGGGTGTTGAAACATGTCGGACCCCTGATGAGGCTGAAGCTGCACGACATTCTTAGGTCCCCCGGATCTCACCACACGGTGCTCGGACACCGAGTCGACGCGATACTTGTTCCGTGTCATCTGATGTCAGCCTGAAAAGGCATATTGCACGTGTCACCGAGACAGGTTGGCGTCGTGTGGTGTTGGTTAGACGCGTGTTACAACGTATTGGCTTTGTTCCAGTGCCGGCAGTGGATGGTTCATGAAGTCACTGAACCAGCGGAATAAGCGGATGCTCTTGTCTATCTAGCGGCGTCGTTGACGTGCGAACGCTTTGGGAAGGCCGACGGTGCTGCAGCGAGCCACGGTTGAGGCGAGATCTGCCCCAAGGAAGGCGCGACGGAACCAACGGGTATCTGAAGCAAGCGCGGCCCGGAGACAACAGCCGCATGCAGCAAGTAGGTAGAAGAAAGCCGGTCGGAACTCAGGCCGGAGAGATGGACTATGGGCCAGGACTGGGGAATAATGGTCGCTGGCAAAGACGCGGTTATTGCAGGATAGAGCGGCCCATTTGGGCAAATTGGATAGAAGGAATTATTCCGCCGGCGCCGTCGCACAGGAATTGCAACAGCCTCAGCCGGCGCTTCGTGAGGACACTTGGACGCTGTCTGCGACGTGGACGCGGTTGAGTTGGACGAAGCCGTTCCCCAGCAAGCGCTCAAGTGCGATATCAGCGTATCGATTGGATGCGGCTGCGCATGTCGACACAATCGATAGACGATAACCACGGGAAGCGCTTCAGGAATCATAATGTGGAGAGCTAAGGTGACGGTCCCTCCGCGCGTTCGTGGCCCTAGCGGCCCGCTCCCGACCAGCAGCCAACAGCAGCCCCTTTTCGCATGAAGCCCGTGAAATTGCCTCATCACGCCTCTGGCTCGGGCGCTGATAGAAGATAGGGGTTCCCGGCAATGTCCAGTGGTGACGATGCCCGCCATGGGTCGTGTCCGGGGCGTTGGGTGTGGCGATCCGCCCGGGGTGCCTGGATGTAAACAAACAACGCGCCTGAGTGGCAAAGACACAGCATTGCGCGCAACGCAGCGAAAACAAAGAAGCGTGCGGCCTCGCACCGTTTCACTCTGCCTGCAACGTCTTCTCAGACTCAAACCGCCTCAATTGCCAGCCGGCGGCGCGCAATCGATTCGACCAGGCGGCTCGGCGGCGTGCCAGCCCAACGGCTTGCTGCAGGTGCGCTCGGAAGCGCACGGTCCCACAAAAACAAGTCCCCGGCCCAAAAAGAATCATCGAACGCGAAGCGCGTCTTCTCCCATCCATCCCCGTTCGATCGCACGCCGAGCGCAAAAGGGTCCTCTCATCGCCTGCCCGCTGCGACCCTCCTCCCCTCATTGCATCACCGCCCGCTGTGTCGCTCCTGCCTGGCGCTGACAGGGTTTCGAGCAGGTGCGCCTGCCCGAGTTGTTGTGTTTACCACGCGCGCATTCCTGCCTCAATCACGACTCCGCACGTCACCACCCACGCCGGCGAATCGTCACCGGCCACGCCACCAGCCCTCCCAGCCCTTCCTTCGACTTCAAACCATCTTCTCACATCTAACACCCCCATAGCGCTGACGAGGCCTTGCATGGAGTCTCGGGCGCAGGCGATCATCGCTCGCTGAGGTGGAACTTGGGTGAGAAGTGAACATCGAGAACGACGACGGCGCGGCCAAGTGTCCTCCAGCATTCCACGCATTCATACCATACCCCTCCTCCGCGCCGCCTTGCAAACACTTGCGCTATCGTTATCGATTGAAGATTGGCATCCGCTCAATGACCGCCGCAGCTGCCTGACCGCCTCCAACCCGAACCCCATCGGCTGTATCCGCAGCACCATCGAGCACTCTGGAGCGTCTCAACAGCAACACCCCGAGCCCGACTTTCACCTCTCACTCCGAGTATCCCGTCACCCCACCAACAGCTTCACCCACCATGGACTTCGCCTACTCGCCGCACCGCGAGTCGGGCGGCATGGTGCACCTTCCCTCGCCAACCCACCACGGCTACCGCATGGAAGGCGCCCACTTTTCCTCGATCCAGCAGATTCGGCGCTCCCTCTCGCGCTCGCCCTCGAAGCCGTCGCGCTTCCAGCTCCGCTCGGGCAAGAGCGACTCGCCAGCATCGCCCATTTCACCGCTGGCCCTCTCCCGCGCCTTCAGCCCTAAGCCGCACAAGCCCGTCAGCCCTGTCGCCACTTATCCAGAGTCGCCCTTCACCACTCAAGCTGCCCCGCCCACCAAAAAGAAGTTCTCCCTCCGCCGCACCGCACCGTTTAGGTCATCGCCGCGGAACCGCAACCCGACATCCAAAAGCCCGCGCCGCGCCCTAGGTGACTCGACCGACCTCGGAAACTCGTCGCCTTTCGTGTCGCGACCCCTCTTCGGGGACGAGAACACCTCCGCGCGCAAGACTAGCGCAGAGTTTATGGAGAAGCTTAGTGCAGAGAGCAAGCGCTTCGACATTGACGACAAGCCGATCAAGTTCGAGTTTGCGCGCCCACAACAGCAGAGCGCTAACGCGCCCGGTGCAAACTGCTTCGTCCCCGCGCAGTCGAGCCCGCTCAAGCGCCGCGACGGAATCTCGAGTTTGGGCTCTACAAACATCGACAGCCCGGTCGCTAAGAGGAGGAGTCTGCACGGCGCGACGTCGGGACTTGACTTCAGTATATTCGATCAGACTCCCGCCCCGCGTTCGTCTGCGGAGGAACCGTTGCGATCACGCGATAGCGACTTCGCTCACCCATTCTCCTCACCTATGCCAAACACGCAATCACCTGTACGAAGGACGTCGTCGTTGAGAAAGTCGACCTTGTCCCAGCGAGTGGGCTCGAGCACGCCTCGGCCAAAAGCATCCATGGACGGAGAGTTCGTTCGCCCCGGTCCGGCCGCATCAAGAGCGAACAAGAGGATGTCGCTCCCCAGCTCCCTCAGTCTCAATTCTGAAACGATCGAGACTCCAGTACGCAAGTCAACCTTCGAGCCTTCACGCCCTGTCGCACATCAGCCTTTCCTCCGAGGCGGTGCAGGATCTCACCAGCCGCATCCTCTGTCGAATGCGCTAACCGCATCATCCTCTTCATCCAGCATGGCTGAGGATATGGCTGACGATTCGCCTACACACGCTCCTCCCCACGCTCCGCCTACAGTCGCCCCACGTGATCATAGGTTCTCCAAGTCCCTTCCCTTAGGAATCTCGCGACCGAAGCCGGAACAGGCGCTAGAGCAGTCAGAGCAAGAGTCGTTCGCTACGCCATTTGCATGGAAGATGGCAAAGCCAAATCCTGGACCATTCATGTCGACCGGTCTACTATCTAAGAAGAATCGCAATGTCGACGAACAAGAGGGAGGTGCAATCTATCAACAACCTGACACTCCAACTAAGCGCATGTCATTCCCTCCCGCGGTGGTGGATTCCCCTCTTGGTAAGCGAGGCAGCTTGTTCGGTAGCTCCACCCAGTCTCGGCCTGAGTTTGGCACGCCCAGCACTCCCTTTAGTGTCCATGCATCGAAGTTCTCTACGGAGTCCTTCGGCAAGGGAGTCGGCATTTTCGGGAGCTTCGGCAGCACACACCAGCGCCGTGGGAGTTTCGTTAGCATTGACGGGGATGATACCTCCAACTCGCCAATCGGGAACCACATGACCGACAGTCAGTCGAGCGCGGACGACATGCCGCCAACCCCAACGAAGCATAGCGATGGAGCAGGACGACGCTCTAAAGAGAGCAGCCTGAGACGTAGGACTTTCCGGCATCGCGCTTCGCTCGGCAATGACACTTTCTCGGCCCCAGACACCCCGAGCATTGACATTCCATCATCATCAGATGCACAGAATGGTAAGTCTACTTTCATTAGAACCGTTGTGAGGGCGCTAGAAGGCAGGACTAGGCTGTCCAGCGCCTCTCTATACGAACGTGTCATTTGATTTTCCGTCCCTACAACGTTAAGAACATCACTAAGAAATTTGCAGTCACTTCAACTGGTGCCTCTCCGCACACACCGAGCGAGACTTTCGCGCCGCCTGACCCCAGCAGGCTGACCATCTCTGGTAATCGCCGAGGGTCATTGCCCTTCAACAGCAGCTTCGGCAGCAACTCGTTCCCGCCTGCTACACCGACTACGCCCCGAGATCATTCTAACTTCTTCGCCGATGGTCAAGCCGCGATTCCAATCGGTTTGACCAAGAACGATGTTGATGAGGCCCTGACTTCACGGTTCGGCGAGGTTCGATTACTCGATGGTGGCGAAGGCGAATTTTCAAAGGTCTACCGCGTCAGCAGGCCTGTTGGGCAGCAGTCTCCGTTCAGCTCTCCTCCCGGCAGCCAGGTGTGGGTGGTCAAGAAAACCAAGAGGCCATACATTGGAGCTTCAGATCGCGAACGGAAGATGCGGGAGGTCGAGATTCTATATGCTCTGCGTGGTAATGACCACGTCCTTGCGATCAAAGGCCACTGGGAGCATCAGGGTCACCTCTACATACAGACCGAGTACTGCGAGGGTGGCAACCTGAGAAAGTTCCTAAACTCTGCTGGGTACAGCAGCCGCCTTGATGACTTCCGGATTTGGAAGATACTCCTGGAGTTATCATTGGTAAGTAGCCTTGACCTAATTCGCTATAATCGTCCTCGGGCTAATCGAAGCTCAGGGTCTCAAGTTCATCCATGAGAGCGGGTTCATCCACCTTGACATGAAGCCGGCCAACATCCTCATAGATTTCGAGGGTGTCCTCAAGGTTGGCGACTTTGGTCTGGGAAGCAGGTGGCCTGCCCCTCCTCATATTGATGGCGAGGGCGACCGTCATTATCTGGCCCCGGAAGCCCTTCAAGGCCGATTCGATAAACCCGCGGACATTTTCGCTCTCGGAGTTATGTTGGCGGAGATAGCTGGTAATTGCATCATCCCTGAGTATGGCGAGCATTGGCAGAAGCTCCGATCAGGCGAGTTCGACAAGGTTCTCCCAAGCTTGACCTGGAGCGCCGACAGTGGCACCCTCAGCCGCGACTCGAATGGAGACCCGATCCCGGAGTACAACAACGAATCCGCCGCTTCGCTGTGCATGTCCGACGCCGAAGTCGATCCGCTTAGCTCTATGCGCATTCGCGCAGCGCTCAACATCGAGGAGGAACTCGCCAAAGCGCCTCGATTCATGATTGATGATCATAACCCCGATGCTATGGACCAGGTTGTCAAAGCCATGATGCACCCGGATCCGGATCAGCGTCCAACAGCCGATCAAGTCTACCGCTGCTTCGGTTGTCAGTGGGTCGAGGAAAGGCGACGAGCCGGTGCTACCATTTACGAAGGTAACTTCGGTCCCGGCGAAGATGTTCTCAGCTACAGCCAGCACTTCGCCGGAGCCGCAGACATGATGGACACCAGTTGAGCCCTCTACCGAACATCGATCTCTCGCCATCTCCTCTGATCTCCACACGTTGTGTACGGCGGCTGGTAGTATTTGCTTCTCGGCCTTCGGGTGTTGGAGTACGAAGTACAAGCGTTTTGATTTCACAAGTCGATGTTGAGATCTTTACCACTTTCGGGTACGAAGGTTATCGTCATCAGCGATACGTCGCGGCATGAATAACGACCTCTACCCAGTCATTACTGTCTGGATTCGGCGTTCTCCCCGGAAAACCATATCAAAAGCATCGATTCAGCATTTCCTCGACACTGCGAGTGGACTCTCGTGTCCTCGCTTACGTACGTCGAGCTTGTTACGATTCTCACGACCGCAACCCTTGTTTGTTTTGAGTGTTTTCGCCTCGGGATATGGATCGGCATTTGCATATCCCCAATATTACCCTCGCCGCTGGAACACGTGGCGTGTTGGGGACTGGCGTTTTGCTTTTCCTGTACGGGCCTTTTACGATGCATGACTTGTCCGCCCGTGGCTGTGTGGCGAATGGTGCGGAGTTTGTTGGCATGGAGGATATCGTCGTTTCTGTGGTCAAAGCTAGGTAGTCCTGGAGGGTGTGTACGGGGGATTTGAGCGAGTAGTGTAGATGTTTGACCGATATGACGATATGATGATCATGTCCATTCATGAATGCTTCTTTGGCTTGCTGCGTGATGTTCGATGTTTGTGATTGTAATTTGTCCGTGCTGGATGGACTGCCCGCTGGGCGCGGGGGCAACGGACGCCGACTGAAATAAATGCGGTGTGAAAGGGACGAGTGGCAAGTGCGTGGATGAACTCTTCCGATACCGGAAGCTGCTGCTCCTTGAGGGATATAAGTACGTCTTCTATAAGTACATATTCTCTCCCTTCTTCGCACAATACTTTGAATGCTCCTACTAAAGCCATGGCATCAAAGAAGGCATGGGCAGCCTCTCGAGAACCTTGCCCTCGAGAACTAAAAGTTATGCTCGGAAGTCTTATGGCTGTGTCGCGGGCGGCGTTTGTCTCCCACTTGAAGCACTTTCGGTGACGCAGTATGTGCGCTGCTGGGGTCTGAACACGCAATCGCTGGGGTTATGCTTGGTGGTGGTGTTGTTTGAGATTCAGTCGATGAGAAAAGTACAAAAAGAAGTACAATGTGTGCTTGGTTGCCGCGGTGATGGGAGTTAAAGCAGCGGGTCGAGAAGGTTATGGATGATGTTTTCATGGAGGGAGGGCTGCTGAAAGTCTGCATGTCTGATGGCGCAGCTGGGACGGCGGAGGGGTATATAAACGCACCGACTGTTCAACTTCTTGCAGCTTCTTCACGCACACACTCCGAGGCTAGGGATCACTAAAACAGGATCCGGGTCCCTTTGATGGCTTTTGCGCAAAAATTCTTCCCAATTCTCTGATGGAGAAAGGCCTCCCAGACGCGCTGCGGCCTGGCATCCGTCTAAAACAGGACTTCGGCCTTTGCAATGGCTTCTTGTCTAAAAGCACTTTCCAAAGTCCTCGATGGAGAGAGACCTCCCGGAGGTGGTCTGTCTGTGAAAATGGGAGTCGGCTGGGATACGGAGAACGCGAACCCTATTCAATCCGCACCGCACTACTTGGTCAAAAGAACAAACAAGCCAGGTGGTGGAGATTTTGGGGCCCTCTTGCTCTGTTTTCCTTTCCGGGTATCGACGCTTTGCTTTTGTGCTTGCGATAGGTCTGAAATCTAGACCGCTCACCATATTATGGCCCGGCGCTGTAAAAGCAAAAGCTCGAAAACGTAGGGAGAGAAGGCGGGTGGGAGGTTTTGTGGAAACAGAAGCGGACTGAAGGCATGTCGCTGGGGCTTCGGACGCGTTGTATTCTTCAAAATAAACAAGCGATGGATACATGGAGTAACGCGTGGCCGACTCTCTCTTCGTCAGAGAGGTTCGGACGACGACTGGGAGGTGAATTTGCCTCGCTGGCCCCTCGGCCCGAATACTACTTCCTCGTTCATTTGGGAGTTTCAAAAGTCGACACGCGCAGATTTACTGGGGACTCTGGCTCCCTCTCAAATGGCCCCTCTTCCGTATTTATGGAGAGCGAGATCGGTTCCTAAAAAGCTAAGTTTCTTACATGATATGGCGTCCGCCTCTTGAGGTTCGCGAATCGCATTTTGCGATGTCTCTTGCCATGTTCAGTCACTGTTGCTCCTCTGCTCTGCTCTGCTCTAGTAAAGACGGATTGGCGTAAAAAGTTGGATTCTTCGCTCTCGACTGCTTCTTCACAATACACCAGCGTGCTCTGTCCCTCTAAAAAGTAACACACGCAGGAGACATGGCTGCGGCTTCGAAGGCACACGTACCCTATGTATGGGGGAAAGGAGTTGCGTCTCTCGCAATTAAGGGAGCTTTCAAGCCAGAACTGGTGTCAATCATGGATCTTTCTCTTTTCCTGACTCCTTCGACATTTGCGATACTTCCGGAAGCCTTATTAGAATAGGTCGAGGTTGCTCTACCAAAGTGTCAGCCCGGGCTGATAATGAGGACGCGGGCTTTTGTCTTCTGAATAGCAAAAAGCCTCAGTCGCCTAATCGATGAGCGAGTGAGTCTTCGTGGCGTCGAGATTTGCTTGGAGACCTCGAGGCATTGATCAAAGACTCCATGAAAGTGGGGAGGGGGTGTCGAAAACTGGAGGGTGAGGCTAGACATGGAAAGAAATTTTTTGGTGGGGGAGAAGTGCAGTGCAGTACAAAGGCCTCTACCTGGTGGACTCGATCATGCAAGACGACCTTCGGGAGCTCAGCAGGAAAAAGGTGGGAACGGCCTATGCATGGAGAGTTGTTGTGGACTTCATCGGGACCAAAGATGAACGTTGAACTTCTCGATGGATCGGTCTGAGCGCCGTGAGGATAACATTCGACCGCTCACGGGGTTGCTCTTTCCACCTTTCTTCTCGGGAACCGGTGTTCTGCTGTTTAAAAGTGCAGATCTATACCTGCTATGCTGCTCTCTCCCAAATTTCTGTCGCCAAAGCATGGACAAGTCCAGCGCTGTCCCGAAGCCCAGATAAGACCTATCCATGGCGCCCTTGTGCGAACCTTGCGGTTGCTGTTGCTAATGCATGGCGGAGCTCTGGTATGTGTACAGCCCCCGAAACACCATCCAGTATTCCACATGGAGTCTCTCCCCTCATCCTCAAGCACGGATTCATGCATGCGCCCAAGCGATGTATAAATTCGCGTTGTATTAGTCCCTCCTCCTATTTTCACGAACTGCAATCCTGCTTGTCTAAAACCCTGGCTAGAAGCCGCGTATGCTTCTCTCCACTAAAGGTTCCCGGCCCCATTGACATGGAGAAGCCCAGCGCAGTCTCGAAAAGGCGGATGAACTCAACCGCATGGCGTTCTCTTCTCGCCGTTGGCGAAGTCTGTACCTCGAGCATAGCACGTTTGAGTGCATGAAAACGTCAATTTGGATAGCTTGATGTTGCTTCTGGCTCTTCGGTCCAGGCTTGGATGCCCAGAGGATGACTATAAATTCGCCGCGCATAAGTCCACTTCTACTTTCCTTCACACACAGCATTGCGAGTCGGCATTCTAAAAACAAAGGTCAATGAATAGTATGCTTCCCTCTCCTAAAAGCTGAGATTGGCTGAACCATGGATCGGTGCGAAGGGATCGGCCCTAAGAAAACGGCAGGGTTGAGATCGTCATGGTGCTGGGTGCTGTCTGGATCCCAAGCTACCCAAATGCACGCGGAAAGGGTCTATGTGGATCGCTTTAATTGCATCGAAAAAAATCTATGTATTCTCCCATCTCATACGTTATGTGGAGATACTGGGGATCTGTGTTGTCCGAAAGGCAATTGCACTAGCACTTGATGTTGCTGCTGGAAAGAACGTCGACGGGAAGATTGATAACTCTTTCACAAATGCTATGACAACGTACGGGACGCAATCACGTTCGTAGTCGTACACCTGCCTTCCTCGACTCTCTCGTGCGTGTCTAAATCTCCCTCCGCTCGCCACTGATTCTTTTCTCGCTTTACATTCCTTTCGGCTGTTCTCTAAAGTATCTCAAAGACCACCAATGCTTGCTTTCTCCAAAACCCAGTTACAATTGGCTCATGGAGAGAAGGGCTGGACTGTTTCGAGCGGAGGATAAATTCTACTCCCTGTTGCAGCATGCCAAAGCTGTAGAGAACTGGCGTGCCAAGGGAAATAGGACTAAGAGCGCCACGAGCGTGGGAAATGTGAAGGCAGAAAGGAGTAGAGAAGGCTTGAGATTGCTGATGATACGGACAGGCACGACGCCGATAGTGATCGTGAGCACCACCATATCTTCCATTTCGTTTCTCCTCCTTTGACTACTCCCTCTTCTTCTATCCACACAACCACTCCACTCCAGCCACCCACCTACTCCGCCACATCCTCATCCCCTCGATCCCACCACCTGCAGCAAGACCAGCATCGCTACGCCTTATTAGCAAACTCTACACTCTTTCCTCAATCCAGAACACTTACCCCTTGCTGAAACGGAAACCAGTCCTTGCCACAGCTAAGACTATACGGCCCGGCGGCGCAGATCTTGGTGCATGCAAGTGGCTTACTCATAGGTTTAACGGGAGGTTCTATTATTGTCGGAGTGGGAGTCGGCGGAATGGGAACGATGGGGATGGTGGCTGCGGAAGAAAGTGCTCCGAAGGCAGCAGCAGCGACGAAGATCTTCATGATGCGATGATCGAGATTATAGAAGCCTAACTGAGCTGACGAGATAGAAGTATGGTGCTAGAATTGTTGCGATCCCGCACGAGAGAGGAAATATCAGTGTAATATATCAACTCTGACGTTACACCAAAGGGGTGCACTGGGGCTTCCGCCCTGCACCCACTTGCGCAGCTAGTACCCGAAATCTCCGTCACATCATGCGAAGTAGGTAGCAAAGCGACGAAAACGAAGTGTTCTTCTTAGGTGTATATTGATACGATGGCTTGGCGGGTACTTCGCGTAACGTGGCTACTCCGTATAGCTGGATTAGGCTAAAGGTAGGTACGAGACTCCGAATGCTCATGTCCTTAGCTAGCCTCAAGCCCCGAACTTGCTTTAGAGCTGCATAAGCGGCCGAAGTACTGGGTCCGCTGTAGCTGTCGAGGGAGAGCGTTTAGAATATTGCGACTGCGTTTGGGGGACTAGCAACGCCGCCGGGGACCTGTGGGATTGTTAGTAAACCCAGAGGATGTCGGTGCGGAACACTTACCTTCAACGGCACGCTGGAAACAAAGCATGTATGCCGTCCCAGCTGCTCTGCTTTCTCACACAGTCTTTCCAAGTCCCACATCTCGCCAATCATAACACCTACATCTTCATCAGCATACGAACTTATACTTTTCTTCCGAGTAACACTTACCCCATCCAGCAAGACACCACTGATGCACAAGCCCGCCGCCTTGCATCTCATCCTCCCAAGTCTCGCCCTTCCAAATTCCACCAGGCTCATTATGTTTCCCGACTAACGGACTCATCTCGAAGCTCGGCGCGTCACTGTATTCGTCAGCCCGATACTCGCCCCTTCCCTATCTCCTTCAGCGTTCTCACTCACCCCGCAACAGCGACAAACCCAGACTCCCATATCCACTCCAGCACACTCCTACTACTCTCGACGCCCAAAAAAGCCGGCGGCTTCCCGGCCATCTCCTTCCTCTCCTGCATCCCCAGCTTCTCATAAGCCTGCGTAAACCCCGTCCTTAGAAGCAACAAATCGCCCTCTCTGGTCTTTACTCCCGTCTCCCTCAACATCTCCTTCAAGTCATCCGCTGAAATACAATTCGCCCCCAAAGCCTCCACGGCCTGCCTCCCCTTCCTCTCCACCCACCTCGGATAATCCAAAATCACGCCCCTCGTCGTCACCCCGCCCGCCTGCACAACCCTATCAATCCCAATAACCCCACTCTCGCCCTCGACCTCCCGCTGTGTCCTGCCACCATAATACATCCCCGCCTTCTGGTACCCGTAGTGCCGGAAGCCGTCCCACTGACTGCTACTCTGCGTATTGATATTGATAAAGTCGTCGTTGACGATGCGCTTGCTGCCGTCGGGATGGCGGCGGTTTTCCATTTTCCAGTCGAACGCGGGGCGCCCGAAGGAGGGGAAGGTGGGCAGGTTGAGATACCAGTCTAGCGAGACGCGCTCGCCGGTTTGGATTTCGGCGGCCGCGGCCTTGACGACGGCGGGCGTGAGCATGTTGAGTGCGCCGAGCTCGTCGTCGTTTCCGTATAGGCCCCATGCGTTGCCGGCGGGACCGTTTTTGTCGAGCGGAAGCTCTGAGAAGGGCGGGCGAGGGGGTGGTGTCATGATGGGAACTTGCGAGGGTCGAGGGTCGCGAATACAAGAGTGGAGAATGCAGACTGCTTGCGAGCAGTCAAAAGCGCAAGGGACGTGTATGTAGATAGGTGAACGCGGATGTATGCCGAGATGATGATGTATGGCGGGGTCGAAGTGGGGTTGTTCTTACTCTTTCTTGCTGATTCGAGGAATAGAAAAAATTGGGCAACGCAAAGCTACGAAGGCGTACGGAAATAACTCTTCTGAACATCAGTACGGCGGAATACCTAAAAGGGACACGCCGAAGCTGTTGCGATCTCTCGTAAGTTTCCCAACATATTCGCGGGCTCACTCTACACCATAGTGTAGAAAGGGATGATGAGGAGACGTGTTAAAGATGGATTAATGCTTCAAACGCCCGGAATGCTTTATATACAAGCGAATCTCCGTACAATATCCCTCTTCCTCGCCCTCCTCTTAGCCTAGGGTATGACATCAGCAACAACATCTCAAAAGTTCGGACCCATGCCTACTACACCGCTAGAGCTCTTCGATCCGGTGTTCTTGAGATGCGCGCTGCTGCCTCTGAAAAGGCTCTGCCAGATGAATGCTTCGCTCAGAAGAAGTTCTATGTCTTTTTCGGTCCATTGCTTGGTAGGCAGTGATTGCAGGAACATCATGATCTCCTGGAAGTCCATTTTGCGGAGTTGATCGGACCACTTGACGAGGAAGGCGGCGCAAACGTATAAATGGAAGGAGGAGAAACCGTCTTCCTCGGCCTGTGGCATATTAGCGAACGGTCAAAGAGGAACAGAAATGCCGGGTAGTGAGACAAAGGTTGGATCTACGCACTAGATATGTATCCCACATCCTAATGGTGTTCTTGACGGATACCTCGCGCATGAGGAGACAGTTCATCCACCTGAAACTGAACTGGATGAACTCGACACCTTCGTTCTGCAAATGCTTTGCTAGCTGGTCGTCTATCCTCGTGGTAAGATCTCGGAGGCTGGCGACTTGTCGTTGAATGCCCGGCTGTTGCGAGATGTAGTTATCCTGGATGCCATCAAGAAGCTTCGTGAGACACCAGAAGGAGTCGGCCTCCACTGCATCCAGCACCTGCTTGGGGAGCTGGCCAGGATCCATGCCAAACTCGATATCTGGATCGGAAATGTAGGCGCCGAGGAAGACCTGCCAAAATGGGGTGACGAGGTCATTGATGCCTTGCACATAGCCAGATGCGGGATGCCGTATTGCCCAAACATACAATATCCGTTCCAGAGATCGTTGTGTCGCCTCGTAGCTATAGAGCTCGAGGTGTGGGTTCGTTCGCGGTACGTCTATGCTGATTTGATGCCATATCGCCTCGTCCAGGCCGCGACCTCGGCCACGGTTCGCGGAAGGGTAAGATGAGACACCAGCCACACCAGCCGCAACAGCGCCCACGCTAATAGCGGTGCCTCGCTCAAATGCTTGCCGGACACCTTCCAAGTACTCTTTTCTTTTCCTCTCCAGTGTGGCAACCCTTCGCTCGCTGCTCGTGGGCAGGTATCCGAGGAGTATTTGCCAGGCCATAGCACGGACTTCAGACGGAATACCTGACCATGCCGAATCCCGCAGCTCCGACAGCGATATTGTACTTGTCTGTAGGATGCGCTTGAACTTATTGATTCGCGTTATTCTTGCGGAGTGCTCTTCGATTTCTTTCGCCGAGGCATTGGGAGGTACTGACGGGTGCGAGATTAGATGCAGCGAGTTTGCGGGGTCGCGAAGTATTTCCTGGTACTGGGGCCGTAGTATCTTCCCTTCAGACTTCTTCGCCGTGGGGTAATTAGGTATGCCGCGTTCTTCGGCAATATCGCCACTATCTATTGCGCGCCACGCTGTCGAACCCAGACTGTTCCTCCCAGTCCCCCCAGGGTTTCTTCCCTTTAGTGGTTCTTTCCGCCTCCCTTTCCTGCGCATGCTCGCTATGCTGGGTAGTCCGAACTCATCTTCGTCGTCCTCAAACATAATGTCGCCCTCGTCTTCCTCATCGTCCTGCCAGTCATGGTTCGTATCGCGGAGGAAGTTCGTGTAGGTGCTTCGTGTAGGTGGAGGAGAGGTGGTGCTTCCTGCTCGAGAGGAGGGTACGCTTGGATCGCGACTGTGGTCGGCCGAGGGAGGTGTTCGAGGACGCGAGCTTGTCCCAGAGACGTTCCTTGAGTAATCAGCACAAGCACAAGTATGGCGACGCAGGGCAGATATACAGAGAGTCAAACTTGAGTATGTCGGCGTGTGAATACGAGGCGCCAATGATCTTCTTGTTCTCGTACGGCTTGGAGGTACTGGAGGCGGTCCGCCAGAAGGGCGACGCGGATCTACGCTCGCAACGTTAACATGCATACGGCATGCAGGCTCCACGGATGTTTGACGTACGAAGAACGGTCTATCGACAGCCAAGCACGGCGTTAGCATGCTGCTTGCTATGACAATTGCGCGGCCAGAATTGCTACGAACCGACCTGCACCATTTCCTGCGCCACATCAGCGACCGCAAAGACAGACGGGTTGGACCACGAGCGCGCGTACCTGCTGCTGCTTCTTGGAGGCCATTGTGGACAAAGACCTGGCAAACCGCGCTGGCTCCACCGCCGCTCTCGTAGTCGACGCAGGCTGGCGCGGGCATCGAGCGGTGGCTTGGGGTGAGACGCCAAGCCCGGTCGCCCGATTCGGGACTAGCGCGCTTTCCTACAGCTGTCTCCTCACTTTGGCGTCAGGCTCTGTATCCACCGCAACCGAACCACCCGCATTCACCTTCACTTTTGCGTCGGCGCCTGCCTCTTTCTCGGCTCGCGGTCGCTTCTCTCTCCTTCTTCTTCTTCTTCCACTGCGCCGTATTTGAGTCGCACCAGCCCCGCCGCTCCTGCGCCAACTGAGCGACCTCATCCGACGCGTCCGACTTGAACGAGAGCACCCTCGTGCTCCTTCTCGTCCTCTCTTTTCTTTTCTCTCGTATCTACTACACTCTAGTTCCTCACCATGGCTGACGTGGACACTTTCGACGACGATATCTTCGACGACCTGTGAGTGCCCTCCGCTCAGACGACTGCGGTCGCCGCGCCACCTGCCTCGGTGTCGACCTTTTGCTGACAGAGCCTTAAGCTACGACGAGGAACCCGCTTCTAAGCCCGCGCCCGCAGCCCCGGCTGTCAAAGAGCCGGAGGTGAAGGCGGAGCCGGTCGCCGAGCCTCGCCCCGATGCGATCGCCAATACTGCGGATACTGCTCCCCTGGTGAAGCGCGAGGACGATGGCGATGCCAATATGAATGGCTCTGCATGGAACGGCGCCGGTCATCAGTCGCATGGTAATACGCCTGGGGGCGATGACAACTACGGTCCGATCAACGTCAAAGAAGATGGGTAAGTCCAAATGCTCGGTGGCTGTCACTGCCGCCCACAACTGCAAACTGTTTTTTTTGTCGTTTTGCTTTTTGATTCTGCGCGTTGGATTGTGGATGATAGTGGTGCTGGTCGGTACTGCGTTCTGGTCGGAGATGGAGGAGTTTGGAGTAGTGGAATGAGGGCGGCGGACGCGCTCTCTTGGGCCGTGCTGGACAGCACATGGACACGAAACTCCGGAGAACCGTACAAGACCCAGGATGGACGACATCATGCATTGCACCATACGAAGACAGCGTCACGACAGAAACCGCAGCGCTGTCGGAAGCTGCCGCAGTCGTGCATCGCTAGTACGACGTCTCGAGGCTGCAAAAAAAGATGCGAATTTGGCTGGTGTACGGTCAAGATGCAAGGACACGGCTCGCTACATGTTACCGTGGCAGCAGCACTTCAGGAGTCGATTGACACATTCGAGAACCCGGGCACATTTGGGAATGTGACAGAAAGACCCAAAGTACATATCAGCCAGCGATGCGTTCCCAAGCGTGGATAAAGCTAGACAGGGTAGCCCGACGACTCTACTATATCAGATCGCCGAACAGCAGCCTGTCGCGAAGGATTAGCGCGGCTTGCCGTCAGATGTGGCAGCGCCTTGTGTCGATACATACCTAGGTACTTGTTAGCGCGTACCAGCATGGAGGCTGAGGGTAGTCTATCGAGCTTCGGACGGTCAGTCCACTCCATAGCAAAACACAGACGCTTCAACCGAACCATTTCTGTGCCTTTGCAGGGCTGCTTGTCCCTGGCTGCTGGAATGGCCATGAAGTTGGTCTCCCGTACGAGCCGCTGGCCTGGTTCTGGGACATGCCACTTGCGCGGCGAGCCGACAGATTTGGATGCGGCATGTGTAGCCGCGTTCTTCCCGACATCTCATTCGCTTACCGCCCTTCGCGGCTGCGGACGTCGACAAACACAAAAAAGAAGGCAAGACGTTGAGGACCACGATGGAACATTGCTCTATCCCCGCTCTGAGCTTCGTTCGCAAAGGCTTCGTACGCTCCCATGATTCGGAACGTCTCCCACGTCCGAGGTCAAGCATCAGACCATGGAGCCGCGAGCCCCCGCCAGACCAATGTCTAAGTCAAGCCAATCTCTCTCAGGACGACATCTGCTCTGCCGATTCCCGATTCGCGATCTTCGAATATCCATAGAGTCGGATGTGCACTCGCGCCGGGCCGCTGCATGCACGCCCTGGAACGCTACTTCGCCACGCGCCGATTTGACAATAACACCGGGGCGGAATCACCTCTTCCAACGGTCTATGGAATCGAGGAAACCACGAACGGAACGAAGAATCAAATCGTATCCTCGGAGTGCCGCTGTATGCCCACGCCACCCACATATGCGCACCAGACATGCATACCAGACGCTCTCGACAACCAATGTTTGATGTTTTGGTGTCTGATCACCTTTGTGACCGTCTCTTTACTGACTATGTGATTTAGAAAGATGTTCATCGGTGGTTTGAACTGGGAGACTACCGAAGGTGAGTTACCTAGAGCGCATCAAACGGGGGCGCCGATGGAATGAAAAATCCCATGCTAATGCAAATATTCAGAATCCCTCAAGAACTACTTCTCGCAATTCGGAGAAGTCAGCGAGTGCACCGTCATGCGCGACAGTGCGACTGGCCGCTCTCGCGGTTTCGGCTTCCTCACGTTCAGGGATCCCAAGTGCGTAAACATCGTCATGGTAAAGGAGCACTACCTAGACGGAAAGATCGTACGTATGCACCCTAGCCTCTAACGATGATTCTAACGATCCTAGATCGACCCGAAGCGAGCCATCCCTCGTGAGGAGCAAGAGCGGACGAGCAAGATCTTCGTAGGCGGGGTCAGCCAAGAGGCTTCCGAGGAGGACTTCAAGAACTTCTTCAAGCAGTTTGGCCGAGTCGTGGACGCCACGTTGATGATGGACAAGGACACTGGCAGACCCCGTGGATTCGGATTCGTCACGTTCGATGGCGACGCCGCTGTCGACGCTTGTCTGTCAGGTCCGCTGCAGATCCTTGGCAAGCCCATCGAGGTCAAGCGGGCTCAGCCGCGCGGTAACATGCGAGACGATGATGATGGGCGGAAGTTCGGTCGTGGCGGTGGTAGGTACGGAAGCCGCGACAGCGGCGATCGCAACGCCGGCTTCTCCGCGGATTCCAATCAAACCCAAAACCAGAACCAAGGCGGGGCCACCGGCCAGATGACCCCGGCGATGATGGCTCAGTACTGGCAACGCATGCAGCAGTACTTCCGTCAGATGCAGCAAAACCTTGCGGCTTCAGCCGGCGGCATGCCAAACCCAATGGGTGGTATGCCCGGAGGCATGAATCCTGCGATGATGGGCATGATGGGAGGCATGAGCCCAGGCTCTGGCAGCCCGAACCCAGCTGTGATGGGCGGCCCGATGAACCCTGCTATGATGCAACAGATGCAACAACTGCAGCAAATGCAGATGAATCAGGGCGGTGGTTACGGAGGAGGCAACCAGGCCATGATGGGAGGAGGACCCCGACCCGGCTACACCGCGATTGAGCAGCAGATATTCGAGCAGCAGAAGTACGAGCAACAGCAGGCCCGTCGTATGCAACAGCAGGCCGGCTACGGTGGACAAGGTGGACCTACGAGCTGGGAGGGCATGTACGACGACATCCCGCAGCCATCGAATCCGGTCCAACCTGGCTTTCCTGGCGGTGGAGCTGGCCATCATATGCCTAGGGGCGGCCACTTCAAGCCTGCAATCAAGAGGGAAATCAAGCCGGGCAATGCTCCTGCAAATGCTCCAACCGGACCGAAGAACGCGGGCAAGCCGGGTGCCAACTATCGCGGCGGCGGCCGAAACGCCAACTACCGTCATAACCCGTATGGTGGTGGCCGCAACGCTTGAGTGGCCGCACCAGAGGGGCCGGAGTAGCTCGAGCGCACCTCGACTGTCAGGTACCTTAGGTTGGACTAGCCAGCTGTTCAGCTGGCTTTACGCCTAAGCTCCACTATGGCCTCCGGACGGGACTTTTTCGATTACTATGAAGTTCGAATCTTCTTTCTCACGGCGGCGGTTATCGGCTTTTGGAATCTTTGGTTGGGCGGGCAATGGTGCTTTCATGGTTGACCTTTTCTCCCTATCTTGCCTCTTTTGGGGTATCTATAGCCTTCTATCTCTGCCTATGCTTGTCGGCGTTTTGGGGCCATCTTCTACGGAAGTATTTGCGAGAATTTGGGACAGGGAGCGGTTATCTCAATTTGAGGCAGCAGTTGGGTTCTCTCCACTGAGGGTATAAAGAGTCTCTCGTGTATAATAGCGATAATGCACATCTCCCGCTAGGGATAGATATTTGCCTGAACTTGTTTTGTGTTCGTGTGTGGTTGTGATCACTTGACAGAATAGATACGACGGGTCAGGGACCGACGTAGGCGGTTGTACGCGACTACTTGGGCGTTGATGACAAACAACTATGAAGAAGTGCGCAGGTCGGGCTAGCAGTTCAAAAAGACGTGTCCTTGATATTTTCACGATTTAGAGGGCAATGATCAGCGGGCATTCTGAGCTGCGGGTTAGGATCTGCAAGGCGAGGTGAGGAGATGGGCTGAGTCAGCTTCATCCATTCCTACGACAGAACAAGTGAGAGCATATGAGCTTAGCGAGCATTCGTCTAAAATCTTCTACATTCTGTTGGTGCTTGTGAATAAAGACGTGTGAATGGCTTCAACAAAGAAACAATAGCCGGCTTAGCGTCGCACGTGCTTTGGGCTGTTCCAAGGTTCCGGGGTTTCCAGGTTCAAGTGGTCCGTGCGGCTGACAAAGGCTTGGCGCTCGGCCTGCTACTTCAATTGTTCCCGCTTGCCCTTCTCCATCGCTCAACCTCACTCTCGACACACACGCCACCACCACAACCACACCACCAACATGACGTCCTCCGTCTTCTACAAGTTCAAGAACTCTAGGGAGCCCGAGCGCATCACCTTCGAGGGCACCGGCATCTCTGTCTTCGAGCTGAAGCACGACATCATCAAAGCATCAGGCCTCGGCGATGGCTCAGACTTCGACCTCCACCTCTACCCCGAAGACCAACCCACAGCTGAATATGACGACGACACTACCATCATCTCACGATCAAGTACCGTCATCGCGGTCCGCAGGCCGGCCGCACGCGGTCATGGCAGAGCCGCTCGCTACGTTTCCGGTCGTGCTCCCGTGAGAGCAATCAAGAAGGCCGATGCCAAGCCCACTATCACCCCAACCCCCGGCGCCGCCCTCACAGAGCAGGACGCCGAAGCTGCTTTCCTCGCAGAGTCCGCACAAGTCTGGGATGCGCAGAAAGAGACGCTAGCGCATGCGAAGCCCGTATTCCACAAGAAGAAGCCGGTCAACGTCCCGACACACGACCCGCCACCGGGCTATGTCTGCTACCGATGCCAGAAGAAGGGCCACTGGATTCAAGCATGCCCGACCAACGACGACCCCGATTTCAAACCCCAGCCCCGCGCCAAGCGCACCACCGGCATTCCCCGATCCTTCCTCAAGACCGTCGAGAAACCTGTGGATGAGGAGGACGCGCGCGGCGTTATGTTGAACGCGGATGGAGAATACGTGCAGGTCATGACGGACACAAGGACTTGGGAGAAGTTCCAGGAGAAGGCAAATGCATCCAAGGCACAGGCTGCGAATGTTGATGCAGCGCACAAAGAGGTGCGTGAGAGGGGTCTTGAGTGCCCGATCGACAAGCGCATGTTCGTGGATCCGGTGAAAACGCCTTGCTGCGGTAAGACGTACTGCCATGACTGCATCGAGAATGCGCTGGCGGATGGAGATTTGGTTTGTCCGAACTGTTCAAAGGAGGGCGTTCTGATTGATGATCTTGCTACCGATGAGGACATGGTGCAGCAGATCAAGGTCTACGAGGCCGAGAAGGCAAAGGAGAAATTGGACAAGGAACAGCAGGCGAAGGAGGAGGCCCAGGCGGCCGCAAAATCCCCCACACCCCCTAACAATAAAGATGACATTTCCGTGCGCCCTACTGGTTCTACATCGCCTAAGCCGAGTAACAGTAGTGTTTCTCAATCAACTTCCAATGTCAAATCCCCTCTGACTGTTGCAGCAAACCCCACATCGTCGTCTACTCCAGGTGCCGGTGCTGGCGGTAACGGCTCCGATACTGACACTTCAACGACGTCGAAAAAGCGAAAGGACCCTCCGACTGAGATCAAGCCTCCTACCGCCCCGAAGGCGATGCGCCAACAAAAGGAACAGCAGTCGCGTCAAGCCCAAGACCAGCAGGTAGCAGGTACACAAGGCTGGATCCAGGACATGGAAGTCCTAAGGAACATGCCGAACATGCCACCGAATATCCCGAACATGCCAATAATGCCCAATGGCAATATGCCGATGAGCATGAGCATGAGCATGCCGATGAACCCGATGATGATGAACGCTCCGAACATGAATCCACAAAACATGGGCGGCTACCCGCAGGGCTACAACCAGGGATACCCGAACACCGGCTGGAATCAGGGTTACGGCAACGCCCCGAACAACTTCAACAACATGGCCTATCCTCCAAACAACTACCAAAACATGCCGAACCAGAACATGCCGATGCACAACGCCAATATGAACAGCTACAACAACCAAGGCTACGGTATGAACGGCAGCGGCTGGACCCAAGGCTACGGCAACACCTCGAACCAAAACTTCACGGAGCAGGACGCCTACGAGCGGAAACCGGTGAATCCGCATCGACAGAATAGGCATCGGAAACAGCGCGCGCCGGATTTCCACTACGTTTAGGCGCTGCGGTGGCGGTCTTCTCGATTCATCTCGTCTTTGGCTTTGGCCTTTCTTCGCGGCATGGTACTGGTATGGGGCGTTTTCGGATGGCTGGCCGATGGGAAGGCTGGCTGTGGATAGCTTCATGTGTGCTTTCACACATCTTTCGCATGTGCATAGCGAGTAGTGAAATGGAAATCCTTACTCATTCAAGACTCTATTGGTGGTCTGGGTGCTTCGATCATGCGGTCCGTTGTGATAACCCTACGAACTACTATGCCAAAATCCATTGCTTCTTTAGTTGACGCAAGGACACCAACACTACTACTACTATAAAGAAGCGTCAATCGTCGGTTCGTGCGCACCTATCTTCTGTGGTTCAGCGTAAAATTTCTTTTCGCGAATGACACGGTCGCATTGCCTACCTTTCCTTCCACCCCACCTATCCTGCGCACGTACGTGCCAGCCATCACGGGCACGAAGGTGATGAGGCACACACAGCAGAAAAAGTGCGCAATATTACTGTGAAACGAGGGTATGCCAATGCAAAGGTATACCGCTGCTCTAGTGAGGTGTGCCTAGGCCGGGCTGTGATAAGAGCTGTGTGAGTGGCGAAGCTATGGGAAGAAGGAAGTGCGAGAGCGGTAGATGTGAGGGTTGGTTTAAGTTCGTTAGGGAGGTCATCTTTGTGGTTAGTTTGAGTAGAAGAGGGAGAAACATTAGCGATTAGTAGAATGCGGTAGGGTCTTGAAGGAGGGAAGGAGAGAGCCTAGAGTAGTGCGTATTCACTTCTCTGGGGCTCTGACACGTTTCATCGTTCCAGGAATAGACGTTAACTTAGTATCTGCGCATGCTCAAAATTCCAACTTGTTGTACATGCTGCGTAAGCCCTTACTCGGGGCTCCGTTAAATCACTCGTAAAAGACCCCAACAGTTCCACATAATGATACCATGTTACATTAACTCACTCCTTAGAAGGTCCTTCCTTACTGATAAGCCCTCTCCAGCACGCCTTTCAAATCCGCACTCGGATCCTCGTTCTCCACAATCCCCAACACACTGCTCGGCTTCTTATACCCAAGCAGGCTCACCATCTTCTCACTCATACCCAGTACCTTACTCCGCGGGACAGCGAGGAACTGGTTCTCCTCCGTGCGTAGCGTACCCCGGATGAAGAACAACCCATGTACCTTACGCACTTCGCCAGGGATAGAGTTATGTCCGCCGCCATGATAGCACGAGGCCAGGAAAACGAGCGCTTCGCCGGGCTCCATCTCTTCCTCCAACCATCAGCTTGCGTATATGGGAGGGATAGAACGGAATGAAAAGGGCCCACTGACCAGCGAAACACACCTCCTCCACCCTCGGCCTCCTCTCGTCATCCCACCTATGACTCCCCGGAATAAACATCGTCGCCCCATTCTCCCTACACGTCCTCGTCTCCGCAATCAACACGCCAAACTGGCTCGCCTTGCTCAGCTCAAACTTCCCTCCATGTCGTATCCCATGCACGTTATCGTCCCTGTGCAGCTTCTGCCGCGGCGCCCCGTACCCGATATGCAGCGTGATGCTGAGGCTCAGAAGCGGATCGATACTATGGTGCTCGATCGCGTCCTCGCGGATGATGCTGAACTCTTCCGTCAGGATGTTGCTGCACAGGGATTCAAGGACTGGCGCTTCGCAAAGTGCGGCTACGGTGGGGGACTTCCCGACGAGCCCGGGGACGGCGAGGGTCTCTTTGGGGATGATGTGTAGGGCGCTGTGTTCGGTGGAGCGGGTGCGCTGCCGGTGGGATTCGACGTCTGCGTCGATGGCGGCGAGTTCGGAGGCGGTGGCGAAGTCAGTTAGGATGATGCCGCCATCGCGCTCGATGATGTGGAGGATGTCGTCGATGGGGGCGGTGGCGGGGAGTTTGGCGATGGAGGTTTTGGGTTTGTGGGAGGCGGGGATGGGGAGGGGGACGGATATGGCCATGCTTGCTGCCGTTTGATGGAGGGATAGTGGTTAGGCTTGATCTTCAGGGGACCGTGGGTTTGGAGATGAGCAACTTCCATAGGACCTAGTTAAGAGATATATACTTGAGTCAGCTTGCACCTCTTATCGGTCAGAGCAAAAAGCGAGGAAAGTGGCCTGAAGCTTACGAGGACACCATTGATAGTCTTTGAGGCAGACCAGTCGGAACCACCATCGTCCCAACTCCGCATCTTTCTGAGCATTCCTAAACGATATCAGTGCCACCTTGGAAGGTCTATACGAAGAGCGCACATGTTGCTCGCTGGTGGTGAGCGAGCATGATTATTTCCAAATGTCATCCATTTTGACCAATCAGGGGTACAGAGTCTATGGACTCGATTGCCTGGTTGGGTAAGTGGAGATATTCGGACTAAACGAGGGCCTGGACCAACGATGGGCTTACCATATGCAGTAAGTTCGGGATGCCCCAAGGAGCAGTTTGATACGAATTGATAACGGCATCGTGAAGTGGCATCGAGTTGGAGCTGGCCTTCAGAAAGGCTTCAAGTTGATAAGCTTGACCACATCGTGTAACGAAAGCCCTTCAACATCGACGGCCACCTTCTCCTCTAAGAACTCCAACGTCTTGCCACCATTTCAGCTTCTTTGGTAAAACCAATAATGGCGGAAACCATTGCTCCTACTCCAGCGCCCACACCAAATCTCAAGGCCCAGCCCATCATCCAGGAGAAACTCCGACCATGGAGCACAGCCCCACAGGAATTATTCGACCCATCAAAGCACCTCAGCTATGTCTCCGAGCCCAAGTCACTGTCATTGAATGACCTCGGGTTGTCTGAGCATAGTGGCGAACACGTCGCCATCTCTCCGATGGGCTGCTCAGAACCGTTCCCTCTCTTCAGCAACAATGCTATCACCATAATGCGCAGTGAGATCTTCACAAACGAAGTATGGGATAACTGCCTGCACAGCACCGAGTTTGCGGGATGTCAGTTGCGTGGTCACTGTCCGAAGTAAGTGCCCCTATATGCGCACCGATGGGCCTTCCGGCTAACGTGTGGAAAGGTATGCTCCGTTCATGTACGAAGCATGGACGAGCCCGAAGACGCTGGAGATAGTGTCCAAGATTGCGGGCGTTGACCTCATCCCGGTGATGGATATCGAAATCGGCAACATAAACATCTCGGTCAAGACCTCAAGCGAGGATCCCAGTTCCGCGGACACGTCGAAGAAAGTCGATGCGGCGCCACCTGTCACGAAGTGGCACTATGACAGCTACCCCTTCGTATGCGTGGTCATGATGAGCGATGCCTCGAAAATGGTTGGCGGAGAAACGGCCATACGAACTGGGACTGGAGAAATCCTCAAGGTGCGCGGGCCGCAGATGGTGAGCCTCTCCTCGATTCCTCTCCTACCAATGTCATGCTCAGGTATTCTCTAGGGCTGCGCCATCGTCCTCCAAGGCCGATGCATCTCCCACCAGGCGCTCGCGGCCGTAGGTGGAACCGAGCGCATCACCATGATTACAGCATTCCGGCCTCGCGATCCTTTTGTGCCAGATGATGCAGATCTCAAGACGATCAGGCCTATAACGAATCATTCCGAGCTGTACTATCAATGGGCCAAATATCGGGTTGAGGTTTTGCGTGAACGTCTGCGAGGGATGCTGGATGCCTTAGAGGAGCAGCATCAGGAGGGGAAGTCAACAGATGCTGGGAGGATCAAAGGCTTTTTGAAGGAGCAGGAGGAATGGCTGCAGAGGACAAATTCTGAGATTGTGCCGTGAGAGGAAGAGGATATGCGGATGGGGATTGGGGATATTAAGCTACTAGTGGGGTAGGTGCCGGTAATGAGGATGTGGGAAATATGTTTGCAGAAAGAGTATAGTGTGAATACCATGAAGCAATGTGATGAACCGATCAGACTGAAGACGCATGAACGCTGAAGGAGCAACTTCTCGTAAACTTACATGTGCTACCAGATCTCCTACGTTTCCTGGCTCATAGGGTTTCCTAAAATGTGTCACCCGAGCATAACTACAAAATAATGTTAGCGTATCATACGTCGAGTGGGGTGCGCAGATTACCGACCTTCCCACCTCCAATCCTTCATCACTCCCAACCAGTGCAGCTTGCCTCTCACGGTGTACTCCGCATAACCACTGCGTGTAAACGGGTCTACCCCTTTCTTGAATGCTGCGGACATAGGGAAGTCGTACGACATGGGTGGTTTTCGCGGCTTGGGCGCATTCCGTCTATACCCTTCGGCTACCTTCCGATCAGTGGTAGACCTCTCGGGTCCGGAGACATTGATCGAGTCTGATTCTGGTGATCCTTCTGGTGCGAAGGAAAGCTCATTCTCCGGAATTTCTGGTGGGGGTCGAAGAGGGAAGGGGCCTGATCGGCGCTCAGCTTCGTATGCGTCTCTTCTCCGCCACACCTCCTCAGTGACTTCAAGGCATCGGTCGACTAACCCTGTAATCATCCGTTTGGACATAGCTTTCCACCGTCTGCGAACAAACTCTCGGTCCTCCACTTCTGCTGCATCGGACCCTGCCACCATAAGAGGGAACATTTGTACAATTGTTGTGCGTGATTCGACGAGAGTTGTGGCGAGGTATACTAAGATCTTTGCGGCCAGCTCTCCAACCGAGGAGAGGTTCGGTAGCTCTGGTACTGCCTCTTGGAGGAGCAGCAGCGTGGACCAGCGGTATGCTTCGGCAGTCTGGATAGCGTCCGACATGCTAGAGGTCGGGCTATCGACCTGCTCCAGATTTATAGGCGACGTCCATCCTTCAGCTTCGCGCCTCAGAGTTATTGCCTGGGATACAATCGCTGGAGAGTTGCGCTTGCTGCCTCGGGCCCGAATCTGCGCAACGAGGTCCGCAACTCGGCCAATGAGGGGAAATAACGTTCCCGCGTAGCCCATAAGAGGGTCAAGCTCAAGCCGTGTGGGCCACAGATATTGCATGTCGTAGAGGGATGGAAGTTCCGGATCTGGTGGACTGCCGCTATCGGAGGTGAGTCGAGCCATGACGTCCATATAAATCCATGTATTTGTAAGAAACTTTAGGCGACTGGGAGGATCCATTGCGTCCGGAGAAGAAACATGACTAGATAAGGCTTGTTGTAGAAGAATCTTGGCGCCTTTTATGTGATAGAGACCGGTTGAGGACCTTTGATAGTCCCAAGTCTCAGCAAAGCCGAGAGCGAGAGTCGCTGCCACCGCTACGTCAATCTGAATCGTGCCAGCGCTCACGTCGGCAGCAAGGGCCCGTGTGCTGCATTGGGCATGAGCCAAGCCTTGATTTCGCATTCGAGGCTTCGTTTTGCTTATGTGGAAGCAAGTCATTGCTGCAAGCGCATGAAACAGTGCTTGAGAGTCTTTGACGAGAGGCCAAATCACCGCGCTCCATGGGTTCTTGCTCGGTTCATCTTGAATGGAGAGGATATAACAGGTCTGCTGATGAAAAAGCCCTGCTATTCCCTCCGGGCTGTCTGCGCCATGATACAGGCCCTGACAGAGTGTGAGAGTGGGTTGTCTTCCTGTTGGGGAAGAAAGCGAGGATTGTCTGAAGCGGTCGACGTTTAGATAAAAGTCTTCCTGAGATGACCCAACTTCGATACTCCCGATGCTCTCTGCCATGTCTTCAATACTCGTGTTCACCGCCGGAGGACCAGTGTCACGGCATGTTAGTTCCACAGGCAGGAGGCTTGAGAAGCTATCCCAAGGCGGGCTGTTATCATAGCTCGGGGCTAAGAAATCAAAATGTACCATATCCGATAGTGGCCAAGCGGATAGGTCTGAAGAAAGGCTGGACTGAAAAGTAGCTTCTTCGCTGCCATCGAGAGGACCCAGCCTGATCCAAGAGAAGTCCTCTGTTGTTGGCGGTTGTTCGATCGGACTCTTAACATGGTTCTGCAGCCGGTGTGCGCGGATAGGCTCATCAATCTCGACAGGTCTCCATTTGATATCTTTTCTGTAGCCTCCACACGTGAGACGGCGACGGGTGCATTGGTTGCAAGAAGGCTTCGTCTCGTCGCATTTGACTCTCCTCGCTTTACATGAAATGCATCCTGCGATAATCAGACTTCTTGCTCTGATTGACTTTGACGGTAGCAAGAGATCAATGCGGGGATAGAAATTGAACGGGCATACCATTGCGACTCTTTGGCGTGGATTTACGCTTCCCACCTTTCTCGCAACGTACCGACTGCTTGATTGAACCCCGTGTTGGGGAAATGGGAGCTGTCTCGATCTGATCGATGCGGGGCCCCAATTGCATAGCGAAATGTGCGATTACCCAGGTAAATGAGAGGAACAGTAGATGGTCAGACTCCAAGGAGTGCCACTGAAGAGTATAGCCACGTGGTAGGCAGGAATGTCATCGGAAAGAGATGGAGACGACATGATGGGGCGATGTAGATGTGCTGTTATCACCGGGCGCCGGTATCAGGTGGATAAGACCTTTGGCGTCGAAGAGAACCCCGCACGTCCCGAAAAGGAAATGTTTAGAGGGGTCACATGACGACGTAACCCTCAAATTGGTAAGGTTCCGGTAATGTAGGAGAGTTGGGAGCAAGAGTAGTGCCCATAGTAGTGCTATGTGACCTTCGCGTGCAATCCAATGCACGCCTTGATGACGAAGTTAGAATGGCGAGGGGCGGTGGAGGATGGACCTCTCAGCCAGTATACGCCTTGCCTACCTGAGTAAGGTAGGATACAATTTGCACGAACCTTACACTATCCTCGGAGGAATATCGTGCGCTCATACCTGAGAGCCAGAGGCTGCAAGACCGGATAGCATTGAGGCAAGCTCCGATGGACTGTTGAGGGCAATATATTCAAGAAGCGAGGTTGTGTATGTGATACCGCCTCCACACCATGCGAATGTGACTGGACGTATCGTTCCGGGCGCTAAGGTAGCCATCAACCGGCCGAGGAGAAAGTCGAGCAATGGATGCCGCAGGGCAACATCTTGCCGGACAACGGCTCCCGTGGATTCGTCTGTCGACGTTGCGAACCGATGGGGCCGGTTCGCTGAGTTGTCGATGAGTGATCAGGTTCATTATCGTGATGGTGGGGTCCAGGAACGTTGAATATTGTTTCAGAGTAAGACGCTGACGGTGCTACCGAAGACGCAGGCTCCAATCATCCACGGAAACAGCCTCGTCCCTTTCTGAGACCAGCAGCCTAGCGACGGGTATCGCCCCGCGGCAATTTATTTTAAGTTCCGAGAGCTGTAGGTCTTCACCACCTGCAGCTCGTTTGCATCGATGCCCATGGCGACAAGAATCTCAAGCTTGGCGTCTGGAAAACGGCTCTATGAGTTGAGGTAGTGCGTGTTACCGGACGGCACTTCGCTGGGAATATGGACAGCGTTCTGTGAAGAATACTGTGCCTCTAGTGGCGTTTGTGGGGTATCTGATTCGTATCGCGGGAGGATTGCATATAATCGTTGCGGAGTGTAACGCGCTCGAGCCGTTTTGAATCCTCCACGGCTCGAGAGCAAGCTAGAAGTAACGAGGATCGAATCGAGCCAGGGGCTGCAGGATCGATAGAGATTCAGGGATGTACCAAAGCGAAAGCAGGACCTATCGAACCTGGGCTTCCTAGCAGAAAGTCGACTGTGCGCGTGGCCGGCTGGCACCTATGCCGGACGCTGTAAGCTTATCATACATATTGCGAAATGAGATGGAGATCCAGGCATTCGCGTATCTGCAAATCGTCTTTCTGCCTTGCTAGGAGTTTGGTGACGAATGAAAGAGCGGGGATTTATGAATTAGCGCCGGGGTCAGATTGCCTTCTCTTGAGCATGGTCGCACGACGCATGCATGGATGCAGCGCGCCACACTCAAAGCAGTAGAATCGTGGTTATCCCCTGTCTGCCTGACCAAAGGCTGGCGACACAGCAGTGAGGAAATAGGGGCGGCTTTTGAGGATCTACATGCTATTAGTTGGACTTGGATTGTCCGCCCTGAGATGCTTACGAATTGGTGAGCATCAGGCGAGGGTTTCGTACCGGGTCAGAACCGGTGCGGCCCGAAGAAACCGGTCGCTGATCCTAGATAGCCGCCCGCTCTACCTAGACGAAAGACATCTCCTGAAATTCGGCTGCTGAAGACGACAACAGCTACCGGTTCCTGGGAAGCTCCTGTTTCAGATGGTTACAAGACTACGTTTGCAGTAAGGTGATGATCAGTAGTGGCTGAGCTGCGAGCCACCATATAATCCATATATAGATATTGAAGATGAAGTTGACCTCCTTCACCGGTTCCCCGTGGAAGAGCAGTCTTAAAAGGGACATTTCTTATCTGCAGATGCCCTCAGTGGGAAGTGAATCTTCTGGATTGGGTCAGGGGAGACAGTCCTGTCTGGCTAGAATCGAAAGTAGGCATTAGGCAACCCTTCAAGTGGAAGGCACATGCGAGACAGTCATCGAGTTGAGATGATATCAGGAGGGGGCGTTTGGGGCTGTACCGGTGGATATGTGGAGGCCACAAGTCGTCAAGAAATATAAGAAGGGGGAGAGAAACCAGAGATTATACTCACATACAGACAGCAACCTCATATCGACAAACTCAACAGTCAATCGTTCTCGAGCCTTTTCCAGCATGCCTTCCAATCAGAGACAAGCCTCAGCGCCCACTGCGGTAGCTCGTGCAGCACATTCGCAAGGAAACGGGAACGGGGGTCCCACCGGCGACCGAGTAGTAAGTCCTTACAACGATTGAACTCCGATGGTACTGATAAGACCAGAATGCGAGCGCCAACGCAAGTACCAAAGCTGGCACCGCAAATGGGCAACAGCAGACGGCGGACGGCTACGGAGAGGCACTGAGCATGTGGCTCAATCAGCCAGTGAGCGAGGATCCTTGGACTACTTTCACCCCGCAAGGGAAGTAGTGGTGAAATATGGTATAAGTGCTCTTGGCCAATGGCGCGGTGTTTCGACGAAGATGTGCGATTTCGGGCTTATATTGGGACGGGCTGAATGTTGTTTGGAAGGTAGATTAGATGAATTGGAAGACCTGGACAGCCTCAATACCGTGCAAGCTGCTTCGTCACCAGAGATGAAGCTTCTGTTCCCCAATTCTTGCGCGATGCATTTCTCTTCATACATGCGCGAGACCCGGCGCCGGTCGTGTCGGCGAGGTAGGAATTTTGCCCTGGTATGATGTTGCGAGGTGGTAGACATGCCGAAGCCTGTTCCTCGGCCCGGATGGGGCGAGTTGAAGTTGTTCGAAGGGGAGACGTCGGGCCTCGTAGAGGCCGATCCCTAAACTTTGGACTGGGCCGCCCCGGCGTGCATCTCTACCAAATCGCTGCTTCATCCATCCTGTACCATCCCGTCCTAATCTACGAGCTTCACATTGACATTCTCTTAGCAATGAAGCTTTCTAAGCGCCATTGCCCAACTTGTCTCTTTGGCAGGCCTCGCTCTTTTATCTTTCAATCGACGATCGCTTCCCTACCCGATACCGCTCAGGTGACTTTTCCTTGTCTCGAGGAACTATGGTGATGGAAAACAAATAATTGCATTGCGCGCCCGAAAAAGAAGGCCAGATAGCCCTGTCGCAAGGATGGGAGACTTGCAACCTACAGCTGAGGGAAGTCGACCTCATATTTGCACCTCGTCACTGCCGAGTCGACGTAAAACCGGAAAGGTAGCTTATGGACGGAATACTACCAGTACCAAGTAGCAGGAAAACTTTGGTGATACGAGTCGTCACGGGAATTTCTACTCGTGAGCTAATTTTATAACCAATCAGACCACACTGCGAGCATGGCTCCCTGTATACTAATGCCGCTCTCCTCCTACCACGGTGTAGACGATACGAAATACGTCCGGGCCAAGTACCTTTCTTATAGAAGAAAACCGATGGGCCACCAATTGCAAGCATTCAGCGTATCACAACACGAGATCATACCACAACAACCTCGGGAACAGCAAAAACGAGCTTCACTTATAATGCAGTGTTGGAACATGGCACAAAAATTGAAGCAACGCCTGCTCGAAAATCGCTATGAAATGCCTTCTCGCCACGATCCTTGCGCTGCACTCCGCAGCTGTAGCAGCGCAAGGGAAATGCGACCACTACCTAGATCAAGATTGCGTCGACGCATTCGGTTCGGTGTCTTTTGAGTTCCAGCCTCTCTTCTCATCGGCCCCGCGTTTCGCATACGGCTTCCGCGTGTACTTCGAAGGCGAGATATCCAGCACCCTCGTCGGTCACCCCTTGAACTATCGCGGCGACACGAACGAAGCAAAGATGTGGCTGGAGTACGCCAACGAGACTCTCAACATCGATACCAGCGCGAACAGGACTACTCACTTTGCAACTCTGCTTACCAACGCCACCGGTACGGTTTCCGGCGGAAGCAATGGCTGTGAGGGTCTCCTCGGCGCCGATTGCGTGAACAACCTCAAAGATGTTCTTAAATGGGCAGTGGTGCTCTCGCCTGATTATCAGCGGAATGTTTTTGACAACAACGTCGGGAAATTCCAGACGACGCCGCTGACGAATCTGAGTTGTCCTGCTGGCATTTTCGACCACTATCAGAGCATGTTGAACCGAGGTATCTATCTCGCGCGCTCACACTCAGTAGGACCCCGGCTAACGTGCGAATAGGTGTCGTGGACGAATACCCGTACGACATATACATGTGGCTGAAAGCCCAGCCGCCGAAGCCGTCGGGGAATGCGTCTTACCCGTGGACGACGGACTTGATGTATCATTCTGCGGAGGAGTACATGGCTTGGGCAGCCATTGGCATTATTGCGCGATATCCGAACTACACGCCTCGGAACTACGACGACATCCAGCTGGAGCTGGTTTGCCTGAGGCCGACGGCAGTTGAAGGAAGCGGAGACCGAATCGATACCAGCAAAGTGACTATTGTGCCAAGTGCAGCCGGACCGACGTCGACGGGTGGTTCGCAGCCTGATGGTGCGGATAATCTGCGGAAGGTTAATTCACTGTTGCTAGTTGTTTTGGCGATAATTGGTGGTGCATTTCGCCTTGTATGAAGGAAGAGCGCATTACAGAGTCGAAGCTGTGGTAATGGCAGCGGTTAAAGAAAACCAGTCCTTTCAAATCGGTACTATGTGCTTACAGATTCGACTCTCGCGGCGAATCATGTTCAATATTTTAGTGGTGCTGGGGGCGGTGTTCTCGTTCGGATACCGATGCTGGGCGAGTATTCGCACCACAGTCGGATGGTTAGCATGCCGCACGAGAAGAGGAGTATGACGCAATAAGAAGCATCCCGGCATCGAAATACAATAAGAGAGGGAATGCAATGCACTCTTTGCGGGGACTGACGGCCGGGATCATCCTGGCGCGGACGGCGGTGAGTAGTAGTGAGTGAGCCGTCAACGGTTACTCCCACTACTCCCGTAAGCTAAGACTTGTAGAGGCGTTCGACATTTGTGTTCGTCAATAATGTCGGTCGTCGGTCCTCAGCCGGCCGGCCTCCAAATGTTGGGAGGGGCAGAGCACGTGACCCAGCCTTCCTCCGTGCCTGCCTCGCGTTCTCCATTTCTGCAGCCTGATGTCCATCCAGCGCCCTTTCAGACTCAAACCTCAACACCAGCCGCCTACCCTGCGATTCACCCCAGAAACACTCCACTTTTCGGCGTCGAAGCACCACCAAGTACCGACGGACGATGCCGGCTTGAGCTTAGCCGCAGGTCGTCCAACGCACGGAGATGGCGCAGTGACGTCAGGCCGCACTGGCCAGCTGGCCCGACACGCTCGAGCGAACACAACGCGAAACTTGCGGTCAGCAGGATCCTCACCATGGAGCGGGTAATGGGCCCATTGAGCAATAAAATGCCTCCGCGTTCCCGCTGGCGAGGACCCTGGAGCGCCTGAAGAGCGGCCTACTTGAACACGGGTATCCCGCCATCCCTTCGTGCTCCCGTCTTTCGTCTCCCGTCTCCCCACCCCATCCTTCGTCTCACCCGACGCCGGCCTCGACTCACCTCACTTCTGCCGTGGGACGCTGCTCCGCGCCAACCTCAGCTCTCGCCGCCTCGTGCTCTCGTGTTCGCAGCTGCAACGGTGGGCAGAGGCTCACCTCGTCTGCTACCATGTAAGTGTCTGGACTCTACCAGCGCGGTGCAAGCAGCTGACAGGCCCAGGAATTACTCCAATATGATTGAGGAGAAGAACCTCAAGGTAACGATACCTCGCTTCGCCACCCACGATGGACTTCCCTAATCGCGGCCTCATGCAGAAAACCTTCATAATAGCCACGCTTGCCTCCACACTCATCGGCACCTTCACTGCATCGATGGGTCTCTATGACCGCGTCCAGGATAAGCGGAAGCAGGGCAAGAGGGACACACATCAAGACGCCGAGATCAAAAAGCTGCGTGAAGACGTGCAGAAGGCGGAAAAACGGAGCAAGGAGCGCGATGCCGAGTTGAGACGAAAGGACGAGGTTGGCAACAATTTCCAACAATCGAGCGCCCTCATTCAGAGGCAGTACGACGAGGGATATGCACGGCTGGGGAACAAGTTCGCCATGGGAGACAGTAAGCGCAACGGCTGGATCTTGTCATGGACAAGTGCTAATGCTGCGTCTAGCCCTCACCGAGAACCAACTCCAAGCGCAAATCATCGCCCTCCAGCAGACCGTCATCACTGTCCTGCAGGATGCCCTCTACAACGACCGCCAGCTTACCCGCGCCGACATGGCTAAGATAGTCGCAGCCACTAACTCCGCTCGCGACGGCACCATCGATGCTCTCCGCCAGCAGCAAAAGCGTCTTGCATCCGCCGAATCCTCGCCTCAGCGCGCACTGCCCGCCCCGAAACGCGCCTCCACAGTCATCGAGTCCGACCCGCTCTACTGCCGCTACAGCCTTGACCTCCAATTCATACCCAAAAAGCCGCTCGCCGCATCTTTCGCACCGGGCGGTGACTGCCGCTGTCCCGGGTGCGGTCTGCATGTCGATGCCACATCCGACGATTTCTGGATGATTGGAAAGCGAACGCCAATCCTTGTCAGAGACGGCAATTATGAGAAAGAAATAATGCAGACGCGCGAGTTCCGGCTTGGCCAGCGCTTCGTGGCCAAGTGTCATACACCCGACGGAGAATATGCCTGTGTGCTGTGTAGCAAGCACAGAGATCAGGACGCGATATGCCGCACCGTGGATTCGCTGGTCAACCATGTGGGTCGGTTTCACGAAGTGAGCGAACTGGAGAGGGATGTGGACCTAAGAGAGACGGTTCCGCTTGCGCTGCCGGCGCCTCCTTCGCCCCCGAGGTCGATTGCGAATGGCGCCAGAGAGCTACGCGAGCGAGAGGTAGAGGTGAGGGAGTACAGATGAGCAGTCTGAGAGAACACGATCTGATATTGGGAGCACATCTACGTTTAAGCGCGCATTTCATAGCACTTAGCGCTGGCGTTTTTGGGCAATTTGGGAGCGAAGCGCAAGGCGTCATGGCACGATTAGGGATATATCACGACTCTCCATTCTGTAGATGTATACGCATGACGACATGACTCCGCCATAAAGTTCATCTCCATTCCATCTATATCTTGAGTTCGACCCAACGTTGTTCCTAGCTACCTTGCGCCATCTACCTACGCACTCGCCTCCGCCGTCTGCTGTCTCGCCGCCACACTCCCCTTCCTCCACGCATGCTGCGGATCGTCTTTCTTAACAGCTCTGCTCTCCTCGCCCTCCTTGCCCCAGCCTCCGCCCCCAGGAGTGTATATAATGATCCGTTCCCCAGGCCTCATGCTAGCAGTGTTCTTCGCCCCCAGGTTAATATACCGATACTCGACATCCTGCTCCGCTTCCTTAGGCTCATGCACAATATGCCGCTCCTTCTGCTCCAGCACCTCGACATCCGCACCCGTCGTCGCCTCCCGCCCCTCCGCAGCGCCGTCAAACGGCTGCCGCGTGTCGCTGTTCTGGTCGATGGCCTGCCTGTCCACCTTGCGCACCCAGATATTCAGCCCGCAGGCGGCATCGCCGCCGCCGTCCAGCCCGTAGGGGTGGTACACGCGCCGCTCGCTCAGGATGCTGACCTGCACGGGGATGCGGAACTCGATGTCGCGCACGACGCCTTCGCCACCGTTGTGCATGCCCTTCCCCGCGCTCCCCGTGCGCAGGCCGAATTCGCGCAGCAGCACGGGGTAGCGGCGCTCGAAGACCTCGCTGTCGGTGATGCGCGTGTTGGTCATGTGCGTGTGCACGCCGCTCGTGCCTTCCCAGGTGGGACCCGCGCCGCTGCCGCCGGCGATGGTTTCGTAGTAGCCGAAGCCTTTTTGCTCAGTGCGGCTGGAATTTGCGCCTTCGGAGAAGGAGGTGCCGCCGAAGCCGAAGGTCAGGTTGTTGGTGTCGCCCTGGGAGGCGGCGCAGGCGCGGAAGGCCTTGAGGACGACGTCTGTGACGCGCTGGGAGGTGAGGACGTTGCCGCCGACGACGGCGGCGTTGTCGGAGGGCGAGAGGAAGGATTTCTTGGGGATGAGGACGTGGATTGGTTTGAGGCAGCCTTGGTTTAGGGGGATGTCTTCGCTGATGAGGCAGCGTAGGCAGTATATGATCGCGGAGTAGGTGACTGCTTCCGGCGCGTTGATGTTGCCGTAGACTTCCGGGCCTGTGCCGCTGAAATCGAAGACTGCTTCGCCCTTGTCGGGGTCGATCGTTACTTTGAGGCGGATGGGAGACCCGTCGTCCATGAATTCCTCGGCGGAGAGGTCCTGGCCTTCGAAGCGCTTGTAAACGGATTTGAGGAGCGTGCGCACGCTGGATTCGGCGTTGGCTTGGATGTTGCGCATGTAGAAGGTGACGACTTCTTCGCCATAGTCGTCCATGAGTGTGGAGATGAGGTTGATACCCTTTTGGTTGGCGGCGACTTGGGCTTTCAGATCGTTGATGTTGTCGCTGAGACAGCGGGTTCCTGAGCATCCTGGATACTGGCCGGGCTCATCGAAGAGTAGTTCGGTGATGCGTTTCTCGTTAAATTGGCCTTGTGAGACGAGCTTCTCCGATTTGATGGCCGCGCCTTCTTGGAAGAGCTCGCGCGAGTGCGGGGGCATGCTACCAGGGAGGATGCCGCCGATGTCTGCGTGGTGTGCGCGCGAGGCAACATAGAATATTATTTTGTCGCCGCTGAAAGCGGGCGTGATGACGGTTATGTCGGGGAGATGGGTGCCGCCGAACATGGGATGGTTGGAAACGAGGACGTCGCCTTTCTTAAGTTTGCCTTTCCAGATAGCGGCTTGCTTGCGGACGCAGGTGGACATACTGCCGAGGTGCACGGGTAGATGGGGTGCTGGAAGATGTTAGTAACACCATTGACGAGCATTTGTGAGTGGTGAGTACCGTTTGCGACGAGACCACCGTCAGCGTCGAAGAGTGCACACGAGTAATCCAGGCGCTCTTTGACATTAGTAGATACACTAGTCTTCTGCAGAGCACGACCCATCTGTTCGGCAATGGCCATGAAGCGGTGAGCGAAGATACTCAGCAGTATGGGGTCGACTTCCTTGGTATCAATCTTCTTGTCCTGGTTGTCGGTCTCGCCAATGTTGATGACGACGTGGGTATCGATGAGCAGAGCTGATGCACCAGGAGTGACGACAATAGTCTGCGTTCCGTCTGCAATGATAGCAGGTCCCTTGATACGGTCGCCGACTTCCAAGTCCTCAAGCTTGTATATCGCAGTATCTTGCCGTCCGCCCTCGAAGAATACCTTCCGCACGGCATAGACCTTGTCGTCCTTACCAAGATCTTTCGGCTTTATATCTTTTAGTTGCTGATCGACCGTCTTCTCCAAGCCTTCGAACGTCTTTCCGATGCCTCGTGCTCGAACATCATCGACGATGATGTCGCGGTCGGGAAGCGTGAATCCGAACTCCTGATCATGTTGCTTGGCGAACGCTTTACCGAAAGCCCACTCATCGCCGCCATACTCTTTCTCGGCCTCTTCCTTCGTGGGCTTGATGACCATGAGTGCGGACTCAGTGCCTCGATACCGTAAGTTGAGGTATTCTTCAAAGTGAATCTGATCTTCATCGAAACCCTGGTCCCTCAACGTCGCTGCCGATTTCGCCTTTAAGTCTTTCATCTTCTGCTGTAAGTATTCTCGCGTGTTCTTCTCATCTGACCATACTTTCGACTCTGGCTCTTGACGCTCGTCTACAACGTCAGCTAGCGCCATGCCGTACGCCGAAAGCACTGAAGAGTATCGGTGGACGAGGATTTGAGAAATGCCCAGCGCTTCTGCAATGGCGACTGCGTGCTGTCCTCCGGCGCCTCCGAAGGTAGCGAGTCTGTGCTTCGACGTGTCGTGCCCGCGTGCCTCAGTCAAACTGCGAATGGGCCTAGTCATCGTCTCGTTGGCAATCTTGATGAAGCCGTGCGCTATCTCGTCTAGCGACATTTCTTTCTCTTTGTTTCCACCGGCAACCTCCTTGTTGATCTGCCCTGCAAGCTCTTTGAATAGCTTCTCGCTCGCACTCTCGTCCAACCCCTCATCTTCATTTTTGCCGAAGATCTTAGGGAAGAAGTCAGGTAGCAGTCGCCCAAGGAACAGATTGGCATCGGTGATTGTTAATGGACCGCCTTTCCGATAACACGCGGGTCCCGGATGTGCGCTTGCCGATTCCGGACCAACGACGAAGAGTCCGTTCTTCCAGAACAGGCGCGAGCCGCCTCCTGCTGCAACAGTATTGATGTCAAGCTGGGGTGACTGAATGGTAACGCCTGCGGTGGTAGTCTCGAATACGTGATCATATCTTCCGGCGCCATATCTGCTTACGTCTGTACTTGTGCCACCCATGTCGAAGCCAATAACGGGAATCTTGGTCTGAGGGTCGTAGGATGTCAGTGCGTAGCCCACTACGCCTCCAGCAGGCCCTGACAGTATAGCCTTGAGACCCGAGAAAATGTCTACGTCGACCAGGCCACCATCGGACTGCATAAACTCGCAGCGTGCCCCTTTGGAGCCTTCTTCACGCTTTACGCTCTTTGTTCCGAGACCACCTTCGAAGCCGTTGGAGAAGCCATCGATGTACTTCCGGATCGCAGGGGTAAGATAGGCGTCTGCACAAGCCGACGTTGCTCTCGGCACCAACTTGATCATGGGCATAAGTTCATGACTTAAGCTGACGTGCTCGAAGCCGATCTCCTTTGCAATCTTGCCCACCAGTGCCTCGTGGTCTGGGTATGTGTAACCGTGCATTAGACACACGGCAATACTTTTGAGCCCGCTATCATACACCTCCTGAAGCTGTTTCCGTATCTTATCCTCTTCCGGTCGTTGCAATATCCGCACGGTCTCACCAGACAGGCCCTTCACAAGCTCCGCATTAGGTCCGGCCCCCTCGATTGACTTCGCTTTTGTCTGTTTCCGTTCCGGATCCTCAGCATAGTCTTCGAGTGTCACCCTCTCGTCGATTTCTACAACCCTCTTGTATAAAACCTCGGGCTTCCGTATGTCCAGCGCGAAGATGTTCGGCCGCGATTGGTTGCCTATTTCTAAGCAATCCTTGAAGCCTTTTGTCACCACCATGGCAATATCCTCGCCTTTCCGTTCTAGCAGCGCGTTTGTTGCCACCGTGGTACCCATGCGTATGCTCTCGATTTTCGACGTGTCGAGCGGCTGTCCGCGGGGGATCTCCTGGCCGGTAAACCTGGAGAGAAGGCGCCGGATTCCTTCAAGGGGTGCGTCATCGTAGTTCGAGGGGTCGACGGAGAGGAGCTTGATGAGGATGTCGTCTTCCATCTTGCCTGTACCGGGGTTGCCGACGCAGTCCGTGAAGGTGCCGCCTCTCTACATATGGTCAGCCTGGTTCAATCGCGATTTCCGCGGTCTGCAACGTACATCTATGGCGATGCGGATTCCCCGCTCGCAGATGCCCGCTGAGCCCATGATTGAGGTCCTGGATGTGAGTAATGCGATATTAGAAGGAATGAAGTTGAGGAGAGCTCTAGGAAAGCTACCGGACGCTTTCGAACACGTCTGGAGGCATCAATGACCAAGCAAAAAGTAATCTGGGTATGACTAAAGAATGATGCGACTCGTACTCGCATGTAGCGCGATACAGCACGCGATAGCTGCAGGCTGATGCATGCGATATGGAAAACGCTGCCAAAGGTGGGGTGTTACAACTGCCCCGCCATCCGAACTGCGTCATCGGCTTCTGTCGGAACGGTCGTCCTGTCTGGGTTTAGCGCCTTCTGTGCCCATCATGTCCGCGGGCTTCACGCGGGCGCGTCGTGCTTGGACCCTCAACATCGATCCCATCACGATAGGACTGCGACCTACCTCATCATTTCAAAATCAGCTCCATAACTCTTCTTCAGCATCGATGCACTGCTCACGGGGCTCATGAAAGCGTGGTTTCCCAAGCCGAACGACCCTTCCTCCACGCTGCTGGCGACAGGCATCCGATACGGGTATAAAACGCTCGAGCGTCTCCGGCCACATTCAACGCGTCTCGATGTTTCGGACGACCAGACAGAAGATCTTGCTGAAGAAACGGCCAGAATCTCTGTCTTTCCGGAACGCCCGTCACAGAAAGAGCTGAGCAAATCCACTAGGGCGTCCTGCGCATCAGGCCTTGAACTTCTGCTGCAGAAGAAGTATCAGGGCCGCGGACGGATGAGAAAGAAAGCCGCGTAGTTCATGTACTCTGAAGGATTGCGTGCCGTTTTCGAGACCATCCCAGGCCGTTTTCACACCAAACCACTCGACAATATTTTCGCAACGCCCGAGAAGGGCATCATCGGCCGCAGTCCACACGATATTACAAACCGAAACAGAATGCACATGCATAGCTGGCGGGCTAAATACCACAGCTGGAATCTGTCGGCCAGGAACCGCCGAAACAAGTCCTTCGCGAAAGCGGTCGAAGAGCCTCGGCTTGCGTCTATACACCATACTTTCGGAGCTGTGCTCAAAGGAGGAGTCTCTCAGCGCTGAAATCATTGCCATTGTGGTACATGAGTCTGGGTGATTGAAATTCCACGAGTAGGATTTCACCGTCGATTCGGGATATACCGTCTTCCACCAGCAACGAGGCTCTTCACATTTCACATGCCTTCCCTGGCAATGATCGCTTCCGAGGCGCTCATAAGGCCGTCCAGGATGGCCATCTACTAAAGTGCGGGCCGTTGACCGTTCCTGGAGAGGCAAGCTTCCCCGCATTTCTTAGCCCGGAGAATACAGGGATCGCTACAAGGATGGCCATTTATCTAACCGCTCGCCTGGACCCGGCACTGTTACTCCGTGTTGGTTGTTACAAGAAAATGCGGCTCTCTTTCCTACTATGGGAAGCTCTACCGTGGCTTATATTGGGCGTGCAAGCTCACCGTTGCCGCCGCGCCATGAATTGCGGAGAGGTCTCATGCAAGTGCTCAGTCACGACCTTGACGAATGATGATGACGTTCCGTTTCACGCCGGACATACCTCCTCTTTGATGTCAGATGGTGCCGTCGGAGAAGCTAAGGGCCTAAACATCGAAACAGATGGAGGAGTCCTTTGTTGCCGCGGCTTCAGGTGATTGTTGGAAAGTATAAAGCAGGGAGCTGTGTTCGCAATTAGCTATCCACAACCTCACATTTGCAACTGAGCTCAAAAGCAACTCCTGTATCACTTATTCCATCACCATGAAGCTTTCAACGTTCGTCACCGCCATCGCCCTCGCTTTCGCCTCTACGTCGTCCGCACAGACAGCCTGCGACTCCGTCGCCTCAGCCATCCCAACTTGCGGCGTACGCCTCCCCTCTTCACTTATCATGCTCGCCCTCACCTTACTGATCTTTCCCAGCAATCGTGCCTCCTATCCGCAGGCTCAGCTATCGGCTGCGGCACCGGCGACTACGGCTGCCAGTGCACCAGCTCTTCTGCACTTCAAAACTCCGCGCTTGGCTGCGTCGTTGGCGCTTGCGGAATCGCTACAGCCTTGCAGGTTCAGGCTTCAGCTAGCGCTGTCTGTGCCTGCATTGCTACTGCTACGCCGGACCAAGTGGTAGCTAGGGCCACGCCTGCACCCGGTGCCAGGCGCTACCGATATTGATTGAGGCTAGCTTGTGAAGGAGTACCTAAGAGCTGGTTTATACCGCACATCACATGGGATGTTGGGAATAGCGGGGACGAGAATTGGGTGGGGAATCAGGAAGTGAAACGAAAAACAAGTAGTTGGGACACTATTGGTTATCATGAAGTGGTTGCATTGTTTAGCTACATTCGTTCTCATGGGAAGGTGGCCCTGGCCTCACTCTCTGCCATGGTCCATTAACGATATGGTTTACCAAGATTCTACATTGCGTTCGTCCACGTCATGCCTTGATCGGTATATCCTTCCAACAGTGAGCGCCTATTTAAAATCGTTCGAAGGCTGTTCGAGATGTATCCGAGAGCTTGGTCCAACCGGCGTCGTTGATCTTCGTGCTAGGGGTCTTCGACGTGCCTGAGTCAGCCTGATACGGTTGAAGGTGCGCCGGGGCGATTGGATTGCTGCGCGCTCGTGTACAGTATCCTGAACGACGCAAGACTGACGACGATAAGGGCTGGGACAGCAGTAAGATGTCAGCGCAAAGGTTCGTCTCTGTTTATCTGACGCGGACGCGTACGTACCGACCGAAAGCTCAACACCCTGCCAGCAGACCAGCCAGCTCAGATCTATTCTCCCGTGTGAAGGGGATATCACTAGTCGAATTATCGCAATAATTATGACGAATATCGTCAAGTAGAACAAATCATTCTCATGCCGCTACTGGTGAGGCAACGGTAGTCCACTGTTCCAATGCAGACGGCAAATGAAGTCAGACAGAACCCTAGCACCGCGTACCAAGCGATCCGCTGATTCCGCAGCTTCTCGCCGAATCTCCTGAAGAAGACAATGAAGGAGATCTTGATGCTCCATAAGCTGGTATAGGAGAGAAGGTAAGCGGCCAGGTTCCCGCGAATGAGATGTTCTATTCGTTGTAAAAAGTCGGGAGGCATTTCCGTGATTTGACCAGTCGCCAACGCGAGATCGGAGTATAGTTCTTTCCGCACTCCAGTCCATATGGCGGCGCTACATACGGAGAGCAACCACGCTACGATCATGAAGGGATCATCGGGTTGAAGTCGTCGAAAGACTTTGAGGCGTATCCAGATACGAGTAACAAGGAAGGCCAGAGACACAGCTATACCAGCCCAAAGACTGGCCTAAGAAAGTTAGACGGTCCAGACTTACAATGAGAGCTGTGTCTGAGACTTGCGCAGGAGATTCAGGCGACCCCGAAAGGTCGGGATGCCTAGGCAGGAAGTTCCACGACCTGTTGCTGTGCCTCACGGCTACACTTTGTTGGCCATGCCGTTGTGCCACCGTAAGCCTATCAAGTCCTTTCACTTTTGAGGTAGAAAGAGATAGCCACAGTTCTAGCGGAACATACAAGGATTGAGAGCAGAATATTCGCAGCTAAGTTGGTTGTTAGATGTGTGCCGCTCAGTTTGCTCTTCACCGAAAAATTCTCGCGCCTGTAAAATGAGATCTAGTGTGGGGACCAACACGCTGTGCCGCTTGCACGTTTCAACCTACCCTTCCATTCAACCATTCCAACCGGACGGCGCACGCGATTTATTTTTGCAATATTTCATCTGCTGCACCTCAGATATTACATGGTATCTGTCGGGATACGAAAGCCTCGAAGCGACACCATCCCTACGTTCATCCTGCCGCACCCCCAGTATGCATCCGATCCTTTGCCTCGTTGGTGAAGTCATTGTCACGACACTTGTCACTGGATTCACTCATCCCGGCGCGCGTCTTCGCTTGTTGGGTCTCATTCCTGTCGCGCTTTGCGTACTGCAATGTGTACCGCTCTGCATGAAGTCCATGGTCCGGACACCGTGGGCAGCTCTCGTCGGCGGCTACTCAATCACATACCTCTTCCATTACCTCGATGTGGCTGTGCTCAGCGATTGGAGCTTCGAACACAACAGCCCAGTCAGCGGATTAGTGAGGCCATCGGAAGACGCCAATACAGACGACAGAGCACAGTCCCGGAAGCCCAACGACACCATTGTGCACCGACTTCTCTTCGGAGTGAAGATGGCCTCGTCTTTCCGCTTCGTCGGCACTCCGTACCAGACTAGGAATACTCCACCCGTCATCGCGGCCGACCGAAAATACTTCCTCCAGCGCACGTTCGCCGTCATTGTGGTTTCATATGTTGTGTTGGATTTCATCAATTCTAATAATGACCCAATGATTGCTTCCAAGTACCTTACCCTGGAAAAGGTCCCCTTCCTGACTCGATTAGACCAAATTACTGCCGAAGAAGTGGTTATACGGGCGTTTGCCGTGCTCGCCGCGGCCGTCGGGCTTAATTGCGTCCAGGGAGGCATATACAACATTTTTGCCCTCCTTGCAGTGAGCACCGGAGTTTCCAATCCTTCTGAATGGCCCCCATTCTACGGTTCACCTCGCGATGCATACACACTCCGCAAATTCTGGAAGTGAGTCGTTGATCCCTTTTGCCCCTATTCCGCTAACGGACAGAAGCGTGTTCTGGCACCAGACGAACGCGAGGAAGTTCTCTTCTATTGCCCACTATACCGTTCACGGCTGCATGAAGCTGCCTCGGGGTTCAATAGGCGCTCGATACTTGCGTATGCTGGTGGCATTCCTGTCTTCCGGTATTATGCACTTATTAGGCGACCTTGCAGCGGGGGTACAGCTTCGCGATTCCGGGGCGATGCGATTCTTCCTCGCCCAAGCCCTGGGGATGATTATAGAAGACGTCGCCATCAGAGCCTACCGCCGCTTGCCGCCGGGCACGAAGATACCCCTAGTCGCAGAGAAGGGCTTAGGATTTCTGTGGGTTGCGATCTTCCTGACATGGTCGGTCCCAGCGTACATGTACCCGATGATGTGGCGCGCGAACCAGGGATTGAATGACTCCACCATCCCATTCAGTTTCTTCGGGCCAGGCGCAGAGCGCATCAAGGCGGTTGGTTGTTTGCTAAGTGCCGGTGTCGTCTCATTGTCTGGGATTTTAATTACATGACTGCTGTGGTAATGGAACAAAACAATCATTCGGTGGAACTTACTGGAGGACAATGCGGCGCAGTCCACTTATAGGGGCGGAACTACCTGTATTACCACCCCTGACGACGGCTTCTACCGGTCGGTGGGGCTCTGTCAAGGATCTCGACCTATTCCCATGGGATAATTTGTAACATAGGTTCATGATGTAAAAGAAATTGATCTTATCAGCAAAGAATAAGATATATATTTATAGAGATCTTAGCTTAATGTTTTGTGTGGTAGTAATAAGATAATAGAATATTATATTCGCTTATTCACACACTAAACTTTTGGCCTAGTACTGTACGATGCGTTACGCGCTGCCAAGCGCTAGGGCCCTGTTAAAGTAACGAAGTGGAGTGTAACATTGTGGATTGAAAAGAGAGAGCCGAGAGCTCTGACTATATACAATAGGCTAGCACGATCACTTGATCGACACGTGATCCTCAACAGTAAACAATGCTCCGCGTGGCTGCTTCCGCCAACACCCCCACCATTTTTACGCAATCCCATTCTCAACTGTCGTCCAAGGCCACCGCCTCCGACGAGCCTCAGTCGTAAGCCATCTTTGAAAGTCTCACTGATATCGGAGGTCTACAAATTTCTCACGTTTGCGAAATGGTCCGACCTACGGAGTCGCCCACGAATGACCAGGCCCGAAACGAAATCTGCAATGATAGCGCCGTTCTCACCAGATCTAACCATGAAGATGATGGCGACGAAGGCCATGGTGCGCAGTACTTACGCTCATGGCGCCTCGCCCTTGTGACGGTCTCCCTATGTCTGGGCACGCTCCTTGTAGCTATCGACACTACTATCATCGCGGTCGCCGTCCCGAAAATATCCACCTACTTCCAAGCCTTCGAAGATATACAGTGGTATGGATCGGCGTACCTCCTGGCAGTCACCGCGTTTCAACCGGCCTTTGGAAGTATTTACCGATATTTCAGCGCGAAAGAGGTCTACCTCCTCTCAATCTTAGTATTTGAGATCGGCTCAGTTATGTGCGCTGCCGCGCCAAACTCTCGGGTCTTCATAGCCGGCCGAGCAGTGGCTGGAGTGGGCGCTGCAGGCTTATATCAAGGCGCGCTCGCGATTGTTGGCCTTACTGTGGAGCTCACAAAACGTCCGCTATACCTGGGCATCGTCCTCAGCGTTTTTGGCATCGCTGTTTGCTTTGGGCCACCATTAGGTGGAGTCTTCACCGACCATTCTACATGGCGCTGGTGTTTCTGGATGTACGTTTCTCAACCCCTCGTGTTTGAGCTTTCTGACTCCCCCCTCAGAAATTTACCCATCGGCGCGATATCCGTAATCCTCATATTAGCATTTCTGCGTATCGAGAAACAACACGAGGCCACTTCAATGCCGTTGAAGGCGAAGCTAAAGCAGCTCGACCTACCAGGCATCTCAACTGTTATCGGGGCGGTTTGTTGTCTGATACTGGCCCTTCAATGGGGCCAAGAGCGAGGACATTGGGGCCATTCGAAAGTCATTGGCTGCTTCGTTGGCGCGTTCCTCCTAACGGCCGCTTTCGGGTTAATCCAGTGGAAGAAAGGCGATTCGGCGACGGTCCCTCTGAGAGTGCTCAGGCAGCGTTCAATCTTGATGGGAGCTTGGTTTCTCTTCTTTCTTGAAATGGCAATCTAAGTCGTAAGTTTCACACCTCTATAAACCCTATGTCACTACCACTCTGCTAATGCCGGCCTAGGATCTCTTCTATATCCCATTCTACTTTCAGTCCGCTCAACTCATATCGGCAACTTCGAGCGGCCTGAAGGTCATGCCTCTAGGACTTGCTCAAATCATCGCCATTGTGGTGGTAGGAGCCGTAGTTACCTGGTGGGGCCATTACGTGAGTACACAACACCACCAAGGTGCCTAAACTAAGTACGCGTAGGTTCCTTTTATGGTCTTAGGACAGGCCGTCGCAATTGTGGGGACCGCACTACTCACTCGAATAACCGTTACTACACGATACATATTGGTGGCAGTATATCTTGTAATCTCTGGCATCGGTTTCGGCATGGGCTTGCAAATGCCATTTACAGGCGTACAAACAGTATTGCGGTGCGTGAACTCACCACATATCATAGCATGTTTCCGTATCACTGACTTTCGTTCCAGAGATGACGAAGTACCGATTGGTAACGGTAAGAGCAGAAGTCGCCACCCATTCAAAACGAGCCGCTAATATATGCCAAAGCGATAATGGTGTTCTTCTCGCAGCTGGGAGCGTAAGTTTCCCCCAACTTACAAGATCATCTTCGTATAGACGCTGATAAGTGTTCGCATATAGTGCAATTGCGATCGCTATTGCGCAGAGCGTACTTTCGACAAGCCTGCAGAGTGATATTATGCAGAAAATGCAAACTTCGCATGATCCCCGGTTCGCGAAGTTGCAGCCGGATCTTGTTCTTGCTGCAGGGCCTACGGGCCTCGAGTCGTTTGCGCATGATCCGATCATTTTGAAGTTCCTCCAAGACTGCTACGCGGATGCGGTAAGAAACACCCTATACGTGGCCCTGGCAACAGCAGCCGGTGCAGTTCCTTTCGCACTGGGGATGCAGTGGCTGAACGTGAAGAAACTCGGTAAGGACGGGGTTCGAAACGGCGCGGCAAATTCTGGGTCGGGCACAGGGGAAGTTTCGGAGACTGTTGAAAAAAATGCTTGATTCATATGTAGCTATGGCTAAAGGGGCTGCCTTGATAAATTTGTCTCATATATCGGACTTCCGCACAGCGTCATTTTAACCGCTTCTCCTTCAATGACCCCAATTCGTTCGACTTGATGGAAGATAAGAAAGTACGGGGGATCTGACATGCATAGCCCGCTACGGTCCGTCCCAGTAAGTCCAGGTGGTTACGGCCCAGTCCTCCTCTCAAAGCACCTGCGTGCCGGTATGCCGGCGCTTCCCAGAGGCGTGGACGCTGCTCTGCAGATAAGACCAATATTGCAGCGGGGGGCACGAACATCACCCAGTGCCGCAACATACAATCTCGGCCCCTACCCGACCCGTAATACTTCCGGTAGTACACTGCTGCATACCCATGCACCTAACGAGCTCTAGCCGGCGACGGGCATCCCAGAGAGGACACACTTATGATGCTGCTGACACGCCCGACCAGGATGGACGAGTGTCTCTGCGTTCGGGTTAGCTAGGCGTATCACCGAGCGTGTGAACACTCAGATATTCCTCGGTACAGAACTGGGTGCGCAATAAGTTCAGCCCATCCATAATGGTACTAATGCACTCACAGCTCAGTCGAATGACTTTATTGCGGCAGCCACGAAATATAGTCATGACGCTATCATTACTGCTGAGATATGCCGGCAGCTTCCCTCGATCTTTACTCCGTGTGTCCCTGCCCTTGTCTCTACTATTGGCATGATACTGATGAGCAGTAGCTTCATAGCACCGGTGATAATGGGGTGGGGTGGAGCCATGCGTCGCGTCGCGGCGGCTGTTAGAGGTGTTGTTAAGCGGAGACTGCAAGAGAGTGCCTCTATTGCGGACAAAAACGTCAGTTAAATTTATTTAACTTTGCCTTCGGACGACACTGATTGATTGCTTAGATGGACTGCCTCCAATGGATCATACAGTCGTCTCATACTGATGCGCAAAGAACGATCGAGAGGCTAGTGCAACAAGCTGGCGCAATATTCTTCGCTTCATCTCATCAAATGCCTATGGTATGTGCATCCCTCAGCTCACATAGGCTTCAACTCTAACAAGTTTTTCAGGCTTTGGTGTATGCGATATACAGCCTTTGCGCGCATTCGGAGTATGTTGAGCTTCTACGGACCGAAGCAACCCGCAAACTCGACCCTAAAGCCGACAACCCTTTCAAACATATGGTACTTCTGGATGCATTCCTTCGGGAATCGGCCCGATTGAATCCGCTCGATGCTCGTAAGTTGCGCGTAGTCTCCTTCTCTCCAGGCGCACCACCGCTGAGGCTCTCAGTTTCCATCCAAAGAAAAGTCATGCAGCCCTTCGTGCTTCCCAGTGGCGCGCAAATACCAGTGGGCAACCTTATCGCGGTACCGCAGCAAGCAGTTCTGCGAAATGGAGAGATTTATCATGATCCGGAGTCGTTCAACCCATTCAGATATCTCTCGGCGGAGGGAAAATTGCACCATGGTGGTTTCACGACCAGATACACGGATGTGAATAGCGCATATCCTTATTGGGGATCTCCTAGGAAGCCATGGTGAGAAGAGTCCTTTCGTCTTTCCTACCCTCTTAGCTAACACGACTCTTAGTCCGGGAAGATGGTATGTTTCAGAAACTATGAAGTTGGCGCTCCTCCACTTGATCTTCAACTATGACTTTAAGCTGGCAAAGGAAAGATCTCCACGTTCTTTTTTCTGGACGACTGCTCTGGTTCCACGCATGGACACTAGAGTCCTGCTGAAGGAACGGGAAACCACGAAGTGTGAGACACTTTAGGGGCAGTAGGATTTTTGCCATAGATGTTTCTAGTTCAACTTGGCCCTGCATCTTCCATGTGACCCGTCTACTCCCGTTTGATGTCCGCCATTTCATGAACCGCCATTTGGAATTTGTCGTTTGGAACTCCTGCAAGCCACTCGTCTACAAACAGAAGATCATCCCCATCCAATCCCACTCGATCCCTACACATGAGATTGATGGCGGGCGAAGTGAAGATAGACCCGTGTGCAAAAACCAGCATCCAGTCTCGGCAGTTGGTTCGTGGAGTGAAAGAAAGAACCTCCCAGCGTGCGCTGGCGACCCTGAGAAGACCTTTTCCCTGCCACAAGTACACTCCCATCGTACCGTCGCACTGCGTGTCCTTCCCGACCATTGATTTCACCGCTTCCGAGCTCATGGTTTGATAGAAAGCCTCATCGTCGATGTAGGATCCCGCCGCAGTGTACTTCAGACGAACATTTCTTTTATCTTTCCAAAACCGATTGGATAAGCGAATCATATGCCACTCCCCCACGAATAGATCTTCCAGCGGCGCTTCGAATCCAATGGTGGGTAACGCCTTGGAGTCCGGAATATGTGATGGGAGCCGGAAGTGAGGTGGCGTTGGTTGCTTTGCTTCGGTAGAGAGGGGCATGGTACTACCAAGGTCTTAGGATCAAGTCGCGGATCGCGTTTCCTCAACTCACCTACAATGTCTAAGCGCCGGTCTGCCAAAACCGCTGAAAGGTGGATGTCTTCGTCCGCTATGGAGAGAGGTTCGGTTCCGATGGTCACAGTGCGGCGTCCTTCGCGGAATCCAAAGGCTTATATATGGTTGGGGGCGTATTTTCCCAGGCTGCATCAGCGCCGCAGCGCGCTGTCCCACCAGAGATGCATAGCCTAAATAACATGCGCGGTGCGGCGGCTCGAGAGTCGCTGGTCGCTAATTGGATTACCAACGTCGGCCTAGGAAAAGTCGCGAAGGGTATTCCCGATGGTCACCTCGAACTTGGAGTCTGACTTCACCCACGATGCTGATACGATGCTCTGCACCGACATGCTGCGACACGCGCTCTAACCACATAAGCTGGTAGAAGTGAGCCGTTCGAAAAGCACAAGGAGAATCTTACGAGGCTCCGAAGAATGCACGACGATCGTAACCCGTCTTGCTTTCCGCGCTCATCGAGATGAATGCAAGGTGTTCTCATGGTCGTTGCTGAAAAAAAGAAATTGGCATGGGCTTGTTCTCCATGTTAAGGCGTGTAAGCAGAAAACTTCAATCTGGAAACTTACTAGATCTGGAGGTTATACACAGATTATGGGAGTATAATTCATAGTTCAATTTGCGCGAAGAGGACTTGACCGCTGAAACGTAGATTCGCAAGTTGATTGGTTGAGGGCCGGACCGCACAGCCTCCACGCCTGTACGTGGGTAGCGCGAAATGAATAACAGTACTCTCTTGTTTTGTTTGGCCTCTTTAACGGCGAGGAGAAGAAAGGTAAGGCATTCGTTGCAGCGTGCTCTCGGAGTTCCCCTCGGTTTCGGTGGTGCCGGCTCAGTGGAGTGATTAGTAAGCGCGCAATGCCCCAATGTTTGCCATCTCACCTTGAGCTTTCTCCCGCTTGTTTTCCCGTCCCCTGCACGCTGCAGACGCGTTTCCAACCAACCTCTAGATATAGTCTAATTTCTCTTGATGCTACGGTCGGTACAGAGGGTGTAGACGAGATGCGGCCACCTCTCGGCAATCAGGTACTGTACCACTCCAGGAATCCGTCATTGATTAGGAACATCTACACCTCCTTTTTCCGAACGATGAAAAGCTGTTGCACTCTTGCTCAGCATTTGCCTTATCGCCTTACTTGGCATCTGCAATCGTTAGTTCGGAATTGCCGGGGGCTGAGCCTCTCCTCGCATCGTACGTAACATTGGGCGGTTTTTTCTTCAGCTGAGGGCCACGACGATGCGGAGGTGAGCATATATATCTGCCTACTGTTTGCACAGCCGCTCATGCCAGAGATCACCAATTCCGAACAGTCTCTTCAACGGGTTCGCGATGTCGATCCATTCCCGAAAAAGCGCAATCCGGGATCACGTGCTTCGCCCGCTTCTCCCGTTCTGGGTAGAAAGGATTCGGTGGCTTCAGCCTTGCATATCCGCCCCGCTGATGGCCAATCGACACTTGCAGTCTCGCATGGGCTTTCTGCCGCTACTGCTGCCTCAGATGCGCCTCTGGGTCGACGTGAATTAAAGTCAGCCAGCGGCAGTGGGTGCAACCGCCAGCACTGCCCCGCACGCGGGCGGCCTCATATACCTACGCGACAGCCTGCCCGTTTCGAAAAGGCTCTGTCTTCTCCCCAAACCTATTGGCAATCTGGCATTGCCTCTCAAGTTGCATCGGATACCTCCTCACAACTCGAATGTTGGCCAGGCATGGATCCGGTGTCTATCTTGTCTATTGTCTCCGCTTCCGCCAGCATTGCTACCGCAGCGGGCAAGGCTGCGCGCCAGATCGACGATTTACGCGTCAAGTACAATGAGGCTCCAGAGAACCTCCGTCTCCTCGGAACGAACTTACGCACGGTGGAAGCAATCATCATCAACTTGCACGAGAAGTACGACCGAGGAGGAGTGAAGCTGCCAGAGCGGCAACTTCGTCTCCTAGATGACAACCTTTATTCCTGCACCCGGGTGGTCTCGCGGTTGCAAGTGTATCTGGACAAGGTGCAGAGCACTCTGGGACCAGTGCCCAGTCTGACGACGCGCCAAAAGATTCGGTACCTATTCAGCGATGCCAATATACGACAATATCAGGATCAGCTCTTTCAGCAAACGCAGATTCTTAATGTCTATGCCCAGCAATTAGAGTACGCTTCGCCCCAAGGAATACATAGCGTTTCGCTTACCCTCCAGCAGCGGCCGAATCCGAACAGAGGAACTGGACGACGCTCTTGACGATGCCTCCACTCTGGTTGCGCCAATACCGGACGACGAGTTGCTGCCCCGGCCATCTCCGAACAGTATTCCAGTCCTAGACCTTCCATTCAACAACTCGCAAGCTAGCTTTCCGGAGCCAGCACGGCGCAAAAAGCGGTGGTACCATGGCATCCTTCGGAGCGACAAATCTTCGAGAGAATTGATCGAGGCTGCCCAATGCGGAAACGTCGAGTGGATTCGCAGACTGGTTGACGGTGGCGCGAAGGTCAACTTCAAGGACAAACACGGGAATACGCCTCTACACCATGCGGCTATGACTGGAAAATGCGACGCGTTGTCGCAATTGTTGACTTCGGGGGCTGACCCGGAAGCCGTCTGCAAGAAGCTGAAACTTACCCCCTTACATGTCTCGGAGGGTGATGCAACTGAGACTCTCCTCCTAGCCGGCGCTTCCCCGTTTGCATCATCCGTATGGAAAGCCCAACCGCTTCACATCGCCGTATCGCAAAACAACCTTTCCAAGGTCAAGACTCTTCTGTCTTACGATGCTCCTGTCGATAAGAGAGACAAGTTTGGATTGACGCCCCTGCACATTGCCTGCATTGGAGGTTACAACAGGGTCGTTAGGGAGCTTCTCCAAGGCGGCGCCGACCCGAATATCCATCGATACAATTATGCGAAGGAATTCTCAAGTCCACAGAAGGCAAACCCGCCCATTACACCAGATCTCGACTTCGGCCCCGCGCTTTGTGTAGCTAGCACAGAATCGGTCATCAAGACGTTATTGGAGCACAAACGCGCGGATGCGAAGTTCCTTCCCGGCCCCGAGTTTGGCGTAGATATCGATGACAACACGTTCTACGATGATTATCCTGACTGGCTCGACCCGCTCTACAATGCAGTACAGCTTAAGTGCAGCCCTCGAGTAATCAAGAAGCTGCTTGAAAGGGGCGCAGCACTCGGTTGTGACGCATATGAAGAGATCTTGGTACCTACATCGCCCACTGAGGGACGTTCGGGGCCGCGATATAGATTCCGCGACGAGAGCTACGGACCAGAAATCAAGCGGTATCTAGACAGATACGCTTCAAGTGACATTCGCACGAAATACGACCTACGAACTTCATCGCAGGGACGAGACAAAGGTGGGAGGGCCAGCAGGGATGTTGTGAAGGAGCCAACTAGTCGTGCTGAGCGGTCGAAGCGTGGTCAGAATGCACAAGTCCGAGAACAAAGAAGAGCGGCCTCAGTCAGCTTCAGGGACGGGTACAGCTCGGCTGGTTTCGGCGTGGATGCTTTAAGCGACGACGACGATGACGTTACTACCGTTGCTCCTCCTCCACCACCACGGCCACCACCAACAAGTAAGCCTGTCCAATCCTTGGTGGAATGTTGAGCGCAAAGCTAACGTACAGCAGGACGTCACAGAGAGGGAAAAGAAAAGCGATATAGCTCGGCGGAGAATCCAACGAGCAAGAACCTCAAACCACCTCCCGCGCGCAGAACACACCGATATTCTGACCCCATGCCTACCCTCTCCGAGAACTTGGACGGCCTCACTGTCAACAGGCCGTCCCCCTCAGCCAGTGTTCGCGAAGTCAAACTATACTGCGATCAATGCGTCACTCACCTTACAGACTTGTACGTCCAATGCAAAGACTGCATGTCTCGCCTCTGCAGCGACTGCCACCTATCGGGGGAGGACTGCCCAACCGGCCACACGAAGATCGAATTCAGAATCGCAAAGAATCCATGGTTGGACGCGGACCCAAAACCCACCGCTTCTCCAAGCCGAAGCGAATACTCTGACATAGACGAGGACTTCGCTCCTCCTCCTCCCCCACCTCCAGCTCCCAAGTCGCGGGATCCGTATCGACGAAAGTTTCCGAAGGACTCGCGGTTTGGCAGCGAGTTGAGTCCGTCGGATTCGGTGTCGCAGGTCGGCGCGTCGCTGGATAATCGGAGGAGCTCGCGCAATCTGAAGAAGAAGTCGTCGAGAGTGTATGAGAGGGAGCGGGATAGGATATATGTATAAGGACGTAGGAGCGGCTATGCGGCTTGCTCTCGCGGAGGATATGAGAATCCTTTCTCTTCCGCAATTCACATATCGTGAGGATGTATGAGAATTCACTCTTCTTCCACCATGCAGGTCAGTTCATCAGCGCGTGACTCCGTGCACTTGGTCAGGAAAGATGGAAAGCACCGAGCTTTCACGTGACTCTTGCATTCACTGCAAGTGCGCCTTCTTCGCTGCTGGCGACGCCAAGGCGCCCGGCACGAACTACCGGAGTCCCGCTAGTCTGACTCGTCCGCCTGCTTAAACGGAGAAGAGGGGTGTTGGAAATGACGGAAATAATTCCGCCCTCGGTGGATAGTGCCTAGGTAGTGGAAATCCAGAGCTCTGGGAAGCTCTCCCTTTCGGGAGCTTCGTGAGGAGTCGTCCAGACTAAGCCGCAGATCCTGACGTCAGTCTTCCCAATGCAAGGCGGAAAGTCGCCTACCGGTAGCCATTCTACGGTGGTAATATACCCTGCGGGCGGGCTGCCCCTTTCCTACATAAAATACTGCTTGCCCTTCCTTTTTGGTTTGCTAAACCGCAAAGCAAAGCCTTCTTTTCGCAATGCCAGCATCAATCCCATCCACCGCCTCCCCAGCCGGTCGTCCAAAGAAGATCGAGCGACCCATCTGGCACGGCACCGTGCTTTCTCAACATCCCTCATCGCCCTATATTAGCAAAACGCGGGATGAACGACCCATAGTCCTGCCTCCGCACACTTCCGAAAGTGCTTTCGAGACGGCGCTTCGCGAGCTAAGAGAGCTGCTGGGCGAGGAGTGGGTCAAGTGCAACGACGTCGCGCTTGTGGATGGAGACTACCACGCCGTCCCTCTGTCGCACGACGCGTACCATATCCTCGAGCAGGATGACCTTGTTCCGTCGGCCGTGTGCTGGCCCAAGGACACGGAGCAGGTCGCGACTGTTGTTAAGTGGGCTAATAGGCATAAGATCCCTATCTGGCCCATTTCTATTGGCCGGTACGTATGCCGCGGGAAATAGATAGGCGGGCCAGCATGGTTTAGACAAGACTGGGGGGAGCCACACCTGTAGGTCTTTAGCAAGAAAAATTTGTGACGTGCTGGGCCGTTTAATCCTTCCTCGCTTTGCTTGACTTTGACCCATTTGCTAACGCGGTTCACCGCGTTCTCAGAAATCTTGGATACGGAGGCTCCGCTCCTCGCGTCCGTGGATCCGTCGTCGTCGACCTCGGCCGGCGTATGAATCGCGTCTTGGACGTCTCGGAGCAGAACGCGGCGTGTCTCGTCGAACCTGGTGTGCAGTACATTACTTTGTATGAGCACCTGCAAGAGATCGGACTGGGCAACAAGCTCTGGATTGACGTCCCTGACCTGCCTGGAGGCTCAGTTATGGGTAACGCGCTTGACAGGGGCGTCGGGTATACGCCGCACGGCGACCACTGGTCGCAGCACTGCGGGCTTGAAGTCGTCCTGCCAGACGGCGATATCGTTCGGACGGGGATGGGTGCACTGCCGGGGACTGATTGCTGGCAGCTGTTTCCGTACGGGTTTGGTCCGTACCATGATGGTATCTTTTCGCAAAGCAATTATGGCATTGTGACTAAGATGGGCGTTTGGCTGATGCCGAACCCCGGCGGCATCCGGCCGTTTATGGCTACGTTCCCCAGGGAGGAAGACCTCGCCGCCGCTGTTGATGCGCTGAGACCGCTCATGGTCCAGAAGATTGTCGGGAATGTTCCTTGTCTTCGGCTTGGCGTGCAGGATGCGACGATGTACCACAAGAAGACCGAGTTTCCCCTACGCGAGAATGGGCTAATAGATCGGAAGAAGGCGCAGACGATGATCGACAAGCTCGGCACTGGAGCCTGGGTCTTTTATGGCGCTCTGTACGGGCCTGATGAGATCACTGCACCGAAGTTCGACTATATCAAGGTACGTGAGTGAGGAACACGCTATCAGGGGTCGATTTTGGCTCTTGAAATGTTCTCCTAGAAGTCTTCAGCAGAGAGAGAAAATTTTGTATAGAGGCGCGCTCCCGCGACGACTCCCTTCAACCTCTCAGTCTGCAAGACTCGCTAACGCGTATCTTTTCACAGAAAGCCCTATCCGTCGTCAGCGGCGCAAAATTCTACGAGCGGAAAGACGTACCATCCAATCATTATCTGAACGACTACGCCAAGTTCACAGCTGGGATCCCCACCTGGCGTGAACTAGACCGCATGCAATTCATCCCGAATGCCAGCCATCTCTTCTTCGCGCCCATTTCTGCCATCGATGGAAAGGATGCATTGCGGCAGAGCCATATGTGCCGAAACAGGATGGAAGAGTACGGCTTCGACTATCTCGGAACATTCTTCATCGGGCATCGGGCGATGCACCACGTCATCTCCTTCATGTACGACAAAACAGATCCCGAGATGAAGAAGCGAGCTTTGTCTTGTATCCGCGCATTAATTGAAGATGCTGCTAAGATAGGTGTTGGAGAGTATAGGACGCATTTGGCGTTGCAGGACCAGGTAGCTGGAACGTATAATTGGGGAGATGGTGCCACTATGAGATTGAATGAGAAGTTGAAAGATGCGCTAGATCCGAATGGGATATTGCAGCCTGGGAGGTCCGGTATATGGCCGAAGAGGTATAGAGGGCAGGGATGGGAGCTGAAAGGTGGCGAGGAGAGATCGGACATCTTGTTTAAGCGTAGTGCCGGCAGACTCTAGAATTGATGCTTTTGAAACGGCGAATTAGGCTACCCAAAAGGAGGCGTGAGGCCAAACATCTTTGAGGCTCGGCTAAGCCTCAGGAGTCGAAGTAGGAGCAAGATAGTAGCAACGTGCGCAGTCGTCAGACTCTGCTGTGGAGAGGGACGGGCGGAAAAAGACCATGGCGTGAGTTGTACAAAGAAGACGAGCCGTTCAGTGATTCCGCCGGTCTGATTTCACGCAGCCTGAAGGCCGTCAGAGGTCTTTCAGCCCCCAGTAACCATCAAATCGTCCTTAGTGACTTCGAACCTCTCATATACCATTCGCATACCACCCTTGTATGACCTGGAGCCACAAATCCACCTGGCCGTTCCTCCTTATCAAACCACTAGGATTGGTCCACCACCCCAGCTTAATAAGTTGCTCTCGAATGTCGGAGGCGTTCTGGGGGGGAAAGATCTTGAGATTCTGTAAGTTGAGGGCGCCGAGATCCTTGCCGCGTCTCGCTGCCGCAATTCTTTCGGTATGTGCATCGATACCACCCAAAAGCTTCTTGCAGTGCTCTGTGCCCCGGATGACGTCAGATAGAGCGCACCCGTACAGAAACGCAAGGCCGCCCTGGCTGAAGATGTCCAGCGCAGGGATGCGTAACTCAATGTGGGCGTTCGGATGGGGCCGACAGCAGTCGAGCAAGGTGTGCACGTTCGACCATATTGCTAATGAGGGATGATCGATCTCAGGCGTGTCTGATACGCTGAGCGTAGTCCAGATTTGGGCTGCATGCTGCAAAGTGGTACATATCAGCAATGATCCGTCATAAATGAGAGGGGAATCAACATTCATGTCTTGGGTTATCGCTCGTTGGAAGCGATTTCCCGAAGCCATGGCAAGAGAGGCGGGCATATGTGATGCGGCATAAGTACCTGAGAAGAGCCGTGTGTATCTAATAGCTGTACAAGCTGTTGAACCACCGAATGAAACTCGGAGCAACGAGCCGAGAAGTTGACGACGTTGCACCGGAGATCCAAGCCTCTCGTCTCAGCATGTAGTTGTTGACAGACACTCTTCAGCTGATTGGCGCTCGTCGTTCCATCTGGTGAGGACGTGAGGACAGCCGGATTATGGCAATTCGAGAAGAGCCCATTGCGTTCGGTTAGAGCGTATTCGTATATCAGATTCCGTAGTTCGGCAGGCAGTGTGAAGAAGAAGCAGGCGCCGCTAGGTGGCGGGACGGTTGGATCGGCCATCACAGGAGCTGAAGTGACGTCTTAGGCGTTGTTGAGTGCGGGATATGTGGGAGGCCGTGCTAGTTGCGCTAAGCTAAGAATGAAAACGCTAAGCTCGATCACGTGCACCGCTGAACAGCCTTCTCCACATACATATTAACAGAATGTTGGGGACATTATGAAATGATTCCGCAAAGAGCGCTATAACGCTGTTATCGTCGGCGAAGTCTACTCAATGATGATCCGAGGTGAAGGGAAACAGCTCTTTTCCTGGGAATAAGGTGCTTAGGAATGATGGCATCAGTAGGTATAGGCGCGGAGTTCGGTGTTAGGATGCTCCCTTGCTCGCTATAATCTTCTTCGCTACACTGATGGGGGAGTTTTGAAGTGCGATAACGCAGCGCTCGCGTGCTCAGCCTAGTTGCTAAACGCGGACTAAACAACAACCGCGAACGAGTACCTAGTGTGTTGCCGCTACTAGGATCCATTCCAACTTGGAGTGTCTCAGTTCTCTCACAACCACAAGCCGGACCAGCAGAAAGGAACAAAAGGACAAGACCTTGAAGAAAATGACAGAAGAGTCAGATATTTCTAGCTCGGTACCTTACTAGACGTTGCCGTCTGAATCTACCCAGCTTCGAAAACAGCCATGTACATACCCAGCCCTCGTACAGTGACACATATCACCTGGGTGTTACAAACATTCATCCGAGCATACACCATCTTGTCAGTAAGCTCCACCTCCTTACCAGCAGAGTCCCATATCGGGGGTGGCCAAGCCTCCGTAACCTCCCAGATCCCTCCCTGATTCTTTTCTCTCCAGAACGGACTAGATGCCATTGGTGTACCAGGAAGCTGCCAGCTCCTTCAGAGTGTTCACGTTGGCGTCCATTGGAACGTGGTGTCGGCACCAGGACAACGTTCCCCGCACGCACTCGTCGAAGGCGGCCCGGGATTCGGCGACGTTGCGCGGGTAGACCTTGAAGTTCGGCACGGCCGAGAAGTCGGGGGCACCGTTAGGGCGACACCATGCGGAGTGCCTATCGAGCCAGTCTCCGTCGTCGTCGTCCAGATTGTATTCCCGTCGCAAGTCTATGCCACGGTAGGCCTGAGCGAGGGACATGCCTGCATGATATAAATTAGTAGGGGTTACGAACTACCGTTGAAAGCACTCGGTGACCGATCTCAGAGCAAGAGTTGTGAAAGGGTGTCTCAAACGACTTCCAAGCACGGACCCTAGAAGTTGAATGGCTCCGGTATGGATGGGGAGGAAGGGCATACCGATGAGTAGAAAGGTGCAAAAGGACTGCTTCAGTTCCCATTTCGGGCACGTCCAGTGGATGGTCATGTTGGGATAAGCGTTGCAGAAGCCCCTCAGCTCGTCCTGGGCATCGAAGTCATAGTACTTCCCGTTGGGGTTCTCCCCCGCCTCCGCGAGGTAAGCGTAGGCAAACGGTATGGCATCATGGCGGCGGATTATGATGTTACGAAGGTACTGAAACCAACGCGGCGCCAAAGACATCAGGAAGTTGACGCAGGCTCCCAGCGGGGAAGCCTCGTCCCTGTCATAAGTGACAAAGTAGAGGTCGTTCAGCTTCAGGCCATATCTCCTTGTCTCGGCCCGTAGTTGCCTGCTAACATACTGCAACTGGTTCGCTTCGTCGTCTAGTTTATTTGCCGTCTTCTTCCGCGCCTTCAGTGTCTGAATTGCAGGCTCCTTGAAGCAGAGCTTCGCACGCCCGTTCGTCTCGCGCATGTATAGACCGTCTTTGTCGGTGAGCACGAGCTCATAGATCCTATTGCGCAGCTCCGCCGGAAGGGTAAGGAAGAGGCATGAGCCATCGGCGGGCGGCTTGCAGGGGTTCTTCGGCCGATCTTTGACGTCGCCGTAGTCTCGGTTCCTGGTGGCGACCATAGCCTAATAACGTTAGCCGAGTGCTCGGAAAAGGACATGCAGCTGCGACGCACTTCACCTAATGATTGAACGAATGTGGTTGTGGTAGCGGTAGTGGTTGTGGGATGAAGCTGAGCGAGGTAGCAGTTAGCAGCGATAACACGGATGCGACGCGCAGGCGTTTCGTGAAAAGCAAAAGCAATGAGGAAAGAGAGAGGTCGGCTCGTACGTCCGTGGTTGCCTCGCGCACTGTCGAGATCATGCCTAGCAGCGTCATGTCAGCGGGGGTGTCCATTGCAGCCCGGGTGCGAAGAAGGAGAGAGCGGAAAGGAGCAGCTACAGTGCTGTTGGGAACCACGTGAATCTGTGAGGTGAAACGGCACCGGGAACTTTCACCCGTGGACGGCGCGCACACTGTGACGTCACGTTTCCCCACCAACACTCGTCTTACCGCACTTCCATCTCTAAACACTGCTTGGGAACCTTGAAAAATAAGGCACTACTAGAGATTGCTTGGTTTCTGTAATTGAGCGACTTCTTGAGTTGCAATACCAACACCAACAGATTCGCTACCAAAGAGAGAGTGGTTGGTTGAGAACCCACGCGGCTTACCTAATCTTTCCTGCACGTGATTGCCCATTCACCAACCGCTAAGGCAATCATAACCAGGTTCTCACATGATGACATTTCTCTAGGTACTGAGACTGCAGGGAGACGACGGGGTAATGCTGGGCTTCAGCTAGCTTGGAAGCTACAATACCGCATCTCAGCTCCAGAATCCCGTCACGGCATTTTGCTGATGTGGTCGAATTCACTCCACGCTCTTCTTCAAATCCCATCCCTGTACCACTGCTCGGCAAGCCCTATCCAAACGGCTCGACCCCCCTTGGACGGGTAGGAAAGGGTGTGCATCCCAAGATCGAGGTTTCCGGCCCGCCGATCCAAATCTTCTTTCCATTTGCCAAAACCAAGCTCATCATCCGTAGGATAGAGCCGCAAATCGCTCACTTTCCCATAGAAGCTCTTCACCACGTCGGTGTTGGGCCCCAGAACTGCTGTCGTTATGCTCTCAAGAAACAACTTCGGGTGGTTTTCGAATATTGGTATCTTCTCGCTGATGTCGATCCCCCGAAACGCATGCATGAGGTACATTCCATCTCCCATGAAATGTCCCACGGGAAAAGTATTGCCAAGGAACCCGGGGAGGCGGAGTTTAACGGTAATATGAGGGTGGGTTGAGCAGAATCTGAGGAGCCTGATAATCTGCCCGAGGCTCTCAGGGCTTCTCATCATCCATCGCCAGACTGTGTTGTTCCATGATGTGTCTGATGATTTCCGAAGCGTGACTTCCTTCAGCCAGACAAGTCTACTCGGCCTGCAGTGGTCCGTGAAGGTGAAGAAGCCCCAGATTGCGCCCGGGATTCCAAAGTAGGTGTCGTGAACTCCACGTCGTTGTAGATAGCTTCGAGACCCGCGGTTTCCTGGTGCAGCTGCTTGCTGGCGAGCTTGAGCTGGTTGATGGACTCCGCTGCATTGTCGCTCTTGCGGGCTAAGATCGGCTTGTTACTGTAGTTTTGTGTCTTCTACCAGTGAACGCGGACGCCCTGCGGCTCGGTGAGCGCGAACTGGTACACGCGGTTGCGGATCTCCGGGGGAAGGTCGAGCAGAGGAAACATGACGAGTTGAGTAGCGCGGTTGTGGAGAATTTTCGAGCGGTCGACGTGGCGGTCGGTCTTTATGAGCGCGCGGCGGTCCTGCGGGTGAAAGCTAGTTTCACCCAGTTTCGATCCCGTGCGCCCTTCGTGGTGAGTGCCGTCGGTCAAGATAGTGAAAAGTCGACTGCTTTCGCTCTAGAAATAAAGTCCTTTTCACTTTCGGCGTTTTTGAACAGAGAGGCGATATGTTCAAGAAGTCTTTGGGCCTGTATGCAAAGCCGGTCTGTCGGAAAGCCATCCGGATCCACGCCGGAGTGACCGTATAGAGAATTAAGCCATCTGCCGAATGAGTGCTTGCATCAGAGTTTCCAAGTATGTGCATCGGTGAAGAAATTTGAAGAATTGGCCACTGGCCCGGAAACAGCACGACAGACACGTCATCTGCGCACGATTTCATCCGGATTCCTCTCCGCTTCGATCCTCTCCCTTGTCCACTTAACATCCGGTCCGAGAGACCACTTCAGATCCAGCACCTCAGCCAACTGCGCCACGGTCGCAAGCTTCTGAGACGAAAGCAAATTAGCCTTCCTCTTATCCCAGAAAGACAACTCGTCCCAAACACCCTGCAGAACCTCCTGCCGATGCTTCGCGCCGTGCCGTGTGAGGTAGCCTCGCATTTCAGCGGTTTGCTGATGCCACTCGTCCACCGCAGCATCTCCCTCCTCGATTACAGAGGACGGCGGTTCGCTTCTCAGGTCTAACGCGTCGAGAACGGAGCGATTGACGGGGCTGCCGAAGTAGGTGCTGAGCGTATTAAGCGTAGCGCCGACCGCTTCCATAGCTTCTACCAGGAGCTTGATTGATGACGTGTCTCGGATTATCGCGGCATAGTGGAGGGCGGTGTTCCCTTTGTGGTCTTGCATCAGGAGTGCGGGCTTGGAATGCCACTTCTGAAGTAGGGCAGCAAGCGCCAGGTTAAGCGTAGATGGTGCGCACTGGACGTCTGAGTATCGCGCGCGAAGTACGACAGCGGCGTGCAGGGCGGTATATCTCTGCCTTGGAGCCACGACGAAGTCAATGTTTGGTATTCGAAGTAGGTAGCGGAGTGCTTCGAGATCCGCGTCGACTGTGGAGCCGCCGGCCAGAACTTGGAAGAGGACCGTGTTGGTTTGATGCGGGCCGATCAGTTGATTCACGCCTGCGCCCTTCCTAAGTAGAAGGTCGGCTAGCCCGAAGTCGAGATTTCGGACTGCTGTCGATAGGGGAGTCTCCATGACGCTGCTCCTGCTCACTAGATCTGGCGCCTGATCAAGAAGAACCTCAGCCAGCCTCTGATCTGGAAAGTATTGGGTAGCGATGACTTGCAGAGCCGTGCCACCATCCGACCGCTCCGCGCTTGGATTCGCGCCGGCTACTAGCAGAGCTCGCAACAGGGCCTCGTCATTGTTAAGCCCCGCGATATGGAGCGGTTTCATGCCCCACCCTCCTTTGTATGATGTCTCCAGGGTGCTCTTGGTCTGTTCCTTGGAAAGCAGGTGGAGACAGATATCGATGTCGCCGTTGCGAGCGGCTTGCATGATGGCCGTCAGGCCGGTGTAAGAAACTCTTTCGATATCCTGCCCACTCATGGTTTCGATATTATCGATAATCTTCATCGCATCCTTGTAATGTTTTCCGTGCGTGGCGAGCCGGAAGAATCTTGGAAAAGGATCGCACGCATATCCAAGCAGAGAGCGAGAGGAGAAGAGTTCGCAACCCAGACCGTCTTGCCTGCGTGTCATCGCATCTTTAGCAGTTTTAGCCCAGGCAGTCGGGTGCTTTCGAAAAAGAACGACCCTCGGAGGTAGTAGCCAATCGCCCATCGTTTTGGGCGGCAGATCCGGGTCCAGCGCGGTTTCAGCGAGGAGTTCCATATCGGTTGGCCATTCTGGCGTCTCAACAAAATTCCAATCGTACGTCAGCAAGGCGAGCATTTCGACATCGTGGGCTTGACACGCCCAATGCACAGGTAGATGCGAGGGACCAGAGTCATTGTCGATTGGTTCGTAGCCGGCCTGGACGAGGGCCTCTCTATCAAACAAAATCGTTCCAGCGTAGAACGGATCAGCTCCATGGTGAAGAAGGAACTTGACAACCTTCGCTCTCCTCAATGCTACGGCACGATTTAACGGAGTTCCGGAGATGAAGTCATCGCCAAAATGTCCAGTGATCATCGCGTTAGCGAGCGCAAAGCTTGTGAGAGCGGTAGAATCAAGTAGAGCGACTCCGATCGCGTCGACTTCGTCATCCGGAAAAGCGGCCAGCCAGTGCAACGGAGTCTCTCCAGTCAGCGAGATGGTATCCTTCCTGGCTCCCCTTTGAAGGAGTAGTCTTGTTACAGCTGTGCTGCCATGGCGGCAAGCGAAAAGAAGCGGAGTCTCCAATAGGTTGTTCGTGGCTTCCTGAAGATTGGGCTGAGAGCTGAGAATGATCTCCGCAAACCCATCGATGTCCCGTGCCGCGGCCCAGTGTAACAGGCTATCGCCATCTTCATTGTAGTTCCCGACACGGTCCGGAAAGTCGTCCATGAATCTAACTAGATCTTCCACAGATGCCATGTCAGGCAAAGGAATCCTCTCAACCTTTGGTGGCACCTTAACGAGGCTTGCGGTTCTGTATAGCTTTCGATCGGCCTCTATTTGTTCTTCTCCGCCGCCTAACCCCTCATCAAGTCGGTTCAGAGCGGCTATGCGAGATCCGCTCCGCACGCTCTGTTCTATCCATTTCTCAAGCGCTTCAAGGTGCTCCGCGCCTAAGGCATTCATGTCGGCTTGAAGTGCGTGGTGGACGTTGAAAGCAACCTCGCATGCACGGCTATGCCCAAGTTCAGCGGCTCTGCGTAGGTAGCGAAGTCCCTCTTGGTCGTCATACTCGGGAACACCAAAGCGGTTGAGATAACACTGCGCAAGCAGGAAAGAAGCCTCCGCTCGCTTGTTTACGTGCGAAGACATATCCTCCGCGTGGCGCTTCAGGCTCGAAACTAACTGCGCCTGCACGGCGAAGTGTGTGGTACTGAAACGCGAGAGGTCTAGTGTATCCTACAACACAGGACTTAGAAAGTGAACTACTCTGTTTAAAGAGTACTTACATTATCGAAGGTGGTCTGGAGGTTGATTTGCGATGGCAAGGTAGAATTCGTCCTTTGAAGCTCTCTAACGGCGGGTTAGACATAGCCCAACTTCTGCAAGGGGAGGCGAGCTTACAAGAAATCGGCAGCTATGGACGAGTCAAATGTGCCAAATGCGGTGACCATATCTCTACGCTCAGGATCAGGATCCAACAGGTGTTCAAGCATTCGCTCAAACGCCAACCGGTCCTCCTCTTCACCGTATGCCCGAAGCGACGCCGTGACGTTCTGCAAGAAATCAGGGCTTTGTTTGGCTCGAAGAACGGCTTGCTCCCCTCCCTCTCCATGGGTGAGCTCGAATGGATGGAAGGCGAAAGGATCGTCTGGGCATCCAGGAAGAAGCATCTGCCACACGAGCATACCGAAGGAATAATAGTCGGTTCTGCAGAGAGCGGCTTTGGGTACGGCATCCTCTGTCTCAGGCGCCTTGAAAGGGTAAGTGCCACCAATCCGAATGGAGGATCCATCCTCGACTCCGCTCAAAAGAGTGGAGAAGCCAAAGTCGGTCAGCTTGGCAGACATACCTGCGTTATTTACCGGGAAGAGAAGCACATTGGCGCATTTGATGTCCCCGTGAACGATCCCAGACTTATGAAGAGCATATATGCCACGCGCGACATCCTTGCAAAGGTCTTTCTTCCCTTCAAGGTTGACTGGGCCATGCGAACGCAGAAAGTCGTTCAAGTTGCCGAGTTCCGCATACTCAAGAATGAGTACTGGTCTAAGGGCATTTCGATCGAACTCGAACAGCAGACTCAGGAGATCGACTACGTTCGGGCTAAATCGCACGGGCGGATGAGCGAGGATGAGGATTTCCTTGATCAGGGCTTCGATTCGCTCGGTGGTACTGTCTTCGCTAGAGAACTCCCCATTTGCGATAGCATCGCGTGCAATTTTGAGGATAACAACGTCTCCAGGGACTTTCCTGTGTGGAGGGCTGTGGAGTCGTCGCTGTAGTATGTGGCGCCGTACTGTGAACGTTGCCCCTCCCGTCAGATATTGGCCATCCAGAAAATTGGCGAAGGTAAAATCCAACCATGGTCGGCCGACCAGCACGCTGTTGAGGGCTTCCAGAAAGCTAACCAGGTCCTTCCGATCGTGGGTCCTTGCGGGGGCTTGGAGAACTCCTTTATGTTGGCCGAGACTGGAAGATGAATAAGGCTGATTGCGGGGTAAATCATCATGTTCCATTCCTCCAAAGAGGCCAGTGCTGAAGATAGACATGATGAAGACGTGAAGAAACGTTCAGAGCTACCAAGTTGTGGTTACAATATCGAAACCTACGCGACAAGGAAGCTGCGGCTTTTGAGAGACTTGAATGTTGAACGCTCAGCCACACTTGCACGTAAACCGTGGAGTGATAACCAGTGCTGAAAAGGTGGACGCGCTGTCTTTTTTCTTTTGCTAGGCAGACACGCCTAAACGAGGGTTCACCGGATAGAACAAATACGAGGAATTACCCAATGAGGGACGCACCATCCAGCCACACCATGTAGATTGCGCTTCGTCATGCCACCACATGTCGCGATCACGCAAAACTACTTTCGTCTTGAGAACTCCAGCACGCAATATCGTAAGAGCGATCCTCTGCACACCAACTCATTCTCGCCGCAACGAATATTTGAGTGCCCCCTTCGAAAAGGCAGAAATGGCCGATCTGGTGACGGGTTCAGTTGGTATCGTAATCGGCCTGCCTGGTTTGGTTTTGACCTGCGTTCAATACTACGACGCCGTACAATCGTATCTGAACAGCAAGAAAGAGTTCGCGGCATACATCCCTCTGCTAGGCTGGGAGTATCAGCGATTTCTGGATTGGAAACGACAGGCAATGCCTGACGGTCACAATCTGCTTATCGATGAACCCGCGATCGAAAACCTAACCATCGCATGCCTGGACCAGATAAAAATTACATTCCAAGACGCGGAGAATCAGTCGGGGAAGTATGGGATGCGAAAGCTGCTGGACTGGTCGACAAGGCGAACGGTTTTGAAGGATGAAATACACGACGTGTCTCGCTTACGCAGGGTTGCGTGGGCCTTGGAGGGGTCGAGGGCCGCCGAAAAGCTTCGAGCGAAGCTTAAGAACTACAATGATGCATTGGATTCCATTTGGAGGAGATCTCGAGCCTCAGTAGCGCGACGGCTATTACCCGAGCTTGACGACATTAACAGCGTTAGCGGATTGAGATTGATCGAGGAATCTCTGAAAAGAGAAGAGGATGAGGAATATCTTCAGCTGGCATCCGCTATCCGTTTTCGGAGGGAGTGTCTCGAAGTGAAGCTGCGGAGCAAAGCTTCAAGCTCTGCGCAAGGACCGACCGGAGAGACATATCAATCTCGCACGCTTAAACTCAAACACGAGGATTTCCCAGAGAATTACTTCAAGACCGCGCGACCGAAGAAGATCACGGTGGTCAAGGGGAAGCACGTCTTAGTCGAATGGAAACATTATGCTCGCGAAGCGCCACCTTCGATCGCCAAGCGCGCCTACAATGACGAGGTCAGCGAGAATGTTAGGGAGTTGGCGTATGTACTTGCTGAAGGCTCGAAGCCATGGAGACTCAGGGCTCTTGATTGCGTTGGATTCTATGAGAGACCAGAAGAAGGGCCCTTTATCCAGGTGTGCTTTGCGATGGAGCTCCCGGAAAATATCAAGTCCGAGCCAGTCTCGTTGAGTTCGATCCTGGAGAAAGCCCAAACCTACGAGCAAGGCAGGCTCCACCTGGGTGATCAGTTCATCCTGGCACAGGTACTGGCTTCGGCTCTGTACCAGCTGCACTTTGCTGGCTGGTTGCATAAAGGGATACGCAGCAGCAACATTTGCTTCTTCAAGCCAAACCCAGCGCCGCAAGATTGGAGTATTAGTCCGAAGGATGCTTACCTCACCGGATACGAGTTCTCAAGAATGATAGACAGTACGTCTCTCTCTTCCAAGCCAGGCGTAACTCCGGACTCCGCAAGATACACGCATCCGAAGTACTGGGGCCACGTCGACGCTAGGTTCGAGGCCCTGTACGATATATACAGCCTCGGCATAGTGCTGATTGAGATCGCTCTTTGGAAGACGACAAAGACAATGGCGGAGAAGCTCAACAGAGATCCGACAAGAACGGAAATATCCCTCGCGGAATGGCGCGATGCTGTGGAGAAGGATCTGATACCTGAGGTCGAAAGGAGGGCAGGACGCATCTATGGCGACGTCGTCAGACGATGCGTGACTGGAGACTTCGGGGACGCTGCATGCCGGTCAGATGTGGGGAGACTGCTGAAGGCGTTCGATAGGGAGGTGGTTGCGAAACTGGAGAAATGTTACGCGTGAAGGGTTCCGGACGCGGATGGGGATACCTCTAGGGCTAGCCTCGATGTAATTAGTCGCAGCTAATCCACTTTCGGAGGATCACGTGCTTGTAATTTTCCCTCACAGCAGTTCGAAGGCTCTGGATTGAAAATTTCTCTATATTATTCAGCAACTGAAGCGGCAATAGCGAGAGCTCTCGTGCCCAGCGAAGAGTCTCGAGATGTTCCTTCGACCAATAAGTGAACGCCATTATCGGAATCTTGGCGTGACGCAATTCCGAGAGAGGTCCGACCAAATTTCGAGGCGCGGCACGTCGTCCAACGACGCACCGCCAACATCTGGCTTTCGCGGATCACGCTCTTTTCCTGTACGCCCTTCCAGCGCATAAATACCTCAGTCGTTCAAAATAGGCCGCAAGCACAAACCACACCGCCAGCAGCTCAACCAGAGCAAGCCCTGGCGCAATTCCGAGAAAGGCCGCAGCAAAGGCAAAGGCAGAAGCCGACGCGACAAGATGGGGCAGGACGAGTCGCATATGGTGGACGAGGACACGCCACCGGAGACGCTCGAGAGCCGTACGGTAGAGGCGGTGGCCAAGTTCATCAAGGACGGGCGTGCCCAGCGCATCGTCGTCATGGTAAGCTCTCCCCCGCAAGGCTGCAAGCTCTCGCTGACCCTCTGTAGACAGGCGCAGGCATCAGTACGTCCGCCGGTATACCTGATTTTCGGTCGCCAGACACCGGTCTCTATGCAAACCTCGCACGCCTAAACCTGCCCTACGCGGAAGCTGTTTTCGACATCAGCTACTTCCGAAACAACCCTCTCCCATTCTACACGCTCGCGCAGGAGCTGTATCCGGGCAATTACCGACCAACCATTACACACTCATTCATACATCTGCTGCACAAGAAGGGACTGCTGTTGAAGCTATTCACACAGAACATAGACTGCTTGGAGCGCGAGGCTGGGGTGCCAGACGAGATGATTGTGGAGGCCCATGGCAGTTTTGCAAGGTACGTCATGTTCTCGCGCTGGATATGTGACTTAGACTGACCTCCATTATACAGGCAGAGCTGCATCGAATGCAAGTCACCATACCCCGACGACCTCATGCAGAAAGCGATTCGCGAAAAGACCGTCCCCAAGTGCCTGCGCGAAACATGCGGCGGCCTCGTCAAGCCCGAGATAGTCTTCTTTGGCGAACAACTACCCGCCGAGTTCTTCGCCAACCGAATGCTGCCCGCCGAGGCCGACCTATGCATAGTCATGGGTACCAGCCTAACCGTTCAACCCTTCGCATCCTTGCCGCTGTTTTGCCGAGAAGCCACCCCGAGAGTCTTGATAAACATGGATCCAGTGGGCGACCTAGGTTCGAGGGCAGACGATGTGCTTATGCTCGAAGATTGTGACTCTGGCGTGAGGAGGCTGGCAGAGGCCTGCGGATGGCTGGAAGAATTGGAGAGCTTGTGGGCTGAGACCGCACCCAAGGGTAAGCCCGAGAAGGAAGAGGCAGCGAAGGAGAAACCGAAGAAGAGTCGCGATGAGCTACTAGAAGAGGAGGTGGATAAGCTTACAAAGCAAGTCGAAGAGAGCTTAAGCTTGGGCAAGGCGCAGCATGAGTGGCTGGCGAACCACGTGGATAACAAGTTCGCGAGGATACAAGAGCAGGAGGAGACGGTAGAGCCGACGAAACCAGCGACCACCGAGCCGGAATCAGAGAAGCAAGCGCCCGAGACGGAGACAGAGAAGCAAGTGTCCGAGACGAAGACAGAGAAGCAAGCGCCCGAGACGAAGGCAGAGGCAACTAAAGAGAACCCAGACGGCGAAGGATTGCAGCATGTTTTCCCTTGGCTCAGCAAGAAAGCGTCACTCTGATGAACCCTTCTCTCGGATGGTGCGACGAGCTGTACGAATTTTTCCTTGTAGCAATATACGATACCACGGCTTTCAGAGGGAGTAATGCATGTACTCACAAATATTTAAAGAGCGTTGAGCATTTGTCCAGCTAGCTGCTCATAGTGGCCCTGCACCGGAACGATTCTCTCTCACAAACTTTCGATTAACGGCGTACAACGGAGCATGCTTGAGTAAATCCTAGAATGGGGGCAGTGCTTCCTGCTCAATAGGAGCATTACCGCCATACTCCCCTAAACGAGCGGGCTAATAATTTCATAAGGACATTTTCAACACTAGAGTACGCTTAAGCCCTACTACATTCAGACGAGCAATGGGCCATTCAGGGCTGCGTGGTGTCGGTCCGTGTCCCTTAAGTCTTGATTGGCCGTTCGGTCGCCGTTGAGATGCTTTGCAGGCCGTATTGACTCCTTCAACAAATGATAGAGGCGGAATGATCCCAACAGAACTGATTAATCTAACCCGGGTGAGCTTCCTCCGCTCGCGTCTTACAGCCGGATGCAGGACGCGGGGGTCCGTACGCGGGTCTCGCCTCAGCGTTCTTCGATCCGCTTCGCACCGGCGCTCGTCTAGGCATCCAGAAACACTCGCGCCCCTTGAAGCAACGAAAATCCAGAAGACCATCCATTCGGTGGCTGTTTAGTTGAGATCAGCCTGCGTGTGCTGAGACCATGAAGTATGCGTCACAGCTAGTGAACGAGGCTGTACTCACATCCTCTCGCATTCGGCGATTAGACTTGTTGGTATTCGACGTCTCTTCATAACAAGCCCTCACGCACTAACGACGAAACAGATCGCAGTGTCATCCACTTTCGCATTAGCCCTCCTCTCCACACTCGCTCGCATAGTCCTCAAAGTGCGCCATGGCTGCCACTTCGGGCTCGACGATTACTTCATCTTCTTCAGCGCTAGCTGCCTCACCGCTGGCATTGGGATTTTTCTCGCCGCCCTTGATAGTTTCTACCTCCACTCGGCGCTCTCGGGGGACCCTTCGCTCGCGCAGCACGTCACGCCACAGGAGTTCGAGCAACTCGCACGGGTGGACGCCACGGCGCACACATATGCCGCAAATTCCATTCTGTGGACGTCCACCTTTTGTGTTAAGCTTTCTTTCTTGGCATTCTTCAACGGGATCGTGAGAGCCCTGGGGTCTTCAAGGCATTTGCGTGTTTATTATATTACGACTCTGGTGGTTACGGTACTTGCGGGTGTTTATATGATTGCGGTGCCGTTTATTGCTTGTCCGCACTTCGATAAAGATGCGTGTGAGTATCCTCCTACAGTCCTACTTGAAGCAGCACTGACATAACATGCAGATAAATGCTTCAAGCACGACTTCAATTTGATCTTCAAGGCACTGTCGCTATTGGGCACCGCATTGGACATCCTGACCGACATTCTGAGTACGCATCCCCAAACATAGCGCTCTTCATAAGCCAGTCTCACATACTCTAGTCATCTCAATCCCCGTCCTCGTCCTCCGCCACGTGCACATCTCCCTTCACCAAAAGCTCGTCATAGGAACCTTCCTCTGCCTCTCCATCGGCATGATCATCATCGCCGCCGTCCGGAGCGTTAAATTCCCCGGCAAAGTCCCCATGATGTATGATGGTCCGTGGCTGGGTGTACATGGAAGCGGCGGTAGCCGTTATCATGGGCTCACTTACGGCGTTCCGCACCGTGTTTGGTGCTAAAGTAGGGAGGAGCAAGAGGCAGCAGGTGGCGAGGTGGAGACCCAGCACGTGGGGATTTGTGGCAATGCCGCGGCGAGGAGAGTTGAGAGATGCACGTGATAAGACGTTGCCTGAGATTCCGAAGGAGACGGCGACAAGGGTGACGAGTGAAGTCTCTGGAGAAGGAATCGAGACGGGATGTGTTGATTACGGTTCCGAGCAGCAGAATGGTGTTCGGGATCGGCCTTCGAGTTCGGAGTTTCCTTGGGTTACGGCACCGGAGTGGGTGGCTTATGGGCGGTCGAGAGCCACTCAGTAGACACAGCAAAGAGCCAATTACTCGGAGGTCATCTAATTTGAGGCACCTCACCAAACCCTAGCTCGTTTGAAGCGAGAAGAGCAATCGAGAGAGGGTGTCACGTGGCCAATCCAATTCACTCCCCAACTACCACCCTTGATCAATGTGGGGACAACCAATTGGATTCAATAAGAAGGCATGAGATGCGTTCCTCAGCTAAGGGATCTCACGGGGCGCAGTGTCTGATCTTGAAGCATCAACCGTTTTACGCCGCCCAGCCATTGGTTCAGCCCTAAAAAAGCCGCCCCGCACTAACCAACCTCAAGCGTTCACACCGCCTTCATCCTCAATCCCTCAATCCAACTCCCCAGCACCCAATCCCCTCCGGAATACACGTCCAAAATGCCACCACCAAACGACATCCTCTCCGACGCCGACATCGCGCAAGCGTACGAAGACGTACGCTACGACAAGTCCGAGACCACGTGGCTGGTGCTCAAATACGCGAGCGCAACGTCGGATTCGCTTCAGCTGGATAAGACGGGAACGGGCGATATTGCGGAGCTGTGCGAGAGTCTGGGGGACGACGAGGCGGCGTATGCGTATGTGAGGCAAAAGATCGGGAATGATGAGTATTCGGAACGGACAAAGTTTGTGTTTATTGTGTGGCAGGGTGAGTATTGGTCCCAGCCAGTGCAGTTGATGCATATAAATTTGAAATGCAGTGTGAGGTTCTTTTTTGACAAGATGTGTGATTGACGATGTGCATATAGGGCCGAAGACTGAGGTGATGCGGAAAGCGAAGATGAGCTTTCAGAGCGGCCAGGTCAAGCAAGTCATCCGGGCATATGCCGTGGAGATTCAGACGAGCGATAAGAAAGAACTTGAAGCCGACCAGGTCAATATGAAGCTGCGACGAGCGATGGGCGCTAACTGTGAGTGTCCGAGATCCCACGCCGATCCTGACTCTAACGGACGTTCCACTGCAGATGACCGGCAAGGCTCCAATTACTGATGTTAGTGCGCAACTTTAAGTCAGAGTTAACGAATAGAATTACAATCTTATTCACGTCGGATGGAGCCATCGCCAAGCTCCTGTTCATATCTTTTGTGCGCTTTATCATCAAGAACGCTCCGTATCTGTACCTCAAGATTCGACCGCTTCGTGGCCCTTCATGAGCTTCTTTTCCTCAGTCCATCTTCAGCGCTGTCAATTCCTTCTTTCCCGCTCGAAGCCGGCACTTTGAGATGTTGATTTTCAAGTCCGCACATCGAAACCCATCAGATTATAGGCCAAGTCATGGTATCTAAGGCAACTTCAGCGTAATCACCATATAAATGAACCTGGGCATCAGCATCGTGTTACAGATTGCGGGAGCGAGGGTAGATACTGTGGCGTCCGAGGTGACAGCAGTTTTGATCCTAATTCTAACTTCTCTACTCCGCGATCGAGGGATGTCTTCTTCGGAGGAAAGAATGATTCCGGCTCGGAAGATGCGGCAGGGAGCTCAGTATGGTTCTACTCTTCTCAGGAAAATGCAGTCGCGGACAGGGAGCCAGTAAGTTCCAATTAGACTTCGCGGCTTGTGCTCGAAAAGGCATGTTATGAGCACCACAGTGTGTCAGTGATGATGTTCTCCATGTTTGTTGCCCTTTATACCCATATCCCTCCATCGCCGTCTTAACTGATCATTTACTTCCTCCATTCCCCAGCCATCGCGAGCACTGGTCAGATCTTCCAGTCCACTACGCCCAACCCACGTACCAACATAGAACTTGGAGACAACATATTTTCTTCCCCCTCAAAGAGCGAGGGCACAGCACTCCACATTAGCACGTCTCTTCCAACCTTTTAGAGAACACATCAGTACGCCTTAGACCGGTTTTTAGTCTCCTCCACAAGAGCGACAATATCCGAAGAGCGTGGTGGAGGCCGCAAGATCGAGCACGAGGGCTTTATATAGTTCCAAACCATTCGCCGTCCGTCCCAACATCTCGTAGTTGGTGGACTTCAGCAGCACGACACCAGCATGAAAACACACGACCCCCACTCCGCGTTCAGAAACATATCTCAATGCCTCGATCCCAGCGCCGTGGCTGTGCACTAAGTGCATCACGGCACACCACCAGATCCCTCGTTCTCACTCCATGCGCAGGAAATAGATAGCTTTTCACACAACTCTCCTGCTCCTACATGTTGACTCCGATTCCGCGCCACCGCTTTAAGCCGCTTCCAGAACCTAGCAAAGTCCGCCATACACACTGCTGGATTGCGCTTTTTGGTTTGGTAGGTCTGAGCTCCGCGCTCTGGGCGAGAAAGAGAGGGCGCTGGCATTATACTCATAGAGCTCGATTTTAGGAATTTGTTTCGGGGAGGGTTATAGCTCGGACTCTCTGTGGATTGTAGTATAGAGGAACAAGTAAAGCAGTGAGGCCTTCCGAAGCTATACGTGGTAGCTGGGTGTATCTTGCACCGAACTACCCTTTTTTGTCAAAGCTGTATCTTGTTCGCGGTTCATTTCGATCCAACGCACATGCCTGCCACGGCTCGCATTCGACATCGCCGGTAAAGTCGAACGCTTTAGTAAATCACCTGTCCAAGCACAGTCCCCTATGCTTGGTTTCAACGAGGAATTTAGTCCGGAGAGAAAAGTCCCGGTCCAGCATACCACACCACACTAGTCTCTTGGATTCCAGTTTTCTCCCCGCCCCCAACGCAGATCTCCATGGAATTTCCCAATCCCAAATTCCATAACATTTTCCAGCCGTGCGGAAAGCCGCCATCGAAGGCACCGTAGAATGAGTTATGGGAGGATATAGCTTCTTCAGCGGTGGCAGTATGTTGGCCCAGCACAGCGCACGTCAACATATACGTGCGCATCGACGGTTTAGTTTCCAAAGTGCGGGAAAAGCGACGGAAGGCCCCACGTAACGTTCCCAGTCGCTCCCTCCCTCCCTCCCTGCTCCCACACGCACATGCTGCAGATTCTGCTGCATCTTTCTTAGAGCAGCCAGAGAGCCGAACGCCATAATACCCTTCAACGGTTCTTTCGATCCAGCCCAACACATATCCCCCTCGCAAAAACCTTTTAAACCCCCCCAAAAGGCCAGCTGCAGCAGGTGAGCGAGTGTCCGGGAGCGTTGAGCAAAGCCCCCGGGACAAGAAGGCCTCCATGCCCTCCCTCCCCCCAGCCGCCATGAGTCGTCGTTGTTGGCCGATTTACAGCGCCGAAGACATAGTGGTGGATGACATGATCTTTTAGTCAAGCCCGAGACAAGCGTAGCAGAGTGAGGAGAGAAGCCTGGCGCGGGAGAAGCGTTTCAAACCTTCTTCACACCGCACCGCAACGGCCGACTAGCCGTACGATCTCCGTATCCATATGCACCGCCCCTCTCCTTTTGCATCCCATCCCATCTCCCAATCGCGAAACTACACATAACATCCTTCCGAACCGCCGCACATTATCCCCCACCAAGCACACCGTATCCTTTTTACCCACACCAACCGCGACTCCAAGCACCACGCGGCGCAGAGCTCACACATGCAGCGCCAGAGCCCGCATTTTAGAGGCAGGCCGCCCGAAGACATCATCTTCTTGGGTATTCCATTTTCGTACAAGGGGTCCGAGGAGGGCGAGGAAAGAAAAGAAAAGAAAAAAGAGAAATCACTGAAGTAGGAGGGGATTTATATACCCCCCTGGTCTGCCGAGGTCCATCGGACAGTAAGTACGTTTAGACTTTGTTAGAAAAGAAAAGGGAGCAGGAACGGGGAACATCAGACGCCAAGAAACGGTCTCTTGAACCGTAGTATCTCACAGCAAGTAGAAAATCCGATTTAATAAGAAAACGCAAAACCCAAGGAGCCTCTTTTACGCACTTTAGCCAGCTCGCTCCCTTCCCTTGGCCGGAAGAGTAAGAAGAATACACAGCACTCTACCCATACCCTCCAGCCCCACAAGCGCGTCCCAGCCCTTCCAATTCCGTTTTCCAGACCACGACCTCATCGATCGCTTAGTGCCCACCCATCCTCTCATGGGTAGCCATCAGACTGCCAATAAACGTCGTAATCAAACGGCTCTGCACCGCCACAATATCCTCGGGCACGAGCCAAATCGTCGCCCCCATCTTTCGCGCAATGCTGATGGCCAGCTTGGCATTCTGGTAGCACTCATCGTCATTGCGGCCGGGGACGACGAGATCGTAGTCGACGTAGCTGCTCTTCATGCCAGACAGGACGTCGAGCAGGAAGATAGCGTTCGAAAGGCCGGAATCCTTGAAGGACCGAATTTGCGCGCCCTTGCCGCCCTTCCGCGCCATGTCGTTCGCCCAGCGGATCATGTCCTGGTCTGAAATTTCGCGCTTTCCGAGGCGCTGAGCGAGGCCCTTGAGCGTGTTGACGATATCCTTTCTCATCAGTTGCCACACAAGCCCCAGTGTCAGAGTGCGCTGCCCATCAGTGATGTCTGCGCCTTGTATGCCGGGGAGAGAGAACGAGTTCGCCTTTCCGAGTTCAACAGCATAATTGGTATTCTCGAGAGCCTTGAAACGCATCAGTTCACCGTCCGGCCGGGGCTTGTTGACGTGGCGCCAGTTCACGCTGCCGGGGATGACCTTGTCGTAGGCTTGCAAGAGAACAGTGCCGTCCTTCAGATCCTCGAAGAACGATTGCACAACGGGTTGGACGTCCAAGGAGTTGAGCCACAATGTGAAAACACGCGCTTCACGCTCGCCTTCTGCATCAAAGTCTTCAATATCTGCCTTCTCTTCTTCGGTGATGGGATCCAGGCCGGGGTGCGTGTTGAAGAGATTGGCGACAAAGGCGAGATTGAGCTTAGGGTTTCCAGCCACGAGCGCGGTCGGAGTCAAGAACTTGCGGCAACCGAGATTGTCGGCATTCTGGAGGACCTGCTCGGCGCGTTGGTGGAGATCGCGGGTCTGAAGGGGCGCGCGGGAGCACATATCCGGAGCCAGCTGGTTGAGGAGGACCGTGTAGTTCTCGCCGTCTTTTACGTCAGTAGAGAAGTTGGTGACCCTGAAGGATTTAGCACATCATAATAAGTTGCCGGGGCGATACTGTGCTTACTTCCTGTGCCATTTCGCGTTCTTCAGGTGGTAGTTGAACCATCGCAGCAGAATCTGCTCTGGGGGCAGGCGCAAAAATTGCTCCAGCGTCTCGTCGTCCTCCAAAAGTCGGTACAGCTCCGGGTGCAGCTTGATATCAATCTTTCCGAGCAGACCTCGTCGAATAACCTGCCAAATCAAGCCCAGAATCAGATGCTCTCGCACCTCAATAATGTCTCCGCTGCCAATGTTCACGACCGAGCAACCGATACCCTTAGCCGACTCAATGACAATGTTGTTGTTCTCCGTCATGTGGAAGGCGTTCAGCGACTTGATTTTCCTTCCCGGCTTGTTCAGCACACGCTCGTCGATGGTGTCGGGCACGCTGTCGTTGATCAGTTTGCACAGCACCAGGCCGTCCTTGCACGCGTCGAACATCTCAAAAGTGTCGGTCGGGAAGGGGAGTCGGTCGCCAATATCCGGGTCGCCGGCGAGGACGGCGTTGATGTGGCGCGTGAACTCGGTTCGCTCATCTTCGTTAATGGTGTGCGTAACGTTCGCAGAGGAGCCCTGGACCTGGATCCTGCCGCCACCGTGGCTGCTCTTGTGGGCGTGGCCGGGTGTAGAAGGCGTACTGCCTGTGCCCGCTCGCGGGCGGCTGGGGCCCGTATTCATGCGCTGCTGGGCGGGCGAGGACTCGCGGAGCTTGGAAATGAGCTACGGCGCTGTCAGCACCTGCGCCTCGAATCTGCGTGTGCCATGCCACTATTGAGTATACGTACATCAACATAGTCTTCCAGTTCGACTCTCCTCGAGCTGTCTAGCTCCACCTCTTTCAGGGCCTGGCGCACCACATCGTACGGCTGGTGCTCCGTCTGCTGCGTCGCCTTGATGACCGTGGCCTCGTCGAGATAGCCCTTGTCGTCGATGTCGAGCTTGCGAAAGGCATCCTGCAGGCCGAAGATGTCCGCTTGCTGGAATTGGGGATATTTCCTGTCGCATTGCGCCGTTAGCTACCGTGGAATCCGGCGGAGGGCCATGGAACCACCAGACAAAGCCTACCTCTGCAGCTTGATGACGTTCATGGCGGCGGAAGTGAGTGGATGCGGTGTGTTCGGTGGGGATGGAGTTGCGCAGTGATATAGAGGCTGGAATTTCTCTGCCTGGCTCAGCCTCGCTGTGTTTGCGCGTTCGGCGTTTGTGCTCTTGTTTTGCTTACCCCGATGACGACGTGGGGCGACGTGCCAAGCATTTCGGGCTTCGAGGGGCAGTCACGGCTCGGATGCTGCTTACCTAATTCGATCCCTTTTGACTTGCCGCCAACCACCTGGGCAGTATTCTGATTCCAGCCGGGGGCGGCGAGCATTCATGCTATTACCATGGAGATTATAATTGCGATCAAGGTCTCTCCTTGATCAGATTCACCACCCTCCTCGCTATTCCACCCCGACCCCGACCTCGCGATGGTAGAACCTAGCTGCCTATTCCTTGAGACGAGCATTACCAAGCAGTAACAGAATCCGCCCAAGGCGGTAGCATTACGACTGTTGCCTTTCACGCATCACAGCACGGGACCGGTGCACAAGATAGAAAAGAAGAGCTTTTGATTCCTCATTATCATTCATAGTGCCCATCGCCGGCTCACCCAATAAGATAGACACAAACCCCCTCGGTGAAAGATACTGAGGAGGACCCAGCAGCCGATTGTACCCCAACCAAGCCCACCCGGGCCCCCCAATAGAAACAAAAAGTTAAGGTAATAAAGTGTCCACAAGCGTACACTCTCTGAAAACATCATCATCGCGTAGCTGGTATCCCAACGTCCGTCACGTCGTTCGATCCTTCTCTTCGTCAAACATGGCGTGCCGGAAATACCGAGCGAGGGGAAGGTAATGAGGGAGCAGGATTCTCAGCCGCCGCTTGCTTGTAAATGTCGTCAGATGGCCCACTATATATTGTGTGTCCTTGTCGTCGGTCGCGCTGCCACGCGTGTCGGTAGTATGTCTGAGGGTATTGATGTTGTCATTCGACGGCGTCGGTGCGGGCAGGTGTTGAGAGTGGCAGGCGGACCGTCGATCATCATTCTCCTGTTGAATGTCCAGGTCGTTGCAAAGAAACTAGTCCATCGGTAGAAAGTACAGAATCGTCACCCGCAACATTAAGCAATGGGCACCAACGGGTCTCGCAAATGCTTATGCCGTATGCAGGGAGTCGTATATCGTAAAGTAAAGGAGAAGGTCCAAGATATGGTGGCTCGAAACCAGCGGTTTCTAGAAGAAAGAGATGGTCATGAACTCGTTAGTGCCCCGAGATGGAGAAATCGAGGTAAAACACAGGAAAAAGAAGAAAAGTTTTGACACAAGGAAAATCCGCAGCGTAGAGAGTGTGTGTTGGTGTGTTGATAAGTTTTCGGCCCGTGGGTGTTCGTGGAGCGGGTCCGAAAACGGAGGTCGAGACTGCGGTAGTGGTCGTGACGGGTCGTTCTGGAAAGAACGCTTGCTCGATGCCAGCAAAAATCCATCAAGTTCATGGCAGACCGCCGTCTATTGCAAACTTCGAACTGGCAAGAATGAGTCCACCCAAACAAACAAGCAAATTGCCCAGACTACCTCCGAGCGCGTGGCGCCATTGTGGAGCGGGCGCGCTGGAGCCCAGCATTAGGATCTTGATTATAGGGTGAACCGCCAACGGCTCCGCCATCCATCGTCTTTCGACGTTTGAGGCCGTCAATATCGTCTCCCTGGACGCTACCGGGGCGGCCGTATGGGTCTTGATCGTCGTCCTCGCGGCCACGCTTGTTGGATGTAGGGACGCCGTTGGAGGCAGCGTACGCTTGGCTTGGGTATTGGGGTACGCCTCCAGGAGGTTGGTATGCCTCCGGGGGTGCATTGCCATTCGTAGTACGAGTGTCACTCATGACATTGTAGAGGTTGCTCGAAGGAGCGGGTCCTCGCTGGGGAGTCGGGTAACCTGATGTCCACTGGGTTTGGCCCGTGGTTGCCGTGCGGGGAGTAGCACGACCAGAACCATTCTGGTGGGGCGAACCCGTCATCTCTGGCGACAAATGAGGGTGGTCGCCCGGGATTGATCCTGGCGCAGGGCCTGAATTATACGCATACGAGGGTCGTTGGCCATTGTAAGGCGCGTTCGTATGAGTGTACTCATTTTCATGGTCGTGATCTCCCTCGTCTCCGCCCGTGGCATGATTCACTTGCTCGTCCGACTGAGCCATCATGCCCTCCGCAGGTTTGACGTCGCCTTGCTCAGGAGCGCGGGCAGGAGGCGCCATTTCCGTCTTGGGGTAACCCATCATCTGCTGCGGTTGTGTATGATACTGCGACGGCTGAGATGGGGGGGCCGAGTACATCGGTCTTGAGCTATCGTAGCTTTGGGCTGTCTGATAAGACATGCCTTGCTGAACAGCGCCGGGAGGAGTGCTTGCTGGGGTCGTAGGAACCGAGCGGGTATTGCTCAGGCCAGTGTCAATAGACAGAGGCTGGTTTCCTGGAACATTTTGAACGTTGGCACCACTCCACTCGTAAGAACTACCTTGGTTGCCCATACCCATGATGCTCGACGCACTCGTGGGGGGAGTGGGGAACGTGTGAGCCCGATCAATACCCGGGCGCCCTGACGATGGGTGGGGTTGGATAGCATGGGGAGGTTGGGACATTGCCGCTCCCACAGGATTGGTCATCGAGTGATGGTGATGAAGCGACGGAGGCTGGGAGGTTGTAGGGCCGGTCAGATAGCGATTTGTCTGCATCGGGTCAGGTCTGCGAGTGCGATCCACAGCAGCCATAGCGGCGCCGCCTACGCTTGCCCTCGTCTGGTTTGAGGGATGATAGAGCAACGCTCCAATATCGTGAACGAAGAGTGGATACAGCTGTTCTGTGATCTTCTCCTTGTTCGCGAATTCCAGTGCGCGTTCGAAGGGAATCCTGTTTCGAGTAAGCGATAAAGTCAGAAATGTGAAAAATGCCCATGCTTACCATACACCCTTCAAATGCATCGGCCCTATCTTAACGACATGCCTAGTCTTTTCGCTTTTAAGGATGCCATCTCGGCGTCCTCGCGTCATGCCTGCAACGTTCAGCAGCTTGGTGCCGTTGATCATATGATTGTCTGAGAAAATATTTAGCAGTCATCACAATCAATGCCCGCAGTTATGCTTACCTTCACGTCGGGCAACACATACGCCCTTGGCCTCCACTTGAAAGCAAAGACTTCCCTCGTCTTCCCATAGGGTTGCAGTGACACGGGGTTTCATCCCTGGAGGCGCGATCTGGCCTGTGTGGTCAAACGTATGGGTTTGGTAGCTTTGCGACCCAGGAAGTGATGAGGGAGGCGCAGCTGGTGCCATTGCTGGGCTTGTTAGGAACGATTGGCACGTGGGTTTTGTGCGATGACTTACCCGGAAGCTGGATTGACTGCGGCACAAGTGCGTTGCTCATAGATGACGATGCAGGCAGCTGCGAAGGAACGCCGTTTGGATAGCCATAGGCTGGATAACCGGGAGGACCGGATGCATACTGCTGGACGGGGGGTATCATTGAAGGCCCTGTCTGATACGAGTAGTGCGAGAGACTCCCAGGCGGCGCAGAGGCCGGAGCGTGAGCAGTTGCAGCAGACATTTGCGATTGATGCACGTCAGGGTACGATTGCATCTGGTTCATGCTGTTATAGCCCTCTTGAGGGTAGCCGTAGCCTTGCTGAGTACCGTACGGAGAGGCCTGTTGCGACTGCACATTCAATGGCTGACCGTCACGGTTGAGGGACTGCGGAACCTGCTCCGGTGAGGGTGTCTTGTATCCTGTCGCGTGGCCGTTGACCGAGGCGGAGTAAGACGTATGAGAGCTCGCGCTTCCGTTGTCCACCGAAGCCGCGCTGAAAGATCCACCCCGAGGCGACGAGGAAGTGGACGACCCGCTCGCTTGCGGCTGGATCTGCGGGAGTGCTGGTAGTCGCTCGCTCGACACTGCGGGCCTGGGCGCGTAGTGTGAATTGTACCAGGTGTCAACGGGGCCTCGGGCGTGGACCGACGAAATCGAAGGCAGCTCCAGCTTTACGGTATTGGCGGATACGACTGGTGCTGTGCCGCGGTGAGGGTCGAGAAATCCCGTACGGATAGTTCTCGAGTCAATCGCCAGATAGCCGAGAGTGGTGATGGGCGGAATCCGGCAGACGATGGTCTACAACAGTAGGTTGCAGAATCTGCGCACGTAGCCGGACAGACGATAGCGGCTTGCTGATATAGTCCGACGCGGTCTGGTCAACGAGGCGAGTTCCTTCACCGCAAGTCAATTGTTTGCTCTCAGGTGGTGCCGTCGGTCAAGTGCAGAGGCGGGCCAACGAAATGCGGCTAAACACGTGGGCAAACAGGCCCAACGGCGATGCAGGGCTCGCGCGCGCGAGGAGAGCCGGGAGGAGTAACGCGCTCGATAGGTAAGGAAGACAGATGGTGGTACGGACGCTGGTGGAACACACTGACCGGAGGATTTTGTGAAGCAGGCAGGAGCGACGGAATGCTCAATGCGCGCCTGGCCACGGGGAGAAACTGAACGCTGCAAACAATGCTGAACGGACAAAAAGCACGTCGTAACGTCGTCGCGGTCGTGAAGCCGAAGAGCGTGCGGACGGATGCTGCTGCTGCTTCTTCTGGGGCTGTTTCAAAACACGCGCAGTGGGACAAATCGACGGCGGCCGGCCTGGAAGAATAGCGGGATCAGCGTGCGGGCGCCGGGGGCATCTGCTGCAGCGACGCGGCGATGGCGTGCAGTCTCGTCGTCGTTAACCGGGCGTAACGTCGTCGCGCTCGTCACCGGCGGGCCGAGCTCTAGAGATACTGGGACTGATAGCTGCGGCACCGGAAGAAAGACACTGCGCGGAACAGGCGTCAGCAGAAGAACACGCAAGGACGAGCCGAGGGCAATGGCATTGGGAAAACACCGACCTCCGCCGTGAGTGTGCAGGAGTCTATGCAGGCCGCAGAAGCTGTGCAGACTGCGGTGGGGAGGGCGGAGGTTTAGAGGCGGAGGTGGTTGGGATGTCGACTTTTGACGCTAGCGCCGAGCAGACAAGCAGCCAGCGATAGGCGAGGACGGGAAATGCTGGGGCGAGGCCCGGCGGGCGCTGATGGGCAGGCCGAAGGAGAGACTCGAACTGACCCGGATCCTCAACGAGCGGACGCGAACGCGCAATGGCTCTGCGATGCTGGCGGCGATGTCGTCCTGGGGCGTGTGGAGAGAAGACGTCGTTCTCGTCGGCGATGCTGCAGGATTGTCTGCAGCTCGAAGCAGGCAGGCCGCAGGCTAAGAGGGCTGACCGAGCCAGGCGAGCAGCGCACAGCCCGCTCCGCAATCCGCCCGGGATGGCCTCTTTGCACGGGCGGCGTGGCCCAGTCTCGCTGGCGACGGCCGTGCGCGAGAACGCCGCTGGCAATTCGTGAGGCCTGCTGCTGCGTGGGCGGGACGGCGCGAGTTCGCAGCAAGTGGGCTTGGACGGCAAAGCAAGATGAGGCCGCTGCAGAGCACGATGCGAGAAGCTGTGCGTGGAGGGCGCAGGCGCTCTGAGCCTAAAAGACGGCTGTTGGAGATCGCTGGGGATGCTCACTGCACACACCCACGAAGGCCGTCCGGCAGCACAATCTAAAATCAATTCGGGCTTGGTGGGGAGCGTGAGCAGAGGATTGGGAAGGGTGGGCCGGCTGGCGCACCATGCCTGGACCGAGCAGTGAGTCCCGTGAAAGGCAGAGGCCGTTTCGCGCTGGGGAGCACAGACGGCAGCGATGGACGACGCTGACTGGGCTGATCCGCAGACAAGGGCAGCGTGGATGGGGACGGCCGACAGGGACAGGGCCGGCACGCCTATACAGAGACAGCTATGCACGCAAGCGAGGTGCGACTCCACCAGCACCAGCCACCTGACGACACACCATGGCCCGGCCAGACAGGACGAAGGCACAGCATATCGGATGCTTGTCCGTTTGCTTTGCGCCCTCCAGGAGTCCCTCCAGGAGTCCAGGAGACAGACAGCACGACGTGCAGCTACGGGGTCGACTGCTATTTTTGCGGAGCCCTTCTCACCACCTCGGCCGGGCTGGGGAGGATGGACTGGCAGGGATGGGCCCCAAGTTTAGCGGGCGTCTACTTTTTTTACAAACTGGCGCTGGCGGCGGCTGGGGTCCCGATAGGGAGAAGACGGCTGAAGTGGACGCGGCCACTCAGCGCACCCGGAGATATTCATCGCGAGCGCGAACAGATACTGCGCGATGCCAGCTCCGGTAGACAGTTGCTCTCTGAGCAGAAGTGGACTCGTCTTACTCCACCCCGTTGCGGTTGTCAGTGGCAGACGTACCACCGAGAGGCCCCTCTGCGTACGAACCGGCCGGCGCTGGTTGGAAGAGCCGGTTGGTCCTCATTACATAAGCCGCTGGCTGGCGCTGGAGCACACCACCACCGCAGCAGTGATCGGAGAGGAACCTTGTCCGAAACGTTTTGGCTGCGGGCCCGAAAGCACTGTCCGCGGGTGGTCTGCAATGCTGCGTTTTGTGGAGCGCCAGACGCGATGATTTGCGCCGCCGCTGCGAGTCAAAGCCGCGCAGGAGCTTCACGGGGGGAGCGTCGTGGAGCAGCAGAGAACGACGGAGGGACAGCGACACAGACTGCTGAAACGTGTGGAGAACTGCCGTCGTTGCAACTTGAGCAGAGGGGCCGCCCGTCTTTCCGCTTTCAAAACGGGCCTTGATGATTCAGGCAGGCCGACAAGAGAAGCACAGCGAGGTGGTCGGGGCCAGCGAGAAGCGACTGCGCCAATGCCACCATAGGCTAAATGGCCGCCGCTGCGATCCAACGACGGAGCCAGCGCGGGCGCAGGGATGTTCCCCAAAGCGAACGGGATGAACGGACGGCAGGCCGTGCAGACCCCTCGTTTCTGGGCATTGTGCACGCCGGCAGTGGTTGGATGGCTGTTTTCGCAATCCGACGACCTGGGGAGGAATGCCCCCCTCCTCCAGTGCGATGAGGGCGTGGGCAAGCGCTCCCCCACTGCGTGCGCGGACACTGGGCCAGTCCAGCAGGATGCGTGGAGGAGCGGAAGCGAGCGCGGTCGTCGACGAGGGAGACGGTGCAACGTGGAGACTCGAGAGAGTGCGACGATCTTGTCAGGCCAGCGAGACCAAATCATGGACGGGCGAAACGGGCCACGACTGGGCGAGGCGCTGCGGGCCTCCACTCACGGGCGCTGAAGGGCCTCCGGGCGGAGGAGTTTCCCTGACCAAACGTGCCGGTTGTACCACGGCTGGGGTTGGACGTGGGAGGCAGGGCGGCATGATAGGACCAGAGGTGTTGCGGTGTGAGCGATGTGCTGGCGCCTCTAGCTGCTTCCGGACGGGGGCAGCAAAGTCACGCCTTCGGGGCTCCTCGCGCAAGCCACCCAGCATCGCACCACTACCGCGACCGCGACCACGACGGCCGCCATTATCAGATTCGTGTCTCTCGCCATGGAGGAGAGCGGAGAGCAGCCAATGTCCCAGCACCCCGGGCGGCGTGCGGCGGCCGCACAAGGCCATTCACTCTGGCCAGCTGAAACAATGCCTGCCATACAGTACGGTGCGCTCCGCCCTCCGCACCACTGGCGCCGTTATCGCCGGAAAACACCAGCCATGAGACGGGAGGTGAGCATCACGGGATGCCCCGCACGGCGCACCCTCAGTCCCTGCCTTGTCGTATCCATGCGCCTGCCATGCGAACTGCGACAGCCTCGTCAACTCGTCAACCGTGGGCTTTCCGGCCTGCTGCGCTCCTGCCAGCCACACTCGGCACCACCATCTCATGTCAGCTCGCCGCCTCAGGCGCCAGCCCTCCTCGCAGCCACCGTGATTCGCCCCTGATAGCCGCGCTGCGTTGCCCACGAATCGCCCAGCATCCACCGGCATCCATTCTATTCCCAGCGCCGGCGCCTCGTGAGACGTGGCAAAATCCCTTTCTTACACCTGTACGACCACTGCCTGCATCAGATGGCCGCGTCGCCAGCGCTCTCCACCATCAACCAGGCCAGATCCACCTGGAAGACGTAGCGGTCGAGCTCGGGCTTCGGGAGGACAGGCATCCCGTCCTTGTGCGGTAATACAGCCGCAGGCACGAGGCCCCTTGATGGCACCGATCTTGGGAGTGCATTGTACTGTGTCTGCCGGAGGCGCCTTCGAGCGACTACACAGTCGCACCTTGCGCAATCCGATCAAGGCCCTTCCACCACCACGGCCAGTCGCACCGTGGTCGCGTGGGCCAGAGGTACCAGCGGAGCAACTGCATAGGTGAAAATAAACGTGCAGCGCATCCGGCGCGATGCGCCAGGCGGATCGTGGGAAAGCCCGCGCCGTGTCTACATGAGACTTGCTGACCACCCTCGTGGCGGGTTAGGAAACTCGATATTAAAACTGGCAACCTGTTATATCAAACACTGACTGATTGAGGCGAACACGGGCAGGACACTGTCGTCCCGGCTCAAGGGCTGGCCACTCAGCCCTCCACCCGGCCTATTCTCAGATACGGGGGAGCAGGTTGGACCGTCGACATAGGCCCTCCAGTATCAGCGCAGATTCCTCCGCTTGTTGTTCTCGTGAGGCAATCACAATGTGGGGACTGTGCTCCATCCAGTCCCACGAAAGAGGGTGCGCAATCTAGAATCGGATTCCGTAGGACGGCTGGGCTCCTCTCGCCGTGGCCGACCGGAACAACACGGGTGCTCTGTTATCGAGTCCTCAGTCTGTCCGCTCAGAACGAGAGGTTCCCGTCTCTCACCAAGCTGATGTCGGGGAGATGAAAACGAAGATCAAAGTTCCAGAAAGTGTCAACGTTGGAAAGCAGGCCTCCAAAGCCGCGATCGCCTGCACGCTGTCGGCCAGTGTTCCTGCAGCTCTGAGGCCATCCCGCAATACGAGCCACGCCTGGGCGGCTTCCAGGTCGTGATTGGCCATGTTCCACCTGCACTCACCCGCTGTGCATATGCGTGTGATGGAGCCGGATCCCTGCGCTGCAACCTCCACGGCGCCAAGGCCGCGTACCCCTCCTCCCACTTTGCCTGGGACGCAAGCATGACTTGGACCGACTCCCACGAAGAGGAAGATATTGCGCGCGGTCGCACACGACTCACCTGCGTCTCCGCTTGCTACACACGGCGCAGCAGCAACCAGAGCACCCCCTTTCTTGCGCTCCGCCTCCTTCGCTCTTTGCGATATCGAAGGAAAGTGGAGGGCTACGGCACGGGCATCGGATCGATCAGATAGGCGCCGGCCCGCCAATCAACGCGGGCCACGTCAAGAGCCTGGCAGAGCCGTTATCGGGCTTTCGAGGAGCAAGCCACCACTGGCGTATGCGACACGGACCACTCCTTGCAGTCCGAAACGGGACGAAAGGGTGCGAGATCGTCCCGTGATTGGCCCCTAGTTTGAGATGGCTGGGTGTTCACCGGATTGGCTTCGTCGACCTTGTCATCTCACCTCATGCTCTGCTGTGCTACCCGCTTACTTGCCCCGTTTTCTAGCGTCTCGTGAGAGGGGCCTCCTCTAGATGCTCTCAACAAACCCAGCTTTGACGTGAGGGGAGCAGGCACTCAGTTGAGGGCTCCCATGTCCCGAAACGATTGTTCCGTTTTTGCCGTCAACTCCCCAACACCCTCTCGAGCAAAGGGATTCCCTCTCCGCTCACCGCTGTTCTATTCTTGCCGCTACAGACTCCGAGTTGTTGGGAGGACCAGGATAGAGCAATCTATCAGTCCCGGCAGACATGGGTTGCGATACACGGCTACACAACCCCGCCGCACCTTTGCAGCCCGCCCTCTCGTGCTCTTCCGGTCCCGTACCGGCAGCAACGTCTTCCTGTCGGCGAGATCTTTGCATGTCTAGGCACTGACGCTTATCGACAGCCGCTCTTGCAGCATCGTGACCCTCGCTTCTCTTCAGCGAGCTGCCAACTCGCAGCCAGCGGCAGAGCCACTTTTCGCTTCTGCTACGCGTATGCTAAAGCACGACATACCTACGTGCATCACAAGCGTATGTCGCCGTTACTTCAGGGTACACCACAGTTTACCAGAGTCCTTGAAGCGAGATTGCCTCGGAGGTCTTCCCACAGCATCCTGTCTCGGAGCCGCGGTTACTGCAGCATAGCAGTAGCCGCCTCGTCTATAAGCCCTGATCTAGGCAGGTCCTTCGCTCGAACACGCGTTCTAAGGGAAGGCCTCAGCGCAATATTGAATATTGGTTGGGATGTACCATGCATGCATTCTGCCTGTCAAGTCACTTTTGCCTGGAAAACATCAAAAGCACAGAGCCCAGATCGCTGGCTCACGGCGACCCGGTATGCAACTGCGGAAGGCGTGCCGTATGCAGTTCTCGATAGCTGTTTGCTTTTGCCCGCTCGACCTTGACAGATTGACAGACAGCCACGGCATTGATAATGACAGCGCTCTGCATCATCAAGGCCGAAGCGAGTGTGGATGTTTCTCGGACATGTGGGAGCTACTACTTCTTCCAAGCGCTATTGCACTTTGGAACTAATCAACTACATCTTCCAGGTTTTAGCTTCCAGATACCCTATCGCTCGCATTCCATTCTCAACAGAGTAATCTGAAAGCGGCGGCTGGATAAATCGCCCTCACGAAAGCGGAACTTTCGACACTCTCGAGGCCAGGACCTAATATCGAAACTTGCTTTCCACATCCCCGTTCTTTACACTATCTTCTTTCGGTCATTCTGCCGCGCCCGTCAATGCAAAGTCTCTAGGCCTGGGAACAGGCTCGGAGTGGCTGGGGAAGGAACCCGCTTCCCACGGTCAACAAAATTTCATTTTCCTGTTGGGTGGAATAATGGTGCGATCGGACTGAAGCTCGATCAAAACGACCATGCGCCTCCGCACACGCCATTCGCGAACGCCATCTGTCTGACCAGCCCTTAGAACCTCGTCAACCATGGTTGAGTCACCCCACCATTCGTCTCCACCTCATCCAGCACTTGCCGGAGAGTGTGTGACCCAACCACCTCTAAAATTTCAGTCATGGTGGGGAGACGGTTGATTGAAGAATCGAACCGACAATGTCTTCGCGGAAGGCTGCTGGTCATTCTGCACGCAAGCGAGACCGACGGAGCTGAACGGCCGCACTGTAGTCCAAGTATATCCTGCAGATGAGCCACCGGTTCACGCACTGCGGACCATGGATTGCTCCACCTGTCGGCGAAATCTTCGGCCTCGCATAACACGCTTTCCGCGCCGCAGTCAGTTGCTTGCATCTCCCACGGCTCTGATTGCTCAGGTCTTGCACGCACTGACTGGGTACGCGAGCACGATGATCAGCTTTCTCTTGGTGGCTCTCGCACGTGCTAACGGACGTGCATGTCTGATTGTGGCTGTTTGATCAACATGTGAAGACTGAAGCCTCGAGCAGCTCGCGCTATACAAGATGACGACACTCACAATATGCCTTCGCCACCGCGCGAGGGCTGAAACAAAGCCTAGAGGCGCCGTTGAAGATCGCTCATGCATTGCATTGGTCTCAACGCATCTTGTAGTAGGTGCGCAGGCGACTTGTCACAGGGCTGCGCTGCGCTGTCTCGGCTTTCGGTAGTCACCAACTGCGCCCGCTGGCATGCGGGGAGCCTGCACCTCACTGACTCGACATTACCCTTCAAACATGTCGTCTGTCAAACGCATGTAGGAGCAAGATCTCAATCATTCTGAGACTGAGATTTCACGTACAGGCGGTGATCTCTCCCTGCATCGCGCCTACATGTGCATGCTGCAGGGTGCCTGCTCAAACGCACTGTACTGTAGGCAGCCGTACCGAGCCTTGCGATGCTACTTTCTTTCGACCTCAGGCGAAGCACGAGCTGAGGGTTGAAATTGAAGAGCAGTGTGGGTCACGTGTAAACACGGCTGCGTAACCAATCAGCGTCTTTCCGTCCGCGCTACAACATTAGTACTTCCAGGGAGGAACATGGCCTCGGACTACATTTGTATCCTCAGAAGGAATATGCTACACAGTGTTGTCATCGCTCTTGCATCTTCTTGTGGATTAATCGACTTCCTGCTCATATTCCTCGTCAAGATTTTCTGCTTACGTCTAATGAGTAAGCACTTGCTCAATTTGTTTTGGGTTGCCAACCTCCCTCCTTTGCGGTTTGGCTCTCATCGTCGCTGAAGTCTCATTGTGCTTGCGCTAGTCTCTCTCCCCTTTCTCTCGTACGACTTTCAGCGCGGATAACTCTTCCCCGTCCTACCTACCCCTCCTTCCTTATTGGTCGACCAGCCTCTTCACTTCAACTTCATCTCGTTCGGGGCTTTCTCGCGCGAGCAAACATCACACCAAACCACATCTCTAACTATTGAATACCACATTACACAGCCTGAAGAAGTACTTCAGCAGCCCCGACACCCGCCCAGCATTCCCACCACCGTTCTTTCCCCAACTCCCTGCCCTCCACATCTCTCAACATGCCTCCCCTTCTCCTCCTCATCCTCCTCCCTTTCCTCTACTCAGCCATCACCACTGCCCGCGGCATCTACAGGAACTACCTGCTGGTCCGCCCCCTCGGCCTGCCCATCCTCTTCGCCCCAGTCGACCCCTACGGCACCGCCTGGCAAATCATCTGCCGGACCTGCCCGTTCCTGAAGCGCTTCCGATGGGCCCGCGTCATTCAGGAGACGTGGAGCTGGCAAGTCGATGATCGGGATCACAGAGCGCTGGGGGAGAGCTTTGTCGTTGTCAGCCCGGTTAGAAATCTGATTTATACGAGTGATAAGGTGGCGATTAATTGGGTGTTGACGAAGAGGAGGGAGTTTTTTAAGCCGGATGTTTATGGTGAGTGGTGGGCTTTTTGGGGTGTTGGGGAATGGGTTTACGGGTTTTACTGAGGGGTGCTAATATGGAGGGCAGAGAATCTGGAGTTTTTTGGGAGGAATGTGGATACGGTGGGTGCTACTTATTCTTTTGTTTCTTTTTTTGGTTTCATTGGGTCTTTCAGCATTTTGGTCAAGTTCGCCTCTCAGCTGGCTCCGTGTCGTTTCTTCCTCGATTCTTGTCCAGTTGAACTCTCCTAAGCTCAGCAATCTCACAGTTTCAATCTCGCAAGCGCTTTACCACGCCGTGCCCTACAAATATACTCACGCGTTACAGGTCAATGGTGAAGACTGGTCCCGCCACCGCAAGCTCACAGCCCCCTGCTTCAATGAGCGCGTCTCGGGCTTCGTCTGGGATGAAGCACTCCGACAAGCACGCTCCATGCTCTCCCACTGGCTCTCCCAGCCAAACGGAAAGATCTCCAACATGGTCGATGACACCCGCGTGATCGCTCTGCATGTCCTCACCGCAGCGGGCTTCGGCATCTCTCACGATTTCCTTGGAGGCGCGCGGAACCCAGCACCCGGCCACAAGCTGTCCCACCGCGATGCCTTGATGACCATTCTGGACAACCTCATTACCTCCATTATCCTCAGCAACACGAAGTGGCTAGAGCGTTATCGGATCGTGTTGCCGCAGCGTGTGCAGCATATCTTTCTCGCTTTAAGGGAGTTCAGCCAGTACATGGATGAAATGCTAGCCTCGGAGCGCAAGATACTGGCCGATAGCCAGGGAGCCTCGAAACCCAACCTGATCACCACGCTCATTCGTACCTCGGACGACGCGCAGACTGAGGGCATCAAGTCGGCGGTCCGGTTAACGGATGACGAGATCAAGGGTAACATCTTCATCTTCAACCTCGCCGGACACGACACCACGGCGAATACGCTCGCCTATGCGTTTGCCCTACTAGCCGTGTATCCGGAGTACCAGACCTGGGTTGCTGAGGAGATCGACGAGGTGCTCGGAGACCAGGAGAATCCGAAGTACGACGAGGCTTTCCCGAAGTTGAAGAGAGTCATGGCGGTCATGGTGAGTTTCCATCCACCCATTCCTCCTTCTTCCACCGGTCTGGCGATCCTCTCCACATGCAGTTTCCCTCCATCCTCTACTCTCCACTAACAATCCCCAGTACGAGATCCTCCGCCTCTACGGCCCCGTCCCCCGCCAACCCCGCGGCGCAATCCCCGGCACCCTCCTCACCATCACCCACCCCTCACCAACCTCCTCCTCCCCCACCACAACGCTCCCCGTCCCACCCCACACCGAACTCAGCCTCTGCATCCACGCCTGCCAAACCTCCCCCTCCAACTTCCCCCACCCCTCCGCCTGGAACCCCAAGCGCTGGATCGCGCCCGCCGCCTCCCTCGCGGCCGAGACATTTCTCCCCGCACCCATGGCCTACGCCCCCTGGTCCGCCGGCCCGCGCATCTGCCCCGGCATGAAGTTCGCCCAGGTCGAGGTCGCGGCCGTGCTGGCGACAGTGCTGCGCACGTCGACAGTGGTGCCGGCTGTTAAGGGTGATGTGGAGGTCGGAGAGGAGCAGGCGAGGCGGATGCTGCTGGCCCAGATTCGCGATTCGAGTGCGGATTCGGGGCCGACGCTGAATTTGAGACGGCCCGAGGAGGTGTGTGTTAGGGTTTTGGCGCGGTAGGGAGGGAAGGAGATGTGCGGATTGTAGAAGGAACGAGGCGAGCGTAAGTGTTCCGACGCAGGTCGAGTGGCGGTCCAGTACTCGTAAACGTGGGAGATGGGAGGGCGGATTGTTTATATGCATCTCCCCCGCTTGCTGAGCTGGGGCGAGTAGAATATCTGAAGCGCGTCACGACTCACGCGCGTCGCCCGGCACTGGCGTTTGTTTCACCGTATAAACTTTCCCCCCGCTTTATATCTGGGTCGTCCCATGCATCGGCCGCCCGCCCGTCGAACGAGTCCCTTCTTCCTCTACTCTCCTGCTCGCGCGCTATTCGATGCCGATGCTGAGAGGAGACATATTGGCTCGCGCGGCTGATACAGTAAAAGCGGAGACACTATGGGCGTCAGCACTCGCTGTTTCAGATTGGAAAGGGGGAAGCGTGATATGAGTAAGCCCAGCTAAGCTGAGACAGGCGTTTGATATGAAAAACATGGCGAATGCAGTCTTAGCGAATATAAAACAATTCAGTCCCGCCCGCTCGCAGTACTTTCTATTAATCAATCAATCAATCAAAGGGTCCCTCACAATCCCATTGATGAAAACGTTAGAAGATGATTGATATACGTGCAGTGGCAAAAAGCTAAGTAAGTCGCGATACGGTATACCACACACTCTATCACATCTCCATTTTCTACCTATAGAAGCGCGTTCAAAACCCACCCTCAGCAGATAAAGCCCGACAGACCCTACATTCCCGCACACCCACCCCTCACGAAACGCCCGCCTCTTCACACCCCTACGTTCCTCATCTAGAACTCCTCCCCCTATACAACCCCTCCCCGCTCCCCCCTCGCACCCACAGCACTCATCTTGCTCTGCGCCTAGCTACTAGAACCTGCCATCGACCAAACCCCGACGCCCGATTCGGCTGGACGCACCCACCGCCCTTGCCCCAAGTATCCTCCCATCCACCACCCCCGCCCCAACCGTCCTCTTCGGAAAACAAGCGCCCCCCGAGCCCTGCACGAAGCTCACATCGACGCATCCTGGCACCGTGTCGCAGAGCGCAATGCACGCTTCGACGCTCGTGACGTACTGCGCTGTGGGGAAGATGTCGCCGCCTGTGGTGTTGGTTAGTGAGGGGGAGTGGGGAGGGAGGGATGGGGTGGAGTAGGGGAGTTACCTGCGTGGTCTGTGGAGCATTCGATGAGGTAGTGTGTGCCGCGGGGGGAGGTGTATGTTGTTGCGTTGGAGGCGGGGCAGGATAGGGCGGTTGGACTGGGTGATGGGGGGATGGTTGATGGGGAAGAGGGTGAGATTGAGATGGTAGAAGAAGGGACCGTCGTTGTGTCAAGATGGGAGGTGGATGAGGATGTGGTCGACGACGCGGAGGGACCTGAGCTGAGCGAGATGGATGAAGAGGAGCTAGAGGTCGTCATGGATGTCGTGGATGTAGTCGCCGATGCGGTTTCGTTGATGTGGTAAATCTGCATTCTACTACCCGCTCCACAGTACTGGCTATTCGACCCTTTACAGGGCATATTGCACTGACTGGAATCGGTGACGCAGGACTGGGGATTAAGCTTCGTGCCGCACTATCAAGAAAGTCAGCTACACAGAGAACCAAGAAAGACAGGAGGAGAGGGAAAGGCAAAACCGACCCAGCATTCCTCAGAGTATTCCAAGCCGAAGTAAGGATACTTAGCGCAGAACTCCGCGCAAACCTGCACCGTCATGCCATTAGAAGTCGTCGACTCTTCACTCAGCGTCTTGCCGCCTGAGCCTGACTCCGCATAGCAGCCGATGAAACCGTACGGCCCCACATTCGGCGTAATCTGCAGCGGAGGCGACGTCGTGTTCCCGTCGAACTTAGTTGAGTCTGCGAAGAGCGAGATGTGCGCCGTGTCGTGGAGATACCCGTCGCCGCCGCAGGTCTGCGCGTTGTTTCCCGAACAGCCGAAGTTGCAATTGCTGTCGTCGTTTTTCTGGAGAGGGATTGCGTTTCCACACCAGCATTCTTGCCTGTACTGGGTACCGGCGAAGGTGTAGTTCAACGCGTAGCAGGCCTCGATGCAGTGTGCATTCGTGTTGTTTGTCGTGTCTGAATAAGCGAGCTGCGCGAGCTGTCTTCCGGGATTATTCTCTTTGAAGCATCCCACGTAGCCGTATTGGGCTGTACCATTTGGAAGCAGAGGACCAATCTGTTCGGCCGCGGCAGAACAGAAGAATTGGATGTCTTGCTTGCCGAGAGTGGGATCACCGGTATTCAGCGTCCAACTCGCTGTTCCATTGTAACTCGGAACATTGACCTGGGACTTGGGAACGGAGCAATACAAGTTTGCTGTCTGGCTTTGGCCAGTTGCGATGGAGGTTCCTTCTGCGAGGTCGATGTTGTTGGACTTGCCGATGATTCCGGGGATGCCATAGGGTGGTTTGGAAACCGTGATCGAGAGGGATACGGCGTTCGGTCCGCCTCCGTTTGTGATTCGCATGAGGAGATTTCGGGTTTGCGCTTCATAGACGGTGCCGAAGCTGAAGGTCGTGCTGTTCGAATATGGAATCCATTCGGATCCGTCGATGGCTTGGAACTCGATGACGCATTTTGGCTGCGTGCCAGAGACACCGAGAATACGTATGGTAGCAGTTCCTCCATCCGAGAATCCTTTGACGTAGACAGTGTCATTGCCGGGAGAAATGGGCGAATAGATCACACTGATAGGAGCAGACTTCCCTGGTGCAATTGTGGACGGAACTTGAGTAAATAGGAAGTCGCCTACTTGGAGTTGCCCATCCTCAGTGGCGTTGGGTTGAACCCACGGTCCATTTTCCGAGACAACAGAGAAGCTAATATTCGCAAAGGTCAAGGGAGTATCGCCGAAGTTCCAGAAGAGAGACGACTGTGACGGACTGGACTGCCCCACAATGACACTGAACGTGATCGTATTTGGCACGACGGCAAGAACCGGCGCGGATGAGTGCGCCGTGGCTTTCAAAGTGACGTCGATAACTGAGCGGAAACCAGCTTTGGAGTTTACAACTTTGATAGCGACATCGCTGGATAAATTTCCAACGGAAGAAGGGCTGCAGATGGCTGTGAAGCTAAACGTTTGGCCAGACGAGAGCTCCGTAGGTAGGGAAGGAATGTCCGAAAGACGGAAGTTCGTAGTGTTATCCGTCAGACCAACGGCGGTTACTGACGTGTCTGTGAGCGCTGTGCACGTGACAGTCAAAGGAGCGGACACATTGTTGATCGGCACGGCGCCGAAGTCATAAGGCGAGGAGCAGTTGAGTGGAGCATCCGTGGGTGACCCAAATCCGTACAGGTATCCTCGGTCGGTACTGATGTAAACTCTGCCATCGCCAAACACCGGGCGCGAGAACTTCGTAACGCCAGGAACGGTGAAATTCTTGATAAGTTTCAGCGGTCCGCCGCCAGGTGGTGGTATTGGGTCGTAAATGCGCAAGCCCTGCCCTTGAACATCGGAGGTCCACAATAATCCAGTGCCCTCTTGACCATCGAGCGATGTAGTAGTCCCATGCCCCGTCCCAAGAATGTACGCGTTTTTGTCGGGCGTGTCAGTCACTTTGGTAAATACCGCGTTTCCGGAAGGATCGCATGAGAATGCGAAAACATGGGTCTCGTGCTGCGTGACGCTGATGTAGACAAATCCGCCGCCTAGTGGCATCACACCTGCTCCTGCGTACACCGAATTTTCGTTCTGGTAGGCTTGAATGACAGCATCGCCGCTGTTCGGCCCCATCTGATAGCCGCCGAGATCGTCCAAGTTAAGCCAGTAAGTCTTACCAGACTTCCCAGTGATAACACCAATCCGCCGATGATTCGGGCATGAAAGGACATCCGATGGAAGTATCTCAAGAGGCGTGTTCCCCAGATCCTTGTCACCGCCATCCAGGTCTACCTTCTCGGCGGGCATGAAGAAGTCGATGATCGATAATGTGCCATCGTCATTGATCTTCGCATTAACAGCCGCTTCTTCAAGAGCAGTTGGAGGGTTTCGTCCAGGAACAGAATTGCCAGTAGGCTTCAGCTGGGATGCGTAACCGTTCCCAGTGGCAAAGTACATACTTCCTTTACCGTCGTAAGCAATGCCGCCACCACTCATCCAAACGCCACCTCCTTTGACCGTGTTCGGCTCGGGGCCTCCTTCGGTGGCGAATGCTTCGATGATGGCTCCAGTCTTCTTGTTGAACCCAATGATAGCACCAGTGTAATTATATAGAACGCAATGCGAAGCATATCCGGTGTATAGAAAGTCGCCTACGAGTAGCGCCCCTGGACGAGAGTGTTGATTGCCGCTGATGAACATCCGGTTCGGGTTGTTGCGGAAGACCGTTCCATCCACCACCACCGGCCAGCCATCTACTTCCGCAAGGTCTTCCGTGTGGATGGCATGCTGATAATACCTGCCGTTCAACCGTCCAGGAGGACTCTTCGGACTGAAGTTTCCATCTTGAAATTCCTCGGTGTAGGTCTTCGCAGTGACGTACCATATCCCTGTCTCTGGGTCGATAACTCCTGTGGCTGTTATCCCAATCAAAGGATTGATATCAACGCAGCCTGAAGCTTGTAAGCCCCGTCTAAAGAAAATCGGTTTGCGAAGCATATAGCATACTTCCCAGCTCCACTTGAAGAAACGGTACATGAAGGTTACGCGACGTTACTATGGCCCCGGTCTTCGCATCGATTTTGTAGACGTTATTCTGCGTCGTCGCAACATAAACATACTGGACTCCATCATCTCCAGTGTAAACCAGAGGAGATGAAAAGATCTGCTCGGCGCCCAGACCGAGAAAGTTTCCGAGTAGGGAGGTCTTGAAGATCTGGTCGAAGTCCGAGCTGGCGACGACCTTTGGATCCATATTATGGTTCCTGCGCGTGGATCAGCATATGGTCGTTCTTGAAAGAGGTGCGAGAAACCTACGTCTGATAGCCCGCGCGCGTGTTGTCTCCTCCCCATGTTACCGTATCTGTATCCGCAAGCGCCCATGTTCGCAAGGCAAAGAGGCTTGCAAAACCCAAAACGAGTGATCGCATCTTGAAGGCCGACGAGAACGAGGGTACAACATCAAAAGAGCGAATACGAACGAGAGACGACCAGTGGCCGGATATCAATAAGAGACTATGAAAACAAAGAGAGAACTAGCTGATGCTAAAAGGCAGATGAGATGGACGGAGGTATGCGAGCAAGGTGGCTCGTGATCATTCGACTCTAAGTCCGAGGATGGTATGGAACGAGGTACAACGCTCCCAGTGGCGGCGGTGATAGCATGTTGAGGGCTCTTGAGCCAACTTAGCTGCGCAAAGCGTCGAAAAGAGACGCAGCTTGCTCTATTCAAGACGAAGCAATATCCACATGGTAACTGGGTACGACGAAGGCTGCCACTGAATTAAAGGGACAGAGTAGAAACTGTCGGCTTCTCACAGCACGAGTGGACCCGGAACGAGTCTTGTTGAAAGGAGGGCTGCATACGCGGGAGGGTTGAAAGTCGGCTGCAAGTCAACGATGGACGAGAAAGACGGGAAGCGAGGTGCGAGACGGCAAGAAATGCAGTGAAAAGCGGGTCATGTTACGATTGAAAGCCGTACTCCCATGAACTGCCCTCAATCACTGCCAAGCTGCAATTGATTAGCACTGTAACAATTGGCTCACAGAAATACGTCTCCTGGCCCGTTCAAACTCCAAGCGTGCGGCTGCTGGTGACCTCCAGCGTACATCAACCGTGGGCCAAACCCGAGCAGTCGAAGTGTCCTACTGTGGCTGGCTCCACAGGCAGCAGTACGCTCGTTGCAGTTGGTCTGTGTAGTTCTTTCCTCCTGGCGTCTGCTTGGAATTTTCAGTCGGCGGCGGGTGGAAACTTCGATGCACTTCTGGGTCGCTATGAATACTGGTCTCCTATGGGGGTTGATCAGGACTGCGTTTTGAGCTGGAACTGGGTTTGAAGGGAGACAAGACGAGCAGCCATTACGGACAGATGTGCAACCGGCGAGGCTGTTGAGACACGCAGTGCACTCGTGGCTAGTAACATTAAGGTTAGCGATATTAGCAAGAGCGGTTAGCCGCATGCCCCTTTAAGGCAAGCGCGCGGAACATGAGGCTCCTCGGAATATCGTCGACACATACCCAGCTGCCCCCGGATGCGGACGCATTGGCTAACTTATCCGCTTATCCATTTCGTATGCTGAGCTGCTCGCTTTCGACCCTGGAGGAGCTCTCTTCATAGCAAGGCCAGTTCACGCTCTCGTCCGGCTCTCGTTCACGGCGACGTCGCAACAGCGTACAGAAACGCCACGGCAACACAGAGGGCAGGAACCAATGCAACGTGGTGCTGCAGTGTGGACCGCGTAGACAAAGAAGAGGAGATGAATGTTTCAAGCAATGAAACTAGCGTGAGCTAGACGTTTCCAAATCCGGTCCTGCGCCAAACACACGAGATAGGTCCAGATTCAGACCGACATAGTAGAGGGATGAAATCACGCCCGATACCTTGCCACGCCCGAGCCCTATCCAAACGCCGTTGCACTCATAAATGCTAACGCCCCAACGTCCCTCTTAGCTCGCCAGCTTTGGAGGGCCAAGTATCCATCCACGTGCCATCAGCCGTCCACTCTTTAGATCAACTCTCCCTCACCCTCATCTTCCGCCTCCCCCTCTGATTCCCAATCCACCTCCCCAGCTGCTTCATCCGCCCTCTTCTGCACCTCCGCCAGTCCCGACATTTCCTCAACCCATCCTTTTTCGTTCAAGGCTCGTTGAACAAAGTCCCAAGGATCTTCTTGATAAAGTGCGAGCACCTTTTCGCTACATGCTGAGCAGCAATCGTATGGTTTTCCCGTGACTTGGATATTGCTGAAGCTGTTAAGATAGCCCCGAATAGTGTGCGGGACAGTTCCTAGGGGGTGAACGAAAGGCGCAGGTAATGACGGATGTGATGACGAGGGAGAGGAAACTTTCGGGTTCTTCGATGCGTCTACAGGTGCACGGGATTTCGAAGGATGTTGCAGAATGCTAACCAAAAGCTCGACGAGCAAGCTGGAAGCGAGAGGCGCGATGCCAGGGCGCGTGACGGTGCATTGTTGATCAAGGGTCGCGTTGCTGAGAGACTGTTGCCGACGGTTAGCGCTGCGCAAAGGGTTGAGTCCACTTGGAAACTTACATCTGCCGGTGCCACAACGTCATTGCAGAAATAGCAGCCTAGCTCTTCTTCTCCCTCGGCCGTCGCTTTCAGACCGTGCCGCATGACCACGTAAGTATCGAAGCCGAGAGCGGCGTTCAGGACAATCTTTCCTGCCGCCTTTCCCATGACGGTGGGTAGCCATCGGCTTTCGCGTGAGTCCAAGAGCAAGAATATTGCATCGTGCTCGTCAATCAACTTCTTCAGCTTGTCGAAATCCCTCTTGGTCTGCGCGCCATCTGTGATTGGATGGCCCGCCATCGGGACCTCCATTACATGGCCCTCTGATTCGACGCCTGGATAGATCTCCTCTAATGCCTCAGCGGCGCGCTCAGCTTTTCTGGCGCCTCCCTGAAGACAGTCTTTGAAATCGAACAACGGCTGCCTCACAGGATTCGAGAAGCTGACGGTTGCATTGTCGATGAAGGTAATCTTTCTGACGCCCCATCCCATTAACATTCTGGAGACGTACGCCCCAAGGGTTCCTGCACCGAGCAACAGACATTTGCAGTTTTTCACTACATCAAGGTCGATGTTCGGTGCTATACGCCATTTGATGAGTTTGAGGTTGAGATCCACGGCTTGATCGGCGAGTTTCCGCTCGTCCATGTACTCTGAAAGGTCGACGCTGCGTGACGTTAGCTTACCAGTCTCTGTGCGCTCCCAGCCAGTCACTTTGGGCAGCTTGGGAGTCCGAGGCCGAGAGCTCGTTTCTCCCAAGGCCGCTGTTTGCGATTCAGGAGCTGGTTCCGAGTGGAGTTGCAGGATCAAAGAGTTTGACTGGTCTCGTCGGAGGTGTGTGTCGCGGTAGCAGAGGATTTGCGTTTCGTTCAAATGCCATCGGTGCCGGATGAGGATGAGCAGGTTCCTTAGCATCCACCCGGGATTCTCCGGATAGGTAGAAGGGTCCGCAAAACACACAAAACAATCCTCCTTGGCAATGCTGTCGAAGAAGCCCTTCTCTTGAGACTCCAGCTTGCCAATCACCCACTTGTATCCGATCTCGTCAATGGGCGTAACGGGAGTCTTGGGCCGCTCGTCTCCATCCGCGCCAGGGCGAACGCGCTTGGCCAGAAAGAAGCCACGCTGCCGCGCATCGGCGCTGTATTTCCACGTCTGCACTGCGTCCACCAGCTGTGTCGTCTCCTTTGGATTCAGGTGGCCGACGTCCCCCACTTGCTTCCATTGTGGGTCTGACTGGATCGCAGGGAAGCCGAAGTGGTATGTGAATTTGTACTTCTTCAAATTGGCGAAAGTTATGACAGTGAAGGCGGAGAGAAGGGAGGGACACTCGTATATGGAGCCGTCGTGGATAGCTTCCCATATCTGTACTCTGTCAGTCTAACGATGGCATGGCAGGATGAGAGAGCCTACGGTTTGCGCGCACCTCTCGAGCACAGCGGTGCGGTCGAGGTTCTTGTAGTCTTCGATGGTGTTGCAGTTCTTGATGATGCCTTCCGCGCGGCAGTAGTTTGGCGGAGTGCTACAGGAGCCATGGTCAGCGTAAAGCGTGCAAACGGCTGCGCTGGAGTGCATACTCGTCCGATGTCAGCGCATTTGGGTGTATCTGGATGCGCATAGATCGCGACGGGTGGTCGCCCGGCCGCACCTCGTACAGGCCGAGCACCTTGCGCGCTGAGTCGTCCAGTCTGTCATGGTTGATCTTTATATGCGCGAGGGCGGCATAAAACTGCACATCGACGTCGCTCTGCCACGGTGCAAACTTGAGCGCGGCCATTGTGAGGTCGCGAGATGCGAACAGTGAGGAGTGGGGCTCTGGGTCGGGGAAGAATGTCGTCACAGAGGATGGCGAGGTACTTATGAATGGAGAAATGAAGGCAAGGCAGAGCGCGGAGTCATGTGTAGAGTATTCATCAGCAAGGAGCGCACGGGGGCATGATCAGGCACGCGTGGTGGTGAATGTCTCAAAGCCGTCCAGGCAGCTTCTCGCGCCATCCACTGAAAGAGGGGAGGGCTGGGCTGGGCCCCGCGTCGCTCATGCCATCGCGCGGGGCCGCCAAGCCGACCAGACGCGTTCCTGGAAGGAGCGATGCGCGCTAGCGACACCCGTTCACACCGCGGCAGGAGCAGCAACACTCGCAACGGAAGCCCTGGAGCACACCTCTCCGAAGACTTGGATCAATTCCCGAGATAAATATTGATGATTCCAGGTTGCTCATTGTTCGACAGTTAGATATGCTCATTGGGCTGTGCGGAGGCAAGCACGTCCCCAAGCCCCGCCCTCAATGACTGACCATCCCAGGCATCTGCGCGGGCAAGTCCTCCATTGCATCATATCTCGTCGAGGAGCATCGATTCGAGCGAATATACCTCGAGCGCACCGCTGCGACGCCTGCAGTCGAGAAATCTGCCTCTAATGCCCACGTACCCTCCGCTCAACCAGGCTTCACCGATCCCGAGTACACGTTCCCTAACATCGATGCGTTGCTAGACTTTGTCACTCTGAGGTGGAAGGAGCGATGGGTGACAACCGATATATGGGACGACAAGGTGGTGGATGCATTGCTCCGCCGGCCATTCTTCCTCCTGGTCAGTGTTGACGCGCCGGTGAGCGTGCGGTGGCAGCGATTCAAACATCGGTACGGCTCCTTGACGTGGGAAGCTGCGGCATACTGATATTCCTAGATGCGCTGCCTATAATCTCAAGCCGCCAACCCTGGAAGACTTCGTCCTGCGGAACGATGCGCACCTGTTCGCTCCCGGCACGGGGCTGGGTGCTCTCTTCGAGCGCGCCCAACTGAAGCTCCTCAACTCCACCACCTCGAAACCTTCGTTACATTCGGCGCTGAAGTCCCTAAATCTATCCAATGAGGCACGACTCCGCCCAAGTTGGGACCAGTACTTCATGCAGCTGGCAGACCTGGCGGCCCACAGGAGCAACTGCATGAAGAGACGAGTAGGATGCGTCATCGTGCGGGAAAAGCGAGTCATAAGTACCGGATACAATGGCACACCTAGAGGCATGACGAACTGCAACGAGGGCGGATGTATGCTTATGGGACCTAGTTCCTCTAGAGGAATGTGCTAATACAGCCCTAGGTCCACGATGTAATAGCGCCACGAAGGGTGGAGCAGACCTGTCCACCTGCCTCTGCCTCCATGCTGAAGAGAACGCACTCCTAGAAGCTGGCCGAGACCGTATTGGAGACAAGTCTACTCTGTATTGCAACACCTGCCCCTGCCTCACGTGTAGTGTTAAGATCGCACAGGTAGGTATTAGCGAAGTCGTCTACAACCAAGGCTACATGGTCGACACCAAGACAGCTGAAATCTTCGCTGAGAGCGGCGTGCGTCTACGCCAGTTCTCTCCACCCAGAGAAGGACTTGTGGATCTCTCTCTGGGTCTGCCGGAGGACACAATTACGCCATCAGAGGCCAGCCGACTTGGAGATATTCGCGAAATTCTTGACGATGCAGACTTCGTGCGTCCTGTATATTAGGACTGCGATATATTTATCACATTCTCTTGCCCCCTGGTAACCCCGGCACAATACCGTGTGGGGACTGGAAGCCTTCAGTGACATGTTCTGTATATTGAAAATCGGGTGGGGCTTCCGGCAATATTGCAGAGCAGCAACATCCATTGAAAAGCGGCATTTTCCCCTCCAGATGTTAAGACGCGACGAAATCAGAGGAGCAGCAAAACTCTGTCAATATGATGCTCCTGCATCTGATCGGCCTAGTTGGCCTGGCCGTCGCAAGCTGCCCTCGCGAGCAGATGTACTACGCTGTCGACTACTACGTATGGTCGCAAACACAAGCGCAGATTGGACTTCTTCCAGTCATCCACGACGTTCCCTACACCGAAAACCGCAAGAACACGTCCTTCATCAGTGGCATCATCGGCCACTACCTCCCACTCGACTGGAACGCGACGTTCTACGACAGCGAGACATGCACCGCCTTCGCGGAGCTTATTTCCACCGCAAAGAATAAAACGTATACAACAGAAGGACCTACCGTGGTGGGCATGCGCTTCCAGTTCACGAAGATGAAAGGCGGATACGATGGCAAGGGCGGAGACGATGATTTAGTAATCACGAGAATGGATGGCGTCGTTACGAGAACGGGAGACTGGCTCTTCAACGCAACGAACAGCCTCGCATACTACAGCGCCGAAAGGCCCTGGGACACCATTCCAGGACCCAAACGTGATTCTCGCGCTACGCTCAAAGCCGCCGCTGACGCCTACGCTGACCGCTTCGCCAACACCTCTGTCGTCGTGCCCCTCGGCACGCCCTGCTGCCGCATCGAGGGCGGCGCGTCGACCTGCACTGGTGCGAACGAAACGATGCTGAACACATGCACGAAGGGGTTTCCGGATGCGGCGCACCCCCAGCAGTTGAGGGAGAGGACGTATGTGATTGATCAGGAGAAGGGGGTTGTACAGGTTACGATGAATTTGGCGGGGCTGCCGGATAGCCACCTTTTCCGCATTGAAGAAGGAATGATCCGGGCCGTGCATACCATGACGGCTTGCGGGGATTTGGGGTGTAGGATTGGGAATGAGACGTTGAAGAGGGATGGGGGTGAGGGTGTAAGAGAAGGCAAAAGGGGCTGAAGGCCTTCAAGCTGGGTTTTACGGTGTGCTTTTCCGGGCTCTACGTAGTGTGGTCTGGCGTAATAACACACTCATACAGGTGCGGGTTGGGATATGACAAGATGCAATTTCCGTGACTGGGAGGAAGCTGTGTTCATACAGCCGCCGTGGAATAACAGGCAAGTGCCAGGTAGGCTCCACCCAGCAGTAGTACCCCGCAGTGCAAGATAGAGGTAGGTGCGAGATGGCATATGGCTCCTTCCTGGAGTGTGGTAAACAAAGGGTGGCTATTAAATGCCGGCCGCAGGTAAGTGTTCTGTTCTTCACCAATATGTCTTTCATTTCTAGCTTGTGGGAGCTCCGGCTCCCGGAATATATCCTCTTTATACTCTTTATTTTAAAGAGAATTACCCCCGAGGGCTGCTTGTGCGCCTGGGCCTGTGGCTGCTCGAGTTGGGCAAGCTTTAATCGCTGGTCAGTACCCACTCGCTCCTAGGCTTTTCCACTAGCAATGGCTGATCACCGTCTAGGTGACCCTTCCTGGTACCGTCAAGCACCCCTCCTCGGTACCCTAGACGTTCCATGGCGAGACCTGCTCATTCACCTGTTCGTCGGTGAAATCGTCAAGAGCATGGTCGAGCTAGCAATCGAATGGACGTACGACTGGGTGACGAGGTGGTCCAGGGAGCGGGAGCCAGTGCCAGGAGTGTCTCTGCTGCCGATATGATCCTCGACGCGAGCCGTTACGATCGTCGACGACTGCCGTTGAGATGTCGTCGTCGTGCCGATATGACGCGTCGAGGTGCCTTTACGATACGAGACACTCCTGCCCGGCGAGCCCCAACGAAGAGCGCCCACAGCCCAGAGCCAAGCAGCCATCGGCCATCTTTTTCGGCCATTCTTTCATTTATAAAATATCCCCGGCATTATCCCTTGCCTTGTCGTCGGCGTCGGGGCTCCCCACCAAAGGGGATCTATTCGTGCGTTTTAACCTCCCTTTCATGCTGCGGTTATTCTGACGAGACCTGCTTCGGATATCCCTCAGTGCAGTCATACCCGGGTATTACCGTGCAGTCCGACCGGCTCGCTCCAGAAGGGAATCTGTTGGGGACGCTAGGACGATCCGAACCAGACTCTGAACATAATTCGACTCTCAACTGCCCGAGTCCATGCACAGCCACATATAAGAGTCGCCAGCAAACGCCCTGAAGGAATTTTCACTTCTTCATCACCACAGTCACGTAATTTCAACGAATATACCACCAACTCCTCCAACATGGCACCGCATTCAGAGACGAGGGGATCTAGCTGGAGATTCCGAGACCTACACTTTCTCCACACGCAGCTACTTCTCTGGGCTCCACTCGCCGTCTTCTGGCTGATTCTCAACGGTGTACGATACCGCTCTGGAACGCAGCATCAGGATTGCGCTTGGACATTCCCGGCCCTGAGGGAGGACCCCTCTTCGCGATGCTCTATCGGTAAGTTCCTCGAACAACCGCGCCCGTATATCTATGCGACCCTTTCTGCGGTCATCGCTGTTCCTACGATCGCATTATCGCCGCCAGCCAAAGAAGCTCAAGTGCGTCGCATTCTATATCCACTTCGTCATCATGTTGGCCATCTATTGCCTGGCGTCGTTCTCCGGGTACACAACCTTCTCGGAGGTCTACTTCGCTCCTTTTCATTGGAACTCGCCCGCGCGGCCGGTGTGGCTCTGGTTTCTGACCGAGCGCGCATTCTGGAGCTGGTCATACTTGGGAACATATGAGGACTATCACTTCCGCCAGGTAAGTAGCTCGCTCGTTCGCAATTCCGATCTTTCCCGAGACGCTGACGCACTCCAGGAGTCGCGAACCGTGGTCGACGAGATAGGGACACCGCTATGGACATTCACCTGCGAGACACGTTATTTTCCTTGTTTTACTCTATCCCAGCGACCTTCAGAGTGCTTCGGTGATTTATTCCGTTTCCGAGTTTTCCGCACTCATTGTAGACATGTTGAGGTTGGAGCCTTTACCCCGTCGAAATTCTTTCCAAAGCAGTCACAAAACCCACACGCATCAACCGGTCGGGTAATGCCTCCCTGCTCGTCAAACATTATATTCTCCTTCTCCGCCCCAAGTCATTCTCTCTTCCGCATATCTAAACAGCTCCGTTCCCCCATCTCCCCTCCTACTACACACCTCAGCGCAAATCCCTGTGCACAGCGATGCACCGCCATACCATGCGAGCACCACCCTCCCTAGAACCCCCACGACAGCTACATCAACCTCCCACTGTGCGACCAACCCTGCGAGGACGACGAGACTCCGCGGCGAAACGGCATCAGCCCCTCCACTGAGAACTTCCCCCGTTACAATTTCTTCTCTAGTTCCCTCCCGCCGGTAGTCCTCTGGCTTCGTTACTGCTGCTTACCGCATCAAGCTTGCCTTGCCGGACTGGACTCCTGCACCCCGAAGAACCAGGCTCCCCATCTCGTCTCCCTCCAGTCCACTAGCCGGGTATATAAGACCCCCTTGCCTTTCCCATCGCGGATCCCTATCCTCCACAAAGCATCCTCCTCACTGCGTAGCAGACTAAAAGCGATGTCGTGAAGGTATATGTGCGTGTCTTCGTAGCAGCTCAGTCTTAGGGACTAAAATCGAATTGCAAAAAACCTATGGGAGGACTTGTGTGCGTGTGCGTGGGGAGAGTGCGGATATGTATGGGTTTGTCAGAGTGCTGCAGGCTTGGGGAAGAGGGAGGGAAGGATGTGTAGGTTCGGAGCGGTGCTGGGGTGGTAGAGATAAAAGATGGCTTCATTAGACGGCGTGAGGCACATAAAGCTGTAGAGATATTCCTTTTAGACGCCCCGGTCTAACAGAAAAGCCCGTATTCAACAATCAATGCTCTACTTTGTTACCCGCTATCGTACCCTCCAGGCACTGTCCTGTTATGCAGTGCTTGATCCATGACTCCTCCTCTTTCCCAAGTCGATTAGCTTACCCGTCGCTCGTCTATATAATCCCCTCCTTTCCCTCTGCAATTTCCTTCCACACACTCCCCAGCCTTATTCGCATGACACTAAAATAACAAGCGATCCTGTCCGATGTGCGTCTCCGCTCTGGGTTAAAAAGACTGCAAAACCAGAGATATGGAGTTCTCGACCAAAATCGAAGACCAAATAAACTCACGCATTGGAGACTAGAAGCCGCGCGGATACAAGCCATGGAGCTCCTTCGCCATAGGCTCGAAAATTACTCGTCTCTGCTGGCCACGCTCCCAGAATTGGCATCCCATCACCAACATGTATTCGAGGTGCTGCGGCTCTTTTACGCTTCCGCTTCCGCTTCCAATTCGAGACTGCGTCCTTTCAGGGCATATAAAAGCTCATTCTTGCCTATTCCTACCGTCTCTCCTCATCCACCAAACTAGAAAGCGCTCCAAATCTCGCAAGGGGCGCTTCTATGGACATCCAGCAGACCGCGGCGCCATCTTGTGCCGAGGGCAAAAATGGCGAAGCATCTCACCCATGGGCCGGCGTCCCAGTACATATAAATGAACGAGCGGCTCTCGAATATGTCGTTCCACCCGCGGGGCCCTCGAAGGTCGGGCCGTCGAAGTGGTGTGGTGTAGTATCCTTAAGGGGTGGGGGGTGTATGCGTCTCACCCAGCACGTATCAATCAAAAGAATGAACCCTCCCTCACAACGTAGATACCGCTTGCCCGCGGATATAAAAACCCCCGTCCGTCCGTCCTCCCTTCCCGCTCTTCCTCCACCCCTCACGCACGAAATCTCCCTCCTCACTAAAACGGAGGCCTGGACGCAGCTACGGGACAACCTCCAAAAATTTCCAAAGCTTGGACCCATGTGGCTCTGCGTCTGCCCCAACTAGACCTCTAAAAGTAAATAGAGCCTGCTTATGGAAACACGCGAGACTATCTAGAATTGAGCTACGCATAAGGAGAACCACGGCTGTGTGGAGAGGGCAGGCAGGCGAGTCTTGTGCTGAGAAATCAGCGCGTAGCGTGCCGGGGGAAGACAAGCGGTCCAGCGCGTCCTAAAAAGCATACAACGTCGTCCTCCATGGCAAAATACCACACCACGCCCCATGGGCGGATCACGCCTTCCCCGGGTATATAACCCCTTCGCTTCGGAATCCTTCACGCACTCCATCATCGTCTCTCCACTGAGTTCACTCTTTGCTAAAAGTTTAAGGCTCGCGGTGCATGGTGGCCCGAGCCGGTGGTGGGTGGGAAACTAAATCCACTTGGGTTGCGTCGGGTGAAAGGAAACTAATGTAGAGAAAGGATATCGAGCTCTTGGATCGGAAGTGGGAGTGGGAGTGTGGAAGATGTGAGAGGAGGGATGTTGAAGAGAGTTTATGGTAGGGGGGAGAGAGGGATCGAAGTGTGCAATGGTGATGGTGATGTTGATATGCACCAATATTCAGACGCGATGAAGCGAAACATGATCCAGAAGTAAAGAATCCACCACCATGTAAAACACATCAAGAAACCTGCCATCAAAAACAAAGATCAGACCGTACTGCAATCCTTCTGTAACCATGCGCGCGCCCTAGCCCCATCCGACCTCCTCCTCTCATCCCTCCTCCTAAGCACAACTCTTTCTACCCATCCCACAACGCCTCAAAGCCCCTAGCATCTCCTGCCCCTCCCATACCTCCTGGGAGCCGGGCTTCTCGCATATCCATACCCATGGCGCGCATGCCCCATAGGTGGACGCGCACTCATGCCATATCCAGGGTTGCCGTGATGTACGACGTGGTTCACCGGTGCGCCGGTGGCGTACGGGTTAGTCTGGCCGCGGCGAGAAAAGCGGGATGGTCCGCAACCCATGGTGGTGTGTTTGGTTCGAGAAGCGGGAACGCTTGTTCTGTTTATTGGTGTATTCGGAGCGTGAGGAGGCAAATTGTGGCTGGAAGCGGATGTTGCTCAGAATGCTTGCGGAGATTGTGGTTGCTGAGCTGATTGGTGGAGACGGATGGTTTGAATGGGTGGGGGTTTTGTAGACGAATGGTATGTCGAAGACGTTTTTAGGACATGTCTGTGTTATGGTAAGTTCGAATTTGGGGACTCTACTTCCCTTATATACAGACTCATCACCTCTCCGTACGCTTGCCAAGTCGAATGCCACACCACCGTCGAAGCGGCTGACGTGCGCCACAGCACATGGTATGAGAAAATGTGGCTCATGCTTTGGCTACACTCCTTTTGGGGCCTTCCGGTTGCGCGTCCGGCGTATGTAGCGTCTGGGCTGCTGTGGGCGAAGAACTTTGGCATTGGCGGAGCGGAAGGTGGAGAGAATTAGAGAAGCGGGATTGGATAGGGAGATGCGATGATTGGTGAGGGATGACGTTGGCCACGTGCTTGGCTGCCGTTGGGAAACGGTCCGAATAACGGAAGTTCGGCGGAAGCACTTGGTCCTTGGGAGTCTTGGACGCGAGAAGGTTGTTAACATCCAAGTGCTGGGCATTTGGGCGGGCGACAACCCGTCGGAAAGGGTGGCAAAGAATACTGGCCCTAATGGGTAGCTGTCAAGGATCTGGCCTTCGAATGGTAAGTAGGTGGAAGCTAAGTTAGAGTGGAAGTGGGCAGATATGACGGGAGTGAACTCTCCTGGGGATTGGGGAAACAGATATGCTGTATTGACATCTATGTGAATGTTACCCTCTATAATTTCCATGCTTTCATAGCCGCGAGGCTAAGAATGGTTTCTAAAGCGGAAGGGTTGGGTTCGATCTTCGCCATCCGAGTGGAATCCGTCATTCATGGAGAGCGGAATGATAGCCCAAAGAAGATGGCGGCACTTCGTTCTTGTGTTCGGCAGTCGGTCACACTTTGACGAACTTGGTGTGCGAGCCTGTAGCGACAATGGGGCCGGGCTTATCGTCCACGACCTTCCAGATGGTCGCCGTCGTGAAGGCCAACGAGCCTCCCACCTTGCCCGCATTGCCTTCGATCTCTATCCAGTCTCCATCTTTCGCCGAGCTCTGGTACGAGATGTGGATATCGGTGCTGACGCCCGTCTTCACCCTGTTGTCCCAAGCAGCGATGGCCATGCCGCCAACCCAGTCAATCAAGGTGGCGGAGACGGAGCCATGAATGCCGCCGTGGGCATTGATGTGGTTCTTCGACAGGAGAAGGCGGGCGCGGACAATGCCTTTCGACGCGTAGGTCAGCTGAATGTCCTCGAGCAGAAACTGATAGATGGGACTGTGCGGTTTCCGGCCCTGCCAGAACTTCTCGACGTGCGCAAGGGTCTCGGGGTTGTTGGCAGGCAGTTCAGAGGCCATGATGACCGCCATGAAGCGAGCGCGCTCGAAGAGGCTGTCGGCAGGCGGGGAGGAGTGCACAGTGGCAGGGCGAGGCGTGGAGGCGTCTCGGGAATGGAAAATGAAGTTTGCTCGTTAACTCCCTTCCCCGATCGACGCCCGGCCGGACGTTCCTCCGCGCCGACGCGACTTCCGCCGCGCTCAGCTTTGAAACGGCCGCTACCCCAGATGAGCTGAATGATCCCGAGACGCCACATTGCTCATAGACAGAACGAACCCGCGTGCATTCTTACGGGACTTTTGTCCAATTCACGGCGCTCGATGTTGACGCCCAGAGAGCAACACCATGAGCGAACCTACACAGACACCCCCGAGCCTCCGCGATCCACCGGCCGATATATCACACGATGCGCCAGCGCCTGAAACCCCCGCGGAGAAGATAGAACAGCCGAAAGACGCGCAGAGCACACCGTCCATAGACCTGAAAGCGCTCACGGACTGCGCGCTTCGTTTCCTCGCGACCGCGAGTAACGAGACCCTGGGCGCATGTCTCGTCGGCCTGGGCGCGGGCACGTATCTAATACTAGGAAGAGTCGGATTGCTTCTCATTGGTGTCGTGGGGGGAGTAATGCTCCATGCGACATGGGAAGGGCACACGCATGGCGGCGAGGGCCAGAACCAGGGGCAATCCCCAGGAGGGAGGCGGCGAGAACTGGGAGCAGACATTGCGCACAGAGTGCTCGACTGGCGGGAAACGAAAGGGAGGGGCAAAGGGAGCGAGGACGATGAATCCAACCTAGATGTGAAGCTGTATTCGGGGAAGGAACTGGACTTCTCAGACTTCCGACCGGAGACGGCGGCAGCGCTCACTGAGCTAACGGATGCTGTTATTCGGGACTACGTCAAGTATGTCAAAGCAGAGCCGCCCTCATTCTCCTCTAATGTAACGCAGGTGGTGGTACTCGCCAATCTTACCAACCGAAACTTCATTTCCCAGTTCGTGCCGACAGACGTTGACTGCCTTCTTACTCTCCGTATCCGCCCACCTCTCTCGGAAGCGACCCGCCGACAACTTCGTCGACTTCGTAACGCGCTCGTCCTCGTTCACGATCATAATATTCCAAGAGCTTTCAAATGCGATAATGGCCTCCCCAGGCGATGCTGCCTCGCAAGCCGTAGACATATATCTCAAGATGAAACGGGGTAGTACGCTGGCGAACATTCTGGATACCGACTATCAGATGAAGCAGTTCAGCGTCGCTGCCGAGGACATACTCCAGAATTACTTGGAACCCAAGACATACAACTGCCAGCCCGCGCGGATATTCCTCCACCAGATGTTGGCCAAAGTCGTTCTGGAAATGATAGTAGCCAGCTGTTCGAAGCCCGAGTGGATTAATGGCTGGATCGTTTATCTCTTGGAAGATGGCGAGCCTGAACTCATGAACGCCATCGACGCTGGCGTCGAAGGCTCTTCCCCGCAGCTGCAGAACGTAAAGGATAGCGTGGAGAAGCGGGAGAAAGCGCTTGATTCGGAAGCCTCCGCGGAGGCGCGGCAGCACAAGCGAGTCGTGAGCAAGGCGCAACAGGCCATGGATGCAGCCATGCAGGAAGCTCAACGCTTGAGCCAGATGATTGCCGAAGAGGATGCGAGGAGGCTGAAGGAGCAGCAGAGCGCATCGAATACATCCCTGAACGACGACCAGTCGGAAAGCACTACACAAGGAATCGTCACTCCAACATCATCCCAGAGCGAAACGCTGGTTGACAACGACGCGTCGGCGTTAGGCATCTCCAATCTTCCGTCACATGCTGCATCAGATATCAGTCCGCCATCGCCTAACAAAATCGCGGAAGAACCGCCCAAACAAGAAGTAAAGAGAGCTTTCACCAGCTTCGATCAGCTCCTTCCGAACAACCCTCCCACAGCGCTTTTGGCGAACCCGCCATCAGTGGAAAGACCACCGCCACTGACTCTTTACAACAGCAAGATGTCCATCTTCGATGATGCGATGCCTGGAGAGAAGGGCACCATTAGGAACAAGCCTACCGTGGAGTATCTCATTCAGATCGAGCCGGCTTCCCATCACCACTCCGGATGGATGACAGCGAGGAAGTATTCTGACTTCGAGACCCTGCATGAAGTGCTCAGACGCATAGCTCCCATCACGGGCTCAACCGGCTTCACTGAAGCGCACAAGGAGCTGCCAGCATGGAAAGGGCACACTAAGGCATCGCTGCGTGGGGAGTTGGAGCGGTATCTGAACGATGCCACACAGTTCAAGCCACTCGCAGAAAGCGAGGGCATGAAGCGCTTCCTCGAAAAGGAGATGGGCTCCGGCAAGTCCCCTGGTGCGGGGAGTTTGTGGCCTGGTCAAGCCTTCGAGACGATGGGCAAGGGCATGATTGATGTCCTCACAAAAGCACCCAAAGAAGTCGCTGGAGGTGGGAAAGCACTGTTCGGTGGCGTTACCAGCGTTCTGGGGAGCGTCGCAACGCCTCTTGGGGGTGCAAAAGGAGCGAAGAAGAATCGTGACTCGGTTCTGAATAACAGCTCCGGCAATCTACCTCGTTCATCCACGGCCCCAAGTCCGACACCACAGACCCGCCACGGCCGCGCAGAAAGCACCGTCTCAGAACTGCCAACCCACATCCGCACCGAAAGCACCATGTCCTTCGCGGCGAAGCGCACAAGCACCGAATCCCTCCGTACCTCCAATTCTCCGATCATTGACCAGCAACCCCAGCGCGAAGCCCCAATGGAACGCCGCCCAAGCTACAATCCGGATGGCGACGGCAAACGCTCGGGCCGATCCTCCATCTACGGCGCATCACGCAGCAACAGCCGGGCGCCCTCAGCGCGCGAAAGCATCGATCTCTCCCCCGTCATGGGTGGCGATCAGATTCTCAACCTCCCGCCGATGCCCTCCGAAATCCCGGACGACTACACCACCGGCTCGCCATCCCGTACATCCCTTGACCCCTACCACTCCCGGCAACCCTCCCGCGCCTCAACAAGCTCCCTCCCCCTCTCCCCAGAGCCCGTCCCACCTCTCCCCCGCCGCCCTTCCGCCATATCTCTCACCTCCTCCAACCACTTACCACCCCCTCCACCAACCTCCCCACCAAAACCAAAAACCCCACCCCGCCCCAAATCCTACGCCCCCCTCTCCGAACAAGAAACCACCGTCCTAATCGAACTCTTCTTCGCCGTCACAAACGAACTCTACACCCTCTCCTCCGCCTGGTCCCTCCGCCGCACCCTGCTCAACGCCGCAAAGACCTTCCTCCTGCGCCCCGGAAACCCGCAACTGACCTCCATCCAGGCCCTCATCCAGTCCACCGTGCTTGACGAGAACACCTCCGACGCGGGGCTCGCCTACCACATCCGCAAGATGCGCGCGAACGCGCTGCCGACCGAGGACGAGCTGAAGGCCTGGCCGCCGGAGATGGACAGCGAGGCGAAGGAGCGGCTGAGGGAGCGCGCGCGGCGCCTCCTAGTCGAGCGCGGCATGCCGCAGGCGCTGACGAGCGTGATGGGGGCTGCGGCCAGCGGGGAGGCGTTGGGAAGGGTGTTTGACGCGCTGCAGGTGGAGCGGGTTGCCCGCGGTGTTATCTTTGGGTTGGTGCTGCAGGCGTTGAGGGGTGTTACGCAGTGAGTGAGCGCGTGAGTGCGTCGGTGTTTTGCAAACGAGTACGTATGTACATACGTACGGTAATGCCCCTCCGTGTATGAACGGAATGAACGAGTGTCGATGATGTGTAACGGATTGGATGGATGGAAGGGTCGGCAGTCTGGGGTTGGTCCGTCGATGTCGGCTTGGAGCACATGCATGCATCAGGCGTTACGGTGTGGGCGGCGATTATCGGTATACTTCGCAAGATGATGCTTGGAGTCTATTCAGCAGTAGTGCATTTGTAATTATACGATAGATGAGGACGGGCAATTCCTGGAATTATATTGATGTTGAGCATTAGTGCCGGACTCCCCGTGCCACGGAAGCGCCCGTTTGCGAGCCCACAAATTGAAGCGAACATGTTCATTACACTCATAAACGATTTCATCCTATGGGACAAGTCAAGCCTCCACGGTTGCCAATTTAGCGTGGCGACGACATATCCAGAGGAAGCCCGGTTGCAAAAAGCACTAAGAAACAATACTCGTTCCAACGCCAACCAACCGTGACTCCGCCTGGAGTCCCTTTAAAACAATCCCGCATCCCACACTCCCAGTGCAGCAAGCCCCTCCCTCATGGTCCTTGCAAAACCACCCCGTCCAAACGCCCTAATCTCTAGCCTCGTAAGTAATGACCACGAAGATTTTGCAAGGTATGCAAAAGAAAAGGAGACCGCCTCAAGAGAGCGACAAGTCCTTACAAACAACGCACAAAATCCATCAACACCACTCACCCAACCGTGCTCTCCTCTTCCGCCGCGCGCCTGAAGTAGTCCGCGTCCACCGCGCTCTGGTTCTCTAGTGCCGCGGTCGGCAGATCAGTGCCGACACCCGAGTCGGTGTGTGGGGCGTACTCCTTCTTCATCTCTTCCTTGACGGCTTCGACGGCGCGGTCAACTTCGGATTCCGTGGGCATGGGCATCTCATCAGCGCCGGCGGTCGCAGTGGATACCTCGGAGGCGGTAACATCGGAGCCGTTTACTTCGGACGGTGCCGGAGCATCGCCGATAATCTCAGTGGGATCATCATCTTCGTCGTCAGAATGTTCAACGTGACTGGCTCCATCTTCGCTTCCTTCGTCAATGGTTTCGGCGCCACCAGCAAGGGTAGAGCGAGCGGTAGAACCGTAAGAGGTGCGTCGATCGATGTCGCTTCCGGTCATGTAGGAACCAGAAGCATACGTGTACTCGCTGCCTGTGCCACCAAAGCTCGAGCGACCATCGAAGCCAGGGGTTTCGCCCTCTGCATAGCTCTCGGCATAGCTCTCAGCATAAGACCCAGCGCCCAAGCTATGACGGCGCTCGGTACCCGTCTGGCTCTGGATGTCATCTTGAGCGTCCTCTTCGATAATTGAATGGGTGTCTCCAATGGATTCAGGGGCAGGAACGGACTCAAGAGCATGCTCATCCTCTTCGCTCAGAACCTCATTCTCCTTGTTGGCTACGGCAACGTTTGGCCGGCCACCCCAAGAGCCCTTGCGCAAGTAGCTGGTCTTGACAGAGTGGCTTCGCTTCAGCCCACCGGGGTTGGTAGTGCTGTTGCCGGTGACCGGATATGCTTGTGCTCCAGCCGGGGCGTTGCCGCTGATCTGGCTAAGCGAATGAATACGGCGGCTGGCGGGGTTCTGCGGCGGGCCGTTGTGGCGTATGGCTGGACGAGGCCTCAAGGCCAGGGAGAGGGCGCTTGCTGCCGCGCTCGGGGGAGGCATTAACTTGGTGACATCTTCCGAGACATCGGCGCTCATGCGCTTCTTCAGCTTGCTGGGGCTCTTCTGTCCACCCTTGGCGATCATGAGTGCGCGAGAGTGGTCCATGATACCATTGAGGATACGACGTTCCAGAGCATCGGCTTTCGCGTCCATCAGGTGCAGCTCCTCCCTCCGGATCTCGAGAGCAGTGTGCAGGGAAGAGACCTCACCAGTCAAGCGAACCTTCTGATTAGCGAGGTTCTCGCGCTCGGCCTGCAATGCCGCAACGATGGCGAGTAGAGAGTCCTTCTCTTCCTTGAGCTCGATCATGGTGCGCTCCTTCTCTTCCTTCAACTCCGCCATAGAGCGCTCCTTCTCGGCATTGAGTTCCTGAATCATGCTCTGCTTCTCGGCCTTCAGACTTTCAATATCGGCTTCAAGCTGCTCCTTCTGCGTAGTCCTACGCTCGACAAGCAGAGCTAGTTCCTCGGCTTCTCGCTCCTTAGCTTCGTTGCCGTCAGTGATAAGTTGGGTCTGCTTAGAGACGAGCTCGCTGATTTCAGCAGCAGTGGCCTTAACTTGAGCATGGATCTCATCGAGCCGCTCAAGCTGAGTTGTCGCCTTGTCGGCCTCGTCCACGTGGCCAAGCAGCTTGTCAAGCTTCTCCTGAACTTGAGCGTCGTCGTACTTCTCGGGCATCTCGATTGCTGGGGCGGAAGGAGGTAGTAAGGCGGGGAGGCTAGAAAAGTGCTTCTGCAGCTCTTCAGCCCGGGATTTCGCATCCTCGTTCATGGAGCGAATGCGGTCATCAGCTTCCTCCTTCGCCTTCTGCGAGTGTTCATAATGGGCCTTGACCAGAGCCTCGATCTCACGAAGGGCCACCATGAATTTGGGATGGTACTCCGTCACATTGTCTTGCAGGCCGTTGAAGATACGCTCGATGTTCTTGATCTCATCACGGGTATGCGAGTGCTCCGTCTTGTCCTCTAGCTTTTGGTCCTCAAGCTTCACCATTGCGTCATCAATCTTTCCAAAAACAGTTGAGGCGTCAGTGGTCCATTTCTGGGTTGATTCGTCGAATCGATCGTTCATAGTAGTGATGGAAGTTCCGAGAGTGTCGATCGTAAGGCGGAGTTCTTCTGCCATACTCTTAGTATCCTCTAGAATCTTCTCTTGCTCTTCCGCTTTCTCTTTCATGACCTTTGCCTGCTCGTCAGCAAGAAGCTGGGCATCATCGTACTTGGCCATGAGAGTATTGAAGCGGTCATCGATCTTTTCGACGAGGCCGGAGATAATCGCGTCCCTACCCTCGTCGTGTTTTTCCAGGTTGAGTGCCGACTTCTCGGCCTGGTCGTTCTGGAGAGCCTCAATGGATCCATGAGCGCGCTCGAACTCCCGGGAGACGGTCTCCATCAGCTCCTTCACATCCGCAGTAATGTTGAAGTTGGTTCCGACGGTATCCTCAAGGCTCTTGAAGGATTCCTTTAGGTTATCCACGGGCCCTCCTTCGGCAAGATTAGTCTTGATTTCCTCCTTGATCTCGTCCAATGCAGCTTTGACCTCGATGAAGTTTTCAGCGAAGCCCTCAGCCTCCTTTCTCCGATCATCAAATGCCGCCGCTGTCACTTTGACATCTTGCTCGTATTGGTCCCTCACCTGATCGTGGCTGTAGCGGAAATCGTGTATTAGGTCCGTCAGTTGCTCGAGGTCAGCCTTGGACGGGAGAGCATCTGGGTTGGGAATCTTCAGTTCGTCGAACTTCGCCTTCACTTCGTCAATGAGCAAGGTAAGAGCATCAACGTCGGCCTTGGTAGCCTTGGGCTCTGCCTCATCGTCCGATTTTGCTGCCTTCATCTCATCGAGCGCGGTTTTGATATCGTCGGCGATGACCTGGACCACGGTAACGTCGGCCTTCGTGGCGCCCTCCTCTTCGATCTTCTTGGCGAGCACATCAATGGCTTCCGAGGTAGTTCGAATGACCAATTCGACATCGTCCAAGTTCTCCTTGGTGACCATAGTCGCTGGGTCCGGGAAAACAAGCTCGTCTATTTTGGCCTTCGTATTGCCGAGAAGAGTTTCGATGGCATCGGTATCCTCCTTGGTTGCAAGTCCCTCTGTAGCAAGAGCTGATTGCTCCCGATCCTGCAACACCAGAACAGCTGCCTGAAGATCCTTGAGTAACTCCTCAATACTTGCTAAGTCGTCCTTCATCGCCGTTCCTGTAGCCACAGTTGGCTCAGCTGGAGGTGTTGGGTTTTGGAGGTTGGCATCCATGGCCTCCACCTTGATCTGCAGCTGAGAAAGCATGAGCTCCATCTTCTCGAGGTCATTGCGACGCAGAGATTCTCCGACGATGTCTCGGCTTGCAGCTTCTTCCTGTGCTTGGTCTGGATCTTCTGCAAGGACCACTTCGTTTCCGGTCGGTGTGGAGTCCTCTCCCAGGGGCGAAGAGTCGGTCCTGCCGCGGAGCTTGTCCATATCCTCCCGCAAGCTTGACAGACCAGCCTTTAGAGTGTCTAAGATTTCGTAGGATACCGTCATGTCCACTGGTTTGTCAACGGCTTTGACAATGTCGGTACGGAGACCTTCGAGTCCGTCGTTAAGAGCGTCGATGATGTCGTTGGTTGCGGACAGTTGACGCTCGGGATTGTCGAGCCTCTTCTCTAAATGGGATCGCAGATCGTCAAGACCAAGTCGCACAGCTTCGAGCACCTCTTCGGTATCGGCCCGCGCATGCTGTCGGGTTAGACCATTCGATTGACGCACTTGCTCCAGCTCACCACGGAAAGCTTCTAGGAGTTCGTCGTTGATGCCTATCGATTTGGAGCTCACCTTGATCTCTTCCAAGCCATTCTTGAGAAGCTCCAGGATCTCTTCCTTTTCAGCAGGGCCCTCCGCACGGACCAGAGCGGTACCGAGAGACTCTTTTAGATTATCCAGGCTCACTTGGATGGAAGCAATGCTGTCCTTCGACATGTTTTCCTGGGAAGAGCGCAGATCGTCGATGAGCTCTCGTATGGCATCGACCATATCGTCCTTGTCCGCAGCGCCACCAGCCCGTACCAGACTTCCAGCCAGAGCCTCTCGTAAGTGCTCTAGCTCCTCCTTTAATGTCCTAAGCACCTCATCGCTTGAATTAGACGAACCGTCCTGGTTACCAAGCCGAGCATGCAGCTCATCAAATCCAGCCTGTAACTTCTCTAGCACTTCATCCTTGTGACTCGCAGTATCACCAAGGATAATGTCCTTGAGCTGATCGAATTCTTGCTTCATCGCTTCGTTAATTTCGTCGTTCGATCCGAGATCAGGATCCCGTGTGGCGACTTGCGATTTCATGCTTTCGAATCCGGAGTGGAGAGCATTAAGGATTTCCTCCTTTGCCGTTGCGGCAGGGAGCAACTGAGAGGACAGTTCTTCGTGTAGGTGCTCAAATTCGGATCTGATGTAAGCGACAGTATCACCAGAACGCTGACCTTCGGCAACGGAACGTTGGACATCGCCTCCCAACCGCTCTAGCTCGGAACGAATGTTATCGACAATCTCATCCTTTTGGGTAACGTCCTGGGCCTTATCGATATATGTCTCGATCTGAGTTCGGAGGTGATCCAGCCCATCGCGTAGGGCGTCTAGGACTTGCTCAGTGTCGCGGCCATTGGCAGAGGAGTATGCCTTGAACTCTGAATGCATTTCGTCGACCAAAGACTGTAAGCGCTGCAAGACAGCGCCGTCATGGGAAGAGGAAACATGAGGCTGCAACATCTCTACTCCCGCTTTGAGAGCCTCGAAAAGATCTTCACGGTCAATGCTGACGTTGAGATCCGTGCTGGACATTCCTTCCCGGATGGCTCCCAGGATGACCTCACGAGATGCACCTTCAGAGCTCGGCTGAGAGGGTACCATCGACGGCTTGAAATCTTCCAGACATTCGCGTACGGCGAGCAGAACTTCGTCTCGAACCTCGTGGGCTTCGTTAATGGGCGGCGGCAACTTGACGTGTTGAATAGAGTCGTGAATGATTTGTTCAATCTCCTCCTTGGTCACACCACCTGAGCCACGATAATCCTCAAGACCTTCCCGAAGACACTGAAGGATTTCGTCGCGCTCGAGGCCAAACTGTTCGACCTGGATGTCCGTCTTGTACGATTCGTAGGCCTCCCGAACGGCGGATATGATGGCTTCCTTATCTATAGACATTGCTTGAGGAGAATACTGATCAAGGCCGCGCTCGGCCAAGGCATGCTTGACAACGTCATACACCTCGTTGCTGTCCACGGTGTTTCGAGTTATGGTGGATGACATGGATTGCCGTCTCCTCTCGCGCATTATCTTGTCCAAGTGCTCTTTGACATCTGTGAGTCCTTCTTGGATGACCCGGCCGACTTCATTGCTTGGTTGCCCTGATTCGATAGCGCGCTGTTCTCCAGTGACTTTCTCGGCCTCCTCGATCTTGCGTGCAAGTTCTCTGCCCATGCCGAGGACCTCACCGCGAAGGTCCTGTATGAGGGCCTTTGTCCCCATCGTGACGCAGCCCGACTCAGCAACGCTGTCCTTGATTTTGCGCAAGAACTTCAGCATCTCTTCGCTGACAAAGTCGGCTGCTTTGGGGCTTGCGTACGGCTTGCCTCCCTCAGCGACCTTCTGTAGTGGGAAGCCTTCAGTTGCTGTGCGTGTCAAGGTGCCTGGGCCGCGTGAAGGTTGAATCGAACCCGACGCAGAAGAAGCGACAGGCACGAGGGCATGGTTTGCTGAACTCTGCTTAACGAATTCGACGAGCTCCGATACCTTCTTCGCCGTCTCGCCTGTGGCATTGTCCACGATCTTCTGGAGGTTGGTGATGAGGCGCTCCTGCCCGTCCTTGGTCACCATTTCCCGTATAATCTTCTCGAGCATAGCGACGCTAGCGGCACCTTCGACGGAGTAAGGGTTCGGACTGCCAATTCTCTCGTCCAGTAAGAAACTGCCGGGGGATGGTATTCGTGGCAGAGTGAACTGCTTGGTGGGCGTCATGTGAGGGTCCTTCATGCTCAAGCTGCTGCCAGAACGAGACATGTCGCCGGGCGTGGCAGGACCGTGATGGGTATGGCTCATTGTGGCCACAAGGTCCTTCAGCGACTTTCGAATGTCCTCGTCACGCTGGCTCGTAGCTTCCTTCAGGCTGACCAGATCCGTCGCATTGTCCTTGCTGCGGCGGCTTAGCTGCGTCATGTCCTTTTGCAGGTTTGATACGATGTTGGTGATGCTGAGCAGCTGGTTCGAGATGGCGTCGAACGTCTGAGAGCCGGGCTGCGGGGGTTTCGGCGCGGAATTGGTGACGTTTGACAGGGGAGGATCTAGCACATGCGGAGGGACCGTCATAGTCTGCAGTGCCATCATGGTGGCCGATGGTGGCGTGTTCTCTCCTAGAATTGGTCGTGACGACGGTCGCAGGCTAGGCGTATGGGTGAGCACATCGCGGGTCGAAGGCGTGGGCGTGGTCCCCCGGGAGGGGCTGTGGTCCCGTCCAAAGTAGTCCTTCTCTGTATCACGAGACGGCGTTCCAGCTCTCGTCGCTGGTCGCTCCGGCGATCGCTCTGGCGACCTGTGCGCGTCTAGATAACTCCTCAAGTCCCTCACACCTGTTGTCTGTAGCGACTGCATGCGCTTGTGCTGAGCGCCCTTTATCAACGATCGCTCGGGAGACCTCTGTGGCATGGGGTTAGTGGTGTATGAGCTCGTAGGTAAGCTCTCTCGCGCCTTCTCTTCCAGTGCCTTTGCTGCGTTTGCGATCGCGGCTGATGTGCCTTGACGCGTGGTGAGACTGGGAGAGCCGGGGTTCAGTGGCAGTGGCGGCGGTGCGCGCTCTGGATCTGAGCTGTCCCACCTGAGGGAGCGAAGTTTCGAAGTCAGCGGCATGTTCGCGCGAGTGTGCCGCAGTGGCTAGCAATGAAGAGGCAGAACGTACATTGGTATAGGTGCCCTCCCCTCGATTGAGAAAGAATGTGAGTGCCGCACAAGCTCCCGGTCCCGGGACCCGTCCCTGTCGGACGAGGGCATTGTGTCTGAGGGCGGTGATATTCAGACCAAGCTGGAATGCCGGAATGAGTAGCGGAATGGAGGGCCAAAATCGAGCTTCTCGTGCAATTGCGTCCAAAATCGCTGAACGTCAGAATGCTGCGAGCCGGCGCGGGGTATATAATAGGTCGTGATATCGTGGTCGTGAGATTGTATGTGGGAAAGTGAGGTGGGATGGAAGGTAGGTTGGCGTGTTGATAAACAAGCACTGACCAATGAGCTCATTGGGCAGTCGCGCCAGCACACGCTCGTCTCCCCGGCAGCAGCCAAAAAGGTCAGGTAATAAAATGCTGCGCCCTGCCAATAGACGCAAGGTGGACTCCACCACAAATAAATCTACGCTATCAAAGTGCAGGATATCGCTGCGGTGGTGCTCTTGGTCGCGCCTTCGTGTTGGGGTCGTCGCGGTTGCCGTGCCTACCAAACTGGGCAAGCGCCAAGCTTGGTCGGTGAAACCTTTTGCCGCGCTGCCATCGTAATCGTGAAGCTTGAGCTCCCCGAGCACAGCTGTAATCGAAAAACAAGCAGCCCCTCCATCCCACGACCTCCGCATCTCCGCTACCGCGCACAGCCGTATCTGCCATCCCCACCTATCTCTTGCGCTCCCTCACTCCCACAACCATCATGGCCGTTCCCGAAACCGGCAAGCGGATAGCGGAGGCGCAGAAGCTCGCGAAGACGGAGCCCTCCAAGGCCGAGCAGATCTACAAAGAGGTGTTGTCGACAAACCCAGGCTCAAATGAGGCGGCGATAAAGAACTACGAGATTGCGCTGGTCGGGCTGGGAGAGCTGTTCCGAGACCAGAGGCGGGTGGATGCGCTCGCGGAGCTCGTCAGGCAAACCCGCTCGGTGCTGTCCTCCTTCGCCAAAGCAAAGACTGCAAAGCTGGGTGAGCAGATTGCATCGCAAGATGGCTTAGGATGTGACTGACAGTGTGCAGTGCGGCAGCTGCTCGAGCTCTTCACCACCATCCCGAACACCACCGACATCCAGATCGCCGTCACCAAGTCATGCATAGAATGGGCCGTGTCGGAGCGGAGGGGCTTCCTACGCCAAAATCTCGAAACCCGGCTGGTCTCCCTGTACATGGCGAAGCAGTCCTACTACGACGCCCTCACGCTCATCAACAGCCTGCTCAAGGAGCTCAAGCGGCTGGACGACAAGCTGGTCCTAGTCGAGGTGCAGCTGCTCGAGTCAAGAGTCTATCACGCGCTGGGCAACATACCCAAGGGACGAGCCGCTCTTACCTCGGCGCGAACTTCGGCCGCGTCCGTGTACACGCCGCCGCTGCTCCAGGCGGGGCTCGACATGCAGAGCGGCATGCTCCATGCAGAGGATGGCGACTTCAATACGGCCTTCTCGTATTTTATCGAAGCCATGGAGGGCTACCACTCGCAGGATGAGGCGCAGAAGGCGACGTCAGCGCTCCAATACATGCTTCTCTGCAAGATCATGCTGAATCTGGGCGACGACGTGACGTCGCTTATGACCTCCAAGCACGCCATCAAGTACGCGGGAAAGAGCTTGGACGCCATGAAGGCCGTAGCACGCGCCCACACGAACCGCAGTCTGGAGGAGTACGAGACGGCTCTAACCGACTATCGGCAAGAGCTTGGGAGCGATCGCTTCATCACCAGCCATCTCCGGCGCTTGTACGACAACATGCTGGAGCAGAACCTTATCAAGGTGATTGAGCCCTTTAGCAGGGTAGAGATCGACCACGTCGCCAAGATGGTCGGGCTCGACACGGTGCAGGTGGAGCGCAAGCTCTCGCAGATGATCCTGGACAAGGTCATCATCGGGGTCCTAGATCAAGGGGCAGGATGTTTGATTGTCTACGACGAGTCCGAGCGGGACCAGTCCTACGACGCGGCGCTCGAGACGATAGAGAAGCTCAGCAATGTGGTCGACGTCCTGTACACGAACCAGGCGTCGTTACTGGAATAAGGTGATGGTTGAGGGACGGTGCGGTAGTGGAGGATGACAGGGGCCCGTGCGCTGACCATCCTCCTGGCGCTGTGTACTATACTAGCATAGACGGTTGGTCGCGTGGCAGCAAGCATTACGACGGCCTATGATGACCCTTCCCTTTGTCCTTTCTGGGTGCCCTACTTTAATCGAGTGTTGGTTTCTCTTCCCGCCCGCAGCCGAGCCTCGCTCGGCCTCGTTCAAGCATAAGCTGGCCTTCAGATATATGAGAGCATAAGCAAAACATAAGCACGCCGGGGATATTTGCTCGACGTGCAGCCGGCCAAATGCCTCAGACTGGACCATTTGCTCGCTGTTCCTGTGTTCCCTGGTCGGTCTGTTTCGCGGTCGGTGGGCTGCGATATAACGTCTGACCATGCAGCAGCTAGCGTCGGGGCTTTCTGCGTAGCGTGCCAGCTGCAGCCGCATCCCAACTCTTTCTAGAAGCCTCAGCTTGCCATCCATGGATCTCTACGGCGCGGGAACTGCACCGAAGACAGCCGACGGCCACCCGTTCCGCGCGATGCAGCTTGAATCGAACGCGTACGGCCCTGGCTCGGCCGCTGTGCCTCCGCGTCTGCGTGTCGCCGCCACGCTCTCGGATGCGTCGCTCCCCGTCACAGCGCCTTCGCTCGTTGCAACAACGCCGCCTCGTGGAGAAGGGGAAGATGAAATAAGCACTTGGTCAGTGACGGTGCCGCAGACACCGCTCGGGAACTATCGAGGGCGCCAAACAGGCTAGACGCTCCCCACGAGGCTTGCCGTGCTCTCCACACCTCAGCAGATCTCATCGCCCGTAACCCCCAGGCCTCTAAGACGGCCACACAAGCCTTTCCATGTTACAGTCAATGCCCTTCGGCCCCCGACTGGCGAATGCGGGCCTCGACGTGAAACGGCAGCCCGTCGTTTCTTTTCTCAGCAGTAATCGCTGCAGAGCCAAGCCCTCGACCTAGTCTTTTCTCGTCGCTTCATCCTCCCGCCATCATGCTCTAGCGAAATGCGCCTCCTCATCGGCTACCTCTACAGCGCGCTTGGACCTACTCTGTGTACGGGACGCATTATCCGCCCCATCTCGAGGCCGAAAGCCCAGCCGTATGGTACGACGATTGACGCGCGCAGCCGCCTGATAGATTGCTGCACCTAGGCTCAGTATTGAGTCGGACATCAGCTTTCATTAGGGGACGACCCGATTGAAAGGCCGACAGCCACCCCTCCAGGTGATACAAGCACCTGGTGTCCCTTCAGGGCAAGTCCGGATGCTTGTCTTGCAGACCGAGGGCCACCACTTGCCCAATGCTATCCTGCTCCTAGTGGGGCTCCTTGAGGTCGCGCAGTTCCTTTCTACGCATAGTCCGCTATCTGCCCTCAATTCCATCCTGTGACAGTGGCCCGGTGCCTCTGTACCGCTGCCGGTAATATCAGACACGCAGCTTGGTCCTTTACTCTGGGATGGTGGTCCATGTACATGTCTTACCACGTGGGCATTAGCACTGAGTGCCTCATATTCTCGATCGTGGCGTCCCCCAGGATTGAGGGAAGTTCGGTAAGAGCTCACACCAATAGCAGCCGTGGAGGCTTTTCTCTACCCATGCCTGCCGGCTTGCGCGTTGTCAGTTGGCTGCAGCCATCAAGTCTAAGTGCAGCGGCACGAGTCCATGGAGAAACGGCAGCCAACCATGCCTGACAAACAGACCCACTTAGTAGGTTCCACAGCCCTGCAAGCCTTCTCTATGGCGGTCTTTACGCCTTTCTATACGAAGAACAGCACCGCCAGAGCGTGAATTACGATGGGCGGCCAATACTTGGGACAGTGCACGAGCAGCTCCCCAATATCAGGCGCAGCAGCTGTGCCCTACGCGCCTGACAGCCCTATTTTAGGTTGACAGCTATTCGCTCTGAACGCTGCCGGCGGCCCAGTACCGAGTGATGACAGCACTGTGGTTGATGCTCTGTCCTTCACGACCCACGCTCCGGCTCGTGCTGCTGCCTGTGCGAGCTACAAGAGAGTGCTGACGATCGTCCTACCTAGGACGCTCCTGGCAAATCCGTCTCGTTAACCTACTTATCACGTTCCGATCCTCGTGGCTGGAAACGTGACTTCACACCCCATCTGACCCCTCTCCAACACAAGCGTCTTCATCCCGCCAACCGCCATCATCTTTCCACCACGTCCTGGACTCCACCAACTTTAGACCATGGCAAGGAACAGGATTCTCTTAACTGGCGCGAGCAGTCTCATTGGATCACACATTCTCAACCAGCTCTTATCTTACGATGTATCTGTTCGGGCCGTAACCGGGTCGAGCGAGGAAGCTCACGCTCTCCGGCAGCAATATCCCGCATCGAATCCTCCACGACTGGATTTCGCGATAGTGCCTCACAGCGACCTCGCCATTCCGGGAGCATACGACGAGGCTCTGCGAGAGCATACGGAGCCTTTCGATACCATTATCCACACTGTCACCGCGGATCCATCTGAAGAGGCAGACTGCCTAGCCCGGTTCGTCAATCTTGAGACCGAATCCTCGATCAACTTCTTAAGGTCGGTTCAAGCGCTGACCTCAAGGGTTCGGCGAGTCGTCATCACTGCTTCACTTTCGCCATTTGCCCGATGGTTGGTGGATCCCCAGGTGGAGAGAAGTCCTCGTGGTGGTAACCCCGCTCCTCACCGACCCGCAGAGATTGATTCCGAGTACGTGCTTGCGACCAGCCAGGCGAGCGACAATATCGTGCATGATGCGCTGCGGAAGTGGATGAGGGACGCCCAGGCCCGTTTCGAACTTGTCTACGTCACAGCACCCAGTGTCTACGGACCATCGATACGTCCCCTACAGAACTCGTCAGATCTCCAGGAAGCAAACCGACGAATATGGAACATTTGCAGTAACGACTCCCGCGAACGTTTGTCCTCACCGCCATATGGGATTGACTACTTCACCGACGTCAGGGTGAGTCAGCCTTGCAATCTCGCCCATGTCGACTCAGATCTTACACGCTTACACGGTGCAGGATCTCGCGTTTGCCAGCGTGCAAGCCGCCTTCATTCCACAGGCTGGTAACAGGCGTTTCGTCATATCTGCAGGGACAATGCCCTCAGGCGCTGCGGTTGCGGACTTCCTCATCAGTCGATTTCCCGAACTTGGGAGCCGCGTACGATCAGACGGTTCACCGCCACGTCGAGCAGCAGCCGGGGATCCTCCTCTTGACTTTATCGACACGCATCTCGCATCTTCCATACTCGGGCTGGTACGGTACCGCATGGTCGAAGACACACTGAAGGACGTCGCTCAGCAGATCCTTGAACTGCATCGGAAGAAGGAATGGAAAACAGTGATACAAAGCTAAACATGTAGTACAGAATTCATTCCCGCCTTCTCGGCGCCCAAAGCGCTTGCGAGCGCATCGCTGTTGGCAACAGTCAGTGGTAACTCGCAAGCTATCTTTCCCCGTACTCGGTACTTACGACTTTGCAGAACCATCGTACGCTACACTGCATCCGCTGGCCTTCCGGAAAACGCAGTACCCACTCTTGGCAGCCTATGTTGTGCCACACTTACGACAGTTGGAAGGATTTGGTCAATCATTTTGGCCCCACACGCACCAGCGGCCTACGTCCACAACGCGCAGCTCTCTCTTCTATTGCAAGAAGTAGTGGAAAGCTATTACTTGCCTTACAGTCGAACGCAACGGGCTCCTGTGGTTCTCCTCGAAGGGAGGTTACCGGCCGGGACCATACGCCTCTTTTCGCCGCGCCATCTTTGAAGCCCGGTTCCGCGCTCGAACGCCACTCCGCACAGCCTCGAATCCCATAATGTTAGGAAAATGGAAATTGGAAAGTGTCTCCCATTTGCACATGTCGGAGAGCGAGCAAGGCGCCCATCAGCCCTCGCTGCGAACGCCCTGGGACTCCTCTGAGCAGCTGAAAGATAAGCTCTTGGCCACTATTCGCGTTTCACAAAGCATGTGCCTTGGGGTCATGGGGTGTGTTTTGGCGACTTGTCTTGCAGTTTGAAGAAATACAATACAAAGGCAATCAGGAACAGAGTGGACACAGAGCACAAGAAGGCTTTTAATGGATGACACGACAGTTGTCGAAGCTTCTGATGAGGTTGAAATTAGCCTTCTATCGCTCTTCCCGGTCGGAGAAGGGGCTGTTTCCGGAAGGTGCGACCCGAAATGACACCGTCATCGACCTCCGACCTCCGAAGTCCGCAACTTCAACCTCATGCCTCGCCAACAGCCTCTTCACCTGTTACTCTTCACATCCCGAACGGAGACAATCGACTAAGATGCTTGCAGGCCGAAGGCACTCGAAAGCGCTTCGCAATGGCGTGCCGGAGCGACTCGATGCATCGGACCATGGACGCGCTGCGGTGCCGCAGGGCAATCGAAATGATTACCTGGCTTCATTTGCCCTTCCATACTGGCGACAGGGACCTATGCACCTCTACAAAATCCACGGCGATTTGACATTGAGCGGTTCTGGTGCGCTTTCAATAGAGCCGACCATCTAGGTGCAAGGGCAAAGCGAGAGCCCAATCCGGTGGCCACGCGCTATTTTTCCATACGGCATGGCGAGGTTTGAGGCAACCTCATAAAAAAAAAGGATGCAGGATATCCCACAGAACAGAAGGTATTGCACTTTCAGGCGGCAGAGCGCGGCGTTCGGGTCTTCCTTTCTTTGGCATTTCTGCGAGCCTTTCCTGAGTCACTTTTCTTTGCTAATAGTCTACCCCTCCTCGTACATTCGACTCCTACATCCGCCTTCGGAATCAATACATTGACTAAAGCCCGAGACATGACCTCTTCGCACACAATTTTGGAAGCAATACTCTGGGAAACCACTAATGCTGTCGAAATCAACAACCAGCTCGCAAAGAGAGAGTTGGTGCGTTCGCAACATCTATTTTCGCAATTTTATTTTGGGACCAGAGCAAAGCGCGAACCAAACTTCATTGCTTCTCATCCCATATTTCCTCACAGGATATTAAGACATCACCAGGGTGCAATCCTGGGAAGGCGTCCAAGTCCAGACGCGATTCAGTCTTGACCTCAGCTCAGCGTCCTATTTCTTCGGTGGCACTGGCGTCCAACTCTGTGGATGGACCACATCAAGCACCCTACCTGCTCAGTCCCCAAGATACCGGCCATCCGCCTCTTCTCCACCTGCGACACTCAGTGGGTCGAGTGCCAAAGCTCCTCCACGGACTTTGAAGCGGATGTGGAGCCACGAGACCCATCCAGCGATAATACTTGCCAATACGGATTCCCGCCAGTTGGGACGCGCGCTTGGGCCGTTGAACTTGAGCCGCAATCGTGATAGAGGATGAGTGGCTTGTGGCGCAGTTACCTTTGGTGTCTCATCAGCACGCTCGCCTCATCCTCCAGGCACCCGCGCTGACAGGAGGTACGTCACGCATACGCCCCGCAGCTCAAGACCCGCAATCCCCTCCACAACTGCACGGATTGCATCCTGCGGCCCACTCACGACTACATGATACGTAAGCCCTCGCCCAAGCTTGAGGCGATTTGGCTCAATTCTGTGAAACCTGTCGTATCCTAGGCGAGAGATGCTTAAAGCATGAATTTGAGTTTATCTTGCCTTAAGCTAATGTATTCCTGCAGATCAGTGTCTATGCTCAAGCTATAACAGAGTAGCGCAGACCGCAGTATCAAGAGCTTCCCCGCCGGAATCGACCATCCCTTCCCTATAGACGGCGTGCAATGGCCCAGTCACGCGACCCTAGTCGAACTCGGTATCCCGAGGCTTTCGCGCCAATAGATTCTAGAGTCAGGCTGATGGTAGCTAGGATCCTATCCGCATTGTAGTGCGGCATAACGCTCTATATTTCGGGGTTCGCATCGTACCACAGCGCCAGATCTCGCAAGCCATGCTCGAAAAAATTATCGAAACGTAGGAAAAGCGCGAACAGTACCCTTCCCGTTCAATAATCGGTTGGCCTGACGAGATCGGCCTTCGGACGGTCAAGCGATAGCCGCTTCGGGGTTCAACTCAGGAGCAAGCCTCAACTTTCAGTATTCCACTCCCACCCGTGCTCTCCACTATAAATAACATGCGGCGTATACCGCACCGTATAGCCGCGCGTGAACTTGCCACCACGTTCTCGCGACACGCACCACCAGCGAGCCGTCCATCGCAAAACACGGTATGTTCGTAGGACAAGAAAGTGAAATCCTTCTCGGCCAATCACAAACGGCCCGGAGTTCAGCTAGCGGCTGCCCTCGCTAAACTGCACTTTAGCTCGTATCAGACCCCTGCCGTGCATCATCCATCCCTCCACCAGGATCCAGATGCCCCACCTGGCCATGGTCACACTACAGCAACCGACTTCCTCTTCCTGACGGCGCAGGGCTGAGCGAACTACATCATGCCGTGGCTGCGGCGAGAAACGTGGCCAGCTGGGGGCCGAAATGAGGGGCTATCCAGACACCTGTTCTACACCGCTAGGTCACACACCCGCATACTATCAGAGGGAGCTGGTTTGCTTCCCCAAATTCGGAGCACGGGACTGAGGATGCGGGCGAGATCAGACCGCTTGCGCTGGAGTGGGGATGCATGTGGCCACCTATGAGGTCGTTCACTCACCGGCAGGCTGTCACACGACGCGACGAGGTGCGGCGTACTCCACTCCGCATGCAGCGTGGGCAGGATCTTGAAAATCGAATATGCTTGTTCGCTGGAAGATACCGTCGATCCCGCGCTGCAGCCACCAGCGCGATAATGTGGAGAATGGGTGCTTGCTTCTTGGTCTGGCGGGAGCAAGTAGATCAGATCCATCAGATGTGTGCTCTGACGAGAGTGCGCATGCTCGATAGTCAACACCATCACCGTCACGCCTGTAACCTTTGTACTCAGTGCATATATTACTGTGTATACTCATCTCCCATACGATGGGTCTGATGAGAGCACGCCGCGATCGAGCTGAAAGCTATTGGCTACCCCTCAGCCCTGTGTCGCGAAGTCAAAGGACTGTCGAATGACTACTTAGCTGTCTTTCCGGTGTGAAAGGCAATCACAGCTCTCCACTGCATGGCCGAATGACCCTCTTACACCGCACATAGCGAGTTCAGCCGCTCGGTGGAGTTCAGCTATAATGGCTGTATTGACTTCTTGCTGGGTTGAGTCTGAAGATCACCGTTTGTTACTCTGGAGTTATCTGGGGAACACTTTTCTTGAGAAGAGCAAATACCAAGGAAAACAGTAGCGGGTTTTCAGATGGCTCCAGCTGGAGTACCACAATACGTGCTAGATCATGGTAAGCCAGAAGACTTTTCAAGGTCTATCAGCATCTTCTTTCCAACAGTATCATGCGTCACCTACTATCGCTAGTACACCAGCTTGTTCGCCCTATGTCAAAACTGTTTCTCTTTTCTACCATCTCTTTGAATCTACCCCCTTATCTGTCCACTATAAGCATCCCTATCTCCAAGACTTCCCCACCCGACCTCCCGATCTCGCCTCTAACATCAGAATCCAGCACCGCTCGTCTACCTCTACTCAAAGGACCCCTACCACCCCTCCTCCCCCGCGGCTACACTCGCCAACACCCGCCCTCAAATCTCCTTGAAAGACGTCTTGATCCCATCGTCTCCCCTGACTCTCTCCAATCTCGACCAGCTAAATAACGTCGGCTCAAACAGCGGTAGCGACGTCTACCTCACCAGCCACGTCGACATCACCACGAACCCCAAATGGCTGGAGGGAGTCAAGATCGACGGCAACGGAGGAACGGCGCAGGAGAAGACGTGCGTGATCATCGTGGTGGATAAGGGGAATGGGACAGTCGATGCGTTCTATATGTATTTCTTTGCGTTTAATTGGGGTGGTGTGGTTTTGGAGAAACAGCTCGGTAGGTGGGAACCTCCTGTGTGTTAGGTGATGAATTATTGACGGCGTGTGTATCATAGGGGACCATGTAGGAGACTGGTAAGCTCCTTGCTTGTTAGTATCATCTGGGGCTAAAAGGAAGATAAACAGGGAACACAACATGATTCGCTTCATCAACGGCGTGCCTAAATATGTCTGGTTCTCTCAACACGCGAATGGTGAGGCGTTCACCTTCTCCGTGCTGAAGAAAGATAAGGCCGGCAAAAGAGTACGTAAAGTAAAGGCCACTCAAAGCCCCATCCAACTTTGCACGTACAGTTGGACATCGCCAGCCCACCCGGCCCCCTTCCAGCGCCCAGCGCCCAGCTTCCAGCCTTCCCCCTCCACTTGCTCTCCTACTCGAAAACTACTCTAACAACCCCCAACAGCCCCTCGCCTACTGCGCAAACGGCTCGCACGCCCTCTTCCCCACCCCCGGCCTCCACGACCACACAATCCCCAACCTAAACCTCCCCTTCAAGTTCCTCCTCGTCGACGAAACAGACACCGGACCTTTGTACGACCCGTTACTCTCAGCGTACTTCTACGCGTACAACGCCGCAGGTACGTTCGTTCATCCCCTCTAGTCCATCCCCCGTGCCTGAGTGCTTGTGGACGCTTGTCCTCGAGCATGGCAAGGTACCGACTGACTGACGTGCGCGTGTGCACTCTGTAGATCGAACCCTAACGCCCCCCGACCCCGCCTCCCCAACGGGCTTTCTCTACTTCCGCGGCCGCTGGGGCGACGCGCAGTACCCGGACTCCGACCGGCGCCAGCAGGAGCTCGTGGGGAATAAGAAGTATGTTGGCGGGCCGACGGGGCCGCTGGATAAGCAGTTGGATAGGAAGGTGAGTATCCATTCTTATACGTTCTTAGTTCACGCGAAGGCAAGCCCGATAGGCCGAACTCGACGCAGCTTGAACAAACGGCCTTCTCCCTTCCCCCTCCCTCCTAAAAGATACTTTCTCTTGAACTTAGAGCACGCACGCACGCACGCGCTAACAGCAAACAGGAAGTATGGCCCCAGAACTCCAGCAGCGGCGGACAAATCATCCGCACGAGTCTCGACGTCGACGGCGGGCGGTTCAAGCAGTTTTTCGGTAAGCTAAACTGCTTGGGTAAGGGTAAAGGGAAGCAGGCGAAGGGCGTGAAGAGGGTGCTTGTTAGTGGGGAGGAGGTGAGGAAGTGATAGCGAGGAGGTGGGTGATTGGGAAGCTCCAGAGTAGAGTGAGATGGGTTTGGTGGAGGGAAAGGGGGGCTGGTGGAAGGATTTGAGGTGATTGGTTAGGAAGAGAGTCGGGAGGGATGTGGTGGAGGACTAGAATGTTGAGATAGGCAGGCAGTCTGTTAATTGCACAGATTTTATGGACATACGAGCGCGTTATGACGCATCAAGCATTGCGCGACACCGTAGGCTGGCACTCTGCCTTAGCTCTGTTCGCCTGGGGCTGAATGCCCACAGAGCCCGCGTGCAACGATCTATCAAATCTGGAATGCTCATTGGAGGCCTTCAGGCAAACCTATCCAAACTCGAAAAAGGTATATGCCGTCTTTCATTACAATAACTTTTCCAGAATACACTACACCTCACGAAACGCCGTCCAGCCCATCCCCAAACCAACAATGCCGCTATGAATTATACACTCGACCGCGTAAACCCAAGCCTGACGGCCTTCAGCAAGGCCGCTACTCGCTCGACCGCCTATGCTTCTTCTTTTTCTTCTTCGGGGTCTCCTCGACAGGCGGCTGCTCTTCCTGCGCGTCCTCCATCTCGACATCCCAGTCCATATCTCCTTCCGCATCTCTCGCCGCCTCCTCGATATCGTCCATCGGCTCCTTCAGCGGATCCGTCACCCTAACCGGCGCCAACACATCAAAACTACCCGTTCCCACCCCACCTAGCCGTCCAACCACGATCCGCGCACTCGGATTCTTCAGCTCATCCCAATCCCGCTCCAGCACGGCATCCTTCAAAAACCCGACTGTAGTTTCAAAGCTCATCTTCATGAACGGGCTAGTGTTGGTCCGTAGCCCAATGCGGTTGAACGGCGTGAAGCCACCGCCTTTGGTCATCGTATCCGCAATGAGATTCAGATGACGGTTATCAACGTTGATACCGTGTCCGCTGAAAACGGCGTGCATTTCGCGGACGATGGACGCGCGGCACGCTTCTACGCCGTAGAGCTGCAGCATGGAGGCGATGTCGTTGGTGAAGAGGCGCGAGGTGTCGATGATGTCCGGGAATTCGCGCATGGCGATGAGGTTGGAGCCTTCGGTTAGGATGACGGGGATTTCGGCATCCTCTTGCGTGAGAGGGTCTTCGACTTTTTCCGCGGAGACAAGGGCGCTGGTTATGCCTGGGATGACATGAATAGTGGCGAAGTCGGCAGCTGCTTCGACGTGATGTAGCATGAGCAACTTGGGCGTGGAGGCGGAAAATTCGAATGTGATCTCGCAATACGCGCCCTGCTTGTCGTCGAACTTGAAGGCGGAAATGTCAGGACAGTCTTTACTGTGCATTATCCGGTCTTGGCGGATTTGGGAAGATTCGTCATGGGGAACAAGGGGTTCCTCGTCCTCGTCTTCTGAGCCCGGCTCAGGTGTAGTGGCACGGGAAGGCTTGGGGCTGCCACCGTACGTCTCGTCTTCACTCTCTTCACGGTCAATCCCGTCAGCAACTTGTTCTCCCTCTTCCGGAGCCTCAAACTCAACGCTGTCTTCGCGCCTGCCTCGCCGCTTGGCGAAAGTAGCGTCGCCTTCGTCCTCGCCATCATCGCTCTCCACCTCATCATGACCGCCCTCGTCTCCGGCATCATCCTGACGAACTGTTTGCTGTTCGATGGTGCCGGAGGCCTCTCCGATGGTAGGAACAGCCGCTGACTTAGCGGTAGACAGAGATTTGTTCTGTCCCTTCTTCTTCAGATCCGCTCTCACAGCCTTCTGGAGGCGCGGGCAGAATTTCTTCTCAATCGAGTCCGCCACATCCCGAACCTTGACGGCATACTCTTTGGTGTACTCCTTAGCGGGGTAGAACTCAAGTCTGATATTGAATTTCCGTGCTTGGGAGTATTGAGTCCCTTGGCCTAGTCTCTCAGTGACGATGACCTTGTCCAGGACAGCCGAAAGCGGGAGGCGTGTAATACTCTTGGCAAATTTCTCTATGTCCTCTTTGGGCATTTCCGGATGAGGGTACAATGTCATGCCAGGTGTTGATATTTTTGCGCTAGCGGTCATGACAATCTCTCGCAGACGTGGGATACCAAGCGTGACATTCTTCGTGGAGTGACCAGCCAAATGGAAGGTGTTGAGGGTCATCTGCGTGGACGGTTCTCCGATAGACTGCCCGGCCACCACTCCTACAGCTTCTCCGGGCTCCACAAGCGATCGGAGGTACTTGATATCGAGCAAAGTATCGAAATTCTTCTTCAAGACTTCGCCGTTCGGGTCACGCTTCTTGTTCTTCAAAAGCCCATCCGGGTTCCTTTCGCAGTACTAAGATTCATTAGTAGATGTTGGTTATAGCTTGATGCATACTCACATCTCTCTTGGCTGCGAAGAACTTTTCGGAGGTACTGCCGCTGTATCGACCTGGGTTGTATATTGCAAGCGCTGGATCCATAGCCGCAATGTTTCCAGTCTTCCGGACCTTCTTCCAGGCGGCTTTCGTGTGTTCAGTGGCCTCTTTACTGACTACATGCCTATAGCCTTCTACGGCATTTACGGACTGCGTCAGAGAATAGAAGTTCTCGGCCTGGAACTTGAAGTCGTTCAAGTACTTTTGCTTCGTCGTATCTAGGCCATCCTCTCCGTAGAGGAACTGGACCATGGAACCGTCTGAATCTCGCACGGTGCTGTCGTACTCAACGTGGACGCCTTCCATCCCTTTTACAATGCATCGCTGCAGGTACCCAGAGCGGGAGGTCTTGACGGCGGTATCGATAAGGCCTTCTCGGCCAGCCATGGTGTGGAAGTAATATTCTTGCGGTCGAATACCGGTCAAGAAGCGGTTAACAATGTAACCGCCAGCGCGAACGCTCGTCTCGTACGGTTTAAAGCACGGCAACGTCTTCCCACTGACCATGACGGGCACACGTCGTCCTTCCAAAACTTGCTGCCCCAGATTGCATGAGATTTGATTGGCGTTGACTAGGGTACCCTTCGCACCAGAACCTGTCATAGTTTGCATCTGGTTCTTCGGAAAGAGTTTGATTAGCTTCTCAGGTAGACATGCCGCTGTGACTGCCGACGAAATCTTTGCCGTTGCGGCGTTGGAAAGTCCATCAAGTCCGCGCTGTTTCGAGTCGTCCCGCAGCACTTGTTCTAGTCGCCTTTGTAGTTCTCGATTGTTCGGGTCGATCTTCGTCGCATCCAGGCTAACGTACTTTGAGGCGACTTTGAATCCAGCCTTTTCGGCCTCTTTCAGCTTCTCCAGCCGCGCTTCATCTCCCTCTCTTGTGAGAATGAGATCTTCCACACCACAAGAGAATGCCCGCATGTTCAGTAGCCTGGTCAGTAGCCGACCAAGGACACTAAGCACTTGACCGGCCGTTGTAGCGCCATATGCCTCGAAAATGCCATTGACCAGTCCACCAGCGGCTGAACCAATCTGACTCTTGTCTAAGATGCCACAGAGTAGCTCACCCGCTTGGACGATGACCGTCTGTTCCTCAGAGTCAGGACCCCACAGCTTCCCGCTGGTTTGTGACTTGGAACTTAAAGTCAGGTTATCATATTCTTTCGGCTTGAGGTTCTTCAGTACGGTGGTGATCAGCTGCTTGCCTGTCCACATTGGCCGGGGTTTCCAGATCGCAGGCTCGACAGTGAGAAGGGTCCCCGAAGTAGTATGGCCGTCCTCGGGTCTCAGAGAAGAGTACAGGAGCTCGTGGTATTCCTCGCGGTTGAAGAAAGTATCCTTATTGGTCAGCCACACAGCCATGGAAATATGATCCTGAATAAGACCTCTGAGGGGCTTTCCGGCAGTCGCTGAGAGATACTGATTGTCGGTATTCGCGATCAGCATGGCCTCTGCTCGGGCTAGCTCATTCTGGGGGAAGTGCATGTTCATTTCGTCGCCGTCAAAATCGGCGTTGTAAGTATTGCAGTTGGCGTAGTGCATGCGTATTGTTTTCTCTCCTGGAAGAACGCGAGCGCGGTGAGCCATCATGGACGGCTTATGTAGCGTGGGCTGTCGGTTCATGATGACGACGTCACCGTTGTTCAGATGGCGGTGGACCTTTTTGTTCTTCGAGCCGTTCACATGGGTGCTTGAGGGTGCAAGGAGCTGGTTGGCGAGAGCCTGGCGCTCTTCGTAGTTCTTCTTTCTAAGAGAGACGACTTGGCCAAACTCGTTCTCGATGGCGACTGCTCCCGGCCACTTATCAGGTCCATTCAGGACCGCCTCTTTTAGATCGTAGAAGTTGTGGTTCGTGACGGGCTCCGGGAACGTCAACTTCTTGGCAAAAACCGGTGGGACGCCAATTTGGTTGGTCTCGATATTCGGATCGGGAGAAATGACACTACGCGCGGCAAAGTTGACACGCTTGCCCATCATGTTCTTTCGGAAGAGACCCTCTTTCTTCTCCAGCTGCTGCTTGATGCCGTCTGCATTCGTCCTTCCGGCTAAGCCCTGGACGGGGTTGGCGTCGCGGTCAATGAGGGCATTTACAGCTCCTTGAAGATTAACCCAGGTAGTCTGGAGATCGCTAAAGTCGCGACGTCGAAAGCCAGCCTCGTTCTCCTTGCCGTGCATCTCGTTGCTGATCTGCCGCATCGACTCGCAGGCATTCAGAATATTCTTATAGAGCGTGTTCTGCGGGCATTCCGCAATGGAGTCACCGGTCTTGTCCTCCATCCTGTACCTGTTTGGCGGCACAACGACGTTTTGAATGAAGAACATGTCCGCATTGACGTCCACCTGAGACTTCGATCGCGCATGTGGGTTGTATAGCAGTCGTAAAATCTCCTCCTCTTTCTCGAAAAGCAGAATCATTGCCGCTCTGACTTCTGCCGCATTGATAAAGTCTTGCACTTTGTGCGACGCGTCGACAGCGGAGCGCGACTTCCTACCCGATGCTGTCATGGATTCGGAAGCTACTAGGGTCCCGTCGGCTTCTTCTGTATCAAGCATGTCTGCGTCTTCGTCCTCCGAACCCGGGTCCAAGTCTGCGACTCCCTCGTCCGCATGAACCTGCTGTTTCTTCGCTCTCGCTTCCCGGCGCTGGAGGATGTCCAGGGGGTTCTCCATGCGTTTCTCCGCCTGGGCCATGAGAGCCTTGTCCTTTGGGGTGAGATTCTTGCGAAAGATTTTTATGGCGCGGTCCTTGCGGTAGGTGGGGTTGAGCCCCTGGCAGTTCTTGCACTTCTTCATCCCCGCTATCGACGTCCAGAAATCCTTGATGACTTGTCGCCGGGCGTCGGAAATGGCCTCGTTCTTCTCCTTCACTGCATGCGCGTCGCTCCTTGAGATGCCAGCTCGCTTCATGCATCTCTTCACGTAGCTGTTCCTCTGGCTAATGATGTCGTCCTCGTCATCGGAGTCCGAAGACTCTGAGCCCCTCCTAGTCTTGCCTTTTGTCACGTCGACATGCTCTTGCATATCATTTGCTTCCTGCACCAGACCGCATCGGATCAGCCTGAGCTTAGAGGCGAATTCGTTGACTGCGACGCGGGGAAGCACTAAGTGGTGGCAGTAGACGCATTTCCCACGGAGGAGACGGTACAGCTGGTCGAGGAAGCTGAGATGATATACGGGAACGGGGAGCTCGATATGACCGCAGTGGCCCGGGCAGCCTAGCAGTGTCGTCAAGCCGCATGTCGAGCACCTAGGAGCGGCGATCAGCCTTCGGTCCGCCTACCATATGTTTGCTCTGATTGGAGTAGTAAAGCTTACGGGTTGTCTAAGAAGGCGCCCAGAGCTGCATCGTGGAGACCGCCAGGAACCGGGTGCAGCAGAGAATCGAAGGTCGTGGGATTGGTTATGCGCTTTACAGAGAGGGTTCGGATGTCGCTGGCGGCGAGGAAGCCGAATTCCACGCTCTTGATGGCCGATGAAACAGGCTGCGAGGTATTCATGTTGGCAATTCGGTGCGCTGCACCCGCACCAGACGGCGTGAAGCTACTTGAGGCACAAGGCGTACTCGAGCGGCGCAAAGCTCGAAGGCTGCGGGGACAATTTTTTGAGGTGAAAAGGTTCGGCCGAAGATTACCCGGCCCGCCAAGACGCCCAAACAGGCGCTGCTTTTCAACGTCGCGTCACTGCGACTCCGCCCTCAAACACCCACAACCACCACTCCGCACCGCCGCCACAACCGGCCGCGAACAGGCACATCGGCACCGTCGGCCTGTTATTTTTCACTGGAGGGCAACAAGCTTCCGACAGCTCTTCGGCGGCTTGCCAGACGCGCATTTGCTACCCCTGCCCTCCGTTGTCCACGCGACACCCTCAGCCTTCAACACAACTACCCCGACGCCTCAATGATGGTCGAAAAGCGCCCACACCCCGGCGACCACGGGGATGCTGGGCGCGACAAGCGCTCGAGGCCCTCAGAACCGCCCACAAGGCCCGCAGCCCAGCGCCCAAGGCATACAGACGCCATAGAAACCGCCAGGGCGAAGGCGGCAGCAATCGCTGCAAAAATGGCCACGAAGAGAGTCGAGGGCAGCAACGAGGCTACGCCCACTCCCCCTCCGCAAGCACCTGGACTCGCCGCGCCGGCTGCTTCTTCTACCCTCGACGCTATGAAGGCAAGGATCGCTGCGCTCAGCGCCGGCAAAGACATTGGCAAGCCAAGGGTCGAGACAGATGCTTCGCGCACCCCCCCGACGCTGGGAAATAGGCGCCTCGAGCCGACCAAGGTTGAGACCAAATCAAAGACACCAGCACCGGCTCCCAAGGCCGATGACGAGCGAGACAACCCCTATTTCGACCCCAAGTCTGCCGGAGTCGCGCGGGGCAGAGTGTCGCGCGGCCTGCTGTTCAATCAGCGAGGCAAGTATCTCGAACAGGGATCCAAGTTGCGAAATCAGAACCGGCTGGAGCAGATCAAGAAGATGCTAGCTCAGCAAGCTCGTCGGGCTGGGCTCGATGAGAACAGCGAGCGCGGTTTTCTGGTGCAGCCACCACCAGACATTGAATGGTGGGATGAAGGCATTCTGGAGGAGAAGACCTACGATTGTCTGGATGACCCGGCCAAGATTAAAATCGACGGCGATGACTCCATCATCACCATCTACGTTCAACATCCGCCTTTCCTGAAAGCCCCGCAAGACCAGCGCCTGATTGAGACGAAGCCCATGTACCTCACGCCCAAGGAGCAGGCCAAGCTGCGGAGGATGCGTCGTGCTGAGGAGCTGAAAGAGCATCAAGCCAAGATTCGTCTGGGACTGGAACCGCCCCCACCGCCGAAGGTCAAGCGCGGAAATATGATGCGTGTCATGGGTGAGCAAGCAATTGCGGACCCCACCGCTGTCGAGATGTTAGTCGAGTCCCAGATCGCGGAACGACATGATAAACACGTACAAACCAACGACGAGCGGAAGCTGACGAAGGAGCAACGTATTGCGAAACTCACCGACAACCAGGTGAAAGACGCTGCGAAGGGTCTCTACATGTGCGTCTTTAAAGTTGACACCCTAGCTTTCGGCAAGCACCGTTACCAGATTGATCAAAATGCCAAGCAGCTCGCACTCACTGGCATCACACTGTTTAATCCGAACATGAATCTTGTCATAATCGAAGGCGGAATTCATGCTATCCACAAGTACAAGAAGCTCATGCTCCAACGCATAAAGTGGGACGAGAACGCCCGGCCTACCGAGATCCAGCAAGAGAAGCAAGCGACCGATCCCCAGTGGATGAAGTCTGTGGATGCGCAGGGCAACTTGAAGGACCTGTCTTACAACAAGTGCACATTAGTCTTCGAAGGCGAGGTCAAGCAGCGAGCATTCCGCAAGTGGGGTTCCAAGATGTGCGAGACGGACGGCGAAGCCAAGGAGTTACTCTCGAGAAGCAAGCTCGACAGCCTGTGGGCGCTTGCAAAGAGCTCAGATTAAACGTCGACGGCGCAACAGGTGACCGGCTGGGCGACTGCGGTTGCCTAAGCAGCTATGTGGAGGCGAATTCTGATGACAACCTCCAACGGTTTTCCAGAGCATTGAGCGGAGTAAGGCGGAGCCATGGCGTTAGGCGGCTTCTTCGGGCTCTGGTCCCTTTTGATTCAGTAATTGTAAGTTAACTCATTTACCCATAGCATGAGAATGCATGTATTAATACCAAACTTCTCGGTACAGTTCTGCTCTTTGTGCCGACAAAGCAGAGCTCAGTCAGTGCCTTGACCTCACGTCAAAATGACTTGCACAGTACCTCCGCTTCGGCCCACTGGCGCCCTTCTGTCATCGGCCTCCTACTGATTAAGGTCCCAATCCCAGCACCATGCGCGAATGCTGGTAGACTATAGATAATCAGCGTAGGTCGTCTCTCCCTTACTTCCTTCGGTCACCTGTCCCATTCACTCCTTGCTTTCTTCGTGACGTGACTGTTTCATTCTACACAGAACGCCGCTATAGACACGAATCTGGCGGCCTTCACGCTTTGCAATACCATAACTCATAACAGCACCAACGTCATAAAGCACGAGATCCAGCCAGCCCGCTTTGCTCTCTTCACCTCGAGCAGCTACGGATGAGCAGCTGAAGGTCTCTAAGATCCCCATTCGCGAACCTAGTTCAGGACCTGCTATAATTAACCGTACTCGCCTTCCTGTCCCGCTCACAGACTATATCCCTGCATGCACACCAAGCGTCCATCTGGACCCAGTCTCCCAAACACCTTCGCACATGCGTCGCAACCGCGCCCACGGTGCCCACATTTCCTGCATGGCTGGTTTTGCGGCGGGCGCATGAAGGACTGCACGTGTCGCTCTTTGCACTTACAGCATGCGTAGTAGAGACTGAAGCCGGCGGACCAGCGGGCGCTGGGGTCGGGCATGGTTGTAGTTATGGCTGTGGGTGAGATCGGTAGGCTGGTAAAGGCTCTCTGTCGTATAGGTCAAGCGAGGAGTGGACAGTCGACGAGGGGTTTCTATAGTTTCCGTTGCGCTATTCGCACTTCAGCGGTGAGAGTAGAGAAGTGGAGAACAGTGGAAAAGAGAAGATATACATTTCCTGAATGTTACTTCACGTCCACGAAGTTGAAGTTTCGCTGTCACTTCTCAGTTCTCTTTTTCTAAACTTCATTGTCCTGTCTCCCTGTCCAATTGTTATTAGCGTGTTCCAGTACCCGTACGCCAACACTTTACGCTTCGTTGCCCCTTCCTTCCACTCTTCTACCTGCTTCATTCCATTCCGTCTCTTCCCTTCCCGCAACCCTCACCTCCCCCATCAAACCTCCCCAGCAGCCTCCCCAATCAACATCTCCGCCGTCCACCCAGGCTGACTCCAAAAAGTCGTATGCCCCACCTCCCTCCTAATCACTTTCTCAATAGCATGAGGTTCATTCTCCATCGCGCTCTTCACCAACCACTCCTCCGCGGCCACTGTACTAGCCTTGTCCCCCAGCGTAATAACATACGTCGTCGGTATCCAGCGCCACGCCGCATGTGTCGTCGTGCACCAATTGGGCGGCAAACTCTGCGGCAGCAGCCCCTCCGCAATCTCCAAAGCCTCGTCCTCAGAAACATCCTGATACATCAACCCCTTCACTTTCTCTGGCAGCACCGTGTACGTCCCGCTTTCAAGATCGACAACAATATCCGGATCCAAGCCCTCCCCTGTGCCGCGCGGACACTGCGTCCACCCCTCCGGAAACATAAACGCGCAGATATACACTAGTCGCACGACGCCGCCTTTCCAGCCCCGCGACTCGCAGCTCTTTTTGTCTAGGCCCGCGAGCGCTTGCGTCCCTGTGAGCCCGGAGTTCGAGTGCATGACTACGATTACGTCGTGCTGTTTTGCTAGTTCTGTGGCTGAGTTGCGGATCACTTCGATATCGGGGTCCCAGGTTCGCAAGGCGGGGTTGGCGCCCGAGCTGGGGAGGTGCGGGGCGAGGGTTTTGTAGCCGTGGGCGTTGAGGAGGGGGATTAGGCGCGAGAATACGTGCGGGGTGTGCCAGGCGCCGTGGAGGAGGAGGAAGGATGGTTTGGGGGAGGTCATGATCGGTGGATTGAATGAAGGATGGAGGACTGTGAATGAGGAAAAGGAATTAGATTGTAGGCTTAGAGTGGGGAGAGAAGCCTTCAGCTTGTATAGGTATGCTTTGCCTAAGTACTTGTTGCGGATACTACCTAGGTAAGTGCTGACAAGAAGGATCGGTGATCCTGGTTGTGGCACAGCTGTGGTGACGAGTCGGTGCTCCAATAGGATAAAAGTCTGGGAGACGCTGACTGTGCTTTTATTACTATCGAAGATTATATGATATATAGGTCCGAGGACAATGGCTTCCATAATAAGAGAACAATCTCGGAAGATGGTCGAACTAAGACAGAAGACGCTAGTCCCGAAACGCTTAGCTTAGAAGTAACCTGAAGATCCTCCAGCGACCTTGCTCACACACTCAGTGAGCGCTGCTGCGGCAACACATCTCGTAGTGACGATCGGCCAAATCTTTGCAAGGGCGGAGCTTTCATGGGTCCACCGGCCGCGATTCGTGGCGGCATGATCTCGCTGATATCAACTACAAGCGGTTCGGGCGTCGACGGGGGCGGTACAATGTCCATAAAATCAAGAAGAGGCCCTTGGATTGTCGGGTAAGAGTATTCACTCTCTTCGTTACTAGTCGCGTTGGCGGCAGTCATGTCTTTGACCAAACCCTCCGTAGCAGGTCGCTGCAAAGGTCGAGTGGGCCGTTCGAACGGGATGATGTAATCCGGTGTACCCTTCGCTTTCCTCAACACGCGGAACCCCCGGAGCGAATTTCCTACGATGTCCAAGTGGTATGAGAACTGTGCATCATCTCCTGGATGGCCTGCGATGGCTTGTATGACTGGGCCAGTGGCGCCTTCTAGGTCGGCGGCGCTGAAGTGGATCGCGAATAGGCGGTCTGCCGTCTTTAATCTGTGCTTTTCGTCCACGGCCCAAAGGGAAATTTCGTCATCTGCTTCGCTGTACCGCGCGATCATTCTTTCTTCATTCCCTACTGCGTACTTTCCCATGCCTCGCTGGGTCGTTGTGTGGAGCAGGACGTATTCGAGGTCGTACTCTGGGGATGTAGGACTCCGGGGATGAACCTCAACATCATGCGTAGTTCCCTGCTCTGTCTCACTTCTCCATCTTCCCAGGAGTCCCTGAAAGACAGCCCGTGCGAGATACAACTTCTTCTCTCGCAATCTCTTTTGCATATGCTGAATGCTATGCAGCGTTCTCATAGCTTCCGTCTTGTCCGCACCCGGTTCCACATACCGTGCAGCGCACATGAAGCCTTCTAAGTCGCCGAAACCTGCGTTGACCCTTTCCATATTGAGTTCCCTGCCGGCTTGGTCCATGAGGCCGAGATAATCGCTAAAGAGGATTTGTGGGACCTCCGTCATTCTTCCGTCTTTCATTGCTTCTCTCACGGCTTGGATATGAGCGGCTATTGCGTTGGAGTTCTCTAGGCTTTCTGTAGAGGATTGTTGGCTTGGGGTGCCCCCGGACCATTTAGCGGCGATAGAGCGAGACTGCATTTCCATCGTGCCCCAGTTCACGCCGGTGAATCCGAGCAGCGCAATATCCGGAACGGTAGAGCGCTGGGCCATGTAGCTGGAGTCCAGGATGAGCGGAAGGCGTGTGTTTGTTTCGTCGAAACCGAGTTGGTCCTTGATCTCACGAGAGAGGAATGACAGACTGCCACACGAATCGAAGCCGGTCGCGTTGATGACGACCGAGATGTCGTCGAATCGTCTGATCTTGCCATCTCGGCCCTTGATAGTCGCAACGACGCGCCCGGACTCACTTCCTTTCTCCAACCTTTCCAACACCCCAATCACTGGCTTAATAACACCGGCTTCCACTTGAAGCGTGTACGTATCGCTCACTACTCCATAGGGCGGCAACTCATCGTCATCCGCCTCTCCACCAAAGATGTCATCCACAACCGTTTGGAATAGCATTCTCTTCTCCTGTTCCTCCTGTGGATCCGCTAGTCCGAACGTAAATGAGATAGGCTCCGGGCCGCGGCTGGCGCGATCCTGAACCATGAACTCAAGAGGCATAAATGCGCCCGCCGGCGAGATGAGATCTGGGATTAGACCGTGGACAGCGTACATCTTGTTGCGCATGACGTGAATAATTTCGACTTCAGGATGCGAGTCGCTTCCATCAGGACCCCAGCGAGCATTCGATGCTTGGAGTGCGATCAACGTCGATATATCCGATCCAGAGTGCGATCCTCCCACCATGAGGATTCGACGTCGCTCTTTCCCCTTGGAACGGGCATCGGGAGGGAAGATTTGGTCCAGCTTCCGGTATTGAGTGCTATGCAGAAGTGGAACAGATGGCTCGGTGCGAAGTGCGTCGTCGATCTCGCAATCCAGCGGTTTCGGCGTCGACAAATATCCAGTAGCAACCACCAGGTAATCGAACTGCCGCGCCCTTTCCTCGCCCTGCTTCACAGTCACAATCTTCCACTTTCCGTCCTCCTTCTCTGCCTTCACCACACGCGTCCCAAACTCAAAGCACCCCTCCGGAATATACCTCTTCGCGTACTCTTGCAGATACCTCTCTACCATCCAGGCCTGCGGGTAGACTGGAGCATGCTTTCTGCTGCCCAGGTCCACCGACTCCCACGAAAGATCAGAGAACAAGGTTGTGTACTTGCAAGTGTTGGCCCGCATATCTGGGTTGATGAGGTTGTTGCGCTCCCAGAGGCCACCCACGCCCGTGGACTTCTCGAAGATGGTGACGGAGATGGGAGTGAGTTGGAGGAGCTTGCGGGCGCAGGTGAGGCCACCGGGCCCGGCGCCGATGATGGCTACGGTTTTTGTAGGGGACATGGTGGGTCAGTAGTGACCGGCGTGCGGTGGTAGATTCGTAGAACGCTTTATCAGGACGTCGGAGATTTCTAGATAGTAGGTGGAGGTGAGAATCTAGCAAGATTTGACCAACCGCGACGCCTCCAATAAATCAAGATATGCGAGCTCTTTTCTTATTATCCCTGTCACTCTTCCTGTGCGCCTCCCATTCCATCGTCTGAATGCGATGCAAGCCTCTTTTCATAAACTCCTTACATACAATATCAAAGTGCGGGGTATCCCGTGGCATTTAGGAGAGGCGTATGACTAATATAGGGGTCTCCCGCGGAAGCCATGCCATTCATAGCTACAAAATTGCTGGAATGAGCAAGGCAAGGCCGGAACTTCCCGTTCGCGGATCTCGAAGCGTCCATTTCGTATACGTCATATATGAAAATGGACCTTCGGGTTCGAAGTTTGTAGATGTTCCGAACGAATGGTATGTGCGACTTGGCATGTGGCGTCGGCGAGGTGAGGCTTAGTATTGTTCTCGATGTCGACCTTACATTCCTCACATTCCTTGTTCTCATCCGAGGTCACTCTCCCGAGCCATGTGTTCCACGCTTATTTTGGGCGTAACCCGGGGAGCAAAGTCCTTGTCTCTTTGTTCTAGTGGTATCGTGTACGTATTGTAGCAAGCCAATCTAGACGCTAAAATACGTATAGGGGATTGCCGGGGCATTGTGAGCCCCGGCAAGGTACCGCAAACTTCCTGTTTGTTTTTTTGGGTCTGTCAAATGGAATGCGAGTTGGAGCAGCGGTGACTAGGAGTTGTTGGTTGAACGGCCGCATTATTGCTACAGAGTTACAAGAAGTGCAGAAAAGTCGAGTAGCGTGCGTCTTTGGCTCAGTAGAAGGAGGCTTGCGAATGGCGAGCTCGAGGACGCGCTAGGAGATTGGAAATACGGCCTTATGCACATCAGAGAGGGCTAGAGGTTACGCAACAGTGGGCCATAGATCAAAGCGGAGATGGCTAGTCCGGAAGCGGCTGGTTCGTGCGTCTGTGCTATCGCGACTTCGACAATCTCGTTCATCCCTTATCCACCTTAACGAGCATCCTTCCATATTCGATTTTGCTATTACACGTGTAATACCCTATCCCAATGAACCGTCAATCACCGACAGCCTGTGAACCGACTCAAGATGCGTCTTTCCGAAACTATGCCTTTCGATTGCCCTGTACTCATTCGCACATAAAGCGGGGTTTTCCTGCTGAGTTACACATTGTCTGACCTGCTGAGATTGCCAAACACTCACTTGGGTATGGGCATCAGGTGCACACCTAGGTAGGCGCCGAAGGGAGGGGTGAGCGGCAACCACTTCAGGCATCTTCAGCCTTGTGTCTCGATCAACTCTCTTCAAACTTTCCCCCTCGCAGTTGGCCTTCGCTGTGAGGATTCTGTAAGGCGACCGAAGGCCGATATGGACCCATTGAGTATCACAGCGACCGTGGTAAGCAGTACCAGCCTGACAAGGCGAGACCGCCTCGCTAACAGCGAATAGCTGAAGATCACCACCAGCTGTATTTCAGCCGCAAAGGACCTCAACGATATCCGTCAGGCATGGAAACGGGCGCCGACAACCGTGAAGTCGCTCTGCTCTCAGCTGAAGCTCACCGCGGCTTCGCTCTCACAAATCCAGTCTCTCCTGCTTAAGGACCAGGAGATACTAGGACGCCAGCCGGAACTCCAGGAGGCGTTCGATACTGCGCTCACAGCCTGCTTAGTTCTCACCACCCTGCTCGACAAGTATATGCTCAGCATCAAAAAGAGCCTTCTTCATGGCACCAGGAGGTCATGGAAAGTCAATTTCAAGACCGTCTGGAATGAAAGTGAAATTAAAGAGCTCTTAGAGCAGTTGCATGGCCAGCAAGTAGCCATAGGTGCTTTGGTTAGCCTCCTACAGGTGTGAGTTCGTCCAGCCTTCTTTGTAATCGCCTCTTGTGTCCCTATTGCCTTGACCTAATCTCGGGAAGAGACTCGATTTCAGCGATGAAACGGCAGCTGAAAGAGCACAAACGCCTTCTACGTCGGATAGCGGCCGATACCAGACACCTGCGACGAACGCACGCGATCGATGCTCCAGAATCAGTTTTCGAGTCCGACGCCTCAAATGCCAGCATCATTGATAAGCTGGCCGACCGCGAGCCTGATCAAGCAGCTACGCTGCATGCTACGTTCGAATCGTTGGTCCTTGCCCCGCAAGTCTACAAGAAGACCTTCACGGGCATGCTCGAACCCACCACCGATGATCAATCGGACGACACACGTACCATCACAAACTTTGGCCTAGGCGACGAGACATCGAAGATCGACAATGCTCCTGGTGGTCAATGGGCATTGTGGCCTGATGCACCTCACTGGGTCGCAGAATTCCTAGATACCGACGGCACGTGGGCATGGTCGCTGTCGAGCCGTAACGCCGAGACGCCAGGCGAGCTTGACCTTGAAGAAGAGGATAATGTAAGGAATCTGCAAAGACTGGATGCTACTCGATTTACAGGCCAAGTAACATACCCTAATGCGAAAGATGGGCGTCGCGGCATGTTACATCGTGAAGACATTGGAATAGTTTTCATCTTACGTCAAACGGTCACAGCCATCGCTAAAGAAAATCACAACCCCGGAGTAAAGGGCTTTCAGAAAGGCGACGAGCTCAGAGTAACAGTAAGCGCGCTTTCACGAGAGCCCTCTGCTAGACTATCCTAAACTTGTTCTTCTCGGGTTCAGCGAATAGATTGCTAATCCTCTTTAGTCGTTCGCATATGGAGCCGGTATTTTATATGAACGTGGGAGAAATAACCGGTCCGCCTGGGCTGACTGGGGACACGTGGCTGTCAACGACGACGTACGCCGGAAGATAGATGCCATTCTCGACCACTTCAAGTGTCCTCGAGCGGCTTCTACTACCCCGAAAGAGCTGCAGGACCGTATGGTGCGGGTAGAGCTCGACCAATCTCTACGTCAAATGTCGCGTGTGCACAAGTTCAACGCGATTTGTCAAGAGTGCGCTTCTATTGCCCAGATTGTAGAGTACACGAAGATTTGGCGCGAAGCTTATAAGGTGAGTTAGTTCTGTGAATTTAAGCCATAAATATTAATTTTAAGAAGCTAGCCCGAAATGAGCGCTATGCCTGGTGTCTGCCCGACAATTAGGAATCCCACTTAACCGTCTCTTCCGATCGAGCAAGAAAATCCTCGCAGCAATAAATACAAGAGCAAATCGGGTAGCTAGCGATCTACTACGGTCCGCTTCCAAGTTTGGGCAAAGAGCTGTACTCTGTCATGTTATTATCGATGGAACTATGGCAGACCTAGAGGCGCTCTACTACTTATTCGGACAATTCAATCGATAAGCACGAGGCCGTAGCTCGTCCTGACCAGAAGAACGTCAGCTAAACCCACAACATTCTCTGCTCTCATTTCAGCGAACCCTCTTCATATATTCATCCAAGGACTAGCTCCTGCAACCAACCCGTAAATCTATCCCCCCTTTCCCATCCGTCCCAAAACACTCTCTCACAGCCCCACCTTCCCTCCCTTACAAACACCCCTCAACCGCCTTCCTCAACTCCTTCACCTTCGCGCCCGTAACCCCCTCCTGGATATCCCCATCCTTAAACACACTAAACGTCGGCATCTGGCTCACGCCCAGCTCATGCGCAATATCCGGCGTCTGCTCCACATCGTACGTGAAGAAGTGCACGTCTGGGAACTCCGACGCCATCTTTTGCACCTCCGGCGCGATGGCTTTGCATTGCGCGCACCAGGTTGCGGTGCCCTCGAGCACGGTGACACCTTCGTACATGACGGCTTTGAGGTAGGCGGTTTTGGAGTCGAGGACGGGGATTTGCGCGGTGGGGGTGGACATGTTTGGCTGCGAGGATGGGATGGATGGGATAGAGTGATTGGGGATGGGATGTGCAGTTTTGTTATGCGGTTCGGGGTCGATAAGGAGATGTGAGTTGTGGTTTATGGGACGTGCGGAGTGAATTATGATGATGTCATGTTACTGGATTAGGAAATGCGCTAGCAGATTCGGGACTAGAGTCAGATTCTTACACTGAGGTGACGGGGCCTTCTAAGCGAGGACGGGAAGCACACCTCTCGCGAGGAGGAATTGTTAGTTGTGCGGAGGTTCTGGGATGACGGTGAACTTGATGACCGGCGTCGTGCAGCTTGCATGCTGGTTAGCGCTCGTTGTTTCCTCCTTGAGCGGCATGTTGTTTATTAGTACCCGTCCGATTCGGGTTCGACATTTGCTAAGTATGCTGAAGTCCATCAGCATCACTTTTCCACTCACTCCTGCGCTGTTTATTCCACTAGGTGTTCACAATTTGCATTAATAGTTTAGTACTTAAGTAAAGAGGAGATCTAAGAATCCTTGAATACGACTTGAAATGCAAGACATCGCAGGGATGCTTCATTGGACCGCTACTGGAGAATCCCCCATAGTGACTCCAACGATAATGGATGATTCGAGCCCCGATCGCCGCTCATACCAATCAGGGAAATAGTGCACATATCGCTTCCAAACCTGCTGTTCCGACGCTTGCTGACTTCCCCCTTCTCTCGCCGCAGCACCGCCGGACAACAGGCCTTGCGATTCCTTCTGATCCGATTTAATCGCCCAATCTACCGGCGCCTCTCCACCGCGGTCTCGGGCTTCCTTTGACGCCCCGTGTGCAAGCAGCAACTTGATGGACTCGATGTGACCCTGAGCGGAAGCGGTATGGAGAGGGGTGACCTTGTCGAAGTCGGCTCGGTTCGGGTTGGCGCCTGCTTTAAGGAGAGCCTCACTGACTGGCGTGTGGTAGCGGAAGACGGCGCCGTGGAGGGCTGTGCCGCCAAACCGGCTTCCTGGAGCGTCTAGATCCGCGCCGTGTTCTATGAGATGGTTCACTACGTGGAGTAAACCGAATGAGGCGGCGTAACAGAGCGCAGTGGCGTGCCGGGGATATAGGTCCCACTTGAAGTTTGAGTCGGCGTTAAGAACTTGTATCCAGGACATGAATGCCTCGCGGTTTTGCGGGGAGAAGAATCCGAGGATTTTATCGTCCAGTTGCGCTGAAGGATCTGTTCCTCTAAGGTAGTAGGTCCACGCGGTAGATGCGTGTCGCAAGAAAGGATGGCTTGCCAGACGTCTCGCGAACGCTTCCGCTGTTTGGCAGGGCCCCGAATGGAAATCGTGGAATGAGAGGTACGCAAAGCAGTCGAGCGCAAGCTCGCGCCTTCCGGAAATGGCATTGAGCGCGAACGCCGACGCAGATGCAGGACCTTGCTGGATGTCTTCCGAGAGTAAGTGATCCTTCACTGACATGTGCGCTAGCTGGACGTAGCCTTCATCCGACACTGTAATGAGGCTTCCGCACATGCTCAGAATGTCCTGGGTGCTACCGAGGAATGAGTCTTCGTCGGTTCCATCTGACCCCTGCTCGATGGCTATTGCAGCGTGCAATTCCTCTAGAGTAAGAGGCAAGACGGAAAAGGAGAGCCAAAGGAGTATCTTTCGCACAAGGCCCATGTCGTTCTTTGGAACCCTGACGAGTATGTTCCGGTATGTCTCGCCCAGTCCTTCGGGGAGTTGTTGTAGCGCCGACCGAATGCTTTTGACGGTACGCAGGGTGGAGATACAATCAAGCGTACATTGCACGAGACGGAACCTACGCTGTTAGCTAGGGACCAGATTCGGTGCACGGAAAGCTTACATTCCGGCTGATTTCGCTCGTAAGGATTGCTTTATGTCCTCTTTGAGCGAGCTTTGGAGACTTTGTAGTCGCTGGTCGGATACCAGTCGGTGCTCGATGTAAGATTTGATATCTTCGTCAACATCTTTCGTGTGGCTCTCCAGTCGGACGTGCATGAACGATTTTAGTGCGTCTTTAATATCCATCTCCTCGCGGCTACTAACAAGAACACTGATACGTGCGCCGCAGTCCCGAAGGCTAATCAAGAAGTCGAGGAGATCTTTTCGGCCCTCGCACTCGTCGATGGCGTCAATGAGGAGTGTGATTCTCCTAAGCCTCGCTAAGGACCGGAGAACTTCTCTCAGGATGGTAAAGGAAGGCCGTTTTTGAGGGCTATTCCCATTCTTACTGTGACTGAATGCATGATCTAGCTCCTCTGGACAAAATCCCATCTGAGAGCATAGCTGAGCGACCAGCGAACCGATTACGCTGACCGCATTTTGAGCACCCGGTTTGCGGAAGTCGCAGTAGAAGAACGAGAGCAAGGGCTGTTCGTTTGCGTTATTTGGCGTGAGAAGGCTACTGCTTAAGGAGAGGATGATGTTGGAGCTAATAGCGATCAGCCTTGAAGATGGAAAAAGTGAAGAGAGCGCTTACAATAAGATAGTCTTTCCAGAGCCAGCTACAGCAGGATATGATCAGCATCTTGGATCATCTAGGTGGATCGAACTTACGGAATCCACTAATCCATAGGAACGAATTGCTAAAATTTCGCCGCCAACGCTGGAAATTATCGGATTCAATGAACCAGCTGCCAGTTCCAAGCTTTTGAGCATTGACGGCTGTTTCGTGGTTGTCGGAGGAGTCTATTGGTGCCAGCCACTCCGTCATGGCTCTTCCTCTCTCGTCTATGGTGACATTAGCGAATTTGGCCTGCCGGATATATAAGTCTGGCACCTACCAAGCTCTTTCGACTGGAAGTGAGCGACCAGTTTGGATACGCTTGAGTCAATATTCTCAGCAGTAGCGTTGAGGGCTACGCCCATCTCACGAATATCAGCCAAGAGCGTTCTGCGAAGAGGGGCGTATTAGCATAATTTCGCTATTTTACAAGGCCAAGGCCAGTACATACGCTTCATCCGCCGTCATAGCGAGGAGGATTGTAGTCTTGCATCGGTCGACCCTCTCAAGGCAGGATTTGGCGTCGTTTTCTTTCAGCTGCCAGCCCATGACCTGAATAAAAGCTCGAAGCTTCGAAATAGACTTCCCTGACCCGTAAGACGAGGCGATCTTCTTCTCCAAAGCAACGAGCTCCTGGCGGCAGCAAGCAAGAGGCACAACATCTGGCTCGGAAAGCAGCGTGAACGCTCGCAACCGCTTCTCGTCGGGGTTGCACGAGTCGTCCAGTTTTTCTGAGACCTCTTCAAGTTTCTCCAACACATTGCGAAGATCCCTTACTTCGTCCAGCACTCTCGTCAGGGACCATGGAGCTTTCTTAATAGTAGCGCGGACGTCGTAGCAGACCGATAGGATCGAATTTGCTAGCTGAAGCACAGTGATGACGTTTGCAGTAAGGCTTAGGGGATCCACCGAGAGTTTCGAGACGCTAGTTTTCGTGAAGCACGCAGCTTAAGTGGCCCTTTTGAGTCTCTCGCTGGGTGGCGGAGCTATTCGCATAAGCAACTAGGGGGGCGCGAATTGAGAGACCTGGCATTGTGCGATAGAGCCCGAGGGTCACGGCAGAGGACCGGTGGCTAAACCTCAGGCCATGAATATGAGTTGGCGCACCTAAAGGGAAAGATTGAGGCAGAAGTTCTGTTGGGCATTTTGCGATGGTGCAGGTCGGTGTTGGTAACGTCACGCTAAATAGCTAGCGGGTAAAACAAAATCGACGAGCGGTGGTACCTCTCACTTGACTTCGCCTTCCCTACGACCTTGAAGGCCCTATCGACTGGCTAGCCATGTGTGCCTTACCTCCTCGTGCCACTATAGCTTGATCAGCTGAGCAGTCTTCCCATCCAAGCCTTCCTCAGCTCCGCCCACCACAACGCCCACATCTGGACGCTTGCGAGGCTGACGAACAATCGTTGACTTTCCGCATCAGAGTCCGCCATCGAAAGAGCAGAAATAACAGCAAGCCAGTGGCGCCGATAGCCCTCGACAAGCAGGCAATGACGTCTGGTACGAACCACCACAGGCAAGCTAGCTAGCCCACCCACATTAGAAAAGATCGAGCAATGAAGCAGCGCACTCACCTTTCTTAAGCATTGTGACCGGTTCCCCTCTTTTTGTAACAGCTAGACGTTCCGCCCAGCTCTCGATTGCTTAGACGACGTCGGACATGGTTCCACGATTCCTTGGATAAGCACAACACTCGCAACGCTCGCGGCGATACCTTCTTTTCGCCCTCTCACTGATGTATGTCTAGAGAAGTAGCCCATTCTTCCTCGCTAGGGCTAGAATCGGGTGTTTTACATGCAATGGCAGCCGTATAGCCGAGAGGCATCGGCCATGGCGAGAGAGCATGATGGAAGACGTAAGTGATCGTACCCGACAAGGATATTGAACGTGTGTTCCCTTGTGGACATAGCGCCTAGTCCAATGTCACATCATATCTGTGAGCTCACGCCCGTGGCATTGCCCCTGTGGCACCCCCTCCTCGAACCACGGGGTAATGAGGGATGGTGAGTTGACATTTATCCGCGTGCCACTGCGGCAGCTCATAAAGCCGAAGGCACTATTTCGACAAAGGCCATGTACCTGCAGCTTGCCCACTCACGCAATCCTGCCATGACGGTTTCGAGAAAACGTACGGGGCCGGGCGGCGATTCAAATGGCAGCCCACCAAAGCTTCCTCGCACTACGCTAAATGACGATGGCACTCGCAAAGTGCCCCAAGGACTCCTTACCACGCTGCAATCTAACTCCGGACCTGTCAGCGGAAATCGTCAAGATGCCGCACAGAATCCAGGTCCCGAGGAGCGATCAGTCCCTAGACGCAGAGAGTCCGACTCCTCTACCCAGCGCCATCCTGATGCCTCCACGAGCAATACCTCCATACCTAAGGACCTCCCCATTACGACCACGGCCCACGAACCTCCTCCGGATCCAGATAGGCCGGGCGTAGCGAACCCGGCTTCGAAGCCGTTCAAGCTGAGGCTACACGCGCGAGCCAGGCCTACCCCAGTCAGAAACAACCAAGTGATTTTGCGAGTGCCTGCCGGGAACGAGAAGTCGCATTCGACCACGAGAGAGAAGCTGCTTTTCGCCGCTAGAATAAAATACCGCTACACTAAGATTAGACCTGATCAGGTCCGCTTGCTCGTCATCAGGCCAGGCAGTGGAGACGAGGAGATCAACGTGACCCTCCTGACCGTAGGTGATATACACTTGGGCACTGAAGATTACCCTTACGAAGCGCTCTCATACCACTGGGGGGAGGGAGACGAAACGCACGCCATCATCGTTCAAGAAGACGTTAATTCGAACCCAGTCAAACAAATGTCAGAGGCAGTGCTCTCGGTGATGAGGGGAGGAGCTGGAACGAAGCGCCTTTCGGTGCGACCAAATCTCTATGAAGCACTCAAGCATTTACGAGACCCGGATGATAACGTGCCGCTGTGGGTGGACGCATTATGTATCAATCAACTGGATGAGGTGGAGAAAAAGACTCAGGTCATGAAAATGTCCAAGATCTATCGAAGAGCTGGAAGCGTATGTGTCTGGCTGGGTCTAGGCGACAAAGTGTCATACACAGCCATGATGTTCATCACCGATGTCATCAACCAGGAGAAGCTCGGTGATCTCCTTTCCGATCCAAGACATATAGACAAATGGGTCAGCTTATTCGAGCTTCTAAAGTGGAGTTGGTTCTCACGTCGTTGGGTCATTCAGGAGTTAGCCCTGGCCAAAGAGGCCACCGTACGTTGCGGTCGGGAGGAAGTGCATTGGGACGATTTCCGAGACGCGATCGGTATCTTCCATCGATATTTCGACATTTTGAAACCAAAAATGAAGACTCCCGAGCAAATTCGCAAGCCCATAGGCGAGCTAGAACCATTGGGGGCCAAGCTGTTGGTGGACCTTTCAGCCAACCTTTTTCGGAGGAAGCCGAATGGCGATCTTGAGTCGACAATGGACCTCGAGACTCTCGTATCTTCGCTGGCTGGATTTGACACCTCTGATCCCCGCGACACGATCCACGCCCTGCGAAACATCGCCTACAAGCGCAGTCTTTCAAAGGCTGCTCTTCAAACCCCTGGAATAGAAGAGGCGCCAGAACCCGACTACAGCAAGGACCTCTTTGAGGTCTACCGAGATTTTGTGCAATGGGTTGTCAAGGTTTCGAGGTCCTTGGATATCGTCTGCCGTCATTGGGCGCTTCCCGAGCGTGCGGAAAAAGGGCTGACAACCCCACGGCTGGTGAAACTTCCATCTTGGATTCAAATGGTGGATGAGTCATCCTTCGGTAGGGGCGAAGAGGTGTTCAAGGGTCGAAAGGCAGGCGATAGCTTCGTTGGTCTTCCTGGGAAGAATTGCTATAATGCTTCCGCTGGGAAGGAACCCGAAGTCCAGTTCGGCCAAGACGACACTCGAACGGGCCTTCTTAATGGGCAGATTCGCCAAGATGCCCTGGCGGAGAATGGACGGCAAACCGTCGAGGAAATCGGCCATGACATGACTTTGTCAGCGAAAGGTCTCTTCATCGGCGTCGTAAACTGGTCCTCAGACCCTATTCCGGATGGCGTAATACCACAACGTTGCCTTGAAAAGATTGGCTGGGGTAGACGGGATTCCGCCGAAATCTATAAAGCGCCGGATCAACTCTGGCGCACACTCGTTGCCGATCGAGGCCCTAATGGCAGCGAGGTCCCGACTTGGTACCATCGGGCCTGCTTGTACTGTCTACTGAATCGCACCCCGAACGGACACATCAATACCAAAGACGTCCTTGAGCAAAACGACTTTGGCGATCAGCGCAGCACGGTACAAGACTACCTGGAGCGGGTGCGAGTAGTTACCTGGAACCGGGCTTTCCTTGAAGCGAGCCCACCGAAAGATGGGACGACAGTTCCGGATCGGAGCGTTCACCCCCTCGTTGGTCTCGGGCCGCCAAAGACCGAGCAAGGCGATGTCATTGCGATCCTGTACGGCTGCAGTGTGCCGGTTGTTTTGCGCCCTTCCCAGGTTCTGGAGGAGGCCAGTGAGCCGAGGCTGTATGAATTCATTGGTGAGGCCTATATCTACGGCAAGATGAACGGTGAAGCTGTGGACGATAACCCTATCGTCGAGAAGACTTTCCGGCTGCAATGACGACTTTGTTTTCTTGCTCTTGCTTCTATGTTTCCTGTCTTTTCTGTTGATTACAGTATTCATTTCCTCCTGTCTTTTTCGTCTTCGGCATAATTGATCCGCTTCGATTTATAGCAGAATATGGGTTCTTTCTTCTCTAGCTATGAGCTATGATATATCCTATGAATGAATGCGACTCATGCTCCGTCCGAGCTTAAGCCGCTTATGTGCCACGGTGCCTATGCAAGATGCAAAAAGTGTTGGTTCCTCAAAGTTCCAGCTCTGCACGCCTTCTCAGCTTGACACCAACTTAAGGGCCCAAACGCTGGCTAGATAGATGATTCAGCCTTCAGACACCCTCACAATCACCCGCTCCGTCTGCCGATCCCATAGTACCTTCTTGGGTCTGCCCAAAAGCCTGCTCTCAAGTAATTTGGACTTGCCGACTCTTATTCAGCTGTCAAGCTCCACCCTGCCAGTCGTCAAGTTCGCTCCTCGCCTCGACCTCGGGGAAACCTTCAGCTCTAAGCGTAGGGATCTAACTCTAGTACAAAATCCGCTAACTGGCGCAGGGTAGGTGTAAAAGTAAGCGTAAAGGACTGCAGTACACGTTGCAGATGTCGAATCCAAATTGGACGGGTACTTATAAGCGCATGTGGCGGTTGAAAGGCGTAGGAACGGATATGGAGTTAGATGATCTAGATCTCGAAAAATGAAGAAAACTTGAACGCGACGGACGCTAGCCACCCAAGCATACTTCTTGCCCCGGGGCCATGGTGAATATGCTCGAGTCCTGAGGAGTTCGGTGGAGCTTTAAAAAGACGTGAAGTTCTCGAGATCAAGGTTGTCGGGGTTAAAACAAGCGAGATCAGGAAACTCGGTTGATTCCCGCTAAGAGCAAGCATTGATAAGCTCCTCGTCGGAAATGGCTTCCAGAGATAGTAGCCGAAGGACAGGACGTCAGAAGCCTAGGAACCAAGCTCCGTTCTTCGCTCCGAGAAACAATGCTCTAGCAGTGCGCGCGGTCGCACTCACTATAACCGTACTCCGGTCAAGCATCGACATCTCAGGAAGCATGCGACCACAGTTCCTTCACTTACGCCTACTCGTCAACGCCGCAATCATTTAGACTTCTAGCAAATATTCTTAACAAGCTAATTAGCTTAACAAAAATGAATTTAACCAGTTTAACATTTAGAGCGGTTATATAACCTATGAATGGGTATTTCTCCGCGACCTGCTTTAGCTTTCCTCTAGCTATCTACTTACGGTTTACATTGATGCCTAGTATTGTAGCAACGGTATGAGATACTCTACAGACAACACCATCGCACGGCTACTCCGCCGCCAACAGCGGCTAGAATGGCGACCCCTTGTGGATCGAATGGACCATCAAATCAATAACAAGACGAGAGTAGCACTATAGGATGCCGGCTCGCTCCGACGGGCGGGAGGATTCCCCTAGCCTAGGAAGGACGTCTGCAGAAGTAGCCAAGAGTCTCCCGCCAAGGAGTTAGCCTTCTCTGTGAAATCGAATAGGTCCGAAGGGATGGGGTAAGAGTGGAGCTGCTGCAGGACAACGAAGGAATAAGTGCGGAGAGAAAATTGGGAGGAAAGGAGGACGATGTCACATGCAGAGACGCAGAAGGCAGGCGCCCTTGAAGTCGTACCTTCCTCTAGCGCGGAGGCATGATATGCTCTTTCCAAGGCACAACTAAGACATCCGGGATATCATTAAAGGAAGTCCCTATTGCAGGCTTGGATTATCATCGCTGCAATATGTAGCAACATGGGTCAGCAAAACTCTATTCAAACATGTAGTCGCCGACGTCGTTGCTCGTAACATCTATCTCTCGTAAAAGGTGGAGCGACTGCAATCGGGCCTTAGTCGGCTAAGCGGTGCTTCTCCTTCATCCTTCTCGTCGGGTTACCATGTTGACGCACGAGAAGTCTCCACCGATACGCAAGCGTATCGTTTGCGAAGCGTTTCGGGAAGGCTCTATCTAATTCCATGAGTGCCTGGTCATCGTACCCACTTAAAAGCCATTCGACTGTGTGGAGCAGGTAAGGGCACTGGCCAATGTAAGCACAGAAAGGCCTTGTCCAAGACGCAATCGCATGATACGATATCAGTTGGCGAGCTATCGGGAGCAAGCGCAACACCTATCTTCGTGTAGCGGAGAAAAGGAATGCCCCAGATCTAGGACTGTCCAGACCCCATCCTGGGGAACGATTATGCCTTCGAAAGGGATGTACCGCTGCAGTGGTTCCCTTATCCCTGGGCGCCTTGAGTAGTATACGGATGGAATGGCGACACGTTGGCACCACCATGGCCATAGAGCACATCGGGTGTCGTTGGCTTTAGAGAGGACGCGAGTATGATACCATCACAGCAGGAATATCCGCAGGGTAAGACGAAGATCTTCGGGCCGAACAGTGCAGAGCAAGAATGAGTTGTTATCCTCCACGGGGAAGAGACTAGACACAATGCACGAGAGTGGGGATGCCGAAAGCTAACGGGGGAAAGGGAATGCGGAGAGGATGACGTGGAGAGCAGGATGACATGCAGAAGGGCGGAGGCAGGGGATCTCTTGTCTTCTTCCAGTCCGACAACGATAGCTAGGGTTCGTGTCTTAAGGTCGTTCCCCGCGGTGTTTTAGTCAACGTCATGCCATGGGCCACAAGGGTGCCCACTTCGCTTGAGGCTCTGTTGTACTGTATCTGGCAGCAGAGGTCAGCAAGGTACCTATTCCATCGAATCTCGATCTCATTATTGCCCCCGCAACATCTCCCGTTCCTTCTCGGGAAGAAGGGCCTGCGCATCGTGTCAAAACGAACCTCAACAACAGAGCGCGCGGCGATCTCCACCGCGTGCACATCCCCGTCGCATCCTAGCTCGTTGAGCTCGCTTGAACACGAGCGATCAGCCCCTCCCTCCGCATCTCGCACGTGAAAGTAGCTTTCCATGACAGAGCTATCGTGCAATGGTGGCGTGAAAACCCGTCAACTCGGCCGCGGTGAACATGGACAGTGTAACCGTAGATGAAGACGTCAGTTCAACCTAGGTATACAAAAAAGTTCGTGCGAAGCTAATCATTGCCACACCGAGGCGCGAGGCTTCGGCAGCATCTGAAGTCTGGCCTGGACGTTCTTTCAGCCTCACTAGTTCGGATTTTGATGCCTGACTAAGCGGATTTGACCCACGGCTCGCGCGGCGCCACGGAAGCGGCCGCGATGAAGCCGACGGAACAGGGGCCGCGCGAGCTCTTCACATGCTGCCCGCTCTTCCTCCTCTTTCATCTCTCAACAAACAATTGACGGCCGTTAACGCATGCAAAGCGCCCCGCTCTGCGACTTCTTTGACAGCCCGGAGCCAACACAAGCACGCGCTCCCGCAATGCTCCAATTGTCTATCACGGACAGCACGCCTGAGGGCTGATCTGAGCCGCGTCGCCATGTTTGCTTCTGATAAGGCAGCACGGCGGCCAATTGGGCTGGAGGCTCACGCCGTTGGACTCGCAGAACGCGCATGCATAACCCCCTCCTCTGGTATTTTTACCGCCCCCAGGTAGCAGCCGGTCTATCAACGCTCATCTATCTGGCCGCCAGGCTGGGGGAGGATCGGCAGATGCCGTGTGGTTTCGACATTCCATGTCCCCTGCTATATGCACAGAATACATACGCGAAGGAGCGGAGTCCAACACGGGCGGTACGGCCATCCTTCGTTCGGTTTCGGGAGACACAGGCCTCAACATCGTCCAAGGAAAGCCTGATGCTCGCGAGTAAGCATGCGGAGGCGTACGGGAACTCCAATCTCCACCACAGACGGGAGCGAACTTTCATGTAATTTGCGTGGCACTGTGCGTCCGCGGCGCAGTCAAGGAAACTGCCCGGCAAACGCTATTGGGCCTCAGTAGCGTAGGCGAACGCGCGCGAGCTGTCGTCGCCTTATCGTTGACGTCTGGCAGCGCTGAGTGGCCCAAGCTCCTTTCACATGCCTGCTTCCCTGGCTGCAAGGCGGGCGCTCTCACAGGAATGCGCATGGTATTTCCAAGCCCTGGAGTGCAATCACCCAATATCACCCCAACTTTTTTGCGAGCTGCCTCCCGCAGCATCCATCTCTCACGCCGCTGATTATATTGCGAGGCTGCACCGCGCTCCTGCTCTCATTCCTGTCCTCACTTTTCCCTCCGGTCGCACACAGCACGAGACACAGCTCTGACATCACCGCACCCACCAACTGAGGTACGTTATCGCGCTTCGCTATCGATAAACGAGCACACGCAAACCAACTTTCACATGCAATTCACCCGACTAACCCTACGCAGCCGCCGTTCCCAGCACCGCGCGCCACACCTTCGTCATTTCCTCGCCGCGCATAAAAAGGTGCGTCCCAACACACGGCAGCCCGTTCCTGCCTTGTGGCACGTTACTCTGCATCATCACTTCAAGTCCCCATATTTACGTACCGCAACCGCAGCACGCATATCGCATTCGATGCCGCACGCTGAGCAAGACACCGCACCCACCACCAACGGCGAGATGAGCAACCAAACCGTCATGACCAACGGCGAGAAGCCGCATTTCAAGGTGCTATCGGTATGTATAACTTTCATTGCTTTTTCCGCATTCCCGCGCGAGCCGTAACAGCCGTGCATTCCAACTTAGAATGCAAGAACGCCATGCAATTTCGCCCTTACAATGGCACCCCTCTCTAAACAGCATTGCTAACCACCCCACCAGCATCTGCAAACCTACCCCGTCGTCCACGACTCGCTCGAAGCCTACAAGTCGCACCCCTACGGCGCCAAGTCGCTCTCCCTCGTGCACGCAACCTACCAGCGCTTCGTCGCGCCGCTGCACCCGTACCTGCAAACGCCGTACTCGTACGTCTCGCCGTACCTGACGCGCGCCGACGAGCTCGGCGACAGCGGCCTCAGCAAAGTGGACACGCGCTTCCCCATCGTCAAGGAGGAGACCACGAAGCTGAAGCAGACCGTGGTCGACTACGCGTCGTTACCGCTGCAGCTGGCGGGCAAGGGCAAGGAGTACCTGGTCGGCACCTGGCAGGATGAGTACAGCAAGACGCGCGGCGACGACGGCATGGTCAAGAACGTGAAGGCGCTCATTAGCACCGAGCTCAAGATCGGGCATGACGGCTACAATCTCGTGATGCAGTACTGGGGAAAGGGGAAGAAGGAGGCGAGCAAGAAGATGGACGAGGTGAAGCAGTAGGCTGCTTGCGTTATCCTGCGGCTCTTCATCCACCTTGTTCCATCCGAAATGGGCTATGAGGCTCGCCGAATATTGGACAGTTTCCGTAATGATGACGGGTGGAAATTGCTCGAGTATATGTGGCTTCTGTATTGTTTAGATACCTTTCCGTCTCTTTGGGCATCGGTGTCTTCGACTCATCTCAATGTTTCGTTGGTGCGGTAGGTCTTCTGTTCGGTAGCGGTCTGCTTCGATTGGCACATTAGGGATAGATTGAGGAATTACGATAATGCTGAATTAGTCCTGTGCGCTGTATCCACTGTTAGCCAATTTCGCTCTTTCTATTGTGGTATGTGTGGGCTTGACAAGGGGTGCTGCCAAGACGCATCGTTGTGATATTCGACCCAGAAGCCTAGAATTTTGTGTTCTGATTATCAAGCCGAAGTACAGGCCCGAATGGACGGCTGCTCTGATCGCCGTCCACCCTGTGATATCCACCGACATGCTCATGCAGGACCTCCACGCGTTATCAAATCATGCCCGTCTACGCCCAGCCGAACGACCGAAAGAAAGCCTAGAACTGTAACGGAGTGAAGAACCACCTGTTCTTGCCCGACTGGTATCGCTCCTCGAACGCCTTCTTCACGGTCTTCTTAGCCTCCTCCCGCTGCGACACCTCCTTGAATGTGTCGGCCGACACGACGCCCTTCAGATTCTCCAGCTCGAGCGTGTATCGCGTGGGCATGATGTGAGTGTCTTTTGCTCCGAATTAGTCTCATCTCTCAAAACCCTTCTCCAATGGCGCTTCTGACGTACAGTTGACCTGCTTGACGAACGGCTTGACCTTGCTCTTCTTCGCCTGCTTGGCTTTCGACATGCGGCGCGTGACCTTGTCCGGGTAGCGCTCGATGCCGGCGACGAGCGCGTGCGGGAACGGATGCGACTTGGTGCCGTTGTCGAGCGGTGAAATGATCACGCATTTCTTGCCAGCGTAGCGGCCCCGGGTGATGATCTATGCGAGAGTGAGTGCGTACGAGGGTGCATTCGAGCGGTATTCGACGTACGACAACGCGTCCGACCTTGAGGCTGTAGGAGTGTGTTAGCTGAGGTTCAAAAATCAAAGTCAACCAACACCACGGCAGCTTGCGCAATCGCAGCGCCTGCAATATCTTTTTCAATGGAATCCGGGGAGACATACAACTTCATCTTCGCTGTTTCTCGCGGCGGGTGTGGGTGGATGGATGGTCGATAGCTGGTTCTCCCGGGTGCGGTAGTGGGTGGAAAATGTGCCTGGGTTCGTGTGGGCGGCTCGCTTGAACTTTTCGCCGCGAAGTCTTGGCGCCTAACTTCAACTTTTACCTCGTCGACTTTTGCGACTGCGAATCACGACAACCATGATTTGTTGCAGCTAATCTTTCCGTACGAGTGATTTTAGACAGATAGCCTCGCATAAGGCTCATATCGCCCTCTGAGTCGTTCGCGATTACCACCAGCGGTTCTCATCGAATCCTCAATCAACCGCCACCATGCGTATAAAAGCGCTTTCCAGGTCAGCAGCCTCTGCACAGGCTCCGGGCTCGAATGTCGCCAAGAACATTCGAAACTTAGACCCGGATCTCCATCCATTCGAACGTGCGAGAGAATACACCCGAGCACTCAACGCTACCAAGATCGAGCGGATGTTCGCGCAACCCCTCTTGGGCGATTTCGAGCCAGGACATGTCGACGGCGTATACTCCTTCGCGAAGGACCCCGAGTGTCTTGATCACTTCGCCTCGGGAAGTGGAGACGGCATCGTAAAAGTGTGGGACCTGACGTCGAGGAAAGAGCAATGGCAGGGCCAGGCGCATAACAACATAGTCAAGGGCATGTGCTGGACAAGAGACCGGAAACTCATTACTTGCGGAAGCGATCAAAAGATACAGATGTTCGAGCCCTATACTACGCCTTCGAAGAGTCCGCCCGTAGCAACATGGCATGGCGGGGCCTTCACATCCGTCAGCCATCATCGGAGTTTGCCCTCCTTTGCCGCGGCCAGCGACAAAGTCTCCATCTACGACATTTCAAGAGCATCAGGAGCCCCCGTGCAGACTCTGCAATGGCCGACAGCTATCGACACCATCAACGCGCTTGCCTGGAATCAAGTAGAGACTTCCATCATTGCGTCTTGCGCAACGGATCGCGCTATCATTCTTTACGACTTGAGGACCAATTCTCCGCTGCATAGGACAGTGCTTAACCTCGCATCGAACTGCATGGCTTGGTCTCCAATGGAAGCGTTCAATTTTCTGGTGGGGAATGAGGATCACAATACATATCTATTCGACATGCGAAACATGAAACGTAAGTCAATTCCGGGGTCCGAAATATGACCGAAAAGCTGCTAATATCATTGCCACATCAGGAGCGTTGAACATCTACAAAGGGCATGTTGCTGCCGTTATGAGCGTTGACTGGTCTCCCACCGGAGAAGAATTCGTATCGGGTTCATACGATCGGTCCGTTCGCATCTGGGAACGACAAAAAGGGCAGTCGAGAGATGTCTATCACACTCGGAGAATGCAGCGTGTCTTCTCGGTTGCTTGGAGTCCGGACAACAACTACCTCCTCAGCGGCAGCGACGACGGCAATGTGCGCTTGTGGCGTGCTAAGGCGTCCTCTCGACAGGGCGTCAAATCGTACGCGCTCCGGCAGAAACTACAATGGTAAGAATTCCGCGGTTGAAATAGCGACAAAACCATGCTAACTTTTGTGCAGTGAGCAATTTTTTCATATCAAGGCAATCGTTCAAGTGCCTTGATTTTCTGAGTTCGCTGTGGGCAAGTCTTCGAACAGCGGTCAACAGCATGCCTTATGGACGCGGGGTCCTAGAGGCACGGCAAATTTCTACTGGCTATGCACTGTTGATGACGCCTTCGAAACTCTCCAACACTGGTATTTGTGCCCCGCCTCTTGAACCTCTGCTAACTGTATCTTTTTAGACGACGATGCTTTGAAAGAGAGGTATAAGCATATGCCCGAGATTAAGCGAATAGCCCGACATAGGCATCTGCCTAAGCAGGTTAAGAAAGCCGCCGAGATTAAGACCGAGGAGCTAGCAGCGATCAAGAGACGAGAGGAGAACGAGCGCCGGCATACTAAAAAGGGTCAGGTCAGGCGGAAAGCTGCCCGAGAGACTATGATTCTTGCCCGGGAGCAATAGCGGATGCATTTATTACGCTTATTACGTGCATAGCGACGGCGTTCAAGAAGTTTCAGGATTTTGGAACTTGAAATTTACCGTCCTGTCTCAGCAAGCATCCCATTGCTGAGACATTCCACGAAACTCTTCATGGAACGAACTTACCTTCCAATATCTTCACTTCATTTTCGTATTCGTTGTTCGCCCGGCGGAATCGGTACCCACGTGATTGATGGTTGTTCGGCTACTACAACCCTAGCGCCATCACGTCATCACCTTGATTAGAAAGCGACATTGCCGAAGGGCGCGTATAGCCGACGCAACAAGTAGCCCGTTTGTAAGGTCACCTTGCTTTACTTCGACTCGTTCTTCGTCCTTTAGGACTTTTCCTCTCGTTGTTGAAATTCGTTTCGTCCCACTCTCAACTAGAACAGCTAGCCCGCAAATATGTCGGCTTCAGCAATCACTACCCAAGATGCAAAGTTTAAGAGCCTGGGATTGTCAAAGATGACGGTGAACAAGGAGCAAGTGTGTTGCTATAGCCGCGGTTTAGGTGCAGCCTCCGACGGCAATCCGATACTCGTATTGATACACGGGTATCCGCAGTCTTCCTACATGTGTGTAGACGGCATAATCTGTTGAAGGCCTACGTACTGACTCATCGATACGGGTGGCGTCACATGATTCCGCTTCTCCCACCGGATGCGCCCATCTTCGCGCCCGATCTTCCCGGCTACGGCGCGAGCGCTCCGATCGAGCAGAACGACAAACTTAGCGTCGGAAAGGCACTCATGTCCGCTTTGAAAACAGAAGTCAAGAGGACATCGAGCGCAAATTTGTCCCGGATCCCTGTAGTGCTTATCGGCCATGATCGAGGCGCTAGAGTCGCTCATCGCCTCGCCGTCAGCGGCGTCGAGGGGGTCCACATCTTAGGCGTGTGCTTGATCGATATAGTGAGTAATCTCCTTCCTCCGGCCCATACTTGACGGGAGCTGATGAGCGCAGGTGCCAACCACCACGCAATGGGAGGCATCATCTAAAGCCGCCGCAGTAGTGGGCTACTTCCACTGGCCGTTCCTGGCGAACGTCGACCTCGCAGACCGCATGATCACCGCCTTTGGTGGGGACAACTGGTGCCGCGAAATGACGCTCCGCTGGGCCGGTAAGAACGCCAAAGGCCTCGGCAATCTGAAAGCGGACAATGCACTAGATATATACACTCAGTTCTTCATGCAGCCTCACACTGTGCATGCGTCAAACGAGGATTACAAAGCCGGCGCAACTGTGGATGTCGAAGCGCAGACGGAGGATCAGAAGGCGGGACGCAGGATTGCGTGCCCGGTGCTGCTGCTTTACAGTGAGAGTTATATTGGGAGCAGGTATGAGTTCCCGGATGTGTGGAGGGGGTGGGTGAAGGATGGGGTACGGATCGATAGTCATGGGTGGGGAGATGGGATTGGGCATTTTGGGGCGGAGGAGGCGCCGGAGGAGAGTGCGGGGGTTGTTGGGGAGTGGTTGAAGGGGCTGGGTGGTGGTAGGTGAGGTGTAAGGTAGGTGGACGCTCCACTTCGGACCGTTCCGTGCTGATCTATTAAAGGCTGGTGGATGTTACAAGTGGCAGAAGTCGACTAGTATTAGTTTCTGAAAGTCTTTAATTGGCCATGCTCCAGAGGATTAAGACCACTCCGCGGCCTTTGTTAGTCCCCAACGCTAATACGAGTTTATGTAACCGTAGCTTGTGGCAGACTTGGCGAAGTTTGGGGCTACTGGTTGTTTACGATATATTCTAGGTACTTCCCTGACACTCCGTAAATGCGAAATACGAGCACGGGAAGATACAAGCTTGTGCGTACATTGTGGTAGACTTGGCGAAATTCCAAAGCTGCCATTCGCTAACATCTATTCCTAGTATAACCTCGAAACTGAATGCAAAACACGAACACGGAGAAGCAGATAGAAAAGAACTCCAACTAAGAACCAGCGATGTCCCTCGCTCGGTCTCTCGAACTAGTACCCACAAACACTAAAAACCACACTTCACACCTAACCAACACCACCATCCAGCAGAGATGGCCAAGCGCGCAGCAGCATTTCTCATCACCTTCATCCTCCTCCTCCAACCCCTCCTCGCCCAGCAAGCCACCACCACAACAACCATCGTCGACTTCGCCGTCTCAGACCCGGCCTCCGTCGTCGCCGCCGACGCAACAGCAACCACGTACTGGATGGCATGTGTACCCAACGCCAATCAAGGCTGCGGCACCTCCTCCCCGTTTCCGACGTACACCGTCGTTGGCGGGCCGTCCACTGCAGGCTTCACCTTCGTCGACGAGGGCTTGCAGCTGTCGGTTAGAACGGAGTGCGGCTGCGAGAATTATACGCCCACGACTTGCACGTATGAGGCGAGTAGCGCTGGCTTGTATGCGTCGACTGTGAGGCCGGCGGAGGCGTTTGGGCTGTCGTTGGTGGTGGTGACGATTACGGCGGGGGTGGAGAAGTTGCGCGGTGCTGGTGGTGGTGGGGCGGAGGCTAGTGCGACGGGGACTGGGGCGGGGGCAGATGAAAGTATGTTTTTCCTTCGTGGGGAAATTGGGATCGTGTCGTGCCGAATGGAATTGCGCTAACTTTGTGTGTAGGTCATAGCACGGCTACTACTGGAGCGTCGGCCACTGCGGCGACGACTAGTCCGACTGGAGCGGCTGAGGCTGTGCGACCAAGGCTGCTGGAATATGTTGGGATTGCTGGGATCGTCTTAGGGGCTCTGTGACCTATACTGCCTCGAACTCTACACCTGCATATTGAGGGAGCTAGGTCTCGTGGCGAGGTATTCCCCGGATTCAAGGGCTCGCCGTACAGATAATAAGATTGCTCGTGCAGCTAACTATACGTGCAGTTGTACGTTGTTATAATCGGAGAATTGGGCATCGTGAGAGGATAGGCTGGCCGTTTTGAGCTAGACCAAAGTGGGTATAGTATACACACTGTCCGGTCAGCGATGTACTCCACACAGCTTGATTCTATCTCCTACTGCTTGAGAAGAAGTCGATAACCGTACGGAAATGCAATATCTCGGTGTGTCATCATTGAGATCAAGCAAGTGGAGAGAATGGAGGGCAAGGATAATCACCAATCAGTGCTCCTTCCGCACGCCTTGTGGCAGCAATGCATGGCTTCCCACGTGTTCTACAGCGCTCAATCTGCCTTGTAGGACTATTCCTATCCTATAGATCTCAGGTTCCTACTGCTTCGGAGCCTTGTACTTACGTCGCCCCCGTTCTCTCCCCAAGTCGCCGACATGGCTGGCTACCCCCAACTTGCTTCCCTGATAGGCGCATACCCCGAAGTAGCTACACTGCGCCGCTTCGGAGCCCTAAATGCCCGGAATCTTCCGCATCCACAAGCAGAGCCGACAGTCCTCGAGGACAAGCTGCGCCAGTGCGAAAAGGCGGATCGAGAATCCCGCAATGAGGATCGAGCGATAGACGGGTGCGATTGGCAGACGCTTGCGGAGTCAGGCGATGGGCCTACGGAAGGCGACCAATGGGCTATGTTCCTCAAGATCAGGGAGAAACTGAACGAGTATAGTGAGTATCGCTGTTCTGGTGATGCGAAACTTGTGTGCAAGGGCGGGCCTGACTGGTCGAAAGATTCAGCCTTGTTGGTGCAGCAGAGGCTTGCCAGGTTCGATCTGCCTAATGCGCGCGATCTCGGGTTCCTTGTAAATTGGATGAAGAGCAATGTGTATCTGCTTGGTCAGGACAGCGATATCTGGGAAAAGCCAGAAGTCGAAGACATGGTCGCTTTGAAGACGAGGCCGGTTGGCGATTTGGTATCACGGTTTTTGACTGATAGTATCATCCATTGGTATCATAGGATCATTGGAAGGAAAATCAAGGTATGTTCTAAAATGCCGCTAAAGTACACGAGAGGTCGCTGCTAACAAGAACCAAAGAAACAAGGATCGGTCAGGGATCACCGCATTGTTTAACACGAATTTTTCTCCTGCTTTGGGCTTTATGACCGGTGCAAAGCCCGTGGAAATATTCAGTGCGACGGCTGCGTAAGTCTACGTTATCTCTGAAGTACCGGGACTAACGTTTCCGAGCTTCGCGGCCGTGCGGCTTGTGTTCGTAGGGACGACGAGCGCTTCGATAGGGACGGTATTGTAGGACGGGCGCGCTTTAGGCCGACTATCGCTGCCTGATATGGTTGACGTGAAGGGGCCGTCGTGCATGACCATCAGCCCTGCGAATTTGCCGATTGCTGGGCCTGTTGCGCGGCTTGTTGCGCAGCCGCTCGTTGAGCTGCGCGAGCTGCGAGAGCCGCCTTGTCCTGGCGTTGTTTCTCTTCCAACGACGCAATTTGAGCTTTGTCCGCTACGGCACCTAGTCAGCGTACATTCCTCTGTGTTAAGAATGCTCATGAAGGGGCGCGCTTACCTTCGGTAGTCTTCTCATGCTGGATCAGGGGCATGAACGCAGCAGGGTCAGGCCTCAGCAAGCCATGCTTGACTATGTAATCTCTCCCTATCACGACATCAATTTCCGTTACGTCCCCTAAAATGTAGAACGTTTCGTGTTTGATGCAAGTTCCATTTGGATGCCACTTCCATTGCAGACGGATGGTGCCTCGGCTTTCCACGCGATGTCCTGATGCGCTTCTCATATCCAGGGTAACAGTGGATTTTGATATGAGATGGCTAAGCCCGAGCCGGCCGAGTAAGCGCTCCGAAATCCAATTGCCCCGTTGGCATTGTGTATCCAAGAGCGCGATAGCGAATTGAAAATCGTCGTTCGCATCCAAAATTTTCATACAACGCTGGAAATCCTAATCATTATATTTCAATTATTTTGTTCCCAACATGCCACTTAGGAAGTTCACGCACCTCTTTCACGGCGCCCTGTTTCTCCAATTCGTGTTCGTTGTCAGTGAGCAATGCCGTGGTCGCCGCCTGTCCGAAATCGCTGCCTGGTGTGTTCGAGCGTTTAGCCTCAGATGCAGAACAGTGGTCAAAAGAAAGCCTCCTATGGACGCTTGGTTTGTCAGGGTGACATGGAGGATCGATCTTGTCTAGGATGCGTTAGTACCTATAGGCAATTGCTTGCTTTGGAATGCAGCGACTCACGAATCTCTGGCCCCTCTGGATGCTGAAGCCTAGCATGCTTCGCTAGCTCATTTTGCGATATGAAGAACAAACCACTAAAAGATTCTGCTTCGAAACAGAGCTTATGACAACAACGGTAGTCGCGGAAGTCAACGTCTCCTGAACAACCATGGGCGTTTCTGAAGTGCTTCCAAAGCTTTTCTGCTTTTGTGAGGCTTTTTGTGGTAAGACCGTTTAGCTCACAAGAACCGCAGCGATACCTCGGTGAACCCTCCATTTCGAGCTTCATAGCTTTAGCATATCACAATTGAAAAAGCGAAGCCATGCTCACATGTTGAAGGGATGAGAACGCTGTAACTAGATGTCTCCAAGTGCTCCACAGACAAAGCGGAGGACGCAATAGCCAGCCTGGGAAAAATATTGGTAGAGTTAAGGACGACTGACGTGACGGTTCCTAGTCGAGTAGCATCCCCTTTCCACATGCAATCCCGAGCCTACCCACAGGGATTAGAACTTATCTCAGATGCTCATACGTCAAACAAGCGAGGCAGCTAAGTTCCTTTGTTGTTTGACGCTAATTGGCTACAAGAATTGATAAAGCCGCACCGCCGTCTGGGCTTGCTGAGATAAGCCGCTAAGCGAACTGAAGTACGGTGTCACTGAAGTTTTTCTTCACACTACGGTATTAAATCCACTTCCCTTGAATCGTCGATCGTGCCCGATACGCCCCAATAGCTGTTTTCACGGCGAGGGCAGTAATTCCTTCAGAATTGTCCGCGCTACGCGCCTCGTCGCATTCGAAGGGAATACATATGAGACTGCACACTGGAGGTGCTATAGATGCGTGCAAAACTTGGATAGGGGAGTTCCGCGCCGCGGGGCATGGAACGACTGATACCGGAAGGTGTTAGAAGACCACTCTTGATGCTGTGACGGTGGTTGAGCCAGGAGGTGGGAGGATGAGACCTTGGAAGACAATCCTTTGAGATGGTTGGAAAGGCATTGGGCACCTGGAATCTCATGAGCTAGGGCTAGCTTATCCAATATTAGCTTCTCTGGTGTTAGAAGAGCCGTCTAATCACCCTCTGCGATCCAAACCCCTGGTTTTGCCGCTTTTCGCCTAGGTATCGTTCTCGTCCGTCTCGATGAGTAGTTCTTCTCCAGGCGCGTCGTTGATGATCGAGGAGCTAAACAAATGATATTCTCCCCGCGGTATCTGAGTGGAGTTCCTCAAAGTTCGTTTCTTCGTTACTGTAAGTACCAACGTTGCCTACATCGGCCTCGCATTCCTGACTAGGTGCCGTCAGTTTCCCCGAATTCGCTGCATTTCCTGCTTAGCATGGACCCTTCTGCGGAATCTGGCGGCGCCCCATTCAATTTGGAAGAATTCCTCGACGCCTCCCATGCCGCGCTCTTTGGTACCGGGTTGCGAGTCGCATTAGGCCCATTCAAGGTCTTCGCACCCAAGATTCAATATATTGACGGATGCCGGCGCGCTCATGAATACCTCGACTTCTATGTCAAGCAGGCATTGGAAGGAAATGCTAGTCCGTCGCCGTCTGCGTCCACTTAAACAGGGTCAGCAGCAGCGAAGTATGCTCCAAGGACTAGCTACCCAGATGTATGACGTACACTATATTCGCAGTCAGATCCTCCAGGGTATGATGGCTTTTCAGGAAACGACGGCCGTGCTTATCGCAAACACCATGTTTCTTCTTTCCCGGCACCCACGGTATTGGTCACGACTACGACATGAAGTCCGTCAGCGCGGCGAGGAGCTGCTCACCTTCGAAAACCTCAACAACTTCAAGCCTCTGCAGAATATTCTGAGCGAATGTGAGTCCGACCGGCCCCAGAAGAGAGATAAAATGCTGACAAGCCGCTGCGCTCCGCCTGTATCCCATATTCCTCCTCATGGGCCGCACCAGCCCCAGGGACACCAAGCTACCAGTTGGAGGAGGCCCCGAACAATCGCAACCCATATATGTCGCGAAAGGTACGCCCTTGTTTACGAGCTTGTACACACTCCATCGCGAAGAGTCATCCTTTGGACCAGATGTGGAGACTTTTGTCCGAGACTGGTGGGATAAGATCCACCCCAAGCAATGGGAATACTTCCTATTTGGCGAAGGACAACGGGTGTGTTTGGGGAAAGGTCCCCGCAGAGCCCGCGTTTGTTGCTGAGAGACTAGCGCAAGCTTTCGAGAAGCTGGAGGGTCGTGGTCCAAGACCGTAGAAGGGAGTGGTCTTGACCGCTAAGAATGCGAATGGCTGCGGGCTGGCTTATAAAGCATACCTACTTCTTGTTGCCAAGGTCCCAGACTGTTTGCGATGTGATCATCTTGGAAGGTATAGCCGATGGCGTAAGATACTACGTTTAGTAACGAAGAGAATATGTAGGGTTGAGCGGCTGAAATAACCGTCCTGCACTCACGTGCTGCGGCGCTATTCCAAATTTGGACCCCGCATGGCGAATCCTGCAATTACCTCATTTACAATCCCGACCGTAAGAGTCGCTTAGCTCTAGGTCCTTTCCCTTCAGGCAAGCGCGGCTTTGGTCGCTCACCCATCATAGAACCACTGCAGCAGGGGAGTTTCTGATGGAATGACCCCACCGCGAGAGGGAGGGAGATAGCGCCCGCAGCTTGGCCGCAGCTCGGCACCAGTCGGGCAACGGCACGGGGCTGGTATCCGGTATTTAAATGCCCCTTCGGTAGAATTCCCTGTACAAACCCGACTCCATCGAAGCGCTTCTTCTCCAAAGGCACCTCGCAAATGTGTCAGTATTTCGATATACCTGTCAAACCCGTGGACTGTGCAGCGGCAGACAAGCATTTGGTGACCTTCCGATGGTACATTCTGTGCCAGAGCCCCCGAGGCGTTGGCACGAGCCGTCACTGCTCCGTTGAACACGCTAGGGCAGTCTCCGCTCTTTTTGGGTCATCCAGGACTGAGGGAGCATGCCCCGCTTGCGCGAACCCTCCAACAACCGTAGTAATTGTAAGTTTAGGGTTCTATCATGAGTAGAACAACTCAAACTAATCCGCTGCCTAGAAGTACGTGAACGGGTAAGATAGGGTATGGACGGCTACGATGTTGCGGGGTATCGCGGCGGGACGGGCCGAATAGTGTGGCATTTGCTTATGTAACTACGCTGTGCCATGCCAATGTTCAAAGTACTCGCCTACCCCGCTCTGACATTCATTCTTTCCTTAGCTGCCGTCCCCCGATGGAATCGCCATATCCCTCTCTTCCTGACAGAGTATGGGACCTTCCGTTTCTCTCCGCCGGCGTGTCTGGCATCGTTCTCCAGCTCTCTGACTCAGCTGTTGTCAAAGTACCCTGTGGCGAACCGAACCGAACTGCCGTTCAGACTGAGCGTGCAATCTACAAGCGACTGGGCTCTCATCCGTGTATCACCAAGCTACTCTATGCGCATAGAGACATGCTTGTGCTTGAACGCCTCCAGTACCCTCTGCGCAAGCGACTTCAGGACCTCCACGCCGCCGGAAGATTTCCGCTCCATGAAGACGTCCTGCGCTGGGCTCTTCAGCTTGCGCAGGCCCTTCATCACGTTCACTTATCCGGCGTACTGCAGGTGGATATAGGTACATATAATGCGTTGCTCGACTGGGACGACAATGTAAAGTTATGCGACTTTGCTGGATCATCCATTGACGGATCTATCCCGACTGTATTTCCTAGTATACATTCTCAGCACCCGAACATTCCTGCGAAGGCGCCCTCAGTTCAATCCGAGCTATTTGCGCTCGGATCTATGCTCTATGAGGTAGAGACTATGCGGAAACCATACCACGACCAACCCGATTCCGATATCACCAGGCTGTACGCTGCCGGGGAATTCCCAGATACTAGTGCGCTGCTGCTCGGAGGGGTCGTTACAAGATGCTGGAGATCGGAGTACAAGGATGTTGCGCAAGCAATAGAAGATGTTAGCCTTGTTCAGGATGAGATACGGAGTTTTAGCGAGTCGAGCTTGGGTGGGAACCGCGGCGCTCAAACGCAGGGGGGTTAAGAGACGCCTCATAGACATCAAGTCGCCGAATTCATTCGCCCCGATCTTTACACATGCGGACCAGCTTATCTAGAAAGGGCCTCAAGAACGCTCCCCAATTACCGTCCACTCTCTCATCTATCCCAGGGAGCTCGTATGTTCCCCTTAAAGACTATTCCAGTCTTAAGTATATCCGTTCCGAACCCCCGTCTATTCGCACGTGCGACGTTCTTTGCATCCAGCGGCGTTCGACGCAAGCCAACATGGATTCCAGACCAGCCTCTTGTACTCATTATCGTGCTCCGCCGCCCCCCCCCCCCCCCACTTTGCAATTCGTTAGTAAACCATTACTGCTCACTCTACATCCATCTTTTGCGTCCTAAGCGCGCCGTCTATCGCGCGTCGTCGCCATAGCATTAGCACCACAACCATCAACCTATAGACGGCAACGCAATATTCTCGAAGAACATCGCTCCGCATGCCCAGGACCTGACCCAACTACGACTCTAACAGCATTCACTGTCCGCACGCTCTCCTACTGTTCACCGACTAGCTAGCCTTAGCCCTGCGCGCCTCGTCTGCCCCCAGCCGCTCCCACAGCCTATTCCCACTAGTACGCAAACGACGTCAACCCCTCCGGTAAGGACAGCAAGAGCAATGGAACCCAACTAGGGCCTCGATGAGGATACCGCCGCCGCGGAGTGATGGATGTCATGGAGCGGCTGAAAGACGGGCGGAGGGTAGATACCAGGGTGGCTGGTTGAGCCAATCGAGGAAGACCACGACTTTGGATACCAAAGGATTGAGAGTCATGCCTGAGAGCACGGCGGGTACAATCATCTTAGCAACGAGATATCGCCCTCTGCTCCTTCTGCGCCGATCCACTCTATTTTTGATCAATCTGCTGATTCAGGTTAGCAATCCTTGGACATTCTGAATATTGGCAAATTCTTCCGGCCTTCATTCAGACCTGGAAGCGTGGCGATACTACGACGAAGAATATGGTACCGACGAATGGCAAGGCTATTCAGGGTATCTTTTGGCACCACATTCTTACCGCCGATGCGGACTGCAACGCCGACCCCCTTGGAAAGCCCCAAGACATCGCAAATCTTGCTGAGGACGTGATCACTGGGATTGTGCTGGTGGTGAATGGCAAATAGCAACCTTGTTGCTATCGTTAAGAACGGCGATAAGCAGCTTGGCGAATTGGACCTTGTAGAGGGTTACAACAAGTTCAAGTTCGGCGGCCTAGGCACCGGTAAGGTGCAGGTCGAGGTTTGGGATGGGAGCACGATGGTTGGTGGAGGGTATGCTCCGATAGAGGTAAGAATCGTCACTTAGCCCTCAGTCACAAAAGGCTAACATATTCAGGTCTCGAACTCGGGGCCGATATGCAACTACAACTTCCAAGTAGTTGGCTTTCTGGGCTAGATGAGACGACCGATTCCTTACGTTGCATAGCGCGCCTTCAATCATCATCATTGCATTTCATTTCACTTACTGGTGCCATAACTTATACTCATCTTTTTACTTCTTCATTCCATCGCAACTTCAAGTTGCGAGCTTCCTGTATAAACTTCTTTCCGATGAACGATATCGTTACCATCGTATCCCCGTCGTCAATTCCCCTCTTTTAGTAGATATATTTGCGCTTCCATGCCATCGGCCTTACTGCTAGCTATGCATTATACCACGAGAAGGTTTTTCAGCGCCTTACACGGAAGATATTCCTCTCCGACGCGTAAGAGCTCAGCCTCCAACAAGGGACCGCATCACAGCGAAAAGCAAGTTCGCGTCACCCCTTCCCGTCTCACAACATAGCGGCGTTTCCTTTTAAATCTAGATACAAAACCAGGCGGAGACGCATCGAACCTGCCGGCTATTATTTTAGAGGGCCGACAGACCACATATGTCCATTCCACTCTTATTTTAGTCAAGAGAAATCGAACGAGGATGTGAAGCGGGGAACTGAAGAAGAGGGAGAGATGATGCGCTTTATATGCGCAGAAAAGAGGGTGGGCTCAAAAGACAGCACTTAGCGAAGGCATGTTTCTTCTTCTGGGGGTTATGTGCGTTTTTTTCGGAGTCTTCGATACTTGGTACAGGTCTGATGTTCTTTTCCTCGAGCACGGATGCGAAGGGCGCCATCAAAGCTTTTGCGGCAAGCACTTCCATCCAGCTACCATTTTTTTAATGGTTCGGAGCTGGAGGTGGAGCGAGGTGGTGGAGCGAGGTACAGGAGGAGAACCGTGGTAAGTTTATATGGACGCCCCGGTCGTCACGCGGTGTTCGGCTGGCTCATGTTAGATATCGGCTCGAAATCATTCTGCGAGAACACTATGGATTATGAACGTCGCCTTCCGATGGTGGCGTTTTCGCAACCGTTCATCGTACGCGGGGACCTTAATCCAGCGCAACGCAACTACCTCCCGGCCAAAACTGAAACCATGGAACGATGTCCATACCATTTCTAGACGCGGCAGAGGCAGCCACGCATGAAGTCTTGGTGCGTACATTTTTAGTAAAGGGAATGAAGATATCAGGGTGAGGAATATGAGGGCGAAAGACCGAGGCTTTATATACTCCTAAAATTGGCCCATTTGACATTCTGGGGAGGACTCAAGACAGCGGCTCTGTAAGTGGAGACGCAGAAGAGGAAAGTAGGAGGTGTATAGTGATAATGGTGCTGACCATCATCTATCAATTCGACTGTCACTTCAATCAAGCGCGCGTCCTCACACTTCTCGTTCTTGAATTCCCTCGCGCGGGATCCATACCACCAGAAGCTCCACCAGTTTCGGATTTTGGTCCAAACAGCCTGCCCATGCCGCGCTGGGAAAGTTCTTTTAGAGCGCGGAAGAGGGACTTCATACACACCTACCTCTGCCCTTTTGGAGAAAGCCCCAGAGGCGCGTGGGTAGGCAAAGGTAGAAGCAGGACGACGCTTTATATACCAGCACAGGCGAGGATTGGCGCATGTAGCCATCGACATGGAGGTAACAAAGCAGTTCAAGAGAAGAGCAATGTGTGTTATAACGCTCTGCTTGGTATTTCTTCGACATCCACTCGAAGAGACTTCTTCCTGTGCTGTATATGTGTCTCTCCGCGCAGGCTCTCCGCGCAGGCTCTCCCCGCCATGAGCTCTTCGTTAATGAGCCTTTAGAAGAAGCAGGAGGGGAGCTCCATGTGAGCTCTGTGCGTGAACTTTTAGGGGAGGGGAGCGCAGGCTCCATCACCGCTCTCGTCGGAAATTTTGAGAGAAGAGGAAGCAGATGTGTGTAAGGGAAATCGGTTGAGGGGAGGCTTATATACCCAAACGAAAGAGTGTTCTTGGCTTTCCCTCCGCCGCAAGAGTTCCATAAACATGAAGGCGTAGACCTTGATGTCCATCAGACTTCCAGAGTTTCCCTCGGAGGCATCGGGATTTGCGAAGACGTATTTGGTTCGAGTTCATCGTATGCTGGCCATGGAAAGCCGAGTCCACGATTCGAAGAAAGCGTCGATTGTTTCTCGGTCGTCTTTTAGAGCCCGGGCAAGAATCCCACATTCGGCTGGAGCATGCTCTTTTAGAGAAAGGACCGTGGAGCATTGATGGGAGCGAGAAGAGGAAGGAAGAACGGCTTTATATCTGCTGGGAAGGAGCTGGCATGGAGAGAACTCCGCGTGAGACAGCTGGCAGCTAAAATCGCAATGAATCAGCAGCGCCAGTCATTCGATATCTGCGGCGCATCGAGGCTAGCGGGACGTACGAGAGGAGAGCGACGACTCGACTCCCCATAGCGATTTCCTTCCAAAACTTCTTCCTGCGAACAACATGATAGAATATCTCGCGACTTTTTAGAGACCGACCAGCCGGGCAGAAGGTCCCACGTCAACCTCCTCACCGATTTTTAGAGAACGCGCCGGAAGCGTAAGTGTCGAAGAGAAGCGAAGGAGTAGAGAACGAGGGTTTATATACCCATCGCAGTGCTGTGACAACTTCGGATCGACTTGGGAAGATGACTAAACGCCCAAGGACAAATTCCCCTTATGCAAGCCGGGAAATGCACGAATGGTTGTTCGGTACAGCGCTGCGCGGCATCACTTCCCTGGATCAACGCGCCGCCGCGACCGGCGCTACCTAGGTAGATACCCAAGTCCGGCTACAAGGCTCAAACTCGTCGCACTCCAAGCCGCGCCATTTAACGCACTACTGATGGCTTTTAGGTCCTCGAGCAACGCTCATGCGATACTTGACTGACGTTTTTAGAGGTCGAGGGCGGACTCCGCATGACGCAAGTCCAAGCCCATTTTAGCAAGACACGAACTCCGCATAAACAAAGTCCTAGGTCATTTTAGTGAGAACCCGGTGAAGCATGTGTGGAAAGAGAAAGAGAATGCCGCCAGAAGGTGGCCTTATATAGCCTCCAGAAGTCCAGGAGACGAACTACGGACACGTGAAGCGGAATGCCCCGCTTTGATCGAAAGGGCAGCCTCTGCTCTCCATCAGGTAACGCGGAGTGAGGTTTAACACCCGAAACCACACCCATGGAGAAGATGTGCATTGCGTTTTAGAGGACGAGAGACGAGCTCCGCATAGAACAGAGCTGGGATTGTTTTAGTGAATCCCAGTAAAGTCCGCACGCGTAAAGAGAAAGAGAAAGCAGAATAGCTAAGTGGGTAGGGAGGGCTATATAGCCATGATTGTTTCGGTGAAGTCTCGGATGAAGCACATCTCGAGCGAAGAAAAGACGCGGGAATCTTAGAACGACTACAGCGGCAACCCACGCTTGCACTGCATCACCACGAACGCGCCCCGCTGATTCGACCATCTCAATGCCCTCCACATACCCAACCCTCGCACTCTCCGCCCCGCGCCTTCCAGCATGGTCTCTTTGTTGAAAGAATTTTAGTGCCGAGCCAGGACCGCCATGTGGATTAATTGGACAGAGTTTTAGAAGCCGAGACAGTCTCGCCATGGTATCCTTCGAGAGACTTTTTATTCAATCGACTGGAACGCGCGTGAAGAAGAAAAGAAATGAACAAAGAAGAAGAAAGACTGAGCTTATATACCAGCAGCAGCTACCGGCTACTAGAGGGTCGAGACGTAGTGTTCGACACCATAGCGCCTTGTAAGCCGACTTGTTCTCCATGGCGTTGCTGATTTGTTGGTTTTCGTTCGCATGGTCGGCAGCAGCATCAGCCGTGACTGTGCTGGGTTTTAGAGCAAGGACCTCGGGAGTGGCTCCGCACCTACGCCTTTTCTGAATTTTTAATGTTTTCCGAGCAAAAGCTCTGGGAGGATGGAGGCGCCAGTAGAGGGAAAGGGAGAGGCGGGAGGGGTTTGTGTGTATAGAGGGAAAGAAGAGTGGAGATGGAATGGTAGAGGATAGGACAGGACGGCTATGGGGTTGCTGTGGCAGAGGAGAGAGAAATATCAGCGGCTCTTTCCATTAAAATCTCGAGGTAGAAGACCACGAGCGGGAGGGAAGTCCGACTGCTCGCTGTGCATGATCTATCCAGGAAACGTGTTGTTTTTGATCCCGCCTGTCCGCGCATACGTCTACCCGCTGGCGGCTTTTAATACCTTTTAGTCTAGCACTAGAGGACAGATCTACATGCCTTAGGATAACTACCGGTTTTAGACACCTAAGTGTTTTAGCAGATAGGGTAAAGAAGCCCTATTAGAGAAGAGAAGAACCTCTTATATACGCACAGCTTATCCCGTTAAGCATAGGACAGGACGCTACGCCCTAGTAACAGTAGTAATACTGCAGAAAAATCATAACACGTATATACTTCATGACGCCCACTACCGTCATCCCCCCATCACTCTCTATGTTATTTATGGCGGGCGGAGCAATAAAGGGAGTGGGGGGTTCTGGGATGGCTCCCTGGGGTTGATGTTGCAGAGGCTCGCTAGAGACATGAACGAAGGACACGATACAGTTGGTTCTGCAGAGCAGCTTTCAGGGGCCATATGCATAAAATCAGACCAAAACGGCTCCACAGCATCTGCTACCCAAAAAGCCCTTCGCGAAGACACCCGCCTTCATTGCAACCCAGAAAAGCATCATCAATAGCGTCAGAACCAACCTCGCAGGAATCAAAGCGGAACAGTAATATCTCGAAAGCCAAAACGCCGAACTTGAAGAGACCATTGTTTCCCTTCGAACGCCACTCGATTTCCTCTCGATATCTCCCCCTCAACAGACACGCTCTCCGTTCTTGACTCCACACGCTTAGCGCCTCGTCTAGCTGCTACTCCAGCAGCCTCTAATGCACGCACACTCCTCCCACGATGTTCAACTCCGCCATCATCCGCGGATGGCTGGCTGACGAGCCAGCCTCGCCCCGCTCGCCTCAAACACCTCCGCGCAATCCGGTCAAATGGAAGTGGGCAACGAAGACGGCTAAGTACTCCTTATCGGCTTCGAACAGCTAAACCACTTTTTCGCTATAGCCTCATGCTCCTCCCAGAGAAAGAAGGCGCATTACTTGCTTGGGTGTTTTGGACATCTTAGGACTAGGGCTGTTGGTTAGATGGTATGCGAAGCGCTAGAGGCACAGCTTACATCTCAGATTTTCGTTGGGCCCAGACTTATTTGCTCTGTACGAGGTACCCGGAAGGTTACAGTTGTAACAGAACCATTTTCGACACCCGAGCTTTGAGCATGGAAGTAATTTTGGGATTTTGCAGAGAGTTTGACCATGTTTGGGCTGCAGCGGGCAACGGGATCGAAGAATCGAGGAGGGACCATGCGCCGAGCGAGGTAATGGTCGTCTTCTTGTGAAAGCAAGTGGGGTGAGTCTCTTGTAAAAGAAGTTGGGCCACATGGTGTGGAGTGGAGAAGGAATTGTAGATTATATGGAAATGGAGAAAATACAGCTAAGTGTGAAAGGATTGAAGCATGGAATGATATAACTTGAAGCTGAATTCCCGGTCTGCCGTTGTTCTTCTTCGCTCTTATACGTTCCATCAACACTTGCGTGTATTTGCCTTGCGGTTTCGCAAATTCGGTGGCTGGGCCAATCTCATCGTAGTATATCCTGACGCTCAAGCAGCTTCTGAAATATGTAGTGCGATCCTTTTCAAAAGCTGTGTTGATGGCCAACAAAGAAGCTGTATGACTATTAGGCTGCGACAGGGCAACCGCAGCGTTTATCTAGGTCCCTGATGCGAAAGAGCAAATGGATTGGTTTGGGGCATAGTGGAGCAAGTGCACAACTCAAGCCTTTGTTTCCTAAAATATCTGATGCGTTTGGGAATCTGTTCGATACCGATGAGCGTGACCCGGCTCTGATCCTTCATTGGTCGTGGCGCACTTGGCGGCGAATTTTCAGCTTGTTTTACCCAAAGCAAAGAAGCCCCGCGTTGGTCTAGGGCCAGCGAGTCAGAGATCTCATCTAGGGACAAAAAACCACCAAGAAACTTGTAACCCAGGGCGGCCAGGTTAAGAGAACATTTCGAGCCGCTTGGGACAGTGCAGAGCGTGCGATCGGTTATCTGATAAGACATGTCGAGGCTGGACCCATAATTGATGTTGGTTCCATCGCCAGCAAGAACAGATAGACGAAGCCGAACACTCGGGGGAGACTGAAGGCATACTTATCACAGAAATGGAGAAACATGTAGCAAGCCAAGCAACTAGGTCAATCCTCTCTCCGCAACTACCTAATCAACACCTGATCTACTATCTCATATCCGTCCCCATCTGTATGGGCCGCACGGGCAAGTTGGATAGCAACCTGGCGCACAATAGCCCGGCATTGTCTGCAGTGTTTCCATTTGTCTCCGTCAAGCAAATGCTTGACGCGAAGAGGGCATATCTCACCCTCAGCCTCAGTGGGCTGCTCTGAATCCACTTTAAGATCCGAGTGACCGTTACTGGTGAGCTCACCCACCCCTTCGGTTGGTTCGAGAGGCCACAGAGTGACGTTCTCTTCGGCCTGTGCCACTGGCTCACCAGTGGCATCTACGCTGCACGTTCCAAGTTCTGAATTAACCATTTCACCATCAACGGGTGCGACGGTTACTGTCGGCTCTTCTTTAACCTCGAACACCTCCTCGATTACTTCAATGGCACCTCTTTTAGCCTTCTTCCCTTTCTTCCTCTTTGCAAATGAGCCCCATCGCCATAGATCGCCCTCCTCGGTTGCCGGCTCAGGCTCTGGCACATGCTCAGGCACGGGTTCCTGCTCTTCGGCGATAAGAGGCTCGTCGGTGGAAGCCTCTTGAACAGGATAGTCTTGTGCAGGACACTCCAGTGCAGGACAATCGTCGACAAGATAGTCTTGTGCAGAACACTCCGGAGCAGGACAATCGTCGACAAGATAGTCTTGTGCAGAACACTCCGGAGCAGGATAATCGTTGGCAGGAGAGTCTTGTACAGAACACTCCAGAGCAGGACAATCGTTGGTAGGATAGGCTTGTGCAGGACACTCCAGAGCAGGACAATCGTTGACAGGATAGGCTTGTGCAGGACACTCCGGAGCAGAACAATCGTCGGCAGGATAGGCTTGTGCAGGACACTCCGGAGCAGAACAATCGTCGGCAGGATAGTCTTGCGCAGGACACTCCGGTGCGGGACAATCGCTGGCAGGATAGTCTTGTACAGAACACTCCAGAGCAGGACACGGACAATCTTCTTTAGATATTGCATCGACGGTAAAGGGCTCTTCCACCAGTCCTCCGTCAACGAGTAGATCAGGGACGCTGGTCCCGCACTCTTCAGAAGTCCTTACAGGGGACCCCCTCTGCGCGCCGAGCATGCGCTCGACCTTGTCATTGTAAAGCCCCACCACGCACTTTGCCAGCACTCTAGCCAAACCGACATCGTTAACGCGGCCGAAAAAGCCATCCCTCGCAAACACCGTGCGATCTTCTTCAAACGCCGCCTTGGCTTTCCCGTCCAAGTAGTCATGGAACCAGGCGGTATCGCCTAGGAGTTTCGAGAAGTCATCCTTGAGAGCTTCAGCGACGTCGAAAATGTCCATCTCTGTGCCGAAGCGTTCGATTTGTTTCTTCGCCAGCCCTTGTAGCCCATGTAGGCTGTAATTCTTCGCCGCCGTGTAGGCCAATACAGCTCTCTTGAATTCGATCTTTACCTCGTCAACCGGAGAGGCGGCCGTGTTGTCGAGCGTTTGGTACGCTCCGGTGTACAGGTAGTGGACCAGTACATGACCGGTGTTTTCGTCAACATCGGCTAGATATACGCCTCTCTCCCATGTGCTGGAAGAGGCGATCCAATCTGGATTTTGCAAGAGATCTCGGGGGACGTGGTACTCTCTTTGTTCGGGGCCGATACGAAGTGCGACAAGAGAACTTGTGTAAGGACTGCAGATCACAGTTAGTTATATGTACATAAGTCAAAGATAAATGGAAACGGGACTTCTAACGAGGTCTCAGGCCGTTGAGATGTGGGTTGAGAGCATGGGGTTGATTCCGCGGTCGACTCGTCGAATGGAGGCTCCGGTTCTGGAACTGGCAGCTGCTTTCCGCTCTTCTTCTTTTTAGCCATTTTCGACGTTGATGAAGAGAATCGCTGAAGCTGAGGAGAAGTAATGCGACTAAACCAGTTTACATATAAACGCTGGCATACTTGCGGTCTATATGTTGAGCGAGGTGTGCCGCATACCCAGGCAGCATGTCCGAGCGCCGATCCAGTCCAATCGTTAGAGCATACCGTGCCGATGGTAACCACTTGGCGACCACCACGTTAACCAAGGAAACTGTGGCGACTCGAAGCCAAGCCTTGTGGAGCGGAATGCTCTGCGCGGACAGGCTGAAAATGTACCACAGCATTATCGCTACATGAAAGGGCGCCTAACAGCCTTTGAATCTTGTCTCGCTTGGTGCGCGCATACGTCTACCCGCTGGCGGCTTTTAGTAGCTTTGGGTCTAGGACAGAGGGGACAGACCCACATGCCTCAGGATAACTGCCGGTTTTAGACACCCGAATGCTTTGGTAGATAGGGTGAAGAAGGCCCCATCGGAGAAGAGAAGACGGTCGACCTTCTATACCATACGCCCAGCCTATCCCGTCGAGGACCGAACAGGACGCCACGCCTAAAACAACAGTAGCGATACTGCAGAAAATCATAACACGTATATACCTCATGACGCTCATTATCGTCATGCCCGCTCATCACTCTCTAAGTTATGTATACAAGCCCAACGCATTCCTAATGTATGATAGCACGCCATAAGCCGCCTTATACAAAGATCATTACCAAACGCTTCGACACCATGCATCGATCGCCATCGCATCGTACACTACACGAAAAAGCACAACGACGAGCCTCGCTCCAAAATGCATATGCAACAACGACATGCAAAAAGCGAAGAAAAGGGGTGTAAAAAGGGCGAGACAGGTAGGAATAGCGTGGCTCGCGTGGTATATAGCAAGCAAGCAAGTACCAGAAAATCAAACTGCCTCTTTTGTTGCTTTTTGGCGAGCACAGCTCAGTCCAGCGGCGTCTAGAGGAACGCGCCGCCTCTTCCTTTTTCCACGTCCTTCTCGTCATACGGGCTGGTCTCTTCCGTCTCCGTCCTCCGTATACCCGGCGCTGCGGTAGACGGGCCTCGGCCGGGCGAGACGCCAGGACTGGGACTCCTAATTATCCGCCAGTCGTCGTCGACATCCGAGTACGTGGGCGGGTTGAGCTCTTGGCTATCGCGACTTGGGATCGGAAGGAGTGCTGAAGAATCACCCTTCACAAGCCCTAGCCGTTCCTCCTCTGTCGCACCCCCCTTATCCTCGCGACTGCTCTTCCTACTACTTCTGCTCGTGGGACGTCCAGTTATCGACTGCTCGCCGCCAGACTGCGCACGGTTTCTACCAAACACGTTCTGAAACGAGAATTGGCGCTTTGCAGTGTGCGGTGGCGGTTTCGGGGGACGCAATGAGTCGCCGGAAGATTGGCGGTCATGTTGACCTGGATGTGGTGGATGTGGCAGTGTACCGAAGTGGATCGTTGTCTCATGGGGCTTGTACGAGGTGTCTGTCTGCATTGCTCTGGTATACGAGTCCTTATCCGAGGCACCGTCTGAGCTTATTGGTTCTAGATTCGAGAGGCTAACCGGAGGATTCGTGCTGCTTTGTGACTTTCCTCGCGACCGGAGCCTCTGAAAGAAGCCTGGATGGTAGCTGCTGTTGTCGTCATCTGACTCATCCGTGGGAAAATGTGACATGCCCAACGGCGGATGGATGGTCCTGTGGCGAACGATAGTAGCATTCCGCGACGGGTGGTCCGGATCCAGGATCGTCTTGCGTCTTCGCAGGCCATCGAATTCGACCTGCTCCCCTTCGCCGATGGGCTCCATATGCTCCTCCTGTAACCTCTTTACTTCCATCATTTGCTTCTCGCTTCGGGCTCTTGACAGAGAGCGCAGGATGGCGCCACCGCCGCGAATGGTGTCTGCCCTGGGTTCGTACTCGGGTTCTTCCTGTTCGGCGACGGTGCGGACCTGGTCGAGGTCGCCCTTGAAGACGGCAGCATCGGGGACGTCTTTGGCAGACTTGGAGAGCTGCAGCAGGACTACTCCGGCGCAAATCTGCAGGAAACCCATAATAACGGTGGATATTGTTGCAGCGGTGCCCTTGAAGCCTTGGAAGAGGATAGCGGAGGTAACAATGGTGGCAGAGGTGAAGAAGACGTAGTAGGTCGGAGTAACGAGCGCTGCGTTGAAGAGGTTGAGCGCTTTCTGGAAGAAAATTAGCATATTTTGTAGAGACCAGATCAGGGCGGCTTACGTTTAGATAAATGATCTCGGTGACCAGCGTCGAGATGACAAATACGAGCAGGACATATAGAAACCACTCTTTAAACTGCGATTTTCCTGCAATCTGAGCGACAATGGCAGCTCCGAGGCCCTGCGTTGCAACAACGCTGAGGCCTCCGATTAGACTGCAGATGGAAAGGTATACCAACATAGACTTCTTTCCATACTTTGGCCCTAACCAAAGGGCCACGACTACACAACCAACAATGACAACGCCGGCGTAGCTGAGGAAGCCGGGCGCTTTGACCAAATCCTTCATATCCTGGATATCGGCGACGGCGGACTGTTCCGGGGCATTTATGACGATGACGACGGAGCCGATAATGCAGTTAAAGCACCCGACCTTGCCCACAAAACTCAAGCGCTCCTTCAGGAATATGGCAGATAGAATGGCGGTAATGACGACGGAGAGGGCGCCCATGGGTGTGACGAGAATGGCGTCGACGAAGGCGTAGGCGACGAAGTTGCAGATCTCGCCAATGATCATCAGCGTCATGCCGGTCCACCACCAGGCATTCTTGAGGTAGCCGTAGCCCTCGCCCGCCTCTTCGTTGTACTTTGCATTGGCCTTGAGCAGGCCGTGCTTCTTCAGCACGAAGGACACGCCGATGAAGGCGCCCGAGGATATTGCCAGAATGATGCCCACGACTTTGTATATGGGTGGTCGCTTCGCGGAGTCGCCTGCCACGCCGCCGGAGCGTGCGTAGAGGCCGTGGGCGGTGGTGAGGAGTTGACCGGCCGAGTCCATGGTGAGGGACGCAGCGTGGTCCACGGTGCTGGGTGGGGCCGCTGTCACCGGGGTAGCGCAACCGGCGCTCGACGTCGACGGTATGCGGTGGAATATTTAGGGCAGAGACAACCGCGGCGGAGGCATGGGCGAGTCAATGTGCGAGTTCAGCGGCGAAAGGGTGTCGTCGGGCGGGAATGCACACGGCGCGGAGGTGGTGACGAGAAGGGAAGTCTGTTTGGGCCGGGACCGTCGCACGAGCCGGCGCACTCGACTTGGCTCGAGGAATGCTGCAACGATATTCAATAGAGGCAGTCGCAGTCGGACTCGAGTGAATTGCTTCGTTAGCGGTGTTCAGCGGCGATAGCGGCGTTCAGCTGCGCCCACTGTCGTCGTAATCGGCGTGCGCGGTAGCTGCAGTTCTAGATTCGTGGGGTACACAGTTCCTAGGCGATGTGCAGTGCGATACTCTGAGCGTAGTCGTGAAGGCGGTTGTAAAACAAACAATGGGTCGTTATGTGCCTGCGTATAGCGTATAGTCGCAAAAGCGGAGGGATGCTAAGGGCTGGGAGCTGGTGGTTGGAGAAAGTGTTTCGCGCGGCCGGTCTTCTCCCCCTGCAGCGCTGGCAGCTTGGAAGAGCGTCAGCCAAGCAACGTGCCTGGCACTCCCACGGCTCGAACACGAACAGACGATCACCGCGCAAAACCTGGCTCTCTCCGCACCCGCCTACTACGCCATCTCCTCATGCCCGCGTCACAGCATGGAGAACGGCACCTCGCTCGCTCCAGCGCGCGACATCTTTGCCGCCACCTCGGTGGCTGAGATCCACGCCACCCTGGCCCATCTGCACCAGCAAGAGGCCACCGTCACCCGCCAATTGAACAACCTCATCGCCTCCCAGAAGGACCTGTCCCGCGAACTCGGCCGCCTCGATCTGCTCCGCGCCCACCTCGGCACCCAAGCCGTCAACACGCGCGCCATCAGCAATGGCATGCTCTCCGACGCCGCCTCGACCGCGAACCGCATCTCGAGCGCCGTTAAGCGCCTAGATCACGAGCAATCCAACGTTAAAGCTACACTGGAGGTGGTGGAGCAGGTGGCAGAATTGAAAGCATGCGTGCTCGGTGTGCATGGGTCCATGGGCGCGCCCCAGGATTGGGAAACCGCTGCTGGATACCTTAGTCGCGCGTCCAAGATCCCCGACGAGGTCATAGATGGCAACTTCGCCGAAGAGATCGTGCCCACCGCTGAGGTGCCTGATCCTCCACGGGTGACGCTGGATGCAGCAGCCGAATCGCTCTGTGGCCTCTTTCTGCGCGAGTTCGACAAGGCCGCCAAGGGAGGCGACGGCTCGAGAGTGACACGCTTCTTCAAGCTGTTCCCCTTGATTGGCCGAACTGAGGTCGGTCTTGATGCATACGGCCGATATGTGTGCCAGGGCGTAGCAGCAAGAGCGAGGACGAACTTCAACTCGGCCCTCCCAGCCCAAAGAAAGGAGGGCTACTTCTACGGCAACACCATCACAAAGCTCTTTGAGCATATTGCGCAGATTGTGGACGGACATGAGCCGCTAGTAGAGCGACACTATGGCGTCGGTATGATGGCGAAAGTGATAGAGCGTCTTCAGATTGAGGCCGATGTCCAAGGCGGGATTGTGCTCGACACGTGGCATGAAGAGCGGACGGTTGATCGCAAGCTGACCGACATCAAATCATACGCTTTCTCTTTCCTTGTTCAGAGCTTCCTACCCTCGCAGAAGCCCGCGATGGGGACGCCCCGCGCCGGCTCGCCAGCTAATGCTGCTGCGCGGACAAGTGAGGATGAAGGTGTGAATATGAAAGAGGTTGATAGATTGCTGGCGGAGAGTGCGCTTATGCTAGGTCGGTGGGCTTTGTACTCCCGGTTCATCTCCTCGAAATGCGCAGTAAGTTCTTCAGCACTGATACATGCCACTTCTGACCTTTATAGCCTGCTGAGCCTGAAGATACAATCGACCACGGCCTGGTCATGCCGCAATTCCTGGCCACCAGCAATCTCAACAAAAAGGTCTCGAGCCACCTCGTTGAGCCTTTCAATATCATGACCACCTTCTTCTTCCGGCGATCAGTAGAGAAAGCGTTCCAGCTCGACCAGTCACCCTCAGACCTCAATCTCAACCCTGCGAAGCCTCTCGGCTCAGATCCGCCATTCATCACAACTGCGGTTGATACGGTCATGTATATTTTGAACCAGGTGCTGCAGAGGTCATTGGCCACTTCTCAGCGCGCTGTGATTAGCAGCGTCGTCCCTAGCGTTGGCCGAGTGCTAAGCGCCGAGTTCATCGGAATGATCCAGCGGAAGATGCGCGATGAAAGCTACCCAAAGCCCGTCATCCAAGGCGGTCTCCCCCCGGAGGACAAGGTGATAGCGTTCCTCGTCTTGATCAACAATTTGGACGTAGCCAACGACTACATCAAACGAATCGTTGAGCAACAGTTGGGCAAGCAGAAACAGCCCTCTGAGGAACACAAGTCGCCCCTGCTGGATCTATTCCCCTTCGGTCACGATGCGACGTTCGTGGAGAATACCCTGAAGGCCATGGAACATTCCTTCTCCACCAAGAGCGGCGAGTTGCTCAACGACAGCATACAAGTCGCCTTCCACAACGTCCTGAAGCCGCGGGTGCGGCCCATCCTCGCTGAAGCATTCCGCGACATCGACTACGCACCAAACGAAGGCGATGGTGATGAAGACGGGGAAGGCGATGACGCCAATCTGGTGAAGTCGCGCTTCGATCGCGGATGGGGCGCTCTCATTCGGCCGATTAAGCGCATTCTCACTGCCGCTAACTTTGACCGCCTACTCACCGTCGCCGTTACCTACTTGGCCAGCGCCCTGGAGAAGCGCATCCGGAGTTACTATGGGAGGGTCAATGAGTCAGGCGCAGCGAGGCTCGAGCGCGATATCTCTGGAATCATTGCCGCCGCTGTGGTGGGTGGAAAGTATGGGCTACGTGATGCGTTCACGAAGTGCACGCAGATGACGCTGATAATGAACATGGAGGACGACGAGTGGGAGGAAGTCACCAATGAAGAAGCAGGCGATTCTGGCATTCCCTGGGTTCTGGATGCTGAGGAAAGGAGGCGAGTAAGGGCTCTCGTCAAGGGGTAATTCTAGAGCACAGAATGTCTTGGCAATTAATATGGACGGACGGGCCCAACCGAGGCACACGATCGTGTGCATTCCTGACAATGCAGGGTGTCAAAATCTTCCCTTCTTTGGAGCCGTCTGCATTCAAGTCTTGATTCCATTACTACATTTGGATCGCCCTTCTCCCTTTGTCGGTGCGTTCCTTGGTCCTTTCCTAATCGGACCCATCGGTCCCCGTGGCGCGCACCCAAGCAATACGAGCTCTTGGCAGTATCAAGCCACCTTGCATCCGAACCTCAGCAATTCATCCCATCGTCCCACACTTCATTTTTCCCTTCTCCGTGCGCGGTTTCGGGGCCCGGCGTTATTGTTCTTCGAGACATACTCAGCCATGAAAGAGATATGACACTTGGCAACCGAACATGTGGCTCCTGCACCTCCTCGCCTGGCTATCCATCTCGACAGCAGCAGTGCACGCGCAATGCCCCATCTACACCAACTACGCCTCGTCCAAACACGAGCCGTACACAAACACGCGCTGGAACCTGTCGTATGCGCGGCCCATCCCGCCGTGCCGCACCTTCGCGGCGCCGGAGGTCGAGCACACCATCAGCCGGCTGAGGAAAGTCATCGTGGACCCGGATCTCTTCCGCCTGTTCGAGAACGCGTGGCCGAGCACCCTGGACACGACGATTGCGTGGCGCGGGGTGTCGAACAGGACGGCGCCGGGGGCGGACGAGGAGGAGCTGAGCTTTGTGATCACGGGCGATATCGAGGCCATGTGGTTGCGGGATAGCGCGAACCAGCTGCAAGCGTATGTTTCGCTGCTGAGGGCCAATGATAGCAGGGAGAGTCTGGCCAGCGTGTTTCGCGGCGCGATTAATCTCCAGGCCCGATATCTCCTGGGCGATCCGTTCTGCAATGCGTTTCAGGCGCCCGAGGAAAGCGGCACGATCCGCAAGAGCAGCATGAACAGCGATGTCATCCAGCCCAGCTTCGACTACATGCAGGTCTTTTCCTGCCAGTGGGAGTTGGACTCCGTCGCGTCGTTCCTGCAGCTCAGCGTCGATTATGCGACGGCGACGGGCGACTACGCCTTCTTTGGCAAGCATAACTGGACGAACGCCGTGGCGAAGGTGCTGCACACGGCGCAGAGCATGATGGTGGATAGTTACAAGGAGGACGGCTCGTGGCAGCACACACCGTACACATATTGCGCTCCCTACGGCGGCACGCCGATCAACGACTGCAACGGCTCCCCCCACCGCGGCAACATCGGGCTCATCCGATCTTTCCACCGCCCCTCAGACGACGCGTGCACGTATCAATACCTGATCCCCTCGAACATGATGTTCAGCCACGCGCTCAACGCCTCCTCCTTCATCATGTCGCGCATCGCGCCCGCAGACAGCAACCTAACCAGCTGGATGCAAACCATGAGCAGTGGCATCCGCAGCGGCATCTCCAAGCACGCCATCTTCCCCTCCGCAAAACACGGCCCCATCTTCGCCTACGAAATCGATGGCTATGGCTCCGCCAACATCATGGACGACCCGAACATCCCGTCCCTGCTCTCCGCGCCCTTCCTCGCCTACGTGCCTAAGTCCGACAAAATCTACCAGAACACGCGCCGCATGATCCTGTCCCGCGACAACCCGTACTACGCCTGGGGCCCGGTTATCAGCGGCGTGGGCAGCCCGCATACGCTGCCGGGCCGCGCGTGGCCGATGGCGAATGTCATGGCTATTCTGACGAGCGAGGACGATGAGGAGATTGTGAGGAATTTGCGATGGTTGCTGCAGAGTACGGATGGGTACGGCGTGTTGCATGAGAGTGTGCATGCTCATTTAGAGGGGGTGTGGAGTCGGCAGTGGTGAGTTTTCCCCTCTTTTTGTTGGGCCTTCCAAGGCTCCCTCCATCCTGAATGGTTGTTTCTCGGTGTGAAATATTCTGTTGCGAAGGCGGATGGTGGCAGAAGCGAGCTAACGTGGCATAGGTTTTCCTGGGCGAATGGTATTTTCGGCCAGGCAATTCTGGACCTGGAGAAGCGCAAGCCGCATATTCTCAAGATGGGCTTCCAATAGCATAGCCCTCCTTGCTCGGCGCACTTATCTCCCCGTTGTCTTTGTTTCCCGTTCTTGCGTTCTCATCTATTCCTTTTTTCCCAGTGGAAACGGAGCCTGGCTTTTTGCATCGTACTATACGTAATGCGTTTCCTAGAAACGTCGTCGGAAGACTTCACTTTGGAGACATTCCCGGAATCGCAGCACACTCCGCGCCGCGCATAGTCCTCGCTATAATAAAACTTCTTTTCAAGGTTCGGAATCCAGCACTCCAGAACCACAGAAGCGGGCATGGCATGGCAGTAAGATTCTGTAACCGCGGTGTTGACCCCAGCCTCAGTCAATGCGTTTTCTTTGTGCATCGCCCAGCGTCTTACCTTCAGCGGGCTAGCCTTTCCTGGGATGAACACGAGAACCCTGTGTGCAGGAAAGAAGCATTGGCGTGCAACGTAGATCAGACGAAGGTGAAAATAAGAGACAGACTTTATGGCGAAATATAGAGCACGCCGAGAAATGCAACCCTACCATGTTGCCTATATGTGATTCAACCTCGTTTCCAGCGGGTGGATGATCTCACGTTCCGGGTTGCTGAAGTCCTTTGGGAGTGCATCCGCTGACTTCAACGAGGTTGCCCCGGCACTGTGTCTAGAACTGCATCTTTTCCCACCCCTCCGCGTCTCGTCCTTTTAGACCATAACTCGGAGGGGATGTCATCATCGTTACTACGTCTTCTCTTCTTGCTCTTCCCCGCGTCCGACTTTGAGTTGTTCTTCACTGTCCCGCGTTGCCGGGACACCTCGGCCTCCATCACACGCGCTTCCTTGAGAATCCACTGCACGCAGTTCTTTTGGCGGGAGACAGCCATTTCTGCGTGCCGATAAGATTCCGTGTCTCGGATATAGTCATTAATCGCTTTCATGGCCGTGTCCAGATCAGCCTGAGTGGCGGCCAACTCTTTGGCCAGGGTAACCGTCTTCGTATTCTGGCGCCGCTGTCGAGTTTGCGAAGACCATGAAGCCGCCGCAGCGGTGGCAGCGTTTACGGAGTCAAGGTTGTCTTTTGTGCCATTCAATTCCGTTCCTCCCGTTGGCAACGACCGCACTGCTTCGAGCAGCCTCTTCCAGGCTTGGCGGTCTTGCCGCTTCCTGGCTTCCGCGGCGGCAGCGTGTCGTTCCAGCCACCATTGCTCGAAGTTGAGGTATTCAAGCCATGTGGTCCATTCGGTTTGTTTGTGTGGGTCCTTCATCAACTGCAAAGGCCGGTTGAAGTTGTGGGGTGCGAGCCGTCTCTTAACTGCTTCCTTGTAGGCGGGAAAGCCTTGGTCGTCAGAGAGTAGCCGGAGTTCTGGCTTCCACTGCCACTGCGCCCGACAACTGTGCTCAGATGAACTGTCGGATGTCTCGACCCGCATCCGCTCCCACATTCTCCGTTTTGCCGCGAGAAACGCTGAGAATCCTCCGTCTCCATCAGTGGTGCCCCGGTTGTTCCACTGCCATTTGCGAAAGTCCCACCACCGACTGAGCTGCCGCGAAAACACCGTTTGTATCTCCCCATTTCGACTTGCAGAGTCTGGATCACTGAGCCATGGCACAACAGGTTCGTGGCTGGCTGTAGGTTCGTCCAGGATATGCAACAGAACCTCGATCGGGCAGACGGGCCTGCCGCCATCTTGAATGAGCTCGTGATAGCTTAACTCTTCCAGTAGGTATTCTTCATCGGGGTCAGGCGGTACAGTCGACTCGGACGGCTCACGCGGCGATCGTAAACATCTAAGTCCCAGAGAGCCGTCCTGTCCACTTTCTATGGTTGTCAAGCGCGCGAGAAGTGCGTCCGTGTCGACGGGTTGTGACGCGGTCGCAATTTCGGCGGCGTCCCTATCCGGAATGCCCGTTAGCTACGAACAGCCAGATATAACGAGTATCAGAAGCCTTCTCACCTCAGTTTACTCCCCAGCTCATCTCGTTGGCTCTTCGAGAGGCTTTCCACACCGTCAGCCCAGATGTGGAATCCACCTTCAACGCGCCTGTTACTCTCCAGATACCGGACGAGCTGGCTCGTATCGAACGCTAGGAGGTCTACGGCCGTGAACACGGGAGCTGAGGCTTCGGCGAACGACATTTTATGGGTTGCGCGGGTGTGCGTAGATGATGTAGGGAAGAGCAGTTCCGCGCAGCGTGGCGAGGTTGGTCCCGACTTGGCGCGTGCGCAGGGCCACTAACCGCTTCGGGGGGATACGACAACTAAGTTAGACTACGAAGAAGGCAAGGTGGGGAGTGCGCTGAACTTATATATTTAGCTGACACACCTTTCCGCCCCTGCATTTTCGTGCCTGCGTGTTTGGAAGGCGGCTGGGGGCCGCCCGTGGAGCCAGCCTTGCATTATCACACATACACGACCCAAGGGAGGATTCATTCATCACAAGGGAAAAAAAAGTTGCAACATCTACTCTGTCTGTTCTCACGCAATCATGCTTAAAAATGCATGGGTACATATATTTCAATGTTGTCAGATGCTCCAGAACGGCAATTGCGGAGTCACCGGTCATCAAGTAATCATCCTGACTCCAGGTCTTCACCCGCTGCGACATTCTTCCTACGTTTGCCGGCTCGTAGCACTCTGCTAGAAGAACCATCTCGGCTGACTATATCGTCACGTTGTAGAGCCGCGACCCCTGGAGTTGGATCCGTGAGAGACTGGTGCGCCGACATCAGTGGGCTACGATCTTCTGGCCAAGTCCTCTTACGCCCCGGTTGGCGTGGTTCCCCTGATGCCACTTCTGGAACCTCGACGGCCTCTTGGGCCTCATTGTCTTGGGCTCCGCCGCCAAGATGGTAGCGAATGAGGAAAGAGACATCTAGCTCTTCGGGTCGAGTGTCGTCCTGAGGGCCGCCAGCTTCCATGGCTGCGGCGTCATGGTTGCTTGAGAAACTTGCTGGTTCCGGGTTCCATAGCACGCTGTCTAGTGCGCTCCCTTGTGGTAGGACGACAGAGTTGTCTTGTCCCCGACGCTGCTGAGCCCTAGGCGTTGAGGCACCCGAACCTTGGGACGTTCCGGATTCAGTGGGGTTGACGATGGAGTTGATCATGTCCGTGCCGCGATACCCCAGATTCGCTATGAGAGATGAACCGATAGACGCAGCTGTCGTTTCAACGGGTGTCTGCAAGCCGTCGGCCCAAGGACTGAGGCGAATCGTGGACTCTTCGCTTGCTCCCTCATGCCCCATTGAAGGCTGGGTGCCTGGATCGCTGTCCTCGTCGCTTTCATCGGTGTCCGAAGACGTGTACACATTGAGCGGACTGCGAGAGACGCGACGCAGGAACGGACGTCGAGAGTCACAGTTGGACAGTCGCAGCGCCCCGTCATGACAATATAGGGCGTCCTTCCGCTCCTGCGGGTTTACAACCAGCATCGTATCAAGAAGAAAATAGAGCAACTCGTTTCCTTTCTCCTCGTGATCCTCGACATGCTGCAATACCGCCCGTATCCAAGCTACGGCGCTAGTTCGGTACGAGTCCTCGTAGTATGGAAGCCCGCACTCTCGTGAGGCAATGACCAGGCCGAGAGACCAGATATCGACAGCTACGCTATAACTGTCATCGGCGGTAGCATCTGGGTCGGGGATCTTGTTATAGATCTCCGGAGCTGCCCATAACAGTGAACCACAGAATGTTTTTAGATAGTCCGCCGCCTTAGCTAAGCCGAAGTCTGCAAACTTGACGTGGATGCCGCTGGAACGCCGGTAGAGCACTAGGATATTCTCGGGCTTGATATCACGATGTCCGATCGGAGGGTTTTGTGCGTGGAGGTATCGCAGGGCCGAGAGTAATTGGCGGAGGACTTGTACGTTTTCGAAGGTAGACAAGTTAATGCAGTTGTCGAGAGAACCTTCGGGGACATACTCAAAGGTCAACTGGGGCCAAGGGGAGAATGTGGCATCTCGAAACGCGACAATATGGTCCTAAGTCCGCGGGCTGTAAGTATAGGGCTATCGTGAGGATATTAGGGACGCTGGGTGCAGCACTCACATGAGAAATACGTCCCATAATTTCAGCTTCCTTCTTCCAATTCTTCGTTATAACTTGGCCGCTTTTGATAAACTTCTCTAGCGGCTCCTTCAAGGCATACTCTTCCCCAGTCGTCGCATTCCAAACATATGTCACTACCCCAAAAGCTCCCTCGCCGAGCTTCTTCTTGTAGAGAACCGGGTCAACGGAGAGTCTCGAGGGTGTATCTGTTCCGGTAGGGGGCTGGGTGCCTGGCGCGCTCCGAAGAACGAGAGAGGCGAAGAGATCCTCGTGGTCTGCCGTGCCCTGGCGGAACCTGGCCACCCTGTTGATGTAGTCTTGGGACGTGATATCGCGAGGAGGCACAACGACCTTGAACTGAACTTTGCCTGTGACATTGAGAACTGGGGGTTTGTTGCCCAAAATTCTGGGTCCCTGCAGGAGATAGTCGAAATTAGACCGCCGCTTTCCCTCCTCTCCATCGTAGATGACTCTTGTTCCACAGAGAGAGCCCAGGTCTCTTGCTATCGGCCGGTCCTTGTCGTCGAAGGTGAAGGCGAGGTGGAAGCGACTGATGCCTGGCTGCTTTTCAAAGGGCAGATCGACGTTCGGGGCGCACCCGGCCACTACACCAAGACGAGTCTTTGCACCGTCGCTGAACCTCAAAACGATGCAAGCACTGCTTTCAAGGCCTCTTTGCTCCTCAGGCTGCTCCGTTGACTCCCTGTCTTGACGGCTGTAGATGTCGTATTGCTCTAGGGCATCGCGGCGTCGCGGCGGCATGTACCGCGACCCGCCCCGGAACGTATAAATTGCATCCACTGCGCCTCCATTCCCCGGGCCATCGTTTGGGTACAGGTAGAGAATGATATCCGGGTCTGTCATTTCGAGTAGAGGAGGTATGGTGTCGACGATCTCTACTACACCGAGCTGCAACCCATGAATTCTGCTGCCAGTCTTTATTGTTTTGCGCTGCGGATCGAGCCAGGGCAAAGAGGGACAACTCACAAACGACGAGTCGACCACGCCCAACCAAAAAGCCGTGGCCAACCCATGTTCCAGGCAACAGCGCTGATATAGGAGATAGAGCCTATTATTGGCCTGCCATTGCAGCGCCACGCTGGAGATGGGTTTAGCGGATTGCTCCCTGGCGCTTACTGCTGTATTGCGGGGGTGGCACAGCGTCAGGCGCAAGTTACGCTAGCTCCCTAAGGACGTACTGGAAGGTATACTCGCTAGAATATGTGAGCTGGTGAAAGAACCGCCTTGTTTGGAGGGATTGGCTGAACTGTACCAATGCTGACCAGATCGCCAAGCGAAGGGCCTAATGTGGGCCGTGGCTTCCGTTCCGGATCCCGCCAAGTCGTTGCATCGAAGAAGGGAACTGGTCTTGATTCGCGTTGTGGGCGTGTCCCTTGGCCGCCGTCGGTGGTTGGGAGGACGTTCATATGGGCTGGCGAAGAATAACTAGGGTCAATGCGTCATACCTATGGTAGAGAGGATGAGGGCGGGCAACAGAGGGCTGCAGTGTCGCTGACTAACATGAAATCCGTGACCGAGTCTTTCCCAAAGCGCAGGCACGGATAAACCGCCTTGTCGGCTGTGCGGGTCAGGGGAATGTAGGTGGGTCGCTGCGAGGATATAGCAATATGGCCATTTTTTAGGTGGGTAGGTAGAAGAGGCAGGTCTTAGCCTTGTTGGAGTACAATCGCCAAGCTTCCTAATCGGGCACTAGCGCCACTGGCGCCACAGAGATTTCTTCAACTTCTCGAGCTCTATATACACTCAATACAATACACCTCGCCCCAACATGCTGTATTCCTCAATTGCCTACTTCAACAAGCCTAAGCAAAAAGCAAAAGCGGTGCAGCCACGGCCGCTACTCGGCACGTGATCAAATGCCGCGCTGCACTCCGCTACCCTTACGAGAGCGCAATACAATAAGTTAGAGGGGCAGCGCGAGGTATAGAAATGACAGGCAGGCTGTGTAAGCGTGCAAATACTGCAATATTTTCCGCGGAAACAACTCGGGGGTGCGGCGCGTGTAGAAATGTAATTGAAATGTAATTCGAATGCAAGTTGGAAACTTCCAAACTCTTCCGATGGATGGGAAAGACAGGAAAACTACTTATCAGGGGCGACGCAAATGATGGCTGTAAGGTGAGCGGCAGTGATCCATGGATCCATGGTTATTCGGTGCCATGTGGTATCCGGCATAAGTTTCCCAAATCCCTACCTTTTGCTGGGGGCGGCTGTAGTGCGCTTAGCTGAACCTATTCTACATATAGAGTAAAACAGCTACTATTTGCTTAGGTACGTATAAATTACTTTAGAGAGCGAAGTATAGGCTGTTTCAACAGCTCTAGAGGACTCCTTGCCCTGTGCGGGCGTCAATGCGGCATTGTGGCGTTGGTAAAACTTTTGCCGGATACCACAGTATGCAGATCGGAGATTCGAGCGTCTAGCAAGGTGGCCCCTTGGATAGGGTCAAACTCCTCCGCTGAGGTTTAACTCCGCCATCAGACCACGGATCGCTTGCGCCGAAATCCCGCCCATAGTCTATTTCTACGCATACGAATATGATATGGCCTTGGACAAGAAAGCAGAGCCGAAGATCGCACGACAGCGGTTTTCATTGCATTATTACCGAAAGTAACGAGGCTGTTTATTTCGGCGACGTTGAAATAGGGCAATTGAGCGAAGAGAGATGGCGAAGATGAACCGCGAGCTAAGAATAACAACAACGGTTGGTGTTACAAGGGGCAGTAGGCCTGCGACACTAACCTCAAAGTAGTCTTTAGCGCGAAATCCCGTATCCTGACGCACAGTTCGCACTTCACGTTTGAGCCTCGCTCCTTCGTCTGCTCTCCGCCTTCAATTTCCTAGACCTCACCCTACAGCCGCTCTACGCAAAGCCACCAAGCCTCAATTCTCCGCGCCCGTGGTTCAGCGCGCTAGTGGACTTCGGGCCACGCTAAGACCATTCGGGATGCGTGAGACGCGGACACCGTAGGTTTCCTGTCAGGCCCGCCAGGTACCGGCCTCAGGATAGTGGGATGCCTAGAATGAGGGGTGCGCACTGCAGATGCGGTGGGAGAGGAGGGAAATGTCCGTGATGATGGGCTGTGCCGCCCGTGGAGCGGTGTTATAGATTGGGGCTGAAGCCCCCAAGGTGGTAGGTTTTCTGTTTCTTAGATATTCAGTTGTGTGAGCGTTTCGTTCTTCTCTTTCTTTTATTTTTGGGCCGTCTGCTACTGGGTCGATAATCGGTCATTGTCTTGTGTGCGAATACAATTTTTGAAGGGGAGTGAGGTTTTCTGGCCATATTCTTTCTTTCAGGAAGGCCCTGTGAGCGTCTAGGGGAATTCGGTCTTTACCTCTCGGCTTTTCTCGTTATCGATACCCGAGTTTCTCGCGGAGGGACTGGAAGACATCTCAGAATGGGCGTCTTGAGCTTTTCGAAAGCATGCGCGCTTCTGTTGGCGGCGTATGTGGGAGCGGAGGCAACATCTGTAGGACTCGATGGACTTCATACGGACAAGGTGCTGCGGGCGGCTACAAAGAGGTCTGATCTCTTCCGACGGAGCATGAGGATCGAGCAGAAGTTCGACACGGAGCTAGCGTATATTGAAGGTACGATCTATTTCTCCTCGTGATAACGGGCTTTTGCTGACTATTGGCAGAGGAGAATGGATGGAATGGGGGTTCTATCTTTGCTTCGCAGCTCAAGGTTGCCTCGAAGAAGCCCATTCTCAACCTGGAGGAGATTGAGCACCATCTGACGGATGTTCGATGCGGCGATGGGACGATGAAGCTGCATTTCGTGGATACGGTGTCGGCGACGGATGCGAGGATGGCTTGCCATGGTGGTGATGGCGGATTGGTCATTACGTCTCATGAGGGCTGTAACAAGGAGGGCGAGCGTGGAGTGTACAAGTAAGTGCAGGAAATATGCACCGGAGAACTCTTCACTGATTCATTGCAGGGTACACGACGTCTCATTCGCCGGGGACGGAACAGCTCTCGAACTCTCAGTCGTAGAGTCTCTGTGGAAGGAATCTTTCAATCGCTTCGAAGTCGGCTTCGGCCACACCGCAGAGGACCATTCGTTCCGCCGTCATTCTGACTTCGCCAAAGTTCGCAGGAAGCGAGCGGACGACGCCTCCGTCACCGTCCCGCCGATTTCTATCCCCACCGACACTCCTGAGAACGTTAACCAGGTCACCTTCGACCTCAACTGGCAGGTGGACGACAAGACCTTCAGCCCCTCGGACTTCACAGCCGGTCTTCCAGCTGGCTTCGTTCCGCTCCCCGATCTAAGCAATATCCCCATTGAAGTTGGCTGCAAGACCTGCTTGACGATGGGAGAGTTAGTCCTTTCGCAAGGTTCGATCGTCGTCGATGTCGGACAGATCGATGTAGTTCCGGATTTCTTCGAAGGCGGCGATGATGGCAAAAGTATCGGGAGCGTCATCAGTGGCGGTTTCATGGAGCTCAAGGCCAATAACATGGAGGGCTACTTTGAGCTCTTCGCGCGACCCAAGGCCAACGGCTCCTTTATGATTACGCTTTTCGGGCTTCCTATCCTTGGCTTTACGATTCCGGGTGTTGGCCGCGCGGGTGCCGTTTTCGAAGCTTCGCTCTCAGCCGATTACGAAATTGCAGGCGGGTTTGAGATCACCTACGGTATGAACCTGGTGGTAAGTGCTGCATCCTCACCTTGACTTGAACTGTGTTCTAACGTAGTCAGGTCCCCACCAACTCCACCATCCGCATCGAGCTCAACGACATCACCAAGAGCGGCGTAAACGGCTTCCCCAACACCACGCTCACCCCTCTCCCCTTCAGCTTCGACGTCAAGGACGTCAGCGCCTTCGTCAGTCTCGCACTGATCCCCTCCATCCCCATCGGCTTCAAGTTCGAAGACGCGCTCGATGCCTCTATCTCCGTTGACATGGAACTCCCCCGCCTCGACGCGCTCATCACCACCATCGCGAACGCCGACACAAACTGCAACGATCTCGGCTCCTCCGTCGCTGCCCGCGGCCTCCCCGCACGCGAAGCAGCTCCCTTGGCCAACGAGACCCAACCCCTCAACGGCACGACCGGCACAAACGGCACAACCAGCACCAACGGCACCGTCGAAATCGGCCCGCTCGTCCTCATCGAAGCCAACGTCTCGATAACCGTAGACGTAGGCTTCGACCTAAAATTCCCGCTCCTGCCCGCGCCTCTCAACGGCGCCGGCACAGCCGCAGAAATCTTCTCCACCATGTTCGCGCTGTCCACGCAATGCCTGGCTCCTCTGGCCGGCTTCGCCGCCGCCACGGATGTGTACGACCCCGTGAAAGCGACGTCCACCGTCTCTGGGACGCTTAACTCCACGTCTACGTCTACTCCACCGTGCAATTCGACGATCAAGCGCGAGCAGAGTTACTACGTCCCCGTGAGCAGTCTGGCGTATGCGACACCCGCGCCGCACTCGGATTGTAGCTGCCAGCCCAGCACTACGACGGTGTATGTGCCGCCTGCTGGTGCGCCGCCAGCTGAGACGTCCCCGGTGTCGCCGCCTTATGCTCCGCCGTATGGGAATGGGACGGTGCCGCCGCCGCCGCCGCCTACGGGCACGGGTGCGCCGCCTAATGTGAGCACGCCTCCGACAGAGCAGTTTACGGGTGCAGCGGCCCCAGGGGCTGTGTCCGGTATGCAGTGGGGGAATTTGGGATGGCAGTTGGGGTTGCTGGGTGCGAGCGTGTTTGCAGGCATGTTGATGTTGTAAAACGGAGATGGAGAAAGAAAGTTTTAGGGCGGTCAGTAAGTTGGAATTCCTAAATACCCTTTGTTGTGTCTTTTTTTCGTCGCTTCTTTCGTGTATATATACTGGGGGAATTGTTGCTGCATAGTTGGCGGGCGTCTTATTCGTGTTTTCGTCTCTGAAACTACTTCAGAAGGCATTCGCTCTGCTTTATAGTGTATCTGGTCCTTGCTCCTGTCCACGGGTCACACCGCGACTCTTGCCCCGCCGCCGGGACCTTACTGCTACCTCCGGGGCACGCGATGACTATAGGTCATGTGACTCGCGTATCCTTCTCAAGTTAACAACGCTGATCTCTGATTGGTCAAAATTGCACGTGACCTATAGTCATCGCGTGCCCCGGAGGTACGTTTGCTCCCTAGCATGACTAACAACAAACGCTACCCGCGCAGAGTGACAGCACATAGACTCTTCTTCAGACCTTCGCCACGCCGATACTTTTCTTCAGAGTTATGCTCCTACGTCGCCGCACCTAGACGTCACTATTCTCGCAATGAACAGTAAGATACCTATTCGAGCCCTTCTGGGTGGCATTCTCTAACGTTATCAGTGCCGAATGATCAGTCTATTCAGCAGCCGCCGAGCGATAGCAATCTCAATCTCCCAACGGCGTCTCCGTGCGCATCAGCACTAGGAGCCATCGTCCAAGAGTTCCTCCCCAACCTCACCACGTATTCAGAATTCTACCGCCAGGTGCACCGCAATCCCGAGCTCTCCAGCCTCGAAGCCGAAACCGCTGCCCTAGTCGCCCGTCATCTTCTCGCCCTCGACTTCAAAGTCCACACCCAGATCGGCGGCCACGGCGTCGTCGGGATCCTGAAGAATGGACCGGGGAAGACAATCCTCACCCGCGCGGAGCTGGACGCCCTGCCGATCCGCGAACAGACAGACCTAGCCTACAAGAGCTCCAAGACAATGACCGACCGCTATGGCAACGAGAGACCCGTCATGCACGCCTGCGGCCACGACATGAACATGGCCGCGCTACTTGCAGCAAGTGCACTTCTCCACGCGGCACGCGAGCGCTGGAGCGGCACGCTTATCACGCTCTTCCAGCCGGACGAGGAGGAAACGGGCGGGGCGCGCGCGATGCTCAATGACGGCCTCTACAGCAAGATACCAGTCCCGGACGTGCTGCTCGCACAACACGTAATCCCCCTCGCGCCGCCGGGCAAGGCCGCAGTGCAACCCGGCCCCGTCCTCGTCGCCGCCGACGCGATCAACGTGCGCGTAACCGGCGGGCCCTGCAAAGGCAGTCTCAACCCGCAGATCTGCGTCGACTCGATCCAACTCTCTACGCAGATCCTCACTCACCTCCCCGCCTACGTCCGCGATACCATCGCCAGCGGGGAGGATGCTACGGTCGCGTGCTGGGGCTTCCACGCCGGGATTCCGGGGATCGATTACCCCGCGCACGCCGACTTTCTGCTCGATGTCAAGACCAGGAAGGAGGATGTCCGGCAAGCGGCGCTAAAGCTGATAGAGAAGAAAATCAGAGATGAGTGTCGCGCTGCTAACGCGCCGAAGGAACCTGAGTTCAAGTATTCCGTCCGCGCGCCGTTGACGAGCAATGATAAGGACACTACGGAGCGCGTGCAGGCTGCGTTTGAGGCGTTCTTCGGAGCGGGCGCGGTGCCTGTGCCACGCAACAGCGCGTGCGAGGATTTTCCACTGTTGGCGGGGGAGCGTGATGTCCCGTATACGTATTGGTTTTTCGGAGGGTGTCAGGCTGCTGAGGGAGGAGAAGTCCCGACGAATCATTCGCCGTTCTTTGCGCCGGAGATTGAGACGGCGCTGAAGGCGGGGACTGAGGCTATGGCTTTGGCGGTGCTTGCGTTTGTGGGTAAGTGAGGACTGTGGTCTTTCTGGTCTTGCAAGAAGCGGGTATAAGCCAAGGAATGTTGGCCGAGTAAATCCAAATCCCTGGTCATATTGTGGTGACGGCACAGTAAAGCCCACCCCACTAGAATCCTCGAAGGATAACCCCTTAGAGCATCTCCGAAACTTCGATGTGCATTGTAGCCAGAGCCGCAGCCGGTTATCGCCAGACGACTCGTGGCTCAGCCGCCCGCTCTCTGGCCGCTGTGCTTGGGTGTCTCCTGTATAAAGCCCGCCTTTGCTACTCTTCTTCTACCCTTCACGCTCGCAAGTTCCTCGACTTCCTTTTCTAAAATCGACCACTGGAAACTACATGTGGGCCTTTTCTCGGCTTTCTCTAAAATGCCGCAAATTCAAGGACATATCTGTCCTCTTTCGCCGCGTAAAAACACCACCAGACCGAAGACATATCAGTAGTGGAGATTGCTCGCTGGGAACGCCGTGTTGGATCTAGACTTGAGCGTCTCCTCGTAGCCCGTTCCTTACCTAATCGTAGGTCGTCACTGCGTTAGGTATAAAGTCCTACGCTACTCTCTCGAGTCTTCTTCACGCTTAGAAGTTCTCTATTGGACTCCCCACCACGAAACCGAATATCTACCAGACCTATGTTCTCCGTGCTGCGTTAGAAATCCGCCCAAAAGGCCAGGCATGGCAAGGTTGCCTTCTCTATGACTAGAAGACGCCGTCAGGAGACCCCATGTCTTCTTCCTCCGGGCCCTTAGCACGCATCTCTCTGACTTATGTACGAAGAGAGGGAATACAAAAGCCATACGGAATAGATTTCATGGCTGCTGCCCCTGTTGGTCCTAAGCCATCTCTATAAAGCCAGCGTCTCTCTCACAGTCCCTCCATCCACGTTCTCCCGTCGCCGGCTCTGCTAAAACAACTTCGTCCTAGACTCATGGAAGGCTGTCTCTGCTGTTGCTAAAACGAGCAGCCTATAGATTTCATGCTGTCTTTCCGCCGCGGGATGCCACTCTCAGTACTCCGATTAAGGTCTGAAGGAGAAGCGTACAAAAAGCACACAGCTAAGGCTATTATGTGTTCTGTTTGGCTCCCAGATTTCGGCTATAAAACCTCGGTCTCTTCGTCGGATGTGCCTTCTCCTCACCAGCTCGACTTTTCGAAATGGCCTTGCTAAAACAAAAATCGACGTGTTCGACGGAGAGCATCCTTCGGCCTTTCTAAAAACCAACGTCGACATCCCGCATGCCGTCCGCGGTAGGAGAAAAAAAGTGCAAAAAAAGTTTGACACGGTATTTGTCGGCCTCGTTGTCCTCAAAATGGAACGTGCGTTCTGTTGATGAACAGTTCTCGAGACGCCATAAATAAGACAGCGTCTTCTATAAAAGCCGCAAGCTATTCTCGATATATCTTCTCACACACTCTTCCAAACCTAGAGTCTAAAAGTGCGCAGCTCAGAGCCGATGAGACACGCCGTCGTCGACTAAAAAGCTTCCATCAAGTTTGCTCATGGAGTCTTCTAGGCGAAGCGTTCCCAAAATTAAGTACGGGGACATCACGCCCAGTCTGCGCTGCTACACGGCGAGCATAAACATTGCACAATCCATACCTCAAAAACTATACACATACCTGCCATGAAGAAAAGCAACATCCTCCCAACCATCCGCCGAAGCACCTCATGCTCTCGTCCGCCACTCCCCGCCCCGCCCACACATCGCCTCATATAAAAAGGCTTCCTCTCTCTTCCCTCTCCCCTCTCCTCACAAAGCTCATCGATCCTCTAAAAGGCTTCCACTACGCATATCATGGACGCCTTGTCGACCAGGAAGCTTCACCACTAGACCCGTATGCCTGCGTCTCGGATTTGAGAATTAAATCGCCAGTTGCAACCTCGAATGGATCGTGTCGTCGGCCTGGGAACCGCGCAATAAAGGCACCAGGAAGCGTGCACAATGAGGGAAGGGGATAGTCGGTTGCAGCATGTAACGGGTTGTGCAGGGCGTGACATCCCCAAAGCGAAAAAAAAAGAGGATGCAAGAATTTTATGCGTTGCGCTTCTCGCGACTCTTAAAAAAAAGGCCCGTCTTCACCTGCATGAGCGCCACTTCCCGGACCAGATGGGACGATGCTCAAACCCGCTTCTTCGATCTTCATGCTCTTCCACTCCCGCGCGCACCATCCCATACGCATCGAACGAGGGAGAACGTCCGTCCGGATTGCTCGTCCGTCCGGACCCCTTGGCTCTATAAAAGCAGCTCCTGCTTCGGCTCGGCCACGATCTCTCCTCCACACTTCTCCAGCGAAAATCGCTAGAATTGACGGCCATATGATTTCATGAGCGACTCTCGAAGAAGCCCCACAGTCAGCGACCATGTGCAAAAGCGCTTCGACGCCACTTCAATCGTTGGAGTGCGTCCGGACGAAAACAACCAAGGCGGTGATGGATGGAGACGCTGGGAAGATTTGGGGCAAAGCAAGAATAGGAAGACTTCATGCCCTAGCTTCATCGAGGGTAGGATGGCAGGTTGCGATCGAACGCCGCCGTGACAAATGCTACCACCAAAGCCATAGCGACGAATAGAGCAAACCAGGCGGACTACCTGCTTCCGAGGGTATAAATTCTTCGAGAGATTCGTCTTCTTCCCTTTCTCTTCACGCAATCCCGCGGACTACTAAAAGAACTAGTCTCCTGTTCGATGTTGCCGTGCGGAGAGGGACTAAAGTAGAGAGCACAATAAAATGGCATGGAAAGCTCGAAATGTGTTTGAAAGCGGTATCCGAAAGTTTAGATGGAGTACGAAGCGCGTGGAGAAGTCACTGGTGGGGATTAGATAAAGAATCGGGGGATGGTGGTGGTGCTCAACTTGAGATCGAAACGAAACGACTTAGAATCCGGCCTTGTAAGAGCGAAAATATTGGTTACGAGCAATGCGACGATCGCGCGTCGTTCCATTACGGACCGGAACATTCCTAGTAATTCCCGAACGCGTATTACGCACCCTTGTCTTCCCTAGACAGGCGGTATACCCATTTCCCAACCGTTGCGCCTTGAACACCATACCCATGTTATACACCCAGAAGATATAGTATCACTCTTCCTCCTCGTCCTCGCCCTTCTCCACTGCAGCCTCCTCTTCGCCATCCTTTTCCTCCCCTCCCTCATCCTTCTTCACGGGCGCGGCAGGCTCGCTGTCGTACTCCGGCCGCACAACTTTCTCTTCCCTTTCAACAAGGACGGATTCAAGCAGCGGAGCAGCGGCGAGGAGGGCGTTGTACTGCTCGATGGAGAGGGAGATACCCTGCAAGATTCAATCAGCATCCATTGCGCCGCAGAAGCGCAAGCCAGGGCAGCGCACCTTCTTCCCAGGCCTCATATCCCCGCCATCATCCACATAGTACTCGCGTATGCTGACCAACGTCTTGCCCTTGAAATCGCTAATCGTAACGCGCCGCGTGCCGTTCGCTTTGAGCTGTCCCACGGTCAGCCAATTAACCAGCTCAACAGCTTTCCATTCTACCCTTGACACAGCGCCACTTACAGCCACGAAGGGATTGTTGTCATCATCAGTCTGCAGTTCCGGCACTAGTGCTGCTGCTTCATCGTTGCCCCCACCTCGCGCTTTCTTTGAGACTTGCGGCACCGCATCGTCGTCGTCGGGGGAGGATCGCTTTTTGCTGAAGGATTTCTTGAAGCCGCCGCCGCGGAAGCTGCCGCGCTTGGAGGTGCCGCGCATTATGCGTGAATTGGTGTGGGATGGGTGGATTTGTGATGCGAAAAGTCGCGGTTTGGTGGGGAGTTGCGATGCACCTATGGCTGATGACGCGCGGGGCTTTGGGCTTGACGCGAGAACGCGCTAAGAGCACGGTCACGTGCTGGAGTGAGATGGATTCATCGAGGTCGATCGGTGTACTGGCGAGAGTCCTTCACTGTTGTCGTTCTTACGAAGACAAAACTGCTTCAAATGGTGCAAACCGAATGTCTTTTTCTTTGAGGTTGGTTTCGTTCACTATGGCCTTCATAGAACTTCCCTCTTCCGGCTAGCGGCAAGTTTTACCCCAGGCTCGCATCTCTCGCATTCCCTCCCACTTTTCATATTGCATCTATCTGCATGCAAGCCACCCGCCTGATGACGCGACTATATGGAGCGGCTTAACCCAGACACGCCGTATAAGCACTACGTCCTGTTCCCTACGACGGAGCACGGCTGGTTTAGCGCGAGGGGTGATCTGAAGAACGAAGAGCTAAGTGAGGACAGCGGATGAAGAAGGGTACAAGCCGACGCCAGATTTTTTGAGAAGTAGATGTAAGATGCATATTCGTGCCAGTACGAACAAAAACAGGACATCTCGTACCAGCTATGTGCTGTCTGGTAATGAGCACCTCCACCGTTTACTTGCGCGCCATCTCCCTAAAAGGATTATCCCTCCCATAATTCCCCAACCCACACAGCTCTAACCCCCTAATCCTCCCATCCGTAATCCCACCCAGCGTATCCCGCCCGCCATCCAGGCCCTCCCAATCATCGCAGAGGTCCCAGTTCCTATCGCCGGGCGCCTGTGCGAATAGCCCGTCACATTAGCACCTATCCTCGGCAAACATAGGTCAAGGGGAAAAGGGAGAAGGAGCGAGATACATACCTCCTTCCCAGCCGCAATCGCCACCGTCCGCCCATAGATGCTCTCGTCGCACGCCACCCTCATAATACCCGCGACCACGTCCTCCACGGCCCCGAATTCGATGCCCATCGCCGTCAACGCGGGCTCAACGTCCGTGGTCATGTTCGTCCGCATGAAGGTCGGCGCTATGAGGTTAGTGCGGAAGGGGGGTGTGTCGGGGCCCAGGATCTGCCTAGATTGTCGGATAGCTGCACAAGCGGGAAACAAAGCACGTTAGCTACTAGATATTTTGAACTCGATTCGAGATAAGCCTTGGAGGGAACAAAACCGACGTACGCACCTCGCCAGAAGCCCCTCACCCCATATTTACTCGCGTTATAATCCGCCACATTACTCAACGTCACATACCCCGCCAGACTCGAAATAAGGATCAACTGCTTGCTCGCTGCATCCCCAGACGTCGCGGTCTGCTTGAAGTAGAAGAGCGCAAGATGCGCGGTGTAGTACACGCCCATGAGATTGACGTCGATGACGACGGTGGTGGGCAGTTCGGGCTCCGCGTCGGGCTGGCTGGTGGGCAAGTTGTCGACCCAGGTTTTGATCGAGGTTCCGGATAGGCCGGCACTGGCGAGGACTATGTCGATGGATTTGGAGGGGGCGAAGGAGAGGGCGGATTTGAAGCCTGCGGTTTGCGAGGAGAAGGAGGTCATGTCGGTTTTTGTGAATTGGACGTGATGGCCTGCTGCGTTTAGAGTGTGGGATACTGCGTTTCCTTGCTCTTCGTTGATGTCTAGGATCGTGACGTAGGCTCTGGTTCTCGTCAGTGCTGCTTGTAACGTGCTACGACAGGGGAGGAGGGGAGCTTGGAGATCCAAGAGAGGTGGCGGAGACCTGCTGGAGGGTTTCAGGAGATCATTTTGATGATTCTTTCTCCCTCTTCCTCTGGTATTCAACATGGATCGCCCCTGCGGAGGATTACAGTGTTCGAAGTACAACGAGCTCACCCTGCTTCCGCGAATGCCTTCACGGACCCTGCACCAAGGCCATTCGCGCCACCTGTTACGACGACGCTCTTGCCCTTCAAGTTACTCGCATCCACATCTTTGGAGAAGTCGATCTTCTCAGTACAGTAGAAAGTCTCGGGCAATCCAGCAGGAACCGGCATGATGTTGGGGGCTCGATATTATGATCAAATTCCGGAGGCTTTGAGGCAAATGTCAACGGAAGCAGAGGCGCGACCTCATGCTTTTATATCTCGAAACGTTGGTCCACAACGCTGTCAGGCGTAAGCTGGAAGTTGTACGGTTGGGCCAAGCCCACGTCCCCGCTTTCGACCTTGACAGGAAACTACCTAGGTAAGCGCCACAACGAGTGCTTGCCGCTACTGTGGATCGTGTATGTATGCAATGTACGCCGAACGTGTCAGCTGTCTTGGACGTGCCTACTCATTGATCACCGGATTGGGTCTACGTGTTGATCGTATCGGCGAGTGCGTGGGGAAATGGGTATGGACCTCGGAGCTATAACGGAGCGGGGCACAGAAATGAGGGGGCATCGCATATCTGAGCTACCTAGGTAAGAATTTCGTGCGATAGAAGAATGTGTACCCCGGCATGCTGAGTCATAGTTCGTTTGTCAGAGAATCGTTTGTCGTATTGTGCAATGCCTTGCACTCCGGCCTCGCAGTACAGGTGCTCATCCGCAGACGGCGGGCTGGATTCGTATGTCGCAATATCCATGACTCTTTACGCTTATCCAAATAGCGGATTTGGTGCCCTTGGGGGTTTGTATTAAAGTCGAAGCATAAGCAACCTTGACCCCTTCATATTGCCAAACGCCCGTTTCCCACCCAGCCCGTCCATACACCGCCAATCACCTTCGCAAGATCCTCTGCCGTCTTCCCATTCGCATCCTTCATGTTCCTGATATCCGTCTTATCTTCCGTAAGCCCCCTCATGATCCCCAGCGTCTCTGCTTCTTGGAACACCTCTGCTGGGATTTCCGTCAACGGTAAGTTGCTCGCTAGCAACAGAAGCAACCACGCGATCTCTCTGCTCTGTGCCTGTACAGCAGCATGCAGGCCCGACTGCATTTCCCCAATAGGGTCCTGGTATCGCAGGAGCTCGTCCGCGCCTATCTTCCTCCCCGGTAGTTCGCTCTCTGCCATGTCCTCGTCGTCATCCTCATCGTCACTGTCGTCCTGCAACATGCCAATGATGGCCCTGACGTCGCCTTCGCGGCAGAACTCGAGGAAGGCGCGGCATTTCCGCTCTTCGGGATATGCCCTGAGGTAGCTTTCCTCGGTGAGGAGGGGGAGAATGTCGAGATCCTCCTGAAGTCCGCCTTCGTTGTTCAGGTTGCAGAGGACTTGCTGCGCGCCGCCGGGGGATGTTGATGCGATGCTCTTTCCGCAACTAGGGCATTCGGTGATCTGATATGCTTCGAGCAGGCAGTCCCTGCAGTGTCAATTTTTAGCTAAGTTATCGACCATTTCCAGGAATACTGACCAGTGGAAATGGCACCCGCAATTCAAGTGTACATCGTCTGGGACAGTCTGCGGAGGAGCTGCGGGAGCTTTGCCGGAGGCCGAGCCGCCCATCTGGACGTCGTCATCTTCGTCAGGCTCGATCTCGACTTCGAGGTGTTTGTGGCAAGCGACGCAAGCAGCCATGGTCGCAGGAAGTTCGTGGGTGTATTTGCGATGCCATTGCGAACAGAGTGGTGGAGGGGTCAATGGCGGGGATCTGAAAATTTCGGGGTCTGTGCGCGGGACCTCGACGCGTCTCGCGTCTACGAGTATCTACAATTTACCTTTGTCGAACATTTCATCCACGCCAAACATTGCAGTGCGCGGAGCGGTGCTCCGTAAGAAAAGGCAAACCGGCTGGCTGCCAATTAGTTCGCACGCGATGCGATATCGATTACGCGTGTCTCTTTCCCCTCAGTCACTCTCACTCCCCAGGTCGACTGCAAGACATACACCCGAAATAGCAGTCTCCAGTCAACAACGAAAACACGGTCTGTCTGCCATTGCCTCCTGGCTTTTCTATGCGAACCCCACTCGTCTCCCGCCGTGAAAGTCCATCCACCCGCCCCTTCTCGCACCTCGACCCAGTCCCCGCAACCCAAGCGGGGCTTGAGGAGCCACGAAATCTCACCGGTGGGCCCCTTAGATTCGTTGAAATCGATCGTGAACGAGCTGGCGAGCGCCAGACCGGGCTCGCGTACTGCTGCCGAGTGGGAAGGTCTCCATGAACAGCGGTGATCATGCTCGGGTGAGGTTTGCGCGAATATGGCATGGGTTGGATATCCGCGTGCGTAGCCCTGAAAGCTCCAGCGGCAAGAGTTATGGGGCGTCCAGAAGACTTCGTTGGGGTCGTGTCGCCGCGCACGAAGTTCTAGCTGCGGTACGATTTCGAGCTGGACGACCTTCTTAGCGACTGCGCCGAACATGTACGAGACGTGTCGGCATGAGGTCCAGAGCGTGATTGGATCGACGTAGGATAGGGTCATGCTCCAAAGCTCGGTGGGCAGGTAGGGAAGCGGCAGCCTCGGGGTCTGGGCCTCCTCTTCTTGTGCGGAGTCTTGCCGATTCGTGGAAGACCGAGCATCCTCAGGGCGTTCCGCGTCGTCCGATGACTGCGATTGTCGGCGTCGGTGAATCCTTTGCAACTTCAAGCGATTCAGCGCATGGCTCAGCTTGACGATGAGGGTTGATGGCATGCTGGCTGATCACGGGGTTTTGGAAAGTGGCCGGGTGCGCTGGTGAGTGATTCTTTGAGTCTCGTCGACAGAGCTCGCAAAGTCTTAGAACTTTGGCAGTTATCGTTCGGCCCCTCCTCCGACCTATCGCTTAACGGCGGGTCACGCGGCCTGCTTACGGCTGGCATGCGACACATCCAGATCCCAACGGCCCTAGCCCTTCTTTATGCTACGCGATATTCACGAGTCTCGCCCTCGAATTTTGGATACGGGTAGTGCTGACGACGGTGATGTGTGCAGAGTTGTCCGGCATCTTTCGAATTCATGGCAGCACATGCAGGTATGCTTCGAGGGTCAGAATGCCAATATACTCCCAGACTGGCTAGCATTATGTTGATTATATACTATGTCTTCTATTCCAAGGTTTGCTACCAGAAGTCCTTGGATCGGCATTTCATCTCGATCTTCCCACGAACCATGACAAAACCATGACCCTCCATCGCCCACTCCCAACGAATTAGGAACATTCGATGCAAAACAACTCATACGGTAATAACCTTCACGCATCCCTGTGCAGCATCATAATCCACAGCAACTCTTCACGTTTATCTCCTCCGACGCAGGAGACCGAAATGAATTATGAAACCTTTACGGAATAAAATGGATGAGCTGGACCAACAACACAGAAACAGTAACGGGCGGGCGAAGAACGAAGATGACAAGAATAACAATCAGCAACACAAAGATTTCCGTCGCAATTTTGATAAGGGCCCTCCACGTCTCCCTTCTCTCTTTCTTCGCCTGCGCCTTGTCCCTCGCGACCCGACCGCATATCATGCCAAACCACTTAGAATTATACGCACGAAAAGCGATAATAATATCTACTTTGGAAACTAAAAGACTTTCGACTACCCCCAGAACACTGGGTTCCGAGCTTCTCATGGCGCTTCCCTCCAGCACGGCAAAGTCGAGGGACTATTTCAATTGCACGTAAACGAAATCAACCATCGCAACAGTTTGATCAAAAGATGAACAAACGTAGGTGTACGGGTATCATAAGGAATGACCTGGCAACATGCTGCTACGTGTCTTAGCAAGCTCTTTCTCTCTCTTTGCTCTAGCAGGCGAAGCGCGGATTCAAAGCGCCAGCTATCGACTTGATTAGCGACCTCAAGGCTCTTGATGAGAAGTCCATTTAATGCCGTGACATGATCTTCAAGGTACCGCCTCCCACGATAAGTACGGTCAACCAAGTCTTGACGGCTGGCTACGAGCACTAAGATGTGGCGATCGAGCGAGTGAGAGATTTCATCTTGCAAACAGATGCTTTGAACGCAGACGCACTGATAGCCAGCAAGTGAACCGCTGGATTTCAAGCAGGAGCGAGATGTGAGATCCACAGAGGCTCTTAATATTGACTCCAAGGGATGTCATAATAATCATGCGGGGAATTAAAACGACGCTGCATGCGTTGCAGCGCGACGACGTCTGCCCGAACCTCGAGTTGCCGCGTCAGATGGACTTTGCTATTGACGATCCGTCAACGTTGCTAGAGCTCAGTGCGACACCAACAGCCTCATCTCCATCGCATTTACATATGATGTTTCCCATACTCTCTACCACTAGTGAAGGGGCTTTCCGTCCCGCAGAGGCTAGAACCAGATTCATGCATTGATCAGCTCTAGCAAGGACCAGGCTATCCTGCTTCGTCTTTGTAGCCGCAATAATGCTCAGCTTCAATGGGGAAATGTAGGTTGAGCTTCTTCTGAAGATGAGCCAGCGCATTGTTCACGTCCATCGGCTCAATCTTAGCGAGGCTGACGAGCTGCCCGTCAGTGTGTAGGCTACTTCTCGGCGCCGAGAAGTCGTGAGAATGGACTCATTCGGCGATTGAGGTAGGAAGTCCCTGGGACGTCTCGTATTCTTTATAATAGAGGGAAGACACTCCAGGCGTTGTACAGCTAGTAGATGCCAACGAGGCGCAGAAAATCCGCTTTGGGGTTGTCCCAGGCTTCCGTCCTCCTCGCCTGGGCGGTGCTACGGTATCCCCCTGCTCGCGTGCCTGCATTCACCCTGGCCACCCCACATTGTCGGCGACATATCCCCGCACTCCCCGACGGCAGTCTAGGAACTTACGGGCGGAAGGCCAATCACGGGTCTTTGCTAGAAGCTCTCGTACGTCCAACGGGCCAACGAGCGCCGCGCGACACGCCAGCTCAGCGTACACCCGACGACGAATTCATCACCACTAGCACAGTCCAGTAAGGAACCTGTCATCCGATGCCGGGCGATCGATGTCCGCGCCGGCGCGTGTCGGCTAATTCGTATTGCGAGCTAGTGCCCTCGGTGCTCAACGTCCCCGAAGGCCGGTCCTGAAATCTTTAGCTACTTGCCATGCCCCCCAAGGATTTTCTGACCTTCAATTCAGCTACTTATTTTTCCTACTCAGCCTATACCATACCATAAGACCAAACCTACGAAGAAGCATGTAATTTAGAGTCACCGGATTTGGCGGCCCATGCACCAATTGCAGTGAAACAGTGAATATGCGCTCCGTCGTATACGTTCGCAAGTGAAGAGGCCGCTCCATCGCGAGTCTCACAGGCCCATGGCTCCTTCCTTGGCAGCAATGGCCCTGCATGGCACTATATAAAGTTGCCTTCACGCCTCCTCTTCGATTCTATCTGACAAGCATCGAGAAATAATCCTTTGCCTTCCACTCCCTTTTTGGCTGCATCTCATCGGTCCATACCATCATGACTGTATCTAGTGTCACCGCAAACAGCTCGCACGAATGCCAGCAGCAGAATGTCCGACAGGACTCCACACTCCCCATTACGCCAATGGTTCCTATGGACTCTTCTGTTAACACATGGACCCGCTTCATTACCACCTTCGAGGCTTCTGAGTTCACCAACTGGATCGATGAGAGTGTCTCTTGGAAATCGACTTGCTACATCGGCGATTGGTCTCCCCTTCTCAAGATGAGGGTCCGAGGTCCTGATGCCAAGGCATTCTTCGAATACTTGTCGACGAATCACTGGCCAAACTTCAAGCAATACCAGGCAAAGCACGCCGTTTTCTGCCGAGACGACGGAAAGGTCATGGGCGAGGGCGTCGTCATGATGCTTGGGCATGACGACTTTATCTTTACATCTGTTCCTGGAGTGACTTGGGCCCTTTATCAATTCCACCGTGGTAGTCGAAAATTTGACGTTACGGTGGACAATGTCTCCAGCGAATGGTACCTTTTCCAGGTTCAAGGCCCCAAGAGCTTGGATGTAATGGAGGCCGCAACGGGGTCTTCAATCACCGACTTGAAGTTTATGAATGCCAAGGAGATGTCCATCAACGGATCAAAGCTCTTATGTCTCCGACAAGGAGTATCTGGCGAACGAGGCTTCGAGCTCTGGGGTCCAGCTGAAGAAGCACAGACGGTGTACAAGGCTATTATGGCCTCTGGGACAAAGTTTGGCATTCGTCAGCTTGGTGGCCGTGCAAAGACGGTGAATCATGTATGTTGTATCGAGGCGAGTGTTGTTTGAGGCGACTAGAAACACTAAGACGCAAGCAGGTTGAGGGTGCATTTCCAACACCAAGATTGGATTTTCTCCCAGCGATTCATGGCGACGACCCCGAGCTCGGCAAGTACCACCAGTTCCTCCAAGGGGCCGGATTGCTTGGCGCCGGCTTCTTACACTTAGGAGCTGTTGGGAACTACAGCGCCCAACCTTCCGCCCACCATCGCACCCCGTTCGACCTGGGCTGGGGCTGGCTTGTCAACTTCGACCATGACTTCATCGGCAAAGAGGCACTCAGGTCCATAGCCAGTAACCCTCCCAACGCACTCGTCACCTTGGAATGGAATAGCGAGGATGTGATAGACGTCTACGCATCGCTCTTCTGCGACAATACTCTCGAGTTCATGGAGTTGCCGCGTAATGCGGGCGGCTTAGTGGGCGGGAGCAGTGTGTACGTCAACGGCTCGCTTGTTGGCTGCGCCGTGTCACGATGCTATAGCTACTGGTTCAAGAAAATGATCTCTCTCTGTATCATCGAGAAGGAACACTCCGCTCTCGGGACGGAAGTCGAGGTAAAATGGGGTCAGGAGGGCGGGCCACAGCGAATGATTCGCGCTGTAAGTGCGCTCCACATCCTTTTTCTTCCTGTTGATCAAGACTGACATACAACCAGATTGTCAAGCCAGCTCCTTACAAAGAAGATCAGCGCAAAAAACCACTGAGGTCATGAGAGCAGACAAGGCTTTTTGTTTAGCGGTCAATCTTGGTTCATTCGATACGGCCAGTTGCAGGCAGGCAAAATTCAAGAAATCCGCGATAATGCACTTTCCCGCCCTAATTCTCCCGGACCACAAACCACAAAGCCACCTCTACCTCCCCGGCCCCAACTCAAACGTCCCTCCATGCTGTCCATGCCGCGGATACCCCTGAACTTGCCCAGAATCGACTTCATACGCTTGCCCCTGCCTGGGATACTGATACCCCCACCGCCCTTGCCTACTCTCCTGGTAAGCCGGGTACTGATTGACCGGCGCCTGGTGCGCCCCATCCAGCTCTATGCCCTGCGAAGACACGGAATTAGTGATCTCGCCATCGCTGCCAAATTCGTGGCGGGGCGGCGGGGCCGAACCGGGAACCTCGGTGGTCGCGTTGGGGAAACTGGATGCGACAGGTGAGGCGGTATGCAGCGGAGGGGAGGCGTGCGGCGTGAACTCCTTCTTGGTTCCGTCGGCGCCGACTTCTTTGCGTGTGATCGTTGTTAGGGTGGGAGCCTTCTCTTCGATGGGGCTTACGTCGCCTTTGGTGCCTGCCAGTGCGACGGCGTTGTTCTGCTGCGGGATTCCCATGGGTGCAGCCTGCTGCAGTGGCGGCGGAGCATATGGGCCGTTTCCAGAGTAAGGGGTTGAAGACATTGGGGGCGGCTGCATGCCAGTCCCCGGTGGTGGGACAAAGGTTTGCGGTTGTGCTCTCCGGCGGCGGAATAGGAGGACGAGAATGAGAAGGGCAAGGAGTACGCAGGAGGTAGCGCCAATTCCTATGCCGACTTTTGCGCTGCTGCTGAGAGAGCTGGAGCTACCGCCGTTGCTGTCGCCGTTGAATTGGGAGGGGGCTTAGAGCGTTAGCAATAGGAAAACAATGATGGGAACGAGATGCGGACTGGATAATAAGGAGGAGGATCTGGATGCTGTCTGCGTTTGTGAACCTGATGGCGCCAGGAAGAGGTGTAAAGGTGTAATGTAGGGCTCACGAGAATGGGAGTAGGAGTGAGAAAGCATTCATATCGAAATACGTTCGGCGCCAAAAGAATAGTATTCTCACCATTAGTATTCGTCGCAGTCGGACCACTCGTTATCCCCGTCCGACTATTCAACGACATCCCGGTCGTGGTAGTGCCCGTCGCCGAAGGACTGCTCGATGTAGTGGTTGCCTCCGTAGTGCTCGGCAAAGTCATCCCCTCTGGACTATGCCCTTTATCTACGCAGTATTGCGATTGTATTCCACTAAGAGTGCTGTAATCGGTCGCTATATCCATGTTGGCGAATGTGCACGCTGCAGAAGCGCATCTCTCCAGGCTGGACATGCGCAGGTCGAGGTTTGCGTTCTTGCACCAGCATTTTGAGTTGTCGCAGCCCTGGAAGAGCGGTCAGCGCAACGGTTGAGACAAGGCTATCAAATGATGAAGGTAAATCCTTCGAGTGCATTGTGTACGGAGAGACAGGAGGAGCGCACGTACATTGAAATCGATATAATGATCGCAGTCGCGATAGCATGGTGCCATAGACGAGTAGCCTAGATAGTCATCGAAGGGGCTATATGCGCCATCAATGTAGGGGGTAGGCATGATAGGCAACTCGAAGGCCTCTGAGGGGTGTTTCTCAAAAGCCGCAGACAGGACGAAACCATCTCGGACAACGCGGCGCCCTTCCTCTTAAACCCACACCCATGCAACCGCCATGTGCCATGATAATTCCAAAACGTCCCCTGTTTCTAGCACCCAATAGAGAGCCTCTAATCTGCGCTGGTAATCTGCGCTGGGACGCGTGTGGAGAGCAGGACCTCTCGAATACGAGCCTCTTCCCGGGATAGGGTGACAGGCATCTTGTGGTAGGACTGGACCGAGCAAATGAACCCTGGACAAGAAGCCAAAAATAACAGCCTTGCTTCCCTCTTCGGAGAAAAGATTGAGAAAGCAAACGCTGTTGCGCCCGAGGCGGATATCCCACCATGTGCTGTACGAAGTGGCGCGTTGTGCAGCAGTTGTCATATAATTGGCTCCTTGCGGGTAGGGAAGGGTAGGGTCCCTTCTTTCAATTCATCTTACACCGGTATACGATTGAAGAGTTGAAGTGGCTTGCTTTGAAGACCGTTCCAAATCGGGAGTGGACTTGGCCTTGGTCAATTTTGCCAGTTCTGTCGAGGAAAAGCCCGTATTCACATTAATGAATGCTTGGCCTGACGCTTACCAACACCCCTCAACGGACATGCGAAGCCTCTCAGCGTTTTGGGATCAGCCTCTGTCCCATCTTTATTGGATAATGAGTACGGCTCTCGCATTCATGCCCAGACACGAGGCGACAAACCCGACGACGAAGGGTTATGGAACCAATCACGACGGCTGTGGCTGGTCGGTGTCGGGTTTGCCCGCTGACGTTTGGGGGCCAAAATCAGCAGAAATCAAACCGATGAGGCTGTGTCTGATCCTGTGAATAAGCGTTATTTTCGGAGCGAGAATGAACAGTGCATGTGATGGATGATAGATTGAATGAGATGATGTCCTCATCGAAGTACGCCTGTAGGAACTATGTTCGCTAAGGATCCCGGGGTATCGCATTGGGCGACAAAACACTCTTGTTTACCCAAACGCCGGGTTGAACGCGGGTCTAACCCGCCATTTTTCGAAGGAATCCGCTCTTTAATCATCCAGCTCAGGACAGAGCTCGTCGTTGGCGTCCACGTCTTTATCAATCATAATTCCCAGATTAATATCCTCAAGAAACGTTCTTTCTCTCAAGTCTTTAGGCAGATACTTCTGCTTTATCTTTTATCTACATAACGTACTTAATAAGCAAACCCTCTAGACAAGCAAACTCTCTAAAAATACTAAGTCTCTACTAAATACTACTATCTCTATTATAAAGCTCTCTATAAACGCCTAATTAATATAATAGCTTAACTTAGAGTTTTACCTAAGTTATATAATCTAGCCTAGCGTCTTAGTACTAGGCTCTCTATATATAGAGTCTCTTAGAGCCTTCTTAAGCTTCTTACCTTTAAATAGCTAAATTTAACCTAACGTACTTTATAAGCGAATAGCCTATAATATACTTTATTAGCGAACGCTCTATATTACTAAACACTCTACGATTTCTTAGCAAGAAAAATTAACGAAAATTAATAGGTTTTTCTTAAATAACTAAGCGAAACCTTAATACTTTTCTCTAAAAATATATATATATATTCTCTATAGTATATTATACCTTATATTAAAGTTATACTAAGATATATTACGTAATTAAAAAGCTATACGTATTTAACTAACTTTTAAGAAAAATCTAGTTTACTTCTAGTTAGTAGTATTATATCTCTATAATAATCTATAAAACTTATAGTATATAGTATTTATAACGTAATAAAGATTTTTAGAAAATTTCTATAGAGCTAGCTCTTCTAGATATAGCGTAATAAGAGATAAAAGTTATAATAGTCTAGCTTAGTATTTACTAGAGTTATATAACCTTATCTAAGTTATATAATCTTACCTAGCGTCTTAGCGCCTAGCTTTCTATAACGGTTCGACTCGGCTTTAACTCGGTGCTTTAGCCTAACTCGGCTCCGCCTAAGTTACATAACCCTGCCTAGCGCCTTAGCATAGGCACCCTGTGTATATAGAGAGCTCTCGAAGCATTCTTCTACTTCTTACCTTTAGATAGCTAAATTTAACCTAACCTACTCTACTCGTCGCTCTTATTCTTACAGCTCGTAGAGACTATGTTGCCTATAATTAACTTATCTAGCTAGGTGTTCTAGAGCGTACGTATAGTAGTAGAGACCGCGAAGCTAGCTCTTATACTTTCTATATATAGAGAGCTCTTAGAGTATTCTTCTACTTCTTACCTTTAGATAGCTAAATTTAACCTAACTTACTCTACTTATTACTCTTATTCTTATAGCTTATAGAGACTATATTACTTATAGTTAACTTATCTAGCTAGGTATTTTAGAGCTTAACGTATAGTAGTAGAGACTAGAAACTAGCTCTTATATTATTTAAAGGTTAATATCTTTTTAGCTAGAGATAGTAGTATAATATTAGACTAAACTAAGTAGCCTTATAAAAAGCGTTTACTAATAGCTATACTAAGAATTAGAGCTATAAGAGCTTAATTACTTACTCTAAGAATTAAAGCTATAAGAGCTCTAATTACTTACCTCTCTAGCGCTATATAAGACTACTAGTAGATCTAGTTAGTAGTAGAAAAGATACCTCTAGTAGTAAGCTAAAGAGAGCTATAAGAGCTCTACGTATAAAAGAACTTCTTTAGAACTTTTATATATAGAAATCTCTCTTCTTATTTTAAAAACTAATAATTCTCTACTTTACTAGTAGAGCTAATAACTAGCTACTACGCTAGCTATATGTTATAATTATAGAATTAGAAATAAGGTTAACTAGCTAGAATAGAGAAAATAGTAGACTAAGCCTAGAATTATAAGATAAGAGGTTACGTGTAGAGTTATAGAAATAATTAGAGTTACGTAACATAAATTAGATAGATTAGAGAGATTAGAACCTAATCTATAGATTAGAACCTAATCTAAGAGATCTATAGAAGCTAGGCCTTAGTACCTAATTTAGCTAAGATAGTATATATATATAACTAGAAAAAGCTTACTTCTTATAGCTTCTTATAGTTATTACTTTATTTATTAAATTACTATAGAGACTTGCGATTTATAGTATTATTACGTTTACCTCTTTATTACTAAAGATTCTAGTCTAAAGTATACCTCTTACCTCTTCTTACAAAAGTAAGCCTTAGTTTTAGTTAAGAAGAATAGCTTATAATACTATATATACTTCTACTTCTTAAATAAAAAGCTATACTTAAGCTAAACTACTTAAATACTATAAGTAAACTCTTATAGAGTAACTCTAGAGGTAAGACTCTAGTCTTATAGTATCTCTTTACTCTAATAATTCTTAAGTTCTAGATAGAGAACCTGCTAGTAGGTTATTCTAATTAATATTACTATTATAAATCTTCTATCTAATAATATAATATAGTAACTAATAAGAATTAGAATAATAACTTTAAGTAGAAGCTAGTATAATTACGTAAGAGCTTAGTAATATCTAGGTTATTAGCTATAGATAGCTCTTATATACTTTCTACTTCTATAAAGAAGCTCTAAGAGCTTTTTCTAGAAAAGCTAGATAAAATTATTAATAAATTAGTTAGCTAATTATTTATAACGTACTTTATTATCGAACTCTCTATATTATTAAACCCCCCACGATTTCTTAGCAACGAACATCAACGAAAACCAACCCGTTTTTCTTAAATAACTAAGCGAAACCTTAATATTTTTCTATAAAAATTTATATAGATATTCTCTATAGTATGTTACACCTTATAGTAAAGTTGCACTAAGACATATTACGTAATTAAAAAGCTATACGTATTTAGGTAACTTTTAGAAAAAATCTAGTTTACTTCTAGTTAGTAGTATTATATTTCTATAATAATCTCTAAAACTTATAGTATATAGTATTTATAATGTACTAAAGGTTTCTAGAAAACTTCTATAGCGCTAGCCCTTCTAGGTATAGCGTAATAAGAGATAGAAGTTTAAAAAAAGTCTTTCTAGAGTTTTCTTCGCTAACTATATATATATATTAATAATCTAGCTATATAAAGTTATATATTATAAGATTATATATACTATAAGCCTTCTCTATATTTAGAAGTAATAATTTTAAAATAGTTTTAGTATCTTTCTATCTTTCTATACTATAGTACTAAAAATACTTTACTTTTAAATAACTACTTAAAGCTAGTATATTATTAGGTAATATGCTCTATATAGTTAAAGTCTACTATAATTTATATAATAATAACTTTATATAGCTAGATTAACTATATATATATATAGTTAGAAGAGAAAACTCTAAA